AGACCGATGCACAGACAGAACGAATCAACCAGATAATGGAAACTTATCTTCGGTGTTATGTGAACTACAAGCAGGACGACTGGGTGCAACTACTTCCACTCGCTCAGTTTGCATATAACAGCGCGGACCAAGAGACCATTGGAGTATCGCCGTTCTACGCGAATTATGGGCACAATCCCACGGCATACAACCCACCAATAGCCGGTCAGGGTACCGCGCAAGAAGCCATACTACAGGCAGATGAGCTTAAACAGCTCCATGAAGAATTGTCAGCCGATATTCTCTTCATCGCGCAGAGATCTGCGATCTACTACAACAGAAAGCGTAGCATGGGACCAACGCTCAAGGAGGGGGATAAAGTCTACTTACTCAGAAAGAATATCACAACCAAGCGACCAAGTCACAAATTGGATCACAAGAAGCTAGGACCATTCAGGATTGCAAAAGTCAAGGGACCAGTCAATTTCCAGCTAGCTCTTCCAAGGACAATGAACATCCACCCGGTATTCCATATATCCCTCCTCGAACCAGCACCACCAGGAGCACCACCGGCTCCTGTCACCGAAATACAACCAATCAACCCGAACGCCGAGTACGAAGTAGAGACTATTCTCGACTGTCAGTATTCCCACGGCAAGGCAAAATATTTGATCAAGTGGAAAGGGTACCCACAATCGGAAAACACCTGGGAACCCAAGTCTAACCTCCACTGCTCGGGACTCCTCCAGCGGTACCATCGGGAGCATGGGGGACCGCGGCGGAGGGGGAAGGAAAAGAAAGCCCCAACCAGAAGGAGTCGGGCAACCCGGAAAAGGCTTGGGGATCAAGGGTAGGATCCTCGAGGAAGCGGGAGGCTTCCGCCAGGGAAGAAGCGGCTTCTTCCTGACGAGCGGCCTCCGCGCGTTCGGCAGCTTCAGCAGCGTCGAGTTCGTCGAGCGTCTCGACGCCTCGACGGATCATCTCTTTCTCGCGATCATCCAGGAAGCGCTGTTGCTTGCGAAGGCGGAGGATTTTCGCCATCGCCTCTTCCTCCTCGTCACGAAGTTTTTGGCGCTGGCGATCCAGCGAGGACCAGTCGCTCAAGGACGGGAGTTTCGAGGTGTAATTACAAGAGGAGCGCTTCTTGCGAACGCACTCCGAACAGCGAGTGGATTCCTTGGAATCCACCACACAGCGGCGCTTGTGAAGCCGACAAAAATCACAAGGAGACATTTCTTCTGCGTCTTGGGAACGATCGATTCGAAGGGCCAGGGCGATACGTTCAAGTTTCTTGCGGGTCGCCTCAGAGGTCATGATGGAAGAAGAAGACGGCCGTGGGCAGTCGTCGATATTTCCTTTGGCATACTTAAGCGTGGGGACCACGCTAGGCTAGGGAGGGGATAGTGTTACGGACGCTCCTGGGAGCCCGCTGGGTCCCAGGAGGAAATATCCTCAGAGCAGGCGTACTCCTGGGAGTCGGACGGCTCCTAGGAGTAAAGCTCACAGGAACCAATAAGGTCTAAGGAACATGTATCACATAGCATTACATTATAGTAGTATTGCAGGTCACGGTGATCTGGCAGCGGCCTTCCGCGGTCGGGTCACGTGACGGATCCCAGGGGATCCCAAGGGATCCAGTACGACTATGTCGTGAAGGATCCCAAGGGACCTGTGGGATCCAAGGAGAACGAAGGTTCTATATAAGACTGGCACGTCTGCCATTAGATAGGAGCTTCGTGCTCAACTTCAAATAGTATTCTGATACTTAGTAACTGTCTTCCCGTCTACGTGATACACCTACCTCTCGATCATCAGAGATCAACTGCAGCCTTCTGTATTTACAGCGAGTAAATACCGGACCGTTACAATATACTACTTAGCCCTAGTTAAGTTTAAGTTAGATAATAAAACTAATCTAGTTATAGAACTTATTTATATTAATTAAACACATAAAGCTCTAATAGTTTAATAGGAAGAATTAAGGGAACCTAATTTATAATATACCCTCTGGGAAGATAGCTTACTCCTATTTAAAGGTCGACTATAAGTCCTGTATATAGATAGTTTATATATATAACTTATCTAGTATATTCACAACTAAATCTCTATAGCTTATCCTAGGAAGTCTAAGACGTTCAGCTTACTCTACACTAAGTACTACTAGCCTAGTATACTTAAGGATATAGCTAGGTTCATATTAAACTACCTAGCTTATAATCGTGCGAATTATTATCAAGATAAGACGCTAAGGTACCTCTACCTTTTACTAATCCCTAACCGCTTATAGTAACACTTAATTATAGACTTTAAGAGTATACTAAAAGATAAGTTTAAGTATGATTCTATACTTATTATAATAAACTATTTCTCTAAAGAAGTAATATTAATCCCTTGTTTCTTCACTTATATAGCTTATAACTTAGTATAACTATTTATCTTTAATTACTAGAAGTTTAATAGGCCCCCGGAAACAATAGTATTAGATAGAGGCTTATAGTTTATCTCCTTCTTCTAGAATAAGTTCTACTATATCCTCAGTATTAAGGTTAAGCTCTCTACTACTTACTACGCTTAAACAAATAGTTAGACAGAGATTATAAATTAATACCTAGACTAGCGTCTCTAGCCTTTTATTAACTACTACTAGGATAACTAATCTAAACTCCTACTAATAATAGACTACACTTAGCTAACTCTCTCACACGAGTCTCTAGGAATATCCCTATACTAGTTAAAATACGGGTATAAGCTAAAAACTAGTTAGGATTAGGATAAGCCCTAGCTAGAGGTTAAATAAATAGTTACTAAGAAGCTAAACGTCGCTAATATATAAGTGTTTACCTATTATTATAAACAGGTCTAGAGGAAAGCCTAAGAGTTCCTCCGCGACTAATAGGAAAAGAAGTAGCGTAATATAAATAAGTTACACTAGGAAGTTAACTAAGAGATAGGCGATTCTATATAAGTAATAATAAGAAACTAGAAGACGCACCGCCTAAAGAAGAAGCTAGACAATTAATAGGCAGGCCTATTTAAGGTCCTTAGAAAAGAAGGCCACTTATTCCGCTTAAACCTCTTAGCCTTAATTAAGGTCTACCCTATATTCTCTACGGATAAGTTTCAGTAGTATAATAATAACCTATTATCTAGATAAATACTATAGGAATAAGAACCTATTTAAGTCGATATTAAATAAGAATAAGAGGTCCAGGATATCTTAAAAGTTCGCCTCGAATAGGATAGGACTCTATAGTACTAAGCTAAATAGAAAGGACTTAATCCTGACCTTAGATTCTACTTTACCGGGGACTTTATAACTTATCTATATAAACTTCGGGATTTTTATCAAGCTTACCCTATAGAACTAGGACCGCTTAAGCTACTCCTTAAATAGCTAACTGCTTAAGAAGCAGAGGATAATAATATATATAATAGACTTATAGATAATACTACTATATCTAAGGCAAATCGTAGGAAATTTTTTCATAGCTTAGGGATAAGCCTTCCTCAGAGGGGAAGGTAATATAATAAACTAATCATGATAGGCGAGTCATATAGGTAAGGCTAATGTTATAAGGCTACGAGATTAGAGTTATATAGCGAACCTAGGACTAGCTTAGTTTACTAGCAGCTATATCCTCCCTACTTATTCTCGAGGCTCCTTAGGAACCTCTTCCTCTCGCTATCTTTTCTACTTTATATTATAGCTACTAATAAACCTTCGTTATACTATCACACTATTATTATTCCGTCTTTCTTATCCTCTCCTATTCTTATATATATTACTTCTCTTACGTAAGTAGCCTCTACCTCTCCGACCTTTACTATCTCTACTACCTCTCCCTCTATTATAGCCTCTATTCGTGTAGTTTATAATATTACTAGTAGCTATAAGTTAAAGCTATTCCCTCTATTAAATTTAATATTCGTTAAGCTTTTATATAGTATCTCTAAGATCTAAGTCTTACGATTCTAGAGTAAGTACTATAGTAATCTAAGCTCCGGACGCTAGTAACGATTATAATAGCTTAAGATATATATCTTTATTAGTGAGAGGTTTACTATTACTACTAAGCTTCACTTTAAAGAGTAAGAGCCTTATAATATAGTTCTAAAGTGTTTCCTCCCTTAGAATAAACCTTATCTTAAAGAAATCGTCTCTTATATTAGTAAAAGTAAGACTCCTTTAAACTACTTTACTTTTATTAGCGTAAATAGCTTCCTAGAGAGGCTTAGCGTTGTTTAATTTAATAATATCTTTATACTTAGGAAAGAGGAGCTTAAAGATTAAGTTAATAACTATTTTAAAAGCTTCCTTCTTTTCCTTAGTATAAGTATTCTACTAATTAATACTATTTAGTACGCTAACTATAATAAGAATATAATAAAGAACTCTAGCTCTAGCTAGCTCTTATTTAATCTTAAGCTCCTATTTAAAGAAGTTATTAAACTCTAGTAGAGTTTTACTTTTTAAAGCTCTAGTGATAATAGGAATTAGTACTTTTAATTAGGATAATATCGTAGCGTAGTAACAGATATACTAAGAGTTAATAAAATAGAGATCTTAATAAAAATAAAGTTTTAAAGTCTTTTATAATCGATTCGAATTACTACTATATTAGAATTACAGTTGTATAAGGAGCTACTATAGAGAGAGAGAATCTCTTATATAAAGGGGTAGCGTACTTAGTAGTACGGCCTATAGTACTGAGTCTACGCCTACAATCCCCATATTTCTAATACAAGCAAATGTCAACCTCTCCTGGTTGTGACGTCGTGTGCCACATCCAAGTTTTGATCTCGATGGAGGTCTTGGGACCACCAGGACCCTCATGTTATGCGGGGAACATACGCCACAACTTGAACGGTAGGATTGGAAAGCTGGCTTTCTACTTTCTCTTCTTCATCTAAACTTACTCAATGGTTCAGTCCATTGTTTCTGCGCCATTTCCAAACGCTTTCCCGCGAGGCTTACAGTTAGGTACTCCCGGTCATTGAACAGGATTCGAGACGAACACGACATGTCTTCTTCCACAGAATTCGACGAGGATGCTGGCCGCAGAAACTATAAAGCTCCGTACTCCAAAGACCGACCAATCCCTACAATTCAAAGATATCGAGAACATCGCCATGAGGTCGAGGGGCAGCAAAACAATGCAGAGGAGGCACAGCACACGAATGAAGACGATTCTAGAACGAAGCGCGTCTTCAACTCAGTGAAAGCCATTGCAAAGGACGAAGATAAGAAGAACCCGTCGGGTGATCCGTATCCCACAGGAAACAGACATACGACAGACACGGAAGTCAGCGACCACAAACAGCAAGATGGCATACCTCTTGTACCAAGATCAAATAACGACGGGGCTGCGGACACATATGAAGAGAACCAGGATGAATCTGGCGAGAAGCACAAGGATAAGAAGGGTGATAAGAAGGATAAAAAGAAGAGCAAAGAATTGTCTGCGACTGAAAAGGCTTCCGGACATACAGATGCAAAGCAGAAAAGGAAGGAGATGAAGCATAACAAGCGGGACGATGGCGGAAGAGAAGTCACGGACCCTGTCACGCATCTGCCCTTGATCATTCGAGATTCGACGACTAAGGACCTGAAGCGCGCACCTGAAAATGTGGAAGCGCCTGGGAATCAGAAAAAGACTGCAACTGGATTGAGTGGTGCCTCGAAGTCTTCAAGTCAATTGAACCTGGAAAAGGACGAGCTACAAGACGGATTCGATGGCATGCAAAAGGTCTTTCCGCCACCATCTTTCAATGATACGAATGCAGAATTGATTCGAACGTACCAATTCGCTTTCAGTGTTGGCATCGGTGTGGTTGTGCTGCTTGCTTCCTCGGTAGTACTGACTGTTCTGTTCTTGACTTCAGAGTCTGCTCATCGCATGTCTGGAAAGGCTTCGACTTTCAGCTGGACAGAAAGACAAGAAGACAGTCCTCGCAGGGTCTTTGTGCCCTTGGCCATCTCAATCATCGTTGCAGTAGGAGGTGGTCTCGCAACAATCCTTGGAATACGGGGCTGGCTAGCCAACAAAGTCAAGGAGATTTGGGAAGATGAAATCTGGGATGCTGCAAGAGAAGACGAGTACAAGCTCAATAACTCAAGTGGAAAACTTCCAGAGTCAGTGGCATGGATGAACAGCCTTCTGAGCTCTGTCTGGCCACTGATCAACCCCGACTTGTTCACAAGCGTGGTTGATATGCTAGAGGATGTCATGCAAGCCTCACTGCCAAAAGTGGTAAGAATGGTCAGTATTGATGACATTGGGCAAGGTAGCGAGGCTATCCGCATCCTTGGAATTAGATGGTTGCCCACTGGAGCCGCCGGTCAAACCGTGGACGACGAGGGCAACTTGAAGAAAGCAGATAACGAGGAGAAAAATGATCGTACAACTCCTGGCGAGGACCAGCAAGAAAATGCTGAAGACGAGAAGCCTCCTTCCGATGAAGAGCGTCAGGTGGCTCAGGATGAAAAGCAAAAAGAGGAAGACAAGCAGGCAATTCGCGAGGGAATGGAAGCCGAGCAGGGAGACTTCGTCAATATGGAACTAGCTTTCGCCTACAGAGCCAGATCATCCGGCAAATCATTGAAGAGTAAGATGAAAAACGCCCACTTGTATCTCAAGTTCTACCTACCTGGTGGAATCTTCGTCCCTGTATGGGTCGAGCTGCGAGGAATTATCGGCACTGTCCGGCTGAGGATGCAACTCGCACCAGACCCACCATTCTTCAGCCTCTGCACACTGACATTCCTCGGTCAGCCGCGAGCCGATCTCTCTTGTGTCCCTCTGTCGAAACACCTTCCCAATTTGATGAACGTGCCTCTAATCTCATCATTCGTTCAATCCTCCATCGATGCTGCTCTTGCGGAGTACGTCGCGCCGAGAAGCTTGACACTGGATTTAAAGGATATGCTTGTCGGAGACGACTTCAAAAAGGACACGGTCAGCCGTGGTGTCATTTTCATACTTATCAAGAAAGCCAGCGGCTTCAAAGAAGGCGATGGGAGTATCGGTCCTCTGAAAGGCTCAAGTGACTCGTACGTTACTTGTTCGTGGGCAAAATTCGGTAAGACAATGTCATCCACAAGGGTGATCAAAGAAGATCAGGAACCTAGCTGGCATGAATGGGCTTACGTGCTTGTTTCGCCACAAGAGATCGATGCAGAGGAGAAGCTACGGATTCAGTTGTGGGACAGCGACAGATGGACTGCTGATGATGATCTTGGAAGAGTGGAAGTCGATTTGAAAGAATTGATGCACTCTTCAAAGACCAAAAACAGAATCGCAGATAGAGAAGACCGACTTAGAGGGCAGGATCCCGAGGAGCACTACCCCGGAACACTGTCTTGGTCTGTTGGCTATTTCTCGAAGATAGCAATAACGACTGAGCAACTTGACAAGCAGACTGTCGACAAGCAAATCAAGTCGAAGGAGGAGCTGAAGCAGCATGTATCTGAGATGGCGGAGCGAAAACTTCGGGAAGCTACAGCGCACGACGAATCTAGAGAAATCAATCAGCAGAAAGCCCAGGACTACAAGGAAAAAGAAGACGCGATGATTTGTGCGGCTCCGCCGGACCCAGGTCATCCAAGCGGAATTCTTTCCATTCAGATTCACAATATTACCGGCCTTGAAGTGGAATCTATGCAGAAAGAGGGCAAAGGACCAGGCGAAGATAAGGAGAGTGAAGAAGAGGGGGGAACAGATCTGCCAAGCAGCTATTGCAGCATCATCTTGAACCACAAGAAGATTTATGTGACTCGGACGAAACCGAAGAATGCTAAGCCATTCTTCAACGCTGGGACCGAGCGATTCATCCGTGACTGGAGAACCGCTGAAGTCATGATCAGTGTCCGGGACAGCAGAGAGCGTGAAAACGATGCTCTGCTCGGTATCATTTATCTGCCACTCGACAAAGTATTCCAGAACCGTGGGCAGCTAATGGATCTTTACCCACTTGTGGGCGGAGTTGGGTATGGACGGGCTCGCATATCCATGGTTTTCAGAAGCGTCGAGTTGCAGCTGCCACAAGAACTACTAGGTTGGGATGTTGGAACTCTGGAGCTCAAATCACCCATCAAGCCCATCAATCTTCCAGACGATATCAGCTCCCACAGGATCAAGCTACGTTCCAGTATCGCTAGATTGAAAATGGTGTCCGAAAATGGTGAATGGGAATACAAGCGGTCCAAGAAATCCAATTTTCTCGCCTGTACCAAGAGATACGCTACTTCCCTCGTGGTTGAATTCCGGAAGTCTCAGATTGGGACGGACTCGACGGCTGCGTTTGCCGTTTTATGGCTCAGAGATATTCCAGATGACGAAGAACAAACAGTCAAAGTGACAGTTTGGCAAGGAGGAAAGGAGAACTTCAAGAAGGCCACAACGTGTGCTGACTACGAGGGACTGGACGGCGAGAAGCCGCTTGGGGAGATCGAAATAACGCTCAAGTTCTGGCATGGTCTGTCAGGCTACCACAAGAGTCATGCGCAGAGCGACAAAAATGGAGATATGCGAAATGTCATGGAAGTCCTAGACACTGTCAACGACGAGATCCAGTCTGATAGCGAAGATGATTCGGACAGCGATGCTGGCTCGGACTCTTCCGCTGAGGACACGAGCAAGCATCTCAAAACACACACCAACCAGGACAGTTCCGGTGAGGACACGGACAGTGGCGGTATCATCAACAAAGTCAAAGGACGAGCATCCGATATGTTCGGTGAAAACGACTCGAATGATGGGAAGAGAGGGGTAAGAGCCCAAATGAATGACTACAAAGCTCATCACAAACATCTGCATAAGAAGCATCGCGGGATAATGCAGTGGAAGGCTGCGAGGACAGCGGATTGGGCATTGGACAAGGTTCGCAATGGAAAAAGCAAGGTAAAGGGTGCGTTTGAGCACGAGGAAAAGGGCGGTGATATTGAAACTGAGGTTTGAGGCTATGGAGACTGAGTACATGATATACCCCACAGTCTGTCTTTATTGCTCGGCTGGTTCGCTGCGAGGAATGCGGGTCAGGCTGTCCAAATAGAATATGAAATGAATGTTACGATAAGCCCACGGATTTTGATACTTTGCCGTGCCAGACCATCTCTCCGACCTGGTAATTTCACGGTATATCTTGGACAGCAAACTCGCAAATCTCTCATTCGCAAACCTAGCTGGATTAGAAGCTGTGGGAATGTTCTTGAACAGTGGGAAGACTCCCACCAAAGGCCGTGACTGGGAATCGCCGAAAGTCTCAACCTGAGTCCTGGGCAGACCTTCACAGATATATGTTCCTCCTCGATTAGCTTCCCCCAGATAATCTCTACGCAAGGCTACAATTACATTCAGCCAAGAGTCCAAGTCCACTCTTGATCTCAGTGGCGAGACGCGAGACTTCCCAAGCTTGTGTGCACTTGGCTCAATGATAAAAGCACAACCGAAGTATAATGGAACTTTCTTCGAGGCTAGCTGGAAAGAACGGATGAAACTCCACCTCTTGTAGGCGTTTCATTCGGAAATTCAGAGTGCTTCTGAAAATTCGTTGTGTTTACTTCCTAACATTGAAGTGTCGAGGATGTGAGTCGAATCCTGGCGGGGGGGGGAGGGGGGGGGGGGGGGGGGGGGGGGGGTAAATTAAGGATGGAGAAGCTACCTCGGTATCCCGTTAACTGCTGGAAATACACTTTTTTCAAGGGGCAGCGCTGAACCAGGGCACTAAATTTGCCTATCTTACAAGGCACGAGCGTCTTTCAGGCGTTCCTCGCTTGATTACAGGGCAATCCTTTAGGCTATCTAGAGACTGTAGAATGCGTGTTCGTTTGGCAGTTGAGGGGATAGCTTCGGAAGTGGGTCTATTGGGAGGCAAGCAGAGGTTAATGGATTACTTGCTGATATTTTTTATCTGTTCTGATCACTTCTGGTGTGCACTCGGAATTTTTTTATGGTTAGCATTTCTTGTTATCTTGTTAACTGTTTATCATGTTTCACGGGCTTGCCCACTTGTGAAAGTCCAAGTGTGGTGAGCTCAGCACGGCTGGGTCTTTGTAAGCCTGGGAGAATTCCAGTTATTTATTTACGATTTCAAGTGTCGTCATAAAAACTAAGGAGAGATAATTTATCTTTTCCATTGCTGTGTCTACGGAGGCAAGAACTGGTTATTTCTTGCAATCATTTTTGCTGTTCTCGAGAAAGTCGCACAAGGCTGTCATGTGAGAAGCAGCTGCAAGCTCGAAATAGGACATTGGTGGCTCGCTGATGTGGTTTGGTACTTCCGAAGTGAAATCGAAGCCTTGATTTCTCATGGCCCTTGCTAGAACCAAGCACAAAGTTTCGAAAGACCTTCTGAAGGGACTCTGCCTTGTGGATATGCATCGAAGTTGAGTTGAAGTCCATTGGATAGGATCCGACCAAGGGGATTTCGGCCAAAACCATCTAGGGCGAAGACGTTTGCTCCATTCTCAATCAGCAATGGAACGATATCATACTTTTTTTTCTCAGCCGCAACATGCAATGCAGTGACTCTGGCCATGGAAGATACCCTCGCTTTACAGGGTACTGAAACAGCGCCAGCACATGCTGGGTCGAGTTTTGCCTTGGAATTCATGGCGTTCATTAACGCTTGAGCGATCTGCTCTGTGTTTCTGCCTCCATTGTTGTTCCCTTGGCCCCAATGGCCATCTCCCAGTATCAAAGCCATCAAAGGCTAGGTGTAGCTCCATCATCTCGAGTCACCAGCACATTTGCTCCCAGACTCAACAGAACCTCCACGCCCGAGACACTTCCAGTCACCGCGAATTTATGCAAGGTTGACTCCCCTGTAGAGCTTCGTTGACTTTCAAAACTTCCACCAAGAGCCAGAACTCCTTCAGCTAGTCGGGAGATGGTTTGCTTGGAAAGTACGAGTGGGTTTAACGCGAACAGGAAGCCCTCCCAATCGGCCAAACGAATGGCCTTCCCACAGCGATACAAGAAACGGTCGAAAAATCGGGCATCTCTGATGTTAACGACATCGCCGAACAGGCTTCGACCATCCGAATATTCCCAGGAAAGGTCTACGCCATGTTCGAACAAGAGTATTAGAATAGACCAATTTCTGTAGACAATATGCTGGGACAACGCCAAAGTGATGCTGCGATCGGTAGAACTGAGACTTTCTCCACGAGTTTTGAGGCTTTGAAGCACGCACTTGATGACTGACAAAGAACCGGTATCGATTGCATAGACTAGTACCGACTTAGAAAGGCTGTCCAAAATTGTGGCATTCGCCCCTTCCTGCATTAGACGACTTATTATGGTTGTGTCTTCTCGCCGAAGTGCAATATGCAGTGGCGTTTGGTGCATAACATTCACTGCGTTGTGATCGGCACCTTTCGATATCAGTATATCGAAGAGCTTTGTGTTTCCATCTCCTGCGACTTGGTGGAGAATGGTATTGGCTTTGCGACTACTACGTTTGAATATAGTATCGGGCAAGTTGCGAAGGTACTCTAGAATGATATCCGACTGCCATAGCATCGCACACTGGTAGACTCGAACGTGTGGATCAAAACCTGGCAGGTTCTTGTCGATCTGATCAATGTGATGCGGTAAATCGTTTGGGGACACTGCGGTGTCGAATGGAAACTCGTGCCCGTAAAGCTCTGGAGTGAGTAGGACTGCGATACTTCGGTTGACTTGGAGGAGAGCATTGAGAGGCGCTCGATGAAGGGCGCTGGCAATATGAAGTACGATCTCGCCGGGAAGTGCGTTGAACGACATTATCGTGGCCGATTATTTGGTCGCTCTCTTAAAATGGTACGAGGTGAGGACTTCCAAAACTCGAGAAGTGCATCTGGTATTTGGAATATGAACTGGCTTTTGACTTGGTTGTCGAAGGTGTTTTCTTAAAGGATTTAATGCTAGCTAGTTTGGATGACAAAGAAAAGCTCTATCGCATTGTCATCGGCTTCGTTCTATTGTTTCATAAACGAATATAGAAATCGACCGGTTGTGACTCCTTCCCGATCAAGGACACGTGATGTTTTGTTTCGACGAAGTGCATTTGATGTTGATGAACAACAATGTTCAAAAATATTTTATGACCACCTAATAAAAAAGAAAATGACTCATACTCCTCCGTATGGTTCAGTTTTCGACTCCAGACGAGCCTTGAGATTGGAGGCATTCCATCATTCTTGGAATCAACAAGAACATTGCTTGAAAATTGAATAGTTGCAGCTAATCTTTTGTGACATGCGCATTTCTCTACCAGATTGATTTCTAGTACAAAGCTACTCTACAAGCATTGCTATGGGTTGAGAGCTTCTCGAGTTGAAGCTGCTCTCTTACTTGTCCATGCTGGTTAACTCCATTACTTGAGCAGACTTCAGATCATTCGGTGACTTCGGTTATAAACTTTCCGGTGCTTCACTCTAATCCAGTTGACTTGTGCTATATATCAGACCGGAGAAATGCCCGTTCAGCTTGATACTCACATCGCAGCACTTCCATACCCCTAAGACTTTATCTTGTCCCACTCATATGATATTGACGGCACAAATTTCGGAGGCTGCCAGTCTTATTGCGTCGTTAATAGCCATTCACCAATTGCGAACCAGTTCATCGTGTACTAGTACTTCACTAGGAATTCCTGCGACGTAGGACGCTTCCATCTCGGATCAAAACGTTCAACAGGGGCCATCAGCCGGCCAGGTTTCCGGCGCTTTACAATCATTAAGTCAGGCGAAGGAGGTGGCGGCCCTAGGGTTGCATGGTGGAGACTTTCCGAAGATCGATTTATAAACCATGTTATATTTTCCAGATTCGGGCATGTTGCGAAAGCTGTTGGAAAGCATGTCGCAGAGTTGAACCATCCGCTGGCACCAACTCGGGTCTAAAAGCTAAGCGAGTACACACCAGTTGGGTACGTGGTAACCTAGAGTACCTCACCACTACAGCGGAAGAAAAGCGTGAAAAAAAAAAAAACAGAAAATCAATGTAGAGGAACAATTTGATCTGAAGGAGATTAGAAATACTAATATCAGCTCAGTACAGCATATTTCGTAACATGATTTGACCATCGCCGTCTGCCCAACCACCCCCAAGCGACGACACAAAACAACCATTCCACTCACAAATCTACAACTCAGGAGAAGGACCACGACGACTGTGAAAGTACAGATCCCACGTCCACTCTACTTCAGGTGAGATCTCATAGCCCTCAACCCCCGGAAATGCTGGACCAAGTTCCTTCCACCTCCACAGCCTCCGAAAAACTCCTCTTCCTTCCAAACTCGTCATATGTCCTCAACACGTACTTCCTCAACAACTTCAACAAGTCATCCCAGTCCATCAGGTCCAGGAAATGCGCGTTTGTTGATACGTCCATGACCTTGTAGAGAACGATGGTCACATCGCGGGCTAGCTTGTTGGGCTCGTACTCATCGTCGCCGATGGAGAGGGGGTGATTGTATTCATCTTCGCAAGTTGCACTTAGCCGGAGCTCGTATCTCACTGCCATTCCATCTTGTGTAAGCAGCTTGTTTATGTCGACCGTGAAAGCGACGTGGTGGAAGTCGGGGAGGGCGGGTAGGTCGACTGCTTTCATCTCGTTCGAATCCGCCAATATGACCTCGGAGTATATCTTGTCTTGGCAGTCGGGCATCTTGAAGATTGTTTTCTCCCATTCGGGAAGAGGCTTGAGATCTTGATGGAGATAGTTCATGAGAAGGCATGCGAGTCGATCGAGGTAGGGTGCGTTTGGCAGTGGGATGTGGATACGTGGGGCCCGTGCAGGAGCAGACTCGATTGTGGTTGACATTGCTGTTGGTTGATTTGGGGGATCGATGTTGGCTGGGTCGTGTCTGAATTTCAATTTCGGAGGTCGGATCAACCCAGCTTATAATGTGATCAGGACGTTGTCCATATCTCCTGCTTCAAGAAATATTTCAAAGAAGCTTTGTTTGGAGTGTCATCAGAGCAGTATGCAGGAAGACGAATTCCTGCATGGTAAGCCACATACTCTGAAAGCAAGAAACCTGGCGTGAGAAAATTAACAAGGCCACTTGGAAGATTCTAGAACTAAATATGGATCTGATATTGCATCTCATGTGAGCACAAAGCGGCAACACCGCTACCGAGAGGCATGGCATGAAACAGCGGCAGCGAAACTTCCTGAACACAAGGAAGGATTACTAAATGAGCTCAATATCTCATTGACTCATATCTATTCTGACTGAAAACGTCGCTCCGGGGAGACTCAAACCGCACTGTAGTTAAAAGGATTGGAAGGCAGCGAAAGGGGAAAAATCAGCAAAGACAAAAGTTGACGAAGCAACACAACAAAGACGAAGATGGATATATTATTCTGACGTAGAAAGGGTTACAAAGAAATCAGTTTCATGTGAACTTGCAGAATTCAAACCCAGATGAGACGTGATGGCGCCAGATGCACTTTTCAGCCACCAGAGAGAGAAATGGATTTGCTTGGTTGGTTCTCTTTCATTTCCCGACTTCATCTTAGGCGACACGCATGCCTTCTCAAACATTATCGAAGACACTGGGAGTTGTCAATGGAACATCGCACCCAGTCATTTCGGTGTCCATAAAATTCTGTAGAGCTGAAGAGCCTTCAGCTTGGGATGAGCTTCCCGCAGACGAAGAGCCCTGATCGTTTGCTGACACATCGAGATAACCAGACTTGTCTATTTCCACAAGTTTCTGAACCTTTGGAAGTATATCATTTTCACCGAAATCCCCTTTCTCGGAAGACTTTGGAGCTTGTCGAGGCACTTCAAGCTGACCAGGCATCAAGCCCCACACCGTCAAGCCTGAATCACCCAGAGTTGGCGACGCTTCTGCTTCCCTAGCACCCCGCCGTCGCCCATTCTTCTTAAACTTCTTCTTCGCAGCCCTCCGAAGCAGAAGTAATGCCCCATTGAAGTCCAGCCTATCCCATTTATTCTCCTCGTCGTTCTGGGACAGAGTATTCTTGTCATCGTTGATCCATTCTGCTATGATAGAAACTTCCAGTCCATCAATAGGATCTCGCGACCATGTCGGATCTTGGTCAGTACCATAACATACCACGTTCGCTTCTAAAGTATAAATCACATCCCCAGAAACCCCTCGGTGTTTCCAAGCCGCGATGCTGATACACGTTAACGCGACTTCATCCCACGTATCGTACACCTCGCATATTTCTATAGATTCCAGCGACTCGGAGCGAAAGAAATCGTTTTCACGACCAGGGAGGGGCTTCAGAGGTTCTTGTAGCTTGTTGAGGGCGTAGCAGACAAATCGATTGAAATCAGAAGCATTGTAAGCGGGACGGCGTTGGTGCAGCCAAGTGAGCGGCGACCTGTTTCGTTCTCTCCACGCCTTGAAGTCGGCGTACCATTCGGCGTCTTGGTTGGGGATAGCAAGCTCAGGAGATATGCCACCTGAATTGGGTACACGAGGTATGGGAAGGTCGGATTCCTCTGCTGGCTGTGCGGTTTCTATTGAAGCGTTGTCGTGTTCGTGGATCGACAGTTGTTCGAGGCGGGCCGACTGTTGAGATATCGAAGAATCTGAGTTCATTCTGGATAATATATGCAGTGGCACTGGCGGGAATAATATATTACGTGATATTGAAGCTTTTGGATAGAAAGGTAGCTTGGCGAAAATCCATCATGATTGAGGTTGGTGCAGGTTGGTGCGGGAGGAAGGTGCGTTCCTGCAAAGCTGAAGGTCCTTCAACCAAGGCCAGATGTAAACCATTTGAAAATGTATGTCTGCATCCAGATTGACTTTGTTAGAAAAGACCGGGAGTGTTCGAGCTGGAGAACTGGTAAGTACTGACTTCACCTATTCCATTTGTCGAGCCTATTAGCTAGGTGCGTCATCCAAGACATTCCTGCAGAGACTGTTGATGCCACCAACTGAGAGGAACAAACGGGGACGAGGTTTACCACGATCATATTTGAGGAATACAAATCGTAATCTGGGTTGTTGCTAATATTCTGAATTTCTGTAGCCGTATCCTACACCTTCCTCCTCCTCATCCGAGCTGGGAAAGTTCCCAGTAGCGGAAGAACTCCAAAAGGAAAGTACCCCATATTTGGCTGAGGCTGGTCATTACTGTCCAATTCGATATCAAACATCGTCAAGAACATCGACAGGGCACCCATGGCTTCTTGTTTGGCATAGAAGCGACCAGGGCATATCTTCTGACCTCCTCCATATGGAATATACGATCCAGTGACCGAGTCCGTGGTGAACACGGGGCTGTTATCTCCTTCTTTCACTGCCACCTTAGCTTTAGACTTGGTATCTCGGCCGGGCTTCCCAGGACCGCTGTTGGGATCGTTGGGATAGACGAGGAAGCGCTCGGCCCAGAATTCATCAACAGAATGCATCTCTCCATTGACTGGTCCCTCATTCCAGACTGACCTGTCTCGTTGCTCATGCCAATTCGAGGTTACAATCATGTCACCTTTTGGGAATTTCCAGTTGCCGAGTTTGAAATTGTCGACGATAGGAACTCGCTGAACGAGGACACCATTGCGGAGACGGAGCTCCTCACTGTATATGGACTGGAGGAGCGGGCTTGCAAGAAGCTTCGGCATGTGCGATTCTATATCAGAACCTTTGGCAGATGGGCCGGTGATGCTGGTGATTTCTTCTCGTACTTGAGCAAGGAGTTCAGGTCGAATCAGTATGTCGATCATTTCCCATCCAATCATGGGAATAATGTTCGCATTAGTACTAAAAGACAGTCAGCATGTATTCTTTCACCAATAATCCAAGACTGAATCATATACCCCCATAGCATCCCCAAGTCGCTAGCTGCAGCAGCGTCTTCGTTGAACCCATCAACAGCAAGGAATTCAACATGACGCGACCGCATCAATCTAGTACCAAACAGCTCTTCCCATTCCAATTTCTGCAGCGCCTCGTCTTCATGGTCGAATCTTTCCTCCGCATATGCATGCCACTTCGAGATAGAAGCCTTCAGTTTATCTCTTATTGCGAAAGCCCGAGGAATCACCCAGCGCGGGAGGTTCTTGAAAAGCATCGGCATGTGTACGTCAAACTCCCAGAAATCATCCGTGAGTTCTGGATTCAGCTTGAACAGTGTCGGACCACACAACGCAGTGGTTGAAGCTTTAAACACAGATTTCTTAACCAGGTCATAGAAATCCGGGATGTTGGTCCATTCATCGTGCCCGACGTCCAGTGCTGAAAGCTCTGCTTCGAGGAAGTACATAAAACGGGCAGCTAACTCCTTCAATCCATTACCTTGGAGAAGACCGTGTAGGCTCTTGTGAGTAATGGCGAAGATCCGGTTGTGCGGCTCCAAGGGATTGCTATCTTCGAGAGGTTGGGTAAATACTCCAGTATTGTCTCGTGTATACACATGTCGGACACTTGCTGGACTTCCAAAGGCGTTTTCAAGCACCCGTATCGAGGCTGGAGCTGTTGTCAAGTCCCTAGAGCCTTTGAAAATGGCAAGGACACTCTCGGCGCCAGAAATGAAATGAAGCTTCGTATTCAAAACTCTGATGCGGACTGGCATGTTTGGCCCATATTTGCTACTGCAGTGGGAAGGATGGTCAGCAAGATGAATTCAGGAACTGCTCGCCTTCCTCGATTTGAAACAGCAGTAGGCTCTTACATGATGTCACTGAGCAGCTTGTTAGTGTCGAATGCAAATGATATTAGATTCCCTAGTCCAGGTAGGGAGTACGGGAGGATAGGAGGCGTCTTATCATCTCCCGAACGCCCCAGGGCAACCTTCGACCGAATTGAAGTTATCAATCTGGTCAAAATTAAGATTGATAGAATGCCAGCAGCGACAGAGATCCTCAGGTCCCAACGAATGGCGGCCGCTCCTTGGCCGAGGATCTCATCGAACATATTATCCTGAGAGCCACAGCGGGGTGGGATATGGATCTGGTCAGATCACCGAGTACTAAGTTTGTTGACTCTCGCTCGAAGCAAAAGATTCTCGTGCACTAGAAATGAGAAAACGATGAAAAGACTGTAGTTAAGAAGTTGTTGAAAGATTTCTCGAAGAAATGGATGTCGTGAGAAGCCCGTGCAGCTGACGCTGACCCTGTTTGGGCTACTCGTCTCCGAGCCAATCATAGCCTGAACATCTCCTTTACCCGGCGGCGTCAACTTTCGCGCACTGTTTACGGTGTAGTGCTGACCCTTCCAACTCCCCAATTGGCTCACTCTCTCTGGTTGTGGGCACCTGCGGCATCTTCCTCACATCCTCCCAATCAAGAAAGCATAATAGCAGGGAAACGGGCGATCAATCTCCGTATCAAGCGATACAATTGACAAGGTTTGAGACTGATATTCGAGATACTGTAGGATAGAACCTAGGACTCCACATCGAACACGTCAAAAAGCCGCGCCTCATTCCAAGCTCCAGGAGGGTTTCAACCCCGAAATCCCTCGCGGATAATTGACACATCTCTATCGCCACGCACTTGCTCAATTCCGCCCAAAGTTGCTCAGTACCCAACGCCACGCTCCAAATGCAGCAAATAAGCACATGTCAAATAAACTCCAAATGAAACCTTATTCCTGAAACGGTGTATAATGCAACCCACCAATTCACCCGTTAGCCGAAACGCCTCCCCATCCAGACTCAGAACCAGTATATAAATGGCACCAAAGGGGTATCCGACAAGTGAGAATTCTTGGCCAATCTCAGTGCTCTCCGAGCATTCAGAGTCCACGATCCGTTATGTAACCACGTATGTGCTTTCGCAAACTCATAGGTCTCGGAAAGCACCGCAATCGCTCTCGGATCGCGACTCAGGCGGAGCCACTCGCCTCTCGTCGAGAGCGCACCCAGTGTGAGCTGTGCTTTCTGTTCCGGGTTCTCAAGCGCATCGACCATGATCTGTGCTTCTTCGAGCAGAATTCCTGCGTGACCGAGATTTCCCAGCGCCATGAGGGAGCCAATGATGCGAAATCGCGACTCGAGCTGCATCGCGTTGCCGAGCCTGGATTCGATGTCGGCGACTGGTTGAAACGCTTTCAATGCTCCGGCATAGTTGTGGCTTGCCATCAGAGTGGTGTGTAGTCCTCGTCCCGCGGCACATGTTTGCGGATGTTCCTGTCCAAGCCGAGATTTTAGAATGTCGACTGCTTGAAATAGACCCATGGTCATGATGTCCGCGAGCATGTCCATCGATTCCAGTAATGCTCCACAAATTATGTGCATTGAATGGGAAACCGAATGGACATGAGCAGCCATGCCTCGTACTAGCTGGAGAAGTGGCCGTAATGCAGGTAATTGGCCGTCCTTGAGAAACTTGCAGCATATCTGCAGCAGACAGACTAAGAGGATAGGATTGCGATCTCGAAGAACAGGACCGACATGCTCCAGTGTTTGACCGTACGCCGCTTGAGCTTCTTGCCATGAGCCCTCGGACATATAGGTTGCGACAGAGTTGGCAAGGACGTAGAACTTCCTCATGTTCCAAGATATCGCCTGTTGAGTGACGTGGTACGCATCGACACCATCTTTTGCTACCAGTGTTGACAGGAGGAAGTCCTGGGTAGCGGACAGTAGAATTTCCATGGACTTAAAGCGACCTGGAGGTTCCAGTTGATTCGGGCTTCCAGGTAGCCAGTACTTCTCTTCTGGCGGGGTATACCGCGCTACTTGCCGTGTCGATGAAGTCGGAGAGCTGTCTATTAACATATGGTCATCACTGCCTGTACTTGGAGTGTCGCTTGGAGAAAATTCTGGAGAAGAGCTCTCAGAGGTGTCTGGTGTTGGTGTATCTGGTGGTGTGTAGCACACAATGTGAGGCGGCGTGGACACATCTCCTGATGAGCCCTTTCGGCTGCCAACTTTTGATATTTTCTTCCTCTTGAAGTAGTGATCAATAGTCGCTTGAGTGATCTCACGATTTCTGACCCGGAAAGCAGAACGTTTGCCAATAGCGGCCCGTTCGGCGGATTTCTGGGCTAGAATTTGCATCTCCTCCTCCTGTCATCATTCGTTAGTAGTCACGCTAGCAGGTTGATTCGACGCCACCGGGTACCTTATTGTTCTTGTCAAGTTGCCAGTGATTTATCCTCCTCTTATACATGCGTTCCCTGCTATTTATCAGTACCAAATGCACGGATTTTGGGTGGGGTAGTTCGCACGTCGCATCGAAGCCATATTTCTCGGAGAGAATTGCCCGAACCTCACGCAGAGGCCTATCCTCGGTCACATACAGCGTCGCGAAAATTTCCTTGATCGAGTCCCAATCGTGCGATTCATTGCTACTGATCGATTTCGCACGATTGGTTGACATTGTGGACTGTTGAAGCCAACACAAGAGGTGAGGGGCAAGAACAGCGGCATTCCATCCAGGAAGCAAAGTTGCAGTCGTGAAGTGGGATGTTTCGTCTACAGAAGCAGCCAATGCGCTCCTATCAGCACCCCTATCGCTGTGGATATTAGCCTATTACTCAGCCGCAGCGCCTGTACCCGAGTAGGGCAGAGCGAGTTGGGTGAGTTGAGCGAGTAGAGCGACGCCCTGTATGCCCTGGGCCAATCGAGAGTCGGCATGACTCCAGTGCCGAACCCGGTTTGGGTGATGCAAGACCCGGATATGGGGCCCTGTTCTGCACATCATTGTGCAACCGAATCCTACCACCTTCCTGCCAGGCAAAACCGCAGTTTCTGTGGACAAGGCTGTTTTGCTTCTCCTCCGGAAAAGTATCTCGTGATTCTAAGATCATTCTATGCCTGTGCTGTTGAGTTTTTCCAGATGTGAATTGTAGGACTCTTGACTCTTGGTTCGGAACCGAAGTTGCTATGCCGGGTAGTGGTCTATGACTTTAAACCTAACTTTACATTTACAAGGGGAAATGTATCACAAGTAATTTACAGCGTACAGACCGTGTAGTAGCCTGTCAGGTCGGGCATTCCAGCTGGACAGGCTCTCTAGAACCCTGAACAATCTAAAATTGACAACGGATCTCGATCCACACGGTTAGCCCAGAGTCTGGGGTACATAGCTTTTCTTGGTTCAAGCTCATCCAATCAGGTAAGGGACCTCGTATACCATATCCTTCTGTGTTCTGCTAACAGTACTATCATTGAGTATAGATAGTAACTTCGTAGAACCTGTCAAATGTTTGATGGCAAGCATACGGCCATACCATATTTTCTTCTCGCTTAGCAATTTCTGCTGTGCGTTGTTCAAGTCGGACCGATGGTCCAGTGTATGGTGGAGCTTTCAGAAGCAGGCTCTTCATTCGATGCAGCGGTCTAGATTGTCACCTGCCTTGCTTGCAAGTACGAATGCTTTGGTGCTTGTGAAGTAATTTCGGACGGAAGAACAGTACTAAGAAGGTTACCAGACACACGGCGACTCACGGCTCGCTAATGCTGAGCTGGGGGAATGGCACCAGAAGGAGACAGTTGAGCCTAACATTTGATTTGGACACAACATACCTATGCACACCTCTATGGTCCGACCAGGGGTGACACAAAGCTAAATATCTTGGTTTTCTCAGCTCAGCGAAGACCAAAATGTGTGAAGAATTCCCACTTACAATGAAGCAGAGACTTTAAAGATCTGAGGTCTCCATCGGAATACCTCGATTTCATAACGCAAAGTCAATGCTTGCTCGGAGGAGCTCCGGCAGGATACTTTATCGCTAGACATGGTGGTAGTGTTTGACCTGTACTCGCTAAATTCCAGGTACTTCCCGCCGAAAACTCTCCTTCGCCTACCCACCATGCTGCCCAGATCACTTGGAAGGTTCACGACAACAATAACTACTCTGGTGAATTTTCTGTGGTGTATTGGCTTGAGGGAAGTCTAGTCTACTTTCAAGATTTCTTTTGAGGATATTTATATACGGACTGGGGTTAAAGACGATGAAACGTTTCCAGCCATACCCCTCCATTACCCCGCTCTAGCCCTGTAAACTCACCGCAGCCAACTGGACAGGCTCCCCGAAATAACAGCAAAAATCACGGGACATCAGCATCAAGATCAGAGAAGTGTCGGCGTTTGGATTGGCCGCAGGTTACCTCAAACATCACGTACAATCCCGCTGCCTACCAAGAGCTGCTCTTTGATGACATAAACCCTGCCCAGTTCAAAAGCCGGAACTCAACAGTAAGACGGGAACAGCCGCGACGATGGTTGGCTCCTTTTGTTTCTATGCATTCTTCTGCTCCAGGTGGCAAGATTTGTGCTCTTGTCAGCATGCACAGGCTCCAGCCGTTACTGGACAGCGTCTGCAGGTGGTAAGCTGACTCCTCAACCAATTCTCCGGGATCCAGTGGACCTCTACCGTTTCTTTTCTCCTTGCGACACACGGATAGCCCGAATGTAGATTGACCATACAAGAGTCTCCAGTTGGTATTACTACTGTATGTAGTGAAACATTAATAATGACGCATTGGCGCAGGTACTCTAGAGTATGGTGGGCTGATCAGATATGTACGGCTAGGTTTGATCGTCTGATAGTGTGGACGATCAATGTCTCTTCAGGCATATAAATCTCCCTTCTCGTTGAGCTGGGATGAAGTGGGAGAATAGTCCGAACCAAAGATGGAACGTAAGATATCGTTGTCGACCACTTGCTCGTTCATCGATGTTGAGAGCGGATATCTCGGGGGATTGAATCGTGGAGACAGCTATGCTTCACAAGACTGTTTAGTCCAGACTGGAAAGGTAGGTATGATACAGAATTCATGTTCAAGTTGGTTTGTTAATGTTGGAGAAGGAATCTCCGCATGGAGATGAAAAGTTACCTTCAGAAAGCAGCACCCTCCGGGAAGAACGAAAGGGTCATCTCAATGTTCGCTCCATCTTCAGCAAGAGGAAGCATCATTCAAACTCAAGAAAGAGTACAGAATTACAAACAACCTCGGATTCGAGGTTTCGAAATATGTGTCAAAAGATCCAGACTTCTCAGCTCGGCAGTATTTTCTGGCTCATTGGGAGGCTTCAAACACAGGTAAAACCCGATTTTGATGAATATCAGGAAAAATTCCCGCCAAAGTCGTTCCCGACGCCGGAACAGACTTGGTACAATATTCCAAGCAAGGATGATGGATCGCACTCCTGGCCTCTTACCGAGATCTGGCCACCAGCTTTCATCATAGATTTGAGAAAACACATTCCGATCTTCATGGCAATGTTCGTGGCTGTCGTACTACCGATCTGTCTGATACAGCGGTATGCTTATCCGGCGACTCAGAAAGTTGGAAATCGGCCTGGCTACGATTGCATGTAAGTGGTTCAGTTCAGTCGGGATCTAGAAGAAGAGCCTCCTCCCATTAACCTTGACTGCAGGCACACTGGCGACTTCAATCTCAGAGGGACAGACGTGAATCTCGGGCAAATGCCATTTGCGCAAGCGAAGGCTATTGACCTCGCATGGAACGCAGTCGTTGGTCGCGGGATGCAAGCTTTCCTAATTTTCATCAGCTGCAAGCTTTTTTATGCTGTACTGATGTATACTAGCGAGCGACACCCGGTTACTTACGAACTGTTCGCAGCTGTTTCGCTCACTCCTACGGGAACGAATGGTATTCGTCCCTTGGCAAAAGCAATCATATTCAACTCAAACACTAAGGTCCGCTTGATGCTAGTATGGCTCTTGGGTTCGACTGTTTACATCGCCTTGACGCCAATACTTGTGGATGCCCTCTCGGGATATCGAGCTATACAAGCAACGGTGCTTCAACTAGCAGACGGCTCGAAACTTGACGTCTCCTCTGGCTTTACTTCAAATGCTTACCAAAACCTCGAACGCAACCAACCTCCTGACTATTTGGACTTCAATAGTTTCACTGGGAAAGCGTCTAATCGTACTCCTAACTTTGAACTCGTTTCCAACACGACTATGATATATTTTTCTGGCCAATATCGTTTGAATTATCACGGACAAAACATATCTGAGGTATTCAGCTCCTCGTGTATCAATACAACAACGTCTGTTCTATTTTTCAGTACGGATCACTACACGTATTTTCGAGGTGGCTCGCCGCTGATGATATACGAGGATCCAAGCTGTCGATTCTGGTTTCCGTTAGCTCCTGTTATAAACGAGGGTGCATATGGAGTGTGGAATCAGACATTTTTGAGGCATCAAGGCAATTACGAATGTGTGTCGAAAGACATATACACCTGGGTAGGCCCCTTCAAAATGTTTCTTTCGCTTCACAGGCAAGCCACAGCAGCCGAGGTCAAAGCTAATAGTATGAATAGGGGTTCTCCTATGAGCTACTACTCATATATTCATGCATCAGTGGAGCATGGACTCTTGGTACATGGGCCATATACGTGTACGCATCAGTGCACAGCGAATTGCTGCAAAAAGGAAGAATGTTTGGGACCTGGCGAGCGGTCATGGATATCAGCGAGTCATTGAAAGAGATGATTGGAGAAAATAATTTGTGTGCATATACAGAGCGGGAATTGAGCCGAAGCCTGCAAGGTAGGAATATGGCTATGTATAAAAGTTACGAAGGGGTAAAAGGAAATATAAGGTTCGGACTGAGAGAGATCCGACCTGGTACTCGAGATCGAGGTCGATTAAAGCTGGAGTGGGCAAGGGAATATGGATAATTAAGATTCTTCCAAAAGTCAAACACTTTTTCCAGCGCCTCCAAAAGATCTGGCCCACGGAAATGTGAAAAAGCTACGTGCTTGCGCGTTCTCGATGCGAAGGGTTGAAAAATATACGACACGTGACCAGCCCCTTGTTTTGTTCTGCTCTTCTCATTTTACCGAGGCTGACCCCTATTCGTGGTCACATCTGCAGCTACCGAGCTAGTTCGTCCCTTCATTCAAAGTCCTCGGGAGCTTGAAACAAACAAACTTTAAATCTACGAGCCGAATGGCTGTCATTCGAGGGGGAGTATCCGCGTCCACTTAGCTCAGCGCCAACTCATCAGACGCGAGAAATAGTGTTGACTAGAACGTTTCGCTTGCCAGCCACCGGCAACCATGACAAGGGGCCAGATCGAGCCCAGACATCCAGATCTGCAATGCTTTCATCTTTGCGATATCAGGAGTACCTGCTCTAGGTTTCTAGACAGTTGAAACATTGTGATGTGGTCGGGTACATTGCCCCAGGCCCAAGAGCGCGTCCGGGCAGGAAGAAACGAAACATTATTCTTGTGCTGAAAGGGGATGGAATTGAGGCTATTGACGATCAGCGAGTACTTGCGCTACATAAGCTCCAGCACCAAAGGTCCCCTTTAATTATCGCCAGCCTCTCCCGTCAGCTCGGCGACATGTGAAGTAGTGATGAGAACGTCTCGTCATGACCTACCATCCCGTCTCCCTTCAATCACGGCATCGAAGTCTCGACGGCGCTAAATATGTAGGTCGGCGTTATGTGTGCGTGGCGCTGAGTGGTGTCCTTGGTGGTGACCGGATCGAGGCAATCTACAGCCATGTAGATAAAGACATCTTCACTCGCTCTTCAGTCGAACCTCTCTTACATTGCCACCTTCTTTTTTCGTCACCAAATATCTACATTCCTTTATCGCGCTGTGTGCTGTTGTTTTTTTCTCTTCTTCTTCACCAAGAACGTCCAAGATGGCTGTCATTATGCAAACATTCTACCTTTTCACTTTAGCACAGCTTGCTGTGGCCGGTCCACTCGCTTACCGTGCTACTGTGCCTGCTCCAGTTATCAAGGGCTCGACTACAGTACAAAACATTACTTCAAACTTTCCGTGGACGATACGAAGAGATGGTGGTGGTGGGGGTACGATCAATGGCAAACATATCATCAACTTCGCGGATACCACAACAGCCAACACCCAAGCTCTCGCAGAGTTCGGCTTCCTACCATTTACTTCCAATTCGATAGCAATTGCCGGCGAGGTATGTCGGAAGTAAGCTGATACATCAACCTAGTGCTAATGAATTTTGTCTAGGACGGCATGCATGTAACAGACATCGGTGTTTCTGACGATACATGGGTCAAGCAAATGTGGCCATTCGCAACGAGCAAGACACCCATCGATGGCGTGACTGGAGAAGAGAACTCGCCAAATCACCGCCACGCTATCTGGCCAAACACAAACATTGTCTCTGGATGCGGTGGCACTTGCGGCTATACAGTATCGGACGTCCTCGACATCACCTTCACCCCTTACGCCGAGAAGTTTCTCTACTCTACACTTGCCAAAATCACAATCGGAGATGCTGGTCCTGTTGTTACACGAGAGGCTGTTGCGTTGTGGTATAAATATCAGACGAATTATGGCCAGTTTGGATTGGCACGAGCCCGGGATGGCTCGAATGATATCTTTCTTTTCGCTGCACCAGATGGTGCACTTGGTCTCAAGGTTGCTCGTGTCGATGAGGCAGACATCGCAGATAAGAGCAAGTATAGATTTTGGAATGGCAAGACTTGGGTTAAGAACCCACCGGGAGCACAAGATACTTCTGCGAATATCTTCCAGTACAACCAAGGTGGCTATGGTGTTGGCACTGGGGTAAGTCACTTCAACCCACTCACTGCCAACCTTGAATATCCAGCTAACAGGAACAGGATATCTTCTGGAACGAGCACCTCGGCACATGGATTGCAGTCTTCAATGATGAGCTCGTTGGAAACAATATCTTCAGACTCATGTACTCGACCACGGGATGGATTGTTGGTCCCTGGTCGACTGAGCCCATCAATGCATACGATTCATTCAGCTGCGGTGACAGTCCGAACGCCGAAAAATGCTCCGTGACATACAACTATGGCACACATGCTTACCCAGACATCGACCCAACCGGAAAGGTACGTCCTATTCTCGCCCCATGTTTGGAGCGAATCTCACTGACTATTCCCCAGACTCTTCTTCTTGGTTGGACGTATGATGGGCACCAGACTATGTTTGCTACGATTGAGTTTGAATAGATTTCAGCTCTCTTTTCTTTTGTTTGCTCTATATTCTCTTCTTGAAGATACTTTTTAGATAGACGGGCTTTGGAAGAAGGGAACGGCGTGTAGCGGAGGCGTTTCAAGAATTGAGAGTCTTGGTACAGGTTCCAACTGCTTTGAATGATTTTTAGTCCTATGATGAATGAACTTCTGATGACCGGCGAAGACTCAATTTCCCGTCCACAGATCTTTAGTGAAGTGACCGAGAGTTCTCCAACACCGCCGGTGATCATGTGAACGTAGCTCAGCTCGGTTGTCACTTTCCTCGCAAGAAGTCACCTTTTGAGGCAGCCACGAGAGGGCTAATTTCCAAACTTGAAAAGCCCATAAGCATTTCGAAACTTCAGTAGCTTCAAGTGATAGTACGACGGTTTTGCTCTGATCAAACAAAGGGCGCCTCCAACGACTCCCAGCATTTGCCTGCTTTGTTGACATCAGTTCTGAGGCATCAAGTCAAAGACCTCAACGACAAAGCCGCGTCTTTCCTTTCGTGAACCAACCATTCCCGTCATATCTTATTACCGCTCGAATAAGCTTATATTGACTGCGAAATCCTCTATTACCATTTGCGATCCTGCAGCATTGCCTGATTAGCTCCGCTCTTTCATCGATTCTCGCACGAAAACCTTCACGCCTGCATGCAATCAAGTTCCAATCAATGTTATGTCTTAAAAGCGAGCGTGTGGCACGAATTTTCTATGTTGAGGAGATCAAAGTAAGTAGCTCCGACCTTCTCCAAACATGGTTACTGACGAAGGACGTAGCATGGCTGTGATCTCCATTAAACATGGCGCAGTGGTACTTCCAGCCCTCGAACGACTGCCCCCGACACTCAGCCCATATGCTGGAGAATGATGAGATGCTGCCCGCCTGAATAGATCTTCAGGAAGCAGCTCAGCAGGTCAGATTGCGGGCACTGCATTGGCACCATACCTTTTTCCTTGTCCGCGTCGCATTCGTCATGGCTACGCAGCGTGTCTCGCCCACCTTACCCGGCTTTGTGCCCGTACTCAGAGCTTGAGCAAGAAGGAATTCAAGCTTCTTTGCAGAAAGGACGATCGCCTTGTTCTCAACGATGAATATTATGGTGTGTTCTCTCAGCACCTGGAGGAGAAGATCCACATCACCATTCTGAACTATCTTCAAAGTGGCGATCACACGGTTACCGGCAATGTCCACAACTTCATCACCTTGCATGTCTCGGACCTCAAACTTAACAATGTCACGCGGCCACCATGTTGTCACTGCCATCCTCTCAAGTCAGGTCCACGTTCAATCACGCTTTATATCATCAAAGAGTCGTACCGAGGCACGGTGGACAACTGCTTCATCCATGAATATCCCGAATCGCGGTACAAAGACCGGGGAATGCCAGTTCATGTACCATATATTGGCCAAAACTACCCAGCCGCATCTGCTTCAATCCCTCCGTCAATTCTTGTTCCGTGTCGCTTCGCATACTTCGTGTATTGAGCTGGACTCGAATGGTCCTCGACCGCTTGGTCTGGGAGAATGCGACTTGGTCGCAACTTTCAAGGAGCTTCAGTTGAGGGATGTCAGAATAGCCAGACACAAATCGAGAACAGCGATCGATAAAGGGAGAAGCAGCTCTATCACATGATATTGCTGCAAAATGGAAATAAAGGGCTACTGCTACGATTTCCGTCGCTGTGTCTACAGGGCATAGAAACGACTGCTCATGGCGTACCGCCCAGAGAAGAAGCACTGTTGCTTCACTTGAGGAATGGTAGGAGCGGAAGGTTGATTCTATCTCGCTGCTCGAGAGGAAGAATCATTTCTCCTCACATGAAAAGCAATGGAAATAGTGAATTGAGCATGGCGGGGTCCCAGGCTAGGTTCTGAGTTAGGTCGGAGGACCGAGAAATCTTCTGAGTGCATGTTTCTTCGTGAAAGATTGAGCTAGCTGTGGAGCCAGATCAAGATGCCAGACAGAGTCATTCCATGTGTTTGGTCAAGAAAAGGACGTGTGTGTGCTGGTGGAGAGTTTTGGGTGGGGCTTTGCACGGTTCTTGAACCCAAATGTATGTAAAACCAATTATAGACGCTCGAAAGCCTGGAAATCAATTCCCCCAATGTATCCGAAGCAACAGGCTGAAAAGATATCACCACAGACTCTCGATTTGCCAACAAGAGAGGTACCAAAGTTATGAGCTAGGGCAGAAACTAGGTTATTCGTGAAGTTATTCATCGATAACCTGTTGAAAGGTCTTGAAAGGACGGAAGGTTACGGTAGGAGCCTGTGGAATAGTAATGTTAGGGAACATTCAACATTTGAGTAAATGCTTAACTTACCGTCTTGCTATTGAAGAAATGCTTAGACTTCTCCAAGACAATAACGATCCAGGCCTTCAGCTGCTCCAAATTCATCTTTCCACGAACTGTCTCCCAATCCTTATCGCCACTTATTCCTGTGAAGTTTATCTCCTTCAAAGCTTGGAAAAGCGAGAGTGAGGCGAATTTCATCTTTTGGAGAGGATCGGGGTCACCACTATTCAAGCACTCCTTCTTATTAATAAGCAACTGACCGACGAAGAACCACTCGGTGAAAGTCCCACGGACTTCAAGCTTGGTAATAAGTTCGAGGAGACCTAGCTTGGCTTTTTTCAAAGCGAATAACCAGTCGTATATATCATCAGTGTTGTTCATCAAAGTGATAAACTCGACCCAGAAGACGTCCGAAAACTTGGCACAGAGAGGTCGAAGACCACAGTACATAACTTTAGCTGGATTTCACTGCGAAAGATGATCAGGTGATTCGTCAAGGCCTCACGTCTGCTCTCACGGTTGACGTGGAGTGCAACCGGCAGAGCTCTCTTGTCCTCGAGAAGGAATGCTTACAGGGCACGTTAGAATCTTTATCTCGATCTGAAGACCTATGGGGTATATTTTCGAGAAGCAAGGTGAGGAGCATTTACCCTTAGTAGAATCATCGTTAACATCCGTCTTGTAAACCATATGCTCGACGCATACAGCCTTGGCTTCCTTAAAATTGTAGTGCCAAACCTTCAGTCTCAACTCCATTGGCATGTTAGAGAACTTAAGGAAGGTGGACGGGTCGGATTCAATCACAGCAAGAACTTCGAGACCTTGTGCAGCATACGAAGCCAGCAGAGCAGCGGTGTTTGCTGATTGGGGAGCTAGGACGGTAGATTTAGAGGGTTGCTCGATAGAAGACGTCTGAAAGCTCGAACGTGAATTCATCTTGTCTGAAGGGTGTTGTAACAGGGCAGACTGACGCAGGTCTGTCTTAGCTTGAATCAAGGCATGAAGTAGGCTTAAGAATTGAATTAGGGGAGTTATATTCCTCCTCGAACTTTCGAGTTCTCAAGTTTAGGGAGAAGAACTCGAAGAGAACTCGAAACGCAAACTTACTGAGTGGTACTGCTTTTTGCAGATCGAGATCCTCTAGAGATGGAGGCTCTCAATTAAGGGTCTGGCGTACCGGAAATCTCGAAGAGTTGCTACGTCGAGTGTCTGGATTTCGATGTTTCAAAGTCTCCCCTTCGAAAACCTCAATGTTCTTTGTGCGGCGGCCCTTTGTTTACCAGCGTCACGTCCTCGCTCGCTTATTTCCAAACCACAAGCCACGAGGCTCTAAGTAGTTATCGGAGATTGAGATAGAACTATACTGAAATAGAACGAGAATTAGATTAATTCGGAGCTTAAGAGTCAAAGGAATTTATTCGGAAGGTCATATAGAACCTGCTTAAGAAAAAGGAGTAGAAGTGCTTGAATATTCATCGAAAACCCGTGCCTCTACTCTTTCTAGCTATAGACTAGCATTTGAGCTTGAGATTATCTCAATAGTCAATCACACAGATATCTTATTACCCTTTCATTAGAATCATATTGCTACGGTCAATTCCACCTCTACTAGAATGCAGCGAGGCCTGTTCTACAATACTCTTGATGTCACTTACCTCAAGCTTTTAACTGCTCCTACCTAGTATATCCACAAAACGGTTCACTTAGACATGACAATAAGTCTTAAGAGCATGCACCGGTGTACAGTAAATGTGCATGGTCAGCATTCTTTAGTGAGAACTAGAGAACAATGGGAGTTTCTGGGTCACGTGACATATCCATAATGCCATTATTTGGATCAGTCCTTGCAGAAATTACCGATTTGAACAGCACCACATGTGGGCTGAAACTGATATTAGGTAATGGGGGTATCATTGGAGTCGACAGTCTTAGTAAGATAATATCCATCAAATACAGACACGTGAGAAGTGAGTTCGCGAGACGAGATCTTCGTCAAGCATCTTGCCCCTCACCACCTGCACCCCAATCCCACCTTCCGCAATCCCACCCAGATCGTCATCATTAAGTGCCAGGAATCTAATCAGATACCAGGTACAACGTTACACCATGATTGGACCATGAATATTACAATTATGGGCAATAATTTAGCCTTTTGAAGCAGATGGACCCCTCATCTCGACCTCGTTTCCTGGATTCTTCATTCAAAAAACATCTCATAATGTTGTTCACATTTCTCATACTCGTCGGACTTCTGCGTGAGACATTGGGGGAGCGGGATGCTTTAAATCGAGTGCTGGGAAGGAACGAAAAGAAAGAATTGCTGGAGGTCTTTCAGGTGGAAGCCCCGCTCAGAAAAAGCTACGATGGCGCGAGCTGCAAACAAGTAATCTTGCAACATGATTTCACGGCGAGTTACGGCTCACCATATGTCGGTAAGTTCTCAAATTTTCATGACTCCTGGCATTGACGATGGCCAGGGCCGTACTCCCCACCTGATGGATGCAACTTCACGACGGTGATTTTCAACATGTCTATCACTTCCGCCGGCATTAATTACGACCGACTTGGTCTGCTTTACTTTGGGGATGTCGAAATTTGGCGTACAACGACAGGCATGCCGGTCCGAACTGGAATTTTCTACAACTTCCTAAAAGATGTCACTGTCTTTGATGCCCTACTCCGAACCGAGCAGAAAGTAATTATGCAGCTGGACAACATTTACAACGATGTGTTCACTGGTAACTTCAATGTCACGGTTACGGCACTGTACTACGAGGATGACAAGATCTTCACTCCAGCGGATACCATCTTGCCTATCTCAGCCAACTGGTCATCAGTAAATCAAACTTCTGTCATTTCACTTCCGGATGGCAATGCTTCTGTACCACTGACATTCCCGAGGAATGTCAAACGAGCCGTAGTAAGCATTATTGCCTCTGGGAATGGAGCTGAGGAGTTTTGGTTCACGAATGTTCCCACCGAGTACGAGAGAACGTTCAACAACACGGCGATCTACGGCTACAGTCCATTTCGCGAAGTCCAGCTGCTCATCGATGGTGAGCTGGCAGGAGCTATCTGGCCGTTTCCCACTATATTCACTGGGGGGATCAGTCCGGGTTTGTGGGTGCCCATAGTTGGAGTTGATGCTTACGACTTACCGAACTTCGAAATCGACGTCAGCCCGTGGTTGGGCTTGCTTTGCAATGGAAAGTCTCATACTTTTGAGCTGAAGGTTGTGGGCTATGATTCGGTGAGAACTTTGGGAACCGTTGGATCCAATTGGTGGGTATCTGGCTCGGTCTTCCTATGGATTGACAGTGTTGGCAACCAGACGACTGGAAGTGTAAGTAGCTAAATTGTGGCCCGGAAGGAACCATTTGAGAACTTTAAGACTGCTGTAAACTAATATGCTGAATAGGCAATTCAATCGTGGACACCACGACCACGATTCGAGTTCACGCCTATCATAACATCATCTACTGGCATCAATTCCACTCTTTGGGTGGAACTGACCGCCGACCGAAGCATCTCGCATACTTCTACGATCACCACTTCTGCTGGATCACGACAACTCACTTGGTCTCAAAACTTGAGATATATCAACATCCAGAACTTCACAGCCAAAGGATATAACGAAACACTTTATCAGCTTACCAGCGGAACCTCGACTTTTTCAGGTTCGGATGATGCAGCAACAGCAATCATAAACTCGTTCTCATATCCGTTATCATTTGCACAAGACTATGTTATTCCAGTCGACCCCACAGTTGTCAACTCAACTCTAGTCGCAGGGCTCGACCGGTCTAAAGTCTCATCCACAATTCCCATATCGTCATATCTTACTTCTCCCAAGACATTTGAAGTGCCATCACTCCTAGCAACGAGGCAGAACGGAAGCTGTATATATTTCTGGAACAATACATATTACCAATTTGCTGGAGGGATCGATCCCGCGAAAGGGACAATTGGCGCAACAGAGCAGTGGTTCTCGTTCCTTGGACCGCTTACCAGTGGAGAAATAGATGCATATGGAAGGCACGTGGAGGCTGTGGATGGGTACGAGCCTGTTCTAGTATTGGATGAGACTTTCGAGAAAGAGATTTCGGTGCCGGAGACAGTCAATTTGGTGGATGCAAAGGATGACTTGTGATTGTTATGAAACTGGTTTTGCTCTAGCTTCTGTCGAGCAAAGCTGGAGGCTACTTGAATGGAAGGAGTGCTTATAAAGAATATTCAAAAGTCTTGTTGCTTCATTCTGCATCTAGCTCCTCCACCGAAGGGATAATTTGTCACCAAATACGACTCTTCTGTGGTCTCGCTGTCTGTTCTTTGTAATCTCTATTGAGTGTGATTTTATTCTCTTGTGGTATTCCTCGCCTCCGTGCTTCACTTGCCACAAGACATGGTTTTCGGTGCTCAAGGTTTGTTCACTCTCTCGAGTTTTGTCATGCAGTTGCTTATGACCATGGGCGGGCAACGCGGACCGTGGCCGGGTGCGAAATGCAACAAAAATTTGAAGGGATATCCAGCGTCACGTGGCTCTCCCTTTTCTTATCCGAGAGCTTTGCTGTGCATTAGATCATACCTCTAGGAGCTGATCTCACCTCAGTAGATCTCAACATATGTATCTTTAAAGATGTAGTACATTTCCTGAACGCAAAACCTCACGTTGAGACTGCCGCTGTGTAAACAAATGGCTCGCTTCTTAAATTCGTATCAGCAACGCTTGCACGCTGCCATTGTCTTACTCTCGACGTCAAAAGTTCTCTAAAAATATAAGTCATCTTGTAGAATTGGATCGAGTGTTTCTGGAATGGAGTCAACAACCCTACGGAAGACAATTCATGCTTCAAGCAAAACGTCAGCTTTGCTTCTAGCTGCTGCGGGCAGTCATCCGTCTATACGGTGCACGGCCACGGCCAACACTCTACCATTTCGTCGTTCTGAAGACAACATTAACAACCTTGTTTCCATCTACTGAGCGTTGCAAAGTCTCTTCAGGCATCAAAATCATTCAAATGTACCCATTGAATGGTGTATATCGACACGTGATAAACCATCCACAAAATTGCTCTACAAGACACCTCATACGGCCTTAGACGTCGTGCCTTGTGCTGTAAAAATTGATTGACATCAGTTTTTGTGTTCTTCCAGTCAGCATTTACTATGATCACTTGAGCCTTCATGTGCTTTGTGTCACCGAGCTGTCCGGCTCATAGGTGGGGTCGTGAGGTTCACGAGTAGTGCTGACAGTGCAGTCTGTAGATAAGCTTCTCATGCCTCACAAGCTTTCCCATACATCTCCACACTTTTCTCTTGCCATCAGATCCATATAAGGTCACTGCTGGCTTATCTCAAAGACAATAATACACTTCGACAAGTTGTTTGGCCAATTATTCATCTTCGACACCCATCCGTCGCAGCTAATCAGTATCCCAGACTTCATAATGCAGATTCCCATCATCAATTTTGAATCATGGACAGGGTCCTCATCCCCACAGAAACGACTGGAGGTCGCCCACGAGTTAGTTGAGGCCTGTCACAGTACCGGCTTTGTTTACATCACGAACTTCGGCATCCCCGCATCAGTAGTCGAAGAAGCATTCGTATGGAGCAAGAAATTCTACGCGTTGAGGGAAGAAAACAGGGCTTCAGCAGCTCATCCACCTGGATCCATGATATATCGGGGATACTCAAAGTTGGGTCATGAGGTAGTTCAAGCGATTGAGGGCGAGAAACTTGAAGGGGTTCCAGATTATACTGTGAGATTCATATGGCTCGTGAATAAAGCATAACTCACTACCCTTGTAGGAAAGCTACGGGATTGGCAGCGACAACAATCCCGAGCAACCAAATGTCTGGATCAACGAGTCAACCCTCCCCGGCTTCCGAGAGTTCTCTTTGAAGTTTCATACAGAATGTTGGAAAGCGTCCGAGCTTATACTTCGAGCACTTGCTCTGGGTCTCGGTCTCCCAAGCGAGGAGTCACTGTTGGCTTTCCACGGCGATATTGAGAATGAGCTAAGCTACCGACACTATCCACCTATCAGCGAGGAGAAAGTAAGAAATGGCGAGGTCGATCGACTTGGTGCTCATACCGACTTTGATTCTTTTACCTTACTCTTCCAGGACTCTCTGGGAGGGTTGACAGTCAAACATCCTGGAACCGGGAAGTGGATTGACGCACCACCTATCGAGGGGGCGGTTGTCATGAACATCGGAGACGCATTGGAGAGGTAGAGTAACGGCAAGTCAATTCCTCCTTCTCAAATCTAGAGCCTACTAAGAACGAACTTCTGTCAGATTATCTCACGTCCACGATGCACCGAGTACACTTACCACCTCTCGAGGATAGCTACGATGGAGAAGGCAAGCAGAGAATGACAAAACCAAGATTCTCCATTCCGTATTTCGTCACGCCAAGAGGAGATACTTTACTTGAGCGATTGGACATCCCTGTGGCTTCTACGAAGCAACAGAAGTACGAGACTATTACTTATAAGGAGTTGTGCCGACAAAAGTCAGAAGGTGTTTTCCAGTATTGAGATGTTGTCTGGGTACATCTGCAACATTTTTACGATGATTTAAAATTGCTGCCCAAAAACCCTCTCATAAATCATGATATCACTTCCAGCTTTTGACGTTTCTCATTCCATTGCCAAATTGGTGAGGTGGCTTCGCTAATATCCTAGGCTTTTGGCCACTAACAAAGAACCCTGTAGTACTCCGTTGCAGGCTCTTGAGGTCCTGAAGGTAGTGATCTTCCTCGCCTACCAGTGATGCGAGATGCCTAATTTTGTCTACAGTCACTGCAAATTATACTAGCGCCTCTTTTTGACTGTGTCGCGGATTGCACTTAATTTCATTTTCATATCCATGGAACAGGACGTCAGTACATCTAAAAAGTAATTCAAGTTCGTGTTGATGGTCAAATTTTGTTATGAATCGTTGCATTGTGTATTTGTCAGTGCAGTAAACCGGGTCTCCTCATTCCCCTTCAGAGTCGAGGCCACGAAAAATAGCTAGGCACTTCCGTGTCGTACTACCCAGTACGTTTCGACATCCTAGACCGCGGAACACTCCATCACAGTCCACCGCGCATGAGATCTAGAAGGTTGTAGAATGATAGCAACGAGAATATAACATGCTTTTTGAAGGAGTCGAGAAAGTGCGAATTTGCGGGTTTATGTCAATTGGTAGAGAGGATGATATATGCCTGCCAGCAGGCAATCGGGATCGAGCCTTTCCCCACAGCAGCATCGTTTTGTCCTGTAAGCAATGTGACAGAGCCGCAGGGTAATTTAGCTTGTACATATTGCAGTATTATGCCAGTGGAGGCTTCGGTGGCATGCCCTCCTCACAACTGCCTCCTCTCTTGCCTTCTACCATATATACCGCAGGTGGCTTTCCGTCAAAGAATTGATCTTTGTTACTCTCGAGCCAATCTTGAATGTGTTTGAGGAAGGTAGCGTTGCGTACTTGATCGTTAGGTAATGGTGATGGCAAGGTGGTCAAGCAAAGGACTTTGAGACGCCAAAAGAGTAGAAGCAGGTTTCGGAACGGCAACGCCTGACTGCTCATGATGTTGCTCATAAAAATATCAACGTCTCTTTCCATGAGTTTTTGGAAGGGGTACCAAGGTGGTTTTTGGGTCCAGAGCCGGATTTCGAGACTGCCAATAGTATCGCTAACTCTACGACCTTTGGAAGATAAATCACGAAGACAGGTCGTGTACCACTGATATTTTGTTTCACACCAGCCCTCTACATGGATAAAGACGCTATCTTTGTCGCTGTTGAACCAAAATGTCTTCTGGACAAGAGTCACCTCGCTCTTAGCCCCTTGACAACAAGCATTTTTATTGAACTCATCGTGAAGAACGATCTGATGGTGCATCAAGGCTTCAACTCGGCTTTCGTGGCAGACATACAGAGCAGCAGGCAGGCAGCCCGGACGCTCCCAAGCAATACGGTAGCAAGGGACCTTTTCACCATATATTTTGCGGCAATGGAGGGGAACATGATGTGTCGTGTCAAATGTCATCCTCCAGACCTTCCACGCAATTCGAGAGGGAGCTTGGGAAAAAGAGTGAACGTATCGGATCGAAGTTCAGCTTTGATACCACCAGTTGAAGCTACAGCAGAGTTGGCGTACAAGGTGACGGAGGTGTTGCTCGACATTGTGAGAGGCTGCAATAGACAAGTCAGTAAATTGCATCCAGGACTATCGCAGATGTATGAACATACGATTGAGCGAAATTCTGCGACTTTTTGGAATACGAGGTAAGGCTGGTACCTTGAAGGACGACAATCAGATTCGTATGTGTGGAAGGCAAGATGGTAGCTTTCACGAACTCAACGGTCTGGTCATAAATAGTTGTTTCTGAAGGTGGAGCGAATTTCCGTTTACGGAATATCAAGAGTTGAGTCAGGTTCAGTGAATCATTTCATCACGTGAATGCGACAGGAAGTAAACAATGTAAGTGAGTGGAAGCGCTTGTAGTGCTGAATTCACCGAATTGAACTGGCTACGACTTCCCTACAAGAAAATTTGCGACTTTAATCAACCCACATGCGGAATCGCGATCCGTATTCACGTAGACGCCGCCCATATATGATATCACCCAACGCCGAACCGTATGCAATGAAGATATTCCGCACCGAGTCATCTTCTCATCCCTCCTCCTCTTTGAACGCCAGAGGACTAATGGATATTAGTTGCGGAGCAGAACGGAGTACTGGGCGAGGACACCTTACTCTCGTATCAGCTCATCCATCACGTCCCTCGCCGTCACAATGCCAAGTGGCTCTCCATGTTGTGTCCCCCTCTCCGTCACCAAGACCATTTGCACGCTCCGATCCCTGAAGATCTGAAATATATGCTGACAGCTGACCTCTGGGCGGACGACATGCAGCGTCTCCAAAGAAAGCTGTCCCGCAGTCACGTCTTCGTCAAAGTTGAGGGCAACGAGAGACTTGACAGATAATATTCCTATGAAGCTCGTAGGGCGGTCCTGGAGATAGATGGGAATACCGCTATAACCTGAGGTCATGATATTGGAACGTGTCATTTCGCTGAGCCTGGTGTCGGAACTCAAGGCGAAGAGCTTCCCAATAGGGGTCATGATCGAGGACACCGGTTTGGAATTTAGGTCGATGATCGTCGATATGACATTCACTTCTTCCCTATTTAATCGCTCTGTAGGCGAGAAGCTCAGACGCTCATGGAGCGTGATCAGTGTCTTCAATCCTTCTCTATTGAAGATAATGCCGTGGCTGAGTCCCAGCAGTCGGTCCAAGAGCTTTGCGATGGGGTATGCGATGGGAAACAGCAAGTACATCACCCAAATCACATATCTGTTACCAGTCAGAAAGTTCCCTGATTGCATATACATCGCTTACCTCGAAGACCAAGCTCCAATTGCCAATCCGTGTTTTGCGCAAACACTCTGAGGGATAATCTCTCCAAAGATCACGATTAGTACCGTGGAAGCTGCAATGGCAAACAATCCGCCCTTCACGTCTTGGTCGAGGATAATAGGCAAGGTTTCGTTGGTGATCACATTGCCTAGTAATAACGACACCAAAACCCAATGACGGCCTCGTTGAAGCACATTCAGCACTTTTTGCGCATGCTGTCGTTCCTTTCCTGTTCCAGATCCAGCAATGACTTGAAGGCAAACTTGATCTTGGCCCATGAATCTGCATCGAACTGTTAGCTCGGATATCTCGGGTTTCAGTCACACAGCACTTACGCCAAAGTCAGGCCTGCAAACGTGCCTCCAAGTATCAACAGGAGTACCGAAAGGGCTCCATTGAGGCAATGGAGGATAAATTGAGATGTAGCGTCCCGGATCTCGGGACGCCCTGCAAGTTGTTTCACAGCATCTCGAACCAATAGCCTGCTCGCATCAGCATCTAGTCTGAACTTTCAATTCCGATATTTCGGCAATAAAACTCACTTCATTTCACTCGACGCGAGATTCGATGATTCCCCCAACGCAATCGAGGGCATGATAGATTGAAGAGCAGAAGCGTACGACCCTCGAGAAATCCTCAAATTTCAGGGTGCGGACCGCCCCTATCTTTAGTTGCAAATCCAAGTGTTGCGCGGCTTTCCGAATCAGGGGCGCATGGGGCCCATGGCTGACGTCCTTACCGCTTTGGATGATACAGCTGGAGTGTATCCCCCGGCTCCAACGTGAAAAGTGGCGCCGAGTGAGATACTCGCTCTAGCTGTAAATAGAAAGATTCCAACGCTGCTTCAATGTATTGAGGAGATTTCATGACATTTGTTTTGTCAATTCCCGCCGTAGTTTGATAGCTGGACAAAAGCAGCTGCCGAGCACCGTAGTGGAGTTGACGATGCCCTCTCGGCTGCCTGAAAACATCCCGCGCGCGGGACGACGAACGCCACAATTGGTTTGTTTCTTGGCCTCGACGGCATTGGCTGCAGGATGCACATCCGACCAGGCCATTAAATTGAATGAGAGGATTAAGATCTGCATGAGCACGACTTCTCGATGTTGCTGAGGAGAACAGCTGCATCGGGGATTCGTGGGACCTTTAACCTTACTCTTCGCATGAAAACAAAAAGTGGATGCTGCCAGGGCTCCAAACAAGCAATCTCACTAGCAAATGCTTAAAAATTGCAATCGGCTCATCCACTCCCAGCTTCTCAGCTTCTTTGAATGTCTCCTTCTCGTCTGAGAACTTTGCATTCGTTGTGCGTATTCCAACGTAATCGTTCGGGCTCGAGACTTTCTCATGATACTGCAACGATAGTGCGGCATTTTCTCCCACGGTCAAAAAGGCCAAGGTTGCATTCAAGGTTGATATATGAAGCGATGTCAAGCTACATGGCATGTGCCGAGCAGGAGACTCCACAACCCGCGGTCAGTCAGAAAACAAAAAAATCCTGTTCTACAAAAATCCCTCACGCGAATCCCCATCTTCAAAGTCTTGGCAAAACCGGGCAGTTGGTAAAAAAAAAAATCGCGCAAGAACGACCATTGTATGAGGGATTTCATCTTGCTGCATGGTTACCGCCACAATTCCGGGGGTTGATATGAACATGAAGACGATGGAGCGCTTCTGGGGTCATCAGGAACCCCTCATTTGTGCGATGTCTGTGATGATGTAAGTGTCCACCCGCAAGGAGGTCAAGAAGTCGCGTTGAGCTTCCGATGTATATACTGACCTGGTTTGGAGTATTGTCGAAGTGCTATCCGCAGTATTCGAGATCCTTGTCCTGACAGAAGGTTGACTCAATCGCAGATCTCGAAATCACAGTAGTAGCTCGAGACCGAACGTGATGCTGTAGCTGTTGGCGGGGTAGGAAAGGAAGAACGGCAGAACCCTTCTGTATTTCGTGACAATATGGTATTATGATCCCCACCAGAATCTGCGATGGAGCAGGTAATCGTCGCTTCCCTCCTCCTAAAGGGGGTGGACACATAATATTCCTAGCCAAACTCTCAAAGATGCGGCGCCGGGAAGCAATTCATCGAATCAGATATTGAGGATTATAACTTTTAAGGGCTAGTTCATAGCAACAGAGGAGCAACAGTGGCTGTCCTTAACTTTGACTATGAATATTATGTGTCCACCCCCTTTACATTCAAGATGGAACAGTTAAGTGGGGTATATCAGGAGGCTAGATATTCACAGCTAGATTAGTATTTTAACCTACTGAGTGAAATCCATCCGAAGCCTTTTGAATGACCACCTCATGGAATCACTGCAAAGAGACTTCAGGCGAGTGGTACTGGCGTGCCGTCAGGCTCCCTGTTCTACTTCGTAAGTCAAGCTGGACTGGGATTTATATGGTTCGCGAAGAAAAATATCTATCGCTCCTTTCAAATCGCTTTTTAAACTCGCTATGCTATCAAACTTGGCAACACCCATACCTATCCACTGAAACTGTTCCAGCGTGGATACGCAGGGTAATCTAGATCTTCAGATTGATCTGTGGGATGTTTAGAACTTCGAGCCTGACCCAAGAGGGGACTATCTCCTCAAGGTCAGTTCCCAGGAAGCGGTACTTGCCAGCCAAAAGCGCCGTGGCACACTTCCTCTCTTAGACTACCAATGCTTGAAGATGAGTTCATGTTTGAGACTTCGGGGTCAGGATTAGTGCTCAAGCTTGAACTTAAACTAGTTCAAGCTTCAAAATGAGGTCAGCTTGCACGATGACAACAAAAGGTTGCTCTGTGGAGGTAGTCATGGTCACGTGTTGCTCGGGTTGTCGTCTAGGTGCTAAAGAGTTGGTGGTAGTTCTTCCCAAGGAAGCCTGAGATCAGGCGAGGAAGGATTGCCTTCTTCAAAAGAAAAGAATTCCTACTCTCGAGGTGCCGATATAGGCAGAGGCAGGCTCGCTAAAAACAAAACAAGCTTAATTTGGCGCTAGCACTCCCTAGGTATCTTTCATTCAGATCAAGTTTTACAACTTGTGCATCTTTTGCGGCTTAGCAATTAGCAATTAGAAAAATTGATTTGAGTGACTCATCTTATCCATTTCATCTTCTTCAAATAATAGGGCGAGATACGTAGGCGGGATAATGGATGCACAAAAAGGAGTGCAGGTGCTAAGCTAGAGGAAAATATCTCTTTGGATTCTCTGATCTCTGAGCTCGCAATTGCAGTATGTTGCTGATTGTGATGCGTGGAGCAATGCTGTGGGATCAAAAAGAGGCTGCCATCACCGAGTTTTGATGACACCAGCCTCTCTCAAACCCTCGCGGGTTGGCTGGTACCATTCACCCTTTCGATCATCTCTCCATCACTGTGTCTAGTGGCATTTTCTTCAACGCACAGTACTATCATACTCACCACCCTAACCTGACCGTCATTCACCTGCGTTGTCTGCAACACCGCCTCGGACTTCTTGCCTTCCAATGTTCAACTTGGCCCACTCAAGATGTCCTGATCAAACTTGGTTCCAATCATGATTTTCGGGATCTGTCTAGAGCTAAAGGTATCCTTGTGATCTTCGAGAATCTGGCACAAAAAGTGACTCATCTTCAGAGCATTGCGAGACAACAACGGCTCGGATTCGTCCTTAGAACCAGCGGTATGGAGTACAACAGCTACTTGTTTCAGCCCAGGAAGGATTTCGAAAAGACAACAAAATGGGATGTCATCCTGTCTGAAACCATGATGGTGTTTCTCGTGCCATCGGAGTAGATATGACTTCAGTTTGTGCTTCAAGCCTGACGTATGGAAGTAGACGACAGCAGCATCGAGTCTGGACAGGCACTTTGCAGCGTTTACTGCACCAAGCTCAGAAAGCCAGCAGCTCTTCTCCCATGTTAAGTTCTGGAATATGTTCAGCGACGCGTTTGGGAGATATGCGCGGTCTTTCTCGGGATTCATGAAGTATGGAGCGTCTGTGGTCCCGGCAATTGCCACAACGACGTAGTGACGTAAGGTCTCGGCGCGGCTTTCTTGATTGACTGAGAGTGTAACTGGGAAGTACGCTCGAGCTTCATAGCTGGCAATTTTTCTTGTATTCTCAACCTTTTCAGAGTTCTCGCTGGGACATTGGAGCGCTTCGTATCTCAAGAGATCAACGGATCGTGGCTGAGGGAAGCTCTCGACCCAGATGATGCGTCGCAATTCCAAGGGGAGCTTTGGGAACAGTACGAATGTACTGTATCGACCATACTTGGCATTATCGACATCCGAATTGCAACGAGGCGGGGTATTGGTAGCCGCAAGACTAGAGGATGAAGTTTCGGCAGTGGTTGAAATGCTAATAGAGAATGCTGTGGAGGATGTCATCGTAAGTGAAGGAGCTGGACAGGTCAGACATATGGATGAGTAAAACCCGGCTTGTAAGAACTCTTTGGGAAGTTAGAACTTACTAGGCGTGTCAGCGGACTCTTTCTGTGGACTCGCTGCAACGAAAAACATGGGTTGCGTCTCTGATGGAGTGTTGAAACGACTCGCTGCCGTGCCTGAAGACGGAGTCAAAAACGAAGTCGAACCCAAAGTCGAGGAGGGGGAGGTGGAGTTGAGTGGCTCGAGCTCTAAAATCCTTCTCGTGAAGTTCGTGTTTGATGTTAGAAGTCGAGGACGGATCGGGAGGACGGTCGTAGAGGAACAAATATACACGTCTCGCTTAAATCAAAGCTGGAACCTCCGCCCTCTCATTCCACTTCTGGCCGCTGAACGCAATCACCCATTCACTTTCCCGTGAATTCCGTAATCAATTTCCGTAAGTGATGTGATATATGGCGCATTCCTCTTTGAAGAACTTGATTGTCTTGTAGCAGGAAATGTTCTTTGAAGTACGGCCAAGAAGATTAGAAAAGCCATCATATTCTCGCTATGCTTTGATATCATCGTATGCTCGCTATGCCTTACAAAACCCTATCTTAAACAAAACCTCTATTTCTGCACCAAGGTTTCCCTCACATCCTCACGGCAACAACTTCTCTCCCTCACTTTCCATCAACCCCGTCCTATACTTCTCCAACTTCACAGGAATATCCCCACTATACCCCGCCTCACCCCTTGCCGTCTCCAGCTTCCTCGTAATCTTACCTACCATCTTCGCAATCCAGCGCTCATTAACTACACCATCTACAACCGCTCTCTTCATGCCCTCCTTCAATCCCCCTTTCAACGCTTTCCCGAAATCTTTGATTCCAGCAACCTCGTCATTCATTACACTACTCTCCTTCTCCATCTCCACGACTTTCGTAGCTTTTACCAGTGCAGCTGTGAAGTCGAGGAGTTCTTGATCGAAGCAAGCCGGTAGTCGGGCGTGGACTGATATCGAGACGTTTGTTTCGTCGGAGAGGGATTGAGTAAGCGAATGTTGTGCGTTAATCTCTTGAGGTTTACCATCCGCCGACTCGACGCTCTGTTCGAGCTCATGATTCTTTCTTCTATTTTGAGAAGGTGGTGGAGGTAGCAAGTGTTCATGGTGCGGGAGGAGAAAAGATGGGACCACAAAACGGGCATCCGCACCGCCAAGACGGACGACTTGTTTGAGTTCTACCTGCGTGGGAAGAGCACGGTAGGCCATCACGTCGTTGAACATGAGATGGCAGTTTATATCGTAGGTTGAGATGAATGGGACGTGTGCGATGCCAGTGATGCCACCAAGCTCGACTGCGAAATTGGCGTCCGATAACCAGGATGAGATGGATTGCTGGAGATGTCTGATTTCGGAGTTTTGCTCGGCGTATTCTTTGAATATTTTCTGCACGAGGATGCTGTCGATCCAGCGTCCTGAAGCAGTTGTTGTTATGGCGGTGACCTTAACCGGGTGGAAATAGCTTAGTGGATTGAGGAGGAGGCGTAAGAGCATTGGAAGACGGTGGAGGAATCGCTTGACGTATGGAGGGGAAGAGCTCTTGATCGTTGAGACCCTGATAGACTTCTGAGGAGGGTGTGGTACCGAAGGCTTGGAGTGAACTTGGGAACAGACTGCTGCACGGATGGCATTGTCGTCTGAAAGGTCGAAGGTACGCTCGACATCGACTGTCTGTTCAGTGAGACTTCTGACGTGCTCTCGAGCTTCGTGTATAGCGCTAGTATCTTTGATGAAGTTCAACATTTGGAAGTATCGTCCGCTTGCTGCTTCATTGTCTGGTGACAACCTCTTCATGGACTTTAGTCCAGTCTCTGGCGACACAGCAGCCGGCACTTTCCCATCAGTCATGACTTCAGCCATTTTGACCTCCTTCAATGGCACATCCTTCTCACTCAACCCATCAATACTCCTCCGATCCCCGTCCTTCGAAGCCGCATTCAACAGAGGCGTCCCCTCGACAAATACCGCGTCGCCATGAGAATCCTTACTGTTCCCCTCCAAGCCACCAAAAGTCATCTCGAACTCTCCACCCTTCAGGTTCGCATAACAGTCCCCAATATCAATACCTCTAAACAAGCGAACTGTAACCTCGTCCGATTGTATCGCCAATTCCATATCATCACTCAACTTGATCCCGACTTCCACGCCATGAACAACAAAACTTAGATTGCTGAGCGAGAACGTGACACCTCTCAAGACCAGAAGCCCGTCAACATCTGTATCGATTTCCAAAGCTGGGATATTGAAGAATGCAATTTTATCATCAATGAAATGTAACTGCTTCAACAGTGCTCTCAGCGCCCTCCTCGCGATATTTCCCACGACTTCAAATTGAAAGAGACATATCAAGACGATGGTTGGGTAACAAACCGCCGTAAAGATCCCATAAAGTAGCCAGGAAGTCGAGCATATCGAATACCCGAGATTGAAAGTCGAGAAGATCGGCCAGAGTGCAATAGATGGTAGCACGCGATAACCATTTGAGTCGCCGAGAAGGACGAAGAACTGCAGCAGTGGAGCGCCGGACAATACCCAGCGACGAGGCCAGTAGTAGAGCGCCGAGAGGAATGTGGTGAGAGCTGCGAAGAGGAGTGGTGATTTGAGGACTCGTTCTATTGGGGGTTTGCGTCTGCCCTGATCCTGCATAGTTCGGACGGATTAAGCCTTGGACTTATTATGGACCGGTGCTGTGAGTATCCGGGGTCCTCCTGGTTTTGACTTTGGGTGGCGATATCCTTGTGCAGGTAGAGAACTTTGGGTGAACTCAGAAGCTTAAATCGTACTCTGGGGTTCCGAGTATGATACTGAGGTGATATTGATGGGAGAATTTCATCGTGATTGATTCTCTCACGCCGCCGGATATTCTCGTCGCTTTGTTTGGTGGAACAAGATTCAGAATGCTCCTAAATCCGCTACGTCATTGGACGGCACAGATCACGTGCCATGTACCTGTGCAATACCTTAAAGGAAAAGGCAGGTTCCGACCCACCGTGAGAGGGGCACTTTCCTAGAATAATAATCATATCACTGTTATAAAATTCTGGTAACTGTCAATTGACAGTCAATTGATAGTGATAAGAAATTTTTGGCAGTCGAGAGGTCGTTATTTCAGGAAAGTGCACCTCCCACGGTGGGTCGGAACCTGCTTTCTCCTGTAAGGTACATCCTCTCTTTGACGATAACTCTCCTCTTACTGACTGACTATAATTATGAGAGGAGTATTAGGAGCTACCTTGTGGAAAGATGACACACGAGTATACTAGGTTTGGCACGGGGTTGTCACGAAATTGCAAAGTGAAGGTCACGATCGTCAACATGTTACCATTCTGAACTTTCCAGATTTGCATCTCGCTGCTTCACATGTACAATGAACTCTTGAATATTCGAATACCAGTCTTCCATTCTGACCTCCGAGCCTTTCTTTGATTGCCCCTCCAGACTTCGGTTCTCCATCCACAGGAGACCTCCAGACCTCGCTAAGCTCCTACCTCCTGCATTGAACTACGCCTGGTCAGATGTCAAAATACATCACCCACAAGATTGACTGTTTAATAATAGCCAGAAACCAAAACGAAATACAACAAGACTCGACCTCTCCGCAACCAACCACCACACCCAAGCAATCATGCAAGCTCAAGCGACCCAACCGCACCCAACACCTCGCATGCACGAGCATCTCATTCCTCGCCCGACTTACCAGCCCTCCACCCCTTCAGCCAACCAATCAAAATCCTCCTCCATCTGCACTACCTCTTACCGAAACTGATCGGTAAAAGTGTTCCAATGCCCCCCAGAGAATCTGCCTGCCGCGGTCACCAGACCTGACAGACCTCCACTCACCCACTGAAGTGCTCGGGGGGTCGATTTTCCGGTGTTAACTATCCTGTGTAACCTCACTTTTCCCATCTCAGGAATCGTGTGCTACGTCGCGAATCTGGTGGGGCGGGAACGGGACTCGTACACCAAGGGGGAAAAAGTGGAGAGGTTGTTTGAGGACTAGGAACTGACCTTTGTGCTTTGTTTACTTTGATTTCGACTTTTGATATTAAATATGAATTTGGGATTGAAGTGCATCATACTCCGTAGAACTACAAGAATTACAATTCGTTATTTAATTGAAGTTGATTCTGGGTTCTGTGATGGCGCTGGAGGGCTCTGGAGAGGAAGAAGGTGGGGGGATGGAAACGTACGGGGTCGCGAGGATGCTCAATGACGACGACGGGAACTTCATCTTCTTGCTCACTCGTATTGTTGCAATTGTTATACTCGAGTGGCATCATGTGGAGAGATCTTTGTAAGTGTCTGAGGTGTTTGAATTGATTTAGGTCGTAAGATTGGGGAGAAAGTTTGAAGTGTTGACTGGAGCGAGCATCCACGACGGAGCAGCACAGCTACTTCTTATACCTGCTCGCAAACAATGGTAAGCATCCTGACCGATTTGACTGACCGGTTTGGCTACTTGCAGCTGCTTACCGTGTATGAAGAGACAGGGTAGAGTGGTTTGGTGGTTCGTGGCGATATTGACTCGAGGTACAGTACTTGGAGCGACGGGAATTCCTGGGATGTTTTTGTTTCTTACAGAACGGAGCCACGTAGTGATCATGAGAGAGGCAAGATTCTGATTATTTACTGTGAATAGCATACAGATTAAAACAGAACTATTGGCAATATTCTCTCTGTGTATCGTTGTTGTATATCTATAGATAGCCAGGGAGTGTACTTCTAAGTAGTGAGCTTGATACTTTGTGAGGAATTTGATGTACATCTTTCTTTGCTAAGTATTATATCCTAAATCAGTCAAGAACTGTCTAAGTACTGACAGTAGATGACAATGCATCGATATTTTAGCTTCAATAATTTTTGACGAGCAGACATGGTGGATTTTATGCTTGAAGGAGGATATCAAGGAATGTGATAGTCACGTGGTCCAAGCGAAAACTACTGTGATCCTCTAAGGCTTTGGACATCTTCCGCAACGACCATTTTCTTCGCCTCAAAGACATTCACAAGTAAATAATTAATCTTATAATATTTCCTTCTGCGGTAGCTGCTGCTTCATTCATTCAGCTTCCGTACTGAATATATTTACGAACAGCGAGTTACATCCTCTACCGTTCCCGAACCTTCGAAGTGATGGAATCAAATAGCTGTCAACCCGAACCAGGGACCATCCAGAACAAGTAAGAATATCTGGTCATTGTGAAAAATACATATGAGTAAATGTAGCTGACAAAAAAAGATGACTTGTATTTGGTATCAAGGCGACTAAAGACTAGAATCAAAAGCCGATATTTGTATCCCATAAACTGCTAGTAATCTATACAAAAGCCGCTAATTTCACCAAATTACCGTCATACAGTTCTCAGATGATCACTATTCTGTCCAATACCTATGTTTTCACACGCTATCTTTCCCTATCCTCCTCATCGCCCAGATTCCCAATTCCACATCCATTCAAATACGGCTCGTACAACCTCATATGCAAACCCCTGTTCCACACCCGCCCACTTGGACTCTCTAACAACGGAAGCACCTCAGGACCTGGCCGACCTGCTCAGAAGATGGGATGAAGGTGAAGAGGACGGTACTCGCTGACGAGAAATTGTAGATGATGAAGGGAAGCGAAAACGTGCGTTACAGTAGAGACGCTGAAATTTCTGTTGAAATACAGGTACTAACACGGGACAGTGTGCATATAAGGCAGTATATACATTTCCTCAACGTGATGTCCAACCCCCGACCTCATCGATTTCATTAACATTAGCCAAAAACAATACTAAAATTCCTCTCCTCACAAATCCCCCTCCAATCGACCTCTTCCTCCCCAAGATCGACCCTCCTCCAAACCTCCTGCACCACCTCCGAAGCTCTCACGATGTTAGTCATCCCTTGTCTCCTCTCTGTACCACAGAACCCATTCATCGCCAACTCTCTATCCTCAGCCGTCGTCGCTTCACAGGATGAAACGAATAGCGGCCAGAGCAACGCGGACATCGGTCCGTCGTAGCACCGTTCTGCGAGCTGGACGACGTTTGAACATGCTTGTAACGCGAGATGCGCGTGTTTCTGCACCGTGGGGTGAGTTCTTGGCTGGGCACGGATCGTTCTGTACAGGTAGACGAAAGCGGAATGACGATATGCTTCGGCATTGTGGAAGATACTCTGGATCCGGGTGCTCTGGGTCTCGATATTCTCACAATCAGCATCTTCGCCCGAGGAAGTGAAAGTGGGTTTCCATGTCGCGAGGGCGTGCTCGATGGCTTGGGATGTGCTTTCAAGCTCGGTACGCAGGACTGTGGCTTTGGAGGTTTGGCCGGACGCCACGGCTGCTTCGAGGGAGTTTTTGTAGGAGAGGAGATGGGAGAGGCGGTGGATGATGGGCCATAGGTCTGTGGAGAGGCCGAGCAGCGTGTCGACTGCGCTGAGAGGTGAGTTGGGAATGTAATCTGTCGATGCTGTTGAAGCAGGAAAGGGGGGTGATACCGTTTCGTGGCTTGCATTTGGAGCGGTTCCAAGAGACAACGCTGCTATTACGTCGTAGAAACGGAAAGCCTAATAATGTTAGAAAGTTATGGCGGTGAGTTGGTCCAAATGCTTACTCGTTCTAAAAATAAAGTTGTTGGTGTTGTGATCGGAGGGCCGGATTTCATGACCGTCATGGCGCCTTTCAGGTGTCCGTTCACGATGTTGGAATTTCCGCGTTGGACGAGCTGCGACTTGTCAGTTTTCTGCTCCTGAAACCCAACATTTCAGCACTCACCACTTCGTAATAAACCAATAGCATGATAGCTCCGAGAACTTCCTCTCGTCTCGACATGTCGTTTTGCTCGATCAAGCTTGCAAGACCCTGAAGAGCTTTGTTATGGAAGTCCAAGGACTTCTCCCCATTCTCGATCCCTCTGTACTCCAGATGAGCACTGGACAATGCGAATATTGCATTCATAACTGGCGAACTCGCATGCGATAATGGTAACACAAGTTGACGGAATGGATTTCCGGTGTCCTCTTTGAACACAATTAGATGTGACAGGACATTGCAGAAATGGTCCACCAAAGCCCTACGATTCGTACGGTCCGTAAACTCCTCGAAGACTGGCGCACAGAACTCAAGAAGCGGAGATGCCACAGGGGAAGGTGCGATCATCGCAAGATCCGGATATTGGCTCCGTGACCGTACCACCGCTGTAGAAGCAGGAATCGGCATTGGATCCGCCCGTATGATTTCCTCGATATCATCCCCATACGGCGCGTCCCAGTCTACCGAGCCTTCTGAGCCCTGATATTGGTATGTAGAGCCGTTATCCCATTTGCTGATCGCGTCCCCATTACTCTGAGCATCATAGTATATATCTCCAGTCGAGAACCGTCCAGGCCAGCGGTCGCAATCGTTTTCGCGTGACAGGGCAGAACTGGCCATCGACGCCCGGCGTCGCTTTCGAGGCTTTACGGCTTCATACTCGCAGTCCAGACCACGTTCCTGGCAGCGATCGCATTGAGGTCTGTTTTCGTTGCATTTCTTCTTCTGCGAATGATGTCAGAGGCGGCGCGCCACATGGTGAGGGAGTTGTGAGAATTTTTGTACCTTCTCTTTGCTGGGACAAGTTAGCAGATGCAGTGTTCAACAGGGAGGATAGACTTACCAATGTATACACCCTTCGTGCCAATCCTACGTCAGCTGAAGGCTCAATATACATGGAGAAGCTGTGTACTTACCCGCTCGTGAGCGTCTTTTGGGAGCTTTGGGCGCAACGCGTTTCGTGTAGATGAGCATTTTGTTGTTGGCTTGTAGTCGTCGTCTGTGCTGGATAACGTACAACACGGGTCAGTGTCAGTGTCGACAATTAATAGGGGTTCAACAGGCAGATTGGCAGGACGTCAAAAGAAGGAGAGGCAGAGGCAGATCCTGTAGGAACGAAGAGGGAGAAGAGCAGAGGACGAATGGGAATTTTCCCCATTTTGCGGAGAACAGCCAGCCCAGCCGGCACAGCCAGCCAATTCGCGGGGTAGGGCATGGATACGGTGTGCCCAGGTGTTGATCGGGAACCTAGGTTAACACGGCCGAGCAAGGCTGCACGGATTATTGGCGCGGATCGGATGAGAGACAAATGTGTGGAGCCAGGAAAACGAGGGACAACGTGATCTGCCGCATATCCTGGCAGACCCAACCTAAGAGACCAGGCGCTCGGTAATGCAGTTGTAAAGCTAGAATTCACGAAGAACATTGGCTGCAGATGTCTTACTTTCGAAATCGGGGCTGTGGGGGAATGTACCGTCTTGGTGGTGTTGAAAGTAATGGTTCATACAGCTGTTCTGTGAAGGGAATCATTGTCAAAGCAGCGACTGGATCCATGTACCGGCATCTGCCACAATGGGCGAGTCATGGAGAAAGATGCCTCGGTCGCATTTGACTCGTGAAAACCACTGAACTTTCCTCCTGACAGAGCCGAACATCAACATTGGCAACAACGCTTCACTTGGAACGGGAAGAAAAGCAACAAAGCCTGAAATCTCTAGACGCAACACTATCAACGATGTTTTGGATGCATAATAAGACAAAGATGTGCCGACATAAAAGGCGACTAACGGAAAGAACACTAAGAATAGATAAGACAGTTGGCTACGAATGCAGAATAAGGTCGGGAGTATGCATCAAAAATCTCGTCTTTGAGTTGAGTACAGAAGTCCCGACTGTCAGATCTGCATGACTCTCCTTCCAGTGAATACTGGTTTCAGTCTTCAGGAAATCATGTCATGTGAAAGAGAGAAATACGAAGAAAATATCAGCAGGATGTCGAGGGATATTTAAAGTTAAGCTTACCAAGGTATGTTTATACTTAAGAGAAGCGAAGGGCAGAGAACTGGAGGTAAAACACTAAACGACTGAGGTGATAGACTTAAACTCGTATCACGTGCTTCCGTGTTTGGACACAAACACGTCTTCCTGAAAGTGTACTTTTCCAGCACCCAGTCTTTTGTTACAAAATTCAGAACTCACTTGGAACTTGACGTCCTCACATCTCTATGCAAAACTTAGTTTAGTGAGCCCTGAGAGCCCATCGACTACAAGTTCACGTATTTCGGTCCTCCTATCTTCAACCTTCCTACCTCCTCCATTACCACCCTCGACCCTACATCCGTTTGTGCACCAACAAAGAAGCTCATACTGGTGCCTATCACCTCTTATTTCCTCAAAAGTTTTTCACTACTTTCTCCCAACATATCCCACCTCCTCTGAAGTCGACCAGCCCCGTTTGCAAGATGCCAAGCCGACCGGATTTCAACCTCTACGAGGCTCTCGAGCTGACCTCAGCCGCCTCTGCCACTGAGATCACCAGTAGCTATCGTCGTCTTGCCAGAGAACATCATCCAGACAAGAATCCTGACAATGAAGAGGCCACAGAGAAGATGCAGCGCGTAAGTGCCTCCTCCCTGCTCGGACCAGATTATCAGTGCAGCATACTACTTCACAAGAATCAGATACTGACTTCGCCTTTATCCAGATCAACGCAGCTCACGAGATTCTGTCAGATTCCAGACGCCGCGCCGAATATGACAGCGGTCCTTCCTCTCCAGACTCCAGATTTTCGAGCTACTACACCTCTGAAGACGAGGACGGATATACCTTCTCGTTCGGGTTCCCTACAGCGGAGGAATTTATGAACAACTTCTTCAACGCCCAATACCACTCCCAATACCAACCGTATCACCAATTCTACACCGAACAGGACCCCAGAGCCGGCGCCTCCACGTGCTTCCGCCACCGCGAGGAGGAAGAAGCAGCCGCATATGACGCCCATATGAAGAAGGTAGCAGAGCAGGAAGAGCAGGAGAAGGTTCGGAAGCAGCGTCGAGCCGAACAACAAGCAAAGCGGGAAAAGGAGCGAGCTGAGAAAGCAGCTCGCGAGGAAAAGAAAAAGGCGGAGGAAATTGCCAAGCAAGAGGCGAATGAGAAGACTGCAAGCGACGAGAAGGATCGACAGGAGAAGATTTGGAAGGACAATAATGCCAACACGGCTGAAGAAAAGCGAGCTACTTGCCTCCATGCAAGCTTCTGGCCGAAACACCAGGGCAAGTCGAAGTATAAGTGCATGGGATGCAACCAGAAGAGGGGTCCGACTGGATTCAAGTGCCCTCACTGTGAGCTTCTCCAGTGCCAGGCGTGCTTGAACAACTTCAACAAGAATCGCCCTGCCTCTTGAATGTTCTTCGCATCTTGGATCTCGGCTTGGAGACTGACTTTCAATGTCCCCTCTTCGCCTGACAACATTGACGGACACCGTCTTTGTACACATGCCCAGGATCCGTCGCCCACACAGTCGAAAATGGATGAATGTCACGAATTTTTTGGGTGTCTTTCTTCTCTTTCCTTTTTTTTTTGTTCCAGGGACTTCACGATAACGGAATATGGCGAAAGATATCCTCCGGGCTTGGGTTTAGACTACGGCGTTACAATATGGGGAATGATGCAATGATTTCTTTTGCTGGCATGGGTCTATGATATGCGTCTTCAAATGGATGGCTATCACGAACGGCCTTTGGACTTCTGTTTCTATTTCAGCAGCGTCAGCTCTGCATGAGTATTATGGGTGGGCTAGATGTCATTATTGGAATTGCAGACTTTACGCGCTTTGAGGAATGTGAACATTTCCTACCTGATATGTTCGCGATTCCGTCCGGCGAATGTATCCTGTCGCTTCCTGTTTCTGTTGTGATGCATCGCCTCTTGTGTTTCTCTTCTCTTGCTCCGATGCTACCTTCGAGGCATAGACTGGCTTCTGCACACCGTTAGAGGGGCACTTGAAGTCATGAGCGGTTCATAGACAATCAAAGAACTGTTCTGGTCTTGGAGGTAGTTGCAGAGAGGTGGCCGTTTATCCGAAGGTATGTTATTGCACTTTAGCGAAACACCCCGCCACGGCGCCTAAATCCCTCACTAATTGGAAGAATTCCTCCTCGGTAACCACACCTCAGTGAGATCTCACGAGAACAGAAAGGCCCCCACTATGTTATCCCGGTTGACGGAGTCTCACTTGAACTCTAGGGACTGTCAGGCCGGGTCAACAGCCCTCCCCAGTAGATGTTGCCCGTACCGAGCGTTTATCACCACCGCCAGCCGTCCGACCTATCCTTATCCTGTCACCCAACACCTCACAGCGCCAAAGCGGCACCTCCAATCACTCACAACCCGCATGATAACGCACTTCTGCAGAATGCAACAGACACCGCCTTCCTCTCCTCCAACAAGCCACTCAGTCGCACTTCTAGGATAGCTCTCACCCACCCCAATTGGCTGAGTGAGAAGCTCTGCAGCTCCTGGCTGACTGAAGGCACTGCGCACCAATTAGCTTGCCGGGTGCGTCGACTCTGAAAAGCCCCCAACATCGAAAGATAGACGCAGGGAGGGGCTGAGATGTGTCGAATCCCAGCTCTCGTACCACGACCCAGTGGTCGGTGGGTTGCATGGGTTCTGCTGAGATGCTGGGCGGCGGGCAGATCATTCGGGCCCAGGCCGGCCAGCGAGCCAGCTGGGGGGTTTAGGTAGGAAGGTTTCTTGTCGATCTGTTGATGAACTTCTCTCTGCCACATAAATCTCTTGTACTACGGGCCTTGTTTATTACGTGCATCCTTTTGTTGGTGTTTCATATGCCTACGGCATTTCGACGTTGTTGCTTGCCAGTTGCTGTCGAATCGGTCCGGCTAGAGCAGGCTATCGGTGATCCTGAAGCCCACGAGGCTCTCTCGAGATTCTCCTCCGTCCCCGCTACTTTCGCTGCTTATTCCGCCACAGTACTATTGACGGTCTGGATCTGAGACAACGGCCAGCAGTCGCTGGCCTTTTTCTGACGACACATCACGATAGAGTTTTCTGCTGTTGTTGCCACTGTTATTCATGGAATCTCTACGCTGGCTCTGCGACTTTGACCGTCGGTAGTTCATGGGTTCTTTAGCGATCGACAGATTGATGCTGAGTGCTCACGGAACCGAGGCTCGACTGCTGCGAGCGTCGCAAAGATGCTTATCTCTGTAGGCTGGACTGGTGCAGTTGTTCTAGGGATCATTGGTGGATCTCGGGTTTTAGGAAGCAATCCAGAGTCTGGAAGGTTGGAGTACGATGAAAGGCGGGGTGCTGAAGTCCAGAAAGTGGTGCAAGAGCAGAGGATATCCTTGCCGACTCCGACTATCAAATCCACGATTATCGTATCCTTCCCAAAGATAACGGACGGGCCTTCGCTGGTCAGACGGAAGCTTGGGTCGATCAGATGGGATATGATACATAATGGAATTCAGGGACAGAAGCGAGACTTAGCGTCTTGTCCAGTGGATTACAATTTGTGTCCGAAGTCTATGAATGGAGGATGTTGTCCCAAAGATCGAGTCTGTGGCACAAGCAGCTGTTTCCCAAGTTCTGCTGCACCGGCATCTGCTTGTGGAAGGTCTGGCTACGTCGCTTGTGGAATTCCCGAAGGAGGTGGGTATCAAATCATGAATTACTCGACGCAGGCTAATTTCAGTAGGTGGATGTTGTCCTGGAGGATATCAGTGTGCAACAAATGGCTGCATTCCCTCCGCAGGAGTTACGGATAGTCGAACTTGTGGTGCGAACTCATATCTTTGCCCAGCATCCCTCAACTATGGATGCTGTTCTTCAGGTCTCGGCTGTGCGCTCAATTCATGTTATGTGACGAGCATTTCAATCTTCACCTACACAGATACGCTGATAACGACGGACGCAAATCAAAATTCGCATACACTTACAACCACCATTACTTCATCGACAATTCTAGGGGCACCAGACCCCACCGAAACGGTTGGGGGAAATGGCGTCGTCGGAAAATATACACCCTCGCAAATAGCAAGCGTGAAAATCAAAGCATCAGGAAGCAAAGACTCGGGCCTCACAAGTACCCAGATAGGTGGCATAATTGGCGGTGCTGTAGCCATCCTACTCATAATCCTTCTTGTCGCATTCCTCATAATCAAGCGCCTCAATCGCGCGATCCGTGTCTCTGAGATGGCAAACTCAAATACACACACCTCATCCAGCGGTTACCGTTCGCGTATTTCCATTCCCGGACACCAAGACATCGATGCCATGTCCGTCGACCCCCTTATGATGACTGTCTCCGAAGCATCAGGCAGTATTCGTCGACCCTACCACTCTCGAAACCCCTCCTCAACAACCTACGCCCACGAACTCGAAGTCGACGCCAACACATCACGCAGCCCACCCAGTTTCACAAGCCCCTTCTCTCCCCGCTCACCGCCATATACTCATTACCAAAAAGGCTACAACCCCATCTCAAGCTCCGAGTCCCAATACTCATCCAGCTCCGGTGGATTCAGAAACCCCTCAGTAGAATCCACACCACCAATGCACCACAACCCCAACGCAGGCTACTTCGACCTCCCGCTACAAACCCAGATCCAGACCGAACACCGCAACTCTCAAACCTCCCAGATCTCCCCACAGACTCAGACCGGTCGCCGACCAAGCCAGCACGGCAGGAACTGGAGCGACGCAAGCGATATCTCGCAAATAAGCCAGGCCTCCAGTGCAGCCCTAGCCGAACTCGACGCCGGGCGCGACGGCGATAGACGCTCGAGCTTCACCCGCGCTTTGGAAGGGCTTGGAATGGGCCGCATGGTAAGCAGGAGGCGAAGCGAACCGGTGCCACTTGCTGGTGGGCCGGTACGTGGTCCAGAGTGGACGCCGAGTCCTCGCGAGGCACCATGGCAGGGACTTTTCCATATTCCTGAGGCGGGAGAGAGTGCGGTTCGGCTTGAGGGAGTGAGGGAGGTTGTTGCGTTGGGGGGTGGCATGAGTAATGCGCAGTTTAGGGAGATTTCGCTGTTGGAGAGTGAGGGGGGGACGTTTGGGGCGGGGAGGAGGGGTTGGGATCCGTACAGAGACCGGGAAGGGGATGGGGATGGGGATGGGGATTTGGGAGATCGGAGGGGGAGGGGGAGGGGGAAATAAATGAACCGGGGTGCGGGTGAGTTGTGTTTGGGATGTTGAATTTAGCGAGTTTTTGCTTAGATGGATGGGCGTGGGATATAGGGATACACAAATAGGGTATGCTTCGGAAATTTCTTGTCTGTAGTTTTTTGTAGGTGTGGTGATACCAAATACGACTTCACATTTCTCTCTCAGCCGCGGGTCACCAGGGTATGCATTTCCGCTTTGCAATGTCGCCTCGTGTTTGTCGAAGATGAGTTCACTTCTCTACTCCACTCCAAATTTTGCTGGCTGCAGCCCGAATTTTCGTTTTTCTTATTTCGCATTTCGCATACTAAAGAATAGCTCGTCAGGCCAGCGAGGCGGAAAACTGGTGCTGTGTCTGCGACATGTGGTGGATGTGCGAGAGGACTTGTTGGCTGTTCTTGAAAGACTTTGTGTTGGTGGTAACGAATCGGAATTTGAAGAGAAAGATTATCTGGTAAATGGGTCAGTGCTAGGTAAGTGCTAGGTATGTTCATTTCCATTCCTCCAGACAAGAATATGTAGATTGATAATCGTCTGGCAGGTATGAGATCGTGGACCAGCTTTTCCTGACTGATGCGACTCTTGTTGCGGCTATTTATGTGATCAGGCCAGCAACTTCAACACGTTTACTCACGACTCTTTCCAAGTGCTAAGAACACCAAAATAGCTTGACCTTCAAAAATCAATGCCCAAGTGACAACGGGTGTGGCGCTGTGGTGACTGTATCGTGACTCGCAGCGCATTGCTGCAGTCGGAACAAGTCCAATCAACTCTCGCTACCCAACTGATCCCGCCACCATCAATCACCCGTCATCGGCATCCCAAAGCCTCTTCGCATTATCTCGGAACAGTTTCCTCTTCAACTCCTCATCACCACCACACCACTCTAGACACTTCTCCAAGAACGGCATCGCATCATATCCCGTCCTCGCCTGCGTATGCGGCCAATCTGACGCGAACACCACCCCCTCCCCGTTTCTCATCCCCAAAAGCTCATTCACCAACGCCTCCAAATCCCTAAACTCCGGGTCCTAAGAGAAAATATACGGTGCCGAGATCTTCGTATACACCCTCGGATCGTCCATCATCTTCTGCAGCGCTTCCCAGCCTGGCTCCTTGGCTGGGTTTAGTGGTAAGCTGGAAGGAGACCCGATATGCTCAAGCACGATTTTGACGCCTAGTTCTGATACCAGGGTTGCACGTGGTCCAATATTGCCATATCGGCATATAACCCTATCGACCACGTCTTCAACGGCCTTAACGTTTCCGTATATTTGCGCAGTACATCCTGGATCTCCTTGCGAGATAATTTCCTCCCTGTTGATCTGAGATTCAAGGGTACGCCGCGAACGCCGAGATTGTGCCAGTGCTGGAGAGTTGAAGAGGATATAGTCTCTGGATCGAAGGATACGACGCCGCGGCTTCGCGACGGACCGAGTTCTTCTAAGCAGGAGAGGATCCAGCTGTTGTCGTAGGCGTAGGTACTTACTTGGACGAAGACCATGTTGGGGAGGTGGAGGCGGGAGGAGTTGGTCAGTGCGGTTGGGAGGGGGCCTGAGTGGGGGGTGCGGGTGTGGAAGAGGTGGGTTGGGAAGGGGTGTTTGGTTGGGTCGATGATGTGGATGTGGCTGTCCCATGAGCCGTCTGGGGGTTTATTTGGTGGTGAAGATGTAGATGATGTGGATTGTTGATGTGAGGAGGGGGGCATTTTGAGAGAAGGGGTTGAAGCGCGGGGGATGATATCTCGAGGTAAGGTTTCTGAATACAATCGACGACGGGCTAGCCGTTGGAATTGTCGTTCTATCATGGTGAAGAGAGAACTTTGAGATATTTATTTAGATTGATAATGTATAGAAGAGTGGGATGAAGGTGTAGATGTTTATTTAGAGCGTTGTTTGTCCAGGTGATGAAAGTAGGAACATCAGAAAAGTGGGCCTCGGTCGATGTCCGTGGGTTTGATCAGAACCTCTAATACTGTAAGCGAGTTGGTTTAGGATTTGTTGACACTGACTACTGACTTGGGCTCCCATTAAGTTTCGGCCAATTGGACTTTCGAATGACAGATACTCCTGGCCAATGGGCTGATAGAATGTTTTATTACTTCAAGCATAAATTGGTGCCAAAAACCTTTCATGGAGTTTTATAAAATTGTTTCGCGCCAGACTTTGCCGAGTTCGCTCTCAAGAGCGAAGAGCGGCTTCGCGTAGTAGAGAGTGGAGAGTAGAGGCAGCTTGTTTTCAAAGGCCCACTCCGCCAACGACAAGAAGAAGTGACTGTTGATCCTTGGGGATCCTTAGACTGCGTGTTTAAAAGAAGAATGACATTTCCAGACTGGCTATATCGCATAATCGATATACAGTGATTGACTGATCCCAGTTTAGAGGCTGGTACGAGGCGATCGAATGAATTTCAATCTCTGAGCTTGGAGACAGGAAGTGCTCTTTAGTCGTCAGAAAGCTGTCATGCAATATCGTCACTTCATTTGGATCTGTCCTGGTACTTGCGGATACAAATATTTCTTCATTTGGTATGTGATATTTCCAGCAAAACGACGCTATAAACTTGCTTCAGCACATAAAACTAGCCTTGAACAACACCCTTAACTAGTGCCTCTACATCCTCCTCGCTTATTCTCTTCACACCCAAAAGTTCATTGTCAACCTTCTCCAATTTGCCTCCATATCCTTCTCCAAACCCAGCCATGAAGATATAAGGAAAGAAGGTCTCGGTATCAAACAGCCCCTTCTTCAATCTCTCATTCGAATTAGCCACCATAGCATCCAAATCTCCCCGAACCGGCTCCCAAGTCTTCCCAGGAGTGTACTTCTTCGCCATAGCCAACAGCTGGTTCTGCGATACCGCAGCCTCCTCAACATACACGACTTTATTCGCTGTCTCAGCGGGACGAGTCAAGACACCCACGACGGCCTTGCCAACAGTAGGGAGTGACGTAGTCGAGATTTCCTGGTCTCCGGATCCGAAAATAGTAGGCTTGGAATCTTTCAGGTTGATAATGAAACCGACTTGGAGACCCCAATCGAGGAAAAAGCCGTTACGAACAATCGTGTATGAGAAATCAGGGTTCGATTTCGCCTTCTCAACGAGATACTCCTCGATTTCGACCTTGCCATGGTAGACGGGGAGAGTACGGGCTTTGGGATTATCGAGATCGGAACCGAATTCTGAGGGGAGGAAGCGTTGCACGCCGGCGGAGATGGCGGCGTCTATCAGGAGTTTCTGGTCGGAGAGAGCGACGGCGGCGAGGGTGGAGATGACGGCATCTTGGCCTTGGAAGGCGGAGGTGAGGGAGTCGAGGGACTTGTAGTCGACTTTAATTACTTTTGCGGTGGAGGGGAAGGTGGCTGTTGATTCTTTACGGGTGAGGACTGTGACGTTGAACTTGCCGGAGTCGAGGAGTGCTTTGAGGATGGCGGGTCCAAGGTTACCAGATGCCTGTGAATAGGGTAAGGGTTTGCTTTCATGAAATTGAGGATGAGGATGTGACTTACTCCGGCGAGAACAACGTTCTTGATAGAAGACATGTTGGTGTTCTGATATGAGATTGCTGAATGACGAAGCTCGACAGTTGTGATGATTTGAAGTTCTCAAGGATCTGTGAATTGTGTTGTAGTTTGAACTTGGGATTTTCTGATATTTATGGATCGAAGTCAGAAAGACGCTCCACAGCACTTATATGTACTTCTTCACTTCAGCTGAGACTGCCACAAAGTTTAGACCCCCCATCACCTTACTTACCTAATCCACTCAAACTTTCTTGTGGTTGCTGCTCGACCAAGGTAGTTGCATCCCACCCCATATCGCACCGTTTGCCGAAGCGCCGCATCCCACCACCTCCCCCTCCCCTCCATCCAGCGAAGCGAGGCACTGCCAACAGACTAGCCCCAAAGCATCCAAACAGGAACAACCTAGATCAGACTGTGGCACAGAGGATACTCAATCCAATTGGTCTGAATAATCAACTCTCCGTGTGGGTTGTGGGAGGCTCACGCCACAAAAGCTTCACTTGAATAATCCGGCTCCCGGTGGATGTAATTATCCATACACCAAAATCGACTGCTGCACAGAACTACTTTTATATTACAAAAATATTGATAAAACATAAAACAGCAACACTGTAATATTATAGCGCTGCTTCTTTTGAATAACACCACACTATTCTTATGATTTTTGGTCTGTAGTCGACTTTTCAATCGGACGATCAAAACAGGGTCTTTAACAGGATTTCGACGTTCTCGGTTGTATGGTGTGCGGATAATTGCGTACACCGGGAGTCCGGGTCGTATCTTGGAAATGGCATGCATGACATCCACAAAAACCCATGTGCATATGCACTCCTTCAAGGCCCTACATGTCTAGTGGCGGTACTATCTCCTTGGGGATAACAAGCCACTGCGCCCACTCCTCGCCAAGGTACTCTTCAATCGCAGCAAGCAAGAAACTCCCGGCGTCGCCTACAGCCCAATACGATCTCCTGCCGTGCAACAAGATCGAAAAATGCGCCATGACAACTAATGCCTCGGGTTTTCTCTAATGCAGCAGTTCTGTGTACTCAGCTGAGACGTTGATGGGCCAGGACATGACGATTCTTGCGTCCGGCAAAATGTGCGATTCTCCATTCGGCAGCTGGGTATTGTAGACCTTGATTAAGCCGTCAATGGCTTCGCCGTAGACCTTGGCTTCGAATGCGGAAAGGGTGTGAGATTGAGAGAATATCATTTTGAGATTATCAAATGCACACGTGATTTTGTCATCGTGCTCCAGAGCCTGGCCTTCGTCAGCCAGCAGAACCTTGATATCCGAATTCCTGATGTAGTCCCAGGAAGTCCCGGTCGTGGCTTGGATACCTCTCAGAAGTCGGATGGACTGTACTAAGCAGTCTAGGAAGGTGTTGAGGTCTGGACTCGGCATCGAGAAGGTATCGCAGAAGCAATGTAGGCCGAGGATGGCGGCGAAAAGGAATGCTGGGACGGTGTTGTCTTGTGTGAGAGTGGTGCAGGATTCGTTGAAGAGAGATAGTGCTTTGGCTTGCAAGGCTGTTGATTCGGCGAAGTAGATGGCGGATTTGGAGGGGTGCTTGATACTGAGTTGGAAGGCTGACATGGCGAGGGATTCGTACATAATGTACGGGTACTCGAATGTGTACTTGATAAAATCAATATATAATGTGTTGCTCATCAAGTGAGAATGAGACACCCAGGGATAACGAGCACAAGTCTTGAGAGTGGATGAAGAATCATATTGAAAAATTCAGCAATCTTACTCGTTTTGTGGTAGCAACCCATTCAGCCTTCGACGTCTCATCACCGAAAGTAGGAACATTCTCTGAAATCAGATTCTGGTACAGCTCCAGATGGAGAATATTGACATAAGGTTCGGGACGAGGGGGTGCAGGTACTGGCGTCCCCGACTGATTCCGGTCGGTCGCGTGACTGTACACTCTCTGATCAGAAGAGCCAGCCAGATCTTCAGCCACGAAGCTGATTCCCGGTCCATTATTATTGGGGCTCTGGCTATTTGAACTAGGTTTACTGGCGGCCTGAATATAGGAGCATTTTTTATTGGCGATGGTGCAGTTGACGCATGATGGTTTGGTTTCGTCGCACTATGGCGGAGCCAGTACAGTCAGCTCTATCAGGATAAGTAGACATTTTCTAGGGAGTATTAAATTGGGGACTTACTTTCTTGTGACTGCGCTTGCAATGTGTACACCCCTGTCGGGACTTCTTATGGCTTCTGCGTATCATGGAGTGGGAGGATTTGGAGCTAGATTGAGGGAACTGGCGGCGTAGCAGTAGCTTGCTCGCGCACAAGAACAGTGAGGTAGCCAAGCGTCGGTTACTTTTTCAAGACTCCTCATATGAACGGTGATATGATAGTTCAAGGATTGAGTTTGTTGCTGATGCCTTGAAGTTGGAAGGAGATGCATCCGGATGCAAGTGAGCACCTAGCGCCAAGATCAGTGGGGCAGACAATCGCCTCGCAGCCAATCCGATCGCGGATCAATGTCAACACTGTGGGCGAGTCTTCCGCTGAGGAAGGCCATTGTCACCATTTGAATATGCTGTTGCAGGATTTCCTGAACTGAAAACAAAGGATAATCGAACATTATGATTCTGGGGTTTGCAATCGACATTTCCAGCTAACGATTGGCAACCAGATTGTCGGAGAAGATGAAGATGAAGATGAAAATATAGGGAGGGAAAGGAATATGCTTCACAATTGCCAATACACAGGTTTTTTAGTGCCTTTTATGCATACGCGGCTTCTCTTCAATGCTCCTGTTCACTTGGGCACAGTCGCGGTTGAACATTCGATCAAGATTGAGATGAGCGACAACCCAGCCTGGCAGGTCTTACTGCATGACATGAAGATGAGAGGGACGCATCTATACTACGTGTACGAATCAGAAAAAAAAAAGATTGCAGTAAGCAGTTCGTGGCTGAGATGCTATGTTAATCGAGATTCCTGGTGATGAAGGGAGTTCATACGAGGAGTCTCATGCCAAGGACTAGAGGGCTCCTGGAGAAGGGATGCGCATATTGACTCTAGCCCTCCATATGGAGCGAGAACCCTACGCCGAATGATTTCCCGGATAGAAGAACTTGAGTGAGCATTGCAAAAGGCCACCTGCACGTTGAAGACGAGCGGCTTAGGGAATATCATCAGACGGTTTCGACCAGGGTGGGGTTAACTCTGTCACCAAATGAACAAAGGCATTCACATGGCTTCATGACAACAAAAAGATTTTTCAGAAGCCATTCAAATCATTTGCTGTATTTCTCCGGGTATCTCTCTAGGTATCATCTCCTTCCATGAAAGGTTGAGGTATCTCACGTGATATTCACATGACGTTCAATTTCGTTCACTTCTTGTTTGGCTCTGCTGGAGCCTTTCCCATGCTTGCGAACTCGTCTGTTGGTGTAGGGAGCTTTGGATGTTTCGACTGGTGTACTTAGTCAGTCTCAGTCCCCTTTGTGCTCATGGAGGTGCTTACACTCCAGTGGATCTTCATGTTGTTCAAATTGTCAATCTCTGCCTTACACGTTGACTAGGAGCGGTCAGTAAGCGCCAAGTAGAGATACAACCATCATACGCATTGGAACTTCATTCCCTTGTCCTTCTTGAGAGTGGAATTGCCGCCCTTCTTGGCTTTTTCTGCCGCCTTTTGCTGAGCTTCGATCTAGGCGGTAAATTAGCAATCTACGGTGGAGGGAGCGGGATTCTCTGTAGGTACCTTCTGGAGTCCGCGAGCCATGATGAATGATATAAGAGGGACGTGTGTGTGATCTGGCAGTACTTGATCGTTGACCTGGGCCTCGAATCGCGGAGAGTTTGATGTCCGGAGAAAATGAAAGTGGCTTACCTAAGCGTTTCATGAGAGCACGTGATACATACATGAGTAATTCAACGACAGGAAGCCTTACCCTTAATCAAGGTGAAGAGGCTATTTCAGGCCATATAGTTCATGAGACGATTGCGCGTCCAGCTCACCAAAGATTAAGGAAACTAAAAAATAGGCATGAGAACACGAGTTTTCGAGAGGTTCCTCTGGACATCAGTTGAAGACAACCTAACGTTCCTGGTAACTTTCAAATCTTTTCCACTTCTCCGTATCTCTCTAATTCTACTGAGAGGATCAATCATCTGCCTCACTCAGAAATACATCCAAAGTCGCTTCGTCCCAACTGATTCCAAGAAGAGCCATTTTTTCCGGTCATCAACAATACACCTGGGGCCTGGGACCCCAAAATCTATCACCCATCACTTTGCTACACCCGCTCTGTCAATCTGATGTAGCTCTCATCCAGTTTTTTCTCTTGTCCCGGCCTCGGAAACACATCACCAGCACGAATAAAATGGAAAGCGATTTGAACAACCAACATGGGGATTGCGTCACCAACATACGCACACCATTCGTTCTTTAACAAGTATCCATTTGTCCCTAATACGTACTCCGCAATTCGGTAGAGACAAAGAGCGACATTGATGACAGCAGCACCCAGCAGCAGCATAAGCAGTTTTCGCCAGCTGTGCTTGTTGTACTTCGGGATGATATGTCGCATAGGTGACTGCGCCATCCGACGATCGAAGATTACAGCGATAATGAGGAAGAAACCGAAGAAGATGAGTTGTACCCTAAGCCAATGAGCAGAACGTTCTTGCCTAGTTCAGCCTTTCCCTCCTGTGCCATCATGCCGCCGCCAGCCGATTGAATGAAGAAAGCAAGGATGTTTCCAATCACAAATATCTTCGTCACTCGGGTTGGTCGAATCACTGAAGCATCTGGTGCGTTGACGAAAAGCACGATCCTGCCGTATATCATGTATATTGTGGCGGCGTCGAGAGAGGGCGGAAGGAGGATGAGGAGGCTCTGCGCGACGTAGAGCATGATTTTGTCGGGGGATTTGGCGGATAGATTTCGAGCTGCATAGCCTCCAGTCATCACTGATCAGCTTTTCAGTTCAAGTTGATGCTTGGGGAGATATTGATGAACTTACTGAAAGCTCCGACGGTCATCGCTGTGTAGAAGAAGGTTCGCTTCTTTATCATCATGACAAGATGGATGACTGTACTCAACCCGAATAATGCGGCGGCAGCCAGAGCAGCATTTAAGTTCGGCTCATAGTGGTACAGGTTCCTCGGAGTGGCGGCAATGGTGGTTGAGTTTGACATTTTGTGTTTTTGGAGAAAGAAGTGTGGTGATATTGCCGAACTGCAGGAGAATGGACTGTGTAGATCGTGAGGAATGATTGAGCGACAAGGAGTTGAACGAGAATCGAAAGCTCATGAAAATTTCACGGAACCCGATAAATAAACAAACCCGAAGGATCGTCGTGATATGATCAGTGATGAGGGACACATCATACGTTTTTGGGAACAACTGGCGACAATTATACCACTGACGCAAAATGCAGAGATGGCCCGTGATACTGTGAGGCCTTTTTCTAGCATTTCTGTTATCCATAAAGGTACAAGAGATCCACCGTTACTAATGCCGCCGCTGGCAGGTGTCCAACGGAGGAACGATGTCCAGGGGTTCAAGTGCAGGGACTCTACCCTACAGACGCGTTTTGACAAGATGACCAAGAGAACGAGGTACGAACGAGCGACAGGAGCGAAGTCTTTATGCTATTGGACTGTTTGTGGTCTATTGAAGTCAGGGTGTACATAGATTTATATATGTCCGCGAACAACTGGGTTGGACCTATAAATGTGTAATGCGTGCATTCCATCGTCGGAATTCTGTACATTTGGATGGCACAGAACCATTCATATTAGGACATTAGATCATGGAACAGAAATCATTAGGACTGTAATGACTCTGCCTATCTGTAGATTGGAGGGAAGCCGTCGCAAAGCCAAGGCTAAGTTCTCTCCGTGTTTTAAGCGAGGACCCCACTTCCATCCAAACATTGAACTTCAGTTGTCCCTTTAGGTATTAGCGATGTGTACTTTGCAGAATTCCAATTATGAACAAGAAACCAAAAACCCACTTTAAAACCACTTACCAATGTAGCTCGGTGGATTGTAATTCTCGCATACTGTACCCGCCATTGTACACCTCCACGCTTTCGTATGTTGGGGTTGCAGTGCAATGCCATTCTCTTACCTTTAACGAATGGGCAGCAAACAGAAACAGAACTTGAGTTCCTCAAAAACCCAGTGAGGATGTCATTTGATAGTACTCGGCCACTCGGCTAAGTTTCTTGCAGATTTCCAGGCGCTGGCAGGCTGGGTGTCCAAAATCCGAAATCTGTCCCAATACAGTAACTCCGAAAACGAAGCCCATCGCGACTCATGAGTTGGACGCCTGCTTTCCTCATCCCTTTCCCTATAACAGCGAGAGAAAGACACTGAAATGATTGGAAGATTTCCATCAGAAACTGTTCTGAATGGCTTTCACCACTCACTCTACTGCCACAATCCCTCTCGCTCTCTTCGCAACTTGAAGCAGCGATGCCTCTCTGAGGGTATAAGAGCTTCCCCATCCCCCATCCCAGCTTCCGCAGCTCTCTCGTCCTCCTCAAACAAAATCCTCAATCGTACCAAAGATCCCCCATCTCGCTTAAGAAATTTGGAGTTATCCTGTCGCGTTTTCGCCTCGTCGTCGCGATGTTCCAAACCCAAATCATGTTCAACCTCGCATCTGATGATGCTTCGACAACCGAGAGCTCTGGCGCCCTCCAACCTCAACCTGTTGATCCGGTGAGTTCGTGCATGCGGCACAAAAGCCCATAATAATTAATTGGTTTGCAATTAATTCGTGCGGTGCTGATTTATTATTGCGAAATAGTCATATGGCAACTGAGGTGCTGGTGGAATTCTATATGGTTGTTGTTTGCGTTTGTCGCTTGGTTGTCGCTGATACTTCGTTGGTAAGGGGCAGCCCCGGCGTGAGTAGACTCACGAGTCGGTCGCGGTCAGTGAGGGCGAGAGGCTTCCTGCGCCGCTGCGCCATGTTTCTGCCCTTTTGGTCTGCTTTTTGGCCCCCTTTTGGGTCGGGCGCATGAATAAACGAGCCAATAGACACTTCCATTTCTTACTTGAATTTGATCACGTGGATTATACCGTCTACAGTCACTTGCACCCAGAACATGGCACTGCAATTCTTCATCAAACACCTGCAAAAGACCATGCATTGCTTCGATCACAATATACCTAGGAAAGTATTTCATTCTCCGCAGTCGACAAGCAGAAGAATCGCGTAAATAGTTGAACGCCCTTTGGCCTTGTTGCCACTCCCTCGCCGTCATGCCTAGGAAACCTGATCTATCTGGAGACCAAGTATTAAATGATATCTTCCAGGTGGGACGTCAAGCTCTACTGCCGCATCTCCGAGTCAGGGAACGCTACGGGAGGCTCAAGGTCGTCTCTCTATCGGGTATGTGGACAATAACACCTTGCACTATCAATTATGTTAAGCAGCGTTGTGCATTACCGTAATTTTCTATGTTATTTAACTTCGTATTTATCATAGTTGATTTGCTATCGAATTACCAGCTGGTAAGGGTCCTCATTGGAGGATAAATGACGAGCTGTATGAAAAGGCTAGTTGTGTTCATCTTGGACGTAACTTCTATCCTTCTCACAGTCCTTACTGCCAACCATTTGCCTTTCCCACTACTGCAAATCATATCTCTTTTTGATGCTGAATCCATACGTAGAATTATTTTGCAGTATTTTGCATCATTGATCCCGCTATCATGCGATTCTCAATCATGCATTCTTCTGGCTTAAACCCACCCCTGCTCTTTTCGTTGCTCTCCTCATAAATCTACAACTGGGTTTGTTCCTAGTTGAGTGACTAGCTGTACCCTTCTACAGCATTTGCCTCTGGAGTTGTTTCTGCTTCATTTTCAGTCTGAGGCACAGCTGACTGGATTTCTCTCTTCAGTTCCCAGTACTCAAAGACGGGCTCGAGCGTGTCCAGAGGCAGTCGTGAAGGGCTCGCGACAGCTTTGTCAGCATTGTCTCTCAGTATGCTAGACCACAAAGTCCCAGTTAGTAGATTGATTTTCAAAACTCCAAGGTCGCTAATCTAAGGATAACGAGAATTGAATCGTCGGGATTCTTACCATTCGGTGGCAGTGCTTTCATGAACCACAACTCCATCCAACATCAACGTAACCTTCCCCACTCTCTCATATAGTTTCGAACCGAAGTCACTGTCCCCACGCAAATACCCCAGATAATCCTTAACAAATGTCAACACGCTCCTCGGATTCTTCAGATACTTGATCCCGGTCCGTTTCCTCAGCAACCTGAATCTATCGTGATTCATGGCCGGCGCGATCATTTCTTCCGGCCCATCTGGAGTCAGGAAGTCCAAGATGAGATGTCGTATCTTGATATGTTTATCATAAACCTTTTCCCGCTTACTGACAGGCCCGACGTGTAGAAAGCGCCCAATCAAGTTCAAAAAAGTCCAGACCAGGGAGGGAGGTCCACCGTCCCCTCCACAATAGCCAGAACGGCGCCTCGGCGTGACGCCAAAGATTCGAAAAGTGGCGCGAACTTCTTCCACTCGGGTTGTCGTCGTTGGGACGTATAGCCATGTAGGCCATAACTCCCATTCTTCGACGATCATTACGTCTAGCTTGTAGGATCGCAAGCTGGGGAGTTGCATGAGGGTCATGACATCTAGGGTTTCGGTACGAATTTGCCGGTTGATAGCGAGCGTCGGTATGCCTCTCATTTGAGTGTCTTTTTGGTAAAGAACTCCACTGTTCGCCATCCAAAAGGTATCTTTGAGGCTTTGTCGACCATCGTGATCATTCGGGGAAGACGGCGGTGCGATGACAGTGCACGAAATCACGAACTCAAGGATCTTGTCACGCAGCTCGCGAGGTATCTGGAGAAGAAGAGACATGATCGGGAACGTTGTCGAGAGTCTCCGGACCTGGACCTGAGATACTTGGTTGTAATCTTAGATGAAGTGGAAGAGAGTGCAGAATTTTAAGGAATATCTTTCAACACTGTAGGCAGCAGCGAGGTTAGTGGGGTATTGGTAAAGTGTCTGGTTCCGAACTTCTGCCGTCACAACTTCTACCAAGAAATACTGCTGATGATAAGGTCCTTATATTACAGCATGACTAGTTATGTATACCTAGACGATCTTCTAGACGTAAAATATGGATAGGAGGACCATGTATTGACTTGATTGTCGATCGTTGTAGATCACGTGGGGTGGTTACGTGAGGGAGAGTGTTCAAGGTAGGTAGGTATGTATATGTTTCGTTCGGCAAAGCGATGAATAGCAAGATTCAATAATTATTCATAAATTATCAATTTCCAATCTCCCCACAAGAGAAAAAGCAGGAGACAGAAACTAGCTACAAGGTATCACCGCCAGAAGAACTCGCTTCACATCCCACATCACCAAATCTCCCGTCCCCGTGACCTCATTTCATATCACATTCCACATAGCATTCCACCCAACATTCCATCTCCCCAAATCTCATTACATGTATATAAGCACCCATCGATCCCCATCATAATTCTATCCAAGCGTTTTCTTTTTTCTTCCCTTCCCCTCAAAATCTCCAAACATGGTCGTAAGTCCACTTACAACGGCTCACTCAGGCTAGAAATGCAGCTTTTCCGAATTAACACCAGTATCCAGAAGAAAACCCAGAGCACCAACAATGGCAAACAGAGAGAAAGCAACGCTAGCTCGCTCGCTCAATTGCATTCAAATGCACAGTTAGATCCGCAATCACGGAATTCAGAATCAAGATCAAGTTCTTTGGCCGAAAAGTTGCTGGGGAATATAAGCCTCTTGTTCTGTCGTATTTTCAAGGGAGCTGTAGCTGGTATTTCGGGCGTTGGGGTGAGGTAAGTGATTTTTGATCAGGCAATCAAGTTGTAGTTGAGAATTTGGGATCGGCTGATGCTGGAGCAGGGAGGATGGGAGACTCGTCAGACAGGTCACCAGTGATGGGTTGGGCTGAAAGTGTAGCGGCTTTGTTGTCTGCAGGCTCTTGTAGGGGGTTTTGTGACTCCTCGATTTGCAAGCCATCATCTTGCGGTGGTGACAGCGGGTCTGCTGCAGGCGTTTCGACTTCAGCGTTCAATTTCGGCTCAAGAACAATGGCCTTCTCGACCTCGACATGCTGATTCATAGGGTCACTCTGATTGACCACCGGCTCAGCGTCAACCGATTTCTCCTTGATAGGCGTCTCACATGGATCATTTCCATCTCTGACCTTTCCTGGGCTATCCGAGAGCGCATCGATCGAAGTAGACATTGGAATTCGCTCAGTGACTGTAAGCTCTCTGAACACAGTAGTCGTAACAGGCAGAATAGATTCCTGATCTCCTGCATCCGTAACCATCTTGACAACCGGGTCAATCATAGAAGCCGGCTCTGCATCCGTGACCAGTAGCTCTTTAAAGACCGTCGTAGTAACCTGCGCAGGCGAAGGCGCCTCCATCACAGCCTCTGTACGCCCAGTTTCAGGTACGCTCTTCGGCTTCAACGCCAGGAATAGAACTAAGACACTCAAAATTCCAATCGCCACATTCTTCGAGTCTCTCATGGCAACCTTGAAAGCGGCTAGGAGTAGTTCAGGCAGTGTGGAATCATCATGCACACTCGTCCTCGAGGAGCTACGACGAGAAGCAGATGGTTCTGGTGTTCCGTAAATCTCACGCATGCGCTCTTCTTCTACAACTTTCCTGTGCATCATTTCATCCTCCATCGCCTTCCTCTGCATCATCTCCTCTTCTTCAACCATTTTCTGCCGAAGTTCTTCCTCAATAGCCATCTGTTTCCGCATCTGTTCCTCGTCATGTAAAAGTGTCTGCTCATCATGTCTTCTATCTTCCTCCTCTCTTCGCTTCTCAGCTTCGTGATCATGCACGTGCTCGATACCCGGTTCCTCGTCTTCGAATCCATCGTCTAGCTCCTTTTGCTGCTCAGCGCCCTCTTCGAGAGGAGTAAGGAGAGCGAGATGTTCGAGCTCGGAATTGAGATGCATCTCGACATAAGGCTCGAGCTCAACATCCACCCTCTCCATCTCTCTCCACGCTGCGGCCCAAGCACCTGCTCGCATGAGTCCGTTGCTCGCGTATATCTTCACGCGGAACCGTCGCTCTCCTTTCCCTACTTCGCCTACGGTCTCAAGACGGACGTCTCGCATGCAGATATCACACCATTTCCTCTCATCCCTCGTCTCACCTCCCCAGTTATCATCGCCCTCTTCATCTGAACTCGGTGCTTCCGAGTCGGATGGACCCATGTAGTGCCCGCATTTGAGGATTTTGGCGCGAGGACGGACGGGCAATTCAAGAGCTTCGAGGAGTCGCTCTTCGAGAACTTCATATGAGTCTTGTGGATGGGGGAGTAAGATCCCGCGTTCAAGAACCGTGTCGCCGAGTTTCTCTTGGAGTAGTCTCCAGCTTTCTTTGACTGTTTGCAAGGATGCGGGGATTTCGGGAGAAGACATTAGGTGAGAGTATGGCCATTGTAAGGGGAGGACAGTGACGTGGAGGAGGACGAGAGGCTCTTTCTTGGGCTTGAAGCGCGTGGGTGTGCGTTTTGAGGGGGAGTATTGGGAATTGGGTGTGCCGATTCGGGAGACGGTTGGCATGTGTCTTTTTGCAGATCGGGGAGATCCAAAGACGGATTGTGTGGGTGAAGACATTTGCATTGCGCGTACAGAAGATGGAGTGCGAAATGGTGGCCTGGCGAGGATCTTGCTTGGGTTTCGCGAAGACATGTCTACTGGTGTCTGCATATATGAGGACGAACTGGGGACACGAGAGATTGTGTCCATCTCATTCGCGGATCCAGCCTCTTCTCCTACGACTGGGGAGGTAAGAATCTTCTGGTTATCATCTGAACTGTGTAAGTCAGAGTTCATGCTGCTTCGTTTGCTTCGATCGGAATGGCTGAAAACGTCGTCGTCGATATCTCCGTCATGATTAGAGCTGGTGTCTCCTCCTTCGTGATCAGAGTGTGTCTGGGATCCGTAAGTTGGATCTGCCTCCTCTTCGTGCTTCGAGTGGTCATCGTGATCAGATTCGTAGGTTGCTTCAGTCTCGTCACCATATGTAAGCTCGGTTCCCATCCCATACGTCAGATCACTGCCATCGTATGTCATTTCTGTGCCTTCCCGGTCATAACTTTCATCCGTTTGCATGCTGAGTTCTGAGTCTTGACCGCCTCTGTAGTTGTCCTGTTCGATGCTCGCGACGACTGCTCTTGCGGCTGCCTGGATCTGTGCTTCGATTCGATCGAGTTGACGTTCTCTGGCTACACGTTCTTTTTCGTCCTCCTTATCCTGCTTGCAGTGTTGTTGTAAATCCTCCTCGTCCTCCGGGACATCTTCGACAGTTGCGTTGTGAGGTTCGACGTGCGGTGATGGTACATTTTCTTTGTGTTCCTCCTCCAATCCAACTGTGCTGTCTTCTTGTATCTTCCCTGGTGACTCTGCCTTTATCTCTTCTTCGCCCCAAGAATCATGGTGTACCACCGTCTGGTTACTCGAGACTCGTTCTGGCGACATCTCCCCTTGCAATTTGCTTGGTTCCTCGGCAGGCTTTTCGTTCTTAATATCGTGGGTATTCGATCCGTCAGAGAGACATGAAGGGTCAACATGAATCTCGAAGTCCTTCGGGGGAGTTGTGTTCCGCATCTCGACGGGTAAGCTCGAGGGCCGATGTTTGCTCCTAAGTAAATAATGACGCGGCAAGTCGGTTCATGCAGCAACCCGTTGCGTCTCGAGGGATTTGGCGCAATGTGATATGCTAATTTGTTTGCTTGTATCGGGAAATTATATGAGGCCTGTTATCGAGTATTGAGTTTGTGGTGTTGGTGCATGTGAACTTTACTTTTTGGAGGTTGGAAGGTCGGTGCTGGCGTTTGTTGATGTGTGGTTGCCACGATGGCAACGGAATTAATCTCGCGATCGGCCCACTGACGAGACCGCGTTTAGGAGATGCAGATTTTAAGCACCTTGAAATTGGAGCGACGATATTTGGAAAAATTGAGGTTTTCGAGGATTAGAGCTTTATTCATAACGTTTTTCATTCTCTATTCTGGCTGTCTCGATGGTAAAGCTGCCGTCATCGACTGGCGTGCATGAATTCCTGACTTCGCCAAAAGCCTGCTGTTCTCGGGTGGGGAAGCGTTTGATTGGAAGGCCAATCCTCACCCAAGTCAATATCAACACATCTAAAGATATAGCGTCGTAGCGATACCAATTCTAGGCTCGCGATATTTGAGTTGAAAAATGCTTGTCGATCATCGACGGAAGATGCCATGAGGCATCATATTTCTGCTCGTCGAGCTCCTCAAATGCCAGCGAACATCCAGGGCTGATTCGGGTCTGGTCATGTGACCCGACATTATCACCAACGGCCTTGCATGCACATATGCGGTGCAACAACGTGTAAGTGCATGCATGCGAATTCTTTTCTGGTATCTATCATGGGCTGTTTCCCAGATTTTATTCAGTAAAACAAGTGGATGCAGTTGGTTTTCTTCCGCTTCCTCCCAACCAAACATCTCACCAGCAGCCCTCTACGTCATGGGGCTAAGATCTTCAGGGGGCCTCGACCCTTATCGCTCAAGCGAACTTCCATCGTTTCCTTGGTGGGGGTGGGATTGAGTTGCATGTGCATGGAGGGGCTGGCTACCTGCGATTGCGACTTATTTATTTGTTTCCTGCTTTTCTACTTCTCTACTCTCTTACATATTTCTTCCTTGCTGCTTCATAGACTTTTCAATAGCTATTTAATTTCTGCGTTTCGCTCGCCTTGTGCATTCCTTAGGAACATCTTAGAGAAGCTTAGCAACGGAATATCAATAGACAAGAAGAAAAGACAGCAGGATGGCAGACTCAGGTAAAGTTTGCAACCAATTCCCTTTTCATTATACTGACGAGGTCCTCAGAGCAGACTCCCACCCAGGAGAATATGACCATGATGCAAGGCTTCGAATGGTATGTTCCAGACGACCATAAGCATTGGGTCCGGCTCCATGACAACATCCCCCAGCTCAAAGCTGCCGGAATCGACAACATCTGGGTCCCTCCCGGATGCAAAGCTTCCTCCCCATCTGGAAACGGCTATGATATTTACGATCTCTATGATCTGGGCGAGTTCGACCAGAAGGGAGGAAGGGCTACAAAATGGGGCACAAAGGAAGAGCTTGTGGCAATGGTAAAGAAAGCCAATGAGGTCGGCGTGGGAATTTACTGGGATGCAGGTATGTGGCACTCTTGGATGAAGTCCATCCCATTCACTAATAAGATCTTCAGTCCTGAACCACAAGGCAGCTGCAGACCACAAGGAGAAGTGCGAGGCCCAAGAAGTTGACTCTGACGACCGAAACAAGACCATCTCAGACCCCTACCAGATCGATGCTTGGTTGGGATTCGACTTTCCCGGCAGAAAAGACAAGTACTCGAAACAGAAGTACCACTGGTATCATTTCTCCGGAACAGATTACAATGCCGACAACAACAAGACAGCCATCTACAAGATTCTTGGAGACAAGAGCAAAGGCTGGGCTGATGGAGATGATGTTGATTCAGAGAAGGGCAACTATGATTACCTCATGTTTGCTGATCTCGATTACTCGCATCCAGAAGTCAGTGCTGATGTGATTAATTGGGGTGTCTGGTTGAGCAAGGAGATCACCATAAAGGGTATCCGTTTTGATGCCGTTAAGCATTTCAGTGAGGATTTCTTGAGAGACTTCATTACCAAGATGGACGAAACGCATGGTAAGGGGTGGTTTTTCGTCGGTGAGTTCTGGAAGGACAGCCTGGCGGATATGAGTGCGTACTTGCAACGCATGGGCAAGAAATTCAGCTTGTTCGATGCACCACTTGTGTATAACTTCAGTACTTTGAGTAAGACCGAGGGTGGAGATTTAAGAAAGGTGTTTGACGATACCTTGGTTCATACCGAGCCGATCAACGCTGTGGTATGTTTCATTCCCACTCTTACAATTCCAATGCTAATGAGATAGACATTGGTCATGAACCACGACACTCAACCCTACCAAGCCCTCGAAGCCGCCATTGAGCCATTCTTCAAGCCCCTCGCCTACGCTCTCATTCTCCTCCGCGACACCGGCTACCCCTGTGTCTTCTACGGCGATCTCTACGGCATCCAAGGCGAGCACCCCTTCCCACCATCCTGCGGCGGTGCTCTACCATCTCTCACCCTCGCCCGCAAACTCTATGCCTACGGTAAGCAAGCCGATTACTTCGACTACGCTACCTGTATCGGCTGGGTCAGATACGGAACCTGGGACAGGAGATTTGGCTGTGCTACCGTGCTGAGCAATGCTGGACCAGGCGAGAAGAGGATGCATGTTGGTGAGATGCATGCTGGTGAGAAGTGGACTGATGTTCTTGGATGGGGTGAGGGTGAGGTCGAGATTGATGCGGAGGGATATGGTGTTTTCACTTGTCCTGGTGTGAGTGTCAGCGTTTGGGTCAACAAGGATGCAGAGGGAAGAGATCAGTTTGGGAAGTTGTAAGTGTTGGTCCCTACCTGAGCAAGAGGAGATATACTGACCTTATACTAGTGATGACGATATCTACAAGAAGAAGTGATGAGCTTATAGGTCATTTGGGTATTCTTACAGTCATAGTTTTCTTGGCGAAAGATAGCAATGGTTTGGATAAAGTGATAAACAGCGATGTTGGCTAGACTCTTTTCGATTATAACCCTATGAATCATCTCATGTTATGTTTGTTGTGGTCACACCATGACATCCGCAGATAAACAGAAATAATAAATTCTCCTTTCCGTTTTATTGAAATTTTCATGTTTAATCCGAATAAATTATCTATCGGTACTCCAGTAGACAGCCTCGTAGAGTAACGAATCTCTTCTCCGTCTACTGTCACCAAATTCTACCACTTGTGTGCTTCTGAAATGATGGTACAAAGAGATGTTTACTACGAGTACGTAGCTCGCTAGGAAAAGGGGTAGCGAGCGCGGTTCAGTGGATGATCAAAGCTACATCGGTTGGTGACTTCATACCTCAGACAGATACGAGTGCCTATGATCTAAGAATATTTCAAAGTTGATGACTGTTTTCTCGGAAGCATCTCCAACATATCATCTGCCACCTTCTGCTACTGCGTTCACGTGCTGGCATTCGAAGTGCTGCAGATAGGTACCTATTGCTACACGGAGCCTCGGCATTTCGGCCTGCCCGTGGGCAGAATGTCCTTTCAAAAGAAGCAAGAGCTGCATCAATAATTTTTTAAATCATATCTTTGTGTCGAATAGAGACAGATAATAATCACGTTTGGGTTCAATGGTCGGATATTGAGCAGACAATTAGCGTATCCTCCCTCAAAGCCCAGACCCGGCACTTCTCCACAGTCTTAACCTCTGCCCAGGAAGCTCTCCAGGGCTCTCCAGCTCCCATCCCAGCACAAATCCACTTCCGCCCACACCTTTCCCCGCCTCCACAACTCCATTCGCACCGCCCCAGAGCTTCCTCTCACGTCCACACGCCAGAATACTCGAGGCAGAGTATGCGCGCCCAGGACGATGTACCTTGATCGATACGGAAATCGAATGTGTCGCTCTGAGGAGCACAGCTAGGGATGAGTGCGAGTTCCCCGACCAGCAGCGCGACCCCAGCTGCGAACTTGAATGGGGCAGGGGTAGTATCTCCTGTACAGCAATTTCCACCGCCCAAGCAGATCCGGTTTGTGAATAATGAAGGGCAACCGCCGCCCAAGAGGAGACGGATCAATGCTGCGTAGGTTTATCCTCTATTTTGGTGGTTGTGGTGGTCTTGAGTCCAGACTTGCGCCTGATTTGATGCGCGCGATGCTCTTTCTTGTGGCCTTGAAGGGATTAATGGAAGTTGAGCTGATGGGTTGTTAACTTAGGTGTCGAACATGTCGGAAACGTAAAACGAGGTGCGATGGCAAGCGGCCTTTGTGCTCGACTTGTACGGATAATGGGCATGAATGTATGGGATATGCGGAGGGTTCGGAGGGAAATATGAAGAGGGAGAGGAAGGAAAGCGATAACGGTTCACGGAGAGATAACGATGACGATGATGATGAGGACGAAGACGCAGATGGGACTTCAGCAAGGAGAGAAAATGGGCATAGGCAAAGACTGTCCCAGGGCAATTATCAAGGCGCAAGTCCAGACCTCAAGAGGGGAGATACAAATTCAAAGCAGCAGACTTATGGCAGCTATGATCCGAGCCCTCAGAAACGACTGGACGTGAGAGATGGTGGGAAAGGACGTGGCTCGTTTATGGATTATAGAGACAGTGCGGTGTTTTCAGACGAAGCGCAAAGCCCAACAGGTATGTTGATGAAGGTTGCGGGACGATCAGATACTGACTGGTCTCTTAGCGGAACGATCACCTACTGTATCGCACGAGAACCACCGAGTACCATACTTCAGATATTTTGGTCCTACTGCGATTGTTCCAGGCTTCAAACAAATGGTTGTTTCTGTTAGAGAACATCGGAGGAGTACAGGCGGATCTTCAGTAGCGAGTAAGTTCCAATTTCGTGGAGACACGTACAGTCCTAACGTTGCAGTGTCTCCAGGCTCAAATGGTATTGGTGGCGGAGGATCTGTGTATGGAGGCGCACAACCACAAACTGGAGCAGAGCCAAGGTCTGCTATCGACATGCCAATATATGATCAGAACGACCCATTACCTGTGAACAGACTGATCGTCCATCTCGTGGAGACGTTCTTTGCACATCTGGGATCAAACTACCCTTTCCTCCGTCAGAAGTCGTTTCTCCAACGCGTGGAAGAGAAATCTGTAGAGCCAATCCTTGTTGATGCGGTCTGTGGTCTAGCTGCTCGCTTTTCTGACCACCCACTTCTTATCGGGCATCCCGACAACCTATTACCCAGATCAGAGTACGGGCATGGGTTCGCGCAGAGAGCAAAAGCTGCTGTGGTCGATACGTTTCCATGTCCAACGGTAGCAGCAGTGCAAGCATGCTTACTGCTTGCCTACGAGGGCTTCGGGGCAAATCAAGATAGTGCTCTTTGGATGTATTTGGGATGCGCGATTCGAATGGCTGTGGATTTGGGTCTACAGAAACTCGATGGTGTCAAGCATCAAGGACAGAAAGACCCTGGATATCACCGATCAAGCAATGACTCGTCACGTTCAGATGTTCTTCCCGCGATCAGTATCCAAGAGATGAAAGATGTAGAGCAGGAGAGGACCGACACCCTCTGGGCTGTATTTATGCTCGATCGAGTCATTTCGTCCGGCACAGGGAGACCTGTCACTTTGAGAGATGAAGACTTCGAGTTATCGTTCCCAGAGATCACATCGAATGCCGATAGTGGATGGCCGAATCCGTTCCCTGCATTGATTCAGATCATACACCTGTACGGCAGAGTATCAGATCTGTTGAACAATATCAGAGATGCCAAGGATGTCACTCCAAAAAAGATCGACGGACTTCAGGGGATGGAGAAAGATCTCACTCAGCTGTACCAAAGACTGGACCAGAGGTTGACGTTCAACGCCGCAAACTTTCAGCATTATGTGAAGTCTGGGGAGGGAACAAATTTTATCTTGGTTAGTTCAATTCTAACATTTCCCAAGCCTGTCACTAATGTGGTATAGGTCCATTTCTGGTTCCATACTCTTATTATGCTTCTCCACCAACCGACACTGATGCATTCGTTCGAAGGCCAAATTCTGTCCCTGCTACCCCACAGTCGAGAGCTCAGCATGTCTTCAGCAAAGACAATAGCTGATATTCTGGCTTTTGCGGAATTGATCGATCCTAGGAGCTTTATCGGGAACCCATTTACCAGTCAACCAATGTACATTGCGGCATGTGCGTTTCTCATGGAGTCTGCTGCTCACACTGCATCGCAGCCCACTTCACGAGATGCAAGTCCTCCTCGAAATGGCAATAAAGCACCAGATGTCAAGGATGCCGCTTTGAAGAGCATATCTAATGAGCAGAAACAGAAGCACACATTACTTGCTTCAGCTGCCAATCAAAATTATCAACGATGTTACAAGGCTTTGCAACAACTGGAAACGTACTGGGCTGGAACAAGATATATCCTGGTGGCACTTGATCAGAAAGCCAAGGGCATTTGGGACCCAGAAACCTACACCGAGCAGGAGTACGAAAGTACAAAGATCAGACACGATATGATACCCAGTTGGCAAAGAAAATTGACGGCGCCTACACCTGGCCGTTTCCCTGATTTGAAGTCTCCTCGAATGGAAAATCTGCCTGGATCGCCAGCTATTGATCCTTCACAAGCAATTGGATGGTCATTAACTGGCACCACAAATTCTCCAAGTTCAAATCTCACATTTATGTATCAAAATATGGCGGGCGAAAATCCCCAACCGCCACCTCCGCCTCCACCAGCAGCAGGAAATATGATTTACGACCCTATTCGGCAGAGTCTGCCAGAGGCGACGTCATCATCTACATCAACATCTTATCACCCGCGATATGCCGCCTTCGCAGCACCACGTCGACAAAATCCTCAACCAATGCCACCACCAGCTCCCAAATACCCCTCTATGACCGCCGATTCAGCCTCAACATCAGACGCCGAGATGCTTCTCGGCCTTCAAAGCTCACCTTTCGCTCACGGCACACCAACTTCGCACCATTCCTACGACCAGAACATGACATCACCATCTAATCGTCAGGATCCAGGCTCGTACGATTTCTCCCAGAGCAACAACGGATTCCCGGGCACGAATCTCGCGGGAAATGTGGGAGACATGATGATGGAGAGTCAAGAGATAGATATGACATCTATGGGCGGGGAGATGATGCCTTGGCTAGAGTATCTCCCGCAGGATGTGCTGAACTTCTTTGATAACGGCGCGACGACTCAGGTTGGAATGCCTGCTGGGGGAGGATTGACTGGAAATGTAGATATGAATCTAGGGAATGGGGGAAATGCTTGACCAGTTAGAGACGGCGTTTAGACATCTTGTGTATAGGGTATGATTTTCCTTGCTATATATTTAGGTGCAGGATACCGCTGGGTCGGAATTCCTGAGAGGGATATTCGGAGGCATTGGATTTCGGCGTCGAAAATACAGCGTCATGAATTCTGGCCTTCGCTGCGTCTTGGCCTGGCATACGCCCTAGACGAATGTACTCGGTGTATTTCCGTGCATCTCTTTGCTACGTACAGAACATATACCCTGTATATATTACAGCATGTATACAACTTCCTAACAACATCCATGGGTTCAAAAGTCAATTGAGCCATACTCCCTTTCTCAGAATCTGTCCGGACTTGAGCTCTCCCAAAGTCCGAAGCAGCACTTACGTCTTCAATGAATTCTGTCTCGAAGCTGGCTACGAGACAACAGCAAGCCAAGCCGGGCCAGCCTCGCTTAATATTGTTTGGGATGGTGGGGAGTGATGGATTTAGACTTTCCCATCTTGTTTCGAGATTCGGGGGCTAGAACAGGTAGATGCTGTGCATCACATCTTGGGAACATCGCTTACAAAGTTTTCGCGTCCACGATGAAAACAAGGTTTTGTTTTTTGACAGCGGGCGCCTGACAGGAGGGGTTGTGCACAAGTGGGTTGGGCTCTCCGCTGTCAACTTATGCGGTGGGGTTGAGGAAGGGGTTATGGTCTGCTGCTGTTTGGTGTTTGGAGTAAGCTGCGCATTCAGTGGATTCCCATGATAAGTTCGGAACTGCACGTTTCGTCTCAACTTCTACAGGGGCAAAATGGCATGAATTGACTACCGGATAAGCATTACCTTATCTGGACAAGACTTACCCTATTCTCGGAAATATAAGTGGGACGAGTGGATATCTTTGCGTCTGAACAAGGGGGAGTATCTCAGATCGACTTTTCGCTTTCACTTTCCCCCGGACAAGCTTTGCTCAGCCTGGAAATGGGATGATTAACCGAGCTGTCATGTTTGAGAATCGAATGTTGCTATGCTTGGCTTTTTGGTTTTGTTGTCCTGGTAGGGAGTGTGAATGCGGTTGTTTGAAGTGGTACGTTGTTTCCGATTTGCGGAGGAGTTGTTTTGTTTGGTGTATTTTGAGGGTATGTCTCTGGTGATAAAGGGGGGAGGGGCCGTTGGAGGGGCCGGAGACGAGTGAAAATTACCATGAGCGTAATTTCTAGGTGATTTTGGGTGAGCAGGAATTCGTAACTTGTTGATTACTTTCCTCCGGTCAAGTGTCGACCGCATAGGACAAATGAAGTCTTTGGATGTGATGTCGTTTGGCTAATTGTCAGAGGTGCTGCCAAAGATTCTCTCTTGATTGTCAAATTTAGCGAGCCCCTGAATTTCGGCGGTACCGTAAATATGCCCTAAATGCTCCTTCCCGAGGTACCTCAGGGTTCAGTGATCCTCCGATCAGCAACTGATCAAACTCCCTGGCAGCGTCTCTTTATCGCTTAGCTCACCGTGGACTGGAATGCATAGAGGAGAGGAGCCCCCACAGCAACATGGAACAAATGGAACAGCCCTACGGATGGAGAGGTGGAGTCTCCACAGTGCGAAGGATTCTAACAGGATTGACTCAACCCCAAAAATACTCTAGCGAGAGATTCAAGCGAGTCATAGGCTCGACGTCTGAAGTGAATGCATGAGCTAGGTGGAGAAGGGCCGTTTGGAAAAGTTGGTATTTTGAGAGAAGTACTCATTTATCCGATTTTTTGGTATTGGCGTTGGTGAGAATGCACTGCTTTCTTTGAAAGCAAAAGGTCATTTTAACTTTTCCATTGTTTCCAAGACGATGTTCGTCTGCCCTAGCATTGTTGTCGGTGGTATTTTGGGACGAGAGACCGAAATACTCGGCGATTGTCGTACGGATGGGTGAAAACGATGTTGACGTTCAGTTGTATAAGTATGCCTTCAATGTCTGAAGTAATTTGATTCTCCAGGCTCTTCGTCTTCATCCAATCCTTCTCCTTACAACACTCTTTCAGTCATTTTCATTATCAACAGTTCCTTGAACACTCCTTTACTTCATCCGTAAACATGCCTTCATCCAAGCTTCTCGCTACGCTTCTCACTCTGGCACCTGCCATCAACGCCGCCATCCCTCAAGTTCCAGGCTTCAATATAACTTGGAGTGATGATTTTGTCGGAACTGCGAAGAGTCTGCCAAATCCAGCAAATTGGCTAGTCACAACTGGTACCTCCTACCCAGGCGGTGCTCCTCAGGTGAGTCTCAGTTACTCGGGATTGGTTTCCCCAGCTATCTTTAAGACTTTCCACGCATCTGGCAGAACATATCTAACAAATCACAGTTCGGAACAGGCGAAATCCAAACATACACCAGCTCACCCAACAACCTTGCCCTTTCCGGAAATGGCACACTATCTATCACTCCCCTCCGCGACGCAGCAGGTGCCTGGACATCAGCCCGTATCGAGACCCAACGTACAGACTTTCAAGCAGTCGAGGGAGGCAAGATGCGCATCCAAGGCAGCGTCGCCATGCCCGACATCACTGGCACAGAGGCGATAGGCTACTGGCCCGCATTCTGGACGCTCGGCGATCAATTCCGTGGAGTGTTCACCAACTGGCCTATTGTTGGCGAGTTTGATATCATGGAGAACGTCAACGGGTTGAACAATGTTGCTGGCACTCTACACTGCGATGTCAATCCCGGCGGAGTATGCGACGAAACCAACGGCATCTCTTCTAAATCGCCATGCGGCAGCGGCGCCCCCTGCCAGGGAAACTTCCACACATTCGCCGTTGTGGTCGATAGAAGTGTCAGTCCTGAGACGCTCAGCTGGGAGGTCGACGGAACTACTTATCAGACTGTGACAGAGACTCAGTTGGGAAGTGAGCTTTGGGCTACTACGGTGCACCACGGCCACTTCATTCTACTGAATTTGGCGATTGGTGGATCTTTCCCGAACAATGTTCAGGGAAGCACGACACCGATCGAGGCGACTAGACCAGGGGTTCCAATGAGAGTCGAGTATGTGGCTGTTTATAACAGTATTTGAGTACCTGCTGGGTAAGCTGGGCAATTTAGAAGCTTTCGGGAAACCTCCGTTTGTTGGAAATACATTAAAAAAAACTTTTGGGTATCACTTCATATTTACTCGTGAATGACGCCTCAAGAAATCTGTGATATGCCAGGACTGTGATCAATCAAGATTTGACTATCTGTGCTTTCTGTACTGCATCTCTCCGTCAGTGGGGACCCAATGTTACTGATTAAGGTAACTGCACTTCCTTGTTATTGTCGCTAAAGGCTAAGCGAGCAAGGGTGGAAACGGTCCGATATTGGGAGCCGTATCCTAGCACACCATAATCCTTCAGCGTTGATTACCCATACCATATTTCATGACTTGGTTTCTGAGTAGAAGAACGATTGGAACATTTCAGAAGCTCACACTGGAGTCTGATCCCTCGTACTATCGTCCTCGGCTTCAAACCACGATCTTCATTGAGAGAAATTGCCTTGGCAAAAGAAGTCTCCAGCACTATTTGATTAATGCTTCTATAGAACCTCCACCATTTTGTACGATGCCTCAATGGCTGTAGGTCCAGGGTACAACTCGGCCTCTCATTGAGAAGTGTCGAGCACGACTGGCAGTAGGGATTCACCTCCCTCGCCCTAAAGCCCTGAGCCACACCAAGACCACTGGGGGTAGGCCCAGCCGGTTCAATATGAGACTAAATGCGTTGCAGATATCCCTTGAACGGTTGATATGTCGTTGAATCGCTTCAGGCTGCATGGTGCTATCTGAATTTAATGCCATCATGTGGCAGATCATCAAGACTTGGCGCATATATCTAATGCGGTTTGCTTCTCCCATGCACTGCAAGGTACATTCCAGCCAGATAGGGTGGAACCTTGCAGGTATCGATCCCATAGCTGGCTCACCAAATGACACTGCTTCAATCTCGGCAAATCCTTCTGAGATCAACACTGTATTGGCTGTCAAAACGTCGTGATCGGGGAATTCTGATGTTTGAAGTATACATTCTCGGCTGATGGCGTAGAAAAATCGTCGAAAGTCTAAACTAGGATCGCTGGTCTCCAAAAAGGCTGAAAACTGCATTATCTTCCAGGAAATTCCATATGGATCTCTCAGTCTCTGTTTAGAAGTGAGAAAGGTGTCCATGATAGAAGGTCCGTTGCCAGACTTGTATTCTAGGAAATGTTTCCGTGATACGAAGTCCGGCCCCTGCATAATCTGAAGAAATTGTACTTCCGGCTCATCGGGCGTTTCTTGAGCTAAGACTCTGGTAATATATCGGATGGCCATCATAGATGCCATCGGGTAACCGTCAAGTGCTGAAGCAATTTCTTGAAGTCTTTCACGACTAGGCAGAGTCCTGCTAGCCACCCCGCTCATTCTCTGCAACATGCCCTCCATTATTTGTACAACATCGTCATGATCCATGGAACGTAGCCTTAGGTGGTGACTCTGCCAATTTAGCTGTTCGCACAGTACCGGATTTCTTGAGGAGAATAGGATAATTTTAGCTTCGTGTGGAAGAGCCGTCCAGACCAGCTCGTAGCTTCTTAAACCGTCGAGATCATCGAGCATGAACAAAGTCTCTGCATTTTCTGGGCGCCTCAGCCACTGCTTAAACCTCTCAATCTTTTCGTCTTGGCTCAAGTTATTCCAGATATCTAGTGCGGTTGACTGGGATGTTTGATCATGCACAATCATAAGATGGCCAAGCTGGCGAGCAACGTAATGATAAGCATCTCTCAAAGAATCTTCATCTTTGGCGTAGATGAAGAAAATGTTCATCTTGTTGATTTGCTGGCGAGCGAATTCTAACAATATCTCGGTTTTGCTGGATGGCGTCAGTCGGGAGAGCTCCATGCAAATACTTGGATGATAAGAGACATACCCGATACCACCTATTCCTGTCACAGCAATTACAGAAGAGTCGTTTCTTTGGCAGATAGCCAAAAAGTCGTTGAGTAACTGCAGTTCCATCTGTCGACCCTCTAGGACTCTTGGCCTTCGCTCCGGATACAAACCTCTCCCTTCATACCATCGTTTTCCAGGCGCTAATGGGTAGTGGCGAGCATCAACAGGTGGTACACCATTAGGCTAAAAGAACAAGTCAGTTACGGATCTCATGATTTTAGGGAGCGACGTATGACGTGGGTTCCCTCACAGTTCGTTGAAGCAACGGCAGCGTTGCCATGTTTGGATTCTTAAGAAGACCTTTGATCCTTAATAGACTTGCCACTATTCTTTGATACCCTTCTCGGAATTTCGAATCGTATTTACAGATGGTATAATGGTCCACATCGGGTATTGGCATAGCTTCCTTTCCGTTTAGGGTTGCCGATGCAATGGTCACAATCTAGTGATGTCAGCTAAGTACGACGGGAAGGTTGGCAGAACACAAGATCTTAGCGAGGAACGTATGAGTGAACGTGCCTGACGACTTGCTTCAGCAGACTTGGTCTCTCTTGATTCACAAAAGCTTTCATATGGTGGGTTTATTTTCAAGTTTCCGAACTCCTCATTTGCACGGGTTGAGAGGCAGTTGAACGATCGTAAAGAATTGACAGTGGCATCTGCATGCACATCTCCGGTGATCTCAATAAGGCTGTCCAGGTATCTATTCCAGTCTGCATCCCCAGAGCCTGAGTGCGGTGTACTGAGGAAAACTGCCCCACAAAGATTGGACTTGATGCCGTTAAACAAGTGTGGAGAACCATCCAAGCGTATCATGGCTTGTCGGACTACCAGACCGCCGAGAGAATGGCAAACGAAAATTATGGGACGACTAATCTCCTATATTTGATCATGACATCAGAATAGTCTCAAGAGACTCAATTCGCACATGGTAGATTCCGGTGAGCAACTAGATTCGGCATACCTCTTCAGTAGTTCTCAATGAGCTTATACCACTGAGCAAGTCAATTGACCACTCTTGAATTCCGGACAAGTCATCTGAGAATTTCAGCAAGGCGTTATATCCAAAGGTTAATATTCGAGAGCCATCGAACGGTTTTGTCTTTGGGAGCAGATCGCGAAGCCACATCACGGCCTCGCTTGCCCATGTATCGAAAGCATTTCCATTCAGACCATGGACTGCACATATACTGCAGTCGCCGATTCAGCTTTCGGGAACAGCTCCTTTTTCAGCATTCTCGGGTTTGAAGAACTCACTCGATATCTGGACGAGGGCCCGAATGAAGTACTGTAATGCCATTGAAGTTGTCATCATACCGCCATTTACCTCGATGAGCAACAGCGTTTTCTTTGTGGACTTCAGAAGAAAATGTAACTGTGCCAATCTGCTCCCCAAATTGAGGTGCGAGTGAAGTGGCAATAAATTCCACTGTGTCTGTCTCTTTTCTAGAACGGAAGAACCGCTTCTTCTTCGATGGCGCGGATCCCAGTTCCCTTGCTAGCTTATCAAAAGCCTCCTGCGAGAGATCTACTGGGAGCCCCTTCACTCTGATTGTCCTCGTTGCGGAAGCCTGCATCATTATGAACTGCTGTGACAAATTGCAAAACTTTCTGCTGCTCTGTGTGAGACCGAATGTCCTCCGGGACAGAAACCTGGACGTCCGAAAGGGCGAGCTGAAAGCCAGCATTACAATCGGGCGTGGTTGTTCAGCCACGGCGCTAGGGAGGGCACAGTGGACCAATCAATCTATCTACAGCGAAGGCTGCCAGCTACGCTGAACTCATCCCACTGCGGGGCATTCTGTGCGATGAGATATCACATCTCAGCAGGAAATCTTTCTCAACCAGAACGCTTGCTCAACAGATAGAGGAGCTAATCGGTCACTATAGGTGGCTTCCTTCTCCATGGATCATCAGGAAGCCACTGTCCCTTCACCAGAAGACAACCTTCTTGAGCACTTGCAGCAGTTTCTTTCCGTCATTGAGACCGACGTGGTTCCACGACTTCTTTTCACACGGGCTGTCCAAAGCAAATCGTTCTGGGGGTCTAGCGGGGACTTGCAAGCCTCTCCTTGTGAAAGCATAGTTCCAAGATGGCTTTTGTCTTCTATACAAGACGTCGGGGTATTCAGCCGAGCTATTCAAAGTCTGTACCACACTGGGGCCGTTGACTTGGACCCCCCTGAGCAGCTTCGTGATCAGTACAGTATTCCATCCGAATGGAAACAAAAACATCGAGAAAGGATTCTGTTGTTGGATCTTGAAAGACTCCTGTTCGATGTACTCGCCACTATGGTGCAGGCATTCCCGAATGCTTACACTGAGATTCTCTGGAAGGAAACAGAAGCCGAGCTATGGGACATTGTCATTTCAACATGTGTGCCATTTTTGGCGGTCATCGAAATTTCAGACATTGTCAGATATAGATCGCTAGAATCAAAGTGACATCAAACAACCCCAGCAGATATTGTTGCACTAAAAAGCTGACTGAGAGCAGAGATTACGATTCGGATAGCCCAACATTCTGGATGGCACTGGCTTTTTTCATCGTACGGGTTGCCACACTCCTTAAGGATCACAGCCCACCGTCACTGCAAAGTCTACTGAAAGACATCTACCGACTCCTAGTGGACGATAGTGGGAAATCAACTCTTTCAAATCTTGCCAGCCTTCAATTATCGATCGATATTCTATCCTTGACAGTTTGGGATAAAGGAGAACAAGGGAACCAACTTGAGAAACTCCAATCGCTCAGATCGACTATCCAAAATCCAGAATCTAATGCTATCCTTGACTTGGCCTTGGCCAGGTGCCACCGTGAGGTGCCGCAAACTCGTGATCTTAGCTCACTTTGGGAGTCACCCAATGCCGGAAACTGGACCGCTTGTGAACTCCTTGCCAATGCAGAGTTGAGGGGCACAAGACTCGTCATGGACATCATTAAGACGTCTTGGGACGTCCTCCCGCTTTTTGTCCGGGTTTTAATTGCTCATCAAGCAATCCAAGACCACGCCTTTGATGTTGCTCGAGAGACCCTGGAAGGCTGTATCGAGGAGATCACGTTGAGCTTTGGCGAGCGATCTATCGAACGTCTGGTCTCTGGAACGCAATTGATGATTTGCTCTAATTCAATGGCATATGAAGCAAAGACGCTCGTGTTAGCGGAAGGCCTGGCACCGTGTATCTGCGCTCACCTGACAGAAGGACGAATGGCTCGAGCTGGAAACTCGGAGACTGATGTTTGCAGCGTTGCTCAGTCAATGAGAGGTATCAATTTTGCAATCACAGTTGCAGACAGCTTTTTGGGGCTTGGGGAGTACGATTTGGCGAAATCGATTTTGACCTTTATCTGGAAATATACAAAGCCGACCGAGACTGCTATGGCTATGTGCTTGCTTCGGTTACTGAAAGCGAACCGACGACAACGAAACGAGAACTCGGATTATGACTGCCTGGCATATTTACAAAGTCTAGTTCCACTGCTTAAACATGTCTCAGGGGAAATGATTTTCCAATGCTTTGAAGAGGTGGTATGCAATCTAGAAGCAATAGATTCCCTGTCCCCCAACAATTGGGCCACCTGGAACAATACGCTTGCACAACTTCTACTCATGGACGTCTCGAAAATTCAAATTTCGAAGCCCATGATGTCTTCAATTGAAAGCTACCGTAAAGAAATCGTCCGGAAAAAAGAAAATATGGAGAAAAATCTTCGAACACTCGCACACCTTCCTAGTCTTGGCCTTGAGCCTGACTCTTCGTCAACAATTGAGATCGATCTACCCTATAATCTTCTCAAGGGAGGAGAGTCACATTACTTGGTCAGGCTTAAGTCACTGATCTTGGAAAGCTTGGAATCTTGTACGCGATCGCCAGCAAGGAAAAACTCGCTTCACGCAGAAGCGGACAGCACGAACTCTCCCTCAAACGTGGATATCGCTAGCAACCATTTTGACATCCAAGAAAGACGGTTGGTAGTTGCCATTGATTATGGGACTACATACACAGGTCAGAAATTCTCGTTCTCTATTATTATCTTTCCGTAACTATCTTCTGACGTGCTTTAGGAGTTGCAATTGCCACTCCAACCGGTTCTTCGGCATATCTTGACGAGATCGATGTTGTTCAAGATTGGGGTCCTGGGATGTGGAATCAGCAAAAAATTCCAAGTATAATATCGTACTCGACAGGGACTGAACGTCTTGAACGGCAGTGGGGTGCAGATCTCAGCCTGCAAGCATTGGCAATGGTACACACGAAGCTCCAGCTGGACGTGACCGATACAGCTTCCGAGCTAGAATTGATATCGGAGAGGTTGGAAGGGATACACGATCTCGATTATCAATATATTCCTGGCTCGGCTGGTGATACATATACTCGAAAAGGACCTGAAGACATCGTGCAGGATTACTTGGCTCGGGTGGTGGATTACTTGCTTCAAACTATTCCAAGCTTCACAGGCGAATTGAGACTGCGCGTTCCGATAGACATTGTTGCAACGATACCAGCTGTGAGTTCAGTCACTATCAGTCCTTGCGGCCTAATTGGGTAAGCTGACATCTTCTAGGGTTGGAGTTACCGGGCTAAGAACTCTTATTACCAGGCATTGAGGTATGCCGGTCTAAATAAGGATAATTTTCCAAGAATGAGCAACATTCTTTTGGTCTCAGAAGCTGAAGCAGCCGCCGCGTATACAGCAAGATATCTCAAAGAGTCCTGCGGAACAGATATATTGAAGGTAAGCACGAATATTACCTCGATGCAGCAATGTGATGAGCAAAGTCTGACAATGTCCGCCCTGATTTTAGTTAAGGGAGTGCTTTTTAGTCTGTGATGCTGGTGGCGGTACAGTTGTAAGTGCGCTTCTCGATGTGTTTGATTCCCAGTTTTCACACCTGCAGGACGTCGTAGCATATAGAGTGAAAAGCCTGGAGCCGATGTTTGAGATGGAAAGAATAACATTACCGACAGGTGAGCGTCATATTCTCCACCCGTCGGGGTCTTTTCTGATATTTCCATAGCTGCAAGGTGCGGATCGATATTCATAGACATGGCCTTCAAGAGATGGCTGAGTCGATTACTCGGCCCTGAGCTCTATTCTCAATTGGATGGGGGCCACTTGCTTGAAAGAATTGGGTCACACGGAAGAGAAGGAGCGCGAATTCGATATTTGATGAGGCATTTCGAGGAATACAAGCAAAAATTTCGTCATGGCCATCGAGCCATACATCTGGATTTGCCGGAGCCATTCGAAAATCTTCACATTGATGGTAGGGTAGACAGTGGGCAGATTACGATAAGTTTGTAAGCTCGTGTTCTCCGTGTTAGCGATCTCTACTAATTTTAAATAGCGAAGATATGAAATCATTCTTTAACCCATGTGTGGATTTGGTGTTTGAACTGATCGCCGGGCAATTGATGCAGATCGAAACTATGGGACTACGAGTTCGAGTAACGTTCATAATCCGAATGTTAAGATGAAGCTAATTTGGGTATAGAACCTTCTTCTCGTTGGCGGGTTTGCAGAATCGAAGTACTTGCAAGAAGAACTGACCCAGTCACTCACGCTTAGACGTATCGCTTTGCGGCTACCTGATACTTCGTTAGTTCTGATATGCTACAAAAGTCCCGAGGAAAATCTACTAACGCTTCTCAGATGGACTGCTGTCGTACGTGGGGCCGCAATAATGGGAATCGAGAAGTCAAGATTCTCAAACAGCATGGCGCACACCGAAATGTGCTCGACGGGATACGCAATAGCTGTGAATGTGCCTTTTTCGGAGGTTTCACACAATCCTTCAGACTCGAATATTGACCCAATTACCAATACAACGATCGCAACTTCGCAGCTAGAATGGTTCGTGAAGAAGGACGATTTGATCCTCCCCGAAAGTCCTCGGAGAGTGGAGCTGGGGCCTTTTGCTCTGCAATTTGTGGGGGAGACTTCTGGTAGAGGTACAATTCCCATATATGGCTATAACGGAGAGGAAGATCCGCCCGCAACCCTATCTCGCTCAATGTCTGGTGAGTGCATTTCCCTCAAGTGGCGAGTGTTGCCGCACTGAAATTAATTTTGATAGATCTTACACACATTCACACTATCAACTATGATTTGAGCAACATACCGCCAGACGAGTTCACTAAGTTCACCTCCCGTGGCCAAAAATCACCTATGCACATGATTCCAGTCATGCTCGAACTCGAGGTTGCAGCTGCTTCGTTACATATATCTCTTCGCATGAAGAACAGAAATCTTTATGTGGCCAAAATTCAAGGGATACAAGGCGATCGTGCAAAAACCCCTGTGTCTCAAATGAGCCCGTTATTTTCGCCTTTGAGCAAGCCATCCGTGCAGTTGCTACTGTATTTGGCGACTCTCCAAAGACCACAGGTCACACAAGACCAAGCATCAGCATCTTCAGCGACAATCAACAGTAGCAGAGGTACCAAATCTAAATTGGGTTTCAAAGGATTGAAGTCATTGAGATCTAAAGACAGAGACACGGTTGTGACACCCCCGATCTCCGAAACAGTCGTGATCTGGAGCCCCTCTGCTACTGCTAAGACATACGAATTATTCAAGTCTCTTTCGAGTCCAGACGATGCATCTTTGACCCTCTTACCAGGGAAGAGAAGATCGCCACTAGATGTCAGAGAACTCAATGACCTAATCAGAACAAAGTATTCTCTGGACCTAGACATATGGAGTTTACGTCACTGCCGGCCCAGAGATAGGGACATGGTGAAAGACAAGATGAGGAGATCCGATGCAGCTCTGGCCAAGATCATGGCTACAGTGAACCTCTGGGATCATCTTGAGGACTGGGAATCCGAGCAGAATTGGCGTCAATTACGCGCAATCAAGGAGCGTTTAATAAGGAGTAAGATATGTCTATGGTCTGAAGCGCCGCCTTGGGAGTGATGATCCGTATCGGGGCAGACAATTGTACGTAACACTACAAGGTGCTATGGTAATCTTGCTGACATAAAGTATGTAGTTCTGTTTGGCCGTAACTGGATAGTGTCAAATTCAACGCAGCGATTCGGACCTATTAAAGCTTCAAATCCGTGACCGACGTCGCGATTTCTGTGTTCGGCTCCAACCACTTCTCCAATATTTGGGTCCTGTCATGAAGGGGCTTTGCATGGTGTTCTCTTACGATTTCTTTTTTCTATTCTGATTCTAGTATCTGTCAGCTCCAATACTGATATCTTCCAAAGACTAAGTCTGCTACTCTTGCATGCTACATCTCATCAAAAGTTTTTATGCCTGTCCACGATCATCTCGAATGTCAAGGGAAATCAACCGCAAAATCATCTTTGGGAACTCTGTCATATCACACAACTTAACATACAAGAGTTGAGTCTCTGGGGTGTCAGGATGGAAATCTTTGGCGAGGGTAGAATCCTTTCGTGTGGTGGCTGTCTGTTTCAGATCCTACAACCTCTAGTGTTCGGACATGAGCTAACCACCACCAATTGCCACATTGCACGGGGGTATAGGCCAAGTTTGACCCAACTCTCCCGCCTTCACTTGATGAACATTTGCTTTGCTCCACTATAATCTTTCTCAAACGAAGCGAGAACATCTTGTTTATCAGAGAGTCAAATCAGCTTATCACTGGTAACGCGCTCCTATAGCATCAAGCTTCCTCCTCTTGTCCATCCTGCTGGACTTCCGGCACAGCATTCATGCCCACAATATTACTTTCCGCCTTAACATTTAGAATACATGTAAACTTGGGATCTATCGCAACATCAAATTCGCCTTGCCGATCCACTCCTTCTTCTGCTCCGGGATCCTTCACATTCCGCCTTCTTATCCCAGACAATAGCGACATCTCTTTCACTTCAGGCGGTGATAATGATTTGGTACCCGTTGAATCATCGATGCCCATGCAGAATGTGTCCTTCCGCGTAGTCGATTTGTACAGTCCAAACATATACTTCTTACAAGCTAGTTGAAGCTTTGCGTGGAAATGCCATTGTCCCCGCTTCTCCTCATCAAGTAGATCAATATCGAATAGTTCACTTTGATTGAGAAGCTTGCTCGCATAGGTCCAAGAGAGGATGTCAGCGATAGAGCAGTAATTGCGGGGTAAATGGCGTCTGTATCCTGCCTCCAGGGTCTCGTACGGGATGAGGATGATATAGGCGAAAAGCCAGACTATGATGACAATGAAGATAGGGAGAGATGCTGTGCAGGTACATGTGTAATCTCCGTTGTCGACAACTGAGATGCTACCGCCGACAAGAATTGGGAGTAGACGCTGAAGTGGGGCAAGTGCTGAAATTCTTGCTACTTTCCAATGATTGTTCGTTAATGCTGTATATGTGACAATATATGGTAGCGCGCAATTGTAATCCAGTAATAGATTCTCGGACGCCGGTTGAGGTGAATCACTGTACATGAATGGTTGCGTGGATCGGGTGAAGAGATCCAAATCCTCCCAGAACCAAGTAAATAGCGTGACGACAAATGTGAGCGAGAATTGAAACAGAAACGCTGCCAAATTTGCAGAAAATGGTATGTTATATCCCTTCACCATGTTTGTACATAGCCCAGCGATGAAGAGTCCGCACAGAATGGACGCGATCGTTGTCCAGATGTACATTGGAACTCGTTCCATGTTGGTATATGTCGAGCGATATCGAAGCTTTTGTACCGACTCCTGAGACACTGGAAGCAATTAGCATCGTCGTTGAATATCTGAGCTCCGCATCTAACTCACATTTTATGATAGGGTTTGGTTGAGCTTGGCCTTCAAGTGCACTGATGCCATTCTCGAGCAGTCCGAATCCGTGCCAATAGCTGGTGGTGTTGCCTTCGATTCTCTTCCAGTATCCAAGTTTTAGAGGAAGATCTTTGAGGACTTCGAACATCGACCCTCTAGTAGCCATATCTGTTCCTTCGAAATGTCGCAAGAAGTTGGAATGTCGGAATAATATCAAGTGATCAGCAAGCGAGACAGGGTCCCAGCGAAGTCCAGTTGAGCCTGCAGCTTTCATGCGGAAGATCACCACCAACATGAATACAGCAACGAATGAATAGATAGCAATAAGAGGGTATAATGCCCATGTAGCAACGATTGCCTCTCGGTAACCATCAGCGACGTTCGTGTTGAGTAAACTGGCTTTGAATCCAAGGATCACGTTCCCTAAAATGAACAAAGTCCATGCAAATCCCAGAGTGAAGTTCTTTGTTTTAACAACGTCCCTGAGACTTGGGTCTGGAAAGTATTCTCTCAAGATAGATACTCCAGCTGTTGATCCAGACGGTGCGGCACACAGGATGAATGGGGTCAATCGGCTCAAAGTCAGGGTGATACCTCGCAGGAATGATGAAGTTATCGTGCCAATCACAGCTGGAAATATCTGAACGAAGAAATATCCCCATTGGTTGAGAACTTTAAACCTCGGTTTGAAGATTAGGGTTATCATGAGGCCCAAGATAAGAAGGTTGAAAGCAAGGCTGGAGTACAAAAACCATGGTCGCAGCATGAACGGTTTGAATTCTAGTGGTGGTAAGCCTAGATGGTGGGCTTCCTCTTCTGTGAGAGGCACGAGCCTGGAGATAACATTGGTAGTATTTTCTACAAGAATCATTAGCGAGGATTAGGAAATGACAGTATTGAGCAATACCAGGTTCGATTCTAGCCTCGGGCTTTTCAACTTCAATAGCAACGGCAAGGATCACACTTTGCTGCTGCGATGGAGGCTCCACATGATTGTCTGAGATTGATGTAGTGATACCAGTTTGCTGGGAAGGCTGTGGTGAAGGGGTTCTCAGCTTTCGAAGAGGTATCGCGCTGGGGTCCTGTGAAGGGCGAACTTCAGGCCTTATTTCCGATTTCATGACTCAAACTAGCCTTGTGAACAAGCAGTACATTGAATACCAGTAATATAAGAGCTGAAGCATTTAGATTGGAACTTAAACAATTACTTATGCCGGTCGGGGATATTGGCTTTTAAACCTCACGAGCAACCGACAGCCTTGTGCAAGTTTTTGCCTTCAATTTCCCAGAGTCAGTCTCCTGCAGCCATCTTGGCAATTCTCTCCGACATCACACTGCTTTTTCTAAGGCTGAAGTTAATAATAGTGCCCTTCCGATAGGGTGAGAACTGAAACAGACAGATGTGGCGTCAAGCCAAGAGGCATTGCCCGAAGGCGAAGTTGCGCGGCTCAAGCAACTCTGAGGCTGTTGACTTCTCGGTGAGCACCTCACCGAGCTTTCTCGACTGAGACATCAGACACAGAGCGGCAAGTTCCAAAAGCTACCTATAGAGTGTTAGAGTGATTTCTAGATCGTGGTAGAACTCTACGGGTGCCACCTCGACAGCTCAAATGGAGGGGATTTGAGCTCGCCAAGCACAGCCACCTTGTTGCACAGAGTAGTGTAGGTAAGGCTGTCAACATGTGTGGTTACACAGCAGCAATGCTATGGCCTAATTGCCTGAGCGACTATGAATTTGCACGAAAATGCACGAATATGCAAGATCAAGAAAAGGCTACAGTCGACTTGAAGTATAAGCGATGTCCGAGCGAGCAAGACTTGAGTCCGTGAATTGGCACCCTCCATGTTCTAGGTGGGCAGGTTACATGCAATTCTCCGAAGGCTCCCAGCCTCTTCTAACTACTTCCTCACTGCTGTGCGAAGTTTTTTTGATTCTCTCCCCGGGCTACTTTGTCAACGCTTGATTGTAAGTGATGGAAACTCGGCTGTGTTTATCATTTATTTGACAATTGCTTTGCCTCCCAACGCAAGGTGCGAAACCACAAGTATGACTTGAAAGGAATACGTCCATCCACTGTGGCTTATTCCCAAATTCAACAGAAGACCATCTGATCGTTGAAGCAAAAGAGTGTGTCGAAATGACAACAGACGAGTAAATGGCACCGGAACGTCACCGCCGGGGGAACTCAATGGCTTCAATTCCCCTCTCCTCAAAATCACAAATTCTCTACATGATATATTCACCATCCTATCAATTCCGAATCCTTCGATTGAATCGCAAACAGTTCCACAGCAATCTTACACACCTGTCCAAATCAAACTTTCCACGCAAAGCCCGAGTCACATATTTCCGAACGCGTCTCCCCTAAACCTTCCTCTCCAACACTTACAAACGAGTACTCGAGGTCATCTTCAAAGTGATCTGTCTACATTTCCATTTCCATCTTCCAGTCAATTGCGCAGCGCTTCGCCCTATCTCTCTCCAAAGCGGCGGCACGGACAACGTAGCAGTGTTCACTCCAAGCTCGACACTGGCCCGCCCAGCCCATTGAAAAGCCCACCCATAAACTCCATGCAATGCTCCCATCCCAGCTTTTTAACAATGGAATTTGGAAATCAAAATTATATTGACAGCGAGATTACCGTCCTCTCAACAAGGCGCCACTGATATATCCACATCCGTATTTCGCACCTCGTGTGCGTTCCGTTCCATGTTGGCTTGGCGGTACGTACGGGAAAGGAAAGGATTAAGTTAAGCGAGGAGGAAGTAAACAAAGAACGCACCCGCAAAAAAGCGCGGGCTTGGCTTGTTGAAGCGCTGATCCCCAATTCTGCGGGAGCTTGAGATCTTGGAGTGTGGAGCTGGAGTGTATATCAGATTTGAATCAAGGACTTGCGATTGGTTATAAATTCTCTACCATGGTCCTAGTCTTATTGGGGCGTGGAAAAATATCACAGGGCATGCCATACGCCGCTTATTTCTCATTTCTCATTCCTCACCTCCCAAACTTCAGCTCCAAGTGACGGGAGTAAATCCGCAAAGTGTCAACACGGCGTTTTAGTATCACTCGCAAAATCATAGCTACCTCCATAGCGCCGCGCGAGAAAAATCTCCCAACTCGCAGCTCCCTACTCCACCCTTCTCTCCAATAAATCAAGTATATAAATAATAAAAAAAGGCATCTTTTCAACTCAACACCTCCACATCATCAACCACCAATTATGTACTACAAATAAGATAAAATCAATTATCCCGATTCAAATACAGATACAGAGGGAATAGACCTAGCCCTTTCCTGTCAATTCTTTCATATCTCCCCCTCCCCCCCTAATATTATATATTTGATCGTAAGCTTGAGAATTAAAGCCTGCTTGGATTCAGTTAGCGCACGCTTCGTATTCGATTCTATTCTACGAACGACTCTCTCTCAAAAAAAAAAAAAAAAAAAAAAAAGGCGTTGCGGTTTGTTCCTTGAGGGACCACGACTCGGGAGGAAACGGGGGGAGAGAAGTCGGAAATAAGTATGAATGGATGAATGAAAGGAAGAGATTTTGAGAGCGCGTGGTGGGTGGGTGGGTGATAATGAATACTTCCTTCGGGCTTGATGAGATCCATTACTTCGACGCATATACGCAGCGTTCCTTCTCATTCTCATTCCCATTCTCATCACCCTCCCCACTTCTATAATCATAGTCTCACTTCCCCGAAAGCGGAAAGATGATCCGTTAATTTTGTCACAAAGCTAGCCAGTCACACAATACCTATAGAATAGTTGGAAGTACCTAGGTACCGAACGACATGGTTCGTCACGTGCTGAGAGGAAGAAGAAGAAGAAGAAGAAGAAGAAGAAGAAGGAGAACGAAGGAAGAGTGCAGCGCAAGCAGGATGAATAGGTAGTGGAGGGGGAAGAAGAAAGGATATAATCATTTTTGTTATTTTTGAAGTCTTTGCAAAAAGCAGAAATGCACTGCTATCTGTTGTCTGCTGTCTGTTGTCTGTCTTTCTGGCTGTCATGTATAGTCGTTCGCATCGTTTAGAACCCCTCCAACCTGCCTGCATTTGTAATTACAGCTCCTCTCTCCCATTCCGAAGAGCAAAACAAACAAAAGGACGAGCGCTTTTTTTTTAGATCCCTACCTTCTCAACCCCCCCAGACTGCCATACCTGCGCTATTTCGCTCTCTCAGGATAAAGAAAGATTGAATAAACCGCTTCAACAAATCGCATGCGTCTTCCCCGACTTGCCCTGCAAACTATGCTTCTCCTTCCTATACGCCGAATGATTATGACTGCTCTTCCCAGAATGACTCTGATGCTCGAGGATATACTTCTGGCTCCTCTTGATCTCCTCCTTATCCATGGAGTCCAAGACGCTCATACAAAGCTTAATATCGCAAAGCAGCTGATCGCATCGACTCTTACTGAAATCCTCTCTCACCACCACACGCAGCATCTTCAAGGCCTTGGTGTTGGGCGCCATGGTATAGGCTGGGACGACCCAGGATCGGCCGCGGAGCTGATGCGCGAGTGCGAACTCGTCGTAGTGGTGGCCGTTCTTGGGGTTGAGGCGGAATGCCACGAGGGGGAGGCCGGCGCCGTTCTTTTGGGACATGATGATGAAGCCGAGTTGGGAGAGGGAGTCGGAGAGGTAGTCTGCTGTGCGGGTGAGGTTGGACATGATGCTTCTGTAGCCGTGCTTTCCGAGGCGGATCAATTGGTAGTATTGTCCGATTACTTGGGAGGCGCCTTTGGAGAAGTTGAGAGTGAAGGAGGCTTGGTCTGCGCCGAGATAATTGATATTGAAAACGAGCTCCTTGGGGAGGTATTCTGGGGACCGCCAGACTACCCAACCTACACCGGGGTAGACGAGGCCGTATCTGGTGATGTTAGTTTGATATAACGGAATGAGAGAAAGAGGAACGTACTTGTGACCAGAAGTGTTGATCGAAACCACCTTCTCCAGTCGGAAATCCCACTCCAACTCAGGCACCACAAATGGTGCTACGAACCCCCCACTAGCGGCATCAATATGGATAACCGTATCAATGCCTCTCTTAATGAGTAAATCATTCACAGCCTTCGCATCCTCGTACTCCCCAGTATACGTCGTCCCCAAAATAACACAAATACCAATCGTATTCTCATCCACCAAATTTACCGTCTCCTCCGGATCAATCACATACCGATCCTGCGTACAATACACGTATTTCTCCTCGACCTCGAAATACCTCGCTGCCTTCTCCCAACACACCTGCACAGCAGAGCTCATCACGATATTCGGCTTGTCCCACGGCTTGCCGGCTGCCTTTCGGGCGTTCTGCCAGCGCTTCTTCATGGCGAGGACGCCGAGCATGATGGCTTCTGAGGAGCCGACTGTGGAGGTTCCGACGGGGGCGTCGTCTTCGGAGGAGGTGGGGGCGTTGAAGAGGCGGCCGATCATGGAGACGCAGCGGTTTTGGATGTCGGCTGATTGGGGGTATTCTTCGTAGTCGATGAAGTTTTTGGAGAAGGATTCGGTCATTAGGTCTTCGACTTCTTTTTCCTGTAAATATCCTAGTCAGCTAATATGCTCTTGCTCTCCATATTTCCCTGTTTCTATGTTTATTATGGGAAAATACATACCATGAAAGTAGTTACGAATGAAGCCAAGCTAAAAACCAGCAATTAGCACATGTCCTCTAAGTCAAACCCTCCTCTCTCCTCTGCACCATTCCTAGGAACCATGCTAACTCCTCCTATGTGTGCAGGGCAACCTACTTCAACATCGGATTCCCATCCAGACTCAAATCATCCTTAATCATACGATACGCAACCTCTTTTGGCATCTCATGCTCAGGCATCTCATGCTTCGGCAGATCCTCAGCCGCAAACCGACTGCCATAGACCGTGGTCGTATACTTATCTTCGTCGGGGTTGTTGGCAATGGTGAGTTTCTCGAGGCCGGCGACGAGGGGTTGGGTGAGCTTCCCGTCGTGGGGAATGGAAGCTAGATGGACCATCGTTGCGGTTTAATTCAGTGTTGGAGGGATTTGGGAGGTTTGTGGAGTTGGAATGGAGGGGGGAGAGAGCAGTGTGGTGTTGAGTTGGAGGTGTTTTGAAGGGGGGATTGGAATGGCGGGGTGAGCTGGCAGGAAGTGAGGGGTCACTGTATGTTGCTTTGTTGCTGCAATCCTCGGATGATGTACAGTATCGCGTTGGTATTGACTGACTTCTCAAAGAACAAAATCACGACAGGAAAAAGAAGGAGACGTCAATCAGGGGAAGTACCCCTCTCTTAAATACCTCAGCTTCAAGCTAAGGCCATTACTGGTACCTACCTACCTACCTTACCTGTACTTACTTAGTTGGTCTCGCATTCACCCCGTGTCGGTGGCATTGGCTGCGTTCGAGCTTCGACACAGCTGTGGTGCATTGCATGGTGGGGTGAACTTTAGGGTGAGTGAGCACTGAGCTGAGCTTTGGACGTGGGACGGGACGAGTGACGCGGTGGATTGCTCTGCTCCGCTGTCCCAGGATCTTGGCAGGAAAGCTTGATTTCAGGCCGTAATCCAGTTATCTCGAGACATCCATGTCTTCCTATTGGGTAATGAGGAAAGCATCTGGGATACCTCCCGTAGGTTCCGCATGGATGTGAATTCTTACTTTACTTTCACCAGAGAAGGGGTGAGAGAAAGGGAGGTATGATTTCAGGGGTTCTGTTGTGAGGTCGATGGTGCGTCATTGGGACTGCGTTTCTGAGAGGAAGGGCGATGTAAGTAATGAGGGGATTCTGGAAAAGGAAGATTCTCCACGTAAAGGAATATATATGCATATGCGTCTGAACAGCATGCATGGCCACACTCAAGAATAAGCTGGAAGTCAACTCAATTCGACCTTCAATCTTTCAAATCCAAGACCCAGCTTCCGAATCAGATCCCTTCTTTTCCCCACACAAGCACAACACACCCGCATGGTTAACTCGTTTCACAGCCTGTCTGCAAGAGAGCAGCAAGAGAGCACCCTCACTCACTACTTTGAATCACCATGTTTTCTTACGTATTTATGCTGTCCTCTTACCTAGGCACCTTATTTCAAAAAGCGAGTGCTGTGTAATGACATTAATCGGCAGTCGCCCTCCCTTGGCTTCCTGATTACAGTAATCGGGTTTTATGCACAGTGCAGCTCGTGCAGGCCTAGGTAAGGAATGTGACCTGCTGTGATAGGTGGATGCATTACCGCCTTTCAGCTTAACGGGTCTTGCATCAGTTGATGGTCAGTAAGTATGCTTCACGGCTTCTTCTGCAGTCGTCCAAGTCAATCGTGGATTTCGAGATTAGTGTATTGTAAGTAGTGGAGATGTATGATTCGGATCCAAGATACACATATACATGCACGTATCAAAACCAAGCCGGAGGCAAACACTATCCCAATGTCGTCTATTCGTTGCAGCAGAAGAAAAAGAGAAAAGAGCAGAACCTATAATACAGAGACGCCTGATATGCCGGCCTGCCAATCTTTTCAAATCTCCCATCCCAGAAACCAGAGGGGAGGAACAAAAAGATGCAGAAGGCAATAACTCAAAAACCCACAATCAAGCTCGCTCAACCCTTCTTCCTCTACAACAGCAAGAACATCTATCTATGCTTGTGAAAAAAACGAACTGAAGAGAAGACGAATGGCCAGCCCAAAACAATGCATGTGCGATCCGGTCCAGTCCAGAACCAAACGAAGTATGCCTCTATCCATGTCCAAAGCAGTCCGCGAAGTCGTCCCTGGCCTGTCTTGCATCTCTCTACCCCTATTCTATCCTGTATTACAGACTTCTAGTTCTTTGCGATCTCAACACCTCCAGTTGCTCCAAGAGCCTTCTTGACGTCACCGTAGATAGCGAATTGACCGGCCTGAACATTTCAAGTTAGCAAGAAATCGTGGAAAATGTATTTGAAGGATAGCTTACGGTAAGAGTTCCAACCATGAACAGACGAGCAGGGAGACCAGTGAATGAACCCTTAAGACCAAGCTCCTTGGCGATTGTGATCAGACGGCTGGTAATGCCCTGGCCAGGAAGACCCTTGGTCTTGTTGATCTTGCTCAACATGGTGTCGGCTGGTTGCGAGACAACGGCTGCGGCCATACCGGCAACGAGACCAGAGCCCAAGTTAATGGTGGTCTGCATTCCGTCGGAAGCTTTGCTCTTGTCAACGTATCCGTAGATGGCCTCGGCGACCTTCTCGTAGACGACGAACTTGGTCATGGTGTATGGGACCCTGGAAATTTATTAGCATCCCACCTTCGGGGAAAATATATGCGCAACTTACTGCTTGAGCAAGATAGGACCGAAACCGGCATAGAAGGCACCGATACCCTCGTTCTTCAGCATCTTACTGAAGCCTCCAATGAGACCATTGGCGTATGTTGGCTCAGAAACGAGACGGATACGGGTAGCCTCGAGAGGGCAAAGGGCGATATCAGCGAAGAACTCGGCAAGACCTGCGGAGGCGAGGTAGACGGCTGTGCGGTTGTTGGAGGCAGTCTCGTATCCGAGCAAGTTGATGGATTGTTGCTTGAAAAGCTCATATCCTCCAAACTTGAATGCGCCCTGGAGGAAGTAACCGGCAGCAGTTGGACCGAAACCAGTCAACAGAGCACCGGCACCCTCCTTCGCAATAACCTGTCTGAATCCTCCGATCAAACCCTTGTTGTATGTGGCAGGGTCGAGTTGAATTCTTGTCTTGACGCTACATGAAAAATACGTCAGTGAAGTTTCTAAATTGCGCCAACAGCGCACACAGTACAAGTACATGTGAACTTACACATCGACGGGTGTGAGACCACCGTGGGTAACTGAACAGCAGACTGCACCAGCCAAGGCGAATCTGGAGTAGAGTTGAAGACCGCTCAACTTCTCGGGGGTGTTGGCTGCGATGTTCTGGACAACGGCATCGACCTTTGTCGAGCCAGTGGATGTTGCGGGCGAGGCCATTTTATTATATGTATGTGTATGGAGGAGCGAGAGCTTGTATTAGGAAGACGAAGTGAGCGGAGATGTGAAGATGCGATGTCTTCTTGGGAGGAGGATGTTCAATTGAATTGATAGATGGGATGGAGATGGAATGAAGGTTGGAGGAAGCTCTATGGGCAAATTGTCTTGATCTCGAAATTTTTGGGCTGGGGGCTGGGCTAAAGGGCCTCTAGCGGCTGCACGGCCTGGGCTCGGGAAGAGTCGGGGCCTGATTTGCCTGGATGCAGCGGAACATCAGGTAAGGCCACCACCATCCACCACCACAACTGTGGACCTTGACCTCTCGCATCAGCGGAATCGGCACGTGTCGGTGTTCGCCGGATTTACCAGCGAGGCGAGCGAGAGATATTCCTTTTAGGATAAACAGGGATAAATAAGGTAGACAAAGGAGATACTGTTTTGAAGATATACTTGACTCATCTTCTCATTATGATGACTTCTCATTCTGACCCTGACTTGGGGTCCGGACATCCGGTTGGATCTCCACAAAGCCGCAGCTTTGTACCTTATGCGGCAGCTTCCAAGTTTCTTTCACGGCTGTAAGATCCACCTTCCTCTTTCCACCAAGGAGTGGCTGGAAACCTTTTTTTGTTTACAAAGCATATCACTCGGCCCCTTGGCTATGCTATGTTTTTCTTTGCAGCAAAGAATGTGCCTTTAAAAGTATTACTTCGTGTCCTCTCTCGCAAGTTTCGTGATTCTTGCAAATTTTATACGGCGGAGACAGATCATGGTCAACTTCCAGCTCCTATCAAACCGAGGATCAAGCGATTCTGGTCTGATCATCGAAAGGAAAGGGTTCTCCAGATACTGTCATTAACAAGTCTCTAGTCCGTTTGCGAAGCAAGAATGCCTCATGGCCAGCTCCTCACGATGAGGCGAAATTTTGGATACTCTCCTTGTTCATTGCCATTTACAAGCACGGAAATCGTCAACAAATAAAATGTTTCAAGCGTACAGATTCTTCTCAACATGAGCTTCTGATGTCCGCTGCGCTCTTTATGAAGTACTATATGCTCCAAGGCTTCATCGAGCTGCCAGCAATAGTATCGCATATGGCTAGTCCCAGTCACAGGGTCACGAAAGTCATGACGATCAGCAGGTAAATAATCAACCTCTGCATTCGCATAGAGATATAGGGAAAACTGTCCAAGGCAAGACAGACAAAAACCTATAACAAGGCTGTATACGAATCCCCTTTCCATTCCCGAGCCATCCACTTCCTCCAAATCCACCACAAGCACAGCGCCTGAGAGAACCAAAGCATTCCCATTCTCTGACAAGTGTTTAAACTCTCCTGAACTGAAAGATAACGTACTCTTTAGCATAGTTCCACTCATCACAATCAAAGGGATTCTTCACTTACAGCACTACCAATGAGAGGAATATGCGACCCAACATTGCTAATTACATTCGCACCTGAGCAAATCGGGCTCAGAATCTCGCTAGCAGCAGTCAAGAGACCACCGCGTCCCCATTTCGCAGCTTGGATATGGAGGCATTCCCAGACTATCGGACGCAACAACATTAGCACACATATCTCACCGTTCCTTCACCTCCCCATTCCACCGCACAAAGATCATACCAAAAGCGGTCAAATAAGACTGGAAGGTTACTTAAAAGGAAATGAGATGGAGAACGTACAATTACAAGCCGGCCCACTCCCATCCTCACCCCTATCAATACTCAGCAAAAACCCATTCGTGCAAGACCTCCAATCATCCGCCTCATTCGGCGAGATCGTCTTGAACTGGCTCGGAGGCTGTCCCGGGTTATACGTCTGCTGGTAGGACCAGCTCCCGCCTTGGTTGCCTCCTGGAGGAGCGGGCTGGTAGTTTGACGGTGGTTGGTATTGGTTTCCGCCGGGGCCGCCCTGGGGTTGGCCCCAGTTCTGCGCGGAGGCCGTGGCGGCGAGGATGTAGATTGGGAGGAGGGAATAGATTTGCATTTTGGATGGGTTGTCTGGGTGGAGTTAGTTGGGCGATGGGAGTAATGGAAGGGTGAAGATTGGAGGGAAGGTTGAGACGTACTGGTAAAGGTGTGGAAGGAGGATGAATTTGAGATAATTTGATGACTGTTTAAATGAAGATACTCACCAAAGGCTCCAGACCTCCCTTTATAGCAGATATTTACGTGTAGAACATTGCTTCATCCATCCAGCCGTTTCTGTTGTCGCAACCGTACCACAACCGAGCATTACCAACAAATCTCCAAACCAAAGATCGTCAGTACGACTGCAACATACCCCGCTGAAGACCGAGGACGACGATAAAGAAGGTACGACAACGAAACGCAATTACGACCGATGATCAGACAATCTCGTCACCTAAGGAAGAGCAGAGCAGAGCAGAGCAGAGCATTAACTTTGCAGTTGGAAAACGCTAACCAACATAACGATACCAATCCATCACAAAAGAAACGAAGAAGAATTTTCAGCTCCAAGAACGCTCAACCTCAACTTCCAAAACGAAATACAACACATCTCTCCTCTCCTCAACACTCCTCCACTGAACATCCAACAGCACTGGACCCGGCCAACAAATACAGTACAGTAACACCACATCCCTCTGTACCTGACCTACTGCAAGGGCCCGTTTCTGTACAACTTGTTCTGTCCGTACGTAGGTACCTACCAGCTCACACCTCTCAGTAACCCGATACTTCGGGTACACGACCGTCGTAACCCTCTAATATCGTACAGCCTGCACTGCACTGCACTCTCTATCCATTTTCGTTCGAGTCCTGGAACCGAGGGCCGAGGCGACGACGATCGTGAGTACAGAGCAGAATACACTACATCAGCGGTTGGATGGAATCTAGTTGGTGATTGGTGAATGGGCGGAGGGTGTGGTGAGATGGTGGACGGTGGCAAGGATGAGGTTGTAGAGTAGTTGTGTGACTTCTCTTCTTTGTAGGGGGTTGAAAGAAGGGAAATGTGATGGGATGATAAGTGGGTGAGATACAAGAAGCTCGAGAATAATGTCGAGAATGAAATTGCCACTTGTCGAGAAGATGTTCTGGATTGGATTGAGTCCCAAACCGATGATGCTCAAGGGTAAGCTACGTGAAGTACTATACTGTGTTCTGAACTGGAGTAAGGCTTCACAACGATGGTGTACAAAGAGTAGAGTACAATAATAATCGAGATCCGTTTCGCGGATCTGGGTTGGCACTACACACGAGATCTTGAACAAGTGTAGATCACAAGTTGTGAACAGCCAGAAGCGACATCATTAAATGCAAACGCCATGATTGTTTCATATGCTAGCCATGCACCAATGCTCCTCCAAGCTCCATGTATATGCACCCGTCCATGTATACCGACCCAGCAACCGCCAATGCTATGCAAAATGTTCCCGCCTTATTATTTGATCATGAGCTTATAGTACCATCAAGGACTGCCCCATCAATCCATCTCTGCCGCTCTCTTCTTTTTCTGTGCCTTCCAAGCTAGCTTTACTCGATCTCCTGCTCGAGGTCGGGGCTTCAGCACTTTCCATTTCACACAGTGCAGCTTCTGTCCAACTGTCCATGCCCGTCCTGAGGACCCAGTTGGAGTTCAACGTAGCATTGAAGTACCTGTCTCGTCGTGTAGAGACTCTAGCTCCACCTTCGAGTGCAGACATCGCAGCTCGTGTAGTTCGCATTCTCTTGCCAGGTCTTTTGCCGCCTTCACTCATCAGACTGCTGAGTTTGAGACGGTCTTGCTGGAGTCGAACATCATATGCAACGATAGAGCGAACGTATGGAGCCAAGTCTTCGACAATCAAAGTGAATGTGCGGTCAAAGCTCGAAGCTTCCAACGACGTTGACCAGACATACTTCTCACTTGCGGCGATGGGATCGAAAGCTGAGCTGAAGTCGAACCGGTCAAGCTTCTCACTAGGAGAAGTGGTTTGGTCGCGGATGAGGCGCAGGATGGTAGCTTCGCTAGGACGGTCAAGCTCCGTAGGCACTTCAAAATTATGTTGTAAATGCTGGTCAAGATGTAGAATATTCCGTACGCGTGACTTCATATACAGTGCGATGTCCTTGCTTGTAGTGTTGTAAGTCACCAGAGCCGGAGCCTCCTTGAGCTCAAAAGCTAGTGTATAGTCATCTCGAGCCTTCATCGACAGCTTTGGGATAGAGACATCGAGTGCAATCTACTATCGTTAGCATAGTCCCCGTTCGAGATTCATGATTCTTTACCTGATTTTCTGGTGCAAATGTTCCACCAGAAACCAGATCCGCGACACTCATTGACTCAGCAAAATCAGCATACATATTCAGTGCAGCAAGCTCGTCCCGTTTGCCGTTGGAATTATCCCGCAGCTTGTTGGCCCATTTTTCAACGCCGATGTTTTCAACCCAGTCTCCAAGATCTACACCCCATTCATTACAAGCCTCATGGAGTGTCTCCTCCTCGATGTCAAGGTAATGGACGTGACTTTCGAGGTAGTCTTGTGATAGCCACCCCATGCCTGTTTCATATGTCCCTTCACTCAAAACTCGAATAACATTACCATGCTCATCAACATCATTACCAGCTGGCCATCGAGGATAATACCAATCGAGGCCACCCTTCACATCGCCAACAGCAAACTGGCACCAGAAATTGAGCTCGTACAAGGACGCACGAAGATCCCAATTGCGGCCCTCATACAGTTCTTTGGCTGCTTTTCGCTTGATGATATGCCCCTCGCAAGCAGCAACTAGGAGAAGGTAGTCAACAGCAAGATCGACAGGTGGAGGCGCCATGCGTATGGTAGCGTGTAATTTCAGATCATTCATTGGAATAACTGACTCATTGTTGCAAGTTATGACAATCGGTCGCTTAGATGTTGCAATGAGGTTCAAGATGGTTGTCCAAAATTGGGCGTCCTCCTTGTACAAGATATCCGCTTCTTCAATAAGAATTAACGATTGCTGTTGTTTCTTCGATGACATCTTCGAGAATATGCCGTTCTTTGCAATGTCAGGCATGACCATCTGTACCTTGGCAGTATTCACGCCTTTGGCACTGTCGACTTTCGTCGCGGAGGCTACTTTGGCTTTCGGTTTCGGCGTCGATTTGGCAGGCTGAGACTTGAAGAATGAGTCCATCTTCCCTTGACGACCACTCTTAAGGTCGTCAGCGAGGGCGTTGTCGATCCGCTCTCTGTCCTCACTGGACCCGTCGGCCTCTGTTGGTGCGCTTGAACGCTGTACCTGATGATTGCGTGCCATGTCGCCAACCTTCTCCAAAATGTCCTTTCCGCTCCGCCGACCACCAGCGTTGATTTCGAAGACCTCAAAGCCAAGCTCCTTTGCCGCAGCATAAACAGCTGCAGTCTTCCCACATCCATGTGGCCCACTCAACACGACTGCGTTTGCGACTTTGGTCCCTTGCGCAGCTGCATCTCTACCTCTGACAACCGTCCTTTTCTCCTGTCGAGGGTTACTGCTGGGAACCTCATCTTCCGGCTCCGTTATTTCATCTAAGTCGTTGTCTTCTTCGTCAGTCGCTACCACAAAGTCGTCAAGTTTCTTTGATTTGCGTTTTCGCTTTGGAGCATTCTCGGATTTCAAGCCAGAATTAGCCTTCCCACCAGAACCAATTTCGATAGACTGTACCGTCAATGCCTGGAGCCAGTTTTTCAAGACATCGGCCTCACGACCATTTTGTAGGACCTCAGCTGAACACTTTGGCGAGTACTTATGAGCCCACGTCTGGGTTTCACATTGGCCCTTGTCGAAAGCAGACATGGATGTTGCAATAGACGAATATACCCTTAACAATGCAGGGTGAACTCCGTCGATCTGCACTTCATCCTCGCTGAAACTTACAGGTGCTGCTAGTGGTGGGGGCAAGTGTGTTCGAACCAGCTTCCGGACTCGCTTCTGGATATCGAGTCCCGATTCGTAATGCTTCGTAGGAATCCTGAGGCACTGAGGAATGGCAGGATATTCGTCTGGGTTGATATCTTGTATACTTTGAACCACGTTCTGGATGGACAAGTCTGCTGCCAGATTATCGATAACATTCTCGATGCCAGAAATGCGGGTAGCTTGATACTTCGACTTCTTGAGGCTTGAAGTGACAGGAAAGGAGGCCATGGCTGTATTGATGGTCTCCGGAATAGCTTCGGCTCCTCGAACATGAACCATGCCTTTCCATGGCCATGCAGGCTCGACAGCACCTGGGAATTTGACAAGCTTTGAGATACTTCCGAATCCAGAGAAAGTTACCGAAGGTTTGTTGGCAGACGGCGCTTTCTGCTGGGTAGCCAATCTTGCCCTAGATTGAGCTGCCGGGTCTTGGTTGCCCGTGAGATCGATGATGTTGTTGTCGCTTGCTGTAGGGGTTTGCGGGATCTGGTTCTTCTGGGCGGCTTTTCCCAAGAATAATGGGTGGACAGGTTTTGGAGGTCTCGGGGGGCAAGATTTGGAAGGCTTTGGTTTCGCTGCAAATTCTTGCTCTTGCTTCGGCGGCTGGACCTTCAACGGGCTGCTCAGGATTTGCTCGATCTTCTGTCCTAGACTTGATGGGAAGTTTTGACCGTCGCCATAACGGATTGTCAACATCATAGTCTTGGGACGACGTCCACGAGCCGTTTTTAACCTTGGCTTGTCCATTTCCGCAGCTGGGGGGATCTTCTTAGCAGGCGGAGATCCAATGGTACCCGTCTTGGAATTAAAATGAAGTATCTTTGTTGGCTTGGTAGGGGCCAGTCCAATTATCGTTTTGTTGACATTCGGATCTTGTTGTGGATCTGAGGAGACTGTATGTAATAACTCGTGGAACTCACCTGCCTGTGCTGATGTCCCATTCATTGGAGGCATGAACATCCGGACAGTTGTATCGTCCTCATCGATGCAGATTACATCCTTCCCTGACGCCGAAGTCGACATTCTCTGGCCACTAGTCCCATGAATCCTTCCATTAGAAATCGGAATCTCTTCAGGTAGCTTAGACCTCAGGTCTAGTAAATCGTGAGTAGGTATTGGTATATCCTGTGGTCCTCTAAAATCTGCCGTCACGGAGCCAAGCCCATCTCTAGTGCTTTGATTTATTATATCTGCGTTTGAGAAGGCCAACTTTCCAGAAGGAGATTTGGTTTTCCTCCTCTTCCTCCTACCACTATTCGGGTCGACCTCCAGTAACTCGGCGTCATGGGTATCATCCGGAGTTTGTACTGTTGAATTGGGTTGTTCAGAGCTGGTTGATCCCGCTGACATCGTCCTCTTGCTCGGCCGACCTGGACCTTTCTTCTTAGGTGCTCTATTTGCCTGAGCCTCATGTAGGAAGGGAGAATCTTGTGGCTGCTCGGTGCTCGTCTGGGGTTGCGACTCTGTGTTGGGCCATAGTGATTAGCAAGAGAAGAAGTAGTATGTGGTCAATAGTTATAAATTCAACATACTGGATCCTTTTTGGAACAGTGGATACATAGTAGGTCTCTGCTCCTCATTCAACTCCCCCATGCTCCTTTCAACCAGAACTGACATTCGGAGTCAGTATATTTGACTTGCAAAACGCGAGCTTCACGCGTGGTCCAGCATCGAAAATGCTCGCTTGCTCCAGCGTACGTGGATCCCTTTCAGTACGGTTTAGGAACGAGTTGATTCTGACGAGAACATTGAGTGGCGATGGGTCGATAAAATAGGGTAGGCTTTCCAGCAAGAGAAGGGCAATTGGTGGCACGCAGGTCGGATGTCTTTGCCCAAGTCAATGGTGTTGCAAGGAGTCGCGTCTTCATGCTTTTGTCGTGACGGCGCGCTTCGGTGACCGTAGCTAGTTCCATGAACCCCTGCAATCAAAATGTGAACTTTTTGATCCGCGAAACTTTTTTGATAGACCTCTGGCGAAGCTGTGGTTGTTGTTGACCACCACCTCCAATTCACCACAACCTTCCACCATGTCGTCGCGATTTGTGTTACAGAAACCATATGTGGTGGCCACTCTGCCCCAGCCCATTGACCACGCGAAAGGGCAGTATGTGGTCGCTGAGGTATACGGAGGGGCACCTGGCACAAAAAAGAGAAAACGATCCGAATTGGCTGTGGGGATTGATGGAGAAGGTGTAAATCTATATGATGTATGTTCTACACGGCAGACACAAGGTCTATATCTGAATTTCTCCAGGTCTCGTCTTCTAGGCTCATAACATCCTATGCGCTACCCCCGCAATCCTCATTTACCTGCCCTCCAAGCTCTCTCCGAACTCGAGTCTCGAAGACCAAAGTCGAACGTCGAACGTATGTCTCAACCAGAGGATCTCAATCCGGATTGACTCTCTTCCATGAAACCACAGATGGTCTCGAACCACCCACTTCTTCGATCAAGACCTCTGCCATTTCACACTCCCAGAGGCCGATTATTTACTTGGGAACAATTACAGCTACCAGATCATCGGGTTCTTCAGCAAATACTACGGACTTGCTTGTTGTGAAGGAGGATGGCGAGGTACAATGCTACGATGGTGATAGCCTCGAGGAGAAATGGTCATCACCTGCTGCTGCTCTCTCGCGCGATGCATCAGTCCCAATGAATCGCCTCAAGGTTGAATTTGCACAACTCACCAATGCTTTTTCAGCAAGCCAAGGAATACTTAAGGGCCGGCAAGACGTTCTTGCAATGTTTCCTCAAGAAGTGGAGGAAGACGGGTTTAATCCAGAGATATTAATGATGATAAGCTGGTCCAGTGAGACAAAGAGCAGAATTTTGCACGTCGTCAATCTACCCCGAAGGTCGGCTGCATTTGCGAAAGGCATGAAGTACTCGGTCGAGTCCCTCCTGGCGGTAGAGATACCCTCCGGCAGCGCGGACATAGTTACGAAACCATTGTTCACCATACAAGTGTCCGCTGGTATCTTGCAGCAACTTCATGGCGACGCCTTGACAACTTTCGATCTTAGCGATACGCTTCCCAAGCAACAAAATAAGATTACATCAACAGACGCCCAATCCTTCCTCCGCCTCTCGAATACCGCCATCATGATATCCTCTAAAAACTCCATCGCTGTATATAATCCGAAGTTTCAGTCACGGTTGGCATCTGTCGGGCTAGATATTTCTTCAGAAGACTCTCTGAAGCGAAAACGTACCGGGGATGAACTGCAAGAGAAGGGACCAAGCCATGTCTGCAAATTTGTATCTTACTTTCCAAAACTTGCTACGGCCATGGCCATTGTTGACAATGATCTCGTTGGCATTCAAATAGAAGGGCAACAAGATCGCCACGGGAGATCACGTACTGCGGGCTTATTGATCGACTCGCTCGGCTGTGCAGCTAAAGAGCAGTCACGCCCAGGACGAGATGGCGCTGTTGGCTCAAAGAAGGCAAAGTTGAGTGGAATGGTAACCTTGGATTCTTTTCTGCCTGGCACCATGGGTCTCGGTCAGCCATGGGTCCAGAACATCGCTGAACTAGAGGACCTGTTTGCCAGAGGAGATTGCGTCGAATCAAAATTCGACGAAAAGATCGAGATGCACCTAGGCGCAGATTGGTCAGAAAAGACAAGAATGACGAAGACTGAGAAAACCAATGCGATGGACGTTTCGTCCAACGGAGACATTATTAAGAAGCCAGCGACCAAGCGCAAATTTCCACCTGCAGATGTTGATCGACGATGGATATCGTATGCTCTAAGCAAGATATTCACATGGACTGCAAGCGAAGGAGGAGTAGAGCCTAGCTTGTCGATCTCGTTCTACCCGCTTAACACGTTCATGTGGTTGACTTCGAATGGCTATATGACCGTTGCCAACATCGAAGCGGCCCTGAGAAGTAGCGGAACATCAGTCGCTTCAATTCCACCAGGACAGCTTGTGAAGACTCTGGTTGAGATCGACCCAGACATGGATCTCTTATATGCAGTGGTCGCAAAAAATTACCTAGCTGCTCCAGAGCTTCTTCATGCAATCCGGAACTTGATGAAAAGTCTCGGCTTGTTAGGCGATAACCCAGGCACGAAAGGCCTTCTCACCAATGAAGACGACGTGGATCTTGCAAATGTGGATGTTGAGATGCAGGTTGAACAAGCCGAAAAGGACCTTGCACTGGCAGAGTATCAACTCGGTCCAGGATCAGGCACTCGTGGTGCGGCTCTGAGCTTAGCCCTTACCAAACTCTACAGCTGTCCAAGTGACGATGTCACAATTGCACTTCAGACGATACTAAGCAGCCAAGAGATTGTCTGTCTGATTTACCTGTTGAGGTTCGAACTGGCACGTGGGGGATGGACGAGCAGATACACGGACAGTCTCGAACAGCTGGAAATGGTAGATGACGACGATATCCAGGAAAATGCTATCATACTCATCGCCAGTCTACTAAACAATTGCATAGATGCGGTTGGTACAGTGGGATGGTTGTCTGGGGAGGCGAGGCTGGCTGACGATGATCTTTTCGAAGCTGAGGAATTGATCGCAAGCCTGAAGCTTGAAGTTAGTGCAGCATTGGAAGGCATTGAGGAAGCGGTCTATCTCAAAGGCGTGATATCGGAACTGGTCAAATACGCCGATTCGTTCCATAGGGCCCTCCCATCACAATCTAAAGACTCGAAGAAGGGAAGTGATGGTCCTATCGTCCTCCCCTCGGACGACCAAGATATTCGGGCATTACCCATTTCTCTGAAGGCAGAGAAACAGATCTCGCTTCTGAAAATTGGTGCAGGAGGAGCAGTGCACAAGCGAACAGCGCGAGACATTGGATTCTTGAAAAGTCAGAAGGTCGGAAAGTACTCTCGGGAGAGAATTATCCTGTAAAGGGTTATGTGGAAAATCACTATACAATAAACCCTATTTTCAAATCTTGTTGGCACCATGCGCAGTGTTTAAGGTGCCGTCATATTCCTACTCTCCACTGCATCCACATCACACCACACTCTGAAGATCTTCACAATTTCTTGCCACTCTATTTACGACCTCGTGTTCTCGCATAGAAACCAAACTTTTCCCTTCCAAATTTTCACTCCCAGCATGCTTCCAGAGTCAATCAACCTCTAACAAAAAGCTTGTCCACGGTTGCTCGGAACCATCGACATTCTAGTCGCGATTCTCTCGGGTAGAACCGTCCTCTCAAATTCTCCCTCCACTCTCTCACAGCCCAATTATTAACCATGCACAACTCTCGATGTTCTTCCAAGCCACAGAAAAACCTTCTAGCGACTCCTCATCGGCAGTGGTGTCATGCAGCCATCCCCAATCGCTTTCTCCAGGTGCAGCGACCTATCAAAACATCCCAACGATCTCGGTGAGGCTGAGACTATCCCCACCGAGTAGCCCGCAGCGTGAGAGAAATGATACTGTAATGGCTGCGCCACTGGGTTCGTGACACAGGCGAGACAGGCTCACAGGCTCGACAGGGTGGTCAACATCCTGCCAATGAAAATTAACGGGCACTACCAGCCCTGTACGGGCTTGTCCTTGACCTCCTCGACCTCGAACCAGCTGTGGAGCCACACCACCTTCTTCTCCCTGGGCTACGCTACGCTACGAATTGCGACTTTTACCCCGCCGCTGCATCACTCAGCAAGTCCTCCCGTGCTACTACTGCCAGCGCGCTACCTCGACGTCACTACTCCTTTTCATTGCTACCTAGAGTCTTCTTCAGCTCTACAGCCTTGTTTTGTTCTTCATCCCCTTCCATTTCTCATCGTCCGCGACAGTTCCAGTGTATTATTTGCTTATTCCTAATATTGATTGTTCCTCCGCCTTGTTTGCCTGCCAAGTCAAACCCCCCGGCTTAACCTTAACTTATCCACTCCTGGGACAAGGCACCTCTTGGTCAATTTGGCGGGGTCCGAAGCATCGCTCTATCACCGGACAGATTCACAACCAAGTGGGATTACAGAACCAGCGCATCGGCGAATCATGAGTGTTGTATAATAGAAAGTCGACTTTGTCTTTGGGTTCTACGAGCAGATATTTATTCACGACAGGTCTGGAAGTAGGAAAGTAGAGTCAGGATGAGTTTCGGTGCATCGCCCTCGGATATTATCATTGTGGTTACGTTTTGCAAAGCACTTTATCGCAAGTGTAGAGATGCCGGAGGAGAGTACGATGAGATCAGTCGCGAGGTTAGAGGTATGTGCTCTTCCCTTTGTAAATACAACGTTTCCACATCTCAGAAATAGTTGGAACTGCGTCCGCCTGGCGTCGCAACATGCCACCCCACTGTCTTACAAACAATATCTAACAATAACAGGTCTTCACACAGTCCTCCGACACCTGAAATACGAAGTCGAAGCTCCCGAATCCCCCCTCAACCGTGATCACTCAATATGGGGCCGTCAACTTGCTCCCATAATTGGAGACTGCGATTTCACGCTCCGCCAACTCGATGGCCTCCTCCAGAGATACGGCCGCCTCTCCAGCGCCAGCTCCTCCCCAAGCAGTCCACGCATTCTGTGGGATAAGGTCAAATTCGGCAGCAATGAAATGGATACACTAGGCGCAATCCGGGTAAAACTTATAAGTCATAAGACGAGTTTGACATTGTTCTTGGATACGATACAATTGCACGAGTCCGGCAAGATGGCGCAAGTGTTGGATAATCAGGGCGGTCAACTGGACATCATATTGGACAAGGTGGACGGGATTGCGAAGAGAATGGCCCCGCCGAGGAGGGAAGGGAGTGTGTTGACGAGTTATGAGGATGATGATCGGGAGGTCTGGAAGCAGTTTCGCAGGGAGCTCATTCAAGAAGGGTTCTCGAGTGATGTCTTGCAGCAACATAAGGTACGTGCTCGAAGAAATCTGGACCTTGGACGACGACTGATTTCGTTGATCTAGGACGTTCTGAGAGCATACATTCGCGAGATTGACCAGAAAGGATTACTTGACGATGTTTCGCCAAATCCTCACACACCTCCCCATGGCACAGGAGTCAACCCAGAGCGCTGGTTGGAGGCGGTCCGAACGGGATCATCTGCTGATCCGCCGCCATCGTTCAGCTCGATAGGTGCAGCAACTGATGATAGTACTGCAAAAGAGATGGTAATCAGAGAAGACAACATGAAATTTCCCCAATCTATTAAGAGGGAAAGACCAAAGCCAGAGACGAGGCTTGAGGTGTCAAGTAGAGCTGTAAAAAATATGTAAGTCAAATCCTGGCCGGAAGCCAACGATTCAACAAATTCTCATGCGTAACAGAGATCCCAACGTTCCAAGAAACAGAAGACCAAGCAGCAACAGCCAGAGACATCCATCCCCAGTACCCCGCCTAATTACTTCTTCCGATGAAAAGAACGAGAAAGACATATATTATGTCAATACCGACGGCTCTGATTCCGAATCTGAAAGCGACACTTCCTCACGAGGTTCCAAACGTCCTGAGATGGGTCTCGTAATACGAACCACTGACCTCATGGCCCCTACCCAATCTCTCACTCTTCGACCTATCTCGCCATCCAGCTTCAGAAGCCCCCGTGGCTCGTTCGGTGATGATGATGCCGTACGGTCTATGGCGCAGCGTCAGAGAAAATCGATAGAGTATGGTACATCACCGTCAGGATCCGGGGCCATGATGATTCCTGTCCCTCCAAATACGAATCCAAAGACGTCAATGGATAGTCTGGCCACGAGCCCAAGACCGAATACCAGTATTCCGGCCAAACTCGCTCCTGATGAGCATGGGGATGAGATTTCGCCAGACGCTAAATGGACAAAGATCAATCGACGATTAGTGTCACCTGAGGTCTTGATTCAAGATGGAAGACGTTTCGAAGCGTAAGTTCACACTCCTATTCGAACTCACCAGTGAAAGATTGAGCGTTGGGACTAACACTTCCCAAAGTCGTCCAGATTTCGTTGCTGTCCTCGGCGTCCTCAGCCGCGCCGAAATCGAATCCCTTGCCTCCCGCTCCTACGCCCTCCGTGAAGCCCGCCACCAACGAAACCAATCCAAACCTCAATCCTCTTCATCCAACCAACCACCACCGCAACCACCCCGTCCCAAGACCCTGCCCATCCCAGTCCCCATCCCAATGCCCATACCCTCGCTCTCTGCCTCTCCCCGAGTCTCTTTCAACCGCCGCAATCGAAGCGGAAGAGACACACCATCGTCGTCCTCTCCTTCCGACTCCGAGGACTCTGATGATCATGTAAGAGATCTGGGTATGGGCGGAAAGAGACGACCAAAAGCACCACGCAGTTACGCAAGTTCAAACGCCGGCGTACCTGTCTCTGGATACCCGAATCCATACGGATCACCTCTTCCACCTAGTCCGCTTTGGAGTCAAGGGAGTAGAGATGGATGGAACGGCCCATCTTCACATAACGACAAAGATAGAGAATTAAACGAGAAACCTCGAGAGCGAGGAAGCCACCGAGACCGAGACCGCGATCGCGATCGCGAGAGAGATCACGACCGGGAGCGTGATCGTGATCATGATCGGAGGGAGAGGGATCATGATCGGAAAGACAGAGAGAGAGATAGAGAAAGAGATAGAGATAGGCGACGTCATCCCTCGACATCGACGTCGAAGACTTCAAGGACTGGTGAGCGTGGTCATCAGAGAGATCGGCTGCCGCCGCCTGTGCAGAAGGGAAGTCGTTGGAAGGAACATATGACTGCTGCTGGCATTGGAGGCGCTGCTGCGAGTTTGATCAATGTTTTGACGGAGGCGGCAGAGGGACTGTGAAATGTTTCTTTGTGTCACGGGTGGAGGAGTGTTATTATGTGAATGAATGATGATGATGATGCTGTTTGTTGATGATATGATTTATGATTGATGGTCGAACCTGTTTATGAGAGCGTTGTTTGAGAGGTTGTTGTTTCGATACGCGGTGAAATAGTAAAAACAGGAAAGCTCAAAACAGAGAGCGAATATTCTGGTATTTGATGTAGGATATAATAGGATAGGACAAGGTATAGGAAAATAGGAGAATCAGATTGCGAAGAAGATATCATTTTCCAAAAATCCCCAAGGGTGCACAGTTACCTTTTGAATAATTTGAGACGTTCTCAAACTGAAAAGAATACGGATATACCTACATGTTTTGTTGTTCGATGAAAGGGGTACTCGCTTAATTTTGCGTTTCGCCCGAATAAACGAGGTTCCTAAGCAAGAGAAAATAAACAATTTGAGTAGTGTTGTTTTGAAACTGTACACGAATAGTGAGTCGTCAACTAATTATGTGACAGCGAGAGTAATATTATGTATTATTTTTAGACACTCCATGCCACGCCATGCCCCAACGCCTAGCCAGTTCCTGATCTCTGACATCTGTATTTACACTCTTCCGTAACAACAAACTGCGAGTAAACGCCACAATACACTCCTCAAATCTCCTGCTCAATCATCATTCACCAGTAATCCATTCCACCAACTACTTCTTCCCCATCTTCGCCCTCAACTTCGCCCCAAAATAGTAGAACGAATAAGGAATCAACACCATCGCCAACCCAATAAACGCCAACAACCAACTCGCCCACTGCAACCCTAAGCGATCATACATCTGCGTCGTAAACAGCGGAAACGCTGCGCCACCTCCCGATCTCAGAAAAACTTTTGCCGCCAACGCCGACGCTGCAAACTTCTGGTACGAATCAATGATATAATTGTTAACCGAGTAATAACACAACACCATCCCAAACCCAAACGCAATCCCCGACGACGCTGGTCCCACCCAGATAATCCCCCTGTACGACGTAGCGCCTAGAATGAACAGTGAGATAGGGATGAACGGCGAGCCGATCAGCGCCCCAATGAGGCGGTCTTCAGGCGTAGGAGCGCGCGTGTGGCAGATGGAGCGGAAGTTCTTCTCTATGAAAGGCGTGGCTATAAGAGCGAAACCGGCGCCGATTAAGATCGGGATGAACATGAGACCGACCTGGCCGTCGTTGTAGTGGTACAGTTTGGTGAAGATGACTGGGTATGCGAAGAAGAAAGCGTACAGCATGGCGTAGATGAGCACTATGTACATGCACATCAGATCGAGGACTGGTTCAGTGAGGATCATGGTTATAGGGCGGATTAAACTGGTGCGGACGATTTCTCGGAGGGTGAGTTTGACTTTTTCTTGCTCGGTGATGATGTTTGGGTTATTCATTGAGACTCGCAGTTTGGCTGCGCGGCGCTTGAGGATCACGGGCGCGTAGGTCTCGGGGATGAGACTGACGATGACAAGGATTACTCCTGCGAAGGCCATGTTAACCCAGAAGAAGAGGTCGAGCCGGCCGGTGCCGACATTGATCCATCCGCAGACTATAGGACCTAGGACAGGACCGCAATATGGCGCGGCGGCGAAATATGCAATTGCCGTCCCGCGCTCCTCGATGTTCCAAATATCTGCTATTGTCCCTCCTGCTAGCGAGAGACCCGAGCTGGAGAATACACCGCAGAGGAATCTGCAGACGAGGAGGCCGCCGATGTTGGGTGAGAGTGCGCAGGGGATGTTGAAGATTGTGTATAGGGAGAGCGAGATGATATACACTGGGCGTCGACCGATGATCTCGGATAGAGGCGACCAGAGGAGGGGACCAACAGCGAATCCACAGACCATGATCGAGCAAGTGAGGATCGCGACTTCAAGCGAGACGTCGTATTTCTCCTCGATTAAGCCCAGCCCACCAGTTACGATGGCAGAACCGTACGCGACGCAGACGACGAGTAGGGAGACTACGATGGTCACGTACCAGCGATATGTATTCGACCAGTTTTGGGGATTCTCCGGATCCGCGAAAGTAAATGTTACGAACTCATGTTGTTCTCTTCCTTTCTCTAAATCACCCTCGCTACGTGAAGTCTCGCTTGGATTTCCGCTCCCTGCGGAGAATTTCTGTCGTTGTGCATGGGGATGTGTTCTTGACCGGACAGTGGTAGCTCTTGAGCGGATTTGCTCGAGTGCTTCTTCGGGGACGAAGCCGGTTGCTGTTTCGAGGGTGTATTCTTCTGGGAAGACGGGGTCGTCTTCGCGGCCAACATCTGGGTAGTTGAAATCGAGGGGTGGGATTGTTTCGGTTACGCCTAGGGAGGTGAGGGTTTGGCGAGTTTCGGAGCGGCTGAGGGTGTTGGTTTGTTGATGGGTGAGTATGGACTCATGATTTGGGGAGGATGAATTTAGATTTGAACGCATGATGATGGATTCGTAAAGTTATGGAACTGATAGTGCTGGAGGCGATTGATGGCTGTGTGTGATTGACACATCGTGACCACTCTCGCCCCCTTATATACAAATCTCCTAATCCTCTCATTCTATTAAAATATCTCAACAATCCCGCAACATCGACAGTTGAATCCACCATGCCGAGATGCAAGAGGCTGAGAAGGCGTTGTACACAGGTACTCCGCGACCTCGTTTGAGACAAATGATGTCAATTGCTGCACCGTCAGCGTGTTTTGCCGAGTTACCTTTTCCTTTTGAGTGCCGCACAGGGCTGCAGTGGATTATCAAGCGAGCCAGTGCGGTGATGAGTCGGAATGTTCTCCAGTTTTTTGAGGCTTTTTAGGGTGCTGTTTGCCGTGTCGAGGTGGACTGTGCCCGAGTTTACAGACGCCGAAACTGCCCGAGGATGCGGCATGAGAAAAGGAGAAAAAGTAGGTAAACGCCCACAGAGAATCTAGACAAGTCTAGTCTTGTAATAAACAGTCCCTAGACTCAAATTCTCGACAGTAGGGAGCTCTTCTTGCGCTAATAGTCCTTGAAATGCTGTGTGCCTTAAAGTGCTAGCGAGCCATATCTCTCGAGCAGTCCCCAAAGAGCCTGTCGACTGGGAAGATTGTAATCAGATTGAAATGTTCGAAAACCCCCAATTTCCTATGGAACCATATGGATCAAAAGGGGCTTTACAGTTGTTCCTTTCTCAGAATGCTCCGAGTCTGTCGGGTCATCGACACTGGACAAGTATTCACGCTCCACAGTTCTTGACGCTCAAACAACAGGCTTCTCAAGCCTAACTTCTTAAGCGGAAGCCAACATAGTTACCTACTGAGGCATTTTTTTCCCTATCCAGCTCAACTGCCTAGAACTATTAGGAGCGTCTTTAGTCAATACTGACTTCCTTCTTACTTCATCTGGCAATTACTTCATCTCGCAATATTCTAGACAATGTCTCCACTAAACTTAGTTTGAGCAGCTTGTAAACTGGCTTCAAAAAATAGTTACACATACTTGAGCGCCTTCACGCCAGGACCGAACCACGCATTGGGCGACTAAGGTCAGGTCAAGGCAATAAATGAGACAGTACTAGAATGCACGAGTACAGGAAACTACCATGTAGCCGTGAAATGTAATGGTGCGAAGCCATAGTGAACAGTTTTGAAATCTTAACAACGTAATCCTGAGCTTCTTGCCGCAACAATGCTAGAATTTACGATGCGCGATGAGACTAAAGATCACACAAGACAGAAGAATCATATCAGTGCGGCCACTCCAAAGCTTTGTTTCAGTGAACCTAATCGAAGCGCTGAGGATATCGAAAATATTTTAGCTCATGTCTCGTGGTCGGACCCTAAGCGACAGGCCATAGTGAGAAAGCCTAGTTTTCTCACTATTGCACTACAACAGCGACACACAAAAAAGAGAAACGTTTGCTCTACTGCGTGATAGAGACTTGCTTATCTGTGCAGTGGACAGTGCAAGAACTGACGTTACTCAATCAAATGAGCGGCACTGTCCAGCGGGCAAATTCAAACAAAGAGGCCTTCCTTCAACAAAGAGCTGCCAAACAAAGGGAAACTCGCTAAGTAGGCTTGATTCTCGCCTAAGAAATGCGAAAAAAGGAAAACCCACAACTACGAAAAATAAGATAAATGCTGCTACAGCCTCAATACAGTTCTAGACTATAAAAAAATATCACGATAGCAAAAGAAAACGTTTGCCTCAACGCGGAATCGAACCGCGGATCTTCTCATGTCGCTGTCACATCGTTGTACGAGTGAGACGCATTACCACTGTGCCATTGAGGCCCGGTTAATGACTGTTGTAGTCACCTGGGATGACGTAGAAAGTCTTATTTGATTAATTATCACCCACAACATTTTGCCCAACTTTAGTGCGCGGAAATTGTGCGCTCTCCACAATTTCATTTTATACCAATTAAATCTTCAGCTTAGTGGAGGCCTGAGCTTAGTGGAGGCCTGGAAGTATTAAGCGACGATTAGCCTTCGTGCCAAGAACATCGCAGACATGACAAAAGCATGATATAGAAGTGATAAGGCGTGCAGAGAAACAATACTATTATCTGCCCTAGGGAATTCTGAAAGAAAAGCATTAATGAGTTCAATTGTGGCGCACGTGTTGATCACGCCTTCCGCAATCTCCTGAGCCGATAATCGGGACAAACCTGACAATAAATACAGCACATACCCCCCCTTCTTTTGATGAAAATCTCAACAATATCAACAGCGGCACACCTGCACATCACCAACCACTGACGGAGAACTTACTTAGGTATGATGAGAACGACGAGAGTCTTGTGACTTCAACGACAAAGAAAGCGTCAACAAAGAAAGCGTCAACAAAGAATGCGTCAACAAAGAATGCGTCAACAAAGAAAGCGTCAGATCAGGAACTAAAGAAGCATTTGGAGATCGGTTCAAGCAGTGCACAAAGGAAATTCCAAATTGACTACGACCCCAGTCGCAACCAGAATGGTTCCAACCACCATGGCACCATCGTATCATCAATTACACGATAGAATCAAACAGTCATTGAAAATCATCTCAGGACTGGGGTATTCTACTGTACGTATCCTGCTGACAACTTTTTGATATGGAGATATGCCGGACTAAAGCTTTGCAGACCACTTCTGTGCACCTCTAAATCAGCCATTGATCAGCTGGCCGTTCAACAACAAGATGGCTTCTCCTTGTCGGGCTGTCAGACGTGATGCCGACTTATTACCTAATTTTGCTTTTTCACTTCAAACCTTCTGCGGCCCTTGCACCCTGGTATCTTTTGCCGTTCCTGCATTCCAGGATGGGCTCTGACAAATTCACAGCCTTAGGTACGCTGGTACGCTGAGCTTCCAAGGCATGATCAGTATACCTCCAGACTGATTCGCATCTTTCCTGGAGCTGGTCTCCTCGAAAGCTCCTGAACACGACAGAGCTGTCAGGAAAAGTTCCCCGCCTTGAATCCTGGAACATGCGATTTCCAATTGCCGTATCGCCTTCAGTCTGGTCAGCATCTGATATTTTGCACACTATCCCTTTGAACCTTTTCCGAGAGATAAACACATCTTCAACTTAACAGTAAAATAGTTCTGTATTGTATGGAATCCCGTGGTTCAGCGCTCGTGTCACGAGACCTATAATGAAGCTCCTCGTCCTCAAATCGCACCATCAGCTCGTACTTGACCAGATCGATGGAGCCTCACACTTACTAGGAGTCGAGAATCGCGATCTGTTGACAGTCAACCTGAAGCGAACTTGCATGCAGATGTGGCAGACAAGATGGTTGGACCCGGCAAATTTCGAGTTGAAGATGAGCTTGGATCCTCCCAGCAAAGTCATTGGGATCTCACTGGCCTTTTGGTCACTGTACGGTTTGAGATCTGCGCACAACCTTGACCAAGTGGCCAAGTGATCTCTTCTATACAACATATCGCTTGTTTCGTATCAAAAGTCCGGAAAATAAGTGGCCGACCATATCCTATGGTCATCTATATGTTGCTTCTTTTGCTTCAAATTATTGGAATTCTACTAAGAAGTAGATCTTTACAAAAGGCGGGGAGTATCCAAAGCCTCATAATGTTGTTTTCATACAAGACGGTATTGTTACCTGGTTTAGTTAGACGGCCAGCCAAGAAAGCCACCCAAGCACGTCACCGAGCCTCGTCCGAGTTACATCGTTTAAGAAAGTTCGGCATCATCAATTAGGGGAGTTGGGTTGTTAAAAACGGCTGCCCCCTCACAATTATGCTGTCTACATGAGGCAGCTCTAAGCCATATCTAAGCTGGTCGACTCTGAGTTTCGAGTGCTCAAATTCAAAGCCCCCCACCATCCTTTTGAAGACAGTTATACATTAATGGTGCAACCATCGCAGGACTGCCATTTGCGTTTTACTAGAAAACTAAGGACTCTTTGACGATCTCACACGCTAACTGTGTAGTTACGGTGGTAGCGAGATCTTGGCCTCACCTCTTATGTCCTCACTCAAGCTCACAGAAAAGCAACTGACAATCTCTCCGAGGCTTCAACGGGCAAGTAACTCTGATACAATTCTTAAACCTTTCACATAACATCGAGATCGTAATGGGCATACCTGAAATCTTCCCAAACATCGAAGTCAAGAGCTGGAGTTTATGGCAATCCTTGGGCAAGTGACGGCTTGAAGCGGCTATGTCCAAGACTCCATCCTCCCCGTTCCCCCCAAAATTTGGTGGCCGTTAACACGGAAGCGCTACTCAAGTTTTCAAACTAGCGGATCCGGACCTACATCCGATGCATAAGAAATGATACTTTTCGCAATTGTTTTTAACTTTCCTTCATAGCGCTGCTTCCAACTACTTCGCCACATGAGTGCTTTATTTGAGGGGAACTACCTAAGAATATCAAGGATGGCCAGTTCTAATCGCAGGTCGAGCAGACTTGAAGCGGGGCTGATTCTACCAAGTGCTTCCACAAGCCCGACACCCTCTGCGTCTCTATTCTGGCTGCATACCAGATGCTCACCAATAGCACTCAATTGTACAGCACATGGAAGAGCCCTTCTTCTAGGATGCATACATATTGGCATGCAGACACGCATAGCGCCTCGTTGGCCCCACGCCCACCAAAGCCCCACACATCAATTCGTGCCTACAGTACCTATTCGCTCGTGAGAGTTGAGGGTATCGAAACTCACTCGATGCAATGCGGGATCCCCGCCACCAGGAGGTTTAGAAACAACTGGTGGAAACTTTATCCGCCAAGTATGGGGAGGCTCGAGGGAAGCACTAATACCCCGCAGTCGCTAAGCCCCCCAACATCAGAGCATCCTCGATGCATCATCCTCCCTCCTCAACCAACACACTTTCAGGTCGGACTGCTCAAACGGCCTTGCATTTGAATGCTTGCCTGTCTTCCTTGGTCTTCCTGCACGACTCTCGAACCACGTATATTTTATGCCATGCTTATGAAAGCTAAGAACCTTGCAAATTGGCAACTCAATGCCTGCATACAGCTGCTGATCTGCGGGGTTGGGCAGCTCGCACACCCGGAAAGCTCGGTAGGTCAATGAGGTTTTGCTGGCATGCGATTTCTTTTCTTTGGGGCTCTGTTCTTTTTCATTTACTGAAATTCTGTCATTGGATTGGTTTGGTGTGTCGAGATGATGTGAGCATCATCCCTAGCCCAGAGCTGTATCAGCCAAGTGGCTTCCATTCTTTCTTACCTTTCCCCGTATCAATCTCTATACCCTCTTGTCAAAGACCGATTTTCTATTATCTCTTTCTCAACAGGGTCGCATATAAGACCCACACATTTCTTAGCTGCGGGGTAGCTTGTGGGGGTAGTGCCAATATTCCAGGCAGTCGAGACACTCATGCACGCATGGAGCATGGGCTTCGTTTTCAAAACATCAAGATTATTGAACTCTAGACCCCGAGATATCACCATGAATTCTCCTCCACACCGAGCATGCAGGGTATGTTGACAAGGTTCCCATACGTCAATCCTCACCTCATGAAGCTCTTCAGAAAACCAAGTCTCACTAAATGAGGGGTAGCTTCCGTCACATCGTCAGAAGTAGTTCCCCAAGTGCATTTCCAATGCAAAGACGCAGTTGGGATGAGATTGGAATCCAATTGGGTTTCATGAATGGATGAAGCGGAAGTAGCACGCGTCAGAAGTTGCGCAGTTCGTATTAGCCAGCTTGCCTAGACAACTCTCTCGTGCGGGGTTGAGGGGAAGTTGGCAAGTTTAAAAAGGAGAGAGCTCCTGCGTTCTCTGGAAGATGAAGTAGCATTGGCTGTGCTTTTCTGAAGAGCCTAGACAAACAGCAACCAAATAACGTGTCCTTGAATATATCTTCATATTGAGTTCATCATGACGGTCCCTGATGAGGTAGATATCATCGTATGTGGCGGTGGCAGCTGTGGATGTGTTGTTGCGGGCCGGTATGTTCAAGAGATGCCTGCCATGCATGGCAGATATTGACTGTTTCCTAGTTTGGCCAACCTCGACCATGACCTTCAAGTTCTCTTGATCGAAGGAGGAGAGAGCAACTTGAACAATCCATGGGTCTTCCGCCCTGGAATCTGTAGGCTTCGCCAAATTACGTTCCGGGTTGTTTACTGACTGCTGCAGACCCACGTAATATGAAGTTGGACAGCAAGACTGCCTCGTTCTATTACTCGCGACCTTCAGAATGGCTCGGCGGTCGCAAGGCAGTCGTTCCCTGTGCTCATATCTTGGGTGGAGGATCTTCCATCAACTTCATGATGTACACCCGGGCTTCTGCTTCTGATTATGATGACTTCCAAGCTAAGGGCTGGACCACCAAGGAGCTGATCCCCCTCATGAAAAAGCATGAGACATATCAACGTGCTTCAAACAATAGGTAATTCAATCAGCATCGACGTACCCGAGAGACTATCTCTAATATTGGTCCAGAGAAATCCACGGCTTCGAAGGCCCAATCAAAGTTTCGTTTGGAAACTACACTTATCCAATCATGCAAGACTTCCTCCGAGCCTCCGAGTCTCAAGGCATCCCAACCACCGATGATCTTCAAGATCTTGTGACCGGCCATGGTGCAGAGCACTGGCTCAAGTGGATCAACAGAGATGTAGGATAATGCCTGCTAGCTTAAGTTCTTCGCTGCTAATACAGGATCTAGACTGGACGTCGTAGCGACTCTGCTCACGCATATATTCACAGCACTCGCTCGGTTCACCAAAATCTCCATCTCCAATGCAACACCAAGGTCGACAAGGTGATCTTGGAGAATGGCGTCGCAGTTGGCGTTCGGACTGTCCCCACAAAGCCTCTTCACCCATCCGTAAGTTCTTAGAGCTCCCCCTGACCAACTGTATTGATACGAGTTCCCCCAAGCAGCAACAATCCCGTACTTTCCGTGCCCGCAAGCAGATCATTGTATCTGGCGGTACTCTTTCATCGCCATTGATCCTCCAGCGATCTGGTATTGGTGATGCCAAGAAGTTGAAGAAGGCTGGCGTCAAGCCTCTCGTCGATCTCCCAGGTGTTGGTCTGAACTTCCAGGACCACTACTTGACGTTCTCTGTTTATCGTGCCAAGCCTGGTATGTATAATTACATTCCAAGCCTTTTGATTGATTGTTAAATTTTTTAGGCACTGAAAGTTTTGATGACTTCGTCCGTGGTGACCCAGAGGTCCAGAAGAGAGTATTCGATGAGTGGAACATCAAAGGCACCGGCCCACTCGCCACCAATGGTATCGAAGCTGGTGTCAAGGTTCGCCCTACCGAGGAGGAACTTAACGAGATGGACTCCTGGCCAACTCCACACTTCCGCAGTGGATGGGACAGCTACTTCAAGAACAAGCCCGACAAGCCAGTCATGCATTACTCTGTCATTGCTGGGTATGTTGCCCCAACTACTGCTAAGTCACTGCTAACATAAAACAGTTGGTTCGGTGACCACATGCTGATGCCACCTGGAAACTTCTTCACCATGTTCCATTTCCTCGAATATCCATTCTCTCGTGGCGAGACCCACATTGTCTCGCCCGACCCGTATGAAGCACCAGATTTCGATGCCGGCTTCATGAACGACGAGAGGGACATGGCCCCCATGGTCTGGGGTTACATCAAGTCAAGCAAGTCTTGCGCTTTCATCCTACCCCAACAAGTTCTAACATCAGTGTAGGAGAGACTGCTCGCCGCATGGAGGCCTATGCCGGTGAAGTCCAGAACATGCATCCATTCTATGCCTTTGACTCGCCAGCCCGTGCCAAGGATATGGATCTTCTGACTACCAAGGCGTATGCCCTCCCAGGTAACCTTACTGCCGGTATCCAGCACGGATCGTGGTCCATGCCAGTTGAAGCTGGCAAGCCACCCCAGCCAAGCCTGCTCAACAGCAACTGCCAACATGTGTACGAGGACCTCAAGTACACCAAAGAGGATATCGCGACTATTGAGGAGTGGGTTAAGCGTCACGTTGAGACTACCTGGCATTCTCTTGGTGTAAGTATTATAGGATTTCAACCTGCGGCACTTCGCTAACATTCAGATAGACGTGCTCGATGGCTCCTAAGGAGGGCAATAGTATCGTCAAGCACGGTGTCTTGGACGAGCGCCTGAACGTCCATGGCGTCAAGAACCTCAAGGTCGCCGATCTCTCCATCTGCCCCGATAACGTCGGATGCAATACCTGTACGCTGCTTCCCTACTTCCCTGAACTCCTAAACTCTTACTAATGCGATCAGACTCCACCGCCCTTCTCATCGGTGAGAAGTGCGCCGTGCTGACCGCTGAAGATCTCGGATACAGCGGCAGGGCCCTGGAGATGAAGGTCCCCAACTACCATGCTCCAGGCGAGCTGTCTGGTCTTGCTTCCTCGAGACTCTAAACATCTCTCTGTCTGGGTATCAGCAAAAGGTAATTGGATTGGGAAATTGGTTACTGCTTAGCGGGTGAGGGGATGACGTCTTGATTGTGACAAAACGATTGTACTGTTTCCCTTCTTTAGGTAGTCTTGTCTTCGGTGGAGGAGAAGGAGGAGGATGGATGATGTTACTTGAAGAAACGCGCATTCATTGTTCTGCTCCTCTTTCTCTCCTTGACTAGGATAATGACGTCTTGTTTGCTCGATCAATGGAGATTTTAGCAAGTAATGTTCAAATTGTCCTTGACCTATGTATGTGATGTTCTCGTAAAATTGGGAGATGAGAGGACCGAATACCTCAACAGGCACCTCTGACCCAATGCCTGGGCACGGAGGGGGGGGGTTTATCGTTTGAACTAATTTGTTGTCCCTGTACTGACCAAAAATCCAAAGGAAATTTGAATTCAACAAGCAGTAAGTAGTTTAATTCCTCCACACACCACTCATGAATTTCGACATCTCGCTGCTCACTGTCCCATGAGACCGACTACCGATACCGGCTTGATCACATGATTCACGCGCAAAAGGGGTGAGGTGGTCAGGCCTCAAGCGAAAACCCCCCTTTGACGCCCAATCTCGACAAAAATGACAACACATCCACCACATCCGCCAAACAAAACAACACAGCCCAACTACAGTAAACGATACGACATCATCATCTCGCCCTGAAGCCTCAAAGTTACATGATGATACGCCATCGATCACGACATCGAAACAGCTTCATGCACGTCGCGGGGGCTTGATCCTCGTGACTTTGAATCTCACGTGGTCACAGAAATACTCATGTAACGACGCGGGTGGCTGGCCAATGTTGAGGATTCTATACTTTATGTTTTTAGGAGTGAGGTCATACATTGAAACGGAAATCTCGAGTTTCGAGTCATATTTGCGTGCTTTCGAGTCGACTGTGGCAAGGTCTCGCTCTGAACTCCCTAAAAGCCGCTGTTGCTACGATATATCACCGCGAATCGACATTTTTCAAGCGCAAAGGCATGTTCGTGGAGGTGTTGGAGATGATCGAGCTCGCGGTACATACACTTAGCGACCCCACGCCAGTCGAACATCTCGCCAACGTTCGAGGAAGCGTTACACTCTTGTTTTCTCTCGCCAAATATCGGGCCATGCATGAAGTGCTTCAGAGAGTGTCTCCACAGAAAGGCCCTGGCATGCTTTGGAAGAAGAGAATGCAGGCGAAGCTCGAGCAAGCAGATTGTGCAAACCGATATGACACTGCCATTGACCTGTCTCATCAAGTCCTTTCATCCGCAAAGACGTCCGATGAATCCCTGACCTCGACTGCTCTGTCTATGGATGATCTCGGAGTGGCTTTAATGCACAGAGGACGTTTCCGAAATGCTGCTTCTGAGTGCCGGAAAGCGCTGGCGGAGAGGAGGATCGGTCTGGGGAGCTCGTATTCTGATACGCTTACCAGCTGTCACAACTTGGCCGAGATTCTGAAGAGAGATGGCCAGACTGCGGAGGCTATGAGGTACATTCAGGGAGCTTTGGTAGGCAGAAAGAGTATTCTTGGCCCTGATCATCTGGAGACTGTGCACAGCAGATTTGTGAAGGCGAGCATTCTTCGGTACAAGGCAGTAAGTATACAGCATTCCCTCTTACAACCAAATCATGCTAACCGATTGACTTGCAGGTATCCGTCAATGACTTTGATGAAGCGGAACCTCTGGTTTTAAGTTGCATTGAAAAGCTGGGCTTCACCTTGTCAAACTCTCACCCACTTGTCATTTCGTGCACAAGCAAGCTCGCACTCATCATGCTCGCACGCGGCAACTACGAAATGGCGGAGCAGATGAATCAAGAAGCCCTCAATGCCAGAGAGCAAGGACCATGGCTCGAAGCCTCGACACATCCCGATACTCTCACAAGCAAGCATCAGCTAGCCGAAGTACTGCGACTGAAAGAGGGATGCAAATCGGCAGACGTATTGAGCGAAGCTGTATTCACAGACCGCACAGCTATTCTGACGAACGGCACTCTTACTGGACAATATCTCCCCCCCGATCAGCTTGCCAGTCTTCATCACTGAGCCATTGTCCTCCCTGGCCTCAAACAACATCTACCAGCATTACAGAAAATCGACATTGCACTCACATCAATAAAAGTTATCCTTGGTGAAGACCATCCTGATGTTTACCTCAGTATGACCTGGAAAGGTGATCATCCGAAGCCAGCTCCCCCGCTACCAATCCGGGCGCGTCCAAACCCTCGACACAATCGAGACTCTCCACAAGCAAGCTCTCGAAGGTCTTTCCTGGATCTTCGGACCCGAGCATCAAAGCACACTTCAATGCAAAACCAACCTCGCACTTCTCAAAAATGAAAGAGATGGGTCCTCGAATGCTGAAGCTGAGGATCTCTATCGCCAAATCTACAAGTCGTATCAGCGGAATCTGGGAGATCTGCATCCAGAAACACTCAAAGCTAAAGGAAGATACGCGGAATCGTTGAGGGCTTCAAGCTCGAGTAACCATTCTCAGGCCAGGAAGCTGTGGAGGGAATGGTGTAGGGGATTTGCCAAGGTGTATGGTCCTGATGCGTGGGTGACTGTGAAGGCGAATAAAGAGAATGAGAAGTCCCTGAGGACGTGTCCGAATCCTTGGCTTTCGCTCTGAATATGGCGGGGAATGGGGTGGTGGTATGCACTGTTCTGTTCACGAGTATTTAGTAGTTAGGGACAGATAAGGCAAAACATAGAAGGCTGAAGAGCAAAACGAGAAGAAGGAATTTTGACGAATAGAGTAGACAGTACAAGTAAATTCCCTTGCATATTTTACAGTGTGAGTTTTCCCCACATGCAAAATCAAACAGCCACAGACCTCGTCCCACAGCACGCAAGTACCAATCATAAAGTCTCTTCAAGTTATCGTGTAACCCAGGTCCCAGTCCAAAGCAAAAATCCCGCGGGATTGGCAGACTAGCTTTACTTTATCACATTCATATCTCAGCACCACGTTTAGGCTAAGTCATTACGCATATTGTCGTGCTGTAGCCCAAAGATTGTTCATACCAACCGTTCCACTCCCTTGCAAACTGCCAGCGAACACTATTTCCCGAACCTGCAGCACCAACTGCATGGCGGGCGCGCCCAACCCAACGCAACACACGGACGAACACCCATCGCATCAAAGTCATATGAGCCAATCAATTCTCACAGGGCTTTCAATTTTGAATACTTCATCTTCACTCGCTCCATCTCCATGATTTCATCTTTTCTCCTTCCATCTCTTCCTGTAAATTTTATATCGCATATACTTCGAGTTTCTGATTTCTGTATGATTTTGGATTTTGAGTGGATCCACAGTACACGTATATACTACATTGGATATGTCTGCCCTGCGACAATGAAGTATTGAAGTCCCGTGCTCGCTAAGCTGCTTCTCCTATCGTTGCGATTTTTCATTCTGCCCCTCTATGTCGCCGAATCCCCGCTCTGGGCTTGGGATCAGGAAGAGTAATACGGAATACATTGATAGGGATGTGGATACTTGGACACACACGTCGGGCGATGGATCGATATTGTCTCCCACCAATTTATCCACGTCTACCGAGCCGAGACATACTTCGGAAAGCAATCCTTCCTTGGAATTACGATCAGAAAAATATTCCGCTTCGGAAGCGCGAGATGCAGAATCAAGAAATGGAATTGAGGAAAGAGACGGAACCCGATATATCACTCTCACCGTCACACGATCTTCGGGCACGTACGTGACGCTCGTTGAGCTGGGCGACACGACGCTCCCGACTTCGTATCAAGTTACCCAAAGCCAAACAACAACGTACTCCTCCCCCCCTCTCTCCGTTAGCAATCCTCTTGAAACCCAAACTTCTGACGGAGAACTAGTAGATCGCGCATTCCAGACCCAGGTATCCCAACAGGAACTATCGTCGGCATCGTCGTGGGCATCTCCCTCGGTGTGTTGGCTCTAGTGGGGGTCTTTTATGTGTATTTATTGAGAGCGAGGCATTTGAAAAGGATTAGGAGGAGGAGAAAGAGAGCTAGGAGAGCGAGTGCTAGTTCAGGTGGTATGCATTGGTTTTTCTTTTGCTCGTTTTAAGGTGCAGAGTGATGCTGATTGAGTGATTAGGACCTGCGCCGGCGGCTCCGCCTCCTGCTGCGGGTGATGCGCCACCTCCTCCTGCTAATCCGTGAGATTGTACGGAGATTGAGGTGATAATTTGGACTTGTGGAAGTTGATCTTGTGATGCTGTGTACGGAACTGGTGGGAGTCTCTATGTATGATGCTGAAGTGGAGAATACTGTAAAAAGGGGGTTCGCTTCTGATGTTGTATTTACCTTACTCTCGATCTGGAAATTGATCGCCCTATCCGATTCTGTCGAGTTATTACCCGAGCCTTTTGTCACATTCTTTCATTTCCCACTCCAAGATCTAAATAAGTTTGAATCTGGACAGCTGAGAAAGAGCAAGTTCATTGTCCTCCTCGGTGAAGTCCTCCTCCTCGCCTGATTATCCACCTCGTCTATAGTAATTCTGTCAAGGTCATCTTATCAAATAAGCAAATTTCCGTCACCACCATGGGAATAGGATTTACGAGAGAGCGGCTCTCCTCGATGATACCTCGGGATGGTTAGAGTCGAACTTTGATGAAAAGGAGGATGACTGTTGACTGCCCGTTTGAACACCTTGGAGAAGAGTCTTCACGATCTTGTATTTTTTAGTTATACCTATTAGCGGTGTTTATTTTTATATTTGTGTTTCGACATTAGTAATCGCTAGTATTTATTTCTGAGTTTTACAGTGTACTTGGACGCTATGGCAACATATGACCATAGTAGCTAGGTATGTGCTTCTTGACCATGCTGTATCCACACAAAGAGTGAAGTTCTCGCAACCTTGGAACTGATACAAAAAGGAACCCAGACAAGCGCAAATACTCTCCAACTCGGTCTCTCAAATTTCTTTCTCGGGCACAATATCTTGTTTTCCAGCCGCCGTCTGAGGTGGTATACTGACCACTGTCTTCTCTGTCTCTACTCCCGTTGGAAGGTTAGTCACAAGCTTCCCGTCATTGGACCTTTTCTGCTTTTCGGCTGCTCTTCTTTCACTCTCTTCCTTGTCAGCTTTGACACTCTTCCATTCCATCATCAGCGCACCAATAATGCTAGCCGCGGAACATCCAACAGCGACTCTGAACATATCCGCCAATGCAGCATTGTACGCTACCAGGACTAGACGCATATGCTGCTGTGGTACAATGTTTCTCAACTCCGTAGCGCCTGTTTCCACAATTACCTCCGAGGAGACATCTGCCACTTTGGAAAGCTTCGAGATGAGACTTTGGGTGAAGACCGTCTGTCCAACAGAAACGAATATCGAGCCTCCGATTCCCTGCATGAAGAGCATGAGAGAGACGCCGATCATAACATCTTGTTTCGCTAAACAAGCTTGTGCTGCCATTGCTGCCTGCTGTATACCGAGTCCAAGGCCAAAGCCGCAAACGACCTGGTAGCCAATCCATTTTGAGGACGAGATGCCGACTTCCAGGATCGTGAGGAGGCCAGCGCCGATAGACATTATGATCGAACAAACGATCATCTGACCGGTGTAGTATCCAGTCTTGGCGGCGATGGCCCCCGAGATGATGCTAGCTACGACGAGGGACAACACGAGGGGAAGGGTATTGATGCCAGAAGTCACGGCCGAGTCGCCTTTGATGGCTTGGAGCCAGATCGACAGGTAATAAATGATGACCATCATAGATCCAGAGGTAACAAGTTGGAAGTACATGCCTGCTAACATGCTTCGTTGGCTGGCGATTCGAACTGGGACTGTCGCATTGTCTCCGGATTTGAACTGGACGAAGATGAATAGACCGAGAAGGATTCCGGCCAGGATGAACAGGACAATAATTCTAGCATTTTGCCAATTGTAATCTGCACCTCCCCACTGAAGAGCCAGAAGAAGATAGACAATTCCTGGCAAGAAGACAAGTGTGCCTAGAGGATCGAGTTTTCTGATTTGCTGGCGGACGGTATCCGTATTTTTGGTGGGTGCCACTTCGAGTAGAAACAAAATGATGATGACCACAACTCCGCCCACTGGTAAGTTGATGTAGAAACACCATCTCCACGTGGCGTGAGTCGTGAAAGCGCCTCTGTTCAATCGATTAGTGAAAATTCACTTGTGGTGATCAACGAGGGCAAGGGGGTCGGGTATGGCTTGATGTCGGTTGGAAATGGTTAAATGAGCTACTCACCCAATGAGAGGCTCTGCCACATTGGCAACCCCAAAAACAGCTCCAAATATTCCTTGAAACAATGGTCTCTTATGGAGAGGGATAGTGAGGACCATGATATTGACGCAGCCACTGAAGATACCCGCCGCGCCAACACCGGCCACTGCTCTCCCAATGATAAACGATACTGAATTTGGCGCAGCACCGCAAATTACTGACTGTAAATGGTCAACTTCCTCTGGTTTGTGCGCTATGAGACAGAGCTTGTACTTACTCCAACTTCGAATAAGCCAATTGCACCAAGTAAACCCCATTTTGTCGAGTAGAAGGTGTAGATGCGGCCATATATCAATTGAAAGGCGGAACTTGTGATTAAATAGGAACTTGCATACCACTATTATGTCACTTTCAGCCAATCTTTTATTTTCGCGACGTTGAATGGTGGCCGAAACGATTGGAGGTAGATACAAAGGCTTGCAGGACACAAGTAGCACGACTCGAGCTGCAGCCGGACTTTTCTACAATACTGCGACATGACAAAAAGGAGGCATGGATAGATTGTCAAAATTGCTTACCCCAACATCATTGATAGAATGGAATTCATCCGTTATCTCGGGAATGGCAGTTCCTAATATTGTGCGGTCCTGTGACTACTGTCAATCTCGAACTCATTTTAGCGAATAACCTTCCTCACCAGAGCAGGAAGTGTTTCACCGGCGCACTACGCCTGTTACAGCGGCGCATGCGCAATCGATTTTTGCTGGAGGAGCCTCCTGGCGCATGCGCCTGAACTAAGGATCTTAGCAGCGCATAGTACGGATAATCAATTAATCCGCATGTTCTACTCGCCTTATTAGTAGAGAAGACGCACCAGAAGGCCCTGTTACGCTGAAGGATATCGGGATAAGAGCTTTACCCTAAGCAAAAAGATAAGATAGTCCTACTATATAATCCTAAAACTGTTCTTTAACCTCTACTTTTACTTTTAAGGTAGTACAAAGAGTACAAAGGTTTACCTTATTTACCTCTTACTTAACTATTTGCTATTCAGCGTCTTAGGATTTTTATACCTAGGCTACCTCTTGTAGGCATTTCAGCGTTCTTCAGCATAGTAAAGGTAGCCTGCGCTGCTAAGATCCTTAGTTCAGGCGCATGCGCCAGGCTCCCCCACCAAAAATCAATTGCGCATGCGCCGCTGTAACAGGCGTAGTGCGCCGGTGAAACACTACCTGAGCCACGATAAACATCGTACAGTAGGCCCCAATCATAATCACAGCTACTTTCTTCCATGGTAGATATGTCTCTTTCTCATCTTCGTCCTCTTCTCTGCATTCTGGCCTATCTGTTGTCGGGTTTTCACAGGCTGTCTCGATATCTCGTCCCAAAGCTGTGGCTTTGGGATCTTCTACAGTGGTGGGCGACATCTCTCTTGCCAAGGAATGAATCTAGATGTTGGTCGTGGAGAGTATGGGGAAACTCAACGAGGATTGTCTGGTCAGATACTTAGACCTCGCTGACAACTTCAAGGAGACTTGTGTTGCGGGGGGAAGCTTGAATGAGGACCGGGGCTAGGACATATTTATATACGAAGCAGGCTTGAATCGCGCTGCATGCAAGTTACTACAACACATTGCTTGCATTGCACAAGCGGTCATAGACAATTGGTTTGACAAATTGCAGTCGTCAACGTCGTTGAACGGACAGTAGAAGTGGTGAAGTCCGAGATCTTCATCATGAAAGATACATTCAGTGCTCTAGCTTGGCTCGTTTGACACGGACTCTGGTTCGGGACCGAGATAATTAGTGCGCTCCCGAGAATTCCATACATAAGAGACGACTCGCAAGCTTCAGTACCCCTCTCTCATATCCCAAATAAACAACAAAAAGGGACTTATACCTCACCCGTCTCTTGATCTTTGCAGCTTGGCGTAGTTGACTCCTTGGACGGGGTATTCTACCAGCCCGAAGGACGTGGACGTTGTGCCACCTGAGACCCACCTGAGACCCTCGCATATTTCTATCACCCGTGCCCAGTCAACAGAACGCCACCACCTGTGGGGATCAAGATGCTCCAAGCACCATCTCAAACCTTCAACACGACGCCAAAGATCACGAGAGGCCATTCCTGCATATTATGCCAGCAGCGCAAAGTTAAATGTGATAGGCAAAAGCCCTGCTCAAACTGTGTTAAAGCAAGGGCTGAGTGTGTTCCGAGTGCACCCCTTCCACCACGCCGAAGGAAAAGGAAGCTCACCGAGATTGATCTCGCTGCTCGGCTCCGAAAATATGAACACCTTCTACGGACCCATGGCGTGAAATTCGATCATGATGATGAGGCACCTCCAGAAACTGGTGAGCGGTCGCACGTGTCGTCACGCTCCAACGGAGCGGGGTCTAATGGATTGTCAATGAGTGTTGCACGAGCTCGCAATGCAGAGAGGGGAGCCTTATTTGCCGACAAGGAGAACTCACATTATGTTGAGAAGTATGTCTAGATATCCCCGACCAATGTGTTCCAAGTCACGGCTAACAGAAACAGTACGTTGTGGGAAAACTTGCGAGACGAGATACAGGATCCAAAAGATGCTCTCCATGAAGGATCATCAGAAGATGACTTTCCCGATCAGGGTGGTTATCCTACACTAGAAGGATTTCTTTTTGGGTCGCTTGGAGGACTTTCACAAGATTTGAAAGACCTCCATCCTCCACCAGTACACATCTTTCGATTGTGGCAGACATTCCTCGTTAATGTCAACCCCATGGTGAAACTGTTCCATGCACCCACGATCCAGCAAATGATATTGGATGCAAGCGGCGATCTTGCAAACGTGCCACGGCATACGGAAGCATTAATGTTCTCTATTTACTTCATCTCGGTCGTGTCTCTTCAAGATCAAGATTGCAGGTCAATGTTCAATGAATCGAAGGAAACACTTTTGGCAAAGTATTCGACTGGAACCCAACAATCCTTGGCGAATTCGAGGCTTCTCAAGTCGCTGAATATCTTAACTCTACAGGCTTTTATACTGTATCTTGTAAGTTTGGAAACGGATTTGATTAATTTTACGGACTTTCTTCCTTACAAGGATATTGGACTGATTCCTTCTTGAAGCTTGGTGTGCGACGAACGTATGATCCTCATTCTCTGTGGATCTTGAGTGGTGTTGCCGTGCGGATCTCACAACGTCTTGGTCTCCATCATGACGGAGGACACCACCAAATATCTCCATTCGATGCAGAGATTCGACGTCGAACATGGTGGCAGGTGGTCTTCCTCGACGGGCACTCCTCAAAGCTTGCCGGGGCTGGATTTCCTGCGTGGCTCGCCAAATTTGATACAAAAGTGCCGCTGAATATCAGTGACAGCGATCTGAGTCCAGGCATGACGGATCCGCCACAGTCGAAAGAGGGAGCTACTGAGATGTTATTTTGCTGCTTAAGATATGAGATTGCACAAGCATTTCGAGGCGCGAAGCCTGGCACCCCATGCAAAGAGGCTACAGTACTATCCTGTGCTACCGGTCCTGAGCTGATACCTGAAAAGGACAGAGCTATCGATGACTTAGAAGCAAGATTCCAGGAGCATTTTCTCCGGTACTGCGACCCCTCGATTCCACTCCATCTTCTCACTATCTACGTTGCCAAATCAGTTATCTGTACCATGCGAATCATGGCGCACCATCCTCGGCAATATCCAGACAAAGGAGCAAGCATGCCTCAAAAAGAGAAAGACATGCTCTTCACCGAATCCCTGAAGGAGCTCGAATTCGACTCCCTTGGCCATACAAACAAGTCTGTGCAAGGCTACCTCTGGCACGTAGCATCACACTTCCAACTCGACCCCTTCATTTACCTCCTCAGCGAGCTTCGCCATCGGACCTCAGGCGAGCTTGTCAATCGTGCGTGGCGACAAGTCGAATTGTCCTTCCAAAATCGCCCGGAAATGATCAACAACACAAAGAACAGCCTCTACGTCGCCATCGGCACCCTTGCCCTCAAAGCTTGGCAAAAGCGCGAAGAAGCACAAGGCAACTACCAAATTCCTCCCCCACGCTTCATCTCGCTGCTACGCGCCCAACGCAACATTGCAGAAGTCCCTGAACAGGTTGCCCTGCCTGCTCCACTCCCGATGGTGAATCACTATATGGGCTCCAATGGCGTCGCAGATTATGCGAATAATGTCCCGCAAGGTCTAACATATAATAATATAGCACCAGGAGATACAGCGGAGATGCAATGGGCTGGTCCTGATGCGTTGGGTTTCGATATGAATATGCCGGAGATCACACCTGTGGACTGGGAGTACTGGCAGACGCTCATGGATGGAGAATTACCTGCGTATACAGGGGAGGGGCAGAATTTCTTCAACTGAATGAAGCTACCATCCCAGTTTTTAAGAAGCAAAAAGTTGCAAAATTGAATGCGATATCTCCCAGCTGTTCAATCGTTGACAAAGCGAGCACTTCTAAGTACCAAACCCCATGCACGACTTTCAGACCCAGCACAAAATCAACGCAAAAGTGACAGAAACTCATCTCCCTCAAGATCTTATGCCCTACCACAGGAATTTCAACCAACCTTGCTCTGCACCAAAACCACCTTCCACCCATGTCCCATAAACTTACATTTTTCCACTTCGGCGGCTCCCCCGCCTGCATCATTTCAACAATAACAACAACAACACTTCTTTATCTGTTGTACAGTCAGTGCCAGATAAGGGTTGATCTGTGACGGGTCAAGTTTAATGACCATGGACGATTAGTGAAGGGGCGTAGACTCTGGTGCGCAGAAGGGGCCTGCTGTAAAGCAGATGCAGCAGCTCGTTGGCGTGGGTGAGAGTGGCGGAGGCGGCCGAGTGGGAGGAGGTGGAGGAGGTGTGGTGGTTTCATGGGCTCGAGTGAGGGCGAGGTTGATTATAAGGGCTATATAGATGGTAGTTCTTGTGAATATGAAAGCGATGTTGTGAGTGAAGCTGGTGGCATTGATAGGAGCTGTGCTGTGGTTGACGATAGAAGAGGCAAGGGGGCTGTGGAACCGTTTCTTGCGGAATTTGTCTCCGGAGGGCTCGAGGATAGAGGTATGATAGATTTTTTTTTTTTGAAAGTGTTGTCTCGGTTCTGTCCAAGGATGTGTTCTGCATGCTGTGCTGTGCTGTTCAGAAATTGAAGTGCACAGAGGGGTGCAGCACCAGTGCAGCTTACAGTTATCCTTTCAACTGCCTAGAACACTCTCTTTCAGGAGGCAGCGCTGAAGCGGGTCACAAAAGCTGCCTATCACTTCCGTATTTCAGGCGTTTCTCGCTTAATTACAGGGCACTCCTTCAGGCCACCCGTCCCCGTGAAGATGTGTGTTTGTTTGCTTTGACAATTGAGGGGATAGTGAGTTTTTTTTTGGAGCCGAGGTCAAGAGATGAAAGAAGCAAGTGATTAGTAAGAGAGGTTTAAACATCCCGAAGATTATGAAAAGGTATGGTTTGCCGTTGTATGCGTGAAGTGAAGGTTGGAAATTAGAAATTTTGAGGGTCTTTGAATTTGGCCTGCTGTCTTCCTTCGCAAAGAAAATCTCTCTATTATCGAATAGTCAAAAAACTATCGAACGAATTCATATGCCACTCGGGTTTGAACCAAACCTTTTGATTCAACAGTGTTGTGGATGTCCTCGCCATAGCAAGCAGTGAGGTCAGTCGCCTGTTCTACTCCTGTCAAGAGCCAAGACTGGGCCAGGGTAAGCGCGCCATGTCGAACTTCCAACTCCGTCTGCGATTTCCTGGGTCTTGGAAAACACTAATTATACTTTCAAATAGATATGCCGTACAGGTACGACTTACTACTTCAGCCTTATACCTAATTAGAGTTTATAGCTTTGTACTAATCAAAGAAGCACTTCCCTTTGTTCCTTTTATTCATAATTTTTAGAGAACCATTGATGAATTCAAAATTGATCAACCAACTGCTTGTAGAGCTCTAAATATATCTTAGACTGCAAGAGATCTTATTTTCCATTCAAGGAGATACCGGAATAAATGTTCCTTTGTGATTTGATAGGGAACGAGTTTATTTAGGATATGACTTAGAGAAAAAAATGCAGAACAACAAAGCGGTCTTTCTCTCAACTGCTGAAAGAAGATAACACTCTGACAATGGCTTCACTATCTCGAGAATCATCGCTGTAAATCTCTAAAAACAATCGACTAAGACTGAGATTCAGCATATATAAAAGCTCGTGCTGACTAGAATGTGCTTCTGCTCTCCAAACATTACCACCAACAGCTCAAGCAAATCATAATATTCAATAAAAAACACCTCAGTATCCTGATTATTAACACAAAATATCACCAAAAAAGACAAGCACTCAATTGACCTTTGAACATCCAACAGCAGAATGTTCAACCCAACCACCCTCCTCATTGTCTCCTTCTGGGGCCTCGTCACTCTCAGCATTCCATCTTTCGCTCACCCCTCCCCAGCAAATTTAACTTCCATCCTGGAAGCCCGCGAGAATCGATGTATCTGTGAGGAGGAAGGCAGATTTTGCATTGGATTCAATGAGCGTCTTAGCGGCATCTGTCCAGCCGACACAATCATCACTTGCAAGGCGGAGAATATCGGCAAGGAACCAGCCAAAAAGCAGTATTGCAACAATGGACGTGGTTGGAGAGCCAAGGAAGATAGTCACTGCTACTGGAAGCAGCTTACTAAGGATAGTGGAAAGCTGGCGTGCAAGTGAGGTGTATGGGGCATAAGCGACTTGTGACCCGGACTGCTCGCTGAGATCAAGACAAATGGACATAAAGCAATACAAATTCTTCACACAAAAAAACTGATTCAAGGCTTGGTTCATTGATATGGGCTTCTTCTAGGAAGAGGTTGACTGAGATTAAATTGTTTACGTTGCAAGGCTCGCTTCATGCTCGTGATGGTTTGCCGGCGTTTGGCTACGAACAGAGAATGGTAGAGGCGAGGTTCCCAAATTGTTGCAGACACAACTAGACTCATTATACTTTCCTGCAAACTTTACAGTTTCAAACAGCTGAAAATATGACGATCTGGTTCCGAATCCATTCAAATCGCAAAAGGTACAGTCACGTGTGGCCATCGAGCTGACTAATAGCCTTTCTCGCTCAGTATTTGCTGACGACTGAGTTTCTTCCAGACTTAATTCTCTTGTTCGTCTCCAGATTTCACAACATATTACAATCTTAATACAACCTATGCTGCAAGAGTAGAACGATGGCGCCTCGTACAAAAGAAGAGCTCTCGTCGTTATCGGTCATGGACCCAGCGCTAGCCGCAATTCTGGAGACTCGACCAGCGATACGGCCGCCAAAGCCATCCGACCCATATTATGGGCGAAACGATCATTCGGCACTCCGACAGCACAGAGCAGCAATGCTAAAAGAGAAATGGCATCTCCGTTATCTTCCTGGCCCCATACCAGAAGTTCGAGAGGAAGATCGCCAAATTCCTGTTCGTGATGGTTCGGAAATCACAATTCGGGTTTATCAACCCGTGACCAAAAACGAAGCTGGGCATCCTCTAATCGTAATGTTCCATGAGGGTGGTTGGGGAATGGGAGATCTAACTGATGAGGAGGTGAATTGTCGACTGTTCTCGCGAGATCTGGAGGCTGTCTGCGTTAATGTCGAGTATCGACTTGCGCCAGAACATCCCTTTCCAACATGGATCAATGATGCTTGGGATGCTCTTCAGTGGTGTGCTCAGAACGCTTCAACTCTGGGAGCTGATCCATCAAAGGGTTTCGTCATCGGTGGAGGCTCTGCCGGCGGAAATATTACTGCTGTCCTCGCCCATCTTGCTCGCGATGAACAATTGTCACCTCCCCTTACTGGTCAGTACCTTGGAGTACCCGCTATTATGTGTTTCTTGCCACCGTCGCATATAGACAATCAATATCGATCCGAGTTCTTATCACACCCTTTTATCACCCCGAGTAAGGATCCGGTTCTCAATGTGGCTTTCGGACCTTCAGGCACGTATCTTACCCCGATTGTCAGGTCGATAGTCGGCTTGCTACCTCTGAAACTTCTTGCGCGAGTATTTGGATTTGCTGGTATGCATGGTGATATGTCAAGCTCTTTGTTCGTGCCTTTTCTTTATGGCAGGACGGAACGAGGACACAAAGACCTCCCTCCGGTCTACTTCCAAGTCTGTGGCTTGGATCCCCTCCGCGACGAAGCGTTGATATACGAGAGGGTATTGAGGGAAGAATCTGGAGTCAAAACGAAGCTGGATGTATACAAAGGATTAGGTCATTACTTCTGGACGAATTTCCCAGAGCTAGAGATAAGCAGGACATTCGTCGAGGACACTGTGAAGGGTGTGAGATGGCTACTAGAAGAGCAAAAATAGTCGGTGACTGCTATCAATCGCCACAACAGCTTCGATTGTGTTCTACTGGCGTAGTTCATGGCTGTGCGATTCATGTCACACCAAGAATCGAGTATGTTGGCATGTTGGCTCGCTTGAGTTCGAGCCGCTGGTCTTACCGAGAAACCACACCTGGGCTGTTCGCTTACCTGCCGAGTTTGGTCAAATGCAAGATATCGAGCGTCCGTACTTACCTATCAGGTCTTATAGACCAAGCTTTTGGAAATCATTCCGGACTTGCGAGAGTTCGTCCCACCAATGCAGCTACTCAATTTGACCCCAGTCTGCATGCTGACCAACCGCAGTCATTGGAAACACCTCATGCAAGCCACTCTCAGCCTGGTCAAATAGAAAGTCACTCCACTCACATCATAGTAACCCATATATAGCCTTGTCAAAAGATAAGCCGCCCAGCCCGTGGCTCGACGACACCGGGTACAAGCCAATTGTGCAACCTTCATTGCAGCTGGGCGAGGGTCTCACTCCACAACTTTAACCGGGATCTCATTGCCTCGAGCTGACTACAAGATGAGGATAATCCCAGAGCCTGATCATCATGATCCTCCTATTCTTTATCTCCAAGTCCTGGAGACGTTCTCGACCCAAATCTTGAGTCAATGGCACCTTTGCGATCCAATGTCGAAGTTCAGCCTCATCTAGAGGCCAGACAGAATGATGCTCAGCTCAGACCCATAACCCTGACTGTCACTCGAGCTACAACAACTTTCACGACTATTGTGAACTTGGGCGGTGGAGCGACCAACGTTCCTACTCAAGCGGATCCAACAGTGGTTACAACGCCACTCTCTACTCCAGATCCAGTTATCGCTTCCGGCTCAAGCGATCCAAGTGACAACACTGGCGTTGTTATCGGCGCTACTATTGGAGCATTGGCCGGAGCTTTGTTGCTCATGATCTTTATCTGGAAGTGCTGCTATGGTTACCGCAATGCTGTTGTGAGTTCCTGGCTTATATCTCACATCTGAGTAGGAAGTTGACCCCCTATGCAGCGTTGGACCGGCAGATATTACGATTCCGATACCTCATCATCTTCCTCTTCTTCTCCCTCATCTTATCGGCGTCGTTATGGAGATACCTTCAATCGGCGCAACTACAGAGGATACCCAGTAGCAGTCCCACGCAGAACGTACTCGAGACGAGAGCGAAAACCGAGCTTGAGTACCTCAAGTGGAAGTCGCAGTGACAGTACTTGGATGAGGAACAGAAGAAGATCTGGGTGGGGTCATAGCTTATTCGGCTGGGTCACTGGGACAACTACGAGAAGGGTGAGGAGCGTATATGTCAGGAGGGATGGTGACAGTAGTGGGAGGAGGTATGGAGAACCTAGATATTCTGTTGACGATTAAGGTTTGCTTAAGGTTGGTGGGGCATTTTTATATCCGTTCTTTGGGAGAGCAGGTTATGGTTACTTACCTTGTGGCACTGTTGGACATCCTGATACTTCTGGTACGACTGATGACTTATGACTTATGACTTTAGATGGGTTCTCTGGCCTGGCAGGTGCTACGGATGGCTTGGGCTGATATTAACGACAAAGATAGCAACCCATGAATTCTCACTGTTGCAAGTGATTAGTGGAATGTAGCCAAATCTGGATCTTGAAGCCGTCCCAGACGCAAGCAAATGTTTTTATCACTTTTTGAGATGATAGAGCAAAAAGTGAGAAGCACTCGGCTAATGAAGGGAGGTGAGCTTTGGTGGGGGTTCACGTGACGTCTACCTCCAGACGCTAGCTGGGGCCATCTACGCTAAGATAATTGATAGCAGAAATATTTTTGGGGAGCAGGAGCACATGAAGGCATTCTGACCATAATCGCCCACCTTCTCGCCTCTTACAATCACAATGGTCAAGAAACGGGTAGGAGCGCTTGACAAGGTGGACGCAGATCTGTTAGCAACCTCTGATATTCTAATTTGGCTTACACTGAAGTGTCTTTAGGTCGAGTCTGCAGTACAAAGTTCGCCGAGATCCACGGTGAGCTCTGAGCCTCCTTCCTCTGTGTCAAGCAGTATGCTAACGCTGCTCAGATCATATCGCGAGGACTTCCAGAAACAATTCGAACAATATGTGTCCCAGCGCGACATCTTCCTGGTCTCTCCCACAACAGCTGCTTCCAGTGGCATCGTCTCTTTTCACGACTTGATCGACTTTATTGCGCACGTCGCAGACTGCTTTCCAGAAGATACCAAGGAATTTCCAGAGGACCTAAAATCTTTACTTACCTTGCACCACGCGGAACTTGACAGCGAATTGCGGGAGAAGATTGTTGGAAGCTTAGTTCTGTTGCGCAAGAAGGACATAATCGATTCTGCGAACCTGCTCAATACGTTGTTTCCTATCCTGGTGACAACTCCCAGCAAGACTCTTCGGAGCTTACTGTTTTCGCGAATCATATCTGATCTGCGAACCTCAAATTCGAAATCTACCAACCATCGGTTGAACCGAACTATTCAAACCGCACTCCACAACCTTCTTACAGCTGACCGAGCATCGCAGAAGGGTATTTGGGCAGTCAAGATCACAAGAGAGTTATGGAAACGTCAAATATGGACAGACTCGAAAGCGGTTGAGATCATGAAGGAGGCCGCTCTTGCAGACAACGAGAAAGTCATTGGAGGCGGCGTGAGATTCTTTCTGGGAGGAGACAAGGAGCGAGAAGAGGCGTTGGAAGATGACAGTAGTGACGATGACAACGCCATTGACATGGGCAAGTTGAAGCATCAAGCAGGCATCAACAAGAAGAGTCGAAAAACGAAGAAGAATCTGGAAGAGGCAGCCAAGAAGGTCAAAAAGGTCGAGAAGAAGAAGCATCAACCACACCCTCTCAACTTCTCAGCGCTACATCTGCTACACGATCCCCAAGGATTCGCTGAAACTCTTTTCTCGAAACATCTCCAGAACTCCAAATCGAAGCTGAACTTGGAGCAGAAGCTGCTGGTTCTGCAACTGGTTTCCCGATTAGTTGGCTTGCACAAGTTGACCGTCATCTCATTGTATTCCTACTTTATCAAATACCTCACGCCTCGACAGCCGTCGGTTACATCATTCCTTGCCTCCCTCGCCCAAGCCACACATGACCTAGTCCCACCTGATGCCCTCGAGCCATTAGTCCAGAAGATCGCAAACGAATTCGTGTCGGAAGCTTCAGCATCGGAAGTCGCATCGGCAGGCTTGAACGCGATTCGGGAGATCTGTGTCCGACAACCGCTGTCGATGAATGATACCCTTTTACAAGATCTGGTTATGTACAGAAAAAGTAAGGACAAGGGCACAATGATGGCTGCGAAGGGATTATTGTCCCTGTACAGAGAAGTTGGTGCTGATCTGCTAAAGAAGAGAGATAGAGGCAAGAAGGCAACAATGGGGATCAAAACCGGGTCTATTAAGGAGCGCAGATTTGGAGAACAAGAAGTCGGTAGTATCGAGGGTCTCGAGCTTCTCGAAGAGTGGAAGAGAAATGAGAGGAAGCGGAAACGAGAAGAAGCCGGATTGCCTGAACTTGGAACGGACGAGGACGATTCAGATGAAGAGGAAGAGGAAGAGGGCAAAGGTTGGGAGAACTGGGATGCCGAATCCGATGCTAGCGACGACTCTGGTGGATGGATCAACGTGGAGAGTGATGCTGAGATCGAAATCAGTGATAGTGAGGATGACAGGCCGAATCCCAAGAAAGCGAAGCTTGATGCCAAGGTTTCCAAAGAAGAAGAGAAAGAAAACGAGGAGAAAGCTCTCGAGAAAAAGATCTCGAAACTTGCGACCACGAAGATTCTTACTCCTGCCGATCTGGCGAAGTTGCAAGAATTACGTTTGGAGGCCAGTCTTGACAAGGCTATGGGCAAGAGCAGTAAATCGCACACCCAGCGATTGAAGGAGATTGCAGATCGACATGCAGACGATGCTCTGACGGCTGATCAAATCGAAGGCTTTTCCAAGCTGCGAAAGAGCACAAAAGAGGAGATGATTGCTTTAGCAAGAGAAGGCAAGGGCGAGAGAGGCGAACATAAGAGTACGCAAGCTTTGAGGAGACAGAAGAAGGATTCTGAAGGCAAGAGTACAACAAATAAGGAAAAGGCCCGGAAGAAGAATTTCTTGATGACGCTTGGAAAGGCCAAGTACAAGCAGAAGAGGAGTTTGGTACAGACGAAGAGAGTGCTGCAAGGACATATTGAGAGAAGTAAACGGGGTGGGAAAAGAGGAAATGTGGGGATGTAGATATTCGCTGGTAAGGTAGAATCAAACAGGACCCAACAAAATCTACGTCAGCCACCAAATGCAACTATCATCTGGCACTTAGTCGGATCTCTGCCGCATAAGATCTCGATCTTCTTGTTACAACTCAGAAGTGACGAACTCTTTGAACTCACCAATCCCAGGTATCAGCTGGTCCCACGCAGCCGAGGGACGGGCGATCTAGCGGTCAGTATCCACCATGTATCTACCGTGTATCCACCGCACAGCAAATTGTTTTAATTTACCTGTAGAGTTCCACTTAGACACTTCTTTTGTATCTCTTGATATATATATCACGGGCTACTGGCCCAATGGCAAGGCGTTTGACTTCGAATCAAAAGATTGTAGGTTGTAAGTACTATTCACACTCACACTACCTTCCATGATCCTGAACTAATAATCGTCCAGCGACCCCTGCGTGGCTCAAAGAGATTTACTTTTTGCTTCCAATTCTATCGTTTTGTGTGGGAAGTCATTGTATAATGCAGTTCAAATTTCTTGTTTTGTTCCTTTTCCCGAGTTTCCTCCCCTTCGCGATATGCCTTGCGGCGCACCCCGCGCTTGCCTTCTTCACCATAGCAATCTTCCGCTTCCCTGCATTTGTTGCGGATTTTCACAGTATGATGGACACTTTCATAGAATCTAGCAGGTGGAACCATTTCACCACGCATGCATGATAAAGTAGCCTCCATCTCATTAAGCATCCACTTCAAGAAAAGTGGCTGGCTTTGTTTACTTCAAGGCTTTCATCCAATCAGCGGCAAATCTTACAAGCTTTCTTCAATTCCGTTTTGAGTAATTAAGATCTGGTTTGAAGTTGACGGATTGAGCAGGGTAGTTGAAATTGGCACGCTGGAACTTCTGTTTGCTGAATTTACGTGCCCATGGGATTCTACCTTTCTGACGCTTGCCTCAGCGTCGTGAACGACGATGTGCTTCTGCAGGAGTCAGAAATACTCGCACTGGATCAGCTTCCGGTTTTCCATCGACTTTTCCGTCGGAACCTTCAATTCCTTTCCCGAAATTGTACCCTGAATTTTCCGAGGCCGAACCAGAAGGGCTGTCTTTAAACCTGTACACGCCACTCTCAGTACTCTGCTATCACGTTGGAATTTATCTCTGTCCGACTTGCTGGACTTCCTAGATCATACTGCCGCATCCTTCATCAAAGAAGAGCGCTTTTCACCTTAATGGTGGAAGAATCTTTCTTGTTACAATGTTTGGTATCAGCGAATATTTCCGATGCATTGAATAGCCAAGAGAGATAGTGGCGATTATGTTTGTGATCTCAGGAAGAAAAATCATGCGTTTCGGACTGCTGCTGTTCCATATTTAGGGGACTCGCTTAACAAAACAAGTCGATCGCCACGATCACCAGACGTTAAGGCTGTAAGAATGGTGTACCGAAGCCGGCCTGTAAGGAGAAGCTACAAAGTTCTACAGTAATTGAGGCAGCATGGATCTATGTAATGCATGATGAAAGCATCCCAGAAGAGACGTGTTTGGATTTACCGACTGTTTTGATCACCCCGCACTCCCGCGATCAGATTTCAAGTTAGGAAGCAGTAGAACTGGCTAGTCACAAACAAAAACAATCAAACATTCACATTCAAGGGTCAGAGAAACTCATTCCTTCCATCAAAAATGCAACGCCAGCGAAGCTTCAATTCTTCGCCTACCCACTAAGTGACGGTACACCGACTCGAACCCTGGTTCATCTCCCATTCCTCCTCAAAAATCCTTCATCTTCTCCCAACAGCGAGAGTCCACATCGTGGCAGGTGAAAAACATTTCCCATAAATTAGCCTTTATGATAGAGAACAAAGTCCGAGTTGGAAAAATGTTGTAGTAGTACTGGTATCCAATTGTCTGTTTATGCGGTGCTTGCGTCGAAGCTCAACTTGGTGCTGGGTTGTCCGGCCGCCTTCGTGTCCAAAGCAATGTTGTTGTTCAACTTCTTCTGCTCCTCAGCGAGCTTATCGGCTGTGTCCTCTCCTTGAGCAGCCTTTGCTTGGAGCTCAATGACGGTTGCCTCAAGCTTGAGAACCTTGTTCTTTATCTTGCCGTTCTGGAGAGCGACTTTCTCGTCACCAGTAGCGGCCTCAATGGCGACGTTGAAGGCATCGGTCTCGGCGTCGTTGGCGATGTCATTGACTGATCCCAAGAATTCGATATCGGCAGGGTCAACATTCGCCAGGTCGTTCAGGTCCAGAGCTCCGTTGTTGGTCAAAACAGCGATGGCCTCGGCCTCAGCATCTCCAGCAACGCCTCCTGAGATAGAAATCCTAGAGATTTAATTAGCGAAAACTTTGTAGAAGTATGGCACTGCTGTTACTTACTCATCGTAAGTTTGAGTGGCCAGAACAGCAGCACGCTTGGCTTTTGGTCCGGTAGGAGCAGCAATTGTAAGAGCTGCAAAGGTGGCAACGAAAATGGCGGAGAACTGCATTTTGAAGGTGTATTGTTGAAAGATTATTGGTAGATGAAAGGGCAAAAGAATGAATGTAGACGTTAAAGTGAGTAGGTGAAGTAAAACAGCACAGCTGTGTGGAGAAAGAATGAACAGTAGAACGGATTAATGATTCTTATTGAACTGGAGAGAAAAGAATAGTGAGAACTGGCAGAATCGATTCATCTTATAGGAAACAAATATCACATATGATCGGGTGAACACTGACCAGGCCGAACACGAACCATGCTCGATCGAAAACACCCTCACCGATGCAAATCCGAAATGCTACCAGCTTCAGAGACGGGGAGGCGGTCTTGGCCGCAGTCTGACCAGACTGAAAGAAGCCAATTCTCTTTGGCTGAAGAAGGCAAAAAAGCTTACCAAACATGAATTTTGGTGGAATTGATCCGAAGACTCAACTTGGCAGCAATTGTAAATCTCTTGGTCCTTCTTGGCTGCGACATGACCTCCTCTTTATGTGCTCCGTCTGCTATGGTTTGCGGCTCTCTAAGGCGGAGACTTTCCACTTGAGACGACGATACGGTGGAGTTCATCCAGGAGATGGGTAGTTTTTCCGTCCACCTGGTTAGGATGACCCCGCGATATGCCAACAATACACCCAAACATGCTTCGCTTAAATGGCAGGGTCCAAGCTGAGAAGGTTTCACGGTTTCGCAGCGTCTGAAGTCTGCTCCAAACGAGATATCTTTGCGAGCAATTGCATACGACATTATCAAAACTTCAGATTTCAAATCTTTCATTGGTTAGAGCTCTGGTACTGCTGAAAAAGAAAGTTCGAGATTCCTATAATTGTCGGATCAGAGACCACGACCCTCCGGCAAAGCTGGTGAAGCCTGTGCTTTCTGTAGCGAAGCCCCTAAAAAATCTTGCTTTTTGATGCGCGTTTGCTTTTTGGTGCGCCCTACCCAGAGGCGCAGCTTTGCCGGTTGGGTAGGGTCTGTGGTCCTACGATTAGCCTGTGGTGCCATCTCAATGTTCAGGCGATGTCAGAATGAGCGTTATTATCCGAATCAATATACAGCTAAAGCTTGAGTGCCCTACAGATATGAATTGAGGAGCTTAATTGACTGCCATGAATAAATGAAAGTGGAGGCAGTTCAAGAGCACAGTCTTCCAACACCAACACATTGCGCTGACAACTGATTGCCGAATCATTCACAACACGTGGCCGAGGCAAAATCGGCAGCGCCTGCCAAAGCAGAGGGCACCAAGCAAAATGTAACACAGTATTGATCTCGTACTATCCTGGAAGAGGCGATGGTGGAACAGTCAAAACGTGATCGTCTTCTCTGACAGTTGGATCCATGATGAAACTCGCTTGGGCGTAAGACTAGCCGCCATCCGCCCCTTTTCATTTAGCGATCCACAAAAACAGCCCAAGCCGGCTCTCAGGCCTGGACACCGTCTGAAAGTTGGATCGAACGAGTGTCAAATCAGCAAGGGATGAAAAGTTGCCAGTATGTAAAGAAAGCCTTTGTCTCAAATGTCTCTTACCATCATTATCGACTGAATTTACTTGTCGAATTGCTGTCTTTGTACAATTACTGTCTTGCTCTGCTTGCTCTGTTGGAGTTTTGACTTCGCGATGAACTGGATTATCCAGTATGGGCTCAAAGCACAGCAAGGCTTGAAACTCCAAGCCTTTTTCCATACGGACAAGCCAACTTCCGAGTCCGCCAATACTTCTTATCACCGCCGAGATGCTGGGACGCCCACAAAAAAGATGACCTTTGGCTGAGAGAATCACTTGGTTCTCTTGGAAGTCGCTATTTCTTGCTCCAGTTCCCGCCAGCCAAGTCATCTCCACGGGGATTGTCAGTGGGATGAAACTTGTCAATCTGCCATCTGAACTCGCCTCGAGATATTTTTGACCTTGGTTTCGTCGTTATGTACCCAATAATAGATATTTCTGTTGTTCACTCCCTCATTTAGCCCAAAAAGCTTCGACACATGGAGTTCAGCTTGTGGGAGTCGTGTTTCCAGAGGAATTCGAGCCTAGACTTACCCCAACTTGGCAGATATGAAGCAAAAATATTGTCTTGTCAAGAACTTGGCATGAAATATCAGCCGATGTTACATGAATGCTTGCACATCGGTTTCTTTAAAGTACAGACTTGAGCCTCTCATGATTTTTTTTCTCCATACTCTTCGTTCGCTTCGTGGTTGATCCATTCGTTTTACCACTATTTTTGTTCCATTCACCACCGGCTGGGCCGATTTTTATACATTCCCATCTTCCACTCAATACGTTGGAACCAGACTTCTCGACCTTCATCCTCCCAACCATCGACCATGCGTTTCTCCTCTGTTTTCGTTCTGGGTGTCCAGATCTCAAGCATTGTTGCGTTACCTGCTCACTCGGTTAGACGATCCCAAGTCGATACCATCTCGTACCCAGTAGTTTCTCGCAACGTGGGGACTTCAATTGATGTACCAGTCAAGCGTAACAAGGAGGAGAAGGAGGGTTCTGCTGCTGCTGGAAAAGCTGAGGGAGCCAAAGCTGAGGCAAGCAAGGAACAAGTCGCTGCAGAACCCGCGAAGGTCGAAGCAGGAAAGGCCGAGGGAGCCAAAGGCGAAGCAGGCAAGGAACAAGTTGCCGCAGAGCCCGCAAAGGTCGAGGCGGGCAAGGAGGCCGGAGGCGAGGTAGCAGCCGGCGAAGGCGAGGCAGCGGCCGGTGAAGGCGAGGCGGCGGCCGGCGAGGGCGAGGAAGCAAAGCTTGAAGGAGGTGAGTACCTATATCACGGAATGACTTCAATGTCCTCTGCTTGGCAGACAACATCACGTCAAAACATCTTCGAATTCTGGCTGACCTTAGCCTAGAAAAAGAACTTGTCGGTGCTTTCGGCACAGCTATTCCACTTGAAGGAGTAAGCAAGCAATTCATTGAGGCTTCATTGCAGCGGCTAACATACACAGGGTGATATCAAACAAGATGCAGTCTTCACCAAATCGGTAAGTCAATATTCTTGAAAGTGCAGACAGATTCTAACAGAACTCCAGGCCACTGGTGCATTTGAATTCGAGTTTCAATCAAAAGCCGCTGATGAACTTACCGGTAAGGGACTCATAGAATATCTCGGTGCTATTCGCTAATGTACTCCCCAGTCACCGAGAACAAGACACCCGCCGCACCTCCAGCTGGCTTTGTAGCTGTCGAACCCAGCTCGTTCCAAGTTGCGCTTGGCGTAAGCAAAGGAGCCGGTTTGACTTTGTCCAAGATTGACTACATCTTTGATGGCACCAGTACGTGACTTTCTATACCACCTTTAACCTCGCTAATCAGAAGCCCTCTAGACGCAGCACTTGCCGCAATGGATTTGACACAAGCAAAGATCGGAAAGCTCTGTGCAGATACTGGCTCTTTCGTCATTGAGGAAACTCTTGGAGAGCTTGAATTTGAAGCCGAGGAGAATGAGGTTACTTTGAACCTCAACAAGGATGTCACTGCTGAGGGCGAGTGGGGTAAGTTATTGAACAGCTTCGGTGCTTTGTATTAATACTGACTGGATACAGGTATCTTCCTACCTGCAGCAGCTGCTGGGGGTGAAGCAGCTGCAGGTGAAGGAGAAGCCGCCGCAGGTGAAGGAGAAGCCGCCGCGGGTGAAGGTGAAGCCGCCGCAGGTGAGGCAGCTAAAGGCGAAGCAGGTAAAGGCGAAGCCGCCGCAGGTGGAGCCAACAAGAATGAAACTGAAGCAGCGAAGCCCGCTGAGAAGCCAGCCGCCAAACCAGCTACTGAGGAGGCTGCAGGAGGCAATGCGACAACAGATGTCCAAGCTCTTATCGATCAACTCCGGAGTGGGAGAGCATCAGTTCCAGGTTTCGTTGCACCTCCTAGACGCTGAAAGGCTTGAGATCTGCTTGTATTGTTCTTCTGTTTGTAGTGAATATCTATTGGGTTTAAAGGAGATTGGAAAGAGAGTTAAAACTTGAGTAGAGAAAATATTCTGGAATCGATAATTATCATCAAAGCGTACCACTTTGATGTCCAGAAGTTTCGTTTCCTTTCTTGGTTTGCTTGTGATTAATATACCTGAATGGGCGTCTCTGCAGATTTCTGATTCCAAAATTGGATGCATCACACATGTGATCATTTTCGCCGGTGTATTGACGTTTCAAATCAGGGAAAATTATCAAACATGAAAAAGAATGACCCTTACTGTGGTAAGATCAAAAGGGGCTCGGTTAGCTGGGGCTCGGGTATGGATCCAAAATAGAAACGGGTACGGAATATTTTTAGCCTCGGCAACTAGTGTTTACCCCGCCAAACTTTCTCTCAACCGCTCCCCACTTTCCCCAGCTTCACCTAGTCCGCTCACGATGATCCGTTATTGTTCTATACCAGGGAGTCAGTCAATCGCATTGTCACAAACTCTTAACTATTCACAATGTCCTCGGAAGCTCCCTGGAAAGCAATAGCCCAGCGCAAACGTGCCGAACTCCGGTCCCGGATCCCTCCCTCATGGCTCCTAAAGTCTCTCCCCTCTGCAGATGTCCTTGATGTTCGCACGATCCCTCGAAGTTGCGGCATCCTTACCTCACACGAACTCTCTATAACCTCCTCCAATGATGCTACCTCCCTTGCTGAAGCTATTCGAGCTCGCTCGCTCACTGCTGAAGAAGTAACAATCGCATTCTGCAAGCGTGCAGCCATAGCTCAGCAAGTCTGCAACTGCCTCACAGAGATATTTTTTGACGAGGCAATTGCACGCGCAAGATTTCTTGACGGAGAATACAAGCGGACAGGGAAACCACTTGGTCCACTCCATGGCGTACCCATATCTTTAAAAGATACTTTCAAGGTTAAAGGCTACGATGCTTGTATTGGATTTGCGAGCTTGGTTGGAAAACCCGCGGCGGAGAACTCTTTGCTAGTTGATATATTATTGGAGCTGGGTGCTGTTCTATATTGCAAGACGAATGTCCCCCAGACTCTGGCAGCTCTCGACTCGGACAATAACGTCTTCGGACGAGTGCTGAATCCTAGCAATAGGAAGGTCACCGCTGGAGGAAGTTCTGGTGGCGAGGGAGCACTGGTTGGGATGCGCGGGAGCGTTCTCGGAGTCGGTACAGATGTCGGAGGCAGTATCCGCATCCCAGCAATGTGTAATGGGGTTTATGGTATCAAACCAAGCGTACAGCGAGTTCCGTACGTGGGTCAAGAAAGTGGTGCTAGAGAGGGAGCAAGCAGGATCGGTTTGAGTGCAAGTGCTGGGCCCATCTCTGTCAGTATACGAGACTGCGAGCTCCTTCTTAAAGCTGTATCTGACGCTAAGCCCTGGGACCGAGACCCAAGTCTTGCCTATGGCCTATGGGATGAGCAGGGCTTCATGCAAGAGAAGCCGCTTTTTGGCGTCATACGGACAGATGGTGTAGTGACACCTCTGCCTCCGATAAAAACTGTACTCGATGAAACCGTTGCTGCACTACGCGCATCTGGCGTTGAAGTGATCGAAATTTCAGCACCAGCGCTCCAAAAGACGCAGTCCCTCGCCAATAAGTTCTTTGGTGTTGAAGGTGGCAATACCGCTTTCGATTTGCTCGAATCAACAGGTGAGCCATTAATCAAATGGCTGAGCACTCGCATGAGGAGGGGAAAGCATATGCCAACAGACCGCTTGATGGATATTCAGGCTCAGAGAACAGCACTGGAGACCGAGATGCTTAAAATTTGGCGAGACCCGAAAACAGGGAGGCAGGTAGATGCAGTGATTTGTCCCGTGGCCCCGCACCCTGTGCCACCAATTGACCGCTGGAACTCTTTGGGATACACGAGTAGCTTCGTGCTTATGGATTATCCTGCTGGCACTCTGCCAGTGAGAGATTTTAACGAGAAGGATTTAAATGAAGAAATCAGAGGTGGCAATCCTTTAAATCCATGGGATAAGGTGAACAAGGAGTTGTGTAAGTTTCGGACATCCTTGCAGTGCCATTATCAACAGACTGATTATCATACCAGGGGATGGAAAAACCATTGACAGGAAGGTTTACCTCAACACAAAGCTTTCTGTGCAAGTGATAGCGCCGAGGCAACAAGAGAGGAGGCTGTATCAAGCAATGGCATATATCGACAGTATTTTGCAGAAGAATGTCGATGGATCTCGAGCGAAGCTGTGAAAATACCAATTACCGAATTGGATAGGCACTGTCTTGCCTGATAGGGCGGCCTACGGCTACAGTGGAGACTTTAGCGAGAAGACCCCTGAAGATATGTTCCTCGGCTCTAGTGATTTGTTTACTTCAAATGAAAATCATCCCAGCAAAGCCAGTCACAGTGAACGCGAATGCCACAAATACGTACTATTGTTTGGGATGGTGATAGAGACACGAGAAGAAACATGTTTTCGATGGGAGCTATGTGTGCCACTTTTATGTGTCATTGTTTCCTGGTTGCCGTGTAGTATATTTACAAGAAGAAAGAAATCCGAGACTAGAGTCCCTGACGCGGTAATGACTGAGACCTGGAAGTCCACCAATTTTCTTATGGGGTCCAGAAGGATTGCATCCTGATTTTGCCTTTCCATCCCCCTCGGGCACCACCATATCCATCCTCGAATCTCCAACCTGGCCATCGCACCGCCAACCCTCACTCTCCCAAAAAGTCTCTCCTGATCTAATAATCACTGTCGCTGCAGCTCGAATAGTCGGAGTCACTATCATGGTGGGTGCGCTGCTTCAGGCTCCTTCTCACATTCTTCTTGTAGTACTTCTTCTTGCACTGGTTCTTGGGGATGCACTGCTTCTTCTTGTGGCTGTATGTATAGCCCTTGCCGCACTTGTGGAGGTTCCGCTCCTCGACAGGAGCGCCGGCTTCAAGAGCTGCGCCTGGAGCTGGCTCAGGGTTGGCGGCAGGGGCGGCGGCCACACCCATGGCGATGAGGAGGACGGTGAAGAGTTTGGAGATCTGCATTTTGATGGGGGGTGGATGTGGGAGTTGAAGAATTGATTGAAGTGAATGTGAAGTGAGATGTTGCCTAAGCGAGTGCTGGTTGGTTTTGGTTTGCTTTGTGGAGGAGGAAGATGTGATCTTGATGATGAGGTTAGAACTTGACTTGAGGTGGGAGAGGAGGGAGTCTTTATAGAATTTCTCCTGCTTTGAGCATCTGATATTCTCTCATCTGCGATTCCTAGTCGGCAACACTCACCATTGATTTTTCATGGCATTTGGTTACTGAAGCCGTCTTTGGATCTACAGATTCACTAGAGATATCTAGCTGCATGTGAGGACACAGCGAAATCTAGCGCGGCGGCACGAGCACTTTCTCAATGCTGTATCAAGTCAGCTACTCTTACCAATGCAGATCCAATGAAGATTACTTCTGGTCGCCAATGTTCGTCTTGTCCGCCAAGTCTATACTATTTTCAATTTGAGTATCTGCAGCTGAGCATGATCATCCGCTACGCGCAGTGATTTGCTGCCCCGTGCACCAACCAAGAGGATGCAGAATATTCTAAATGTATGTAAGCAAGATCTTTGAGTTGTTTGTAAACTAGCAAGTCTTGATTCTCATTTAGTTGAAGACTTGCCTTCTTCGAAAAGCTATTCTTGAAACCTGTATTCTAAAAGCTGTATCATTTGTTTATCCTCATCCTCTTCTCAAAATCTAAATTTAGCAAAAGTAAACAGATACAAAACTTTTGTCGTGGTCCGGAATGTACATTCCCAACATCTGATCTTAAGCATCAACACCAGTCGCAGAAGTCAACGGGCACGTCCCGTCCCCAAGACCATTTAAAGTCAATACCCCTCCCGCCCTGAGGCTCCGTGTGGATCTTGGCGTATGCCGGCGGCAAGCCTCAACTTTACTTAAGCTGCACAAGCGAGCGGGGAACATCCACAAGACATCACCAGTCGTCCTCCAAATACCCAATCGAAAATTTGACTACGGAGACTAGGGACTTTCCGCTAGCCCCTGTCGTCTTCGAATATTTCAGAATAGGGTATAGCTGCGACTACAATGCTATAGATCGACGAATATTCGCTATATATATAGGTCTAAATCACGATGAAATGTTCGTTTGGACGAATATTTAGATTCGTCTATAATACTCCTTTCGTTTACTATATCTAGCTTAATCGGCTTCGCTTATCCCTTTGATCTTCAAATCTTATATATCTTAGGATAGATTGGACAGGAGCTTGACGTAGTAACCTGACGATCTTTAAACTTAAAGAAACGTGACTAACTAAAATACCCTATATGTGGCATTCTTGAGTATTCGAATATCGTTAGCGCAAGAGGTGCGGAAAGTCTCTACTTTATCCGCACAGACTACACATCAATCATGCGATTCTCGAGGTTGGAAGCGGGGAAGATCTGTTACCCATTCCCAAAATCGAGAGTATAAAGGACTGCCACTCGAAGCGGCATTGACCGTTGAATGGAGTAGTGAACGCTAGTTCTTACTAAATCTCTATTAGGCACTTAAATTACGTAATATACTATATAATATTAAGGTTTAATACTATACTAACTATTTAAACGAAATAATGAAAAGTATTTTAAAAGTTAAAACTATTATTATATAAGAGATTAAATAAGAGATTAAATAAGAGATTAAATAAGAGATTAAATAAGGGATTAAATAAGAGATTAAAAAGATAATTTAAAAAAAGGATAGGAATTTAAATAAGAAATTAAGTAATATCCTATAAAGTAATAATAAGTTAAAGATTAAGTAAAGATTAAATTAAAAAGTTAGTTGAAATAAGTAATAGAACTAAATATATAAGAGATCTTAACTATATTTTAATTATAGCCTCTTTTATTATTCTTTTTTTATATTTCTTTATATCTTCTTTTAAATCTTTTTATTACTTCTTTTATAAGTTTCTTTTATAAATTCTCTTTATAAATTCTCTTTATAATTCTCTTTATAATTCTCTTTATAATTCTCTTTATAATTCTCTTTATAATTCTCTTTATAATTCTCTTTATAATTCTCTTTATAATTCTCTTTATAATTCTCTTTATAATTCTCTTTATAATTCTCTTAACTCTCTTTTTATAACTCTTTTTATAACTCTTTTTATAATACTCTTTAAACTGCTTTTTAGAACTCTTTTTATAACGCTTTTTATTAGTCTCTTTATAATAATTTTTAAAACTCTTTTAATAAGTCTTTTTATAACTAATAACTTATTATAATAACTTATACTAATAACTCCTTTTATAATTACTTTTATAACTCCTCTTATAACTATCTTAAAAACTATTTAAATAACTTATAACTTCTTTTTAATAATATCTCTTATAAGTACTCTTATAACTCTTTTTATAACTCTCCTTATAAACTATAGCTCCTTCTAATAATCCTTTATAATAACTTTTCTTATATAACTTTTCTTATAATACTTTTTATAATACTTTTTATAATACTTTTTATAATACTTTTTATAATACTTTTTATAATACTTTTTATAATACTTTTTATAATACTTTTTATAATACTTTTTATAAATACTTTCTTTAATACTTCTTATTAAAACTTATTAGTAACTCTTTTTATAAATACTTTTATAACCTTTTTGATAACGTCTATTATAGCTTCTTTTATAACTTCTCCTTAAATTACACTTTTATTATTATTATTATTATTATTATTATTATTATTATTATTATTATTATTATTATTATTATTATTATTATTATTATTATTATTATTATTATTATTATTATTATTATTATTATTATTATTATTATTATTATTATTATTATTATTATTATTATTATTATTATTATTATTATTATTATTATTATTATTATTATTATTATTATTATTATTATTATTATTATTATTATTATTATTATTATTATTATTATTATTATTATTATTATTATTATTATTATTATTATTATTATTATTATTATTATTATTATTATTATTATTATTATTATTATTATTATTATTATTAAAGGTAGCTAGACGTGAAGTAGCCGGACATAAGGTAGATCTTATCTAATATATACCTTAAGCTATAAGGCAAAAGGCTACACCTAATAAAATCGCGTTAGGTAGCTGCTTATATCATTGGAAAACATTATTAACCAATCAGAGAGCAAGGAAAAACGCTTAGCAAAAGTTAAAAATTTAACCCCCTCTGCCACCTAAAATCCGGCATTCAATCTGCCTCACGTGCGGGCGCGAGAATTTAGTAGAACTAACGTTCAATAAGTTTAGCGCTTTCATTTGATAGGATCGCATCCAATACGCCAATCTTAAGATTAAGGTTTAAGTTTAGATTTGTAGTGTTCCTGACATGACATGATCTGATTAATGTGTGTAAGCTTAACTAGGATAACGAGCTGGATATCTTGAATTGCGGGTTAGTGGCTTGCTGAGCACAGCTGGTCGCGTGCATCTCCAGCCTCTTACGTAGCTTGATTCTGTTCACCTGAATTCACTGTTAGTGTTGAAGTGAGTATGCGAAGAGCAGTACATTCGGAACTTGGTTGGTCTTTTTTTGGTCATCCCGGCTGGTGTGATTGTTGTGCTGCAGAATTCACTCGGATAGCTTGAGCAAGTAATGGGCCAGTTAAGTGATGCAGTATTCAGAACAAGACAGTCAAAAGATCAACTCAGGCACACTAGCTAATCAGAGACGAATACATGGCTTGCATACTGCCAGGGAGCGCTTTCCCCCGAAAGCATGCATACACGAGAATTAAGTTTTGGGGTCTCTGGCTCGGCACCTAACTTACAATCCAAAGAAGTTTAAGAAATGCACGTAAATTGGGACTAAAGAAGCTTGGGGACAGGAAATCAAGTTCATCCACTCGACTTCGAGGTCCTCGGACTGTGCCAACAGACAGTGCACAGGTAGCTTGCAAAATATTTGCTTGGATCTCGTTCTATTTTCGTACTCGGCATGGGAAATAGGCACACTTACATATCAAAAAGGAAAAAGGTATGTAATGACTTGATGGATGGTAATTCATGGAAGTTGGACGACGAGCAGTGACTGGAGTTGAGTTACAACAAACACTGTTGAATGATGAGCACCCAAAACCATCCAGCGCCAAAGCAGGAACATAATCTCAACCCAAGCAGATCCCGCTTCACAAAAGACACTTCTTCGACATCAGATGAAACCCCGCATATGCTCCTCCAACCAGTAGCCTAGGATTTTAGATAGTGAATAATGACGCTGCAGGAGGCCGAGCTGCTTCACATTTACCGTGCTCTGAAGAGGGAAAACTCAGACAGAGTTCGATCTTGGCTACTAAATTTAACTGACCAAAAAGGTCCAAGAAACCTAATATCCCAGCCATCTTACCACACGAGCCCTCTTGAGGTTTATGTATGTCCCAAATTTGGTAGCCAAGGAAGCAGATCTAGCTTCTTCGTACCAAGAGTCCAAGACACGGCTGGCTAGGAGAATAAGTTGCGCGCTCGACCACTCACGGATCTCCGCTTTAGCCTTTACAGCGCTGTACTGCGGGATGTTTATCAGATCATCATCCCGTAGTGTATCGTAGTGTAAAGTATGTTTTCTCAAGTATCCCGTAGCGGGGAGAAAGGGCACGATGGGACCTGGTTATGTATAGGTTTCATTTTGGGGGCAAGAAAAATTGTTGAAGAGATATTGTGAATCTATTTACTTTTCTGTAAAGTGGGTTAGACACTTATTCTGTTGAAGCATCTTAAAAAATTTGATCGATGGCTTCATGGCAATTTTCAAGTAACAGATGAAGAATCACAGGCTCAACAGATTTTGATTTGATAAAACAATCTCCATAAAAGTTAGTGAAAAATACCCTTTCTGGTAAATTAATCGACATGCGTAAGTATATCAAGGTGAATCTTTTCCGAATATGAAATGTATCATTTCATTAACTGTCAACATCATGAGATCCTTTATTGTAAAGCTGCCCCTCGCCACCAGAATCGTGCCAAGCCTCCTTTATCAATCACTCATCCTCTGAAACGCATATTCTTTGTGATCCAAATATGTGCTGTTCCTAGGTGAATCGGTGCCACGTCTTGTATTGAGTTAAACCACCTTCTTTGTTGTTCTCCCTATTTAACAACGAACTCGTTCTCACGTCTTCCACATATCTCCACATCCTGGCTCTATTGTTCGTCAAACCACCCGACGAATCTTTGTGATCACTAAGCGGAGCTGCAATCCCCACTTCACCACAGTGACACCACTTCATAATCAAGGCTAAGCAACAGCTGGCTCAGTCTCCGTAGCCCACCTCAGGATCACCATGTCGAACCCACCAATCACCAAGATTACCGACCGACTTTACCTCGGCGACAGCAAGAGTTCTCGTGATCGCCAAATACTCAACGAGCACAGCATTACCGCCGTGGTCTCAATCAGTGTGTGGAGATGGGTTCATTGGAATCAGCCTTGGTACAAGGAGATCATTCTGGAAGGGAATCATCTCTACAAGCAGTGTGCTGACAGTATGACGCAGGATCTGCTGCCCGAGCTCGCAGAAATTTGCGAATTCATCAAGCAACGTCTGGAATCCGGATCTGGTTCTGTCCTCGTCCACTGTGACCGAGGTGTATCACGGTCTGCCACGGCTATAATCTCGTATCTCATGCAAACTTATCAGTACGACCTCGCCACCGCCTTGGACTTTGTGGGCGGAAAGAGAAAGATCAAGCCAAACGCGAACTTCAAAGAGCAATTGGAGGTATGGGGAGCGGTTGAAGGCAACATTTGGGAGTCTACCGGAGTTCCCAAACCAGAATATGCGGCATATCTGGCGAAGAGAAGCGAGAGGCTGAAAGAGAGAGGGCTGACTGGAAACGAGCCACTTGGCCTCACGTCGTTGTAATCAAGAACCTCTAAGAGTACAGGAATAGGTCACTGGGCTAGCTGGGAGACCTACTACCTACTACAGTATTGAGGACAATGAAAGCACTCTCGCGATCACCAGAGTCTCGATTTCTCATGTCGTCTTGAATTGAGCCAGAAATATTACCTCTACCTACACATGGGATATTAGTGCCTCTGAGAAAACTTTAAATCTTATAAAAATTTTAGACTATGCTCTCTCTCCTCTTCCAATATTTATCGTGCTGGCTGTGAGATCTGAGTCACATACGATAACCAGATGCATGGAATTACGTTGTTGCCAATGGTGCTGTCCCGACGTCACCGACTCATGAGTTGCTCGCTTACCAAATTCCGTTATGTTGCTTCACACGTCAATCGAACAGTTGACTCCTATCTCAATCCTTCTGATTGCGGTATCTGCTCACGATGTCTTAATTCTTGGTGAACGCATTCCGCAATACTCCCAACAATCACCTATTCTCCAGAATCGCCAGTAACTAACGTCAAGGGTCGGCGCATTCTCTGACCTATCTCGAACTCATACCCACGATGCCACTTCGAATGTTCCTACAGGATGGCTACGACCTTCTTCTCACCCAAGCGTGAGAGCGTTGATTGAGACTTATGAGATAATTCCCAGATGAAGGACGCGTGAAGTGTCATCGGAACTCTTTTCCCTGCTTCATAATATACGTTAGCATAGAAGTACATTACTCTACAAGCCTACTTATTAAGACAACCCGTCCCGTCCTTTGGCAGAGTCTATGCTAAATGTGGTGGGGGTACCATGATCTTGGAATTGCTGAGAAAGATAAAACAGTTTGAAAGCCGATCATGTACAATCAATGAGTTTCTTATGTCACTCGAGGTTCATGGAAGTGAAATTGGGCTTGGAACTTTGTATAGCCAAAATCATTGATCAGACCTTCACTTGATAAACTACGTAATACACGATTTGTCGCAGAAAGTGTAGCCCAAAAAGGGTTTATCGAGGGCGATAAGCTATGCCAGAAGATATCTCAGGCAAAGCTGCGGATGTGCGGTGACCTGCGTGAATCAAAAGTGTGCTTCGGAGTGATGTAATAGAACAATCATGAATGTGCTGACATCAATATTTTCTACACGTTATTCGTGAACTTCGGAGGGATGATACAGAGACGACCCCCTGACGATATGAATACGACCCCCCCCCCCCGCCCACTTAACTAAGCTATGAAAATCAGTACAACATAGGCGATGGGTGTCAAGCCAGTGCGTAATTTACAAAAGCCTGGTTAGGTGGTTAGTTTGCAACGACAAGCCTACGAGTAATTGCAGCATTAGGATTAGGGCTAGGATTAAGGTTAAGGATAGGATTAGGTGTTGAAGTAAGAGTTAGTAGGATATCTTTAAAATTCGGGCTACTTAAGGAGGCAGATCAATTGCAAGTAAGATAGTAGATTCTGAGGATTCTGCCGCATTTAATGTGAGAGGGGGGAAGGGGGGGTCGTCTCTGTATCATCCCTCGAACTTCTAGAGGTTGGAAACCGAGCTATCGGAATCGGTATCGGATCTTGTGTCTGGGGTGGGGTTCTTGAGTTAGTACTTTACTTATACTCTTGGGATCGGGAGCTTTTGGGGTTAGCCACTTACTGTCAATGAACTTGTACCTGACACCTTGATACTCATCGGCAGGTCCTATGCCGCTTGACGCCAGCTTCCTGAGCCATTGCTTGAGGCCCGGAAGTCTGAGATTGATGCTCTTGTAGCCCGGGCCTGTGTGCTGACCACAGAGCGTCACAGGGCCCCATTTAACAAGTACCTCTGGTTTCTTGCCTATCATTGTTGCATCTGCTTCCTTGAACTCGTTTGGAATGCCATCATCAACGAGGTCTTCGCATTCCTTGATCAGGTTCGACATGTGGGACAGAGATGTGGTTGGGTCTCGGCGTTACTGCAACAAATGTACACGTGCTGGGCTGACTGGAGTTGCTGGGTCTTGGATTGGGTGTGCTGTAGTTGATGTAACTCTACAAGGGGGAAATCGCCTCTATATACACTGTGACGATAGTTGAAGACATCTTTGTTACTTGTTCTCTGTTTCATGGCTTGAATGAGTCTTGCAGGTAAGAAAGAGACAGACGCCACTAGAATACACGCGAGAAATTTTGCGACAAAGAGATGTGTATACAAGACACAATAACGGCTCAAAATCTTGTTGTTGAAGATATTGAGGACGATCGGCGCCTTTGTGCGCGCCACCCAGATTCAACCACCGATCTCATTGCCGACTTGAGGCTCATAATAAAAGTTTGTTCTAAATGATTCATAGGATTGTTCAAAGCGCTAAACTTCGCTCTTATCAAGCAAAAGTAATCCACAAATGCATAAAGTACTCACAATGTACGTATTTTGATATGGATTGAAGAAACTGCAAAGTAAGTGTCACAGATCTTCTCCGAATTCTTTATCATCCAGAAGCTCGAAGAGATACGTTCACTGCATGTGCCGGCAGAATCGCCAGGCCTTTGTCCTTTGTAACATGGAATCGCTTCTTCGTTTAAAATAGGGGAATAAATAAAGGCAAAGGTGGGGGGTCCGTCGTTAAAATCTCGCTTAGAGCTCGGCATCCGCACACCTGAAATAATTTCTTGAAGGCTCAAGAAAATAAGAGAGCGGAGTGAACATGAAATAATACCACTGCTCTAAGAGCCAAAAGCATCAAACGTTAGATAGAAACAGATCTATTGAAAAACGAAAAAAAAAAAAATGATCAGGCTGGGGCTCGATCCCAGGACCTTCTCGGATTTTGTTACAGTAAACTGTTAACGAGATGTGCTGTGAAGAATTAGGATTTGATAGACATGACACTTGAGAGGCAATGGGAACATACATAACCAACTACACCACCCGACCATGTTTGATGTCGTGAAAAGGTCTTAGCTGGGTTATCAAGAAGGGAGAGAAAACAACACGGGAGTGGATCATTATTGAGGGGAGAAGGTGATTAGGATGTAGATGTGGAGAGGACTCAGGAGGGCTTTCTTCTCAGCTTTCCATGAGTGAGAGATCGGCAGCAAAACCCACTGCTGTTGACCAATTGCCAATGCTACCAGACTCTTGTGCTCGTGCTTCCCATTTTATGAAATTGTGCTTCTGCCCAGCAAGAAGAGGAAAAAAACATCAAACTCAGGTGACAAGGTTCTCATTCTGTGCTGCAGAGCGTTGATTGGAGAGAGAGAACCTGTATCCGGCAAATGAGAACCGACAACCAATCATTCCATCTACTGACAATAACCTGCCACTCCAATCGCAATGCTCATCGCACTGTAATCCTCCCCAAAACAGAATGCGTGCAATTCGCCTCAGCTTTGCTAAGTCTCAATACGAGGTTCTTACAGGGTGGATGTGAGGTGATGTGAGGTGATGTAAGCTCTAGCTGCTCTCACTCGTCTCTCTTATTCGGGAAGCGAACCTCGAAGCGACAAACGACGCGCGCAGACGAGAGACGAGATGTACGTGAGCGGCGAAGAGGGTGGGACGAGTCCAAACAGGATCCAGGATTTTCCATTTCCCTCTTCATTAGGTACCTCCATCTCTATTTACCAATCACCCGATTCCTGATTTCTCTCGGAAAGGCTGGACCTTGACGATGTTGAGGACCCGACGGATTGGGTGGCTTGCGAGGGAGTTTATTTGAGAAAGGAGGGAGGGGTAAGTAACGAATAGAAACCACTTCACGAGCTCCTTCCGTCTTTGGAAATTGTAAAGCAATATTTTCTAGGTACACAGACGGGGAGAAATAGATTGCATGGAATGCGATATGCAACAAAGACCTTTTCTGTCTTCTTCCTATGAAAGTATTCTTTCTTTCCATCCGGTCAAAGAGGGGCGGTATCGAACTCTCTACTCCACTCGCTACCGACTAACGAAAGAAATAAAGAAGCAGATAAAGTGGGAGGAAAAATAGATTATCTCACCTACGATATGCAACAAATATTTTATTCTGTCCTGCTTTTTGATCTTGACTTCTTCGCTTTAGGCTCCATTTCTTCTTGAAGCATGAATGGAGTGACACCGACGGGAATTACCTATCGACTCCACTCGCTTCTCCTGTCTCCTTGTAGAGAGACCAGCGAAAGGCAATGAATGAACCCAAATAATGGGGTTAGTAAAATAGATTACCTTGCCTACGACGTGCAACAAAGATTTCATTCTGTCCTTTTCGGATCCTTTACTTCCTCGCTTTGGGCTCCTTTTGTTCTTGAAAGCATGAATGGAGTGGCACCAAATCATCTACTTACCCCACTTCCTCCTCCTATTTTAGAAACTTTAAACCCATACTCTAGGTACACAGACGGGGGGAAGAATAGATTGCCTCACCTACGATATGCAACAAACTGCTTCCTCTCCCCCTCAATTCCTTTTTTCCAATCTTCTCTCTTGCACTGCATTGTTTTCATCAATTGCGATAGCGGGTACGTGTTCTCCACTTTGAAACCTATATCCTACCCTACCCTTATGCGAACAATGATAACTCAAATCTCATAGATCAGAAATCAATATCTTTGTGGATAGCGAAAATAGATTACCTGGAATACGATATGCAACAGAATTCTTTCCGTTCTTCTTTGTATCCCTCTTCCGGTTTGTGTTCTGACGAGGGGGCAGATATCAAAACAGCTCTGCTCGAAAGCAGCAGTGCACACACTCAGTCTCTTTCACAAACCAGAGCTTGTATCCAAGCACATTTTCCCTTATACTTCATTCAATATGGTATTCAAAACGAATGGTAGCTCCTGCCTCTCTTTCTATTCTTCCATTCCTCTCTTCCTCTGTAAGCCATTTCGTCCATCCCGCACCGAAATTCAACCCATAACACCCCAAATCGACAAATCCACAAACCACTACTCCGCACAGTCAGAGCAGAAGGAGAATAAATAGATTACCTAGAATACGATATGCAACAAAACCCCTCTTTCTCTACACTCCTCCCTTGATCTATCATTTCTTTTTAGCTACCTAGTTTTGAGCCCTTCTCCCCCAGCTGAGTCAATACCTACCCCCTGCATAACCTAACCTAACCCTCCGTCTTGAATGATACAAAATCAAATGAACAAACTCCCCCCTACGGATAGAAATAATAGATTACTGTACTTGCAAAAAGCAACAGAGGTCGGTCCTTAAGGTCTCCCGAGTCTTTCAAAACATCGATCTTCGCCATCAATCCATCAATCCATCCATCCATCCATCCATCCATCCATCCATCCATCAATCAATGACCTATTCTTTCCAATCTACCTACCTCCTATCAAGTATCAATCTGAATCCCAATCAATCCAATCAGTCCACTCAACCACTCAATCCAATCAATCAGAACTCGTTCCCCCCCCTTGCTCCTTGCTCCTTGCTCCTTGCTTCTGCTATTCTTCTGATCATTCGAGATTGATTACCTGTACCTAGGTGATTGATTACCCCAAGTCTACAGTACATTACATTAACTACTCTACCTAAGTCTACATACAGTAAAATTAATTAACCTACCTTGTTCCCATCCCATCCCATTAGTAAAAAAGCTTCCACCTGTTCCACTGTCAGGCAGGCAGGCAGGCAGGCAGGCAGTCAGTCATTTTTTCGGCGGTCCACCAATAGGTCGGCGTACCTTACCTTACCTTGCCTTACCTTAACTCGCCTCGCTGCTTCTCGCCTCCCCTCCTTCGTCTCGCCTAGGAAACAGCTAATTGCTTGCTTGATTGATTGATTGATTGATTGCATGAAACGAGTATTGATTATCGATTTAATTATTGCATAGTGCGACGGAGATGAGGGAGGAGGGGCTGTAGATTAGATTGTAATTTACGCTAAAGTTAGATTACTTAAGAGGAAAACTAAAATAGAATCATAATGATACATAAGCAATAAAGGTAGATTCGATACTGGCTCGACTGGCCAGACAGACAGACCTAGATGACGCTAAATATTTCAAAAACTTGACCGTCTGACATGCTTCATGACTTCATGAATGCTTGTTCATGAGCTGCTGAGGATACCTTAAACAAACATTAGGTACATCACATGAAAACGAAGTCACTGGGAAAGGCGAGGAGGGAAAATTTGACAATTTACAAGTTTTTTTTTTCGTATCCTTTTTGATTTTCAGAGTTCTTGATCTGTGATTTTAAATCATCTCAAAGTAGAGAGTTTGAAGTTCTATAATATATGCGCAAACGAAACCAAGATGGATAATAAAAAAGACGTCGAAGATAGTTAACTTCTGTTGCCCGTCTGTAACGCTCGCTCCAATTCCCTATCCCATTTCCCAAATCCCATCCGAAGTAGAAACACACACTTTCATATCGTTCAATCCTCTTTCTTACAATCCCTATCCTCCCATACCAAGAACTAATGAAAAAGAATACAAGCACAAGTGGCAAGTAGAGTGTGTGATGATGGTGATGACAGAACGCCAATGTGCTGCGTCGTTGGAGACGGCACTAGAAGTATCCCACGCTAAATCGCAGCAAGCAAAGCAAATACAAGGAGACGGAAGAAATTACAGATGCATGGTCAAGGACGTCAGTCGCTCAACACAGGCATCCATATCTCTCGCGAGTCTCTCGGCGCGCCGGAATGCTGCATTTGAGGCGGCGTCATCGGTCTTGGTAACGAGTTCGTATTGCGATGGCTTGATGGAAAGGTTGGCGAGGAAGCTGAGGTCCATTTCTTGCTTAGGTTCTGAGGCGGTGGTGGCGGAGACTGGGGTAGAGTACAGAGCGAATGCTGGGTCGGCATCAAATTCCTCGTCCACATCGACATTGACCTCGACCTTCTCTGGCTCGGAGACGGGAATGCGCTCGATCTTTGGAAGCTCGACCTTCTCCGCATCGCTGGTGGATGGTGAGAAGGAGGAGCTCTTGCCGGAAAGGGTCTCGGTATCGAGGATGGTCTCGGGGAGGCTGAGGACGGAGAAGACTTGTGGCTGGTAAGAGTATGCGCCATTCAGATCAAGCATGGAGAAGTCCAAGGGCTGTTCTGGAATCATAGTCATGCCGATGTGTTGCTGCTGCATTTGTTGTTGTTGGGCTGCATATGGGTTGATGTCTTTACGCACGCGTTGTTGAGGTTGTTGTTGCTCGACTTGCTGGGGTTGTTGCTGGACAGCCTGTGCGGTTTGGGCAGCGGCTGGGTTTGATGCAAGAGTGTCGAGGAAGCCGGAGAATGATGGTGATGAGAGGAGCATGCGGGTAAGGTCTGAAAGACGTGTGTTCTCCTCCATCAAAGCTCTGTTCTGGGCACGGAGATCCGTGTTCTCGTTAACCTTTGCAGCGATTTCGCCTTCGAGTTGGCCAATGTATTCTGTGAAGAGTTAGCAGTTGTTTGATATGTCCGATAGTACTTGTTCTTACCCTTCCTTCTTGATCGGAAAGCGCGTGCGGAGACCTTGTTTCGGAGTTGTCTTCGCTCCTTGCTGCTAAGCTTCTTTCCCTCCTCACTTGCAAGTAGTCTCTCATCCTCATCCATATCCTCCTCATCCTTTCGTGCACGTTGAACGTGAGACATGTTGTTGCCATTGTTCGAGGTCTCGTCGCTACCGACACTGCTGTGTCTCATCGAGTTGAGTAATTGAGAGATCTTCTCCTCGACAATAGGATCAGTCACAGTTGATCCTCGGGCACGCTGAGGTTGCTTTTGTTGTCCGACCATGGCGTTTTGTCGTTGCTGTTGGATGATTTGTTGCTGTTGCTTTTGTTGGGCTTGAGCCTTGGCAAGAGCGGCTTGTTGTTGATGCATACCAGGCCAGAGACGACCGACATTGCTTGTCTGGGTTGGTAGAACAGCTGGAGTAGCGATGGTGGATTGAGGGTTGATGAACTCTGGTGATGCTTCTGGATAGAAGAATGCTGGTTCCTGCTTCGGCGAATCGAAGTCCATATCCATATCTGCGAACCCGGTCTGGTTTGGTGCAGTCCCAAAGTCGAATTCATCGGTTCCGTTGTAGCCCGATAGATATCCATCTGCAAAGCCGTTGTATTGGTTCATTTGGTTGACAGCCAAGGTGCTGGCTACGGCTCCTTGAGGGATACCGGTTTGTTGTTTGTACATGCCATAGTTATGACTTGGACCGCTGAGATCCGGTTGACTGCTTGATGGGAGGGTGGCAGGTGTGTTTGATACGGCTCTGGATGTGAATTGACTCTTGTTCGCTGATGGCGAGATGGATGGTGATTGATAGGACAATTTGTCGTACTCGGAGAAGTCCACCAGCGAGTCCAAGGGGTCGTGGCAAGAAACCTGGGAATTGCTATGCGACATCGAAGTCGACTGTTGTGATTGAGTTGACATTGCTGCCTGTGTTGGTAGTAGATGTAGATGGAGATACCGAGACGAGTCGGTAAGTTTTGGAGGATTGTTTCTTCGATGGCGTGGAGTTGAGTTGAAGTGTTAAGGATAGTGCAGTGCAGTGCAGTGCAGTGCAGTGCAGTGTAGATGTTTGGGAAGCGAGAAACTGAGTAAGGCGATTGAGGCAGTAGAGGGGGAGGGGGAGATGAGGGATGGGGGAGATGAGGGATGAGGGATTTGGGTGCCTGATGCAGACTTGTCAGGCTCGAGCAAGGGACGCGTGGCCCTGCGGAAGCGCCAATGCTCAGAGGCCGACGGGGTCTCGGGGGTATCTTAGCGAGTTCTTGAATCCGTCCGCAGCAGAGCAGAGCACAGCACAGGAGCGATGCGCTGCTCGGCTTTCGTATTCCAAACAAGTGGCTTCTTGGGAATGCGAGGAAGAGGAAGGGGCTGAGCGATGCGATGCGATGCGATGCGATGCGATGCGATGCGATGGAATGAATTGAAATGAAATGAAATGAAATGAAATGAAATGAAATATGAGATGAGCAACTCAATCAACTGATTCCTTTCTTGTGTATTGGTTATCGCTGATATTGATGGAAAGTTGCTAGAGTTGAGTGCGTGAGAGAGGATTCGGGCAATTCAAAGAGTGCGAGCAGCTGGCTTCAAGACTCAAGAGGCAGCGGAAGTTTGAAGGGTGGAATCCCCTGCTTGGCTTGGCTGAGCCCCGTCGGACAGTCGGAGCTTCCGCCCATTGCGGACGTCCTATTGGCTGGATCGACTGGGTGTACTTTCGTGACGCCTCTTCGGTCATGCACTGGAGACTGGCAGCAGCACTGCCCCCAAGCAAAAGCAAAAGCAAAAGCAAAAGCAGGGACAAGCACAATGGTGGAGCGAACTGACCAGTCACGGCTGCTTACTCTCGCATTCTCAAGGACATGGCCCGGCCGCGTGGCAAGAACTAGCTCTGCCAGCCAAACTTGAACTTGAACTTGAACTTCCAGCCAGATCCAGGACACCAGAGGGAACAAATCAAAAGACGAGTCTTGGCCAATCATAGAAACTTCCAAAGGAGCGGATCCTTCAATGCCCGACATTACTGTATTATTCAACCAACTCCGGTATCAATGATTGGACAATGGAAGCATCGAGCCGCTGACTGAGCAGAGTCTCCTGCCAAGAATGCCTACATCGGGAAGTGGCGGGAGTCTTCCCACCTTCTCCGTCGACCTTCTAGCGGCTTGCCCCACCCCCATCAAGCATGACTGGAGGTGGAGGTGGACGTGGACGTGAAAATCTCCATGGTGGACGCTCACCAAAATAGCATCATAAACATCACCACTTTTTGTTTCATGTTTCAAGCCATGCCACCTCAAGTCAACCTCCCTCTGGAAATTCTGGAGTCGGGAAATCCCGTTCATGAAGACTGCGCTGTATCCACGGAGAATGGCATAATTCAAGCATCTTGATGAGGGAAATCCTCCGATGATTTGCAGAGGACATTGAGGATAGTGATTCAACATGGACCAGAGAAGGTACTTGTTGAGATGGGCTCATTTTTGATTGCAGTATATCGAGGCTCAAAAGGATGTCTGTAATCATGCGAAGTTGCGAGCTTCAAAATTCGCCGGGAGGAAGTTAGAACCGGTACCGAGAGGAAATCATACTCACGTATCAAAGTCAAAACAGGAAGTCCTAATCTATCTGCCGACAACCGAATCTCCCTGTTTCACAACACCCAGCTCTCATGAAAATCAGACGACAGATCTTCCCGCAAGATGCTCACGAAACACTCCGATCTCCAGGCATAATACAGTACAGTATCAACTCCAGAATCCAGACTTTTCCAAAGCTTGACTGACCTCTCCGCGTTTCCACTTTCTGCTTTCTCAGAAAACCAAGGATCCAACATCCAGAACCACGCATAAACCTGCCTCAAGCTCATCTACTCGGATCACCCCACATCATGCAACCTGCTCACCATCATTATTCAAACCAGGCTAAATCATCGCCTCCGAAAGTCCAAAACTTCGGTCCCGAGCCTCATCAAGTTTCTCCTCCGAGTCCTATCCCGGCATAGCTGAAGGACGCCTCTCTCAACGGCGACCGGCTACACTGCCGCTTCCTCCCTCCACAACATGAGAAAAATCAGCCTTACGACTCGCAATCCCGCTTGCAAAAATAGATAGAGGGGAAGACTTTGCACGCCAGCGTCTGGTTTCTTCATGCTATGATGTGTTTCACCTTCATTCCAGTACTCTGGGACGCAAAATGTAAGACTAGACTGGTAATAGTGGTGAGTTGAGTACGCAACGCTTTTTCTTTCGTTTTCTTCAGTGACTACCCTTCTCCCAACATGTATCGGCAGTTTATTCTGTCATCTGTCAGTATGTCATGACACTTCTTGGCATATGTCCTCCTGGATCTGAGATGCTCCTCCTGAGCATCAACATCAAAGTATGCTCATGGATACGAACCCCTTGGCTCGGGCATGAACCAAATGATAACAAGCAAAAAGTCAACAATTCAACCCCAAAAGAAGTCGCCAGGGAGAGAGCAGAAAGGGACCATACGAAGCACGGTTGACATGCGGAAAGAGAGTTAGTAGACACATCCGTGCCGACAAACTCTCTTCGACTTCGTAGGTTTAGTCTCCCGAGTTCCGGACTAGGAATATCATTGCAGCATTATTCGAGCTCACCTATGATCAAACAAACCACTCTGCAACCCAACACTCTGCAGCTTTCGATTGATTAGATCTTGAAGGTAATCCAATCGGTTACCAGAGAAAGCCTTCTCGTTGCTATTGTATCACCACACTCAACTCTCTCACTTTCTCACACGTTTCCTAGCATCAAGCTCTTCGGCCATCAATCAAAGACCTCCGATCAACAGCTCTCATCACATGTCACCACCTAGGAGATCTTCTTCGCGTTTTCTTGTTTGCCAACCAATAAGTCAAAGCACAGGAAAGTAAAAGGTACCTCTTCGGTCACGGAACCCGAACCACCTTACCCATCCTCTGCATCCATCCATTCTATCCACTACAATCATACCGACCCCAGATATCAAAGTTTCCAAGATCATCGCCACCTATTCCCTATTTCAGCAGTTGTTGATCTCGAATTGAGTATCATAGCGGCATATCCATTACCACAGCCTCACTGTCCTCGTCTTGACTTCTAAATATATACAATATCATTTCTTCTGTACCCACCAGCAGCACACATTCTCCCCCGCCACCCGAGAATCTCGCGTCCCCAATCCTTTTCAGCTACTTTCTTCCTCCTCTCTCTGTCTCATCTCAAACCCCCGAAAAATGGCTCTTCAAAAAGTCACAAATTGAATAAAACAGTCCTCCTTACGTTGCCTCTCCATATCAACAGAGTCAACCTTCAAGCGGACAAACCGTCTGAACCATCCACAGCAATTCCAACCGAACCACCAGAAAGCTTATCCCCTTACAATTAGTAACCCCCGAAGTAAAGCCACGCGTAGACCTCCCTTCCTCAAACCCAAACTTGCGGTTCCCAGATCCGAGAAAAATGCGAAGTTCTTACCTAGCCTCCTACCTGATGGAACTCAGACTCGGGATGTGGAGAGTCCTCGGGAAGTGGGATACGCTACGCTACGCTAGTCTTACCTTGCGTAACCGACCCAGAAAGAAAAATCTATTTTAGACTCTTGCTGAGGGTTAGGGATGAGGGGTGGTTAAAGCTCGGCTGTGATGTCATTGAAGAGCTCATACAGTAGTTTGGAATGGTGCTGGGTGTCTGGGCTGTGTGTTGGAGGAGGGATGATCGATTGGTCTGGACTGGAGTTTGAGGGGAGCGGTTCTTGTGGATTTCTTGTGAGTTTCTTGGGGCGTGAAAACAGCAAGGAGAGGAATGGTGTGGGGTGGTTACGGTCAGGTGACTTATGCGTGACTTGAAAGCCGCCCTGAGGGTCTTGGTCTTGGACCGTAAAACGAAGAGGAGTTGTGTTCACTCTCGATATAAGACAACCGTACAGCGTGTACAGTATTCCTTCCCTATGTCTTCTCAGATTGAAGCTGCAATACCAGTCCGATTACAGACAGTCTGAGCTGTCTCGTTCTGCTGTCAGTCGTTTGTCAAAACAAAACTTGATCTGGGACGCCATCTTTGGTTCAATATTTCAAGCATTTCTTTACATGCTTCGTTTTTATCTCATTCTAGCCTTTTCATTGCTCGTTTTTGTATTCTTGTTTACTTCGCGACATGTCTGTTAACTCCTATCGCATTTTCAAAGTCTCAGAGGAAGTTTCTCTGGAGAGCATCCCTCTGTCTCTAAATCCGAACTGCTTACAAACACCCCTAAGTGACCACCCAAACGTCCTCCTCCTCCAACATCACGTCCCCAGAATGCACTTTTTCACACAACCCCCAAACAAATCCTCAATTCTTAAGAAACCCCAATCAATGAAAAGTTTCAACGGGTGTTGGACCTGCCGCCTCCGTCGCAAGAAATGTGACGAGAAACAACCCATCTGCGGCGTATTCTCTACTCTCCTTATTGGTCATGCTTGTTACTATGGGGAAGAGAAGCCGGAGTGGATGGATGGTGGGTTGAAGCAGGAAGAGATGTCAAGAAAGCTGAAGCGGGAGATTAAAGAGAATGCTCAGCGGCGTCGTTGGGGTCCTGTTTCTGACTTCAAGGAAGGGAACGAGGTCGTGGTTACTGATGAGTGGACTCAGGCGGTGCCAACTCGTCAGGCAGGACCGCTGACTGGAAACTCTGATCCAACGAGATGCAACGTCGCAATGAAGACTCAAGAAAATCTTGATCAAGACCTATCTCCAAACCAGCCTGAGACAAGCCCACGGCAACGCGGACCCAGTTGTGTCCTCACACGCAAAGACACACCCAAAGAAACAAGTATCCCCTTCAGCAGATCCGATACCATCCTCTTCACATTCTATCTCGAACAAGCCCACCCCTTCCTCTTCCCCTTCTACAACCCCTCTCCCCTCTCAGGCGGCCGCTCCTGGATCCTAGAAATGATGCTCAGCAGTCCCGTCCATCAAGCCGCATATCTCTCCCACAGCTCCTACCTCTTCTCTCTGGCACAGACATCAGGATCAGGATCCGTACATCCACATAACCCACACACCGATCCAAATATCAATGCTTATCCAGAAAAGCTGCTTACATAAACCACCGACACATTCGGCGTCCTCCGTGAAGCTCTCCAAGTAATCGACACCCCTACCTCAAACTCATCCTGTACCGAGCACATCCACGGCTCCGTCCGCATCCTAAGTAGCATCCTGCAAGTACAACACTTTGAAATCACCTTCTCGGGCTTCTCAAACTGGCAGGCGCATCTCAACGGCGCTTTAGCACTCTTCAAGCACCTCCTCGACAGCCAGATCCCCAGCGCCGTAAACCCCACGTCAGCAGGTTTGAAATTTAGCGCTATCATGAGACATTTAGGATCGCCGAAAGGGGTTCATGGTGGGATGAGCTGGGGGAGTGTTCAGAGTGCTGAGCAAGCTGCGTTTAGGTTTGCGGCGAGTTTGTTGGTTTTGGATGATGTTGTTGCTAGTACGGCGACGCAGGAGGAGCCGAGATTATATGCTTATCATCAAAGTCTTCTCGGTATGGTCGGTGATGACGAGCTGCTTATTGACCTGGAGGATGTGGTAGGATGTCAGAATTGGGTTGTCATGCAAATTGGTGAGATTGCCGTGCTGGATGCGTGGAAGCAGCGGGGTAAGAAGGAGGGGGATTTGGATGTGATGGAGTTGGTATACCGTGGGGCGAGGATCAAGGAGGTTTTGGAGGAACGTCTCGTAATTCTTGTAAATGAACATGTCAAGCCAATGAAGGAGACGATGGGATTATTGGATATCTTTGGGGACGGATATGGCACGCAGTCTACGACGGCAACTGTACAAAGCATCATCGTAACACGCGTCTGGGCCCACGCCGCATTTCTATACCTTCACGTTGTCGTGTGCGGATGGCAGCCTTCAGACGTCGAGACACGGTACCACGTCAGTCAAACTATCGATTTAATTTCGAACCTATCACCACCGGCTTTGGCAAGGACCGTGGTTTGGCCATTTTGTGTAGCAGGCTATTTTGCGGAGGTATCACAAGAATCACATTTCCGCCAGATAGTGCAAGGTTTGCAGCCATCAGCGCTTTTTGGCTCGGTTCACTCTGCATTCAAGATCATGGAGGAGGTGTGGCGGAATAGAGATTCGGGTGATTCTGCGGATCGTGATCTCGCTGCTTGTTTTAGAGGTCTAGGGGAGATGGCTTTGCTAGTTTGAGTCCATATCACCATGGAGCTCACTGCAGACAACCGCCCGAAAAGTCAAAGAAAGGTACTCGATTCCACTGCAGAATTCTTGAACTTCCAATATCTAACCAAATCACTTTCAGTCTCCTCACCCCTTACCACATCACCCAAACCTCACGCAGCCGTTTCAGCATCCTTCTTGAAATGCACATACCCCTTCCCCTTCACAAACGTAGCATGCCACGGAATCTTCTCCTTCCCATCGGCATCGCCACCCCCCTGCTTCGCCAACTGCAAGTAGAACTCGCCATGTGCACCACCATCAACGGCAGAGCCTTTGAACTTCCCATCAGGGGTACGCTCGTCTGCGTAGAAGAACCTATGGCATTAAAGTCAGCAGTCGTCAAAAACAACATCAGATCTGCCGAATCGATCCAGCATAAGCTAAGACACTGTATCTGCCTCGGTGACAAGCTGGCATCTGTACAAGAGGAGAGTAGGAAAAGAAGAACTCACCGATATCCCTTCTCGTCCATCAACCCATCCACAAGCCCAATCCAATACGCACTCGCCGCCTTCCCCACACCACCCGTCAACATCATTGGCCACGGCACAATCTCCACATTACATATATTCCCCGTATATATAAACACCCCCCTCCCTTTCCCCTCGCCCTCCCAAGCCTTCACCGCCTCCTGCGCAGCCACATACGCACTAATCGTACTGACGTTCATATCAGCCATCAAGGCCTCAGCCGGGATCGAGAACACATTGTCATTGCAAGGCGGGGGAGTGAATGCGCCGGCGTTGTAGATTACTACGTTTGGAGGAGAAGAGAAGTGTTTCTTGACGGTGGCGAAGAGGGTTGGGATGGAAGAGGGGGTGGAGAAGTCGGCGAGGAGGGAGAGGTGGCCGGAGGGGAGGAGCGTGTTGGTTCCGTGGCGGGAGGCGAGGGCGATGGAGTAGGAGGCGGTGGAGAAGTGGGTGGCTAGGGAGGCGCCGACTGTGGTGGGGAAGAGAGATGTTAGTTATGGAGTGCTGGGTGAGCTTTTTGTGGAGGAGGAGTTGGGAAAAGAGACATAGACGGATTGAGGCAGATGGATGTGATGGATAAGGGAAGTGGGGGCTTAGGGTCCATGACTGGCTTGGGGGCTGTGATTTGCAGGAGGAGGAGCAGGAAGAATAGCATAGAGAAGCTTGCTTACTTCGAGGACCAGCTCCAAGAATGAGTATAACGGGTTTGGTTGCCATTCTATCTGTTGGGATGATAATTGAGAAGGGACGGTAATGATTTTCACGAAGCTGAAGTTGAAGCTGGGGATGGGAGTTGAGGATGTGTCTCACTGGAAAGATATGTTCGAAGTATCATTCTTTGATCAAGTTCAAAGCCCCAAATATGTATCCCTTTATATATACCAGCAGTCCTATACATCAAAGGGATGCACCGTCGAATTTCTCACCACGAGCAATACCTACCTTACCAATCACTCTCGCGATGCTGACTTCCCTCCAAAGATAATTCCACGCTCGACATTCATTACAAGCTTTGAAATCACCGCTGATCTCCTCACATCCTAACCTCCGTACCAACTTTCAGTCCATTTGATAGGCAGAATATCTGCGTCTCGCACTCGATTATCACAATGAAGCAAAGTTGACATATATTCAAAGGACCCACATGCCGCGCGCGTTGCTAAGCGAGGGATGCCCTCAGCTTTCGATTGGGTGAGATGGTGATGCAAACGGTTGTAAGCCGCGCGCGAGGTGGTTTGTAGCACGAGAATGTGATTTCTGTCGGCTGGGAATATTCTCCGGGTTGGTAAGTACTGTTTGGTCGATAGGGGAAGGAGTCTTGGTAAGCGTCATCTTGAGATACTTGGTTGCGGTACCTGTCCGAGTGTTTACATTGACACTTCGACGCGGGGTACCTTTTGAGGTTGATTTATCAGCTAGAAGTACAGTTGAAGCTGTGAACCGTTCAGATGATAGTACATCTACGGAGTTTCATCGGGCTTCTCTTATCTCAAAGTATTATCTCATGAGAAAATACAGTAATGTTCCCCCACGTCACTGCACTTCATCACTATGTGTATCAATACCTCTTGGTCATCCCTATCCTGAGCCTGAGCATCCATTTAGTGTATCATAGTTGTTCGTTATCCAAGATTTTCTTCTGGGAAACAAATTTTACCTTACAAGTTACTTTAGGTATAATGTCTCACACTTCAACTTCATGGACCGTTAGCAGCAGCTCCAAGGCCACAAGGATGCCCATATATTTCCTCGGTATTGGCGATCCGAACTTCATAGATAATGCTGGTATGTTTGAACACGGACTCTTTAGATCCATTTAAGATTTAACCTTTAGGGTTGCCAAAGTTCGGCACACGATGACAGAGACATATGTTTGAATTCTTGGATATCAACACGAGCTGACCGAAGAGCCCTCTAAAATAGACCACCCAGCCTCTCGTCAGCTCTCTATAACCGGCCACGGAATCACTGCCCTCACCAACCCCACCCCCAAAGCTATCCTCGTGATATCCGCCCTTGGCAAGATTCTAGGACTATTGCCTCCAAACCCACACTCCAAATCAACACGGCACCCAATGCACCACTCATCTACGATTTCTACGGCTTTCCATAACGGTATTACGAGTTCGAATATGCGAACCGTGGAGATCTTGAGATTGGGGAAATAGTAGCGAAGATGTTGGAGGAGAGGCTGGCAGCTGGCACCGGAGTGAGTGTGGAGGGGGTGGAGCGGGGATTGGATCATGGTGTGTGGGTTGGTTTTGCAGCAGGTACGGAGTTCTTCTTCAATGATTCATCTTTTCAAATGATTGAGGCTCTCGTTATCTCTCTCACAAGTCGCAGCACTGACAAATGGCTCATTCACAGCATTCACCCTCAAAGCAATCCACTCAACATCCCCATCGTCCAACTCTCGCTGTACAACAACGAAGACCCAGAGATGCACTATGATCTGGGCGCTGCTCTTGCTTCACTTCGTGAAGAGGGGATAGCCATCGTTGGAGCACGGATGGCTGTCCATAATCTACAGGATGATCCTTTTAACTGCGTTTCTATGCACTGTCCTGAAAGCCCTGAGAGTAAAGCCTGTAAGCGAGACTGTTATGCCTAAAGAGTTGCCAGATCGGCCGCTAAGGCTTATCCCACACGCTGTTGACACCCTGTAACGCACTGAAGGAGACGTGCATGCCGCAGTTAAGGGGATAGACGAAGTCGTGGGAGCAAGGAGGTGGTGCCGTGAGTTGGAGTCTACTCGCTTTCCTAAAACTTTGCAGCTTCCTGTAACGTCTAATTGATCATTCAAAATTGATGTTTTACGTGCCAGATACACAGCAATATTCGATGAGGCGCTGAAAGAACCAAGTACCTCGCACCCATCAAAGCGCAAGGCGAAACTGGTGGCTTTGCTCAAACGTGATGGTGCCCGAAAGGCACATCCGACTTTCGAACATATCTTGCCTCTATGTATGTTCTTCTGTTACTTTGTGCCTCTCTCCTTCTGGTGAAACGACACATTGTTTGCTCGCGACTAGCAAACTCATCTTGGGAGAAGTTCTCACCTTTGCATGTTGGCTCTGGAGATGCGTTGAAGTACGCGAGATAATGACATGCTGATCGTACTTTTTAATAGATGTCGTTGCAGGAGCAGCAACCGAAGATGAAGGAGAGAGATTATGGACGATGCATGAGGGGCCTCTGAGTTGGGCACAGTATAGATTCGGTGATGCGGCATGAGATCGAAACTCTCGGAAATTCACTTTCTTAGATAATTCTTCTCTTTCAATGAAAGCTCTGAGAAATTCCTCGATTTCACTCAAAAGCTTCCGTTTCTAAATTTCTCCCTCCACTCTAAAAGGGTTTCTTCCCTTCCCTCAGACCGATTCTCCATCCTCATTACCAAACTCTTCACAGGTGCTTCTAGTATGAAGGGAAAATCACTCGTCTTCTCCCTCCCACCACGTATCTTTGTCAATACCAAAATCTGATTCGGGATTGATCCTCCCGCAAGATCAAAGTAAACCCACTTATGCAAGAGTTCTTTGAAATTCTGCGAATCGCCACCTGTTCCATTCACAAGGGCATCGATGCTACGATACAAACGATGAATGGCGGTAAATTGCGTCGGCTATGAAACATGAGGAATGTGAATTTGTGTATTTGGTGAGCGAGCCAGAGAAGAGGTTGGTTATTGTTCGCGTACTGTCGAATATGAACTACATCGTTGCTCTCTGTACGGACGCTGATGACTCCCGCTTACTCTTTTCCTGGCGACTGACCTGGGACGATGATAATACATGATGTGGGATGCAAGAAAGCTATTGCTATCCTTTCGTGCAGTTTATCATTGCGAGATCGAGACACAGATCTCTAAGATAAACGCCTTGAGCATTCGACATAAGCGCGAATCCACCGGTACCGAGGACATCAAGTGCATGTTCGATCTCATTCAGAGAATGCTCTACGGAGGGAAGAGGCAAGAAGCGAAGAAGCGGAAGCTGTCAGTGTCCGAAGCACATATCGATGCCAGTTCCTCGCTTGTTCCATGCGTGATCTGTAACCTCTTCGGATTTGCCCAGACTGAGAAAAGTGCCTGGGACACGATGCTTAAAACCGCGAGACTGATGTTATGGGCTTTCATCAATGAGATATGAGACGCAATGGACCAAGGCTGATAGAACATCAGCGTTAAATTGAAAGATAAACAAGAAAATAGGCACGTCAATGTAAATAATGCGGCTGTAGGTTGTAAAGTTAATAACTACCGGCATTGCGGACATGCCATCTAGATTTTGACACCCACTCTCTATCAAACGCCGTCGATATTCTACGGACGCGGCGTGGCAGTGAATATGTACCTTCGGCCTTTCATTTGTATTTATGGGAGGTGGTATTGTTGTGCTGAAGTGTCGTGCCGTTGTTCAGGTGCGGGGTCATCATCCCAGGGTTGAGAATGGGAACTCCCGAAGCTATAAAAGCACCTACCTTGTGTAACATTGGATAGCCCTCTGAATACAATGCTATTCAGATCTAAGAGTTATTTTCATAATGGAACGTGTTGAGAATACACATCTTGAGAGTTGCTTTCAGGACTAGAGTATTTATGTGATGTCGTTAGAGCATCAATGTCTCTATTCCTAGCAACCCTGTGTCGGCACGAAGTATCTGCAGGAGATAATAGCAAATTGAATACATTGCTCTTCTTGTGGAATTAAGGAAAGAACTCAGGAACATCTGATCCTCGAGGTGAATCCAATCTTATATTTTCTAAAAAAAAAAAAAAAAGGAAAATTGAGCTGCCTAGTAGATGAGAGATCAGGATGTACCTTTGACGTTAACGTCCCAACGGGATGTAAAGGCTATCTAACTCTCTGTATCTATTTTCTTACTCACAGAATATTTTGCTGCAAAATACTATTGATTTCCAAGCAAGATACTCAGCACACCTGTTACGATCAATTCTGCCCCAGCAGTCATGAGCTATTTTGAGGTTTGATCGTGGTAAACAAGCGAACTCCCAAGCTGATAATCATGTAATTCAAAGCGCTGATGACAAGTCCCTTTAAAAAGGTCTCTCAAAAATAATGCTATGGGCATGAATTTCGGAGATTATTGGAATACCTATCTTTGTTTACTCTTGTCCACCCGTCCCACTTGGATTCAGGGGCTTAAGCGAATGAAGCGAATGACTCCTCTTGCACAACATTGTCTGCAGCCGCATCGGAGAATTTAAACCAAAGAAATTGGAGCTTATGAGAACATCAACTGTCCAATCAAGTAATTCCGCACAATGACAAAGAATAAGGCGCCTTAGAGATGTTTTGCACCAAATCGACTTTGTAATTGAATAACCTTCTGGGACTGTAATTTACACCGGGACCTCCTTGCATATGCGAAGCGGAAACTCGCTAGTGTCAAAACCTTTCGCTTTAAATATTGTTTAGGCGTCCTTGTGAGCTGTGCTGCCCGATGGCTAGGATAGGCACAGTACCGGAGGCTGCTCCGCCACCTCACCCCAGCTTTCACATCAGCTGTCTTAAACATCTTACGAAATATCTTTCAGCCCAGGGAAGTGATCTCGAACCTTTCTTTCATGGCAACTACCGAAAAAGCCTCGGAGATTATCATATTGGGCACAATAACGCTTTTTAGCTTGGAACCGAAATTTCTGACAGGCTCGCAAGACCATCTCAAAGGAGGCAATATCGTCGTTTCGGCATCCGCGCCTAAATGCAGAATGAAAAGAGCCCAGGATGAAAAAGGAATAGATTCTCTGGCTCCGGAGAACTTTCAACTGATCTTTTCTTTTTCTTCCCGAAGTATCTAGTCAGCATGAAGGGACGGGGAAATCCAGTTCATGCACGCTTGGGACATTGGAAAACAGGTTTCTCGTCCGCTACAGGACCCGAAAGTACTGGAAATTTCCCAATTGGATCTCTGTAACAAGGTTACTCCTTTGAGTTTTTGGTCTCTTGATCCCGAAGTAGCGCGTCTAACCCACGCTACACGATTCATACAACCCCAAGGACGGTAAAGCACGTCCATTGCCACAACTGCCGCCGCTCAGACATTCAGCACAGATGCCTGATCAACCCTCCGCCCTCCGCCAGACCAATGGGTCGCTACCAAGGAAACGCCTCATTCCGAGGACCCCAAGTCATATTAAACCCTAAATCTTTGACACGTTTGTCTCGGCTGCCTGGCTGCCTGTCTCGGATGTTGGGGTCACGCCCACTTGTACCCCAGATCCTGGCATGGCGTCGTCGCGTGGAATTCCTGAACCATATCAAACTCTAATTCTTCGACGCTCTTCCACATTGCCACGTATCGGGTGTTGCGCCACACTTGCACATCTATCCATATGTGGCAGAATATGATCAGCTCCATGGAGCCAAAAAAGGTATAGTATGATTGATAAGTGATGATAAAAAATTGGAACGCATTTTGCGAATCGAACTTTACCAGTCTCATCACTGACAGGATCCACCCTTGACAGCGAGACGACAACTATTCCAGTTTGGAAGCCGTCTTGTGGTGAATTGCAAGAGATGGCGGACTCACCAGGCGCCTAATTAACGGTAAAGCGCAAATAGGCTTATGCAAGTACTTGGTCGTACCCGTGTGCAAATCATACCATGGAAGCACTAGTTGCGACTTTCGGAGCCTCATATCATACCTGTTGCCCTACCTCGCTTCGCATCCCGAACATATCTCTATGCGGAAGAAATCTAGAAGTCTGTTCTCGCGTGCTACCCCTCATGCTTACCTGGATCATCCATAAGGGCTTTGCCCAACCGGGTATCCTCCAGAACAGCCTCTACACTTCGAACTTGTGCCACCCTATGGCCTCCCCACCCTGCCACATACCCACCCGACAATAATAATTGAATTGCCTGAACCAGCCCAAGACATGAAGTCAATAAATTACAGAAGCGTTTCTGAACTCCACACTGCAACGTAGCAGATAAATTGCGCAATGCACAGACGACCAACTCCAGGATTCCGGTGTCCTGTCATGCGGAATCTGGCGAACTGGAAGCGGAGGATCCGCCAAGGCTGGTATTTAGGCACTTGCCTGCCTGTGCTTACGGTCTCCCTGCTGTTTTGTAATATTTGTAAGATCTGACGAGCAGCTCACTAACAGAGTTCTGTCTTTCGGGAGGATTAAGCCGAGAGACTAATGGTTAGGGTTCGGACTTCTTTCGAGACTCTCGTGAATCACTTGATCAAAGTTAGTGATATTTTCGAGAACATGATACCAACGCTTGTTTGTCATAGCCTAATGTGTATGAATCTGTATCTAATATACCAAATCTTTGATTTCTTATTGGTTTTCCGGCACTCCCCTGGTATTCTCCTGACAATGCCAACAACGCCTGGAGAAATCGCTTCCTCTCCTTGTGCTCTCCCACCCCTGACTTCGTGAACTTGATGCCCCCGTGGATATCTCAACCAATTTTCCTAATCCCACCACCCCTTTAGCTCCCTATCCTGCCCATGATGCTACATTATGTACAGATTTGTCTCCAGTCAGGTCTGTAATGAGCCCAACCGTCCGTCCAGATGCATCCCACCAAATCATCTATGCCCAACTGTCATGCCCCAAACATACAAAGGGAAAATGCGAGGGGTGTACAATTCCTCTTTGTCTTGTTGTTGATCCACAAAAGAAATCAAATAATATTCGTGATGGCCATGCGTTCATTACCCCTGCTTCTCTCCTGGCTTCCCTGGCCAGCTCCCGCCCCACCACCACGACTCCCAGACGAAGACTGTTGGTAGACAGGTTGTGCATATCCACCTTGTTCTCTGGCCAGCACTCCGACGAGATATTCCACCCTTTCCCATCCCCCCCAATCTCTCGCTTCCACGTCCGTCAAAACTGTCGTACCCTCAGGACCACCGAGGAGTGTAGGACTGATGCCAACTTTTCCTCCCACTGCACTTCCCGCAATGTTCATGCCCGTCTCGCTACCAGCCCAGACCCAGCTGTTCTCTGTTCCTGCTTGCAAGTCGCCCGACACATAGGCCATGAGTTCTTCGTCCATTTCGCGCTCTGCCCGGTACCCTGGGCTCCCAATCAGACATCCACCACGGCGTTTTTCGATGAGCACACCAATGAAGAATGCCAGGTTACGCCCACACGCAACATTGACATCCCTTAACGTGCCGATGCTGGATGAAGCTCTGATACAAGTGAGTGCTGCGTCGAAGTGACCTCCGTATAGTAGAAACAAGGTGCAGCGCCAAATGTGAGTACAAGTCATAGCGTTTGCGGTAGGTCCGAATGGCGGTATTGATGGATTCGACGACGTTGAGGAAGCCATTGCTCGGCCGAGTAGATTCGTAGAGTCGAGCGCTGCGCGTATGCATTGCTCAATAGCGTTGGCTCGTATTTCCGAAGGGCAAGAGGTGGTTAAATTGTGGCGATGAAGTATTACGCGTGCGTTCATGAGATGGCAGACAGGAGCTAACATCCGCGGATCCAGAGGTTCTTGCGCACTTATTTGACAAGCAGGAGGAAATGACGCCATGCAAGCGCTGAAATGGGTATCGAAAGTCGCCAAAGTCGAAGGAGAAATGATGGGCGATTTAAGCGTTTTGATGAGCTGCGAAACGGCACGGACAACATGAATGATCGGTAAAATGAAATTCGTCAGCGGAGATACACCATTAGGTACCATCATGCCCGCGTCGTGAATATAATGATCGTCAATTGCGGCTGGCAGACTGACATCGCAATCCGCATCTTCAATCAGGAGGGGTCTTCCAAGCTCCAGTGACATGTGCCTGTCCCAAACGTAGATCCCCCACCATACTCGTCGTCGCATCTCGCCCTCAATCATTGGCCACGGTCCCGTCTCGTTGTGTAGTCCGATATCCTGAGAAATTCGAACCGCGGCTGCTAACCAAGTCCATGCCGCAGATTTCAGGTTTATTTCGGTCAGAAATATGCTCACCAGAATAGCGGATCTTGCGTGGTCGATCACCTAAATCGCAGCAATTTGAAGTCAGTTTACTAGATTCGTCTAGTACAGGGAAAGATTCTATTGCGTGGGGAGTATAACAAATAGCCACGCCACAGTGCTTGATACCAGGGGGACGGGAAGAGAACTCCACAAATCTGAACTTACATATTCGTCATTCCAGGTATCTATCAACATTCGAGATATTTCAATATACTCTTTTCCTTTGTGAGGCCGATGAATGCTCACATCCGAGCTGAATAGTACGCCAACGGCCAGGACTGAGAAGAAAAGGGAGCTCCAGACTGGTGGTACGCCATGCAAACTGCCGGCTTTGTAGACAGCCTCGTATTCCTGCTCGAATGTGGGCCAATGCAAGATCGGAATCAGCATATGTACTGCCGCATAGTAAGAACCAAGCAAGTGATCGCATATCGCCTTAGGTGGTAGATCCGGACGAGGAGGATTGAAGTGTGCCTGTGACCCTAATTGACGGTAAGGTGCAGGTGGCTTGAATATACCCCGGCCAAAGTTTCGGATGTTTGAACGCACCCGCGACAGATCCTGAGGGGGTGGTGGTCGCCCTTTTCGCTTCGGATTCGACCCAATTTCTGGCAATTGGAGCGACAGTTGTTGAGGAGCGTCATTGTCGATATCCATTTGGCCCTCTCTCACATTCAACATTGACCGCAAATGCGTGTTTTCCCGTTTGACTTGTGCAATCTGCTTCTCCAAGTCCTGCACTTGCTTGATAGATGACATGCGTCGATTTGTCTCTTTTGTGAACTGGCATTTCACATTCCGACTTGAGCATTCCGAACAGCTGGTAGTCTCTGTTGCATCGCATTTGACTTTTCGTTCCCTGCATGCGTCACAGCTTGGATCTTTTCTCCTCTGACGATAGGCTCTCTTCGCCTGCATATTCGCAGCGGACATCTGTCCGCCCGAAGCGCCCGGAGTGCCACTTGACGATCCGGTGGAAGCCATGGAATCCAGTCCTGGAGGTCCTGGAGAAGTTGTCGCTGAGTGATATGGATTTTGATACGAACTATGGCCCATCGATGCTCCTGATGGCAAGTTCATATGCTGCTGTGGATTCTGCCCACTCATAGGTCGTGGGGAGGCTCCCATGAGGCCTCCGTCGTAGGGCCCCGAAGTTCGTGGTGATGCTGCGGACGAGACTGAAGAAGAGTCGTAAGAGGTAGTGGAAGGTATTGGAGATCTCGAATAAGTATTCTGTGCTGACCCCGCCATCTTGTACGCCCAAAGTCAGGTTCTTTATCCAGATGGACCTAGCCGTTGTCGATGGTCTGAGATAGAGGACTGCGGAGGTGGAAGTTGATTTTAAGGTTCCAGCCTCATTACGAGATTCTACAGGCGTAGTAACAAGAATCGAAGAGACCAAAACCAGCCACACACGTATATTTGATAATGCGAGTCTCAAAGGGCTCAGAGAGCACGATAAGCAGACCTTGAGGTTAGAAAGAAGTAGGACCATTAACCAGACAATTGTCTGATTTCCTTGCCCCAGGATATGATAGCTGCGAGACACGCCGCCGGGCTGCAGTCTAGTGCAACGTCAGGGCTGCTATGTTCCGACGCAGGTCTGCAGCGGGGCCTGCCTCGGATGGTTTCCCCTCTCCTCACGCAAGAACACAGGTACCAGAATCGGCAGCTGATCCGTACCGTAGTGAAATGTCAATCTGTGATAGGCTTGGTCAGCTAGGTGCTTAGAAATGAGCTATCGTTGATTGCGGAAGAAGTGTCTGTGGTGTGTGATGCGAGGAGCATGTTGGCGCGGCAAAAAAAAGTTGTGAGAGAGAAATGCCGACAATGAGTGATAAGAATTTAAGGCAATGGCATTTCTGACTGGCGCGGGCTGGAGGAGGATAGGACGGCAGCAAGTATTGGCCTCCGCTTTAAGGCTGATTGGGAGATCTGGAGTAATCCATTGCCAAGAGTAGCATTACAAGCATTTGAAGCAGATGTTTGCGAGATGGTCGTCAGCCCCGAACTCCTGTTTATCTACAATTGAGCAACCTTGTCGATCTGCTCAGAAGGTAGCGACGGCGGTGCCGCTGCTGCTGAGCGAACCCTTGCACTCGCACATTATTCGCCATTTTTGACAGGGGAGACTGGTGCGTCGAAGGCGACGAGAAGATGTTACAATGCCCCTTTAGTCACAGACAGGGGTACATCGCCTCTTCGGAACTCCATCAGAACTTCCTTTTTAGGGGACATAAGGCAACTGGCAGTTTGAATGCCGAGTCGGCAGAGACCTCTTCCAAACAGCGAGACATGGTGTGCATCGCTCGAGAAATTCTTACATCAAGAAGCAGTAGCTGAGAGGAACGGCTGACTAGGAATTGCTGGAAGAGCAGGAGAATTCCCACATAAATTAAAAGACGTACCAGGGAACTTCCTTTGCCTGTAAGAGTGCTCCCAATCTCGAATCCCTTTTCGTGACTTCCTGCAGGTTTTTGGAGAGTGGCGTATGGGTGGCTCTTGCGATGTTCACTGCATATGTAGGCCTGGAATCAACCTCTTCAGGGAGTCTACCGTCGGCTTCGGCCCGTTGATAGGGTAAAGGGGCTCAACGGCTCGGGTGCAGCGTCTGTTGAGTTCAGTAATATGTTGTGAAAGACCAAGTTGATGTCTGGAACGAGACCTCTGTCGTGAATGTCTCGTCTCGTCTGTACGTCAAGATATGCATCAGCACGTGGACAGCCCTGCGTCGTTTTCTTGATGATTGCAGTACTGGGTATATAATCGAGGAAGATTAAATATGCATCCCGAAAGTACGGAGCCACTCGTGGTCGAAGGAGTTCTGTGACAAGAGTAGCTTACCCTGCAGGCACATTAACTGGCGATGCCGTGGTCGATTCCTGGTTGCAGGAGTGATTGCTGGTTCTTGGATTCGGAGAAATGGTCGTAAATGGAACAAGAGGTGGTACCTGCGATCCTAGTTGACTGCTAGATAACCTGGGACGCGATGTTACCACAGGTCAGGGGGGCCTCGGAGGACGTCTCGATGCCTGGGATGCATAATAATATTATACGCGAGGTTGCTTGGAGTGCGTCTTCGTTCTTTTTCTTCGGCAGGACCCTGACAAGGCGGAGCCGTTAATGACATGGGACAGGATCCATCTCATAAGGGTTTTAGATATGGCTGTCTCATCCGATCCCCTCTCCCCGTTCTGTCTGGGCTGTCATGGACAGGGGCGGCCAGGCCGAGCCGGGCCAGGAATCCCTGTTCCCATTAGGGAAGTAGATAAACGTTTCCTGGCGTTTCATGTTTTTGAGTTTTCATTTAACGCCTGTTGGGCTATACTTCCGCCCTGCTTTCCTAGACTAGTTGTGGGTGGAGAATAGCGATCTACTTGACCTGTGGCCGAAGCCCTAAACGTGTTTTAGCATTGCCATTCCCAAGAGGACGCGGATCAGCCAGGACTAGTACTGATGGTAAGAGAGGTAAAAACAAAAGGAAGGTCTGGGAAGTCTTAGCGGCGACATCGTAACCTTATTTCGTCATTTGCCGAACCCATGGGAAAGATGGGAGAAGAACCAGCATCTTTTCGGCTTGTTTCAAGACCCATCCAGAAAACAGCCCCCATGGCATGTTCCGCACGGGATGATGAGATGCGGCAAGATGCCATACAGGAGCATGGAGCATGGAGCATGGGTCGGGAATGCGGACGCGAAGGCTGCTGTGGCTCAGACGCGATGGGGGCGAGGACCCTGGGTTCATACTCAGGAAAGACCTCTTCGGATACCGGGCGTGGCGTGTAGGGATGCAGAAACGCTGAAAGCCAGCCAACAGAAACTAGAGAATCGAGAGGCAGATGGGTAGGTCTTGAGGAATAAGGACGTCGGAAAATTGACAGAGGGGGGCGATGGTGCCCTGCATCCTTGGACAGTGCAGTTACTAAGCTGCATCTGCATAGGTAGGCGAGGAAATAATAATGCCACCCAAACTCAAGCCAGCTGGCCAACATGCCAACAATTTGCTCCTTCTTGGCTTCTGAGACAGACAACGGGAGAGCACTAGTAACAATGGCTAGCCTTATCAGAGCTAGCTGGCAGAGAACATCCCCTTTTAAAATAAAAAAACTAGCAACGACGTGTTTTTCCTGGTCTGCCGTCGCCTCCCAGACCTGCCAACTACTAGTTAGCAACTTACCGTCGCCTTTCACCAGCCAGCTAGTCGCAAGCCAACCCCTCTCCCACACTAAGATCGGCCTCCTCGCACACGCTGCAGATGCCAATCCAGACGGTGAGCCGACTGCCGCGAGCCTGTCAGAGGTCGCCTCGTGCCCTAGTGTTGCTTCCATGCTTTCCATGCAGCGCCCTGGAAGCATATCATATTATGTCGTCTCTTGTGTCAACGGTAACACAGGCGCATGGCTGTGGAAAGTCCCCAATTTTGCCGCATAGTGGGCTATATATTGACAATAGACATCTGTTGAGCACACGAGGTCAGCTTCATCTGATATTGCTAACTCCTTGCAATTCCTTCGCTAGTGCGTGATTCGTGGGGCTTTGGGTTGCAATAGCCGATAAACTACGGGACAGTGGGGGATGGCGAAAGTGGTCCAACACGGATGTTTCCACCTAGGACTTCCTCCCTTCGGACTTTCTCCGATTAAAGTAAAAAATAAATCTGGGGACGACACGCGTGTCTCCAACTTAGTTGAGTCCCGGTGATAACATTGGCATCTGGTACTTTAGTCGCCGCTGCCGACGGTTATTGCCGGTACCCTGGGTCAATCGTGATGCAATCCACCTCGATATTCCCGCCTATTTCCCTCTCTTTACTCTCGTGGGGGCTATGAATCCTCGGATGAACACCTGCCGTGTGGTGCATGTTTTTTCTAGAAGAGAATTCTTTGAATAACGGGCATTTAACGCATGAAACCGAAGTGCACAAGGCCAGCGAGGTGCCGCCGTGTTTCAGGCTTCGGGTCTAGGGCCTGCAGACAGTACCAAGGTAAAAGTGCAACAGGACGTACCTATTCTATTTGCTTTGCAGCAGCTGAGAACAGGACCAAACATGTATAACTGACAACGCTCCATTATATGCCTTTGCCTCTGGCTTTGATGTAACCATTGGACCGCAGGAAGGGTCGTATCGTCCCAGGATGTTTGTCGTCGAAGCTACAGCATAGCTAGGATTAAGCGAGCCATTATGCAGCCAGACCAATATTTGAAGATCAGCACGTTTCTTGTTTCCAACTTTTCCAGATCTCGAAGGACTCCTAACCATGTCATGTTAAGGTTCGTTCTACTGCAGCTATCGGACAATACCATGCACCGTGACCCGATTGAGGAACCTATGAGCGATGCCCTAATCAATTCAGGAACCACCTATACCAAGTCGGCCTTATCCGTTTTTGACTGGGGGCTTCAGAACCGACCAACCGAGGAGGCAAGCCTTCAAACCTGTTCCGACGGCCACCGCAGTGCCGTTCGGGTCTTCTTGTATTTTGGTATATCATGGCAAGGCTCTGACAGAAACTCGAGAAGGTTTTCGACGCCTGTGAATTCTCCGACGCAAAACGCTGATTGAAACGTTATTCCAGTTAGACCCATGATTTTTCGGGTGGAAATAAGCTGACTGAGACTTGAGTCAGATGAGTGAGGGAGCTCAAGATGCCTAAGCATCGTCACTTGTTAACAGGATTCAGTTGAGGCTCTTCGAAAGTGCAAAGTCTTGTTTGTCAACATATCTATGACACATGCAGTTGAGATGTGACTGGTGATAGGAGCGGCTCAAATGTAGGTAGACGGCGTTGGGCGCGGTTCATAGAAAAAGTTGAGATTGCTGATCTGGTAGTTGCTGAGCTGTCACAGATAGAGAAGTTTTGGCCCAGAGCAGTCTGGAGACACGTGGAAGACAATCAGTTCCCATGTCAGGTGCGATCCGCACGACGGGGGTGTGACAGCCACAGACTCTATTCGTCGCTTGCGAAATACCAAGTAGGTTCGGAAACTTTGCCACAGCTTTCGGTAGATGGTCCATAATACGGTAGGTACGGTATGTACACCTCGGTTTTTTCGTCCTTTTATACCACCGCCACCAGCCGCGTACTTGTTCCTGGAACAGTTGCTCATCCTGGGGGTGTGGATAATCTTGGCCTCCGCAACTACGTCTGGCGTGACATTGAGTTTTTCGTAGAAGAAAAGAAGCAGCTTCTACTGGAATAATCCCGGACATGCTTCGAAATATGCACCGAAGGCGACTGGGCAGTACGGAGATAGTTCCAACGATGATCTTTCCTCGTAAGCATTGTTGCTTTCATCTTGGCTTCTGGGGATTGTGTGAGCTTTGGGGCTTAGTCCATGGGTGAAAAGTGGCTTGCCGAGCAACAGAACCCGGATCTTGGGAATTTTCATATGGAAATTTGATGCTTCGCAGGAAAAAGAAAAGATGCTGCAAGGACCTTCCCAGCACAGCGAAATGTCACTTTCGACAGCGGAAATCTCCAGGGGTTCGGTACCCACTTCCGTCGATCACATCGCCGACTGGAGCGGGAGTGCCCTGTACCCCCAAAAATCATATCTGAAACGAATTGACTTGTCACATCTGAACTGGATTTGTCCCGTTGAGGTTCTGGTCGCATTAACCCTGTAAAAGGCTAGACCAAAGGAGCGTGACGATATCCGAGGAGTAAATACCACGGATCTTGGCCAATGTTAGATTTCCATCCAGAATACCTTTAGGAGTCAAGAGGCAATCTGATCAGCTTGCGATGATCCTCCCGAGGCGCTCATTGTTGTATGGTTTAGCGGCTTCCTTCCTGCCAATAGCAAAAGCTTCATAAATCCTCAAAGCCACTTTACTGTGTGTCGTCCACTCCTTATTGCAGCCCAGAAGCAATATTGGATTGTCTTGAGTTGGGGCTCGAACGGGGTTCGTTCACCATGATCCTTCGGTCGCAAACACCGGGCAACAAGACGTCCAAGAATAAACTCAACTCAGCATTGTATCACTCGAAACAGCGAAGATCCTCCCGTAGATCCGATTCGCAAACATTCCTGAAGCTGCATCGGAAGTGGGCCCGAAAAGGAAGCTGAGGATTGAAGACGGCACAAGAACCCCTCACATGTAATCGAGTTGCCATCGCCTGCCTCGGAAATCGAATTGGAGGAGTGAACATGGCCGTGAACGTGAAGCATTGGAAAGCAGCAGCTGCGGCCTGTAGCCTCCAGAGCTGTCATGTTGAGAGCTGGATTGAGCTGTGAGTTAATGTTTACTGACGAGAATCGATGCCAGAGGCGGAAGTCGGCGTTGTCCTTTCACCGCCTCGTGGGGCAGAATAATAGTCTTCAAATCCGTCGTCATCAGTAAATTTGGTGCGAAGAGAATTTCTTGAAGTGGGTGTCTCAATGTCCATTCACCGGGTACAGTCCGCTGCAAACTACAATTCGAATCATTACGACGGTATTTACATTCTCAGTCATTTCTTATAGTCAATCACTCGCGCACTTTTCTCAATTTTTCCTCCGGTTGCACGAGCATTCTCTTGACAACACCACAACTTCTCAACGTACAGTAATCAAGGTTTCTCACTTTTAGGGGTATCTGAACAGACGCCGAGAGGAAGGAAGAATACACCAGTCACCTACTCAAGTATCACATCTTCAGCTCACCATCAATCCCTGGTCCAGGGAACTTGACTGCTCAGTCCTAAGTCTCACGCCTCCTCGAAATGACAAAGTCAAACATTCAAAGATGTCTCCACGACCTACCAAAATGCGAACACCATCTTCATATTGAAGGCTCTCTGTCACCAAGCCTCCTTTTCCGACTCGCAGATACCAATAAGATATCCCTCCCATCCACTGAAGCCGATCCCTCATTCGCCTCACCCCAAGCCCTCGAAGACCGATACACCCGCTTTACCTCCCTGAATGACTTCCTCCATTACTACTTTATTGGCATGTCCGTGTTGATTACTTCTGCCGACTTCGAATCTCTTGCTTACGAGTACTTCACTCGGGCACACGACGATGGTGTTCACCACGCCGAAATATTCTTCGACCCCCAAGCCCATACGTCACGAGGGATTGCATACGAGACTGTAGTGGCAGGACTGGGCACGGCGCAAAAACGGGCAGAGAAAGACTTTGGGTTGACATCAAAGCTGATTTTGTGCTTCTTGCGCCATCTCCCAGCCAGCGATGCGAAAGATACCTATCAAGCGGCGGAAGCCCTAGGCCACTTTTCCAGCGGCATTATCGCCGGTATTGGACTCGACAGCAGTGAAGTCGGATTCCCACCAGAGATATTCAGAGAAGTTTACGAGTCTGCGAGCAAAGCTGGTATTCGGAGGACCGCCCACGCCGGCGAGGAAGGTGATTCCACATACATCTCGCGAGCGCTGGACTTGTGCAATACACAGAGAATTGATCACGGGATTCGTCTGATTGATGATGAGGCGCTGTTGAAGAGAGTTGCAAAGGACAACACTCTGGTTACGATGTGCCCGTTGAGTAACGTCAGATTGAGGTGTGTCACCCAAGTTGCGGACCTGCCAATCAGAAAATTCTTGGCGGAGGGCGTGAGGTTCAGCATAAACAGCGATGATCCGGCTTATTTCGGTGGATATATCCTGGACAACTATATCGCTGTACAAGAAGCTTTCGGATTGAGTCTGGAGGAATGGCGGTTCATCGCGGATGGAGCTATTGAGGGAAGCTGGTGTGACGACGAAAGAAAGACAGTTTTGCACCAAAGTGTTGAGCAATGGGCTGAAACGTATAAGGATACTCTCTGAGCTTGCTACGTAAGAATGGTCACGATTCTGTATTATAACATTTGGTGGCTGCACTTTAGGGAATTATATCCCGCCTGCCACTCATGCCAGTGGCCCAAATGCCTCTAGATACTACACCTAGAGAATACACGCGACTGATCGCTCGTTGGCGGTTTTGGTTAGCCGTTCTTCGTTAGATATCTTGATGCTGTTCATGCGTGCAGAATCATTAATAACATTCTCCTACAGGACCATTGAGTTGGCACATATACACCAATCAAGTCACAACTGCCATGGCTTCTGCTTATAGATACAATGCCAAGAAGTATCGGGTGGCATTCTTATTTCTTCCCTCAAATTCTAGCGGGTGAGATCACGCTCCTAAGCTAATATCGACCTGACCTGGCCGAGTCGGGGCGGACGGCACGATCACGATACCTGATCTACGTCACTCACTGTATTGTTGTTAACCACCCTGCAGGTCAGCCACCTGGCATTTAGGATTTCGTATTCTTTTGATTGTCAATTCACTCCTGAGACGGCACCCATGATCCCGAAAAGACTTCCTCGAAGGGGTTGTCGCTTATTTACTCAGCCCCACCCTTTTCTGCAAAATCATAACAAATGCGAGGAAGGAAGTCTTAAAGCGATAAGACTGCCGGGCATCAAGTGCAGCGAGACCTAGAATACCTAGGTAATATATGTAATTACTCTCGTCACACTCTCTAGAACATCTCAAAGCCATCTAGGTTTAGTTCAAAATAAGTATTCGATAACATGGACAATAGCGAGTGTGTATCGTCATGTTACGCAACGGCAGTCGCACACCCAATTCGGATCGCAAGCCGCTAGGGCAGGTAGGTCAGTTCAAATGCCAATCGCACTTACACCGTACAAATTTGCATAAGACACAAATATTCTCACTCTCAATCCCAAGACTTCGTTGCAACACACACACATATCATATCTCGAGCCCCCAAGCATACATCGTTTATCCCAATTACCTGATCATTTTCGATCACCGCTACTCATATCACGTCAAATACATCCCCTCGCCTCAAATCATCTACACCAGGGGATATCTGGTCTCGCATCGTCAAAATGCCTGTCGGTCACACCTATGAGCACTCTCACGTCCTTCATTCGCACCACACTCAAAAGCCGTGGAAGGATTTGTCACCACTTGAGAGAGCTCGAATAAAGAAAGCACGAGCAGAGAAGGCTCAATATGAGGGTGGCAGCTTTCTCCCTGCCGCCTGTGAGTCTAACGGTCCGAAGCTACGTTCCCCTACCACATCTGTCTTCTCAAGTACCTCATACACACGATCCAGTGAGCGACAGCGCGCCAGAATGGACAGCGCCATCGTATCCATATCTCAAGTTAAGCCCAACTCTCAGTCTACAACACCGCTGAAAGGCCATCAAGAATCGAAAAGTCAGTCTCTAATCAGGGAGGTGGCTGACAATCACCCACGACGTGCAATTTGCCCTATAGAAATGATTATCTCTTCCGTCGGAAACTGTTCGACCTTACATCTGAGACTAACCTCTGAAGATAGCCATCCTTCAAAAGTAACGCCAGTTAAGTTGCACCACCCTGCAGAAAGTCCACTCGGAAATACCAACGCTGGAGGTTCTCAAAGTCCCTCCGAGAAATCATCAATATCGCCAACATCACTCAAAGCGGTGGATATACCACAGACTATTGCAGCCAAAAATCTCACAGCAATTGCCGATAAGATTTCAAAGCCGTTACAAGAAATGTCGATCTCGGATACCGACTTTACTGAAATGTTGGCTGTGGCTGCGGCGGAAGAATTTCACGAAATGGCTTGTGAAGGGTTGAACGAGACTCGGTCCCCCAGTCCGAAGACTGACTCTTCAAATCACACATCTCCTAGTAAGGTGCAAAGTTCGAGCGCTTCAGAGCTGTCTGATACTACTGCCCAGCCAACGATGACAGTAATGTGGAAAAGAAAGCTCGAAGCGCATATAAACACTGAAACAGCTCAAGGAAATGCTAAGAGGCAATGCAATATCGCAACAATCTTCACATCGAACAAGACCTACCAGAGTCCATACCCGCCAATTCAGAACACCCAGTCTCTTCCACTGAATGAATTCACATCCCAAGGCAATCGACAAGATAATTCGAGCACGCCACAAAGCTATCAAACTTTTGGTCCGGTTGCTCAGCCCTCGCCTCCTGTTCAAACTCAAGTCCCTGCTGTGAACCCAATAGGGGTCGTGGGGGGTGTGGTTTTGCCTGTAACAGAAATTGGGCATCACATGTTCCAGGGCGATGTTACAATCAAGGATGGACCAGTCACCCATAATTTCAAGGACCAGAACATCATGCAACTGCCCCAGCCCACAATACACCAGGAGGATCATTGGAATAACTCTCAGCAACCTGTGAATAGTCAGACCAATGTTCCAAATACATCTGGAAGTGATGACTTTTCCAAAGTGTTTCAGTATCTGGACTATGACACTTATCACCCTGCCCCGGATACCTCTGAAAGTATCGACTCAACCAGTGTATTTCAGGATTTGAACCATGAAACTCATCACCCTGCGTTGAACACCTTTCCTTCGAATGTTGACGGAAGTTCTAGCCATGTTGGACCCTCATACAGTGGATCTGCCAACGTTCGGACTCAATTTCAAGATATGACCGAACAGTTCCCAGATAGCCTTCTGGAACAACCTCTATCTTCACAGCCAATGAGCTCGACCAGGGACTTCAACAATTACCAGCAGGGGTTCAACGACGCTTTAGAAGTGGTAAGAAAGGCCCACTGTGTGGCACCTGGTCCTGGTGGCCGGATCGGTAACTCCTATGAAACGAGTTCTACTGATGATAGTCAAAAAGTCTTTCCAGCACGATCCCGCGGGGAAATGCCTCGGATTCCGCACAATATCTTTTCTGCTCATCCTGTCAAGACTGCAGCAGGCTTTTTGATTAAGACAGCTCCACAAAATCATACAGAGCCACACATTCCTGGGAGCGAACTGACTCCAGTTTTCAACGAGCCCGTTCGCTTCAGAACAGCGCCAAACTATAGTGGTAAGCACAACATGAGCGACATGCCATTCCACATATGGCAGCAAGGTAAAGATATCATTCAGTTCACATACCAGAGTTGCACTATTCAAGGCCGTGCCGCTCCTAGCTTGACACGTCTTTTCGATCCAGAAGAATTTCGATGGCTAGGAAAACAAGCTGAAGAGGGCAAGCAAAGACACTCTCGAAAATTGCATCCCGTCTCCATGGAAAATCTGACATACCAGTTCCGTGAAAGATACTGCTGGGATTTCGAAGCGGATCTCAAATATAGACTCAATGATGTCCTTCTTAAGATACAGAAGACACCTACCTATTACCGAGTTACTCGTAACCAAAATTTGCAGCCATGGGTCGTTGGAAAGCACTGGCGGACAGTCTATCTCCAAACTTGCTCGAAACCTTTTAATGGAACCCCCTTCCACAATTTGTATTTTCTAGACTGGAGTAAGAAATGGATGTTCTCGGTTGCAAATGCAAGGGGATGCGATCGAGAAAGGGCATTGAAAGAGTACGACGCACAGAGGAGAATGGCGACCGTCGGGTATTATGCCTGATATTTCGAAGTGATCCATGTTGGTCATGGGGCTAATACGTTGCTGTTCTCTGATGGGAATTGTTCTTGATGTGAAAAGGGTTCAAGTTTGATGACTAGAGCAGCATGACGAGTATGGGATTAACTATGGGTGTGGAAAGAAAGAATGGGAAATACATGGGAGCCATGACCCGTGTATACTTTAGCACTGTTAATAGATTACTTTGACAAAATGTCGTGACGGCTGCCTTCAAGTAAAATTAATTTCAAAGGTGTCACGAAATTTCTGGTCAGAATATTCAAGAGACAGCAATACACTGCGATGGGTCGAGCAGATCAAACCGTCTTCGGAATTCTGAGTTTGCCCTTGCCGGAGGAAACAGATGATCAGGTAGCATAGGATTTTGGCTTTCACAACAGCAAATGCCTTCACACAGCGAATCATAATTTTACAAGAACTTGTAAGCTCTGGTAGCTGCTATTATATAATTTAAATGAGCTCTCCTCTTCCTTGTAGGAACATGGATCTCTCACTCATCTTTGCCCCGCGGCCCCGCCAAGAGCCACAACAGAATTTTCCAAATACCTACCTTCAATGGATATCCAGATAAGCGGTTAACCTCCAAGTCAGCAAGAAGTCAGCTGTTCAAAGCGTTTGTGGTTTAGTGGTAAAATCCATCGTTGCCATACAGACAACATCGATGGGCCCCGGGTTCGATTCCCGGCGAACGCAATATTCTTTTTGCATTTTGATTAGGATGAACGGTTTTTATATGTGAGAGAGGTCTTTTTTCAAGTACGATTTACTTTTTACAATTTTATTTCTAGATATCAAATCAGATCAGGCTGGAGCTTTCTTTTATTTAGTTGAATTTTTTGTAATTATTTGATCAATAGTAGGAATTGAAAGCGAGTCACATTGTTTGTATCCTTTCGTATCCAATGAGTCGGCCGGCCTGAAGGGCAATCAATTTGACTTTGATCCACAAGTTTGTAGTTGACTTTTTCTTGAACATTGAGGTTGTTTCGTAGTATGCCTGAGGATTCTAAGCCAAAGCAGCGCAAAGCAAGTGAGGAGCAAGTTGACAACAACAAAATGAGTAAAAAACGATACATGGGTGTTACATACTAAAAATAAAGATTCTATTAGTATTGTTTAGATGTATTTGGGGACTGCGATCTTGTGTATGACCTTTTAGCCTAGGCAGAAAAAATCTTCAAGAAGAGATTTTTCAAAGTGGGTCGCATCGCAACCAGAGGCAAAAAGAGAAATCTTCGCGAAGAGGAAAAGTCAAGGTTTATATGCTAAGAATCACTCTATTTCAGAACGTTTAAGTATAAAGGAATCAAGAAAGTACTCTTATAGTTACGATTGATAATTCAAAGTCTACTCGTGAAACAGTGTATTCGGAAATTTAGAGCAAAATACACCCCTCCTTCCTCTCTACCCTCAAATAGATTCTTTAGGTGACAAAAACGAAAACCCCTAAAAGGTGAGGAGCTCCAGGTATACACCTGGGGCCATGAACTCAAGAGAAACTCTCTGACGGGGAGTCGAACCCCGATCTCCCGCGACTTGTCTGTGATGACAAGCGGAAATCATGACCGTTAGACCATCAAAGATGAAGCTGTTTGAAGCTGATTGGAGGAGAACGTCTTATTTGATCATATAGAGCACAAGGAATTTTGCAAGCGAGGTTGGATATCGCAGTGGAGTCGGGGCAAAAGGCGGTGAATAAGGAGGCGAAAACGGACGATTGACCCCACAACGCATTTATTCTATAATATTCCGGTATAGATCAATCGGCGCATACAACAGGCACATTTATCAAAGGGACCTAACTGAAAGTCTGTTTTGAATATTGATATGGCCTCGCATACCACGCTCCTTCAAAGACTTACTGTCTTGAGTGGGGTTGTCAGGATGATCCCCGCAATTCGGAAGATTTTAAGCGAGAATGTAAACAAAAACCAGGCTCCTTGTATCGTTTGCGCCTGAACGAGCCCGTCAAAGCAAATAGACCTCAGACTGTGGCCCAGTACCGAAGGCGTAATAAGAAGTGTTTTTGACACGGACTAGAGTTCAAATTACAAAGCATGGCTCCATCTTGTATTACAATCGATGAGCTTCACGGTAAATTGCTTTGGCTCCAGAGAGAAAATGCCTCAAGGGTGCTTCTGGACATATTCTTTCTTCTCTCTGACCCTGATATATTACCATAATTCTTCCCAATAATAGAGAAGAGCGAGTCTGGGTTTTGACGACATATCAAGCTGAGTCTGGCGGCATGTATCGGGTAAAATAACGTCCTTACCTCAAGTTCCAGGTATTGACGCCCTAGATGGATTCGAGAAGCGGGCCTATCAAGATGACGATGTCCTACGGCATATTCACTTCGCAATAGACACACTTTGCCGCTCGACCCAAGGAAGTTTTCGAAATCAATGTTCGATTATGTCGAAAGTGAATGACTTTCCAAAGATGCCTGATCTGGGTTGCCTGAAAATTTAAGCTTAAAGGCTACAAAATTGATAGGCCTCGAGAGCCTGAAATGCATCAGTAAATCTTCGAGAGCTATAAATCTTCCACTCACTTCTACCTTTCAAGTGTTTCCAGACTAATATCTCATTCTCCGCGGTCTGGCCATCAGCACCCAGAGCCCTGCACGCATACATTGACTAGCACACCGAACCTGCGGTCTCGAGATGGTCATAGCAAACCTGACAAGTCTGAAAGTCACCCTCCGCAATCCGACTTCTTTTCTAGCTGCGATCTAGCAACCAACATGTGCAACTACGCAACACTCACCTTCACCCGCTGCACCTGCCAGGAGGTGACACTCGAGCAGCAATGCGTGCACGCCAAGCAAAGTGGTATGAACTGTCTCTATCGACCTCAGCATGACTTCAGTTCCGGCGTCGAAGCTAGCAGCCCAAGCAAGAGAGCACGGAAACGAGTAAGAAGAGAGAGTGAGGGGAGAGGCAAGAAATATCGGTTGGTGCATGGGGCATGTGAGTGGTGCGGTGGAGAGTATTGGGGATATCCGGACTGACGGGGCGGAAGGCGTAATTGCCTGAGTGCGAGAGGGATGGGATGGGATGGAGGAGTTTCTGAAGCAGGACGGGCTTGTTGGTGGACTACAGTCTTGGGGCATAACAATTGGAGCGTTGAAACATATCCGTTGCAACATACTCCTTGCTTTGGTCAAAATCATCCCTACAAAAGATCCTGATACCTCGGCGTCAGCAATCGAACACATGAGTCCAGTATTGACCCTGGCTATACCTATGGATGCCTTCGAAATCCCTCACATCAAAAATCATGTGTCCTTGATACGCAATAGATTGTAGCCAGGAAACTAACCAGCATAAGTTTCAAACCCAGCTTTTCTTCAACAATGAAAGTCCAATGAAGTTCTCTTCGCTCACAGCCACATGGTGTGCAGGTTCATCCCATCTAAGGAAATTTCCCTGGTAGCGATCATCCGCTCTCTCACTTCCAGCCCTCTTCATCTCCCAACCACGTCTCTTACCCCTCCATCCTCAACCCCACACCCTATCTTATCAACCCCTCATGGCGCAATGGACCGAACAGTCGTCGTTTTAAAGATGCAGTAGGGCGGTACCACAGCGGGAATTCTCATCCGAACTATTTTCCGACTCGCCAATCACAACATCGACTAGCGAGACGGCCCCTGAACCTCGCATCCCTGGAGCATCTCTCAAGCCTTCGCTAAACTTGTGTTAAGGGCGAGCCACGCCAAAGACAACAATCCCAAAGCTTCTGCTGAACTTAATCTTGGTGACACATCGAAGATAGGACGGAGTGGGAATTGCAGGGTGGACTAAGTGACACTTGAACACAAGGGATAGAGGCTAGAAATGTCTAGATTGTGGACTGTATGACCGCATGTGAATCGCCGTTTAAGATTGACGCTGTCAGTATTGTGGTACAATGTTGGGATGGTGATAAATATTGCTCAGAGCCACATTCTCGAGGCGTTCTTTCCACCTCCAGCTCTCAGCCTTCCTCCTCAGCCATTCTTTTCTTTCCTATTGGCGCGCAAGTTCGATTCTTACAGTCTCTTCTGTTTTCTTACCCTTCTCTTCATCACATTCCTTTCACATCTTCAACCTTGATTCAACAAGATGCATTTGACCCTTGATCTCTTGCTACTGAGTAGCATAACCACGGTTCTGGCAGCTGATGTATGGACTGTCAACTGTGGTGTCCTGTCAGTTCAGAGATCCGATCCTATCATCAGCCCAGGACGTCCATCAAGCCATGTTCATGCAATTGTGGGCGGCACTGCGTTCTCGAGGAGTATGGCTGGGATCAAAGATGCTGTGAACGCCAAAGCAACAACATGCGACAAGTACACTGATCACAGTAACTACGTAAGCGTTATTTCAAGGTACTTTTGGGTTGAGAATGAAGACTAACGAGCAAGTAGTGGTGTCCCCAACTGTATAACAGGAGGAATGGCATGTTTGAACTTATTCCTTTCACAGGAGCTGTAAGTCCTTCATGTCCCATATACCTGTATAGCTTCAGAGATTGACAGACCACTTGTAGAACATGTATTACAAGAGATATACATGCGATTATCAAGAAGGTGGTATGTGGTGTCCCCGCCTGTCAGGAGCGCGACCATTCCCACCAGGTCTTCGCATGATAGCAGGCAATCCTTTCAGAAGGCAAGAGCGCCATCATTTATATTCAGCGCAACACTAACGCATTAAGAACACAAAATGACTCCGAGCAATCTAACCAAGCAATTCTCTTTGAGACTGAGGGGACTGGCGAAGTCTACGGCTTCCCCAAAACGATCAAAGGACGACTCCAACTGAATGTTCGATTCCCATCATGCTGGGATGGCAAGAACCTCGACAGTCCAGATCACAAGAGCCATGTAAGAGCAGTCCATACCTTCTTCGCATTGCAGTACTGATGAGTCCAGATGTCCTATCCCGATCCAACAAAAGGCGACACCCAGGGCGGAATGTGTCCCTCCACACACCCCATCGCACTCCTCCACGTCGGAGCCGAATTCGGCTTCGACACAGGCTCTCTCGATATCACAGACTCCTCCACCCTCGTCTTCTCCATGGGCGACACGACAGGCTACGGAGGCCATGCCGATTTCATCCAAGGCTGGCAGAATCTAACTGCACTGGGAGAATCATTCGACAACTGTAACGGGTTTGGAGATGCTTGTGCATGGAACTCGTTTGGAACGCCGGATGGAAAGCAGGGTGTAAAGAGTGACTTGAAGCCTCAAGTGCCGGCAGTGTTTGAGGAAGATATCGGTCTGAATGGACCGATTGCAAAATTGCCGGGGAACAATCCCGTTTGGAATGGAGTTACTTCTGCCTTGTCTTCGGTGTTGCCAACTGAAGTCCTGCCGACCACCCTGGTCACAATGACGGCCTCATTGCCCCTGGTTTCGCCAGCTTCTTCAGTGTTGGCGACGGTCTTGTCCATTCCAACTTCAGTTTCTATTGGTTTGCCCGCTAAGCTGGAGACATCTGTTGCTTCAGTCGAGACCTCCCCGGCACAATGCAGTGAAGAAACTGACTAGGACGATTTGAGACATCCATGACGATGTCTTTGTGGGGTAGATATGAAGATATGTAGCTTGCGTCTTTCCGAGGAGGATATGGAACGGTGACGGATTTGTTCTCCGCCAGATGTGACTATTTGACGTGCAGTAGCTAGAATCCAAGCATGAATGTATGATGATGTATCTTACTTTCCGATTTCGACAGATGAAACGTTGTATTACTTGATATGACAAAGATATACTGACAAGGGATGGCAATACCAGTACAATTCTCTATAAGATGAAGTTAAAATTGAGGAGAAGGTGAAGAACTGAGGAGGGATGAAGGCTTCAAGAACGAGATTCGGAATGGTGGAGCACGCAAAATATTAATAGAAGTAGACCATGGCAGGATAACCTGTCAACAACCTCAAAGGTGTGAAGAGTGGCTAGATAGGCATGCAACCGGGACAAGAAGCTTAAAGGAAGAAGAAATGTCTTGCGTGAAAACATGTTGCCAGATTTGACAGTTCGCCAACTTGGGAGACGCAAGGGTGGACGAGAAGCCTACATCACAATCCACTTATATCACCTCCGTCATATATCAAAAGCCAAGAAAGTTATTCAAGGATATTAAAACATGTCTTAAGAGCACTCAATTTCCATTCCATTCATTGATCCGCCTTAACACCTTTCCTACCAATGCAATGATGCATGGTTTAACTCGCTCTTACACGCACGCTAAAGGTTGCGAAGAAAAAACAGCCTCCCTCCTTGCTTACTCTTGCTGAAGAAACGAGCCTGCCATGTGACACGATATGACAGGACAGGACAGTAATTATTAACACAAAGGGACAAATTTTGGTTGTTTGATCGACGAGATCTGGTATCTTGGTGGGTATGGTAGGTATTGGCCTCCGCTCCGTGGAATCGGCAGAGCAGTAAAGTTCAAACAATTACATATGCAAAGTGTTAGTCGCAAATCCAAGTGAGTCGTGACTCGTGCGTCAAGACCGGTGGCGAAAAGGTATATGGACAGGAAACGATCAGTATGTGACAGGCTCCGCTTGTTTGAGCGGTAGGTGATGTTGCAAGGGCGTTGGTTGAGAATTCATTGACCGTAAGCGGCCCAAGTCCGGTGTGCTTCTTGCAGGACTACAAACTGATTAGTAAAACGAAGACGAAGACCATATGGAATACTTACTGCTCAAGATTCTCCCCTGGCCAGCACGGTCCTCACATGCAAGCTGTAGTCCGCCACCCTCAATGAAGTCCAGTACAACACTATTTGGCAGTTCTTGCATCTCCACATCTGGAATGGACGGTGTCCTAAACTCACTCAAGTGGAATCGACGAGTGGCACCTGCATTGGCCTTGTCTCGTCCGTTCCCATGTGCACTCAGCGCAGGCGAAATGATAAGAAATCCTTGCGAATCAAGGAGCATCGATCTTCGTTTCCAGAGTAAACTATCTGGGAACTGGACGTTCACGTCGCCAATATCAACACTACTGGGTGCCATAGAATTGTTGGAGGGGTATGATGAAGTCATCGACTGAGCATCATTATTGTGGAGAGGCTCGGATTCTTCACGAACAGTTGGGGAGATGGCATGTGCAATAGTTTTGCGGCTTGCCGAAATCCCCGACGACATTCGTCGCATCATACGACTTGCTCTGTTTGACTTCTTCTCAGCCTTCTCATCGCCAGTCGATGATGTTGAGCCCGCTGTGGGAGGTGGAGAGAGAGATTGTGCAGGATCTCGGCTAGAGGTTGACGGACGACTGCTGATGGACATCGGTCGCTGGTGTGCTGGAGAAGCATGCACGGAAGGTGGTCGGGATGAAGATCTTCCTGATGGTGATGTTGCAGTTTCTATAGTAACTGATTGCCGACGCTCGGAAAAGGACGATCTTCGGTCGCTGATCAGGTCTTTAATAATGGTTATCGATGACCGCCGTTCTTTCGTCGTTGTCGCCTTGGAGGATGTTGACAAGCGTCTCTCCTTGGAAAGTCGTCGTTCTTGGATTGTCTCTTTTGGTGGTTGCACAACCGCTCTTTGATGATCTATCACCAGTGGTGACTGTTTCAGGTCCAGAGGAGCATATTCCGAGGGATCCTTCCCAAGTTCTGATTTTGAGGGAAATGGCTGTGAGGGGTCCCGTATGATCCGGGCTGTTACAGAGATGGATTCCGGTCGTGACCGAGCAGGTAAGGTGGTTGGAACGCCCCCAGAAGTGAAAACATCTAAGCGACTTCTCACAGATCCAGATCTTTCTCGAGGTTTGAACGTTTCTGGTGACGAATCAGGAGAGTTTGAAGGCGAATTTCTTGTCAACGAGTTCGCTCTCTCCGCAATAGAGGGCGATTTGCCACGCACGCTTGCCTTCCGGACCGAGAAGAAAGCGGGTGATGACCCTGGTGGGGGACCGGTTGTTCCAGTGGCCGTAGCACCAGGCGCCAGGCTTTGTAACTTCTCTAGAGCCTTGATTCTTTGCGAAATTCCGGACCCCAGATTGACCTTCTTAGCCAAAGGCTTGCTTGGCTGTTGGCTGATACGATTGAGATATGCTGCGCCAGCAGACACAGATCTCGATGGTGGCCGATCAGCGGATGGTAGTTCCAGAGTATCAGATTTTTCCTTTCGCAAAGGAGTTGAGAATACGCGTGAAAATCTGCTCGACTCTCCTTGTTTCTTCTTTGGACTTGGGAATACAGGACTAACAGGCGACTTCGAAACAGAGATCGGTTGGGCCTCTTGCACCACAGCTGAAGACAGCTCTTCCATTAGATCATCGTCCGAGGAGAAGTTGACATCGGAGTTCGCGCGACTTCGGCCAACAATCTCGAGATCTGTGCGAATAGGCTCGACAAGGCCTTTTCGCCTCTGCCTCTTAGAGTTCTGGACGTCTTGACTCTCATCACCTGTGGAAAACGTGCTCCCAACAGGCGACTTCTCGGACGCAGTAATTTCCGCATCAAGAACGGGCGCAGGGAGTTCTCGACTTGCCACATCAGTTTCTTCTTCAGGCTCCTGAACATTGAATCGTGAAGTTGGGATCTTCATCTTTCTTGACGGCGAGAGCGGCTCCACGTCTTGAGGAACAGAATCCGCTACTGCGCTTTGATCTTGACCATGTGTCGCCTCCTTGGGAGACGTCACTGGCGAGCTGACTTCGATTCCTGGAGTGCTTAATGCCGGAACAATTGATTCACTGTGCTGTATTGCGGACTCCGGAGTTTCCTGTATTTGCTGAGCTACTGGCGTAGATTGCTCTTCCACTACCTCCTTCTCTTCTACTCTTGGTGCTACCACTTCTGGAGTCTCAGTCCACGCCTGTAAAGGATTATATACGGTAGGCGAAAGCTGTTCAAGCTTTTCTTCTGCAGGTTCCAAGGATGTCGAGATGGTGCTGCTCTTCGCAATTGGCGTGGTATCCTCGCTATCCGAAGTGACTTCTTCCAACTCGGTTTCTACATGCGGCTCTTCTAGAATAGGCTGTTTAAGGCTATTGTGAACGGTCTCGTCAGTCGATTCCGATATTGACGATGCCCTGGTCGATTCGGCCTTCTCCGAAGGTCCGATAGGGGAGACTGGGTAAGAATCTGATCGTGTTGCATCCGATTCGTCTGTCCTTAATGTAGAATTGGCATCAAATGCAATCCCTGAATCATCCGCCTTCGCAAGCATATCCATGGTGTTCAAGGTATCGTCCACATCCTTCGGTGCTCCATTTGACATTGTCTCGTCTGTTCTAATTGGGCTCGCCAAAGACTCTGAGTGTTCCTGAGATACTGGTTCCGTGGGTTTTACGGCTTCCATTTTCTTCTTGTTTCGCAATTGCATCGCTTTCATTAATCGCGCCTTTTCTGGTGTTATTATAGGCTGCCTAGGGCCTGTACTGGAGTTTGGCGATGTCAATGTGGGCGAAGTCAAAGATTCTGAGCCTATATTTGGTCGTCCACCACTGGTGTGGGGCCTTGTTTGTATGTTCTGTGTCGGCGACAGCATTGAATCTGGCACTGGAGGAGAAATTGTCATGGTGGGAGGTTCCGTGGGATGTTCCGACTTGTTTCTGTCTTTGTCTTTCTTAGATCCTTTGGAAAACAGTTTCAGTCCCGCCGGAAGAGTTGAGACTGGACGATAGTATGACGCTGCTCCCGATGTATGTGGTCTTCCTCCGACATCCAGCGATGGTCTTGGCCCTAACTTGACTTTCGGTCGTCCATTCGAGCCGTACGACGACAAGGTGTAAAGATCGGGTCGCATAGACTGTGAAGATTTTCGTCGTTCTGTTGGAGAGTATGGCCTGGTATCGTGCCCTTGCGAATCTTTCACAGGGGAGACATATGACCCAGCTTCAGACACCATAGAGTTAAAGCTCGCGGATGGCGGAAGGCCACTTGGTAGATCTGGTAGCAGACTAGACTCTGGCAAGGGTGCTTGTGTTCCCGAGAGAGATGTTGCTGTTTTGGCGGTGGGGGGTCGTTCTTCTGGTACTGTCGATTGCCTCTTCGCTCGAGTTTCTTCCTCAGCATCTTCCGCTATTTCCATCAAACGCCTCCGCCGCAAAGAGCTTGTAGACGAGGACGTGGATCCCGACGCAGTATGTAACGAGCATGCGGCAGAGAGGGTCGTGTCTCGAAGCTCCTTCGCAGTGGTGATTGGGAATACAGTGTCATGGGGAGAGAATCGTTCTGTGACCGCATTGAAGTGTACAGAAACTCGCGCTGCGGAGATGTTTAATTAGACCAAGGCTTGTTTGTTTCACCCCTAGATAGAAGCTCACCTTGCACCAATCTGGAGCATTCCTCCGGTACGTATTTAATGACCACATTTCTCCTCCTATATCGCAGAAATCCGAATAATGGAGAGGGTTCCTCGAACTGTGCAATCGCATTTCGAATCTCCACTATTCCCCCATTTCCTCGCCCGGCCAATTCGACCTCGTCCCTGGAAGCATATTTGAGGAGAAACCTATAAGTGGCATGTAAGTATCTGGCCGTGCCCCGCGCGCCCGTCGCAGAAATGAAGCTCACCATCCTCCTGGTTCTGCTACCGCCGCATCATGGGACTCTTTGATCTTCAGATCGTCCAACCCATTCAGCGACATTGCCCTGCAATTCTGTTCTACTGTTGGATATCGTGTTGCTGTGGTTCGTTCTCGAGGCCGCTAGTATCTCTGGAATCGCTTTTCAGGGGTAGCTGAGGCCGGAACATTGATACGGCGAAGCAAATCCAGCTCCTCTGCCACCGGCAGAATCTGGACGTGAGATATCCAAAACAAAGGGCTGAACTGTCGTGTCGTAGATGATGTGTAGAGAGACAACCGTATCCTGTCTGGTTGCGATGCTGCAGTGTTCAACGGTGAAGATACTCCGGATCACTTTTGTTTTGTTCCCCTGGAAAAAGGAACCCACTCGTCTCCAGAGTTAGCGCGCCGGAGGACCAGGGGCGGGCTCTAATTACTGCAGGAGGGCTGCTAGCCGATGTGATGGAGACGACGCCTCGTTCCGTTGTTGACACTCACGACAGCCAGCGCAAAGACATTGATTTCAACGGTGGTTTGTATGAAGGCAGAAAGACTTTTGAGGTGAGTTCGCTGATGTTGTGCATAAGAGTCCGTTTGTTTCACGGAATCATGCAACAGCGTGCTCTAGGAACATGGACCACTCGGGCCGGCCTTGTCAGTCGCTTTGACCTCCACCATTCCTTCAAAACGCACAGATCTCACCACCCATATGTCCATTCAAGCCAATAGGAGAGCCATCTTGAGGCTTCTGGACTTCGAATTCATCTCGGACCCTGTTCACTGGCAGCAGTCAGATCATGTGAAGAAGTACCGTTGCAGCTCATGGTTCGGACGATAGATTGTATGTTAGAACATCAAGGATTGAGATCTCAAACCAAGGCGCAATCCGGGGTTTAACATGCTAGTCAGATTGAAGGTTATCTCTACAGCCAAGCCGACAGTTTGCCTGATAAAATGACATTTTGCTGGTTACAATACACAATGGATTAATTTTATTCTGAAGAAAGGCTGGTTCTGGGAGTTTTTAAAGGTGCAAGTCAAATACTGAGCGGTTTATCGACGATCAGGGAACAGTCAATTGATAGTGCTTAGGATTTCTTGACCCTTGCCAAGCTTACAATTCAGAAACTGCCTCTCCCACGGTTTAGTACACGTTCCTTCTGCTCTATGGCAGGTAGTCGTCACAGCTTTATGATGCAGCATATGTAGGTCTAATACCCACGGATCGAGAACAATAAAAAGAAAATATTAATTGGGCGTCAGACGACCTCTAAAATATAGCTTCCAGGACATTAATAAAGCATTGACATTTCACACGGCATCGACCTTTACCGGAAAATCCAAGCACAGTCCTTGACCAGCTTCCAAAACCACGTCATGCTCAATACAGCTCCGCTGGCAAGAAAATGCATCGTATCGAATTACCATCCTCCGAAACTTCCACCTCCCCATCTCGCACGCCTAGCATATTCGTGTGCTGCCTCGCTGTGGTTCACCCATTGTGCTTCAGGATCAAGATGCCGATCGCGTGGTGTGGAGCGAACCTTGACTCCTTCGAAATAGCATTCATTGACGTAGTCGCATTTGAAGTATCCATTTAGGGCATTGCCGTTTTCGATGAAGGTGATAGAGCGTACTGCCAAATCTGCGTTCACTTGGATCTCGCCCTCTCCAGTTTCACTTCCACGCCATCGGTACCGCCATGTTGATTTTCGTGCCGTTGGTTTCTCATCAGAGCCTAAATAGAAAATATCTTCTGAGTAGTCTCCTGAATCATCTTGGGCAGATCGAGGATACATGCGCATTTGTCTGTCGCTGTCCTCGTCGAGATCTTCTCGCTTGCGCTTCTGTGACGACTCTGATTTCATTTCAGACTTTGGAGTTGGCATTGGTCTCTCGAATCTCATGATTCCCTCTATCAAACTGAAATCAAATGCGCCACACAGCTGTCGTCTACCGCTGTGAGTCTCGAGATATATGTCTAATGTCAAAGACTGGCCGCCCCATTGTTCTTCGATGACTGGACAGCTGATATGATATGAACCTCGAACATCCCAAGTTTTGCTGAGGGATTTTCTGGCAGCCGATTCGTTCTTCGTTGGACTCGGGGTATCGTAATCTCGAAATGCACTCTTCCTGGCTGCCTTCTCCATGCCCTCCATGAATCCTTCTGGTCTGGGTGTAAGTCCCATCCGCAACGGGGATCTCATTCTTGCCATAACTTTCTTCGGAGTTGGAGGATTGACTTCTAGCTGAGTTTTGGGGGCTGGAGTAGGCTTGGCCTGCTTCTTCGACTTCGACGAAGACGATTCTCCTGGAGGCTTCGGGATGGACTTAACCTCCTTCTTGGTAGTGGAGCCAGCAAGGGGCTTCTTCTTCTCCGCTGAGAATACTTGTTTCGATCTCCCAGCCTCTCACTCAATGTCTCTCATCTGATTCCAAACAGCGTCTCTCGTGCGTCCAATAACAACCCAACGATCTGGATGAGGTTTCTTTTTTGCAGTCCAAGGGGCATCTACCGATACGGATTCAAGACCCATGGTTTCCGCTGCCTCCGACACCGCGAGACGTTCATCGGCTCCAATTTTAAGCACTACGATATCCAGGTTTGCAGGACGACCAGAACCACCTTTGGGAAATGCCTCAGTTAAGTATTTCTTCGGGTTCGTTTTGGCTTTCTGTTCGACGGATTGACCAGACCATGAGTCTTTCCTGGCAGCAATATTCTTCTTCTTGAACTCCTTGTTCAACTCCGTCTCGATACTTTTGATTTCCGGTAGGATTTTCTTCTTGGCTTCTCGTAATCGAAGTTGGAGATCGGCAGTCGCTCCTGTCTGGTTTAAACCACGGAATGCACATTGTGCTTTCCAGTAGGCTACCGGTTTCTTTTCAAGTTCCTTTGTCGCGGCACCAGCTTTGGGGTTCTTGGGTGGAATCAGCTTCTCTGCATTAGAATCGTAAAGATAGCCGTCCTTGTAAAGACCTTCGCCTGAACAGGTAAATTTGACAGACTTGTACGTATGCTCCAGAGGAGGGATCACAATTGGATGAAGATCTCCCATTGTGATGGGACCCAGTTAATTGGGTGATGGCAACTGATAGGGTATCTGTCAATACAGCAAATTGTCTGTGAAAACCTAGGAAGTAAACAAAAGTTGTGCAGTAGATATCGCCGCCGGTCAAATATCTGTGCTGCGTCCAGGTTTTGTCCCAGCGTTGAAGCAATTGACTGAGGGTGTCGCGAAATAATATGTCTGAGGATGAGGTTAGGAGGACGTGCCAAAGCGATCGCGAGGTCACGAGACTTAATCTGTTGACCAAGTCCTTAGCGCAGAGCAGGGGTGGGCCAAAAAAGTCGTCGAATTCCAAGCTCCAAGGGGACATCTGATTTGGTACAGACCATCAAAACTTGACACTCATCAACTCTTCACGCCTCAACGACACCTTTCACATACTCTTAATACCCTCTAGATAATCCATCACAATGGTCGAATTAGTAGAAGTCGAGGACGAGTCCTTCGAGACCAAGCAAGCTGGACCCTCGGACGAGGACGACTACTACACCGATACTGGTTCGTTCGCCAGAACCTCCTTGTATCGCCTGCCATCTACTAACATACAATACAGATTCCGAGATCTCATCTGACGACGAAGACAACATCGCCGACGAAGAATCATTCGCAGAACGACTCCTTGCCCTTCGAGACATAGTCCCTCCTACAACACGCTCATACATCTCCGGCAAGATCGAGACAACCACAAGTTGGATCAAGTCGGGTCTTCTATTCAGCGGCAAGACCTTGTGGGTTGTGAGCACAAGTGCGCTATTACTGGGTGTGCCGTGGGCATTGGCTTTTGCAGAGGAGCAGCAGATGGTCGAGATGGAGAAGGAGATGAGAATGCGTGAGGCGGGTGAAGGGGTAAGCTGCCTGTCCATATCCGACCGTACTGCAAGATACTGACAACCTGAAAGCTTCTGTCCGGATCAGCTGCCGGTAACTTGAACGCTCAGCTCGGTGCGCAACAATCACAGCCAGCTTTGTAATAATGGGACGGGTCATAATCAACGGGAACTCATGGCCATTTAGGTAGGCATCCATTTCATCTACACTACTTCGCCCCCTGCTATGATGATGAACTTTGAGAGATTCCATTTCGGACGGCCCCGGCCTATGTCGACTTCTCAACTGTTACACATTCCCTGAGCACACTAAAATTGCCACCTCGACTTTCTCTGCATTGCTCTCTGTACGCAAGCTAACAGCAAGCCTCAGACATGAACCGAATGGATGGATAAACGATTGTATTGTATACCAATGTGTGTATTGATGGAAGGACGTAAGGCTGCATATCAGGAGGGTATGATTTCGAGGCTTCAAGCCTATGTTGTAATTATAGATCTCTCCTCACGAACAATGATGTTCTACGAAGGTATTACCAAGTGCAAGGAAATCCACCATGTACTGTCCCAACTCATAACCTCTCTATCCATGGTGACATAAATTGTCTTCCGACTTTGTGCAACACTATCATCCAATCTCCCAAAAGCAAGATCCCGACAGAATTCTCTGGTCACGCACGACCCTGTTTCATCACACCCAGTCCAATCCAATGCGCCCCATTCCGAGGCCTGGCCAAGGCATGCAAGGCTACGACTTCCTTTTTCGCACTTCTAAAATACATGCCCATTCCCATCAACCACAATCTTTCACCTCAAGTCATGGAAATAAGAGCTCCGTAGTTCGATATACTCAAGATGCCGCTATCGTTCTCACGTCGCGTGTCGTTACTGCCCAGGAGTTTTGTGGCCGATTCAACAAGGAGAAGAACGACTACTTAGTATGTGTTCCCTAAGTGTACAGATGATGTCACGAGGCCAAGAATATACCCCTTTCAGGAATAATTTGTTGGAGAGATGAGGCATGCGTTAAATTGAGAGTGAGGCTCTAATGCTGACGCTGATTTCAATAGTCCTCTCGCGAATAGCTCCCGTAAGAAGGATAGACGGTGAGTAAATACAGCCCCTTACTAGCTTTCCCTTACCCGATATGTCAAATCTCCAATCTCAAATATAAACTCGTGATTGATGATTTACAACGACAACATAATAACGATCTATCAGATGGCCTCTCGTTCTTCGTTTCTGGAAGGGTTCTATCCACGGCAGTATGTTTTCCCCACGTCAAGATTCTGATCCAACTCTGACACAAAGATTCAGCCATCCTCTTCCCAGTCTTCGTTCACTCGATCCTTGCCGCTTTCGTTGTCTATGTGAATCAGCATATAAATAGCGATTTCAACTTACCGAGTAGTATCGTAAGTTCTATGATGTGTTTCCTCTCCGATGCTCCTTCGTCCTCCTTTAAACCCGTTCCTCCAACCAGAGAACCAAATTATTTTTTCTTCATCTTTTTCAAGTCCGAACTGCTCGGAAATGCATCCAGAACTTAGGAAAATTCCCAAACTAAAAATCCATCAGATCCCCTCCCTCTCAATAGTAGTCGGTCTCATGCTCGTCTTCCGTAACCAAACAGCCTACTCCCGCTTCTGGGGCGGCCGCTGCCATCTCAACACAGTAACAACATCTATACGCTGTCTCTCACGCCAAATCCTCGTTCTAGTCCCCGCCCCTTCAACATTCGGACTGCAACTCCACTCCGTCGTATCCAACGACTCTCTCCTCCACAGGAACTACCCACCTAGTCACCGAGCATCTAAAGACCCAGCCGTTCCTGACAAGAGCGCTTTCTCAGCATCCAAATCCTCGCTTGGACTCGGAGCCGGGAATGGAAGTACGGGGTCGGATGTGAATGCTGAGGGCTCAGTGACGCTCTCAAGAGCTGATGAGATGAAGACTATTGAGACGGTCAAGATTCTCATTGCGATGTTGTACACGATCAAGAACCATTTGCGTGCGGAATGGGGAGTTGCTCTTAGCCCAGGGACTATGCTTGGGCCTGATGGGCAGGAGAGTACGGGTGATGAATATAAAGATCTGTTACCACCGGGGCTGAAAGGATATGAGCATCGTGGGTTAGGACTGACTCTTGAGCTGGCGACGTTTGTGGAGAAGTTTATCGCAGTTGGTGTTAAGAAGTGAGTCCTCAGGCAGTCTTGTGTCCAGCCCTCGGATTAGACTGAGATACGGATTTTCGATATTGGATCTATGAACAAGGAGTGTTGAATACAATGTTAACGTCTTTCCAGGGAATGGTTCCACAATGCAGCATCAGCCTCCATGCTAACATCACTCAACGCTCTCACATCCGCATACGGAAGCATGGAAGTCATCCGACTCGTTCCAATTCCAGTTGCCCATCTGTAAGTACATCTTCCCTCCTATCAATAACTAAAGGAATATGTCCTAATCCAGATACATCAGAATCCACCACAAACAAACTCTCGCTCTCTTCTGCGGCATCCTCCCCTTCGCAATGGCCTCCGAAATGGACTGGTGGGCCGTCCCACTCGTAGCCTTCGTAGCATTCACCCTGTAAGTCTTCTCTTCTGTCTTTTCTAGCTCCCTCCTTCTCTCCATCCGCCATATCTCCTCCTCCACATATCTCTCCATCCCCAACTCCCAGCCAACAACCCAAAAGCTAACACCTTCTCTCCTCCCCTCACAGCTACGGCATAGAAGGCATAGCCCAAACCTACGAAGACCCCTTCGGCATCGAAAAGATCGACATCAACATGGACGACATCGTCGAGGACGCCCGCAAAGAAGTAGAAGTCATGCTCACAGCCTGGCAAACCCAAGGTCCCTCCTCAACCTCCACCTCCACCAACACAACCAACTACAACGGCTCCATCTTCCGCCCCCGCGTAGGCGGCTTTCTCGATACGCCTCGCTCCGTCGACGAGTCTGAGGATTTGACTATGTCTATGCCTAATTTACCTACTCTGCCTGGTAATGCTCCCAGCGGTTCTGGTATGGGAGCAGGTGCAGGAACCGGAGGAGCAGGAGGATTCTACGCGAACGACACAGCCAACGAATCCCGCTCTCGCAGCCAAGTCCGGTTTCTGGTCAATCCAGCGCAGGGTACGTCTCCAGGTACTGCGACGACGAGAAGGGAAGATAGTGGGTTCAGTGCGTATACGGATGATGAGCCTGTGGAGATTAAGCATAGGGCTTCGTCTAGGCTTTCGAGGGCTGTTAGTCCGGGGTCTAGTACGCCTGAGGGGGAGGGAGAGGGTGAAGCTAGGGAAGGGAGAGGGTGAAGATGGGGAGGGGAGAGGGGAGAGGGAAGAAGGGGTATGGGTTTTTATAAGGGGGTGTGAGGTTGTTTGTTTCTTTTTGTGAAGGTGCAGGTCGAGGGTGGGAGGAGGAATGGTGGCGAGTTCAGGAGTGAGCGACTTGGAGTGAGAGGAGGTACTTGGAAACTTTGCATTTGCATTTGCTTTTTCATTTGCATTTACGTTTGCTTTGATTTGCATGCATGCATAGCATACCATAGCGTGGACAGACGAGCGAGTGGTTGACCGATCCCTTGAAACCGACTGCATTTTGCATTTCAAAACAAGCGAGCGAGCGATCAGTCATCAGCACCAGGATTGGTATTGGAATACTCTTTTTCTATTACTCTCGAACTGTTGTATATCTCTGTTATTAATTCCGGTTTTGGGTTTTGGTTTTCCTGTTGTTTCTAGCACTCCAGCATACATATACATATATACATATACCGACATACCTATATCGAGCCATGGAAAACACGGTTAACTTATGTAATGGAAACTTTTGATACATATCTGACATTGCACGATTTGAAGGCCTGAGCGTGATGTTATGGTAGGAGGTACGCCGATGATTCAAGAAGCAGACTAGAAGAGCAGAGCAGAGCAGATAAGGAACGGTGAGAGTAGGGAGTGGTTTTCGAGATTGTCATTCTCAGAGGCAAAAGTAGATAAGAAAAAGAGCAGTGCGTTATAGGAGCAACTTTGGTAGGTAGTTTCTATTAGTATCACAGCTAAGAAGAGAGGCACAGGGAAAAAAAATTTGTATAACTGCTTTCCATATTCCGACAGACAGGTTTTCCTACGCCTTCTATGATACAAACAAAATAGGTAGTGATTTTGAAGAAGACATAAGTTTTTCCGAAGAGAGGAGAAAGAGGGGTGAGTGAGTGGGTGATGTACAAATGGCAGTAGTGATTCGAGAGCAGCTCCCAACATGATCCCCACGCGCCAGCCATGCCGCGAGCAAGGAAAAATTTGTCCCTTTCCACATAAAACCCCAGCCAGTCATACATCCATGCCGCCCCAAGTCGCTGTAAAGCAAGGTTATACAAAGAAGCTTCCTTCCTTCGTGTCCAATCCCACCACCAACACACACAATCATACATTCCATCCACTCTAGCGACTTACAAGCGGTTGAAGTTGCTTTACTTGATGATCCGCGTAACCAATCCAGTAGCGACAGTTCGTCCACCCTCACGAACATTGAATCTCTGTCCGACCTCCACAGCGACAGGTTGATGGAGCTCGCATCTCATCTCGACATTATCACCAGGCATAACCATCTTCGAGTCCGCATCCCCCGTTCCCTCAGGCCAGAACAGCGCAGCCGCCTCATCCGCCGTCCGCAAGAAGATCTGCGGTCTGTAGTTCTGGTGGAAACCAGTGTGGCGACCACCCTCCTCCTTCGTCAACACATACATGGAAACCAAGAACTCCTTGTGTGGCTTGGTAGTTCCGGGCTGCACGATGACCATTCCACGGCGGACATCCTCGCGCTTGATACCACGGAGGAGAAGACCGGAGTTGTCACCGGCGCGGGACTCCTCGCAGGACTTCTTGAAGGTCTCGATATCGGTGACCTTTGTCTTGATTGGGACGTCTCCCTTGCCAACGAGCTCGACTTCCTGGTCGCGCTTGAGGGTTCCACGCTCGACACGGCCGGATGCGACGGTTCCACGACCAGGGATGGAGAAGACGTCTTCGACGGACATGAGGAAGGGCTTGTCGAGGTCACGCTGGGGAGTTGGGATCCAGGTGTCGACTGCTGCGAGAAGCTCATCGATCTTAGACTCTCCAATCTCAGGTCGGCGGCCATCCAGTGCGCAAAGGGCGGAACCCAGGATGATTGGGGTCTCGTCACCCTCGAAACCGTAGGTGTTGAGAAGCTCGCGCATCTCCATCTCGACGAGCTCCAACATCTCAGGGTCTTCCAAAGCATCGACCTTGTTAACGAAAACAACGATCTTCTGAACACCGACTTGGCGAGCGAGCAAGAGATGCTCTCTGGTCTGCGGCATTTGTCCATCTGATGCTGCTACAACAATAACAGCTCCATCCATGTTGGCAGCTCCTGTAATCATGTTCTTGATGTAATCGGCGTGACCGGGACAGTCGACGTGTGAGTAATGGCGGGCTTCAGTCGAGTACTCGATGTGTGCGGTTGAGATGGTGATACCACGCTTTCGCTCTTCGGGGGCTTTATCGATCGAGCCATAGTCGAGAAAGCTGGCAAGACCCTTCTCGGCTTGACGCTTGGTTATAGCAGCTGTGAGAGTTGTCTGTATGAAATCCAATGGTTAGTTGACGCTATGCAATTTGCCTCCTTTCCTTCGAGTCTGAGATGTCCTACCTTTCCGTGATCAACATGACCAATTGTACCTGCAGATCATTAGACAAGACAACCAGCATAGCCCAACAATGATAGACATACCAATATTAACATGAGGCTTCGTCCGCTCGAAAGCAGTTGCGTATGATCTCGCCGCATTCAACACCGAAGCACCTCCATCTCGACGTCGCAGAGCATGTTGCAGCGGGCTCACGGAATTGCCTTGCTGCAGCGCAGACCGAGCTGTCCGCAGGAAGGGAGTGAGTGTTCGAGAAAACGCCGGCATTATTATGTGTGTTGAGAGAAGGAAAGAGGAGAGGAGATGAGATGCAGAAAGGGGAATGTTTATGGGCCAAAGTCGAGCGAGCTCATAAATTTTAGTCGGCACAACCTCAATCTAACAGGGGTGAACAGCACGTGATCGCGTGTTTTTGAGACTGGCACTCGAGGAGAAGGCTTGTTCCAGGCATCAGCAGAGCTCTCAGTATTAAGCGACGATTCACTGGTTGTTCAGTAACCGCTCATGATAAAGGTTTCTTCGTCATTGCGAGGTTCTTGCTTTACTAAGTTGCCCATCCACAGTGGCTGGAAATGTGCCTGCACCTTTGAGGGCAGACTTCCAGAAGCAATATCGGATCCAGGCTTTTCATATGTTGCAAGAACACTGTTCTTCCAGATCTTTAATCTCATCTACACTTACTTCACTAGGAAATGTCACATTAACTGGTCAGGCTGCACAAGATGAAAGGCATTTACCAAGAACATTACACAACACCGAGAGTATCAATCATCAATTCATCGCTGAAGGTTTGTATTGCCGCTATTATCCTTCGTACAAACAAAGGGAATTAGTTATTTAACTTCGCTGTTATTGCTCGATTTGAGCACCTCCCACCCTTATTACCACCGGAACCCCTATCCTTCCATCGCACCTCGCTGTTAAAGGGGAATTTCCCAAAGAGACTAATTACACAGGGTACTCATAAAATGCAATCGCGTGCCGATGACGTAAGAAAATGTTTCCCCCATGACCAGAACTTTGTACTACTGGTATGCGCGGTAGTGGTATCACAATGCATCAAATCCTCATGAAATAAAGAACGGTCGTTCCAGAGCCTACACTCTCCAGCTGATTAGACGCTTCCAGTCAACACTGGGTTGTTGGAGCCAAGGGTGGTGTTGCCGTTGGCGACCTTCCCATTGGTATAGCCGTTACCGTTGGTTGCGGAGCTGTTGATGCCGTTACCATTAGCAGAAGGATTGAGTGCCTGGTCAACTTGGTTTCCGAAAGAGGTGCCGGAGGTGGTTCCAGCAGCTTGAGCAGATGGATCGTTGAGCTTGTTGGTCATGGAGTCAGTGTTGCCAACGTTTTGAGGTCCACGAACACCACCTGTGGTGACAGAGTGATCCTTGCGAGTGACGCTTGGAGCCTTTGGAATATCGCTGGATGGGGAAGCAGAGCCCAACTTGAAGATGGGTGAATGCCATGTCTCTCCCTTCTGGCCAAGCTCCTTGTACTCTGTAGCCTTGGAAGAGATACCTCCGGGCAACTTGATGTTGGGGAATATGGAGTCGTGTTGAGTCATGGCGACGTTGACCTTCTTGTCGGCGGCGACAGCCTCCGCCTTTTGCTTTCCATGCAAAAGTTGCTTCTGCAGGGCATTGACATAACGTTGGTAGATGTTGGGGGCATTTTCTGGATTCTCCTTGGCCTGTACATCGTTAGGAAATTCTATCAACCACTGGATGGAACTACTAACCTCCTCAATCGCACGATCAGCCTCAAGCTTGACCTTGTATGCCAGAGCATCAAACTCATTGAACTTGTCCTTGATAACCTTCTCCAAAGCCTTCTGGAGAGCTGGGCGCATAACCTTAAGCATCATTGGCTTAACAATAGCGAACAAGACCTTGTGCTTGGATTGCTTCAACTTGATATTGAAGTTCTTGACATCAACATCGACCTTGTCAACCTTGAAGAAGTTCTGACGATCCTTCTTCTCTGCAGTGGACATCTTCATCTTGAAGCTGAGTCCACTTCCGCCAAGGAAGATATCGGCAACACCAGTGTCGGTGATGGATGGGAAACCCTGCTTCTTCTTGATGTGGAAAGACACATCACGGAGATCCATCTGGACACCAGCGATGGAGAGCATGATGCTGTGGGCGCTCTTGTTAGCAACCTTCTTTCGGCCCCATCTGATGTAATTGTCTAGGTAACTGTTAGAGCCTGTATATCTTCATGATTTTGAACGACTTACCATTGGCAATCTCGAGGACATTTGGCATCAAGTTGTCACTCTCAATGACCAAGTTCTCGATAACAGCATCCATAGTAGGGTCAGAGTACTCGATTCTGGGAATAGGCACATAACGAACAGACTCGAAGATACCAGGAATGATGACGTCGGTAAGATCCTTGACCAAATGAGGCTTGAAAGTTGGCTTGCCGTTCTCATCGTTACCTAAGTCATTGAAGAGCTTCTGAATCGACTCGGCGAAACGCTTGTTGACAGGGTCCTTGTCGAATTGATCAGCCAAGAACTTGACCTCATCGACAACACGATCGGTGTGGTTGCGGTAACGATCTCTGAGAAGGAAGTTGCCACGGTCGTAAAGGGCATTCCATTCTTCGGTAGCAGCATCTTCCAAGACGAATCCTTGTTGCTTGAGGCACTTTCGGACATATGCGTTGATGTTCTTGAACCAGGATTTAAGTTCAGGGTCCTTATCGGCATCACGATAGATGTTGTTGATGGACTCGAAGAGGTCATCGGTTGAGGTACCGTTTGTCCATCGTTGGATCAAAAGGAGTAGGTCGGCTTCGGCCTTCTTCAAGGAATCGTCACCGTGAGCACCCTTGACGGTGCCAGTGGCCTGGTTACCGAGAGTAGTGGCGTGACCAGCATAAGTCTCGGCGAGATTGAGAAGAGTCTCGATAGCTTGCATGTAGTCTGGGTGACCTTGGCATTCAACCACGAGCTTCTTTAGGCGCCAGATAGTCTGCTCGCGGCGTTCTTGTGGCATCTTCTTGCTGAGGTAGTTCTTGGTTTGCTCACGAGTCTTGCGACCCTTCTCCTTGGTCTCCTCAGGCACGTTCTCAGACGCACGTTGCTTGAGAGTGGAAGCAGCATTCTGGAGACCAGCACCGGCATCAACTCCAGAGTTGGTACCTTGTTCCTGATCGCGTTGAGCAAGAGCAGCAGTGTCGGCTGGGTCACGCGAGCCATCTGGGTGAGCAGCTTGGCTCGCATCACCAGCAGCGGCCTTTAAATCCTCTTGGTGGAGAGGAGTTTGCTTGCTGTATGTAGACTTGACCTGCTTCTTGATATTGCCAGCAGACATGTCGGGGACATCGTGCCAGGTATTATCATCGGCTGGCTTGTCGATTTGAGCAAGATCGTCCTCGTTAGGATTGATCTTGTTGGCCGCATTCGAAGCTGCGTCACCAGCAATGTCGCGAATGAGAATTGTGGCATCGTTCACTAGGAACTGTTAGGACTCGCAACTTAGTTTTGAACTTCATATACTTACAAAGCTTGCGGAATTGACCATTGGAGATAATCAACGTGCCGAGAGTTCGGAGACCCTCCAATGCCTCGTTTCCATGTTGCTTGGCAGTATCCTTGTCGACTGGAGCACCTGGAAGCTTAGCATTTCCACCGCTGATCTTCTGAGACTCCCAGATGAAATCCTGGAGAACATTGCCCTCGTTCTTGGTGAGAATCATATATTTGGCCTGCTCCACAACATCGCGGAAGTCAGCAACCAAGGCGCGTCCCTCGGAAGATAGCTTCTTAGAAGGGTTGGCCATCGGGCGGGACTTTAGGAAGCTGTTGAGAGCGATATCGATCTGCTCATTCTGTAGGAGGCAAATTAGCATGCGCAATTGAGAATTGGAAATAATTGTAGACTTACGGATGGAACTTTGCCATTTTGGAAGGCTTCGCAGATTGTCAGTTTTTAATTGGCGATTGCGCATTCGAGCAACTTACCGGTAGCAATGCCATACAGCTGGAGCTTTCTGTTGACATCCTCCTCCTTGGCCTTGACATTAGTTGGTCTGTTGACGCCTGTGGACGACATGATTGATGAAAATGCGACTGCTGGGTATCACTGAACTAAAAGAGAAATAGAATGGGAGCGAGTCTGGAGCTGAATTGTGGCTCTCAGACGATGTGTGTGTAGACTCGAAGATCGATTGAACTTCGGTGGATGGGGAATTGATGTTTGGGTGGATGCGATGGATGGGAGTTGGGTATCTTGATATGTGTGTTTGGTAGGAAGGAAGAAAAGAGGGAGCTGCGCGGGGAGGCAGAGGTCTTTGTGTTTTGCTTGCTGGGTGAGTAGAGTACGAGTAGTGCTTTCCCTTCCCAGGTTGGTCGAGCAGTACTACTTTACTGTCTTGGTTGGCAAGACAGAGGAGGGAGCCAGGAGCCAGGAGCCAGGAGCCAGGGTGGCTTCAAGCTTGTGAGATCACTGAAATGAGACGAGATCAGCCCCTTTCCGGGCGTGGCGTTACTGTGACAGAGACAGAGACAGAGACAGAGACAGAGACACACTGTTTTCCTGCTTGCTGCTCCCTTTGTGGTTACTGGTGTTTGCATGCCAGGGATTGTTTGGGTAGCGTAGCGTAGCGTGTTGTCTTTCGTTTGGTAATTTACTTGTAAATGTAGCTTAGCTTAGCCTGACGCGAATATGTGTCGACGTCATAACGTAGCTAGCCAGCTAACTGGAGCGAGCGAGCGAGAGGAGTTTTGCATTTGATCTCCATCTCCATCTCCATCTCCATCTCCATACACCCCCGGTCTCCCTCTCTCCCACCTTGCTGCAGACTTCTCATTCGTTCTCAAAGACGCCACTTCATTCAATTCGTGCTCCCCAAGCTCCCAAGCTCCCAAGCTCCTCCAACTGTGGCTCTGTCTCCATAGCCAAGTGAAAATCTCCCCAGTGCCGGTTTTCATGCTTGACCCTGGCGTGCTTCCGCTGCCGCCCTTCCAGGCTTAGCGACAAGGGCAGCCAGGAGCTATTACATCTGGATATTGGATCATCCGCGTCACGGGAGCCTACAGGGGACATGCACGTCACGATTCAGGGGCAACGGGCGCAAGCTTCCTCTCTACTGTAGGTTGTCTTCATCAACTACCTTCGAATTTTCGCTCTGGCGCGATGGTGGAAGAAAGGTGTGGTGGTTGTGTCGTTGCTGAGCTTTTCATGGCATTCGGGATTCCCATGAAAGTTCGAGCTCTGACGTACGGTTTGTGTATCCCTGTGTTGATCCGTGCATGTGAGACACCCTCATCCACTCCTCTGTGCTCCCAGCAACCGCCGTCATTATTATGAACATCAGAAGTTGTCTGCCGGGTACAAACATACCACACCTCGCACACATCACCTATCTGTTGAACCTGGGCTTGTGGTACTTTACTTATCAGCCAGGCAGGCATATCTGCGCGTTTCAGCTCATCACCATCAACCACACGACGCCCATTCATCTATCTCCAACCAAGAAACAGGTGACATTTATGACAGCGGCAGACAATCTTTCTCTGCCCTGCAGTTTTCCATCTCCCTTCCCCTATCTCGAGCAAATCCAATCTCGATCGATGATGATGACTTCATGAAGCTCTGCACGATCTCTGCAGCCTCGGGAATCGTGACCCGCGACCAAACCCAGCAACCAAGGAATCTAGCGTAGAGTCTAGACTCTCTCCCCTCCAATAATAATGGTGGTATTATTTGAGTTGTTGACGAGGCGGCGCATTTAGCTGCGTCGCATACGCCACCTGTTCCTGAGTGGTTTGTGGGGAAGCGAGAACACTTGTGGCGGTGCCGAAATGAAAGGGGTGGAAAGAGATGACCGCCCGGGTAGGGAAATTTTCTCTCTCTTCCTTCCGATGAAAATCTCCCGGTTTAAGCATTTGTTGATGATGTCATGTGCATCGAATTTTGAGGAAAGGGAATGAGAGGTTCGAAGCTTGTCCTGCCAAAGACAAACTGGAAGCTATTGACAGTGGCTAATGGTGTCTCAGGTTCGTTAGTACCAGAGCAGCAGGCAGAGATACTGTACAGTTCTCTACAGTCTTTACAGTCGCTCCAAGAGAGGCCATTTGAAACATCCAGAATATTTCACTGATGTCTTTGATCAGCATTTTATGTTCTGCTATTCATGATGGAGATGTTTAATTCTGTTACTGCCCTTTCTTCACCACTGAGGGACGACGAACCCCCCTTCCCGTGTCCGAGAGACAACGCTGTATCAGACCAGACTCCATGGTTTTCGCCATCTATTCGGCTTATGATGGGAATATATGCCACTTGCAATGGCAATCAACTTTATTATCTTCAGAATGATAAGTCCTCAGAGAAGTGACACTGTGGAATCATGCTGGTTTATCGAGGTACATATCAACACGGCATTTCTTACACTATATCCTTCTTCTGCAATGTCGTTGCATTCGAACTACTCAACTCATCACATTATTCCCATCTCGATCTCGAAAACAAGGCATTTCTCTTGAGGTCTATCATAGCTACGTTTCGCAATCATCACACAACTCATCCTCTTCATTAAAAGCATCACGCCTCATCAAATACAGACAAAGCAAAATCTCCTTCCATTTCCACGCATGCTCTCCACCCAACTCTTCTTCCTCTTTTTCTTACATACCAAGTAAGTAACCCACAACCCATATACCATATCCCATCCTCCTCTCCTACCTTCAAACCCACAATCCCCCCACCCCCGAATCATCTCCCTCCACCCCATCCTCAAAACTCCTTCCTCAGGTATAGTCCCCTACTTCCCCTCCCCCTCCCGCTCCCCCTTCCCCTCCAACTCCCTCCTCCTCCTCTCCTCCTTCAGCACCTCCAACCTCCTCAACTCCCTCCTCACCCCCTCCTCCAACCTCTTCCTCAACTCCGGTCTATACCCCAACTTAAAAAGCACCTCCATCCACACAAACAGCGGCGCCAAAAACAGCGCCTGCACAAGATTATCCAGCAGGGCGGGCGCCCTCCCCTCATACTTCCCATGTCCCACAAACTGCGCAATCCAGCTCACAGCATGGACGAGAGCGCTGACCTTGGTGGCCTTGCTCCCGAATTTTGCAGTCGCTTTGTTGGCTAGGGCTGCGCCGCCGAGGATGAGTGGCGTGGCGGCTAGACCGGCGTAGGGCTCCAGGGTTATGTAGAGGCTGGAGTATGTTATTGCTGCGAGGGTGGCGAGGTTGAGGGGGAGGGAGCGGAGGGAGAGGAATTTGGGGGTTTGGGGAAGGGAGGGCGTGTTGGATCCCTATGTCGGCGTGGGTTAGTTGTGTGGATTAAGAGGGAGGAGGAGGGCATGATGTTATGAGGGGGTGGTTATGAGAGGAAAGGAAGGACGTACGAATTGGAAGCCTGTTAGGAGGAGGATAGGTACGCAGACCATGTGGATTCCTACGTTCACGGGATCATGGTGGTATGCTCCGTACTATCAAGCAGCAGTCAGTAAGTCATCAACTCGCCTCGAACCCAAAAAGCAATCTCATCCTCAACCCCAGAGTCATTCGGAACCCCACTATACCATGACAGCCTCAAATCCACCCCTCAATCCATAGTTCACCCCGCATCTCCAGACTCTCCAGACTCTCCAGACTCCAAATTATCCACACTTGATTCAGAAGGACAGTGCCGTATCTGACAAGTAGCAAAGAGGAAGAACGCGTGAAGAGACGAGACAGGGAGAAGGAAAAAAAAAAAAAAAGCGAGTAAACTTACGAAAAGCAACTGCTTCTCCAAATCAAAGCCCTTCATCTTGTCTGTCTGACTGATACCGGTGTCTCAATCCTTCAATCCGAACCAGTTTTAGTTGTGGCGGCGAATCAATTCCGACTCTTCAATTCAGAAAGATCCTTCAATTCCGACTTCTCAATCAGAATACTTTAACCGCACGAATACTGCGCCGCTCTCTGCTGTCCTGTTCACTACACCACGCATCAGCTGATCAGTCCCCCAATCCCTCAACTCCTCAATCTTAAACACCCACCAACAAAAGCACCCAACTCAATCACTCACGAATAAATACAACCGACCTCTCCAATGCAGCCGCCCAAAAAGCCCACAGATTCACTTCCTAGCAACGTAGAGCAATAGTAAATTTCACTCGACGCTATGCATGCGACTTACTCTCATCAATTTAAAAGCAAAAGCAAAAGCCAAAACAGAAGAGAGCAGAACAAACAAATAGACAGACAGACGTTCAAATAACCCACCCTTCCAACACCAACACCCACACCCATACAGTCAGACGGAACATCCCACACAACCTCGGTCCGTCTCCATGCCAATCCCCATCTCATCTCATTCGTCCATCTCCTCTCCACTCCCAAAATAAATACCTACCCCGACGTCCGATCTCACATGTTGCAGGCTTGCAGCCAAGAAACTGGAGATTTATCCATGTTGAGAAGGTTATGTCCGGAAAAAAGAGGGTCGCGGTGACTGGATTCGGAGGCGAGGGCGGGGTTGGATGAACAGGCGAGAATGGGGTCACCGCATTATTGAGTGGAGAAAATTGCATACATTATTCCTCAAGGTATGCATGAATTTAATGCATGTGGGGTGAGGTATAGGCTCTGGGAACGGCAAACGAGGCTGAGAAAGGGTCTGATTTAGATCCGAGGTTGCTACGAAATGTCCTAGGGTTGGCTCTAGCCGGATTAAATGCCGTGCAAAGAGATGATGAAGTTCGACTGATGGCTCTACGACTGACGAGAATCTATTATTCTTGTCCATTGGCTTGCAGAAACCTGGTGTCCCTTCTGTTATACCAATGCATACCAGCCGATATCGTGATATCGTTCATCATTTCCAGCCATACCCAAATGTCGATACCACTAAATCTCTGGTTCCAGCCTGAGAAGAGGACTCAGCTGGTATCGCAATTCCGCCAATTTCTGGTTTCGTGCTGAGGGTAGATCAGTAATTGTTGTTTTGACTCGTTCCAACGGTGTTTGCGGGGGCGAGAAACTTACGAAAGAGGCTCCCTCCGTCTTCACTATTGAAGGCTGGAATGAGAAAGAAACGGGTATTCCAACAGCACTTTCCAACTCCAGTAACAAGCGGCCAGTCTATCTCAAAGTATAGCCAAATCCTGTGTCCGAGATCCCAAATGAGATGTTAAATGTAATCGTTTCTGACTATATCACTTCCAGCCACCACGAGCTTGCGCCTTAAGTTCTCTGGCAGTTTCAAGCTGGACTTTGAAGTCGTGATAGAGATTCTTGATGGTCTTGTCCGCTTCCCATGAGTCAACGACGGCGTTTGCGAGCCTATGATAAAGTGTGGTTAGTATCCTATATTTATAGGATTCAGAGATGCATTTTCTTACTTCATACGCTTGTTTGTGGTCAACTTCTCGCGAGCTGCCAACTTGGATGGTCTCAAGTAACCTTGTTCCTCCAGATTGCCCACCACCCAGTCGTTGAGGTGCCAGCGCCAATGGATCAAAGTATGTGCCTGTTCGGCATTCTGCTTGCAGACACTAAAAAGCTCGAGTTAGCCAGAGCTTTTAAGTATGTATCTGGCCCTTTCCTAAACATACCTTCCTGACATCCAAATTTTGTCCGTGCTAGGCAACGGTTGGCCTTTACTGTTGACAGAAGCTTTGTCCGAGTCGTTACTATCATCGTCTTCTTCATCTGAATCATCACTCTCGCTGTCGATCTCTTCCAAAGTTGCCTTATGATAAGCCTTGCCGGTGAATTGGATAGCGAATGACGGATGGTGGTTGCGGTGGTTACATGGCTCGCATTTGCTTTCACCTAGAGCATCAATGCCCTCCCCAGGGGCGAGCTTGGTTATGAGGATCGTTGGTCTTGCGTAAACAGCTCTATTAAACTCAGCAGTCCATTGTGTAGAGACGAATTTGCTGTCGGCAAAGCCGAGATATTCATTATCACTGAGAGTAAACATTAGCATCTTCAGTCTTCGGTCTTTAGGCTAGGTAAAGGCAATTTCTTACAGCTTCTGAAAGGCCTGAACATAAACAGGATCATTCCAAGTAAACCCTGGGTTCAGCTTGTTCTGAACCATCCATTCGACCACGTCCCTAAAGTGCTCTTTGAGAGGCTTGTGAGCAGCTTGTGTGAATTCCAAAGGCATCAACTGAGCATAATCGGGAACCCCAAGAGGCCCGTCATTGTCTTCAATTACAAAATCCGATTCCCCTGCCTCCTCATCACTACTGTCCCCCCTCTGGCGTCTTACTTTGACCTTAGATTTGGAAAATTTCTTCAGTTGCTCGGGACTTTGCTCTTCGTCGTCGAACTCATCTAGCTTTTGGAAGTCATCTTCATCATCGTCGTCATCGGATTCTGATGCAGTAAGTTCCTCGATGTTCTCACCAGCTCTTCTGCGTTTCAGTAATTCCATAGTCTTCTCTTTAGCCGTCCGGTGTCGACGAGTCTTTGCTTGCCTAGTCCGCATTGGGGTCTCAGGAGGCTGACTTGGAGACTTTGCTCGTTCTTTGCCTTTGCGTCTAGATAATGTAGTGATTGTTGGCAAATCATCGCTGTTGCTATCTAATCTCGTAATAGGACGACGTCGCTTCATTGGCGAAGCAAGAATAGCTTCAGAATCATCTGACACGATTTCTCTATTTCGCTTCAAAGGAGATACAACAGGCTCATCGTCCTCCTCCTCGTCGTCCTCTTGTACAGCCATCTTCTGTTGGCGTCGCTTGGCAGGAGAGGATCTGACATCTTCATCCGAATCCGACGTCTCGGAAGGCTTATGAAGCGGTCTTTGCGATCTCTTAGGTGAGGATATGATAGGATCGTCGTCGACTTCACTGTCAATATCGACAAAAGCTGATTTACCGTTTTTCGGTCTCGCCGTGGCTTTTGACTTTGGAAAGTCCTTCTCCTTTGCCTTATTAAGCATCGGGAGCTGGATTTCATCTTCAGACAACTCAACAGGCTTTGATCGTCTGGCACGTCTCGGCCCACTATTCGTTAACGGCATTGTTCTCGTGGCTGTCTGGGAAGTTTCTTTGTTGTTACTCCTACCGCGCGACCGTGTAGGCTTGAGCTGGTAGACTTCCGGCTCGCTGTCGCTATCCAACGTGATAACCTCGGGTTCCTTCCTCTGTCCGCGAGATCGGCCTATATTCTTCGATGGCGTCGAATGTGGCTTTTCGACCAAGGATCCATCGGATGACTCTGCCTCATCCAGACCGGTGATAGGCTTCCTCTTCTCTGAGGACAAGAATCCGGAGCTTCGCCGAACGCTCCGAGGTTGAATATCTTCTTCGCTATCGGAGTCATTCTGCAGAGTGTCTATTTGTTATGGTCAGCATGTAATTAGACACAAAAAAAAGAACTATAATCAAAAACGTAATGTAGCTTGCACTCTGTAAAAAAAAAATAAGCGTACCCACGGAATTGTCTCTTCCAACTTGAGAAGACTTCGCAGGCGTAGGTAAGGTCTTGAATAGCGTTTTCGCAATATTTTTCTTCTTTCCACTCCCCGCCATCACCTTCAGACTCTCCTTGTGTTTCGCTGCAGATCCCGCAGTTTGGCTCTCGCTATCCGCTTCTTCGTATGTAGCTTGTTGCAAGCTCGACGTTGGCGTACTTCTCTTCCCAACTGGTTCGTAACGTACGTGGGCGGGCGACATTGTTTGTACCGGAGAACTACTCACTGGTTCGAAAGTGAGCCGCGTTTGCTTCTTGCGTCGGGCTTTGCGTTCGATGTTAGAAGGCATCGTGATCTAAGAGAACTCTATTGTCGCATGATAGCAGAGGTGAACGTCTTTCCAGCTTCAGGGTGGCGCGAGTTGAGGATTGGAGGATTGGAGGATTGGAGGAGAAGGTATGGTGGGGTAAATCTTAGATTTGCTCCTGGTCGCAGATCGTATTAATGCCAAAGATATAGGAAACGAGCATACAGAGATGCGTATTCATCAATATCTATTTTGATGACGTGCGACAATGCGTGACGACGCTGCGAAATATTGTGGTGAAGAGAAAGGACGGAGAGGCGCGAGATGGGTGACGGGAGCTCGCGAGACGGGAAATTGGCAAACACGGGCTCACGTGCGGCTGTCGAACGACGTACCTACTTAGCTCACAGATTGATTAAAAGCGCCAATGTAGCTTTAAGGATTTGAATGATGGGCTACAGTGAAATACAGATTGATGAGTACAAGATTCATTTAAATTGATCTTTCTTTGTCCGTTCATTGTGCAGTCGACCCTATGGAAACATTTCCTCGTCCGGCTATTCGATGGCATCTATCACTTAGACGACAGGTCAGAGAGGTATGATTTAGTGTATTCATCTTCCAACTTGAGACGAGTATGGTTTTCTGAGCTGTAAAGACCGTCTGTACAAAATATCTCCCCCTAAAAATCGGACATGTTACTTTTCGTATCCTGCTTTCCCACCATGATGTACAATACAGTACTAATTGAGCACGTCTGTTCCCCAGTTCTTAGGATCTCGAACCACAACGCCTCGGCATGATCATATCAAGATCAAGGGGCTGATCCTGACCCCAAGACTTCATCTTGCTGAAGATGTTTTGAACCTTCTTCATCGCAGTCATGCGTTCAATCTCCATTGCTGCTTCAACACTCTGTGCGGCCATAATGTCCCCCTGGTAGGGATGGAATGGATATTCTTCAGCATCACATTTGGTCCATTTTCCATCGACAAGCTCACGACCTTTCCCTCCTTTAACAGGATGAGGTGGGACTTTTCCTTCCTTCAGATAAGCTCTGATTTTACCGATACTACACTTCGAGACAGCGGCAATGCTGCAGTGTCCCATAGAGTGTTGCTCGATGAGACCTGCATCAACGAATTTGCGAGCCATCTTGACCCCTGCGGCTAGAGGTGTGACAGGATCGGCGGTGTTACTAACGAAAAGAAGGGGGAATGATGTTTTGATAGGATCGGCCTTGTGTGAAGGATGGTCGTCCCATCGCATGGGCGGATCAACGGCTTTGACGGGGTAGGCATCACAGGAGATCATAATAGTCATCCAAACATCAGCCCAGGACGATTCATTTGCCATTCTCTCAAAGGTCTCTTGGAGTTCTGGGAGAGAATCATTGAACTGGTTCTGGTTAATATCTCGGGGCTCTCAGTATGTGATAGAATGCTTACTGGATATCTCTTGTCGCTACACATGATAGCGATTTGGGCCTCATCAGGAAAAAGCTCCGCTGGCAGATTTGCAGCACAGAATGGCTCTGGCTCAGGCAAGGCAATGATCTGTCCTAGGAACTCATCGTCGCCGTGAGACAACATGTCAAATATCCAAGCAACGGCCGAGAACCCCACATTTGGATTATATAATACCGAAAATAAGATCATTCTGACATGACTCTCGGTGATGATGACTGGCTGCTTGGAGATCGGATGGATCAGCGTAATCGGATACTCCCTGATTCTCTTTATCACGGACTGGAACCTGTCCTCGATATCCGAGACTTTGTCGCCAGACCTGTATAATGCACACTCTCCTTTTGCTTTGTGGCAGTAGTAGGAAAACGACGTCGAAATCTTGTCGGCATCTTGAATGCTTCCCCGCCAAACAGGCGAGACATAATGATCAGCATCTACCACGCCATCTATAAGGAGTTAGCAAAGTATCACAGAAAATCGTTCCGGGAATCGTACCCAGAATGACACGACCAACTCGGTCCGGGAACATAGCTGCAAAGGTAGCTCCCAGAAGTGTCTGTAGCAGCCAGTTAGTACTGGGGATCTGAGGTCATGCAGGAAAGGCAACTAACTCCATAAGAAAAGCCCCAATAGACCAATTTTCCATTCGTGTCCAAGTTGGCCGTTGACTGATCGATATGTTCATCCTCGTGGGTTTTTAGTTCGTTGACATTCAGATCGTTGGAATCTCCGATGCGAGCTCTCCACTCGTCCCAAGCATCCACTATGCTCAACATGTCATGTGCTACACTTGGAGTATGAACATATTTAAGTATGCTGTTGTTTCCATACACAGCATCTTTCTCTCCGCAAAGTTTCGCTATTGTCCTTGCTCTAGTGTCAAGCTTCTGTAGAGTATCTGCGCTCGAGTTAACGTTTCCAATATCTCTTCCTGCAGTTTGCCACACAGTTCTATGGAAATTTCCTCGAATGTAATCTTCGCTACTGGCTTCGGATGGATCGTTGTTTGATCCATCCAATGGATAAGCGAAGCAATCAGCTCGAGGAGTGGTTGCACCAATTCCACGCGGATCGAAGCCAATGATGTCTTGGTCCTCTCCAACAATCTTCTGTAGCATTGTGCCCGCCATTAAGGCAAATTGGGCACCAGAACCACCAGGTCCACCTGGATTTAGAAGCAATGGGGAAGTGGATGCTTGTTGTGCTCCTTGGTGCTTTCCTGGGACCAAGACCAAAGCAATATGGACCTTGGGGTTGTCTGCTGAAGCATTCAATGGACGATTGTAATCCATAGGCACCGTGAGTCTTGCACAGCGCATATCATCATAAAAACACGGCACCCACTCGAGCCTCTCGCTGGGTGTAATCTGATTGGAATCAGCATCAAAGTCTCAATTCATGGATTGGATAACGAACCGTATCGAAGCTCAAGTGTCTTTCCTGGGTTCCCTTTACTATAGCACTGCCGTACCATTTGAACGGACTTGGGATGAGATTATATGATGCCCACATAGACACGACGAGAAGCAAGTATACCACATTTCTAAAGCCTTGCCATCTGATCGATCTGATATGAGCCTTGCAGTGAATGTGATTTTGAATGTGCTGGCTGGAAAGGTCATCCTCTCCATCAACAAAGCCAGCCTTCTCGTTAGAGGACACAATCTCGTATTTTTGTGAGTCCATGATGAGTTGTCCAGGCATGAATTGGCCTATGTGCTGGACTTTTATTGTTGTCCTAAGTTTCGGCTTGCTCCTCGGTTTGCTTTGAAGACGAGGGTCAAAACGAACGATTTCAGATCATATATGGTTCTAGCAAATAAAGATATAGCGATGTCAAGCCAACAGCTCAAGTGCAGCCTAAAGTAAAGTCGGGTCATATCTCTGGCCGACATGCGCCTACTCGTAAACGTCTCGATGCAGCGCTTTGATCAGCGGAGCTGCCTCAAAATTCCCCGCCTCTATAGCTGTGCAGTCCAATTGGGCACAGTATTTGGCGGCCTTACTAAGCGACTTCCCTCACCAAATTGCCCGAAATGGTTGAAGTTGACTTCAATACATGCTGAAGATTGAAGACGTTCTTGGGTTAACGATAGCTCATCTGCCTTCGACCATCTCTTCAAAGGTGAGCCTCACAAGGTAAGCCCCAGCTGCGATCTCGTAGGTACACCCGCATCTCAATATCAGCTGGCAGACCCTCCATTGCCGATCGACAACGCCGAGGAAGATTTGGGGTCCGGGGGCTTCAATCAAGACAAGGATATCGAAGCAACGCCTCCGCGGGGTGACCTCCTGTCCTCGCGTCATTATTCGAATCACTATTCCCCAGCTCTGGAGAGCTCGCTGTCCTTATCACCACGAGGCGTCTCCTGTCAATTTGCTACATACACAATCATCACTAATCTCACAGGTCGAAATGGCAGAACTCCAATCCTCACTGACACGATACGCGAAGAAACCTCTCTTTCAACGATTACAGTACTTCCTCCGAATTCATGCCTTCAGGACTTTTACCAGAATATATTTTCGGGTGATCAACTTGCCTGTCATCCGCGATAATTCAATCCTACCTACCTTCACGAAAGTATATCCTTGCCGACCAACCCTCACAAATCGCGTCTTTATACCAAAATCATACAAGCCCGACGATGCCCTTCTACCTCTCTACCTCGATATCCACGGTGGCGGTTTTGCTCTGATGGACCCCTGGAGCGACGACAAGTTCTGTTCCGAGTTTGCCAACAAGAACAAAGTCTTGGTTGTTTCTTTAGATTATCCAAAATCGCCAGCACATCCATACCCCGCCGGTGTGCAAGCCGCGACGGATATTGTAAAAGCAATACTGGAAGATGATGCACTGCCCTTCGACAGACAGAAAGTTGCGATTGGAGGGTTCAGTGCAGGAGCGAACTTCTCACTTGCTGTCAGTCAAGACGAAGGGCTCCAGAAAAAGCTCGGAGGTGTGGTGGCATATTACCCTCCAGTCAATTGGACTACTACACTTGAGCAGAAACTCGCAACAAGGCCAAAAGATGCACCACCAGATGTCCTACTTAGCATGGGACCTGCGTTCGATTGGGCCTACCTTTCCCCAGGAACGAATCTGGCAGACCCCCAGCTCAGTGTTGCATTTGCTCCCCGAGATAAATTGCCCCCGAAGGTGTACATCATTGGATGCGAACTAGATATGCTTTGTGGGGATTCTGAAGTCATGGCCCAGAAATTGGCGAAAATTGGCACTGGTCAGAGAGTTGGCACAGAAAACGTCTGGGTTCAGAATGGGGTGAAATGGGAGAAAGTCTTGGGAGAAGAACATGGCATGTGGAGATCTGGGGTATGGGGATTTTTGCTAACATGATCCTAGGCTTTGATGCTACCCCAGCTACTGGCGCGAAAAAAATTAGGGTTATGAAGCGGAGAGAGAAGATGCATAATGATGTGGCTGAGTGGCTGTTTAAAGAGGTGTATAGTTGATCCTATTTGATTTGTCGTACAGATCGTCATGGACGTGGTAGGCTGACGAGCCTCCGCTGAACACGAGCTTTACTTTGGATATTGTCCTTCAAAGCTTTTCGAATACGGCAGTTTTGATGTAGTCAGGGTGCTAGTCAAGCACGATAAGCTGGGAGTTGTTGTCATTGGATTGGAGGATATGCGGCCTTGAGTTGTGTCTTTTTCTCCTAGCGTTCTTTTTATCCCGTCTCAACTTGCGTACCAACAGTGTTTGAGGCGGTACTGGTTGTCGTTGCTATTTTAATATTCTACAACATTGCCCCTGTTTGAGTCATTCTTCCTGTTCTTGAATCAAACCTCGCATGTTCCTTATCAACCTTTTCATCGAATCCAGATTACTTTCCTCAGGTTACCTTTCGTGGTCCATAAACCTGTTTGCCCCAGATTTTATACTCCATCTGAAATCAATTGCTATTCTCAAAGTCAGTATGTATGTTTATATTTAGCTTCCTTTTGACTGTTGACTTCGTGAAGAGAAAGTATCTTGATGGCAAGCTTCAAGAATCCCAATACAAATTTCATTCAGTAAAGACAGGCTTGAAAGTCTGACTAGTTGGGAGTTGAAACATGAAGGGAAATGTTTCTAGCCACGACATTCCGTGGAGGTACACATTTGCGCGACGATATCTGAAGCCCCACCACGTGATGGTGCATGGCGTCTGTCTTAAACTGTTGCCAAGTGGTTTTGACTGCTGCTGAAGCATTTCCAAGAGAGGTCAACTCGATCTCAAGCAATTTCTCCAGAATTTCCCCAGCTTTCATACCCCAAAGTCCCAGCGATACATCTGAGCAAATACTAAGGCATCCAAGAAGAAGTTGAGATCGCCGAGATATGAATTGCGATCTTCACGACCTCTGAGTGGTCGTTTCGAAGTACGAAGTCGTGGCCAGGTCTTGGGACCTGTTGGCAAAACCCTCCGTATCGCAAGGACTTTTCAGTGCTCGACACTCCGAATCGCACCCCATTTTGCGAGTGATATCTAAATATGGAGCACTCGTCACGACGGGATTCGTTGACTGGTCAATTAATCGAGTGTTTTCACCACTGGGGGGCTTTGTCGAGGAAGTTCGAGGCGACGCTGAGACCCCTTCAAGGAGTTCTCGCCAATAGCGGATTGCCAATATTCTTGGCTGTTACAGAGCCGCTTTTTCTGCACCATGCAAAACATTGCGCGACCTCGGTTCAGCAGCCAAGTCTATCATCAAAGGCTTAAAAATCAGTGCTGAGACTTATGATCCACCTTTGTGTCTTCGTCCTCTCTCTCGTTCGTGTCACTTGGCGTTTCCCAAACATTGGCATTCTGGTCCTTCTCCGACAGTCTAAGCTGTATCTGAAGTCACCTTAACCTTATCACAGACAAGTTTAAGGCCAAGATATTTCCTATCGTGGCAGTCCTGGGCAAATTGCTGGGGGTGGGTCCGGCCGTGCAGAGAACGGGGATTTTGGATTCGGGCCTAGTGCCCGGCCGAGCCCTCTCCATACTTCTTATAAGAGTTCTTCCATGCCATCTCAAGCATTTTGATCTGCAGCTGCGCTCAATTCTTTTCATTTCATACCCAGTTATTATCAGAAGCTTGACGCTCTCTATCATACTATCCTTTCATAATCCTTTAATCTCGTCCTCCATCCAGGCGTTAGTTCAACATCAACAAACAACACCCGCAATCATGCATTCAAACTACCTTCTCGCCGTTGCTTTCTTCTCGGCACACCTCCATGCCCTTCCTCTTAACATCAACCTTGGAGCCTATTCGCCTGCCTTGGTAGTCGGTGATGGAGAGATCTCATTCGGCGGTAAGCAAGATGTATCAAATTTGATGAACGCTCTCGAAGGTGCCGCTGTTGCAGGAGGAGCCGCCGCCGCCGCTCAACCGGCCGCCGCTCCTGCTCAAGCAGCACCAGCAGCGGCTGCCGTCGTCCAACCCGCCGATGCCTCGACGATCCAGTCCGTTCCTCTCGATCAATCCGCCCAGGTCACTTCCCTCCAGGGCATGGGCAAGGAGATCGCTCCTCGTGTCGTTCAACTCCACCAAGCCGCTGCGAAAAGAGACCTCCAAGGATTCAACGCCGCGTTGAACTACGCAACAGGTGCCCTAAAAACTAGTCCTGAGGTTCAACTCGGTACTGGTGAGGGTGGATCAGGCGTTGGTATTATCCAGAAGGCTGGTGGAACCCCTTCGGCTACCACACCTCGACCTGCTAGACGCAATGTGGTGGATAGAGATTTGTTCTCGCCCAAGATGAAGACTACTGTCACGACTATGTTTGTTCGCGGAGGCTCTTTGCCAGCATCAGGTATTTCTTGACAAGATCCCATACTCAGCGTTTCACTAACAGCAATACAGCACGCAGTGAAGACTCCTCCATTGAGAAGCGCGAGCCAAATGTAGCAGCCGAGAAGCGAGCGCCATCGCCATCAGCCATCGACGGTGTCAACCTAAACATGGCTGAAGGTCAAGTGGCAGAATTGACTTTTGTTGAGACACGGGAAGTGGACGAAGACGATGAGGAATGAGATAGTGAAAGCAATGATGTGACGAGGATGAGATAGGAAGACCAGGACATACTATTCACTAAAAGGAGACCTTTGGGGGATATTCACATCATATTTTGTAACGACTACTATCGTGCGGTACTATAACCTTCTGAGCATGCATTTTATCTTTGCCCCTTTCCTTTTTTTCAATTGTGTATTTCAGGCGTTTTCTTATTGTCACGATTATACAAGTTGAGTTGGTATGTAATGCGGTTGGTGGAGAGGAGACAGGTACTATTAGACTTAGATGTATGAATACCATGAGATGCCTCCATGACAATCACCTCTAACGCCTTGCCTCTTCTTCGAATCCTCTCCCTTCTCCTTTTCAGCGACGTTGCGCTCGCTTATTTCTCCGCCTCGCCCAGCACGCCCAGGCCCTGTCAGATGAAACAAGCCTCATTGGCGGTGACCAGGGCACGCCCAAACCACCCACTTCATGCACAGTCAAGGCAACACACCCGGTGGGGGAGATAGACACGTTTGAGACTTCTCGCTACACAGCTGAAAACCTGCCAAGCTGTCTGAAGGGCACAAACTGATGGTGGATCATCGTCGGTACCATGGTGCTGCGTGTGTGAAGCTCAGGAGTGCTAAAAGCTGGTGGGGGACCGATGAACGCTTTACCTTTTGGTCTATATTTGTCGTCGGCTCCTCCCAGAAAGTGTGCTGCCTGATGAAATAGACTTATCGGCCTGGGAAATATCCGGAAAAGGTAATTGAATGTCACTCATCTTTTCTCAGGAGTTCATAGTTTGCAGAGAAAGGTAGACAGGACAGGCAAAGCCCGTCAGACGTGCCATTCGAACTCGCACTTGGCATTGCGTACTGTGCTTCTCTCGAATTGCCGAGATATGGGGATAAACTCACTTGGCCGGCTGAAGTTCAGAGACATCCAGATTGACAGACAGAACAGAAGGCTGGTACAGCTTGGCTGTGGGGATTCCGGAACTCTGGTTCTTGGGAGAAAAGACAAAGCGTACGCCGAGTGGCGAGAGATCGATAGGCGGTAACGAGGGAGCACTTGGCATTTGTATGGGATCGAGTGGCCAAGAAAGGGTACGGATGTCAGGTTCCTTCTTTGCTTGGCTTTAGATTATTTTCATCTTTGTGAAGTGGAACGTCTGTGAGGTATTTGAATTATGATAGTGGAGCAGCGTCGGAGTTGAGAGAAAATGGAATTACCCGACGGCATAACAGTGCGCAATTGAGTCATTTATGAGATGGTCAAGAATTCCGGCAGTTTGTGCGGCTTGGAAGATCTAAAGAGTTTATGATCCGAACATGTTGGTTTCTATTCTTGGTGAATTTGTTTGGTTTGGTTTCGGCTTACAAAAACCTCTTCTCAACCACGAGTGCCTTGCCAGCTTTTTGGTAGAGCGGGCAGGCTTCCACCTCTTTCACCCATAAGGCCCATGGTCTATCCTGCGACGCCTCATTCATTTGCAGGGATCCAGACACTTGTTCCTCAGTCAGGTACCTCATGTCTCCTAGCGGAGACGACGATGCTTCTGAGCCGGGTCCGATATTCATCGAAGCATTCCGGATGAGCAACGCATTTGTCTGAATACCAGCGTTTACATGTGTGTATATCGCTCGGTAAACAGCCTGTTTGATGCTAGTTCCGATGGCGGTGAAGCCATGACATGTCATGAGAACCTAATTATGACAACTTTTAACTTTATACTCATCTTCAGATAATTATTCGGCCTTTTAGAGCAAAGAGAAGGTTTTGGCAGCGGACTGACTACGAGAGTGTGGATTTAAGTTGAGCCGATGTTTCGCAACAAGAAGAAGCTTCAAGGGAAACGTTGTGGATATTGAATTTTCACTTACGACATTGTGGGCCTGACTTGCTGAACCTTCTTTGGAGAATTCCGATGCAAGACTGGAGCCGAAGGTTTGTGTGTTGACGAGCATGTCTTGTTGGTCACCGGGCTGGTAGATGGGTGTTATGTCGAAGGTTGGGACATGCGTTCCTGATATTTTATGAGCTGGATGTTGTAATTGTTACAAGCTGGTATGGTACGAAGTACCTAGAAAGCCTGCTATGTGAAAGGTGGGTTTTATTGGAACACCGCTCATGGTGTAGGGGAGAACAGCATCTGAATGACTATGGACCACACTGTTGATGTGTGGGAACTTTTTGTAGATTTCACTGTGAATGAATCGTTCTTGATAGCCCTTCTTGGCATTTGAATCAACTAGGTACGGGTCAGTATGCTATCATTCGTTTGTACAAGCAAAGGACGACGACCGGCGCGTGGTGGAGAATGGGCCCGGCAAGCATGTTTCTGGCTTAGCCAGATGCATGCAACATAAGTAAACATAGTATTTACCAGGAGAAGCATCAGTTACGTTGTACGGGATGAGATCAGATTGAGAGGATACTAAAGCCGGCGCTCTGTCTCCAGACATGATGAAAACGTCAGGCTTGTCAGGATGTCTAAGAGAAACATGACCGTAGGCGTCGACGACATTGTGATAGTGAAGGATATTATTTGCAAGGACAAGAGTTTCGAGCTACGCTATCAGTTACTGCTGCTTATTATATACCAGTAATCGAGATCCCGTTAGGTGGATTGCTGTAAATACTTCAACCTGATCAAACGAGGGGCAATATTACCCCGCAGTTCCACATGGAAAAAAATATGAAGTACTAACCTCTTTTCTCAGCGCAGTATACCCTGGTCCCATAGAATCCATTTCGGTCAATAATATATGTATCAAACGTCTGTGATATTCAGATATCTATGTTTGTGCGACATCAGCTTTTGTGTTCCTAGACATGTTGACGACATTGAGTGAAGCGGAACCAATCAGCCGAGGCAACCATTCAAGTCCTCGAAATATATTCGAGCCGTTGCCACCATCGGCTCATTTACGAATCGATCTTATATCTCTATTTCTTCGGCCGACACGATTATGTCGTTGTATCCTCGACTCCACATACGTCGTGATAGAGGCCGACGGCGAATTGCGACGATGCCTTCAAAAAGGACCCGTTTGGGCGTCCACACCAAACTCTCTTTAACGGATGATCGCCCAGAAGTAGAAGGTGCTTCAAGGCCACCAACCTGATACAGAAGGCACGTACGAATTGCACTTGATGTGCATGCTAGAAACCGTGAGGATGCACAATATCAAATCGGATGCCTGGTCCTCTGTCTCGCAACTCCGGGCGGGAGTTCCTGGAGATCGTTGTTGGATACTCGTCTGCCATTCGACTGCCGATCAAGGTCAGGGATTCAGCATCTTCTTAGCCTCTTCTGGATCTGTCCCTTAATCCCACCATAAGCCAATCGAAGGGCCGAGTGGCTTACAAGTCCCGCCGTCGTGAATTATTCGCCTTCTGTCTTTGGAAGTTTGGAAGAGCTGATTGCCAACGAAGTCGTGCACGAGGGAACGGATCGCTGCTTATCTACACCAAGCTTTTTGATGATCGGAGAACAAGGGACGGGTGAGATGAGCTTAAGTATGGCTTCGGTCCCTTTTATTTCCTGGCTAGAAGTACCTTGAAATTGTTTCTTGCTATTTCACAATCATCATGACAATGTCTATTCGGGTTGTGGTTCTGCTAGCCCTGCCAGCAGTGTTAGCGTTGGGGACTCCGAAGACCTGTACCAATCCGCAACTGAGCTGTGGAACTTCGACTTCTACTGATTTGTGCTGCTTCAATTCGCCTGGAGGTCAAATGGTTCAGACTCAATTCTGGGACACAAATCCAGTTACCGGTAAATACCCGATCCAACGTCTTAGTGTTCTATGCTCATGCTGTTAAGGACCTACAACCAGCTGGACAGTTCATGGACTATGGCCAGACCACTGTGATGGGACTTTTGATGCCAACTGTGACTCTAGTCGGTATGTTTCAGTGACGATCTATTCTTATTCTATGCTCATGTCAACACAGAGAATATACAGACATCACCGGCATCCTCCAAAGCTTTGGCAAGACTGATCTCCTCTCGTACATGCAAACTTACTGGAAGGATTATCAGGGAGACGATGAATCCTTTTGGGAGCACGAGTGGGGGAAACATGGCACCTGCATCAGTACACTTGAGCCTAGTTGCTACACAGGCTACACTTCCAAGCAAGAAGTCGCAGACTACTTCCAGAAAGCAGTCGATCTCTTCAAGACGCTTGACAGCTACACAGTGTGTTGCTCTCAGGTTCTTTGATATTCCACAACGCAACTGACTCTTTCCAGTTCCTCAAGAATGCAAATATCGTCCCATCAACCACAGCAACCTACACCTCGGCCGCAATTCAAGCCGCGCTGAAAGCCGGATTCGGCTATACCGTAACCATCCAATGCTCGTCTGGTGCTCTCGATGAGATCTGGTACTCTTATGACGTTCGTGGCTCCGTCCAGACCGGCACATTCGTACCCGCCGCTCCAGTTGGCCAAACTGGTTCATGTCCCTCAACAGGCATCAAATATCTCCCAAAAGGATCTGGATCCGGCACGCCAACCACGACAGGCTCTGGATCTACCCCGACTGGAGGTTCATTTTCTGGCACAGGATACCTGAATGCCGTTACCGGAGGCACTGCAAAGGGATGTATCATTAGCGCTGGAACATGGTATGCTAGCGGTACCTGTGCTACCATCACTGCTACCGCCTCAGGCTCTGGGTTCACTTTGAAGTCTTCGAAGGGGAACTGTGGTATTGTGTCTTCGACTTTTACCTGCGCTTCAGGTGTTACTGCAACGGTATTTACAGTAAGTAATTGGAATAGGGAAATTTGATGACGAGAATTTTATTGACGAGGAAATAGGCGAATGGTGGAAAGTTGGCGTACAACGGAGCAACTACATTCTATGCTGCAGCTGTACCCTCGGGCTCTACACAACAAACTGTGTACACTACATCGAAGGCTGTAAGTGTGACATTCCAATGGGCCAGTGCATAGGCTCCAAAAAAAAATGCGAGAAGTAAGAAGCGGAACGAAACCGAGTACGAGCTGGCATAAGAAGAATGAAGTTCAAAGAAGGCAAAGGATAGTAAGAGCCAATAGAGAACTTTCACAAACCACAATACAGAATGTCTCAAAATATCACATATTGCAAACTTAAATGATAACCACTGATGCATCACGGCCCCTCAGCCTAATACGCCCCACCACACCCTTCAGAGTTACGAAGCCCAAGTAATTCATATGCCCACCGAAGGCACTGTCATTGTGGCTCTACTTCGATACATATCATTTACTTAATATCGTGTAATGTACTGAGGAACGATAAGACAAGGGGTTAGTAAACTGTGAGTGAGAGATGGCTGGCATATGGGGATATCTCCTTGATACTAGACTGAAGAACATAGGAGGACTAGATCACTATTAGTTGCAACTTTCCCAACCTGAGATTTTCAGTTATTCATGAGAGACTCAGAACAGCTAACATCTGCCAGTCGAGCGTAAAAAGGGTGAAATCCTCCTGGAGAACGGACTGCAAAATGTGATTTAAAATGGTGAAATTTGTCGAAAACTTGGGCTTCTAGATGTCCGAATTTTTCACAAAATATCGAAATGGCTGCCGAATGTGAAAATCAAAATCCATTGCTGTGAGAAGAGGTGGTTAAGGTGATGATGTGAGCTAGAAGGCAGGTGCCACTTTACGCGACTCCCGCCAAGCAAAACGCGTCTCACTGGCTATTTCGACTCAACACCTGCCGAGCTTCATATTCTTCAAACAACATCCCACTGTCGCAAAATCAACACACGACGTTGAAAATGCCGCGCAAATCCAAGAACGAAGATATCAATGAGGAGAGTGAGGAAGAGGAAGAGGAAGTACTCGCAGACGATCCACCTTCCATCGAGCCTTATACCGTGTTGGGCATCGAAAAAAGCGCCACAGGCGACGAGATCAAGTCTGCATATCGCAAAGCAGCCTTGAAGCATCACCCAGGTACGCTCGCATAAGAATGATATGGACTATCTAAAGATTTACACGTCCCATAATCATACACGACATTGCTAACTCGCCCAACAGACAAGGCAGCACCTCACCTCAAAGATGAAGCACACACCAAATTCCAAGAAGTCGCCTTCGCATACGCCGTCCTCTCTGATCCCATCCGCAGAAAGCGCTATGATACGACCGGTTCCACTTCCGAATCTGTGGACGCCGACGGCGATTTCAGCTGGTCGGAGTTCTACTCTGAGCAATTCCGCGATGTAGTCACTGAGGATGCAATCGAGCGCTTTGCAAAATCATACAAGAACTCGGATGAGGAGAGGGATGACGTGGTCAAAGCATATGAGAAGTCTAGAGGTTCATGGAGAATTATCTACGAGTCTGTCATGCTGAGTGATCCTTTGGAGGACGAGGACCGGTTCAGAGCCTATATCGATGCCGCGATTGCAAGTGGTGATGTTAGGGGGTTCAAGATCTACACAGAGGAGAGCGAGAATGATAAACAGAAGCGGATGAAGCGGGCGAGACTTGAGGCTGAGAAGGAAGCTAAAGAGGCAGATGTTGAGGCGAAGAAGATTGAGGGTAAGAAGAAGGCGAAGAAAGATGGCTTGGGAGATTTGGCGGCGTTGATTCAGAGTAGACAGGTCAATGCTGGAAGCTCGTTTCTGGATAATCTAGAGGCAAAGTATAAGGCGCAGGAAAAGCAGAAGAAGTCGAAGGGAAAGAAGGGAAAGAAGAGAGTTCCAAGCGAGGATGAGGATGATGAACCGTCGGAGGAGGCTTTCCAGGCAGCGGCGAAGAAGTTGAAGACTGGAAAGGCAGAGAATGAAGGTCGGAAAAGCAAGCGTGCGAAGCGTTAAATAAAAACGCTTTTGGGTTGCATACCGGGAGTCAGGATGGGCAAGGTAGGCGTTTGTATGTATAGGATAGGTGATAATGAATTTACGATTCTATATTTGTGGCGTCCAATCCAAAGTTGCAATTACACATTCAGAACATGTGTACACGGCAACAAGTTAAATACAAGAATCCATTACTATGGATATGGCAAGAAACCAAGCTCACCCACTAATGGGTCTTATTCGAACCAATCATCCACACGAGACCGTTGCAAGAATATTGGTCCTTTGCCCTCTGGTCATGTCAAATGCCAACTTGTTAGAACCTGCAGTTTCGAAGGACTGGCCTCGTTGGAATATTGGTCCTTTCACCTCTGGTCATGACAAATGTCAACTTGTTAGAAACTGCGGTCTCAAGGCCATTGAGAGAATGATGAGCCTACCTAGGACATCAAATCTGCCAAGACTGTAATCAGTAATTCTGTTATTGAAGGCTCGTTACGAGTACATCAACACTTGACTCCGGCCATTCCAAAACAGGCAGTCCACGTGATCTTGCGTTTACCAAAATCTCACGCGTTGAATCTCGTCGCGTCACCTCGACAACATCAATACACCACAACGATATCACTATCCAAACCTCCATCGGCAATTGTGCACATAGCTCGACATCCATATCAATCATGCCATGACATCCGTTCCCAACAATATTTACCCGGATTACTGCCACAGCCTGTCGCCGACAATCGGAAAATGGTGTCCGTTGCTGGCGACGGATGTGCAGAGGTTGAGGACTGTGGGCATGTTCTGTGATGGTATGTCTGTCCACTGCTCCTATCAAGCTTCCTCTATGCCAGAGAGAGGATTGTGGACTCGTGCTGATAATCTCCGGCGTTTAGAACGAGCACTCTACCATTTCGACAACCACCCAGTGAAATGGGTGCGCATCACAGGCGTCGTGGTCGCGGTTGATGAGTTTAAGGGCAAGAAAGTCTTTACAGTCGATGATAGCAGTGGGATGTGTATCGAGTGTACGGCTGTTGCGCCTCCACCACCACCAGCGACTGATGCGCCAACTCTGCCGTCGCATTTGAATCAGATTGCGTCGCTTATGGCTGTGCAGACAACACACGATTCCAAACATGCGGACAATAAAAACAGAGTTAGAGGAGTGGATAATGAAAAGGAAAAGGAAAAAACAGCGGCTTCGAAGGGGAAAGAAAGTGGAAAGGTTGTCCCCTCTGTCCAAAGTCCTGCTGTCCCTTGGGATCAAGTCGATGTTGGCACTGTGGTGAAGATCAAGGGAAAAGTTGGCAGTTGGTGGGATGCGATACAACTCGAGGTCATCAAGATCGAGGTGCTGCGGTGTACGGATCAAGAAGTGCGGTGTTGGAACGAAGTGATGACTTTCAAGAGGGATGTGCTGAGCAAGTCGTGGGTTGTTAGCAAGGAGGAAGAGGAGAGGTGTAGGATGGCGAGAGAGAAGGAATTGCGGCGCGCTCGGAAGGGGAAGGGTGGGAGGGCGGATGCGGAAAAGGAGAAGAAGAGGAAGGATGCTGAGAGAAGGGAGATAGTGAGGAGAGAGGAAGATGCGAAAAGGAGGAAGGCGAAGGAGGAGGAGTGGTTGAAGGCACAGGCGAAAGTGAAGAAGTACCCTTCAATGGCTGTCCTGAAGGCGGCGAAGGGTAAATATGATGCTTTGGGGATTTGAGACTTTTCGGTTCTGAGACTGCTCGGAACGGTCGACGACTTCACGATTTTATGAAATATGATTCTGAATACCTTCTTAATATCCTATTGACGTCGACACATCAACTGCCCAATCTGGTATTGCTCGAATCCCGAAGACGCTCGGCGATTTCACAATTTGCAACATTCGTTTTCCTCCTGGCGCTTGTTTGGATACTCAAGAAATCATTCATAGCCGAGGCCAAGGTCATTTCTATCTTGGTTGTTAGCACAGCTCACATGTCCTCTCATGCCAAGCCAAATATCGGGGCATTTGAGAGTGTGAACCTCTCGCCAAGCTAAATACTGGGATTTCGCCGGGCACATTGATCGCTGTGGCAGTTCGAATTCCAATCCACTCTCTATCCCGACGTCTCCACCTCCTCGGACATTATTATTTTCTTTCCTCCCAAGCTCTCCCAGCCTCCCGATTTCTCTCAAGCTCTCTCCAACCGCCGGATCGTCTCGCTATCGGTCTCGAAGCTTTTAATCTGAAAGGAAGGGCTCGCCTACATATTGAACCGACAACTGGGCATCTCGGCTGTGTGTGTTTGTCCAGATTTCCGATCTTCTTGTTCTTGAATCGTGATGTTCGTCTACGGTTAAGCTCCCCGGTTCGTCGGCGCTACTGCAATATGTGGTCGGCCAAGAGTGGCTGTGCAGGATTGGCACTGGGACTGAGCTGCAGCGCGGGGGTGATACGTCAGCGGGATGCCGGATGCCAGTGTGCAGGGAAGTGAGGGCATGCAGGTGAAGGTGTTTGTTGGCCATAGCTTCTGGGAGTTTTGACAGGGTGGCCTTTGAAGCTTGTCATTGATGGCTCAGGTACATCTTGGAGATGGCATTATTTGGACATGAGGAGTTGTCGAGAGCTCCTACACTAATTAGGAAGGAATTGAAGATGGGTATTCTGCGTTACTGTACAATAGGATAAGCTCATAGCAACCCCCGGATCATCCCTACGTTTCACCAAAATTTACTTGAGGAATGAGATGCAGGTGTCGTAACTGTTGGACAGTAAGCTCCGGTGAAGAGCATGAAACATAGACAGAACTCCTGGAGCTACCCGTGCAGTAAGAGCTGAAATCAAGGTAATTCTGGTGTTGACGGCATGCCTGCAAAGCTGAACCAGAACCAGAACCTTGAACTTCCTATATCTCACTCCAGTCCTCTGACTTTTCACATCACACTGTACTAAACTGCTTGCTGTCCTTGATTTCTGGTTCTGTTGTAACAGCGGTCTGGCATGCGACAGTAACAGTGGTATCCCTTTACCGACGCCAGCCATTTTCAATCTTGATTGCCCTTCAATCACTGTTGGTATGACAGGTTGAATTGCTCCCGCCTAAGCAACAAGTCAAGCAAGCGACTTTAGAACTTTATCATTTCATACGGAGGGTATGAATCCATACCGAACGCCATCACCAAAGAAGAAACTCCTCCCCGCCAAACCGAAGCAGACCCATCGCGCCTACCTACTGTCAGGGCAATTGTCAACATAAGGTAGCTCATCCATCGCTCTGCCAGACTCCATACCGCCTTCCCTGTTCTAGCCGAATTCGCTCTTCGTCGTCCTCACCACATCTCTCATCTCATCTCATCTCATCTCATCTCTCACCTCTCATCTTCACCATCCCCGTCACACAGCTTTGATCTTGTACGCCCTACGCTTCCCTACTTCTTGATCTTTTTGGCCCGATTGTTTCAATTGACTCCCTGTTTGATCTTCCCGAGTCGTGCGCTCCCTCAGTAGGTTGGACCATTTTCTGCCACTCCCACTCAACTCCACTTATCAAAGGAGGCGCAGCAGCTCATATCGTCAGGTTGCCGGATCAGATTCAACCTCTCAACCTCCCCTCCCCACCGCAGCACCACAACAACGGCACCCACCCAGTGCCCACGCACCCACGACGAACGACGAACGACAGCACTTCCATTCGCAACGAGTCAAACCTAGAGCCCACTTCTGAGCCGCCAAGATGGTGTGTAAGTTGCTCCCCCTTCCCTTGTCCGTCCCCTCCGACTCCTCCATAGCCCAATCACCCGGCCATCGCACGTTCTCTATTGCCCTTGGCAGGTCAAATTGCGCCTAGCCCGCCACGACAAGGCCAAGCTCTTTTTCCCGCCAGTACCTCTCTTCCACACTGCACTACACTACACTGCACTGCACCTGCGCCTGCACCATTTACTCCATCTCATACAATACGCTGGCACTTCCCCCCAGCTTCGTCTTGCTTCGATTCATACCCCTCACGAGAAGAAAACATCTGGTATAATCTGCAGTGCAGTCAGATCCGTCGCAAGAGCTTGATGCCGGCGACACTATATTAAACATTGACCATCCCGCCACTCGACATTCCTTTCGTCATTGTTCGCTCCAAAAACAGGAACCAAGAAGCAGACTGCACCAGCACCGCCCATTGGCCAAGACACACACAGAAAAACTTTCTTTGACAGGACAGAATCTTGGGCTGACTTCGAACGTTGTGTTTCAATGATATACAGCATCATCGACATTCCGCAAAGAACTGCAGCGCGCGAAGTCTGGAGGTTTTAATAGACGCACAAACACCGACATGACGAACCCACCGAACGGTACGGCGACAGAGACCACGGGTCTGGTGAGCGGACGAGAGAATGGCGACGCCAATCGCAGAAAGAGCTCTTTGACGGCCTTCTTCGAGTTCTTTGCGCACAAGAACCATACGGCGGGATTGGAGAGTGAGAACCAGTTCGTGAGGATTCCTGCACAAGTAGTGCAAGCTACTAAAGTGACATTGTACAGCAACTACGTTAATATCCTCCTGGTCTTCGTACCGTTGGGTATAGTTGCTGGCGCAATGGGCTGGAATCCCACGACTGTTTTCATTCTCAATTTCTTTGCCATCGTACCGCTCGCCGCCGTCCTCTCGTTTGCGACTGAAGAGATATCCATGAAGCTCGGTCAGACAATGGGTGGTCTTTTGAATGCGACATTTGGAAATGCAGTTGAGCTGATCGTATGTATGGCCTAGCAACACATCCACCATATGCTAACCAAAGTATAGGTCAGTATTGTGGCATTGAAGGATGGGCAGATTCGAATTGTTCAATCTAGTATGCTGGGAAGTATCCTCTCCAATATGCTCCTTGTACTTGGATGTTGCTTTCTCGCAGGTGGCATTCACAATACTAGGACAGGAACAGCACAGGGTATTGAGCAAGACTTCAACTCAACCGTCGCATCTACAATGTCCTCATTGATGACAGTTGCAGCTGCTTCTCTCATCATTCCAGCCACAGTGAGTTCATCTGCCAAGTTATCATAGAGGTCGGCTAACAAATCGATAGTTGTATGCTGCGATGACGAACTCTAAGGAGAATGCCGACAAGAACATCATTATCCTATCCCATGGCACATCGATTATTCTCCTCATTCTTTACGTTATGTACCTCTTTTTCCAACTTCGCACACACGCCAACCTCTTCGACGCAGAGACAGCCGCAGAGGATGAAGATGGAGAAGAGGAGGAGCCACAATTGAGCCCTTGGGCAGCTGGAGGTGTTCTCTTGGTCGTCACCATTGCGGTAGCAGTATGCGCCGAGTACCTTGTCGGATCCATTGACTCTCTCGTCGAGACCGCGCACATTTCAAAGACCTTCATTGGACTCATTCTCCTTCCGATTGTCGGAAATGCTGCCGAGCATGTCACAGCTATTGTGGTCGCCTTGAAGGACAAGATGGACTTGGCTATGGGGGTTGCAATTGGTAGCTCAATGCAGATTGCCCTTCTCGTCACCCCGGCTTTGGTCCTTCTCGGATGGGCTATCGACGTCCCCATGACACTTCACTTCGAGCTCTTCGAGACCGTCGTATTCTTCTTGAGTGTTCTCGTCGTAACCTATGTAATTAATGATGGGAAATCAAATTGGCTCGAAGGCAGCATGGTAAGTTTGTTCTAACGTACTTGCAAGAGACCGGCAGTGTTGACCTTTTGTAGCTTCTGGGACTTTACGTCATAATTGCTCTTGCGTTTCTGGTGTATCCTGACGATGTGGGCCCGAAATAATGTTGCAAGCTATGGGATTAGCATTGGGAGGAGGAGGATGTTCAAATTATTTCTGGGTTGGGGGAAACAAAAGGGTTACGAAGGTCTAGTTGATTTTGACCACCTGTACAAAATTTCCATTAGTGCTTTCTCCGTAGTAAGCTTTCATAATGCAACGTATTCATTATTGCAAATGACCAGTAGAGTTAATATTTGCCAGTAGGTACATATTTGTAGCAAGCGAAATCCACGTCTTCCATCCATCATGGCCACAGAGTCAGACGCCGTCTGACCATCCGAACCAGAGAACTAGCAATAAAATACATGCAAAAGCCCAAATAAGGTAACTTTGTTTTCATTAACAAACCCCTTCTTCCTTTCCTTCGCTCTTCCCCTTGCGTACCTTGAAGATAATGGTAAGAGAGCATACAGTTGTATAATGTCATATTACTCGAGTGTGAGATAAGGCGAGGCATCCTCCTTTTCCACTTCATGGACTTTCTTCAGGTGGGCAATGTATGCCTTTTTTTCCTTGAACTGTGTAGGATGTTGGCAGCTGGGGAATGAACAGCTCTGTGGAACGTAGCTTCGTGTTCTCACATACGTATGGCTTTTCAGCACATCTTTGTCGGTGATTTGATGGCTGACTTGGAGATGCGTTTTGAGTGCTTGTGCCGTCTTGAACTGAACAGAGGAGAGACAATCTTCCACTGGGCAGCCCTTAGGAGTCCACGAGGGATGTGCCTCTTTCCGGTGCTTCGTCCAAGCATTGTAGGAATCATACAAAACGGCTGCATCGCAGTCTTTGTTCTTGCAAGCTCGTGGTACCCAGCGATGCGTATTGTCATCGTGCATCTTCAATGCTATGGCATTGTCGAAACTGCTGGTACATCCTTCAACAGGACAGATGAAAGTCTTCTCAATGCTGACTTTAGCGATTCTCTCGACTGTGCATCTGATTTCATGAACAAGAAGAGCATAAGAATTATCCGAAGTGTATTCGCATCCCATGTTTTTCTGGCAGCGATACTGGAACAAAACTGGCTCATCCTTTCCATTCCCACGGAAAGTATTCGGGATAGCCTTTGATTTGGTCGAAGCAATTCTCTTGTTCGCAACCACATTGATTCGAGAGAGAAAGGATACAAAATCCATTCCGGGTACCACGAGAACAGACGGCGTCTGAAGAGGAGCATCCAATGCATCGAAAACAATCTCCTCCATCTCTTCATTCGACACTTCTTCTCCCTCCACATCTCCTCCAACGAGTTGAGTGATGTTTTGTGCGGCAGATCGAAGTCGAGGATCGAGACGAGACTGGAAGTCTGCCTCATCTTCATCGTCACCCGCAGCATGGAGATTTTCGGTTGCAGTGATTGGACCGAGAAAGTGAGCAGGGGTGTCAATGCTTTGCATGCTACTCTCCGAAAGTGCCTTTGGCTCATTTGTTGGCTTGGGGCGCTTTCGCATGTTGGCTTTGCTGTTAACGTCCGTTGCCGACTGCGGGAGAAGAGCTGAGAAGAAATCGTTAGAGCTGCTAGTTCTGCCACTTGCGTGCTTGATATTTGCGAGGCCGGTGGAGCAGGGAAGGAGAACGACCGACGCCGTCTGACAGGAGAAGGAATATTCTCTTACCTGGCCTAGAACTTGGTCCTTCTCCTCCACCTGATCTCCATTGATTCTCGAGGTGGTTGTGAAAACTGTCTCTCAGTTGTCTCGTTGCCTTGCGATCATTTGGGTCCACACCAGCTTCGTTGTACTTCTTCAGCCACTCAACGCGAGTGATTCTTTGCTTTTTGTACAAATTGTCTGTTACCTCCGTCCCAAATGGATCCTGAATGTTGGCACTGACTCTTCGAGACCAGTTGTTGACCGTGGCAGCGCCTACGTAGTCGCGGGTTACGCCCCTCTGCAAAGTGATGTTTGTCTGGCCCAGCTCTGCAGCAACGACGTCGCTGGCGAGACCTGTTGGTGCTGTAGGGTCAATTGGGAGGTTTGCAGTGTCCTTCGCAGCTCCTCTTCGCATGTCGTGTGGGACTATGGGCTTCAGTATTCCTGCGAGCAAACCTGCTCGAGCCACTGTGTCGCGCACTTGGTCGACCATGGCAGGCTTGTCGATGATCACAAGATGTGCGGCGGTTTCGAAACCACACAGTACCGGACTGCGGCCCCTTCCAGTTGCCCATTGTATAGTCTTGTCATTTCGAGCAGCAGTGCGGGCAAGAATCTGTTCAATAGTTCCTTGAACAGCGCCGAGCCTCATCGCATTGACGAGCACCATCTTGATGGGGCACAGAAAATTGTGTTGCCGCTCAGAGAGGACGCGCAAAAGTACTTTTCGATTCTTTCGCGGATTGAACCTGGCACATACACCACAAATGTCAGTCTCTAATTGAAAGTCGCTCACTTGGTCAGACGCGGTCTGATTATATTGAACGGGGATGAGGGGGCACACTAACTTCTTCGTCTTTTCATTGCGAATGACCACTGTAGCAACCAAGTTCTCCAAGCCGTGCCCACCCACCAGCTTGATGGTAATGTCATCGTAGCACAAAAAGGGCAGCTCGTGGGTTTCTGACTGAGTTTTCATGATGTCTCCGCAGCGACATGAAAGGGCTGCGATCAATACCATGGACAAAGCCTTTTGTATGGTCTTGTCCCAATTGGTAGTTCCTTCAGCAAGGGCTTGCTGAAGTAATGCGCCAACTAGTCGACTCACCAGAAAAGCACCAACCCATTGGGCCTCTCTGCTTGGTTTTCGCGTGATCAAGCCGTCCTTCAAGAATTGTTCGAAGGCGGACTTGATTCGGACTCGCTCATGAGCCGAGAGGGTAAACTTGGAGTACTGGAAAAGCAAGCCCATAAGGATACGGCGGAAGCCCATTCTGATCCAAGATAGGCTGGGAACTTCATTACCAACAGGCTTGACCTTGGTGATCATGGATGCAAGGAATCTTTCAATTTCAGCTCCAATCGGTGTTTCTTCAGCTCTATTCGCAGAGGTCAGCTTAATGGGGACTGAAAATTTAGAACGAGTGAAGGATGATGGAAGAATGACTGAAGAGAGTGGAGGTAGAGGAAACAAAAAGGTAGGAGCTGGATGGTATGAATCTACACTCACTTCTTTTTGAGCGTGTGTGTTCGGAAAGCCTTGAAGCGGTTCATCCAGAGCGCTGTGATGTACTCTGTCTTGGGCGAACCTTCTGCGTGAGTTAAAGTCTTGGACATCTTCTTAGAGCTGACTCTATCCTCCAGGGCTTGATCCATGATGGCTTCGATGCTCTCGAGACCGGCGGCCCAGAAGGGGTTCGGTCGCTCCTCGAACTCCATGTCGGAGCTATTGAAATCCTCATCTCCATTACGATGGTCATCCATGGTAGAGGAGACGCAGTGAAAGGTAGAGGCGGCTTCGTAGTAGGTCTGACAGCGTCTGACAGCGTCTGACAGCGTCTGAGGGTGTGATTTGATGCTACAAGTACTTAGACAAAGAGGGACATAAAGCAGGCTGAGCTGCGGAGGAGGGGGAGGTTCTGTTGAAGAGGAAGAAAATGAGAAGAAGAGAAGAAGGGAAAAAGAGAAAAATGAGAGGGCGGGAATAAATGTCATCCTCTGAAGCCGCTGCTTCCTTTCTCGCAACGATTCTTGTTGCGCGCTTTCCCAAGACAGAAGGAGTGAATAGCAAGGCTCGCTCCAGATTCACCTCAACTTGAAATGAATTCCCCACAACACACCTCCTTTCGCACTTCAAATTGCTTTACAAAGCCTTCATCATTACTACAACAAAAATTCGCGATTGTTACATCCTCAGCTCGACTCTCTGCAGGATCTTTCCCGCCTCGATTTATTGCACTACATTGTTAACAACGGGCCTCCAAGAGTCGCCTTCAAGTCAGCACAGCTGAATCGAACAACAACTTGGTTCAGCTCAAGAGATCAGCTTTGGTTTCTTCCTTCTCCACGAAGTTCAACGCATCAAACTCTCTCCCAACAGACTCTCAGCATGGCTTCGACATCAACCAGTCCGCCAATCGCAGCGCCCTCCGGTGAACCTGAAAGCGTCGGACAGCGTCAGACTGAGGATCAGGATGGGCCACTCAGGGTCATCGTAGACGGATCCAAAGACATTGCGAAAAACATAAGCTTAGACATGATTGTTGTGGGTATTACCGGGAGACCAATTTGCAGCAAAATTTACGTACGGTTGGGATCCTCAAAGGCCGGGAAATCGAGCAAGTCGTACGATCCGAAGCTAGACCTTGCTACCACTGAGATTCCATTCATTCCGACGTCTGCAGAGCTGGAAGGAAGACCCCAGACCAAGGAATTCCTCGTCGTTGGTTTGGTTCTGGCGGAAGATCCCAAGAAGTACTCGACTGTTGGGTCAAGGAGACCAAAAGATAAGGAAAGAGACCAGGGTAGAAAATTAAGAGGCGCCCTACCAGCAGAGAAGAATATCCTCAGAGCCTTGGTTCAAACAACGGAATCCATCGAAAGTCGGGGCATCAAGTATTACGTTGCATGTCATCAAATGCACGAGTTGTGCGACTTGCGAGTTATAACCGTGGACTCTATCTTTTTCCTACAAGAAATATGGGACGAGGTGGGAGAAGTCGCTCAAGCAAAGGATAGGAAAACAAAGTTAGGTGAAGCTTGTAGGCTACTTGCAGCGAAGGACAAGACGCCAGCCAAGCGTGCTATCACTTCAATCACCAAGGACGGTCAGACGACGTCGAATGAGTTGCAGGTCAGCAGAAAGAAGAATGCTGCAAACATAATCAATATGCAGTTCTCATTATGGTCATTGACCAAAACCCCTGACTCGTACAAAGCTCTGCAGTCCACTGTCGAGAGCATCATGCCTGACCTCAATATGAAGCCCACGGACCGAGGCGTGGTAGCGTTCTACGATTTCGAAGCAGACATGAACGAAAAGGAGGCTCAAGATGCTGTTGACTCTATGAAGGTCAGTCTATTTTCTGTGGCAGCGTTCTTGAGCTAACGAATGGCAGCTGTCATATCCCCACCTGACAATGTTTGACAAGGATCAGGTCATGGATTTACAGAGAGCACTCCGTCGCACAAAAACTGGGGGGCTACTCCAATATCAAGATTTTGCCCGCTTCTTGGACCTGTGCAGAGTTCGTGCTCTTCCAGGAATGACAAACGACGGTCTGGACGCCTTGGTCACAGAGGTTCTGCGTGATTTGAAGATTATTAATCGGGTTGACACTTGTCGGACAGCGTCGGAAGTCTTCCACGAGGAGAAATCTATGATACAATTCATCTCGGGGCTGAAAGAATCGCTTGAAGGCATTGCAAGCCTCCTTGAGGGACAAGCTACGGCACTGAGAGAGCAGCATGGCGGTATTGACACGCACATTTCTATTACAGACATCATGAACAAGGTCGGGAATGTCATTGATCAGACGGCTCTGAAGTCCCTAATGGAGCAAGTATTCGCTATTCATGGCGAGCAGATGGCGATGAGCAATTCCGTTGGCGCCAAAGCTCTTCGGGAATGCATTGGGCTCCTGGATCAGGCTCTCAGCATATCTGGATAATTGCCAGCGCCCCGCGTGCCCTTTCTTCAATTTGGATATATGTATATTATGCATTTAGCGGCTTCTAAAGTCTTCTCTCATATAAAGGCTGGGATATGGTGGTGCATGGATCTTAGGAAGCTGGACTATTCTTGAAAGAAGCAGAGATAACAAGTCAAGGAGCATTTTCATAGCATCATTAAAACATCACAATGAAAGCTTAGAGTTGACTATTGCTCTGGATACGCAACTGCCAGTCCATTGACTTGATTTCTCAGCCCTATTGAAGTCATGCTAGGGTCACTGTCGTCCATTCGTCTCTCAAGTCCACCCCCCTTCCATCCCCTTAGGCGTTCAGACTACGTCTGACTTGGTTGAAACCTCTACAGCCCAGATTTACCAGTTCCTCTCTTCTTTTGACACTGATATTAATCTGCTCCTCGGTCTCTACGTCCTTCACTGCTGCCATAGTCTGAGCTTTGTAGAAGTGCGCATCTTGATCGGAGAACTGGAACGTGACTGTACGGTTGCTGATGCCAAATTTCTTGCATAGTCCTCGAAGCTCTCGAAAGTCTCTCCAAATCTTTGAAAAGACGAGATGGATTTGGATACTCTCGGAATCCGGGAACATAGCGAGCATGCTCAACCACTCTTCCACGTACTTGCTCATGAAACCTCTGCCGTGCGGAACCGTAATCTCCTCCAACTTTCCCAATTCAGCAGTGTGGTCCTCTTCCATAGACCAAGTAAAATCAATCTCAAGATTGAGCTCTGGTACCAAGTTGCATACACCCAAATGGGCAGCGAACAGCTCTACAAATCCCTCAAGGTCTTTGGGGTTTCTGACTTGAAACAAAATCTTGGGCATGACCAGCGTAAGGACCTCTTCTGTGAGCTCGGAAACTTTGGTGATAGGCTTGGCAAACAGCTCACTTGTGCCATCTTGAGTGATTTTGTCGATAAAGAAACTTCGGGCAGCGTCTGACTCCGTGATCATTCCATCATCGTTGATCGTAGTGAATGTTCTTTTCTCTGGCTCGGTGTCTTCTGGTAATGCTGCATATTTGTATAACATGTTGCGTACTTCAGGAATGATGGAAGAGGTTGAATTCAGCTTGCGCTTCTTTTGGGGTGGTTGCTAGCCAAAGTCAGTTTACTTCTCGACTTCAGTGAGGCATCTACAGACTATTTGTTCTGCCATCAGTCGATCGGTTTGAGGGTTTTCTTCTTAGATGTGGTTTTTGATTTTTGATTGAACTTGCCAGTACGATTTTTGATTTATATTGGAAAGGTGCCAACACCGGAGGTGAAGTTGTGCGAGTGAATTGAGACCACGTTGCTGCTGCAGCAACACCTACGTACTGAGCTTCAACGTTGAAGCCGAACAGGAATTTCCAGCGAAAGGTTAAAAAGTATCTGAGCTAAGGTCAGACAAGGTCAGACGCCTCAAGATGAATTCTGAAGATTCGACTTTCTACAACGTGGTGTGTACTCTGGCCCAGCTGGAGATTGCGAGGAAGCCCAAAGTTCGAGGGGCACGTACAGCGGCATTGACTGAGGCACAAGCCCTGACCAACCTCAGCGACGATATTAAGTCAATGGTTAAGGGATCTCTCTCGCAGAAGGAGAAGTTGGAAGCCGTGCCAGACCTCGATGCTGTTCAAGTCGAAGCCTTGAGAGCATTACATACGGTTATGCAGAAAGGCAAAAGCACAGAAGCAGAGTTGAAATGTGCAGTTGAGGCAGCAATCAAGGCCCTCAACCCAGATTACGAAGGCGAAGAACAAGAAGAAGAAAACAACGAGGAATTAGATGAGGCGGTTGCCACCACAGGTACGTTGGCTAGGCTTATAACATTGGGAAGAATGATCATACTGAGGTTCCTCTAGACAGATTGCTTCGCAGAAGCCAAAGAGTCGCGGAGCAACAAAAGAAGGCTATCAAGGAGTACGGTCCTGAGGAAGAGGCTGAGTATGAGGGCATATTCAAGGGCGAGGACGAGGAAGACGTGGATGAGGACGAGGAAGACGCGGATGAGGACGAGGAAGACGTGGATGAGGACGAGGAAGACGCGGATGAGGACGAGGACGTCGTGGGATACGCACAAGGAAACGGAGGGAATGCTTGATGAGGAATCTGTGAGAAAGGAGTTTCGATCTACGCGGTAGTAAGATAGGTTGATCAGACGTCGTCGGAAAGGTCGCCTCGGTCTTTTGTCCCGAGAATCTATTAGCAATATGAGTTTCACAGCTCAGGTCAAAGCGGGTAATCAGAGCTAGTATCCATTCTCTTGCTTTCTATCTATGGGAAATGGGCAAGTACTATAGATCATCGTAGACGTTTGGCAACTCTCCATCAGCTCTAGTAATCTTTTCCACAATCTTTGAGTTGTGTTTGTGCTTTGAGCTTCGGACTCCTGCTTTGTATCCTTCAATTGAACAATAGGCCTCCAATTTAACCGCTTCCACTGCTCTCTTCTGTCCTGGCCGATGCGCCCGTTTGATCGCTTGTTCTTCAAGTTCAGTCTTCCACCATGGACCACAAAGTATTACCTTGTTCGCAGCTGTGATATTGAGGCCGATCCCTCCTGCGCCTCTAGAAGCCAGCAAAACACGAGGCCCTCCTGGTTTCGAAAACTCTTCCAACACAACAGCTCTCTTCTCTGCGATTGTTCTCCCGTCATATCGAAGACATGCTTCTGGCTCAAACATATTTGAAAGGGCAACCTCGACAATGTCGAGAAAGTAAACCGATTCATCGAAAATGATCACTTTAAAAGTTGGATCCTTATCCCGGAACTCGTTGAGTATGTCGATGATAGCATCAATCCGCGAGGAGCGCCAGTTCTCATTTTTCTCAATCTCTTCCTTCCATCGAACCCATTGCTCGATTTCTTTTGCCTCTGAGAATGCATCTACTGCAGCCAGATCGCCGTCTAGCTCAGCGTCAGGATTCTTGACGAGGTTCATAATCTTCTCCAGAGCAGGGTGACAAGCAGCTTGTAGTGCTAGAGTCAGTCTACCCCAGGGGGAGAATTCTCCGACGCCGTCCGACCCCGAATTTGCGTTAATGATCGTTATATATTTTGAATAATGAAGCTCAGATTCTGCGGCCTCAGCATAAGTGAGACAGAATTTCACTGTGCGTGTTTGCAGTGGCGGGAGAGCAATAACAGATTCTGGTCTTCTCACAACAAAACTGTTGAGTAATTGCACAAGCCGTCTGAATCCATTGCCAACTGGGGGGCCCCATCTCCCTTTTTTCATTTTTCTGGCAAAGAGCGTTCTCATAGCGAGCTTGCTGCGTATGTCGTGGGAGGGTATCAGTTGAGTGTAGGCGTAGAGGTCGAACCACGTATTGTCGACCGGTGAGCCTGTGAGCATGATGGTGCTTTCCGCCAGCGATTTGAGTTCTTCCGTGGCAAGAAACGTTGCAGAACTCGTATTCTTCACTGCTGTGACCTCGTCTAGAACGAGATAGGGGCATTTGGTATCTTGGGAGTAGAAGATGTCTGAGAAAATGGTCGTATTTGGGCGTTTTGGAAGAGCATTGACTCCTTGCTTAATCTGTTCCACAGATTTCAAGAATTTCATCATCTTCTTATATTGCGCCATCACAAAATGATAGCTGATCAGGAGCACATCATACTTGAGAAGTTCTAGCGGTGAGGTGTTGGGGTCACGAAGGACCAGGATTTTGAGAGTATTCTGTTTTGCTTGATTAGATCGGTCATTCAAATTATAGAGAAACTTTCAAGTCAGCTTACAGGCTGTAGGAACTTAGTAATCTCATCCTCCCACTGCTTGATACAACTTGACGTTGCAACAATCATAGAAAACCGTTTGGCGGATGGGGCTGCATTCGCGAGAGCCATAATGGCAACAAGGGTCTTCCCAAGACCCATGGGATCTGCGATCATTGTATCCTTTAAGTCCGTGGTTCGATTGAATTCAACCTTTCCCAAGGCTACGAGTTGGTGATTTCTGGCTTGGATCCGCAGTGACGGACAGATTCCGTGCAATACCGAGTGCAGCCCCAGCTATGATACATGCTGTGAGTAATTGCACTGATGAATGTCCGACGGCGTCTGAGAAATAGCCCACTTACAATATGAGGTTTCAGAGCGTTGAGCCAATCAACCAACTCGGAAAGGTCTCGAACAGAGTCTTCATCGTCCTCGTCGACAAGGTCCTCATCATCTTCTTGCAAGCCTTTCTCGTCTCGGTATTCTGAATCTCCCTTTGGGAGCGGCTCATCCACACCTAAGAAGAGCGAATCATCCTCAACAGCCTCATTATCGCTCTCGATATCACCATCCTCGGATTGTGCTTTGCCTGGGACAAAGCCATCTCCAACAGTCACAGAGTTGAGTAGAGTAATGTTGCTATCAATAGCGATGGGATGAGGTTGTGAAACTCGGTGGGAGAGTCTTTTCAAGCCGTCGATTACCTCCTGGAGAGCTTGAAGTTGCGAAGAAGGTGTCTCTGGATGTTTCTTATCTGCGGAGGACGACGCCATCGCAATATGAATTCCACCTCCAGAAGCTTCAGACAGCGTCTGAAGTAATGGTGGTATTGTTTTACTGAAGTTTGCTTAAAGGAAATGATCCGTAAAATGACTGTCGCTATGGTAATGCGAAGTTTGGAAGTTGTTCTGCTCTTGAGAGTGGCAAGATTTGGTGTTGTGTGAAGAGTAAACCTAGCAGAGGTTTTGAGGTGCCCACTCGCAGAGCGGCCTCACCTTTGGTGTCAATTCACTGTCTTCTTCACACGAGAACAGATCAACGAAAAAGGCAGCCACGCTAGGTAGCAGCGAATGATGCCATCAACAGGAAGATAAATTCTTGACTCTTCTCCAACTTGCCAACCCTTCAACTTCAACAATTCTCATTTGCGGTCTTGCTTCCTCAAACAGATCCAATTCGCTTCGTTTCAAGCAACTCAATTCATACCACATTCAACTGAAAGCAATGCATCGAGCTACTCCCGAGTCAGGCGATGTCAGAAAGGCTCAACTATACCTTCCCTCCGCCCCCCACCTCTCGAGCCTGACAATCACCGAAAACCAAACTCCTCAAGCCCCCGCACCGTTCGACGGCTCGACTCTCACCTTCAACCCGTTCACTGGCCGAACTCCCGTCGCCATGATGCGACCCATCAAACCAGCCACTGAGCTTTATTTGGAGTTCCTCGATTCCCCTGCCCCAAAGACATCCGACGACTGGGATAAGGCATACAAAATGGTTGAGGTCTTGATCCCCTCACCGGCTGCTCGCCACTACAAGACCGTTCGAAAGCTGGAGCAGGAGGCTATTCGGGACGCTGCAGTAGGTTCTTCTCAGCTGCATTCCAGATCCCATGAGCTGACAATTCTAGATCCGAGCAGAGTTTGGGAGTGCGTCCGACGACGAGGAAAGTGATGATGATGATTCAGCTAAAGAACTCAAGGAGCACTACACCGAAAAGGCAAAGGACGAGGACAGCGGCGATGAGGAATACGTCTTGGATGTTGCTGAGGCCGAAATTACGGAGGAGGAAAAGCGATACCAGGACATGAGATACAAGGCACGCTTCCCATTTGCTTTCCTTGCCCAAGAGTTCGATGACAACGAGGTCGATTCCGAATACTCCGCATCTAGCAGCTCAGAGAGTGAGTCCGGCTCAGAGTTCGGGTCAGACATTGTCGGAAATGGAGGAACTGTAGGTGTTGGTGATAGTAGTGATCCGATGGATGTTGATGGAGGAGAGTGGGACGATGTTGAGGATTCTTCAGACCATGGTGACTTGGACACATTGTCCAATCCTGATCTTCCTGATCTTCCTGATCTTCGGTCTGGCAAACCTCGCTACCGCAACTAGATTGGGCTGCAATGCATTGCAACTCTCTGTCCTTGAATTCTTTGCATTACATTCCACGTTCTCGCTACCCACGAACACAGGTTGGAATGCACTACAATGCAAGGTGGAGCTTCCGCACAGCGTCGACCAATCGCAACAAAATACCAATAGTTCCAGCTATCCAGTCCCAGTACAACAATACCACGAATCTCGAGTAGCGACTACGGTGGAAGCATATTGAGGTTACGGGTCAGGAAAGGATGGATCTTACGGGTTTTTCTTTTATCATTATCGTTTTTCAAATCAGGTCAGCTCTCCGCTTTCCCAAACATGGGTTACGGATGGATAAATGAATGGATGGCTTCCTCCGCTGTATTTAGCAGCCTCATTTGCACTTCAAAGTGCTTTCACATTACCAGGTAAAGCAATGGAATTCATATGAAACTCTCTTCACTGCTTCTTAACATTACTCTTCGTTCTTAGAGAACTCTTAATGCGCACAGATGTGGAGCTCACCAGCACTACAAGAATTGAGCCGCTGCTTCTTCTACAAGTTTTGTCTTTACATAATCTAAGACTTGTGCTCAATCTCTGGACACAGATGTCAGTAAGAAGTTCCTGTCTTTTGGCTTCAGTGAGCCCTTCTTGTTTCGACGGCGTCTGACAGTCCGAAGTGTCCAGGTAGTTTAGTGTAAAAGTTAGAGGACAGGAGTGAGCTATGTTGATTCCGATGGATTTTGACTTAGAAAATAGGAATGGATTCCTCTAGGTATCTTGGTAGGTATGGTGGTGGTGGTGGACGAGTAGTGGCCCCAACCAGGTGGGTTGATTCTGCAACCATCCGTTCAGAAATATTCAGAAATGGGTGGCCTCCTCCAGGTAGGTGGATTTCGCCTAGCGGCGAAATCCTTCAAGATGGGAAATTGAACTATCTTGAAGGAGCTATGGTACGTTTATTAACTGATTCTCTGGAAAATATGATCTTTGCTGACTATTCTAGCTCCTTGGGCTATATATCATAATCGCTCTTGCGTTCCTGGTATACCCCGACGATGCAACTGGTGACAAGCAAAGCAACCCCGAAAACGTGAATATCGTAGCCCGTTCCTTCTGGGCTGTAGCCAGTTCAGCTGGTTTAAGCTCCTAAGCGCTACTCGGAAGACTACCGGTAGTATGACGGTATGCCGAGTGCTTTCTGTGTTGCGGGGGAACTCCAGGTGGTTCTGGTTGAGTCCGACAGCGTCTGTCATTGTACATAGGCGGAAAGGCAGAGTCCCGAAGTAAATTCAGTACTTTGAAGTCGGAAGTGGAAGTGGAAATAACCATTTATCATGAACGCTATTTTCCCGTTGCGTTTTGGAATTCGAATTGGGACCGAGATCCGGATTTGGGATATTGTATGATTAGGAGAACATGTGGAGAAGGAGAGAAATACCGTTTGTGTTGTCTATCCGTTTCCTGACCTGAGAGTGGATTTTCATTTGTATAACTTTTGGTTCTGGTTTGTTTGGTTCGATTTGTCCTTAAGCGAAAATTACCGAGCGTGGGGAGAAAAGGGGTGTGTGGGTGGTTGATAGGTCTGGTTTAATACAATAAAAAGGACGATTTCTCAAATTACTAACTACTCCTGAATTTTCTATTTGGTTTGTTTCTTTAAACGCTATTATGGTTTCTACCTTGTAGAAGACCAAGGGAAAGAATACCGGGCTGTGCGGGAACGTAGGACTTGTCTATTCACTGCAGGTGGTATTGTATAGGATTATTGATTGCTACAGTAATCTTTCATATTATGTGAGTAAGGCTTTGAACATTTGCAGAAGTACATGATATCTTGATTTTCATTACTAGTTGATTAGTAGGATATCTAGGCTTGGTTATCGAGGTATCTGGACTGTATCTATACTTAGTGAACGAGATATTAGTTCCAGATTCGTGGGATATCTTGTTTTATATTTCTGATATATTATAATAAGTTAAACCTGAACACCTATGTAATAAGAGATATAGCACTAAAGGCACAAGAAGTACTTTAATACAGAGAAGTAGGTTAAGTAAATCTTGAGATGTTATATATCTAGGGCATAGGATTTAGTAGATGAAGGGCAGAGACGAGGGTGGAGGGTGGATTTTAATAGAACCTCTCTAAGGAGTGTAGTTACCGTGATGATCCCAAGTGCTGTTGTTAATGTTGTGTGTTTAAAGGAATACTAGTTTGAAATGTCTAGGTCCTCTTGTCCGGCTGTGTCAGGCAAGGTGAGCTCCTTGTATCGCACTATATTACAGGGAAGCGCGGGACTGAGTACAGTATTATACCTGTATTTGTTACGCAGGTGATACTCAAGTCACTGTTTGAGGAATGTAAATATTATCCTAGGTAAATGTTGCCTAATAAATTTGAACTGATCACTATAGAACAGTGTGTCTAGGACAGCCTTCTTCTTTGAGGTAAGGTAAACAAACACTAAAATAAGGTGGCGCTGCCGTAGTATATCTACTTATATTTATCACTTATGAATAAGAGTGGACTTAGTATTTAATTGACCTTTGTTGTTTGTTTAAGAATAACAATCATTTCCTTACCATCTATTCAGGTACTTGGGGAACACAGAATCAAATCAAGCGAGGAAAGCGAGAGTGTGACATGACAATACAGAAGCAAAGTCGAGTTTCAATCAATCTAAAACGTCACGAAACACTTCTCCTAGGCCCATAATGGCCTTCTTGCTTTGTGGGTGGGAGAACTTGACAGACTGATTCCCCTTCGACACACCCCGATCCTGCTTGCGAAATTTGCAACGGCACGCACGCACATTCCAATCTACCCCGCTCGAATGAATCCAATGACTCCCACCCCCAGTCCTCACTCACTCACTCCACTCTCTTTGAAGGAAACTGGTTAAAATCTTGAAGTGAAGAGAATATCCGAAACGCCGAAACCTTCCATCTACTTTCGTAAAACCATCTCACTGCCCTTATTCTTGTCCCTGTTCGAAATTGCTCACAGAGCGTCGGTGCCGAAGTCGTTTCCCGTGCTGCGCGTTAGTAAACAAATCATTACCCATTAATGTGCTCCATTCCCATGTTCTCGTGGCTCATTCGTCGTCGTGCGTTTATCATTAGTATTCTTCACTGCTTGCTGATTCCGGTGGGGGTGAGCAAGTTAAGCTCCACCGAGTCCTGTAAGTGTGATTTGTTAGTACAGATGTTCGTCGAAGCTTTAATTTGCTATATTCTTTCAATTGCAAGAGGAGGAAATTAGGTAACTCACCAGCAGCAAGCGCCAAATACCACGTCCGACTCGCGCCACCATCCAACCAACTAACATCGAATCCCTCCTGGCTGAAAAACCTCCAAGCCGCCTTCGGATCTATCAAAGCGAGATTTGCATAGAGGACACCCTTCCATCCACCTTCAGCAGCATTCGCTCTGCCATTCGAGAAGTATGTATCCCACTCCTGCTGAACAAATGTCCTCGTTCGTGTTAACGCCGAACTAGGCAGGAGAGGCAACATATGAATCCCCTGGATGAACTCGATATTGGTACCGAAGTACGTAGTGTGATCGATTTTATTCTCAAAGAGGATGCCAGCTACTTTGTTCCCGATGAAATTCTTAGGCTGGATCTCATTGTCGGACGTGTACAGGTAGTAATTCTGTAAAGAGCGTGCCGTGATGGCCAGCTGCAAGTTTCCACGAGCTTCGAGATTGGCGTCGCCGATGGTGCGACCCCACATCTTGAGTGCGTACGCGGACATGCTGTCTTCCGATGACGATTCCTGGTCTTTCCCATCGAAGGATTCGTATAGACCCTTCGCCCAGCTGTGGCCATGGAACCAATCGAAACTGCGGGAGACGGGGAAGAAAGGGTCTGAGGAGGAGGGGTTGGCTATGTCGCGGACAAGGGCATTGACCCAGGCCTTGTTTGCTGGTAACCAATTTGGGTCGAGGTAACCGATTATGGAGGCGGCGTAGATGAAGTATCCGTAGCTGGGTGGAGGGTTAGCATTTATTTCCTTTGTTTTCGCGGATTTGGGGATTTTGGGGATTAAGCGAGGGAGAAGGCAGGGGGGTACGCACTGGAAATGGTGGTCGTTGTAGTAAGTATTTCCGAAATCTACGCCTGCATCTCCGGTAACGTATGATGCGGTAGATACGATACCACCCCAGGCAGTCTCATATGCGAGAGGGAAAGCCTGGGTATTGGATGTGAATCTCGCAAATGCTTCTTTCAGGTTGGATAGACCAGCTTGGGCGAGGGCCTTGTCGCCGACGAGGTCGTGAAGGGTATACACGATTCCAGCGAATTTTGCAAGTGCCTATTTCTCATGTTAGTTTTCATTCCTCTGTTACAGATTGGGAGCATACCTTTCCGCTGAAATACATAGAGTCAAGATTCGACTGAGCACTCATGTCTTGTGAAACTTCGCTTGCAGCTGTCGATCGAATAGCAGCTATAGCAGAAGATGTGAACGTGGTTCTCTCGAATCCAACCTGCGGGCTCCATGGCGCAAAGCCCATAGTCGTAGGGAGAATCTCCTCCATAGTCCATGAATCAGCGGTAATGGCGGTGACGAAGCCTTTGGTGGTTGTAGCCAGTGTGATATCCGTCATCTTCGAGGACGTTTGAGGAGCCATGGACTGGGTGTGATGTGGAAGAGCAAACATAGCGAGGGTTGTGTTTGCTAGCCCTGCCTTCGTGAAGGACAGTGTGTAAGCAGCCACGGAGCCATTGGTGCTTGCTGAAATGGTTGCGCTCTTGGCGTAAGCTCCACAGGCAGCATCATACAACGATTCTGCATTTCCTGGGTTCTTCGCAATCTGGATGAAGCCATTGAAATTGGAAGTAGCTTGTGCGAGACCGTTGTTCACAACTGTGAACTCGAGTCCGGCTCCATCTGTCGAGTACGCGTACAACAGCCAAGTCTTGCCATCTTCAAGAAGAACGGTGTATTTGGTCACACCTGGCTTTGGGTCCTTGGACGATTTAGTGAGAGAACGGAAGAAGACACCAGTCTGCAAGATAGGCGTTGCGCCATTAAATATCCCTGTGACAAAACCCATACCTTGGACTAGAGGGAAGGTAATGACTGGAGCTACTCCAGGACTTGGTGACAGATCCACATTTGCAGAGAATGCAGTAAGTGAATCCATAGAGATTGCAGTAGAACCTCCGAGCTCAGTTGCCGACAATATCAGAGACTGAATACCAATAGGATTGACGAAATATTTCGCGGGGTTTGCAGGACCGAAGACTTTCTGGCCATAGTCAATGTGCGAGATAGCCATCCCCCAACTTCCTGCAGCTCCATTACCCCGAGACCAAGCGATGGAGTATGGATGAGTCCAAGTTGCAGCAGTCTGACTACCGAGGAAGAAATTACTATAGAACTTGTTGGTGCCGATGGGGGCAGTTTGTGGTTGGATACCAAGTCTCGGAACAGGATGGGCGGCTCTTCTTCCAATGACCGAGGGAGGCGCATCAGTTGCTACCGGCTGGAAGATGTTTCGCGAAGGCATTCCGGGCTCTACTGAGCTGGTGACAGAAGTCGCTGGAACCGTTGGTGAGATTGTAGTACTGGGCGCCGAGATTGATGTGCTGATTATAGGCGCTGACGTGGGGATTCCAGTGGTGTTCAGGCTTGTAATAATCGTTCCTGATGTGTTCGGATTTGTAGTACTCAGTGTCGGTAGGATTTGGGCAGTACCAGAGTTGGCTGAACTTGTAATGACTGGCACACTGGGTGTCACAGTCGATGTGCTGACCGAGCCAAAGAATATTCCACCAGTTGTGATCAAAGTAATCGGGACCAGAACAAGACTTTGGGTTTCGGAAGGGACAGGGTTCTCTGGAGCTGTAGTGATAGCTGGTAGAGACGGAGAAGTGTTGGGTGCTTGTGGGAAAACTGTCACTGTCACTGTTACTGTTACAGTGTCAGTTACGACGTCGGTTATGGTAATAATGGTATCCCGGTTATCAATCTGTCTCCTGCGAGGAGGCGCTGCAGTAATTGCAATCGCCTCCAATAGAGTTAGCCATACTGATGCTTTCATGTTTATGGAAATGCAAAAGAGGAAATGATGAAATAGTGAGGAAGCAAGGGGGAAAGATGGGAATATGTCCGATACGCTCTCCCGATCACCGTTATTGATATCCAACTATCACGGAGAGTGTGTGACAGAGGATGAAGAATTATCGCTGTGGCGTTAGCTGATGGAATTGTTTGGTAGCGAAAGTCGTGGTTGTGTGCTAGGAAATAGTGAAGTGATGAACCGGTCGGTGAAGGTTTTTGTACTGAGGAATGAGGAATGTATTATGATTCAGAAAGACTTGGAAAATCGGCCCCTCTTCGCAACAGACAGGAATTGACGGAGAAATTTGCGTTTGAGAATTCCAATTGCTTCTTCGCATGCTTTGCTTAAGAAGTGCCAGTTCCTTAGGTCAAAACATTGTACTGGAAGCAGAAAGGCCGCAATTGCAGAACGCTGGTGAGCGCCATCACTACGGCGGCGCCTCACTTACGTCTTTGAGGGAACTTCACAGTCCCAATACAGCATGGAGCTCAAGCTATCTCCAACTTGAAGGGTCCAGAGTCGCGAACTTGGTTCCCTCGAAGATAGTAGCCGTCTCGTGGTCCCGTCCGACGTCGTCTCGTCCCAATCACGGACACAACGCCCGCGTCTCGCTCGTCGGGAGGTTCTAAATTAATGATCTGCTGCAGAGATGTTAGCCTGCCGCTATCTTCGGATCGTGCCCTTAGGTCATCGCGTTGTCTGGGAAATATCCCGCCCTAGGTGTCAACTAGACTCTTTCGGCTTCTAGCACTGGCGCCTCTAGGTCTGTTTTAAGCCAAGATAGGGATGCCGATGTCATGTTGCGCAGCAACACCAGGGCCTTTGAACGAACCGTTCCGATTTACCAGGTAAACATCAGATAAGCTGAAACTTGAGCCTCTGAGATCTTCTTCGGGGATTTTGAGGGCTGGGATGTTGTGTCGTGCAGTAAGACATGTAACGATCGTGGCTTACTTTACTGATTTAGGATAATGCAGCCTGGAAGTCGGAGACAAGTCCGAAATCCGAATGCGATTGGAATAACTATTAAACAATAAGGAGAGAATCTGATGAGAGCATTTTGACTTCTTGCCACCACAGTGCTTGTGCCGTGTAGTGACGTCTGGACTCGCCTGCTCAGGCTCGAAAAACAAAACAGGAAGCGTCGAGGCGATGGAGCACGATTACGCGACCAAAATGAACTCGCATGGAAGAAAAATATACAGCAGAGACGGCATCATCTCTCCAACGACACACGCATACAAGCTCCTAGCTGGCAGCTGTTCTTCAAATTACCTCCTGCCACCACGGATGCGCCATAATCTGATCTATCGTTGACCTAGCCGCCGGGTCAGGTTTCGTCTTTTTGGATATCATCTTCTGTGCCTCAGGGCCCAGTTCCTGTCCCCACACCTCGAAGCTCATTTCTGGTTGTTCTCGCACCGCCAACTCAGCCATTTGAGATGCTAATTTAAGAGCTTTTGTCCATTTGTCGCTAGCGATGTGGTTGAGAAGGCCTTCGTTCGCTGACCCAAAGTAAGAGAAGTGTCGCGTTAATATTTCTTGCTCTGGGCTTATGCCAAGCTTGACGAGGTCCTGATAATCGTTGATGAGTAGCAATTCCCCAGCTCCGAGGGCATATATGCACTGCGCGAACGTTGAGCGTGAATTTGTTCCATGATACTCATGAAAACGGCATAGAGTAACTTACAACCAGCCCGAATGAGTAAACATCTGATGCCTTGAACAAGCCTCTTCCGGTGTGTCCTTCTGGACTCCGCCACATCGCATCCCCTACTGCATGAGTGGTCTGAAGCAGCGCTCCTGTTTCCAACTTGAAAGAGATATCGAAGTCACCTAAAGCGACGTTGGTGATTGATTTAATACCCTCTTCGTCGCAAGTATAATTGACCAGTATATTGTCAGGCTTGACATCTGCCAAAATCAACTGTCAATATGCGTTCGTGATGTGAAATCATATTCGGACGGGTGTCGTACCGAAATGAACCCAGTCCTTGCTATGTAGTTGTTGTATGGCTTCTCCTGTCTGTCGCAAGATTTTCTTCCGTGCTGCATCAGAAATATTTGAATCCTCTTGAAGAAGTGTAAGCAGGGTATGTTGGTAGTACGGATAGATCAGGATGTTTTCGTCCTCGTTGAAATCAACATGTATCCGAAGCCGACGAGATCGGGGAAGTCGGCTGCAACGCGCAAGGACAGGTCGTAGAATGATTTGGACAGGCGCTTGAAAACGAAGGACTGGTCTTGAGATCTAAAACAACTTTTATTGAGCGAGTTGCCAAGTGTAGATTTGCATAGCGTACTCAGCTTTGAAAATGTTCAGTCTAGGATCTTTGCGCTCCTCAAGCACCTCGCGCTGGATGTACACACGACCAGATAGGCCTACGATGGTGGATGCCTTCCTGATGCCGGTACGTGACTTTTGAGATGTGTGATAAGCAAGACGATGAAGAAGCATGAGTGGAGAGTCGAACAACAGGAATCTATGGGACCCAAGTTGTCGCAATAATTAGAACTGGTATTCACCACGAAACCGCGACTGCAGCACTTTGCGGCCCATTCGCGAACCGCTCTGCCCCATCGCTTTGGAAACAGCCGACGGCATTCCCTCCTCCAATAGCCTTTACACCATGAAAATACCAACAACACTACAAACGTAGGAGACTGACGTGCGAAACAACAAGTAAATTGAGCTACAGTGGAAGGATCATGTCACAGTTCTCCCTAGCACCATTCTAATCGTGGTACCTGCTGCAATTCGGGCCTCACTTCCGCGAGGCAGATTTGCTGAGCTTCGTTCGGTCGAAAGGAACCTCCCAACAAGAAATATTGAAACTCAAAATGCTACAATCAGCAGCTCATTATCAGTTTATAGATCTGACCTGCTTCGGAATTAAGATAGTGAAGCATATCGGGAGCTGAAGAAGAGGATCTAGCCCCCAAACACCCGCATTTTGGGCGCAGATATTAGACGAGCCGAAGGCGCTTCTCAGTCCAGTCAAATCGATTCGTAGTCACAATAACTCTTTTGGGTTCAACACTTGCGGTAAGCAGCCGCAGGCTGTTGTTCATGCTATTTTATATGAGGGTGGGGTCCTAGGAGTTAAGGAGTGCTCACCTCAACTGATCTTAATCATCAAGCCAACTCAGCAGCCTCTGGACAAGCGTCAACGTCAGCTGAGTCTGAGGTCCCTAGAATATGCTATGTCCCAACGTGAAGATCCACATTTAAGCAGCCCGAAATCTCAAGGCCTTTGCGATTACAGGCTGCCAAGGTCCTCTGCTCAGTGCTGCAGTGTAGCTTAAGTCCTGCCGCTGTCTCACTACCAACTACCGTCCGCGATCCAAACAACCACGTTTTGTCTCTGACACCCCGCAATCGTAGCCCCCAGACAGTAGTCCCCATGGTTTCACTCTCCAGCGAATCAGTTCAAAAGCTGGCACTACTTCGCTTCCGAGCGACTGGTACTGGTGTTAACATTGTAACATTCTTCCAATCCTATGCGTACGTTCTCCCACGGAAGCCACCGTCTTTTCGTTGAGCATCTCAAACAACACTTCCTTCTAATTACCTTCACCGAAAAATTTCACACGAATGTTTACTGACTCCAAAATCATTACAGATACGATCCTCATGATCCTCTCGAACCCTGCCGATTCGAAGCTCTATGCCGGCTCAAGTCGATAGCCGAGTTCAGTTCTGCGATACCTGAATACGTGCCACCTTCTCCTGACGGAAAAGATCTCGCCGCGACTCTAGAGCTTCTGAATGACTGGTGAGATTGATTTTCCTACATACCATTATTTTTCAGTATAGAGACGCCGAGAAGCGATATTTCACCTACAAATAAACCCAAGCTCGGTAAAACTCGTTTCAAAACAAACACTAACCCAACAATCAGGCTTTTAGTATCAAGCGAGATCATCGACGAAATCCAGAACGTCGATCCCCAAGAGCTCTCCCCCATCGGGGCCCGAATGGTGGATTTCCTCTCCCAAGTAATGCAGCCCCACTCCTCAATCGACTCACTGCTCCCGTCAAAAATCAACAAACCCCAGCCAAGTACAGCACAAAGCCAGCAAGACAAAGTGCAAACGGTGCTCGACTGGTTCGAAGACTGTGACGCCTGGATCCTCGATATAAAGAATGATCTTGAGCAAAGCTGGCTTCGGGAAGATGTGCTGAATGACATTCCCCTGCCAGAGATTTACACGCCTCTGAATACTTTCCTGTTTGCTCCGGCGGTGCATTTCATCCAGTGGCTGCTGTATTACTGGCGACGAAATGCAACTACAACAAACGCTCTTCCTTTCGAGCAAACGGCCATCGCGCCATATACGCCACCATTTCTGGTTCCGTTCCGATACTACTGCCAGAACCCACTACTTAGTCCCTCCTCGCACACGCTCAGATTCTGGAAGGCGTCTCGATATCCCGTGCGAGGAAGCTGGGGATCAGCCGAGATTCATGACACTGTTTGCAATTTGCTCGAAGAGAATATCCAGATTGCAAATCAAAGGATCTTTAACCATGGCGTGATGATGAATGCACAGCTCTCACAGGATCATTTATCTTCCAGCGTATCCGGATCATCCTCCTCCTCCTCGTCGTCAGCATTCTCGAGTCCTGAGCCTCCAACTCCGCGACCACAATCACGATTTCTTCACTTTGATATGACGGATTCAGCTATTCGTACGGACGGACAGAGCTCGTTTTCGCTACCTCTCTCGCTTACATCGACGTCGAGTGAAGCGGATACTTTGTCATATACCTGCACGTTCTGTACCAGCCCGAGCTATTTCACACTGGCAAAGGATCTGAAGAGACATGTTGAAAGTATTCATTCGAAGTCGAAGTTTTATTGTGAGGTAGAGAGCTGCAGTCGGGCAAAGGGGAAGGGGAGACCGTTCAATAGGGTTGACAATCTGGTTAGGCATGTTAGGAGTCGGCATGGGAAGCAGGTGGATAGGTATAGTTACAAGGATGGGAGGAATAGTTCTTCTTAATGCATCTTGATTGGAGTTTTGTGGAGTTCGTTGTGATACGTGGAGATGGAGTTGGTTCTTGGGTATCGACGGAGTTTCTTGGTGCTAGAGTATTATGTGTGGGAACTTGCGGGGATGGAGGCTGGAGTTGCGGTTTACTGTGCTATGAAATCATCGAAGTTCATATAGAATGAATGATTGAAGTTGTGAGAAACTGTATAACAACTTGAAATGGAATGGGACAGAGGGTAAAAGCAAAAATCACAAGACCTCTAGAGACAATGCGAGAATAGTATACCAATTTCATCTGTCATTTAATGAAGCCTGGAACATCATATCACTTCAGGCCAGTCCTCATCATCACTATCATCCATATCAAAGACCCTAACGATCTTCTTCACTGCAGGATTCAGCCTCAAATAAACCTCAGCACACCTCTCAGCTTCATATTGCTGCTGATAAGTCGAACCATTCGGCCCAGAAGCCCTGATTCCAAACCACTCCAAGCTATCAGGCATACGATCACTCCAGTAGTCGACCTGTCTGTCATCGAAAGACACTAAAGACGCAGCTTGCGACGCTTCCCATATCTCTGTGGTGTAGAGGATAAGTGGGATGTCCAAATATCTATACAATGTCACAGTCAGCGAAGTGTGAAAAGCATATTCAACAACGGGACGAACCTGAGCTGCTCAAAAGCCTTCAAACTTCCCATATAATTCTGAATGTTCCATGGGATGGGATTCCAGTCATTGCCAAAAATGGTCGTAATGTCAATGACCAACCGCTTCAAACTCTTACTGACTAAACTGAGCGCGGACTTGAGGACATTGCAATCAAGATACTGTTGTACTCCATCATCGTAGACTAACTCGCAATCGAGTTCTTCGAGAAGAGGAGTTGCGGCGAGGAAAGTCTGCAAGATGTGCTCGTTTATGTGTCCATGTCTTAGGGACAGCTTTCGGAGATTTAAGGCAACGGCAAATTTGCCCTGCCAAAAGGTCCCAGGTGAGCAGAAGGTGAGCGATAGTGACCTGATTGAGTCAGTAAGGCTCTCTAACCGATATGGAGTGAAGTCTGAAACGAATCACAAATTCTATGAATCTCCGATCGACACTTCTCTCCTCTCTAGTCAAAAAGAATGCGGTATTGAACTTACTCGAGCTTTTGAAACTTCAATATGTCTGGAACAGGTTGATAGGCATCAAAAATATCCTCGATATGGTGCTGATGAACTGTCCGCTGGGGTAAATGATCCGCACGATCGACAGAAAACATAACGCACTGGACATTAGGATATCGATAGTAATTAGGACCAGTTACAGAAGGCAAACGTAGCGCTTCGAATACCGTACTCCCAATAACAGAAGTATCTCGTAGCCGGATATCGATGTGTGTTAGACCAGATAGTCTCAAGAGTAGCAGACCGACAATGACGTCTAGTCTGCCTTTGTAGAGGCCATCGATCCAGTAGCTTTGCTGGGCGGAGGGGAGAAGCTCAATGCTTTTCTTGCAAGCCTCAAAATATTCATCGCTGAATCCACATTCTCGCGCTTGGTACGTATCCCACTAGGATTACAACCGTTAGATGATGCTCTCTCTGGGTAGATATTGCGATTGTGATTACTCTCAAATCTTCATGCCCACGAACGGACCCAGTGATATGAGACTTTCTTTCTCCTCCAGCTGAAAAGAAATATGAGAGAACTTACGAAGAGTCCATAATCAGGAGAAGGCGACAGCAGCTTGACCTTCTTCAAGTACCCAGCTCGTCTCGGCTGCTCAAGAATTGATCTGAGAAGCAAATACGGCGGCTGTTGGACAAAATACCCTGTAGGTAATTCAGTCCTACGTTTCCGCTTACTCCTTGTCAATGATCGAATATTATGGTTTCTCAAATTACTAGAACTAATGTTATATTGACATATTACGTTTAGGTAGATGGTTTGGGACGGCTTACCTTAGAAAGGGCATCCCAACAGAAGGTTTGGGTACCCAGGTGAAACTGGAGTATAGCGAAGGCTCGACGGCCCTGTTGAATGCTTTGTTGATAGTACTGAGCATGAGGAAGTCCTTCCGGACGAATCCGTATGAGAATATGATATCCCATAGCTCGTTGGGTAGTTTCAGGTAGGGGGGTGGGCGAGCCGCCATGGAACGCAGGTAACTGGGTAGGTACTCGATTCGTTGGCTTTTGATTGAAGTAGTAATATAGGGGAATTTAGATCTAAATAAAATTCAGACGCAGTTCGAAATCAATCGTAAATAAGTCCGTACCTGGGGTTGCAAAGATTGAGGGCAATTCTGAACAGCAGTGTGGCGTTTAGCTAGGAAGAAGTCGAGAAGTCAATAAAGAAGCATATAAGACTGGAAGGCAAATACGCCAGACTGTTCTTTCTGAATTACATATATGATATATGACTTGCAACTTTCCGTGGTTATTCCCGTCCGCAAGTTTTCTCATAACCATATATGTAGTCCATACCTAGTTGTCGTCAAGTGACGATGCGGAGTGAGTGACTCAACCACAAGAGTCAGGCCGCCTGAAGCTCCACCACAAGCGAGGCGGATTCAGGGGCTGGTTCGCTGTGCCGGCCGTGTGGCTTGGGAAGTCAGCCATTCCAGAACGGCAACACAGCCTTCGCTACTGGAAAACGCGGGCTGTGCTGCACCTGTCCGTACGGAACTGTACTTCGTATTTTGAACTTGTTTTGCAATGTCATGAAAATTCGTTCAAATGCTGGATTCGGAAATGTTGTGCTCTGCAGTGTAGAGTCATTTTATGAATCTTGAAAGCTTGCCAGGGGATTCATCACAGTCTCATTTGGAGAGCAATGAAATTACTCGACGAAGGACTTAAATAAAGCTAAATGATGAGCGATTGACTTAATTCCATCGAGAATGCAGCATGTTCAGCACAGCACCGTACCAGCAGATGGAATCAAATATACACGGAATCAGTCTTTCAATAACTTCCACGAAACCTTAACTGTAGCCTTAATTTATATTGCTTCATCTGATCAGTGATCATTCCAGAGCTGAATCTCACCCAACAGCGCCCCTAGAACTCTGTTTAATGCTCCTGGCAGAACTTAGAGTATCGCGAAACTTGTACGGCTTGAGGCGAAGACGGATTCCAAACTGGAGGCTTGCCCTTAAAGCTCGATGACCGCAAGCAAGCTTTGATCGCATTGCTTCTGTGCCATGTACCGAGCTCTTTCAGCATCGACGAGGCAGGTTCAGGTACGGATAGAACAGCTTCTACAGACTCGCTTGTTCTGTATTACAACAGAGCTTGGCCATGGCGCATCAATATAATTTAGAGGTGTCCGATGCGTCAAAAGGTACCGGAAAGTAATTGGGCGTTTTAATACTCTTAAGAATGCTCATTCCATTACTGGTATTGTTGATAGCAATTTACTTTGGCAACAAAACTTCTTTTGTTGACATTCCATCTGAAGAGCCGGCCTCGGCTGAAATGGCGGGGCTCCAACTGCCAGCAGCGAACAGCGAACAACCCCACCATCGACACCACCATCAAAAAAGGCAAACCAATCTAGCAACCCCTCCAGGCACAATTGCATCACCATCAACCCTCAATTCCACCTTACATCCACCACGCCTTCAACATGGCGACCCACGAACAACTCCCCTCGACCTCCTCTCGAGCACCCCTTGACCCTACCATAACCAATGCCCCAATCCGCATCGGCACGCGGCGGTCTGCCCTCGCCATGGTCCAAGCCGAGATGGTCGTCGCAGCACTCAAGGATGCGCACCCCGAGAATACCTATGAGATCCACGCCATGGCTACGATGGGCGACAAGAACCAAGTGACAGCTCTGCATGAGTTTGGCGCGAAGAGTCTCTGGACGCATGAGTTGGAGGCGCAGCTACTGGATGGGGACCTAGACTTCATTGTCCACTGCTTGAAGGATATGCCGACCCAATTACCGAATAAGTGTATTATTGGGTGTATCATGGAGAGAGAGGACCCCAGGGATTGTGTCATCATGAAGAAAGGGCTGGAGTATAAGACGTTGTTGGAATTACCAGAGGGTGCGGTCGTAGGAACGAGTAGTGTGAGACGGAGCGCGCAGATCAAGAAGGCGTATCCGCATTTGAAGTTTAAGGATGTGAGAGGCAATCTGGGAACGAGATTGGGGAAGCTGGATGCTGAAGATGGGGAGTACTCGTGCTTGATTCTGGCAGTGGCTGGTGTGGTGAGGATGGACTGGACAGAGAGGATTACACAGTACTTGGACTCGACGACGCCGGGTGGGGGAATGTTACATGCTGTTGGTCAGGGAGCACTTGCAATTGAGGTTCGGGAGGGAGATGAGAAGATCATGAAGGTATTGAAGGTCTTGTCGAACGAGCCTGCGACTTTGTCAGGTATTGCTGAGCGAAGTCTGATGCGTACCTTGGAGGGAGGATGCAGTGTGCCAATTGGTGTTGAGACGACGTGGATCGAGAGGGGCAAGCTCTTGATGAAGGCTATTGTAGTTAGTCTAGATGGAAAGGAGAGCGTGGCTGCAGAGCGATTAGACGAGATTCTCAACGAGAAGGATGCAGATGAGTTTGGGTGGAAGCTGGCGCAAGAGCTGGTCGAGAAGGGAGCTGCCAAGATCCTGGAGCACATCAATCTCAACCGACCCATCATCAAGGAAGCAGGTGGAGCATAGCTTGGCTAGAGGTTGCAATTACGATGAGCTTCATGTACAATACATAGAATGGCTGGCGAGGCGTGTAAGGCATGGAAAAAAGTGCACAAATTTAGCTCTCTCATGTCCATCCAACAATTCCAGCCCATTGCTTGCCCCCCTGTGCTGCTCCAACGCCGTTGTTCACTGTTGAACTGTGAGTGAGACCTCTATGTGCATAACCATTCCTATCCGGTCGATCAAGCATCTTCCGTGAATTCTTTGTATGCCTTCGCATCCATCAACGCCTCCAGACCCTTGATTCCTGCTTCGCCAACCTCGACCTTCGCAACCCATCCTCCAGATGACGACTCATCTTCTGGTCCCTTGTTGATAGTTCCGGGCTTCTCCTCCAGTAGGTCATTGACAGCAGTAATCGTGCAGGTAATAGGCGCATTGATGTCCGAAGCCGACTTCACAGACTCCACCGCTCCGATCGCATCTCCAGCTTCGACTTCCATTGGCGTCGTTGGAAGCTCGACGTAGACGACATCACCGAGAGCATGTGCAGCATAATCCGAGATACCAATGACGCCCGTCTTGCCATCCTCAGAGAGCTCAACCCATTCGTGGTCCTTAGTGTATCGCTTTGCTTGTGCTATAGAGACATCATATCAGTACTTGGCCATGCTACCACTTCCCGAGGTCCAAAGATGCCCTTACAAGCAGGAGAAGCGGAGAATGCTCGCGCCTGGAATTGTGAGGCTCGCCATGGAGCTGCACTGCTGCGGGATGCGGCTGAGAGACGGAAGGCCACCGGCCGTAGGGATCGTGCAATTGATGCCATTGTTGCTGGAGAATGGAACTATGGTGATGTCGCTCTCTGCGAGCCTCAATAAAATGTCCGTACGCCTTCCACAGACAAGGGTCAAGGCTGGGCTCGGTACTGTACAGTTGACTAAGCCGGGCTGAACTTCGACTCTCTTTGGAGAGGATTGAAGTGAATAGCAAAATTGTGAATTGCCTTACAATTTCTATGAACTATAAAGAGTCTCAGGTATTCTCTAAGTTCAATTAAGATCGAGCAGATCTCGGAGTTCGGTCCCCCAAATAATTGTAATGTAGGCAGACAATAATATCAACTGTGTTAAGTTTGTTTGTTTGGGCTGCCCTTTGCCCATACCTGCAGCCTTACTCGTAGCGACATCCGACATCCCACCTTAAAAGCATGAGAGGCCAAGCCAGGGTCATGGATTGGAGCGCCCATGGATATTATTGACTTGTTGATGTTGATATTGAGCTTGACAACGAGCCGCCCCTCCAAACAATCTCTCTTAAAATCACGATCATGCACGGCACATGCAAAAAGGAGCAAAGCTGCTGCTGAAGGTTTGATACGCATTTTCCTTGTCTTTCGTCCTTGGACCACTCATCGCGTCAAGTCAGCTTTCCATAACGCGTAGCGTTAGCTCAAGCGCCGGCAACTTCAGGCAAGTCGCGAGAAGACGCCGTCAAGGGGTCTCCACCTAGGTCCGAATCGCCTCAATTCGACCCAAACCGTGCATCAAAGCCCTGCAGTCGTGGCTCCACCTCCACAGCTCCCGTCTGACCTTGCACAACTCACGAATTTCACACGCTACTTATGTATCCATCAACACTGCACGTTTGATCACGACTGTCCAGCTGTCCTCCTACCACCACTCACCTCATCTCACCTTGCCTCAATCTAAATAACTCCGCCTGCCGTGCACTCAACACACCTCAAGTACCTGCACAAAACCGACAATCTGGATTCCTCGACATTATCGGCGGACAGCCCGTCTCAATTCCACGACGCCGTAGACAAGATGGAGTCAGAAGGGTACGACCCACGGCAGGAAGGCCAGGGCCAGGATGACACAATGGGCGGCACTGAAGAATCACATACTCCTACGAGACGACACATCCAGTCCCAATCCGCCGACTTCCCATCCTCACACCAGCAGCAAACATATTCCGGACCTCCAACACCAGACGTAGACCCCACTGGCAACGGCAGATACCCCACCCCGCCAACGTCCTTCGCACCTTCAATCTCTCGTCCCAATTCAGGTCTGTCTGGTAATGGGGGATACAGCAACATGCAATCTTCCTACCAAGACCAGAACGCCCGCGGTACATCGGCAGAGCAGAGTCGGAACAAGAACAGTGTTGTGATCAAGGTTGGCATGGTGGGAGATGCACAGATTGGCAAGACCTCGCTCATGGTCAAGTACGTTGAGGGTAGCTGGGACGAGGATTACATCCAGACGCTGGGAGTTAATTTCATGGAGAAGACGATTTCGATACGCAATACCGAGATTACGTTTTCCATTTGGGATCTGGGTGGACAGAGGGAGTTCGTGAATATGCTGCCACTGGTATGCAATGACGCCGTGGCCATTCTGTTCATGTTCGACTTGACGAGGAAGAGTACTCTGAATAGTATCAAGGAGTGGTACCGGCAAGGAAGAGGCTTTAACAAGACTGCGATTCCGTTCTTGGTTGGCACAAAGTATGATCATTTTGTGAACTTCCCTCGGGAAGACCAGGAAGAGATATCAAATCAGGTATTTTTTCCAACAACATTTCCTTAAATGCAACATAACTGACCTCTTGCCAGGCCCGCAGATTCGCGAAAGCTATGCGAGCAAGTCTGATCTTCAGCAGTACAAGTCACAGCATAAACGTGCAAAAGGTACACCTCTTCGCACCTCTCACTTTCCTGCCCCTCTATTCCATTTTCGACCCCACCTCAACGCAAATATCTCAACTAACCCTTCTCTTTCCCAGATCTTCAAAATCGTCCTCTCCAAAGCCTTCGACCTAAAATGCACAATTCCAGAAATAGAGAACGTTGGCGAACCGCTCCTGCTCTACCAACAAGTTTAATTCTTCCCTTTTTACCGACCACTTTCGCTCCACGTACACCACTCCGGCTCCAGAAATCACCACATCTTCGCGAACGAGTGGCACGCAAGCCAAACCCAAAACCCAAAACCCCATAATAATCTCTTCACGATCCCCACGGAATACAAAACACAACACAAGACACCATACAAACAAATAAATGAGACGAGAGACCTACACCAACCAACCTACCTGACTTTCTCGACTGAGTCGATTTGACCCGTCATACGAAATTACGCATCTGCACGCAACATCTGACTGAGTAAACACAACCACATGAATTTCACGAGCACGAGCATGAGCGCGCGCGCGAGAGCAGGAGTGAGAGCAAGCTAAAGAGAGAAAGAAAGAAGGAGAGTATGACGTGATGGAAAGCACAGGCACGGCATGGCGCGTGGGCAAGGATGGATGGATGGGTGGGTGGGCATTTTCTCCATTTGCACGAGCAACTGCGATTGCGACTTTTGCATTTTCCTGTACTTGTTGTGCGATGCGCCTCTTTTTTTCGGAAAAGGATGGCTGGCTGGCGAGACATGGCGCGAGATATGGAATGGAAATGGAGTAAACAGACGAGATTTTGATCATTGCCGAGTTCCTCTGTATGAAAACCTTTTCTTCTCTCAAGCTTTCAAGCCTTTTTTTCACATCTTGCTTGCTTTCAACAGATGCTCAGAGTAAAAGTGATTGTGCAAACCCATGGAGATAGGTAGTAGGAATGACCTATAATGATACACGTTACAGCATCACATCCAGAGTGGGAGCCCATGGATCCAGCGCGGCTGATAATTATACCCCTACACTCGCCTTGCCAAAAGTGACACCTTACTCCATGAAACCATCCTACCCTGTCCCAAACATCATCCACCGTTTCCCTTGCCTCTATGACCACGACTGCTCAGTCTTCTCCTTTGGAGGAGTTGTGAGCTTGCTTCAAAGCCCTGTGACGTTGTGTTTAACAACACCCGGACTTCGCGGATCCTCTTCACTACGAATGCCCTCGGATTGCTGCCCAGAACTACCGCCAGCAGTAGCAGCAGAGGACTCATTGTCTTGACCCTTCTGCTTGCTCGGCTTCTCCAACTCACCACTCTTCTGTGGCTTTTCTCGCTTGCCACCGTTCGCAGCAAGAACCTGCTCAAGAGAATATTGAGCAGAACCTGATCTGACAGGTACGGGCTTATTCTCACTGTTTGCGGTGACAGGAAATTGGGCAATAGCTTTTCGGTGTTGCTTGTGACGTCTTCTCTTCCGGCGAACGACTTCAGGGTTGGCAGGGTATTCGGTGCTGCCCCCAGAATTTGTCTCGCCACTCCCAGTGGCGCTGCCACTACTGATTCCATCTGCGGACTTATTTATCTCCTCGGTACGAAGCTGGTCATGATAGATGGGTCTTTGAGTTGCCTGACTGTCTTCGCTGTTGATTGTAAGTGCATTCTCCGCAACATGGTGAGAGAGCACTGGTGGAGTCGGGCAGCTGACGAGACGATGCTGTCTTGATTTTCCTTCGCCCTTGTGGTTGCGATCTATGTTATAACTAGTACTTCGGTGTCGAGAAGGAGAGCTTGGTGGCGTGTTCTCATCTTCGGAGCACTCGGCTAGAGTATGCTGATTACGAGGTCTATTGACTTGTAAAAGCTCAGTTGGAAGACTGGTTCTAATGCGATCTGTGAGTTCGTGCTGCTGTACCCTCTTCTCTTCTTTCTCATAGTAATCAAGAACAGCCTTGTCCACGGGGCAATCGGTAAAATCATGAACGTACGAGAGTTCCTGAACCGGAGGCTCATCCTCTGAGATAGGGACAGTATCACAGTCCTCGAGACGATGTTCTTCGGCAACACTAGGTGAGGAGGATTTCACAACCACAGTTTCACATTCTTCAATCATGTGCTGTGCGGGTCCAGATGCTTCCTTCTTCGTAGGTGATTCTTCCTCTACTGTGATACATTCTATGATCATGTGTTCCTGAGGCGCACTGGACGTGCTTTGCTCTGAGGATGGATGCTCAACTGTCGTACAGTCGACGAGAGCATGCTCAATTTGAACTTTGCGATTGTTGGTGTCATCTTCGATTTCGACAACATCCCTCTCCACGAGTGTATGTTGCTGGGACAGCGGTTCCAGAATCTCTCGGGCAGTGTTAGTCTCTCCAGGAGTTGACTCTTGCTTAGTGGATGAGAATTTGCCAAATATTCCACCTGTGGACACTTGATGTCAGTCTGCTATTTTGCATTTGTAGTGCAAAGTAATCTCAGGATACCCGCAGTGTAAGGGGGACTTGCACCTCAAAGCATGATCTCAGTGAAAACGAGAGATCCTGGAAACATACCTTTCTTGCTCGATTTTCCTGTCTTTGCAATCGGCTTCTCAATTGATGGCTCGTCTTGATATTGAGTGACTAAAATCTTAGGAGCACTTCTCACGAGTGCCTTCTTCTTCGCCTGCCGTTGAGATTCTAGTTCACGCGCACTGGGGCGCTTCTTTTCATCAACTTTACATTTTTGTCGATCGGGATGCGACTTTTTGCCAGCAAGGTTGGGATTAGTCTTCTTCCGCAGCTTCGGCGGTGCTTCAAGGTGTTGATTGGCTTGCCCTGTAGTATGATCCGAAACCAGATGAGGTCTATTATAAACCATAGGCTGAGCTGCTGTTGGTTGAGTATTGACAAGCCTATGTGGCTCTTCTTTGAGATATTTTGGATTGTATCTCATGCTCACATCCCCTTCTCGAGCTCGTATCTCTCGATCATTCTGCATCTGCGTACATGATGGACATATCATTCCGAGGGCAATATCGGAAGCACAATTACCCTTGATACCATAGGTGCCCCGAATTTGCGCTCTCTGGATGCCAGTGATAATCCCTGAAAGTCACCATAAGTATCAGCGACTTTGAATGCACTATAGGAACGCCGCTGGAAATGGGAATATAGAAAATACTGCTAGAGCTGTTCAGGGAGGAGCGCGATCTTACCAGATATGGGCATAGAAAGACAGCTTGCCAGGCCGCACCAGGCCCAACATGCAGTATTACAACCATTCTTCGACTTCCATGTCGAGTCCGATGCGTCTTTGCCTCGAACGATCTGTTTCAGCCGCCAATGGGTCTTTCCATACAAGGCGCAAGGGACCCAAAATCCCAGACAGCAGGTACTAAATGCCAACATCAGCACCTATGTCGCCTTTAGAGCACCAGAGGTCATTTAGGATATGCGCCCATGAGTCTTTGGATACAATCCTGATGGTACAAAGAACTTTGGCAGCACCCACCTGATATCACCTCGCGGCTCGACACAGAACTGGCTCATCCAACCATTGTAAGGCAGCCCCTCATTGCCACCATCCGTTTGTGGATGTGCCGATCGCGGAAGTGTAGCAGTATAAGCACTCATAACATGCCGATGGGCCATCGGGAATGGTTTTACTGGAGATGCTTGTGTGAGTTCGAGACTGACTACAGAGTCTCGGTGTATTGGCGTTGCTGCTTGAGCTTGTGGTGCCTGGGATAAGTCTTTGTTGAATGGAGCCATGCGGGTAGTGATCCTAATGATCGAAAGGCTGTTGCGTATCAGTTAGCAATCCTAAGTCAATAAAAGGGACGGCACTACCTTTAGAAAGAGTGAAATAGACTTGGACGTCTGACCTGCGACCTGGTCAGCTTAGAGAAACGCTAATGCCGAGCTTGATACGTACGATACAATGCTTTGTAGAAATGATGTAATTCCGGGAACAAGCAAAATAATATAGTCGGCAATGATGTTTGGGGACGCAGAGAAGAGAGAGAAGGAAAAGGAAGAAGTTCACATCCGGTCGATCGCACTTACTTACTTCTTGTACAAAGAGACTCAGGTCCAGAAGGGAAAGAGTAACGCAACCATGGCGGTTCAGTCGAAGGAGCACGCAAATAAAACTTCTTCATCGACATAAACATGCACTTTTGGACATTTACATTATATTTACAGTAAAGAAACATCCTCACAGGCATGCATTCCATTTTCGTTCATCCGAAAAAATCCCCATATTATAAGCAGAAACTGCGAGCTCTACTTCTTCTCCGGCTAGGAGCTTGTCGGCACAGCGTAAACTCCCTGAAAGAGGCGAAGCTATGAGAACATCGACGCACGACGAGACTGAAAATGGCTGTTAATGAATCAAGCTTCATACTTGCGAGCGCTTTGGATCAACAGTGCCCTTGACTTTGGCAGTGTCAGGTCCGCCCTCTGCCTTCTTGCTTTTGCTGGAATCGTTACCAATATCGGTGGAGTGCTTGGTATCAGTATTGGAAAGCCCTTCTTGCTTTGCGCTCTGGGAGTTCTTGTCACCGGTAGGCTTTGATGGAGCAGCCTAAACTTATTAGCCCGGGCCATATGTCCTCTATGAGTTAGCTTACCTCGCCATCGTCCTCTAAATCGGACTCTCCAGCCTTGGTACCCTTTTTGCTTTCAAGTTTCTTCTTGTTGTCTCCCTTCGCGTCTGGGGTGGAGGACTTGACGTTCTTTTCGTCTGAACTGTCCTTCTCATCATCGGATGTCTCGGGGGTATCGGCGTCCTTCTTGTCGTCCTCACTGTTGGACTCCTCAGACTTTTCACTGTCGTCTGTCTTCTCCTCGACATCATCAGACTTCTCCTCAGCTTCAGGCTCGTCCTTGGACTCTTCTTCAGCCTCGTCCTTGTGCTCCTCTTCATGCTTGTCGCCGTGATCGCCGTGATCTCCATGACCGTGAGAGGTATCTGGACTATTCGACAAGATCCACCAGCAGGCGGGTGCGGTCACTGCAATAGCTCCGGCTGCCCTAATGATGCTGTTAGCCAAAATTGCACCTCAAACACTGCAATTGTAAAACCACATACCAGATAGCATCACCTCCGGCCTTTGCAGATTCGTGACCTCCGCTGGCATAACCCCGTCTGGCGATTTGGCGGAAAACTTGAGGTCTGGAAGCTGTTGGTCTGGCAGCCCGGAAGCAGGAGCGCAGTACGGAGACTCTTGAGAATGCCATTGCTTTGAAATGACTGAACAGTTAAGTCCAGAGATACAATTGCTGTAGATTGTCAGTATGCGTTCTTGGATGCAATTGATGTCAGGGACGTACATTTGCAATTGGGTGAGAGAGAAGCTTGCGAAAGAAGATGGCTGGACTGGCAGCTTTCGGAGATGGATCGATCACGTGGCATTGCTAAATCCTTGGAAGCCGGCAAATCCCTGGAGCTCGAAGTGCGAACCCCACCATGTATCAACATCAAGTGGGAGTGTTCTCGCCTTGTCTTTGAGCAGCTCCCTGAACTCCTCGAAGGATAAAACAACGTCTTGTTTTGTTCCTGCACAAGTCCTACGGAATGAATTTCTGTGTGCATATGCAGTGTGAGTTCAGACAACCCAAATAGAGCTGGCCTCCCGCAGGCGCCTGCAGCTTGATCGCATATGAGACACCTCCAGGCAGAGAGCTCCATTCACTGACCTTTGAATTCTAGAATCTTGCCTTCCTCATTCACATACTCCAACACAACAACCACAAATACATGGGGACAAGCCCTTCTTCTCCCTCTACCTAGAATCCTTTTGGGCCTACATTTTCGCTTTCTTCAACCTAGATACCACCATCATGTCGTCGAACCAAGTGAACCAGAACCCCACCTCGCAGACAGTTGCCCAACTGCTCCCCAAGCTCCACGATGCCGACCCAGACTACCGGTTCATGTCATTGAACGATCTCTGCCAAATTCTTACTATTGCGAAGCCGGATTTCCTCCATAATGACTACAATACTGCTGCTCGAGCTGTTGATGGTATTCTGAAGACTTTGGATGACCAAAATGGAGAGGTTCAGAATTTGGCAATCAAATGGTATAGAGTACTATCTACAGTGGTTTGTTGTTCACAGCTAACGTGTCAAAGTCTCGGTCCGCTCGTCACAAAGATTCCTGCTAGTATCCTGCCACCTCTAATTGAGAAATTATCGCTCCTCAACACGGAGAACTCGGTCGACAATTCCATTCCCGCGATGGCTCTTCGAACAGTTGTGACAACACTACCACGACCCGTGAGCGGTGTTGCGCCTACAAAGGAGGTTACTGAATCCTATCAGGCGCTCAGCAGAGTTCTGATACCAAGACTCATCGGACGTGTGGTTTTGAAACAAGCATCAAAGAACAATGTGAAGCTCCCCTCCGCACCAGCTGGCATGTTGGACCTGGAATCGAACAAAGAGATAGATGCAGAAGCAGTAGATGTTCTGATTGAAGTTGTTAGATGTTACGGGCCTATGTTACAACAACCCGAGGTGGAGGCTCTACAAGCTCTTCTAGTCGCTATTCTGGAAGCTGAGAGAGCAAGCTCGGTAGTCAAAAAAAGAACTGTTGTTGCAGTGTCCATATTGGCAATCTATCTCACCGACGATGGCTTGAGTGGCTTTATATCTCAGCTGATTGAAAGTCTGCGAAATCCACATCTGACACTCGTTCAACGACGACTGTACATCACAATTCTTGGATCTATGGCCCGTTCTATTTCATCAAGATTCGGCCCATATCTTAAAACTCTCGCTCCCTTTGTCTTGTCTGCTCTCAGCCAACAAGAGCTAGACGACCAAAAGGAGAACTCTGCTGAGGACGGGGAACCAGACCCGGAAACAGACGACGTCCGCGAAGCAGCACTGATTGCGCTGGATGGCTTCCTATCTTCTTGCGGTGGAGAGATGCGTACTTATACCGAGGAAACAATATCCGCCCTTCTCCGTTTTCTCAAGTATGACCCAAATTACAATGACGATGACGACGAAGAAATGGGTGGTACTCAGCCAGATGAAGATGATATGGACGATTTCGATGATGACGATGATTTTGAAGCAGAAGCCGGATTTGATGACGATGACGACGATGCCAGCTGGAAAGTTCGACGATGCGCCGCAAAGGCTCTCTATACACTCATATCGACACGTGGAAGTGGTGATCTGCTCGACGATGGCACACTGTACTCACAGGTCGCGCCCATTCTTGTGCAGAGATTCACAGAGCGAGAAGAAAATGTACGTCTCGAGGTCATCTCTACACTTGCCTCACTAGTTCGCAAGACTGGAGAAGGAATTCTGGTATCTTTTGCTGTTGATGAGGGTTCTGATTATGTCAACCACCCGCCACAAGGTCGAAAGCGTAGAAGAGAAAGCAGCACGACCAACTTCGACACCAAGGGTCTGCTTTCAATGTCCGCTGGTCTTATCTCGCCGACTATCGAACCTGTTCCAGCGTCTGGACCTCGAGCTGACCTAGCTCGCTTGAGCCCCGTCCTGATCAAGACAACGACCAAGCTACTCAAGGGAAATTCAATTCCAACGAAGCAAGCATTGATCAACCTGTTGGATGATGTGGTCTCTGTCCAGAACGGCGGCTTATCCGAATACTTCGGCCAAATTGTGGAACCATTGATTGACGCAGTGAAGACCACATCAGGTACAACAAGCTCTTCCACCATGATCAGCAGCGGTGGAGCTGCTTCGGCCACCGCCAATACTTTACGAGTTGCGGCGCTCCACTTGATTGGTGACATTGCATCAACACACTCTTCCAGTGTCTTGCAACCATACCTTCCCAAGATCATACCCGGTGTCGTATCAGCTGTGAATGACAAATACTACAAGATTTCCAGCGAGGCTATTGGTACTGTCGAGCAGCTTGTCAAGGCGCTTACGCCGCCCCGATCAAGACTAGCACACCAGAAGTATCAATCAGATCTCCAACAGCTTTACAAGGTCATCGTCAGTCGCGTGTCTGCAAACGATGCTGATTTGGAGGTCCGTCAACGCGCGATTCAAGCTCTCGGTATTCTACTTGCACGCACTGCAAGCCCTGAAGGCTCAGCGCTTCTCTCTGCTTCTGATCGGACTTCTGCACTTGACCTTCTGAACGAGAGACTGAAGAACGAAACCACTCGACTTGCCGCTGTGCACGCAATTGACACTGTTGCTGCTTTGACTAGCAGCAAGGATCAATTACAGCCAAAATGGATTAGAGAGGTTTCACTGGAGCTCTCCGCTCAGCTTCGAAAGGCTAATCGGTCTCTACGAGGTGCCAGTCTTGCGGCTCTGAAGAACTTGGTAGTTGCACCAGCCAGTCGGAGTGCACTGGATGCACCCACAATTCAAGGTCTCGTCAGCGCTCTATTACCGCTTCTTACAACCTCGGATCTTCATCTTCTTGGTCCAGCGCTCCTTGTTCTATCGGCGTTAGTCGCCGATAGCCCAGATCTTGTTGTCACGGATCAACTTAATGCTGGTCTTTGCGAGCTACTAACTGCGCCATTAGGTGGAGCTGTTCTTGAGGCTGTCCTCACCTTAGTCACGAACATCGGTCAAAAGGGCGCTGGCGAGAAGCTCATGGCTGGACTCCTGCAGAATGTAAGCATCAACGGAGACCCAGCTGTTGTTGGAAAGGTCATCGGTACTCTTCTGGTCTATGGTGGCCCTTCTGTTGGTGTCAAAATCGACAACTTCTTGCAAGAAGTCGTGAATCCAGAGTCTGATGACGCTCGGAGATGCCTTGCACTTGCCGTCCTCGGTGAAGCTGGGTTGCGAATGGGTGCAAAGTCTCCACTTCAGCCATCGACTTTCACAGGACAGTTCAAATCCACATCTGATAAGGTTCCACTTGCAGCTGCGGTTGCTCTAGGACGTGCAGGTGCAGGGAACACTGCGATCTACTTGCCGGAGATATTGGCGATAATGGATAAGGGTGGAAATGCTCAGTATCTACTTCTGCACTCTATCAAGGAGATTCTCCAGCAAGCCAGCCAAAACTCGCTCGATATCAGCAGCTACACAAAGGCAATCTGGGGTCGCCTATTGAAGGCATCTCAATCCGAGGACAACAAGGCTGTTGGAGCAGAGTGCATTGGAAGAGTAGCTATCATCGATCCAAAAACATATATGCCGGAACTGAAGGTAAGTCCCTGTAAATTTATTGATGAGCTGTAGAACTAATAGCTTTAGGCATACCTAGGCAATTCCTCCCAAGCAGTCCGAGCAATGGCTATTCAAGCTATTCGATACACACTGGCCGAGAACGATGAGATATTCGATAACGTCCTGCACTCAGTCCTGATCGAGATGCTTATTGTCATGCTTCGTGATACAGAACTTGAGAACCGCCGACTTGCTCTTACGACACTCAACTCTGCAGCTCACAACAAGCCTGACTTAATAATTCCAAACCTCGGTGTTCTTATGCCGCTTGTTATGCACGAGTCAAACATCAACACTGCTTTGATCCGAGAAGTTAACATGGGTCCCTTCAAGCACAAGATTGATGACGGCCTCGAGGTCCGAAAGGTACGTGTGTCCGCCTGCTCGCAAATTTATCTACTGACATTTCAAACAGAGTGCTTACGAGACCCTCTATTCTCTCATGGAAACCGCATTCTCCCGTCTCAACATCGTAGACTTCTACGACCGCATCATCGCTGGCCTCCAAGACGAGCACGATATCCGCTCCCTCTGCAACCTTATGCTCACCAAACTCATCGTCCTCGACCCTGATGAGACAGCCCGTCGCCTCGACGCCATCGCCACCTGCTACCGTCAAATCATCTCCATTAAGCTTAAAGATAATGCAGTCAAGCAGGAGCTCGAGAAGCAGGAAGAGGCCGTCAAGAGCTGCTTACGTGTCTCGCTCTTGCTTCATGCTTCTGTCCCTGGTGCAAGCAGTGTTGGCGGCCCACAATCTGGTCATCATCAAATTTGGCACACTTATTGGGAGTGGATCGAGAAGGATTATGAGAACTCGCTGAAGGCTTTACGACAAGAGGGTAAGGAGTCCTCGTATTGAGCGACCCGCTTAGCAGATTACAACCTCAATGGCGGGGAGTGAAAAGGAAGCCAGATCCTGGGCTTATTATAGATGACGATATGAATGAACGAACCAATGGATGAGTGAAGCATGCATGTAATTTTCGCTTATGGTTGAGCGAGAATGGGGTTGTGAAGGTGGCCATCCGTCCATAGCTTGCGTTGCATAATTAGCGAATTTTTCTCCAAGCTGTCTATCCGCATTGCAGTGTGGAGCGCTGTGGCCAGGCACTAAACTCGAAAATGAGAAATGCTTTATCAAGAACTCTTTACGTGCGTCTTGCCACGTGACGAACTGTGCTTATAATTAGTCTTTCTAATGCTCCTTGAGAATAAAATAATTGATCTGATCACCTTCAAAATGAGATCCTAATCGAACATGTTTGTTGACACTTTCCATCATTGCATATGCGAGAAGTAGCCGGAGAAAAGTTGGTTTGAAAATCATCATGGCTTCGCTCAGCTAATTACACACATACATATATACTTGAACTCCTCCATCCTTTCTTACTTCCTTGCCTCCTTCACTTTCTCCCTCCCCTCCTCCTCACTTTCCACTCTTCCAAATATTTAACATAGAACGAAGTGGGGATCATCGAAAAGCAGTTCGCGCATAGCAAAAGCAAATCAAATCAAAAGCCCGCAGCCGATGCATAAACGCCAAAGAACATTCCAAACTTGAGTTTTCTCGTAAAGGCCAGTGCGTGTATGTGTGTGTTTTCCCTTGTTCCTTTCCAAGCGCCGAATCAATGAACGAATGTTGTGAGTATGGGGGTATATGTAGCTGTGTATTAAACGATTGCATGAAGAAGTGAAGATATTGGATCCGGAACGCGATGTGGAGAGTACGTATTAGGGGACTGACGTATTAATTAGGCGTGTATTGCGTGAGGTGTGGAAAGAAGGGTTGGCAAGGTGATTTAGGTTGACGATTGATCTATCAAGGATCAAAACCTGCTGCGACACCAGGAGCAGGTCCCTCCAAATCCACAGCCTCGACCGTATTCCTGATGCGTCCCGTTTCATTGACCAGGTTTCCGAAATACTTCCTCGCGACCTCACTCTCGCCCCTGATTTTCTGAGTCTCTTCTCGCTTACTACCTAACTGCTCAACCGATCGCTGTAGACCAACTCTTAGATTGTCGGCTGGGAAACGAAGGACTTTGCGGACGGAGGAGGTGATGCGTGTCGAGTTCGCGTGTACGTAGTCGATCTCTGCGAGCTGAGTGCTGATCTTGGTACTGAGGCGATGGGGTAGCGAGTGAGGGATCTGAAGAAGGACGTAGTAGGTTGCTGCAATGGCTGTGGCGACAACTCCGGGTATGATCAGTTTACGCAGGTTATTATTTCCGACAACTTTGACTGCTCCCATGGCACCATCTACCCAGCCGAAACCCCCAACCATCCGACTTCCTACTGCCGTGGCGACAGTAAGAGCCATCCCTGTGCCCGCCACCTTCTCCTGCCGCTGCAGAATAGTGTGCCAATCGAAGAAGTCCCAAAGTTCCGTCTCAATCTCAACTTGGCGGGCTAGAACGTCACGTTTACGGCGGAACATGACATCGCTGCGAAAGCTAAGGTCTGTGTACTCATCTCCGAGATGTAGGAGTCCGAGTTGTTTGATGGAACTCACACCTTCCACGGTCTTCTGGCGGGCGTGCTCTTCGCAGATTGTGACAGAGGCGGAGATCTGGGAGAGCATGGCTTCTTTGATATCATCGGCATACTGGAAGACACTGAGAAGACCAGGGTATGGAACTCCAAGGTCCTCGTCAGCTGCTTGCGATATCGAGGCTGTGAGAGTCGATCTGGTGTGGTCATAGATGTCTTTACAAGTCGCCTCGATGGTTCTGTCAATATCGTCACTAACCTCGGCCTTAGCCTTCTTCGACGCTTCCAATAGTGGTTCCAAGTCGTTCAATTCCTTGGTCACTCGATCGAGCTCTGATTGTGCCACCTCCTGGTTGACAGTGGCAAGCGTCTGAACGTCTCCAAGAACATTCAGCAAGTAAGTTTTGGCTGGAGCTAATTTCGAACGTGCTCGCTTCTCGAGAACAAATCGTCTCAGTGACTGTTCGAGAGCCTCGAAATCTTGAATCTTCTCCTTGTCCTTTCCTTTGCCTTTCGGATCCGAATCGTCGAAATCTGGTCCATCTCCACCTCCACTCGAGCTTCCACTTCCACCTCCTCCATTTCCTCCAGGTGGCGTTGGTGCTGTTGGAATAGCGTTACTCGATACAAAATGTACTAGTTCAGCAGACTCTTTAAATGTCCGTGGGCTGAGACCGTGGACCTGCTCCAAAATCATCTTTTGGCACCTGTTTTTATCCTTGATGTTGTCATATCCATTGACAACAATGAAAATGTAGGCTTTCTCTGCTGCTGCCGCCCAAATAAACTCCTTGGCTGTCATTGTGAAATGATTTGCAGCTGAAACAACGAATACAACAACATCAATTTCTTCCTGTCGAGCGAACAATGCCGTCGTTTTGGTCGTATCCAGGTTCAATCCTGGCGCATCGATAATGGAGATATCCACAACACCGTTGTTCAGCAGGGATTCGTCGATTGAGCGAACATCCCTGACATAGACTTTACACTGCGTGTACGTCTCGTGGTCAGTGACAATCTTCTCCAAGTCCAACAGGGTGAAGACATCGTATGTGCTCTCATCGTGTCGATTGTAGGTCATGTCTTTGTGGATCGCATGAACTTCCTCCACCCCACCATTCTCCCTAGCATCCAAGACTTCGCAAAAAATACTCGTACATGGTTGCTGATCTTCGGGTAGGATCTTTCTCCTCAGGAGAGCGTTGCAAAATGTTGACTTCCCAGCGTTGAGATCCCCAGTAACCAGAACTTTACTCGATGTGTCCTCTATCCGCTCTCGTAGATTCAGCAAGTGCTTGATACTTGAACTGATCTTTCCATCCAATAATGAAGCTATCGAATTCTTCTCCAACGAATGTACTAACTCAGTCTGATGTAGAGCCCCCAACTTCAAGTCCAGTTTTAATATAGAGAACTCTTGAGCGATTTGTGGTGTGATCAATCTTGGTTCGGGCACTGGTCGTTGTTCTGCTTCTTTGCTTGATTCTGCGTCTGCCGGCTCCGCACCGAATGTTTGCGAACGCCTTGCCAGCCCTGGCCGAGGCGGTGCTATTTCTTGAGAACCAGGACCTGTAGTTTGTGTATGGACGAGACCTGGTCGTGGATCTTGTGCTCGAGGTTGTGCTGCTTGGGCACGTTGAACGGAAGGATAGGTTGCTGGCCAGGACGCATTCATCTCCTGCAGAGACTTCAATGACTCTACCACCCGATTTATTGACCTGGCCAGAGTGACTCGGTGTTGGTTATACCATAATTGATGTATGGCGTTCGCTTGCACCCTTCTGTCTGCATCTGCCGATTCTCCCATGCCCCTCGGCACAGGGGAATGCATGGGCGTAGGCCTATCCTCAGTCAGAGTTGGATTCCAAGTCGGCGCTCCATTGAAGGTATCCCCAGCTATGCTTCCTCCGTACCCTGAGTCGTTGTCTAGGAGCGCCTGCAGACGTGCAGCGCTTTCTGATGTGGATCCTGATCCGACCGTCATATATTGAGGCCGATTCGATGACTTTCGTCTGTCGTTGCTCGAACTCGATTCCTCTTGTGGGCCGGCCTTGCCCTTTCCATTTTTGTATTCCTGGCTCATCGTGGCGGTATGTTGAACCATTCATATGTGTTGAGTAGAATATCTCTTTGTTGTGGTTTGGTCTGATGATTCAGGGAGGCGAACAAATTTAGCGTGGAACGTGCGGATCCTTGTGCTTTCGGTTTGCTGTTTGTCCAGCCTTCATGCCTGGGGAATAAAACAAATGTCGGAGCTCATATTTTCCCTGAAGTCAATTGAATATCATTAGATCCTCTGCTATGTCTTGCATTAGACCTGTGACAATTTGATTAAGTCATCGTGAAAGAAGTACTGTAATCCGCTTGGAACATGATTTAGAGCCAAGCTTCTGCGATAGCGAGAACAATGACGGAAGGAGCGATAGGCACCACAACCCACCTCAGCTACCAGTTCCCCAAAAACAACCTACCATCCAGATCACCATGAATGTATGATTTCAGGCTATTGCGCAACTGATCCAGCTAATAATTCACAGATTGTCGAATGGGCATTTGGAAAACGTATGACCGCAGCAGAGCGGCTCAGAAAACATCAGAGATCTCTCGAGAAGACGCAGCGGGAACTGGACCGCGAACGAGTCAAGCTTGAGAACCAGGAGAAGAAGTTGATACAGGAGATCAAGAAGAGTGCGAAGAATGGGCAGATGGGAGCATGCAAGATCCAGGCAAAGGATCTGGTGCGGACGAGGAGATACATTGAAAAGTTCTACTCCATGAGGACACAGCTGCAGGCTATTTCGTTGAGAATCCAGGTATGCGACTCTCAGGAATTGCTAGGAGCTTATGCTAATTCTAGAAATAGACTGTCCGCACGAACGAGCAGATGATGCAGGCGATGAAGGGTGCGACAGGTGTCCTGGGCAACATGAATCGAAGCATGAACCTACCGGCTTTACAGCGGATAGCGATGGAGTTCGAGAAGGAGAACGATATCATGGACCAGAGACAAGAGATGATGGACGATGCGATCGACGATGTAACCGGCCTTGAAGATGAAGCCGAGGGAGAGGAGGTAGTGGAACAAGTTTTGGAAGAAATTGGAATTGACCTCAAGAATGCTGTACGTCTTGCGATACCCTTCATACTTAGCCAGTTGCTGATAAATTTTACAGATGGGAGAGACTCCTTCCGGCCTTCAAAGTACCGCTGTGCCAGAAGGACGAGTCGCACAAGCTATCGGCGGTGGTCCTGGTGGAGGTGATCCAGGAGATAATGATCTCCAAGCCAGATTGGACAGCTTGAGAAGATGAGTTTATGATAGCGCGATACACTGCCGGCGTTCCCTCGTCTTGAGAGTAGGAGTTAGGGGTTCACATTTTTCTCATAGTCAATACCTTCTTCTTGCTTCTTGACTTTCGTATGCCGTCCAGCGGCGATCATATCGCCTCTCCGTGTGCTTGCAGGTATATCACAAAACACTTTCGAGTGCTCATAAGGCCCAGGAACTAACTACCTGGCACTCACTTCCATTGTCTCTTGGGCCATTTCGTGGGATTCTGGACTCTGGACGATGGAGAATTGATATGATAATCAGAGTGCTGGTGCTGTTTCATCGCTTCCTGCAGCATGTCGGCACACTCCCACATCATTGCTATCCTTCGGACCAAAACATCCCACCCACCCCTTCATCCCCTCTATCCAACCAGTGTGCCGGAGCCGACGGCGTATTGTAGACCGATCCTCATAATAATTGCCCGTTGAAGGGACGAGTGTGGGGAAGTCTTCCACTAAAAGCTTGCTGGATATCATGCCGAATTGGGCATGCATTGCACAGCCTACAGCACCAGGGCAAACAGAACAGACCAGACCAGACCAGACTCTTTCTCTTCTATTCCTTCGCTGACATCTCGCTTTTCTTCCCTTTCGTCCTGTCGCTGGATAATCTGCTGTCTAAGTTTCACGACTATTTGCATCGCGCCAAATTCCCTTAAATCCGGTCCGTGCTACTCTTACACGATAAGCTGTGCCTCTTGACCCCTCGTTGCCATAGAAGACTGCGTCCAAAGCCAGCAGTCCACAGCCCCTGCTACTATCATCTACTGAAACACTCTGTGTTTTTGTGCAGGCCAAAGTCTTTGGGCATCGACACAAACGCCCTCTTTCAACGAAGCTATCCATAACGGCTTTGTCCCAAGATCTACGTGCCTTAGCCACAATTGCGACGTACCTGCGAGAACAAGTGCCGCCAGTGAACCAACGGGCATTCCGGCAACTTCAACCGTTTCCCAAGTCCAAGAACCACTTTCTTGATCCCTGGATCAGATCTTGACCCCAGGTTGAGCCTCAGACGACAGAATACCAAGCATAGGCGTGGGCTCCTTTCTATCATTTCCATTCCGTGGGCGCGGCGCGTGCTGCAAACAAAGGCGGTTTGTTTGTACTCGTACCCCACATTGCACGTCGTCATAGGCAGGTTCGAGGCTAACGACCTGATCCAGCGGCCCAGCCTACCCACTCGCCGATTGCTTCAACCTGCAAGCACCTTCTCACGAAACAATAACCAGACACCCTTTTAACTTCGCACGCGTCGACGAGTCAATAATTGTAAGGTTTGGCTTTTGCAGACCGTCAACCCAATCATATCTCGTTCCGGTCCTTCCAGTCTCTTCTATCCTGCACATCTCCAACGAGCATACAACTCCTCTCGGTTTCCCTTGCGCGCTCTTCAGTCTCTGTACGAGACGCGATTCCAGAAATCTCCAAAGTGGCAGGTAGTAAGCGGAGGAGCTTTTCCTCCCAGGGAGGTCTGCTAAACAGAATGTTTGGCAGCTCTGGGTCCCCGCCAAAGGAAAGTGGAGTGCCAGCGACTCAAGCAGAAACTGTCGTTCCGATCACAATGGACTCTCCGAATGCGCAGAAGCCTGGGGAGGATAGCACAGCTGGCGAGAAGCGCAGTGGTAATGGAAGCCCACCAGGCCGTCAAGCCGCAGAAACCGGCGCGACTGTTGAGAAGAAGCGCAGGAGTAGTGGGGTGGGGGGAAAGGCCAGCTCTCTGTTAGCCAGTGCGAAAAACTCTCTACATTTCGACAAGAGTCCCAATTCCGCCAGTTTCATGCGAAGTCAGGAGCCCAATACTCAGACGCCTCTTCAGAAGCTCGGAAAGCAAGATCCGGCGCTTAGCGTTCCTCAAGGTCAACACAATAATTCTGCTGGAGAGTCCGTACCCGGTCCAAGATCTACATTTACGGTTGGTGTTTGGGAAGACAAGAACAAGAAATGCCGCCGTACTATGGAAGACACCCATGCTTTTCTCTACAACTTTTTACATACCCCCGCTCCAGCCTTGGGTCCTGAAGCGCCCAGTACGAAGTCAAAGTCCAGCGAGGAGTTGGTTCAGAACGAGTCAACCCCGAGTCTTGTACCCACAACTTCTTCAAGTGAGATGATGGAGACTGACAATGGCTACTTCGCTATCTTCGATGGTCATGCTGGTACATTTGCTGCTGATTGGTGCGGAAAGAAGCTTCACATCATTTTGGAAGAGACAATACGAAAGAATCCAAATACTCCAATTCCAGAACTCCTGGATCAGACTTTCACAATCGTCGACGCACAGTTGGAGAAACTACCTTTGAAGAACAGCGGATGTACTGCAGTCACTGCGGTTCTCCGATGGGAAGATAGGATACCAAACGCCCAATCCGCCACTGGATCTACTGCTATTGCACCAGCGACCGCAGCTGCAGTTCAGGCCCAAAACGATGCTTCAAAGGGCGACGAGAAGTCTGGAGATAGTGGAGTTGACATGAGCAAGTCTCCGCCCCAAGCCAATCCAGTGTCAAATGCAGCTACTGCTCCTGGAAGCAGCGAAGCGACCCATGCCCGACTTCGAACAACTGCTTCGCGTCAACGTGTTTTGTACACTGCAAATGTCGGGGATGCGCGGATTGTTCTATGCAGAAACGGCAAGGCCCTGAGATTATCATATGATCACAAGGGCAGTGACGAGAATGAAGGCAAGCGAGTTGCCAACGCTGGAGGTCTTATCCTCAACAACCGAGTCAATGGTGTACTCGCTGTTACCCGTGCTTTGGGAGATTCGTACATGAAGGACCTTGTGACTGGCCATCCTTACACTACCGAAACTGTCATTCAACCAGACCTCGATGAATTCATCATCCTTGCTTGCGATGGCGTAAGTCAATTATAAAAACATTTTCGAGACTGATTGCTAATATGATCTAGCTGTGGGACGTTTGTTCCGACCAGGAAGCCGTAGACCTCGTCCGCAATCAACAAGACCCTGTGGTTGCTGCTAAACAACTAGTTGATCATGCCCTTGCACGATTTAGCACCGACAACCTCTCCTGTATGATCGTTCGCTTCAATAAGTCAGCCCTCTTGACCACAACAAAGGAGCCATCTTCCGCCATCGGTGTAGAAGGAGATCCTAACTCAGTCTCTGGCAGGATTTCTGAAACAGAAAAGATTGTTGGTGACGCGCGAAGAAAGGTCCAGGAGGACGGCGTTCCAGGTATCGGCATCAGCGGAAGCAACAGTGGAAAAGGGCACGATCCAGTGGCCATTCCGGAGTCAGATGAGACTGTGAAGCGAATGAACATGGAGAAGGTTGTCGAGGAGGAACCAGGTCTTGTTGAGAGTGACACACCAGAGATGGATCCAAAGGGCGCTGAGGCAGCAAGTCCTGAGACGAGGAAAGATCTCCAGTTACCTGAAGGAGCACCGAAATGATACTATTACGTTTCTCCGAGGTGTTACAGCACTGGCGAGAGAGTAAAGGCTGCGAAAATTTTCCTTGAATCGATTATTTAACGGGCACCCACGGCATGGTTTCTTCGAAGCGAACGCGCAAACGACTTCTTTATTTATTTTCTCGGCGGGCTGGATCCATTGGGATGAATGGATGGGTGAGAGAGATTTGTGTCAGGTAATACGCGGTATGCGTCTTGAGAGTGTGGTGGAGTGGAGTGGAATAGAATGAGATGTCTAGCATTGTGATGTGAAGTGAATGAATCATGAAAGGGGTGATTGGGCAGGATGCGGGTAACAGAGAAAACGATACATACATGCACCTTCTCTATTTATGTATGATTAAAATGGAAGGAGTCATCGACTGCAAGGTGGACCATTCAGGTGATATCTCGTTGGCTGTATGCTTGGTAGGTGTTGACAATTACTGAGGTAATTTATCATGAGACAACTTCCATTGTATAATCATAAGCCTCCCGATCTCAAGAGTCGTGTAACTCAGTCAACTTCATAGGCTACTTTCCAAAAATCGATCTTGACAACTTCTGCTCACCAATGTGATTCATGGCACGCAAGGTGAAGATAGAAATGCTTGCCAAGGTGTGCTGATGCTGGAAGAGAAAGTGTCATATATATGGCATATGTGTCCTACCAGTCTAGGCCAACCTTCTCTGTTACTATTCTTTTCTTATCTCTCCTTGAGAATTCAAATTCTCTACAGCTTGCCAAATGAATTCACAGGAAGCAAGATGCAACCTCGCTGGTCTGTTATGGCGGAAAACCATACTTGGAGCTGAAGAGGCGGTGTAAGTAAGGCTATTGAACTGACAAACCGTGGATGCTCAAAAAATAGCTCCATATACTTCGCCCAGCTCATCGGTTCCGCTGCAGAGCTGGCAAGAACCGACATATCTGTTTACCTTTCTATGCTAAGCGAGTTAGAATTGAAGACCCCTGTATTCAAAGTCTTGACGTCACGTGGCACTGTTTACATTTACATTTAGGCAGCATACTCCAAAAGATATTCCTTCTCACGGAGACATCTAGGCACCTACATGACTCACCCACTATACAGAAACAAAAGAAAGGCATCTTATCTGAAGTCGATCTATGACTCCTCACTTTTCAACAAATCTCTCATTTCGTTTTCTGCGTATCTCGATTTGTTGGCACAATGCTACCAAAGTCCTCGAGAACATCAAATACATGCAAACATGAATCTCTCTGCTTCACAAGCACATCCAATGCCCAAAAATTTGGGTATTCGCGTCCGAATCTCGAAAAAAGACTCGCGGCCGCTACCCCCAATAGAATCTTAAACCCCTCACGAACTCCCCAGGATGACGATGATAGTAGGGATAGCAAAATCTACCCAGCACCGCTTGTCCTCCCCTCCTCAGAAATTTCACTTTACCCCCACGAAGAAGGCCAATCTCTCCGGTCGTGGCTGAAAAACAATGGTGTGAATAAGATCACGCCGGAGCGGAAAACGATATACATCTCCCTTCCGCCGGGGTTCGGTGAGGATGTGAAGTTCATGAAGGGGTGGACAATGCCGAAGGGGGCGACAAAGAGCGCAAAACGAGGTTTGGGGCTTGATTATGAGCTTGTTGCGAAGTATGTGGAGGCTTTCTATCATGGATTGGAGGTCAAGGTTTTGCCTGACGGGTGGTTCTCGTGGATACTTGATCAAGATGAAAGCTCCGGGAAGTCTGAAGGAAGGGCAAAGGCAAAGACAAGTTCGAAATCTAGGTCTAGATCAAAGACCAAATCCCGGTCCATAGATCTGGAGACTGAGCCCGAGGATCCTCAAATCGGTCTTCGCTCTAAAGACAGCACTGAATATACAGTCGTTCGCTCACGTCCGACGCCTAACTATCCATACTCCAACCAGTTGAACTTGAACGATATTCTAGACTTTGCAATCGCAAGTCTACCAGATGATGCATATGCGCTGCTTATGCTACTCGAACACGATCTGTACGAAGACGATGATGATGAATTTGTCTGTGGGAGAGCGTACGGCGGTAGTCGAGTCTCAGTTATGAGTGGTGCTAGATATTGGCCTGGGTTTGATGAGGAGGAGAATGTTGAGAGGGTTCATGGGTGGCCGGCATCGCATTGTGAGGCGCATCTTGATACGTTCCTAGGCGAGGAGGGAACTACAAGAAAAGGCAAGGCGCAGACAACAAAAGGTGACTTGGTGGATCTTGATGCTGGTACGACTTCGCAGTCGGAGAAAATGACCCCTCTCCACCGAGCAGTGCAAGTCTATATTGCACCCAGCACACCCAAATCCCTCACACTCCTCCATCTGGCCCGCATAGCACGTACCGCGTCACATGAACTGGGCCACTGCTTCGGGATAGGGCATTGTACATACTACGCCTGTATCATGCAAGGCAGTGCCGGTCTAGCAGAAGATGCAAGCCAGCCGCCATATCTCTGTCCTGTGGATGAGGCGAAGATACTGAGGGCGACGGCTAAAGGCGTGGTGAGTGAGAGGAGACTGGAAGGGTGGAAGGAAGAGAGATTGTCTGTTATGAAAAGATTCTGTAGGGGTGTGGTGGAGGAGTGGGGGGCTGATGGTAGGGGCAGTATGTTTGAGTGCTTGGGAGAGTGGATTACGGGTTTGCTTGAGGATGTTGATCAGACGGGAGGGAGAGGGGTGGACCGGGTGGTTATTGACTTGACAATGAATGACTGACACAAGAATTGTGGGGTTTGGAATAACAGATAACTTGTCACGCTCAAATGGAGGACGCGATTATGTTACCAAGCATAATGATAAATAAATTGGGGAAATCAAGAATAGTAAGACAACCAGATAGAAGAGAAATTGAAATGAATTCAGATGCAGCTGTCGAAATGCTAACGCACCAAAAGAGAAGAATAGATTTGTTGGCGGTGAAAGCATTTGAAATGCATTAAGTGCAATCCAATACCGAGCGGATAGCTGGACATTGAACAATCATAGCCCAATAATAGCAGCAAGAAAAACCATGGAACATCGTCGTCACCTGGATGAGATCCCCGTCAGAGGGGAGTTCCATTAAATCCAGAATTTGTTCACTATCCCAGTTTCAGAATTCGTATTCGAAAGATATATCTTGGGGCCAGAATAGGAGAGTCGCGACGGAACAATTTGATTGTATAACTTTTGCTTTCGTTATTTTGGTGTACTCGAGTCCTATCCAATTCTCTGGTGCACACCTGCCATCCCTCCCTACCGTCCGCGATTTGTCTAAAGCATCGAATTATAATCGAACACTTCCCGCCGGTTGCTTGCGACGTAATATTCGTACAGATGTGGTATACATTCTTTCAACGCCAGGCCCATGTAATACACTCGACTTGGCTCTGCACAGCGTTGAGAGCCGTACGCAAGGACAGAATTGAGCCTCTTACATTTCACAGGAATGCCTGTTGTTCCCCATTTAATCTTCTCCATTCTCGTCCTTCCACTTCTTCAGATATGACTCTCCACTGACTGGCCCTTTTGGATCTCCCGGATATCGCCCCGTCGTCTTCTGCATGTTCTGCGTCACAAATGGCGTGAGCTACAGTATAAAATTAGCCCTTGAACTCCTGAGATTACAACAGACACTGCCCATACCTTGAAGTCTTTCAGGTCTTCCGGTACAACATATGTCCTCACTCTGTCCCAATCAATGATATATCCTCCATGCTTCGTATGCGAACCCATTGGCCCTGATCCAGTTCCCTTGTAGTATCCCTTGTTTGTCGCTTTGGTTGTGAGCGCAAGACGCTGTAAGCGCTTTGCGAGAGCTTGAGTGGGCTTCATGATTGTTGCTGGAGTTCAATGGTTAGTCCAGCCTCGAAGGGTTGAACTCGGAAGTCCTCCAGCTCTTCTGGATCGCGCTAGCGGCCGCTTACACCAAAAAAAGTTTCCCGATAAGAATTTCGAGCTTGATCTCGATATCCCCACATCAAAACACAACAATTCGGATTACGCAGATATGGCAGGACGACAATCGCATGGCCGAGCGCCGGACAAGAAGCCTAAGGCGAAGAATAATTCCAAAAAGCGATCTCTCGACGCCTTTGCGATTGCCTCGCACGAAAATCCGGATAGAGTGAAGGTCCGCCAAAGTCGACTGGGTGCGCAGGAGGGTGGTAGCTCACGACCGAACAAGAATAAAAGGCGGCGAGATGACGACGATGAAGATGACGAGGAGGAAGAAGAGGAACTGAGTACGAAAAAGCAGAAAGTCAAGAAGGGGAGATTTGACGAACTGGATGTGGACGAGGGAAGCGACAGCGAAGGGAATGAGTGGAAGATGGGACAGGTGGACAGTGATGATGATAGTGACCTAGACAGTGACGAGGCTTTCGGCGAAAGTGATGAGGAGAGATTTGAAGGATATGCTTTTAGTGGAGGACAAGACAAGCAGAGGAAGAAGAAAACGAGGAGAGGCCGAGATGTGAACCTGGACGAGGAGGAAGAAGAGGATTCCGATTCTGAACTCGAAGAAGGAGATCTTGGAGACGATGCAGTGGACATGGCGACTTATCTGGACATGGTCGATGCTGAAGAAGCTGAGGAGCGGGAAGCTGCAAAAGGCAAAGGCCAGAGCCGTCAAAAGGATACCGATGAAGATATGTTTGGGTCAGAATCTGAGGACGACACCGAGGAGAGTGACGAAGATCAATCCTCGGAATCCTCAAGCGATGAGGACGATGATGCCCTGAACCCCGAGAAGATTGCTGCGCTGGATCAAATGATCGAGAGCATTCCGCAAGATGGCGAATACAAAGAGGCTGCTGCGAAGCGGAGGAACGACTACAATATAACTTCAAATGCAATTTCTATGTCCGGACTTCCTTCGAGTAAAAAGAAGGTTTCGCAAGATTTGGTCATGGCAGATCCAAGTGTCAAGGAGTCTAAGACATCCAAGAAGAAACTTGCTCCTTCAAAGGTCCCTCTAGAGAGGCGCCAACAAGACAGACTTGACCGAAGTGCTGCATATGAGAAAAGTAAGGAGACTTTGGATAGATGGACAGATACAGTTAAGCATAATCGTCGGGCCGATCATCTTATGTTTCCTCTACAAGACAACGAGATTGCATCCGCACATGCAAACAAATCTCTTATGCCTGCCAATCTTTCCAAGCCTTTCAACGAATTGGAGGCCACAATCCAAAGCATTCTCGAAGAGAGTGGTCTCGCCACAGCTGACGGAAAGGATGATGAGGACAAAATCCGCGAATTCGAAGAGCTCGAAACGAAGAAGATGTCCCTCGAGGAGGTAAAAGAACGAAGAGATCAGCTACGTATGGCTCGGGAGCTTATGTTCCGCGAGGAAGCCAAGTCGAAGCGAATCAAGAAGATCAAAAGCAAGTCTTACCGCAAAGTTCACCGCAAGCAGCGAGAAAAACAGGATCGTTTAGAAAAGGAAGCTCTACTAGAAGGCGGCTTTGAGCCATCCGAGGATGAAATGGAAAAGCAGGATCGAAGACGTGCTGAGGAGCGTATGGGTGCCAAGCACCGAGAGAGCAAATGGGCAAAAGCTATGAAGGGCACTGGTCGAGCTGCTTGGGATGAAGATGCGAGGTCGGGTATGACCGAGATGGCTCGTAGAGAGGAGGAGCTCAGAAAACGAGTCGAGGGAAGAGCCGTGAGGAAAGAATTTGAGAATGACTCTGACGAATCTTTGAGCGACTCCGACGATGATTCCAACGAAGACGATGACTCCGGTACACGAAAGCGTCTTCTGCAGAATTTGAAAGGTTTAGGAGACTCAGACTTGATGGATGATTCCCTACCTGGAGCAAGATTAGCGAACATGGATTTCATGCGCAAAGCAGATGCAGCTCGGCGGAAACAAAATGATGCTGCAGCCGAGGAACTTCGAAGAGAACTCGCTGGTGAGGAGACTCCAAGCGAGGAGGAAGTTGGCGATATAGGCCGAAGAACCTTTGGGCCTGGGAGCCACGCAACATCAGAAAAAAAGGCCGCCAAATTGGATGAGTTTGAGGAACGATTAGAATCAGATGATGAGGCTGTATCCCAGGGCCAAGTTCAAGGAACAGAGAATTCTCAAACCAAGACCTCCTCTTCAGCTTCCAAGCCCTCGACTCGGCCTTTATCTAAGTCTATCTTGAAAAGCAAGCCGGAACCACAGACAGAAGGCGGAGCCTGGTCGAAGATTACGTCTAAATCCTCGGTAGTCAGCGAAGCAGAAGCCAAACGCCGGCGTCATAAGAAGAATGATGCAATTGATGTCGAGGAGCTTGACCTCAGCCAAGCAGCGCTTATTGCCAGCAAGCCCAAGTCCGCAAAGAATTCCAAAAAGAGTAAGAAGTCCACAGTTCTCAACGATGCGCTTTCTGATTCAAACTCCAATTCGGAGAATGAGGACGACAGTAGCCCATATCTGCCATTTGCACTTCGTGATCAAGATCTGATCAAAAGAGCTTTTGCCGGTGCAGATGTTGTGGGTGAGTTTGAGGCTGAGAAGAAGCAGACGATTGAAGATGAAGAAGACAAAGTCGTTGATAACACTCTACCTGGATGGGGAAGCTGGGTTGGCGAAGGTGTAAGTAAGAAAGAGAATGCCAAGAACAAGGGGAGGTTCTTAACCAAGGTCGATGGCATCAAGGCGGATAAGAGAAAGGATGCGAAATTGGACAAGGTGATCATTAATGAGAAGCGGGTCAAAAAGGTATGTCTGCCAGGTGAGACCTTCGTATTGAGCCAGTAACTGATGATTCCAGAACTCCAAATACCTCGCCACGACACTGCCGCATACTTTTGAAACACAGCAACAGTACGAACGAGCGCTCAGACTCCCGATCGGACCTCAATGGTCCACGAAGGAGACGTTCCAGGATGCCACCAAACCGAGGGTTCTAGTTAAGCAAGGCATCATTGCACCAATGTCCAAGCCTCTATTCTAGATTTGGAGATGTAGTAGGGAGGTGGGTCTATCTTGGCTTGACTGGAGTGAATTAGGGCCGTTTAATGTACCTTTGGATCCCATCGTCGCCAGTGTAGCTATGTGGCCGAAAAAGAATGCAGATTACAGATCTGGCCAACGAATAATTGATAGAACCTTACTCCTTGACATATACAATAATATATACGCGTAGTCAAATGCAAAATTATTTGGTGTCTGCTCACGCAGAACAAGTGTACAGCTCAAACTAGCTAGCGCAAGTGGCCACTGAATTAAACCCAAGCTGCCCACTAAGCGAGCAAGACTTTTAGGGGCTCGCTAACGATGAAAACAAAGCACGAAAAACAACACAACTCTAATAGCGACATACAAATAGCTCCGCCTCTCAGTAGCATGACTCATCGCAGACCGTAATCTCCAGAGATCTCCCCCAGTAGCTTCAAGGCCGCTTAAATCCACTGATAGTAAATTCTATACCAGCTCCTGCCAGCTAGACTGACAACACCGATGTGCCATCTTGGGATATACCGAGATTCGCACGGCACTGCAATACGGAATTCAGATAGAACTTCTTTATTCCAGCTTATCCAGTGTTTTTCTGTGCTATTTAACGTGACTCCATACCGTTGTTTCACAAGACATCAGCGATTCTTCATTAAGTCGTGCAAATCTCCTGTTGCGTATGATTGGTTCTGGACCCACCACAATCGAAGCGTAGATATCTCAGCGGCCACGGCCCTGATGGCCTGTTCCCCAAACCATGCTTGATATGTACATTTAATTGCTGGACTGCCATTACCCTAAACTCCGAAATCTTGTCCAGCCTTGTATCAAGAAATCTTGTTTCGTTCAGCTTCACAAGGGATTTACTCCATATTCGTACCCTCCATGAAACCATGTTTAGGATGCTCCAAAGCATCTTCAAACACCCCATCCAATCCTTCTTCACTATTTGTGAGAGAGTCACTCTTAGCTCGTGAAGAATCTCGATAAGGAAGGAGAAAGCCTGCTTCCAGCAAATTCTCGGTACGCTGAGCCATTTCGGGATCATCGCTGATCACGGATATCAGGTCATGGAAGGCAGTAACAAGCTCGTGGCTGACGTCGAACCTGTCACGTAGTTTATCTGCGCAGTCCAGTAGCAGGTGTTCTCTATCGTACTTCAGCTTGAAGTAGTCAGTACCCGTGAGGATTTTGATGGTTTCGAGGTCGGCAAATTGGGCTGTGGTAGCTAAAAGGTGAGGACCCTGCAGGCTTGGGCTAGTACTGTAGTCGGACCATCGGCCCAGAAGCAAACGGAGAACGTTGTAGCTGTTGTAAGTGATTGCCGTTGTCAGCGGAGTCGCCCCTGCTACTGAAATAGCATTGATATCAGCACCGTGCTCGAGGAGTAGCATGGCAGTGTTGACGTTGTCGGTCCGCGCGACTTGAATGAGAGGTGTTCGTCCATCGACTCCGCTTCCTTCGGTGTCTGCACCAAAGTCAAGCAGAGTCTTGAGAACAAGAGTATCAGGACAATTCCGTGCTGCACAGTTGAGGGGACTGCCAATTTTAAGACCTCCAGTAATGACCGGGTCAGGATCTGCTCCAGCTTCAAGTAGGAGCCTGACGCATAAGACATGGCCTCTCTCTGCGGCATAAGAAACAGGACCAGTCCACTGAATATCTAATGTATTCGGATCAGCGCCTTGAGAAAGGAGGGTTCCTACTGCATGCTCATTGCCTCTAGCGGCAGCCCACGTTAGAGGTGTGCGCCCCAGTGCGTCGATTGCGTCAATCTCTTCAGGATGCAGAAGAATGGTTTCTTCAAGGTTTGCCAGAGAGATACCAGTGACTACTTTGTGTGTGAGTGTAAAATTTTGGTCCTCAATCCAATCATTACCGCTTGTCAAGCAGCTGAGAGTCTGCTCGTTTTCCTTGGACAGAAACCCTTGAAGAATGAAATCCAAAACTTTAGTTCTTGGACTGTTGTCGTGACTACTGATGGGCCTATCGCAGAATGTTCTATTAATACTGAGGTACGTCGAGTTGAATTCCAAGGACAACATACCGATAGTCCGGATCTGCACCTGCGTGTAAAAGAAACTTGCAAGTTTCCCACTGCTTTCCATAGACAGCCCACTACCTATGTCAGCAGAGTTGTACTGCAATCAGAACAAAGGATGATAGCTTACCCTCAGCAGAGAGTATCCTCGCGTCCGACTAATATCTCGGGGTGAAGCTAAATCGCGAAGGAATAACTCTTTCAACCCTGCGATGTTACCATCGAGCGCATAGTCAACGCACGGGGCTGAGTCCGGAACTTGGCGTAGAGTGCTCAGTGCTACTTGTGGGCCAACATTCTGGCAGTGAGCGACCTGAAGGCGGACAATCTGAGACCGAAAGAAGCCAAGAGGAAACCAGTACTCCATGCTAACATTTGGAGCTTGTGAATTTTCGCAATCTGCCAAATTACACTTTGGACTCAGGAGCGGTAGGCCAGCATATCCCACAAACATTTTTCCAATGGCCATTTCCAATAGCGCAGGAGTAGTGGCTCGTTTCTTTGTATGGCATATACAAAGGCAACCACGACGACAGTTGTGTGCATATTGACTGACATGGACGCCACCTCCTTGAGTGGTAAGAGCAGATGTTGAGGAGTCACCGCTGTTCGCTCGCTCCATGAGTCGTCTTTGCGTTCGAACAGGGGTGTGAAAGGAGGGTCCCAGCTGGCTGCGCTGGCTTTCCAGCAGTCGATCGGATTGTGCTTCGAGCATTTGCTCAAGATGCGATAGCCGTTGCTCTACTTGCTGATTAATCTGAGAGATGCATGGTTGAAGTCTCGCGTGGCTGTGAGAATGGCTTTTCAGGAACTCGTCTCAAATTCCACTTTGCTCGTTAGCAGAGTGGGTTGCGGCGGTAGATATGGTTTCAAGATCCAGGTGAATTCGGGCCATGTCCTGCCTATCATTCACTTTCATATCAGCCATGCGACGACATGGAGTGAAAAACGATTGGAGGACCCGAGCGACAGAGAGAAAGAATTCTTATGACAATGAAGTGTGTGGCTAGGGGGATGGCTTTCTAAGATGCAACACGAGTCGGACGGGCGCCTCTTGTACTTACGATTGGGATGCACCTACCATGATATTCAGGATGCACTTTATGGTCTTGATGTCCTCTTGTCAGCCTATCAGGCGATCTTGCTCTCGTTTCTAGGCTGACACCGCAAGTGTTGAAGATTTGGGCGATTGTATTTTGGCTGTGATTCCTTCGACGACGCTTTTGATCTGGGACAGCTTATTGTGCGCCTGGCTAAGCAGATGTTCAATATGGCTCGGCGCGCTTGATGGGTCGGGCTCGCTCAGGCAAGGACGCTTGCTCTCGGAGAAAACGGCCGCTACGTGGTAGCAGATGACCTCGAAGTCGGTCATCTCGTTGTTCAAGCCCCGCTAATCACAGTGGCGGTGACAGGAAAAGGATTCATGTGAATAGAAGTGACAGCGTATTGTATCAAGATACCAGACACCTTACCTAATAGGTATGTTTGTCCGCGTCGACGAACTGATGATACAAGAGGGCGACCAAGCAGGCAGCTCAGTCACTTCCTATGTATGGATGGATGAATGCATGTATATCTGCATATAGTATGTATATAATTACATATACAAATATATAATAGTAGGAGTAGTAAGTGTTGTTTATGGTCTTGTGTTGGAGCTATTCACCACAAGTGGCACCAACCCCAGTGGCCAGAAGGTGATTGACTGCTTGACTGCTTGACTGCTTGACTGCTTGACTGCTTGACTGCTCGATGAAGCTAATGATCGAATTGACTGCTAGGTCACTGCTAATTATGCGTGCGTAGCGATATGGTAGCAATTTAAAGCTAAAGCTCAGCAGGGAAAGGTGACAGGAGCAACCTAATCCTTCACCCAACGTCACCGTCAAAGTCAAAGACTGGTCGAGTGAAAGTCATATACAATTCATACTTGAAATAAGTGAATCTACGATGCTTATAGCGAGAGCTTTTTTTTTTTTGAAAGACTTCATGAAAGCGCTCCGTTTTTGGCACGGTAAGGCTCGGCGCGTTATTCCACCTTTCAAGTGATACGGTGAGGAACAAAGCGACTACCAACTTGTAATTGCCCCCTGCGAGCTGTATTTTCTGGGTGCCTTCGCCCTCCAACAGACCTCTTGGCGTAGTTGCTCTGGTTCTCGTTCTTCTCGAGGGCGAGGCTGCTCCTCACAAATTTCTAAATCGCGACTCACTTCAGTCTAGCTTTGCCTGCTCCTCGCACAATGCGCTTTGGACGCAATCTTCACCAGCGCCGGATACCTGAATGGACTTCGTTCTACCTGAATTACAACCAACTAAAACAGGAGATCAAGAGCATCTTCATAAAGGCTGCTGAACACAAACATGGCCTAGACTTCACAAGTAAATTGCGTTTTGTACTCCATTCCGGTTGCCCATATTCCCTCTACTTACTGACATTCCTTGGCTTTAGATTTCTGGAACCCTCTCCACACCGCGATTCTCAACGTCGAGTCTTTCTACATGGCCAGATTGACCGACATCGAAACAAGAAGTGTTTTATTATTCAAGCAGTTAACCTCAACATCAACTGTGCTGCAGCTAACGGCTTTGAACGATGCGGACACAGGTACTTCTAGGAGCTTGCTCGCTGCCTGTCTACAGCTACGACTTGACTTGAAGAGGCTGCTTTGGTATGGGAAAGCCAATAGACACGGGTTTATTTGCCTGTTACGTAAGCTTCAAGGGACCCCCAACATTCGTGTACCGTCGAATGTAGAGCTCAGCCAATACGAATTTGTCAGTCAATGTCGGACTTGGCGCAAGATCGAAAGTATCGAAGAATCAATCCTTACTTTCAGGAAGTGGGCATACGCTTCCGATTACACGGCCTTGGCTCCATCACTATCCCTGGTTGGAGCCTTGGGACTTGCAACCCAGTCGACTTTATCTCAGGATTTAGGAATGTTCCTTGAGAGACCAATTGCCCAAGATGATGTTTCTGGTTTACAAGAGGTGGTTCGGAAAGCATCGTTGGCTACAAGTAAGATGCATTTGTCTTCTCCGCATATGCAACTTCTGCTTCTCGATCTGGCAATTATGTACGGATCCAAGAAGTGCATGCTTGACTTGCTGTCTCAATTCGATCTCAAGAAGAACGATGGTTTCCAATCACAAGACAACTTCCTCCACCGCTTGATCATTCGTGTTGGACAATCCTCGATTCTAAGAGAAGATGTCAACCGTTTCGCACCAGAAGGAGCCGTCCTCCATGCAATCCAAAACGAGGAAATCAAATGCCAATCATTGCTGGCTCTCATACTAAGCAATCTGAATCCAAATCACGCCGAAATTCTACTACGAAAAGATAAATTTGGAAGATTGCCTCTTCATTATGCTGCAATCTATGGCTTGGATAAAGTTTGCGCGCAAATTATCAACTTTAACGGAAAAGTGGCAGCTGAAAGAATACGCTCGAGCCAAATCCTTGGAGGATTCTGAAGGGAACACTCCCTTACATTGTGGTGTTGCTAATGGTCATAGTGAAGTGGTCAAGATTCTTCTAGGTTGGGACCCCTTTCATTGGAAAAATTCGGGACAACTACCATTTGGCGAGACCTTGGGATCCCTTTTATGCATTGCTGTCTCGTCAAAGTCCGAACAAATCTGCCGATTCCTACTCCAGCATCCTCACACGCCTGTAAACTTTCGCCAGCCCTCTGGAGAAACAGCTCTCTTCCTGGCAGCTCAGTCAGGACAGGACGAGGTCATAAATCTGCTTATAACTGCCCCCTCAAGCTGCAAAATTGATCTTGACTTGCAAGAAACAGCATATAGCGCGACACCGTTGATCATTGCATGTGTTCAGGGACACTTCCACGCAGTGCGGATGCTTCTCGACGCTGGAGCGAATTGCAGTCTTCCAGATTTGTTTGGATGGACAGCCAGAGATCATGTCGCGTTCCGAGGATTTTGGCGGATTGCTGAACTGCTTGAGCCGCCCTCGGTCTCAGAAAACCCCCCTCGCAGTCCAAAGCTTCCCTTGACTGCCACAAATGGGATGACTTCCTGCGTCACAGGGGAAAATAGACTATTCATTAACCTGGGAACACTGGACACGCGAATGCCAAAGAGTGTTCTCGATATGGGTCCATATTTGTCAAGGTATCCCGCCTGCTCCTTTCCCGAGACTGGCTTCTCTATGGAAGTCGATGCCATTGGAGCCATTGGAATGTCTCGGACTGTCCAGCTTCCACAATTACACGACGCCACCTATGAACCTTTCTTCTTCACCACCCGTGATTACCGGAACCTTCAAATCGTGTTCAAGGTATACAAAAACTGTACCAAGTCTGGAGGTGGGTTGGAGCATATAGGAACAGCTATTGCTTTACTTGACAGCCTAAAAGGAGGATTGGAATCTGTTCGAGAGAATCTAGTCAGATACTACACTGTACCTCTCATCGACAAAGAATCTATGGATTTCATTGGTACAGTAACCTTCAATTTTCTGCTGATCAAGCCCTGCCGGTCACCAGGTTTATCAACGTCTATGACGCAGAACGTCTTCGGGAGAAGTGCCGTTACAAGAGTTGTGGGCCATCGAGGTAAGTAGTAACACTTGGTTTCAATTGTCAGATCGATGCTTATTGAGTTAATGAAGGACTGGGACAAAACAACCCAAGCTTCAAACGGTTACAAATTGGAGAGAATACCATCCAGGTACACAACGCCTATTATTTTGTCACAAATTCAGACATTTCTAATTGAAGCTAGTCATTTTTGACCACGGTCGAACTTGGAGTACCTTTCATTGAGGTAGGAAGACTTTTATCTCTCCCTTCTTTATATCTGCTGATTTTAACATAGTGTGGTAAATGGATAGGTCTTTAGCATTCCTCAAAGTGGAGTAGAGCTAACAAAATTTAGACGTTCAGTTGACAAGAGACCATGTTCCTGTCATCTATCACGACTTCCTTGTGAGTGAAAGTGGGGCCGATCTCGCACCACATAATCTCAGTTTCGATCAGGTAAGTCCATATATTTCATTATCTTCGGTCACTATTTTACTCCAAAAACTTACTCCAACCGTGTAGTTCATGTACATTAGCGAGCTTCAGGGATCCAGACAGTCGCACTTGGCAGTTATGGAGGACACTATCACTAAGCGCTCCAACATACCCATCAAGCAAAGGGGCAGATCACGATCTCGCTCTCTAAATACGCTTGTGGAAGAAAATAAATATCGAAATCTCATCAATGGTATGCGGCATACATTTGAGTACAGACGAAAGGGATTCAAGGGAAATCTGAGAGGCGAACACATACACAGCTCCTTCACAACTCTCGAAGAACTACTTCGATCCATCCCTGAAGAAGTCCATATAGACATCGAACTGAGTAATTTTACCCACCCTAGGTTTGACACAGAAACTGATGATCGCAGAGTACCCAATGCTATGGGAAGCCCAGGACTGGCAAATGGATCTTTACGGCGTTGAACTGAACCTTTTTGTTGATGTTATTCTTGAAAAAGTTTCCGCCCTCGCCGGGAATCGTGCCATCGTGTTTACGTCTTTCAGTCCTGAACTCTGCATCCTCGCATCTCATAAACAACAAAAATACCCCGTCATGTTCTTGAACGAGTCAAATCTCTTCCCAACAGGCGATGTTAGAGCAAGTAATCTACAAGAAGCGGTACATTTTGCCAGACGGTGGGGTTTACCGGGCGTTGTCATGTCCTCAGAGCCGTTTGTCATGAGCCCAATGCTCGTGCCATTTGTCCATGACGCTGGGCTTGTTTGTGTCTCTTTCGGCGCCTTAAATGATGATCCTCGGAATGCAAAGGTACGTAATCCAATGTGGGAAGTCCAAGAGGCTTCCAATTTTCAGCGAAAAGTATTGACCAAGACTTAGATACAAGCCAAAGCTGGACTAGATGCTATCATTGTTGACAATGTGAACCTGATCAGCAAAACTCTCATGAGTTCGTAGCTGGTAAATTTGAAAGCTCTGATCTATCTCATCTTCAGACCTCGATATCTCAGTCTACCACCTTCGACATTGTCTGCTTTGTTGAGCTCGGTCTGGCAGGTTTGTGTCACGTCCTACTTCAGCACTGTCCTCATATTGCGTCTGGAACCAAAAATTGGTGGAAAACACATTGAGGGCTGCAGCCGACCAATTAGATAGACAGGAATAAAAAGTAAGGACTGTATTCTGTTTTCAATTCGCGCTAGATCGTGACATGCGCGAGCAATTGGGTAAGGATATCAAAGGACAGCAAAGGCTTCACAACAGGTTTCCCTGGTGAGGGCGCTCATAAAGTTCCAGAACGACTCGCTCGAGACTTCCTCCTCAAATCCGGATCGAGTGAAGCCGTCTATATAGTGCTGTTCGAGTAGTGCTTGGGCCTACTGTCAAGAACGTCCTCACAAGACGAAGGCTCCCCATCAGTTACTCCGGACAGTCGGGCTACGTATCAGGGGGTTTCAAGGATGAAATCGGGAGTGACAGATGCGAGGATCGAAAGAGATCTCAATATCAAGAAGACGGATGGCGGGGGTGCCCTCTAGATTTGTGGCGGGGAAGTTAGGCTCGTATTCGAGAAGTTTCGAACTGACTTAAAACTTGTAATCAACCGTGCTCAGGAATACCAAAGCCAAAGTCAGGGTACCTAAATCTCAGGCGCATTCCCTGTACCTAGCACTAACGCCTTTTGGCAGCTTGAATCAGACCTCCTGTTGACGCATTTACAGCATGGAAGTATAAGTGACGACTGCTATATTTAAGGTAGGCATTCAAGACCTTCTCCTCCTGTCATCAGCGTCTAGAGCAAATGTAGTCAAGCAAAGTCCTTCGCAAGTGTTTCCGTCATATCTCGGGCAGGCCGAATTGACTGGTCATGGGCTTCATTGACGCGCAAGAATAAATGAGGCTGAGGCTCCAAAGTACACTCCTTCATTTGGAGGGCAAGAGCACGGGCAAGTTGGTGGCCCCAAGATATTCTGGATCCACTCTTCTTAAACGTTGTGAGACCGTCTGAATTCCGGCATAGACCAAACCTTAATCTGAGTTCAAGAATATCTGCATCGAGCCGAGCTTGGCAGATCACTAGGTCAACGACCTACAGGACCATATGCTCTCTGGTAATTCCTCGCCAAGATCATGTCAAGATTGTCAGACCCTCGTACGAGTCGTGAGACACAATACATGAGGATGTCACAATCATAACCTTACGGTGAAGGCGGACAAGCGGCTGTCAGAACGGTTACAGAGAAACTGTGCCACAAGTGTGACAACGGATATCTTATTCCATTTATTCAACAATCTAAAAATGGGCTCTCTCCACGACATGAAGATGTGGCGCACTAATTAACTGTCTTTTCCTGGTGGTGGAGCGAGCAACTGCTTTGTAGCCTGCCAAAAAAGGAGTGAATGGGTCCACTAAATACGGAGGATTCTCAAGATTGGGTTTTCAGGTCTTGGGATGTCATGGGACTATACTTTAACCTTCTAGCCCTCCGCCTATCCGGTTGTGTCTGAGATTCATGCAACGGGCGTATTGCTCGCTTCAATAATGAGACACGTGCCATGTCCATCAGGAGCCAAGGTAATCTCAGTCTTCTCAGATCTCCTCGGAACTTCGACGATTCGTTCTCACAATCATTATCTTTTTGTCTAAGCTCTTTCTCGTCATTCCTTGACAGGTGCATTTGAGACGCCTTACTACTTGTTGAATCATGTTCTAGCATTGATCACTTACCTTTGAGAGCCTATTTGCTCTTTACGTTCTTTATCCCACTCGAGCCAGGCAGACTTCCCTTCTTCAATTCGTTGCATTCACCTCAATATGGTCAGTCATTTCCCATTTCCTCTTCCACCGCGATGGACAGGAGAATGATTTTGGTACAACCAAATTCAGCTCCCTGTTCGATCTTTGCATCATGATGTCTCATCAGATGGCGAGCTTCGTTGTTAAAGTCTTGTTGTCCAGAACGATCGCTTTTCCATAGCTTGTTTCTATAATTTGAAACCCGCTCATCCCGTCCAAGTTAATCAAGACCGACCGTACTCAAACTCCATAGTGTCGCCGTTACACACTCCAACTGATTGCCAGAGGAATTTGGTGACACCGTGCTCCCCGGTGGAGGAATATGTCTACTCGGATGAGAAAATAGTCATGGCAGGCCCGATGGGACAGGGAGGAGTGGAAGTTATTGAACCAAATAGAAGGCCTTCACATGCACCGGAAGTTGTTCTAGCTGCTGCAGCAGTTCCGGCTCATGCTCCACCAGGATATGCGGACACGGAACTTCCATCTCGACCAGCACCAAGACCATTTTGGCGGAGACATCTGTTATGGATCATTGCGATTCTAGGGCTGGTAACCCTCGTGATTGGTGCTGTGGTTGGGACTCTCGGACACATGGAAAGCAAAGCAGCGCGGAAAAGCAATTCAAGTGTATCGGTAGTCAAGGCGGTTACCAACAATACGCTCAACAGCGTCGCCAGCTCGGGCTTATTCTTGAACGATGGGACTACGTGGAATACGCACGTAATTTGGCAGAATTCTACTGGCGGAATAAACCTTCAGGTCAGTCTGGATGGCCAAACATTTCGACCTGCACAGCCTGTCAAGCTGCAAATCCAGCCCAGGGTTGGATCACCGCTTTCAACTACCACCGAGGTCGACCCGTCAACTGGCGTCGTCATGCTTAACATTTTCTACCTGTCTGGCGTGAATAACATTACGATGTCTGCTATCACCTGCTCCCCGAATTCCGACAAATGCAACACTATTGCAAACTGTTATCTCCCTACTCAAATTGCACCCAGCAATTTCACAGGACTCGCAGCAGTAAATGTCAACAAGGCTCAAGATTGGCGTGTGTACTACCACGATGTCGAGGGATATATTTCAGAGCTACAGGGAGACAACTCGGGATTCAATCTAGGAAAAAAGATTGGTGGCTCTGGTTTGAACGCATCCGCTATCGCAGCGATCAACGTCAACTCAACAACGAACAATATCAACATCTTCTATGTTGATGGATTGACCCAAGCTCTTTTCAAGATGCAATTCACAGCAGGTGACTGGACCAAGCGTAAGCAACCTCTGGCACCTATAGTTTTTCCAATATCTAACTCGTATTCTCAGCTTCCGTTGTTTCAACGGAAATCATTGCTTCATGGAACCCCAGATCTGGTCTTGGTGCTGCATATACAGAGACTCATGATCAATTGCGTGTTTACTACACTGGTATCGATGCAGGTATCTATGAATTCCTCGGCTCGAACGTTTCAAGAACAACAAATACCTCGTGGCTTGCACAGCCGGGCCACAACCATCTATGGGCCCCAGCCGATTTCGTCGGAGCTCCGATCACTGCCGTGGGATGGGGTGACCAAGCTCGATTCTACCAGGTTAAGGAAGGAGATCTCGCAGAGGGCTCTCTCGACAACACAACATGGACCGAAGCCTTCATTGACAATAACGGTCGAACTAGTTAGATTATGATGGGCAATATCAGTGAGCAGGTCCCTCATTTTGGGGCGTTGGTGGCTTGGAGTCTTGCGGAGTGGACCATAATTCCTTTTCTATGTATGTGGAGTGCTGGGGACACCCATTTTGGGAATATTTCTGTATATAGGTCTTGAGTACATGGGTAATTTACAATAAGCTACGTGGGAACAATTTGGTTCCCATCCAATCTAACACTCTCTCATATTTCAATCAGTGATTCAAGGGTACTACTTGGCAATTAGGCTTGCCATGTTTGGTGTTTCCTTTGACGATACAACGATTACGACATTTTTGAGTTCATTCAAAACCTGATCATAGTTAGTCATGGTACATCGCCACATTATAGCATCATGCATTATGATCTTCTCCGCTTATCTGGTGCCTGTAGGCATCTGAACCGATGTTTCTGGAAGGTGCCGCTGGAACAATGGATAAAGTTTAGAGAATTAGGGATCACAGATCGAAAAGTATACTAATAATACAAGCAATTATACGAGCTCAATGAGGGGTCGTTAGTTTTCATGAGACATCGTATTGTGTTAGCTTTGACAGGGCTTTGAAATCGAAAAGAGGATGTTGAAATCTGTTGGAAAACTGCGAAGATAGATTACTTCAAGAGCCAAGGGCAAGCTCCCCATCTACCGTGCCCCTATGCAAAAAATCAGAATCATAATAAAATTGAAAACTTAGCTCTTACTTCTGTGTCATCGTATCATCCACACCTAATACTGCTAGTTTTGCTAGATGCTTCTTTTCCCACTTATGCTGCTTCCTGCTTTGTTGAGACGTCGAATGGCTCCTCATTCTTGATCTGAAAGCAGTGGCATGAGACAAAACCTACTTCGAATCCTCCCCCAAATTCAACTTACCTGCACAACCGGAGCGATTGATTTTCGAAGGAGAAATGAATTACATCCAGTAACAAATTCTACTTTGAAATTCAACAGCTGGAACTCGCACAAAATCCCTACGCCATTCGTCCCGACGGCTCTTCCTCCAAGTTTCCTCGCACGTTGCCGCCATCTTCTGCATGCGTCATCTTCTCCTTTCCTTTGCCGGGCTTCTTCTTCAGTGGAACCATTTCTTGCGACTATCCCCTCAACTGCCGAAAACACACTCTTCCAGGACCCGGCACTGAAGCAAGGCGCTGAGGCTGCCTTGACGACACTAAAGTATTCAAAGTTCAGCGTTCTTCGCTTAATTACAGGGTTTTGCTACAGGTGTGTTTGACACGGCAGTTGAAGGGATAGCCCCTTACTGATATCCTGGCTCTTGTTGAAGCGCTTGAATGTTGGAAGCCGGGTAGGCTTTTGGGAACGATGTGAAGCAGCTATAGTTCGTGGTGTAGTTTGCAAGTGTTTGCCTTGGTTGGATGAAGGGCTCGGGAGAGTTACTGGAGGAAACCTTCGGCTTAGTGGATCGTGCTGGTCCTTTGCTTGCTAGCAGAAGCCTCTCCAAACGATTGCACTTCAACGGTGCCAGGTCCGCTGTCTTGAAATATTCTGGCCAATAGGACCATAGTCAGGATGTGCCAGAACTCCGTTGATAAGCTTCCTCTTCTGAACTCGAGATCACAACACTTTGGTACAGAACCGTACAGCAGAAATTTATGCCAAAATTTGATATGGCTAATACGATTGACATATAAACTTAATTCTAATTTCATTTGAATTATCTTGTTATACGTATTTGCTCTAGGGTATCGTGTTACGCGGGATTTCATTGCGCCATTACTAAGGCTGTCGCGTCCTTAGACGTCGATAACTTAAAATTATCTCCATGTATCATACAAATTGTTTACAAATCCTTCATAAGAATAATGAGACCAGCATATGTCTTGTTCTTGTTTAACGTAAACAAAGCCTCGCTAAACGCAAAGCTAACAATTTTTAGCATCTTACCCCGCACTGCCTCTCAACGGACTCTTCACTGCAACTCAAGCAACATCTTTCGTTTCACGAGCGCACTCTCATGACCCTCGATAGATGGCTTCATCAACTGTTCGAAGGACAACATATAGCACCCAACGAGCTAGTCCATCAGACGCGGAATACATCCTCGCTCTTGCAGCACGTGTCCAATCAGCGCTCACCGCATCAGGCAGCCTTCAAGAACTCACTCCATCAACACTGGATACAGTTCAAGCTTCGATTCACAACGAAGAGATCTTCATATTTACTTCGTCTGGACCTGAAAGGCCTGCCCACTTAACTCAAATTGGAAGCGTGACAATTTCTCCTTTTTACCCCACAAGCGGCCATGGCAGCGATTCGTGGAACATAGGTGAATTCAAAGGGAGGACATGGTATCTCCATTCCTTGATGCTGGAACCTTCATTGCAGTGTAATGGGCTTGGTAAACGCCTTCTCAAAGATGTCTTGAACACGTGGGGTCAGAGACACGGTGAAGGAACCATAGTCCTTGATTGCTGGGCGGGGAATGAGAAGTTGCGGCAGTTCTACGAAGAGGTTGGATTCAGTCTTGTGGGTGTGTACCCCGAGGAAGGATATGAGATCGCTGTTTTCAAGATAATTGTGGAAAACTGTTGAAGCAAATGTAAGAACTCCTCCTTGCTATCATATGCCCAACAATATATGACCAGCGAACTGTGCCTCAGAAGGCTTCCAACCCAAGGAGGCATTTGGAGCATGACATCTTGGAACTCTCTCTTTCGTACAACAATAACCTCAACCCAGTGCTTTGACTCGTTACCCAGAGTCCTCTCCCATAGTTTGTGATGTAAACCTTCCGTTATTTGATAGCGATCTATCTCGGATTGAAAGCCGGTCAAGAGCTCTACTGATGGTTCAGTAGTCGTGGCAGGGGCCTAAAGGACTGGGTCTTGCGTCGCACGTTCAAGAGCCGAGTCAAGCGACTCTGAGTGCAAAGGAGATTCACATTCTAAGCCTATTTATGTCACATTCGAATCACGGTCTTATCATGGAGTAAATAATGTTGTTGAGTCTGAAGGGCTTCGGGTAAGTTCGACCCCCAAAACTAGACGAAGATGATGAAATAGATAAGTACTAAAGAATTCGATGCATTAGGAGCGACAGACCAAGATGCTGAAATAGACAATTCCTAAAACAGTTCGGATACATGAGCACAACGAGCTTAGCACTCGCTGTATGGCCCATGATATTATTAACTCGCGTCGTGCTCGCCAAAGTTCAGGGGCTCGCTTACACCACCATCAACAAGATCCAAAGAAAAGAGAGAGAAAAGTCGAGAAACGCAAAATCCAAAGAACAAGACAAGAGTAACATAGTCTCCTCTACACCATCTAAGCCTTCTTCTTCACCACCAACAAGACCCCCTTCGGACTCCCCTTGATAATCTCCTTCCCTTCCTCGACCCCCGCCTCCCTCAACAACCTTTCAATCTCCCTCCTCATCCTCTTCACCACATCACCCTCCGTCCCAACAGCCTCTTTATGCGCCTCCCTCCAGCGCTGTACCGGACTCGCCGTCCCCATAATCTTCTCCATCTTATCCAGATCCATCGTCAGCGCTCCCCCCGCAAAGAACTCCTCCGGATCATTCTCCCCCGTCCCCCATTCCATCCTCACAAAACTACTTTCGTCGAACTCAGGGACAGGAGTGTCAAGCGTCCACGGGAGAGGCAAACCCGTGTAGAGGTTCCGAGTGAGCCAGTTTCCCGGCTCAAAAAAAGGCTGCAAGTCCCTCTCTTCAATATCCATAAGTGTTTTATTCAACGCCTCAGAATTAGGCACCGAGGGATGGATACTCAACTGTCCCGTCGTCCAGAGCGCAACTGTCCCACCCGGTTTAAGAACTCGAGCTGCGCGCGGCCAGAAAGCAGCCATGTCGAACCAATGCGCGGCTGTAGACGCAGTGAGGAGATCAACACTCGCTTCTGCGACTGGAGGAGTGAGATGCCAGCCTAGGTCTTCGGCGGTGGAGATCTCGTAGCGGATGGGAGATAATGAGGCGGTTGAGCCGCCGCCCAGAGAGCGCGCATTGTTTATCATGCCCTCGGAGGGATCGAGGCCCATGGAAAGAGTGAAGTTTGGTGCGAGGGCGAGAGTGGTGATTCCTGGGCCGCAGCCGACGTCTAGGAGGGTGGTGAGTTGGCCGCCGGTGGAGGTGTGATGCTTGAGGATTGTTTCGTAGAGTTTGGGGTGGTAGGACGGGCGGACTTGGGCGTAGGATTTCCCTTGGTCTTTGGTGTAGGACGTGAAGGTCTTTTCGCTGGAGATGGTGGGTTGAGGTGTTGACATTTTGGCGATGGTGGTGAGTTAAGCGTGGATGTTTGTGCGGCCGTTGGGTTATTTTACGTTTCAATTTATCTTCCGTTGCTTTAATAGCAAGATGTTGTTCTTGGAATTGTTTGGCTATCTACTCCTCCTTACAATCAACTCAACTTTCGGCTAGCTTGAGTTGTTTGGAGGTGGGAAGTAGGCGGGGAGAACCAGCGCATTTGTAGATTTGCGGAGGGTGGCTGCATTCAGGTCAGTCAAGTAATACGGCGGGACATTTCTCCACCTTTTGCACTCACTTCGGAAGCTGGTGCCGAACAACTCAAGCCACACGGATGGGATTTAATTGAGGTCTTGCGATGTCTCCGAAAAGCTGCTGGGATGCTAGCCGATGATTGGGTGAGATTCAAAATAGGCCGTATTTTCTTGCCAAATCTTGGAGGTGAGGAAGCAAATGAATTTGGATAGAGAGAAATCAACACTTCTCCGTCTTTTGGACAACAATATCGAGGAAAGGTGCTCCTTTATGTGAATATATAAAGAGGCTTGGAACGGCATTTCGATGGAAGAAAAGACCGATCGCCGCGTGTTTTTCAGTGGGCACTTTTCGCTGGGCTTCACAAACGGAGCGCGGAATTTATCGAACTCTCCGGAAAAATAGACGAAATTTTCGAGCTTCGGATTACTAAATATTGAAGTAAGTGCTGAAATCAGAGGATTTTCTCTCTTCGTGAATTACATTTCTAGTGTGTTTATGATGGGGATGTTCGCTTCTGAGTCATATGTCTACGAGCTTGAATCAATCCAAAAGTCGCAAAGGATGGGATGAACACTTGCAATGGCCCACAAGCATGTTTCTCCAAATCTATCATCACTTTTCATATATTGACCAAGAAAAGCTCAACCTCTCCCTTCGTCCAATTAAAGACCCGAGTGAATAGTACCATCGAGAACCTTTTAGTGGAATGATGAAATCGCCATACTCTCCAATGACCAAGCTCCTGCATCAGAAATAGCAGAGGATCTACTTCTCATCAGATTCGCAAAATCAAGGAATTCTCAATATAGTAACCACTTCAGCAAGATATTAAATAATCTTACCAATCATCTTCATCCTCATCCTCTGCTCCTTCAGCTACCAATTCTACGGTCACATGAATGTCTTCTCCATAATTGAAGACCGATGACCTGACCTAGAAAGAACCTCCCTAAAGCGCAACTCAAATACCCTCCCTCTCTCCGCAAAAATACAAGTCATCATCCTCACAGATCAAATCAAATCAAGTCAAAGCCTTCGCGCCCTCCCTCAACGTCCACTCCCCCTTCCAAACCATCGACCTGGAAATTTATATTTGTAGACACGAAACTTGGTTGGATGGGACTGAGATCCAGACATAGGACTTCTGCTGGCTGAGGGAGGTGGGGAGGGGATATCACACACTATTGGCGTGATATGGTGGTTAGTAGGAGTGTGCAAACTTGTTTTCTTGAGACACTATATATCGCAGTGTTACATCGATCATCACCTGATACAGAATGCGGGTTTGCAGAGTGAGGTGAGTCGTACATTCACATACATAATCAGCAAGTCAAATAGGCTGAGTCTATTGGTGTATCCATTTCATTAAATGTGAGAAATAGAACTGGTGAAGTGATGACCTAATGATCCTAATCTTGGGCAAGTATGTACGACACGGCACGGTCGAGCAATCTAACCAGTGACATGCTGTGACGTTTGGGGATAAATAGCCTGTAGGTATTTCTGGAGCCAGGGGCTCAGACTCGATTACATATTATATTCATTATACAATTTGATGCCAGTAGAAGTATATTCGTATTCGCATCTTCCTCGTTCCTTCCCAAAAAGGCTCGCATTTGACACGAGCACGTGAGCTTGCACATGCATCATGAGAGCACACTCAAGTTCTGTCCGAATATTCCCGAAACCCCGTTTCCAGCGAATGGGGTATTGGACACCCCAGCGTATGGTACAGTATCTCCAGAAAGTTTGTTAATCGCTTAGATACCCAAAATGTTTGCAGAAAGGTGTATGTGTTCCGGGCAAATCGAGTAGCGGGCAAAGTAAGAACATATGCATGGCGTGCATGAGAGTCTGTGCGTTTTGGAGCCGGGTCCTGGATTGCTGAACAGGTATCTGGGTGTTGTGACAAGCCGTCGTATATCTCTGCATTTCGGATCAGATGGCTTTGTGCCGGAACGATATATCTGGTGGCTATCTCTGAACGCCAGGATAAAAGATCTCCAGTCACTGTAACTACTACTTCAGCCAATTCTCGAACGATCTTTCTTCCCCAGTAACTCATCGTGTACCTCCCTCCACGCAATACACGCTGGCTTGAAGAAATTCCGTTTCGGTGCCCAAGGCGAGAAGTGGATGTCTTCGGTCCAAGCAGGACTTGCCATCGTCTCTGCCTCATCTTCTGAGAAGGTCATCCGCTTCCATTCTCTTTGCGCAGGGTATTGCTCTCCCATCGGGTGTCCTATCTTCCTACAGCAGACGATGGTCATGTCATTTTCTGATTCCTTGTAATGGTGTAAGATCCAGATAATTGTCCATCGGCCGTCTTCAGGTATCGTCCCATCTGGTAAACGGTTTGCTTCCTCCAAATCCACGATGAAGAAAGCTCGGGTGGCTAGTCGGGCTTGTTGCCCTGTTGGATCTCGATGTGCGGTGGTACGGAGAATGGTGAGTGCTTCTTGTCGGATGGATTTGTCACGGCAGAATATGGCTGTGTCATAGAGTGGCTTCTCGATACTGTCGGGAAAGTTGAAGACTGGGGACTTGGTGTTCCAAAGCTTGATGTTCGAATGGTTTATATGTCGAGAAAGTGAGACGATCTGTGCGAAAGAGGGGAGGAATTGGTCATGATCGGTTTGTTTAGTGAAGAAAGCACCCGCTAATGATATTTCGGCGTCCAAAACTTGGATTTGGAGAAGAGCTGCTTCTGATTGCGCAGGTGGATCTGTAGATTTCATAGCCTTGGCGAAGACCGGCTCGAATGCTTTGATCCATCTTCTGATGTCTTTGATGTACTGATTACGTTCCTCCACAAGCATCGTGGGTACGTAACATGGGTCCATCAGCTCGCCTGGACTATCCGCTGTATAAGGATGCCTCAAGTCCTGCTTGAGCATGATATTGCGAGCATACGACTCATCCAGCAGATGAAACGTACGTCTCATAATAAGTTGCTGGAATCTTCTTGCCTCTTCCATGATGCTGAACCGAATTGGCATATTTTTCACTGTGACTGCCCCCTCTTGTCGTCGTTTCATATGGCGGGGTAAATCCTTGACACCCCACCTGATTGCATGATAGAGTTCGATACGTCCGTACTCCTGGAATATCTCTTCGTCAACCACACTGGGATTTGGGGATGACAGCCCCGCACTCAGCGCGCTTTTGTTTTCCGACCATTGCTGGAGAAGCGAGTACCCATTCTGACCTTGATTGAGCGCTGTTGTGGGAGATTTCAGAAGTAGCTCAATACAGTAAATGACAAGACATGCCAGCAGAGCGTTCCTCAGTGACGATGGATCTTGTGGGACGGGCACAATCTGTTGCATACCAACTATTGCGCGATCGTAAGATGCCAAAGCAAAGGTTTGGTGCCTGTTTGCAATTTCCATGTTGGCTTTCCTCTCAGAAGCTGGACCAGCGGTGGCAAAGTAACCTTGTTTGATGGATTTGTTGAAAGCTCCGATTGCCACTAAAGCTCGTAGTACGAAGGGTTCATGGTAACATGCCTGAAGCAGAGTGTAACTCCAGGCGGAAGACTTATTGTATCTAGATAATTCTAGACATGCTTCTTCTTGGTACGCTCGGAAGTAAAGGGCTTCATCCTGGTTCACGAAGCGCAGGCTTTCCGAAGGCTGAACCTGACAGAGCCGATCTGTTTTCTGGGGCAGAAGTGGACGTCGGGAGTTTGGTTGTGTTCGTTTCCAGACACATGGTCGCTGGATACGGGAACACAACGTGCAAACCGGAACCCGTTCGTCACATTTTACTCTCCGGGCCCTGCAATATGGTTTGCCCATGTCAGTCACACGATGTCCTACATAACATAGCAGCTACATCCCGCAGTTGTACTCAAGATGCCGTAACTGAACTCAACATTCAAGATGGAGCATTGTACGGCGGGACATCCAACCATACGGCGATACAGCACGCGATAGCGTGGAACAACACAAGATGAGGTTTGACATCACGTACCTGCACGTCAAACAGCCGTTCCTAGACTTTGGAGCCGACTTCCGTTTACCTTGCTTCAGCATCCCGTACTGCCGACAGCCGGGATCAATAGATCACTGCCCCGGGAAGTCGAAGCTCCTAAAGAGAAGAGGTACATGAACGAGCTGGCACAGTGGCGCAAAAACGTGGGCCAAGGCCGGCATGGGTATGGAGAGACGTGGAGGTGATTCTGAGGGGACGAGATGTAATCATGCAAGACTACAATGTTCGTAGGGCAGGTGACCGAGGAGAGCCTCAGCTTCTAACAGACGCAATGCACCCCACGCAGGTTCCGAGAACTGTCTGGAGAAGAAGACTTGGACGTTGTATGAGAAGAGAACTACGTGGTGGTGGTGGTGGTGGAAGTGCCGCTGAAGGCTGATGGGCCATTATTGGAGCTGGACCACAGCCGTGCATGGGGCTTGACATTACTTCGTTACAGTACTTGCACTGCAGCCGACCAAGCCCAGGCCCAGGCTCAACCTGAAGCTGGACTCGCTGGACTCGCAGGAGCACAGCGTTCGCTATCTTTGTTCCCTCTCACCGCCTTTGCAGGGCTCTGCTTATCGGACCTGCGGTGGTGTGGCTTGGCAGAAAGTCAATCGAGTGGCAAATCATATCGGCATAAGCAGGGATACAAGTCTCGGAGGGTCGGCAATCGTTGATATCAGACAGACAGAAACAAATAAAGGGAGAGGAAATTTTGTCGAGGTGAGATGATCCAAGACCATTGGGCTGAGATCCTGGGATGGTTGAGAAGAACGAAACTTAATATTGCCTACCTAGGTCCGGTACAGCAGCCAAGGAAAAGACAAACATATAAGTTATTGGAAGAGGCAGCTATCATAATCGTGCACGGGGTTCAGGTACTTTTCTACTATTCCCATCTCCCATTCCAGCTCCACCTCCGCCATATCAATCTCTTGCCATCTCTTGAACAACATCAAGAGTTGGCCCAGGTCATGCAAAGAACACCAAGAAGCGTAGCTGCATGCACCGTCAATTGCCATAATCATAGCGCAGCGCGCCGTCATTGGTAGAGCCCACACTCGTTTCTTCAGACGAGAACCAGAACCCAGCAGCTCGACCTTCGCTCCCCAATTATATTCTGTCATAAACTCTTGGAAGTCTTTCAAAGCTGGGCATTTCTCTCGGCGGCTTGCTTGGCTTTCACGACTTTTCTTTACCCGTTCACAGGCTTGGCCTACAATCCCGCTGACCATAAAGAATTGCGTTAGTCCCGACCTAACTACCTGCCAAAAGTCCAATCGAGGGCATCACATCCTTCTACGAGAAATTCAACCATCTCGACCTTCTTTTCCTCCCCACCTCCCCCGCGCTCTTTACGAGCAGAACCCCTACATTCCCTCTCCTCACGACTACCTACGAAAACCTACGAGTATCCTTATCCTCACGAGGACCTTCCGATCATTTAAATTGGCAGTGCACTCGTTGCACCGAGCCGTCGAGTCGGCCAAGACACCAAGAATCTTGTTGAATTGGAGCGGCGACTGGGCGCGACCAGCTTCTGAATGCTCCGACACCACGCAATCCTTCTGACCGAATCGACAGACTGGGGAATTGGGAAGGACATACAGCTGGGTTGAAGCAGACACGCAATACAGGATCTGCCGTGAGCACCTGCTACCCACATCTGCTGTCAAAAATTTCCAGAAGCATACCTTATCGCCGTCGCCTCAAATTTCTTGGGAGACAAGAAATTCAAGCTCACCACCAAGAGAGACCAAGCTCTTGACTCACCATGGCGTGGGATCATCTCTCGATCAATCGACCGCATCTGGTCTACATCATCCTCGGCGGCTTCACGTCGCTGTTCATGCTGTGTTCGTCGTTCATCAAAGAACGGCTGTACATAGGTGAAGCAACTGTCGCCACAATCTGCGGAATTATTTTTGGCCCGCATGCTGCCAACCTGATCGACCCTGGAACATGGGGAAACACCGATCAGATCACCCTCGAGTTCTCTCGAATCGTCCTCGTCGTCCAATGTTTCGCCGTCGGTGTCGAACTACCCAAATACTACATGGAGAAGCATTGGAGGAGTGTGGTGTTCTTGCTACTGCCGGTTATGACATTTGGCTGGTTGATAACTAGTTTGTTCATTTGGTGGATGGTTCTACCACTCACATGGCTTGAGGCTCTGGTCTGCGCGGCTTGTGTAACTGCAACAGATCCTGTCCTGGCCAGTTCCGTGGTCGGCAAGGGAAAGTTTGCCAAGCGTGTGCCAAAGCATTTGCGAGATCTCCTCTCAGCCGAGTCAGGATGCAACGATGGAATGGCATTTCCGTTCATATACCTTGCTCTCTACCTTGTCGAGTACAGACCAAATTCCAAGGAGGTGGCATTTCATTGGATCGTCATCTCCATCCTCTACGAGTGTGTATTTGGCGCATTTTATGGGTTTATGATTGGTTATATTGGCAGACATGGGATCAAGTATGCTGAGAAGCATGACCTTGTCGACAGAGAGAGCTTTCTCGTGTTCTATTTTGTGCTCGCGCTATTTTGTGCTGGCTCTGGTAGTATCCTGGGAGTGGATGATCTCCTTGTCGGCTTTGCTGCGGGGGTTGGCTTTTCTAACGATGGTTGGTTCACACAAAAGACTGAAGAGTCGCACGTTTCCAACGTTATTGATTTGCTTATCAATTTGGCTTACTTTGTCTACTTGGGGACCATCATTCCTTGGGAGCAGTACAATAACGCAGCTTTGGGACTGACCCCTTGGAGATTGGTGGTCATTGCTATCTTCGTCATCTTCTTCCGCAGAATTCCGATCATGTTGGCACTGAAGCCACTTATTCCAGATATCAAGACCTGGCGAGAAGCTCTTTTCGCTGGCCACTTTGGACCGATTGGTGTCGGGGCAATCTTCGTAGCCATTCTTGCTCGAGCGGAGTTAGAGACAACAACGACCACGCCATTGGCATCCTATCCCGACCCCGAAGCCCATAATTATATGGTTGTCGCGCTTGTTTGGCCCATCACTACCTTCCTTGTTATTTCGTCAATTATCGTCCATGGCTCCTCCATCGCAGTCTTCACTCTCGGCAAGCACATCAATACACTGCATCTGACCATGTCTTACACAACAGATGTGGATGGTCCTGGCTGGCTGAACAGACTTCCTCGTATTGCAACCATATCAAGATCTCAAGCAAAGTCTACAGTGTCTGAAACCGATGCCGACGAGTTGAAGATGGACGACTTCCCACCCGGAGTGCTACCGCCCATTGGAATGCCACGAGAATTCTTACGTCGCCAAAAAGAAGAAGACAACCCGCCGAACAATGGTCGAGCGTCTTCTCTCATCCCTCGCCGACGAAAGAAGAAGTGGGATGACGGCCTGGGCCCTGGTGGGCCTATTAGCCAGTCGGCAATTTACCCTGTCCGACGCAGCCAGAGTGAGCATCTGAGTGAGAACACTTCCGATACTTTGACCCCAGGTGGAAACTCTCCAGATACTGAGAAGGATATCGAGAACGAAAAGAACGAACGTGACCTGGGCGAGGTCCAGCATGATCCCGAGATGGAAAAGATCATGTCCAGAGGTTCTGATGAGACAAGACAACGGCACGGATCACGAGCAGAAAACGAACCAAATAGAAGAGAGATCTATCGAGAAGGTTCCGACATCATTATCGAAGATGAAGATGGCGAGGTTGTTGATAGCAAGATTGAGTCACATACACGAAAGGAAAGACAACAAGCTGTTGAAAAGACTGTAAAAGAAACGAAAGAAGAAATCGAGTCTTCTGGACTCGGTTACAGGAATTTGAGAAAGAAGTTAGGTATTTGGAGGCACAGAGATGAGCCAGAAGAAGAAGATGGTGGACCAAAGGGTGCAAAGGCACCACCCAAGAAGAGAGGTCCAGCATTGGCATATCAATTTGGGAACACTGTAAGTTGGCCCATTCTTCTGATATAATTTGGTACTAACTGCCAATCTAGATTATTGTTGAGGATGAAGACGGAGAAGTCGTTAAGACTTACGAGATCCCATCAAGCAAACCCAAGACCGGCGGAGAAGGAAGTTCTGGTGGTGTCGTCCGAAAAGAGCTCAACCGCATGGGTACATGGACCGGTATCACCAAGAAGCCAGGCGACGCTCACAAGGGCGAGGAATCCTCCCGACCCGGACTATCACACGGTGAATCTGTCCTCGGCAGACTAGGCAACTGGGGCTTCAAAGGTCCTAACACCAACACTGAAGAAGGACCAGACAAAGCCAAACGCCAAGATAGCAACGAAGACGATGATGATGACCGACACATCCGCTTCACCATCGGTGGTGCAGGCCGCCGTCTGACCAAAGACGACTTCCTCAAGGAAATCCAATCCCTCGATCCCAAAGCCCGTGCCGCCATCGTCGACAGCAGCGACGCCTCCGCCGCCATGAAAGACCTCGCTCGCAAAGACGCCTCCGCCGACAGCCCCGGCAGCAGCCGTCTCTTCACCGCCAAATCCACTCAGATGGCTTCGGGCAAAGCGACTGCCAAGTCAGTAGGCGCTGAGATGGCACGTAGACGCGGAGCCGCGATCGATGAGGACGATGAGATGAGAGAATCTGGTAGCGAGAGCGACTTCGATCACCAGAAGCGCCGCGCGAAATCTGTCGCGGATCAAGGCGGCAGCAGACCCAGCCAGCAGCAAACCACTCGTCGCGTTTCTCATGCTGCTGATATAGGTGAGACGCAAGCGGAGAGGCGGAGAAGAGAACAAGCTTTGAAGGGCGTGGATTCTGTTACGCCGGCGCAGAGGGGGAGAGAGCGTTCGCGTGATGACGAGGAGGAGGGTGAGGAGGTTGAGGAGGAGGAGGAGGATAATGGGAGGGGAGAGGTTGAGACGGCGGCGGAGAGGAGGAGGAGAGAGGCTGCGTTGGGCCTGGATAGAGGGGCGGCGAGGGGAGAGGATAGCGATGATGATGATACGCCCAGAGTGCCGCCGCCGGTGGCGAGGAGTAGGGGGATCAGATTTGCGCAGAGTCCGGTTAGAGGGGGCAAGAAGTGAGTGATTGAGTTACCTCTTTGATGAGGCTTGAAGGTGATATTTGAGTGGAGCAAACTGGTATTGAATTGCGAGAGCGAGCGAGCTTTGTAGCATGGCATGGCATGGCATAGTATTGCATTGCGTGGTGTTGGTAGTACAGTACATGTTTGTGTTGGTGTTGGTGTGATTCTTGTAAATAATTTGGACAAATGCTACGATACTAGATTGTCTCCTATCCTCCTATCTATTATCTTCTTGATTTGTTTGTCTGGTGATAATTCAAGTTCATGGTCCATTCAATGGTGACATGAACTTGCTTACAGTAGTGCAGTTCAATGACAATATAAACAATAACTCATCTTCTCTGCTTTCTCTTTGGAGCCGAGCCTATCTATCCTACTCGGTGTGCAGTAGAATACAAGCCTATGCAGAACTAAGAGCGGTCTGAGAGAAAGCCTCTCGCGCTCATTTTCGGTTGCGTGTTCGTCCTTGCCTTGTTGCTAATATATTGGCTCGGGCGATGATAAGACGCCAGTGTAGTCGAAAGTAAGGATTTCCAGTGCTGGCAAGCTGTGAATTTGAAGTTGGAAGTCGGTCATGAAATGGTCTCTTGAAAGGCCAAAATCTGAAATCTAGAGCGGGCTTGACGTTTGGTGACGATGAAAGCTGGCGCTTAGCAAGCCCCTGTCGCTGGACTGGTAGAGATGGTCAAGGATCATTGAGCTATGCCATTTATTTGGAGGCGGCACAAATTACTCGGCACTACTGTCACATCGTCCTCTGAGGTAGGTCGTATGAAAGTATTTTCGAGGATGAATTTCTCCTCGTGAAATTCCGTTCTGCGAGTTCATAGCATGGTCACGACAGGCAGGCCTCATGGAACCGCATGCTCGTTGAAGCGTCGATGTAATCACGGGGAATTGGAAGGATTAGGCTCAGGTTACAGCTCTTTCCCACCGACTGGTAACCTTATTGTACTTTAACCATCTCTTCTCGCGAGCATCGAGTACAGTCCCAAGTGTCACTACTCTCTTCACATGCTGTGTAGCGGAATGTGCCACGCGCAACCTGTAACGCGGAGTCTCTCCTCCTCCAACCAATCGAGGGAAAGCAAAAACTCCAAGAAGCTGCCCATGGGGATTGAAATGACCAACAATTCCTTCTGAAAAAATAGACTGTTCCCACCATACCTGATGAGGACAGTGCAAGCCGGCCCCAGCGCTCAGTCGGCGCCTGAGCCCACACTATTTAAAGTAAATTACCCCACAAACTACGGGGGAATTCCAGGTTCCAAGAGGCGATGGTGGCGCGATCCGGTTGGGAAGTACGCGCTATTTCTCGTCGCGTCCCTGCGGTGCATCACCTTGGCGGCGTGCCCCCGAAATTAAAGTAATAAGTACGAGGGCCTGAACGTTGGGACGATCGAGGAGGATTCTCTTTTCTTTCTCTCACGTTCCCCCAAGCTTTCTCTCTTCAGTTCCTCTACCTGTCTTTGGTGTCAGTCACGCTCGTTCAGCATATCCTATCAATCAACCCGTCCTGTCGCTTTTGTATAGCAGATATTATTTACTTCTTACCTATAGAGATACTTTACTCTTTAAATTAGTCAATATGAAGACTTCCACTATTCTCCTTGCTCTGATGAGCATTGCGTCCGCTGAGCTCGTCGTCCGTCAAGATGCAAACTCTACGACGACTCCTGCCGCGACAATTACCAGCGTCGATACCTCCCCACAAGCCACTTGTCTTGCAGCATGTAATCCCACCGATGTCAATTGCCGCGCAGGAGTAAGTACAAAGTTTCTTTCATCATGAGTCCCAGTAATCACCAGGACTCGACATCCCCCGCCTAAGCGATATCACACACATTTGGACTTTTACTAACTAACCATCAACAAAGTGCGTCGGCGGAGCCCACCCCAACTCAGCCCAAGTCAACCAAACCTACGAGTGCATCACCAGCTGTCCCAAAGGCGACGGCAGCAAGTCCCAAACAGACCAGTACAACACCTGCGTTGCGAACTGCATCACCTCCCATTATCTCGGCAGCACTGTTGGGCCCGTCCCCGTTGGAACCGGCTCGGCCAGCGTGAGTGCGCAGACTACTGGTACTGGGGCAAGCGGTAGCCAGACAACTGGTGGTGCGGGAGCTCAAAGTACTTCTGGTGCTCAGCCAACTGGTGAGTCTTTGACCTGATGAGGCATTGAGGATGCTGGAGATGGTGGAGTGGAACTGATGAGAGTTTTAGGATCGCAAACTTCTGGATCGGATGCTTCTGCTTCTGGTTCTGCGGCGCCAACAACCACGTCGAATTCTGCTAATGGACCTATCCTTGTCTCTGCTGGAGGTCTCGCTGGTCTGTTCCTGGCATTCTTCGCCTTGTAAATTTGGGAAAGGGGCAAAGGGAAAAGGGGAAGGTGGGGGTGTTGCGCATGGGGTACCGAAAATATTAAGGCGATAATATCGTTCTACTTGGAGTGTTAAGGGGATTTGGCAGAGTTAATGTTCTATGATGACGATATAATGCGGTTGGAGACCTGGGGGGGTTTTCAGAATTACATAATTCCTTGTATGTATTTCTGGTTTGGAGCTAATTGTTGTCTTGTCTTTCAATTGCCTCCCAAATGTGTTTGAAGCAAGTTATTGTTGGTTCTGTAACCTTTGCATGAACGCTCATTTTACTACTCTCGGAGCGAAAAGCCAACATTCATGCAGCTCCATTTTTGTTTGCTTTGTGCTAAGCGAGCCAACCCGTATTCTGATTGATATGCGCGAACTTCATTAACATGTCGTCGATGTTTTTCCATCGTGGGGATCGTATCAAAGTGCTCGTTCAATCATTGCAACCGTTTGGGTTTGTGTTCTCGCATTCTACCCACTACGTTTCATTCGACACCCAAGATCACATTAGAAGACCCCGAGGGTTGCAGCTGCACCAGTAACGTGGGGGCAACGCAGAAGGGGAAACGAAATGGTTTTACAGCATATCTGTAACAAAAGTCTTAGCTACATCACTCTTCCTTCTGCGGCTCTGATCTCTGCTTCAATGCCAGGACTCTCCATTCCCTTATATTCATAGGGAGGCCTCAGGGAAGCATCGATGTCATATCTTATATTACACGAACTTGGTATGACAAAGGCTTCTAAATCCATGCAGTTCATGGTTAGTTAGGAATGTACTGCCATCAAAGTTCTCATGTCGTTTTAAAGCATGAACAATTGGCTCAGCTTCTTGCTCTTCCCTCACGTAGCCAAACCAACCGCCCGAGAAAAACATACCCGTTGATATATCCAAATAACTCAAAAACTCAGCACGTCAACCCTGCATACGTCCTTGGTAAGTTGAATTTGATCTCCTCGATCATTCCGTTCACTCGCACTCACACAGCCGGCGCCCGACGATAAAATCCCGCATACCTCCGCCTGTCGCCAATCCCTCGTCCGAAAAGCAAATCCTCAGTTCGGAGAGGGTTTCTTTCTATCTGCACCCTGTGCAGGATGTTCTTTTGTCTTTTTTCTTATCTCTTTAATCTTTCATTGGGTTCACTGGTTGTCGGCTGCAGTGGAAAATGCCAGACGGGACGCGTGGATTGTTTTTGTGGATATTGACGATATGGTGCTAAGCGAGGATTGGTAATTTTCCTGCCATCTGTTGTCGCTGTGTGACTTTTGCAAAAAATGATTATTCTATAATAGTCGGTCTGGCCCCGACGCACAGCTGTTTTTTGCTGGGGAACTTGTATTCAGCGTGAAGGGAAATTGAGGCTCTGGTGATGCGCTACACAAGTCGCGCTCCCGCTTGCCAGTTTGGGACCGATGACTAGCGCCACGTTCCAGCCAGTCCAAATAGTTATGAGAAATATTCTTAGAGAGACCTAAATATTGATAGTCGTCTCACCACTTCGGATCATCTTGCCCACAGCATTTCTCACGACTCTTGTCTTCATCTTTTAGATCTGCAAGGCAAAGGGCAACCCTCAAGTACCGAGTCGCCTGAATCAAGGAGAACATCATGGATATATCAAGGACACCTGATCCGCTGCAAAACATAGGTGCTCTCAGATTGCTCCCACAAGAATTGCGAAACGAAGTATGGCGACTTCTCCTCCACAGTAAACGGCTTACTTTTGGGCCATTGCACAAAACAGCTATTTTCCGGACCTGCAAGCAAATCCACAATGAGATCATTGCGTTGCTCTACAACAACAAGACACTTACTATTACGCTTAGCGCATCTTTCAATCGCAAAGCTTGGTTTACATTAGAAGTATCCCAAGGACTCACATGGAACTGTATGGATGGTAACGAAGCACTCGCCTCCATACCCTTCTCTCGGTTCAGAGAGATTAAGGTGGAGATTTCAGCACCGAAGGCCAAAGATCAGGGTCAACTCATTTGTCTCTTCCACAAGGTATGTCACTACCTCTCAAGATCCCTTTCGCCTTCCCTCATCGAGAGTATAAGAGATGTATTGCACGTTCGAAGTTTGATGCAATCGATTTCTGACAATTATACTAGGCACTTGAGCTCTCCAAAATACTCTCAAATCAATCATACCTTCCTTGTCTCCATATATCTCTCGTCGATACAAAGAAATCGTCGTGGTGCACAGAAATCATATTCGACGGAACAAAAGAGTACCATGAGTCATTCGTGCCTCAAAAGTTATTGGAGCTGGTATCATCCAGGGTGGAAAGCTTGAGCAGTTCCCGTAGCCATGACTATGACTACGTAGCCATCCTCCGTCCATTCTATCGCTTGCATAATGTCCACGAAGCTTCCGTTACCGTTCCCAAAAATCTTCAGGTCTATCTCGAACGGTCTGACTTATTAGAGGGGTTTGCTTCGCCAAAGAGCGAGGCGCTATGGAGTGACGAACTCATTCAGCGGCATCTAGACACGATATTCGTACTCTTCGAAGATGAGCTAGATGCGATACAGGGTCAGACAGCGGGGAGGATGCGTCTTCGTCGATTCAGCAAGTGGTTTGCAGATGGTGATGGGAAGATACAGGCTTATTTATCCGAACTCAGAAGGATTTACAACAGTCAGACTGATGTTATCGTGGATTATGAGCGCATTCAAAGACGATATGTTTGGATGAAGACGTTGAATCCAATGTCTAGCAAGTTGCAGATGCGGAGTGCGCAGAGTAGGGCTTACGTTCTGAGACAAACGCACGATGCGTTTTCAGCTGCGAGTGTCTCCGTCACGTCAACTTTTGAGGATGGATGGAGTGCAGAGGAGTGGTATAACTACTATCCTTTTGGAATAGTAGGATTAGATTTTGATAGTTATGGACATCTGCACGGCCCGGCAGTCACTTATGAGGCAACCGATGATGATAAGAAGGCATTGTCGTCGTTATTCGATGAGATTGAACATGAGAAGGAAGCAAGAGATTTACCGACGGAATATAGAAAGCTGGATGATGTTGGCAAAGAAGCGTCATATCTCTCACCGAGTTTGACGCCTTCAAGGTCGATTCCTGGACCGCTAAATAATCGCAAGCATAATCTCCATGGCATGATTTGAAATGTACCACACTATCATATGTCTGAACTTAATACTTCAATCATTCAATGTGTCCTCTGGTCCAAATCTCTGCCGTCTGATAACATTGCCTCGACATTCGACGTGCTGATCTTGCCAGGAAACGCTGGATGCCCACTGCCCAAGATGCGCCTCAATCGGAATACAAGACACTGAAAATATCCGCATTTCACCAAGAAAGTGGCAAAGATGGAAAGCAGCTCTTGGAATTGACGATGGTTCTTTCCCGATTGGAACGGTTCACCACTAATTCCGTCTTTGACCTGGAACCGAAGTCGGAATTAGACTGGTAATGGATCATATATACAGGCTTTCCTTAGTCCTTGAAGTCATAAGTAGCCCCTCCTTCCAAAGTGAAGCTGCCTGGTCGAGCCGCTCATTCTGTCCTTGCATGGTGGAATATTCAAGGCGGTACGATTCGAACATTTTTGGGGATCTGGCGACTTGAGTGAGAAGCTAATGGAAGCGGCGGCTTCGGTTATCACTTCCATTGATACTGTTTATTTTCGTGACTGCCTTGCATCGTGAGACCAAAAATTTCTATTGTTGTTGATTTTATTGCCAGCCTTGGCGATATCGGCGATATCGTTCCCCCAGTTCAATTAGATCTTGGACGTAGCCCAGAGCAATTGAGGCCAAAGAAAAGACTGTAACTTCTCGTTCGGAGAACAAATTCATCAAACCACACTTCAGACACTCAATTTTTAAATTCTCTGAATTTTCGCCAGAGACACCATGATGGTTTTCTTCCTGGTTCTCGTCATCCTGGCTGCCCTCTCTATTTTGAGAGTCGTAATCTACCGAATGTTCTATCACAAGCTCTCCAAATTCCCTGGACCGACTCTCTGGGCCATCAGTCAACTTCCTCAGGCTTACTATCTTTTCAAGGGTTGTCTTCCATACAAGATTCTTGAACTTCACAACCGTTATGGACCGGTTGTCCGCCTCGCCCCAAATGAGCTATCGTTCATCACAGCAGATGCATGGAATGATATCTACGGAAAACCATCCAAAAAGCCACAACTTCAAAAAGAGCACACTTTCCTTCCGCCTTCCACTGGCATAAGCGGTATCATCTTTGAGACGGACGATACTGAGCACAGTAGACTCAGGTATGTTGAGCTGCTTTCTATACATATCTTACTTAAAGCCATAACTTGCTTTAGACGAGTATTCTCGCACGCCTTCTCAGATAAGAGCCTACGAGATCAAGAAGCTACCGTCCTCAAATATGTCGACCAACTGATCATCAAACTGCAAGAAAATGCAACTGATTCCCTTGACATGTGCAAATGGCTTAACTTTGTCTGCTTCGACATCACTGGAGAATTGATGTTCAGCGAATCGTTCGACTCTCTGAACAAGCCTGATTTTCGTGTTAGTCACTCTGTCACATTTTCATATCCTGCTAATTATGCCTAGCCATGGATCAAAATATTCTACAATTGGGTTGCTGGAGCAGCTTTGCTTAGCATGGGTCAGAAACTGTGGCCCTTGACTAGTATTGTCAAGTGGCTCGTGCCCAAGGATATGAGAGATGCTGAAGTGTCTCATCGTATCATGACGCAAGAAATACTTGAGAAGCGCCTCAGAACAACAAATGCCTTCCACGTAGATTTGTATGTCATCCACTTCTGAGGTGACTAAGGCTTCGAAATGGCTAACATGGACAGAATATCCAACGTGGATCAATTCTTGTTGAACGACAAAATAGCTTCGGCCGAACTTCTGGAGTCTTGCAGAGTTATGCTTGTTGGGGGTGCAGAAACAATGGCAACTGTCGTCTCTGGAATGTTTTATTACCTACTGAGTAACTCAAGTGCTCATTCAATACTCAAGGCTGAGATTCGTTCGCAGTTCAAGTCCGCGGATGAGATCAATGGAAACACTGTGCAGAAACTCAAGTATTTGTCTGCAGTGATCAAGGAAGCTTTACGTATGTTTCCACCATTACCAGGCAATCTTCGACGAATAACTCCACCAGAGGGTTGTATGGTTGGAGGACAGTTTGTCCCTGGTGACACCAGCGTCGGTGTTCACATCTTCGCCGCAAACTACTCAACTCACAACTTCAACAAAGCCACAGATTTTCGTCCTGAACGATGGATTTCGAAAATCCCGGAGGAGTTCCAGTCTGACAACCGCTCTGCAATGCAGCCAGTAAGTCCTGGTAGTCTTTCTATTTGCCACAGCCTGATTTGTGTATAGTTTTCTATCGGTCCACGCAACTGCATCGCGAAGAACTTGGCTCTGCTGGAAATGCAACTCATACTTGCGAAGCTGATTTATAAATTTGATCTCGAGCTAGCAGAGGAGAGTATATTTTGGGCGAACGAGGTGAAGGTGTTTGGTTTTGTGCAAAAGCCAAAGTTGATGGTGAAGCTGGCAGCGGTTTAGAATGCCCGTAGCTTACCGAGGGCACGAAGTCGCGAAAATAAAGAGCATAGCAGAAATGTCCAAAATGTATAGCGAGCATCGGAATTCATCTTCATATAGTTGATGCCACACCTTTTCTACTCCGAATTCAATGCCACTTGATTTGAGGCTTGAGATACCCTGAAGTGAACTCGTTTCTCGTGGTATTTGTACGAAGGTATTGTTGACTTGAGTCTGCCGACTCGGATCTCTTAGCGAGTTGGTGGGATCAAGTCTTGGCAAAACGCGTGCCAGAAATCTCTCTACGCGCAACGCGTCTCACTGAATTTGCCCATCTCAATAATCACAGCAACAGCAATCTTCTCAACACGAAATACTCGAAATTTTCCAGTATGACTGAGCCAAGTAATGTCGAGATCCAGGAGCGATTTGAATCGGCAGGTGGAAAGTTGGAAGAAGATGTTCTGGCCGAATTACAATCGATCATGCGCCTGCATTCGATCGACGTTGAGGAACTGTGGTACAAATGGGAATCATACAGCATGAAGATGGGTTCGGATGACATGAAGCTGAATATCGAGACTGCGAGAGCCCTCAAGAAAGATGTGCAAGACGGATTGGAACGCGACAACCGGTCGAAGCAACATCTTCAATCGAACAAGCGGGCTGCTGCTACCCCTCGAACCGCTGCGAGCAATGGCGATGTATTTGGAATGTGAGGATATACCTGTTGCACTTGGACATGACTGATGGTTATAGCTTGGATGGCCTTGTACCAAACACTCCGCGAACTGGATCTGCGAATAGAAGCAGTGCTGCCAAACGGAAATTCGAAACTCCTTCGATGTCAAGAGTCAAGGCAGAGCCGGCCAGCAGCCCTCCAGAGTTCAAGACGCCTTACAAGCCAGGAGAACATGCAGGTGCTGCGTATGTGCCGAATGCCCTGAGATGTGAATTGAAACTAATGCCTGAACAGAGTTTCTTTCCACGACCGAAAGAATGCAGGACAAGCAGTCGAAGTTCTCAACGACCACATTAAAATTCCAGAGCCTCCAATGGCACCCTTCTCCGAACCGCGAATCAAACTCATTGCAAATTCCGATATGAAGAAGCTTTCCTACAAACCTATGGCCATGAAGTCCTCAGAAGCATCCGAGATATTGGACGACAAAATAGACGAGTTCATGCAATTGATCCAGGCACACCATAACTTGGACGATTCTGAATTTGGAAGTGCTGCAAGCCAAAGTACTAACGAGATAGTGGCGGTAGGGAGAATAGCCTCGGACTCATTGACAGGAAAGCTCAATGCCTCCTCTTTGGTGTTAGAGACCTCTCGAAGAATGGGAGCGGGTTTAAGGATACCCCTGAAAGTCGACTCCCTGCCTGGATACCAGTTCTTCCCTGGTCAGATAGTAGCGATGAAAGGAATCAATGCTTCAGGAGATAACTTTGCCGTCAGGGAAGTTCTTGAAGCTCCATTATTGCCTGGTGCTGCTTCAACACCAGCAGGACTCGAAGCACATATTCAGAGGTTGAGAGGAGGTCCGGATGCCATGGATTCCGACTCTGATCCAGCACCACTGAGCATCATATTAGGAGCTGGACCATATACAGCAGACGACAATCTGGATTTCGAACCACTACACGCATTGTGTAGCCAAGCAGCTGATTCCTATGCAGATGCACTTATCCTGACGGGACCTTTCCTAGATATCGACCATCCTCTTATCGCCACAGGAGATTTCGACCTCCCAGAAGAAGCCATGACTGAGCCAGACACCGCTACCATGTCAACAGTGTTCAAATATCTAATCTCACCCGCGTTTATCCAACTGGTAGCCGCAAATCCACATATCACAATCCTGCTCATCCCTTCAGTCAAAGACGTGATCAACAAACACGTTTCCTGGCCTCAAGAGCCCTTCCCAAAGAAGGATCTCGGGCTTCCAAAATCAGTCAAGATTATCGGAAACCCAATGACGCTCTCCCTCAACGAGATCGCAGTTGGTGTTTCCTCACAGGATATCCTCACAGAACTCAGATCGTCTGAAGTGATTGGAGGCAGGCCGAAGGAATCATCTGTGCTAGCTCGGCTACCAACGTATCTTATTGAGCAGAGGAACTTCTTCCCGCTCTTCCCTCCTGTTGACAGAGAGAGTTTGCCGAAGACCGGTACGGCGGGTGGCATCCCTGCTGGTGCTATGTTGGATACCAGTTATCTGAAGCTGGGAGAAATGATCAACGTACGGCCTGATATTCTGATTGTACCCAGCGCATTGCCTCCTTTCGCAAAGGTAAGATCAATGTTCTCCCTGATTTGAGGTTTATGCCGAAGACTAAATATTACAGGTCGTGGAAGGGGTTCTTGTTGTTAATCCCGGATATTTGTCGAAGCGCAAGGCGGCAGGTACTTACACGAAGATGACTATTCTGCCTGCTTCTTTGTCGAATGAGGATAGGGGTTCGTCGGTACTTGCTCACAAAGTGTTTGAAAGGGCGCGTGTGGATATTATCAGGATATGATTTAGACGAATGTGATGTAATTAAAGACTTGGTTTATGTCTCTGGACACGGCGTTGGGCTCAGGAGTAGGGACTGGCTAATAGGCATTACAGGATGAACATAGTTTGGCGAATATAACGCTTTGAGTTAGATATCAGTGCTACCTCGAGTCTACTCTTCTGCGTTTGTCGCTTTCATATCGGTCACCATCCCTAGATGTACTGCGCTTCCTGCGATATCTATCCTCCCTATCTCGTCTCGGCGATCTTGATCGCGACCTAGATCTGGATCTCTGTCTCCCTGGCCCGTGTGTATCTACATCTCTCGGCCGCTCACGCTCACGCTCACCTCCATCGCGCAGCGCTCTCGGCCCCTCTGGCGCGCCAGTGACTTTCTTGCGATCAGCAACCGGCATGCTATTCGCACCACTTGCACCTGGTCCAGCTCGCTCTCGATCTCGATCGGGCATGAATCGCTCATCTCCATTGAAGTCCATACCTCCTTTCCTCGGCCTATCATCGAACTGTCCCCATCTCCCCGTATCTTCACTCTTTAAGTCTTTATATTTCGTAGCTCCCTTCTTTCCCAGCTTCGTCATGTCTCGCATCTGTAGCGCTTGAGGTAATAGTTCTCGATTTACGTCGTCTGCAAATCGCGAACCCATGATATCTCTCTGACCCAGACCCTGAGCTTCGGCATCGTCCTGGTAGAAAGCACCTTTGTGATAGTATTTCTGCATGAATCCCATTTTGCCCTTCCCATCTTTCTCCTCTTTTTGTTTGGCAATGAACTCATCATCTTCTCGTTTCCTCTCTTCCTCGGTCAAGTTCTTCCTCCGCTCTACCTCTTCCAATTCCTTTTCTCGCTCTTCGATCGCTTCTCTTTCTCTCTTGATTCGCTTCAACTCTCGTAATTTCCACGCCGCGTATTCCGCATCTGGATCCAGCCCATCCTCGTCGTCAACCTCATCGTCCGCTTCTTCATCATCCCAATTCTTCTTGCCCGCTGCTCGCGCGGCAATGTCCTTCCTGATCTGTTCTTCCACAATCTCATCCGCAGCTTCTTTCTTCCTCTTCTCCTCCTCTGCTGCAATCTCATCTTCCGTTCTCATATCCACAGGTTTGTTCCCCGCAATCGCATTCCGCTTGTCCTTCTTGATGAACGTCGGCCGCATCAGCACCCTCCTTGGTGCCTCCTCCTCACTACTCTCAGCATCCTCACTGCCACTCTCCTCTTCACTTCCCTCCTCACTCCCTTCCGATTCCTCTTCCGTAACGAAGCCTTCTTCCTCTTTCGCCTTTAAAGCTTTCTCCTGTTCTATTCGCGCAATTTCTTTCGCGGCGGCGATCTTCCGCCGCTCATTCAGGTCGACTTTGCTGAGATTGCTGGTGATTCCACCGGCTGTGGAAGCTTTAGGTGGCGCGGGGATCTTGGATGGTGCGGTGGTCTCGTCCTCGCTGGCGTCGGAGTCTGAGGAATCGGCTTCTTCCACTACCTTGCCTGGTCTGTGGCGAGGCGCCTGGACGGGATTTGCGGTCATGCGCTTGGGTGGCATGATGACGGGTGAGATAGATTTGGAGGAGAATTGGAAGTTTAGCGGAGCTTGCTCGAGGCTCAAGAGGCATAAATTTTGGAGGTCAATGGCAAGGCTGAGGACTAGGACCCTTTAGGCTAGACTTCCCGCTCACTTGCAGGGATTCGATATAATTTTGGGACGAGGCGGAGCCATTAGATGCAGGTGGACGAAATTCAGAATATGTTTATGTTCACACCATGGTATTCTGGAAGTGTGCTTTCCGATTCTCTGAAGATTTCTCAAGTTTTGAAAGTGGCAGGAGGCAGCAGCGATTGAAGTTTGTATCAAGTTTTAATCCCATCCATCAGAATGTGCCATCACTCAGATCTATTTAATGTGCCTTGCAAATGAATCGCAATTTACCGCAACCTTGTATGAGCCCATACGCCTTCCAGATTGTTGCCTGAGTCTATGTATGGTATCAAAGTCGAATGTAATATCTGAGATTCGAAGTCCCCAAGCCAGAACGCCGCCCAGATGCAAATTATACCCTCATCACTCATAGAATTTCGTCCTCCTCATCGTCAGCGGGCAGAGGTATCGACTTCGCAGTCTCGACATCTTCCATAATCGTATGCTCCGGGGCAGCGGCGGTCCTGACATGATCGTCCTCATCCATCTCCTCAGCATTCTGCCAGCCCTCATTCTCCTTCTCTAAAGCTAGCGCATCTTCTCTCGCCTTCTTTGCAAGCATTTTCTTGTTTAACTCCTCCCAATTCTTGGCTCTCTCTTGAACAGTTCTTGCTCTATCCTTGCTCTTCTCAATCTTAATTTCCTTCTTGTCAATCACCGCTTCAGCACGATCCAGTCCTTTCTCTTGCCGCCGCTTCGCTTTTGCGCTCAGGACGGACTTCCGACCATTCTTAGACTTCTTTGAAATTCCGGCGCCTTGGTGGATTGATAGAACAGACTCCCGTTGATTCTTTGTCGCTGGAGGAGGCTTGAGATCCTTCAGGGATTTGTCGAGGTCGATGCCTGGAGAGGATGCCCGTTTGGCTGCACGCGAATGCACCGAAGTGACTAAAACATTGTCAGAAACTCGCGCTGATAAATCTTAGATAGTGAGATACGTACCACCCTTCTTCTTGGGTGGCGCTGTCTTTGCCATTGTCTGTTTGGAGTGATTGTTCTGGAGTGTGGGGTCGATGCTGGAAATTCTCAAGATTTCGGCAAAATTTAGACCTGACCACATCCCGTCTGACCCGCCTCACATGCTTGCGCTTGCGAAATGACCCTCTACATGCTCCACAAGACCTCTTCTTTGTATCTACCAACTTCTCCCTCACAAACTCAAAATCACAACGATCCAGAACCACCACTCCGAGATAACCCTTCCCTTTGCTATGTTCGCATCGAGTCCATATGCATTATCATGAATTCATACGACCCGCGACTGCAGGACCTGTTCGACGGTGATCCGGACCTCTATGAAGATTACCACCAGGACTACAAGCAAGGCGTTATTCAAACATCTACCCGCATAGGAGTCATCATATCCTTGATACTCTGCTGTGCTCCAATCATCTATCATATACTTTCGATCCTCGACTACGACGTGCTACCTCTCCCAGAGCTCTTGTGGAATATACTGGTCTACGTCACGCCGTCACGCCTACTTGATGCGATTGAATCTTACCAGAACCCACTCCGAGTTACGAACCCAGCGTTGAAGGATATCCCGAGGACTCATGCAGAAAAGAGTGAGACAATGCGGCGTGTACTTGGCTTGGACAGACCGGGGGGCATAATTGAGTCTGTTGCGCAAGCCGGGAGGCGAAGGCTGTCTACCCTCCCAGGACTCAACCTGAGCGCACATGGAGATGGAAGACCAGCGGGTTTGGGAAATTGGGATAACTCCTGTTATCAGAACAGCGTCCTCCAAGGGCTGGCGTCGCTGGACACATTATCAGGATATCTCACAAACCCTACGATTGAGGACCCGGTAGAAGGAGTGGAGAAACCGGATATGAAGATGGCAGAAGCTTTGGGAGAGCTCATTGCGACACTGAACGACCCCTCGAATAATGGAAGGCGGATATGGACACCCGCCACACTGAAGAATATGAGCAGCTGGCAACAGCAAGACGCACAAGAGTATTTCTCCAAGGTACTCGATGAGATAGACAAGGAGGTGGGAAATGTAGCGAAGTTGATGCAGACTTCCCAAGGATTGGAGTCGGATGGCTCGACAAGATCAGGTTCACAGACCCAGGAGCCGTCACAAATATCCACATTTCGGAATCCGCTTGAAGGCTTGATCGCACAACGAGTGGGATGCATGAAGTGTGGGTATTCAGAAGGGCTCTCCATGATCCCTTTCAACTGTTTGACAGTTCCTCTGACAAGATCATGGGAGTGTGATGTCTCGGAATGTTTGGACGAATATACAAAACTCGAGCAGATCGAAGGGGTTGAATGTGGCAAGTGTACGCTACTTAAATACCAAAGACTACTCCGGATTCTCGTCGACAAGCAGAAACCGCCTGTGTCTGACGAGAAAACTCACACGCAAGTTGTCGATAGGCTGGCAAGTATTGAGACTGCATTGGAAGAGGACGACTATGAAGAAAAAACCCTGGCAAAGAAACTCAACATCATTTCCAAGAACCGAGTGTCTTCTACCAAATCACGACAGGCAGTTATCGCGCGGCCTCCAAAGTCACTCGTCGTTCACTTCAATCGAAGTATCTTCGACGAAATGACAGGCGAGTTGAAAAAGAATCTCTCACATGTCAAATTTCCCCGAGTCTTGGATCTAGGGCCCTGGTGTCTTGGGAGTTCAGGATTGACTGACGACGTGACGACCGAGGAATGGCTATTGAACCCCGACAAGCCTATGATCGCTAGCACCAAAAGGCCATCGAGACTGCACGGTCCCACTTATGAGCTCCGAGCCGTAGTGACGCATTTTGGACGACATGAGAATGGCCACTATGTTTGCTACAAAAAGGTACCTGTCTTGGACTTGGCGGACACGCAGAATGACGAGAAATCCCCACACAAAGAGCAGTGGTGGAGACTGAGTGATGACGATGTTACGAAAGCGAGCGAGGATGCCGTTCTCGGCCAAGGAGGTGTTTTCATGTTGTTCTACGACTGCATTGAGCCTGGCACCACCAAAGCACCGGAAGTCGACATATCAGAGAAATGTGAAGTCGCCCATGATGTGGTAGTACCAGCAACTATCATCTCAAGCAGCAGAGTCACAGACGTGCCAATTCTGCCGGACTTATCTGCGGCAGCTGGGATCCCTTTACCTGAAGCAGACGACGAAGATCTCTCTCAAAGCGACGATCAGGACTCCCTTCCCACAACTCGAGAGGAGAGCATTGCAACAAGCGTCTCAGAGTACGATGAGGAAGACGTCTCCGGTCAAGACCTTGAGGACTATCAGCCTGCAAAGGCAATTGTGGTCCCGCCTTATATCAAAAAGGCGGGTGACAGCCCCACAAATGGAGATCAGAAGATTCTATCTCCTGGAGGTTCTCTCGTCATGGTCTGAGCATCTGGTTAATGGTACATATGGACTAATTCATGGTGTTTGGCTGGACGGATTGTATGCATAGCGAGGCGTTCTGGTAATTGGTGTTGGTTGCCGCCGGCTGGCGAGCTTTTGTGGTTGTCGAATTGGCTGCAAGATTGGCTGACCTAGGACTTGTTGCCCTTATCATCTTTAGACAGGTCATCAGTACATCATAACGAGTGATATCCTTTTCTGCCGTGAAATGCTATGGTTTTCAGCTAGTAAGACCCCAAAAGTTTGTGTACTTCAGTAATTACAACCCTGGTGTCGGGGACAGTTTCAACTTTCTCCGTTCGGCGCTGTATACTTTCATCAAAGAATCTAGTTCTTATTGAGGTGCACGAGCAATCTTCGCGGGACCTGGGCATCCGGCACAAACAAACTTGCCGTCCGCAGCGTTACACCCAGCGCAAATATCTTGTGTTGTAGGAAATGGATATTAGCGTCTTATGAAAGAAGACATTCAATTTCAATGCCCAATCAGCTGCTACCACTGGATCCAAACACGCTTTCCAAATGCATCGCTCTTGTGGCTCATAAACTTTCATAGGGGTTTCATACAGTAGAACGAGATACAAGCCGATCATGCATAGATGCCTACGTGACCATTTTGGAAAGTGCAACACTCGTAAAAAAAGTCAACCTTGAATGAACTGACTACCTAGGTACTTACGAGCTGTACAAGACAATGCCAAGCCAAATTTTGAGTTTGCCGTGTTTGCAAAAGACCAGTTGCCAAGAGAACGTCTGAAGAAAAAAGTAAGCTAGGAGATTGTGATGAGCCGAAAGTGGCTGCAAGAGAAATATTGGACCTTCTAGACGCAGACTCGGACTTGTGAGATATGATAATCTGTTGTTGTAGTAGGATCAATTTTGAAGGCAATCTGAATTCGGCTGGTTTATCCATTGCCTTTGAAGGGCGGCAGATGCAGACCATAAAGCGGCGGGCATTTCGCGCCAAGGGAAGCGAGAAAAGAGTAATTTCGTCAACCAAAGTCAACCCCTCTCTGCCCAGACAACACCAAGGATCTAGGGAAAGTGTCACCACTCACAACCCAAAACTTCACGACTTCACAAGCCAGTAGTACAAGTATACAAGAAATACGCCTTTGCGATGTCTTGATTTGAGAGTCTGCCCAGAGCCACGGCCTACGAGTGCGATGGCGAGGATGGTCATCGGCGGGGGCAAGGGGGGCTTCATATTCTCTTTATTCCTTTGCATTCCGGCATCGCGGCTGGGCACCGCAGCAGCACAAAGGGGGCGGCAAGGCGCTTACTGTGTGCAGACAGGTGTTCGGCCTTGTCATTGTTCGCAGCCTCGGGGTCCAAGGACTTGGGGGGGCGTGTTGGGAGTCTGGGAGACGAACAGGCCGTCGCGAGTTGTGCTCCAGCAAGGCGATGGGCAAGGCAATGGGCAAGGCCCCAAGGAGGCTGACCGCATCCAAGGCATACGTGACTGTCTGCCAAAAATGCCAATGCTTGCCTTGCTGCTTTGTCCAATCGAAGCGACGCTGGTCTCTTCTTGTCCTATGGGAACAAGACCCTGTCGGTCCTAATTATGAAACCCATCCAGGGCCAAGCAAAAGCCCAGCACGGCAAGCCGGCCGCAGCGTGCTCGCTCCCAGGCATTCCAATAGACATAACAACCCCCATCACCTCTCTCTGTTTTTTTCTCTCGTGGCAATTATGATCCTGCGCTGCTGTGTCTCCGTCGTATCCCAATAGCAACTCACGACAAACCAGTATTCGCAAGATGGGACTATGTGACTGGAGGAGGGCGCTGTTGCACACATGCCTTCTATCAATTTTCGCATTCCAGAAATCGGCTGCTGCTCTAGCGTTCACAAATCCCTCGCTGGCAGGCCTGACTGCCGGTGCCCCATATAATCTCACATGGAGTGGCGCATCCGGAACAACCACGGTAACACTCCAAAATGGAACGGCGAATGATCTCGAAATGGTAGTTGTTATTGCTTGTAAGTTGTGTCTCTCTTGGACGTATACATTTTCATCTCGATTAACATAAATCTCAGCCGACGTTTCGGACTCCTTTCTGGAATGGAGCCCATATGCCTTCACGCCATCGGGATCCTATGTGGTTCGTCTTGAAGACACATCAGGACAGACGGCCGTCTCTGATCAATTCACGATGATGCCCGCTGGAACTAAAACCTCTTCCACTACTGGACTTCATTTCACGTTGCCCTCATTCGAGGGTGTCAATGTCGGCTCGCCAATAAACATCACATGGTCTGGTGCCACGGGTTCGACAACCTTGACCCTACAAAACGGAACCGAGAACAGTATCCACGATGTAGATGCTATTGCTAGTAAGTGCCTTTTATCTTGATGGTATAGATCACCACTGACCTATGGTACAGCGGACATCCAAGCTTCTTTCTTTGTCTGGACCCCACCAGCCACTATCCCATCAGATGACTACGTCTTCCAACTCAAAGATGACTCATCAGACGAAATCGCCTACTCCAACATCTTCAGACTCCTCGCTCTGGGCGAGACTCTCCCAGTGGTGACGGCCGTCGACCCCAACCTCCCAGCAGCCTCAACCCCCGACGAGCAAGAAGAACCCTACCGGCCCGCGCCTTCCCACCCCAACATCTCCCTCGCCGCCAAAATCGGCGTAGCAGTTGGCTCTATTGTCCTCACCCTCCTAGTCATCGGCATCGTCATCTTCTACCGCCGAAGACACAGGAATCCAATGGAGAGAATGTCGATGAGCGAGAGCTCGGATCAGTTTTTGCATGATAGGAGGAAACCTTCGTCAGAGATGGGCATGCTCGAGCCGACGAGACCAAGGCCAGCTGAATTAGGCGATAGAGGAAGGCGGCTGGATCGTCGGTCAAGGGAACTGGGTCACGAGGAGTGGCGATGACGACCACGAGTCTCAGTATGAATGTTCATGTATTTATATGTCACGATGCATTGTAGGAGTTGGTTGGGAATGACGGCGTTGGGCGCATCACTCGCATACGGTTTGAGCGGAGTGTGATTTGATCTAAGTTTTGGACGGAAGGCATGCTTTGTAGGAGGGGCAAACCCCCCTGATACCCAGCCTGGAGCAACAAATTGGTGTGAGGGATGTTAATAATATATACCCAATCGGAATTGAAACACAAGTTCGATATCTGATCAGGCGTATTCAGGATAATCTCCAAGTAGAACCTCACTCTCCATCTCATAATCATCTTCCTGTACACGCTCATACCCATCATACCCATACTCATACTCAAACTCATACTCATACCCATCTCCACCATCCTCCGTATCACTCTCCCTTTCATACCCAGACTCAAATTCGCGACCTCCGCTCACGCCTCTGGTATGGTAAGTTCGAGGGAATCTCCCCAGTTTGACATTATTTTCCCAGCATAGATATCGGATCTCATCGAGTATCTCCTCTTCCTCCATGCCTTTTAGTGTTCTCCAGAGAGCGATATGCCCTTGTCTTCGACCGCGGTCACGTGTGAAGTAGAATAATACTACCAAAGCAACAATTATTGCACCGACGATGGATATCAGGAGCTTGTTTGGGATGACGATCTCGTAGATTATTTTTCCTGATTACATAACTGCTTGGCTGGTATTTTGGGGAGGAGCCATTGCTGCTTGTGTGGAATAGTTTGAAAGTCTCCAATCGAAGAGGGTTGGAATAGCGAGGTGTGGATGCATGATAAATTTGAAGTTTTGAAATTTTCAACTTTTATGTATTTCTTATAATAGATTACTACGCAGACTATATCTCAATAATGATTAAGTACTTATTGGTCGGCTCAAGGCTAGAGCCTAGTCTTCCGGGGCTATCAGCAAGTCCTGTAGGCACAACAGGGACCTTGAAACCATCCTTCTTCTAAAAGGAAATATTTTTAAAGCATTCCACAAATTAGAAATACTGTAAAACTTCCAGTAATTATCCCTCTCTAAGCCAGCATATGGGGATATCAGTCCAAAAATTCGCCCGGACACATTTAATAAGCACAACAACACCCGCTATCTCCTCCTCAAAAGTCACCACACGCAACGTCCCTCACTCCCTCTCATCATCCATCTCACCCGTCGGCTTTCGATTAACCCAAAACTACCATTTTGACTTCCTCCTTCACCTGCTTGGCTAGCGAGTCTCTGTCTTCAACATCACTTTCACTCGTTCCCGGCACACAGAAATCCTCGATCCCACTGTTCTTGTAAACCTCTCTGATCTGGGATAACGCATCTTCTTCTGCACTCATTTGAGCACTGTTTCCCTCAAGTATTATTGAATTTCGTTCGGAGACTCTTGTGCTGGGGATATGAGATGCTGAATTGAATGTTTTCTTCTGCGGACCATGACACATGGCGAGATCTTCTTCCGTACAGCCTAGGCAGAAAAAAAAGATGAAATATGAGGTGAGCTTGAATAATGTGGACATTGTGATGTATTAGAGTATACTGGCGAGGATGTTATTTCTGGGAAGTAGGGACGCAAAGTATTCCTCAATTTGCATTTGGGTTGTTATGAATGTGTACCGTGGAACATAATCTGGTATGACAAATAGAGATTTGAAATTCTGTAGAGACATTTGGAAGTGCCCACTCAGGTGTCTGTTCTTATCCAGATTGTGGTGGAATTAACTGGATTCTAGCTCGCACACCGAACCAGAAGGTAATTCATTCCTCCCACAAGTTTCGGGAGGATGAGTTAGCGAGCTCTTGGATTACCGAAATACTACTGGAATACATTCTTCTCAGCAACATGCACTTTTAGACACTTTATGGTGCTCATCTATATGAATTCATGCTTCGATAAGTCGCGCAATCCAGGATTAAAGTAGTGATTTTCTAATGTTAGCAGTTTCCGTGGCTTTGGTTAAGCGAGAACATGTAAACAGAGAGGTAGAAGTGGGGCAGACCACGGCCAGAGACACTTTTAAGTTCTTCTGATTTCTAACCTGAACAGTAATATCTAGGGGATTTTGATGCTAATCGGTTCTAGCATCCGTGGAAGAAGGAACAGTTTCGTGTTAACAAATCGGCGACATGATTTCGGATTTTTCAAGAGATATATGATTGACTCAAATCACCATCTACACAATGTAAGTAAATGGAATGTAAAGTATGATTTTTGACGTATTGTTATAAGTGTTTTGTTGTATTTAATTTGGTTTGATTCTGTCAACTACATGGTCGGATTATTCTCTACTCAAACTCAGCCTTGAGAAGCAATGCCTTGTCTTTTGCGTGACTAGTATTGCCCTCAGACTATCTCATCCCACCATGCTATTTGGAAACCAGAGGTCAGTCTGTCTCGGATCCATGGCTGGCAATGGTCAGATTTTGTTCAGGTAATTTCCGAAAGTACTCTCTCAAGGCTCACTGAGAAATTCTCCCAGGAACTCTCTAGGACGCGCGCTTTGGTCGTCTCAGACGTAATTCACTCATAATTCTAGAATTCCACCATCCGAAACTCGCCTAATCTAAACGATCACCAGCCTCCTAAACAGCCTCTCGAGCAGCAGTCTCAAAATAAGCTGCCACTTCTCTCAGATTATCCACTCCCTTCTTGCGCCTCACACTTGCCAATCTATTTGGGACATGGACATCCGGGGCAACGGGTGTCGCGGTTCTTCCCTCAGGAATATCCGAACAAGACGGAGAGTGGGAAACTCCACCTCTCAATTGCTTTGTTGCTATTGCTTGCAGACGCAACCTATTTGTCTCCAAAAGATCTCGAGGTCTGCGAGGTCTCGGGTGCTTACGACGGTCTGTGATGTAGTGTGAACTTAATGTCTCCGATGTATATGGCCTAACTCGCCACCGTGCATGGTTTCGCATGTACGCCTCATCAGCGAAGGATTTCTCGCGATCTAAAATCTCTCTATGGGACTTCTTGCGAACTGAGCTCTCAGGAGCCCGTAGCTGAGATTTGGGCGTGTGTGCCGAACCTTGGGCCGAGTAAGTCAACGGCACGGCCTCATATTTCTGCTGTTGTGAATCCTGTGGACCTAAAAACTCATCTGGGATTGTACGTTTGTCCTTTCGAAAGAAGTCAAGAAATACAGCCATCTTTGATAGATGGAAAAGGGGATTGAGTGAGTGGCTTCGTGAAAGTCGTGAGGTTCGAGACATTGTAAAGATCGAGAGAGAGACTATATAGACTGAAGGTCTTAGAGATATGAGGATATGAAGTCCAAAGAAGCGAATGTTTCGAGCATCATGTCTACCTCTTATACCTAACCCAAGCATACTGTTCCACCTGATATTCGCTATTTTGCGCAAGGGACAACAAGACATTCTGTTTGGGCCGAAACAACTACCTGGAGAAGCCAAATTCATGACCCTCTGACATGTACAGCTTTTGCTGGTTTCACCACTGAGAGTAGACGGGGTAAGTGAGACCTTCCAAATGAAACTCAATTGTGATACAAGGTGCTAAACATTTGGCAGCAAAAGGAATGCTGCTATAAGATAGTAAATGAGCGCGTGATTATTTTGTCTGCTCATGCTTGAGATACGGACTGAATCAAGGGAGATTTCCAGTCGCTCAAAGCCAGTACTCTCGACTGTAGTGCTTAATCTGTACACGAAAAACAAAGAACAAAAGTATGCTCTCCGCTTAAATGAAAATCACCAATTACCTATTGACGAAGGATAAGCACAGAAGCAGCTTACAAGGATGCTCGAAGCCAAGCATCTCTACTTCAAAGACAGGCATATCGCCTTTGTTTGAACTCCATTGAGCGCCCCCGAACAGTCAGTGAAAAGCACTGAACATAGTTGACAACAACAAAGACTTGATGTGCTCATGCTTCATTGGTCTTCGCTGCCCTGCTGACATGTAACTCTAAGCGACGCTAACGAGGCCGTCCTCCTCGTATCCCTCATTCTGACAAATCACGCAGGACATGGTGGGTAATGAGTTAGGTTCAGGAAGGAAAAAGCCTCACTACTCCTAGAGCACGCATCAAAATCGATCACTAAAATTGATCGAGAGTTTCTGAGCTCATCGTAGGATTAGACTCTGCTGAGCTTGCTTGGATTATTTCTTGAACGCTAGAACAAGGGTTGTAAGTCCGCTTCTTATAGCTCAGTGTTTGCTGCATTCCCAGTATGTTCTCTCCAGCCCAGCACCAAACTTTCTATTCTCATTATCGATGTCTAATCCATCCAAAACCCACTCAGTCATCTCCGTTCCAGTCACTGTCCTCTTCATCATCATCCTCCTCGCTGCTCTCCTCACTCTCCTCACTCTCTTCGTCGTCCTCATCGTCCTCAGCATCACCAGCCTCACATCCATGTTCATCAGCTTCTTTCGCGTTTGCCCGATAATGAGGAGTAGCAGGAGTAGCAAATCTTGACTTGTCACGGCCACGGCCGTAATGGCCAGGCGTCATGGTTTCGTATTCACCGGCCGGAATAGGACTTTCGCTGAGGATCTGGTCCTCGACTTGTCGCTGCTGTTCAGAAATATCAGCTCAGCTCGACCAAATCTAACCTTAACTCATCCCCATATGTCTCCACCAAAGTACTTAAATAAATGACCAAAAATGGGTTCTCAAAATGAAGCAGAAGAAACTCACCGCATTCTCTTCGACCTCCTCCCTAACATCCTCCAACCGCTTCACCTCCTCTTCCCACCAGCCCACCATACCTCTCAGCACCTCAACTCTCTTTCCCTTCCTCTGCCACGCCTCTCGCTCCAACTGTATACCCCATGCAACAACCAACCACATATTAACCGCTACGAACAGAAGGCGCGAGAAGAATATCCCAGATGGACAACGCATGATCTTCTCGTAGCCGACGTAGGAGATGATGTATTTGTTGAAGAGCGTGAGAGCGTAGGAGAGTGGGAGGGCGAAGATGAAGTTGTAGATGACTAGAGGGTGTGTTAAGGGATTGTTCTGTGGTGATGGAGGATGACGTCGAAAATGGAGAGGACATGAAGAGAGAGGAGATGTTATCACATACTCAACAAGAAACCCGGATTCTCAAAGTTGAAGAAGCTTGTCTTCTTGAATGTAGTTGTCTGCATTGCAGCAGCTCCGATCGTGCCATCGTTGCGATGCTCAAGATCGAGGTCGACTTTTCGAGCCGCCATAGCTGTAGCTTGCCCTAGTCTGCTTGTTGACGTCTTGTATCCAGGGATGAGAATAGAAACGGAATTGCTCGCGCTTTGGACCGCAATAGGCTGTGCTACGGTGTTGCGCGCTCAAGACCAAGACGACCTTGCTCGGAGAGGAATGAAGTGGCAAAGAAAAAGGCAAAGCAATTCAGCGCAAAGACGAAGAAAAGGAGAGCATTATGGAGCAGCTAAGAGACTCAATTGGGAATGGAATTCACTTGTCGACATCTATAAAGTTAGCTTGGCGATTATTGGGCTCGAAAGCTGCGGCTAAAGGCAGAAGGTGACAACACAGGGCTTCATTCGTTGACTCTAATGGCACATGATACACAATAGACTAAGCGTGCTCAAAAAGACATAAACTCAACCATAAACGAGAATGCAGACGACAAAATAAGGATACCAACTCTAATACTTCCTTTCCTTTTCCTAATCCAATGGCCCCAAGTATCCTTTCATACCTACTCCGAACTAATCCGTGTCACCTGATTCCTTCACCATTGTCTGTAGAGTCAATCGCATTCATCGTCTGCTCCACCCACATGCTATACTCAGACCCTGTGACAATGTCTTGGAGACCTCGAATCACAGTATCAGTACTTTCTTCAGAAGCCCATCGCTGTGGGCTCTCGGCTCCATCCATTCCATGCAAAGCTTTTCTGATCCTCTCAGCCATGGTCCCCTCTTCTTTCCTCGAATCTATGCTGGACCGCTGAAGCCGATCTGAGCGCTTTGATGACGTGCTGGTGGTGTGCTTCAGCGAATTGTTTCTGGAGGGCATTTTCGTGAGGATCTCGAGCTGCTTTTCAGCTACTTCGGCTCGAGTCTTCCATGCTTGAAGGTCCTGCTTGGTTTCTCTCAACTCTTCGCTGAGAGTACCAATTTCAAGGTTCCCACGTGCACTGAGTTGCTGTCTGAGATGCTGGATCTCCTCAACTTTCTCGGAAAGCTGGCGCTGAAGGTTTCTCACTTGGTTATATAGCAAAGAGCTGCTGCGGCCTGGAGGAGGATTTACAACCTGACTGACAGAAGCGAGACCTGTGTCTTCAGAGTCGGAATGGACAATTGTCGGTGGGCGTGTCAGATTCAAATGGTGTGCTACAGGAAGCGGATCTGGATGAGGTAATACTCGTCCAATATTAGAAGGACCTCCAGGGCCATCGAAGATTGGTAAGTCAAAGGCGTCTTCCTGTTTATGGGACACGTCGACTGACTTGAGTTGTACATGATCCAACTCGCTATTAACCTTATCAGTCGTCGCAGCAAATTCCTTAACTGATCCACGAACAGGTCGAACTGTGTTGGAGGATGATGCAGATGACTCTTGCACATGAGTTTCTGATTTCAAGAGAGTATTAATATTGAACCGCGGAGGTGGCAACGCTGCTGTCGAAGCGATGTCCTGCGGTGCAGGTACTTTCCGCTTGCCAATTGCTGCCCCATCGAGCTCGCAGCTGTCTTGGAAGGCCTTTTTGGTAGTTGCGGACGAGAGCCGTGTTGGTGAGCAATCTGTATTCTTTTGGACTGATCGGAGAGAGATAGCGTACGGGTTGGGGGGTTTGATTGGTGAGGGAGTTGATCGAGGACTTTTGGCGCCTCTTACCACAGGTCGTAGGGGGGTTGAGTCGTAGAGAGAATCTCTCAGGATTCGCTTGGGGGTAGGTTTTCTGACGGGACTAGACTTTGGATCTAAAAGAGCACGACACTCTCCAGGAATGGCGGTTCGGCTCGATTGGGGAGTCTTGTCGGACTTTTGTGATCGGGTTGGTGAGGCAGGGTTGGTAGTATATGGAGAAACTATGCTATCCTTTGCAGTTCCAAAATCAACCTGTCCCGCGGCAGTCGGCCGGCTAGGAGTCTTTGCAGGCGATTTGGTTGGGCACACTGCAGGTGAGATGGATACGGTAGATTGCGGCGTTTCTTGATTGAATTTTGCTACAAGAGCGGATATTTTGCTAGGGCTGCCCGCTGTCCTCGTCGTATCCCGACCGGACACCCGTTCGTGTCTGGACATCATAGGGACCGTAGATCTGCGGAGTTGGTATGTAGCATTTTCCACAGGAACTTGCATTCTTTGACTTGAGACTGGAACTTCGATCGGGAGTTTTGCTTTCTCGGACTCTGGGCTCACTGGGTCCGTTCCAACACTTGAAGCTGTCAAGTCCGGTCGGAGTTCGAGGACCGCCACCTCACTTTTTTGTATCATAATTTTTTCCGCTGCCTCCTCTTGCATCGGTACTTTGAAGATAGTTGCCTGGCTGGTAGTTTCGATACTCGTGCTGGCTTTACTGTCAGTGTCGTTGCATTGGGGAGGCTCATCCAGCTTCTTGACTGTAGTAGAGGTCTCCATGACTAGAACGGGGGCAGCCCTATGAGTTACACCTTCAGGACTCGAAGCATTCTCAGCACCATTCGGTTTTGGCATCTTCTCCAACAAGTCATCTGCAGTATGTACATCTAAAGCCTGAGCTAGTACAGCCAAAGAAGCATCGTCTTCTTCCCTCGATACTCTTGACAAGGGGTCTCTTGATACTTTTGAAATATCAAGCAAGTTTCGTTTCCGCTTAGGATCTTCGTACAGTGATCTCGATACTCGACGCGGAGAGTGACTGGGACCTCGTGGCTGAAGTCCAGGATCACTTCCTCCCATCCGGCGTGGGATTCTTGACGGATCCTCGGGAGCATGAGGAGATGCTCTTGACAGAGTGATCTCTGGTTTTGCTGAAGATGGAACAGAAGGATGCGACTCTGGCTCTGCGAAGACGAGATGCTTGAAGGGCATTGGAGACGACTGTGCTTGCTCTTTGGCCTGCTTAGCATCCTTCTGGGTATCCATTCTGACTTTTAGGTTATGCCACCGATCATTGAGCAAGTCTTTCTCCTCATCGTAAAACTTCTTCTCGGAGCTTGAGATGGTTTTCTTGCCTTGGTTATACGACTTCCATTTGTCTTTCCAGATTGCAACGTCGGCCCTGAAAGCTGCAAGATCTGCACGAAGGGTTTCTGGAGAGCGTTGTGTATCTTCAGAAATCCCACAGGCATCATGATTCTGTTGCTCTGTAAAAATTGATTCGTGTATTTCGATGGCTGGGTGCCATTGATCTGCTTCCCCCTCTATCGGATCTCGAATCAGCCCTTCAAAATTAGGTCTCTCTTGAGAGCTCGCAGACTTCAATTCGATATCTTGAGCTACAGACCCGGTCCTTTGAACAGATTGCTCTCGGTTAGGATGTCTTTGGCTGGATTCATCCAGTGTACTCAATCTAACCACAATTGCATGTGAATTGGCATTCACAGCTTGTTCACAAGCTTCGAGACTCTCCTTTCTATCATGAAGCTTCGCCCATTCTGTTTCATATTTGGTGTCTTCTTCCCAAGTGGCCAGTTCTGCTGATTGTGTCTCCTGTTTGGCTAACAATTCTTTCTGATCCGAGAGAAGCTGTATTCTTTCCGTGCGTAGATTTTCTCGCTCTTGATCTGAACTTTTTAGTGCGACTTCGAGAGTGTCAATATCCGCTTTAGCAAAGTGTTTATTCTTGGCGATGACCTTATGGCTTGTGGTAGAGGAATTTGCTTGAGGTCGAGAATGATCTTGCAGAGAAATTGGCTGTCCGAATGGTTTAGCTGACTTCGCTGGTGGTTTTACCTTCTCGATTTCCGCATTTGCTACCTTGGTGGCTTCGCGTTTGGCTTCCAGTAATGCCAGGTTTCTTTCGAATGCTGCTTTATCCGCCTTTATCTCTTCGTATCGAGCTTCCAGATTTGCTTGTTCGGCATCCAGTACTGCTGTAAAGTTTTGCAATTCATCTTTGCTCTTTTCAGCTTGAAGAACCTTTCTCTTGGTGTCAAGCGCAGTCCACTCAGATACAAACTCTTTGAGTTCAGCATCATGATCTCGAGGTTTTGACATTTCAACTTTATGAGGCTGTTCTTCCTGTTTCGATGTCCTCTGGTGCTTTGATTTGCCTCTTTCAATAGAAGCTGGGGACTGTTTCTGTAGTTTTGAGTGGCCTCCAGGACTTCGCACGCTCTTTCCTTTCCCAGTTGAGCTGGAGGATTCCTTGGAGTGTCTGACCTTCTTTCGCGAGCTTTTTGGTGGGTTAGAATTGGAAAAGGTAGGGGTAGACATGAAATGTAGCTGCTGCTTGCTGTCGTGACCTAAAAGACCGTCATCCATCGGTGATTCTGCTCGTATAATCGTTGGTTCGAGCGGTCGAGGATTCTTATTCTCTTTTTGCAACGACATAGAGTCCACCAGTTCTTCTCGAAGGCTGGGAAGTGGAATCATATTAGGTGGGAAAGTACCATCATCCGACGAGCTCGAAGGACTGTACATATCATCTTTCAATGGACTTGATGTGAGCCGAAGCGACCCCGATGTGCACGGAGGATTTGGACAAACTGATATAATAGTTGCTGCTTGATCTTGATCTTGATCTTCAATCGTTCTGTTAACTTTGATCGGCGATTCTGGTTGTTCTTCTTTGAGTTTCTCTTCGGCAGTTGGAGACAGAATGCTCAAAGATCGACCTCCTGATAGTCGATGACTTGATAGCGGCTTGTTCTTTGACCTCTGCTTCTTGACTATCAGCATATCACCATGGTTAGCTGCCGAATGCCCAGCTTCGGTATCATTTTGACCGTGTGTACCTGCTCATGTCAGTTCATAGTCGCTATATAAGTTCTAGCGAGAAGGCTTACGTCGCGTTGGTGTAGGAGAAACACTTCTTTCCAATCGCCGCATTGGAGATTTGAATTGGTCCCAGTCTGGAGGTTTCCTAAGAGCAAAAGATTCGGATGCCGACGGTCTGAGCATTGGTTGTCTTGGTCCTCTGACAGCCACGCTCTTGGTAGTGACAACGACCTTCAGAGCACTCAGATTCTTCATGTGGCGAACTACATCGCGCCAATGGGTAATGAGCATCTCAGTGATGCTGTTGGCAACCTTGATTTTGTCCACATGGGTATTGAACGCAGTGCCTTCGTCTCCCGTCCTGCTCTTCTTGTGCTTTTCTTTGCGAGATTTGGGTGGACTAATTGGAAGTAAGACCAGTCCTCCTTGAGGGTTGGCAATGCGCATTGTGTAATCTTCCAATAAGTCTCCTACAAGAAGCGGCCCGAAGACAATTCCCAGTGGTCCGTAGCCCATGAGGTCAGCTGTAGGTAGTGGTCGGCCTCGCTCATCCTCTCTAGGTGCGATCTCTGCTGCACGTCCAATCATGCTGAGGAGTCCAAACACCGCACATATCAACTCACGCCGGTATTCAGACCTCAATGTGGCGATTGAAAGAGCAATAAGTCTCGCTCGTACCTTGCTTTGCTTCGTCCTAGTCAATTCCGGGTCGCCGCGCAATTGGGTTTGAATTGAGATGAAGACACTGAAGAGATGCAACGAACCCAAGATCCCGCCCGGCAGGCCTGAAAGGAACCGTTTGAATGCTGATGCGACATCGTGGACATCACATCTAATATGATCTGGTAGTGTGGGACATCGTACGGTTCCTGAGACGACCTGTCCATCCTCATCCATGGACCCATAGTGATTGTACAAAGCTGCGACGACGTTCTGGGACCCTGACACCCGAAAAACTCCTCTGGTAGAAGGTGCTACAACATTTAGCAGGTGTTGTACAACGTGAATACTGAACCTACCATGTTGAACAAGATGCTGCGCCGTCGCCCGAAAACATGTTGGCACTGCCAAACTTCCAGCTGCATATTCAGTCGGCAAATACAGGAGACTAGAACCGCAAAGTCGGACCAGTTCTTGTAAGTCTTTGTCCTTCAGCTTGTCCCTTTTTGCTTTCAATCGTAATGACAAATCACTGATGCTACGCCTGTGCTTCATGTGTCTTTCGGGCTTGAGTCTCACGCTTTGAGATGAGGAGGTCTTCCTTAAAATCTTCCGAGAGAACCAACTTCCTTGTTTCGTAGATGGGTTGGTCAAATCATCCTGTCAGCCATATTAGCAATGGTTGATTGTTGTACTGAGACAACCCACAGTGAAACCATCATACTCTTGCGGGTCCACTTGTCGCACACCGTGCTGTACCGCTGTTAGCATATGCTTCTCCGCATGCTCATGGAACCTTTACCTTTCTCGCCAAGCGATTGTATTCCTGAACAAATAGGGTCCGGTCATCAACATCATCCTGGTCGGATAGAACGTCTCCGCTCGATGAAGTCCAAGTGTTGCTTGTCCGCATCGCTCTCCGCGACCTGCCTTCAGGATGTCCATCTGCATGCGCATCCGACCGCTGCTGTTGATCATCAGAACCATCCAGACCTACAAAGGACACGCCAGTGAAGGAAGAACGGTGTCTTGGATCTTTGGGCTCGGTCAACAAGCTGGCTGCAATGTTCATGTCGTCGAAGATAGTAGATTGTTGTGCCATTGATAATGCTGCTGATGATGAGCGAGAAATAAGACCAACGTTATTCGATTGCATTGTAGTGTGCGAAGGAGCTGCGTTGATAAGCTGTAAATTTGGATGTGCAGCGGAATCTATGGGTTCTGTTTGTCAACAAAGGGTACTCGTGGTTGTCGAACGCACCTGCGGCTTTTAGAAGAACACGCTTGGATACTTCATTCCTTCCTAATCCACGACTGTCATTCTCAAGTCCAACATGGTCGAGTAGTGATGTGAATCTTTAAATTTCTTCATGCTCTCCCCTTTCCATTACAATGTACCGATGTCCCCTTGAAGACAAGATGGGAAACTCAAATCGAGCAAACAAAATGGTATTATGGACGAGAGGGACCAAGGAAATCTAGTAAAACCTTGCATCAAAATGTGCCAAATCTGACCCCCCATACGCCTTTTCGCTATGCAACGCCATTCATGCCCCCTCCCCAGAGATCCTGCCAAACCTGGTCCATATGCCTTTCATTCATCGTTCTCCCCATAAAGTAAGACGTACTTGAAGATATCTGAAAGAGAGATAACTCCTTTCAGACGATTTTCATCGTCGATAACAACCAGCCGATGGACTCTGGATTTCCGAATGGTGTCGAAAATCGAATCTAGCCTGTCCTCTTCGCTACAGGTATAGATTCCAGCGAAGTCCTCTGCTCTCTTCAATAACGCCTCTCCGACACTTGTTGTGAGCTCATCATATGCGCCTCCTTTGATAATGGTGATCACATCAACCGCTTCGAATACGTTGAGAACACGCCTACTCTCGTCCACAATCGGGACACTGGAGATGCTGTATTTCACCATCATGTGGATGACGTCAATGACGGATGTATCCATGGTAGCCGTCTGCAAGTCACCGTATGTGCCGAGACCAATTTCCGAGACACTCTTCTTGAGGAATTCCGTTTCAACCACATTGACCGCTATGAACTTCAGAAGTCTGTATTGTGTGATCACACTGACTACCATTTCTCGGCCAGTTTCATCGTCGATATCAACTAGGGGAATCCTCCTGGCTCGAGTCTTTAACATCTGTCGGCATGCTTCGTAGAGAGGGCGAGCAGGGTGAACGGATAGCGTCTCGAGAGGAGACACACCGATAGCCTTCTCGATATCTGAGATCCTGTTAGCCTGATGCTTAGATCATATATGTGTCTGTTGCCTTACCTCTCAAGCTGCTCAGTCGGAACTGGTCTATCTGGCTGAGAGCATCTGGATTCTGCCAGTAGTATTGAACAACATTTATGTAGTCTGAAGTCGTGAGGAGACCAGCGAAGGTCGAGGTGTGGGAATCCCAGAGGGGGGCAGAGACAATTCCTTTCGACTTATCAGTAGAGGTCGACTTGGTAACCAGAGAGGACTGACCATTTTGAAGGAGGATTGTTAGACTCTTCTTGACCAGCAGGTCTGTGTTGAGGATGATGAGGCGAAAGGAGAGAGGTAGAACATCATAACTCGTCCGAATCTTCAGGAACTCCCGGATTGCATTCTGTAATATCAGTTCTGTCAGCCTCGCAGAGTCTTTCGCAGCTCATTTCTTCATCCATCCACGCAGGTCCAAAAGCAGAGAAACCCCGCGCCAACTCTCCAATTCCCCATCCCATTCCCATGCGGGCGCGCAGCTCTGGGGCTCACGAAACGAGGCACAAGACGGGAAGCAGGGGCACCTACCAATCCTTTCAGCTGGTCCTGATCAACAGCGGTCACCGGCTTATCCTGCATCGCGCGATTCTGGCCTCGGGGAAGAAGAAATGTCGAAGGTTGAGCAATCAGCGCTGGCTCGTGACCAATTCTAGCGACGTTTGTTGGCGCAGCCGCCGGCCGTGTGTCTTCAGCCGTATCAGACATGGATAATCGTGGGTGACATCTAGAAGCGTGGGAAGCTGCGACTGTGAAGGTCTTCCTCAACACTGGAAGAAGATTATTGAGGCCGCTATAAAATAAGGAATGAGTGGAACTTGAGGTTGAGTATTGTGAGTAGTCAGTCTACCTTATCGAAAGCGAGGTATTTTCCTGGAGAGATGCAGCGATGGGATGGGGTTGAGGGAGAGGATCGACGTGGGGTTGAATTTCACGTGGGAGAGTGGGACGACGGATTTCGAGAGGTTTAGCTCCGTTAATATGTTCTCCCGGGCCGAGAGATCATCAGAAAACTTCAGGTCATACCGAGTCGACTTGTTCATTTCACCCGATATATGGGACTGGGAGCTCGAGACTAGGAGTGAATTATCTTGAGTTACTGTTGTTGGTGTTGTTGCAAGTCCACGAGTCGCTGACATAAAGCGTATTTGTTCCGTCTTTTTTCCAAACTTTCATATTTACAATGAACATCATGGGTTGTGATTGTGACAAATCCTCGGTGGTGTAAATACTTCTTCTTATCTGATGTGTTTATCCGCGAGCATGGATATCTCTGTAAAATTTCGGTGGCACCCCACATCAATCTCCAGTCCATGTGGGACTGTATGAATTTGTTTGTTGACTTTTGAAATTTTGAATCAGAGAGAGCGGGTTCAGCGTGGCCTGTCTCGGTACAGTGCAGTCCCCAACACCTATCTCTGGATCCTGCCAGACGAGCTAGAGAACATGGTTCAAGTATTCTTTGAAATAGTCAGTGCCCATATAACTACTCGGATTTCTTAGTAGGAGCCTAGCACAAAAGTTCCATTGAGGGAGGATGAAGCACGTATGGAGACTGCCTAAATGTACTGCTGTGACTCTTGAGAACTGAGCAAAGAACATACGGGCATATGTAAGAATTAACCATTTTTCCTCTATGGTCAACCCGAACTCACATCTGAGCGATGTGAGACAGCAAACGAAAGTGGTGTTACCATCGTAGAATTAGAGAATGTTTACAAAGTTCTGACTGTCTTTGCCGAACCCTCGCTAGGCTGAAGCCCAGCGCTCAGCGGGTACCTTGGTACAAGTGGCTGATGGCTTTTACACCACCACCATACAGACCGTTACAAGATCCAAAGTTGCAAAGGACTGTCTTTTGACCGTTACAAGAGATATATGGGGTCTTCTGACACATCATATAAGCTTGCATGTGATGCGTGGTAACGGCTGCAGGGGATACGAGCAGGAAGAGGAGGAGGGTTGGAGCTCGAAAGTTAGGCGAGTGAGGCTGGGTCTGTCGCTCACCTGCCTGGTCCACGCTCGTGCTGGCTCCTTGGCGCCTGCCGCGCCGACGTAGCACCCTGACCTGAACCCGAGTGAGGGAATGAGCTACTTGCTATCTCCAACCTGATCAAAACCTCTCTAGATCAGAACCGGACCTGACTGGCCCAGGCAAGCTCGACCCTCTCCTATCCAAGTCGTCTTCATCGCCTCGTTCAGTCCTTCCACTTCTCGAGCCTTTTATTTTGTTCGTGTGAATGGCCCCTTGAGCCTCCCTTCGGACCAAGCCCACGCTTTCGACCTGACACATCCTGTTGACTTTGCTTTGTCCACCCACTAGCCAGCTCACTTTCCACCAAAACAATTGACCTCGACTAAGATACACGACCAGTCCTGCGGGACCGAGCTTTGGAGATGGGTGCCTGTGGATCTTCATGCTGCGGAAGTATGCAGACCCTGATGTACGGAGGAAGTTTCGACCTTGTGCTGACGGTACACAGGCAAATCTCGCGATGGCCTCTATGAACCAGTCCTGGCCGAGAGTGAACGAGAGGCTGTGGCAGACCTCCTACAGTATCTAGAGAACGTACGACGCGCTCCTATCAATGATGAGAACGGCTGCTGATAATCCTAGCGTGGCGAGACCGACTTCTTTTCCGGCGAACCTCTCCGAGCTTTGAGTACTTTGGTCTTCTCTGATAATGTAGACCTACAACGGAGCGCAAGCTTAACCTTTGCGGAAATTACAGAGCGAGGTACGTTGAGCATAAGTGAAGAAGGCGCCCGTTGCTGGCCGCGATAAGCTTTTGGTTTCCGAATGAGCGCATAGGATTGGAAGAGCTCTTTTACTGCTCTTCACATTGGACCAGAGCAACAACTAACAACACCGCAGATGTTCGTGAAGTTGACCGTGATACCCTGGAGCCAATCCTATTCCTCCTTCAGAGCCCCGATATCGAAGTTCAAAGAGCCGCCAGCGCTGCGTTGGGAAATCTTGCTGTCAATAGTGAGTGGCGCTCATAGAATCTTATGTTCTCATTTAACACTGTATAGCCGAGAACAAAGTCGCTATCGTACTCCTCGGTGGCCTCACCCCTCTTATTCGCCAAATGATGTCGCCGAATGTCGAGGTTCAATGCAATGCGGTTGGATGCATCACAAACTTGGCAACTCACGAGGACAATAAGGCAAAGATTGCCCGGTCTGGAGCATTAGGTCCACTCACCCGTTTGGCAAAATCTAAGGATATGCGCGTACAGAGAAATGCTACTGGAGCCCTGTTGAACATGACACATTCTGGTAGGTCTCAGTCTATCTTCCCGCATATCCAAAACTGATTTTCGTAGATGAGAATCGACAACAGTTGGTGAATGCTGGAGCTATTCCTGTGCTCGTTCAACTCCTCTCCTCTACAGACGTCGATGTTCAATACTACTGCACCACAGCTCTCAGCAACATCGCGGTTGATGCAAACAACAGGAAGAAGCTGGCACAAAACGAGAACAGACTCGTGCAGTCCTTGGTAGCCTTGATGGATTCTTCTTCGCCAAAGGTTCAATGCCAGGCAGCTTTGGCTCTTCGAAATTTGGCTTCGGATGAGAAATACCAGCTCGAGATTGTGCGGGCTCGAGGTCTTGCGCCATTACTCCGATTGTTGCAATCTTCATACCTACCTCTAATTTTGTCCGCCGTCGCCTGTATACGAAACATCTCGATCCATCCACTCAACGAGTCCCCTATCATAGATGCCGGCTTCTTGAAGCCGTTGGTCGACCTGCTGGGATCCACTGACAATGAAGAAATTCAATGCCATGCGATTTCTACTCTAAGAAATTTGGCCGCCAGTTCTGACCGGAATAAAGCCCTCGTTTTGGAAGCTGGTGCTGTACAGAAGTGCAAGCAACTTGTGCTCGACGTCCCTCTTAGCGTGCAGTCTGAGATGACAGCCGCCATCGCTGTTCTGGCTCTCAGTGACGAGCTGAAGACACATCTTTTGAATCTAGGTGTATTCGATGTGCTCATTCCGTTGACCGACTCCCAAAGCATTGAAGTGCAAGGTAACAGTGCTGCAGCTCTGGGAAACTTGTCGTCGAAAGGTATAAGATCCATATGTAGCCTTGTCAACACTAGCTAAAGATTTTTACAGTGGGTGATTATTCCATTTTCATCCAGGACTGGACAGAGCCAAACGGAGGTATCCATGGTTACCTAAAGCGTTTCCTCGCCAGTGGAGATGCCACTTTCCAACACATTGCAATTTGGACTCTTCTCCAACTGCTGGAATCTGAGGATAAGAAACTAATTAATCTCATTGGAAAGTCCGAGGAGATTGTACAGATGATCAAGACGATTGCCGATACTCAGATCGAATCCGACGATGAAGCCGAAGAGGATGGCGAAGGGGAGGTTGTGCAACTTGCTCAACGATCTCTACAATTGCTTGGGCAAAACAAACCGTCCCATATTGAAGGTTGACCCATACCAAATGTTCCGTTATAGAATTTGTGCTTTGTTCTGCATTTTGGCTGGAAGGGCGAGGTGTTTGGCGCATTTAGTGAGGGCATACTTTAGTAGCGAGCATTGACGGAGCTGAGGCGAGAGAAAGGGCGAAGCTCTTTTCAGGTCGATGGGAAAATGAGGCAATCCGGCCATCCTTTTCGCACACGTTTTATTCGAGCTTTTACTCCTACTTGTCGTGGTCCATACAGGACTTGGGGGCTTATTCCATGTAATTAGATAGGACTTTTATGATATCCACTACAGCTTCGAATTCAAAATGTATCATTCGATGTTGGCCTCTAAAACGTTTGACTGTTCCAACGTAGCAATTTACACTTGTCCTACATTCCTAAACGCCATTCATGCTCCTGTAAATGCTGAACCTGTAAATCCAAGTGTACCTTCTAGACGAGCACGTAGCTACTGTACAGCCTCTAATCCATTTTCTATCCACTTCCTCTCCCTCCATGGGAATACCTTAGCTATTACCTTTCCCTTGATTAAAGCCATAGGCATTGGACCAAAATGTCTCGAATCTCGAGAATAAGGTAAGTTGTCTCCCACTACCCAACAATGGCCTTCAGGAACCTGTTGATCTCGTAAGCCATGATCTATCAAAGAAGGAAAACAAAATTAGGCACACCGAGCTCGAAAGTAAGAACGTTGAGACAGGATGAGAAACAGAAGTAAGAAACAAGAAGCTCGAAAACCGAAGCCACATACCACAACCATTCCGTCCCCCACCCCCGGCGTATCCCTAACAACGCAATCACCCTCTAAACCAATGACCCTCTTGATCACTCTCTCCCCCGGCTGAACTACCGAATCGAAGCTCACCACATCACCCACCACCACGCCACGTCCTCGTCTGAATCGCTTATCGATCAACACGATATCTCCTAAGACTTCGATAGTGGGTAGCATGGATGCTCCGGATGTGGGCACGAGTGAAAAGCCATATGAGACGAATACGTGTGCTATGAAGATCGTTTTGATGGTTGTGGAGAGGAGACGGAGAGGATGGCCCGCGAAGCGTGTTTTGAGGGTTGTGAAGAAGGGCATGGCATCCTGCGTTTTGCGATACCGACCCCTAGGAAATTAAAGTTCTGGTAGAGCGGAGACCTGAATTATGATGGTCGCAAAGAGGAAGTGTTGTGTTGTTGTCATTGTCACGAGACGAGGCTGAAGGAAGCTCGGATGAAAGCCGGGGCTTGCACTTCGAAATGTTTTTCTCGGCTGCGAGCTCCGAGCAAGCTTGTCATAACCTCATCCTCTCAACCACAGCTTGAATTCTGCCCATCGATGAAAAGCAGGCACTACACTGCTACAATTACGACAAGATGCGAAGCTCGAGATGCGTATTCAGTTCGGCTACGGCTCTCCATCGCGTTTTCATTGCGCCAATTGAGCTTCAGTCAAAACTCCAAGTTCGCCAACTGTCCTTGATTGCAACTTCAACACCACAACTACGATCGCAACTACAGTCGCAAAGACAATGTAATGTACAATCCGCACAGCAGAAGCGACATGTTTCCCTCCACGTCGCCGAGAAAGCCCGCTTCCCCCGCGACGACGAAATAAAAGCCTGGTCCGTAACTCTCGTCGACGCCGACGGGAAACTGACAGACCCCCGCTCCACCTCCTCCGTCCTCTCCAGCATCGACCGGAAAACTGAATCCCTCGTCGTTGTTGTGCCCGGCTCCCAGGGCGTGCCACCTATCTGCAAAATCCTCAACAAGCAAGCCATGCGCGCCGCTGAGAAAGCGAAAATGAAATCCGCGCGCGGCACGGCCGTCACGCAGAAAACGATGGAGCTGAACTGGGCGATTGGGAAGGGCGACTTGGGACATAGGATGGGGAAGTTGCAGCAGTGGTTGGAGAAGGGGTGGAGGGTTGAGGTAGTGATTGCGGGGAAGAAGAAGGGGAAGAAGGCGAGTGAGGAGGAGGCGAGGGACCTGTTAAAGACCATTAGGGGACTGCTTGCGGAAGTGGGCGGGAGGGAGATGAAACCTGAGGAGGGGGGAGTGTTGGGGACGTTGACGATTTATTTGGAGGGAAAGCAGCAGGGGAAGAAAGGGAAGAAGGGTGAGAGTGACACTGCTGGACCTGTGGTGGATGGAGAGGCGAAGGGAAATAGTGAAGGTGTTCAAGAGGCTGTTGGTGGGGAGAATGTGGAAGCGGATAATGATGCTAGTAAGGACCTTGCTGAAGGTCAGAGAGCTGCATCTGCTGGGTATTGATAATTGAAGAGTCCGGATGTATATCAGTGTGTCAACTGGAGGTGGGAAGGAGTGCAGAGATATAGCAAGTCTCAGACTTGACTATTGTAGGTTACTTAGAGTTATCGAGGAAGATATGTACATAAAGATATACCAATACACACCTTTGAGTACAAATCCGGTAGTCCGGATCCAATCCCAAGATATTCTTCTTCAGAAAGATTACCATACGAATTCCCTAAAGGTTCAAGCTCATCCTTATACCCCAGTTCAATACTCAAATCAGGTCAAGTACACGATTGTAACCTTTTATCAGTACAATCCATCAAAGTACAAACCCCTCCAATCCCTCCTTCGTCCTACTCCCTATGTCATGATGTTTATTCTCCTCCCATACCTTCCCTCCCTCACCAAACTGATTACTCAGATGTCCTAGAAAGAAGTCGAGATTTTTATCTGCCTGGGGAAATGCTTCCTTAAACGTATCATAGATCTCTTTCACCTGTGGTTTCATGTTCGCGTTCTGGATCTTCTCTTGGAAAAGAGAGAGATATTTTTTGTTATGAGCCAGGTCCGCGGCGGCGTTAAGCTCCCATCCGGCTTCAAGATGGCCAACTATGATTTTGGAAGGGGACAGATTTTCGACGAGGTTGAGGGTCTGAATGGGAGGTTAGTGGTGCGTGATGGGGGAGATTAGTGGGAAGGGGGGAGACTTACATTTTGCCATGCGTGGAGGATCTGAGGAGTTTCGATTTCTTCGGCCCTATACAGTATCAATCACTCAGGAAGTCCTAGCAACCACAACACTCGCCAACTCACCAAACATGCGTACTCCTCCCATACAATGCATCACCCACGACAATCGTTCTCTCACTCGGCAACCAAAACAACGTATGATCCACAGAGTCTCCCTGCACAGGTCCCAACAACATGATAGGACTACTCTCGTTCCCATCTAGCAGGATGAAACTGTAGGGATACGGGTCCGGCTTTCGTGGATTCTCGGGCACGTTTTCTTTGCCGAAGACGGTAGGCCAGAACTTCACTTTCTCGTCATACTCCCGATCAATTCCTGCGCGGACGTAGGGTGCGGCGTAGAATTTTGCGTTGGGGTGGGCGGCGAGGATGGGGTTGGCTGAGAAATAGTGGTCTGGATGGGAGGGGTTGTGTTATTTTGAGGGTTCTGAACTCTGTGAAGAGGACGTAGGCTTACCTGGATGGTGATGAGTTACGAAGACGGCATTGAGAGGGAGGTCGGTTGTGTCCTCAATCCAGGATACCACTGAGTTGGCGTCGGGGATGAGAAACGGAGGGTCAATTAGGATGGCGGATTTGGCCCCTACGATTAGGGTCGTTACACTTGAAAGACCCTTCTCAGAGGATGAGTGGATATGAGTTTGAAGGGGTTGAGCTGCCATTGCAAATCGTTTACAGTTAAAGTACCAGTATATATGCAATGTAGGTGGGTATGAACGGGGGGATGTGAGTAGCTGGAGAAAGTAGAACAGAAGTAGCTCACTGATATAGCTCCTGAACAGAGATCTTACCGTACTTACTGCCGTAATGTTTTGATCTAGGAACATTTCCGCAGTGATAGACAAAGGATCAAGCGGCCTAAGAGTGATGCTGTTGCATTGCTAGTAGTAGTAAGATGGTGGGGTACATGAGGGGTTGGGGGATTTGCGAGATGCGGGGTGAAGGAGGCTACATGTACTAGTTCGTTCGACAACTTCAGAGTCTCTGGTAGATGATACTGGCATCTTGAGTGTGGAATGTTGAGAGTCAAAACAGCCAAACACTGAAATATATATGTATATATACATATATGTAAAACCGTGCCTGTTCGAGAAGAAATATGATCCAAATGTTCTGAAACGACAAGGCAGCTTCTGCTTTAGGAAACAATGAACTGATTCTAATCTGTAGCTGCTTCGACTGTGACCAAATATTTTCCAATCATCTACCCGAGAATTATGCCCCATAATCTCAGTTTGAGAGGAATAGACAAAGAGTCACAGAGATCTTTGGATAGTAGCTCTAGGTTACAACCTAGGCGTCTGTAGGACGCCTGGACGAGCGATTGCGAGCTGGACTTTTTTTTTTTTTGAAGCATTCTGCACATCTAAGGCCCCCTCAATCGGCAATAAACCATGGATGTATTAATGCATCCTGAGCTGTGATCCTCTGTACTGGATCCAAAGCTGTCATCTTACCAATTAAGTCGCGGAATGAGGGGTCAACAAATTCCCAATACTCGAACGGCTTTCGAGGATTTTCCGAATGGTCAAAGCTACCAGCGAGAGCAATGAGACGTTCAAAGAACGGGTTTTCTTCACCAATCCATTGCAGCAAGCCCTTGAATTCCTCTTCTTTTGCAAAGAAAGAGATCTGTCTGCGGAGCACCCATCGCCATGAGTCGCTCGCCGCCAACTCTTCGTTGCTGGCTCGAAGAACCATGTCATTTAGCATAACATAGATAGACTAGAGATGGATTGAGCTTGCTTACATAAAGTAAATGGGCATTTTAGGCTTGCTTACCACAATTCCAAAGGAGAAGATGTCGGATGGTGTGCCTTGAGCTGCTTTTGCCCAGGACTCCGGGCTCCTCCACAATTGATTACCACAAATCGTATTCTTCAAGTGTTTACCAATAGGTAGAATCACCGAATCTTCCAAGTCTGCAATCTGAACTCGTGTGACGTCAAAGGCTCCATCTTTGAGTTCATAGTCCAATAGAATGTTGTCTGGCTTGATATCTATTGCTTCTGGTTAGCGGAGTTCGTTGTATCCTTGGTTCCAAGAAATTGAGATACAAAAGAGGCTCTAAATTACCACTGTGGATTATGTTTTTCTCGTGGAGTGCAGCGAGGCCAGTAAGAGCACTTTTTAGTATATCTTTTCGAGTAGCATTGGAAAGTTTGTTCTGGCTGAACTGAAGAAGATTTGTTTTCAAAAATGGATAAATAAACAAATCGGGCCCCGGAACACCATCGACCATGGTGCGGAGATGTGGGCAGGAAGCGATTGATCCTTGTAGATCTTTTTGGTACTCGTAGTCATCGGGAATCATGTTTTTGACGACGAATTTCTTGCCCTCAGCGCTATATCTTGTCAACAATGCACAGCAGATAGGCTTGAATAAGCTGCATTCGGGTTTATACCTTGCACGGTACACACATAGCAGAGGACTGCGTCGTTCCGCAAGTGTCTCCTCAATAGTATAGATTCGTCCTGAATAACCTTGTATGGTTGCGCCTGGCACAAGAGGCTCATCGTGGGCCATGCTCACAACTCTCGACGAAACTGAGGAGATAAATCGATATGAAGGGGGCAGAAAGAGTTTTCGTTGCGGCGCCTGTCTTTGCAGATACTGGACGTCAAGATGATGCTGCGTCCTGGGCAACCGTGATATTAATGATATGGCTCTTCGAGGGACACGTGCAAGGCAGAGCATGCTGAAACCAGTCAAAACGATATTGCCAGACAAAGCATCCAATCATACGAGTTTGTGGATATATTCTGGCGAGCCTTGGGTCTCACTTTTTGCTTCCCTGCCGGGGAGGTCAGGAAGGGACGGAAGGGAAGTGCTGTATTGATAGTCCCTGGCGGTTGGGGGTGGGGCGGAGACACTAGGTGACGCGCTTCCAAGCGCTGGAGTACCTTGCAGCCTAGTATCATAGGTACAGTACCTAGTCATGCAGGGTCACAGGCCCGACATCCAACCTGTTTCCATCCCCAACATATCAGCTATAGTGTCGCAGTAACAACTATGAAGGCATATAGGCTCTTCCATACCTTTTTGTCCATCCGGAGGCAAGTAGGACCAGCCCCTAGATAACCCAGTGTACCGCGCGGCTGCGCAGGTACCCGCTGCGGCGCCAGGAGGATGAGCCTGCCCAGGACAGGACTAGCACTGAGCCCTGAGTGAGGCCGCTCGATCCTTTCACACTGCTTATGTTTACCTAGCTGAGTGGTTCACTTACCGCCAGGATAATGTGCTGTTTCTGATGAGGGCCAGCGCTTGCAACACAGCCAGAATGTTGTATGGCAAGTTGGTGTCTCCTCGGGGCCCGGATACAGGTTGCATTATACCTTAAGGCTGGGCAGGCACAGTTGTATAAGAAGAGAGAGAACGACGACAGAAGTGTTCGTCTAATATTCAAAGCAGTCAATCATTCAAGCAATCAGATTGTCGATCATTCCTCCATCTCTTAATCTTCTTTCTACTCAACATACTTGTCATAGGTCCATCTTCGTCACCCTTGCTCCGTGTACTTGAACATTCTTATCAGTACTATTCACATATTCACTTTCTATTCACAATGTCTATCGCCAAGGTCCTCAAGACAAAACTCACTTCTACGATCTCGGATGGTATCAGGACAGTGGGAGTGGGCTATGTGGAAAAGACGGACATATGGACCCGGAGCTTCATCGATAGCGGCGTCCAGAAACAGTTCGCGGCCGCTGCTCAACAGCACATGGATTCTTTCCGAACCGATACCACAGCAGTGGCGCTCCAGTATGTTGTTCTGCATTGGATTCCCTTGCATCTGAAGCAAAATTTCTAATGTTACTGCAGAGAGACACCACATAAGAGCAACTCCGATAATCGAACACATTTTACTGCAGTGGAGTTGAATGCGGCTGGAAAGGTTGTGGGAAAACGCCATTTTTCTGTTTAAGATTTTTTGGGTCGCTTTATGTGCAATATGGTGGAACAGGTGGCGTTGAAATGTTGGTATCTGAAGTTTGAACTTTAGCTCTTTCGGCCCTTAGCCGTGCATAAGAATGATGGATCATGAAGGCATTTATGGATTGAGCCAAGAATAGTTGGAGGTTTTACCCGGTTTTGGTAGCTGGTAGGAAATGAAGGTTCGCTACAATATCCAAATGGGTAATTTTGGGCCGTTGTTGTTTGACCCTTGTTATCAAATTTCTCCCCATGAAATCAAGGGAATCATCACATTGACGGCACAGAAAGACCTCATGGGAGTCAACGAGCTTCATGAACTAAGTACGAAAACAAGGTTCAATTCAGATATCCGTGGACCAGACGACATCATACTCAGGTTGCGAGGTAAAGCCAAAATCTGCACAGGGTACTGAAAGATGGACAAAAAATTGACAATTGAGAATTTTCGGGCCAGTAGATGCCACAAAATTTAAAAGGGAATGATGCCAGTACGAGAGGTGCCTGTTCAGCTTAGGTCCTTCTATTCATACGATGCAGATTTCCAATTTGTTCTTATCTTCGCTTGACGTGACAACATTGTTGACAATGGACTGCCCCTGAATGAGGTCGCTTCCAGATAAGCCACCTGCACGTGTTTCTGACATGGGCTCATTCGCCGAAGCCCAACCCGGAAATCTTTCAGCCTCACTCACATCCCCAATTGCGACCAGAAACTGAAAGGCATTCTTGCGAACGGATACTTTGTTTTGCAATAAGTACTACTCTTACAATTTTCATTTTCAAATCATCATCCCGAATACTGAGCTTCACTCCAAATACCATCGACTCAGCTCTGCGTGAGTCACTTCGTCAAATCTCAAACCCCACGTCGCGCTTCGACAATTATTCCAAAAAGCAACCACGCCTTGTCCAGAGATTGTACCAAACAAGCACCAGGCCGACTTCAAGCCAACAATATACCTTGGGACGTCCCCATAAAGACACCCATAATTTCTTCAACAATCGCAAGTATGCCATCTTCCGATCCTCCAACCATTGCCGAAACCACTCCGTCAGACTCTCCAGCAGCGCAAGCTCAAGGGAAGCCACAAGGGAAGAATGGAGATACGAAGCCGGTAAACGCACAAGATGCGCCTGCGACGGGAGATGCAAAAATGTCCAATGCAGAGTTGAAGAAGCAGGCGAAGGCAGAGAAAGCTGCTCGGCGGCAGCAAGCTCTCGCAGAGAAACAAAGCGGTGCACCTCAGGTCACGATTTCAGCAGTACCAGGTCCACAGCAGAAAGCTGAGCAACAAAAGGGCGGCAAAGGCCAGCATAAGAGAGGCGCTTCGACTTCAGTGGATGTGAGGAGTCTGCCCGTCAGAGGGGCACCAGCTGTTCCTGCGATTCCTGCGCAGCCCAAAAAAGAAGACAAGACGGTCGAATTTTTCAGGCATTTGTATAAGCAGAGGACAAGTACGATTGCAGGCGCGAGTAAGGAAGTGCATCCTGCGGTGTTAGCTCTGGGACTGCAAATGAGCAATTATACCATTTGTGGGAGTTGCGCTAGGCTTGTCGCGACACTGCAAGCTTTCAAGAGAGTGAGTACCCATCTATCGATGTTACAGGCGAGATAATCTGACTATTTAGGTTATTGAATCATACACTACACCTCGAGGTACATCCTTGACGAGACATCTTACATCACACGTTCTCTCACCTCAGATTGAGTACCTGTCGTCGTGCCGGCCAATGTCAATATCTATGGGAAACGCGATCCGTTGGTTGAAGCTTGAAGTATCGAAGGTCGATATTAGTACTCCAGACTCCGAGGCGAAGGAAAATTTATGCGACGCTATTGACAGATTTATCCAGGAGCGAGTCACGTTTGCCGATCAGGTTATTGCTACCAGCGCAGCGGACAAAATTAGAGATGGGGATGTGATCATGACATTTGCAAAAAGCAGCATCGTCCAGCGATCTCTGGTTGAGGCACATAATGCTGGGAAGAAATTCAGAGTTATTGTAGTAGACTCACGACCATTACATGAGGGAAAGCACTTGGCAGCGTCTTTGGTGACTCTGGGGCTGGAAGTCAAATACTGTCTGATCAATGGGCTTAGTCACAACATACAGGATGTGACGAAAGTGATGCTGGGAGCTCATGCGATGCTAAGCAATGGCCGCTTGTTTTCGAGGGTGGGAACCGCTCTTGTGGCTATGGAAGCCAATGATGCAGACAAGCCAGTATTGGTTCTTTGCGAAACCATAAAATTTACGGAAAGAGTGGCTTTGGACTCGATTGTTCACAACGAGATAGCTCCAGCGGACGAGCTCGTGATACCTGGTGGAGCTCTTGAGAAGTGGGAAGACATGAAGAAGCTTCAACTCTGCAATCCGATGTACGATGTCACTCCGGCCGAGTATATTCAGATGATTGTCACAGAATCAGGGAACGTGCCGCCAACTTCAGTTCCGGTGCTACATAGGCTGGGCAATGAGAGCCAGGGCTAAGAAATGAGATTCGGAGCATTTATATGGACATTAAAAGTCGCTGGCCTATTTTGGGAGGCTGGTTCCGTGTAGGATAGTGTAACTCAACTGTCTCGAGACAGGGTTCTTATACTCCAATTACTTGGCCTTTTTGCAATTTGAGTGATAGATTGCTTGGTTTCAATGGTTTCATTGGTTATGAAGCCATATTTCAGCAAATGGCACTGATGAACGGCCATGCCCAGTAGCTGCATCTTTGACTTTGTACAGGTTCTCCATCCCAAACTCCTCAAACAGCATTTATCTTGCATCCTACGACTCGGACTCAGCCGCCTCCCTCTCTGCCCTCCGCGCTCTCTTCTCCAAAAGACTTGTCCTCCTCGCTCCTAGGATAGCTTGTTGTCTCTGCTCAACGCCCGTCAACCACCATCCGAAGCTTCCTCCAACGCCCGCGAAAGCAGGGTACGCCCACAACGACTCCTTATTGAAGAATGGACGCATTTCGAGACCAAGTTGCCAGAATCGAGTCGCGAGGCCTGTTTAAAATCGTGCAATTAGTTTTGACTCGTATTAGATGCAGGTAGTGGAGAGGTTCGTAAAGGGCAGACTGTACCGAAGCCAGCCCAGAAGAGGACTTTGTGGACCATTTTGAGAGCTCTCTATTCGTGTGTTATGGGACTGGTTTGCGAGAGAGCCGCTGGAGAGAATTCCGAGGCGTGTGAGCTGTGTGATGGGTTGCTGTCTGCTCAATTGCGTACTCGCATCCAATCGTGAGGTTGAGATGAAGCTCCCGAATAGAGCCGCTAAGGCAAGCAAATGCAGGGGTATCTCCACGTGACCAGCGCGACCCTTGCTTGACTTCTATTGCAACCAGAACACCAACGCGATCCATTGGACCTTAACTCCACGACATGAATCCAATCGCAAGATCCTCGATCTAGTATTAGGCGATGGCAACCGCGATGGCCTACAGCAAAGATGCTGCGGCGAGTAGCAGTGCGGGACCAGTGAGGAAGAAGCTCAAGACTTCAGACATACCTCTATCTTCTGCGACGCGACTTTCGATTGATGAGCTTGCACACAAGTTTAAGAAGAAGGGAGGCTACGATTCCTTGCGTAAGCAGGTTTGGGAAGATCTGGAAAAAACAGTGGGTTGCTATCTAGCTTTGAACTGGTCCGGTGGCTGCTAACACAATGTGTTCACAGGAATTTGAGAAAGAGTTCACGGAATCTTTACTTCAGGTCGCTGAAGACGAAATCGAAAAGAACCCATCCCAACTTCTTAAATTAGAGCGCGGCAAAGCAGCAGCTTTGATTGAGGGTGCAGTTGATCGAGCAGGTGTCTACCAAACCGCAGAAGCACGAATCGATACTTTGATCGATGCACATATTGAGGACATTGAAACGGGAATCAGAGCGCTAAGAAGAGAAGATGTTGGCGAGGAAGTGGCTGCTGCAGAGCATGCCAGGGGTGGCAAGACTGATGAGCAGTATGCTGAGGATGCAGCGAACAGAAGAGACGCTAGGGAGAAGGTCAGACAGGAGGCTCGGGCGAAGGAGCTGGCTATCATCGACGAGAAGCGGAGAGAGGAAAGGGCTAAGAGAAAGGAGCAAGAGAAGAGAGAGGAGGCTGAACAGGAGAGGAGGCGGGCAGAGAGAGAAGCCCGGCGTAAGGCTGAGAGAGAAAGGGAAGAAGAAAAGGAGAGGGAACGAGAGCGTGATCGCGAACGTGAACGCGAACGTGAACGCGAGCGGGATAGGGACAGAGATAGAGATCGGGATCGGGACAGGGACAGGGACAGGGACAGAGACAGGGACAGAGATAGGGATCGTGGACGAGATAGAGATCGAGACCGAGACGATCGATACAAGCGACACGACGAACCTCTTGTTCGTCGAGATTCGACCAGGGAGGTCAAGGAATCATCCGCTAACCCAGAGTTGTCGAAAGAGGAGATTGATCGTCTTGAGCAAGAAGCGCTGAATGACCTCTTGAAGGAAGGCAAAAGATTGTCACAACGTTCGAGGCATCAACTGGAAGTCGATATCGACGAAAGTCTGGCACCGCCCCCAAAGAAAGCTACACCAGCCTCTGCTATCAACCCTATCTCTCGAGACTCGCCAGTTAAATCCGATGTCAAGAAGTCAATAGCACCCCCGACTGGACCGAAAGCGGATGCATTCAAGACGCCACACCTACCTCATGACAGATCCGACGATAGAAGGAGGAGCCGGAGCCGTGACCGAGGATCCAGGAGATCTAGCCGGAGTCGGAGTCGACGACGCCATGATAGTAGAGACAGGGATTCCCGGCCTCGCCGTCGAGATAGTCGAGAGGATAGACGGAGACGTTCCAGAGACCGAAGTTACTCACCTGACAGACGCCGCAGCTACCGAAATGATAGCCGGAACCGTGAGAAGCGCGATCGTGACCGAAGCCGTGACCGAGTAAGACCTGCTAGCCCTCCCCCAAGAGATTCAGACCTGGAGAAATGGAAAGTTGCTGAAGCCAAGAAGCGTGAAGAACAGGCCAAGGCATACAAGATAGCCCAGGAAGAAGCCCGGAAGAATGGCCTACCAGTTCCCGGATGGTCCGATCGCTCTAAGAGAGAAGATGGTTCCCCATCAAGACGCACTGATGACAATCGAGTTGCTAGCCCTGTTTCAGCCCGAAAGAGAGACGGCTCTCGTGAAAGAGACCGCGATCGAAGTTCCCGTGCTAGAAGTAGGTCCAGGTCACCAGTTGGTAGACGTGGAAGCCGCATCGAGAGATCTACAAGTCCTGTCAACATTGATCGTTATGTCCCTGGTGCAGGAAGTAGAAGCACGCGTCGTGAGAGTACTGCGAAGCGAGAGAGAAGTCGTAGTCGGGACAGAGAACGTGACAAGGATAGAGATTCCCGTCGACCGAGGGAGGACGAGAAGACTCGTAGACGAAGTCGATCAAGAAGCAGAAGCCGTCGTCGTGATAGAGACAGAGATAGGGATAGGACGAGGGCTAGATCCAGAAGTCGAAGCCCCTACACGAAGCGAGAGCGAAGGGATAGAAGTCGAAGTCGTGATAGGGATCGGGACAGGAGACGAGACCGATCTAGAAGCAGGGAAAGGGATCGAGATAGGAAGCGAAGTGACCGTAGCCGCAGTCGTGGTAGCAGACGAGAGTCTTCCAGGCGGGAGTAAAGTCCGCTGGGTGTGTACGATATGTTCAGATATGCGATATTGCTGCTTGATCAGTACTCACAATCACGGAGTTGGTCTACTAGACGAAAAAACATTGTATCCCACGCATTATCTTTAGCTTGAAATAGCGAAACCCGTATGGGTGTATGACTTAGTCAACTTCTTTTGATTCCTTCTCTTGATTCTTTCTCGTCCCTCTTATCCTCCTTCCTCATTTTGCGTCTTTCGCTCCGTTTCTGTTCACGCGCCATCTGCTCCCTTCGCTTCCTTTGCTCCTCTAATATCTTTTCCCAATTGCTAGGCAAACCACTTGCCTCTAACTCATCAGCCTCATCGTCGTACCACACTGAACTTCTTCCTTGAATAGTCAGCATTGCCTCCAAAAAATCTGCCATATCATCAACGCATCCTCCCTCGTCACCTCCAAACCCCCCTTTGTACTTGTTCCATTGTCCTTGAAACCCTAGAGAGTTCAACGTCCGACTCATGTCTCTCCCTCTCCGATAAGGCACCACCTCATCGTCGTCTGTATGGCAAAGCAATATCGGTGTCATCGCAAGAGGCTTGTGCGACTTTTCCTTCGCCATGAACGACTCATTCCAAACATCATGCACCCACTCCTTGCCACCATCTTCCCCTTTTGCTTTCTCGATTCCATCCTTCTCATCCTCATCGTCGCTCCCGTTCATCCGCAGAATATCCTCCACTTGCCTTGAAATTTTCAACCTATTATCAAAGCACTTCCCTGCAACATTCGCAATCTCCTTTTGAAATGGTAACCAACCTCCCCAACCAACAAAAGCTCCTACATCCTGCGCACCAGCCAGCAACGTCAACAATGCAATCGCAGCGCCTGGGCCAATACCGCCGAGAACTATATTCTTCAATCCGACGATGCTGGCTTCGTTGAGTATGATCTCCACGATATCACAGATAGTGTCTTCCAGTCTAGCAAGATCAATCTTTTTCTCATCCTCTGAAATTGGATTTTCGAGATCGTAGTGATCGAACCATTGAGGAATGACTTCCCGTCCTTGCAGTACTCCAGCTTGAGGACTGTGTACGAATTCTTCTATTCGTCTATCCGAATAAGCGAGACGAGCAGTTGGGAAGACGAAGCGCATAGTCGGGAAAATGTCGGTCAGGGTTTGGTTTGTGCGGGATTTGTTGTTTGTGAGAAAGTCTATGGCCAAGTCACTGCCGTGTGAGTTCCAGTCGTGTAGGAAGATGCATGTATGTGTGTGCTCTGAGCCGGCGTGTGGGAGGATAATTGGCTCTGTATCTGGGACGCTGGGAAACAGCTCGCTTATCATGCCTATGAGCGAGATTGGCTTTTCCTCGCTAGAAGTTGCTTCTTCAAAAGGCTGAGGAGCATCGTCTCGACTTTGGTGATCCTCTGGTATTGCTGATATGTTATTGGCTTTTGTCTTGGTTTTTCCTTGTCGTTTCTCCTTCTCCGATTGCTGAGGATTTGAAGCGAGGGAACTTGTTGGACTGGATTGTATTGACACCTGGACTGATGCGATGTTTCTTCCCTCTTCTGATGATGATTGGCTTTGTGGCTTAGATAATGGAGACGATGATCTTTTATCCTTGGCCTCCGAAGATTTTGGCCTCTTGAAGAGATTGAGTGCTCGCTTGGGCAAGGTACTGATTGACGGGGCCATGGTTGCTTAGTCGAAATGCTATGTACAGTTTGGTGAGAATAAATGGTATAAATGGATATGGAATTTGAGTAAGAACAGAACGTGGGTTGAAAATGAATTTCTGAAGTTATAACTTGTGTATTTCATTTTGGACTGGCGGGATGTGACCAATACTGGTCTGGTTTTGAACTGACGATAGGCAAGTTTGGTACCGTATTTAGGCCAAAGTTAAGGTAGCGAACTTGACACCAGCGCGATAAATTCAGCAAATGCTCCAAGATAGAAACCCAGCAAGGCAGTTGATGGAAATTTCTCGTAATGATGAGACAATGCATCATAATGTTTTATTCTGAAGCCATAGAGTTCCCTTCCCCTTCAAAAATACCACTGGTTTAGATGTTTATACCCCCACCTTTTCTAAGCGAGAAGTGCTCCCCACCGATTCGCAGAAAATATTGTTTGGGATTAGATCTTTGGCGAAACGATTGATATACTAGATGCTTATCATTGTTTGAAATATGTTCAGACTTCAGTTAATTACATATTTGTGCGCACTGGCAGAATCTTGTGAGCATTTCTGAGAAAGGAGATGTGCCTGACTTGGCCTCGCGACAGGACTAGGCAGTATAGCGCCACCCCACTTTTCCAGATGTCTAACACAATAATCTATATGGCATTAAGACCTTGGTATGGTGTAAAGGGCCATTGAATGTGACGCACTGGATGAAATCTGACTTCTTTGTGGGAAGAGCGGCGTCTGTGTATGGGTTTCTCACAATGCACTTGCTCTTGGAATCAAATTTATTTTCATGAGACATAACGGTGGCAGCATGATATTTTCAGCTTAAATAGAATATGTTCTGTCTATGGGTATCCCCTGAATATTTTCGGTGGAGAATTACAGGTATATCAATGGGTCTGGAAATTGAAAGTCTAATAGCTTAAACGTCTGAATTGCTTATTTCGGGTTGAGATTTGACTGCATGGATAGACCTGAGTAATACACCCTTGCTGTGAAGCGGGGTCTCTAAATATACCGATTTCTATGAAGGTTTTCTTCAATCAGAAACACCATAGCCTCCCGATCCCATCTCATAAAGTCTCGACACGGCTCGGCCAACCGCAAAGCCCACGTCTGTCTCGCCGGCTCCACCAGTTGCTAACGAAGCTTCTCTTAAGCCCGTAGCAGACCATTCCATATCTCCAATGAAAGTGCTCATCATGCTACTGCTACTGCCCCCCTCTCCTTTCACTGACATCTGTCGACCCAACTCTTCTTTCAGCTGTCCCTCAACCAACAATTTCTTCGGTACGATGTTCGAGAATATTTCAAATAGTGGTGCGCTTGACAGACATATTATCCTAGTCTTAGTCTCGTAAGCCAGATCTACGAGCGTAATGAAGCGTCGGACAAAATCGAGCTCATCAGAAGCGAATTTCCGGAGACCTGTGAGGTACAATACGTTCGTTGTCTTACACAGCGCATAGTAATCTGCTGACCCCAAGAAGTTCTCACATAGATCCTCAAAAGTGCTGCTCACTACCAAGCCTTTCAAGTCACTCGACTTCGTAGCCCTGACCGTCAGTTTCCTACTCATCATGACCGGAATAACCTTCGCTCGCAATTCCATATCTCCAATTGCCTCGTTTAAACTCGCTTCAAAGTCTTTCTGAGAAGTGAAGAAAACATCCACTCGCCCCTCACTCCCACCACTCATCCTATAGTCCTCCCGTCCCTCCACTTCCCAAACTTCACAATTCTTCCTCAACTCCCCCACAAACGGCAAAAACAAGTCTCTATTTAGTCCCTTCTCATACAGATCCTCCGGAGGCCGGTTACTCGTGCTAACCATCACACCACCAGCCTCCCAAATCGCGCCAAATAGTCTCTTCAAAATCAATGCATCGGCTATATCCGTGACTTGAAACTCGTCAAAACATAAAACTTGGCTTTCAGACCGGACATCACGTCCGATTTGCAGTAGAGGATCACCAGAAAAAGTGGGAGAAGAGCGTGCGGTGTGGAGACGAGAGTGGATGTCCATCATGAATTCGTAGAAGTGCATGCGTCTGTGGGTGATGCATGGCGGGAGGGTTGAGGCGAAAAGATCGGCGATGCGGGATTTGCCGGTGCCGACTGAGCCGTAAATGTAAAGACCTTTAATGGGGATTTGGTCATATGAATTTGAAGTTGAATTTTGTTTTGAAAGATGGTGCTTGTACAAGTCATTTTGGAGGGTGTTGAGGCGGGTTACCAAGGAGAATTGGCTGGGATTTGGGGTGAGGCGTTGGCGGGTGAGGAGGGTAGTGTAAGCTGTTTTGAGGCCGGGTTGGGACATCTGTGTGAGAAGCTGAGAGACTCGAGGGGCATGCTCATTTCTTGATCATGGTTTGCAGCGAGGACGGGGTACAAGAGAAGTTGTTGTCGTTGTCAATGATACAAGCGTCATCGCTTCAGAAGCGACTGAATGCCAAGCACTAAACCTGTTGTGGAAGCGAGTTTGTTGACAGCGCCCTGAAGTCCTACCAAGGACAATGCGACGATACTAGACATATTGTCTAGGTGTTCAAAAGGTTTGAATTGCAAGGCATCTTACTTTCTGGGAAATCTGAAGATCCTTATACTAAAAGTAGTACAGATAAGCCTCATTATTGCATGATCATTTGAAAATAGTCTGCTTCTCAAAGTTCCTTTTTGAGTATTGGAAGCTCAAGCACGAAGCACAAATGAGTACAGATCTCTCAGGCACGACAGAGAAGTAGATAATGGTCTTGGCAAGCGAAGGAAAAAGAGATTGATCATGTCGCGAAGCACACAAACTAACACATAATCCTCGAGGTGGTAGCCATAGACAGCCGGGTATATTGACACATGAAAGGACACTGTTTTATCTATTGATATTGCAGTAATTCCATCAGCTGATTGACTTCTTCCTTACAGTCATGCATCTATTGACTCTGGTGTATATATACTGCTGATGCAGCACACGGCAATGGTATTCCTGTCGAAAACTCCCTAACTCCAGTTGCTATGCTTTGCGCAGAAACTCAGACCGTGAATGCTCTTTCAAAATGGTTTGGCAACTTTCCTGCTCTCACTTGCACCAGTCTCGGGATCCTTGTATTCCTTCCAGCTCACCGGATACATTGCATTACCAGCCTCACTCGTAGCCATAATGACACCTAGATTGTTCGTCGCCGTCGAGAGGTAATAGTTCGATTGATCACCTAACGAGATCTGATACCAAGTTAGCTTATATTTAGAGCATGCAAGCAAGTCAACATACCACGATAGCTCTGACGATATCTCCAGGTCTAAAACTCTCAAAGATCTTGGCCTTGTCCTTCTCCGTCGCCCTAACATCCTGCACCCGGATTACTCCCTGCCACTCTCCATCTAAAACCGTCTCTCCAACAACCAATATCGCAACCGTAGCTTGTCTCGGCGCAATCCTGGTGACTCTGCAGAGCACTGTGCTGTTGACCTCTGGTAAGATCTCCGCCTTGCCTTTCTTTGCTCCCTCTCCAGCGGCCGCAGATATATTCCTCTCAATCGAAAGTGTTGGGAGAGCTACAGGTGCCGCGGGTGTAATCTTTGTCAGGCGCTTTTGGGGACCTGTTGGCTTTGGAGGGGCAGTCTTCGAGATGGGACCCAGAATTGAGGCGTAGAGGTTGGAGTTGTGGACGTGTATTCCTGGGCCTGGGAGATACTCGCTCGTTGGACCTAGGAGCTGCCCAGGTACGGCGATGGACATTGTTTGGGCCATGACGAATATCAGGCTGGGTGTTGTTTGCTGGAGTATTGAATTGAGGTTAGAAAATACATTTTCGGCAGGTAAGCCGAGTGGGGCTGTCAGCCACGGCAGCCCAAGCTCACAAGCCCCATCGATGCAATGCACCCGACGACCAGATCCCCACCGAAAACCTTACCCCTCATTGGAACAGTAATGGATCTCTCACTGGACCTCCGTCCCTCACTCGCCTGAACTGTTTGTCCGAATCCAGTCCTCCCCGGCCCATGTCATGGCTTTGGACGATACCAGTACCAGTAAACCCAATTGAAAGCTGTACCCCGCGAGTGCCCCGCTCTCGAAGAGGAGCACCTGTACAGGCCACAAGAAGAGGGGAGGAAAGGTCCGGAGCTATGGGCTGACTATAAATTGCCAGGCTTGTGCCCTCACAAGCACCGAGTTGCGTCTCGCTCTCGTACTTACGGCATCAACAGAGATCGAACTTCTGTCCCTACTCCAATCGCCCTCTTATCGCAATCATGTCTGCCAAGCACTTCATCAACGATCCAACTCACCTAGTGAACACAGCTCTCCACGCTCTTACACTCACGAATCCTTCTATTGCCCTCGATGCTGAAAACAAAATCATATATCGTCGTCCCGGCCATGCTCCACAGGTTTCTATAATTTCAGGTGGAGGCAGTGGCCATGAGCCAAGTTTTGGAGGCTTCGTTGGAGAGGGACTGCTATCTGCTGGTGTTGCGGGCACGATCTTTGCGTCGCCCAGTGCAGAGCAGATTAGGAAAGCTATTATGTCAAGAGTAGATGGAGAGAAAGGCATCTTGGTTACGGTTATGAACTACACGGGAGATGTCCTTAACTTTGGAATGGGAGTTGAAAAGGCCAAAGCTGCAGGATTGAACGTAAAGATGTTGGTCGTTGGAGATGATGTCGGTGTTGGACGAGCTGCTGCTGGAAAGGTCGGCAGGCGAGGTATTGCTGGCACGGTTCTTGTCCACAAGATCTCTGGTGCTCTGGCTGCGAGAGGTGCAAGTCTGGAGGATGTCTACAAAGTCGCGAAGTTGACTTCGGACAATCTCGTCAGTGTTGGAGCTAGCTTGGATCATGTCCATGTGCCCGGAAGAGCAGCTCCAGACCCCAACTCGAAGGAGAATTTGGCAGCCGAAGAAGTTGAGATTGGAATGGGAATCCACAATGAAGCTGGAAGCGAGAGAGCTAAAGTCGATCTTCCTGAACTGGTCAAGAGGATGCTGGCGCAGATGTTGGACTCAAAAGATAAGGACCGGGCGTTCCTCAATGTCAATTCTAACGAGATCGTTTTACTGATCAACAACCTCGGAAGTGTCAGTGTGCTCGAGTTGGGAGGCATTACTGCTGAAGTTGTTGGTCAATTAGAGAAGTCATACAACATCAAACCTGTTCGTATCCTAGCCGGAACTTACATGACGAGTCTGAATGGTCTGGGGTTCAGTATATCTATCTTGAATGTTGTCAACACAGATATTGGCGGACCAAGCATGCTTCAATTGCTTGATGCTCCTTGCGAAGCTGCGGGATGGACGGCGCCTATCCGAAAGGAAACTTGGGAAGCGAAGTCGACACAGACAAGAGAAGGTGCTGATGCTAAAGCGGAAGAATCCAAGCCTAGTGGACTCAGGCTCGATCCGGAGACGACGAAGACAACTCTCACTGCAGGTCTTAACAGATTGATTTCCGCTGAGCCTGATGTAACGAAATACGATACTGTCGTTGGAGATGGCGATTGTGGCATTGGATTGAAGCGTGGTGCGGAAGGTAAGCAAAATAATTCCTTCCATCAAGAAAACATGATTTACTAACATACGTCAGCCGTCCTGAAGCTAATCTCCAGCAACAAACTATCTGGCGATCCCGTTCTAGACCTCTCAAAAATTGTCCAAGTCGTCGAGACAAACATGGACGGCACTTCAGGAGCCCTCTATGCCATCTTCCTCAACTCTCTCGTCCACGCCCTCCGACAACAAGGCTCCGGCACCGCCAACGAAAAAGTCTGGGCTACAGCCCTGCAAGACGCCTCGAAGTCCCTTGGGACATACACCCCGGCTCAACCGGGTGACAGGACCCTCGTCGATGCACTGCATCCGTTCATTGAGACACTTGCTTCGTCTGGGGATCTGAAGAAGGCAGCCGAGGCTTCAAGGAAGGGTGCGGAGGGTACCAAGGGTATGAAGGCTAGTCTTGGACGTACTGTGTATATTGGTGGATCGGGTTTCGAGCAGGTTCCTGATCCGGGAGCTTGGGGCTTGAGTGAGTTCTTCCTTGGGCTTGCGGGCATTAAGGGTGGTGAGGAGGGTTATGAGATGGTTTGATGGGGATCAATGGGTTAGTGTAATGGAAGTAAGCTGGTTAAGTTTGGTGCGGGCTGCATGCGTACAATATATCCTCCTTGCAGCTTCTTGTCCTTGTTCCAGAACTTCACGCACCAGTTGCTGCTTGGCAGTATTTCCACGCACATAATCACTTCAAGCAAGGCTGTAGGATAAAATCGGATGATGCTTGATGTTGTCCAAGTTGCTCATTCTGCGAATCTTAGTTCTTGGTGTAGACAATTCTCACGTCTACCACGAAAACCCTACCATTTCCATACCGTCATCCAAGCAAAATTCAAGGCAGGCTAGTCTAGTCCATTCCTTTTTGGCACATTCAGCCACCACTTTTCGACGCCATTTCATGCTCACCGCTTGATTGCATTCCTGCCTGCCTTGCTGAAAAAGAGTCCTGATCCGTCCATACACCCAGCCGCCAGCCCATCCAGTCGTAAAGAAGTGAAATAGTGAAGAACGCTCAACTGAGAAGAACGAGGATTACGGAATCGCCTCTCAAGAACCTGTGACATCACATTGTTAGCATGGATTCTTCTCGCGTCGCCCGTCTCAACCCTCCCATGACCGTCAGCCGTTCTCCTCTCGTGCCCAATTATCCACACAACGTCCCAATAACCATGTCAAAGTCCAATATTTTGTCCTTAACTCCAAAACCCCCACATACAGAGTCCCAAGAACCACAGGACCATACTCACATCTTACTAATAAACCTATCCTTGTTAACCGGTCTCCCTTTCTTCCCACTACTGTTCCTCGGCGTCTCCGTCCACATCTCCTTTACATTCTCGAGCACCATATTGCAATGCCTATCAAATGCCTTAACACGCGCCAGCAGCTTGCGGTTGTTGCGGCACGAGATGAGGACTTGGGTGTGCGAGCGTACGGCAGTTTGGAGGATCGAGAGCGGACCGGAGGTGAATTCATGTTCTTCGAGTTGTGCGATTTCGAACTCGCTGTAGGAAGAGAGGGGTTAGTACTTGGTTGAGTATGGGTATGTGGACGTGATTGGATGAGGGAGGGGTGGGATTGTTGATGCGCGGAGGAGAGGGACGTACGTGAGTTCTTGACGCGGCTTGGCGAGCAGTTCTCTGGGTTTTGATTAGCTTTGTATCGTAAAACCAGGTAACAAACTCACTGAATCTTTGCGTCCGCCATGTTGTGTGGTTCCGTTGCGATAAGACGGTTTGGAGGCTTGCGCTGCCTCGCGATTCTGCTGTCGTTGGAAGCTCGAAATTCAAAATTGCGCTTGTAGCGGATTGGGCTTAGCGCGGGAACTTTAATTCTGGTGGATGAATGGAGAGGTGCAAAGCCGAGCTGGAAAAGTAAACCCGAGGTCGAATTGATTGCTGCATGTAGCTTGTACCGACTCCGCATTCCTTTAGTTTGTACACTATCTTTTGTGCCTCTTTATTCTCCGTTTGGACTTGTCGATTTTCCTTTCTTGATGTTTGCGAGGTCTTTTACTAGAGGAGCTGGGACGGCGGCATGCTGTAGCTCTGCTTCGACACGGATCATTATGCCTCTGCGAGCGAAGATTACGAATCCTGCATTTGCGGGAAGAGCACAGGTTAGGATGCGATGAGGGACTTGTTGAGATTGAGCGTTAATGAGTAGCAGATGTCAACTTTTCCATCACGGCAAGAACAGCCGGAAACGCAAGCTATAGAGGTCATCAAGGAATTGCCGGGGGACCAGCCGGAAGATGTTCTTTTCGATACTCTCTTCGGCGTGCGGACAATTGAGCTTAACAGGCCGAAAGCTCTGCACTCTCTCAATGGATCGATGATTAGGAAGATCGTACCCCGACTGCAGGAATGGGCGAAGTCGGATATGGCAAATGTAGTTGTCATTAAAGGGTCTGGGCCGAAAGCTTTCTGTGCTGGTGGAGATGTGAAGCATCTTGCAGAAGAGAACATGAAAGGAGAAGATGGACAGCAGCGGTCGACGGATTACTTCGCCCTAGAATATAAGCTGGATCACCTTATTGCGACATACTCGAAGCCCTATGTGGCATTTATGGATGGCATTACGATGGGTGGAGGAGTTGGGCTGAGCATACACGCACCGTTCAGGATAGCTACTGAGAGGACAGTATTCGCTATGCCAGAGACGACGATTGGATTCTTCCCGGATGTTGGAGCTTCGTTCTTCTTACCTCGTATGCCAGGTGGTGTGGGAATATACCTTGCTCTTACGAGTGAGAGGTTAACGGGCGTTAATGCTTTCTATGCTGGAATTGCCACACACTACATCCACTCGACATCTTTACATGCTCTAGAACGTCGATTGGCCGAACTCAGGTTCAAGGACTACGACGGCATGAGAGAACGAATTGCGTTAATTGATTCAACCATAGAGGAATTCTGCACTGGTCTGCCATACGACGAGCCGATGCTTATTCAAGGAAAGCTGAGGGATGCGATCGATCGAGTCTTCACTAAGACCAGTGTTCCTGACATCATTGCTGCGCTTCAAGCCGAGCAAAAAGGAGAGATGAAGGAGTGGGCCGAGAAGACGCTCGCCACCATTCAGCAGCGGTCGCCTACCAGTGTATATGTCACACTTCGGCAAATGCAGCTCGGGCGCAGGTGGTCCATCATCGAAACCTTCCGCCGAGAACACCAAATGGCAGGGAAATTTATGCGCCACCCAGATTTCACCGAGGGTGTGAGTGCTCTACTTATCCGGAAAGACAACAAGCCAGTGTGGCAGCCTGCATCGCTTGAGGACGTGAAGCCTGAGGACAACATTGCGGAGCCATTCTTCGAGGTCGAGGGTGCAGAACCGATAGGCTTGTTGAATGCTCGCGACTTTCGTGAATACCCTCACAGGGAATTAGGCCTTCCTCAGGATGCTGAAGTCGAAGAGGTTGTAAGGAAGACACTGGCCTCAAGGAAAGCTATCGTCAATCAGTTTGTCAAAGCAAGGAAGGGGAAGCAAGGTGTAAAGGAGATTGTGGAGGAAGTGCTGCTGAGAAAAACAGAACTTGATGCAAACAATAAGGCTGTCTGGCTCGCTAATGCTGGAGAGGCTTGAAAAGGAAGCTTGGAAATAGAGGCGATTGTGTCAGTCTTGTATGATATCTGTGTGCGGGATGTAAGGTATACTGGATGAAGCGGCAACTGTTGATAGATGACGGTCGCGAACAACAAAATCAGACAGTGTTGAGACGAAATGTTGTTTAGTATCATGTGACATGAAAGGGGTGCCTAGGAGCCTTATGTGGAGCTTGAGTCATTAATCAGGTGTGGTATATCCGAGAACTTCTTTTGGGAAAGTTATAAAAGGGAGCCTTACCCCGCTCGTAAACCAAAATGTTTTTTCCCAGTTGGTGTGTTGCATTTCATTTGGCCCTGAGATAACTTGTGGCGGCCTGATCTTGAATTGCAGCCTCAGGCAAGCTTTGTCATCACTTAGAGTTGTACAAGCGCTGAAAGCTCGACCCGCGTCGATTGGTTCATCAAAGCTTCAATCAACAAGAACAACCTAACACCACGACACCACATCCATACTCTTCCACAATTCCAAATCACTTCATATTTTACGGCCGAATAGAGTGTGTATCCATATTGATGACATCACGTTTGAAAAAGGAATTTATTAATTTTCACCTCTGGTCTTGGTACATCCTTTCACGCGTGGATACCTCGCGAGATTGACGCGAGTATGGTCCTAGCCACCGCAATTGTTCCTTGATACGATATATTTTGACCACTTCATACCTTCTCCATGCGTCTTCGACTACGATAAACATAAATCTGGAACAGTTAGACCCCAGAAACCTTCCAGCCTGGGCATTGCGAGGACCCAGCCTTCGCGATGTCTACACCGACTGGGCAGCCGCCGGGTTTTGCTCCATGGCAAGCTTCACAGGCACAGACACCTCCAACCGCCCCAAATAATACAGAGATCGAAGATGGAGTGTCAATCAGACCCATGAGACGTGAGTGTGGCAAGTTGTAAATGCAGGAAGAGGCAAATACTGATGGTGTTTTTACTGCACAGTCAAAGTCCTCTACACCTTCGATGACCAGAACAAGACCAATTGCCTGGCCCGATGGCCCCACGTCCTTCAAATACAAACCGTTGCCATGGACGAGGCGACATCGATTGGAGTTATTGAGCTAAAGACATGTATAGACGCCATTGTGCAGTGCAGCCCCGAACTCGTTGCCAGACTTGGTCAGGATTACACCGTCTATGCTTACGACTACTCCGAATACGACAACCCTCTTGTCGGACAAGGAATGCTATCAAGAGCGCTCTCTACAGCTTCCCCAACACCAGACGCCCCTGCGAATCAATCTAGACAACTTATTACAGGCAGGGTCTGCAAAAATATTCTGGGGATCTTCACGAATGGTGTGAAGGAGACTCTAGAGGTCAAGCTGAGACTTGTGCCAGTTCCTACGATGCTGCAAGGAGAGTATGTCAATACTATGGAGAAGTACAGAGAGATGAGCAAAGGTTTACCAACTGGTTTTGACACCAACGAATGGAATTCCTTCATGCAATCAAATCCGAACCTTGGACAAATGGCAAAGAAACTCTCTCCAGCACCGACGATGAATAACAACCTCCGAGATGGAATGAGTATGGAGGTTATGAATCAGTTATTGAACCCACATCTCCAACAGCCACCGATGCAGGACATGTTCAATCAATCCAGTCAAGTTAATCAGGGCTCATACAGTAACCAATCGTCTTTCCACCAGAGCAACTTGAACATGAATGCAGAGCATTCCGGGAATGAGAACAGGGCTACGCCCGCCGCGGCAGAGAAGGCTAAGAAGACCTCACGGCCTTCATCACGGGTGTCTGTCAAAAGACCTAGAGCTCGCAAGCCCAGGGCAACTGCTGCTTCTGTAGGAGGCAACACTTCTGGTTATGAGGAGGGTACCGATGGAGATGATGGACCAACTGCAAAGAAACGTGCTAAGGTTACAAAGACCGACTGGAATGGTAATGCGACCTTGGGAATGACGCCAGACTCTCTACGTGTAGCTGCTGGGACCTCAGGATCACTGCGTCTATTTCGACCTATTGCTGCTTACCCAGGTGCGGGGGGCCCCGAATCAAATCATCTTCAGGATGGGCCTAGAGCACCCACACCTGTTCCTCATCTTCCAAACCAGCATATGCACCGAGACCAGGCTCCTCCGAGCTCTCTTCGACGTGACTCCTTGACCGAACTACCCCAGCTGCCTCCGCAACACGTATCTCCCTACCCACCACTACAGAAGCCAGAAGACCAAGTCAGAACTTCCATCGAATCGGCCCACCCTTCCCCCGAACGAAACTTTAGCCCTGCAGATACGCCTCCTGAGATTGGCTCCTCGCCTCCAGTCATGAGAACCAGACCACCATCTGTCATTCGCTCAAGTCCGCCATGTCCTTCCAGCCCTGTGCTACCGCAGATGCCTAGAACAGATTCGGGATTCATGAGTGGATCACTGGAAGATCTCTTTGGAGAGGACGATGACTCAATGGTTCCAAACAATGAAGCTGGTAATCTTAATTCACATCAACAATTCGGACCTCGACCAGCTGCTGGACAAGCCCAATCCCCCCCCGATCAGGGAAGCGACTGGGATTTCATCATTCAAATTCCGGGTCCACCAGAACTGTTGCCTAGCAGAATGCCGATTATTGAATTGCCAACACAGGTCGAGGCTAGGGCTAGAGCAGCGATCAACCGTGCTGGAAGCGTGATGTCTGAAGATGGCCAAATTCTCCCTCCACTGAAGAACAATAAACGACCTCCACTTCGGAGGACCATGAGCCAATCGGACATCACACCTACGCAATTTCAGTCCCAGAAGTCTTCCCTTGGCCCCAAGTCCCCCCAAATACATCCCCCTCAACTTGAGGAGCAGTCTCAACAGCATCCCCAATCCCAGCCTCCTCTCGAGATACGACAGCCAAGTCAAAGCAGACAGCCAAGTCAAAACAGATTGTCACAACCTCCAGTCAGTGTTCCAAGCCCGTCTTCGAATTCTGGTCCACCAAATGTGCCAGCTAGTATTCCAACACCCACTCCTTCATTCTCACAGCCTACTGCACAAGCTCCATCTCCTGCCCCTTCGCAGGAGCCATCATCTCTACCTCCGCCTGCCCCTACTACGGCTCCTCATTCAAGACCAACATCTAGATCTGGAATGAAAGTACGAACAGCTTCTATGGGTTCTCTCACTCTTCCCCAAGTTCCGGCCAGTGACCCGGTTCTCCCCCCTTCCAGCTTGCAGCGATCTCAAACATGGTCGGAGGCACCTCATGCAGCTTCTGAGGCTCCTATGCCACCTATGTATATGCATGGACAAATGCAGATGACGCAACCTCCCGGAATGAATTACAGTCGTCCACCTCAATCTTACGGTCGGACAATGACGGCAAAGAAAGCTTCAATCAAGCACAAGCTTGAACTTGCCATTGCTAACGGAGAGATGCCTCCTTATTGCGCCAACTGTGGGGCAATTGACACTCCGACCTGGCGCAAAGCTTGGTCTCAAGATCTGCCTGGTGTACCAGGGTATTACGAATACTCTGACGATCCAGGTGCTGTCACTACGATCATCGTTTTGACTCGTGACGCTGATGGAAAGCCTACTTCTCACAAACTCATCAAGAAGTTTCTTGGTCCGAAGGAAGACCAAAAGGACTATGATGAGTTCCTCTTGTGCAATCGTAAGTTATGTCATGTGTGATGTTTTGAGTATTTTGGAACTAATAACTGTAGCTTGTGGCATCTGGATGTCTAAATACAAAACCCAACGCCCTGAGGACAAATGGGATAATAATGGACCACTAGAGAGACCTCGAGGAGAGAAGAAGCGAACAACTCAACGCATGGCTAAGCCAAGAAAGCTGCCTGAATTGAATCCCATGCCACCGACTTCTGAGGCTAATTTTCCACAATCAGATGCTAACTTCCCTGCTTCTGAAGCCAACTTTCCAATGTCTGAAGCGCCCGCTCCTCCAGAGGTCATTTCGCCGGGTGACATATCTGCGATGCAGCAGGCATCTGCATCCACCGAACAATCTCAGCGACAGCGATCAACCAGTGCTCAGCCCAAGAAACGTCTGAATGCCATGACGTCTGATGCCGCTTCCGCGGCTTTGAGACGGGCGATTCAGTCCAGTCCTGCTAGATGGGCCGGTACGCAGCACAGTCCGATTGAGCTGGAGGAGCAAGAGGATATGGGCTCAACCCGACGACTACTCTTTCCGTCACCTAGAAAAGACACCTCTCCCAAGGTGCTCGGAGAAGTCGTTACGAATGTCGTCCAGATTGCCACGGAATTCCGGTCGCCGAAGGAGAGCATAATCGAAATCGAAGGCCAAAACAAGGAGAACCACCCGCCTGCGATTGGGGAAGATGATGTGGATGCAGAGTTCCTGCAGCTTTTCGAGGCGGAGATTTCTAAAAGCGGTGAAATTCAGCGACCATCGACACCAGTCCGGAACTCCCCGACCCAAAATCCATTCAAGACCCCCACTCGTCCGACACCTAGCCATCGGCCCATCACTCGAAGTGTGACAAGATCAGCTCGGTCAGCTAGATCGAATCGATCTGCGAAGTCTCCAAGCCAACTCCTCACATTCGCACCAACTCCCTCACGAACTCCTGCATCAGCGCTTCGGCGGCTGTTGTCACCACGACACGATCATGGTGTATTCGAGTCACCTTTCACCGCCACATTGAACCAAATGATGTCTGAGGCCAATAACCAAACCTCGCCCATCCGGGATGCTGATGGTATGGAGCTTGACTTCGGCAATCTGCCTGAGCTACCTCAGCTTGGTGATGGGCACAGTCATGGGGATTTGAATTTCAGCCTGGAAGACTTCTTCTCCACTGATGTCCCAATGCCAAGTTCGCCGCCCAGAATGGGAAATTACCAGATTTACGAAGATCCGATTACGACCATGCAAAATATGAACAATCTTGACTGGAGTGATTTCGGTAAATTTGCCTCCGAGAAGGTCGCGGCGAATGAAGAAGTCAAGATCAAGGACGAGCCAGCAAATTCTCCGACAAAGCTACCAGCGAAGGAGAAGGAGGTTACGGAGAAGAATGCTGAATGAAGCATTGCAAACTGAAGCATTTTCATATCTATGTTGGGTCGATATCTTGTTCGTTTCTTTGTATGTTTTTGCACAGCGCTGGTGTTCAGGGTACGATTGTCTGGATACAGAGACACGGGTCATTGCATTGGGTCATGGAGCATTGATCAGCATTTGGGGAGCATGCATTTTGAGCTCGGGCTGTGTGCGTCGCTACAAGGCTAGATAGCTAGGGAGATGAGAGCTCGTTTATGTATCGGAAACGAGACTACAGAATCATGATACCATGAATATAATGTTTGAGTTTCACTTGTGCCAGATTGTAAGGGAACTTGCGTGACAAGATGTTACTTTGAATTAAACTCATAGCTGTTTTACCAATTAATACTCGTCTCACCCCTCGAAGTCTTTCCTCAGGACGCGGCCTCCACTGCCCACCCGCATGGTTCACCGTAGTTCATGTTGTTCCGTCCCATGTTGTCGTTGATATCATCAATCCATCCACCTTTCCTCCGCCCGTCCTATCAGTCATAACATATCATATCATGCCATTCCTTATTGGTAACATCTCAACCAAGTAACCGTAATCGTGAACTTCCAACCCTGCCGTCCGTCCAAAGTCCTGTTCCCTATGTGGAGTAGAAAATCTCCTTATACCGGTGAGTAGCATCAACTACGGCTTTATAGACACCGAAGTCAACTAGAAAGAGTAACTCATATCAGCACAAGCTTTACCAAATACTTAGAACGTCGTCTCTCCGTCACAAATTGCACATCTGCAAATCCTGGTCCAATCCCAGAAATCAAACGAACTCTAGTCCACCACCACAGATTGCTACCCAAAGGAGAGAACAGAAAGGTAAACTCACACTCCCTCCCCATGTCAACAGCCATCAACACCTTAACACTCAAATCCTGATTCACCTTGCCCACGATTTCCACCGCATGTCCAACCGTCAGATGCGCATCGCGATTCAGATGTGCTGTTACTGGGCCATCGCTATCGATCGTAGCTTGCTCGCCGCGCAGCTGTGTTACTTTGCCGACGATGCGGATGGTGCGATTGGTGAAGGAGTCGAGGTATTGCGAGGTTATGCGCGGCGTGGAGATGGATTCTGCCATTGTTCTGGGATCGTGCTGTGTGTGGAGGACTTCGAGAAAAGGAGGTGGAGGAAGACGTCGTAAGGTTATTGTTGTGGGTGGATGCGACTGATTGTCTAGAAGATGGATGTGCGGTTGCTGGCCGAGTTTCTTGACACGAAAACGCGTCGACGCGTGCTCAGGTGAGTTGGTGGGGGAGTGTCATCACGTGGACGCTGATCACGTTCAATCTCAAATTCTGCAGAATTATATACTTCTGTTAGACCAAATGGGGCTATTTGATTATTTGTCGTCCTTCATGAAATATGAATATGTACTATTCGACATCTAATTGACACTGTAAGCTACCTACGGTAGAACACTCAACCTACTTGTAAGTTTGTTCTGGCGAGCCACTAAAATTCTGATATCAGAAATTTACACCCTCAAGTGGCCGTCATCGAGAACTTCACAACGCAACTTCATTCCAGCCCCATTTTGAGATACATCAAGTCACAAGAGTACTTCAAGCCAGTAAGTATTTTCCACTTCAATGGTGCGGCTCTACTTCTTTTAGGGACTTATGACCTACTTAGTCTCAATCTCAGAGGTCCAGTCTTCCAATTCCAATCACCTATATCTTCAGAACGGGGAATACGATACTAACACCCCCTTCAGAATCTCAAGCCTAAACTTTCATCTAAAAATGAAGTCCCAAGAAGCCGCCTTCCGTGACGCTCGCAAGCCGCAACCAAAGCCAAAGATACAACAACCAACGGTCAAAGCAGCACCCAACAAGATCGCCAAGAACGCAGCACGAAATGAACGTCGAAAGGCAGCGAGAAAGGTCAAAAGCATGTTGAAGGAGAGCGGTGCAGCTGTCAGTGAGAAGAAGACAGTACCCGCTAAAGCAGAGGTTGCGTCAGGTGATGAGAGTGAGGATGGAGGCGTGAAGTTGGATGAGGAGATGGAGTGAGGAGAGAACAGGATGCGAAAAGTGCGGTTTGTGAGTGAGACTGTTTGAAGCGAGGCGGGTATTCATTGATTGGTTCCAGGTTGCTCATGAAGAGTGGATTTTAGTTGCGTGCGATACGATCTTAGGCTCAATCATTGTCTCTACATTGTACATATCAGGACATAGCGAGGCGTTTTTGGACGGGATGGAAATGGGAAAGTAAAAGTCCTGAACTTCTGTGCTATTGCAATTACTGTCATGCCACCCTTGTGGTTGGCTCGTCCCCATCACGATCGTCAATTTTGCCTGCTTTTCGATATTATGCACACTCCCCAGTCTCGCATCTCACTGTTATCCGACAATGCTGAACTTGAATTTTACAGAGAAAGCTCAAAGAGTTGACCAATACCAGGTCTCGAGCTCGACTTCGCCGTAGCCCAATAAGCGAGAAGGAGAAGATGCAAACGAAATCCCAGCCCTCAATTGGCCCAAAGCATGAGAAGATAAAGCCTCACTTTCCTAAATCTAGTCCCCCGCATATCCCGTCCCCCACAACTGGACTATGCCATTGTTACATCGCATGCGAGGCGGATATTTGTCAAGTCCCTCAGACCACTGGACCGGATAATGAATGCGGCGTCCCTTAGATGTGGGATGAAGTCTCGTCACTGATTCGGTTGAAAAGTTAGTGAGTCTGCTTGGTGTCTGATGGGATGATGCAGAGTCAATGTTGGAACAAGAGAATTTGATCGGTGTGGGTATGTGCATATATTCCTCGAGTGGGGTGGAAGCCTCGATGTGATAGAAACGTTTTTGAGGTCGCTGTGATGCCGTGGGCCGTGGGAGCGGGACTAGGATATTCGGAAGCAGAGGGAGGCATGCAGAGCAGTGAAAGGGAGGCCGAGTAGGCTTGATGATATAGAGCAAGGCCCATGGCAAAGTCCTTCCACGTCAATTCTCTCGTCGTCTCGATCATTCCATTCGGCAGAACATCATTTCATGGGAGGGCTTCCAAATCACAGGTTTTCGGTCGAGAAGAATCGTGAAATCACTAGATTTGAATCAACTCTTGGCTCGCTCACCAGACGGCTGAGTCTAGCTAAGAATTCAAAGGAGACAAAGGTAAGACGTCCACAGATACAAAACTAAAACTACAACCAAAGCGTGGATCTCAGTTGACATATGGCACAGAGATCTTTCTTCAACATGCCACAGCCAAAGAATGGAAGCGACGGCGACAGCCCAGCGGGCAGTAGCCAAGGTTCAGCAGGTCGCTACAAGATCAAAAGAAACGGAAACACACCTCATAATGCTCCAGAACGTGCAGACAATAACGAAGTCCACTCTGTCATCGGAGATTTCCTTCGTGCGACGCGCTCAGCACAGAATGCTATAGCTTCTGTTGATGAGCTCTACCGACAATGTGCGAATGATGTTCTAGAGGCAACTGAGAATCGGGAGAGGGTTGATGAATTGAAAGCACTCTGCAGAGATAAAGACGCTGAAATCCAACAATGTAACACCGCTCTTGATGTTATGTTGAAGAGAAGTGAAGACAAAGAGGTTGCTCTGGAGGATGACAAAGCGCATCTCGATGAAGAGAAGGAGAAGTTTGAGCAGATGAAGAGCGATTTCCTTCGATCCAAGCAGAAGGACGAGAGCAGAGCACGAGAACTCGAGGAGCGGATCACAAAACAGGCAGAATCAAAGTTGAAGAAAGACACTGCCAACCTTGAGAAAAACTTCACAGAGCGCCAAGCCAAGCTTGAGAAAGACCTGAAGCAACGTGAGGCAGACAATAAAAAGAAATTGACTGACCTCGAGGCTGAGAACAAGCGTCTTTCAAACCAGGTTAAGGATCTCAAGAATCAGGAAGATTCCTATGTCAAGACACTGGCACTTGAGAAGGAAAAGTTTGAAGACATGGAACAGTTGAGGAAGATGTCCAAGGAAGAAGCGATAAGAAGTCATAAAGAGCTACAGATGATGAAGGAGGAGTTTGGACTGGTCAGCAACCCTCCAGATTTTTTGTAAGCAAAACTCCTCTTCGCGTATGGCAAATGTAAAGACTGACTGCGCACAGCCAGAAGAGATTTGGCGACATCGCTAAACAGATCCATGTTATTTCCACAAAGTTCTGCCAAGGTTTGAATCCAAACGTATGATCTCACCATCCTCAATAAGCTGTCCTCCTGCTGATGCTCTAACGAACAGGACTGGGCATCAATCCATGGGAAGCTGAAAGACATAGATTCCTGCTTTGCCATAGTCCCAATCTCCGACAGCTCGGACTCAAAATTACTTCGAACTGCTCACACAGAGCGCATCCTCTCTTCCACTCTTAGTACCCTTATATTCAGGCCATTTTCATCAGACAGCACTTTCCAGGCCGAAAGAAAAAACGCTACCAATCTTCTCGAAGAAGCTGCCCTCGGTCTCGAACATTTTGGAGGCAACAGGCGAGCTGCTGCTGTCCTCAGATCTCTCGCTCTTCGGGGTCTTCGATCATCAAATCAACTTCAGGCAGTATCAGCTGCCCCTTCTTCACGTACTGACGCTTTTCTCGAGTCCGTAAAGCCTGTACTTTCCCTCTTGATACCCCAGGCACAACATGCAAAACTCGAAGACGCTCTACGCAACTTGGCAAAGGCGGCGATTTCACTCTGGGACTCTGTCCAAAATGATGAGTTCTTAGACATCCAAGCTTCATTGGATCTCGATCACTCCTTCCGATCCGAATGGAGTTCTGCACTTTTTGATCCGGACTATGAGTCGAATGATCGCACAGTCTTGTCATTAACCTGTCCCAAGATCTTCACTCTCTTCCCTAACATCACGGCCAAAGCTGTCGCTACCTTTCCCGAGCCGACTGTCAATGTCCCAGGAAGTTTTGAGACCTCTAAAGTCGAGACACAGATGCAAGAAATTTGCATCCATCCTGGTGTTGGTATGTGTGAGTCTTCGGCACTTTTCATGAAAGGTAAAGATGAGCAGGAAGAATTGGAAGGAGAATGGAAACGTGAAGTGTTGGCAAAGGAGTTGGAGGCAACAGAAAAGGCAAGATTAGAGCGGCATAAGATGAAGGCACAGAGGCATGGATCAGTCACTAGCCTTCCGTCTCCTAGTGCGGAATGGGTCATGGCTGGAGAGAACAAGAAGTTGCTTGAGCAATAGAGCATATTGAAGAATGGGAATGTTCGAAAGTTTGATGAGTTAGTTCATGACGATGAAGTGCAATAATGAGTCAAAATGACATATTTGTTTGCGGTAGTCATCTTTTCAAGATAACACAGTTGTATCGTTTTACTTCCCGCTCTCATCTCGATGGTAGAGCTTTACGATTCCAGCATTAAAAAGGAAGGGAATAGAATTTGCTTCCCATATTTTCATGACACAATATGATTTCTTAAATGTGACAAGATATGAGATGCCAAACACAACTCTAATGCTTCTCTGCTTTCTGGGTATCAACATATAATTGCTATAAATATAGTCGAAAGTTAGGGGGAATGAAAATACAGAACCAAACAAATAGCTCGTTTGTTCCTCGGCTCGCCTCCAGCCTCATCGACGTCATCGAAATCCATCCTCAAAAAAAGCACCTCCAGCGAAAACATTGATCCAGAGCCAGCATGCCACACTCAGATCTGGTTTCTGGCAAGAAGCGAAGGCGTGTAAAAGATCGGAGCATAAGTCCACCACCACTCCGTCGCAAACTCCAACCAGATTCTGCCACCGTCACTTCAAATACATTCTCAAGATCCCATGTGTCAAATCCAACGCGTTTTACAAAGGAGCTACATATCATCAGCTGGAATATAAACGGTATATCGCACCTACTCCCACCAATACAGAAGTCCATCAAATCAATCTTCGCCCCTTCTTCACACCAAGCCCATCAGTCAGATTCCGATTCGAAGGGCAAAACATCTAGCAAGTCACCGCTTCGTACCTTCCTAGAACGCCATGAACTTCCAGCCCTGCTCTGTCTCCAAGAAGTCAAGATCGCACCAAAAGACGAGATTACTCGAAGAGCGGTTGAAAAAGCGGCGAATCAGGGTGAGGGGCCAAGATACAAAGCGTATTTCGAGTTGCCGAGGGACAAGTATAATGCGAGAGGTTGGGGAGGGAAAGTCTATGGAGTGTGTACGCTTGTGCGAGATGATTTACAGGACTTGAGCTATGGACATATTAAGACGAAAGGGGTGATGTGGGATCAGGAAGGTCGAGTTCTAGCTACGGATTTCGAGCACTGGAAATTGGTGATTATTAATGGGTATTGGCCGAACGGGACGATGAATGCGTGGAAAGATAGTGAGACTGGCGTCTTGAAAGGAACAAGACATGATATGAAGCGAAAATTTCATTCTCTCATGCTTGAAGAAGTTAAAAGGTATGAGAGAAAGGGATGGCATATAGTGCTGGTTGGCGACATGAATGTCGCACGCTCACCTAACGATGGATATCCTGGTATCAGGCTTGGTGCTGAACATTTCCATAACAGAAAAGACTTTAATGAGAAGTTCTTTGAGTGTGAAGATGGGATGCGAGGGGTTGACTCGTGGAGAGAGGTACATGGGGAGAGGCGGGGGTATTCGTATCATGGAGAGAGGGCTGAGGAGTGGGGGGGGAGTTGTGATAGAGTGGACTTGGGGATTGTGAGTAGGGGTCTTGTGGAGAGGGGTGGGTTGGTGGGAGCGGATATTTGGGAGAGTGTTTTGGAGAGAGGAGGGAGTGATCATGTGCCTATTGGTGTTACACTTGATATGGACGCCTTGGGAAGATGGAATGGATAGGTAATTCTATCTTGAGAGCCAGTGTTGTATGTATGCATAATATGATTGGGGTGAATTCAGTCTTATCATTTCGAAAGAGTTGAATTTATTAAAAGTGATGAGGTATTTCGGTGAAGTTTATTTTGCATTCGTCTTTAGAGTGGTGATGAGATACTGCTTCTTGCTTGCATTTCTGTATATTCATAAACTGGTTAGTCTTGCTACAGGCCCCATCTTGAGCTGATCTGTAAGAGAGAGAGAGAATGAGATATTTCGTTACAGTAGTAAACAACCTGGCATTTCTCGCAAGGCATCAATTGCACCTTCTCTTCGTTCATTGTTCCTGAACGACCATCGTCGCGCCGCGTTGCGTGGCAATTATCACAAATTTTCGCTAGGAATCTCAGATAGTCGCTGTATTTCTTTTTCTTTGTATCTTTGGTCTAGATGCGCTGTGTTTCAATATTGTAGGCTCTTGCGAGGTTGCTGTCATTGGAAGAGCCTCCTGCCGCCACTGAACGAATCCGTGACTGAAGCTGCAAAAATGACAATGAAGGAGTACTTACAATGCACAGCAATGGCTGTTCCATTAACATAATCATGTCTCCTGCTTTAACGTTCTCTTTGACAAAGATGCCACGACCAGCATCGGGAATTGTCGAAAGTTTGGATTCCAAGTCAACTCCAAAGGTTGTCTTGCCATTGATTGTACTGAACAGTTCTGCGTCACCAAAGGGATCTTGCGAAGGTACTTTAGATGTCATTATATTAAGTAAAGAGGCATGCAGTGTTTGATGCACCATTTAGAAACAGAAGTAGTGCGTCAAAGGAAGACATGCTAGCTTGACTGTGCTAGCGACAGTGAGCAATCGAGAGCGCGGTGGTCACTCAGGAAGACGGAATTTTACGCTAGCGTGCAAACGAGTCTAAGCACTCGCATTTGCCTAGTGCAATTTTTAGAGATCCTCTAACAGGAAACAATACTTGAACATTCATTGGAGAATTCTCTAAGGTCAGCTGGTTGAGACAGACATCCAGGTCGCTAAGTCCAGTCACCCAGGCACAATGGGTACAGCTCATGGGCTCTCAAGTTTCTCAAGTCTCTCAAGTTTCAGCGAAGCACATCTTTGCTAATATTTTGGATAATCTTTAAAGCTGTTTTTTTTTCGGGTAGATTAAAAGTCCTTCAGTGAGGTCTCTTTGGAGTCAGCCTTATTGATGGTAAACACATGCAGCGCGTCTAGTGCCCACGAAACTTCCAAGATTCTTCAAAGCCTGCAAGTTAATTAACGAACGAGCATCAAATCATTAATTTTTAATCCCTTCAAAAGAAGGAGCTAGAAATATCCAAATCACAAGAGTGTTGTTGAGAGGAATTGGCGGAAATATCTCAGGCAGATAGTTTGAAAATACTTTTGTTAAGCGAGATCAACAAACCTAACTTGGAAACCCGAACATAAAGTGTCCACCATAGCAAGGTTAGAATATCACTGCAAATTCATACATGCTCCGCAGGATAGTCCAGGATGAGTTTGGAGTGTATTTCACGGAGCTAGAGTTTAAAAATGTAATTGTAGTATGTGTACAATGATACTTGACCCCCCCCCAACAGTCGTTGGTCAAGGCGCATTCACGAACCACAGGGCAACAAATGGACACGAAACTGGGCATCTTCTCCATTCAGAACTGCCAATCTTGTATCTAACAATAAAGAAGTGAAGAAAAACGTTACAAGAGCAGCTTCTATTTTGTCCCTCCTCCATGGGAGCATACACTTCTCCAGACCCAGGATCTTTTTGTCCCTGCTGCACTCAATGTCGCAGCAACTTCTCCCCAATAGACGCAGTTCATTTACACAAGCTGCGGTAAGCGCGTATCTAAATACCAAGATAGATGTACGAATTAATTAAGTACTGTACTTTGGGGCTGAATCTTTGATTCGTCCATTTCAGAGCCAGATGTATGGAGCCCTACCAGTATAAATGATAGGATGGGAAAACCAACATCCAACAGACTTTCAGACTAAAAGAGATGTTTCCACAGCAATGCCGCCCCAGGAATTACCAGCATCACCACCTCATAGTCACCTACTGTGAACCTTTTTCAGGCCTACAGCTGCTATTCTGTAATACCACCCGGGATTCTCGCACAATCCAAGTATGTGATCACAGGAACAGGATCTCCTGATTGAAGTCCATATTACTGCCCCCAGACATACCGAGACATTATTGCACCGAAACGGGCCTCGTCAAAGCCCGCCAGGAGAAGACCAAAAAGTTAGAATCCCATTTGGTCCCTGTGTCCTCAGCGCACTGATCCCTAAAGTCCACCTTCATAACGCTAAAAGTTCACGACCCCTCACTAACACCTTCGCCACAACCTAATATCAAGCATCCCACAGCTTCAATCATCATCTTCACATCGATGCATGAATGCTGATGATGCTGTGTCAAAGCCCCAAAAAATCATCGTATGAATGTGTGACGTCCCAAGACGCCGATTCCTTGATCGAATCCTCTGAGCTTGGTCTGGCCTTTCTTCCCCGACAGCGGGTGTCATGCAATACCCGAACTGTCTCATTCGATCCTTTTCAACATCCATCAAATAGCTCACTCACTATGACGAGGCCGTTCGTATCCAAAATTCCGCCGCTCTTCTGTGCCATTTATTCAGAACAGCCAGAAGTCCTCTGTCTCAGCCGGAAGTCTCCTCAATGGCAGACACAGGACCAGAACGTGACCTGAGCACATTCCCATCCATCCCAGGACACGATTCAATATTGTCCGTCACACAAACACCATGCGCCACAGGCTGAATCGGAGAATTTCCAGACGGGCGGCTGTACCGAGTGATTGGTCGACAATGATGCTGTCAGTTCTGCCAAGTAGTAGTGCTCGTATCGAATCGCAACAGGCCGTAAGGATCTGTCTGCGGCTAGAGCGAGGTGTTTTGTGCCATCTACATGCAGGTGCAGTGCGCTGTTATCTCTGCGTCCCTGCCCTGCCCTGCCCTGCCCTGCTTTTAACCACTTAAGGCGGCTCGTGGCACCTGTCCGACCTCAACCTTAAGTCGAAGGTGGGTTTGGTTGATAAGGTTCCAGGTCCAGCCCAGCCTTTCGTATTTGCTTCATGTTTTGTGTTTTCGAGTCTCTCGTTCTCAGGCAACATAATGATGCCCTTATCGTGAGCAATTGATCTGTTGCTGTGCTGCGACTTTCTCTGCATGCTGCGCCGCGTGTTATTCAATCGTCTGCTGGTCAATTTATCCGTCCGCTCGCTGCTCGTTGTATTAGGCACACTGGACTTGAGCTGAGATTCATCGTGAGCCTGGTGTTATGTGAATTACAGAGCGTGCGCCACCGATGTCTGGCTCTGGTTGAGGAGGCATTCGTTATCGCCAGCGACCTACTACACTACAGTACACTCGTTTATCTGCTTGTCAATATTGACCGTGAATCCCTGCGACTTCCACTCAGACCGGATGCGTCGACACCACAATTTAGACAGCAAGCATCGCCATGGTTCGACTACTCAGAGGCTTGGCCTTAGTATGGCCTTGCTTTCTCCAGCTCGTCATGGCTATTCAGGTCGATTGGGAGAGTACAGGTATAGAACCCCTCCATGAACTGCTTGGGACATACTGGACTACCCCAAATACTTGGAGCACCCATGTTATGTAGTATCTGCTAATGTATCTCGCTCTAGACTCCATCAAAGCAGCCGCCAAAATCATGGCAACCGATATGGTCCGCTACTTCATTGGAGAACAGGAAGACGGCTCCATTGGTGTACTTCTCCTTCCTCGACCATACTACTGGTGGGAGGCCGGGGCCATGATGGGTGGACTACAGGATTATTGGGTGTATACCGGTGATACGACGTTCAATGACTTCGTCATCAAAGTCCTGCAGTCGCAAGTTGGTCCTCACAACGATTTCATGCCGCCAGAACAGCGCTCTTCCTTGGGAAATGACGATCAGGCTTTCTGGGCTATGGCTGCTATGTCTGCCGCTGAAAACAAATTCCCCGATCCGCCGGACCCAAAGCAACCAGGCTGTACGTATTAAGGCAGCCCATTCTTTCTTCTTTGGAATGTCCCATGATATCTCAGCCATGGCTGGTGAAGCAAATGCTGACTTTCCTGCGCTACTAGGGTTGTCCCTTGTACAAGCAGTCTTCAATGAGCAAGTTGGGCGTTGGGATACGAGTCTTTGCAATGGTGGTCTTCGGTGGCAGATCTACGAAGTCACGGGCTACGATCTCAAGAATACGATATCAAACGGCTGTTTGTTCAACATTGCAGCAAGATTAGCGCGGTATACCGGAGATCAGAAATATGCGGATTGGGCGGTCAAGATATGGGACTGGATGGAGAGGATTGGACTCATTAGCAAGAGTTTCGATGTTTTCGACAACGCGGAAGCTGCGAAATTGAATTGTACAGAGCTGGATAGGAACCAGTGGACGTATAATGCGGGCACGATGCTCATGGGTGCCGCAACTATGTTTAATTATGTCCGTACCCCTGCGTCCTCCTAGATATTCTTATTCAGGGCCAAGAGTACAGAACGCATGCTAACAACATCTAGACTGATGGCTCCGAACTCTGGAAGAATCGTACAGAAGGCCTTCTCAACTCCCTGGCATCCGATTTCTTCCCTGGAGGCATCATGAAAGAAATCTGTGAGGAAAATGTCGTGTGCAACCCAGACCAAAAGTCTTTCAAAGCCTATCTCTCACGCTGGATGGCGGCATCAACAAAAATGGCGCCCTTCACTTACAACACCTCTTATCCTCTTCTCTTGTCATCCGCCAAGGCGGCAGCTGAGCAGTGTACTGGTGGAGAGAATGGCACATTGTGCGGCATTAAGTGGTGGTTGAACGGCACGTGGGATGGTACAGATGGGCCAGGGCAACAGATGTGCGCCTTGGAAACCATCCAGAGTGTATTGATCCGCCATGTTGGTGCACCTGTCACTGCAGCTGGCGGCGGTACCAGCCAGGGAAACCCAGACGCAGGCTTCAATCAAAGTGCTGTCCCACCCGGATTACGCCATACACAAGCCACTAAGGGAGAAAAGATCGGTGCGTGGTTCCTGACGGCTGTGATGATCATCGCTGTGCTTGGCATGTGGATATTCATGAGCACGAGCTTAGGTGAATGGGGCGACAGTTCGCTGGCTGGCAAAAAAGCAACTACTGCAACTAATCCCAGCACGGGATTCTGGTTCGGCATGGCAGGAAAGGGAGGCAAAGGCAAGGAAAAGGGAAAGGAGAAGGAGGAAGTCGACCCGGTCACAGAAGTCCTCGACCTCAATAGAAGCAGGAGGAGTACGATGACGGACAGTCCGAGTCGCCGAAACACGATGACGAGTAATCCGAATTTGAGCTCGACGTCTGTCGTAGAGGGCACGCCTATGAGCAAGAAGGGGAGTAAAGGCATACTGTCGCCAATTATGGAGCAAAAAGTGTTTGCGGAGAGTAAGGCGAGCTTGCCGATTTACAGGGGTGGGGATGAGAAGACTTGAGGTAGAAGGCAACAAAGAGTTGATGAGAGATAGCTTCATGGCTGCCTGCTCTTTGCATAACTAACTCAAACCTTTCGGCCTGGGCGAAGTGAGAGGCGGCATATAGCCAGAAAGGCAGACTGGTGCCCTTGATATCAGGAGGACGTCAATACTTAAGAAATACACCCAAAATATTGTTCTTGAAAGTTAAGGACAGGCATACGTTGCAGAAAGCTTTTGCTGCATAGACGGATCTGGCGATATAGAATGGGTTCTCTATAGTTTTGGCACGTCTAGAAGATGACGAAGTCCAGATAATAATGCCGAGTAATGAAGTAATGTCGACGAATTCCCAATTGTGTATTCTTGCTGTGCAAGCCGAAAAAGAAGAGCTTCGAGACTTGGCACATGTGGAAAATCGCACTTTGACACATGGATCAGAGCATTTTTCTAGCAAAAGTTGAGGCGAATGTCACAGAAATTGTAAACGACTTTCAAGAAAGAGAAAGTGTCAATGAGAGCTGTAATGCCCTACGCAAGTTGATTATAGATATATATCATGTTTAGCAATAATTCGGGGTTTCGTCTCTCGTAACTCATTATCAGCTCCTCAAGAACTCCAGAGGAGCATCTCCCTTCCTCCATCACGAACCATCACTACCCCTCCTCTCCACAAGTTCCAACCTCCTGAACATCCCCACATGCCCAATCCCTTCCTCCTCCCACTCCCCCATCCCCTCATCCCTTTCAAACCCCCACTTCGCCCACACCCTCTCAACCTGCACCTGAGCATGCACACACACCAGGCCCTTCCAAACCGGCACCTCGCCCGTGATCTCAGCAGCTATCTTATCCATGCCCATGGCTTTGATAGAAGGGTTGAAAAACGTCGGGTTCTCGAGAAGCCAAGTCAGTGCCGCGTTGACAAGCATCTTTGCTATGCCTGAGCCGCGGAATTCTTTTAGGAGGGCGAGGCGCCCGAGTTTGATGTAGGGTTCGATGCCGTTGTGGAAAGTGGTCGAGCGGTCGTTGATGTAGGGGGGCGGGTCGGTTGGGTCGGTGGTGGTGGAGGAGGAGGGATTGGGGCCGGTTTCGAGGGCGTCGGCGGTGTATTTTGAGCCGGGGGTTGGGTGAGGGGGATGGGGGAAGGGGACGAGGCGGATGGTGCCGATGGGGGTAGAGCGTGTGATGCTCTTTTTGCGAGTTATTATGTTGCCGGATGGGTCGGTGACTTCAGGATCAGTGACTGTGTTGATGGAGGCATATATCACCCTGGAAATCTAATTAGTAGACTGTATTTGATCATGGGGAAAGGATGACGACGAGGAGGAGGAGAGCAGGAGCGAGAAAGTGCAAAGGAAGGTGTACCAATGGCATGCTCTGTGATCGTCTGAATCGAATTCGTTCTCTATTGGGACACCTTGCTCTTCTACGAAAACTTGTTCACGAACTTCCATGGCATCGAGGAAGGTTTTGGGGATATTGTCTGGTTGTGAGGAGGATCGGTTCTTGGAGTCGTAGCCGGAGAGGTTGGAAGGCCCGAGGAAGGTTATGAATGGTGTGCCCATTTTAGCAGATATTGACTGGAGATTGGAAAACGATGTGTGGTGTTGTCTTGAGGAGATATGTAGGTGCTGGTGTTCTGTTGTCTCGTTTGCTGTTTGGACCGAAGAAGTCTCGAAATCTTCTAGTTTCCACTATTATGATACCCCGTCAATTCTAACGCCGCAAGTTTTGTTGTTCAAGTATTCGGATGTGTGTCTGCAAAGAGATTTGACAAGAAGGACACGATCTCTAGATAAGATGGTTGAAAGTTGTGGTTGACTTCAAGTTGAGTTAGTTATTCTTCGACCTGTTAATTTGTGTAGCAATATAGTCCGTTTTACCTTGACTTGCCTGTACCTATGGCAGCAATGTGTTTGGTTATTTTACCGACTCATTGCGTGGCAGATGACAGGAGGTCGTGATAGTGTCGATCGTCGATTGCGAGAGGATGGAGCGGCGAGCTGATGTATTCATTCACCCCACATCGAGCCATGGTGTCTTCGCCGCCAAGCCACAGATCCCAGCCTTACAGTAAAAAATAGCTCCCGTGTCGCCTTGTATTTCCGGCGCCCATATATTTTGGCCCACGGGATTGGAGCAAGTCGCAAAGTGTCCTTTTTGTTCGAGCAAGGATAGCTTTGGCATCAGTCCAATTCCTAATAATTTTGCGATCTGGCGCTTGGAAGTTGTGGACAGATCTATGTGGATATCCTAACTTCCATATAACCTTTGTCTTCCACCTTTCAAGGCAGTTTACTGCTCTCACTCATTTGGCAGTTTAAGACGCCAAACCTCCCCTCGAACCACACACCATGGTTTCGTTACGACTTTCCTCAAATAGAATGCTTTCTTCGCCTTTACTTTCAATATTATGTCTGTTCTACCTCTTCAGCTCTACCGCACTGGCTGCGTCTGCCGTATTAGGGGTGGATCTGGGCACCGAATACATCAAGGCCGCCCTTGTTAAGCCAGGAATTCCTCTAGACATTGTCCTCACGAAAGACTCCCGACGGAAAGAGACATCTGCCGTGGCATTTAAGCCTGCGAAGAACATTAAGAGCGGGGAATTCCCTGAACGAGTCTATGGATCCGACGCCGTAGCTTTAGCTGCTCGATTTCCTGGCGATGTATACCCAAATCTCAAGAGACTCTTGGGTCTTGCTACGGACAATTCGGTGGTACAGGAATATGCTTTAAGGCATCCTGCATTGAAGTTGGAGGCGGATAAGACGAGAGGAACAGCTGCTTTTCGAAGTGGCGCATTCACAGCAGACGAGGAAGTATGGACGGTGGAGGAAATACTGGCTATGGAGCTCCAGAGCGTACAGAAGAACGCTGAAGCTTTAGCAGGAAAAGGAAGCAGTGTCAGAGATCTGGTCATTACAGTTCCTCCATTCTTTTCGGCAGAGGAGAAGAGGGCTGTGATTCTGGCAGCAGATTTAGCTGGTCTCAGAGTGTTGGAGCTGATCAGTGACGGACTGGCGGTCGGTGTTAACTATGCCACATCCCGAACCTTTAAAAGTGTAAATGAGGGTGGAAAGGCAGAGTACCATATGGTTTTTGATATGGGTGCGGGATCAACAAAGGCATCAATCTTGAAGTTTCAAGGCCGAACAGTAAAGGACGTCGGAAAGTTCAACAAGACAATTCAGGAGGTTCAGGTCGTGGGCAGTGGATGGGATAGAACTCTTGGTGGTGATGCGCTCAATGCTGTTCTTGTGGATGATATGATTGCACAATTTGTTGCTTCACCAGCAGCTAAGAGCATTGCGCCAACCGTCGAGGCAGTCCAAGGTCATGGCCGCGCAGCAGCAAAATTGTGGAAGGAAGCCGAGAGATTAAGACAGATTCTCAGCGCAAACCAGAACACCCAATCAGGATTTGAGGGTCTCTATGAGGATATTGATTTCCGATACAAGATCACTCGCGAAGCTTTCGAGAAGTTGACCGAGTCTCATGCCGCGCGTGTCAGCGCAACCATGCAAAAGGCCTTGGACATGGCCGGGCTCGAGATCCAAGATATCGACTCGGTCATTCTCCACGGTGGAGCTATCCGAACCCCATTCGTCCAGAAGGAGCTCGAGAAATTTATCGGGAACCCAGACAAGATCCGCACTAATGTCAACTCAGACGAGGCAGCCGTTTTTGGTGCTGGATTTAGAGGTGCTGGATTGAGCCCATCTTTCAGAGTCAAGGAGATCCGTGCCGCTGAAGGAGCTGCCTATGCCGCCGGTGTAAAATGGACCAACATCTACGAAAAGCCGCAACACCAAAGACTTTGGCAGCCAACATCCTTCCAAGGAGCCGTCAAGCAATACTCATTCAAGAACCAGCACGACCCTTTTACTCTCGAGTTTTACCAGCATGTCGGATCCGCCGAGAATGTTTCACCTGGCAGTGCGGAGAAGGTCCTTTTGACTCTTACAACCCAAAACTTGACCGAGTCGGTAACGCAACTCAAGGAAAAGTTCAGCTGCACTGATGGTGATATCAATGTCAAGTTGAGCACTCGCCTGTCTCCCAGTAACGGTGAGCTTGAAGTCCTCAAGCTTATTGTCGATTGTGAGGTTCAGAATGGTGCTGAAGAAAAGGAGAGCATGGTTGATAGCGTCAAGGGCCTCTTCGGCTTTGGCAAGAAAGACCAGGCTCCACTGTCTGCGGAAGAGGAAGCTGCCGAATCCAGCTCCAGTGTGTCCGAGTCCGCCGATGCTTCAAGCAGTACATCCACAAGTGCTTCGTCATCTTCCGCATCGGCATCTTCATCTGCGAAGGATGCCAAACCAACCATCACCAAGCGAATGGAAGTTATCCCGTTGAAATATACGAAAGTCCGAGGAGGTCTTCCACAATTGCCCACGTCTGAGATTACTCGAATGAAAGAGCGCCTAGCCTCATTTGCCGATTCGGATCGGTCCCGTGGACTTCGAGAGGAATCTCTTAACCAGCTTGAAGGCTTCACCTACAAGGCTCGTGATCTCCTTGAGGACGAAGAATTCATTGCGGCTTCTACTAGCGAGGAGAGAGCGAGCCTGGAGGCGAAGTCCAAAGCCGCAAGTGACTGGATCTATTCTGGCGGTGCAGAGGCAAGCCGCGATGAGCTCAAGGCTAAGCTCAAGGAGATGAAAGACATTGTCACTCCAATTGAGATCCGCAAGTCAGAAGCTGTTGCACGACCAGCAGCTCTAAAAGCACTCCAAGATGCCCTCAATCAAACGCAGACGGTCATCAAGGGTATTTCTGAGCAAATCGCTAATGATACTAAGAACCACGAAGCTTTCAGCTCATCCAAGTTAGCCGCAGCGTCGGCGAAGGTTACTCCATCCCCAGTTGCGGACGACTTCGCCGACCTCGAGGATGATGAGTCCACGTCAACGACCTCTGCTCCTATTGAAGAAGAGACCTTGGACCCTCCTACATACCGGGAAGCGGATTTGATTGTTCCACAGGATCTTTACGATACCATCTCTGCATGGTTGGCAGAGAAGCTGCCACAGCAGGAGAAGCTTGGCCCCACCGATGACCCTATTCTTCTCTCCAAAGACTTGACTGCGAAGGCAAAGCAACTCACTGATAACCACGTGGAGCTTATCCTGAAGAGCATGAAGCAACCCTACAAGTCAAGCCGACCGACTCCAAAGAAGGCGAAGAAGCCAAAAGCGAAGAAGACCAAGAAGAGCGGAACAAAGACTGGGTCAGCTGAGAAGGCCGAAAAGACGCTTGACTTCAATGAGAAGGGCCAGCCCTCGTTCAAGATCGGCGAAGATGGCGAGTTACCAAGCGAGGAGGAGATTATGGACTTCATCAAAAAGAGTCAAGCCGAGAACGCTGCTAGAGAAGCAGCCGATGGCACCACAAAAGAGGACACCGACGAGAAAAAGGTGCATGATGAGTTGTGATATAGACTTTTGGAGTATTTAGCATTTGCAGCGAACGTTGTACAATACAACTCGTTTCCCACTACTTTGATTTGCATTCCTCCTTTCCAACGTTTGCGCTGCAGTTGTACATTTTCATTTCCTCGCAAGATATGACCAGATGGAGTGATCGCCAGCGTGCATACAGTTGTCCCCATCGACTTCTTGTTGCATTACACTGAAACGACAAACTATCCACTGCTCTGCGTTGATCGATTCTGCATCGTCAACGCACAACAAGTTTCCGTGGCAATAGAATGCAGGGGCGTTCATGCCGTCATGCCGCACATGCATGTTTTGTTTACCCGAGCCCCCTCTTCAAAAATCGGGAATATGCATTCCAGACTTCATCCACAACGGGGAGCTTCCCAAGTATCGATTTCTGCAGCGGTTGTTTGGCAAGCCAATACTACGAATCGTATGTTCCATTAGTACGGGAAACCAAATGAAATCAAGGAATGGTACTGCGACTTCACGTTTCGTTCGGATATTGCCTGCAAAGCTGAAAGGTAGAGTTACGATGATATGGACTCGCATAGCAGGGAAAGCCATTCATCTCTCCATTATCCAATCACCGCACTCATCCACTATATCATCTCATCACTTCCTCAGCTGTCCTAAAGCTGGCAATCAAGCAGAGAGGAGCCGCATGATCATCTCATATGTTCCAAAGATTACCCAATAGTTTTCCGAGGACATCATCATGTCCCGGAAAGTCACCCGTCTATGGGCTCACGAGAAAGACTTCGAGGGCTGAAGAAAAAGCGGGATAAGCATAAAACTGTATTCGAACCACGACCCGAAAGCGAAGAAGGAGAATCAGGGCTTGATATACCAGCACAGTAATACCGCAAGGCTGACTGAGAAGCCAATAATATCGCCACGATCCTGACGTGCGAATCACACTCAGCTCACGTTATCTGCCACTACGCAGAAATTCTGCAAGCCCTGCGCCTGACAGCTCTTACTCCATGCTAGATTCAGGCTTCGAAGACCAATCACCATATATTATCGATAATGCAGAAGCCATACTGGACGGCTGAACTGTACTTGCGGACGGATGTTGCATGATTGTGATTGCCTCGCATCAACGATTTTCCAGACCTCGCTTACAGTATCTGATTGGGCTGTCGATTGGGGTTTCACAGGCCTGGAATTTCAGCCAGTTGAGTCGTTTTTCCGTTTTCAGGGTGATAGCCTTGCAGGGAGCCCGCGGAATGAGAGTTGTTGGTGATGGTCATTAGATCTGGTGGAGGTGTCAAGACACAACCAAGCAATGCGACACTTTGAATTGCCAACCAAAGACAGCTAAGCACAGACAGTAACAGACGAAACCGGAGCCGTACACATTAAGCATCGGTCTGTTGGCTGATAAGCCCATTGCCAAACATTTCGGAGGCGAGGCTTATCGTTGGTAAAGGCCACAAGGCTTTTTCGCTTCCAAGAACCCAAGTCTTTGTGCAAGAGGCCGGCAGTCGACCCTTCACAGCCTCAAATCACCAAGACAGGCTACCGAACCATGTAGTTGTTCTCCCCACACTACCAGCTTTCAAAGTCTTTTGGCACCTGCTATCGCGGTACGCTCGAACACTGCAAGTGCTGTGAGTTTGGGATTGAGGCAGCTTAGCGAGGCGGAGCTTTGCTCTCGTTCATGCACATCCACAGGGGAGGCCACCACCCCAGCAGTTCATCCGCACAGACACTCCACACCAACTCAGCAACTCACAGGGGTGTTTACAAGCAAATCAAAAGCAGGCGGCTTGTCTATTTTCAGCTCCACGGACAACCCAACCGCTACTGAGCAGGAAGCGGCATGGCATGCCTCAACATCGATCCCACGCATTCCTTCTCCTGTTGCATGGCACCTACTGCACAGCAACATACCCGCTTTCGTACCTTCTGATGCAAGCTTTCCTTATGAAGAAGTTCTACGGTTCATATATAAGCTTGCTAGGCATGTGCATTTATCCGTGAACATCATGCAGCACTAGTTTTTCTACCGCAGCTCTCTATTTCCTTTATTTCATATTTTGATTTTTCCGCTTTTGTATCATTAACCCATGAGAGAAACTCATATATGGCAAGCTATAGCTACAAGTGACTGTCAAGCTTGAGCTTAAGCTCAAGCTCAAGCATAATTTGAAAAACTAGTATATGCACAAATATGGACAACACAGGCGAAGGAGAACGAGACAGAGCTGTCAACAGGACAATGGACACCGCCCGAGGACATGACCGGGACGAACTCTTTATGGATGTCATAGAGATACAGCCAGCACCCCCATCTCCTATCCAAGAGAGCCGCACGCACTCGAAGTTACATTCGACAGGCCTTTCTGAATCACAAAATCTACTCCCAAGTAGTCCGAAGAAACTATCCCAGTATTCGGCGACGGCAAAGGATCTTCGACTCGATAGACCAATTGAAAAACTGAAGTTTGAAGGAGCAGGTGGCATCAAAGGTGGCTTTAGAGTGAGAGGTGGTCCGGCTTGGAGCGGAGTACCGCAGACGCTGAGAAAGAGTAGGATGGAATGGTGGAGGAGTATCACGGTCGATGTTTTGGCTGTTGGAGCTTCATTTCCGTTCTTTGCTCTTGCTGGAACTTTGATTTGGTTCAATGGAGAGGAAGCCGAGGCTGCCAAGAAGAATATTTTGGAGCAGTGTATCAAAGGAGTAAGCATAATGAATGATATTAGCATTGCAGCTTGAGGCTAACTTCGACAGGCAGCAACGTTGTTTCCCCTTTGTTTCTCAGTTGTGGTTGGGAGGGCTATGGTCAAGTTTGCTTCTTGGAATCTGGAAAAGGGAGCGTCTCTTGGACTTCTGGAGCGACTAGTGGGAAGTCGAACCGTGGGTGGAACAATAATCACGCAAGCCAGGCTGCGCTCCATCACCCTCGTAAGCTTTGTCTTGGTACTGCTGTGGTTATTATCGCCCCTTGGATCACAGTCCATTCTACGAATACTTTCTACGTCAACAAAAACTAGCACCCTCGACGCGGAAACTTCATACAGCAATTCTAGGCAAGCGAGTCGAGCCAGCACTGCATCCTCATTCTCGGGTTTTGCTGCTATGTTTAGTTCAGCATTAGTCACACCAGACCAATTAAAGAACAGCTCGATGGACATCTGGGGCAATGTCAGAATACCGCTTTTCGCCAGCCTTTCGAACATCGGGCCAGATGAGAATGGCTGGCGACAAATTCCTAGAAACAACTATACTCCGGCGTACACTTCTCTGTTTGGTATTCCAATTGCAACATTGCCCGTTGGAAACACGACTCTCAACCTGGAGTCGACTTATATGCAGCTTGACTGTTCCAACATCACTTCTCAGGTCGTTCGCGGCTCTAGTGTCTTCACCGATCCGGGACTTATTTCTTCTAGTGGTCCATTTAATTCGAGCCAGATCATTTCAGCTAATACTACATGGGCAATGGGATATGTCGGAGAAGACGTTACCTCACTCCTCCCCAACCCATCGATCCAAAGTCTCGACAGCCTGCCCTCCGACCTAGCTTCAAAGACATTTCTCCCGGGTCTCTTCCTATACCAAGACTTCACTGGTCGTCAGAATGTCACATCCGTCTACTGTATTCCGTCACAAGTCTACGTCGAGTCAGCTATTCGCTGCGACAAATCGTCCGCTAGCAAACAGGCCGATTGTGCAGTCGCAGCACAACGGCTATCTCTGCTACCACACATGCCAACAGCACTGACATCTTTCGCAATGTTGTCGACTTTTCTGAATCTTACTTCACTGCTCCCCGTGTCAACACCGGCAGCAAACAATATCGACATTGTGCAAAATTACCTTATCAACCCCTTTTCAAACGCCTATATCCAATCCACACCAAGTGTCTCGCAAGCTTCTCTTTCCACTAATAGCACTAATGCAAACGAAACTGAAAGCCGCCTCCTATCAGTTACCCTCGAAAACATCAGCCACCGCCTTAGCCAAATAATTAACACTTTCATCCAAGGTACTCTCCCCAATGCCCCTTCCTACCTCAAACACGACATATCAGTGGGCCCTGCGTCTATAGCGGCAAACACATCCACACTTCTCTCCGCTCAGATCTCTGCCTTAGCTCCAACCCTCACCGTCCCATCCAAACTCCTCACCCTCACATCCGTCTTGAGCATTTCTTGGGTCTGGACGTCCCTCTTCCTCTTCAGCACACTCATCATGCTCCTCGCGGCGCTCTTCTCGGAATTCTTCTCGCGCCGAACACTCACCCGCGACTATCTCAGCGGCGTATCGAGTCTATGCCGCGAGTCTCAGTATGTCTCGTTTCCTGCTGGGGGAGTAGGCCTGGATGGGTTGGAGAGGAGTCGCTTGTGCCAGAATTTAAGGATCAAGCTGGGGGACTTGGGGGATGTGGAGGGTGGGTGTGAGGTTGGGACGGGGGTTGCGGTCAGTGTTGGGTCGCTGGGGATTGGGAATGAGGAGATGGTGATTGAGTTGGATAAGAGGAAGCTTTATTTGTGAAGAAAATGAGAGGAGTGGTTGTGATGTTTAGATAATGAGAAATATAATACTCCCTAATGATAAGAACGATTATCCAATACTGCTCAAATGTCTTGCTGTCTACGCCAGTCTTGGGGAATGTAAATTCTCGACACCTGGGATCAAATGTTTTCATTCATTAAATCGTGCCCTCGCTTAATTCAGGCTCTAAAGTTTAGGAATCTGGCGCTGTACGAGCGTCCGTCTCAGGCTGCAAACTACCCCGCACCTAACTAAGTTCCAGGGCGTGGACGCTACTTTCAGCGCCTTTGGTGGGCCTGAATGTCACAGGATTCCTTGTGGCTTGTTGCAACTTGTTCTTCCAACAAGATCCATAACTCTGACCAGCCAGAAACAAATTATAGAATTATAAAGTCCTCAAATATTACCATGGCTTCGAAAAATAGAGGGCCCTTACTTGGTAAAAGTCACAAGTGAGAGGCTTCATTTGATTATGATATTGTACGTACTTTAAATTGGAGGTCTAACTTTTATGTGTGGCCATGTATGCTGGGCAGAGGAGAACCGTCCGTTCAAAGGAACCAAATCCCTCGCCCAGGCAGCATGAACCTAAATATGTTTGTAAAGTAGCAATATTTATCTTGAAGTGTAACCATGTCGATGTTGAATCTTGAAATTTTAAACTCCCCTCCCATGGCGAATAGAAATATGTGTCCTTCAATCAGAATCATCGCCGTCTGAATCCTCTTCGTCTGTATCGTCTTCGGGATCAGACTCCTCGGTCTGCTCGTCGTGCTCCTCGGCAGCTGACTCTGATTCTGATTCTTTGGTCTCGACTTCCTTGGTCTCCTTGTTGTTGACAGATTCGATCTTCGTTCGTCCATTCTTGTCTATAATAATTCAGCTGTTAATCAATACACTTGGAGAGTAGGAACAAACCGGTGAAGACCCGACCAAACAGCTTGGCCATCTCAAGCTTTGTGATTTTTGACTTCATCATTCCATCGATCATAGCGATCTTCTCTTCTTGCACTAACTAAATGTAAGACACGTGGAGAGGATTCACGGGAATTTTTACTCACACTCTAGAATTCTTTGATCGACTGAGTCGGCCATAATCAGTCTGGTGAAGTACGTCTCCTTCTGCTGGCCTATCCTGTACACTCGGCAGAATGCCTGTCGTTCGCTATGGAGCCTTAGCACGGACTTCAGTGGTGAAATCCAAAAAATTTACATACGAGCAGTAATTCCACCATGGATCACTAGAATGCGTAAGTACGACCAGGGTGAACACAAGTACCAGAATTGCTTGGGAACATACAGAGAAATAACCCTATTTGCAGACTCAAGGTTCAATCCCTCTCCAGCTGTCTTTAGTGTCGCAACCATTATTTGGATGGACGGATCGGATGCAAATTGCTCTGTTGCTTTCTCACGACGAGTTAAGCTCATGTCGCCCTACCATACGTTAAGCGAGAACCTCAATTGTTGGATGTGTCATACTGTGAAATATACAAAGCCGACTTTTCTTTCATTCAAAACTCGGCCAATGACTCCAGCGAACCCTCTCCATTGCGTGAAAATAATATGCTTGTCTTCAGGCGCCTCGACCATCCATGTGCGTATCTGACTTTCGAGAGCCGTAAGTTTGGTGCTTGGGGGCATCTTCGAGCGTCCGGCATCATATTCATGGAGCCAAAGCATGTGGACTTGTGGTGGAAGGTTTCCCAGCGAATCCTCTCCATTATGTATTGGCTTCTTCGACGATTCCTTTTTCGCCTTTTTGGACTTGCTTGAGGACTTCTTGCCGGATGCAACACGTTTCAGAGATGTAATTTCGTATGCCCGGTGGCATTCTGGACAGTGTGGCAGCTGGGAAATGTGAGTACAATACGAAGTTGTTGGATACAAGACTGACATCTTCTCCTTCAGAAACAGCGCAATGAGCATCATTCTCGATGCAAGATTTGCAGAATTTGTGTCTACATCCGGGGATAAAATGGGGATCCTCAGCAAAGTCGCCACAGAACAAGCAGATGCAACCATCTGAGTCCTGGTTATTGTTCTCAACCTTTCCACCTTTCTTGTGCTTGACGAGGATTCCAAATCCTAATGAAAGTCAATTTCATGCTGTAATCATATTTTCTTGGCTCCTTTAACTTACGGCGACAGATCAAGTCTCGGGGCTCCTGAAGATCAACGAGCCGCTTGTGGATAGCCTCTAGTTCTTCGAGGTTGAATATTTCCTTGAATACAGTTAGCAAGACTCTCTCAATATCAACACGTGATAGAATAGACCTTAATGTCATTCTCAATCAAGAGCGGATGTGCGGTCATCCTAGTAGCAAGTCAGCCACGTGAGCTGATTATCTCGCAAAGTTATCAGGTTGAAACTGACTGCCGGAGGCGGTTCAATCCCACGAGCATCATTCCAAGGTTGTTCTCCTCATCATCCTGCATTTCTGATAAGCTATTGTCGTCATGATCTTCTGATGAGTCGTCATCATCTGAGTTGTCCTGCCCACATCCGCCTTTGCTCTGAACGGAGTCGTCGTCCTCGGTTTTGGTTTTGCCATCTTCCTCCAATTGCTCATTCATGACTTTGATGTACTTTGCTTCAACTGCACGGTAGATGATCTCCTCCTGTGGACTGAAGACCAACCCCTGGTCGCGGATATGAGTGTTCGGGAGGTAAACAATAGGCCGACCCAGAAACTCTTCATCCATCGATCGACTATAGCAGCTTCTTGTCAGTGCTGATTCATCGTTTCCGCGTGTTGAATATTAAAGACCGAAGCATTAATCTGGAGAGAACACTATCAAGTCTTTCCAGGCTCTCTGGTTTCTGTTTAGTTTGAGAAGTCAGAGAATTTTCCCAAACTTTGTTCACGAAGTGTATTACCTACCTTTTTGATGGAACCAAAATTTGATTTGAACCTTAATATTGGAATCAATTAATGGTCATAACAAGCTTGACTTGAACTCACATGGGAAAGTTCTGGGCGCCTGGCTCTCTGAAGAAGCGAAAGTACGCGTAGAATTCTGTGCAGTGTTATGTGGAGCTCAATTCAAAAGAAGCTACGGTGGTAATCACCTTCAGGATTGTTCATTATGGGTGTCTATGGACAGTTAGTAGCGCCGTTCGGGAAGAGACTCCACTCAGACTTACCCCACTTAGTGTCCATCTGTGTTTGCCTCGCAATGCGTTTACGGCATAAGACAGCTGACTTTCATGCGATTTGATTTTGTGCTTCACAATAGTGTCAGATCAAGCAGCAATTATCGTTAAATTCACTTACAGACTCATCGATCACAATCTGTTACGAGAAGTTAGTTTTGGAGCATCTTCAACGTATACAAACGGATAACGCTGTGCATGGTCGATGTATTGAGGTGATCTGATAGTGGACTTGAGAATTGGACGTACACGATACCAGTCAATTTGATGCAAGTCCCCGTAGAGCTCAGTGTGTCGAGAAATCCATTCTTCGATCAGGGAGCAGTCATCATGTTCTACCATCTGGCCCTTGCCGCAGTCACCTTCCTTTCGTTTCAACTTCGCAAGCTTTGCTTTGCCCGGAAAAGGGCAGCTGTTGGTCACCTCACCGTAAGACGCGAATACAACATCACAACGGGCTATGAAACCAAGGTCCTCTCTCTTCTTGGCCTGGTATATTGTGACGTTTTTGAATAATCTTTCAGCGGCGTGCTTCCGTAATTCTGACTTCCATTGAGCAAGCTACCTCTTGATCAGTAAACTCTCTGGCATTTCACAACCCTTCTTACCAGTGTTGACCCCGCAATGATCAATGTTCCTCGTTGGTCCTTCTTCCTTTCGGATTTGATTGGAGGATTTGCTACCATGGTTGCAATGGTTTGAACTGTCTTACCCAAGCCCTATCTAGTGTTAGCTGCAAATCTAGACCATAAACGTAGGAAATCTTGCCATTGAATCACAAAGCATTCCACCTTTTGATGGGTCATCGGACCTCTCCCTATGATACATCCAGGCAAGCCCGATAGCTTGGTGATTGAGGAGAGCTGTTGTGAATTAGTAAAAATAAACACAGAGTTAGGAGCCTGCTAAATACCGCTGTTCATATTATTCATCAACCATTTCCCATCCTTCGGTTTTATTTTTTTGCCGAAAACGTTAACAGCTGCCTTGAGTGCCTCAAGATCTGATTTGTTTCGTTTGGCGTCACTAGTCTTTGGACAACTGCGAAGTATCTCCTGCAATAGCTTGGCCTTTGTCACAGACTTCAATGCGGGTGCTTTGTCCTTGCCTGCTTCTCGATCTCGAACTTTCAGTGGGTTAAAGCCCTTCAATATCTTGAGGAAGCTGGACTCGTTTTCGGGATCGTTTCCGCGGTCGCCAGACTGATTCTGATTCAAAATGTGGCTCAGATTTCGAATTGAAGATACACGGCTGATGGCTTCAGGCATTGGGAACCCGCTGGTGTAACTGCTTTGTCCTGATCTTCCAATGATCTGGAATTTGAATGGTGGCTGAGATGTATGCTCATATGCGGTGGTAGAACATGCTGATGCTTGGTTTTGAAGCCCGTTCTGGTGAGTATAGTTTTGCCAGAATTCGCTGTCCACGTGTGTTAGTAAATAGAACGCAATCATACACAGGGGTGAAGCTACTCATTGAAGGGTTTCTCAGACTCATCATCAGGGAATTTTCTTTTGCGAGTCAAAGCATAGCCAGGATATTCCTCTTCCTCCTTGACCACTGCGTCATCCGTATGTTTTGTGTACAGTACCATTTCGCCGACATGTTGTGAAACTGGCAGAAGTCCAGACTCGCACCCACCTACTGATGATACGTGAGCGTCAACGAGGGAGAATGTGGTTGAGGGAGAAAATCCGCAAGACTCTTCTTCCTGCTTAATCTTGTGGTCGAAAGATTCTACCTTGTGACAGGGCATTCTATTGGATATGAGTGCATCATTGACTGTATCCTCCGCTTTGATTATAGTCATTTCTGAGGCGGTTACTAGGCTGTCGCCAACGACATCAGTAGGCAGGTTTAACGGACTTCCAGGGCTGTCATCTCCCTTCGAATTGTCAATTCTGATATCCATTGTCTGCCGTTGAGCTTCATCGGAGTCTCGGGAATCTGCTGTAGCGATACTTCTCTCTTGTTGGTCTTCCTGCTCAGGAATGGGTGTAGGTGAGTCTTGCGATGATTCTGTGTTGATATCCATTGTGGCTCGTGCCTTCCCTAGATCAACTGGAGGGAAGTTAGTACGCAATGGAGAAGCGCAAGGTGAGAGTTTGGGTTGATTGCTGCAATTGTTGCAGCATAGATAGGAGACAAACAACAAACACTGTTGGAAAGTCAAATAGTCAAATAAGTAAAGGTGAGGGCGAACATACTGAGCATGACTGAACCTCAAATGCGTTGTTGTGTGAAAAAATGAAGACGTTGTAGAAGACGACCAGATTCTACTGACCACTTGAAGGAGGGATATATTCAAAGACAAGATAAGTTACTTGCAGCAGAGTGGTGGTGTGAAGTTCGTGGAACAAAGAGATCGTTGATGGGGTTGGATGAGGCGGAGGTGGTCGGTGGAGTGAATGAACGTTTTATAGGACGGAACGAGAAAAACCCAAGAAGGAAAGGAACTTCAAGAAGCTCAACACGAAGATTTGTCTCTAAGTGGGGTAATAGAATGACTTGAGGCAGGACCTACCTTAAAGGAGAACGCATGTTTGCCTTTGCTGAAGGAGGGAGAAGGGAGAGGTACTTCCCTGAAATTCTAATCGCGTACCGTCAACGAATTTTAAGCACTGTCAAGGTACCTAGGTCCCCTTTGCTTATTGTCTAAAACACTTTCAGTACTTGGATTTCACGTCTAGCTATTCCCAAAATCCAGCTTTGCCTTCAAAAACGGACATCTTGGAGTTGACAAGCACGTGACTTGTGGTTTGTTGACTTTGCTTGGATCAACTTGGCATCAATGAAATTGATGGAAAACGAGAACGAAAGTTAGACTTCTGTGAGCGCAAACAAGTCCTCAATTTTATCGATTTTCAAGCCGTATCTCGCATTGGGAGGACGCACCTGCACCTACATCCCCTGCTGTCACTTCTCGGACACAGGAAGAGAGAAACCCTGTAAAAGCAGGCAGCCAGCCGAAGAGTTGCTAACAACCAAGAGATAATATCAGACATTAGAATGTTCTTTATTCGTATCTGTCGCTGACTATTTCCACTGACTTTGTCATGTAGACCCTATGACTATCCGTTCCAACTGCAAGTCCAACATTTGGCCCAGTGTCTACAGTCGTGTGAATTCCCAAGTCCTCACTGTCATGAGATTTTACACCAAAGTCATCGTGAAAAGATAGTGTCCTCGTGCTCAATCTCTCACTCCCATTCTCGTTTCCACCTTGGCGCTCGCTTAATTCAACCAAGCTCCTCGTCGAACTATTCTTCTCCACTCGACTCCTTGGAAGCGAAAATGGCGTTCGATTTGTCACTGCTAGCGTACCTGTTACATTTGTCTCTCCGAAGGTCATCTTCAGGGAGGGAAAGAAGTATTCAAGCAAGGAGCGGCAAGCTGGTAGGCACGCGCAAATTATCCCGACGCTCATCTCTAAGTGCGAGTAGACAACAACTGGAGCTTGATCATCTAAGTGTGCGAATCAGTCAGTGTTCTTCCATTGTTCGAAGTACAATGTTCAACTCTGAAAATTGGCCTACATGACAAATCGTTCGAGCGATCTAGGTTCAACAGCGATGGCAGGCGCATGAAGCTGCAAACAAGTGCAATGGATCCAACCGAGAACATAATCATCAGATTCGCCTTCTTCTTCCAAGCAAGTTTGAGGTTCCAAACGGTCGGAACCGGAATGAGCAGAATCATGACACTCTGAATAATGCTGAAGACTGCTGCAGCCTCTAATGTTGCAAAGCCATTGATGCACTGAACAGGAGCCACTTTATACATCCAGTTGGTCCAGTACGCTCGAAGTGGAACCTATGTAAAGGAAAGCATCAGCCAGAAAGCCACATGTCAGGAAGTTTTGGTCTTACACATTGGAACGCCAGTGCCATCAAGATGGAGAAGTTGGACAAGAAAACGAAAAGTCCACTAATCCATGTTGCCTGACGAAGTCGTTTATCAGGGAAAATTCGGAGGAAGAATAGCAACAATGACAGCTTCGTCAGAGTGATGGTAATCATGTAGAATATCTCCACAACATAAAAGAATTTCCTCCCTGCAATAATTTGCTCAGAACTTAGCCAGTATGTATGTTGAGCGAAGCCATTTAGGACTAAACCCAGCGAAGTGCCAACTATAAAGTGGTGTCACCATCAGTGTTGTTTGTATAAATACATTCAAATATATGGTTGGTGAAGATGACAGGGATGCGGAGTGACAAATCATTGCTAGGAGGCGAAGAGAACATTGGGAGTACCTACCGTCAACAAAATAGGCTACACCAGCAACTACTATTGTCCAGTCGTCTGCCCCCAGCCCAAGATTCAACAGATTTCTTGCGACTATTCGACCTACGATAAAACAGGCCGTAAGGAACGGGACGATATAGTCCATCATAAGAACGTTATTCAAACGAGTCTTGTCTCTTTCGACTCCGCATGACGTAGCTGAGTATCTCTGTAATTGGAGTAGTTCTGGAATCGTGCTACATGCTGAATAGGCACATGATGAGACTGCACTTGTCAAATCGACACTGGTACATATGCAGGTCGTGTTGGAGGGGGAACCGCAGAATTTGGGAATGTAATCCGATAGGCAAGAAAGCTAAAGTACTGGTCAGTTGATCATTCGATCCAATGTTAAGTCGGATTTCTGGCACTCACCGAACAGTTTGGAGCGGCTGCAACCGTTTCTCTTTCGAAGATAAACGCCGAGGCAGAACTGCCTTCAATGCAGCAGCATTGAAGTAAGAAACATAACAGGACAATTGGCCACATACCTCCTCGGCCTCTCTAAAAGAATGACCGCCTCGACACAAGGAGTGAAAAGGAAGAAATAAAAGGACGAACGAAAGTTTGCGCAATATGTAAGACATGGTGATGAGCCATGGCATCACGTCAGTTCAAGATACTGCCACTCGAGGACCACAGATAGAAAAGCTTCTTCTCCACTTCAGGGGAAGAGCTAAATTTCCGGGTTATTGGATCTTGGTAAGAACCAAAGTTTCAGCGGGTGTTCACTATCCGCGATAGCTCAAACGTGCTGCACGATAGCGCGGCTTAGAGGAGAAAGATAAGATCCAACGGGTGGCACAGACGGACATTTTATGACATAGCCATTGCCATTTAATGTTTCAAGACCGTCATCTTCAGAAAAATAGCTATAAAAGACTATCAGTGCTCTGACCAGTATACTGGTTGGTTATGCAGACTCATGAGTTCTGGGGATTGAGGCCATGGCATATCTTCGGTGAGCATTCATGAACCTGACTCGGCATATACTCAAATCCTTACCAGTAAAAACAGACCTCAGAACATTTCTCCCAGATTTGAGAGTAGAGTACTTCCTGGTAATGATTGGACCTATCAGAGATACAAAATAAGAAAAAGAAGGCACTTAGGTTCGGCACCGAGTGCTTCTATTCCCACATTTATTTCAAAAACGTGCAGCCATAACCGCCAGTCATTGACTTAAAGTTAAACTCTCACCTGAACCATGTAATCTTGGTCATTCTTCGGGAGATACTCTATTGCACGCACCACTCTATCCACCGTGCTGGGAAAAACTCGGTCACAAGCATCGAGTTCTCCACAGCTGCGAAACTCTAATGGATGGCAGCGGACCGTTGCGAAAACCTTCAACAAAACAGTTTGAGCTTGTCTTCATAGGGTTAGTAGAATCTGGAAAACTTACTCGCTCCGGTTTCAGGTAAGACGTTTTGGTAGTCTAGGCCCCTTGGAACAGACTATCTGGGAATTTTTTCTGGATATCGTTGGTGAGTACCAAACCTATTTCACTTGGCACGGATATTCGGAATAGTGCAGGGTCCAGCATCCTTGTGGTTCAAGCTTATCTGGCATCCGAAAAGCTAGCTTCTTACTTTACCATCTGTTACTGACGTGTGTTACTGGATCAGATGTCACGTGGCTGGCATTGGAATGCCTTCAGTGCCTAAGACTCGCTAAAGGCCACCACCACAGATGAAATTCTGCAGATAGCTCTCATAATGTCCTTACTAACATAATCGGAATCAGCTAACTGCTTGTTCAATGTCTATATACCTAGTCTAAGGAATCAACTGTATAAAATATCCTTAGAGGAGAGTTAAATCCCTTGAACTGTACTTAGTGCTCAAATGAAACACATATTGTAAGAAGTTTTCAGATCCAAGGGTTTGACAAGATTGTTGATTCTCAGAATCTTCTGCTCAGGAATCACAAGTTCTAATGATGCGAAGGAGTCATCAACGCCAGATTTCTCAGCTCTCATGTAAACAAGGATCCCAGTAGCTACTCGCTTATTAACCCCAGGTATTTGGCCCTCGCTTGTTAGTAAACACCAACCATCATATCTCTCTCGTGAGACCCTTTCTTTTGGCCTCAAGCCTCTCTAATCCACTGTCATACTTATCCCCTTAACTGCTGTATTAAACACACTTGTAGTAAGATGCTATCCCCTCATCTGCCGTATCAAACACACCTGTAGCGAGACCCTGTAATTACGAAGTTAAGCGAAGAACACTAAATTTGAAATACTTTGTTGTCGTCCAGGCAGCCCTAGCACCTCGCTTCACGGCTGTACCCTGGAAATGTGTGTCTTCGGCAATTGAGGGGATAATAGTAACATTCTGAATATTAGGGCTCTTTCCAGCGCAGGCGAAGACCACGACTCGATGATGTTTGGGTCTTGAAGTCCAGCACAGCCAGAAGCCACAGCACCTCTGGTGCCCCAAGGGCCCCCAGCGCACTTGACTCACAGACATATTTTGAAAGATCAATTAAGAATTTATGTTGCATTTGACACGAACGATTAATCATTGGCCAAAAACCTGTTTTCATCGCAATATTCTGATGGAGAGCAAGAAAAATAATCAATTCTATAGTGCGCCAACCTATGAGTGTGCAGGAAACCTTGTCCCAAAACCGTACATCCAGCTAGATAGAGAGCTTTTCAAATCCCGAAATCACCCTACAATTCATCATGGTCTCCTTTCTCACCCTTTACTTGTCTGAATCGATAAACCTTTGCCGAATGCCTCTCAACAACAACATCCCACTGGCCCTTAGGTTCCACAACACCAACCTTCTTGCCGAACAGCCTCTCATCGCCCTTTTCCAAACCCTCCTTATACGAAATCTCGCTCGCTTTATACCAGTTCTGTTCCTTCAGAACTGCACTTCTCTTCGAATCATCCTCAGCCTCAAGGATAGCCTGCGCATGAGCATCGCTCATGCGATCAGCCCACAAGTCCCAGACCTCCCACGCTTCCTTGACTTGAGGCGCAGAGCCACCTGGTCCAGAAGGTGTGAAGATCTCTTTAAGCGAAGCGCTCATCTCGAGGTCTTCGTTCGCAGCGTTGAGGAGAATGACGACTTGGTCGCCGTTTGCGAGCTTCCCGCTCCAGATGTGCGTCTCGCCAATGCCGTACTCATCCTTGGGAACGCTGGTATTGCGAGCAACTCTGGTAGCGGACCGACCGTGGGGGTCTTGAGAAAGAGCAATGATGGCCGGGTTATTAACGATAGATAGCGCAGATGGTGACATGATTCTGAGATCATTCCCCAGCATGAGTGGTGACTTGAGAGCAGCCCAGAGTGCGAAATGGGCTTTGTACTCTTCGTCAGTCATGCCTCCTTGGCCGACCTCGAGCATGTCGAGATCACTCCAGCCGCCTGGAATACTGCGATCGGCGAATGGAGCAACCTTGTTGAGGATGAATAGAACGGAACAGTGAGTTCCTGGAGCAATGCAGAATGGATCCGCGGGGTTGTTCGTATCGCAGGCGCAGAGAGCATCTGGGCGTGTGAAGGAGTCGTAGATATCTCCTGACATGCGCCATGCGTTTGCAATGGACATTCCCCACTATCCTGAATTAGTTTATGATCTGTCATGAGGCACATGGGAGAACTTACTGTGTGGACATAGTCCTCTCCCCAATTACAGAGGCTCAAGGCGATGTTTCGGCCAGTCTTGTTCAGCGCATCGGCCATAACCTTGAAGCGATTGAATGAGATCTGTGGAGTCCCCATACGACCCATGTGGTAGCAGTTGTCGTACTTCAAGAAATCAACACCCCAGTTGGCGAAGTTCTCGGCATCCTTCGTTTCGTGATCAAGTGATCCAGCTGATGAGTTGTCAGTGAAGTGCAGCAACTCGAGCTTCTGAAATACTAACCAAATCTTGCACAGGTCATCTCTCCCGCACTTGAGTACATTCCAAACTTGAATCCAACACTGTGGAGTTCGTCTGAGACGTGCTTCATACCACGAGGGAACTTCTCCTTGTCGGCTGTGACATAGCCATCGTCGCCACGAGGAGCTTGCCAGCAATCATCCAAAACCACGTGATCATAGCCCAGGTCTTGAAGACCCAAGTCAATCAGCTTCTTCGATGTACTGAGTAGCAAGTCTTCGGAAACATTGCAAGCGAGAGAATTCCAGTTGTTCCATCCCATTGGAGGGGTAATGGCAAGACCATTGTTTACGGCCTGAGCCACGTGAAAGAGCGAAACGGCGGCAGCAAGGACATAAGCTGAGCGAACCATATTGACGATGCTTCTTCTTTGCTTTTCTCATCCTCAGAATCGGAAGCTTCCTCTTACTTTTATATTTTGCATCCACGAGATCGTCACTCGCTTGAGACGGGTCCACGCCAAGTCAGATACTGGATCTGTAGGCGGAAAGCCAAGAGTTCGGCCCCTAGCCTGCATTAGGCTCTCGGAGTGGAGGGAATGACCTCTCGTTTTCCATTTCCGCGAGATTTCCGCCGCTAGTAATTGTGGAGGAGGTGGATTTTGGAGCGCCACTTTTGTTGACTTGTTGCATGGCGTTCGTGAAAATGGAGAATTGCTGGCGGTTTTGCGGGGTTTGACTCAAGAATGCATGGCCGAAAGCTGTAGGAGCGGGATTGAAGAGCGCCTTGCCGGGTGGTTTAAAATTGACGCGATGTCATCTTTAGTTGACATATACAAATATTGTTCTGAACACTGTCTGAAGGTCAAACAGCTATTTCATTTAAAGCACTGGACCAAGTCAGTTCAGAAGAAGGCCTTCAAGATCCAGTATTTTGACAAAGGATGTCGGATCCTCTCATCACAGCAACGACACAAGCTGTCGTCCTTGGATCGCTGTCCAACGTCCTCGCTCAAGCTTTCTCGGCATATGAATCACAGGTACGGCATTGAACCTCGAATGTAAAGTCTTGGCATTCAAAACTGACAGCGAAATTTGCAGAAGCTCTTCAGTTTCGATGTGGTCGATATACTCCGCTGTGCAGTTCTCGGAGCGGTTGTGACCCCACCAAATTTCTTATGGCAGAACTTTCTCGAGAGAAAATTCCCCTCCAAGAAGGAAATCCCAAAAGAGTTGACGAAGAAACATGATACGACTGAAAGCAGCGAAGTTCGGCTAAGCAAATCGAATACCGTCGCAAAGTTCTTTCTTGACCAAACAATCGGTTGCTGGATCAATACACTGGTGTTCCTCCTGCTATTTGGCTTCTTGAAGGGTAAAGGGGCGTTGGAGATTGAGAATGAGGTGAAGACAGTAAGCTTCACATATCCTGGCAAAGTTATCCTTTATTCTAAAGTTTTTCAGGGTTTTTGGTCCATGGTTCTGTCCTCGTATCGATTCTGGCCTCTGGTGACATTGACAAACCTGATCCTGGTCCCTCCGAGTCAACGCATTTTGGTTGGAAATTTGGCTGGCCTGGTGTGGGGTATCTTTGTGAACCTGGTAATGGTGGGGTGAAGCTTGAAGCTCAGCACAAGAGAGCAAGCACTAGGTAGTAAATACTCCTAGTCTTGTTTCTGAGAAGCCCCAAAATTATATCGTCCAAAGCGTTCAGTTAAAAGTTCAGTACAGAATTGAAGAATTATAGACTATGCAATGTACTCCAGTTCATTCGTGACATTAAAGATCAAAACCCTGAGTGAGACCTGCCAAAGTCCACAGGGGACTTTGGACATCAGGTTCTTTTTCCTCCACCTCTTTGGCAAACTCGACCAGAAATCTTAACATCCAGCGATCAAGTACGAAACTAGTGTCCATAGACTTCCGACATGTATCGTGGAAAGCTCTTAGTCGGTTCATAGCTCTACTCAGCGTGGACCAGTATTGCTTCAAGTGAAGAAGAATGCCAAAATTGCGTTCGAGCCTGGCGCGTGAGACGGCGATACGATTCTCATCAGACGAAAAGAGGAGGGTGTGGATCTGTACAGTCGATGCAATGACAAGTACATGTGCCACCATCGTGTAAAGCACATCAGAGTTAGGAGTTTCGAAGGCGCGATAGATCATTTCGCAGAGCCGGGCAGCGTGATGCTTGCATTTCTCTGCGTAAAGGTCGGCTGATGGGATCGAGCTGTAGGGCTCAACATGAAGAAATTGATAAAACAGAAGCTGTCCGAAATGATAATAACCCAAATAGACCGCAGCAAAATATCGTCCAAGACCATGGGATGCGAACCAAGCGAAGTTCTCTGGTGTATCTCTCATAATGTCTGGTAGTGCCTCATACCAGTCATCTAGTCGTTTGCTCAATTCTTCAACAGCGTCTTCCAACTGAACACCTTCCAGATGTTCCTGTACGCATTTCTCATTGAAGTTGTTGATGGCAAGTAAAATCCGATTCAATTTGATCATCTCAGCAAGAATAGGTGATGATCGATCAGAACCTGGTGATACGAGTGGCATGTCATTCCCAAGAGAAAGATATTGTAACTCGTCTGTTGGTAGCGGAATATCGAGATTGGGCATGAGTTTAGGAAGCTTGACGGCTGTTGATGACCAGACGTCAACCATACAGAGAGATGATAGCACTGCGAGGTCAGCGAACGAAACTTGGTATGAGAAAGCTACGAACCGCGGATATTGATCTCATGTTCAAGCTGGCTGGATGCCACGCGATTTGGGAGGTCCAAGAGTTGAGCCCTGGGTCACAAAAAGACATCAGCTTTGACACAACTATAATCCGAGGAATAGAAACAAAGTCTGAGCGTAGATTCTTGCAGATGATCGACGAACTTGGGCATCTCAAGCACTCACATCCGACAACCAATGCCATAGTACACATTTTCCGTCACATCATCCCCATCTGCGATGTACGCCGCTCCAAGAAGCACACAGGCTTGGATTGTTGTGAGCGATGCTCTACTGATTTGCAGAAGACTCTCTCCTTTTGCTATAAACGCAGATCCTCGTTCAGCTGGCGGCTTCCCACCAAAAAATGGATCGGTCGAAAATCTAGAGGGTCAGATATGCATACAGTGAAACAGTGGAGAATCCCAACAGACCTCGCCGAGAGTGCAAATATTGGATACAACAAAACGTTCTCTACTCGATCTTCGGCCACCGCAGCAAGGAAGCTGGGAGGATGGAACAAAGTATGGAACTGGTTGTGAATATAATCAAAATACAACTGCACCAGCTCTAGCCGCAGAGCAAGTTGGGGATACGCTCTATCCGCATCTTGAGCACCATCTTGAGCATCAAGACGACTCTCAAGCTGACGGCTCTCGGATACCAGAGCAGACTGATGATAGTAACCTCCCACAGGGGGTTTCTGGATGCATTTGATATGCCGAGCAATGCAATGGGAGCAATCCCGTTGGCCTTCAACAATCTTACATTTACGTCGACGGTTCCTGAATAATGACTGTCAGATGCGTATCTCGATTCCAAATAAGATTTCGTACCGGCAGGCTTCACATGCTGTTGGCTTCCTCATCGCTTCGGAATACTTACTCCCTGGTCATTTGAAGAAGGAGAGATATGCATAAACCAGGGCTCAACTGCCAATTCGAGTCATAGAAAAGTTTTCCGACAGTTTTCCACTCCAAAGTTTACAGGCATCGAGCTGTGATCTGGGGTGTGGAGGCTAGGTTGCTGTGCTAACATCCGAGGATGTGGTGATGGGGACAGATGAGGGGAAAGGCGGAAATCAAGCCCGCCGCTACTGTAGAACGCTGCCCCCTCTGTTGGACGAAGATTTACATGGCCTTGAGAACACAAAAACCAATCGATTAAACACTCTATTATTATATCTACAACTATGTTAAGGAACACTGTTTTGAAGCAAGCTTTAGAAATAGCTAATGGACATATCTATGTCCTAGTTTTATTTCAGTACATCTGGTGTAACGATTTATTTCACGGAATTGAGTGCCTCGATCGGCCACCTTTTTCTCCGCCCAACAGCCCCTCGCCAAGAATCGGGTCAACATCGGACTTTCTCCACCAACAGCTGAAATTCTCGCTTCCCAGTCTTTTCTTGATACAACACCGTCTTGGTAAATCTTGGTATTTTGGTGATGAAAAAGCTCCACGTGTCGATGGATGATCCAATTTGCGGCTCATGTTTAGTTACAGCTTATGAGTAATTACAATGCCAATCAAGAAGAAAGATCAATCCCGACGCCATGCTTCCTCAGCCCTTTTGATAGATCTCCGTGTGAAGACACCACATCCTCAAGTCTCTACGAGCAGCTTGCAATCTTGAATGTAACCCACCCATTGAGAGCAGTGGGTCAGTCTCCCACTTAAATAATCGTACAAATGTTCACATGACGTCTGAAACAGTTCCAGAGAGGCTGTAGCGCTCTGGTCTCCAACCATCACCATGTTGCGACTGCTTTCTACGGTTAACAAGTCTGCTTTAGGAAAGCTTGGCCGTCATTCGACTTTTCAAGGACTCCACGAAGCCATACCGCCTTTAGTTCAATACTAGCGCTTGTTTTCGCCCCGTGGGGCGGAGATGTTTTCCACCATCACGTCGCCACGCGGTACACCCCGCAGATGCTAACCTGCTCAATGAAGAACTCTTGGCTCAATGAGAAAGGAACTTGGCTGGCGATGGACATTCGAACTGGCCTTTTGTGGGGACTTATATAAGGAGCCGGTTCGCCCATCGTTTTTCAATAAGTTGCATTGGTGGCTCAAACACTTTTCGCGCATCTTTTCGTGCACCGCAATCATGGACTCAACGACTTCTCCTCCAGCTTCCTCAGAGCCAAAGATTCCTTCCCCCGCAACCATTGGTGTGGAATCCACTGGTAATCAGGCAAATGAAGCGACTCATGCCATTCAACTCGAGCGAGATCTCTCGTTGAGAGACACTTTCAAGCTCTACCCAAGAGCCATCATGTTCTCCTTCGTCATATCCCTTGCCGTCATTATGGAAGGCTACGACACCAATCTCATGGGTAATTTCTACCCTTACCCGTCATTCAAGAATCGCTTCGGCGATGAAGTTGATCCCGAAGGCGGAATGTTGGTTTCGGCAAAGTGGCAGACAATCATCGGCAACTCTACCCAGGTATGCATTAGTCGATCAACTACATAGGACTCACTAATGGAACTTCCAGGTTGGGTCTATCCTTGGTCTTTTCCTCAATGGTATCGTCTCAGAACGTTTTGGGTACAGAATGACTATGATCTACTCCATGGTAGCTCTCATTGGTACAATTTTCATCCCATTCTTTGCCACGAGCCTGGAGATGTTTGTCGCCGCCGGAATTCTCCAAGGACTGCCCTGGGGTATTTTTCAGACCCTAGCGGTGACATATGCTGCCGACATTTGTCCAACGTCACTTCGAGCGTATATGACTTCAGTAAGTAAACATGAACTGTCACGTGATTTACACACCCGATACTCTCTCCCTCAGGACTGCTTCAATGACTGACTATTTGCTATTCAGTGGATTAACATGTGCTGGGTCATCGGTCAATTGATTTCATCCGGCATGCTTCGAGGACTTCTCAATCGTACAGACGAGTGGGGATACAAAATTCCCTTCGCCGTACAATGGGTCTGGCCAATTCCCATCATGATAGGGACATTCCTTGCCCCAGAGTCACCCTGGTGGCTCATACGAAAAGGTCGTAATGAAGAGGCCAAGAGCGCTCTTCTTACTCTCACCACTCGGAACTCCGGCGTCGAATTCGACGTCGACGCCCAAGTATCCATGATGGCAGTCACGAATCGGTTCGAGATCGAGTCCAGCTCTGGTGCACACTACTGGGACTGCTTCCGAGGAACAGATCGCCGCCGTACAGAGATTGCTATGATGGTCTGGCTCACTCAGGCGTTCTGCGGTATTCCGTTCATGAGCTTCAGCACACAATTCTACCTTCGCGCTGGCCTCAACAACGAGGATGCATACAGCATGAACATCGGTCAGACTGCTCTTGGATTGGTTGGATGTCTGATTGCGTGGTGGTTGATGACCAAATGTGGACGCCGAACTCTGTACGTGTGGGGTTTGACTGCCATGTTCGTGCTCTTGATGGCCATCGGATTCTGCGGCCTCAAACCCAATGCTGGCTCGGCATGGGCAGCCGGCTCACTCCTCCTCGTCTTCCTCTTCGTGTTCCAGCTATCCGTCGGACCCACTTGCTATTCTCTCGTTGCTGAGATCCCATCAACTCGTCTCCGTATCAAGACTGTCGCCCTCGCACGAGCAATGTACAATGCAGGTGGTTTCATCAACAATGCATTGATGCCACAAATGATGGGACTTAATGCGTGGAACTGGGGAGCGAAAGCTGGATTCTTCTGGGCTGGAATTGATGCTTTGTTCTTGGTCTGGGTATTCTTCCGCTTGCCTGAGCCTAAGGGTCTTACTTATTCCGAACTTGATCTTCTCTTCGAGCACGGCGTTGGGGCTAGAGGATTCTCGCAGAGTGCGGCTGATCTTTTGAAGCCGGTGCTGCAGGATGTCGGAGTTGTCGATGAGAAGGTGACGGCAGTGCATGTTGAATAGAGGTAGATATGACATACTTCATGCAGGCTCTTATCATGAATGAAACCCGGTAATAGACATCATACTAGCATATCTAAATGTATTGTAATAATTACGATACTTCAAGTCAGCTGTTTGCCTAACGGAGAAATTCCGCGACTTGGCAGACTTTCATCGTCGGTCGAGTTGAGAGAAAATGTAAGTCTCCCACATGGTGAACGCAACATCTACAGCATATTATCTCAGACTAATGCATGACTGAACGCGTAGGATAATTGGAATAATTATGCCAAGGACCAAGAATGCGCTGGCCAATGTTTTCCTTGTCAGAAGCAGACCCCTCTATTTAGTTTCCTAAACTCCTGATATCCAGCCACGTCTATGTTGCCAAGTCTTCTCCAACTCCACGGAATGTAATGATATTACGAAACAAAGAGAACGTCTTATGTAGAATAAATCAAAATACGGTTCGCAGCACCACAAAACTGGGTCGCGTTCCCACTGCAGAATATCTTCGAGCAATCCGTGAGCGGCGCTATGGTTGTGGTCGTCACAGCGTTATCGCAATAACACTGTGTTCCAAACTCGACACCAGCTTTCGAATATCCTTTAGCCGCACACGTCGTGGAACATTTCTCTACCGTCATTGCAGAATTGAGAGTTGTGGTATAGCCTTGAAGAATTCTTCCCGTGCCCGTCCCATCCACCAGACAGCCCTGCAGTGAATAAGCACCGGAATTTTGGACAAACCCTGGATAGTCAAAGTCTGTTTGGTTGTAAATTGATAGGCGTGATGGACCTCCGCAGATTTCGCTTGAGTTTCCTACACATGGGACAGTGCATCCCGTACGGCCAAGGGTGGCCCCGTTGCTGAGAGCAAGCCCACAGAAACATTGGTTACCGTTTTCGAGACCTGCAAGTGCGTAGTGTTTTTGAAAGCAATATCTTTGGCAGGTGGATGCATCCATTGTGCTGTTGTAGAGTAGGATGCCCGTTAGAGCGCGGGTAGCACTCGTATCGTTCGCGCATCCGGCATAAGCCCAAGGCTGCGCAAGAGAAGTCGGTGATACTGAGGGAGCACTTGAGGATGTTGAAGATAATGACGCTGAACTTGATGTAGTTTCCCGAACGGTACTCGAGAAAGTCATGGTCTCAAGGGGCTCCTTCGAGGAAGAAGTAGGTGTTGGATCCGATAGGGAACTCGACGAGCTTGACGATGATGATAAAACGCTCGAAGATTGAGACGTTGTCTCCACTGCTGAGGTTGAGCTTGAGCTTGAGCTGCTTGAAGCCTGCGCTGTGGTCGAATTTGAGATCTCAGTTATACTCGAGGACGTGGATGTTGATACTGATGTTGTAGAGCTTATCTGAGTCGCGATGCTTGTACTATCAGACGAGATTGTCGATTGTGCAGAAGTCGAAGAAGACGATACAACGCTTGAAATTACGTTCGCCGTGAGTTGGTAAAGCGTCAAACCACTGCTTCCTCCACATATCTCCATCTTGTTTCCCGGACAAAGCATTTTACACCTACCATCTGTGGCGGCGAAACTCCCAAAACTCAGCACATTGCCACAATAACCTGGATGACCATTAGCGAGAATCTTCTGAAAATCAGAGATTTACTTACACTCTGCACCGTACTCGACACCGAAATAGTTATAGCCAGTACAATTTCCCATACAAAACTCCAAAGTCATATCCTTAGTTGACGACTTCTTCATGCCTACAAGGGTTCGGATTGTTGTATTATCAGACCGACAGTCCTTATAAGTGTAGCTTCCAATCACTGCTGGAATAGAGGGACCAGTAGGTACTGGTATGGCTGATGATGCCTTGGAGAATATGTCGGAGGATGAGGAGGTAGGAGTTGCGGTGCCGCTTCCACTACTTTGGGACGACAAGGCGCTAGAACTGCTGGAGGTCCCCGAGCTCGTCGTTGTTTGAGTTGATACAAGAGAAGAAGTCGCTGAAGATGAACTCAACGTAGCTGGCGTTTGTGTCTTGCTCGTGAGGGTTGAAGAAGCCGACGGAACTGATGACGAAACGGTCCTGGAGCTTGATGCTGAACTTGTGCTGCCGGATACTGTGGAGGCAGAACTTGTAGACCCAATCATCTGGCGTGTTGCTGGATCGAACTTCAAAGAATCGTAGTACAGGGCAAGGAACCCTCCGTTACCACCACACCATTGGGACGAATCTCCAGGGCATGCATAATTGGCACATTTGAGATCTGCCACTTGAAGGGAGACAGATGGAATGACAGCTCCACTCCAGCACTGCGTCTTGAACTCTGTTCCAGCGAATGGAGAGCCTGCCGTCAAAGCTTGTTCTTGACAAAGCCCGTTGGTATTAGCTGCATTGTTGATCATCTTGGTCTCGATGCGAGCAGCATTATTATCAACAAAACATCCTAACCACCTGAATCGTGAGCTACCATCCGGTAAAAGTGGACCAACACGGGCAGGAGCCAGAGTGCCTGTAAAATTGACGACGTGCACACCCCATGTAAGATCATTTGTGTTGAGGGTCCATGCTGCAGAGTAAGTGATCGGATCTGCATTCAGCGCTCCTGAATTTGGCTTGAAGTAAACGACAGCACTCAAATTCTTCCCTGGGGCTATAGTAAGACCTTCAGAGAAATCTGTATTAGGATTTGCAGCTCCCAGAATAACGCCCTCAGGCGGCTTCGACTTCGTGATCTCAAGGTTGGAGCCGCCATTGTTGGTGAAGCGAACAGTTTGAAGAATGGTACCAGCGGTGCTGAGAGTTCCAATGTCCACCTGAGTAGTACAACCTTCTGAAGGGATGGGGCAGTTTGGGACGGTAATCCATCCACCCTCGTTGGTTGATTGCTCCAGAAGCGCAACTGGAACAGTTGACGCTGTGCCAGCAAGAATTATGTATCTAGTCCCACCAGTGGTGAATACAGTCAGAATACTGTAAAAGCTTCCAGTAGCTGTTGTGTCAAAAGTAATCCCAACGGTCAACGACTCGCCCGGATTGAAAACAGCACCTAGTGCCGGAAGGCCTTGGGCGTTGAAATAACCTTTGGCGTCCAGATTCGTTGGAGACCCCAAGGTAACGTTAGTGTAAACTGTGCTACTGCTGTCCACACTGAATGCGTACCCCAAAATTGTCATTTCTGCTTGACCAGTGTTCTGGATGATGAATGTAGATGACGAGCCTCCTTCCGAAGCAGATGAGCCAATGACAATGCCATTGAACGTTACTTGAAGGGGGCTGATTGACAGCCATGGATTTGGACTGACGATTGTTCCGGTCAAACCAATTGACTGCTGGCTTGAGTATCCAGCAATCGCGTTCTTGGTGTAGATAAACATAGCAGAGGACAAGACTCCTGGAGATACAGTGGGAGAGCTAGTGCTACCACTGGTCAAGACGTAGCTGCTCAGATTGAAGCTGACAGGGAATGAAAATCTTGCTCCGGCTGCCAGAGCTCCTTGAGGTAGCGAAGAATTTAGCGCTGTATACATAGTTTTTCCGATAGTGAGCCCCTGTATCTTTGTAATGGCGATGAGCGAAGTACAAGAAATTGTCATTGTTTTCGTGGTTCCGATCGCAACGGAGCCGAACTCGACTGGTGATGTGCAGTTTAATGGGACTGCAACGGGTGCTCCGTAACCCATTATTTGCCCATTGAAGCCAGTGACATAATATCGCCCATTACCGAAGGAAACTCGCGAGAATTTCGTCATTCCATATGCTGCTGAGATCGGAATTCTGATCATCTTGCCATCAACGGGAACTGCATAATAAGCCCGGACCCCATTGGTATCCATGATCCACAGAATCGCTGTTCCAGGTTGATTGTCATATGTTGTGATAGTTGGAGGGCCAGTCCCCACCGAACCGGCTGTGTTTTCGTCCGTTTGCGCTACAAGAGTGAAGCTTGGTCGGCCATTGGTATCGAAGCCTAATGAATAGACATATGTAGGATTTCCGACGGGCGTTACGTAGAGAAAGCCACCCTCGAGTGGGTAGGTTCCGGTATTTGCAAAGATTGCACCGCCACCTAGTTCTTGTCAGAGGCTGATCAAATGAACGTTGAGACATTAGTTCCATACCTGGTGGTGTCAAAGTCTGCACAAGTGCATCCGCGCCTGAAGCCATCTTGTAGCCGCCAAGGTTGTCCGCGTTCGCTATGAAGCATTGTCCATTCTTTCCACAGCTGATAGCAAGTCTGTTGACGCCACCTCCAGAGAATACAGACGGATCTGGCAGGACCACACCACCAGAGCCCAAGTCACGGTCTCCGCCATCCATGGAGAGATATGTCGCCGGTTCGAAGTAGTCTTGTTGAGTGAGAGAGCCATTTGCTCCGACAGCAAGGTTGACCATGCACTCCGAGAGAGTACTTAAGTACGTACGACCCGACGAAGGCAGAGCTTGGTTGACACCACCTGCCCTGCCATTTCCTGTAGCAAAGAAAAGTCGTCCCGAGTTATCAGAGGCGAGGGCAGCACCTCCCATCCAAATCCCTGCCGCTCCACCACCACCAGTCCAAGTACCATCCTGCGGTCGTGAACCAGGACCAGCGGACGTGGAATAAGCTGAAAGGAACTTCCCTTGGGTGCTCATTCCAACGACCCAGCCGGTGTAGTTGTACACTATGCGACTTAGAATCCAATTCTTTTCAATGACATGCCGAACAGTCTTGGTGCAAACTTACTGTCGCAATGAGAACCAAAGCCCGCAAATATCACACCGTTTACCATATTGAGTGCAGGTCTTTGCATGTGGATACCTCCATGAAACATGCGGGTAGGGTCATTATCAGCTGGATGCCAGAGATATTAGCAAGTATTGGTTGCATCGTGGAATAGTTTGTGTACCTGTAATCCCTTGAATGTTTGTGGGGAACCCAGGTTTTTCTGCAAGAGTAACAGCATCAATTGCATGAAACCGATAGGCACCGTTTATCCATCCAGTTTGGCCACCATCGAGATAACTCTTCGCCCAGAAGTAGACAGTGTCGGTCTCAGGATCGATGATCGGCGTCCCAATGATTCCAACATACTGACCAACGTCGTTGCACTGATTGAGATCAGTCACTTTGAAAGGTATCTCACCTTCCAAGGACAAATCTCGAGTCTTCAGCAAAGTGCCGTTAACTGCATCGAGTGAGTAGATCCTATTGGCTTTAGAGAATGTCAAAACGATTTGGCGACTGGTTCCGCGCGGAGTATAAACCAAAGGTTTGGCGTAGAACTGGTCTTGGGGGCTTCCCGCTGGAATTGCAGCCTTGTATTGCCACAACTGGCCAAATCCACCTCCGGTAACAACATTTGGGTCCATCTTGTGGTTCGGCAGATAGCCAGACTGCGCTGAATCTGGAAGCAAGGTATCTCAGTATGAGATCGCGATTGGCTGTCTCAATTTACATACCTCCGTCCATCAGCGAATCGGTTGGGTGCATTGCCAAAACAAAAAGCAATGGGCAAGCAGCCCATGCTGCCAGAAAGATAACTGGGAACTTCATAGCTGGTGGTCGTAATTAATCCTCTATGAAAGTGAGTGAAGTCCGAGCATTTGCACTTGCAAAGAGAGTGACAAGAGTGCAAAGCTGGAGAAGGAAAAATCACGGTGGCATGGCACACTTCACTTTTGAACAAAACTACACCTCCTGTCTCCTGCTTACGTCGTAACAATTCGTCGACATGCAATAATTGTTGTGGCTTTTCAGGCCCCACGAGTTGTTCAGTTTGCTTCTTTTCGAGAAACTGACAGGCACTTCAATTGGGTCAATACAAGATCAGCGTGGCTCAAAGTAGAAGGCTGCCATGCAGTCGGGATACATCCAGACATGATCCGTACTTTCGACCATTCACACCACTGATGGGATTGTTTCGCCCACGCGCATTGGGATCCCACGGCCCGGCCAATTATTGAGGCACTCGTTCCTCAATTGGTGTGACCTCGCTTCCCCCTGACTGTGGCTTCTGAGGCTGAGATTGTCTTCGCGGTCCAGCCCACGAGAAAATGATAGATATGAAAACCCAACTTTTCGACGCAGGTATGAAATTAGAGTACACCAGCGATATCAACGATCTTTGGAAGCGAAAGACAAGTCGCGAGTACACATCTGCAAGTCTGGAACGGGACGCGACAGGAGCAACTAAGCCGCAACGACCACCGGAAGGAAGATGGCCACGGTGATATTGGACAGCTTTCTTAAATCAACTGAACATTGCGCGCGTACGTGAAAGCCTAGACCTCACCAATTGTGGGTGCAAAAACTAAGACAGGTTTCGACACGTATGAATTGATCATCTCCAAAGTTCGCGGCAAGGGACCAGCATCGCCAAGTCCCAAAATGCGCTTTCAGCTCCACAAGGACGCTGACACGGGCGATGCCAATATTTATGCACCCTTCTCTCGCTTCGAGAACGCTAAAGCTCGTGACAGCAGCACTCAAGGAAAAGGGGCTCGGCTAAAATGTCATGTGATGTTGAGAGTCATGTTCTGAAACCCTGGCCCATCATACAGCCTCCGTCTCAACAGCATTCTTGGCGTTAGAGACTTGCCACAAGGTTCAATGCGTTCGTCCCAACACCATCAAGTGCTGGCCACAAAGTCAAGACATGGGATGACAGATTCGGCGATCTTAAGCCTGCCCACGACAGATCCCGGTAGTCTGATATATCCGGCAGAATCAACTTCGTCTCATCCACAAAAACATGACTTGGAAGTAGGTCATCGCCTGTCACAGCATGGCTGATCATTTATTTAGCAGTATCATCCATTCTTGGATCCATTTATCGCCTTCCATAAGTAAGGTCCCGTCCTCCACCATTTTACAATATTCGTTCCATTCCATATCATTCAATCACTACAAACAAGTTCTGCGAACTTTTTCCATTCTCTTAAATACTTCTTTATTTATACCGCGAGCCGGTCTTTATCTATTATCACCTTCGAAAAGAAACAACTCCCTCACTTAAACATCAAACCCACTCTTTCAAACACTCGCCAAAATGCAGTTCAAGGCTCTCCTCCTCTTCACCATCACCGCCATCACGGCTACCGCTGCAACTGTTCCAGTCAGTGCCAGACAAGCCGGTGCCGACTTCGGTGACTGCACTCCTACCATCGATTTCCAACTTGGCCGTGCCGGACGCAAGGCTACCGAGGGTACTTTCTTGCCCACCGACGCTCTCGTCGCCAAGGGTCAACAAGATGCCCTGAACCCCAACATCATCACCAACCGTGTTTGCGATCAACTCACCAACGTTTGCAACGCCAACGATGCCGCTGTTGCTCTTTGTGAGGATGCCCAGGCACAGGTCGCTGCTGCCGGAACAAAGGATGCTTCGACTGCTGCTCTTTTCAACTCGGCGCTTGGATTTTAAGCTGTTGGTTGAATTGCGTGGAGATTGGGAGAGTTGGGGTGGACGGACATATGCATGAGGAATGGAAACGTCATGGAGTCGGGAGGTTTGGGTAGGCACCCAATGGTTAGGTCACGATAGAACACTTATCAAAGGAATTGTCGTGTCTCTAACTTTTTATATTTTGAGAAACAAGTGATGCCAGGTCTTACTTGTAAATGGTACCAATTTAAATATCTTGAAAGAGTCCAGAAATGCAGCAGAGGTTCATGTTTTGCCTCGTCAACAAAGCCCTGGGATGTTGTTGTTGCTGCCCCTTGTAAACTTTCAAAGCAGTAAGCGAATGCATGCTCGCATGCTCTAGCAGTTCCGCGATGGTCGTGCTTCTTGGGCCCGGGTGATGCTGAGTCCATGCAATATGACCATTCTTCATCTTGGTACTTCTGATCAAATTCAACTTTGACCACAATCATGATCGCATCATTGAGTTTGGATAGTCAGTTGCCGCTTCATCATGCATATGGTACTCACAGGCTCACAGCGAATATCGGGGGCTTCAAGAAATGCCTCGCTTGCAACTCCGTCTGATGCAGAAGTCAAGTACGGCAACCCGCCACTTGATCACTTCACATGCTTTATTGACTACCTTAAGAGCTCCGAGATGTTATCGTAACTCCCCTACGGCAGAATGACTACATCTTAGTCCTAACTTCTGTGATAAACAAGCGGAAGATTGTCTGTTTCCAACCCAGAAACGTTTATATTGGTCTCCAATATCATGGCATAGTCTTCAGCACCGACTCAACAGATACGATGCCGCCTGGTATAAGTGGTTCTTTTAGGGTCGACACCTACCTCTCACGCAGCTAAAATGCCTCTGTTCGATATGTTAACAAAAGATCTTGGAAAGACGCCCTGAAGCGGTACATTCTCGACCGGGGCTTGGAATTTGAGACTCGAGAGGAGAGATTGCTCTTTGAAGTTTGCGCCAAAGATCTATATCAATTGGGTCTTGGTTAGACTGTGCGTGATGGCTTGGGGTGATCGTTGGACTGATGCTATGTTTTACGTTGCGGGTAAAGTCATCTTCAAGTTCGTAGAGACAAAGCGCTGAGGCTGAGTGAGACTACTGGCTCTGAACATCATCGGATCCTGCTTTTACTATTTTGACCCGCATAAATCTTAATGAACTTGCAGCAGTGGTATCATTCATCGATGAGCTCAGTTTTCTGTTCGAGCCACGATTTGAGAATCCTCTGTAGATGCATGATACCATCAACCTGCATGAAGATTCTGGAAAATCAGACGGCAGATAAATCAAGGAGCATATCGATGGCTTCAAGAAGAAGTGGAAGGACGCAAGCGCCAAGGATCACTCTGGAAAGAAAGTTTGTGATGAGTCCAAAGTCGAACACATACCTGTAGTGAAGTATAAGGCGTTGTTGAGAAAGCCCCGTGTCGGTGATGCAACATAGCCTGGGCCGGACAGGACTGGCATTCTCAGGAGCGGGCCGGTCAAGCTGGTGGTTCACCAAAGCACTCCTCGTTGGTAGTTCATGGGAAAGAGCAGTACATCAAGCATGAATCTTCGGCCCTCTTCTATGCTATTCTGATTTTTCACGGGAGTAGGGTTATGAATTTGTCGTTTTGGGTGGGGGTATCTGGTTCTTCTTTGGCAGACCAGGATGCAAAACTTTGCAAACAGTGGACTAAGTGATGGTCCGAGACACAAAAGATAGACTGAATGCATCCAAATGGGAGTGGAAATAACGGAATACACGGCTTTTTGACCACTTTTGCCTTGTCTTCCTCAAGGCTTGAACTTGTTCTCATAACTGCGTTACTGGTCCACATGCACTCGATTTAAGTGCGTTGAATACGGATCAACAGTGGCAAGTTGTTCAGATTATCGTTGATGAGAACGAAACAGGATTCTAAAAGAACTCTTCAGAACAGAATTGTCCAGGGCCAATTCCATTTCCTCATACAGCGTGTTTTAAATGCAAATGGATTTATCAGAAAGTACATTAAATGTCGTTCATTCTGGCTGCTTTGAACAGTTCATAATGAAACTCTTGGAGATAATTTCTCGACAGTGTAACTGCAAACAAAGGAGACTGCGGGAAACTTTCCCTCCAGACTTACATTGATTGAGTTATGCCTTATCTTTGGATCAAGAGAGGTGCTAGAGAATCATTAAATGAAAACACAGCGCAGCCTGAAACTGAAATGAAATAACGTCGTACAAGTTTTCCGGCCTATTGAAGTGGACCTACCCCTCCATCACCCCGCGTCATCCATTCTCGGGGATCTGCACATGCGAGATGTGGCTGGTGCTGCGCAGCCAAGAAATCAGGGAAACAAGGAGAAGCCACCTCCACCTCCACCTCCACCTCCTCAAAGTCAATGACATGACCGAGTTCCGAGCATTTTGTGCAACACCAACTCGCATTTCATCGTCACCAACAAACCAAGTACCTATGTAATGTCCTGCACAAGTGCGGGGTAACAACTGCTGCCAATCCGGAATGTCATGATCTCGATATTACAGCCTCATCTTTTCGCGGGATCTGAGGATCTGCCCAGGGATGGCGCTGTGATCGAGCATCACTACCCCCTTGGCTTAGCTCAAAGCTGCTCACTGGCCACAAATCAGCTCCCATGACTGTCGGAACCAGCATTTCCCCCTCCTTCATGTGAATTCCATCTTCAGAGGACTGGCATTTGACGATTTTTGACAGAGTAGCGTATCGCCTACCGTGTCAGGGACAACATGGCCCAATGTGTGCGTTTTCTGACAGCAATGGCGCCATTTACTACTGCAACATTACGGCATCATGTTGGAATACTAGTATCGAGCTGTCCAAGGTGGTTAGCTCGACTGGTCAAGACTCAAGAGCTCTTGAGGTTCAGGGAACAGCTGACAGGGAGTGAGAGCTTGCTGTCCACTCAAGCTTACGCCACAAACGACATCATAGCTGCTCCGCTACCCCTCATGAGCTAGTGCTCTTTGTTCTTTATGTTGTGTACGCATTTCATATAGTTTCCTTCTCCCCACTGCAGTTTCCTCGTACACCATACCTGCTTTCTCATTTTTATCAGGTACACAGAATTCGAAATTGATACGAAGAAACGTTTGACTCGTTAAATTGTTGGTCCTCAAGAAGCAATCATCATGGAGAAGATCAAGAACATTCTGTATGTGCAGCTTTTCCATGTCTCTCACGTTCCATCAAAGTACCATCTTGGCGTGCTTGTATTACTGTCCATAGCTTTCCTAAGCTGCTAGAAGGGATCGTAAGCCCCTGGCCTATTCTGTTCTTTTCACGGGTCGGTTCAGTAATGTGCCTCATGTGGAGAAAATGTACTGGTTCAACGGCAATTGCTTTAAGGGTAACAGAAAATACAATTACTAACACCTAATTCTTCGTTATAGCAAACCTGGGAAATCTCACGACGATGAGGCTCTATATGGTGCGGAACAGTCAACAAAACATACTGGGGGTCTTACTGGCGAGGGAAGTCATCTCGGAGGCACAACAAACCCTTCTAGCACGACGAACCCTATTTCAACCAGCGGTCAACACAACACGGGCGTTGGAAACACATCTACTGGCTTAGGGAGTCAAAATGTTACCAGCGGCTCCGCTTTGGGAAACACTAGTGGTCAAACAAGTCAGTTGGGTCAACAATCAGGTCAAGGAAGCCACCTAGCAAGTGCCACCTCAGGCGGTCCAACTCATACCTCAGGAGTCACAACCACTACTACAACACAAACCCATACTGGCCAGTCCCACGCTGGCCAATTCCATGCCGATCAATCCCACGCTGGGAGAGATGCGGGGTTAGCTGGAGCTACTGCTGGCGGTATTGGACTTGCGCAGTAAGTATTCCTCCTCTCAGTCAGCATGTTATCTAATCAGTCTACAGTGACAGTCATGGACAGCAATCTGGACATGGCGCATATGGAACGACCAGTGGTCCTCACACATCTGACCTAGCCAACCGTGCAGACCCTCGAGTCGACTCGGATAACTCAAGATATCCCACCCAATCTAACCCACAAACTAATACACCCCAGGGAGGACTGGGCAATGCACAGATCGGCGGGGGTTCCAGTTCAATTGGTCAGTCTGCCCTTTCCAGCCTGACTGGAGGTTCGACTGGTTCTGCTGAGCAATCGGGACCTACACAATCTGGCTCGACACCTAGGCACATTCCTGGCGAGTGGATTGACGAGACTGACACGTCTCGTTATGCAGGAACAGGTGCATCAGATACCAACACGGGAGCAGGCAGTCACTTAGGACGAGATACCGCAGCCCTGGGCACAGCAGGTGCCGTTGGATCGGGGATTCATAGCCAGAGAGACACTGACCGCGGTCTTGCCTCCACGACTGGTTCGTCTAATTTGGCCCATGGTTCTCAAACCGGTCACGGTGTTGATTACGCAGGATCTCAACAAGGGACGAGTAATTCAGCGGATAATCATTTAGGTAGAGATGCTGCTCTGATCGGAGGTGCAGGTGCTGTAGGAACTGGTATTCATAGCCATCAAGATCGCACCCGCGACTCTGCTTACACTGGCCCTGGTTACACTGGCTCTGGTCAGACGACCACCCAGCACGCCAGCGGTTCTCATGGAGTAAGTGTTCTTTATTTGTCATGGAATATTTTCGACACATTGTTGTTCATATACTGACTTGCAAAGCCTCATTCCACTGATACCGCCAACCTTCTTGATCCATCCGTAAACACACGAGGTACGAGTGGTTATGAAGATGCTCATCACCATTCCCCAACCCAAGGAGGTGGTGCGGAAGAGGCCGATCACCACCATGGCCGAAACACTGCAATCGGTGCTGGTATCGGGAGCGCTGCAGCAGTTGGAGTAGCTCAGTAAGTCCTATTATGAATTCAGACTTTAACAATTATTTCAATGCTAATTTCTTTCTGTAGTCAGTATGGTCAACATCAGCATGATCGCGGCACTGGCGTTGGTGCAACTGGAGGCTCAGGTGTTGGACATTCTGCTGGGCTTGAATCAACGCAAGGAACGGGACTTGGAGCCTCAACAGGAGTATCTCAGTCCAGTACAGGTCCAGCACCACATACTGTTGGGCCTCATTCAAAAGACTGGCAAAACGTGGCTGATCCAAGAATCAATCCTAACAATGCGGCTGAACAAGCGTCACAGGCTCAGACCGGAACTCATCCCACCTCTGATTCAAGCGGACATCACTATGGACGAGAAGCGGCAATTGGGGCAGGCGCCGTAGGAGCGGGAGGTCTTGCAGGCAGGTACGTAATCTCCGACAGTTTGTAATTCCGTGTATCACTGGTTAACACCACTATAGCCAGTACCAGAGGCATCAAGCAGGAACAGATGCTGGAGCATCGAACCCCACAGGCGCTCATCAAACTTCGTCTGGCTTGACATCTGGACCAGCACCAAATACTGCGGGACCACATTCCTCGGACATGTTAAACAAGTTGGACCCTCGCATCACTGCGAATCCAACTGTTGCCCAAGGAAATCCTCAGGCTCAGTCCGTGTTGAGTCAGAGTGACAAGTCTCATGCAGCCACTGGCGGCTATGCTGCTCAGCCATCATCTTCAAATCAGAAAGATTATAATTATGGTAGGGACGCCGGGCTTGCTGGCGGAGCCACATCAGCTTTTGTAGGACATCATCAGGGCGAAAGCACTGACCCGGGTCGAGTACATGGCACTTCAGCAACATCTCAAGATCCTTACTCTAGCCAGCGCTCAACATTGGATCCGACTGCGGACCGTTCCAAAGACCACCATTACGGTCGGGATGCTGCAATTACAGGAGGAGCGGGTACAGCAGCGTACGCCGCTGGCAGACATCACAATCAGGGCGAAAGTGCGGATTCAAGCAGAGCCCACGGCGCCTCGACAGCTTCTCAAGACCCTTACTCTACAAGTTCTACTCAGCGATCGACAGTGGACCCTACCACAGATCGTTCCAAAGATCATCACTACGGTCGAGATGCTACTGTAGCTGGTGGTGCTGCAGGTATCGGAGGTGCAACCTATGAAGCAGACAAGCACAGCCGAGAGAAAGAGCTTGCCAAGGCACAAAGGGAGGCTGAGAAGGACCATAAACATGACGTGAAGCATGCAGAGAAGGATGATAAGCATCATGAGAAGAAAAAGGGTGGCTTTTTGTCATTCCTCCGTAAGTTCTCATAACCTCTAAGTATTTCTACCGTAAGCTAATCGAAACAGATCGTGACAAGAGTAAGAAGTATTCTGCTGAAGAGGAGGCCGAATTCGATCGCCAAGAACGTGAGCATCATGCGTCTCAATCCCACACGGGCCGAAATGCAGCTCTAGGCGGTGCAGCAGTCGCCGGAGCTGGAGCAGGCGGTAAGTTTATTTTTTCATAGTGCCCAATAATTTTCAAGACAATGAATCAATCCGGTGCTGATATAGAGTAGCTTATGCTGCCGGCCAACATCATGATGCCGACACTAACAAGTCTCTTCCAACTGCTCCAGGCAATCATGGTATTGGGACAGGAGAGGGTACTCAAAATGCCCTAGCCGGAGCTGGTCACACTTCTGGCATTCATCACGATGACCAGACCCATGGAACTCCACTTCCACTGAAACCTGCTGGAAAGGATATTGGCGATATGTTGCACGGTGTTGAGCGAAACCGAGGCGTCACTGGTGCTACTGGGTTCCCAGATCAGCCAGGTTTTGGTGACGGTACCACTGGCCATCAACATTCGGTTTCTGAAGCTACAACTGACCGTGACGGTCGTCCAATTGGATCCGGCACCACTGGGGCAGGCTATGGATCACAGCAGACTGGCCGCGAATTCCCCCTCGGTCGTTCCAAGCATGACTCTGAGTACACGGACAAGAATGCTCCTATCCATACCACATCGCATGGCCAATCTGACCACCATACCACTCGTAATGCCGCGGCTCTTGGAGGTGCTGGTCTTGTTGGAGAACACGAATACCGCAAGCACGACACTGCTACTGGTCATCAGTCTGGCTTGACTGGCTCGCAAGGACAGTCTGGCCTCTCTGGAAACCAGTTGTCAAGTGGATATCAAAGTGTTCTCGACCCAGGCCACCAAACAGGTACTTCTACTGGTCAACAAGATTACCGCCAACATGGTAACACGTCAGGATACCAAACTGGCCACAACACAACAGGACTCGGATCCAGCGGTCAACAAGATTATCGTCAACATGATACCACTTCAGCATATCAGCCTGGCCGCGAGACCAGCGGTCTCGGCTCCACTGGTCAACAAGACTACCGTCAACCCGGTATGTCTTCAGGATACCAAACTGGCCACGAGACAAGCGGACAAGGTTCAAGCGGGTACCATCACGACACAAACACAGGATCTTCAGGCCTGACAGGCTCCAAGACTTCCGACCTCAGCGGCAGGAACAGATTGCACAAGGATCCTCCATCCAGCCACCCTGCTGCTCAAGCATACTCGGGGGGCGATGATAAGGGAGCTCATGTTCCTGCTAGCGGAGCGGAGAGAGAACGTCTTCTGCAGCAGGGAAAGAGCGATCTTGATCGTGATACGGGGGTTGCGAATGCGCCGGGTAATTCTAGCACCAATTATTGATTGGTTAGTACTGTTGGAGCATGTATGATTTTACTTGGCTATTTCCTTGAGGATTTTGTACTGGGATTGTGGCTCGGATTCGGAAGGTATTTATGAAATGTAATGAGTATACGCAAAAGCCAAATGATATGTTCCTTTGAATGGCAATTTCACTTCATCGTCTATAATTGATTGCCGTAGATAAGACGGACTGAGGCGCTGGTTTCCCGTGCCCTTGTTCTGTCCCAGTTCGTGTATTCTCTTGAGTGCCATTTCTCGCATCAAAATGCGTTTTGTGTCACGCACTACTGCGTTATGTCGGTGACCGAAACTGGATCCCAAGAGAATTCGAAGTCTCTAAAATATCCCCACAGCAGTGAAGTCTGATGAGCAGCAGAAGGTGCAAACCTTGAATGTTTCACTATATGGAGATACGAAACTCCACATATCCTGTTCCTCCCTCGCTACCACCAACTTGCTCATGTTGTTTCCCATACAAAACATCTCTATCTCGCAACCAATGGAAAAGACACGACCCACAACCAGATCGTGCACCAAAAGAGTTCAACTCAATCAATGGACAACTCCGACTCTCCTCATCAAACAAGACATCGAACGTGAACCCTTGCTCCAGCAACAACTTATCCATTTCCCCTCCACCACCTTTCTCCACATCTGCCATAATCTCAGCATGAATCCGCAGACTCTCCTCCATAATCACCCCCACTACCCCATCAATCTCTCCTGGTACTTTACTGCTAAGAAAAGACGCCTTATGCCACTTATACTGCGACACAACCGTAATTCTCCCATCAGGCGGCGCGCAGAAAACACGGAACTCCTTCGCAGTATCCATCTTTGCGTTGTACGGTAAGAAAACCAGTTCAACGAATCCACCATTCTTCTCTTTCTGTCGAATCATGGCGTTCGTAGCGCGATGGCTAGTTGTCAAACGAAGAATGATCTGCTCTGCTGATTTCAGTGGTGCTGTGCCTTTGACGCCATCTTTTGGCGAGCATTCGTCTAGACGGAGGAAGAAGCCTTCGGGTGGGAAAGAGAGGGTCTCAAATGCGGATTTGAAGGTTGCAAGCTCTTCTGCGTAGAGACGGTTGAGCTCTCGGGTGTGTAATGAGGCTTGGGAGGCGTCGAGGATGAGTTGTGTTTGTGGTGGTGTGAGAGTCATGTGTTGTATGGATGCTGGTGGGATGGCTTGAGAACGGATTATGAGCGGGAGCCAGCGCAGGAATGATTGAGGTGTTTCTGAGGTAATTGGTAGACCGGGAGCTTCGAGTTCGGTGTGAAAGTTGCTATTGTAAGCTTCTGGATCGGAGTCCACGTCGTCGGACCGGATCTTGACCAGTTTCATGGTGGTTGGCATTCTCGAAAATTGTGTTTTGAACGAATAAGGATAGTGCAACTCAACCCCTTACCAAATGAAGCTCTATCTTCTGATCTGCCACCTCTAAGCGAGCCTTATGTCCAGCAATTCAGCTTCCTGATTCGGCGTGACTCACAAAGTCACGTGTGTTTTCTTTGCTCTTGACTTACCTAGCGAGGTTGTTTTGATTTGATGCGTGAAAGGGCAGTAACTCACCCAGTGTAACCAGGCAATGAAGCACTCACTGGAGACTGTTAGGGCAAAATCGATTGAAGGCCCTCCACCTTGTCGTGCGTGCATATGCATTGCACTTTCATCCGGCTATTCTTCCACGAGCAAGAAGCAATCTCAGCCTTTCGTACTTTGACGTTGAGACATCGACGGTGAGACTTCCCTCGTTGTGTTTATATATCTGTATGATTTCTCTTTCCCCCGTACAATTCTGCCAATCAGCTCCCTTCAGCCTTTCTCCTCCCGGCGGAAGCGAGAGTAAATAAATGTCCTCAGGTCACCCCGCACGCAGACAATTTTTTGATGAAAATCATCAACCCTGCGAAAGACCACTGGAGAATCAAGCCTATTTCTCAGCGCCGGCAGCCTCTTCTTGGGGATTTGATTTTCACCCACTTGGTGGCTCCATCGACTGTAGTTTTTATTCGTTCACGTGCCCCTCCATTCCCCACAGCAAATCAATTCGCCTCGCAGCATCAAAGGTAAACAAATACCCAGGGGCTGATAATACTTCATTTGATCGTCGTAAAGTAGAGAAATGGGAGATAGATGCTGATATTAATAATTTTACCATCTCCTCCGCCTTTAAACTAATCACAAACCAACCGTCCATTTAAATACAACTATACAATGCTACCTTGTATTTTCATTCATCTGATCAGATATCCAAGAACTCCCGCTATATGTCATCCCAGACCACCAAAATGCCAGAAATGCAAATAAATGTCGTAAACCAAGGGTATTCAAAAGAGAGACTGCCACCATTCTCAGAACCACAACCACCACAATTTCCACTAGTCGAAATCAAGCCAGTTCATGCCGCTGCCTAGCATCCATCTCATAGTGCTGCGGCTGCGAATTCAACTCCTGCGGATACCCCTCTCTACCATGAACATCCGAGCCAGGAGCTTCAGACATCAGCGCCGCGTACGGTTTGTGATCGCCTCTGTACTCGCCCTGGTACGCAGTGTCGTTTTGGCCTCCTGCGACGTAGTTGGTGTTATTGGAGGGGAGTTCAGAGGCTGCGGCACGGCGCTTACGGCGGCGCAAAAACAAGAAGACACCGATTATGAGAGCGAGAACTGCGAGACCACCGACGACGCCGCCGACAATCGCGCCGATGTTGGAGCTTTTCTTATCGGGGTCTGGTGTGCCGGTGCCGGTGGGATTGGCGGGTGATGTTGAGGATGGGGATGAGGCTACTTATTGTTAGTTTGACTTCTTCTATTGTACATTGTGAACTTACTGTTAGTGAAATGGGTAACAGAAAACAGGTCCTTGAGAGTTGGTGATGCCCAGGTGGATGGCTCGCGGGGACTGAGCATTTCATTAGCGAACCATCGCCGATCGGTATGAGTGTGAAAACTTACTTTGAGGCATAGAAGTTTTTCACGGGGTCGGATTGCTCATAGGCTGCGGCATTTGCATCGTACTGCTCAGACCAGGTCAAAGTTGTCATGTCGAAGATGGCAAGGCCTTGCGTGAATTGGTCTCTTGTGGAGAAAGTCACCAGGTCCAAAGTTCGTGCCGCATTGGTTGCTTCATCTTGCAGTGTATCAACACCTCCGATCACCAACATTTGTCGCTTTCCAACAGTTTCGCAGGTGAGACCGTGTCGCGGTTTTGCTGGTGCGTAAGGAACCTTGATCCATTGAAAGGCTGGTAATGTAAGGATATACATTTCGTCATATGGTAGGGCCTGATTTCCTAAGCGGCCTGCCCAACCAGCGTACACAAAGCTAGTTCACTGTCAGTATTGCGATAGTTATTCTGGAGAAACCGGTACTCACATCTCATATGTACCGTTTGTTGAATTTGCGCCAGTCGCGCAGAACTCAATTCGTCCATTGGGAATATTGCCGCTGGCAGTTTGATTGAAGAATGTTCCGGTAGCTGGATCGTACAAAGTCAACGTACTGAACGGTTGGATGTTCTCTGCAGCAGAATATAAATTGCGCCGAGAAATATCCCCACTGAGGATGATGTAAACGCCTTTCGGTCCAAAAAATGGGATATAATGAACCGTGCCACGCTCGGCAGTCCCGTTGAAATTGTACCCAGCAGCGCTCGAATTTGTGAAAGTTCCGGTCGTCATATTGTACTGGACGATTCCAGGGATTGGTATTTGGTCGGTGACATTCGCATTCTCCGGAACTGTCCTGGAGTTCTCATAGCCTCCAATACTGATCGCAGTGTCTCCGCCGAACGCTGACAATCCTTGGTAAGGTCTTGTCAACCCCGCGCTCGTGATGGCATCAGTGGCAGCAGTATCTTGACTCCATGTTCCTCCACCTTGACCGTCTAATTTGAAAGACCACATTCCTAATGGGTACCCTGCTTGCTCGGGATTGTTGAACCGTGCAGCAGCCCCAGTGAAACCAATCTGGAGTGTACTTTCCTTCTCGTTGTACCAAAGTGTGCCGTCGTCCAGATAAGGAACACCGTTCGGCTTCGAAAATGAGTTGATGACTACGGAGGAATTCGTCCACGATTTAGACATGTCGATCGATAAAGTTGTCGTCGAGTGGAGGATTTGGAGAGATCCTCCTTGCAAGTAAGAAAACGCTCCTCCATCTATATATACATAATTGCCCGCGACGACCGCTATATATCGTTAGCATTATGTCGAATTGACATATCCAGGAAGTTGTAGATTTCTTACACGAATGATACCCTCTTCGCAGAAAGATGTTGGCAGCAACGACGCCTGGCTGCTGTCTCTCTTCGATTCTCCCATCTTTGAGTTGCTCATTTCGCACCGCAGTGAGGGCGATCCTCTCGCTTGCAACACTTGAGATGCATGAAGCCCACACAAGACCTAACGATAGTAGACCCCTCATGAAGGGCGAGTATATACCCGTGACGTAAGAAAAGACAGTCAAAATGGAGATATGAAGAGACAAATACTGCGACAGCGAGAACGAGGGCAAGACACGGTCAGCGACAGCAGGGTGAGAAAGGGAATTGCACGAGAAAGCACCTGGGACTGGGACTGGGACTGGGACTGGGACTTGGACTGGTGCTGACAAGCTGTGCCGCACTGCTGCAGCATCCTTCCTGTTTCAGGGCATATGCTTGTCAATCTTCAGCGTTGAACAAGCTCGACAAGCTCCCGCGCCAGCCAGTGCCAGCCCGTGGTGGTGTTGTCTGCGGGAAGCGGCTCGGGCACCGCCAAATTGCCAATGCACCTTGAGGCTCTTTCCCCCCCCAATAATAATTCCCTCCACTCACCGTGCGTGCTCTGAAAATAAGTCGCAAAGCCCCATCCCAAGTCCCAGGTTAATGCCTGAGCCTGCTTCGAAGCCCACGATCCAACCACTGACAGACCTGGCTGCCCCTGTTCCAAGACGACCCCTGTTTCGCTTGTGCAATCTCTCCAGGTATTTTACGTCAAAACTGGAAAACTGGGGGCCATCATCTCATTTTCAGCCTGTCACAATCAAGCTTGAAATCCTTGAAGGATGGTGAACTGGTTTTCTAATTGCTCGTTCCCAAGGGCCAGTGAGATCTTTCTGCCAAGGAATCATTCTCGTCCTCTTTTACAACGATCCAGACCTTTGACCTCTCTTCTCAAGCCTGCCATCTTCGAGTCATATTTGGCATATCACAAATACGTGTAAGAATAGCAAGAACAATCTATTCCACGTTTTTCTAAGGGCTTTATGTGTTCAATTGTTCTTGCATCAATTTCGCAGCATATGGCTTAAGCGAGCCTCCATCTCTGCATTGTCTGATTGTACAATCTCTGTTGTCGCTCTATATCATGGGACTCACAGATTCTTCTCTAGGCCGTTGACCAGCATATCTTCTCATCTGTTTTCTGTATTACTTTACTTTGTATACCTGGATGGTAAAGTCTTGCTTACAACTCCTTTTATTCGCCTCTGGATGGTTCACTTTTATGGCCCCGACGATAATGTTGATTGATGTAAGCCCTGAAGACAGGAAATCTTTCATTCAACTTAGGGCCGACTGCGGTTGCTTAATCATATGCAATTAAGTACCTAGAATTATCAATCTACATCTACTTGTATAGAACAACTGAGTCAGGCTCACTTTAGGAAGGAGCGCTCCCCAACTTCCAGACCTGTGTCTTCTTTGGCATCACATTTCTCGCTGCTCTTCACCAACCCTACACCTCAATGATTGATTGAACAACTGATGATAGGCATGCGACTGATCACCTCAATATTTAGGCGAACACTGTCTAGTTCAGACTTCAGTAGTAACTTCAGCTTTGAGCCACTCAATATTTCAGTTCTTCCCCACCGCGGAAGCTCCTTCACACCTTCACGACTCCACTTCACAGAGCTCGATAGAGTATATAATTCGTCGTCGAATGTTCTGGAACTACAATTAGACGTTCAAATAGCAAAGGTAACAGCTCACCTGCGCACGTTTGTGCCTTTCTGACATAAAATAATCGCTCGATCTCAAGCTGTCACCTTCAGCTCCAGGTTGTGCATAAGCCTGACGACAACAGACAACCCCAGTAAAGCCCAGACAGCGGAATGTCGCCATATTGAAGACAGTCACGAAAGCCTGATAACACTCAACAATCTCCTCTCAAAATCGACTAGCGGGCAGTGAGGCTATTCTCACAGTTCACCATTCAGGAACGGCTTGTTGCGAGTCTTCTGAAAGTGAAGTCCACACTGTCAGCTCTCAACTGCTCTGCGATCTCACAGGCTATCAAGTCTTTGCACTTGTACTAGACTTGCCGTGTTTGTGGGTGACCTTGGAAATCGCTTTCTTCATATTTAAATCAAATTCTTTCGCTCGTCTCGACAGATAGGTTCATAGCGTTTGCCTGTATGCGATGTCTTCTCCAAGTTTTGCGCCACATCGATCAAAGGCAGCTACAGCACCTCAGATTCGAGACCTCGCATATAATCTCCATGGCTGGGCTATGGAGGATGGCATAGCTGGGGACAAGGAGGTTCGAGTCATCACTGCAAGAAGCCCGTCCTCCATCACGTACGACACAGTTTTCGGGGTCTTTAACGACTTCAACGAATCATCATCGGTAGTCTTCAAGCCAGACACATCATTCTCCACAGCAGAGCTCAAACCTCCTTGTGACACCACACAAGCGTATTTAATAGTGGGCTATGCAAAACGGTTCATGGAGTGGAAACATCTGAGCAGTAACCCCGCTTACCTGCCCAACGAAGAACGAGCTGCCACTGGCACTGTCCGACCCAACAACATCATTCCGTGGGACCATCGATCCCCGCCTGTCCTCGTCGTGGCGCCAATGACATACGGACTGGGAGTTAGGTCCACACTCTACGCACTGATCAATCCGAGAGATGGTCTTTGCACACCTCATGTTATTGCGATGGGGAATGTCTTCATACGCTCGGAGTTTCGTTCTGTGAAGAACACTATAGATTCGAGTTCATCAACTTGGAAAAGTGCTATCAGGGATACTATCATTCAGCTGAATACCGATGGACTAGCGCCAAAAGTTAAGTCAAACACAAACACGAAGGAGGAGGGAAGTGTTGAGGAAGCGAAGGGAAAAGAAGAAGCGACAATTGGAAATAAGCAAAAGAGAAGCCCGTTTTCTCTTAACCCTCCAGGCATATTTCCCCGATTCAGAGGATTTCCACAGCTTGTAGGACTCCCCCCAAATCCAACAGCAGATAACTCTTCGGTGGCAAACAGTTCCAAGACAAGTGCGATTGCAAATCTTCAGAAAACATCGAGCACAGGTCAAGCCCAGAGCCTCGCGAGTGGAGACCAGGTGTCGGGAGCTGTTCTCGAAGATGGAAGCCTCACAAGCCAGTTACAGCGACTTGTACGAGAAATAGGGGCATTCGAGCAACGGCAGCGCGAATTTTCTGTCAAAGAGCACAATCTCGAAGTCCGAAGCGTTCAGCTCCAAAAAATTAAAACCGCTCTTGAAAAGCGACAGGTCGAGCTGGAAAATCTTGAGAGTGATCTCAATACCCGAAATTCGAAGCTGGAAGCCTCTGAGACGGCACTCAATCAACGACAAAGCCGGTTGATCGAGGAGATACAAGCTGCTCTTGACGGAGAGAAAGCAGCCATATATGACACTATCACGAAAGGAGTCAAGCGGCGCCGCGAGGGAGATGATGAGTTGGAGCGGAAAGTGCGAAGGCTGTGCTTTAGTGGTCAGAAAAGCGCACAAAGTTGAATGGGCTCGACGATCGAGAGTGTCTGGTACGGAGCGCATTGAAATTCGATTCACGCTGCTACATATTCCGATCTCGAGCTTTCATATTTTTACAGGTACCGCCTGTTCATTGGGGGGCATAACGTCGCATTTCTCCGGGGTATCATACAGCAGAGAGGACTTCGCATCCAGAGATAAGGATGAGCCGGATGCGTTGCAATATGCGAAGGAGCCTTCTATCAATGGTTCATTGCAGAAAATCTGAGAAGGAAATGCATTCAAATAATTCTCCTACAATCACATGGAAAAGGTTGTAGTCTCTATTTGCTTTGAGAAAAAGAAGCGAGATTGTTTACCACTGGTAATTCAGGGGTTCGCTTAACACAACCAAACCCAAATCTTGCCTACACGAAGTTGCGATTTGCGCATTTGCAGTGTGTATGTGACCTTCCGTTATACACAAATGATCTTTGCGGCAACAATCCGCATGAATTAGTCGATTTGATCTTGCCAGGCTTTGAATCTTCAAGGAAGTTCTCATTGGGCAAGGCATTGGGCAAGATAGGGAGACGCGAGGAGAGGCAAAACCTACGTCAAGCATCACATTTTCCGATTTCCGCTGCACTTATTAGCTATGAGCTAAACTATTTCACTAAGAATCATCTCAATATAGAATTATATCTAACTGAAGTGCTCAGGACCCTTCGATAGATATCTTATTTCACCAAATACAAAGCGCTGAAAATTTTCCAATGCAAATAATTTGTTTCGCGTGCTGGTGAGTTGTGCAATATTGGTGTCGTAGTCCAAAGACAGTATGGTAATATGCGCAAAATCGTTAGCCACCCCCCCCCCCCCCCCCCCCCCCACCAGATCTCCTCGAATAAGCATTATCCCAGTCCCAAAGCACGAAAAAGAAAGGGTCATAAATAGCACCACCGCAGAACCAGAAACTCCTAGCCATCCCTAAATTCTCAACATCCAACACTATTCCTTTGCTTTTTCGATTTCCGTCTTCCCTCCCTATCACCCTCCACACTTCTTTTCCCTAAAGACTGCTGAACAGCCCCAAGAGCCTTCATCGCCTGCTCAACACTCTCATCCAGCGCCCTCTTGACGTCCCCGATCGCCTCCTCACGCTCAATCAATTCTCCCTGACCAGCCTTCAATCGAGCCAAATCATCCTGATAAACATTCTCCCTCTCAAGCGAAATCCTGCTCCTTTCCCTCAGATTCGCATCCCAAGCTCTCAGTCTCTCCTCCCACTTCTCAGCTCGTACCTCTCTACCCTTCACATCGTTCTCACGAACTTTTACATGCTGTTCGCGCTCGTAGACTCGCTGCTCGCCAGCCTCTAGGTTTCTTTCTCGCGAGGTGAGTCTGGCTACTTGGAAGGAGAGGCCTTGTTCGAAGACTCGCTTCTCTTCGGTTAGGGAGTCGCGCCATTTGTCGATGGCGGCTTGTTTGACTGTGAAGGATGCTTGGTCTGCTGAGAGCTTTGAGCGCTCGGCTTGAAGGGACTGCCGGGCGATGCGCTGAAGTTCCTTGGCTGCTTGGAGGGTTTCGGGGGCAATAAGCTCGTCGTCGTGGTTAATATTTGCTTGGGATCTGAGCTCGTGGGTGGCTCGAGGTATTTGAGATTTTGGTGAAGTTTTCTGTGCGTCTGGTGACATGTTGAATGTCAGAGCTGGAGTGTGAAGCACTTGGCTGTGAAATCTCGAGTCCGGGAATGTCCTTGAAGAATCATTATTAGATGATGGTGCTTTCGACTGATATCCACCTTGAGATTCATTGCTACGAGGGTTTCCAGAAGCAACCCCAGATCTCCGAGCCTTATTCTTTGCGATTGGTGACACTGGCTCAGTCTTGCACACGTCCAATGATGTATGTACATCAGGATCACCGGCTCTATTGAGTTTGTCGATGGTCTTCGCAACATTCTCAATCCAAGCAGCCTTCATAGCCTTCAGATTTACAGCCAAAGTTCGATACTCCCATCGAAAGAAGATACTATCATTCTTGATTGCAAACGGAGTGCAGAGCCCATCAACCTGCCACAGCAGTGCCCAAAACTTCACCCCCTCGCCTGGCTTACAGTCGAGTCCAGCAACAACGAGGACTGGTATTGTGTCTTCGTCCCAAGAAATGACATTTTCAGGTCTGGTAGTTCCCATCGTCTTGCGGCCATGTTTTCCATAGGCTTTGTTCTTCGTGCTGTACTCATCATGCGGGATCGAGCGAGGTGCATATCCCACTATGAGATATCTGCGATTGCCATCAGAAGGAGGGTCCAGTTCAGCAGCAGTGAATTCTTTGCTTTCTCTGAAAATATGACGTTGGCCAACATTGTTCGAGATGACTGTGTTGTAGGACGCGTGTATTGGTGCGCGGGCGGTAATGAGCTCATGTTTCCCTCTGTTTTTCATGCCGTCTTCCACCGCCCAGCCATTAAGATTAACGGCTATTTTCTTGATTTGTGAAGCAGGTTTGGCAGCTTTCAGACTATGGCGGGGATGCTTGTGAGATGCCATGGTCGATAAAATTCTCTAAAATTGTTGCAAAGTCGATATAATAACTGCCCAGAACGAAAGTGTCTGTAGGGGTGGGGCTGGATCGGTCTTCACAGACCTAATTTTACCACAAGCTGTGGGAGATACGACAAGCAGTATTTTGAAGGTAGAATGGCAATTTTTTGACGAAGGTGAGGAGATGCTGGTTCGAGGTCTTTTATGAGGCTGAAAATATGACCTGTCCAGTAACTTCTATGTAGAGTTGCCAGATATTTTCGAACGTGAAGCCAACTCAAATGTAACAATGCCTTGTTGAGCTCGAGGACTTGAGAGAAGCGAGATTGCGAGCTGACCGAAGGAGAGAAGCGGATGTAGATGGCTCTCCTTGGTTGTCGTCAACGAAAGAGATAGATATCGAACAATGGGCCTGTTGAGAATAGAAGACGGCTATGGTCGAGCAGACAAAGCCGATCGACTTTTATGATACTTCGCAGAGAACGAACGGCGCGAGCATTCAATCGCTAAACAAGTTACTGTAGGCCAAGGGAAGGAACGATGGTAGATGAATTACAACTGGCCTACTGAAAGTTTAGCCGCCTTTGTGCAACTTCTGGCATACACGATGATGGTTTAGTGGCTGACTTTGACGTTCACTCTAGAAAATGACACTTGCTCCAGGGTAGACGATTGCAAAAAACCGTACATCCACCGATCGAGAGGTGACATTAATGGGAGACGGTCAAGTGGCATACACTCTCTCGGACTCTGTGCCATTTCATGAAGCAGTCGGGTCTACCTGTGCTTATCTATCCACCGCATCCAATATGGCTCAAAGTGTTTTCTGGCGAGCTTCCATTCCTCTGTAACTAGAAAATAACATGTGTCAGCACACCAAAGTCAATCAGCAAAGGGTGAGATCTTACTCAAAGTGTTGAAAAAGACGAGAAGCACAGGCAACCAAAGCAAGAGAGCGAGTATTTGACCAAATCCAAGCTCGCCTTCGGTCCACCAATCCCCAGCAAGAATCTGCATAGCTGCCCTCAGCCTCAGCAGGTAACTCATTTCGAGGCACATCAGAAGTGCGAAGCAGAATAGGATAGCAGGCGTAGCTGTATCGCATATTCTGGCAAAGTAGTCCTCTATAATGCCCCAGATGGGCCATGTCCCTACCCGATGCTCGCTGCGGGAAGGAGGCTCGAAAGGACTGAACGCTATCTGATAGGCGACTGATTGCAGCGGAAAGTATCCTCGTCTGCTACGACTGACTAGGCGGGGTATCAGCAAAACCAAGTCCAGTACATTGAGGAGACCAGCTAGAGCAGTTGGCACGAGGAAAGCTGCGGCGTAGAAACGAGGGTTGCTCAGAGCGGAGCGGCCCATTAGAGAGCGGAAGCATGGACCGTCGCCAGAGTCCTGGAAAAGATCCTGTTTGCTTTGCAGGTAGGTATATGCAATAGAGAGCTGGACTATCACAAGGATACCATAACTCACGGGCCATTTAGCAGTAGGTTTCTGGCCTTCAGGTGAGGCGAGTTGATAGAGGAAGTATGAGAGGAGTCTAAAGATATTCAAAGATAGGAATGTCGCATTTTGAGTCATGACCTGTTGGTAGAATGTCCGTTTCAATGAGAAGAGGCATGCTATCGTGAGTGATGCGGCAAGGCCAGCAGAACAGCTAAGTAGAACTTGGCCAGTAGAATATGCTGCAGTCCATAGGGGTCGCATACATGTCCGCTTGAAGCTGATTGTAAAAGATAGCAACCAACCCAGGGCACCGGTTGCGACTAGAGTGACGCCAACAATATAAGACACAATTGCCTAGATAGCTGTGAGATTGAGGGCTGACCTAAATCTTGTATCTGAAAATGAAAGGCCACTTACACCTTGCCCAGCTACATCAGGCTCGCCAGTAAAGGCAGCAGCAGCACAGAACTCGTCAATGCACTCTTTGCAGATCTTAGAAATTTGACCATCATCGAGTGTATCGATAACAATATCATCCCAGGTAAGTAGGACAACATCCGAAATGTCACCAAAGGTCGGTGGCAAAGAGTCCCGAATGCTAGCTAGTAGAGAGGACTGATCGATGGGTGGTGGGTTCTTTGTCGAGTTCCATCGATATTCATCCTTATGATAGAGGAAAGTGTTTCGGTCGTCATTGTAGGCACAAAACGTGTTGGCAAAGAGCTTCGCTGTAGACTTGCAGTTTCGAGTGAGATCGAGATCCGCGGCCTTCAGTCTCGACGCCAGTTCAGGAGCAGAACATTCTGTCCGAATCTTTTGTACAGCAGGATCAACCCAAACCGCTGTGTTTGCGATGGGAGATTTCCTCATAGAACCTCGCCAGCTCGCCATGGCTGGTATTCAGATATGCCGGGGGTAGAATGGATTGAAGGAAGGCAACGTCGACTGAACTTGCTATTGATACATTTCTTGTCGTGGAGTTCCAGCTACCACCAGCTAACCAGGCCATAGCAACCTCACAATTGGTTATGTAGTTGAACGCGTCGATAAGTGTAAAGACATTGGTTCCATAAAAGCTGAGCGACATGGATCAGGCGTGCTTTTTCGTTATTGTCCAAAGGCAAATGGATTGATTGTAGGATCAAGAAGACATGTGAACATATTGCCAAAGTGTTTGAGCAATAAAGTAGACCAGAGGTGGGTGAGCTTCAATACTACTTGTCGGTCAGTTCATGTGAGCTGCTTCGTTGGGTGGGCGGTGGCTGAGCGGGGCTGAACGAGCGCCCCAAAACTCTTCTGCTCATGTAAGCGACTTGGCGGAAGGAGAAATGGAAAAGATAACTTGGTAACCATTGAACTATCATTGGTTTCTCACTTGAGCATTTAGGCCATGACATTTTGTAGCGATCAATCACTTGCGATTAAAAACGATAGGATAGAGTGAATGTTTTCATTCGGTTTTGACCACCCTGCCACCTTCAGAATCTATTGACCATGCATGCGTAAAAGACCAATGAAGAAAGAAGGATCCCAACGAAGATGAACAGCAGCAAGTCAGAGGAAAACAGAGGAAATTGCCTTGGTAATAAAGTACAGCGGTAATTAGGGTAACCCAACCCAGATCACCGCGAGTTGCTCAACACCATAGCAATGGATGTCTGTAACAACTTCCACCTGCCGCAACATCTTCACATCGACCAACCATCAAACAACCTCCACTCCATTACCAACTGCCACCACACCCCCCAACCAGTCTATACTACATGATTCATCCTCTACTTGAAGGCCTTTCCGAACATCAGGACCTGCATTTGATCGTAGATGGACAAGACACCGGCACCGGCAACACCACGGAGAATGTTGGCACCAGCACCCTTGAAGAGAGACTTGAAACCCTCCTTGGCGATAATTTGGCGACCAGCATCGAGGGAAGACTTGTACTTGACGGCCTCACCAGATGTCATCATCATACGACGACGGATGGTGTCGAGAGGGTAAGAAGCGATACCGGCACCAGTGGTGACAGTCCATCCGAGAAGGAAAGAGGCAAGGAAGTTACCCTCAAGAGGACCGACGAGAAGGACAGGCTTGATGGAATCGTACATTCCGAAGTAAAGACCACGGTAAACGACGATACCAGCGACGGAAGGACCGAAACCACGGTAGAGACCGGCGATACCGTCGGAAGCGAGGGTCTTCTTGTAGACATCTACCAGGCCGTTGAATTGACGCTCACCACCGGTCTTGGCGTTCTTGTTATCGTTGGCAAGACGAGTACGGGCGTAATCGAGAGAGTAGACGAAGAGGAGGGAAGTGGCACCAGCAGCCTATAATATGTTAGGGTTGTGCGGCGCTCTCAGAGCAGAGAACTTACACCACCGGAGGCCAAGTTACCGGCCATCCACTTAGCATATCCATCACGCTCCTTCTTGAAAGCGAACATAGACTTGTAGGTGTCACGGAACGCGAAGTTGAGGGCTTGTGTTGGGAAATAACGGATGACGTTGGCAGTGTTTCCTCTCCAGAGAGAAGCGACACCTTCCTGTGCAGTGGTACGTCTGAAGCACTCAGCGATACCATCGTACTTGCGGTCAAGACGGCCAGTCTTCAACATCTCATCCTGTAAAGAGCGAGTTAGTCACCGCTGTAGCTACATGATAAATACCTGAATGGGCAGAGTTATGCTGAGAAAGGCATCCTGAGATCGATGGCAAAATATTCGCTGTTCGATTTCTTGGCGCTGTCTCTGCACGTCCCAAAACGGATGCCCGGCAAGGATGTAGATATTTGCGCTGGGAGATCATAACAAAATGCGAACGTACCTGGTTCTGGATCAACAGCTTAACACGCTCGATAGGAGCAGCAGCGGTCTTCGAGACGGCGGCGGAAACACCACCCACTGTTATCGCGGATTAGTTGATATCCTTAGACAGCCATTCCACCCAGCACATGTAAATCCATTATCGGCCATCAAATTAATGGCGATAATGATGATTCCGGTTCGGAGAGGTGAACGTACTCAAGAAATCGATAACGAAGGGAGGACTGTTGAAGGAAATGTCAGCTTGGGCTCGTAGATGATGATTGGCGTTGAATCGAAAATTTGACTCGAGGCCATTGAGCGACAACGAAGCTCCCAGGGCACCAGCAAACCACCCAGCACATCATTAAACCACTGTCCGACACCAATTGAGCTCTATTGAGGTCGAGCGGTGATGGCAGAAGATGTCTCGATGGTTGATGGTCGCGCTTCCAATTGACCCGGCGTTGATGTCGAAGGGGAAGAGAGAACAGGATTAAACTTACACGCCCATAACGGACTCCTTCTTTGGGGGGAGGTTGCTCATGATGACGGCTGGAGATCGAGTGATCAAAGGACTGAGGGGAGATGTTGGATGGAGTGGAAAGAATGGTATGAGAGGATGGAAGTGGATGGAGGATTGACCTTCGAGAATTTATGTTCGGGGAAAGGGTTCCAGGAGGACAGAGCTTGAAAAATTAGAGAGGCGAGACGGGGCTAGTCTGGCTGCGACCCGTAACTTGCCGATGCTGCCTGAGGAAGCGAGGCGAGCTGTTGATAAATATCTAAGAGGGCATTCCTCTCTCCAGTTTCTTTTGTCCTATGCAATTTTTGAAAGATTATCTAAGTAGATGACAGGCATATTGAGCTTCACTTGAATTGGTCTCGTTTTGTTCGCGTTGTTTCTGATTTCCGTGCACTGCTTCAGCTCTTGCTTTCGGCCAGTCCTTGCAGCTGGTGGATCGGGCCAAATCTCTCGGCCGGCCTGCCTGGCTGGAAAGGGTGAGCGGAAAAGGGGAACAAACATTCAAAACAAACACGGGAAAATTCTCTCCATCTCTACTTGTGATTCTACATAATCACTTCACATATTTATGCTTCAAAAGTCTCTTTTCTTGCTTTCAATTGTTCCTTTATTCAACTTTCAATCTTCTACGATATTGTCGATTGAAGAATTGGGAAGCTTCCCCATGCGAGTGCTCACTGGATGGACAACATATACACAACATATGGACAATTGCACAGTGTAACAGTAGGTACATACAACTGCAAGGAGATCACTTGTTCTCGAGTACCGAGCATGCCAGCTGAGTTTGCTTTGAAGAATGAGTACTATGAATATGAAGCTGTTGTTGCTTCATGCCAGTATGATATGGCTATTATCCTCACCGATAGCCTTTTCATATTATATTCATCATAATTAGAACCTGCTCTGCCAAATTTTACATTGCCTGCAAATATTAGATGAAGTTGGAGGAAATTCTTCTACATTGTCATCTCTTGCGAGCTACAGCCGAAAAATCCGACTTTTCTGCTGATTACAGAATTTAGGTAAAATCAATACCAGCACATCAACTATAAGCTGTCTACCCAACAGGACGAGTCCATATCCTTCTGATACTCTTTGTCTTGTGTGAATTATGTCCAGAAATGTTGCAATGGAGGCACTACAGGATAAATGCGGCTCGACTCGCATGTACCATCGCATGCCTGCATGAATCATGTTCGCATAAAGAGCTTGAGTCGGGTTATCAAGACTGCACATGGAGATATGTAACATTGATGCAAGAGAAATCTATGCAGATCAATAGTAGAAGAATCTAGTACATAAGAAAAATCTGGAATTCTTCTGGCAATGTGAGAATAGCAACAATCTTTGATTCCCAATTCGTTATCGAGATCTTGATACTGCGCAGGCGCCATAGCAACCGCGCTAGTAAGCCCGGAGGTAAACAACCGCAGTGACCACATCCACATCCACACCCGAACCGCCAATAGTCTCTACAACCTACGAAACTCCAAAATACCCATCCTTTCCCTTACATATCCATACAAACAGATATGGATCCGAATTACAAGTTCCCTGGATCGCCAGGGACGCCTCTCTTCCAAGTATCGCCAGAACGGGTCAACCAGCAGCGAGCTTCGACTATTTTTGACGAGTCGCCTGCGGGCAGTCCACACCGACATGCGAGGGAGAGCAGCGTGCATGAAAAAGTAGCTGCATTTAACTCGCTAGCATTCCAAGGGAAGCAGCTGGAGAGGAAGGCAAACGATGCGGCATTGAAGCGAGCGATGTTAGGGCGGGAGGAGGCAGAGAGTGAGATGAGGAGATACAGAGAAGAAACACGAGCGCTACGGCGGCAGGTGGAAGAGGGCAAGGAGAGAGAACGTAGAGTGGGCGAGAGACTGGAGAATGTTATGGTAAGTCTATGTTGCTCACGGCGCATTGTGGGCTGTTGCTGATTATTCGCAGGAAAATTATGGCCGCGCCAAAGAAACCCACGCGCATACGCAGACCTTGTGGGAGAAGGAGATTCGGAGAGCGCGCAAAGAGTCGTTCAAGTCACAATCGGCGGTCGTGAAGCTACAAGAGGAACTGAAGTCGGCGCGCAATGCGATGAAGCTGGCACAAGCGGATCTAGAACAAGAGAAGGAGCGCAGTATGAAGCGCGAACAGGAAGCTTTCGCTGCGAGATATCAGCTTGTCGGAGTCCAAGAAGAAGTGTCGCAGGTTCAGGAGCAACTGAAGCTAGTGGAGCAAGAGCGTGATGCTCTCAGGACTATTGCGCAGAACGAGGAGATTGCCAGAATTGCCGCTGAGGGCAGAATACCGTTGCCCACACTAAAAGAGGATGATGAATTCGCCAGCCCGAAAAAGGCGCGGAAATCCTTGGATATGATTACAATTACTTCTTCTGCTGCTAGCGAGGAAGAGTTGGACAACTTGCGTATGCTTATGGAGTGGGAGCAACAAAGAGCAAATCGGGCACACGACCGAGTGGAATTCCTGGAGCTGGAGTGCCGCATGAACTGCTGCATATCCAAAGCTGCACAAAAAGAACTTGCCGAGAAGGAAACTCTTACGTCCTTACCTACCCAGGAGAAGATCCAGATTAGCCAAACAGGCACAATATTTGTCCCAGTTGAAGGTATTTTCAGAAATACATCTCCTGCACCAGAAGAGTCCCCATGGATTTCCCCAGCGAAGAAAACATTCAACGAGCCTATACACGAAGAACCCCGATCCTTTGCACGAACTCCTTCTTGCGAGCCACCTGCAGCAGCTCTCATCTCCGACACCAGAACCTCCCTTCTCTCCCTTTTCGACGCACCTCACAGCCCATCACACACCGAAGACGGTGAGAACGACACAACCATAACTCAAATATCTCAAGATGTTCCCGAGACCCAAGAAGAGAGCCCCGTCAAGCACTCAATGGTACCTACCTTCCACACAATCAGTACCACAACACGCATCCCACTCGCCAACCCACCAGACCTCACTCCTCCGAACATCCTCCCGGCAGCTCTAAACTCAGCCTTGAGTCCAACTATGACCCGCGAAGAAGCTCTAGCACAAATCCGCGAGCGTAGAGGTCGCGCAAGAAGTTTAGCGCAGGGAACAATGACACCAAGGAAACAGATGGTAGATGGTGTGGGATCAAGACGAGATATTAGTGCGCCGGCAATCAGAAGTGGTGGAGTCCGAGGCAGGAGCCAGGCTCGATCATAATATGTGTATATTCAATCAGTTCAGACATTCAGCGACCCAGGATAGACGAGCTTTGGTGTATTTGTTTCGTTTCGAGTGAGCGAGCGAGCGAGCGATCGATGATGGGTTGGATATGAATGATCGATGGCGGTTGCGTTTCTTTCGCGGGGAGCATAGCATCGCACCTGGCGTTTCTGCTTCAACAAAACTAGGACGGTACCCAGGCCAGGTGTTTAGCTGTCTCTTGAATTCGTTTTCTGGGTTTGGGGTTCTCATGGCTACTTTCAATGTAATTAGGTGTAGGAAGAATGTTGATTTATTGTCCGTCTATGTCTTGAGCTGAACTGTGCCAGCATCGTGCTTTCCGTTACCTCTGAACTACCTCCAATAGATCCACCCAGCATTATAAACCGTGTTGATTCCTCTTTCTGACCTTCATATACTTTTGTCTCCGCACAAAACTCATGGTTCTTTCATTTTACTTCCATCACGTGGAAACGCGGAATATCATCCATGAACCTCGCGTCTCTTCCGCAACGCGTCAAGCACCCCTCCTGAAAACTTCAAGACAGCCACGCACTCCTCCACGCTCCGATATTCCTTCACGCAACGATACGTATACCGGTCAAGCTCGTCTTACCGAGGAACCTATTCCTACTACAAGTGACGGGCTTCTTCTAATAAGGAAGTCGTCATTCAGACCTCTCCAATCGACATACTGAGGGGCATCCTCGTCGGATTACGAGCCACGATCCAGAGCAGCAGCAATGCCACCTAAGCCCTTCAATCCTCCAAGACCAACATCCAATGCCCCCTTACCAGGCGCAAAACCGCGTGGCCGCCCGAAGGGCTCCACGAACAACCCCTCCACAACAACAAAACGCAAGTCTGCGAATACGCTTGAGAAGCCCTCGAAATCCAAATCCAAAACAACTACCAAAGAGAAGGAGAGAGAAGGGACAAGCGGTTTTGGGAGACCGCGTGTCTCAAATGCAAGCACGGTGTTTGATGTAGCCAGTAGTGACGAAGACGAGGACGATGAGGAAGAGGATACAGAGATGGGCGATGGAGAAGATGTAGCAGAAGACGACGACGATCCATTCTCAAGCCAGCCATTACCAGCCACGGCTTCAGCACGTCGGAAGTCCTCTTCAAAAGCAAACGGCGATTCTCAGCAAGAAGCCGGCGCAGGTCTAATATCTAATCGGCAAACCTCCATCCCACCCGACCTCATCAATGTCCTCCTGCACGGTTTCTTCCAGCATGATAATACGCGTATGAGTAAAGATGCCAATGCGGCTGTAGGAAGGTATATTGAGACTTTTGTTAGGGAGGGTTTGACGAGGGCGGATTATTGGAAGAAGCATGGCTGGGAGGAGGGCGGTGTGAATGGATATTTGGATGGCACAGAGGTGGGAGGAGGGGATGGGGCGTATCTTGAAGTGGAAGATTTGGAGAGGTTGGCGCCGCAGTTGATTTTGGACTTTTGACGAAGATACGGGAATGTGGAGTTGTACGAGTGGGAAATTTATGGAGGTGGTACTGGGCTAGGTTCAAAGCAATTTGGGTGTTTGTAGTCTAGTCGGATATGTCACTTTTGATTGAGATGACTTTGAAACTTATCATTTGGTGTACTGGGGGCCTTTCATCTTATAAAAAATCGGGGTAAACGTCAATTGCGATCGGTCGTTGAGAGTTAGTCTGCCTGGTAGCCTGTCGAGTACGTACAGTAAAGGTCATACTTTATGTCCCACTGCATGTGAAAGCTACGGATACACAGCAATCAGCAGAAGGATTAACGCTTCTCAGGGCATATTCAATCTCCTGGGAAGTTTCGATTCCGACCAAGCTCAAGTTGTCCTTAGGAGACCTGGTATAGCTGTGATCCGTCACTAGGAGTGGTTGTCGCTGGTGGTGTTCAAGTTTCGAAACCTGACTCGGCTCGATATGTGCAAAGTTGACATGGCATTCAGATTTACCAAGTCAAGGGTCAGTCACACCGTGCCGCGGCTGGAAGCGAGAATCAACAAAACAACAATGGAAGAAGTCATATGCATAATCATCTATTGGATTCTTATCATTCCTAGAACCGAACCGAGTGCCTATCCGCGTCATCAAGAATCGCGCTTCACTATACATAAATATTTTCCTCATCCCAGCCATTCATGCCCAACCTCAAACACACCCTCAAATTAAGACATCATCGTCGCAGCCTGACGCCGCAAACATATATACGGCCCCTTCTCTCCTTTCCAACTCCACAACCCAAGCGAAGATAAAACAGAAAAATATATGTCTCTAAGCGTAAAGCCACTCAGAGATACCATATCATATCTACAAGAACAGCGCGAGGGCAACGGCGAACAGAGCACCAAGACCCATAGCATCGCCAGCGCGGACGTTCTGAGCAGCTGAGCCTGTGGCTGTGGCCTGTGGTGCGGAAGTGCCTGATGGAGAGCCGGTCTCGGTTCCAGAGCCGGAGCCAGAGCCAGTTCCTGACCCGGATCCAGTGCCTGTGGTGGTGTTGGAGGAGCCTCCTGAGATGGAGCTGCCGGGGAGGTTGACGGTGGACTTCGCGGCAAGAGCTTGGTAGCCGGCGAGTGTACGTGTGGAGTTTGCGGCGGTGCTGGTTCGGTGTTAGTTTTGGCTCTATCAAATCCACGTATTTGGGATAGTGGGATGTTAAGGAGCGAAAAGAGCGAAAACTTACTTCTCGTTGATAACCATGGTCATTCCGTTCTGGCAATGCTTTCCTTGCGAGCAGTACAACCACATTGGGTTTTGGTTTCTAACCATAATGGTGTATGTTGGGGTGGTGGTCGAGCTGGCTGATACGGGCATGAAGCCGGAGTAGATACCTGTGACGTTGGAGTTTGCGGCGATCGGCTGGCATGGTACGTCGAAAGTGGATTGTGTGACGGTGTGGTTGTTTGGCGCAAATTGGAACTGAACCATATCTCCTACTGCAGCCTTGATGTTGTTGGGGTAGTATGCTAGGGAGCCGTTCATCGATCCGACGCGGACGACATGGACGGTGACACCGGCATTTCCTTGAGCTGAACATATGTTGTAAGCATCTGACCTGGAAGTTGAATTTTTGCTATTCTTCTCTGGGAGACTAACCAAGGGCTGAGCCGATGCTAAGGGCGGAAAGGGCGAAAGTCGTGAATTGCATATTGACGATTTAAGAAGATCCTGATCTCTGAATAACGAATGTGTGTTTGTTGATGATTTTGATCTGAAGAAAATAAAGGCGTCTAGCGCTCGTGTCGTACTGGCCGACAATTAAAGATAGTGAGTGTATGGGGGTGGAATACAAAAATTTAAAAGAATAGAGATGAGAGAATAAAATAAAACAGAATGAAGAGCGGACGGAATGAGGTAGATGGTGAAGAAAGTACTCGAGAAAAAGGACCGAGCTTTTTGGGGACGGGGGCATCGCAAGGCATAAATAAAGAACCCGCAATCCGCTTGAATGATCTCCGATGGGACTGACCCTTGCTGTTCCAGCTCTCGGGCCAGGAAACTGAGTAAAGTGAGGCATCGAAGCCGTCTTGCCAGCTTGTCCCAGCCTTGGTGATGTCGGACTGGGCTGGCTGGCGAAACGTGTTTGGTCGTGGCTCAAACAGAAGACGGCCTGTAGCGCTTACCTGGATAGCCTTGAACATTGGATGGCATTCAGTGCTATGTTGAACAGACTTCTTGGCGGTCGTTGAAGCGCGCAAAAAAAGGTGAAGCTATACAGAAAACTCGCCTATCAGGCAAACAAGAGATGCACTCGCATCGTCTCTTCTGTATTCTCAAATACCACATGAATACTTGATTTATTGAAGTCGATGATAATTATTTTCCGCACCACTGCACTCACCTCCCCACCAAAATTTCCTTCACTGGCCGTGCATGCGCTCACTGACCTGACCGGAACGACCTCGATGCGGCCAAGCGAGGACGATGAAGCACGGAAGCGTCTCAGTCGTGACACCTGCAAAACCTTCCGAGTTTCAGCGACTGGGGCTGCAACCCCCGTGACTGTAACATCCGATGGCAGCGGACAGCACTATTTAGCTTTGCGAAATTATGTCAGGCCCAACATCGGAGGAGTCAAGACCAAAAATGGGGTGAAAATCACCCAAGCCCAGTCCCGTTTTGACGAGACTTGAAGCCGCTTGTTGTGCTGGCGGATGCGTGGTGAGGTCCAAAGAAAGTTTCGGCTTGGCAAAAGGTGCGCGAGGCGGGCCAATTTAGAAATAGGGTTATTAACGATCCACCTCTGAGGCTTGGCCGCTGTTGTTTATGGGCGACGAGGAGGATGTTGAAGCTTTTGATCTGTCGCAGGCGGTTTTGCAGTTGGGTCTTGGGATTAAGCTTAAGGAATTGAGAACAGATCAGCGAGACCTGGGCGGATGAGGAGAATCTTGCAGAAACATCTGGGCAGAGGAGGATTTGCAATTTCGGAAACGCCCATGCCGACGAGGAGCTCTCCTGCTCTCGTGTGTTGTGAACATGCGAAAGTGCCAGATCATCCCCCTCGTTCGCCTCGGCCCCAGAGTCTACGGCTTTGTGAACGGTAGTCACAGCATCACAAAGTGTTTTAATATATCCAAAAGCTTGGCCTTTCCATATCCTCCGCCAGACGGCAGCAGCATTCCGAATCCATCTCATGAATGCATAGGTAAGACTGGAGGAGTGAGTCCCTGCACAGATCTCGGAAGCTTTTGTTCTTTATTCTGACATTCCTTCATCCCATCTCCAATCAAATTCTCTCAAAGTCTCTCCCCCAGATCTCAAATCTGGTCGTCCAAACTCTCTTATGTTCCAGCCAGCTGCAGGTCAATAGAAAGCCTACGCACCCACATCAAAACACTCTACTTTATCTACTAACCTTGAAGACAATCTTGCAAGCTTTCTTTCCTGCACATTTCTATTCATAGTAACCCGACCTTCCAGATCTCTGGATTGGGTTCACGCACATGCACGTTTATTTACCTCGCCTCCCTACTTGCCGGGTTCGGTTCCTTTCCCCTCAAGGAGGGAGTGAAGCGAGTTACATTCCGAAAGCAGGCCTAACATCCAACCGGCTGATATGGACCACAGCCGATATATATTAAACATTCTCCCATCCCGTTTCCTTTGCACCACTGCTTGTAATCTGATTATCAGCCGATACGTTTAATTAATATCCATCTCGCTGTTTATCCAATTCTATCCTCGCTTTCCTCTGCTTCCCGGAAATCTTGAGAAGCTCAATATATTTGTCTTTACTTCCCGGCCAATGGACAAGTCAATGCAATCGGAGCGAATGAGGCCGTTACCCGAAAGCTCTTCTTTTTTGGGTCTGAATTGGATGTTGTGGACTTGTCTTTTTAGGAAGGCTTAAAAATCGCCACTGTGAATGCGACGCTGCTTGAGGTTGTGGAGATCAACGCGCATCAGGCGATGCATCGTCGATGCAAAGTGGTATTTGGAAGGCCCGAAGCTTTCAAGAGTATGCTATTTCCGTCTCTGCTTCCTGGTCTTCCCCAGTCTTGCAAGTTTGGGGCATGGCAAGGAAAGAAAATAGGTGCGGGGAGAGGACTCTTTGGGTCTGGGTGCGTCTAGATTCGGGTGACCATCTGATGAGAATACGAGTGGAGATTACATTGGTTGCTCTCTGAAAGTCAGATACAAGTGTGAGAGGCGTCAAGTAGGTCGATGGCTGGCATATAGCCAGTTTAGGGGAAGGTTATCTGTCCAGTTTTGCTTCTGTCCTGATATCCCATTCCTGCATTTTTATTTGTCTGCCTCCCTGCGTTCATATGCTTCCGCGGATTCAAAGTTGTTGCCTCCGAAGCTGATTCATAAAGAGGGTGTGGACCCCCTTCTGTCTGTTTCTTCCTTGTTATTCTTGTCAATCTTTCAAATCAAAGAAGTCATCTCAGCAAGTAATACTACTACAGTAGTTTGAACTTCATGCAAAATACATCAGCTCTCTAGAATCAACAGTAAAGATACCCACATCCAAGATGCAGTTCTTCTCAACACTCCTCTCAATCACGGCCCTGCTCCTCCCATTGGTCTCAGCAGATGCCTGCGTAGCTGGAGGTCCAGCGAATCAAGTCACATACGCCAAAGGCTGCTGTTTTTATCAATCTGGCACCTGGTACAGCTTCACTCTCCTCTCTTAGTCCCAGTCCCAGTCCCATTCGTTCGAACTCAAACTTTGCTTGAGCTAAACCCTAACCCAGGTACCAATACTACGACAATCAAGCCATCTGCGTTCTCGCCGAAGGCAAAAGCCCGGCCTGGAAAAAATGCGTCGGCAGCATCCCGGCCTCGAAACTCGACACGACTTGTATCCCAGGAGATGGTGGGCCTGGCCTTGGATATCCTACGACGACGCTTAGCACAGTGACGGGCAGGATTACTTTGACTGCTGTTGCTTAGGTGTATGTGTTGGTAGCTTGGGATGAGAATATTAAGTGATGGAGGGGGAGGGGGATAAAGGATGGGGTAAAGCTTGACCGCAAAATGGGTATCGTTGTGTAAATACTGTAGGCGACTGAGGTTTCAGGGGAACTGGATGTATGTTCGTTGTAGTCAAAAGGTATCAGAGAAGGAACTAGTCAATTATCCCTCAATCGGTTTCATGACATCGAGGTCGCTTATGTGCTTGTTGACACACCTGACTGCTCCAACGCTGAGTTTTCATGGATTAAGTATTCTTCCAGTACAAGTCAAGCCATTGCTTCCAGCAAAGTGATATCCATAGCTCCGACCTTTTTCCTATCTACCATCTAAGTATACACAGGCTCCTTTCCAACCCCAGCAAGCGCAAGCACTCAGCCAACTTTGATCCCGACTACCTTACCCAACTCCATTCCTTTCCTCCATACATCTAACAAATCATAATAGTCTATGCATTTAGAATTCTATCTGTTCAAAGAAGATCTACTGCTTCCCAGCAGGCGCCTTTCGTGGCTGTCTACCCTCCTGAGCACGCTTACACAGCTTCTTAACCGGCCCCTTCTTCTCCCAGCCAGGCTCTCTCTTCACCATCCCAATCTTAGGGTATTTCGGGCTATTGGCAAAGAAATCGACCCTAGAGCCAATAAGTCAGTCTCAAATTCATCTCAAAACACAAGGCCAGCCATGTTGGAGAGCATCAAGAACAAGAACAGACTCACCAGTGCTTCAATGCATTATACGCCTCAACCTTGGCCTGTCTTCGCTCCTGCTCCTTCAGCGCCTTCAACTGGCCACTGGTATACTGCATATCAATCTCCTTATTATCAAGCGGCATGAACATCTCCTCGACACCTCTAACATCTGGATTCCCATCTTCCTCGAAGCAGTTAGTGATGAAGGCTCGGCTGGCGTCTTTGCCCGCGAAGAAGTGGTAGCTTCCTCCAGGCCCGTAGTGTCGTGCACCGGCTGAGACATCGTAGATAGTGCCGTTGATGGCGAGGTAGATGGGCTTGGTTGGGTCGCTGCCATCGAAGGCTTTGAGGTCGGAGTCTGTGAGGGCTTGTTGGCCGGCCTAGATTGAACATCTCCAATTAGCATTACATGTTAAAGGAAGTGACATGAAGTTAATTGGCCTAATTAGACCAGACTAGAAGTACGAATAACAGTCAGAGAGACAGCTCACAATCAGACTCTTGATTCCGCCAACGGTTGCCCAACTCGGTCTCTTAACACCCCACGTAAAGCTCTCCCTTGTCACGAAATAACTCAACGCACTACTAGCCAGCAACAAGAAGACGATTGTACGCGCAACATCCGTCAAGCTGAAAGCGCTGTCTTCTGCTTTGGCGCGGGCTGCGAGGTTTGCCTCGACTCTCGCGGAAGCTTTGGCAACAGGAGCGTCCTTCTTGCGCTGCCGGACTGTTTCCGCGGAAGACATCGTGGCTGATGGAATGTGGATTATGGGAGTCGAGGTTCAATTGAATAAGGGGGAGAGAGAAGGAAGAGAGGGGAAGTAGGAGTAGTGTGTTGGTGCTGGAAAGGGATATGGTTTAGGTGGTGTTATTTACATTAGCCTCGGCCGGCCTCGTCACTTAGCCTCGCGGAGTGTGGGGTTGAGAGGAGTCAAGAGGAGCCAGTTGGATGTGCGGAATTGCTAAGTTTTCTACCTGAGGAATGCCTTGGCTGACTGTTCACACTTTGGACAATATGATGAATGATAGAGCGTTACGATGGATTGCGAATTGGCGCATAAAAATCCTGGTTGGGAATCGGATGTGTTTGAGGTAGATCCATCCTGGTCAGGCTGGGCGCTGTCTTGCTTCGTTCGGCTCACCTGGCTGTCCAACATCAAACAGAGTCTGCAACTGCTCTCGTCTCTTCGTTCATTCACTCAGCTCAGATAATCTGCTCTGCCAAAAGCTTGCGTTCCTGGTTGGTTCCCAACTCGTCATCTCAAGTCGATTTCGAATATAGTCCATTTCGGTTGCCTCGGCCCGCGTTCATCAGTAAAATGTATTGTCACATCAACGAAATGCTCATTTCCCAGTTTGCAGTTGCGAAGCAGTTCGATTTTGATATGCTACACCGTAAAATCAAATCCCATGCCCATTGCAAATGCTCAACCCATACCCATTCGCTCTAGCCCATGTTTGGTTCGTTATCGAAAGAAGGGTGGTTGGTCATGACATCGAAGAAACAGAAAGGGAGATCCTCTATTCCGCAGCAGCGACCGCACGAGCTGTTCCGTTGTTAGCATCCATTTCCAAATTACAGCCATAACGGTTCCAGGCTGTGTCCTCCCTGCCAGGTCGACCCGTGGGAGACATACTGTAGATCTGCAACTTGCTGTGTCCGACAACCTTCTTGATCTGTCCCTTCTCCTCCAAATCCGCCAAACATCTCCGTGCGAGCGATCCGTTGATCTTTAGTCTGTCGACGAGAGTGGCAACTGTGATAAGACGGTATGATTGGACATCCTTGTAGAGCTTGTCTGAGGTGGCCTTGTCGAGAATGACAGCGTGTTGGGCCTTGTCCTTAACTGTATACTGATTAAAATTTGCGTATTTCGAAGTCGAAGGTGTACTGACCCTTTCCCTTGGACCACTGTGACGGATATTAGCACGATTTCTTGAATTTGGGTGTGAAGTTGAGGATGTCCAAATTTCGATATCATCCAACTCCAGGCCAAAAATATAACTGGAGAACGTACCTTCTTCTTCTGCTTCTTTGCTCCGGTGTTCGCGGGCGCTGAAAAACAGTCAGTTCATGGTTATTCGCTGGCTGAAGTGAAGTTCGTGGAGAGGGGTTGATGGTCGGCTGGATGCCCCGCGAAAGCCGCAGAATGTGCAGAAATCGTATCGCGATACGCTAGAAGTAATTGAGAACATAACATAGAGGTACATACCCATGTTGACTGATTCGATGTAGTTGACGTTGAAATGCGAATACCGTGGAATTGTCGTGAAATCTCCCAAGGTGGAGGTTGCTTTTCGCTTACCAGCCGCTAGTTTTCACAGGGCTTTCCAACCCTTTTCGGTACTAGGCTATATTTGCTTAGCGTATTCACAAATCGTAAGCGAGAAGAATTCAAGATCAATCCAAACCCACCTCGACGACACGCAACCCGACAAATTTCACACCACAACCACCGTCGCCAACATGTCTGACAACGAGGAAATCGAGGTCGAGGCCGTCTCTGGCTACCAGGTTCTGCCCAAGGAGATCACTGCTGAGATTGGCACAATCAAGCTGGTATGTTGTTCGGGCCGCACCATTCTCCCCCCTCACGCAAATGAGCATCTCAGGAGTACTTCATAAGGGAATTGGATAATAGCTAACTTTCCGATCACTACAGTTCAACCGATGGAGTTACGAGGATGTTGAGATCAGAGATATCTCTTTGACGTAAGGAGTCCCAGAGCCAAAATCGAATGGAAGGCCAGCCAGGAGAAGGAATTGGGCGTGTTGAGGGAATATCGGCGCGAGATTCTGCGAGAGGAGAGAAATGGGACATACGAAGTTCTGGCTAACATGGTACTCTGCAGCGACTACATCCAAATCCGTGCCCCAGTCTACATCTCCCACTCCGCCGGTCGATATGCCCAGAAGAGATTCAGAAAGGCACAATGCCCAATCATCGAGCGTCTCACCAACTCCTTGATGATGAACGGTCGCAACAACGGAAAGAAGCTCATGGCTGTCCGCATTGTCGCCCACGCCTTCGAGATCGTACGTCTTGAACCCATATGAAACAATGCGGGGGAAGCTGGAATACTAATACTTTCAACCTGCAGATCCACATCATGACCGACCAGAACCCCATCCAAGTCGCTGTTGACGCCATTGTCAACTGCGGACCCCGCGAAGACTCTACCCGTATCGGTTCAGCTGGTACCGTCCGTCGTCAAGCCGTCGATGTCTCCCCTCTCCGTCGTGTCAACCAAGCCATCGCTCTCCTCACAATCGGTGCTCGCGAGGCCGCCTTCCGTAACGTCAAGTCAGTCGCTGAGTGCTTGGCTGAGGAGTTGATCAACGCAGCAAAGGGAAGCAGCAACTCATACGCCATCAAGAAGAAGGACGAGTTGGAGCGTGTCGCCAAAAGCAATCGGTAAAGGGTTTTTGTGTTTTGCATGGCATGGGATGGTTTTTCGATTTGCTTACGGCTGGGGGGATCACGACTTGGCAGCATCCTTTGTCACATAGATGCAAGGAGTAATGCTAAGCACCCATGAAATCAACTTGGATCTGGACAAAGTGAATGATTATTGGTTTCGGGTGAGCCAAAGTGAAACGATTTCGGGAGGCACCAAGCATTGGAGAAGTCTCCTAAGCTTCTGATACCTTGTGTATCTGCGCTGTTTCGCTTGCCTAACTGTCTGGAGAACGGTTACAGCATAGCAAGACGAACAGGCTCTTTATGTTGTTTGTTCCGTAGACTCCTCTTAAAGAATGTCAACTATTAAAGGGTCGATTCTTGAATCAAGGAAGGGCCAGTCGAGTGCTGTGGTGCCTTGAATGGCTAGAACATATGTCTTCAGTCGTACCATTACCCATTAACACCATTGCTCCAGCTTTCTCTATTTCATTCTTCCATTCCTGATGCTGTCATCTTGCCATTATTGCTTGTCTCCGGTAATCCATGTTGATTTTCTGTCGGACCTTCTGAGCGTTCTGGAGTGCCATATCCACTATCGTTATTCAGTAAGGGCATTTCTCCGGTGGGATCGGACTTTGCCATCCGGTCCCAGAAGTCCTCCCAAGCATTCCTTCGCTCAAGGCACCGGTGAGTCTCGGTACTTGTCCTGATTGAATCGCCCATCAAGTGAAGTCGTCTCACAAAACAAGCATCGCTCTTATCCTTTCGTTTCCTTCCCCAACTCGTATTGAAACCAACCCTTGCCGCGTCAAGTTCTTTGTTAATTTGGTTCGCTTGCAGATTTTCACCAGACTCCGACTTTGGCGTTCGGGTCCCAGGTCTCTGCTTAGTCGGTCCCCAAGTATCAAAACCTAGCTCTTGACAATTTCTCAGTACTTTTAAGTACTCATAAGTCACCCGTAAGCCTTTCTCCGAGAGCGCTGGTTTGGTTAGCCTTCTGATCAAGTCATTTATGCTGCTGAGCTCCGTTTGTTGCGGCTGTCTCAAGGTAGAGCAGCCCTCTTCAATATAGGCCTTTACTTTTGTGACAGATAGGTAGACTGGTGCTTCCTGAAGCAATTCATGCAGCCGTCTGACCTCGTTGCCAGTAGCTTGTAGTTTCGTAGACCTACCCTAATTAAGAATCAGTGTTTTTCTGCCCTATGTTCTACAACACTCGATTTGCGATGCTTACAATTGATTGAATTACTTCTGTAACTGTTTCCTCGTCAATTTCATGTTTATACGCAAATTTATACAGTTCTGTGAGGCGCTGGCCGTTGACATAAGGATTTCCATTCGCTACCATGTCCATCACTTTCCTGACTTGATCTAGGAAGTATGTATCTTGGCTGATTTCGAAGGCACAAATATACTGGTCGATTGTTTCAGAGGCATCAATGACGTCCGCGGTGTTGAAGGCAGAAGCAGCTGGAATAGCGATGGGTGGACTTAATTCCAGACGCGCTCGTAAATACTGCACCATTAAGTCTCCCAAGCTTGATTTTCTGCTCTGGGGCTTCTCCAGTGTCTCATGAGCAGTTGGCTCTGGGACGGGGTCGCTGGAGATAACCATCGGGTTACTCTCATCGTCTCCCTCCTCACCAATGGTATGGGGCATAGATCTGGTCTCATATCCTTCGTGGGCTGGTGTTGAGGGTGATGCCATGTCGCCTATTGAATGATATGAAACTGTTTGTGTACTATATTTGAAAGCAATTGATGTGTGATGAACGAGAGTTAGCATTTGGATTTGTCGAACTTTGAACTTTGAGACGTCTCCTCCGCACCTTCTCTGCCTCTGAGAAGTTTCGTATGATCCCACAATCGGAAGGTCCGCTTACTTACACACGCAGGGAAGGAGCATCTCTCACAACATGAAGCACCTAAGGCTTCTCAAATAAAATCCATAGAAGTGCTTGAAAGCAACTGTCCGAATCCTTCAAATTGGACCTTAAGCGGTAGACTCACTCATAAATTCTTGTCTATTTCCCTGCGTTTGTGCACATTGGAGACTTGCAAACTCCCACATCAACAGCTATATCGCGCATGTGATTATATCGGCTTCGAAGGACCCGATGCCGAGTTCATTGTGTGTGACTTCGGACTCATCCAAATGCCGCAGAAGGCATAGCCATCTAACATCTTAAAAGTTTACATTCAATTGCTTTGAGATGGAGTGAGATTCCGAATACCATTCGAACTTTTGTGAATAGTAGTCCATTACGGAATGTGCTTCTGACTTTAAATTCGCAGAGCCACAGTTCATCGCATCGTTGGAACTCCTGCTACCAAACAGATTATAAGTTTTCGACTATCCAAACCGCTTGCTCTGAATTGCTGCCTCAAGAATTCCTGATCAAATGAGGTTTTCGCTTGGAAGTAAACCACAAAGCCGCCTTTATCGAGCGCCACTAGCAGCGCGGGCCAAACCCACACAGGAGCGACACAAAATGGTACTTGCATGATATGGGTCTAAAATCAGCTCGAATATCAATCACTGAATCTAAGCTAGCCGCGATAAAATGAACCTTTGCTCACTTCGTCTTTTTCCAAAGCTGGCTTGTATTCTGTCACACCACTCGAACTAACGCAGCGCAATCATGCCCCCAGCATAAAACAACATGCTTCCCAAGACGACTGTGCAGCTTTCCCCATTGATCTAATCCTTATAGTATTAGCCTGTAGGATTTATAGCCGCAAACATCTCAAGGCAACATCTTCCTCTATCACCAGCCAGCCTATGATCCCCCAAAATTTTCCCATTTCGAGTACCCTTCTTTTTATATCTTCATTATGGACTCCGCCAGTCCAACCTCCGCCAAGTGCGTACACGCTCACCAACTTTCCTCGCACTGTTACTCAGATCGAATCAGATCGAATAATACCACACCACACATTCCCTACCGAACACCTCTCACTCTCCTTCTCTAGCCTTTCGCTCCCCTCCTCTCATTCAACGTCTGCGCACACAACTACCCCCCAACACGAAAAGCCTCACAGCACTCCACCCCTGCACCCAAGTGATACCTACCTTTTCTAACACCCTTTTGCCTTCTCTTCCTCATCCAAATCCCGAACACGTCGCCTTGCCAGCACGAGTTCTCCCCTCCCCTTCCCTCGTCCTTCCCGGCACACTTTACCCACCCTCTTGATAAGTGAACAAAAGCTCACGGGAAATAGGTACAGGACGCCTTCGTCTCTTACCTCCAACACCAATGCAATATGCCAACATCTCACATCATAAAATTGGGACTCAACTTGAACCTTCAAAAGTGAAAGTTGAAGCCTAGTCTCTGTTCAAAATAGCAGTAATGGGAAAATCTAAAACCTGGGAGTAAAGAGATGCATGGGCTTTATAGAGAGAAGTTGTGATATATACCGGGATTCAGCTCTGGAGCTAGGTGTTGTCTTATGTTCGCTATCGAAGTGTGTCGGTCTTATGATAAGGATAAATCAAACCGTATGGTATATTTTTCAGGAGCTGAGGGATGGAGAATGGGTGAGGAAGGGATGAGAAAGGGGATGGCATGCAAGTGGCGAGTGATGAAGACCGGTACAATACTAGACACAGCTGAGGAGTGCCTCGTGGTATGTGATTAGGAATTGTCTGGAATGAGCAGTATGAGCAGGATGGAACTTGTTGTGATACGAATGTCTCTGAGGGCTGGCTCAGCAATGTTCGGTTAAGCCCCCTAGTGGCAGAGACTCAGATGTTTATATCACGTGCCTATCACTGCGCAGCAACCGATACTGCAAAATACAGAGCAAAGCATACATTGTGTCCCGAAGTCTAAGTCATATGGTGAAAAAGAGCTTGTCATCCTCCTGCGTGCAACCAAAAGGTCCAAGCATTCCAATGACATTATTTACTCACGTGATTACTCTCGCTTGCGCGCCCAGCAATCAGATCGCGGCATTCCATCACCATCGTCCGTCCTCATACTGAGGCAGAGACTTCTCTTCCCTTCCCCTCCCTCTCTTTCTCTTCCAACACTGCACCTCAGAAAAGAAAGAAAAAAAGCCAACCGTCCAAGCAAGCGGGATTGGAAGGACTTTTCACTCCGCTTCTGCCAATGCTCGCCCGTCCATGTTTTCCTCGGAAAAACAACTTACAAAATTTGATAACGATGAGGAAGCCCTGCTGTGGTCGCACAGATCGAGAGCTGGAGAGAGAGAAATTGGAAATGATCTGACGATAATGTGTTGTGACAAATTATGGAGAGGGGATAGAGGAGAACAATACTTGTTTCAAACGCAAACGGACTCACGATGGGCGGGATTAGCGAGCTTTAAGGTCCGGCTGTGAGGATCGTACGATGCCTGGTTGATGGCAGGAACGCGTACATCTCATCACATCTCACCTTCCCTTCCCTACCCTTCTCTGGGACTATTGTGTACCCTCCACATCCGGAGCAGCTCGCCCAGTCTGTGACCGGTTCCAAGATGGGTGAAGCCCGCACCTATTTTTGCACATGCTGAATACCTCAAATCACATAGGTTAGTAGATAAGCCACGCTCGATTCGTTCATAGAAATGAATCTGCTCGGGGGTAAATGGTACGGTGACAGCCGACCAAGCTTCTCTCGTGAACCCACTGTGGATGCGTTCAGTCCCACGAAGAAAGCGAGCACCAAGCCCTGACAGTAGCACAGCACAATCTAGTGAGCTGACCAGTAAGACTTCTTTCTATCCCCATCCATTCAATGACGAAAGTGTGCCCCTACCCCGTATATTTTTCCAAGGCGGTCGTGCATCGTGAGGCGTTTTTATGTGGGAATAGAGGAGAAGACCGCCGCTTTTGCTCGGCGCATTCCTTGTCCCAATTGCATGAGCATGGGCCAGATGACTGCCTCAATAGAGGGGTGGAGAGGACCCTTCACGGTTGCGTCTCGGGTTCGTCTTGGTATTATATGCGATCCTCCTACTGGTGCGTAGTTGGCCGCTGGGTAGCAGCACAGATATTTCAGGGTGGCGAACAGGATTCTGGAAGTCGATCGTGACTGTTCTGAATTTGAAGGGTTGTAGACCCCTACTTTCATCGGACCCGTCAGCCCGAGGAAGGAACTCAGGTTGGTTGAACTTCTTGAAAGTTTTCAAGGGTCTGGCTTCAGGAACACTTGCGATGGTAGCCGCCATTGGAGACATGCTGAGTATAATTTCTTCCGGATATTGTCTCTCGCGACCCGCGACGTGGACGTTCGTGCTGGATCGTGATGGGGACAGACGGTGGCTTAAGGGGTCGAGATCGGCGACGGCTGGACCTGGCTTATTGTTTGCGGTATGCCTGGTGCTGGCGACTGGCGATCTCATAGCGCTCTAGTGTGAGCGGGATAGGGTAGGAACTGTGCAGACGCTTGGTGGCGTTCACTATGTCCTATGGCCGACGGATGCAGAGGAGGCTCGAAGTAACTGCAAGCATCTGTTAGCCCGCAATGCTTAATTGCTGTAGCTGCACACAATCAGGTCGATGAGACCCTCAAATACTGCTGCACTCTGAGAGAGGCTCTATTCCGAATCCCCACAGAATTGAATCGCGAAAGTGAGGGGCACACTTCGTTCAAGACCGTGAACGGAGAACTCAAGCTCTGTCAAGGAACCATATCGATGTCGATGTCTCTCTAGGTATGAGTAGACAGGTGTCGCAGCCATGTTTCGCCCCGGAATTCCTAGTGGAAGTGCTTTCTTTCGTTCGAGATCCAAGCTCTGATAATTTGATGACTGCAATAAACAAAATGTAGATTGCGACGGTGGAGTGGATCGTATCGTGGAAGTCCCCGAGGAGGTATTGTTTTCCCCCAGATGGCGAGAAAACCTCCTTGGGGTGGGCATCTAGGCGAGTAGATTAACCACTAGACTTGCAACTGGACAGTTTTGAAGAGCATGCAGTTTTTCATTGTATTGCCTTCTCGAGCGAGGAATCGACGGCGAAAACTCGGTAGATGCAGACTGGAAGTGTTGGTGGTCAACCGGGGTAGAATGGTAAAGCAAATGTCAACACGGCGTGACAGCACAGGAAGTGGCGTTCGTTGACAAGCATCTCGGTAAGTCGGATATCGGTTGATCCACAGCTTCACATAGAACTTTCGATGGTTGAGGCTCCGGGAAACAGTCGGCATCGAGACACTTTCCAATGTCAGATCATGTTTTGATCGAAGTCTGAATCTCAGATCGAATCCTGAAAATAACACCACAAACCAAGTTATATAGTTATACAATCTTAGGCATCTACGATCACTTTCCAATCCTGGAAAGTCGACGTCCCCTCTTTGTTTGCCGTCTTGTTTCTGTAGATCTCAGAACTCGGAATAGCGATGCGTCCATTCGGATTTTATATTGTAAATGTTCACAGCTGGGATACCTGGCAGGTCGATTGCCAAGTCAATTATTGGTGGGGAAGGATCCGAGGTCTACGCAAGCACGATTTGATGTGTTGACGAAGCGATTAAAGTAACATGGCTGGCTGGGATTCTGCATTTATTCTGTTGTCAATTTACTGGTTCTTATCAGATCATTGGGGTTCTCCAGACGCACCATTGCCATTTAGTTGACGATTACGGTGGTACCAGTGTCGAGATTTTTATCGTCCATGGTTGGTTGCAATAGACCTACCTCCGGGAGAACAGGCATTTCCGTCACTACCCTTGACCAGGAATCCGATTTGACACAAAAGTCTGAATCTGTATAACCAGGAAAAATGAAAAGACCGCTGAGGTTGTGTTTTGAGAAACTTGATGTCGTTACATTACAATCTAGCACACAGCCTAGGAGGAGAGCCCGCCTCCGCGCACCCTGGGCGTGGATGTAAATCCTCTCTCTGTTCAGCAATTCGAGTCGCCACCGAGAATCCTTTGCATCCACTCTCCTGCCTTACCAAGCTGCTCCCTCCAGGATTGATATTCTCCACTGGCACAAGGTAACGCATAGAACCATAATTCTGCTCTGTTTTGTTCTATTCCATCTTCTTCATCAAAGCAGCAAGCGACATCAAAGATTCGAGACAAAGTCGGATTTGGAAGCCTTCCTGAGCCCGGAGCAGTTACTCCGGGTAACGCTAAAGCACGGTCACCACACCAGTCATTGGGTCGCCACGGAGGAGGATGGGAATTTTCAGAATCCCATGTTGCGCATTCCCCACCCTCCATGCGGTGATCCTGGTCCTTTTCGCCAGTACGCCAGGGTTGCTCTCCCCAGGTGGAGGTGGGAGGTGACAGGGGCGCGCCGGGGAGGACAAGCTCGACAAGACACGTTTTGCTTGTGAGAATGGGACCTGGATACCTGGCCTGGTCTCTAGGCTTCCTACAATAGTCAGCTCGGGAGCTCTGTCTGTTCGGACATAATCCTGCGATATGTTCGGCGTAGATGGGCGTCTGGCCCTGCTCTATCCTACTGTAGCATCTTCCAGAAGAGCAAGAATAATGTGGATTTCTTAGTCGTCTAGATGCGAGACACTGAACTGCCGGGCACACAGTGGCGATTGGATTGCCACAAAGAGCACACCTAGCCATTGTATCCATACCCATACCCATACCCATACCCATACCCATACCCATACCTACCTTACCTAGGAAGGGCATGGTGGGTAGGGAATCGGGATGCCTGCACCGCCAATGAAGGGGCCTGAAGCACTTCCCCTCCTCCCTCCCCTCTCACCTCCCCCTCTCCTACAGTACCAGGATCCGCACCTGCATCCACCAACACTACCCTACCCTACCCTACCCTACTCGACTACCTCATATGCGTCCATCCTAGATTTGTGTGCGGTGCGGTAGAGCAGCGTCATATTTCCTTGAGAGCTCCATCGCCAGCTTCTATCAGATGCATCTAAGCTCCTCCATCTCCTCCATCTCCTCCATCTCCTCCATCTCCTCCGATCGTTCGGGATTAGGGGTCCTGGCAATCTGACAAGAAAACCTCTCCTCATCATCTCTCGAGCCTCACTACACACTGGCGGCCTTCTGTATCATTCGCAACTTCAATCACCTTTCTACTCACCAAATCAAATCAATTCAATTCAATTCAATTCACATCAATTCCGCCCGATCTCGATCCCGTACACCTAGCCAACGCGGGCGGGGACGACTAGCCTGGAAGGAAATAGCAGCGGATACCCCTCCGGTCAACACGCTGCGCCGTCAAACTCTAACTTTCCCATCTGCTTGAAGAGTGCTTTTCTCCGCAGACACAGACATCAATAAGCATTCGTTGGTACCTGGCCATCCATATCTACCCGGCCTTCGACGTGTTTGTTCAGGCCCGCATTCTTGCCCTCTCCTACGGACTACAAACACACAACAACAATATCTGTGGCATTCCATCGTCAAGTGCCAATTCGTCCGGAAAAGCCCAACAAAGCTTCCGCCACTTCCTGTGAGCCAGACTTACTACATACGTATGGTACGCGATTAGTTGCTCCAAGATTCTAATTGAACGGCAAAGGTAAGGAAAGTCCCGCATCAAATGACGCAGTCTTCGACCTTCGCGCAAAGTACAGTCCCTTATGGCTAAACGATGCACCACCAGTCTTCTACTTCTACTGCTCAACAATCAACCGTACTTTCTCTTCAGCGACACTTGTGCGCGAGAATTGCACCTGCCTTCATTTGCGCTTACCGAGCATCCCCAACTAAAACCCCGCGAACATTGCGCCAACCTTTAGCATTGGATCGTGTACTCTTACCAGATCAATCTCATCTTCAGACTTCGAATCAATACCCATAGAATCGGAAAAGAGGAGCGAACAGAACGTCGAAAACCACCTACTCCTGCTTACCGGTTGGCGGTACAACCCCTTCGAAATATTTAGGGCCAGGCCAGGTGAATTGGGACCGAGGTAGCGTCTCCGCCTCGAATTTAGACTCGTGGTGGCCGTAAGAAGCAGAATCAACGCACATCTGCGAATTGTGCCTTCCATCCGTCCTTGTGATATCCCGAGAGCTCTGCTGCGTCAACCAACAAACGCCGAAATGGACTACAGTCTGTTCGATTATGCCGGCAATCCATGGAACGGGGCAACGAACAATGAAGTACTCACCCCGAACTTCTTCAATGGGTCGGATTATGATTTCAGCAACATGCTCAACTTCACCCCTCCTGCTGGTACCTCGCAAAATGCCATGCTTAACATGGCAGGCAACTTGCAACCCACCTCATCGAACATGCCGGGTGATTACGTTGGAGGATCTGAATATCCGTTCCCAAATCTTCCAACCAGCGCTTACCTACCAACGTCTGCTGCAGTGAGTACTGTGGCTCCAGCGAATACCATGGTTCCGGCAGATACCCTAGCTCCAACAGCTCTGGCGATCACCTCACAGAACAACAATCCAATGAGTATGCTACCACCTGCGGATGGCGGTCAACAAGGCAACTCGCAGGTCCAAGAGCGCAGTTCAAAACCGTCACTTGAAGATACAAACACTCAATCATCCGGCCAGAAAAGAGCCAGTTCATCCGTACCCAGTGCCAACCCGGATGTTGCCCCCGAACCCAAACCAAAGAGACGCCGAGGTGCCAGGAAGAAGGTTCGAACCGCGGAAGAACTTGCGATTAAAAGAGAGAATCATTTGCAGCGGAATCGAGACGCGGCGCAAAAATGCCGGCAAAAAAAGAAGCTGACGGAAGCGGAAAAGAAAGACCAGATGATCAAGGAGCGCCAGGACAACCACTTCGTTTGGAGCCAAGTCGCCATCTTAGAGGAGGAGCTAGACGCCTTTCAGACCTTCGCCTCCGATGTAGACAGTCGCTGTAATTCCGATGAGCATAAAGGACAGGCCAGAACCAGCATGGACAAGATTGTGATGCTGTCTGCAAAGCTACAGGAGCAGATCGATATGTGCAACCAACGGCGCGCGGATGTTGGCCAAGGGTTTGTCATGACAAGATCTTATGGCGGTTATGTGCAGCAGGATTCTCTGCAAGATGGTCCAGAATCCCTCCAAGACGGTCAAAGTCCAGCCATGTCACCACAAAACTCGACATATCTTCCAGGTCACGGAAGATCCAACTCATACGCCACTTCAAGCGTCGGTGACCAACCGACCGGTGGATCCAGGAGTCGGCCCATGACTGGCGACATATCGCAATCCGGGAACAGAATCAACACCGATTTTGCAAACAGTGTCAATATGTCCCGGAACGGGTCGAGTGGTTCTATCATGCAAGCAGACTCTGCAATCGACTTTAACAGCCCTGCAGGAGGTGCTAAGAAGGATATGTCGATTGAGGATGACGGCATTGGAAATCCAAAATATCGCAGGGACGAACCACTGCCTTCGCTCGAAACCACCAATGCGGACCTTTCCTTTACATTTCTTTCTCAATTGGAGCTTGGTGGTCCAGATCTGGCCAGTTAGTCGTGTTGACCATTTCGATCGGTGCTTGCGAGAGGATTTTTATACCACACCATAATTCCTGATCCACAACAGTGGATGAGCTGGCAATTTGGTTAAAAAGTGCCGAATGAATGATCGAACGGGCGAAAAACCCGTTGTGAAGGTTCCGCTGTGAAAACAAGAGCAGATCAGGTCTTGATCATCATGTATACTTAGCCTAGTGAACAGCTCTCGCTTGGTTCCCAAAAAGTACTTTTAGGAATGTACGTTTTTTTTTTCTCCGAATAGTAAATAATCGAGGGCGAGAACAGATGTGGGTATTGTACACAGATGTGAATGCTCTCCAAATAATAAATAGTCGAGGGCGAGAATGTGGGGTATTGTACACAGGTGTGGATGCAAGAGCTGTTGCAGTTGCTGTGTTGCGTTGTGTGTGCTCGTAGCAATATATCATATGAACAAGACTCGATACCAGACGTGGTGGTGACATGTCGTATTGTAGTAATATTTTCATTCCGATGCGATACGGCGCCATATTCCCCCCAATATAAGAAAGAGTCTCGGAAACTTGCCTCAACTTTTCCACTGGACAGAGAAGATTAAGTTGACAGTGTAAAAGGCGTGATTCTCGATGTTGATGCAGGCGGTGCGAAAGTCGAACTCGAGGAGAGAGGCATAAATGCGTGACGTGATGGGATGGCCCCGTGAGACGGGAGTCTTGACGACATGACATGACATAACATGACCTGAACCCGCGGATCTGTTCCAGTCCCAATTCCAGGAATTGTGAATGACCACATTTGCGCTTTGTTCCTCGCACTTTAGTATCCATTGCTTGTGGGACAGCTATTGTCATTCTTCAATACTGAGGACGTTTCGTTTCGCCAGGCTCTGATGTCTAGGTGATGTTGCTTGACGGCATTGTCGGCCTGGAGTTGGATGGGTGTTGCGTACTGGCTGGAAATCGAGAATAGAATGAACGGCTTGGATGGACCGTTGGGTTGATGGGAGTTGATGTCTAGTATCTGTGCCGCGACAGCGCCACTGAAGAGGATGGAGACTGGAGAGATTGAGGATTCATGGGGCTCGGACTTAGATCCGAGAGATTTTGGATGCACAAAACTCTGCTCAAGTTCGCTGATCGGTGGAAGTTGGTTGGAGGGATTTTCGAATATCTCATACGGATCTGGACCGAACTGGCTGCTGGCGGCAGGTTCCTATCCTATACGTCTTCTTGGATGCTAGAATCCAGTACCTTCAGTGTTGTGGCGCCTCCACCGTTGTTGTATTGCTGCTGCTTTCACTTGCTGAAGCGACTGGTTGTCGGTGGAAGAGAAGAAGGCTGGGAATACCTATTCCTTCAAATTCTGAAAAGCTGTTGTATTGACGTCTCTTGTTTGGGATGGCGGCCGAGAAGAAGAAGAAAGGTTGTCTGACTTTTTGAAAGATACATGAGTTCATCGATGTTGCTCTCTGATCTTCATACGCCGGTATGTTTTGCCCGTCGAGTCAACATAACGACGAGGAGACAAGCCTCTCCGGGAGATAGAGGAGACCGCAGTCACGCCGCGAACCCAGAACAGAATTGGCTATCAGTAAGACTGGCTGCCACTTCTTGGAGGGAAACGGTGAACCTGAGGATCGTCTGGATTCCAAGAGTCTGATATTTTGCTCTATTCTAGTGTCGTCAGCTTCATTGCTCATGAGCGAAAGAAGAGAAGAACTGATGCTGACTTGGTATTGGATGACAATTTGTTGGCACCACACTCACTTGCCGCAAGGCACTGGTCTAATCTAGTATCTGAGTAGGAAGCTGCCTTTTACGTCGGGCAGGTGAAGTAGGCGAAGTTCCTCCATGTTTGGAAGTTGCTGATATGTTGCAGAAAAGTCTATGAAGCTGGTCTCGTCATCGACCTAGAAAGACTGAAAGTGGTCGAGATGTGGTAGGCAGGGCAGGAGTAGGATGGGTGTTGCCGATTGAGCAACAAGTTATTTCGACACTCGGCGAGGTCTGTATCTCCTCATCGTGAAAATGGTTTCGTAGAAAGAAAATATCGGAGATCCTCATATTCCTCTCTATGGGATGTTTAGCATTTCGAGTGAACATGACCCATATCCAAAACCGAGCACGTTTTTGAATGTCACCGAAGTCGAATTCCATGGAGAGTAGAAACCAGAGCGGAGGTGTTTCCGGTGGAGATATCTCCGAGAAGCTGTAGGGAAGAGGGGACGTTCCAGTATAAGAGGCTTGCAACAAAGATCGCCGGACCACGTCCCCAATCACAGCATTGCGTTTGTGGCGAAGCCATGTATGACATACACAGAATTTACCAAATGCTACTACATCATTCGTAAGAATAAACAACCGCGTGACGTGACCCCAATAAGATAGGTTTCAAACCGTCCCAATTAGGGAATGGCAGGGGTGAAGTACACGATGATGTAAGATGTTTGCTCTCGCTTAAAAGTTGCACGAGGAAAGTTGTTCCAAAGAGCGGATGAAAGAACCGTACAAATGGAACATACCTGTTAATAAATACGGATCAAGCCAAGACTTGTCTCCGGTGCAGAAAGAGGAGCAACGGATTTGAGGCCCGGTGCAACAAACTTCTTTCTAACTTGGAAGTGGGAGGTCATGCTAAATGGAGTGGAAGGTATGTGAAAGGAAGTTGCTCATGCTCTGGTTTGCTGAATGGATTGAAATTCCGGCTCATATTCCTTTCCATAGAATGTGATGGACACGTTTTTGGGCTAGTGGGTTTGAAGTCAGATTGTATGTTTGCTGGAACTAAGGGCTGGTCTCCCTGTTCCTGTATTGATGTTGACGGTGGCCTTGTATGATGCAATAGATCGATTTGTTGTTATGCAATGGATGAGAAGGAAGATGTCGAGAAAGAGGAGCGGAGGCCGTGATTGTTCGCGAGGGTCGAAGAATCCGGGACCTGCTCGATGGCTGGCTGGCTGGCTGAATGCGTGCTTCCGTCCTGCAGAGGTGACAGTCCAGTGTGGTGATTGAGTTGCTCGAGGGGATGATCCTGAGGAGGAGCTCATCCATCGATCCAGGAGGATCATGTTCGGTTTGTACTGATGGAATTCTGTCCTGGTGGGATCTTGCGGTGGGCACGGTGGATACCACTTCGCCGTCGATCAATGACGAAATTCGCAACGACAAAACTGGGACGATCCGAACCTGCCATTATTGCCGGCCCTCTGTCAAAATCTGGTATAACTGAAATCATGAAAGGAAGGGAGAAAACCTGCAAGATAACTACCGATTGAATCCCACCGTAGCTCCCCGAAACTTTTGCGTCTGATATAGAGACATTTGGAATAGTTTCATGTTCCACCTCCCGGTCTGTTCCCGACCTTGAAGAGGGAGACGGAAGCCGAAAACAGCTCTTGGCGAATGGGCGATTATGTCCAGGTCACAACAACAATTTCCACTTAAAAAATAAGATAAAGCGAGTCAGATGCAGTTGACCATGATTGACACGGACTTAATAGTCATGGCCTTGTCGGTCCTGAACGCTGACAGCAATGACCAATCAGGACTCCGTTAAGCTGCAGTCAATTGCCTTTTGATTAACGGCCTCATTACAAAATAGAGTAGAGTATTCCTCGTATTAGGCTATTGCTATGTTCCATCGGCTCTGTATGCGTTGAAGGATCTATGAGCTGAAAAATACCCAGGGCCGGTGTCTGATATGTGATCTGTAATCATAAGTAAGTAAACTGGAGAATACTGAGATTTCTCCACAGCTGATGGTGGAGGCAAAATTATCTGGAGTCAATGGACGCGCATAGCATCGCAGGCGGTCATAGGAGACAGATTTGTACGGTATATAAAGACCAGTCTGCTCAAGGAAAATTTAAGGAGACAGTTCGATGGACACTTTTCTTCAATCTCGCCCACAATCCACTCGCAATGGCAAACTCAGCTGAGCCACCATTAGAGAGAAAATCAATATTGTAGACATCGATACTTTCCTGTCTCATGCTTATGATTTCGTAATCATTGGTGGAGGAACAGCAGGCCTGGCTCGAGGCTGTAGGTGGAATATGCTACTATACGAGCTGAAATAGCCGCCAAGCTCAAATCTATGAAGGTTGGCAGTCTCAGAGGAATTCAAGGGATTGGGATCCCCACGGGGAAATGTTGCGCACAGGCGGTTACAGTAAGGCGTATGATTGGTCAACTTTCAGCTTTAAGAATTATCATCACCAACTGAACGAAACACTCGAGCTATTTTTCCCCCACGAGTATCAGCTCTCTCGATATCCATCGTTTGAAGTGGAAGTGTTCTTTGTCCGGGCTTTGCAAGAATTTGTTGCTGAGGCAAGAGCTCTGTTAGATCCCTCGAAGCTTGGTAATCTCACTACATTCTGAATTCTTTTAAATTGTATAACTTTTCTCCTTCACGCATCCGAAACTTTGCACAAGGAGTTTTTCTCCTGGGTGCCTGACGAATATTTACTTTGTCGCAGTCGAACTTGCTCAGGAATTCGCGAGACTTAGACATTGTTGACATTGCTGACAGATTGCAGAATGAAAATGAGCTGTTCCAGACACATGAGAAGAAAAGATACTTGCACCTGCTGGTAGCACGACTATTCGTCGTGTCATACGAAACGTTTCAGCACACATGAGGATCAATGATCTTCACCAAGTAGCTTCTCAGCTTCTCATCCACCCCTTTCTGTCCACCCTCACCATGGCCATCAGAGCTAGTAGAAATTCGAGTAAAACCAGGAATTATGAAACCTCAACGACTTGGTTACCGTGAAATATGGGGTCACATATATAAATCATAAAGGTTACAGAAATTTACATCTAATATTAGAGCTTGAAGAAGAATAGACTAACGAGATGTCCTAGTTTGACGTGAGGGGATGCTAATTCCGTTTTCCAAATCGTCTCACAATCCGAGGTTCTTCTGGAACCTACAGTCCAAGATCTTTCTTCAGCCCCGGCACGATCGTGCCAAGATTGAAGTTCCAAACCAAAGCACTATTGTGTCCAGCAAACGCAGCACCAGACCAGTAAGTGTTTCTCTTTCCCTGAGCAGCAAGAAGCTTCTTGTAGAAGCCATTCTTGATATCTTTCGTCGAGACACGTAAGGCGTAAGGTCCATGGTCCGAAGTAAAAACGAACTTTGTCGCTTCTGCGGATCCAGGAGGAACGCCTCCAACAGCGGCAAGTGTCCCCAAATTCTTACGGATCAAAGCTTCACTGGATGCGTCAGTGTAGTTCAGGTCGTTGTAACCGATTAAAGTGGTGAAATAGCCAGGTGCGACTGTTGCCTGGATGGCTGCTGGACCCGGAATGACGGGCTGGTTATAGGGAGTCTGGACGCCAACGTTGCGGACGGTGTTGTTTAGCTTTGGGACAGTGGCAACCGCAGCCCAGTATCCCAAAGGAGAGAACTTGGAGAAGATATCTCTCTCGTCTCCTGAGATGTCGAATTTGCCAATGTTGCTCAGTGTCTGGGGGATGGCAACGAGGAGCTTCTTGGCGCGGATGAGCTTTTGTGGCTGGCCTGGTTGGCTGACAAGAATGACAACTGGCTTTCCAGTCTTTTCTGTTCGTCTGACTGATAATATTGTCGAATCCAACAATATACCATCTCCTAAGTGCTTCGCAGCAGCTTCATACAGGGTTCGTGTGTCCCCTGAAGCTGCAACGATGAACTTACCGAAGACGCTTTGGAGAAGTCCGGGACCGAGTCCCTTGATACCGTACAATGCTGGTATAGTTGAGATATCGCCTGTGTACCAATTGAAACTCGAAATGATTGAGAGGAGGGCCTCAAAACTGTACTTCTTTGCAAGTTCCCCAAAAGGCAAGAGAAGCTCTTCCGGAACTGGATCAGGGACGAGGAAGCCGGCATCAATCCAAGGGTACTTCGCCAGCACATTAGTGGTATAGCTCTGAGCTGCAGCTGCGATGGCTTGGTTTTGCGCTTGGGTGGCCGACGCGTTTTGTGCAGGAATGGGGAAGCCCAATGCGAAGTCATAGTTGGGGGTTGCAGGTGTCACTGAGGCCACGTCTATTGACATGTCAGTACTGGCTCTTTCAGTCCTTCTAAACTCCAAAATCCATCAGAATCTAGTCGCGAGACGTAGATCCCTTAATATTGCTTCACAGTGTCTAAAAAATCACCAAAAAAGGGGTGGGTATACTAACCGATGGCAGCAGTGCTAACATTAAGACGAGCAAAGTAGTCGGTGACAGCAGTTCTATTCTCGAAGACCACTACCCCGACATTGATAGGCGCGCTGTTAGGTGGGTAGAAAGTTTCAGCATCTGCTCATTCAAACATGTCAGTGGCTTGCAGCAACAAATTAAGCAATTATTAGACGTACGGCCACCAATCTGCTTCTTCTTCTCAATCACTGCGACTTTGGCGCCGGCGTCCTTGAGCTGAATTGCAGCATGGATTCCAGCGCTACCACCACCAATGACGACAAGGTCGACGTCAAGGACAACTTGATTTGATGCTGATGTTGGTGCTGGCTTCAACGATGATGGAGTTGAGGAAGGGACAATTGGAGGCGCTGGGCACTTCGGAGAAGTTAGCACTTCCTCGATTGGAAGTTCCTTGGACACGAGCGTTGGAAGTACTTACCCCGTCATCTTCATAAGTGGTTGGCTGTGCAGCAACGGAGCCGACCAAGAAGGCCAAAGCTGGCGATGTGAACTGTTTGAATCTCATATCTGCAAAAAATGACAGATCCTAGGATTGGGTGGATAAAAGAGTGACTGTTCCCGAAAAACAATAATTAGGGATGCAGAAGGAAACGGGGAAAATACTCGGGTCGAATGTCTTTATAGTTGATTGGCCCTTAAACACCTCATTTCTTCCACTTATGATGTGGTCAAACTCAGAGTTGTCGGATAGGCGGTGCGTAAAATTGGGTCAATCTCTCAAAAAACCTTGAGTCTAATCTGGTGTCAAGGACTCGGATCACCGGGATTGCACCACTTCATCTTTCTGCTTCGGATGGCGCTCGATACACGTCTTGACTACTTCCGTATTACTCACAAATTTTACCTCCCGGTGATAGCGAATTGTCAGTCCGTTCATTCCAAGTGCGAGTAGGCAGTTGACGGTTTCCACTGAAATGTAAACAAAAGAATTTAGAGGGTTTATACAATTAAGCGAGAACCTAATCCACGAAGGACAACCAACCCTGTTCTGTCATAAACTCCACCTACGGCACGTTGGAATTCCGAGGCTTTCACCTTCTCTCCCCCCCTAGACAAACGTCAAAGTTTACGCGGTAGGACTAGCTAATTAATTAACGGTTGTTCGGGACCGGAGGATGCAAGAATAGTACAGTAATACACAGGATTAGATGCTAATTTAATTCAAAAACCTTCTCTACTGAAACCCCCCCCCCCCTAACCCCCCTGATTAATCGTTAACTGGCTAGATGATCCTATCGCGTAAACTTCAACGTTTATTTAGGGAGGGATAGTATGTTTACTATGAAAAACCTAGAAATCTGATTCTATTTACTTATCCGCCACGCTGCCATCAGGATTACCCTGGACCGCGCTTCGGCTAATTCTAGCTAATACAAGAGCTGTACTTTCAAGAACAGGAAAAGCTGTCTGTTAATATCCCTCAAATTTTATAAACTAAGCCCTGTATCGTCAAACTACGATTCTCAGTAGGAAATAAGGGTTGTTTTCATGTTAATACTACGGTGAACCTTTTTGATGTTCCTCCGGAACAACTGTTATTACGCCCCGGGACCCACGGTAATCCTGATGGCAGCGTGGCGGATACTGGGCTGTGCACACTGAACGCAAGCAAAGCGGCACTTCGGGCGGCAGTTATTGCCCCTCCTCAGCTTGGTGGGCATCTGATCAAACCAGCCCAGAGTCCATCTTCCTGAATGCAAATGTTGCAGGATGGAGAACCATGTTCAGTCGATGTCCTATCCTTCAAAGCGTTCAGAAATCTCGAAAGCATGATGCATATTAGCGGATCTAGGCTCACGGCGCTTCCCAGCAAATCAGGAGCGGGACCTCGCAACCGGACAGGGGTTCCCATATTTCAACAGGCCCAGCGAATGATACAAGTATTACGAGTGCCGACCTCAACATATCCCAATGTCCTTTTTATCGGGAGTAATCCATGCCTACTCTATGCACGACCGAAAAGGACAAGCCCGAAGTCAAATAGAGCCGAAAGTCGGTTCCGCGTACAAAAACGGGTTGTCTGACTTGCATGTAAGGAACTCTCTCCCGGTACGATCTGGAAGACAGCCCACTGCCCAGGTCTGACTTCGTGTGGCTAGACATTACAAACTCAAATGCGATGAGCGGAAACCAACTTGCGCGAGATGCGAGACATTGTATATTCGAACTATTACCCTCTTTTTCGATTAAATCGTTCGATTAAATCGAAATAGCCTCTGGAACTCCTTCACAGCCTCAAACTTGGCTGGACTTTGAACAGGAATATAGCTAACCTTCATTCCCATCTTTTGACCAATCTTTTGACCCCCCTGGGAACTCTCTCTACCCAGCTCTATTTCACTATAAACTACTAGACTCACTATATCCAGGCTCTTCTCGCAGGCCATAGACCGAGATATTCTTGCTCGCTCTCTCATGTACGCCGAGCAAGCCCTCCACACAGCACCGATGTCCAACCATGCTGCAGGATATGAGCGAAAGTTTGCAAAGAGTAATGATGTGGAGAGCGGCTTTCACGCAGCAAGAGACCATCTCAAGAAATGGGCGAAACCCTTATATCATGCCGTAGGTACATGTGCTATGTTGCCACTGCAAGGAGGAGGCGTTGTAGTTACCGAGCTGAAAGTTTCTGGTGTGACGGATTTGAGGATTGTTGATGCTTCTGTATTCCCATTAATACTGCAAGGAAATACGCAGACCCTTATTTATGCGGTTGCTGAAAAGGCGTCGGATATCATTAAATCGGGTCTGCGATTGTGAACATAAGGCGCCGATGTGCACTCTCTTGGACGGCTACGGCTACGTAACCTGAAAACGGGTAGCTGCAGTATTGAACAATTTCCAGCAGCTCATTTCCAGTAGCTGTCATGCGATTGCATTAGAAGTCAGTCGGATGCTGCTACATGAGTCTCACTTGTCAGTAATATTGTGAGGATTTATACACAGACGACCCCCCCCCCCCCCCCACACGCCCCCCCCCTTGCAACCAATAGGGAAGTACTATCAATGCTACTTGCGGGGCACTTTGAGTACTTACGCCTGTACAACTCTCGAGTGTATTCCTAAAGGTTAGGGTTAGTTAGGGTTAGTTAGGGTTAATACTATCCCCCCCCCTAAACAAACGTTAAACCTCATGAAAACTGGACCTCGTGTGGGTAGCTAGCCAGGGCGTCTATCCAATAAGGATACTAACACTGCTTCAACTTCATCTCGAACCTTCTACAGCCACCCTTGCTTTTACGATTGACCAGAATTTAGCTCGTGCTCTGAGTATCGCCAGGGTCGTCTACCAGTTAGAGTACGCCTTCCAGGTGTTTAGCCCACAAAAGTACACCTTTAACGTTTGTTTAGGGGGGGGGATAGTACTAGTAGGTTAGTTAGGGTTAGAGCATAAGTATAGCACGGGGTCCCCTCTGGGGGTTTGCTAACCGGAGCGTGGGAGATATGTGATTTTATTGCTGTTTGAGCTATTGTACCTTCGCAATTGCTAGAGATTCTGAAGCTTTTGATTCGTCTGACCAGGGGGAGGCGTGTGGGGGGGGGGGGGGGTCGTCTGTGTATAAATCCTCAATATTGTCAAGGGAACGGAGGGAAAGCTCCGGGTCGCAAATCAATACAGTGTCGCTAAATGCAGTCTCTTCCATGCTCCCTTCGCTCGGCGAAGGTCTCAAGCCAATCAACTCTAGACTTCAGACAACTTTGAAACCACACTGAATTCAAATTCGGAGCGATTGGAGAACGTTCGATTAGATTTCATATTCAGTCAACAAAGGTTAGCTGTTGAGGAAATTTGATTGTACAAGAGATATACACAGCCCATGGAGCTCTCAGATACGGAACCTATTGTACACTTTTGATCCTGGGCACCAGATCGCTCTGATGCTCACTCAAGATCTGCTCCAGTGCTCCTTTCTCAATAATCACTCTTCCGAGCTCCAGTAAATCTTTCACATCCACATCCTCCACTAATTGGACCCTTCCTTCCTCACCGGCTGGCGCCAAAGCCGTGGCCAGATTCTCCCTGAAGCTATTCGTGATCAAAAGTGTCCTTCCGTCCTCTCGGCCCCAGTGATTGTGCGAGAATATATGCTTGATGAATAGAGTCTTCGGGTACTCAATGTCCATCCCATCCTCACATATTATAAGCTCCCCTCGTCTGTAGCGCCAGCTCAAAGCTGTTCTCCACGCTATATCATACATCTTCCTGGGCAGTCCTGTAGCGAAATCGCGAGGATGCGGTCCAAATGACTTTCCTCCACCCCTCAGCATAGGAGATTGCGCCGTACCTAAACGGGCCCTTCCACTTCCTTTCTGCGGTCTGATCTTGCGGTGCGATCCGTGGACTTCATAACGGGTCTTCACACTTGCTGTTCCTTGACGAGTTGCATCGCCCTCAAAGACCACGGCCCGGTGGAGGATATCTCGACGTAGCGGAAGATGCAGATGCTTACTGTCGTAGGATTCGAATCGTACGGGTTCCATCGTGGGAAATTTGTAGATGGTTGTGAGGACGGTTGGGTCTGCGATCATTAGAACGGGGTCTCACTTCTGGTTGACCACCTCGTACCTGGGAGTGAATATGTCGGATCCGTTGCAGTCTCTAGGAAGGAAGGATTAAATTCTTGTGTGAGGTTCGCTGGCATTGATGTCTCTGTTGCCATTGACCGTGAGAGTCGTGGTGCCAGGCATTGCTGTTGATTCAGTTGGTAAAGCTACAGCTACATTCTGAGGAGAGTACTTTACTGTAAGGGGATCTTTAACACCCGTTGGAAACGTCCTTATACTCCTAAAGCTCCTTGAAAAGCTCGGCAAGCCTTTAGACGCCATCGTTGATATGATCAGATCAATTGTGATGGCATCTTGAACCAGGAGTCAACAGGCAAGGTTTGGCAAAAACTCACGGAGCGCAAGAATATTTCCCCGGCAAGCTCCGGCTTCTCGACAAAATTGACAGCAAACAACCACAACATCATATCACAGCAAAAATGTCAGCCTGTCAAAAGGCCGTAAGGCCATTGGCAAGATGCTTCCATGCCAACCAACCTTCCTGCCAATCTGCAAGAGTCATTCGAAATTTTACGAGCTCTGCCCGGACGAACGATGAAGCAACCACCGAAACAGTCCCCTTAACGGCCAAGTTTGATCCAGCAACTGTTACAAACCCACGGCACGAGAAGAAGCTGATGAAGAGTGGCGTAATTCCAATTGGATCCAGAAGACGTCGTGCAGCCCTGAAGACTTCGGATAACATCCCATTCGAGCAACTGCCGTATCAATGTTTCCAGGAAGCTCGAAAAGTGCTGGCTGCAGACCGCGAGGAGAAATTGAAGCTGATTGCAACGGAACGACTGCGAATTTCGAACTTGGTAGCTATGGATGCGTCTAGTCTTCGGGGAGGAGAGGCGACAAAGCAGAAGAGGCTGGAGAGTATGAGGAGGCACTTGGAATACTTGAAGATCCAAGCAGACATCAATGATCCGTTGATCAAGAAACGATTCGAGGATGGAGAAGGCATGTGGAATTTTGCCATCAAAATATTGGAAACTTGCTAATGCTATTCGCAGGAGACATGAACAAGCCCATCTACCGACACCTCGCGGACAGGAAGTGGCGCGAATATCAACGAAAGATCATAGTCCAGCGTATAAATCAACTCGCAATCGTTCCCGATGTCTTACCATTCTTCGAGCCGACTGCAGATGTCAAGATGGCATTCAGAGATCGAAACGTTCAAGCTGGCGAATTTATCGATTCTCGAGTCAGCGAAGTCCCAGCACGACTGAAAGTACAGGTTTTTGACAAAGGCGCAAGACTTGTCACTGTTGTTGTAGTGGATTCCGATGTGCCGCTTGTGGAGAAAGATAATTTCATATCACGATGCCATTACTTGGCTACCAACATCCAAATCTCACCTGTAGAGAACTCAGTGCCTCTTTCGAAGGCCACGGACTCCCAGCTAGTCTTGCCTTGGCTGCCACCTTTTGCTCAAAAGGGATCCCCATATCACCGATACTCAGTCTTCGTTATCGAACAAAACCCAGGCCAAACGCTGAACGTTAATGACTTAAAGGATTCAGTCAAGCGAGATAGGTTCCTCCTGAAGAGCTTTATTGACAAGCACCAAATCAAGCCAATTGGGATGAGCATCTTCCGCAGCTTATGGGACGAAGGAACGGCTGGTGTGATGAGCCGAGCAGGTATCGAAGGAGCGGATATCGAGTTCAAGAGGAAGAAGGTGATTGCGATTAAGCCAAAGCAGAAGGCCAGAGGCTGGGAGGCTCGTCACTCTGGTGGAAAGTATTTGTCGCTCCAGAGGTGATGATGTTTGTATAGAGTATACCAATTGTACCATATTGTACCATGAAAGCAGAAAGTGTCTGCTATCCTGTCGAATTCAGACTTTAAACTCTCAATTTGTCCGACTTTTGGCGCATGCGCTTTTGCTATTGAGAACGGCTCGATACTGCGCTGAAAATTCTTCTTCTGGCTATGATTCTGCTCCTCGAAGCTGAGCATTGTGAATCATTCAGTCACCATAAGTCGAAATGACCTTTGTTTGTCAATGAGCATCCGTACATGCAAGTTCACCTTTTCAAGTGCGAAGTAGAACGAAAATGTCTGTCGGAAGCATGCCCGGAGTCTCAAGCACCACGCTTCTGCAGCTTGTTGAACAAGCTCGCTTAAGGGTCAACAAATGGCCCTGCAATACCCCAACTTGACATTGAAAGATACAGCTTGAGAATTTGGGAGACTCTCATCAATTCGCTGTTGATACGCAAGTTTTTGTACGAAGAGCGGAAAAGAAATTGTATTTGTGTGATTGTGACTAACTGTGCGTTTGCTCCACGAGATTGGCAGCAAAGTTTTCATCCCAAATCGATGTACCTCCTCTATCTTATCCCAACACCTCCTCGAGACTTCAAAAAAGTCTTTGGCACACTGTGATAATTCCCGCCATAAGAGCCGTAGACAAGATATTCATGAGTGCTGGTTTTCCTGCCGACTGTCCTTCTCTGGACTCCTTGATCGTGAACTGCAGTTTCACAGTTATCAAAGCTGGTGGTGGGTCCGTGGTGGAAAGTTGGCTAGTTTGAGCAGCTGTAGGTTCTGGTTTAGGTGCAGCTGTGACGGTTTGTGTAACAACAGAAGCAGGGGACATGAGAAGAGTTGAAGCAGCAGCTTCTGTGCTGCGCATATTTGTGGTGGAGGTCGTGATATCACCGTCTTTTCCTGTTACCATAGAGTCTGCCTCCCTCGTAGCTATTTCTGACGTCGCCATTATAGTAACGCCATCACTTACCATTAATATCGATATTGGTACAAGTGTATGTTGATCAGGAATGACGATATCTGCCAGTTTATGTGTCGTTGTTTTTTTGGTCGACATCCAGCCTCCTCTTTTGCCAAGTCTCGGTGCCGGAACGACTGAAAGGGTTGTTTCTGTTCCGTTTGATACCGGAACTGTCGCTTGGACATATATCGTAGAAGAATGTTTCTTCGTGCCGAATGCAACAAGCAGCACAATGGTAATGAGCATCAAAATAACCATCAGACTCGCAGCTCCCACGGCAACAAAACAAATCCACTTCTTGAATCCACTTTTTCTCTCAAGAAGTGGGGGACTTGGTGGTGGTGTTGGCACTTGTGGTCCGAGATTCGGAGGCGTTGCGATCATTATTTGTGGCCTCTCACCAGGAGATAGATGTGGTGGATTTGATTCGAGGGATCCTCGTCTAGAGGTGTGATCTGTGTAGGTTGTTTCTTGAGAGATGGGTCGCGGTTGACTCGGGAAATGGTGATTTTTCCTGAGGTTTACCGACCGTTCAGGTCTCAGCGAGTTTGGCTTCTGGATAGAAGTATGGAGATTTAAGGAAGACATATTTGAGATTTCGAGGTTTGCGGATAGGGCGAAGGAAGAAATAAACACTTATTTAGATGCAAAGGTGGAGGAAATAGTGCAGTGGGCTGTGTTGTTGAATCATTGGCAGTTTTCTTTCGAACATTGAACTGCGAAGTGACTGCCTGTTCGTGACTGTGATATCGTCTTGCCTCTCTAGTAATCATTCCACATGGCCTCCAACCACACGAATGTCCTCATTGCGTTCCCACCTTCTGACAATTATCTGTAGTGGTGCAATTTTCACTTCCCGAAAATATCTGTCCAGGGTGGATTCGCTGTGCCTGTGGAATCGTATATGAAAGCATACCACAAGACAACAACCACAATATTCGTCAGGAAGAAGCACAGCGACACCCAAGCTTCAAAGTCGATGAGAGATGGCTGCGGAATCGGAGGATCGGAGTGCTGACCCCCCTCACCCGGGTCTGCAGATGGCTGTTCAATGAGTAAGGCGCTTGCGACGACTGGCCAGCGGCGACAGATCCATAAAAGCGAGAACCAGAATCCCGAATATATGGCTGCGATGAAGTACCAAATAACAGCCATAATTTTGCCTCTATGCAACCACAATGGTGGAGGGGGGATGAATGGCTTGGGACAATCATTACAGGCTTCTTTGTTCTCGCTTCTTCCTTCCGACACAAGAGCAGACAGAAACAAAAACATTGCTGCTGCCTTGAATTGCAGATTAAGAACCCGTGTTGGCTTATCCTGCTGGGGAAAGCGTCCAGTGTACTTCAGGCCCAGCCAGATCAGCCCAATGATCATGGCTGATACAGTTGCAGTAAGCGAAATGGAAACCAAAAGCGTTCTTGTGAACCGCAAGATATTTCGGGCCAAAGCAGATTCTGCCATTTTGTTGATACCTGCTAACCACAACCACAAGACCTCAATTGCCCAGATGAGAAGGCCTAGGTGAACAAGAAGCGCACTAGCACTCGCGACTCGGTCGACCCTGTCCAGCTTTAGTGCCAATATATCGGATTTCTGATTCTCCAGATTCTGCACTGTTTGCAAGCCCAGTCCAGGGAGCTCAGAGGCTCGCATTAGCCGTGATTTGTTTAACCGTGATGGGGCTGATATCAACTCTACCACTACGAACGACGCAGCGAACATTAATCCCCAAGCCTTTGTCCACCAGAGACCAGAAAATCAGGCAAGCTTAATAGCTGCTGGAAGTGGACCCATAACGAAGAATAGCCATCGAGGCCATGTCCGACTTGATGCTGCCTGGGATGCGTCTTGGCCTCCACTGATTCTGGCTTCCAGTCTTGACATTACAACCAATTGACTCGCGCATACGATACTAATCTGGAGATGAATAAGTGGACTGATCATTCGGATAAGCGCAGATATCGCATCAGCCAGCGTCATGATCGGGGAGCTTGAGAGGTAGATCCTGTAACGACTTGGTACCCCGCAAATTCTGGAGGAAGGTTGGGCCATAGAATTGATGGCAAGACAAAGCAGGATCCAAAGAATGACATGCCATGTCACTGGGGACTCCACAGGTACTGCCAAGACCTGCTTATGGGTTGCTGAGATCGCGTTAGTGCTGAGAGATGAGTCTGACGGAGCTTCTGTGCTGGAGAATTTGATTCTAAGGATAAGACTCACCCGGCAGTGCATCTTCACTGTCTAGCATGATCTTCTAGTCGGTACAACCCTTCCAAATTTCGAATATAAGGTGGAATTCAAGTGAGATGGAGAAAAGAGGACATCATGGAGAATGTAATGTTGGAACCTGGCAGGCTGCGTATCTAGCGCTGATAAATCGATCCACCATGCATCGCTGAGCTGTGCTGGGAGCCAAGCCACTGACGAGTGTGTATGTTGTCATTTTGGAGCAACTTGCCCCAAATATTTATCTTTGATACAAAATACACAAAAGTCAAGGCAACGTAACCTAAACACTTTCATTTAGAGTAAAGCGAGATGTTCGTGTAACACGTGACCAGGGGCGTGATAGTAGGTGGTGAATTGAAAGATAAGGTACCTTTCCGACCTGTCTTTCTTCCTCCCCCAAAGTACTAGAGATACATATAAACAGAATACTACGAGACGAGGAACAGTTTAGGGCTGGTATAAAACTCAAGGTATTCAGCGCATGAGTGGGTCGGAGCAAGAAGAACAGAGTAAATCACATTCATACACATCACCATCTTCCCTCTTCTATAGAATGAAAGTTACATTTTGAGGCTTTCAAAACATTTGTAGCAGAAAATCTCGTAAACTAATGAATTCTGGAGTGAATCATAACGATGTAGAATCAAAATCGGCACCAACTCGCTACTTCGAGCTGAGCCCCAATCAAAATATCCACGACCAGTCAAAGACAAGTAAAAATAAAAATTGCCAAATATGAGGGCGAAGAACCCTTTCTTCACAAATTTAAGGCACCCCGCGCTTTCAGCCGGCTGTATCTTAGATATGGCGAGATAATCAAAAGTCATACGATGCGGTCTCACCCGGGTTTCGCTTCAGTTTCCCTGCTCTCCCCTGAACAAGTCGGAGAATATTAGGAAAAAAGCATGCCAATTCCCTAAGGCAAAGGTTTATAACTATCTCCTCGCTCACCAGAGATCCTAGTACTTTCATATCCTTTCTCCACTTTCCCCAGATTCTCGTCATTTTGCCACTCACTCACCCCATCTCGCCAACCATCTTGCTGTTTTGTTCACCACTTCATGCACTTCCTCATTTACTCATTGCACCCAATCCAGTCCACTACCTAACCAGCCAGCATGTCATTTAACTACCCTAATGGGACAACCATCCTCCCTCAACGTACCATCGACGTTGTGGGCTTCGGGAAAGTCGCCATCGTAACCGGCTGCGCATCAGGCGTCGGTTTGGCCACAGCCCAAGTCTTCCTCAGCCACCAATACGAAGTCCTCGGTGTCGATATCATGGATATGGAGTATTCGAAGATCGACCAGCGAGATCAGGGCAGGTTTCATTTCCATAGATGTGATTTGATCGAAGAAGGGGGTTGTGATGAGGTGGTTAGGATATGTGTTGCGAAATTTGGGTAGGTCTTTCGTTGTGACCGACCTGTCTTAATAACTTCAAATCACTTATATTATTCCATAAAGTTTCCTTAATATCATTGTGGCTTTCAAAAGCAGAAATCTAACATCAATAGACCGAAAATCGACGTCCTAGCAAATGTAGCAGGAGTCATGGACGCATTCGAAGCAATCGACATCTACAGCGATGCAGAATGGTCACGCATCATGAGCGTCAACTTAACAGTGCCAACACGAATGATTCGCGCAGTCATCCCGTTCATGAAAGCGAAGAAGAATGGTTCAATCATAAACGTAGCCTCCAAAGCAGCTGTCTCAGGTGCTGCAGCTGGATTGGCCTACACGACTTCCAAGCATGGGCTGCTTGGCGTGACGAAGCATACGGCGTGGAGGTTTAGAGATGAAGGGATTAGATGCAATGCTGTATTGCCTGGAAGTAAGTTCTATCATCTTAAGTCCGCCGTTCCTTAAATCCTCCTCTGTCCACGCATCACCGGACATCCGAAGCGACGAAATTCTGACGAGATGTGTCTAGCAATGGAAACGAATATCAAAGCTTTCGAGAAGAGCGACCATTTCGATGAAGCTGGCTTCGCTGCGCTCCGGTAAGATAACAAAAGCCTTCTCATATTGAAATCATCTCTTCCAAACAAAAACTGACAACTTGACAAGTCCAATATGGGAGCTGCACAACCCAGTAGGAGAAACACCAAGTATTACGTCCACTGAAGTAGCGAACGTGATCTTATTCCTCGCTAGCGACGGTGCAAGAGCCATCAATGGTGTTGCGCTACCAATTGACAAGGCTTGGGGAGTAATCTGAAGGTTGTCTGGGAACCAAGCGTAGCATTAGCTGTGGAGTCTTCGAGGATTTGGAAGCTTAGAGGCTTGTGTTGCGTATTTACGTCCGTGTTTCTATGTATTTTTGTTCACGGGTCTTGCTAGAATTCAACGTCAATGGAAAAGAAAACCTAGCGGTCCTCCCTCAAAGAATCCCCTATCACCCTCCCAAGCCTTAACAATCCAATCCCTTCCCCTCTCCACAACACCCTCAACCTGTTCCTCCGTTCCCCAACCCTGAACTCTCGAGCCCCAACAAATCAAGTGCGTACCTACATGTACCGCAGTTTTAAACGCCATTTCCTCGTCAATGTTCCCGTACCCCTGCATGAACGCTTCAATGAGCCAGACACCTGCATCGATGTCCTTGAAATGCTTAAGCTCAAAGAGCTCTGCAAACATCTGACCGAGATCGTAGGCCGGTGAGGCAATTTGGCTCATTTCCCAGTCGGTGATGTAGACTATTGTTGGCGATGGGTCGTCCGGTATAGGTCTGTCTGGGAGGAGCACACTGTTAAGTTATCAGTGTCTAGCTAATAGTCCAACCCAGAATTTTACACCCCGAAGCAGGCAGAACAACTCACTTCCCACTCCAAAAATCCCCATGATTTAGCACTATCCCCTCACTCTCCATCTCCTCCCTCCTCACCTCCCTAACCTTCTCAAAAACCTCCCTGCTGCTCTCTAAAAGATGAGGAAACCTCTCCACAGTGCCAACAAGCGTGTCATAATTAATAGTAAATTTCAAATCACGCATAGCCACATTCCCCTTCATAGCTTCCACCAAGCCCTTCTGCTCATCAGCTTGAGCCCAGGAGTGGAAATTCCGCGTCCAGAGACCGAGTGCGTGGCCTAGACGTTGGCACTGTAGGTGAGTGAGACTGGAAGCATGTTTGAGGACGTAGGTTTTAAGGTCTAGCGAGGAGGGGAGGTCGCTGTAGATTTGGGTGTTGGTGGTGGGGGAGAAGAGGTGCATGGTTGGCGTCAGGACGGTGATGTTGCTGTGTGTTGAGGGTGGGAGAGTGGAGAGAGCTGTGAGGACTGTTTGTTCGTAGTCCTGCTTGTTGGTTAGAACGTGCCAGAATATAGACTACAAGTTTGATATTGAGATTAACTTACGCATCTCGTAGTCGTTATCTTGAACCCGGGACTTTGAGCTACATAACCCTCAGTGTGCTTGATGACTACCGTCGTCGCGCCATCTGTGAGAGGAGTTGCGAGTACTCCACGGTACACGAAATTGGCCGTTCCACCAGATAACTTCGTGAGCGATGTGCATGCATATGGACCATCCTTCAGACTGTTTGAGACTTTAAGCATCATCTCATCGTGAACCTCTGTTGCCATGGTGTTGAGTTAAGAGGAAGGCTCTTGGCGATCAAGTGAAATAAATGGCTTTGTTGTGAAACGAAGAGCTTAGCGAGTTGGAGAGTAGACTGTTTACTTCATCTACTCAGCACCTTGGGGAAGCAGTGGCCCTGGGCTAAGTACTGCAGTGAGGATCGACAATCCGTAAAATTAAACGGTGGAGGGACTGAAGAGGTCAATCATGAATGAGTCACGCCGGGTCAATCTGCATGCTCAATGCAGGAGAGACTGAGAAGCAGATATCTACTTTAGACTGAGTTTTTCGGTTGCATTGGTCTCAACAGGACATACCTGCCGAATCCAGCCATGGACTGAGACACACTTGTAACTTATTTTTAATGCTGTGGAACGGAAACAGATTCCAACGAGGCGCCAAGAATCCTGCAACCTAAGCCCAAAAGATGCTAGTCCTGCATACTATTGATGTAGGACGTCGTACAGGTCTTGTCGAAGCAGTTCCTGAGAGTAGTGAAGGGATGAATATTCTTGAGCTTCCATTAATATCATGTCCATAAGCAAGCTAAGAGAAACAAGTCAAAGTCTTCCCATTCCCTTTTGATCACCAGTGCCCTTTAAACCCCTCAGCAATGCAACCAACCAGCCCGTACCTTTTGAAACAATATCATCTCCCCATCCGCTCAACCATGCGGAAAAAACGCCATGCTAAAGCTATGCAAAAACCATGAAGCAAATCTGCAATCATCATCCCATAAACACTCCCCTTCCTGTCCGGCAATTAAGAAGTAGGATCTACTCCGCACCTCCTTGGAATCTCATGGCTAGGACCCAGCTACCATCAAACTCCACTCCACGTCTAACTCTCGTGCCAGCTTTCTTCCAAACTGCAGCTCCTAAACCGATGTCTGCAACAAATAGCTGCCAGTCCTTGCCCTTGCCGTCTTCATCGGCTATACCTTCACCAAGAGTCATTGCCTCCAAGAGACCTTTCTTTGGTGCGCCCATTGCGACCACGTACTCGGCATGGATATACAGTTGGCGACCATCGATAATGCTGACCTTTCCACTAGTGGGATCAATACCAGTAGGAACGTCAATGGCCAAGACGCGAGCTTTGCTCCGATTTGCCCATGCAATCAGCTCGTAAGCTGTAGCTTGGTCGCCTGTCCGCAGCTCTTCAAATGATATAGTGAGACCAAGTAGACCATCTATAATCAGCTCAAGAGGTGCATCGAGGGTCTTGACGTACTCCAGAAGCTCAATTTTGGTGACTGTTCTGCCTCCGAAGCCTCGAAACACTTTGATTTGCCGTCTTAAGCCAACAAGTAGTTCTGATTCTCGCTCCAGCCCAAGAACGCAAATGACAACATTTAAACCGTGATTTCTAATATGTCGACCGGCAGCTACCGCACGTAGTCCACTTTTGTTGTTTCCTGCTAAAACAACCACTGTAGGTATTATGCTGTTCTTCCCTTGAGTTAAACCTCGCCCGCCACCGGTGTTGAGCGCAGACAAGGCAACTTCGGCAATGCCTCGGCCAGCATTCTCAGTCATCATATCTTCTGCAAGGCCAAGTTCGTTGTCTGCAATATTCTCAAGATTGAGCATCTGTAACGCTGAAATTGTCTCGCAACGCCGATCCGACGGAACCAGGAAGAAGGATGGTTTGGCAGCGGGTGATGGGATCTTTTGGCAGTTAGTATCTGAGGCCTTGGCATGATCTGAAAACCTTACTGAAAGGGTTCGAGCAGGATGTATACCAGCGCTTCCCTTTCGAGAAACTGGTCTTCGGTTCAGCGACAACTTGCTCTCAGCTCGTTCGGTTCGGCGCGAGCGTCTACCACTTCCTGATCCACGCTGGCTACCTCTTGCCTCTTCGTCGTCACTGTCACCTGCCTCACTTTTCCAAGCCGTTGTTTTTGCTGGGCCAGTGGGAACATCGAGGACGTTTTCAGTGTAATGTAAGTTCTTTCCACCAGCTGTTCCCGGCTTCGCCTTAGGCAGCCTATTATGGGATACAAGTCGGTCCTCATCCGCGACACTATCTTCAGCTTGTATTTGGTTGAATACGGTATGCTTGTCGAATTTCGCCAGACTTCCTACAAAGTCAAAGTCGCCCATCTCCTGTACGTCTGTAGCATCCTCGGTTTGCCACCCATTCTCCTCTATTTTCCCATTCCTTCGCCTATTTTTCTTCAGCGTCGCCAACGGCTGGAACGAAGTCGTCGGCTCCAGGAGAGGTGTCTGTCTCCATCCTTTAGAGTTCGTAGTATCCTTTTTTGTCGTGGCTAATGAATCTACGGCGCCATCCTCTCCTGTTTTGCGACCTTTCCTCGATCTTCGCGCTTTCTTCTGTTTGGCTGCCGGTTGCTCTGGTTGGACTTCTGCCTCTCCGTCCATCTCCTCTACCAATGTGGAACCATTCGCTGCACGACTTCCACCCTCAGCGACGACGCGCATGCTCTCCATGGGCTCCACTAATGTCGCAGCAGGAGTGATATCTCGAATTGACCGAGAGTTCCTTCCTGTCGCAGTCTGTGTGGAGTCTGTCCGTTCCATAGATGTCGCACTCCATTGCGGTGTAGGTAGAGCAGGTGTGTGATTGATTACAGGCGTTGGTCTCTTCCCCATGCTCAGGATAGCTGGATCTTCGAAATGTTTTGGCTTAACAGCTGGCGAAGGGTATTGGGCAACAGGATATGCTTGAGGAGGAGGAGGCTTATTAACAACAGCGTTCTCATTTGTAGCTTGCTCAAGATTGGCAATCTCTGCAACCTTGAGTGACAGCTCTGGGACGTATTTGCCATTTCCTGTACAAATGACTAGGCAGGACTTTATATTAGCAAAAATAAGGCACAGGCAGGAAGCGAATATACCATTCATGAGAGTCAAGCCCATTCCAGGCTCGATATTCTTGACCACACCCCTCACTTGCGCTCCAGGTGGCTCTCTGAGCGTCACCAGCATGGTGAGTCCAATGAAGCTGTAAGACATCCTGCCGGGCGCCGTTCTGTGTTCCAACGTTCCTTCACCTCGATATTTTGTTCTCTGGTTGGCGCTCGCGACTTTGTGACCCCACGGCTGGAAATCGTCTGATCGCGGATATATCGTAGGCTCTGCTTGGGGGCAATACAAAGGCTACCTAGAGACCTGTCGTCACTCTGGTAGATAAGAAGGATTGAGACGTAGAGTACCGTTGAGTGTGGAGTGTTGAAGGAAGTCGCGTGGGTGAGACAAAAGTATATTTTCGGGCATTGCTTACCTACGACAGGTACACTTAGCTTATCGATAAGGAACTAGTATTTCCATCCCTTCACTTTATCGCATAAGCTCACTTTACATCGGAATCTGCGACTTGAAACCTTAGCCAAGTTGATTAAAAGAATCTACTGTTCTGTTTCATATCTATAAGTTGGCCATTCATTATCTGTTTCTGGCTAATTTAGGCCTTTTTCAGTATTATTCAAAGCCTTATTCTCAAGGTCCAAAAATGCTAGAGAAACTGGAACTTAGCGGTATATTTAACCTTGTTATTATTAGTTCAGAACAGAGACACAGGATAGTTCTAGTACGAAATGGGGAACTTCGTACTAAGCCCCATTGATCTCGTCGTATTAGGTAGTTTGGAATCGTTGTATCCTCCAGAGGAACCTCTGCAAGTTACTCAAGAAGGATAGGACTAATCCCATCTCTTACCTCTTACTCATCCAGACCAGCTATCCTGAAATGTGTCCTCTCAATAACTTTCTATTGAAGATTGCTACAGGTGCTATTGCAGGCAGGGTAAATCTCTTCTTCAGCTTCCTTCCATAATAGCCTGAGCTGGCCCAGCAAACGTCCAAACGTCGTTTCTGGACAGCCAGTCCGACAAGCCACATCTAACATGGGATATTTCGCCAACACCCGGTTACAAGAACTTGTGACATGTCAGATTACTCCTTCCCATGCAGCATCCTTCTACCATACTCCGAGGTAACGCCAAGCAATGATAATACTTCTCCAAGACAGACAGCGAATAAGACATGCTCTTGGCTCCTCAGCCGTATGCTGCCAAAACTGCTTCTTCTTCATCGTCGAATTCATATCCTCTCGTTTGCTCCAACTCAGCCATCATGAATTCTTCTTCGTAACTGGTAGCTTTCTTCGTGGTGGCGGGTGGCTTCGCAACTGTCGGATGTTTGAGAGCCTTGTTTACGCTGTACAAGCTGTCATAGAACTGAGCAACCCGTGGATGGGCCATGACCTTATTTTTGTCGAAATTCTGTACTTCGAGTCCAGCTTGGCTGGTAGCCCGACTGAGAGCAACATATGCTTGTCCCTTCTCGAAAATCTTCTTAAGGTCGATCTTGACTCGCTCTAAAGTTTGTCCTTGCGCTTTGTGAATGGATAGTGCCCAAGCAAGGATAAGTGGGAGCTGAGATCGTTGTGCTTGCACCTCGCCACTGGGCAATTCCACCTTCCATTCTTCTGGCTGGACTAGGATTGCTCTGATAGTTCCGTCGGCCGCTGAGAACTTTACCAGTGGATATAGTCGGCCTGCATCCGCTGTTGACTCCTTCGCGGACGAAAACGTCGCTCTGATTTTGGACCGTTCTTCTCTCGCATCTTCAGTCAAGTCTTCGTCGTCAATTCCGTCGTCAAATAAATCTGGACTTTTGTCGTACATCTCAAACGTCTTTTCGCTCATGAAGGCGGAAACCTTGCCCAATGAGCCATTAACTAGGCCATCATCCATATTCTTGATCAACATCACTTGAGCGCCTTTCTTCAGCTCAAGAACTTTCGGGGCCATCATATTAGACAGAAGTTTGTCACGCATGGCAATGTCTGTGATGGTGCCAGTATCTCGAGCTTCGTATTTGTAGCTCTTACCCACTAAGCTCCGCATTCTAAATGCGTTCGAATTTTCAACCTCATTTCTCGTTGGAAAGCTAGACTACAATTAGCTATGAACGTATCGTGGAAGAAATAATAGAGGTATCGTACAGTTCGGTGGAGGCTAAACCATTTTCATGCGGAATCGGTCTGCTCAATTTCTTGAATGCAGCAATGGTTTCGTTTGTAATCTTGCCCAAGCGCATCTCGTTGAGCATATTTGCAAAAACTAGCCGGTCAGTAGATGTAATAAATTTCTCAAGATAGCGGTACTCACCAGGATCCTTCTGACGGAAAACTTCTGTAAGACCGATTGTATGATGGATCGCTGTTGGCCAAGTACCGGCGTCAAATGCAAACTTGACTGCTCTTGCTTTGTTATCATAATCCGGTACGGGTGGTAATTGGAAGAAGTCGCCAGTGATGACTAGCTGAATGCCACCAAATGGTCGTCCATTGTTCCTCATCAGTCTCGCAATACCTTCCAGCTTGTCGAACAAGTCTCCATCCACCATAGAGATCTCGTCAACAATTAGAATCTTGGTTCGGATCCATCGATTCTTCGCTTTCTGATTCCGCTTGATCTTCTTCACAAGCGCCGGTACGTCCTCCTTGCCAAGTCCAATGCCCCCAAAACTGTGGAGGGTAACACCGCCAATATTGCAAGCAGCTAGACCTGTGGAGGCGGTAACTGCAACGCGGTCTGGCTCCCGCGAGTACTTCTTGCGCAATTCTGCGATGATGGCTCTCATCAATACCGATTTTCCCGTTCCCGCTGATCCAGTGAAAAAAACACTTTTGCTCTGATTCACGACTAGATCAAGAACTTTCTGCTGCTCCTGGCTGAGACTGATTGGCGACACAACAGCTTTGCGACGTCCTCCTTCGGCGACCATATCATCTGCTGTTTTTCTTGCCTTCTGCTTGTCCTTGAACTTCTTCTTCTCCTCAGCAATTGCACTACCAGTATTGTTCCATGGCATACGTTTCTCTTTTGGCGTGTAGTCCCAGTTAGTCCCTTGGCCCTTCTTCAAGTTGGAGCATTCATTGGCGTAATGTCCAGTTTCTTTACACCGGAAGCATATGTTGCTCTGCGATCCAGACGATGCGACTGACGCCGCTGCATCCTCTTGCTCTCCTCGTAATTCCGCGATCTCGTCTTGTTCCGCACGCTTCTTGATCCACGGCAATGTTCTCCGTTTCGCCTCTCGAGGGTTAGGGTCAGGGAATATTTCATTAGTAACTGATGATTCCTGAGCTGCATGCTCTTCTTGTTGTCGTCTCTTCAGCGCACCGGGCGGTGTCAGTCTATGTGACGGCGGCGAAGAAGACCATGTCTGCGCGCTGCTCGTTGGATTTTTCCCAGGAGCTTGCCGGGTTAGATTTGGAGAAGGTGTTGGCTGAGATTTAGTCTGTAGTGGCTTCGGGGGTGCTGCCATAGACATAGGTAGTTCATAGTCCATATCTAAGTCGATGTCTGCATCATCGTCGAAGTCGTTCTCATCAAAATCGACCCCCGCGTGGGTGAGGATGGAAGGCTTCGAAACAATCGAGGTATCGCTGGTGAGATCAATTGTGTCTGGCATATCCCGGAAGGAGTCTTTACTGCTGAAGACTGAAGATAAAGAAGATGCAGTGGATGAGAGGCCGGGAACCGACGAGATACTTGGAGTTCTGCTGAAGGGTTGTTTGATATTTGGTGACCTCGCGCGCAAAGGGTTCGAGGAATTAGACGACTTCGAGGGAAGGGCTGGCTTTGCGAAGGTATTTTTGTAGCCTGTGAAGCCGCCAATGGATTGTGTTGACGGGCGAGCTTTCTTGAATTGCTCCTCGATATTTCCGTTTTGTGCGGGGCTGCTGGACGGAAAAAGTTGTTTCTCGAGAGGGGTCTTGGGTTTCGAAGCCTCATGGCTTCTGACTGCCTTTCCTAGCATGGCGGCTGCAATCGAAGAGTAAGGGAAGGCGGTGGCAGGCGCATCGAGAGTTGTTGAAAGATAAGGGGCAATCCGAGCTTTCCAGCAACTCGCAAGCAGTCCTCGACGGGCCAGTGAGAGAGCCGGAAAGCGGATCAAGCCAGCCGGCATACAATCGGTCGAGGTATGACTGGAGTTAGGCGTTCAATCCATGGAGACTGGATGCGAATGGAAGTGATCAGGTTCCGGTCCGATGTTGTCGTCGTCGTCTGCTCTTTGTCGAAGTGGCTTGCCTCCTTCGCGTAGAAAGCGCGGTCGACGTGTCGCGCTAGTATTTTAGTCACGTGTGCCTACAACAGCCTCCGGAGTGCTGGCCTTCCAATTGTCTTGGTGCTTGATCGATGTCACGAGAAGTACAAGTGCAAAAGTCAAAACGTATCGTTGTATATAGAAATCACAAGTAGTCCTGCGATGAAAGCATTTTGTCGGCAGTATTTCACTCTACCTTTTGTTCCAAAGGCTGGTAGACAAGTGATGGGAAGTGGTATGGCTCTCTTGTGTACGGAGAGTCTTGTGAATCCCCAACAGCCGGGTAGATACATATTCCACTCTTTCAATATTTCAGTGCAGCTCGACTACCACATCTCACAGATTCAGTATCGTCAATTTTATTATCAACCACACTCAACACATCCATTTCAAATCCTAGTGTCATTAGCTACAAATCTCATGTAACTACCATCCTACTTTCAATACAAACAACAAGAGCAAAGTTGAGACGTAGGGAATTGGGTAGTCGCTAATAGTAGATTCGTGGACTCATGAGGACGAGAGAGGCGAATGAGAAGGCAAGAATCAAAATGCCGAAAGTATCCAAAAGTCAATCGACGAGATAGCCTAGAAAAACAACTTTTAGTCGACGCTTGATCTCACCATCCCAAAAATAAGACACAGGAATTTGTATTGAGAAAAGCATCTTCAAATGAGAAAAAAAAGGTCTTGTGCAGATTCCATACTGAACAGCCTGGGGCTAGCAGAGCAGCATGAAAAGAGGAGACCAGATGCAAGAAATCAATCTCAAGTTCATATCCCCCACCACGAGAAAAAGCAGCAAAAGATCAAAAAGAAATCATCGATGTGAAGGCAGCCGTGGATGAATTAGCCTTGGTAGCCACCGAAGCCATTTCCAAAATTTTGGGCAGCAGGCGCACTCCATTGGGCATTTGGTGTTGGCTGACCACGTCCATAGCCACCAGCGCTGGCAGATCCTCCATACATTTGAGGGTTGGCATATTGACTGGGAGACTGGGCTGGACCACCGTAGCCACCTTGGGGTGGAAATTGGCCAGGAGTCTGACCAGTAGGCATTGGGCCAGCTGACTGGGGACCTTGGGGTTGAGGCATTCCACCGTATTGAGGGAAGTACTGCGAAGGAGTTCCTGGATAACCACCAGGTGTGGGTGCTTGTGGGCTCCAGGCAGCTTGAGCTCCATCCAAGCCAGGTTGACTAGGTGCCTTGTCCTTACCCCACTAGATTCAAGTTAGCCACCTAAGCAGATAAAGATAGGTGTGGTGTTCACTTACACTGCACTTGAGAGGACGGCCATTGACATTATAACCACTCAATTGACAAATGGCCATGGCTGCGTTTTCGTGTGTATCCATCTTAACAAAGGCGAATCCACGATCAGCTTGGAAGCGAGTCTCAACGACGTAGCCGAAGTTCTGGAAGAGAGGGATAAGGTCATTCTGGGTGGTGTATGGTGTGAGATTGCCAACGTAGACAGTGGTTTGCCAAGCAGGGGTCTGTTGAACAATCATGTCGTAGCTTTGGACACCGTGGGTTGGGAAGTGGTGATGACCAAACGGAGTGGTAGGAGTCATGCCCATGGCAGACATAGCTTGTTGCTGAGAAATCGAAGGCTGGCCCTTCTGGTTGGCCCAGTTGCATCGAATGGCGCGAGAGCCCAACCATTCGCCATCCATAGAGCTCAGTGCCTTCTCAGCATCTTGACGCTCACGGAAAGCAACGAAGCCGTATCCGCGAGAGCGACCAGTTTTCATGTCCCACATAACGCGAGCTTCGGAGACCGAGCCAAAGGCAGAGAATGCTTGGAGGAGTACTTCATCATTGACTTCGTTTGAGAGATCGCCGACGAAGATATGGAAGTGGTTGGAGGTATCTTCCTTGTTCGAGGTGTTGGATTGGTATGCCCAGTTCACACGGATTTCCTGCAAGAGAAGACTATTAGTATCGCAGACAAACAGGAGGTGAGAATAGCTCCAGCACATACCGCCTGGTGCACACGTCTGCCGTTCAAGGTCTGCATGGCGCGTTCTGCTGCTCCGGGGTCGTCGTATTCAACAAAACCGTAGTTGAAACCTTTTGACTAGAGTACGAGAGAAGTTAGCGGCGCGAGCTTTTGTAGCAAGAAAAATATGTCATAGTGAATCCTTTGACCAAACCGGCGTAGGTTCTGCACGATTCCGTGGATAAATAATTCAATACAACAGAATGCTCCCGAACGCGCGACAATTTTCCAACAGTTCGACTTTAAAAATTTGATACGTACGGCACCTACATTCTTGTCTGGAATGATTTTGACATTTTGAACATGCCCAGTGGTCTCAAAGATCTGGCGAAGCACATCTTCCGTAACTCTTGGATCAAGACCTCCAACGTACAAAGCGCGCTTATTGGGCTCAGGTGCAGCACGGCGCACAAATCCACCAGAACTGTCGGGAGACATCATTCCTCCATTCTCTCCCATTGGTGATGAAATAGCTGTTGGAATAGGGTTCGTGTTCTGCGGAATTATCACCGGTGGAAGAGGTGGTGGTGGCATGTGGGTATTGGCCTGGCCACCATGGCCATTTTCATAGCCTGGCGCACCAGCAGTCGTCTGTGGTGGAGGAGGCAACTGAGCGCCAGAGGGAGGGGGGCCGTTATCTGCCATTGCTGGAGGTATCAAATGCTAGAGAAAATTCGAATCGAAATTGCGCTGCCGGATATGCGATGGTGGTATTACAGCGTCAGAGCAAGGACTCGACTTCGCAGAACGTACTTTCAAGCCAAAACTCCGATAGCAGAGAGATATGGAAAGGCGGCTGAGCTTCTTTCTGTTGCTGCTCTGCCAAATGCCTTGTGCTTGTGCGACTCGAACGATAAGAACGGCGCTGAGATTCGAAAATCGATAGACGGTACTCTGCAGAAAGACCGAAGACGAAAGGTGAATGTCGAGAGGAAGAAATATCGCTATTACTTGACTGCGCGATGAAGCTTAAAGGATGAAGACGAGCGATACGACAACAAAGCGGAGGGAAGCTCTGCGAGAGGACAGCAGACCAATGTGAAAGTTAAGAAGGCGACGACGACGAGAGGACGACGATGAGGACTTGACTTGATTTGAATGGAAGAAAGAAATCGCAGAAAGGGACGATAGGAAGAGAGAGGAAGAAAACCACTCGCAACCTAGACGTCTGTCGATGGAGGAAACTTGCTGGATTAGATGTTTTGGGAGGGGAGGAGAGAAAGGGACAGGAGGATGGAGGAAGAGAGTGGAAGGTTGATTATCCAGTGTCCAGGGCCTGCGAGATTAGCGCCAGTGGAAGTGGGCTGCTTGGGCTTGGCCAAGCTGCTGCTGCTGGTGAGCTGCATCCGCGCTGCACCACGATGCTGATGACACAGAAAGTATTCAAGACATCGATGTCCAAAGGGATGCGGAGGAGCGAATCGTGCACGAGCATGTATGGTATGGACGAGCGAGTTATTGTTTTTGTGTGATTTTACCCCCGGTGCAAGAAAATCTCGATGTGTTTCGGCAACACGCAGGATCGAGCCCAAAGGAAAGCAGCAGCTACGTGCCAGCTGCCGTACTCAGTTCTACTGTAAAGACCCCAAGAAAAACTCCTCACTCTGCTGCAGAGCCAACCGGTGCTTTCGCTGATTGCACCATGAAGCTTCCCTAGAAGCGACATAAGCCCAATATGGAGCTGCATAGCCTGGTGGGGGCATCTGCAGCACGGCAAGTGTGCGTTGTAGTTGATACCTTCGGTACCCAGGTCTGTACAGTACGTAGGATTATGCCGAGACCGACCCCAAGGTAATGCCAGAAAGTGCAGTGTAATGCAGTGCAGTGCAGTACTTGGCCACTTCAGTCTGTGGTATGTGGGAAATGTTCTCCCCCCATTATCATGGTATAAGCAGTTACAGTACATATATGATGATTGGTCTCTATGTCCTCACACAACGAGTCGTCTGGTAGCCTTACCTTAGCTCCAGCTCAGCTCGCTCTGGGACAATAATCGGATCATCAAAGCACAGCTTGACAGGCGAGCTAATGTGTGCTCGAAGATCATGCGGTTATCTGGGGTTTCAAGGGGGATGAGATGAACCGCTTCGAGGCGAGAAGGAGACACTATTCCAGGGGTACCTGCATGATAGTCAAAATCTGTGGAGATTATAATTTGAAGCCGGACCTGGGAAATGGAGGAGTGAAAGACCGAGACTGGAGATAAGGTTGGAGCTTTCCGCTGTTGGAGTGACCTACTCGTATTCTCTCCTCGCATTGATAGATAGACGGTCACTGAATATAAGTAATACGGTACAACATAACTAGTATGACATAATCCTAAGCCTGATTTCAGACGTAACAGGAAAGGGCATCTTGATTGAAACTTGGTTGGAAGCCATCCAGCTTTTACCACAAGGTAGATCGTAAGGTACCCTTTCTCCAGCAAGTCACTTGATTGTTGCACTAGGTAACTTACCGACCTAAGGTAGGTAGGTATGGCAGTACATATCTCGAGAACTCGTAGTCCATGCAAATCGAGGAATACCCTTCATCATTAGCAACATCTCTAGCTTGCCTTGCCTAGTTGCAAAGCTTAAACATAGCTACAGTACTTAGTAGTAGGAGCATTTTAACCTTTCACCATGGTAAATTTACGGTACTGTAGCGTCTCCAACGTCCCAACTTGTGTTTGACAAGCTCAAGTTCACAACAGTCTGGCCGGGCTGGGCTGGGCACTGGGCAGTGGGCTCGCTGGGGCAGCCGGAGCCGGAGGCCGGATCTGATCCTGAGCACGGACGTCATCGCCCAAGCGAAGCGAAGCGAAGCGGCCAGGCGGCCGCGGCGGCGGCTTCACTCTCCACTCCCGTCCTGACTCTGTTGTCAACTTGTCAGCCTTCACTCTGAAATTGTGTCAGCCTTCCCGCATTCCACATTCCCACAGTCCCACAGTCTCAAGCTTCCCCATTTCCAGCCGCAACTAGACATCACTAGAGTTTTACGGTATTCCGGCTCCTATTTTCAAATCAATTATAGCCGTCTTATCCCTCTCGTGTCTTCTGTCAGGCCCAATGGCGCAAGGAGGGAGACCAAAGCCCGCACTGGATGTCCTCCAGAGTATGATCAATGCTGTCGTGAGTTCCGTCTACTTCAACAAACATCCATAGAAATTACATTGCAGACATGGTACTGACATTTCCAAAGCTGATAGAGACCGGCAAAGCCCTTCGACCTTCGAATAAGGACAGCGGCAGGACCCCCACAACAGTAAATACCAGGCTAAGGACAATCATCCCAAGTGCAGTTGAAAACTTTCATACCGCCCTCGATGACCTCGAGTGTGACATTGTAAGAGCAACGAGTAATACTGAAGGACAATTGCTAACTTACAGAAAGCTTCGAGCGAAGTCGGTGCTGTTGAGAGACTTAGACGAGTTGCGCGCAAAGCGAATCGCATTAGAGAACCCCGTACCAATACTGGAAGAAGCTGTGGAGAAAAAAGCTGTGGAGACAAACACATCGAACGAGGACAGCAAGACTGTGCTTGGGGACGAACTATACACTTCTCCATTGACTACCATCAAAGAGGAGAAGGGGACGAGTAGCCCGGAAAAGCAAACGTCAAATGAGCCGCCACAACCATCAAGACCGGAGCCTTCAAAAGAGACCGCCACTCAGTCCCCGGAGGACACGAAAGTTCCTCCTCAGGGTCCTACCCCTCCAGCTTCTACAAATGATACAAGCCAAGATACGAAACCAATTGGATTAGGCATAAATACCGAGGGAACTCCAGCTGCGGACGGAGGAGACGCACAGAATTCTGCTATTGATTCCCTATTCGATATGCCAGATGATAATGAGAATGGGGACTCTGCCCTAAATTTTGACGATATGGACTTCTCTCTGGATACAACAACGCAAATTGAGGACACTTCACAGACCCAGAATAACGACTTCGACTTGTCGAATTTTGGAAATTCGAATCCTGGTCAGAGTGACACAAATACAAATGCGAATGCAGATCAGAGTCAGAACCAGAATCAGAGCACAGGTGACCAGAACAAATTGGGGGACGACCTGTTTGCGATGGTGGGTGGAGGCGATGGCATGGATTTAGATTTGGATATGGGAATGGCTGGAGCAGAAGATAGTGTCTTTGACGATATGTTCTTTGGAGGAGGAGATGATGAGGGTATGAGTGGGGGTGGTGAATTGCAGCATGGAGAGTTCGACAATGCTTTCTTTGGATTGGAGGAGAACTGAATTAACACGAAGTATCTGAAATGTAGAGTATCTTGTGGACAACTAAGCGTTTCGTGGAATGTACGCTGAGTATCTTTCCTAGCAATGATCTTACTATTCCAAAATCTATAAACAAATTGACGACACGTTTTGGGGTAGGATATACCTCATCTACCCAGATTTCTATGTTTTTTTGTCAACAGGGTCGCATCCACAAATTTCTCAGCATATACTCAGTTCACTCCTTGCCAGGCTCAAGTCGGCCACATCTTCCGATCCGAGTCATCTACTTCAAAACTGAAACAATTAGTGTTGTACTGCTGCTTGTCTTGCTCTTGTCCTTATTCCGATTCTTGTTTTCGATGACCTTTTCACTGTTCACATTGGCTTGGTCACGCTGTAATGAATACAGCCAATGTCTATTCTCGAATTCAACTCACTGCCTAAGCCTTCCAGAAGCCCTGATCACGACTTGTATTCTTGTCTTGTACGCCCGTTTCATAAACAAGCTTGTCAATCTTTCTCAATCCAATCTCCATCAAATCAGATCGCAATCCGCCTAGCCAACCCACACGTCTCGACTCTTTACCAAGAAACACTCTCAGAAATGTCATCCGGACCGTTCTTCTGCACCTCAGCTATCCTATCCACCTTCCGCTGCCTTTCGTACCTCATCCCTAAACACACAATACACACCCCCCTTTCAAAGGCCAAAAGCTCCATCCTGCTCCCCACCAGCTTTCTCGTCCACCTCAGTCCCAATGTTCTACCGATACTGGGTATCACCTCAGATGGATGCTCACCTAATTTTCATGCCATCATCCAAGGCAAACGAAGTCATCCCTTAGACCACGCAAATCGGGGAATAGGACCAGGAAATTTTAGACCGCCACACGCATCCGCTTCTTCGTCAACATCTCACGTCTGTCCTCTCAGCCTCCAAGCAACACGATCCCCCAGTAGCCCTAGCAATCAAACCCCACTCTCACCCTGCGTAAACCTCACCTTCCTGTTCCCCCAGTCTAAATCCTAGTATCATTGCATCAGAGCGCTATTTCGACCCTTTCGAGAAATGCAACGAGTTCTCCGCTCTTGACCCAGCAAGTCGTGTCTTCAGCCGCGGATTCCGCGAGACTGAAACGCTGGAGGCGATGGATAATTTGCGATTTCCGGGGAGTGTGATTGTGATTGGTGATAATGAGGAATGGCGGGAGTTGAAGTGTGTAGAGAGGTTGTGGTGTCAGGGCCATGGGGCGTGGTTTGAGTTCAGGGTTTGGGGTAGGGAGGGAGCTGTTTAGCTTGAGGAGGGCCCGGTGGGTTCTGGATTATAGTTGAGATTTTGATCGAGCATTCAGTCATAAGCTGGTTAAGGCTTAGATGATCAGCGCATTGGGTCACAGATCCGAGTTGCGTAGAGAGGTTGCAAGCCAATTCCATGATATTGGGTCTGGGCACTATGCATCGCTTACGTCTTCTGAGGGCAGCAATACATAAACAAAGCGTACGATCTAAAATATTATCTGCGTTCCATGTTTTCTGTGAACTGTAACATGGGATTTAGAAATGCAAATATGATTGTTTCTAACCTATTGAGTCACAAGCTCCCCGAGAAAATGAATGTCGACATTTTCCGCTTAGCAGGACATTTTCCCATCACCCCCAAATGCCTTACTCCCCCACCAGTTTATACCGCCGCAAGACTCCAAATTATTTCACTTCTTCAAGTTAATCAACAAGCTCCCAGTCACCAACACCCAAACTTTTCCCTCCCTTTTCCCCATCTTCCGACCCTCTCTCCTCCTCCACAAACCTAACAACCCTAACCCAATACTCCCGTCCACACTCACACTTCCAACCCACCCTATCTCCGTTACCTCCCTGTCCATTTCCTTCCTCTCTTTCATCCTTGTCTCTCCCACTCCCTAACACGCCTTTATTCCCATCCCCATCCCTTCCCCCTCCACCCCACGGCCCCAAACTCTCTCTCCCAACCCAATTCCCGCCCTTAGCCCAAAGTGCCTCCATCCTCCTCTCACTCACACTCCCAGATTCTTCCTGTGGCCACATCTGTAGCGCCCAGTAATCCTTTCCTGATAACTGGGCGAAATACTGCTGTGTTAAGGAACGCTGTTGGTTTGGACCTGGAGAAGGATGTGTGGTCTGGAGGAGAATGAGAGTTCTAGGCAGGGGATTGGTGGTTGGGTAGGGTGAGAAGAGAGGAAGAAGAGTTGGTTTGGTCGTGGTGGTAGTTTTGTTGTTAGGATTTATAGTAGATGATGAGGAGGTTGGAGAAGCCGATGTTGTTATCGAGGAAGAGGATGTGGAGGCGGCGATTCTGGGTAATGCAGGCGTCAATGGTTGAGCATCTCGAAGTACGTGGAGAGCAGCGAGGAATGTGGATAGTTCTTTTGAAGGTTGACTGGATTGTGGGATGGGGCTTGAGGGGCAGCAGAAGGGGAGGATGATATGCTGGGAAGAAGATTGCATTTTGTGGGATGGCGCTGGTGATATTATTTCATTTCGTCAAGACCCAGAATCAGTACTACGTAAGGTATTTAGAAACGCTTTTGATCATTTAATCTCTACAACGCAAGTACATGTTTGGGTGAATGACTCAAATTGGACTGGCGTTATCATGGAGAATATGTCAGAGTGAATCAGTCAAGCCTGGAAGGAATGAGTGTTTGAGTTGGAAGCAAAACCGGAGCTAAATGTGAATTGTGATTGCCGATTTTTTGAATTTCAACTTTGAAGAGGTCACATTGTTGCATCACGCTAACGAAGCAGGCGAGATCGTATCGACGTGTTGAAAGCGATGAAGGATCCGGTGGCACTGAAAGGAAGTTTTGTTAGCATAGGTGACAATTTCCTATGCTCTAAGCATATTATTTTTTCTGTGACTCTGAATAGCTGGTCATACTGTCATAGCCGCTCGTCACAATAGTAATGGTTGCTATGAATTGTTGTTTGCCATTAGATGTATCACTCCAAAGTTATGGTGTGGCTCGCTCTATACTCGGACTTGAGAATCATTACAGCCATACACAGTGTCAGCAATCAAACTATGAAGGATGTTTAGTACTGTGTTGACATACCACACATCTTTACTACTCAGTTTTGATGCAAGTTTTGCTGTCGTTAGATACTAAGCATGACAATCTCAAACTGCCTCTGCCTCTGTATGTGTGTGCAGGGAAGGTAACTTGAGGGATATAAAGTAGTTTTTAGACCTCTAAATGATATCAGATCTTCAGTAACAATTCAACTCTTCACCAATCGTTTCTCTCAGGCAGACCATCCGTCACGGCAAGCCTACTTCAAAGTCAACAAATCCTCGCTTAGTCCAAGCCACATTATCCTTCCACCATGTGTATCGGCGACATCCACGACGACTGGTTTTGCTGCCGTCCTTACCTCCTATCTCTCCTCTCATCAATGACTTTCCATATGTCCCCAGACACCCACCACCTCATCAACTCCGGAGCCTCCAATAGCGTCATGCGTCAATTCCCAGGCTACCCAGTCTTACAGCCCCCACCAGCTACCATTATTGAAGTCCAACGAGACTACTGGGCTCTGGACAAACGGTCCAAGACTACGCGGTATTACTATTTTGCGGTGGATCAGGTCAGTGGGGTGTGGTACGAAATTGGGACTGATAGGTGGATGGCGTTGAGGAGCGGGATGACGCTCCATTCGCATGTTATGACTTTCTGTAGGACGCATAGAGTGGCACATTCTTTTCAGACGTACAAGAGCCATGCGACAATGCAGGAGCTGTATCCTGGATTTGCAATTCCATCTTAATAGCTGTTGTTGGTGGTATGTCCCGAATGACAGACATGGTTAGCCTGATTTTTGAGGTGCGCGTAGGGTTATAGAAATGTAATTTGTCTTGTTCGTACTTTCTCCATCAGGCTTCAAAAAGTGGATTGAAACTATTCGAACTTTTATAAAATTACAGCAATGAAATGGGTATCTCGCAAAACATAATTGCTCATCATGTTACGAGGAGATCTTTGCCCTCTACCTCAGGATAAGGAGGTGGTGAAGGGAGAAATTCCTCGACATTGGTTTTTTCGCCCTCCTTTTCCTTCTCTTTGGCAGCCTCCTTTTTCTTCTTCTGAGCACCTCCCTCTTTCTCATCATATCCAAAATCCTCGAAGAGCCTGTCACTTTCCAACCACCCATCAACGTCCTCATCCGCAACCCAATCGTCCACCTCTTTCATCCTCATCTTATATATGTCAAACACATCCTTCACACCCCTGTACACAGCATAAATAAATGGTGACAATACCATGCTCCCACAGACAGCCAACAAAACAGCCGCGCGCCAGTACCCCAGCAAGATCACCATATTTCCCCATCTCCTAGTTAAGAAGTGCCTCATCGAACCTTTCTTCCCATACTCATCGAAGTTCTCCTGATAAACATACTCATAGTACGGATATTCATCAACGTCGGCACAGAGCCACGACCAGATATAACATCCTCTGAGGCTCTTCAGACTTTTGTATGTATCAGTACCTTCTGAGTCATGGTTCAACCAGCGTTTGTTGACCTGTACTCGACTGATTTTCAAGGGTATATTGGCATATGGCGTACCCGGCGGGTGTTCAGAGAGATCCTCGAGCCAAATCCATATATTTTCCTGCGCATTAGAGGCCAGGGGCGCGCTGTAGCCCGGTAAAGTGGGTATGCGGACGCGGAGAATATCTATTATGATACGTGGGTTGTATTTCGTATTATATATGGAGGTTGAAGAGCTTGTATCCGGTGAATCGATATAATAATCCAAGTCCATCACAGTCCGATTTCCCAGATTTATGGGTCGGTATCTACCACTATCCTCGACCAACCCGACTTGAGGGGCGCGGAGACGAGCTGGCACGTATGCACGCGCGCGGGGCAAGATAGGCTCCCCATTCAGGAGGACGGTGAGGTTGTCAGATGTGAGCCTGAGGTCGAAGATGAACGCCCCATAGTAGTCCGTTGTGACTCTGCTGTCTTGGTCCCCTTCCACCCCGTGTCCAGTCAGCGACAGTTCAACAAGCAAGAGAAGTACGGAGGTAAGCTAAATAATGAGAGATCCATGAGTCGTCTGAGGCCGAAAGTTTGGGGAGACGTACAGTAGAACAAATCAGGGGTCGCAAGACCGATGCCAACCTGGCTCCTGGTTGGGTCCCATCTCACAACACTCTTGGATCCTTCCTTGGCGGAAACGTTAGGGATCAAACAGGGATTGAGCAGCACGAAGCATAAAAGAGCGAATGTCGCCATGGCTGAGAGGGAGTCGGAGGCCCGGGTGCTAAATGAGAGGCATGGTGTGAGCTGGACATCTCATGGATGCAACTTCGAATGTTGACATTCATTTCAGTACGGCACAGCTGGATGGCGGCTAAATTGTGTACAGTACTGTACGTGGTGCGGGGATATTCCGCTGCTGCGTGCACCCGCCATGGTACACCCCCAGTACAGGGGTACCCGAGTTCTCGACCGGCGTAGTAAACATTCCAAGTTTTAAGGCAGAGGTCTGTATCGATTTGTCATTTCTACTTGAAAACTGCATTGGAGGCTGTTACAGTACTATTTGAGTTTCCATAAAGTACGAATCTCCAACTTTGGTCATTAGGCTTCCCGCCGCTCATGCTGCTCCCATGCTCCCAGTCCCGTTCTCGAGCATTCCCCCACCACTGGTTTCCAGGGCTGTAACATGCCAGTTGTAATCGGCAGCACTCTGTTTAATGGATTCGCTCCTGTCTAAATGATGGCAAGCATTACTCTAGAAAATACATATACTTTTGGAACTGCGATAAATCGTCGTAGAGCCCAGACACTCCTGGATGTATTCTCCATCGCCTCCTCACTCAACAGAAGAAACCATTGGCACTCGACAGAGCCCTTGGAAACATATGACATTGGAATGAAACAAAGCTGTAGTTTTAATCGGACCCCTGCTTTACAGATTTGTCCAAGCTTCTTAGCGCATTTTGCTGAAGATGGGCTTGATGAGATGTTTGCTCCCTTGATGCTGCCGTGTATGATATGTGACATATCAGAAGCTGCCTTATCCAATTCTACTTATAACTAGTACTCGCCACATAAGATTTCTTCAAATTATTGCAGTAAAAACACATGATGGTCCAAAAAGTGCAGGCTGGTTGACACCGGAAAATGTGGCAGTCTAATAGCAAATCACAACCAAGCCGATATCAAGATTCGGCCATGGTGTAAGTTGCAGCCTTATTTTTCTAACCCACCATGAATTAATCTCATTTTAAGACTTCACTTCTACCTTCTTACCTGTGTACGATTGCTGCCTGAGTTGAATTATCTTGAAATCTGAAATCATCTTCGTCAAAGACAACAACACCACCAAACATCACAATACGAAGGCAGAACAATGCGAAACACAACGCCAATGACAACAATACGAATAGCTTCCAGCGACTTCAAGATGGAAGATTTAGATGAGGAAGTATTCTACGAATGTCTCGCTACCCCTCAAACACCGACACCAACAAGAACTTTCCATCTCCCCCTTTCCACGCTTTCGATCTACTGTCGCCAACACGATTCGTCGACAACTTCGAACAAAACCTCCGAACTTGCTCAAAATGGAGCTAAAGATATTTTCAGTGACTCTACAACCAACAAAAACTTCCAAGCAGAAAAGATCGCTCCGATCCTATCAAGTGTTGTAATAGAGTACTCGCCGCCAAGTCACATGACCTCGATCAAGGAAGCTGCGACCCCACATATTCCTCCTTCGACCCCTCCCTCTTCCTACGCGCAGCTGTCGAATCCGTATGAAGGTCATGGCTTCAGCGGATATGTCGACTCCAACACTACCTCTGAAGCTCCTCCTCTATCACCTTCTTCGTCGGTGTCAACAACAGAGTCGATAAGCGAGCCACCAACCCCTGGCAAAGATGGCAGCATCCGTCCGAGACGATTCTGGAGCTCTCCTACCCCGATCCCATCGCCACAAACATTCTCATCGAACAAGCTTGATATTTTGACATCTTCTGAATCCAACTTGCAGCACAGAGGTGTCACAGGTCAGCAAATTCCCGCAAGTCCAACCTCGGTACCAGAATCAATACGCGTGAACCAGAGACTTGTTTCCAAATCAACAGTCAGCGCTCTCGTCGGAAGACGCAAAGCTTCGAGAATTGTCCTTGCGACTGGTCCTTACATTCGTGAAGGCTTCAAGCTCGTCAACTGGCCTGAAGCACATCCCGTTCTCGAAACCGATGCCCTCGAATCTGGCCATGTAATCGGATACGGCACATACCCAGTCCAGCTCACGTTTCAGCAGCTCGCCCGCCAGAAGCGCAATATCATGCGTCGGAAAGTGCAGCACTACCGACTGGATGAGGAGATCAAGATTGTCAAGAGCTATGGATCTGTCAGCGGCGAGAGTGAGACATCGAGTGAGGGAGACAAGGATTCGGAGAAAGGAACACACATTGAGGTGGCAGTCTTGTAGGAAGAAGATACCGATGCAGATACTGAGGCTGAAGTGAAGTCTATGGGAGCGGAAATTTTGGCTGTTTAAGGAAAAGTGTGATTGAGCGCGGTCGGGTTGAGCTGACCCATATTCGGGAAGGAGAGAAGTGAAGTTCCAAGGTTGAAAAGTGTGCGTTTGAAATTTGGTATGGGCGGCGTTATGGAGGGTCTGGGCGTTAAGTGGCAATATGAAGTGGAAATCTTTCGAGCCCGTATGAGCAAGTCATATTCAGCCTTGAGGGCTATCTGACTATTTCGAGCGTGGGGGTGACCATTTGAAGGGGTGGAGCCATTTGAGGTGAAGGACAGATCTTTAGAGGCACCTATATGCTGCGTGTCTTTTTGCAAGCTCAGCATTAGGAAGAGATCAGAGACAAATAAACACCTGGTATGACGTATCAACCAAGTTCTTTTAGAGCTTTCGAACTGTAAATAATAAAGTAGAGTGAGTCAAGTTCAACTGTCTTCTTATCTTGGCTAAAAGTAAATTGGAATACGTAGCAACTACAGTGTAGTCGTTCTATTTTTCAGAAGAATGAATTGTTTATTGAGGTCTAGAGATACACGAAGGATGCGCAGGTAGAGGGTAAGAGTGATCACCGAGGCAGAGTTCGGTCTCTAGACAGCTCCTTCAGAACTCAATGCCTGTTGTGGAGACAACCCACAATTGGTATCAGATGATTCTCTAACGAGGTATCATTACCCGACCACTTGGCAAATGTTACCCAAGAATAAGAATCAGCGAAAGTTAAAACTGTCTCGTCTTCGAAAAATGTCAGTTTTCGGTGCGTTCTGGTGATCGTGCGCCACTTTCAGACGACACTGAAACACACTCGTCTGATGGCATCGACCCACGCACCAGATGCAGATACGAGCCGTGGATCATATACGGAGTCTTATAACAGTCTCCACAAAGTTACCCTGGTTGCCGAGAACCAAATGGACTGCGCCTGTATCAACCTTATACAAAACCAAGGAAGGTTTTATGTTGTGTGGATATATAGACATAGGCTCCTCAGCTGTTTGGATACTCCTTCTCCTCATCATCCTTTCTCCTCACTCGATCTTTTTATACCCATTCCCGCCGGTCGGACTTCCTTTAATTTTCCTGCTCCAATTTCTCCTCTCAATTGTCCACGATTTGCCAAGTCCGTCCCAGATAGCCAAAATGCAATTCTCAGTCATAGCCCTTCTCCTCACCTTCAGCGCTTTCTCCACAGCTTCCGTGATAGTCGAGCGTCAAAATGGTGGGCGTGTCGTTCCTACCGGTGAATGCTGTGTCGCAAACACTAGTGTGAAGCAAGACACCTGCACCACGGCTACTGGAGCAGCAGGACGTTGTGTCCCAGGTGGGAATGCTTGTGAGTACCCACTTGGAGTTTTGCCACCAGAATCCCAACTGACTTGTCAAAGGTGGAGGATCTCTCAGCTGTGTTGCGACTGCAAATCTAGCTTGTGATGCTGCGATCATCGAGCGTGGCAAGTCTCTGTGCCGTACCAAGGTCGCAGGAGGATTCATAGATGGCGCGAGTATCATCCCTTCGTTATCGCAGGCCAAGGTCAACTAGATGTTCGGTGTAAACATGCTCGGAAAGAGGAGGAAAACTCTGTCTTGAGACGGTGGAATGGGTGCTTCTCCTCCTCTTCCCTTGATGGAAAGTCGCAACAATAGTGAGAAATGAAAGCTTGATCCGAAAACAGTTGATACTTGTGCTTCGAGATGATTTATCCAGACCACAATTCTATCAATCAGTCCAGCAGTGTCGACTTGCTCGGGGCTAGGCGATTTGCTACTTGGTTTGCTGCTCTTAACGTCAGTCAGAGACCGACAACATCTTTTTGTTTGTCCAGGCTGGAAGATATCTTGGGCATTCAAAGTATTAATATACACTCAGTATAAGTGGAGTTGACAGGTATTGACAGCCATGATGAGAAAAGGAATTTGAAGTCCCCATAGCCTGATGCACCCCGAGAGGACTCCTGTGAATGAGCTACATCATCACCGGCTTCCAGGACTCTGCAGCTGATCTTCGTTTTCCTTCTACCTTCCAATTTTCTTCTTGGATTTGATGCTTCAAGAATTAGTCCAGATAAGGTCCTTGTTGAAGAGTAAGTAGGTGTATTCTTAGTGCCAGTGCTAAGCGAGGTTTTGTTTTCCTCCTAGTGCCCATCACTTAGAGGACTTTGAGCCATATATACAGCAATAACAATAACAATAAAGTCAATCCGAACTCAAAATTCTTGGTTTGCTATCACAACGCAGACCATGTTGTCTGAGAAAGATAACGCAGAAAGCTCAGTATGATCCAAGAATTGCCGGGTGCTCGCAGCCGGGTACCAGGAAGATCGTTGACGGCTGTAGGAGTGCGCGCCAGTTCCAAGATCTGGTTATCTTTCCCTCTTAATCACATTTGGCAGGGTAACAGATTATTTCAGTTGGGTTTTAAATGCTTTCATAGCCCAACGATTCAAAGCAAGATTTTAGAGCCCCAGAATCAGCACCATATCTCTTCTCAACAGTTTTGGAAGCCCTCCTTGAAGAATTCACAAGCAGCATTGAATACCTCAAACCTCTTGATCTGAAAATGAGGACATCGGTCCGATATAATTCACATTCGCCCGGACATTTCCGTGATTCATTTGGCCAGTTCCTCTGTGATTCAACAGAGAGAGAATCATGATTCAGACGGGCAACGAACAGCACGACAGCTTTGTCTTCAAATCTGGATATAAAGTCTTGCAGCTGCATCGACAACTCTGTTTCTCAGCACCCACTTTCCAATATCATCTTGTAGGACCATCCTCTGCTCCCACCTCCCACCAACAACACATACAGTATTACCTAGCACGCGCCACACTTACTGCATAAAGTTCAAGACAAAGACAGGTTCCAGCCCTGGGCAGAAACAACTCATTATGTCAACTCCGTCGGTAGTTAGCACCATCTTCTGCTGCGGCTCCGCTATCCCAGTCCACGACTCATCCGTCATGAAACTTCACAACGACCCCAACCGAGACCTCCATGAAGCCATCTTCCAGAGCTTTCTCTCTTTTGCAGTACGTCGTCAAAATTCTGCAGACCTTCTCTCGCTCATTATGGGGTTTGAACCTGAATCATCAACCTCCACGCCTGGCACGATCCCCCAGCCACAGCCTGCACCCGTCTTTTCTCTCGAGGCCTTGGAAAATAATCCACTGACTCCAACAACTCCGTACGTCATTCACGTCACTTCTCGCCATGATTTCGGTCCAGTCTACTCACATCGTTACTTCGTGTGCCCGCCAGATTTGGACCAGGACTGGGTGGAGATCAGTTTGATTCAGTGGTTTGCGAGAGGCGAGCCGTTCAAGATGAAGGCTGAGAAGTGGGACCTAAAGTGCAAAGATGACTGCAAGTTCTTCAGAATGACGCTCAGGCCGAATTTGGCAATGAGAGGTTGCTATCCTGTATCCGTGGGTGGTGAAGTACAGACTGGTGAATCTTCTCCATCGGGCTCTGGCTCTGGCGGAGAAAGTAACGTGCAGGGGACATTGGATTATTGACAGACGCGGGTGTGGATTGATCGATCAGTGCGTAAGGAGATTGTAAGAAATATTTGTTTGCTAGAAGTGTGGCGAGAACTGATGTTCCGTGCCGCGGGACTGCATTGGTTTTGCGTGAGATGTTTTGTCGGAGTATGTGCCCGTAACTTGGAAGGTATTGGCTTACTCGTTTATGCGAGATATTTTGGAGGATTGTTATTGTGTTTTGTAAAGCATATGAACTTTTGATGGTTTAAAGTCGTTGCTACTTGTGTATATTATCTTGCCCAACCAGAGTAGGAGAATATGCTCGTAATCAAGATATGACAAAGACCTCAGGTAGTGAGCTATTTTGCTGTTAAATTTACGGAAGTAAAACAAGTCATAACTCAGTTGAAAAGTAACAGAGCATCCTGGAATCTAGGTTGTCGAAGCTTGTCGCGATGCTTCATCCTACTGCTTTCCGAGTTTCAAGCTCGTAGACTGGATGATTGGTATCCAGCTCACGAGCTGCCATCCCACTACCATCCATCTCCGGCTTCTCACCCACAGCCACATTTATCTCCGTAGCTACTGGCCCTGCCTTTGCCTTTCCCCTTTTTCTGAACCACCAAACAGCCAATATCAGACTTGCGAGCGCCAACACTGCCACTACAACTGCAATCGCTGCAATCGTGCCGGTTGATAGTTTCTTGTTTCCTATTCCACTTTTGAATCCGCTACTTGTCCCAGCAGGTGAGGCGCTAGAGCTCGTTTGTACAGCAAAGTCGGAATCCTTCCAGCGAATTTGAATTGGATAGGCATAGTCGTACGCCGTGCTCACACCGGTCTGCGCCGAAAGAGTTTCAGTCGAGTATATGGACTGGTGTACGATATTGTCAACCACGAGAGCTGTAGTTGCGGACGCTCGCAAAGTAGCGCATATGGAGAAGCATGGCCACATTGGGCAAGTGTATCCTCTAACGAGTGTTTGTTACCTGCGATTCGTATAGATAATACAGGAAGTCTTGCTTACAGCGGACAACAAAACCGCACACTCTCTCCTGCTGGCAGTATTGTCTCAACTTCTGCTGGCCCATTACACGTCTGATATCCCTGTGGACACACCCCTGGACTGAAATAGCTACTATACCACGCGTTGTCGGAGGTATAAAACCGTGATGATGGGCAGCACTGGCTGAGGGCACACCCCCCCAGCAGCAGCGACGACCACGAACTCTGCCCGAGAATGGTAGTGTGGAAATCAAACTGGTTTGAACAAATCGATGGGAATGCCACAGGCGTGGTCAGCGGTCCCAGGTTGGTGGATGAAGTGATTGTCGCGGTTGCTAGACAGGTAACTGTCGTTGTAGGATTCGTTTCTGGTGGGACTACAAGGCTGGTAGCAGTAGCCATGCTGTACAATCGTAGTCTTTGCCGACAAATAATTATAATGAGCAGGACTGAGTTGGAAAGGCGAGGTTAGCGTGTTCAGCTGTGACCTTCAGCCGCAGAATTGGGCATACCATACGGATCACTTGCGCGGAACGCCAAATCTGTGCGGCTTCGGAGTTCTCATTTCCACAACTCATCCTTCATTTTGAGAAGCTGGAGCTGTCGCAGAATGGAAGCATTGCATCGTGTAAAGAAGCAATCTTTTTGTTTTGTCAGATCCCTCTTTTGAGTAGCTAGTAATGGACTTCAGAAGCTACATGCTTAAAGGATGCACAAAGCTGTAATAGTATTGGACCCTATGAATTCTGCTGGGAGCATTTGTGTACACCCGAGAGCGGGAGGGCGAGCCGGTACTCGTCATTAGGATTAAGGGAGGATTCTTGTTGAAATTTAAACCTGTTAGTTGATCTATACCTGCGCACTGTTGATAAGGCATCCTCATAGAAAATGATTATGCAATCAAACAAGAGTTCAATATAGAGCCATCTGACAGTGATTGAATCACGTTTACTAGTATACAGGAGTCAGGCGGATGAATAATTTAAGAGAAGATTCTGAATGAAGAATCATTTACAATTGAATAAGCGACACCAAAGTAAACAAGGAGACGAGATGATCGCCTGCCACCTCACCAATCAGAAACTTGCACCTGTTGCACCTAAGCCTCGGCCCGGAGGTTCGGCATCGGCAGCCCGTCATATCGCGTCCCACCAGAGGGGACCTCCAGCAAGCATCAATACTCACATGCAAGTTTGGATAATTTCCTTTTATGAGTTTTTAATCTTCGCTTCGACCTCTCTCAACACTTCCTCTCTTTCTTCTCATAAACAAGATATACGATCACAAACATGTCCGAAATCAGCGGCCTCCCACCATCCGAGACATCTCCCGACAAAGCTCTCCCCCTCCCTCACCCACGACCCCCTCGACTCCCTCCACCTATACGAAATTTCCGCGCCTGGCTTCCCCTCTACCTCTCCAAGACCGACCGCACTCTCGCCCGTCTCTCACAAATCCTATCCACACCCACAGGAACAGATACCGTCCTCCTAACAATCTGCTACACCTCCCTCCTCACCTCCAACATCTTAACCTCTATATCCCTCTCCCGTCTACGCGCAAAAGCGCTCTCCGTAATCGAAAAAGCCATCTCCCTCCCCCCAAACACAGCCCTCTACATCTCGACGTCGAACATCCCGCCCTCGAAACTCCTCATCATATCTGCGCGGCTGAAAGCGCTGTCGAGCCTGATATCCGATGTAAGGATATTTGCGAGGTTGTGGGGATTACTGGGGCTGTATAGCTGGGGGAAACAAGTCTGGAATCAGGATCGTGGGGATGAAGTCGTACGGGGTATAGCAGCTATCCAAGTCGTCTCGAATATCCTCTATCAGTACCTCGAGAACATGGCATATCTCAGCTCGAAAGGGATATGGGGCTGGAGTTCGGAGAAGCAGAGTAAGGCTTGGGTGTGGAGTTCGAGGTTCTGGGCCCTACATGTGATGTTGGATCTTGTAAGATTGGGCAGGGAGAGGACTGAACAGAGGAAGATGGTGAAGTGGAAGGGGAGGGAGGAGGAGGCAGAGAGGGCGGAAGCGGAGTTTTGGAAGCGGTGGAAGAGGCAGCTGTTGATCAATATGGCGTACGCACCATTGACGATACATTGGAGTTTGGAGAAGGGGCTTGTGGGTCAGTTCTGGGTTGGATTATTTGGGAGTGTGGCGGGGTTAGCGAAGCTGAAGGAGGCGTGGAGGTTGAGCGGAATCAATTGATGAATGATATGAGGCCGGGATTTCAAGTTTGGAAATGGAATATACCCTTTGTGATTATTATTTAGCTGTGCTTGCTTTGGTGCAATGTGAAAACATCTCGAGCATCCCGCGGAGAGGACAGATCCGCCATTCTCTAATTCATCTCGTATGGGAGATACTTTGGCAGAGCATAAGACTATGCTGGAATCTTTCAAAAACAGTCAGATCGCAGCCAATAGAAGGTTTCACCATGTAATCTCTATGGAAATGATATCCGGCAAGCAAGAAAACGTCTGAGATAGGTTCCACACGACCAGACGCAGTGCTAACACTAGGAAAGCACTTCACTTGCGCCAAAAACTTAATTCTCATTCGGAGGCCGTCGTTCGATCTCATCGTATGCTGAATTTATCATTCTGTTCATGGCATTCATTCATAAATAATCTCACTAATGGACATAACATAAACAGCTGCACGCAGACTCAAGTACTGTGTGATCCTTTTGTATAAATCGCACCTCCCAGTCTGATGCTGACGCAAAAAAGATAGACACCTCAGAAACCTGCCAGCAGTGCGGTGTACAAGAACTAAGTACAAAGTGCCTCCCGAGACAGGACGGAACGACAGACACACAACGTATTCATCACTCTTCGCTCAGCACACAGTCCGCCACTATCCAAGATGCAGGAATCCAACGTGGGCGGACCATCCACCAAACACGAGAGTCGTCACAGCGACCTCAGCCCTTTGTCGTCCGGTTGCGCCAGTATCCCTAGGCCTCTCAAGAACTCAGTATGGACCTCCGGCCTCTCCTCCACCATGGTCCTGTAGGTGTAGTGGTATGCCACTCTCTCCCACCGATGACCCTCCTTCAGATACTTACACATCCACTTCTTGACCCCGTCATCAACCTTACTGCTGACATACACCGTCCCAATAATCTTCGCCCACTCCTCCTCGGTAATATCTTTCTCCATCTTCTTCAGCCTCCCAAGACTGTGGTCAAGTACAGACTTACACCCTACATTACTCGCAAGTATATTCAGCGTGACCTCATCAAACGGATCGTTATTTGAGTAGTTCTCGCGGTTGATCCACGAAATCAACATATCGACCACCTTGTCCGGGACATCGTCCTCCTTCTTCTTATCCATGTACTTGACCAGATCGGACTCGAACTTGGTCGCCTCGAGGAGGTACGAGGCGCGCACGGAGCGCGCTTTGCCGCGGACGGTCACGTCTTTGACTTTGAATTTGAAGTCAGATTTTGAGTTGCTGTTGGTGCCGCTGTCGCAGCAGGATGACGATGAGGAGCATGAGTGGCGTGGATCCGTGTAGGGGTAGTAGGGGGCGTAAGGGTCATGGGGTGCTTGGAGGGGAGAGAGGCTTAAGTTTGGGTTAAGGGGAGGGTAGAAAGCACCAGGTCTTTGGAGGGCGGTGGTGAAGGGACCGCTGGCGTTAGGTAGAAGGGGTGCGCGCCCTGGGAACATAGGACTGGGGAATCCAGAGTTGCGGGCAAGTTGCAGTTGGATGGGATTGGGGACAATGCCGGACATGCTTGACATGCCTGTAAGGGGACTTTGCCCTGGCATGCCTATCCCAGGGTAGTATGGCAGATTGGGATTCCCTCGGCGCAGTGGCGACTGCCGCTGGTGTGGTAACCAAGACATGTTGATGTATGGACTGGCTAAGAGAGAATTTCTCGGGAGGTCGAAAACGATGAGACTGAAGATCAATACAATGTACTAGGCCAGAGGAGAAATTCGGAGTAGAGGACGTTACGACGTTGAGTACGAAAACTGGGGACGACTGGGGTCAAAACTATTTGAGCCCCTCAGATAAATTCTCATCCACGAACCGGGAACGCACTGTCACTATGACATACTACACAACGTAGTACTTTGTTGCTAGAATGATACCATGTTGAATCCCTTCCGCTGTCACTTGCACGCATTCGTGTGAAATGGAAGCGCACGCACAGCTCAACGTCGGGAAGGGTGTAACCTCACGTGTCCGCGTACAAGGCAAACATGCGGCCGTATAAAGTGCATATGTAACATGATATAACCAATAAATAACCACTGAAGAGGATAACCGCAACCTTTCCAATATTCGTGTCAATTGTATCCCCTCTAGGACAAGCAGAACACCTGGACACAGATGGTGGTCCTCGAGGACGAAACCTGTCATTTTGTGATCGATCCAAGCTTTGTCGTACAAGTGAAGCCTAGATCACCGATGGGTAGCTGCATTAGGAAGGCCTGGAAAAATTGCCGCGTATTCGAATAAATCCATCCAGTCTTACTCCAATCCTAGTACTTTGGTCCTCCATACCCCTCATCCGGTCTTCTGTTCTCGTCGAAATGTCTCTTGCGAAGAGCGGCAAGGCGCTTTTTCTTGGTAACAGAGTTGACATAGGTGCCGATGAAGAATGAAATAATGTTGAAGAAGGGAACCCAGGTGTGCTCAGGAAGGAATTTCTGTGCAAAGGCCAACGCCAATGGCGATGAGACCCAGCTGACTTTCATGACAGGCATGAAACCTGCTCTCCAGGTCGCATGGACTTGGTGGAAAGTCTTAGCGCCGGCAATAATGGCCATTGAGATCAGGTAGACACTGTTCTGGATTGGTGCAATCTTATTTCTGTTAGCAAATGTTTCGATGATGGGAGATTCGTATACATACGAGCAAATTGCTGCACACAATCTGGAGAATCTTCGCCTTCAAACTCGTCCGGCCGGCGAAGATCTTCTGGAGTATGCTAATCAGGACATGGCCCAATGGTGCACTGATGAAAGCTCCGTATGCTGCCATCTTGGGCACTCGGGAAGAGAAGTAACCCCCACTCTTTGTGATATCCTTCGCGATCCAGGATGCGAGGAGTTCTTGCAACGCAGACAATGTGCCGGACGTCAACATCTTTGTGCGGAGGGGATTCGTCTGAAGCTGCTTGAGGTATGCCTGACGGTGGTCATCAGCAACGTTGCCATCAACTCTATCGCATCTATCCATCACATACCGCCAAATAGCCCTTCTGTCCAACGCTGCTCTTTCCTCCGGTCAACGCTGTACCGATCTCATCCGCCAATTCGTGCTTTGCCGACTTCATGGTGGGCAGTGCGGCGGCAGCACCGCCGGTCTGCTTGATCGTATCCTTCTCGAATTTGACTGACATCGTGCCGAGTACTAGGGGGTGGTTCTAATGTCCTTGTAGCAGAGGGTCAGCTATATGTTCTGACGATGATAAGCTGAAGCTGACAGGATGCGCCGATGCGCCAGTTGCGCGAAAGGTAGCTCGCAGCCCAATGTTTACTGATTGAAGTGAAGCCGAGGTAGCGCGACACAAGCTGGGATGCGACTAGGCTTCTTGTGCAGCCAGTGAACGGAAGGAGAGCGCTGGACTGAGGGTGACTGACCTTTGGGGATGTTCCTGCAGATATCCTCGCAGCCGATGACTCTGACTCTGACTCTGACTCTGAGGGGTGGTAGAGAGAGAGCGAGGTTGTGGTTATCGCCAGGAGTAGATAGCCGTGGCAATTGTGAGTGCAGAGAGGAGAGGTTGATGATATTATAATGCGGAGAGAGCAAGGCGAGGAGAGGTGCTAGCTGATTAGCGCTGCCTGGCTGCGTTGAACTCAGCAGGGATCAAGCTGGGTGGCTTGGTGAGCTGTCCGCCGGGAGACGACCAAGGGAAATAAACAACCAGCACCACACGCCCACGCCCACGCCCACACCCGCGCAGCGCAACCTTTACTCGAGCAACAATGGCACTACTACTACTGTACTTGGTGACGATCTTATCCGCTCGACCGTATCGACACAATTCGCCTTGGACAATCAAAATGCTGACTTGCGAACTGTTTTTGTGATACATACTCGTGCTACTTCAATGCATCCAGCTCAGACCAACCCTCTTATTCAGCTTGGCAATCCGGCCGGAGCCGCCAAATGGTGAAACATTGTCACAAAAAAGCAATATGCGAGAAGACTTTCTCGATATCTGATTGAGAAGGTCCTTGAGCAGATTTACCCTGTTGCTGGTATCAACACTGATTGAAGAACTTTATCCAGCCATGTACAGTGCTGATGGTAAAGGTATATCTTCATCAATCTGCTTGGCAAACACCATTTCTCAGCTGACGTGAACATTCGGTCCCATTGAGAAGGAGTACAGAATCACTGAACGGAAATGAGTCCACCAAAAACTTTCAACGAATCAAGTCTCATTTTTTGCACTGCACTTGCCTTAGATTGCATGTTTTTCCTTTAGCGGTTTTCTCTCGTTTTAAATTCTTTCAATGTTTTTGAGGTTGTTTATACAATATTTTCAGGAATACACAGAGAAAATTAGTCGAAGAAGACGTAATAGAATCTCCAAAGCGCAATTGCTGAAGGTGAATTTGGGACACACTTATTCCCTCTATTGGAATGAATACATGCTTCTCGGTTCTGAAGCCTCAACGTCATGAGGTCTCTGTCAGCATTATTTGCTGTTCTATCCGTGGCATGCAATAGTCTGAAATAGAACCGATAATGGCTTATGGACTCCCAGATAATGGGTCTCAAGACATGGCCGTGGAAGGCGATTTTTATTGTCAGAGGCGGCTCTCACTCAATTCGCTTGCTCATGTCACACACTCGCTTTCAACATTGGCAGCCGTTCTGGATATCACGTTCAAGGCGACAGTCCGCCGACCGTCAAAAAAGCTGTGCTCGCTTGTAAATATCAACAATCTCCGCAGGCCCTTCAGATTCTCGACCCCACAATACAACTTCGAGTACTGGCTGCACGAGATGGACATGAATCTTGCAACGCAGGCTCCTCGTCCCATAGCGGTAGTCACTCCTCCTATGGCAGCTGTGACAGACCAAGTTCCTCCCTCTCCTCGCCGCTTCACTATCTCGACTTTTCCAGCAATTTCGCCCCGTACACGTAAGAATGGCGGTAATGGCCAATGCACCCATATCACAACGACGCGTCTTTACACTGAAGATTTCCGCTGCGCGCAATGTCTCAATCTAGGTTCGTTTGGATGGCTGTATCGCTGTACACAAGACCGAGAACTGCTGTTGGAGGAGGACATTGAACGCGGATGCGAGGTTCGTATTCATCATTTAGGTTGCACAGATCTTTGATTTAATTTGCGTCCTTTCTTTTGAATATCGAATCTCAAGGCTGATATCTTGATTCTTGATTGCAGGAGAAACTAGACAAATTCTGTGACATCCTACCTAGGTCCATCTCTCCACGCACCCGGAGCGCGTTGGCAAGACTCGACAAGCTGAGCTTCTTGACTGAAATCAGCGATGACGCTATGAAGCACTATACACCAGACCAATTGAAGACTGTTCTTGCCCAGAGAGCGCATGTAAGTTCTTGGAGTGTGTCGCACTGCCGCGTCTCAACGCGTGTCCTCATCCAAGCCATAAAGTCTTTGTTCTAAAAATGAGGGACTGACATCACACGCAGCTTCTCGACACAGTTTCCCAACCAGACTACACAGACTTCCCCGAATCATTCTTCTCCAACCGTCCCCTTCCGACACCATATCCAAGCCAACCACCTGGTCTGCTCATTTCCGCAGGATTGCCAACCAGCAACACAGGTCTTCTTAAGCCCTGGTTCCCTCTTCAAGGCGGCGAGTGCCAATTCAAATGCTGTCACTTCTGCCGACCATCCATGAAAGAGCGCAGTTTCCTCTCCCTGAATGGTATCGCGAATGGTGATATCCCAGCTACGACGATCACGGGTTTCGGTTTCCATTTGCAGAGGAAGAGACCGGTTGCATTGGTCAAGCACGTTAAGAATCTGGGATTGAGACCAAATCCTCCTCCTGTACGTTTTCCTTTCTTTCGCCCCTTCAATCTTGTATGCTTGTGTAGTATATGATTGCTCTAGTGGCCTGCTGCTTGGGCTTTGTACCAAAAATAGCTAACATTATCCAGCGCCTCCCACCCCGACCAGACGACTCAGCCGACAGCCAATCTCTGCCTCCCAGTCCAACAGTGTCACCCAAGCGTAGAAAGAAGGTCAAGCGTCTTCCAACCTATCTCGGTCTAGGAATCGTCCCCTCGGAAGCCACCCATCCATCGACGTTACCCACATATACATCTCCAACTCCACCAAGCCCCCTCCTACCCAGCACGCCTAAATTCGCAAACCTCCCACAATTCCCCTCCAATAACACCTCATCTGCAACTGAGTCTGGAACCGGTATCAACCTCCCATGTTCCACAACCTCAATCCTCAGCTCTTTCGAGCTCGGAAATCTCTCTTCGCTCCCGTCCTCGGAGATACCCCACAGACGTCACCCATACTCCCAATCAGCCTCAAACTCAGAGTCCGCGCAACGTATCCATACGCTCGCTACAGTCACTCCACTTCCACCTCCAACACCTTCCGAGCAATACTCAAACATGTCCTCAAATATGGCAGGTATATCACGCAGTCTTGGAGTTGTGCGCAGACAAACTGGGCACATATCCGAATACATAGCTGGAACAGGAACAGAGTCAGAAAAGGAGCAAGAAGAGGATCCGTACTCGCTTGATATTGATATGGATGTTGATACTGATGTCGGGGAAGGTGAGATCACTGCTTCGAGACCACTCACGTCGATGGAGACAGGCGAGCTAATCCAAGGCGAATTTGGGAGGGCACCGCTTGATGTCAAGGACGGTGTGGCTCTTACGGAGGAGAGTGTTGAACTTCATGTTCCGGATATCATTACACAATTTTGAATCTGGTTCCTATTTCGGCTTCATCATGGGGGGGTGACTTGTTTTGATTCCTAGGCTTGGCTTTGTTTTTCGGCGCTATTTGGTTTCGGTAAGCGAACATTGCATAGAAAGTCGGTGTTAAATTTGACGAGCCAGAAATCGGACACACTTTGTATCTCGAGACATAGGAGCGAACTATTTCAATGTCAAGAACTGACATCGGTTTTGTTTTGATTTTCCTCAAGGTGCCTCGACTTCCCACGAGTTGACCCCAAATTTGTATTTCTGCACGGGAGCCCAACTAGGATTGAGAAATATTTCTCCCCCACCCACTTCATTCCACCACAAAATCTGCGATTCCCTCGGATTTCTGCGAGGAATCCAAAACGTCTTCGACCCAAACCCTAAGTTTAAGTAACGTTTGAGTGCGAATCGCCATAACTCGAGCATCGCAGGAGGCCCTGGATACTCCCTAATGGGAAGACGACTGTATCTTCTTCGTCCTTCAAGTGCCCATGCGATTCTCATCTTGATATCAAGCTGATATGGTATGGCCTCTCCCTGTGAGCCTTTCAATGCTGGGTGAAAACTTGTGAGCAAATATTGACTCGTTAAATCCTCGAATGCTGCAGGCATCGTCACTTGCTCAATCTGGAAGACCCCAAATCTCACAATAGAGACCGTTCTATTTCCTTGCTTTTTCTTATAGGCAGCTTCATAGTTTCTTTGTGACTCGGGATTTGAAAGCATCGAGTCAAAGTGATCGTAGGCCACTAACAGAAGCATTAACTCTCTGACCGCTCCAACATCTTCAGGGTGTTCCGCCCCGTCCGGCTCGGGATTGTTTGGGTGTGGAGGCTTTTGCCGCTGCCTTTTCCTTCCATCTTCGACGATCCAGGATGCGAAAGGGCCGAAGCAAGTCTCGTACTCTCGATCCCGCCATTGCCCGATCTCGCTCCAATCATCGACATCAAAATTGTAAACAGGGAATCGCCGAAGGTAGGGGATGTCCTCTGGTCTGGTAGGTCCATCTTCCGAAGCATTATCCCAGTCCATGTACAAGTACTTGTATTCCTCGTGGCCGTGACGTGCGAAGAATCCCTCCTTTCCTCCGTTCTCCTTGGCTTGAAAAATCGGCGCCATGTAAGGTGCAGCAAGAACCGCGCCAGCAAGAAGTAATCGATACATGGCTCTATAGAATTCATCCCGAAAGCACTCGATCCTTGGGCGTCTGGCGTCTGGACTGCGCAGCACCCGATTCATCGCTTTGCGGAACATACCCTGCATGGAATCGAAGCCTGCTGAGATAGGCCCTTGGATTTCTTCATTCGGACTTCCTGGAAATTGTCGATATGATGAGGGGTAACGATAATACCCCACGTCATGGAAAAGATGGTCATCTATGCTCAATGTGTCGCTATTGAAATACTTCCATTCAAGACACTGGACGAGATATCGCATGTTGAGGACTTCTTTGAGTTCGGCGACTTCTGGGAGCCTATAGTCCCCGCTCAACGTGTTGATCTTGATCACTGGCTGGGAAGTCTTCTTTTGGTAGGCTTTGAGAACAATCGCTGTCGCTCGTACCTGAGTCTATGTTTAGCTTCCAGAAAACCAAGAGGATTCAATGTCTTTACCGCCATGAAAGCGTCGTCAAATGACCGAATCTGGGCTCTTCCCACGCTCCGGACGATTGTCCCCGAATGCTTCTCCCAGGCCGCATGAGTCTGTTTGCACGCTGAGGCAAGTGCGATGACCTGAGGGAAGTCATCGCAGCTCTCAAAAATGCGTGAAAGGAGCTCGATTGGTATCAAGAGCATAGAGGCCATGTTCGTGTTATGGAAACTAATCCAAATGTTGTTACTGAATGTCGGGATAGCAATCGTTGTGTGATTTGTGGTGATCAGGTGTGTTGGTAGTATCAATCGAATCACAGATGAGAGGGTAATATTTATGTAAGGACCCGGCTGCTCGTCAAATCGTCCGGAAGTTGATAGGTTGGACTTCAAGCAGAGCCGAGATCACCCTCCTGAGAAAAAATGAAGGCGATAAAGCGAGTAAGCTCAAATCCATAGCTCTTATTCTGACCCAAAAGTTGCAAACTCTGGGTTGGCAGGTCGGATACCTCTCGTCTCAACAGAGTACGAGGCTATCCAGAAATGGAGGTCTCAAGGCTACAGTAGCCTGAAGGTTTGATAATGGGTTTTCCACGCGAAGTGATGGATCTGAATTGCATCGGTCAGACATGGTAAGTCTTTGGTAAATGGAAGCTAGGTTGTGATAGCTAGTCGCTAATGGAAGAATTGTATACTAATTTCCATGCACACAAGCACTTGCATTTTCTTAAATTGTAAATGCAACAGTGATGGGGCTTTCTTACCTTATGTTATAATTTGTCTGCCTGCGTTATGGAGGTTTAGAAGAGGAATTAAAGGCTTGCTTTTGTCTTTGAGGATTATGGTGGTGAGGGCTCGCTTGTGGATTGAATTTTGTTGACTTCCATGTTTGCTACGGAGAGCGGAATCAAGAAATTTAGATGGATGTGGGAGAATGCCGACTCAAAAGAAATAACTAGAGTATATGGCAAATATGAAAGGTACTCATGCCATGTTCGTCTTTACCTTACACTTACACAGTAAGTTCCACGTGCCTTTCACCTGACAAGCCAACAACTTTGGATAAGAAAGCCTCGCGAGAAGCCTCTCTTCAAATTGTTGTGTACGGTGTTCTCCACAGCCCAAGTTCTGGGTTTCTTCCGAGATCATCCATCACCAATGGATCATGCCGTGCCACAAGGCATGAAATGTGGCACCGGCCAAGAAGCATCCAGGTTCTATTTCAGACGGGGTTTCAGGGCCTTCGCTTCAGCGACCGGCAGTCGCTCGTTGGTCCAGAGCTTCTCAGAGCTCCCTTTTCCCCACGGCATCCTTGGTGATAGGAGGCGATACTGGGTTTCAAGTTCGCGGTGCGCTCCTCATTTGGAGCCTATTGATCCGATGAGAATTTTCCTTTCCATTCGAGGGATTAGATTTTGTGTCATTTAAGCTCTTGTCGATCTTACCATGCCCTGTCCATGCCATACCGCGGCACGCACGCTACACTCTCAGACAGCACAGGTTTGTCCATACATAATGTGAACCACGGGCCAGAACGTCTGCGATTCGAATGATCTGGATCTTTGCTCTTCGACGTGTTGCTCTGTTGAGTCGGATGCATGACTGTGCGAGCTAGCTACACTATTTCTCGAGTTGACTCGAAGTACTGGGCTTTGGCTTTTGTTGAACTTGGAAAAGTGGCCGGCGCCGAAGTACATTTAGTTCAAGAAATCAGGTGGCTGAACGAAGAAGGGGAGAACTCACCGAACAACAACCTAACGACGGACGAAGGAACGCCCTGCCTCGCCTTGGTTGCCCTGCTGCCCTGCCACCAAGCTTTAGACAGACGCCACGCCGATTAACTCGATTGCATTGCGGAGCAAGCAACATCTGGCTTTTCCATTCCCTCTCAATAGTCGATTCCAGAGCAGAAACACTCCAGTCATTGATGTCGTGACGTCGGGACATTAACATACGACAGCGACCAACAGAAGCTACAATAGCCACAATAATAATGATGGCCGAAGTTCAGAATCCTCCTCCAATGCACGACCACGACGCTGCATCAGCAGCAACAGCAGCCAATCCTCGGCCAATCCCTCCACGTTCAGCTATCCGTATCCCCCCGCCCTCAACAGTCGCTCTACCACCGTCCATGTCTGCAAGTCGGATTCGGAACTCACATCTCGCACTCGACACCTTTTCGCCCGTTAATCAGAATGGCAGTTTCGAGTTCGACCGCGTGCTGAAGAGCGGACTTGTTTCTAAGAGGACGAGGAAGACCAAGGTAGGTGGTAGTTGAAAGCCTTTGTTACATCACGCTCAGCAAACAAGCTTACGGAGAATTCCCACTGACACAACATCCCGTTATCTACAGGCTTGGAAATCCATCTATCTCGTCCTCCGGCCCAACTCTCTCTCAATATACAAAGACGCCAATGAAGCTAAACTCCGCCATAAAATCCACCTTTCCGACCTCACCGCCGTCGCTTTCCTCAAAGACCCAAAGCACAAACGCCAGAATGTCTTCGGGCTTTTCTCTCCCTCGCGCAACTACCACCTCGAAGCCAAGTCGAGGCAAGACGCAGAAGAATGGGTTGATCTAATCCGCACAGAAGCGCGCATCGAGCAGGAGGAAGAGGAGATGCTGCTGGCCAGTCCAGGCGGCAATGCCACAGGCACATACTCAGGCTTCGAACGCACAATGCAGCAACAACGCGAGCAGCGACTCCTCCACGACGAAAGACTCGGCTCCTCCTCCCCCGAACCCAGCGACCAAATCCCCATACCACGCACCCAGCGAACCGAAGCTCTAGGCCTCACAACGCAGCGGAGAGTCTCGCACACAATCGAATACTCCGGTAATGAGATCTCAGACATGTCAGATACGGATCTGCGCTGTCGGGGCGGCTCCAGCCTCTCTATCTCAGAAGACCCCATGGCTGTCAAGGCACCTATACCACCTAATCGGCCTATGCTCGGCGCACGCAACGTCTCACAACTGTCAGGCTTCAACATCGAAGCCGCAGACCCCGAGCGCGTCGTCTGGCAGGGCTATATCCTGTCCCTAAAATCCGCGCGGGGAGTCCGCCAGTGGAAAGACTACTGGGCCGTCATCCGGCCGCGGACGTTCGCGCTGTATAAGAACGACTCGGAATACTCGCCTATACTGATTATACAATTGGCGAATGTGATTAATGCTGTAGAGATTGATCCGCTGAGTCGGACGAAGAGGCATTGCTTACAGGTTATTACGGAGGAGAAGAGCTATAAGTTTTGTGCTCATGGTGAGGAGAGTTTGGATACTAGTTTGGGTGCCTTGAAGAGCTTGCTGGCGAGGAGGAAGGATGGCGAGGGGAAGGGGAGGGGTGTTGTGCGGTCATGACCGGTTATGAACGAATGATCAGTCATGGTGCGGTTCTCACGCACACATGTACCGACTTCCTCCCTTCCTCATGTGTTTTTGGATAAGCTAGCTGGTCTAGAATAGGCCGGGCTACGACTGTACAGGTACCTAAAGTTATCGAACAGCGCTGGAGATGAGAAAGATCGAAAAAGGAGAAGAGAGAGTATGAGAAAGAACTCGGCGAATGCATACGGTCTTTTGGCTAACGTAACGAAACGGCAAAATCAACAATGAACGAATGACACGAAACGTCTAACGATACTCATGACGGCGGGAAAAAAAAAAGGGGGGGGTATTCTGTAACTGTAATTAGTACACTCATGAAGGCAGCCCTCAGGGGAACTTGAGAAGGCAGAAGAAAATATGTTTTATTACTGTATTCAGTGTTGATTCTGGGCTTCATGTGACGTGACGTGACGTGACGCCTTGTGAAGGATTGGAGCGAGTTGGTAAGTTGCGTGTAAGCGAGCATCCGAGCAAGCCTTGAAAGTAAACAGACGCCGAGGTGTCAACAGAACAGAACAAGACAGGACAGGAGATGTCTCACGAAATTGTCATTTTAGCTTGCGTGTTCTTAGGCTTGACCCAGACATGTCACAGAGAGAAGCATACGTAAGCAAAAGTTAACTTTTTTCATATTCTACTGCTTGGAGCAGTGTATGTGATTATTATCAAATCTTTTAATCTTATCTCACTCATTTCACCGAAATATCTACAACACCAACGCAACAGCCATCACAGCCACTAGGCCCACCATCCCACCAACCCTCAAGCTCTCCGCCGCATTCGTACTCGTCGGACTAGGCGACGTGGTCCCGCTCCCACTTCCACTTCCAGATCCAGTCCCTGTTGCTGTCGGTGTAGGCGTTGGACTCGTCCCATTCGCAGTAGGCGTCACGCTGGCCCCCAAATCCGGCAAATCCGGAATCTCTACACTACTATCCGTACTACTCACATTGACAAACACACAATCGGCATCATATCGATATGGATTGATCAGGTTTGGGCCCGTCTTGTTCTCAAAGCCCAGGCGCACCAGCGAGTCCTGGCTATTGTTATACACGGGCCATCCGTAGTTCGTGAGGCCTTGTTGCGGATCTTTAGCGAACGTGGCCCAGGCGCCGCGCATATAGTTGCCAATACTGACTTGTTCTGCGGTGGCGGGGGGAGACGCCGGCGCGGTGTTGAACAGCATGGGGACTTCGGCGGTGTGCCATGTTCCTGCTTCGCTGGAGACTGCTAGGTTGGGGAACACGCCCATATATCTATATCTCCACGTCGGGATGTCGTTTGCGATGGATAGGTTGGCGCGGATGCCGGTCGGGCAGGTGAAAGCCTGGAGGTTGAAGGCGTTCCAGAATTTGTCGGGGTAGAAGAGGTCGTTGAGGGCGAACTGGGTGCGGAAGAGGCCGGCTTCGTAGTCGTTGTTGCCGATTAGCATAGGGATCTTTGCTGGGACGCGGGAGCTGTAGTTGGTGAAGACTACGACGTCGTCTTCGGTTGGGCCGAAGTAGCCTAGGATTGCGGCTGTTCCACTCGCTGGGGGGATGGAGTTGAGGATGTCGGTGTAGTTTTGCTTGCGCATGCAGTCCAAGACGGCGGTAGAGTCTGAAGAAGCGTTTCCGCAACCCAGAGTTCCGCTGACGTTGTACCATGCTGCGGCGCCGAATTCCTTGGAGTTGGGGAGGCCCCAGCCGATGACATTACCAGACTCGGGAATGAGTCCTGCGACGATTGGATCCTTTGTCCAAGCGTAGGAGTAGATGTCGACCGAAGCTGCGCCTGCAGATTGTCCAAAGAGAGTTATTCTTGATGGGTCGCCTCCAAAGTTCTCGATGTTGTCTCGGACCCATTCTACAGCGAGTCGCTGGTCGAGAATAGCGAGGTTGGCTGTTGAGTTTGGGTTTCCTGGGAAGCCAAGAATGCTCAATCGGTAGCTGTAAATTACGCCTTAGCTTATAATCATATATAACGGATAGGAGAACATACTTGAGAGAAACTACCACAACGTCTTCCTGTCCAGCAATGTTTGCACCATTGTATCCAGGAACCGAAGCTGCTCCGCTGCTGAATCCACCTCCATAGAGCCAGACCAAAACAGCTTTCTTCGTGTCACCAGTTTGAGGCTTGGTCCAGACATTCAGGAACAAACAATCCTCACTGTATTGTCCCGTAGCACTCAGGATTGACAAGGTGGAAATGCCAGCAGATGTGACATTGGCCTTGTCGAGAGCCTGAACAGAAGGCGTGCTACTATTGGATCTCTTGACTGGGCAATTGGGACCCTTAAAACTCAATTAGCACCCGTACCGATCCCTCGTCGCGTAGAGACTTACGAAAGACGTTCCATTGATCGAGCTGTTCCCTGTGAACTTGACAGGAGCAGCAAATCTCAGATCTCCAACCGGGGCTTGTCCGTAAGGAATGCCCAGGTATTCCGAGACCTCGGAATTGTTCTTTGCAGCGTGTCCACTGACTGGGCCGCTTTCCGTCTGTACAGTCTGTCCGACAGTCCAATTGGCAGCTTGGCGGCGTTCGAGGCTGAAAGCGCTGGCGCAGAGTCCTGCCACGAGGGTAACAAGCAATGATAACTTCATAGCTGCGACGTCTTATCTCGAGCGCGTAGAAGAGAAGGCAGGAAGGTAGAAGTGGCGAGAGGAGGGGAGGGAGGAAGGAAAAGATCGAAAGGGTAAAAGAGTGAAGGAAAGTAACGGTCGTACCTACATACTTGTACTTGCAGTCACCTACCTGACGTGTACTAACTTACTTCCAACTCAATTGGTAAGTCAATTACTTACGTCTCCACCTTCCTGATCAGCTCTCCACATTCTTGCAGGCAGGTCGAGTGCGGGTGTGCAGGCAAGCATTGGCAGCCAAATGGGATGGGTTGGGATGGGATGGGATCTTTTCATCATCGAAAACCCGGCCTTGGAATAATAATCGGGTAGGTCGTGGGACCTCGCTCGTGGACACGAATGCAGTCTAGCCCAGCCCCAGCAGCACGGAGCTCCCAGCCTCATAAGCTTTGGCGGCAGCGGACTTGGGCCCGAACGAGGACTAAATCGATGAGATACGAGCGTTGCGGAGAGGGGAAACCATTTTCCCCAGGACAGAGCAGCGGGTAGCGCTTGGAATTTGGGGGACGCGAGGCAGAGCACGAAAATTGTGTATGTGCATGTGATGTGCCTGTCTGCCTGTGTCAAGAAATTAAAATCGCGGGGAAGAGCCTCGCTGCCTCGGTCCATGCGAGGCAGGGATGGAGGATGACAGGAACAGGATGAGGATGCACAGGGATCGAGCGGGCTCAGGCTTGCTAGTTGGGTCTGCTCTGCTGCATGATGCATCATCACCAGAAATGAAAGATTGAATGGGGAATGGAGAGCGAAAGTAGTGCTGAGCAAGATACGAGTAATCTCGATACTGTACTGTTTTGGTTCGGTATCGGCTCGGCATTGCATGAACAGTTGTTTTCCCGACATGAGAGTCGAGACTCACAAATAAAAGTAGCGGAGCTCCATATCGGTGGGAGCTTGAGAGTGAGACCATCGAGACCGGTTCACAGCTTCGTCCCTAAGGTACTTGTACCTACTTGACCTGAGCCCGTTCCCGAATTGGCCGACTTGAAGAGCATGCCGTCAACACTACTGTGTTTGTCCGGCTGGCGGCTTCAGATGCTAAGAATAGTCGCAATCGTTATCTCCATGGCAATCTCCTTTCGACAAAACAAAACATGGAGCCATGGTCACAACAGTCCACCTTCACAACTATTCACAACCTGATGAGAGGACCCTGCCGTCGCTTAGGAAGAGGACTCAAGCACTCAAGATGAAGATCCCAATCCCGGCCAAACGAGCAAAACAATTTCAGCATGGGAATCAGAGCAGTACGATTCCCTCGGATCTACACAGTTAATTACTATCACCGCCCGGCAATACAATGGCCATCGAGCCTTTGTTAACAAGACAAAGGAGCAGAAACCGTCCTCATTGGCCACCAAGCAGCCCTCAGCCAAGCTTTTGTTGCACATCTCACCAGATTCACTTTTCCACCGCCAATCAACCTTCTGTGGCTGCGCACCACGTGATGGTGCTTCCGTTCATGCTTCCATTGATTCGCTGTTCTGGTCTTGCGTGGCGTTCTTGTTGCAAGTCGCAGCAGATTCACTGCTTTGCAAGCTTCACTAGGTGGATAATCTCTCGCTTCTGACAGCACTCAATCAATGGGTGACAGTCTGCCCTACATGACTCGGGTATCGGAAAGATCGGTACGATGGTTGATCGTGAGGTTGCTCCAGTTGCAGCTCTTGATCACTGGAGCTGTTTTTATAACAATTCTACGCTGATCCATGGATGGAATTCGGGGCATCAGATCACGTTCCCTCCTCGTGTAGCTGGCTATCCATGTCTCGCTGTAGAGAGCTTCCCCATCCCCATCCTAGCAAACACATCCGATACTGGCTAAGAGCTGTCAAAGTTGCCAGCTCTGGGTCAATTGGATAAATTCCGCTTTTTGGAGTCTCAGGGGTTAGTTAAATTACTGGACAGTGGACCAAGCCAGCAATCACTGGCTGTCCGTGTTCTCTGTTCACCCCGTGCAGGCCACGAGGACGGGGGTCAATCACACCAACGTCATATCTGGACTGCCTTGAAAACACCTGCATATTCATGCAACCTCAACACCCAAACACAGCACATCCTTTGACGATCGCTGTGGCTCGACCTATCGTGGACTCGAGGCACCTGGTGAAGTAGCAATTCCTGTCTCCTTTGGGCTTTCTCGCGAGTCGCTACCGCTCTTTCTATTTTGCCTTCGCTGTATGAGCTCATACGGCGTTTACCTCCTTTCCCTTTTGCCATCGAATTGTTAAATACCATCATGTCGTTCGTTTGACTTGGCTAGAACTGTCCCATGCCGAAGTATTGTCTCACATTGCCGTCTCGTTTGGCTACTCAAAGTATTTTATTGCTATGCGCTCGTTATTGATATGTTTGGCTTTCAGTGCGACAACATTGTTGGCTCAGAGTGGCGACACAAGTGTGCTGGTGAACAAGAGGGACAATGCGACACTGATGATACCGGTGGTTGCAGCTTCTAGTCAGGTATGGTATGTATCATCGAGTCCTGACCAATTTTATCCAAAAATGACTGGTATCAGGGAAGGCGTTGACGGCACGTGGAGTACTTTCACGATCCGAGTCAGTACGCCTGTATCAATATATCGTGTGCTGCCGGCGAGTTCTTGGCAGGAAACGTGGGTAGTGTACGGAGCGGCAGCGCAGGTTTGCAACGTCAGTGTTGGAGTGAAGGCGAATTGTGAGGAAGATAGAGGCGGTTTCTTTGATGGTGCGAAATCATCGACTTGGAAGCAAGGTGACCAGTACCAGCTGCAACTGGAAGAGATGCTTGGCTATGAGGGAGTTGGACAATATGGTAAATTTTCTGTACATAATTTTGATGAGCTCAAATTAACGCATCGCAGGTTTTGATACAGTCGGACTTGGCTTTCGAAGTGATACAGGTCCAACTCTTCCAAACCAAATCGTGTCAGAAATTGTCTCCGATGACTGGTGGTTCGGCATGCTAGGTTTGGGATTCCAGCCTACGAATTTTACGGGTTACGAGACTCCTCAGGCAAGCTTTGCAGACACACTGTACACAAATGGAACAATATCGAGCATGAGCTGGAGCTACACAGCTGGAGCATTCTATCGGCTCAAAAGCGTGTTCGGGAGTTTGATATTTGGTGGCTACGATGCCTCGAGATTCACACCAAATCCCATTCGGTTCTCGATGGCAAGCGACAACCTCCGCGATCTAGTTGTCACTGTTCGCTCAATTACATCTACGACTTCAGGTGGAAACACCACTCTGATGTCCGACCCCATATTTGCTTTCATCGATTCTGCAGTCCCAGACTTCTACCTCCCGGTATCGGTGTGCCAACAGTTCGAGAAGGCATTTGGCCTCACTCTCGACCAGACATCCGGACGATATCTAATTTCCAATACCACACACCAGAATCTGGTGTCTCTAAATCCAACCATAACATTCACACTCGCGAACCAGAAAACAGGCGGGGAAACAACAGACATCGTCCTCCCTTACGCGGCGTTCGACCTGAACGTTACCGCACCACTTCTCACTAACACTTCAAGTCTTTACTTCCCACTCAAACAAACTACAGACGAAAATCTGTACATACTAGGTCGTGCTTTCCTGCAAGAAGCATACGTAACCGCACATTACAACTCCCGAACTTTCAACGTCTCTCAAGCCGTCTTCTCAGACAACGCCTCCCCTGCCCTCGTGGCCCTTCCCGCTACTCTACCATCATCCACCACGCCCACCAAAACAAACTCCCCCAATTCGCCATCCTCTCCCTCCTCCAAGTCCAAACTAGGCGGCGGCGTCATAGCCGGCATCGTGATTGGCGCTTTAGCCGGCATCGCCATTCTCGCCTTCCTCATATTCTTCCTACTCAAACGCCGACGCCGCGTCGCAGCCTCCAAAGCTGAAAAAGAGAACAGAGGCCCCGTCCATGAAATCGACAGTGGGAAACGTGTTGATCCAGGAACAACGAGCGCATATACTGCACAGGCGAGTGCGCTTACTAGTGAAGTGTCGGGCAAGGATTCGAGGGTCGAGAAGTGGGGAAATCCGATTATGCATCCGCAGGAGCTGGAGGCGGATGTACCTGGTGTTATGGGATCTAGGGGCAATGGGGCGGAGATGGGAGCTGGGAAGATGAATTCTATTAAGGAGACGAAGACGAAGACTCCGATGGCGGAGTTGGGTGTTCAGGAGAGAGGACTGGGGGAGGGAAGTGCGATACCAAGGCAGAGAGGTGAGGAAGATGATATTGTGAGCCCGAATACGGATCGTTGGTCTGCGAGTGTGATGGGGAGGAACAGGAGCGATGCAAGGGCTAGTAGTCCCAGTGGACCGAGTGAGGGAGGAAGTTGGAGCCCTAGCACGCCGGTACAGAGGAGGAATAGCAGGTTTAGTGAGACTTGGGATTGATGATCCATCATATATGGAGTGAAGATGAAGGAATTTCTGGAGACTGGGAAAGTGTGCTGGATGCACTCGATGAAATATAAAATGTGGACGGAAAATGGGTATATGAGGTTAACACAGGCAGAAGTACGAATACCAATAGCACAATGGCTGGAGTTGTGGGAATGTAATATTTTGGGAATAAAGAGAATTTAGTGTTGTACACAAGAGGACAACAGGATGTCAATATATGCACAGGATTTATGATGGGGCCCCTTTCCTTCGCCCCGATGCTCTTGGAAGAGGGATACAATGCTAAAACCATTGAGGATCCAGTTGTTGCGACTAGAAACGTCCATCCATATGTTTGTAAGTTGTTTGGAAGTTCGCTTTATGGTCCTAAATAAATGCTGCTCAGCATCTACCTTCTATCAAAGAGTGAACTCTTAGTCATCTCTCGAGGTCGACGCAACGATACAGTGTTATTTTAGCTTAAGAACGAACCTATCTGTCTGTATTTCAGCTATCTTATCCATGGGCAATGATAGGAGCTTGGTCCGCCTATGGAGCCAGAACATCCACATCCCGCTGCTTCGTGTCGGACAACGCAGTGCCAAGAATGCCAGACCAGAATATCTCAAATACTCGGTACTGTACCCACCATCCGAAATGGTAGGATACTTTCAAATACGCACCTTATGGTCCAATCCGACTATCAAGGGCACATAATATTCATATGTACGAAGAAAAATCATCCATCCAGAAACGTACATATCCGAGCGAATCATCCCCTCCCCGCCGCAGCAACTCTCGGGATCTAGAATCCTTCGTATACCCCAATCCCGGACGCTTCCTTCCCGTACATTTCAACACTCACATGCAGGAAGTTCTCTTCTACCATACTTCAATTCCGGGAATTATGGAGGTTAAATGATATTCGGTACGTTTTGCAACCTCCGACGTTGACTAAAAACCCACCGAAACCCACCTAGCGAGTCTCACTCTCGCTTGCGGCGACCCTTTATTTATGTCAGACGCTTAGCGAGCCCCGACCGAAACACTGCATTTCAACCCCACGTTGCTGGTGCGGATCGGATGGATTCCTACGAGGATACTGCATTGGACTAGGCAGCTACTAAGCCTCGCTTCATGCAGGGAAAGAGTTTGAAAGAGGGGTTTATTAACTCTGTCGAGTCCAGCTCTCAATTCTCAGAACGAAGCTTAAGGAAGTACATCTACCCACCCATCTCCCGGCCTAACTATCTTTCCCTTTCTCAAACGCACGCAAAAGGTCGCATTGAAGTAAAAGAGAGAGACATAGAAATGCCTTCCCATACTACCCAGCCCCTGAGCTGCCAGCTCTGCAGCATCCCCTTCACCATCGGCCGCGTCCGCACAATCCACGAACCACTTTCCTCGTCCCTCGACGCCACAACCTCCTCGCCCTACCACCTCCGCGACGGCTCTTCTTCCCGCTGCAGTCGCGACTCCTCCTCATCTGGCTGCCAGAACATCATTGTTGAGAAACCGCACGATGTCCATGCCGAAAGTAGGTTGCAGCACCTTGCTGGTGAAGGATGTACATTTGAAGGTGGGTATTCAGGGTGGAGGATTGGAGTGCGGGAAATGAGAGGGATGAGAGGAGTGAGGTTTGTTTTGCCGAAGAAGCGAGGGGCTGTTGACGATGAGGAATCTGGTGATGAGGGGGAGTGCGAGGAGGGAAGTAGGTTCTTTGTGTCAGAGGAGATTGAAGGGCCGTTTCTGGAGGGCGAGAATGTCTACGTCAAGTTGCCCGAGGAGAGGTATGGAGTTACGTCTTTCACCCCACGGAACTTCCCTCCCATAAGCGTTGCTCCGGACAGTATTGGTATACCCATCCACAGCACTTGCTTCTCTATTTTCTCGCGTATCTCGCTCCAACAACTCGGACGCATCGACCTCGACGGCTTCGCAGCCCTCTGGTACCGCAAAGCGTGCGGAGGGTGCGGGTTCCAAGGATTGAACCATGATCCTGTGATTGGGGATCTGAAAGAGAGGTTCTGGGTGCATAGAGTCGGAACGGAGTACTTGGCTGCTAATCCGGTGGTTATTCCTGGTTTTGAGTTGGCGATGCAGGGTGTTTATGGGCAGGGGGCGAGAGGGGATGGGGTGTTTGGGACGAGGGATTCGTATGGTATTGCAGCTGGATCTGGAGGAAAGACCAAGTTGAATTTGAAATTGAAAGGGAGAATGGGAAATAGTGGGAAGGTCTTCAGAAGACATCGCAACTCCACTGATCCTTTCTTCGTCCTTCCTCCTGAACTCAAAAATAAGATCCTCGCCGATCTGTCTCCGAGCGAGATAACTGCCATCCGGCTCTCATCACGCTCGTTCCGACAACTTCCCAAGCAGATCTTCAAATCGTTCATTGCGGAAGAGATGCCATGGTTTTGGGAGATTGATGACATTCGGAGGGAGGTTGAGGAGGCCTACAAAGAGGCTTTTAGGGACCAGTTGGCGGATCTGGGTGTTGGTTTTGATAGCGAGGGGCTGGCTATGCTGGAGGGAGTCATGCCGAGTGAGTGGTTGAGATTTGTGAAGGAAAGGATGGAAGGAAAGGCGATGGATGCTAATTGGTTGGAGGTATTCAAGCAATTGAGGGTTATGGAGAAAGGGTGTTTAGGGTTGAGGAATCGGAAGAGGATTTGGGGATTGGCGGGAGAGGTTGTGGGGATGATTGAGAGGATGAGAGAGGGTTTGGAGAAGGAGGCTGGTGGATTTGAGATTGTGAAGGAGGAGATGAGGGTAAAGGGGAAAGGTAGTGTGGGAAGGGATTTTTGGAGTTGTCCGAGGTGTGAAAATGTCCAGATTGAATTGGAAGAGGAGGACTCTGAGGAAGATGAGGAGGAGGACTCTGATGAAGATAGCTGCGAGGAGAGCTCTGACGAAGAGAGCTTCGAAGGAGAGAGTTCTGGAGGAGAGACTTCGGTGGAAGAGAGCTCTGAGGATGCTTGCTCATCAGGAGAAGATTCGGATTAATAACGGCCTCGATATTTCATTTCATCATACACGATATAGAATAATGCTTACTAAGATTTCTCATCTCAAACTCATTCTTCTCCAGCACTTTTTGCATAGTAGGAAAAGACCTCTTGACGGCGATTGGGATCCCAGCTCGCTATATGGATGGAGAAGGAAGAATGATAACATAACTCTCACGCGGAGATTTCTCCTGAGGGACTGAAATTACTCTTGTAAGTTCACTTTACATCTCTTTCGAGAAGCTGGACGAAGTTTAGTCTATCGGGTAGGCTAGGTAAGCGACACGATCAGAGAGTCTCGGTTGTTACGTACGCAGATGGAATAAAACTTCAATCTTACTCGAACGTCCCGAAAGCAATTTTGTGTGTTGTACAAGATACTCGAGATTATAGCTATTTACAACTGTATCGTTTTCGGAAAGAAACTGAACAGTAACAATAGAGATGCAGCCCTCCACTCGTGACCGTCTTTACGAAATATGAGGCAGCATACTCGCCCACGGCACCGTCGTATAGCACTCAATCGGTAACCTCCTCAGACTCGAAACCGCAAGACCAATAATCACAAGTCTCGCTCCCAGGTACGTAAAGAACGGGATCCAGAAGAATATGAGTCCAACCGGCATCCGTAGTTTATACCCTTCGATGTACTGATATTCCCCACCCTTCTTCCTCCGCTGACGATTACCCACCGCATCAGCAAGCGCGTGGATGAACAGACACGACTCTGCTGTCACGCACGCGCAACGCCACATGGTCTTTTCTATGGCTGAGGGAAAGGCGAAGTACCATTCGGCGAAGGAGAGGGTCGAGAAGAGGATGACGTTGATCCCTAGGAATGCGCGTTGGCGAATGTCAAGCAGCTGAGGATTCCGATCGTTTGGAATTCGACGGAACGGCTTACGGTAGGGACCATTATCGCGGCAGAAGCGAGGAAAGAGGCTCATGATGTGTGCTTGGGCTTCGACAAAGTCGAGTGGTGTGTACCGGTATGGTTCTTTAGCTATGGGACCTGCGGCGATGAGTATCGCGGCCATTGGGGTTTTCATTCTGATTATTGTAGGAGTTTGCACGTCAAGAGGCTTGTGAAGCCAGTAATAGTAAGTTGTTAAAGTGCATATGATGATGGCGCAGGTTTGGTACTCAAGTGGAGATACTGGTAGGCCTTGGATGATGCGGCCGGTGCATTGGGTCATGAACCATAATGTCTGGAAACACGCAACTGTTTTGGTGAACTTGTCGCCCTTGCTCTTATCAAATATCTCCTTTTGAGTGATTTCCGGCATGGGGATGTATTTGTTTTTGACGAGGTAGTGTATTTGCTTTGCGTTTGCCGGGAATGCTGGTGCGTCTTGCGAGTGGATAAGGAAACCGCCGCTGTCGGCATAGAAGCCGTGAGCAAGTGACCAGTTCTCCAGTCCCAGAGCTTTCATAGCTGCTTGAGATCTTTTGGCTGACGCCCATTGCCCGCCGGCAGAGAGAAGAAAAGCTTCTGGAACCAGTGCTCCGAGCAGAAGCCATCTGAATCTTCGCCAAGACTGACGAAGAAGTCCTTCGTGGCTAGCAGGCAAGTTTAAATGAAGCCTGGAAGATTGAACAGTCAGCATTTGATGCTGATCTTGGAGACAATATCATGGATGAGATTGGAATTCCGCGAGGAGAGGCGATTTCTTGCTTACTGTACCCAAAGACAGATGAAAAGTGTTGATATACAAGTCCACAAAATGTCCAAAGTTCCTCTCTGATTTGGCTGCGATACCCATCCTTGCCCTATAGTCTCGTTACAGGATATCGAAGCACGGATAGGCGCCATAAGGAGATCTGTTGCTGCATCTGGGTTGCCATTGTGGAGACTCAGAAGACATATATGAATCTCGGAGCTTCAAAGACCACACTTGATGTTAATGCCGTCAGCATGCGGCTTTACCACGAAACTGCATTCTACCAGAGTTTTGAACACAACATTGAAAGTCATGTCCCTTCAGCTGCTTTCCTGTTGGTTATCGCTCAGCCGGCAATTGTTATGGTGTGCTCGGGTAACGGGTTCGAGGCGAAGCGCATGCATTTGATAAGAATGTAACTCTTCCCGCCTGGAGGCTGACAAGTCTCCGAAGCCCCCAGCCAATGGTTGTTGGACTTCGGTGGATTGTCATTGGGTAGTCGATTCAGGCTGTATCAAGATGACAGTTCCAGAGCGAGATTACTTGGCAGTAGTATATTGTGCATATCACGTGTAGTTGGGGGCTGCTCTCTTGGTTGGAGAACTTTTTTCTTTGTTTCTATTTCGAGGTTCCCCTTCTCAGCCGCACTTTAGTGAAAAATTGCATATTGTAGAGGTGATGAGACATTTGACAGTGGCTTAGCCTCCCGTCTATCGTACTACTTCAATGTGGAGACAAGTTCGCTCGTCCAGTATCTTCAAATAGATCTTGCTCCCTCCACAGCAACACGATCGTCATAGTACAGTACAGCGCAAGACCATCATGCCAGCTTGGTTGCCCCCATGGGGCGGACTTGTTCTTGTCCCAGGTGCAATACTATATCTCTACTTTGTCAAAAGACTTCGATTTTCTGGAACAAACAGTCTCCCAGCCAAGCTCGGCTACACAAATAGATCTACCTACTGCCGGATGACGGTGGAAGATGCATGGAAGATTCACAACTTCCTGATCGAATACGAGTTCCCGACTACATTCTCAGCCGCGACAATGTTCGCTCTGTTCAAAGCCTATGGAATCCCGAGCATCTCGTCACTTCTGTGTGTGACAGGACAGTTCTCATCCAAGGAAACCGTGGACAAACGATACGCTGATACGGGATGCCTTCTTCTGGAATCTGTTCTCAACGCCCCTGCTTCGCCCCGTGCCATTGAAGCTCTCTCCCGAATCAACTATCTACATTCTCCTCATCGAGCTAATGGCAAGATCACCGATCCAGATATGCTGTACACCCTTTCACTTTTTGCTTTAGAGCCATCCAGATGGGTTGCCAAGTACGAGTGGCGAGATTTGTCTGACTTGGAGAGATGTGCTGTCGGAACATTGTGGAAAAGTCTGGGTGAGGCGTTGGGGGTTGCTTACGATTTGCTTCCGGGGAGCAGAACGGGCTGGAAGGACGGCATCGAGTGGCTGGATGATCTGGGTCGTTGGAGTTGCAAGTATCAAGAAAATCACATGATACCAAATGTCTCGAACAAGAAAGTGGCTGATGCGACACTGTATCACATTGTGTGGAAGCTACCATCCAGGTTCAAGGCTGTAGGAGAGAAGATCGTGGCGGCCATTTTGGAGGACAAGCTGCGAGAGGCGATGATGTAGGATTCTCACTGCTTTTTGAGATCCGAGGAGAAGACTAACATTTGCACAGAATTTCCACGCCCCCACAGAGCTACTTCACGTTCATTCGTCGCTTTGTCGCTGTCCGGAAACTTTTCCTTCTTCACTTGTCACTTCCTCGACGTAAGCCAAAGAAGCGTCTGCCTGTAGCCACTTCTTCTGGGCGGATGTTAGCAAAGAAGTATACCATCTCGCCGTGGTATGTCAAACCAACACTCAAGAACCGCTGGGGATTTGGAGCGTGGAAGACGTGGTTGAAGGGAGGTATCCTACCTGGTGATGAGGGAGGTAAGTATTTCCCACAAGGGTTTGTGGCGAGTGAGCTGGGCCCAAATGCGTTGAGGAATTTTGGAAAGGAGAAAATGGAAGCGGACAGGCAAAGGCTGAAAGTTGAGATGAACTCAGAAGAAGGAAAATGTCCGTTTCTTCACAGCACAGCATAGTCAGCAAGCATAGCCTATGAAAGTACGGTTGAAAGTCAATAAGTGTCAGGTTCCAAACCAAAATTAATAATTTCCAAATGCTGTAGGAATCTCAGATATCCACCTATTCAGTTCAGACTTCCTCCCAAGCTCGCTTATATGGCAAACAGATGGTAAATACAGCCGCCCAAAGTCATTCATTCCTCCTAGCCCAAGATCTACGACTCTAAGCCAGCGAATCCGTCTCTCCCTTGTCACAATAATCGCTTAGTACCTCCATCCAACACCAATTCTCTCAGACCCAGGTCCATACCTTGCATCCCTGGTCCCACACCTCTCCCCATACAGTGCATTGTTCCTGCACTCAAAGCTGCAGAAATCGGCTGTGTATCGGTGATGAACATTGCTTTGGTTCGGCATACATCCTGGCGGTATCTCGAATGGCAAGATGCTGTGACTTTGCTGAGTGGGATCGTTGATGCGCTGGAGCTGAGTGTAGATCAGATAGCAATTTGAGCCAGCAAGGAGAGTTCGGTGACCGCATGGCGATTCGATGCTCCAGTAATTGCACATTCTCGGTCGTAGGTGTAATCGGCTGTGAGGTGAAGATGGACACTTGGAAGGTTTTGCCGCTGCGACGGTGACTTGACTTAGGCAGCAAGAGAAATGTGAGTAAGAGCGCCTACCTGTCCAAGTTCAGGCTTCAAGGAGGGGTTTTAGTCTAAGTACAAGAGCCAGCTCACCATCGAGGATAGAAGTAGAGTGTCATTTGAGGACGTGGCACGCGTCCCCTTTCGGAAACTTCCATGCCACTGGTACGATGAGTAGAATCTGCGTTGGTGCTTTTCGGGCCAGCTTTCGTTATTGCATCTGATCTCTGACTACGTCCCAAACTCTAACATCAATGCTGTGACCATATCAGGTTGCCTCCACGAGGATGGCATGACAGCGGGAGGGACTATGATACGCGGAACTGTGATTGTTGCAGAACTGATTGTCAGGAAGTTGCTGAATTGGGTATGCTGAGGTGTAAAACAAAAGCAGCTGTTCGCGGCTGGTGATTACTCTCAATGGAGTGATTTTGCAAGCCCGTTTCGATGTTGACAAACACCAGCCACCGCGTGTATGATTGAAGCTTGTGTATTTGCAGCGTTAGGAAAGCCTCTGAATCGCCAGGTCCTTGCGGCTAAACGCGGGATTGAAAGAATACAGGAGAGAGAGAAGAGGAGTTTGCCACAAACGATCTTCCGTTGTGTGACCATTGGAGAAGCGTTTGACCAGAATCACGTGAAACAGCTCCGTTCGCTCTGAAGACGATAGCAAGCAATTCTCAAGAGCAATGCCAATGCGGGTATTTCTAGAATTACAGGTGAGGGTGGCCAACGCAGTCTATGAGACAATCAGACTGTCACTTACCCATGGACGTTAACCATGGTGCGGCTGGTAATGATTCGAAGCCAACTCCAAGTCCTCTTCGCTTGGTATCCGTCCAGTCCAGGTTTTGGTAGCAATGTTTGACATGCTGAAGGTATCCAGTTTCTCTACCAACTCATCCGTGATAGCCTTGACGTCCACATCGAGATAGTTGCGGAGGAATTTACCGATTTCGATATTCTCGTGGTTCCCACGCAAGGCATCGGAACCAGTCGTTCCATAGATGTTGACATCCACAGCGCTATGTCCGTGAGTAGACCAACCAATCTGAGCTCGCCGACTAATCATGTCTGCAAAAGTATAAACACTCAGTGGCGGGTTGCCAATAAGAAGTTGAAGTTCTTGCTCGGTCACATCGGTTATCCCTAAGCCTTTGCGGACAAGTTCTTCGCTGATGAACTTTCCGAGCTTGTCTCCCTTTCCATTCTGGGTAACATGGTTATTAAGACGGCCGGCCAAATGTTCAGCTGAGCTTGAAGCATTGACCAGAACTTCGGGCAACCATTTATATTGCGGATACATGGGATGAAGTTCTGCAAGAATCAGCGACAGCTTCAATTTGAAGGACAAGGACATAACCTACGTCGGGCAACGGACAGACCGCCAGTCTCATGGTCTGATGTTGCAACCAAAACGCCTTCATCATCTGATCGTTCGAGGAATTCGATAACGGACGCAAAAGCGTCATCGTAAGCGAGTACTTCGTTGACCTGTGCAGCAGGATCATTTCCATGTCCAGCGTGGTCGATTCTGCTTCCTTCTATCATAAGGAAGAATCCCTTATCACTATCCGCCGTTGCATCTTCGAGCGCCTTCAATGCGGTCTGTGCCATTTCATTTAATGAAGGGTAAACATCGTTCTGGTTTCGTCGATCAATCTCGAATGGAATATCTCTCTCCGCAAAGAGTCCCAACAATGGGAGCTTCACATTTTTGCCAAGCTCCAACCTATCAAAGTCTTTTCGACTATCGACATAGTTCCAGCCAAATTTTTCTTGGGCTAGTTTCGTGATGTCTCTGTCGTCTGCTCTACATCCACCTTCTGTAGTATTGGGCAAAAAATGGCATCGTCCTCCACCGAGCATGATATCAACAACTATGGTCTGTTAGCACAAGTTTCTGGAACTTAGATTTGTCTCATGTACCGCGTCCAAGAGGGTGCTCTCCAACCTCTTGCTGTGCAATCAGATCTTCCTCCAGTCTAACGTTTACGTGAGCAGCGAAGCATGCTGGCGTTGCATCTGTGATATCAGTCGTAACGACAAGTCCAGTCATGTAGCCAGCTTTCTTCGCAGCTTCCAAAACGGTTCCACAAGGTGTGTGATCTGGCAGCATAGATATAGCTCCGTTGTAGCTCTTGAGTCCGCAGGAAAATGCGGTTGCGCCAGCCGCAGAATCAGTGACAAGACTGCTCGTTGATCTGGTTCGCGAGGAGCCGATGAGGTGTTGGTCGAGGACGAGGGTCTCATCGATAGGAAGGCCATCTGGAATGTAAGTCGAATTCAAACACCAGAGTTGTCACATACCGCGAAGCTGGCGAAAACTGCGGGTCATGGACAGACTCGCAGGACCCATGCCATCTGATACCATAAACACCAAGTTCCTTTTTCCAGTATGTTTTGACGGGGCGTTATGATCAGCCCCAGAATCATGGGAGAGTCCTTGGTGCTGTGTGAAGACTGCGAGGACAATACAAGCAGCAGTCGCTACTAAAGCCCATGTAAACAGTCCTACTTCTCTCCAAAAGGAGGCTCTCCGCAAAGGAGAACCAGAGTCCTTCTGCCCGCTAACCAGGAGTGCTGTGTCCTCATCGGCTGCTCGTTCTTCGGAGTGGAGTGAAGAGTCTCTTCTGTTATTTGCAAACAAAGGTTCGGCAGGCGCCATCGTCGACGTAGGGTAGCTAAGTCTGAAGCAGATCTGTAATAATGAAATCTAAGAATGAAAAATACGTGAAAGATGCGAGTTCATCTTCTTGAAAAGGAACGGTTTATAGGAATCGGTCTTGCTGTATTACATTGTTGACATAAGTCGTCGCACTGGATGACCGCCAAGAACCCTAGGTACCTATCGGAGACTGATAAGAGTGTCACGAGTTGATAGCAGCAGACCCCCTCGTCCTATTAGCGGGCGAGTATTCTCGTCTCACAGTTTATGGATCAGTATTGATCCATCAATATTTTGTTATTATACTCTTGAATTGCAACGGCTTTACTTTTAGACACTCAGGAGATCCATTTAGCATGCAGGCCAGGGTTTTCACCAAATCTCATACCGAGTTGCGTGTACTAGGTATTGGGACAAGTATTATTTGCCAGATGAGAAATCACATCTCTACGGGGCAACGCCGAAGCAGGTCACTGAAGTTGCCCATGACGTGCGTATTTCAGGCCTTCCTTGCCTAATTACAGGTTGTAGGTTCGAGCTACCCAATTCCTGGGGATGTGTGTTTCGTTTGGCAGTTGAGGGGATAGAGCATGATGCCGAGAGAACATAGAACAGATGCCATCTATCCTGTCCCTTGCTCGATATCCTGATCCGAAAGAGTGAGAAGAGATGATGCGTGGGCGGCAAATGAAGTACAACTTGGGTCCACCAAAACAAAGTCTTCCGAAGAAGAAGAAAAAGAATGTAGTCTGACACTTGCCCTTAAGTCCACAAATATCTGAAAATCCAGCCTATACGCATACTTATGGTGATGAGGCGGTACACTAATCAGTAGAAGGAGAAGGGCCTGTAAACGACTCTTGCAAAGGAAGCCTATATGCCTTTGGGTCATGTAAAGAAAACGAGGATCCATTGAATATTCGAGGCTGGAAGTCCGCTCGCTCTTCACATCTGAATGCCTTCCTTTGTTCTCACATCTCACTTCTGTGCTTCAAGTTTTCCCTTTCACGCAATACAACTTTATAAAAGACAAATATTGTATGTCGTGCAATCAAGTCTCCATTTCGAGGAAGTCCTGAGAGAGGTTCAGCTAATACCGGCTGATTCCATGCAAGCCTGCCCAATCGAACACCCAAAGCAACCCATCAGTATCCCATCCTTAACGCTTCTTTTGTTGAGACTCCTTGAGGACCTTCTTGACGATCTTTTGCTCCTCAATCAAGAATGCTCGGACGATACGATCACGGACGCAGTTGGCACATCTCGATCCTCCGTAGGCGCGCTGGACGGTCTTCTTTGGGCGGGAGATCTGGGAGTATTCGCGGGGTCGTAGAGCTGGGATCTATATGGGAAATGTGTTAGCTTCTTGTATCCTCCAGCTGACTTTCATGGCTCCAGGTCGATATTCTTCTGCCAGTGGTCGCACGACAATTTGTTGTGTCTTCATGCAGGGAGCATAGGAGCCCCAATGTATCATCTTGACAAATGTGATCGCCTGCTTGCTCCCATGCCCATTGAACCCAAATTCGCTTCCAGCTCAATTCCACCTTGTCATTTCGGAATGTGCGCATTCTGGGGCCACTTACACCTGGCAACTTGATACCGCAATCACCACACTTGGGTGCTGTGCCGGCCTGGAAATGAAGTTAGTCGCGGGCCTTCAAAGCTTCGCGGATGGGTAATTGTTGACCTTCTTGATGTGCAGATATCTCAAGCTTCCTCCGGGAGTCTTGACAACGCGAACCTTGTTAGACTTGGTGTTGTATCTGCAAGAAAGGACGGTTAGAGAAGTTCCTTCATCTTGTTGAGGATGCGAGGATCATGTGGGAGAAGTGACGACGCGGGCGAGTCCTTGGAAGGAATTTGACTCTGACAGGGACTTACGGGTTGCGGCGTCTGTATGTCAATCTGTTGGAGGCCATCGTTGCGTTTGTCAACGAAAGTTTGCTGGTCGATTGGGTTGTCGTGATATCTTTCTGTGAAGTTTTCTGAAAGTCGGCAAGAGTGTGGGATCGGCCGATCTGCCATTGGCTGGCGAAGCGGGCAGCTAGGACTAGCCACTAAGCGTTTTACGACTTAGCGTGCATCAACTCAGAAGCTCGATTTCTCAGAGGCGCGACTGAAATTTGAGAGGCTCTTCCACCAAGTTCGCAGCATCATCGCAACTGAGATTGAACATCTCGACGCAAGTCACAAAACATCAAAGGAGACAGGGCATCGCGACTTGTAAAAACATGTCGTCGTCCATTCCACCACCTCCTCCTCCTGGATGGGGTTCTGGTCCTCCCTCGATGCTAGGCGCGCCTCCAGGTCCACCTGGCCAAACAGCGCCCCCAGGATATCGACCACCGACAGACGCTCGCACAGCGAAGTTCGCCCAGAAGAAGAAGGAATGGTTGCGAACTCAGCGGAATCGGTTTGGGGAGAAGAGGAAAGGAGGATTTGTGGAGACCCAGAAAGCAGATATGCCCCCGGAGCATCTGCGAAAGATCGTGAAGGATATTGGAGATGTTTCACAGAAGAAATTCAGCAGCGACAAGCGCAGTTATCTTGGAGCCCTGAAATATATGCCACATGCGGTTATGAAATTGCTGGAGAACATGCCGATGCCTTGGGAGTCTGCAAGAGAGGTGAAGGTTCTCTACCACGTCAATGGATGCCTGACGCTGGTCAACGAGACCCCTCGAGTGATCGAACCGATCTTCCACGCACAATGGGCTACTATGTGGGTGTGTATGCGGAGGGAAAAGAGCGACAGAAGACATTTCAAGCGCATGCGATTTCCACCTTTTGATGACGAAGAGCCGCCTCTTTCTTGGTCCGAGAATATCGAAGATGTCGAGCCACTGGAACCCATTCAGATGGAACTGGACGAGCAGGAAGATGGTGCAGTTTTTGAGTGGTTTTACGAAAATCGCCCCCTTCTCGATACCCCACATGTCAATGGTCCCAGTTACAAGGAATGGAACCTCACACTACCACAAATGGCGACACTCTATCGACTAAGTCACCAGCTCTTGAGTGATCTCGTTGACAAGAACTATTTCCACATGTTCGAGCTCAACAGTTTTCTCACAGCCAAAGCACTCAACGTCGCTATACCTGGAGGTCCACGGTTTGAGCCTCTGTATAAAGACGTTGATCCAAATGACGAGGATTTTGGAGAGTTCAACGCAATTGACCGAATCATCTTCCGTGCGCCAATCCGAACAGAATACCGGGTAGCATTTCCATTCTTGTACAACTCCCTTCCACGCAGCGTTAAAATTTCCTGGTTTTCCCATCCTCAAATAGTGTACGTCCGTGCCGAGGATCCAAGTCTACCGGCTTTCTATTTCGACCCTGTGATCAATCCTATCTCCTCCAGATCAGTGGCACCCAAAAACTTGACGATTAGCCACGAGGATGAGATATTTGGTCATGGCAACAACGAGGAGCCCGAGGAGGACGCTTTCGAGCTTCCGGAAGATGTTGAGCCCTTCCTGGTCGATGAGGAACTTTACACAAGCGAAACTGCCTCTGCCATCGCTCTTTGGTGGGCACCATTCCCATTTGATCGAAGATCAGGTCGTATGGTTAGAGCACAAGATGTACCGCTTGTGAAACAATGGTATCTGGAGCATTGCCCACAACGGCAGCCCGTCAAGGTTCGGGTGTCCTATCAAAAACTGCTGAAGACATTTGTCTTGAATGAGCTGCACAAGAAGAAACCAAAAGCTCAGAACAAGCAAAGCTTAATGAAGTCGCTCAAGCAGACCAAATTCTTTCAACAGACCACCATCGATTGGGTTGAAGCTGGCCTTCAAGTCTGCCGACAAGGATTCAACATGCTCAACCTTTTGATCCATCGCAAAAACTTAACCTATCTGCATCTTGACTATAATTTCAACCTCAAGCCAGTTAAGACTCTGACCACCAAGGAGCGGAAAAAGTCCAGATTCGGCAACGCTTTCCATCTCATGCGTGAGATTCTCAAATTGACAAAACTGATTGTTGACGCCCAAGTTCAGTATCGGCTTGGCAACATCGATGCCTTCCAGCTTGCCGATGGTATCTTGTATGCTTTCAACCACGTCGGACAATTGACCGGAATGTACCGTTACAAATACAAACTCATGCACCAGATTCGGTCCTGCAAGGATTTGAAGCACTTGATCTATTATAGATTCAACTCTGGGCCAGTCGGAAAAGGTCCTGGATGTGGTTTCTGGGCCCCTGCGTGGAGAGTTTGGTTATTCTTCATGCGTGGAATCATCCCACTGCTTGAAAGATGGCTTGGCAATCTCCTTTCTCGTCAATTCGAGGGTAGACATAGCAAGGGAGTCGCGAAGACGGTTACCAAGCAGCGAGTCGAATCACATTTCGATCTCGAGCTTCGTGCTTCCGTAATGGCTGATCTTATGGACATGATGCCTGAGGGCATCAAGCAGAACAAAGTTAACACCGTCTTGCAGCACTTGTCAGAAGCCTGGAGATGCTGGAAGAGTAATATCCCGTGGAAGGTGCCTGGTCTTCCAGCACCCATCGAAAACATCATTCTTCGTTACGTGAAGAGCAAGGCGGATTGGTGGATCTCTGTAGCACATTACAATAGGGAGCGTATCCGTCGTGGTGCCACAGTTGACAAAACTGTTGCCAAGAAGAACTTGGGACGTCTCACTCGCCTTTGGCTGAAGGCCGAGCAAGAGCGTCAGCACAACTACATGAAGGACGGTCCATATGTGTCTTCTGAAGAAGCAGTTGCTATCTACACAACCACCGTTCATTGGCTGGAGTCTCGAAAATTCTCACCAATCCCGTTCCCGAGTGTCTCCTACAAACACGACACGAAGATTCTGATTCTCGCCCTCGAACGCCTGCGAGAAGCGTACTCGGTCAAAGGTAGACTCAACCAAAGCCAACGTGAAGAGTTAGCTTTAATCGAGCAAGCTTACGACAGTCCCGGAACGACTTTGGAGCGAATCAAACGTTTCCTCCTAACCCAAAGAGCCTTCAAGGAGGTTGGAATCGACATGAACGACAACTACAGCACGATCAATCCTGTCTACGATATTGAGCCGGTCGAGAAGATCAGTGACGCATATCTCGATCAATACCTCTGGTATCAGGCAGACCAGCGTCACTTGTTTCCTGCATGGATCAAGCCATCAGACTCCGAGGTCCCTCCTTTGCTTACCTACAAGTGGGCTCAAGGTATTAACAACTTGGACAAAGTGTGGGAATCTGCGGACGGCGAATGTAACGTGATGATTGAGACTCAGCTTTCCAAGGTCTACGAGAAGATTGATTTGACTCTACTAAATCGCCTGTTGCGATTGATTATGGATCACAATCTTGCTGATTACATCTCTTCGAAGAACAACGTGCAGCTTACCTACAAGGACATGAACCACGTCAACAGCTACGGAATGATCCGTGGTCTTCAATTCTCAGCTTTTGTCTTCCAGTACTACGGACTGGTCCTCGACCTCCTGTTGTTGGGTCTTCAACGTGCAAGCGAGATTGCGGGACCACCACAAAGTCCCAACGACTTCCTCCAGTTCCGAGACCGCGAGACCGAGACAAGACACCCGATCAGACTCTACACCAGATACATTGATCGCATATGGGTGTTCTTCCGATTCACAGCAGACGAGTCCCGAGATCTGATCCAACGCTTCCTGACCGAGCAGCCGGATCCAAATTTCGAGAATGTCATTGGCTACCGAAACAAGAAGTGCTGGCCAAGAGATTCACGCATGCGTCTAATGCGACACGATGTCAATCTGGGCCGCGCAGTTTTTTGGGACATGAAGAACAGACTACCAAGATCTGTCACGACAATCGAGTGGGATGATACCTTCGCCAGTGTCTATAGCAGAGACAATCCTAACTTGCTCTTCTCCATGTGTGGATTTGAGGTCCGAATCTTACCTAAGATTCGTAACCAGAATGATGAATTCCCTGTCAAGGACAGTGTTTGGTCGCTGGTCGACAATACTAGCAAGGAGAGAACGGCACATGCATTCCTGCAAGTCACCGAGGAAGATATTGCGAAATTCAATAACAGAATCCGACAAATTCTCATGTCAAGTGGTTCAACAACGTTTACAAAGATTGCGAACAAATGGAACACCAGCCTGATTGCGCTCTTCACCTATTACCGCGAGGCAGCAGTCTCAACCGTTAGTCTCCTCGACACAATTGTCAAATGCGAGACCAAAATTCAAACTCGCGTGAAGATTGGTTTGAATTCGAAGATGCCATCTCGTTTTCCTCCAGCTGTCTTCTACACTCCGAAAGAATTAGGTGGATTGGGAATGATCTCAGGTACGTCAAATTCTCCACTCACCTTTGCATCTCTACTCACCTTTGCATCTCCACTCACTTTTGCATTTCCACTCACCTTCGCATCTCTATTCACTCAAACTTGCGCCACCTTTGCCTCGCCATTCACCGTCGCCTCTCCACTCACCACACTTCTACACCCTACTTCTCTCCTCACTCTTACTTCAACCTTCACTAATCTTTTCAATGACAGGCTCTCACATTCTGATCCCAACTTCTGACAAGCGCTGGAGCAGTCAGACCGAGACTGGCGTAACGCACTACCGAGCAGGAATGTCCCATGACGAAGAAACCCTCATCCCCAATATATTCAGATACATCATCCCTTGGGAGGCAGAGTTCATCGATTCTCAGCGCGTCTGGACGGAGTACTCTCAGAAGCGCCTTGAAGCCAACCAGCAAAATAGACGCCTTACCCTCGAAGACCTTGAAGACAGTTGGGACCGCGGTCTGCCACGAATCAACACTCTATTCCAGAAGGATAGGAGTACTCTCAGCTTTGACAAGGGATTTCGAGCTCGAACTGAGTTCAAAACATATCAGCTAATGAAGTCAAATCCTTTCTGGTGGACTTCACAGAGACATGATGGGAAGCTATGGAATCTCAATGCAGTAAGTACAAATTTCTCCAACTGTAGTTTACAAAGTGCTAATCTATTCATTGCAGTATCGCACGGATGTTATCCAAGCACTTGGAGGAGTCGTAAGTACTCATTTTCCACTTCATTTACGGGCAATTGTCCATCAGGCCCAGATTTAATTGGACCCACTATAAACTACAGTCAACAAGGTGCTAACTCATCCCTCTAATAGGAAACAATTCTTGAGCATACTCTGGTTTGTGATCTTGATCTTACAACCCCTAACACCTGCTAACTTATCGATAAGTTTAAAGCGACAGCGTTTCCATCATGGGAGGGTCTCTTTTGGGAGAAAGCCAGTGGATTCGAAGAGTATGGCCACCAAATGTCACAAGATTCTGTCAGAACATTCACTAACCAGTTTCAGGTCGATGAAATTTAAGAAGCTCACCAACGCGCAGAGATCCGGATTAAACCAGATTCCCAACCGTCGGTTCACCCTCTGGTGGTCCCCCACGATCAATAGGTAGGCCCCAATGTCACATTCCAGATTCAGGACTTTGATATACTAACGAGGCAACAGGGCAAACGTGTATGTCGGTTTCCAGGTTCAACTCGACTTGACCGGTATCTTCCTTCATGGCAAAATCCCTACTCTTAAGATTTCATTGATTCAGATCTTCCGTGCCCATTTATGGCAGAAGATACACGAATCTGTGGTCATGGATCTTTGTCAGGTGTTCGATCAAGAACTCGAGCAACTGGGCATCGAGACCGTTCAGAAAGAGACCATTCATCCCAGAAAGTCATATAAGATGAACAGTTCATGTGCGGACATATTACTTTTTGCCTCCCATAAGTGGAACGTCACTCGGCCATCCATTCTGTTCGACACCAAGGATGTCATTGAAGCTGTTGCATCAAATAAGTTCTGGATCGATGTTCAGCTCCGCTATGGTGACTATGACTCTCATGATATCGAGAGATATGTCCGTGCAAAGTACCTTGGTATGTTCTGTTCGATGTCTTCTCGGAACAGCTACTAAATTTTCTAGATTACACGACGGACTCGATGTCAATATATCCAAGTGCAACGGGCCTCATGATCGGAATCGACCTCGCCTACAACCTCTATTCGGCATACGGTCAATACTTTCCCGGCCTCAAGGTCCTGGTCCAACAAGCCATGGCCAAGATAATCAAGGCTAACCCTGCGCTGTATGTGCTTCGAGAGCGTATTCGCAAAGGTCTCCAGCTGTACGCATCCGAGAGTAACCAGGAGTTCTTGAACTCTCAGAACTACTCGGAACTTTTCAGCAACCAGATCCAATTGTTCATTGACGACACCAACGTCTACCGGGTCACTATTCACAAGACCTTCGAGGGTAACTTGACGACCAAGCCAATCAACGGTGCCATCTTCATTTTCAACCCACGTACTGGGCAACTCTTCCTCAAGATCATTCACACCAGTGTATGGGCTGGTCAAAAGCGTCTCGGACAGTTGGCGAAGTGGAAAACTGCGGAAGAAGTGGCTGCTCTCATCCGATCTCTGCCCGTCGAAGAACAACCGAAGCAGCTGATTGTTACTCGAAAGGGTCTTCTGGATCCTCTCGAGGTCCATTTGCTCGACTTCCCGAACATCTCTATCCGTGCGTCAGAACTACAGCTGCCTTTCCAGGCTGCCATGAAGGTCGAGAAGCTTGGTGACATGATTCTTCGAGCCACCGAGCCTCAAATGGTGCTATTCAACTTGTACGATGAGTGGCTGAAGTCAATCTCATCATACACAGCATTTTCGCGTCTCATTTTGATCCTTCGTGCTCTTCATGTCAACCAGGACAAGACCAAGCTGCTACTGAGACCGGACAAGACAGTAATTACCCAAGAGCATCACATCTGGCCTACACTTTCGGATGAGGATTGGATCAAGGTTGAAACGCAATTACGAGATCTCATCTTGAACGACTATGGCAAGAAGAACAATGTCAACACATCAAGTTTGACGAGCAGTGAAGTGCGAGATATTATTCTCGGAATGGAGATCAGTGCCCCGTCAATGCAACGTCAACAGGCTGCCGAAATTGAAAAGCAGCAGCAAGAGCAGCAGCAACTCACCGCTGTTACTACGAAGACCCAAAACGTCCACGGTGAGGATATCATCGTTACAACGACGTCCCAATTCGAACAGCAGACATTTGCATCAAAGACTGAGTGGAGAACCCGGGCCATCGCAACATCAAATCTCCGCACTCGAGCCAACAATATTTACATCTCATCTGACGACATCAAGGAGGACGATCACTTCACGTATATCATGCCGAAGAACGTTCTCAAACGCTTCATCACGATCGCTGATTTACGCGTGCAGGTCGCTGGTTACCTGTACGGATCGTCACCTCCCGATAATGATCAGGTTAAGGAGATCCGATGCATTGTCATGGTCCCGCAAATCGGAAGCACGCGCGACATCCAACTACCCCAGCAACTTCCACAGCATGAATACCTTGAGAAGCTTGAGCCTCTGGGAATCATTCATACAGTATCCGGAAACGAGCCACCTTACATGACAGCAATGGATGTCACTCAACATGCTCGCTTGATGAATGCACACAGCTCATGGGACAAGAAGACCATCAGTATGACAGTGTCCTTCACTCCTGGCAGTGTATCTCTCTCATCGTGGGCTCTCACTCCTCAAGGGTACAAATGGGGTGCCGAGAACAAGGATATGGGCAGCGATCAGCCTCAAGGATTCAGCACGAGCATGGGAGAAAAGTGCCAGCTGCTACTGAGTGACAAGATCCGAGGTTACTTCCTGGTGCCTGAGAATAACTCATGGAACTATAGCTTCATGGGAAGTGCCTTTGGAGGAATCGAGAAGAAGCCGGTGCATGTCAAGATTGACACTCCGCTACCATTCTACAGTGGCCAACACCGACCACTTCATTTCCAGAATTTCGCTGAGATGGAGGACCTCTGGGCAGATCATGACGATAACTTTGCATAGATGTATTTGGGGTGGTGGTGGCTTTCAGGTTGCCAATGATCGCCGCTAGGTTTGGGGTGGGACAAGGCAAAGTGGTCAGCCAGGCAGGCAATAGATATCTGCATTGGTGATCGTGGTTGCTCATACGGGATCTTGGTAACGGGCGTTTGATCGGAGGCGCGGCGTCGATTATAATGTAGCATATGTACAAGCATGAAATTCCAAGCACCACACATGGTGTTAAAAAGCGAGTCAGAAGATATTTCTCTACCTAGGTAGGCCCGTGAGTTCTTTTTGGCTCACGTGCCTGCCTGAATGATCTACATCTGGTGCATCCCGTCTCACGCTGAGCTTACCTGGTAACCGTGACTGGCTGACTGGCTGATTACTGGCAGGCAAAGATCTGGCGACATGCAGCATTGGCCGATTGACGATTCGGCAAGGAACTGGTTCTATCCGGGAGATCCAAATGCATCTCCGTTGCAACACAATATGAAATAGGTTGTCTCTCATCGCTCATGCAACCAACACGGCTCCAATTGTTCACCACCTCGCACAACACCAAGCGTGTTGATCCAACTGACCATGGACCAAAGTAGGTAACCACACTCTAGGCAGAGCACCCTAGAACCGGCTGTTGGATCTTTGCTCGAAGCGCCTGCTGCGGCTGCTTGTGCATTGCATTGCATCCGATGATGATCAGATTTCCTCAGTCAGCGGTTCGGAATCATGCAGGTCGTCCGGACTGATTCTACAGACCCCGGGTCCGGGACTTATGCAGGAACCGATTCGAATAGCCAACGACCAAGAACCAACAACCACCTGCTGCATCCGTCCACCGCCGCACCACCTCCTTTGGCCGATTGGATTTGAACGACAGTATTTGGCGACGTGCAGTGCAGTGCGGTGCAGTCAGTCCACTGCAGTATAATACTGTGACGTCTGAATGGCTTGATGTAAGTCGGGATTATTGATACTAATTTGAGCTGCAGCTGACGACGGATGCGTAGTCATGATCTCCATAGGTATGTATGGGTCAGTACCGGGGTACCTCAGGTACGAAGGTACTCGCACATCCCGCGCAAGCATGCTGTGCGACGGACAAGCAAGACATCAAATCATATCATATCATATCAGGATAATCAGGCAGTCTGTTTGCTAATTTACCACTCATCATGATTTGACATCCATGATCCTCACCTCACCTCACCTCACCTCACCTCACCCCTCACCCCTCACCCCTCGACCCCTCGACCCTCGGCCCTTCCATTGGATCCTTCGAGCCCTACGAGCCCTACGAACATCCCCTCAATTCCGTCTAAAAGGTCTTTCTCCACCCTCGTACAGGAACGCACTCTATGTTTGTCTATCTTTATCCCTCTCTGCCGCTTCCAAGACCAAGCTAGAACAACCTAAGAAGCACCTTATTTTGGTTAAATTTGCCTTTAAAGCATCGGCGGGCCCTCTGGTCCCCCTTTTGTTTCCTTCCCTGCTGACGTCGATGCTTTTGTTTGAAGTTTGAAATTGTTTCCGCCGAACACGTCTGTTCTCGCGTTCCTGATCCATCTGTCCTCCAGAGCGCAATCCACTGCTCTCCATTATTTACAAGAGTCGCTTTCCTAAACAAATGCTCCGGCATCCACTTCATATCCACATTCATCTACATCCACTATCAGGGCCGTCCCCAACTCAGACAGTTCAGTATCAAACATCACGAAACTTGCCAGCCGCCGCATCGTGGAATCTGCAATGCATTCAATCATTCATTCATTCATTCATTCATTCACACAATGGCTCACCGCATGGTCTGGATAACGCCTGACGAATGATGCTCTTCCAAGAAGTACCGCCGCTGTCTCCCCTGTTCGGATGAAATGCGTCCCTGGCTTTGCCTTCTGACTTGCTACCACAAAAGCATAGAGTCCGGGAGATGCTACACTGCACCAACGACCCCTGGGATCTCCATCGGTCTTTATGCCTTGGAAACGGTACGTGTGACCTTTTTGGCGCTCTGCTTTCCACTCCATTTCCACTTTGTGCGCGTCTCTTTCGGAGAGAAAGGCGAAAGAGACGTGTCTGGCAACTTCGGGATTAAACTACCATCCCCCATCCCACACCCGCATCAGCAGCATTGAATGCAATATCATGCCAATGTAATAATACGAACAAGGTTCATGGATATGGATAGGGTTCTAGGAGAATCAATCGTATGGGCTTGCTGGGCAGTAGGGACGGAGGCGACATGATGCCTACGATGATCAGAATCTGGCCAGCGATCATGGGGGGAAAGATGATGGCATCGCATCCATCCATCTACCTATCCATCCCTCCAGATCGTCTTGAGGCTCGCATGGCAGGCTGAGATCCATCCGGGCACCCAGCCAGCCAGCGAGGATCCATCAGTGTCGTGTGTCAGGGGCTCGCGACCGCCAAGCATCGCGATCAGTGAACGCATTGTTGAGTATTGCAAATACTTGCTTGCCTGCAGCTTCCTCCTCGCCTCGTCGCCTCTCGGTCTGTTGCCGGTTCACAAAGCCGCACAGGAACGCGGTCCATCTGATCGTCCGTCCTTTCAAACGGTGCGCTGTCAAGTCTTGTCTGGTATCTGTTCCGTTCGAACTGGGCAGTCCCCGGCGCAACAGCCAGCTGTCATGTCACCCTGTTGCAGGCAAAACCAAGCAATCTCAGGAGCGCGCATTCATTCGTATGGCTCAGGAGCCGTTTGTTCCATCAGTAGTCTGCCTCGCTATGTCCAGGGAAGGCACTCTGTGGCCAGTGCTGCACGAAACATTTCTTTGTCTACTTATTTCGCATGGCAATTGCATTTCCGATCGTGTTTATTTATTTCTGTTTCTTCTTCCTACGCTGCTTTCGGGGTTCTGCATTATATCGTCATCTCCGTCGCGAGTGCGTCTGCCCTATCGATTGCGGTCCGCACGTCTATATTTAATATAGGGATCCTTGCGCATAAGATCCAAATCTCGCGCCTGGTGCAAATGCTTGGAAGCGATCCAAGCTACAGCGCCGTGGCAGGGTTGGCAGTGGGTGGAGGCACTGGAGGCACTGGAGGCACTACTGGAGGGTGGATTATTCAGTGGGCAAGGCCCCTGGACAACACTGCAATCCCTATCCCTGCCAATACGACGTCCCCTCGCGCCTCGCCTCCCCTCCCCTCGCCCGCTGCCCAGTGCCCACAGACTGGAATCCCCCTCCACCGAGGCCACTACTCTCTCACTCCCACTCCCACTCCCACTACCACACCCCTCGCCCACAACCGAACCTTGCCCACGCCCACGCCCACTGCTTGCCTGGCCCTGTCCTGCCGAGCAGGCCCTGTCAGCCTCTTTCCCAGCTCACAAGTGCCTCTGCCAGAAGCAGAGAAGTGGCTTCGACAGGCTTCATCATGGAGGGGTTTGTAGGGCTTGTAGGGTTTCAGTGCCGCCCGGGCCTTCCCCCTCGCCCTGAATCCACCTCTTTCCCTCTACAGTACTGTACCGCACCCCTACCACAGGCAGTTTGAGATGCTTCCATCTCCCCCAAAAAGTCCCTTCCACGAAGCTTCCATCGCATCCAGCTTCAACGCATGGAAGTGCTGACCCACCCACTCCCTCCATCCCATCCCATCCCATCCCATCCCTGACAAGCCAAACCCGTCTTTCCTCGTTGTCCCTGCCTGTCAACACGCTTTGGATGCCCATGCTCCTGCCCAGCTGCTGCCGGCTCGGGATCTTCTTTGCTTGGTTTTCCCAATCTGGCTCGAGATGACCTAGGGCATAATCCGAATATCGATGGTCCCAAGTATCTGCCCACATGCGTCAACCACCTTACACGCTCTGTCTCGTCCATGGCGAATCATTGGCGTGCTTTGAACAACTTTCCAGACGGGTCCGCGCCTTTAATTACTGCCCTACGACATGTCTGTCAATGCCTGAATAGCCCAAAGATCAGACGACAGATATAATGCAAAGGCATGCCCTCCATACGCTCCCTACGGTATCTCGACACGTTCATTCCCGGTCAACAGCAAAACCTACCGCGTACCTGCGGACAGCCAGTGTTCCTCACTACTACAGACAACGGAAGCCTCACGGAAGAACGTTGCTTCTGCTGTGCTGCTGCTTTGTTTGGAGTCTCACCGGCCCTATGCCCTAGTCGGCTTTATGATCCAGCGTCACCTATAATACAGAGAGCATATACCCATCGAAACGATCTCCGTCTCGCAAGACCTCAAAACAAACAAGCGACTCAGCATTCATCAGCCTTCTGGAAACGCCGTCGCCTGTGAGTAACGCGCCGCGACAGCCTAGCAGTGATCCAGCAAGTAGTACTACTGCCCCCAGCGACCTGCGAGAGCAGCTCGCTGTGGCGGAATCCATGCATGTCTGGCTATCGACCAGGCCACGAACAAGGCCACGATTCTTATATCGAGTATGCTGCCCATCCCGAACCTCATCCCGAAGAGCGCGTATATGTTCCCCATGTCCCAGATATCCAGCAGCACGGTGGCGCTCAAGGCCTCAGTTCCCTACACGAGCAACACCTGGCGGCGCAACAGCATCATCACCAACAGCAGCATCAACAACAGCAGCATCAGCAACAGCAACAACATCACCATCAACAGCATCAAGTATACGCCGAACACCCCATGGCCCACCACCAGTCCCCTCAGTTTGGTGGTGGGCAGGGGCTGATGTACGGTCCTCCTCGACTACAACAACCGACTGGCACCAAAAGGTCGAGACCCGATGACTTGGAATCCGAGATGGACGGCCTTCCCGGGCAGCAAATGCATATGGGAGAAATGGGAGGTATGTCTTCACAAATGCCGCCGCAGTCCATGGTAGGAGTGGGGGGTTACAGTGCACAACAACCAATACAATATCACACTCATCCTCTTCCCAATCAAGGCCACCGATCGAAGATGCCACGAATGAGCGAGGGAGATTCAATGGTTGGCACGAGTGGAGGTGCACCGAGTGTAGTTGGGTTGGAGGGCATGCCACAACCAGCTCCGCGACCCCGCGGACCCAAGTTAAAGTTCACTCCCGAAGACGATGGGCTGTTGGTGGATCTCAAGGAGAACAAGTCGTTGACCTGGAAACAAATCGCGGAGTTTTTCCCGGGCCGGTCCTCAGGCACATTGCAGGTTCGATACTGTACAAAGTTGAAGGCCAAAACGACGCAATGGACAGATGAGACAGTAAGTTCCTGTGATCTCGTCAGATATTCAAGGAGCAATCTAATGTTGACTTTCCAGATCCAAAAGCTTCGGACGGCCCTCCACGACTACGAACAGGAAAAGTGGCGCATTGTGGCACAAAAGGTCGGCACGGGCTTCACATCGGCTGCTTGCAAGGAAAAAGCCAGAGAGTTATAGCAGGGCGCGTCTCCAGCAGAAGCCGAACACACTTCTGATCTTGGGGACACCGAATACTAGCTCAAGTCATGAGCCCAAGGATATCTCAGATGTCTTCAGCTGTCTTGACCTCGCAATGACAGCCGTCTTCAAACCCGCCTTCCACAACTTCTAAGTCCCGCCTCTCTTACACATCCACGAACGAACAAACGACAACCCGGATGAGGACCACTCGTCAATATATTGTATAGTACACATACACATCAAAAGTACGACCGCGACCAGTCACCACTCATATACAACATTTTATTTTAAATTACGATACACACTCTAAGTTTCAACCTTCACTACACACTGTATACACTCCTTCACGCGACTGGAGCGCGCCATTACATTCACCGTACACCTTTTATTTTCCTTATATCTTGTTTCCCTTCAATGTCCCTGATTCCCTTCCTTCATTCCGTCATCTTGATTCTTGCTTGGATTATTTTGCCTCTGCTTCTTTTTGCGAAGTTACCAAATAGACTTGTTTCCTGTTCTCAGTGTCTACGATCGTCATGTCATGTCAAGGAAAAGAAAGAGCGAGAGAGGGGTACACACATGTAATGAGATGCACACGGATATATGCCTTGCTTTCTTCTCCGCTGGTTGGATATAGGGTTGGCCCTGTCTGAAAATGGCAGGCTTGGAATGAATGAAAGGAAGAAGAAAAGATGGTGGGAATATCATACACCGGAGTAGGCGTGGGCTGGGTGGGATGCGGAGTAGGGGAACAAGCATGGCATGGCAGGCAGGAGGCATTGAAAGGCGCACTTGAGGGAGGGACAGGACGGATAGATCTGGATGCGATTTTCTGTTCGGTTGCGGGTGCGATATGATGTCATCTGATTCATCTGACTGTGGAAGTTGAAGAAGAGGTGAGATCGGTACGGGTATGGAATTGGATACTGGTATGGAACAGGCGGATGGGTTGGCATACATGGGGATGGATGGGACAATCATATCATAATGCTACGAAACTATATACCCACGATAGGTAGGTGAGGAAGGATGGACAGGAGACGCAGTTGGGCATCAGATCAGATCAGACGTGCGAGAAGAATAGGAGAACAGGATGAAAGAATCTACTGCGTTTAGAGAACTGTTTCTTTTCATTGTGAAGGTGACTCCTCCCTTCCCTGAGCTTAGTTTGGCTTCTCTTCAACTGCTTCATCTCCTCCCTCTGCTTTGTTTCCACGCATCCCGGTTCTGGAAGTATTTCCCATGTTTTCTCGCCTTTCCTCCTCTTCCCAACCTACGTCAAAGCACTTCTCCAAATAAGACTTTCAATTCACACGACCGACACGCAGGAGGCACGGCACAACACGGCTCGGCAAAGCATCCGCATGATTCGCATGAGGCTCAAAAGTATAATGCAAAAGTGTATTACAATGTCTAGTAATGCGAATGTTGGATGGAGGAATAAGGTTTCTCCTTATTTGCATACTTCTGGAGCTGGCCCTGGTGAGGCTTTGTGAGGCTTTATGTGTCGCGAGATGCGAGGGGTTTGTGCGAACCTTACGGATTGGGCAACAACAAGATTTCTTGACCCTAGTGGAGTACGAGGTATATACTTTGAAAACTTTCAGCGGCTGCGAAGTATATGCCAGGAAGGAAGGAAGGAAGGAAGATAGTTGCCAGCGAGTAGTTTTCTGGTTATCACACTTCTCACTTCTAAGGTATTGAGAGGCTTCTTTTCTTTGCGTTTTACAGCGGCTGACTTATCAATGCAAATGATAGAGAGGATGAGCAAGCGAAATCTGAATATACTCATCATCACTGCCTGCTGTCGTGCTTCTACTTCTGCTACCAATTCTCGCTACGTTCAGGATTACTAACTTCCCCGTGATGATCAGAGAAAGTCTCTCGTCGGATCTTCCGTGCAGAAAGAGTGCGCGGGAAGAGCAGAGCCGCGCGGTCATTGAAGCTTCAAAGAAAGTCTATTGAACCATTCTGATGGAACCTTGTGCTACGAATGCTCTTTCTATGTCGCTCTCATCTCTTAAAAATAGCATTGCGTGATTTTGCCTTTCCCATAAAGCAGGGTATGAGACTGACTGATGATTTCTAACCAAATTCCCCATCTCACCACGTACCTCACTACTTCACCATCTTTCACGACTTACTTCCCGCCTCTTAATCTATCTATCTATCTATCTATCTATCTATCTATCTATCTTCTTACGTGTCCCCCTCTAACTCCCCTTCTTTCCTGTCCCGTCCCTCCTCCCTCTCACGGCAAAGCTCGCACGCTCGCTCACTCACTCTTTCCCCTCTAGTTTCACAACCTCGCTTACGCCTTTTTACCTAACCCCCTGCACAGCACGCATATCAAGCACCAATTTATGCATAAAAAGCGCCGTTTTAGGACCTTCATGCGAGCGGATCATTGGCTGTCAATGACCCAAAAGCTGATTGAAACGACTATTCTTTTTATTTGTTTGCTCGGCTCGGTACAATGATTTGGAGATTTGGAATTGGGAATTGAGTTTTTCTTTCGTAAGATCTTTACTGTCTTTTTTTCCCCTCCTCTCTCTTTCGCGCTCCCGCTCTGAGGGGTCGTCGCGTAGGTAGGTGTCATGGGATCGGATGACAGGTAGGTGGACCTGCTACCTAGTGTTGGAATTGAAAAAAGCTTGGACGTGTTAGGAATGTAGCTTTGAGGAGTTGGGACGTGGTTAGTCAGTCATGCGAGGGGAGAGGCGGGTAGTGACACAGGGCTGCAGAGTGATGAGTGGATGAGAGGTTGCGAATGTTTCGTTTTGATGTGGGTGGTGTGGATGGGCGGAGGGGTAGATGGAGATGCTTGTTCGTACGGAGCAACTCTGGGATTTGCAAGGGGCCATTTGAATGGGGCGTCTCGGGCAGTGTTGGCCGAAGAGACGGGATGGAGGAGAGGAGAGGATCAGTGGGTGGGTTATAAATGTTGGTTACTTGTGAACGGGAAAGAGCAGAGGAGAGTGGAGGATTGTCTCGGCGGTCGGAGAGGGTTTTGCTTCTCGGTTCAGATGCACGGGTGGGTATTGTTGTAGCTTTTGTTGGTCCATAATAAATTAGATGAAGTGAGAAGGTCAGTAGAGGGGTGAAGTGAGACATGATGAAAGAGGAGAAATCAAAATACCGTTGTATTTCGGGAAAGGCGAGGCGAACTGTTGGCTCCCTTGTAGTTTAACTTCTTTGATTTGAGGCATGGAAAGGCTGTACTTCGAAACTAATCACAAGTAGAACAGAAGGATAGAAAGCATGGGAATGAGAGATTCACCTAATCTCCACTTCTCTTTGTATCTTCGTGGCTGTGTTGTGTTCTGATGCCATAAGCGAGAATCGGTACAAGGAGGCTGAGTAAATAGAGTGGTGTGAATGTTTAGAGATGGCATTAAGGCTGGGAGATAGCTAATATGATGTTATAATAGTATTCTTGCGATAAATTTATGATCTTATCTCCGAAATAAGAGATGATACTCCGAAGCATTAAGATGTGTTCTTGGATGGGAGAATATATCTAGGATGATACGGGAGAGGAGAGCGCGTAGAGAAATTGCTGATAATATGGGCGGGATATTAGAAAAACTACGATATTGATACGTTATATGCTATGATTATCGAAGACGGCGGTAATTTCTTGTGATAAGACTCTAAGCGCTACGTGATGAAGAGGAATTAGCTATGGAGCGTGGAGTGAGGATCTGTGCCACTTGGATTTAGCTCCGTGGATTCCAGGACGAATATGAGAACGATCGCAAGCTACAATGATTTTTGATTTGCTTGTTCAAGAAATATCAGGTGTAGGGTCTGCGATGGCGTCAAATCTGTTAAGTGTTGAGAGTAGTGGTAGGTCGGGTTTTCGAGCAACTGTTGTGTGCCTGTATAGTCGAAAGTGCGATCTTGGATATTCTTTGACTGTAGCCCTGATAAGAGATACTCAGGCGAGCACTGATCATATAGATATGCTAAGAGTCAGATCTATCAGAAATCAGAATATAATATATCGTTTCCTCGCTATGATGTTCAGATGTGCGCGGGGTAACCCATACTGCCCTTGAAGTACCCACCGCGAAGCTATATCATGAATTTTATAGCCCCAACGATCACGACGGGGACGCAATCTTTTCATTTAAAGGCCAAGCTGCCTAGTAACTTTGACATCTACATCATCAGTACATATCTCGGCCGCCAGTACCAGATTGAGAAAATATATGGGCAGTTTCTGCGAACCGGCTCAAGTTGGAAACGTTGAATCCAAAGCAAGACGAACCATGAATGCCTCGAATCTCGAGCAGTCAGTCAAAAAGAGAATGAAGGGGGCTATAGGATGTTGGGCCCGGTATTGCTCTCGAACAATGATGGATAGCATGAGGCTGTCAGACAACTGATCGGCGTATGGAACGCTGGGTGCTCTTGTCCAAGGAAGTTGGCAAGCTGGATACCACAAATGATGCATGGAACAAGAAAAGAGACATTACACGAGCGGAAAAGTTGAAAGTGATGGAGATTCCATCGACAACCTAGAGGAAGGAAAATATACACGAAATGGGGACTGATGGCGGGAGCAAACGGCCACGAACTTCGATATTCTCGAGCAGCAGGCTTGCAAAAAAAAAAAAAAAAAAAAGTCATCGTCAAACTTTTCTACGTATACAAACACTAGTCACAGAGATTCGACTTCGTTCTTTAGCGTATCGGAGCCTTTCTGGCCATCGTCTGCCAATCACTAATAATAGTTGTATCATCAGCTCATTCCGAATAGAATATACCCTGTCATTAGAAGCTTCTGATGGAGTGGTGATAGAACTGGCAGCATATCGACGATGGATAGGTGCTAAGCGAGTGATTTGAAGGGATGGATGACATCCGATGGTAGTCCTCCTTGGGAATACCACAATTGAGATGACCAGAAGACAAGACACACCATTGGAACCCGCAGTATGGTGCCATGACACCACTCTCCGCTCTCGCCTCGGTTCACTTTGAAACAATTCGACTGCACGCCGTTGTTGAGGTTCCGGCTGAGGGACTTCTGACGTTGCTTGAATCTGCGAACACTGCTTAAAACGTAAAGGGATCATATAAGACATGTAAAGAGGGAAGTTCAAATAGAATTCAGCGAGAGGTATATCACGTCTACTTTATTTTGTAGAGAGTATAGCTTGAGGGTATGAAGGGCGGCTAGATGAAGGAAAACAAGAGCCGCTAGATATAAGCATGGAAAGCTTAAGAGGAAGAACTCCATAGGACTCATTTACTCAGCCATTGATGTCTGTGGAGCAGGCAAGTCTGTGCGCATCCTCAGGTTGTAAGAGTGAAGCTCCTCATGTGCTTTGGTCAGCAACTTGAGTTTGTTCTGGCACTTTTCCTGCGGAAATTATGTGCCGCTGACCTCGAGGCAAGTTTCACCAGCGATTAGTTGAGCAAGGCACGTTTATATCCCAGGAATTCGAGAAAGAAGTGGAGTGCTGGAACAAGTATTATATTGATCTCTGGGAATACGCCCAGTATCCTTTCCAGGGTAGACGCCACTCCCGCGATCGTAGCTCTGGCCGGAAGATATCGAAATCATACTTCTCGAGCTTCTCGAGCCACAGCCTTGTTGCAAGTCCGGGCATAAGCACTCCAAAGCCATGCTCAATCTCATCGGCTTGAGATGAACCCTTAGAGCTTGTCTCATGATACTGATGCCCTTCTTCCCCTTCGTGTTCGAAATCGTGGCCTGCATCTTTGCCTTGCTGTAAATTCTTCACCATTTCCCTAGCAGTAATCAAATGATCATTTGCTCGAGTGGCCACAGTAAATATGGCATCCTTCAATCCTGGAGCTTCGGCACCTTGCCTGAAGATCTCTTCTTCCTTAACTCCTGCTTGTGCCATAATATCCAGAGGTAAAACAACGGAACCTTGCCTTGCTCCTGAAACTCCACCACCGAGTGCAGAACTATTGTTGTGATGATTCGGAGGGGGTGGGAAAGCCAGTAATGGCAGGCCTCTGAGCACCGCTGTAATCCCTGTTGCCTTCCCGATATGGCTTGCTACATGGTCTGCCGCTAAAGAATGCAGAGGTAGAGCTGCCAAGGTCAAATACATTAAGGTAGAGTATGTGTTTTCTGCATATATTTCTAGGGCTTCCATGCTCGTGTATGGCCTATTATCCATATACTGCTCTCTTGCATTGATGACTTTCATGAACCATCCCTTCATGACACTTGTACTGATGCCAGGATGTCGTTCTTGGAGCGATTGAAGTGCATAATAGAGTAGTATGGCAACAGGCTCTTTCGGAGGAGTCTGGGCAAATGTGCGAGTGATGTTATCGCGCCAAAACTGCATGCGGAAAGCTCCAACAGTAGGATTTGAGACTAGATCTGGTATTCGAGCAAGCTCGATATTGAGGGCTCGAATTGAAAGGTATGCATCTCGAGCAGAGGGAGGGACAAAAGTTTGGAGGGTGTATGAAGGCGAATCGAATTTCCTAATACCTGTCAGAATCGTTTGCATCAATGGGGAGGTAAAAGCTTACTGCAAAAGATTTGCGCAGTATGTTCGAGCTGCATGAACATCTGCATCTGTTATTCGAGATGGATGGGGGGCTGGAGTGCTGTACGAGGTTGTGGCATATGTCCGCTTTGCGCCAACTCTGAATCCAGTCCGACTCCCCAGTCGTACGCCTGCCCATCCATAAGACATTAAGACAGAGACATTGATGTACAAGTACAGGAGAGGCAGTGCTGTTGCGGCAAGGCAGTGATATTGAGAGAAATCACAAAATCCCAGCAAAGTTCAAGGACGTCAGTGAAAGCTCATTTACGCGAGAGTCTCGCGGTGCCTAGAAACTCCGGCGCGTCTTCTTAATTTCAGCTTCATCACCCAAATGTACTAAGCAGCACAAACAACATCGATATGAGTTTCGCAGATTCGGAAGGTCCGCCTACGAAGAAGAGGAGATTCTTTACAGAAAAATCCGATATCCTTGACGGCTCATTAGCCCACGATGCCTTTTTACCAGACGAGGTTGACGCGTTTTCCCCAGACTTGCCCCAAGACCCAGGAAATCAGTCCCAAGCTTTTATCACACCAAAACCCCGAGAAGAGAAGACTGCTGCTTCCAATGAGTCAACTCGAAGCGATGGTCCCATCGGCTTTGACCAGGAAACCTTTCAAAGCTTCGTGGGAGACAAAGTACCAGCTAGGATACTGAAGCAGTTGCGGGCGGCGTCCGGGGACGATATGGAACGAGCTGTCAATATGTACTTTGATGGATCATGGAAGACTGCTGCGCCGGTATCGAGTACCGCATCCCACATGAGGACGATGACGATCAATGGGTTTGCAAGATCTAACTCCAGCGGCTTGAAAGACAAGCAAACGCCACCAGCCAAGATTGAGCAAACATTTTCCAATTATGAGTTAAAAAACGCTATGCCCGAATATCGATACGTGGGTGCCTTTGGAGTCGAGGGATGGGCAACGCGGAGCGGAACAAACTTGGTCAAGCATGGAGAGGTTGTACGCATTGAGAGACAGAAGATATTGCCACCTAAAGTGCCTGTTGGAAAGGGCAGAGGCAGACTAGCTCAGGTTCAAGCAGCGCCGAAGCCAGGCAGTGCAGCAGCCAAACGAGTGGATGTCATTGTACGTTTTACCAACTCGAGGGGTGAGGAAATAGGAAGACTCTCAAGAGATGTTGCGAACTGGGTTTCAACGCTGTTGGACCAGAAGGTGTGCCGTTTCGAAGGGAGTTGTGTCTATGCACCAGAGAGGATAAGAACCAACGACACGGTATTTCTACAGTTGAGGTGCTCATTGCTTCGATCAGCCTTCGACAATGGCGGTTTCAAGCCGCCTGAGAACCGCCAGACTGGACTTTTTGAACAGAAAGAATCGCCGGAAGAAAAGGAGCTTCGATTACGTCAAGTATCGTTGGTGAAACTATTTGAGGAAGTAAAGTTGCTCCCTTCGAGGACATCAGAAGCTACGGCCAAACACAAGCGTGAAGGATTGCTCCAAGCTGCCGAAGTTGCAGAGCAATATGAAAACCAGAAAGCCAAGAAGGATGACTCGGTAGTAAATGGAGGATCATCTCCTCCATCTGAAGAGGTAGAGGACGGCAAGGAGTTAGAGCAGGATCAGCTTGACACTCTTTACAAGAAGGCTCAGTCTTTTGACTTTGACGCTCCAGCGGCTGAACCCGCCGAGACTTTTGCCATGGATCTACGTCAATATCAAAAGCAAGCATTGCATTGGATGATGTCAAAGGAGAGGGACGAGAAGGATGAGAACAGGGAAGAGTCTATGCATCCGTTGTGGGAAGAATATGCCTGGCCGGTCAAGGATATGGACGATAAGGATCTTCCCCAGGTTGTCAGTCAAGATAAGTTCTACGTCAATCCATATTCTGGAGAACTTTCTTTGAACTTTCCAGTCCAAGAACAACACTGCTTGGGTGGTATTCTTGCGGACGAAATGGGTCTGGGTAAGACAATCGAGATGATGAGTCTGATACATTCTCATAAGTCAGACATTGCAATGAAGCTGCAAGGAATCCGGAGTGGTCTCTCTTCTGTCAATGCCCTGCCACGACTTCCTGAAAACTCGTCTGCTGTGGAAGCCGCTCCATGTACGACCCTCGTGGTTGCACCAATGTCTCTTCTTGCACAATGGCAAAGCGAGGCTGAGAATGCCTCCAAAGAGGGTACGATGAAGAGTATGGTATACTATGGAGCCGAGAAGTCGGCAAATCTGCAGACCTTGTGCTGCGAGGCCAACGCTGCCACTGCGCCGAATGTCATCATTACAAGCTATGGTGTGGTTTTGTCCGAATACAATCAAGTCGCCGCTAGAAACGGAGATCGTGGTTCGCACGGAGGACTATTTTCTCTGAAGTATTTCCGCGTCATTCTAGACGAAGCACATCATATCAAGAACCGCCAGAGTAAAACCGCCAAGGCATGTTACGAGATCGATGCCGAGCATCGGTGGGTGCTTACGGGTACGCCGATCGTCAATCGACTGGAAGATCTGTTTAGTCTTGTCCGATTCCTAAGAGTGGAGCCTTGGAGTAATTTTTCGTTCTGGAAAACATTCATCACGGTGCCTTTCGAGTCGAAAGACTTTATGCGTGCTCTTGATGTTGTTCAGACTGTGCTTGAACCGTTGGTTCTGCGTCGTACCAAAGACATGAAGACACCAACTGGTGAGGCTCTCGTGCCCCTGCCATTGAAAACAGTTGAAATAGTGGATATTGAGCTGTCAACGCCTGAGAGAGAAGTTTATGATCACATCTTCACGCGAGCGAAGCGAACATTCGCTGCGAATGTAGAGGCTGGGACGGTCTTAAAAGCCTACACCAGCATCTTCGCCCAGATCTTACGTCTTCGTCAAACTTGCTGCCACCCAATTTTGACAAGGAATCAGAACCTAGTCGCAGACGAGGAGGAGGCGGCTGAGCTTGCGGATGCTGCGAGTGGATTAGCAGATGACATGGACCTCCAGTCTCTCATTGAGCGTTTCACAGCTGCCACAGATGATTCGGCGGATGCAAATGTCTTCGGAGCCCACGTCCTTGAGCAAATCCGTGATGAGGCCGACAATGAGTGCCCGATCTGCTCAGAAGAGCCGATGATCGAGCAGACTGTCACTGGGTGCTGGCATTCAGCATGTAAGAAATGCCTCCTTGATTACATTACTCATCAAACCGACAAAGGCGAACTGCCCCGCTGCTTCAACTGTAGAGAAGTTCTCAACACTCGAGACATATTTGAGGTTATCAAGGACGATAGTCATCCCGACAGCTTCGCTGGCAAGCCCAAGATTAGCTTGCAGCGATTAGGGTCTAATTCGTCCGCAAAGATTGGGGCGCTCATGACCAGCCTCAAAACCCTCAGACGTGAGCTGCCCGGTACTAAATCTGTCGTCTTCAGCCAGTTTACTTCGTTCCTGTCCCTTATCGAACCTGCCCTCACTCGAGCCTCCATACCATTTGTCCGATTCGATGGATCCATGGCACAGAAAACACGAAAAGCAGTCATTGAGGAATTTACTGCCAGTAAGAAGGGAATGGTACTTCTGTTGAGTCTGAGAGCGGGTGGTGTTGGACTAAACTTGACCATGGCGAAAAGGGTCTACATGATGGATCCTTGGTGGAGTTTCGCTGTTGAAGCGCAAGCTATCGACCGAGTACATCGCATGGGCCAGACAGATGAAGTAAAAGTATGCAGGTTCATTGTCAAAGAAAGCATCGAAGAGAAGATGCTGAAGATACAAGACCGGAAGAAGTTCATGTGAGTCCCCCAACTTCGACATAAATCGTATGAGCTAACAAGAACAGTGCGAGTTCTTTAGGCATGATGAGTGACGAAGAGAAGAAGCTACAGCGAATCGAGGATATCAAGGAACTTCTCAGCTGATGCAGATGCATGGTTGTATTATGCTGGAGGATTGTGGGCTGTACATAAGATGGATGGGAGGCTTGGGTGTGCTGCATTTTCACGGAGCTTTGGGAAGTTATGGCACAGGTTATGTGCGACACGCACCATAGAGGTTATTTCAGCAGCCAAATGGAAGGACACATGCGTCTCAGCTCAACATTGAAGAAGCCAAGCGACGCATATTCTCGCATTTCAGTATTCCATTTCATAAACTGAATTTCACTATTTACAAATGCTAAATGTCGGCTTTGTTCAAGGGAAACGAGATACCCAAGGCATCTCCCTACCTTCTAACGTTTCAGATAGAATACAAATGATTGTATTTTCTTCTAGATGATTTTGATTCTAGCTTTTGATCGCATTCGGAATTGGAGGCAAGTCTTCCATCCACCGGCCGCTCAGTCAGCCTGCATGAGTCCTCTTTCCCTACCGGGTTATGGTGTGCTCCTAGCGATGCTGACGCTTGGCTTGACGTACAACAATTGTTTTCAGATCAGCGTCAGATTACTGGTGCATTCGAAGTGCTTCTCATCATCACCGTTCTTTGGCGTGTTAGCCATCCGAAGCCAGATTGACCACAATACACTCTCACAAGAATGTCGAGGCTTCCGATTGTCATCGTGGGTGCGGGTGTTGTTGGCCTCGTCCTTGCACAGGCGCTGAAGAGAGTAAGCTGGACTACCTACATCACGTCTGCCTTTACTATGCGTGTGCATGACGAAGCTGAAGCTCATCCAGGAAGGTATTCAATTTCTTATCTTTGACAGAGATGAGCACATCGAATCTCGTAGTCACGGGTGGGGCATCACGATTCATTGGGCCCTGCCTGCCCTTAAGAAGTGCCTGCCAGCAGAGCTCTTCGATCGTTTGAAAACGATCCAAGTAGATCCAGAACAAGGAAGAAACGACACTGGCCAGTTCCTATTCTTGAACCTCGCCAATGCAGAACCGGTCTTTCAGATCCCTCCAGCTCCCCGCCTCCGTATTCACAGGGAGAAATTCAGAAAGCTACTCCTTGACGGCATTGATGTTCGATGGAGTAAGAAGTTTGTCGATTTCGAGGTCAGGGAGAATTTCGTGGTAGTCAAATTCGAGGATGAATCAAAGGTGGAAGGAAATCTGCTTATCGGGTGTGATGGAGCAACATCGAGGGTGCGAAGAACCCTTTGTCCAGACACTGGTGCATTGAGCCAATTGCCTGTTCGCTTCCTGGGAGTAACTTTGAAATTGCTTGCCAAAGATATGGAGCCTCTGCGAGCCATTGATCCACTACTATTCCAAGGATGTCACCCGGAGACGGGTAATTACATGTGGTTTGCAACTCTGGACACCCCCGAAGTAAACAAATCGCAAGGAGCTGAGCAGTATTATTCTGCTCAGCTCAATATATCATGGTCTGTCCGCAGCCCAGCTGATGAAGTCCCTGCCACAAATGAGGAGAAGCTGAAGAGGATGAAGTTCTTGGCTAACGACTTCTAGGAGAGGTTAAGAGTTGCTGTACACAATATTCCCGAAGATACGGAAGTCACCGAAGTCAAACTCGCAGAGTGGCCTTGTCTGGAATGGCCAAACTCAGACGGGAAAGTTACTTTACTTGGGGATGCTGCCCATGCGATGACAATGTATCGAGGAGAAGCAGCAAATCACGGCATCACGGACGTACAGCTGCTGTGTGGTTACTTGGCTAGAGTCAAAAGTGGAGATATTTCTCAGAAAGAAGCTATTGGTTACACCGAGGCAGAAATGAGGGAACGGGCTTCTTGGGCTGTTGCCATGAGTCGGCAGGCATGTCTTGATGCCCATGACTTCAAGAGCTTAACCAAAGATAGTGCCATTCTTGCTAGAAGGATTGCGAAATCTTGAGAAGGTAACTAAATAGCGGATAAACTGATTGTGGATTTCAGGAAAAAACGTTAATTGGTAAATCCTTCCAAGGCTTGCCCGTTGTCGACTTAGAGCTCGAGACTGAACCTTCCGGTCTTACAAAGAAATAGTAAAGTCGTGAGGCTCAAGCAGAAGTCTGCCTAATGAACTGCCTTGATGCGGAGTGCCCCCCTCACAGAATGAACCATCAAACCCCCTTCTCAGAGAAAGACCTAACACCAGCATTCCTGAACATAAAATACAAAGCACGGCTCTCATAAGCTTGATGGTACTATGAATCTCAGGTCAAGAGACTTACATTAGTCAATCTACTTCGAAAGTCTCAGCAGCACATCCTTCTGATTTGGTTACTCAAGACAGCGAAACTCGCCGAAACAAGCCTTCTTGCTTACTCGCGGCGCTAGCGCCTCGAAGTGTAACAGCTGATTTGTACAGGCGCTATTCTCTTCCAAGCGACACATGGCTCTACGTGAATTGAAATGTGTAAGTCTATTGTCCCGCAACAATTCCTCCCCTTGCTTCTATGAACTCCACCAGTGCTTAATGCCAACATTTTACATCTTTCCATTCAGTAGCATGTGCAATAACTTTCTCTTCTAGAAGTAAACAATCTGTCGCGTAAGCGAGTCGACTTCTTACTTACTTGAACAATTCTGTCTGTATGGGCTGCAATGCACGATTATCGCAGTACAACTGCTCATACTTCACTTATGATGGTTTCTTGGATTGCTTTGCGTGTACTTATCATTCTTCTTCTGGTGAGCCAGGCCTGACCAAGGATATGTTCATAAAATGTTGTCAAATCTGGGGTTCTGGGGTTCTTTACTAGAATTTTCGCTGAGAGTGACGCGCAATTTGTACTAGAAGTCTCAGAATAGTTGTATAATTCGAAAATTATGTTCTTTCATGGCTATCTCTTCATTGAATCTGTGCGTAGCGACTCGATCTCTCACTCCGGGCACATGGGATGTTTACCACATGAAAATTCCTAGAGCGAAATCACTGATTCTCTTTTCCAACCGCTTTGTACTCGACCACAAATCTATGAAGTAATACTCCTAGTGATAGCGCTTCGGAAATCATAGCTTGGAGAGGCTTCAAATGGGGCTCGCAAGCAGAATCAATGTCACTGATTGGTGATTCTTTTCCTATCGTGCCACTCGCATTGTAGTCCAAGATAATCAACATTATTTTCACGTTCAGCGGAAGAGCTCTGATCACAGAGTTGACGGAGTCTCCGATCAGCCGACGTCTTCGAATTCCACTTGACAGGAGTTCGGTGTACTTTTTCATATTGATGGTCAAAGCAACAGTATCAGTAGTGCTCATCCATACCGAGAATTCCTCTTTTGCTTTGCGAATCTTGCCTGCAACTAAGAAATCCAACAGATCGAAGTATGGGATGTCGACAGTGTGGATGATTGTGTTGAGCTTCGAAAGTAGCGTTTCAGCTTCATGCTTCGAGTTGGCTACTCGGCATGCTTCCTTCAAGGTATTGAATAGAGGTGGATAGGAGCGGGTCTTCGTTGGTTGTCGAACGAATCTTGGAATCGAGTACCTCCAGATCATCAATCGTACTTCCAGTGGCAGTTTTGGGAACAGAGTAAACTTAGAGAACATATTGGCATCTTGTGAGAACCCCTTCAAGGGAAGGTGGTGTGCCGAGATTGCTTTATAGTTTTGAGGAGAACTGCAGGAACTGCAGCTTGTCTTTGGAGGGGTGGTTACGCTTCGTGGCTTTGCCGCTAGGGCATCCGAGGTTGATGTATTAACAGGCTCTTCGAGAGAGTGGCTTGACATAGTGGCCATGTTGAGTCTCTAAGTCTGTTCGATCTCATCTGCGAAATATGTTGATGTTATTGGGGATAACTTTGAAGCTGTCAGTAACTAAAGCTGTCATAGGGAAAGCTTGCTCAAGGTAGGATGGGACTTAACTCACTGCTCACTGACGCCTCCAAAACACAGCCTTTCTATGGATGCCAGTGCTGTTTCTACAGGAATGAATGCTCTATATGACACACTCATACCCTATTTATCGACTGTCATGGCATCTGAGCTTCCAGGAAGCTACTGACAAGAATTAGTTGTCCCTCTTCAAGCTAAATTTGTTCTACCAGTTGAATATGTCGCTTGAGTCGATGACCGGAATCGGGTGGAAATCAATTTAGTTCCGATTAATATTGAAATTGGGTATACAGTTGGCCACAGAACATGTCAATGAAGAGAATGTTGTACGTTGGCTATCGGTGAAGTGGAATGCGACATGCAAGGATTCGCATGGCAAGCACGATCCTGAAATGCGGTGCCAAGCCACGAGTACTGTCCGGGAAGGGAAGTTAAGAGTATGTGTTATAACGAATGTCTTTGTCACAGCTAGATGTTTCACAAGCTTATCGGGAGGTGGCATATTGCTGTTCTTTATGACACACATAGAAAGATATTGGATTCCTTGCCTCGCTCACACACCAACAGTCTTTGAAGAAGCACAACCCAACATGCTTCCTCATGATGACACTTGACTGATCAGCTGTTTAATTTAATCTGCCATTTAATATTGCTCACTGCCTGGTGTCAAGTTAATGCAACGCGTGAAATTTGCTGCTGTTATTGCCTAATGGGGCTAGCGTTGACACTGAGAACATGAAAATACCGGCTGGAATTGTCGATTTCCAAACTTCATTTGTGTAGATAGTTACGTTGAAACTACCAGTGATAAGCCTAGAAAATTTCTGACGCAGATTGTTGTCTTAAAGCGGGCTCGCCGACTGTCCCTTTGAAGTCGTTAGACAGCACGATGGCTATTCTTTCCCATCCCGTCTGCAAATTCAAATTTGAGGCAAATTGATTCCTGTTTTAGGAGATGAATTGATCAAATTGAATAATGAGCATTCCAAAATCTTGCCAGGCTAATGAGACCACGACCAAGCTCTCCTCCTCTACTTTCCTATAAAAACCCCCTCCTCTTCCTGCTTTTTCATAATTCCTCCTTCTTCAACAACCTCTTCCTCGTTGAAGACTACCACTGTCCACACCACTCCTTCAACAAATCTTCTTCAGACAAACAGAAACTTCCTTCGATACCTCTGTAATCATGCAAGTTCTTACGATGCTCTTGAGCATTATGCTCGTCGCACTTACCACTCCTATGGTGCGTCATACCTTCCACGATATGTATTCCACGTTGACCACTTACTAACAAGTCCGGCCAACAGGTTCATGCGGGTCTCTTCGTTGCTGACGAGCTCCCACCTGGATACACATGGGGTACCATGGGTTTCCATGGTGAGATTGATGGTCACGAGATCACCTACGATGGTACTATTGAGGTTCGAAATCCTTTTGCATCCTTCTTTTGTGATGTTTTCTTCAAGTGAGCGACTAATAGATGTCCTTTGGTAGGAGGTCCTTGCTCACGCCGAAACTCTCTATCCCGGTATCACCAAGTCTCTTGCTGCCCGTGACGACGTTCCACTCCTCGATACTTTTGCTCTTGCCTCTCCCGGTGTTGTTGCTCGCGATACCCAGTTGATCATTGGTAGTCCAGCTGATGGCAAGGTAAGTCCCTGCTCTTCCGACATTCCTATACTGCAAGAATTTCTTTACTGAAAATATACTACAGGGCATGAGATACTGTGGAGGAAAGAAGACTCCGAACGAGTCCACCCCTGCCTGTCCTCTGTGCGACAAGTGTAAGATATCCTGGAAAGACAGCTAGACATGTATTGGAAACTCCTTCAGCAAAGCCACTGACTGACATGTTCCAGGGGATTATTGCCAGACGCGTAGAATCCAGGAAGGCATCAACTACTTGAACAAGGTCACTGCAGCCTGCACCGCCAGTGCTCACCAGGTACATTGCGTCAAAACATACAAGAAAATCTGCTAATGGTTGAAGTGCGTCCGTATCAGCTGTTCTTGGCACGCCGGTATTACCTTGTGGTAAGTTCCCTCTTGCTCTTTTATCCCAGATAGAATGAAAGGAACTAACTGAGCATTTTCTCTAGTAACGATGTACGTTCTAGCTTATATCTGTGCTAATCTAATGAGAGCCTAATCTAACTTTCAACAGCAAGAAGATCGTTTATCAGCACCTTGCAATTGGGTAAGATATTCATTTGGTACTGAAACTTTCTGCAAGGACAGACCTAACTCATCAGTAGATTTCAACCTTCGCCCAAGACATTGTGAATGACACCGAAAACTGTGAAAGCCCTACTCCTCACTTAACTTGGCCCCATGTGAAGGGACAGCAATGGGCTGGTAACAAGGCATACAATGTCGTCGTTGCTGTAAGTACAAAGCTGGCGCACGCTTCAATCCGTATCTTCCGAGCTAATTATTACTAAGTGGTCCAACTGTTAAGCGCTGCCTTGATTTCCCCAAGAAGAATTTCCTGGATGAAGACTCTTTACTTGGATATTCTCAAAGGGTAGATAATTTTGGCGAGCACACGGAACAGTGGTTTTCTTTCCTGATATGACCTTGGTGGAATTCACAAGTTTTGCGAACACCATCCGGGACATTTCAGACTCTTTGAGCTTTTTGTTACAGCTGATGCTGCCTAACTATTCTTTCATACACGTCTGTCCTCACGGAGACGGGTCAATGGAATGAATTCTTTTCGTAACTTTAATTTCCCCGTGACTTGTAGAGCGATAAAGAGCTGGTTCACATTTTGACTCTCTGCCAGCACTACTGGAGGCAGCTTAAAACCATCAGGATATGTGATTCTGGAACTCTTCAGGAGTAAACTCAGCTCATCATCGCGAATCTCGGTTCTCAGGGTTGTGGAATAAGGTGGCCCTCAGAAGTGCTCTTGGAGCTTGGGCAAGCGGAATCTGAATAGAGTGATTGAAAACTCTATGATGAAACATTCGACATCGTGACACGCCCTTTTTGATAGCTTGACACCCATTCTAGGGTATTCAATGGGGGGACTGTTCGCAAGTTCGAGGCATGGATATGAAGTCTGCATCTGGTATAATCTCGTCTGGCGCTATGTGTTTAGCGTACCCGTGAGACTGCAGGAAGCACCACAGCTATCCATCATTATCTGTGCCAACAATGTCATTCGGCCAAAATGAGTAACAAAGCTGAGAAGAGAATTCATTTCGTTATTCATGAACCTATCGTACTTGATCTCGATCCAATGCTGAAGAACCTTGAGAAGGAGACCAAACATATCAGCTCTCAGACCACACTAGAAAGAAAGCTTCACCAGTAATAGAATGCAACCACAACACCCTTCATGAACTCTGTCAAGTTACATTGTCCAGTTGTGATAACAAGCTTGCAAAAGGAAAATCTCAGAGAAGCATCTATGGGCCTACTACTCGCCCGCCGAAACATCGAACTGTTCATCAGCATTGTCCCAGTCTTCGACAGTAGCACCAGGACGAGCATCGTCAGCAGTAAGAATTCCTGTGGCTGCCTGCTTCTTAGCCTCGCCACTACGAATCTGTTTTACAAAAGCCAACTTTAGACCAAGGAAGTCTCCTTTATCCTGAAGTGTCTGATACTCTTCACGAATGGCTTTGACAAAAGCGCGCATGCTCCGAGCATGAAAAGCGTCATCCTCCTCCTCCAGCTCTGCGAAATCCCGTATCACGGCTAAATCCTCCAACTTGACACCCTTATCCAACAACTTGCCCACCAAGATATTCAACTCCTCGAGATCTGGACACATGCACTTGATCTTGACCCAGATGCTTTGACCAGCAGCAACAGGTTGAGTAGCGCCGTAGACTTGAGGGTGAGCGCGACGATTGGACATTGCTGCGGCTTCGAGGTCGATGGTAAGGGTTTTGATGAAAGGAATCCAGGGTTGGACATTCCAGAAGAGATCAGCCTTGATAACCTTCGAAGTGTTGAGGCCACTAGGGATATCAATAGCTTCGCACGGGAAGTTGTACTGGCGGACCATGTTGGGGAGGCCTTGCTGGTGACGGTAGACGGTGTCGATGTTGAAGTTGATGAAGATCGAGTATTGACCATGGCGATGAAAGGGGACGTGGCACAGGATGTACTTGGTGCGGGTTGCTTTGCGGGATTCCTTGTTGGCAGAGAAGACGCCGAGGGCCTTTCCTCCACCAGGACGCCAATGGACGAGTCGTGGAATGATGGTATGCTTCCAGACGTTGTCGCGGAGCTCGAGAGGCATCTTGGGGAAGAACATGAACTCGAGTTCGTCATCGTCGCTGACCTCAGGTACGTCCGGGTCAGGCATTGTAAAGTTGGTGGATGTTGACATCTACAAGAAGTTATTAGTTAAGACTCGTTATTTCAGTGATGTGGGCATAGAGGGGCACGTACCTTGACCGTGGGCAGATTGCTCGATTGCGATGGCTTTCAAACGGAGAAGAGCGTATGCTGGGGTTGAGCCTCTGTATCTGGAGACAATTCTAGGCCTCAGAACAATTGAAAGAACAAAAAACTTTGATGGAGGAGATGTTTCTTATGAACAGTAAACACCCACAGGTAGATCTGGTCTAGGTGCTGGGGATGTTGTGGGCTTTTCTCAGCTTTGATTCGCGCCTGTTGTCAGGAAATTAGGCTTCGCGTACCAGTGAATTGACTGCCGCAGGAGTTAGAGGCTGACACACAGATCCGAGTTGAGTATCGCAGATAGCGAAATCGGTATCGTGGATCAGTATCTACACGCTGCCTGTTTTTGTTTACTTGTGCTGCAGAGGACCTCGCTTAATGTACCCCATGCGGATAATTTCCTTGGCATTTTTTTACCAGCCCGAAGATCAGAAACAATCACCGAAGCACGTCTAGATTTTTTAAAGGCTTTGTTAAACATTCTATTGTTGATTCATATTCATAAGATTTTCTCTCAAAAGCCACAAACGCAGATCTGAAACCTTGATTTATGTCTACGTAACAACATTGCACATCTTCTTGAATTCCGCACACCTGATAAACACAACTAAAGCTATCAATCATACTTTTCAAGTGGGTATCTATAGACAGCCATTTTACTGAGAATCTCAAGAGCTTACCCCTTAGAGGAAACAGGATATTTTTATTTTTGATCGAACCAGCCGTGCTAGCCAAGCTAGCCACGCTACATTAGCCCGGCTACAGGTAATTTATTAGTCATGCGGTATTACCTGTAGGTCTAGTGAGACAAGTCGAGCTCAGATGAAGCAGGATTCGAGCTCTGTGCTGTATTTGCTCCCTGATGATATCGTCGATCTCTGTGTTCGCCCCTCCAGATGCTACATACGCGGTACAGAAGATGGGAGTCTCAATGGAAAGCAGCGAAAATAAGACAAAGTCACAGATATGAATCAGAGAAGTCATTGAAAGAGCCAAATAAGTATTATGTCTCTGGAAAGGGTGCTTAGTATAGTTCATAGTGTCCATTGCAAATAATTAGGGAATTCAATTGCTCAACAAAGACCACTCAAAGGTGGATACTCTGGCAGATATCAATACATAATCCGACAAGCATTCTTCGTCATGTTCCCCCATAAAGTAATGCAAGTAATAAAGCTAATGCAAAGCCAATTCTAAGTGCTCTACCATATCCCGGACACAATCAGACAGGCATCCTTCATGAATCCTCCGCAAGTCAACGCGATATTGGAAAAGCCAATGCAGCACCAAATGCAAGTCCCACCATAAAAGAGTCCAGCTGGAAAGAATGAAACTCGTTTGTTGCCAACAGTGGCATCAGACTGGTCATATTAAGACAATATCCGTCCTAATCACCACTTCCACCACCTTTAGGTGATCCACTTCTCGTTTCTCATGAACTTCAACTCAACGCCCTTGCAAAAACCACAATCCTGAGCATGCTTGAACTGTTTTGTGATGTCACGGATGTGGTTATCCAGAATCTTGGATGTGCTGTTAGTGACCTCGTACAAGTCATCGTAGGTGGAGCCGAGAGGACCAAGGCGGAGAAGAATAATGACCTCCACGACTTGGGGGAACCAGTCCCGAAGTGTGCCAACGAAGAAGCAGTGAATACATTCTAGCTTCCAGATTCGTACGATCTCGTCAACACTAAAGGCCAGTCTTTCAATCGATTTGAACATAGAACGCTTGATTGATTTGCATCTCAAAGTATGGATCGAGTGGGTGTGATAGCTCATCGAGTCGGCGAATGAGGTCTTGTCGAGAAGCAGGATATCTTGCCAAGGAGATATGACAAAGCCCGTATTCATATCCCGGATCCAAAATTGATATCCTGCCAAAATGCACTCTCTACGAGAATCGTGACAGGCATGCAGTAGCGCAGGAAGTTGTGGTTTTCCTGGCTTGAGGGTGACGACACGTGGAAAAATTGCGTTCTGCCAGACCAGAAATTGCAACTCTCCAGGCAACTTGGGGAAGATTGTGAACTGCGTCAAATGGACGAGTTTAGCGGACGTAGCACTGTTGACTCTCAGGATGATTTCGGTCCTGCAACGCAACTTCGACTTGGCCGACAGCTGGGGCTCGACAGGCAGTGAAATTTCAGAGATTGAGGGTGGCATGATGTCGTGGAGGATACTTAAGAAATATCAGAGTATTCTTAAGGGTTTTTGAAGCCTGGACCCCAAAAATGACAGGGCTTCGCAGGCAGCGGCTAGAAGCTTACCCAAAGTGCCAGAGGTCTGGTCTAAAACGACGGACAACAATGAAGGAGTAGCAAGTCTATCAGACTGAATAGCTTTTGAACGTTGAGTTGCTGTACCTGATTGGAGGAAACGTGTTTCAAGGCTGGAAAAAGAGTGTATAAGCCTAGAAACCATGAGCTTCTGTCATCTGTCTCAAAAGATAGAACAAACTTTCAGTCAAGTAAGAGCCCGCTAAGTACAGGTGTCTTTGTGAACGATCCAGAAGTCTTCACACTGGCTCGGGATGGACCTTATTGTGGGCAAATCCTTGGGTATCTGCGTATTTCCAGACGGGAGAAGACTGGCGGAGGAGCTGTACCGTGAGATAGCACTTGAGGGTTTTCGGAAAGGTATAAGAGTGAATACGCGTGTTTTCTTGAGGAAGGAAAGGCGGCGCGTCGACACGCGTGGTATACTTTGACCTTGGGAGCTGGCGTCCTCCGCAGCAAAGGGACCAATCTTTGAGAATCGAAGGAAAACCGCCAAGTGACCTGCGACTCTGTACTGCCCGTCACTTTTCTAATGAAGGAAGGATTCCAGACTCTGTCTTGTCGAGTGGAAGGAAGGATTGATTGCTGTGGAGGATTGCAGCCCCTAGGTATTTGGTATTGAAAGTCGGTGATGCTGAAGTTGGGTGTACAAAGGTATACTCAGAAGCAGGCTTCTGTGGGCGTTAGCGCCACGAAGGACAGAACGGGTAGCCACGACTCTCACCGGATCACCACACCGCACCGCGCCGGACCGGACCGGAATGGATTCACTGTTTGAGAAACACTAAACAGCTAGAGAGCACCTAGGGTCGAGACGACAAGTTGAATACCTCTTGGGATCATTGGGACCGATCCAGACGAAACAGCACCATCCGGTTTTCAAAGAGTGGTAGGAACATGACAGACATATCCGAGCATTCAACCGACTTTGATGCGAAACACAAGACAGAGGTTTCCAAGTTTGAGACCCATATCAATGCTTCAATAGCACAAGGACGGAAGAAGATTACCCATCCTAGTCCCATCAATTAGGCTTGGCTATGGGCCGGAATTTCTCTTTCTGCAATCAAGGAAAATAGGTAGCAGTAAATTCGACAGAAAGAAGTACAAATGACAAAATATCAGATCTCCTCCATCACAGAATACCAAAGAGGGCGCAACAAGCCTCCCAGATGCCACTGTTTGGGATCAGCTGAGGTCGTTTGTTTGCTATTCTACCCCTCCAGCGCCCCTCTGGTTGTGAATTTTGGAACAAGTGCTCCGAAATCTGCAATGCCCCGTAGTTAATAGAGCTTCTTTACGATGTTCGGAATCAGATTTTACCTTGCGGATAACCATATTACAGGATATCTCTACCGGTTTCTAAGTCACTTGCATCAGAAACAGCAACGGGGGCCTTCGAAAAATATTCTTCTTCCTTCTACTGCTTTCAATTAACTGACTATCAGGGATACAACCCAAGGCTATTCCATCCCTATCGCATCCTATGCATAAGGTGCTGTGCTCTGCGGTGCTGTGTTCCAATCCGAATCCCAATTATACCCATTAACGCCATGCTCAATTCACACCCATAGGAGGAGAGTGTAGTGAATTCAATATCCCTGACCAATTTCAATCCCTTCAGGGAATTCGCTTTTCCCAATGCCTTCCCAAGTAACGCCATCCTGAAACGTAAAAAGACCAATTCTTCCAATGCTGTGATCAGGGGTATATCCTCCATGCAAACCATCCCATTGCTGATGCGTTATAAACCAAATGATAGCCCGCCCGTCAATGCTTCAAGCCAAAATGATAGAAAGAAAAATAGCGTTGTTGAGTTGTGTCTGCTCCGAAGATATTGTAGGGTTCGCTCAGAGGCGAAGAGAGTTGTATTGCTCAGTAAGAGACGAGCCAGCAGTGTTATCGAGTGGTTCCAAGTCCTCGTAATCCGGGATCGGAGACCCGATGTACTCCTCGACCATTCCACCATAACCAGGAGGACTAGCAGGGACATTCTCGTACAAGGGGGGCTGTTCCTCATCCCACGAGATACCCATACCGGCTCGTTGTGTAAGTGTAGTATTGAAATGCATCCTCAGCACTCTTGCTGCACCAGTAGGCGTAATCTGATTCGGCTTGTTCGTAGGACAAAACTCCTCCGCTACGATCATCTCGACGACTAGTACGTGGGATACTTCCGTGCCATCTTCGGACTTCAAATCACAAATTGGCTTCGCGTCACCACGAACCGACATGGGGAATTCCAGCTCAATCGACCCGTCTGGCGTGCTGTAGTCTGCCTTCCATCCTGTCTTCAATTCTTCCTGTCCAATTGTGCGGATATCCTGGTGTGCGATTCCCTTCTTTGACTCGTCGTTGCCGGCCTTCAGAGCGTGCTTTGGGCATGCAGGCGAGATAACCTTCTGTGTCTCATCTAACCGCCAGTTCAGCCTCTTTAACTTCCATTGTGTCTGTGTCTTTGTGTCTGCATTCCTCTTCACGGATCCATCGATTCGCATTGATACAGTGGTCTCGCCGATTGGGTGGATGACAGACGGGAGCTCGCAGTTCGCGGTGAGGTTCGTTGGAGGGAAGATACGGATGGATCTGCGGGGTGTCTCGGCGGGGCAGATCGCGCGCTTTACATCGAGGGATTTCTTGAGGTTGATCGGCTCGCCATTCTTGGGGGTGACCGTTGCTCGGAGGACATAGTCGATTATAGAGAGGGAGCCTTTCATAGTCGCTGGCAAGTGCCCCGGCAAAAGAAAGCTGAATGGGAATGTGTGTTCGCCTGTCAAATGTTAGCAAGGGTCGTATGGGGATTTGTTTATTCTTGGCGACTTACCTCGTCGCAGAGTCGCTGGTCCCTCCATAAACTTCCAATTTTGCAATTCGGTGTTCTGGTGTGCACACTCTTCGCAGTGAGCGTGGAAGGGCTTCTTTCTTGTGACTTCGATTGCCAGCTTCATTTTAAAGTCGTCCAACGACACAAAGTCCTCATTGATGTTCAGAAGTAGTTGGCCGGAAAGTAATGCGCCGGAACTCGCTGCTGCAGCACCGTAGAACACCAAAGGAGGGGATTCGATGAGAACATCGAGAGAGGCATTGTGATGTTGTGGAATCTTGGTAAGAGAAGTCTTTGGGGAGTGAAGGCCCAAAGAGAGGCGTTTAGTCGGCATCTTAACGCTGTTGTCCTCTGAATGTAGCGAGGATCCTGAGGATGAAGGAGATCGGGTTGAAAGTGAAGGTCTGCTACTCGACCGCTTGGAGGATTTTGGACCTTTCTTCAGATCTGTTGAGATATCGAAAGAGTTGGTGTGGGAGCGAAAAAAGGTTGCGACTCCAGCGGTAACCCGGTGCGGCATCCTGGAGAAAGAACGAGACGCACGCCAAAATGCGGAGAGAACGCCCTTGCAGCTATGACGAGTGTGGAAAGTCCTTCCTGGCGCAAGAAATCGAAGTTTCGGCGTTTGTTAAGGACGGAAAATGTGTTGAAAGTATTTCTGAGTTCTGTGTGAGAGGGAGTGGTGTTCGAGTGTCGGGCTGGGAGGAATATGAGGGCAAGAGGCTTCTTTGTCCTGCAGACATAAAGTGCAATGTACCTATGTTTGGGACTTGAGCCATTCCTCACGATGCGGGGCACCAGAGCCTTATATTTTTTCGCCCGGGCTTGCAATTATGTGTCACGATGTCACCATTTGGGAGCGGTGACGGCTCCAAGACACAGGCCTAGGCCGGGTACAGAGTCAAGAACGTGTCCTGCGCGTTTGGTGCTCAAACAACTGGTGTTCGTTGCTGAGCTCTTGGGCGCAGGCATGAGGAAGCTGATCTGATCTGAGGGCAGGACAGGGCAGGGCAGGGCTGTTGACTCCACCAAGCCCGCCGCCGCTCGATTTGAATTTTCTCGCTGTAAATTTACTTTCGTACAAGTAGCCAGGGCCTGGGGTCATGCTCTCGCCGGCCTAAACGGCATTGGGTAACAGCTGGAGGCCGGCTTCAGGTCATCAGTCCCCAGATGGCAACGGCTGATACTTCGTAGTCTAAGTGGAAAATTGTATGGGAAGTGGATCAGTTGGCCAGTGCAGTGCAGTGCAGTGCAGTGCATTTGTTGCATTCAACCCTGGTTCCGATTACGTTTGGTGGTCATGGGTCTTGTTCTACTGTACGACGACTCCTTGCCTGTCTGCTGTCTCGACTCATCTCGTCTCTTTTGTTTTCAGGAACAGGCGAGCAGAAAGGAGAAGAAAGCAGGGCAGCTCATACCATACTCAGTACGGAGATATTGAGCATTGTGATGGAGCTGGCAACAGTGCTGGTCGTGCCACCTCCGCAAGCAACATCTGAGGCTTTTGGAGTGAAGACTTTCGCAGTCTTTCGAAACATTCTTGGAAACTCTACGTGGTCAAGGTCGCCTGACATAAAGTTCCACCGCTTCCCTTCCATGGCTGCTGAAAGCTGCATGTTGCTGAGAAGAAGGGAAGCAGCTATTGCTCATCACTAACTCAATTCCATCTGGCTTACGCACTCGCACAATTCCTTACTGTGCGCACGTCAAACGCTAGCTAGCCAGGATCCAGCTTACAACTTGAAATTGGGCTGACTGACATGACAGTGAGTGTTGGCAATTCGGGTTCAGTATCCGATTGGTATCACAAATCATCATTGCCCAATTTGCCTGTCCAGTCAACAACAGCAACATGACTGTTGGGTACAAACGATAACAACTGGCTGGCTATATATCCAACAACTCACTTCCATGCTGCAAACTCCTGCTTGGGTGTTAAACGCATCATATTCCATTTCACCTCATGCCAGCTCACTGTTCCACTAGAGACTTCCTTTTTTACTTTGACTTTTGAGTACCCGCCGCCAAGGGTCGCATCATTTTGAAGTGGATCTCACGATGGTGGGTGAGGGTACTCGAAGAAAAAAGACTTCGAAATTTCCTCAAACAGAAACCCACTCTTCGTCAAACTCTGGCTCGATTCGCCATTGCGGAGATCTGACTTGTTCTAGAATCCACGACGTGCGGCGCCTCTACGGATTGTGATCAGTGGACTCAATAAGTATCAAAGTACTGATCACACCACAATTGACTGGTCGTCATGCTTTCTTAAAGCATCATGTGTTCGAATCCCGAACTGCAGCACGGATAATCGGATCTGGATCTAGAATTCTCGGTATTCAAAGATGCAATAAATGGCCGTACAAACCACCAGAAGGCTGTCTCTTCGTACGGTGCGGTGCCAAGGTACCTTATAATTTCCCCAGCTTCCAGCAACAATTGAACACTGTCGGACTGCCCCTCCGGTCTCGGCATCTAACCCCGAGCCTCTATGGCATCACCACCAAGTGGTCAGCCAACACCATCCAGCTCCAATAATGAAAATAATGCAGACCAGCAAATAATGGAGTGATTCATCAAGGAACGCTTTACGTGGCGTCCAGTAGCTCATAACTTTACTGTAGCATTTCAAAGTGCGGGGAAGAGTACCACGCGTCCTACAGTATTCATCAGCCAGGAGTACCGGATCGTCACTGCTGGGCGTCCTCGCGTCCTCGCGTCCTCGCGTCCTCGTCGTCGACGCACCCCGCAATTTGCGGCATGAAGCTTTTGATACTTGATACTCGACTTTGCATCTCCTCGGAAGGAAGGGGTCATGTGCCTGCTCTCACCAAACCAAACTTCAAGCCACATGCCTCGAGCTTCGCACCATGGGATCAGCCTCCCGGGCAAAGAAATAAAGCAAAGCAAAGCACGACATGGTTTGTGTCTCAATGCGTCCAAAATCGTGCATCTGATTCCGTAATAGAAAAACCCAACCATTTCCCATTCTCAATATAGCTGACCTGTCAATAAATGGCCTCATATTCGTGTAGGAGCACGTTTCATTCACAACTACAGCCTCATTACATAATGCCGACCCTCCGTCATCCCAAAGTATCTCTCAAGAGTGATGCACCTCCGACCTGGGCTAAATTTTCCTCCCCTTACTCTCACAACAGCCAGCTGAGGTAGTTAAGTTCAACGAATTTTCCTTCCAGCACCCCACGAAATTCTCATCATCCAACACTTCGTCGTCCTTCACACACGTCCTTGCACCTCTTACTCGAGAATTACTCGATAGAATCCACTCCGCCCACAGAATATGCACGTGTGAAGAAATTCTAGAACTTCCAACCTTCTAGCCCGCCCCCTCGCCCCTCCAGCCCTGCGCTGGAGATGAAATGGATACCCGAGCCAACCCCTGCTCGCGCCCTCCTCTCACACGTCCCCATTAAAAGATCTTGGCAGCAGGTAAATATCCCGATTGGCTCTCTTAACCATTCTCCCTGGTCACGGCATTGAGAAATTGGTGCCATGGCCAAACGGAGTTCGAAGCTGGGAGAAAAAGATTTTCTCGGAATATCCACTTGATGGAAGGAGTGGCTCGTAATGTGATCTGTGCATTGCGTGGATTATTGGGGGGATGATGATTAATTCAAGACTTCAAGGTTATGATATTTTTAAAGTTTGTTAGTGACCCCCACTGGGAATGCGCCGTTTACTTCCCCGTAGGCGCCATCTGACGGGCGCCCGTCGGCGGGCGGGCAGGCAGGCAGGTGGGCGATCGATGTAGCATTCAAGGTGAGGCGATCGGGAAATGCTTTTTCCATCTTGGGAGTATAGATGGATTCTTGGATATATATTTTTCAGACCAGTTCTCACTTTAGGTGCTCAGGCTTCCAGTGCAAGGCGCCAACAATAGCGAGTCCTCCCCGAAGCGTTAAATATTAGCTTCATCTGAATCAACCAAGGTACTAACTAAACTGATGACGGAGGGAAGTGCGTATCGGCCACCTCCAACTCTTCACATCTTGCGAGTCCCCTATTCTGTGATTTATTCTTTTCTAGCCATAAATCCCTCCACGATCCCTCAGTACGAAAACTCGTACTTCTTCAAGGCAAATTCGTAGTCTAAACAGCATCATCGTGCATGTAGGCAGGCGGCTCAGCAGCATTACTGTTGACGTTCATCATGTGTAAGCGAAAGCCGACGGGGTTCTATTGCCGTTTGGGGACTGCTGTACTACTGCTTGAAGGCTGCTGCTTTGCCGGAATCCATGGATCCCGTACAGAACAGTCATGTCATGCCACCGGGCCGACCTCCGGGCTCGGCTCGGGATATGACTCTCGAATGAAGGAATTTTTCGGTTCTTGCGTTGCTGGATGGAGGGTGCCTTAGCGGTCTTTCGAGACTTCCCTGTGGACTTTGTCGTTTGGTTTCGAACTGGATGTTCAGTTCTTGGCTTTGTTGTTGGGTTCAACCAGAAGCGAAGCAAAACACGTGCTTGGCATTTGAAATCAAAACATGGGATGCTTTCTTCTGTACATTTCTTCCGCAATCCGTTTAGCGATGCGACTGAATTACGGTTCGTCTGTTGTGAGTAGTTACATGTTGAACCTGGTAGATGACTCTCAGCTATTTCGGTGTAATTGGCAAGTGTCATTTGCCAGTTGCTGGGAGTACTCTTGCAAGATCGTTTGACTCTGTCTCCAAACTTGAGTATATAACTGCTTGGTATGCAACACATCTCTTATACACCGAAAGTGTGCATATAGTAGCAGGTTTATTCATTATCCATTTCCAGGTTCTCTAGCTCAGACGCACTGCTCTATCAAGACACCTCCCTTCCTGTAACAACCCTGTGTCGCAAAATCTACATCTAATTCTCACCACAAGTGTAACCTCCACGATAGACATCAATAGAACTGTGTAAAACGAAGATTATCATTCAATTAGCTCCATATGCTCTTCGTGGAACTCGTCTCTCCAAGCGGATTTGTTCTCCCTTGGCACCTTTCACCAGAAAGATCTGACGATGAGTGATGTATCATGAACCTACTCAGATGACTATTAGCGTTTCGTCCTTGATATTATTACTTGTTTCTCAAAGACGTGGAGTTTAATACCAGAAATCGAGGTAATCTCTGTACGGGCTCAGGATCTACGTCTTCTGTGTGTCATGGTCGTCTACTCAACATGCGCGAAAAAACAAGAATGGTTTGCAAGTTGATACCAAGAGCTCTTCTAGACACAAGAACTATAATAAGCTTTGATTGAATGCAGATGCTTACGGCGAGTAGACCTGAACTGGTTGGACGGGAATGATTCGTTGCAGGCATTGCTTTGCCTGTAGTGGACGTAGTTGTTCCTGGACTAACGCATTTCCTGCCAAAGTTAACATAATACCTATAAGTTCCAAGGAAAAGTTGGCATATCTGTAGCATGAATTGAATACAGCCAATTCAGGTATTCATACTAGATATTGAAGTTCGAAGGTGAAGCTTTCCTTCCTTGAGATCAGGCAGCTAATTTATTGTAGTCCATCGGCAAGCTGGAGGACACCTCACTGCAAGATTGTTCGTAAAAAACAACCATTGACATTTAACAATGCATCTCCAAAAATTCAAGCACTAAAACAGAGCGATCCTTGTCTGTATTTATAATTTGCGCTTACTTGAATAAGAGATTCAAGTCTCTTTCTGTAAAAAATCACTACCATCAGCGTCTTGCAGTGGCTTGAGCCCTGCAAGATAGTTGGTAGATCGAACGACGTCCAAAATGAATATCTTCTCTCCTAACTGTGAATATGCAATCTATGATGATATCAAAGAATACTGAGAGGCGTACAAGGCCTTCAATTTCTTTTCGGCTCCCACCTCGAGAAGAAGCTGTGCATCAACAAGCAGGTCTCGAACGGGAAGGCGCGGTCACAGGTAGTTATATCACAATCCTCCGCAACCTTTTTCAGGAAATACTAATCAAAAAGTAGAATTTACAGAGTCAATGGACAAATTTATTCTCTTCCCAGGTGCTTGCAACAAGAATGGCATCAGTTTCTCCTCACTAAACTTTTCAATTCGCCTCACGCCTCCAGTCACCCCAAGCAGACGACGCCCTCTGGATTTCACAACTTTCACACCTCGCTCTCTGGGCAGCAGCATTTCAGGCAATTGCTATACTCTTCCAGTCGCCTTGACAGATTTTCCCATCTTTGTATACCTCCCACCTGATATCCGCAAGAAGATTTGGAGATGGGCTGTCAAGGCTCTCCCGGCACGAACAGTCCTCATCCAACCCTACGCCATATTCAACTTTGCTGATGCTGCTGTCAATCATGAAGCTCGTGCTGTGTTCTTGGAGGAATATTCTATGCTCCATAGCCGTCAAGCTGGCCGCATGGTAAGTGGGCTCCTACTTTTTCTCGGTTTTATTCCTAGCCACCGATATTTTGGGTATCTTCAGCGAATAAAAATGAGCTCACCTGGATTCCGATCAAATTTTTTGGTGCTAACTTTACTGCAGTCCGACTTCTCAATGTCTATCAACTACCAAAAAGACCTCTTGTACCTCAATCGCCGCTTTGTCCTCAACCCAAAGATTCCAACCGTTACTTCACTCATCGAAGCCACACTGGTCTACCATGATTGGTTGAAGCCAGTCAAACAACTCGCGTTGAATTTGAAGGATACCCTGTTTCTGTTGCCTCGGGCCTGGGGTCAAAATCCACATTTGCGCGGTCGAACTACTGAGCTTTGGGACATCCTCGGAAATCATTGCCCTGAGCTTCGCCTCTTATTTCTCGTAGATTATGAGAAGTTTGAAACAGGAAACAAAATGTTTAATACTCAGTCCAAGCCGCATCGACCGTGTGAGTGGAATGTTCTGTGGGCCAAGTTCCGCATGGGCTTGGATTCTGCAAAGATACGAAAAGTTGTGCGTCAAGATATGGTCTTGAGACTCATGGACGCCTATAATGTTGTTCCGGCAGATTTGGTGGACTAAGAGGGAGGACAAATCGATTTGAATCTCAGAGATGGGACATTCTCGGATGATTTTTTTGGGGGCATTTTACCTGCGATTATAAAAGGACATTTGCCTGAGTCATTTGCGACGTACTAATCAGTGGAAGAAGGCAATGGGGAATTTGCTTTTATTGGTGGGATTTAAGGGCTCATTTCTTCTTCATTGGGGAGTTTGCGACATCAAGGGGTTTGCGTGCCTTCAGCGCGAAAGACCGAGCAGGATGGGAAATCATCTGGATCTTGCGTGGGCTTTGAGAGCCCACTTCTTCTTCAGCGTGGTATATGAAGTATATAAAGATGCTTTATTGGTTTCTTAATCAGAGAACAGTGATTGATTTTTTGGATGGTCTTCTCTACACATGCGACTTCCGATTGCGCTGGCATTCACTGTGCAGAGGCGAAAAGGGCAGGCTCGCTTAATTATACGCTAGCGCTGCTGTCAATACAACGGGTTCTTGGACAATGCTTCCTATTGTCTCGCAAGCTACCCATATTCGACTATCTAAACTTGCTTTTCCTCCCGATTCTATTTCTCTTGTTAAATTATCAACTATTCTGGCAACTCGAACCTCAGCGCACTTGCAAGCAGTACTTCAACTCTCAGCAATCATGGATAAAATCATGCAAGCTGCTACTACTGGAGAGGTAGAAAACATGCCGCTTCAGCTCGAGGTCTCTGGTCCATCAGTTGAGGAAGCTGGAATTGTTGCAAAACCCTTCGAACTTGTTGGAGACGACAAGGTTGAATCTCTCACTGTATGCGCAACGCTCCCTCACACTTGAGTTCGCCGAGATTATAGGTCACTGAGATTATGCTAATCCTCGACGTACAGTCTGGTCCAAAGCTCTCTGCTACCAGCGAGCCAACGCCAGATGCTCCGATCGCCTCCAACTCCGCGCCGATCCCAGCAAATAGGAACGTCGCCTGGATCCCTCTCACCGAATTCAAATACTTCTCAAAGCTCCCCTTCGAGCTGCGCAGCATGATCTATGTCATCGCCATTAAAGATTATTCGCCCCGAATCCTCGCTATCCAGCCTCAATACCGCGAACATCCGGGCCTCATCCACGCCTGGAAGGAGTCGCACGAAGCTTGCACAAAGTACTACTACTACTGCGCCAGCAAGCAACGCTGCAAGTTCTTCCGATTCTTCATCGACTACCGAAAGGATATTCTCTACCTCAACCACCCATTCACCCTCCTAGGCGGAAAATGTCAGCAGAGCCCTCTTCAATCCACACACACGATTTATCCTGAGTTCCTGGAGCTTATCGAGACACTCGCTATGAATCTCAAGGAGGTGCGCAACTTGTCTGGTGATCATCGTGGCAAGAATACCATTTGGTTGATGCTCAGCAAGTGGTGCCCTAACCTGAAAGAGCTCAAAGTCGTCGTTAATAACTTGCCAACCAATGGTCTCTTGCTCGATTTCAAGCCGATCATGACAGCTAAAGTTTACAAAGAGATGATTGATATACCGAAACAAAGAGCAATTGAGGAGATCAGTGGTAGCTTCAAGAAGGCGAAGAAGCACTATGGTCTTGTGACGGAGTTGCAGATGAGATTGGTGGTTATTGATGAGAGTGCACCGAAGGTCAAGAGTAAGAAAGAAAGGGCTGTCATTGCAGAGGCATGGAAGAAGGCGAACATGAAGGTTAATGGAGTATCTGAGGTCGACCAAATTGTTACACAACTCGAAGGCGGCGCTACTGGATCTGAAGGTGCTGGCATAGGCTCATCCGGTGGGGCGAAGAAGGACAAGAAAGCTTCTGAGACGTCAAAGCTACCTGCGAAGCTCCAGAAGGCTGGTAATGGCAAGTTGGCTAAGAACAATTCTGGCAAGTTCAGCGGCAAGCCCACAGTAAAAGCAAGGAAGTAGACGGATTACCTCCCGGTTATTCGTCATTTTCTAGAATCTGCGGTTTGCACAAGAGTAGAAGCTCTGCTGCTGCTGTATGATTATTTGGATACTGTCTTCCAAAATAGAAAATACGAAGGCGTGTCGTCACCCCAGGTTTGGTTTCAACTTCGGGCTGTTCTTCCTCAGCTTCTCGACAATATATATGGTGGCTAGGTCACATCTAATGTAGTTTCGGGAGCATAAAATAACAAATCGTGCAACGCCGTCACAGAATCTGTTCATTAAAGTTGTCGCTTCTCGCACTCAGTGTATGATATTCCGCGCAAAGCCTATCAATCTTCCAATGCACAGGAATTCAAAACAGAATCTTGGAGTGGGGGTGATCTTGCTTTGCTTGTCTCCAAATTTGATTCGTTGATGACTGCGTTGGCTTGCGTTGTTTCCCTATTATGACTGAAAAATGCTAGTACATGCATCACGATGCCATAATTCACTTCAAAGCTCTCCCTATCTCTTCGTCCAACTGACTGCCCTGATAGGCACTTTCCAACGGAGACTCCAACTTCGCTCGTCAAATTCGTTGACTCCTTGAGCTCTTTGTCCACCAAGACGCCACACAGCACCCCGAAGTCTCGACTCAATCAATATCGTGATTGAGCCTAGATATTGAAACCGAGGCCTCTGATACGTGTACCGTCGCTTTAGGGAATATTCAGCAGTTCCTCGTTGGCATACGTGTCTAGAAGCATCAAGAATCGCCTTTCATCTTCAGTAGGTACACAAAATGACTCTTCAAAAATGGCGTAAGAATACTTCTATTCCTTTGAACTTGACTTCAACAGGCTGATTTCAATATAGGTCCTCTCAGCAGCCAGCAATTCCAGCGACTCCAACGATTCCAGATGGTCCGCTCCTCTCAATCACGTCATCGACGATCTTCTGATGACGGCTCTTGAAGGACGCGACACTTGGGAAGGTTTCAACCTGGAGTCTTTTCTCTCCGACGGATCCCCTTCCTCAGACTCCCTGAGTGTCCTCACAATGTTCACCTTATTCCCAAAGCTTGCTCCTGAGCTCCGCCTTAAGATCTGGGCCCAAGCGTATGCTGATCTCAAAGGTCGAAGGATGGCGATCCTCCCGCCTCTTGTCAAGGTTCCGTCGCTGCTTCAGGTCTGCTACGAGTCTCGCAAGATGGGTCTGGGTATCTACACGAGACAGAAGCACGAGAGTATCAATTATATGCCCTCTTTTGTTACAATCATCGACTTCGAGAAGGATACTATCGACTTGAGCGCTCGAGGAAAGTTCATAAATCCAAACCCATCAGCTTCGTGCACCGACACATATCTGTACAAGGCGCGTGCGGCAACGTATCCACTCCGGTGGAAGAATAATTTGTTGATGTAGTGAGTGATCTCCTAGTTCTCTTTCCTCTTGTAATCCATAACACACAGTCAGACACCGCACTCAGCCTTTGATTGTCTTTACACTTGTTCTCTTTGTCGAAATGGAATTACTGACTACAAGATCTTCTGTAGCACGATTTATCACTATCCAGAGCTATGCAAGTACGTCAAGCGCCTCACACTTCGTAGCTGCTATCTGTCATGGCTTTCAAGATTCGGTCTGTGCAACATTCTCAACCCCGAGCTCTCAGTTGAGGAGTTCTTCAAGACACATTTCCCTGCTCTCGAGACAGTCGCCATGATTTCTAGTGGAGTGGCAGAGAATCCGGAGGGTCTTGATGGACTGAGCGATCTTGAGGTTTCAAATAGACAACTGGTGGATATTACAATGTATCGCGTTCTGCAGGGTATGGGAAAGAAAGGAGGCTTCAAGTTCACAAGAAGGTTGGACCACACAATTCCTGACCGTTAGCTTTGTCGATCTTGAATGATAGGACAGCCATTCGGCGTGGACTATGGATATACCGTCGAGCCTCGTGCTTGGAGGCGTTCTTATAAGTTACTGTGTTTGGAGAGAGGGTAAGGCACAGATAGGACATGATTCTGTCCATTTGTTAGAAGAGAAAGGTTGGGACTGGCAACGAAGGGATGTGTACTTGACACATGACGAAACCGCTTAGACTCGTAAGCTCTTGGCTACAATCTCCTGATACTGGCCTTACACTGACTTTTATATAGTTTTCTCTCTGCATTCACAGCGACAAATTCAAGACCCTAACAGCATTTCCTCCCAGTGCACCTTTTGTCTCTGCGGTAGCATTTCCCAATGCTCCCTTAATAGCCTCATAATTCGTTTCCACGCTCGCCCACTTCGCACCCTCCTCCTCCAGTGGAGGAAAGAACGGGTGATCCGTCCCAAACATAACTCTATCTTCTCCACTGGCCTGAATTGCAGCCTTCAACCCAACCTCACTGTACACCACTGCATCCAAGTATATGTTCTTCTTTAGCACATTCCACACCGTTTTCCTGCTCTTGCCAAGCTTCCCTTCTGCTTTTAGGTGTGCGTCATGCTCTATACAGGACTCAATCCTGCCAGCAAGGAATGGTAAAGTTCCACCAGAATGCGCCAGGATCATCTCCAAATCAGGTACCTTCTCAAAGACTCCGGAGAGGATCATCCTCGTGACCGCAATGGTAGTCTCAAGTGGGAATCCCAGTGCAAGAGGCAAAACATGTCCATAATCGCTTGCCCTCTCTCCCCATACCGAGCCTGGCAAGCCATAATGTGGATGCAGGAAAATCGGTAACTTCGCATCCTGTAGCGCCTTGAAAATCGGTAAGAGTTCCGGATCATCTAATCCCTTTCCCAGACCCGTCGTACCCAGAATAATACCTCTCATATACTTCAAGTCTTTCAGTCTCGTGATTTCCTCAACGATGACTTCCTTTCCCCCACTTAACGGCAAGGTACCGAAGGCGAATAGCCTGCCAGGAAACTTTCCACATTCTTCGTTCACCTCGTCGTTGATTTCTTGGGCGGCTTTCGCAGCTTCAGATTGAGGCACCCAGTCTAGCCATGGGTTTGCGAGAGAGATGACCGAGATATCGATGGAGTGCAAGTCCATGAACTTGATCTTCTCTTGGATGTCATAGTACTCTGCTCCCACAGGCCGGCCTCTTGATGTGCTTTCTGTGTCTTCGGCTGGTAATATGACGAGGCGGAGAGAGGAAGATGGTGGAAATGAGCGAATATAGGGGATGCTAGAGCGAGACTTGAGGAGGGCTATGTAGGATGGTGGGTAGACGTGGGTGTGGATATCCACGATGGGAGACTTGGTGGTTGACATGTTGAATTTCGTTTTCTCCCTCTCTTGATCCTACTCTGTTCCTTGGGAAATTTGATGCAGAAAAAGAAGATCGGAATATTTCAAAACGGGACGGTTTTGCCCCTGTTGATTTGCAGCCGCACAAGGACTCACAAGTGTGACTCCAGGAAATTATCTTCAGAATACCCCGCGGCTTATCTGACCCCGCCATGGTGGATACGAAAAGCGGCACCGAATATATCCCTTGATCTTCAAATCCATTCGGAGCACTTTGCTTTCCTTTTGCGAATTTCAAAGTCATATGAAGCTTTGGAAGTAATCATTTAAAATCGTGAAGCTTTTCGCAGCTTCTTGCAGCTTATTAACGACTATGTTGAGCTTTCTGAGATCTTTTCACCTCATCCCCATCGAACACTCTTGTCCTACTGGGGACCCTTCCAGAGCCGCTTTTCCTTCACCGCAACCTACCGAGAGCTTATCTCTCTGCCCCTCCGCCAAGACATATCCGACCTCCCTCTTTGGACAACATCTTCTTTCGCTCAAGCTGGGCCCGGAGGACGCCTCAATCCGTGAGTCAGGTCAATCAAGTTCGATTTTGTTATATACTCATCGTTCAAAGCTCTGTTCTAAGCCTCACACTTATTATTCCTGCTTAGTGAGGGTAGAGTTTGATAGTACTATCGCATCTGAAATTGAGTCGAAGCAGTAACCCCACCTTCAAGGATTAAGATGGCACCTCAAGCCAGCGCTGTTGATACCGACAATTTGTTCATTCCTGTGAGTTTCTTTGTGAAAGTTTTCTGAGCAGGGATTAGAACTGATGGAATACGTAGATCATTGACTTCTCTCTCTTCCTCAATGGCACACCAGAGCAACGGAATGAAGCGGCAAAATCTATCCTCAGTGGCTTTCAGTCCGCTGGATTCATATATCTGACAGTAAGTGTGCTTTTCAAATCATTTCTCAAGTATACATAAGCCCTAAGGACCCACTCCGAACTATACATCAACTGTACAACTATCAATTCCCATTCCAAACATCCAGCCCTCCAATCCTACCTGCCCCTACCAAGCTGACTTACCTCATTTAGAACCATTCTATCCCTCTCGACACCGTTTCCCACACCTTTGCCACCTCTGCTGAGTTTTTCAAGCGTCCCCAACCGGAAAAAGAAGCCCTAGGCTGGACCACACCCGAAGCAAACCGCGGCTACGTCTCCCATGGCCGCGAAAAGGTCTCTATCCTAACATCTAAAGCTGATGTCGCAGCCGCAAAAGCCGCCGCCCCAGATCTCAAAGAGTCTCTGGAGATCGGGCGCGAAGGTGCCGAAGGTCTGCCCAACAACTGGCCTACAGGCGATGACGCAGCAGTGCATTTCAAGGAGACGATGTTGAAGTTTCATGATCTGGCGAAGGAGTTGCACATTAATGTGATGCGGGCGATTGCTGTGGGGATGGGGCTCGATGAGGGGTACTTTGATAAGTATACGGATGTGGGGGACAACACGTTGAGATTACTGCATTATCCGGAGGTGCAGAAGAGTGTGTTTAAGAGTAATAAGTTGCAGGTCAGGGCTGGAGAGCATACCGATTATGGGAGCATCACGCTTTTGTTCCAGGATATGAGAGGTGGATTGCAGGTGAAGAGTCCCAAGGGAACTTTTGTGGATGCAACTCCTATACCTGGATCCGTGGTTGTCAATGCGGGTGATTTGCTGGCCAGGTGGAGTAATGATACGATTAAGAGTACGTTGCATAGGGTTGTGGAACCGCCTGGGCCGGAGGAAGGAGATGTTCACCCGGCGAGGTATAGTATTGCTTATTTTTGTAACCCAAACTACTCGAGTCAGATTGAAGCTATTGAGGGAACATACGGTGGAGATAAGGGACCGAAGAAGTATGAGGGCATCAATTCTGGAGAATATTTGGTTCAGAGGCTTGCTGCTACTTACTGAGAGGAGGAATGATACCAAAAGGGCTGACCTGAGCCTTGACTTGTTCATCTCATTGAAGCTACATATGCAAGTATTTCTCGCAACATCAAGCAAATGAAAGCTCATCGTAGATCGTAGCTCGGTCGAATACTGCTACAGCGAATACATGCAAGATCATGTCACCATATCCCAGCCTATCAAACCCCAAACTGTCTCCAACAACCACTCCTTTCCATATTTCAGTACGTTGGTCGTCGCATCGTCGACAAGACTGATTTCGGTGGGCAGTCTCGGAACTCTCAGGCTCTCCAGCTCAAGCCCACCAATTGTGCTCTTCAGCAATGTACTCTGAAGCAGCTTCTTCGCTTTACGTAGGATATCTCCGGTTGTTGCCGATCCACTCAATGAAGATTTACCAACAGAGGCGCTACGAGCCAGAACGTCAATAACTAGCTCTCTTCTGTCCAACCCACCAAGCGTGGCATGAAGAATTCGAGTCATGTATCTCGATTCAGGCCTCACAAATCCATTTACAGGTGCATCAGGGCTGTTCGATATGTTCCCAGGTCTATCAGATGCCGCGACATGCTCCCCGAATACGCAGTCCGAAATCACCCGCCCGGTATGTTGGATAACCACCAATAACATTCCTTCCAGAATATCGCTATGCCCTGTTTGATCAGATTTCCACTCCAGCCTTTCTGCAATCGAAACTAAAACATGTGCCAAGTACTTGTTGACAGCATATTCGGCTGGCTCCAACTTTGGTCTCTTGTTTCTCATGTTCCGACTCTGTTGAATTTGCTCATCCTCTGATTGAAGAGTGCTGACCGTCTGAAGAAAGTCTACAGCCTTGCTGAAGAACATGACCATCCGACTTACAACTTCTCTTTGCTTCGTTCGTCCTGGTATGGTGAGGAAGAGTTGATTCATAGCTCTGAAGCAAGAGAGGAAGGAAAGCGCGGTCTGGTGCATTAGTTGCTGCAGCAGGAGCAAGCTTCTTGAGTCTTCACTGTTTGTTTTCAACTTTTTCAGTGGCAGACAGCAGTCGAAGAAGCAGTTTTCGAGAAGGCCAATGGTGTTAACGACGTTCGTGGTAAGGATGTTGATCTGGTCCAACGTACTGAAATGTTGGGCAGCTTTCTGAAGTTCAGTGCGCTGACGGATGAGTCGCAGAACTGCTCACAAATCAGCAATTATCCCGTAAGATCTTCGAAGGCTATGCTTACTCTGTCCGCTAAGTTGCAGGTGTTTGTCGTTGTGCAGAGCCGACAGCAGATGCTCATCATCTTGGTCAACGAGGACATCTTGAGAAGGCGCTTGCCGTTTTCTCGAGACTCCGGCTTCTGCGCACGCAGAATGTATCTCATTTTCTCGGAAAATTACGGTTCCTGTAGCGATAGTTTCGTCTGCCTCCTGACATTCCTTGCTGCAAAACTTGTCCTTCAAGATTCTTTGCGCCTCTTCCAAGCACCGGAGTTTGCTCTCCAGTGCCACTTTTTCTTTATGGATCCTGTTACATTCGTCCTTCCAGTACTGTTTAGTATCGATATATTGAAAGTGCTCAAATGATACTGATGTTCCTTCTTTGATATGCTTCCGCAGCTGCTGACAATACTCTGGAACTTGGTCAGGAACACTGGACAGAAAAACCCGGCGCGTGGCAACATACCGGCGATAGAGAGTCCCTTTGGCTTGGATTTCGAAATGACAAGAGCGAGCGACAATTGACTCTGTGAGAAGTGATCGGTTATCTTCGTGGCAGGTGCCGATTGTGCAGAGGCCGAGGTCCTCTTTTCTCTGATGGCCAGTTGTGATGGATCCAGTCGCTGAAGCAATGACCTCGGGAGCGGCAGCTTTACAATTAGAGACGGCGACGGCATTGCGATGTATTGTAGAAACGAACGACATGGATGGAAGAATGAGAATGAGGTTTGGTGCGAGATTTCGTATTGTTTGGATGCAGGGTGTGGGACGCTGTGGTCTCCCGTTTGGGAAGTCACGATGAAGGCTGTTGAAGGCAGGTACGGCTGAAGTTTACAGCTACATCTCTGCCAAGCGCGTCTGACCTCACTTGCAGTCCCTTATCTCTCCAAGAAACGCCTCTCCAGATCCATAATTTCCAATGCTGTGATCTCCATCTCAACATTGCCCATGTATTCGTCACAGGCTTGTTCTTCTGGGCCACGAAAAACTCCAACTCCACACTTGACCTCTTTCGTATGAGAAGAATTCTGATCGAAAGTCACAGTATTGCCCCTGCAACCGTTACGACATGTCTCTGAAAGAACAATTTACCTCAACGCAGCTGACTCACCAGCCTCCCTCGATCATTTGAAGCTGAGAACACCTCTTGTGTGACCCAACGCCAAGTCTTGGAGCTCAAGCATACCGAAGGACGATGATAAGACCAACATATACACATCTGGGAACACAACCATGACTATACCATGTTCCAGAATGTTGCAGAGCGCGAGCAAGATGTGGGCGAAGCACTGCAAGGTTTCCTGGTAGTTGTCCTCGCTCCTGAACTCCACTGGGTGATGAAGAAGTCAGTATGTTGGTAGGAGTTAGCTATCAATGGGGCAAAAAATTGGAATGTAGAAACTTACGGTTCATCTTCTCGATATCTTCATATGCGAATCTTGCATATCCCTTGGATCTCTTCTTGTCGGAAACTGTGGTGTTGGGCTCTGTTGCATCGGTTTCGATCTTGAGATCTGAGCTTGCACTTCGCTTCTTCTTGTTGTTGCTGTTGCTAGTAATCGAAGTGCTTGATAATCTAGTGGCAGCTGTATGAATAGAAGTAAATTATGGGACCGTGTTGTCACAGCAGTCCTCTTCCCAGACAGTGAGATACGGTGGCGACGACATGGCTCGAAGTATTCGAGCGCGAAGTATGGATCGAACAGTTAGGAAATGAAAATTTCTTTACAGGAAAAGGAGATATTTGATGCTGTCCCTTCAATGTTGGCATAGAGAGGAGGAGGGGAAGCGTCGAGCGAGAAGCGGAGACTTGATATGAGAGCTTCACTGCAATGGGTTTATGGGTGTGGGTGTGTTTTTGGTTCGTGTGGCTGATCTGGGACACATCTTAGGAGCTGTGGGCAAAGGCTGGGGAAAGAAATCACACTGAAAGTCAACTCGCGAAAGCAAAATCCACCGATAATTTGCCATTAGAAATTTGGCAAACTGATTTTAATGTTATAAATGCCTGGAATATCATATACTCATGATTACAGAAAATATAATACCCATCCTCTCGCCTTTGGCTTCGTGATTGGCCCGGATTTTAGGTGAACAACGTAGTCTCAGATTTCTCAATATGCCCAGGTTCAGCCTAGTGTACTGAATTCCAAATCTCGGCTAGATTTACAATCACTGAAAAATAACGAAATGTGCGAATTCCGCTTGCCGAAAGGCAACGACAACACAAAAACACACCAACTAACAAGGAAACCGGAAATAGACACTTGCTTTCGGCGGAACAGGGTATACGACACAAATCTTCAAAAACCTCTCGAGAGAGTTTCTACGAAGATATTCTGAAAAGAGTGTCTTCCGAGTTTTGCTTCCAAATGTTATGTGCGTTTTATTCCTTTTGGTGTTTTGTTTTGTTTTTATTACTCGGTATTAAGCGAGGCGGGTGGAAGAAGATACATCTGAAGCGTGCACGAGGCGAGTCGTGTTCCGATTTACCAGTCTTCTTGGACTAACTTCTATGTGTAATTGTTTTCTTGCATCAATAGCTACAGATAGGAGAGAGGTACTGTCCTTTATTAGAACTCAGATTGCGAACATGACATCGGGCCAACTTCACATCTGTCAACTTGGGGCCTTTAGTCTTGGAAGTGCAGGATTGAGTGACCTGTGAGTCATTTAAAATAGGCAAAGATAACATTAATTACGAAGATAGAGATCAACCTTCTTGTTTCTCACACTTCGCCTTGTGTGGAGGAGACATATGATAGCAAGCTGTTGATGAGAACGAATGGCTTAGTCAGCAGCCGCTAGTAAATTACTTGCATGAACCAAACTCCAGCTTCCAATCTCCCCTCACTTCCAAACACACACACAGTGAAAATGTCGAACAGTGACCTCCAAAAATGGGTGACCAGCGACGTAGACTTCTACGCCCTCCTGGGAATCAGTATCGAAGCCTGTTCTGCCTCAGAATTACGGCGCGCGTACCGCAAGACCGCCTTGCAGTACCACCCCGATAAGGCCGGCAAAGACTACGATCCGGAGAAGTACGAGTTATTTCAAGCTGCGAACGGCGTGCTGAGCGATCCAGAACTGAAAGCCAAGTATGATGGACACAGGAGCGCAAAGTTACAGCGGCAGCGGGCGAATGAGATATTCGAGGGGAAGAGGAGGGCCATGAAAGAAGATCTGGAGGCGAGAGAGAGAGGCGGCGTGGGTGCGGGGATGAAGAGGGGCAGAGAGGAGAGCGAGATGGATAAGGAGGTAAAGAGATTGGCGGAGGAGGGGAGGAAGAGGAGGGCGGCGAGGCAGTCGATGATGGCAGAGAATGTTTCCTCGTCACCAGCACCGGCGCATGCACAGAAGCCTGAACAAGCACAGGCACAATCGACGACTACATCTACACCTACTCCCAAAATTTCAACGACGACTACGGCTCAGGAGTCAAACAAAGGAACATCAGTAGAAGATGACGAAATTGAGCGTCTCGAGCGCCGAATCCGAGAAGCAGAAGCGGCAAAAGCAAAGCGCAAAGCCGAGAAGAAAGCCAGAAAAAGCGGCACCTTCGTACCTCTCGAGTCTGATTCTCCCGCAGGTGGAAATATACAGGCAGAAGCGGGTCCAGATCAGGAGGCAGTTACTTCTACACCCATCAAACGTCCCGATATCTTCAGAGGATTGAAAGCTGACTCTCAGTCTCAGTCTTCAGCAGCATCTCCAAAATTCTCCTTCTCGCCTACAGCTAGCATGGCTACGCCGAAGAGAAATGATTTCGCGGCTACGATGGCGAGACTCAAGGCTGCGGAGAAACAGAGGATGGAAGATGAGATTAGGAGACAGGAATCGGAGGCTGCGTGAGTTTGGTCGTGTGACATTGTTACGCCTGGGTTGCAAATGAATTAGCATTGGCGTTGGAGGAATTGATTTGCTATACCCCGAGAATCGAAATAGAATCTAGATACATTGAAATGGAGTTTTCATATTCTACAATTGTTCATTCTGGTCATGTACATGCCTGCTCTCATCGGTATCATACACACCTCGTTTCTATTGCTTCAAATGCCACGGCGGCACAAACGCCTTAATCTTCAAGTTCTGTACCTCACCACTCTCTCCCTCCCACTCGACCTTGAACTCATCACCCACTTTGTACCCACCTGCCTCGCCCTGAACCTGCACATCTGTCATAGTCTCCAGCCTACAAAGTCCCAGTCCAACATTTCCTACACCGGCTAGAAACTTGCCCGCACTTCTCCCCCTCTTCTCGAATCTCGCAATGCCTGTCTCTCTTGGGATACCCTCCGCACCCAGAACCTTCTCAGCATGATATTCCAGGGTAGTCGGCTCACTCTCTTCCATCCCATACAGTATAACAGGCAAAATCCTCTTGCGAACAACACCCCTATGATGCGTCCGGATTGTCAACTCCTGCCCAACGTAACAACCCTTCTTGTAATCGATACCACCCATGAAATCAACATTACTCTCCTGCGGCAACGCCTGTTCTCTGACTAGCTCATCCTGTCCCTCAGCTACACCCTTGAGATATCTTCTGACTCGGTAGACATCCTCGGTTGTCTCCTGAACGTCGACCTCTGGCTTCGAGCCGCCAGGGAGGAGAAGACGTCGTCCCATGCCCGGCGCACGTTTATCAGGACAGGAGATAACTCCCTCCTTCCCTCCCACTGAACTCAATGTTGGAGCCGTACCAGATTCTGACTCCTCTCCACCCAAAGAATGCATCGTCCACCCATCTTTGCCCCCCTCCTCCCACACACTCCACACACCCCTCTCTCCAACATCCAAAACCCTAACATCAAACTTCGCCCTCAACTTGTACCTCTTAATATGCTTCGCCAGCACCACAGCCTCCTTCGCATCCACCTCAATCAACCAGCCTTCACCTTTCCCGGCTTCTTTACCAGGCTCGGTGTATGGGTAGATGAAGACATCGTTGAGGAGACGGCCAGCGGCATTCAGAAAGGCAGCGTAGAAACCACCGCTTGTGCGTGGAGGGGAGGGTGAAACGTTCGCGGATATGACACCTTGGAGGTAGTGGGTTGAGTCCGGGCCAGTGAGAGCTATCAGGCGACGTGAGGGGAGGTATGCGTAGGCTGATGAGGGAGGGGAAGGAGGATTGCTGGAGCTGGAGGAAAAGCGGTGGGTGGCGAGTCTAGCGGTGGGGAGGACGCGAGAGAGACAAGTGTTGCAGATATATGGCGATTGAGAGGAGAGCCGGGGAACTCGAATAGGAGACTTCATTCTGACCGGTTTGGTGTTTGTTAGAGAATTGGAGCTCGGAGAGATGGGGATTGAAGCTCGAGGCGGAAACTTCCCGCGGCTGACGATTTCTCAGCCTTGCCAAGATTCGCTCGTAGAGCAAGGTCGTAATATGGGCTAGAAAGGATAACGACGATGGGGAAAAAAGAAACTCTGCGGCAATTACACCTGTTGAGGGCTTCACGAATGCGTCTTAAAGAAGTGTGCATTTCAAAGCAAAGCTTTGCGCTGTAAATTCTTTGATGCTTCAAGAGCATATGTGGGTAGCTAATTCGCCATGCTAGGCAGTCCTACAAACTGTGCTATCACTGTCATAGAAGCAAATAACCTTCGAATGCATATATCCGTCGCTGCGCATAACCATACACGCTAAAAATGCATCTATTCCTTCAAAGCTCTGAACTCCATCGCTGATACGCCATTGTTAAACCCTTTGATACATCAGATTAACGCTGAGCACCGTTCGCTACTGCGTCCAAGTAGCTCAATAGGAACCCCTTGTCAGCAGGAGAAATTGGAGTCTGGCTTCCACGACGGGGGCCTCCTTCAGTAGATGCAAGACTCCCGACTCTGGATCTTGCAGATATGCCAAATGGCGGATCCGAAGGTGGCAGTGATATTAGAGGCTCTCCAGTTGGACCTTGCGTAAATGAAGTTCCGGCTGCAGGACCCTTGCGGAACATAGAAAGCAAATTTTGTGTATGATCGACTGAGTTTCGTGGAGGCTGAGTGGACACTGGGAAGCTCGATTGTGTGGGAGTGATTCCTTCAGGAGACATAGACATCCCAGGTTGAGGCCGCTTCAAGATTTGGGGTTGGAAAGGCTTCTCAATGTGCTGCACCGGCTCTAGGTCGTTCGAACGCGGAGTTGCATGTTTCTTCCCACTGGATCGGACTTTGTGCGTGGGGCCGTTCCGTGAGGAAACCTCCTTCTCATTTGATTCTGCAGGACGAGCCAAGATACCAACTGGCCGAAAGGGTAACTGAGCACCTGCGGGCTGATGGATCTTGGTACCGATATTTGCAGCATGATCTGGAGTTCGTTTATCGTTGAGAAGGGCCGATGTTGATGCGGCGTTTGTAGAAAGAGGTTCAACCGCTGACAGCTCAACAGCCGAGGGAGTTCCACTCGGAGGAAGGGCTGTCGCAGCAAGTGGTCTTGCTGGAATTGCTGCAGGTATCGTAGGACTTTTGAATAGACCAAGCAATGTGGAACGTTGAGTTTCACTGATAGGTTGTCTTCCAGCTAATGCTGGAGGGGGTGCTACCATGTTGCCAGTTGAATTCTGTGCACTCTGGGGATGAGGCTCTCTTTGCTGTTGAGAGGGATCCGCGGGAAGTTCCTGGGGCAAATGTTTGTGATTTTGGACAGAATCTTGCTCGAACTGAGGTAATGGGAGATCGTTACCAGTAGGAGTTTCACCCACGGCTTGATCTCGACTCTTGAAGGCATTCAGAAGAGCGAGAGAATGACTGGTGAGCTTTGGTGGTGTTTGCTTTGGCTCTGGGGGAACCATTGTTGAATGCAGTCCAGGAAATTGCGGATTGGTAGCAGCAATGGAGATTGATGGATTTACCTGCGGCTGCTGTGTCTGCTGTGGTGGAGGAACCATTGGGGCATGGACAGGGCCGCCTGTAAATACAGCTCTCTGCACATGTGGAGGCAATGGTTGCGGGTGAATCAGATGCTGAGATTGATGGCTGTGAGGATTCTCGTTCCGTCTAGGCGCTGGTGGTTGTTGTTGCTGGTTTCCTTGGTACATATGCTGTGGGTATTGAGCATGTGCAGGTGCTTGCTGATATGGCTGTTGATGTGGAGGTCCCTGCTGTCGCTGTTGGTGATGTACTTGTTGCTGTGGTTGTTGGTATGAGAAAGTTGTGGGCTGAAACACGGGTGGAGGTGGCATCTTGTTGTGAGCAACAAATGGTCTAGGTGGAAAATGTTGAGGGGTTGGTGGCATTTGAGGTTGCCCAAGTGTATGGTCAAGTGGTGTGTGAGGTGGAGCATTCTGAGGGAGTGATTGATTCGAAGGTGCCGGATGACTGTGCAGTATAGCTAGCAGTGCCTCACCTACTTTGTTACCAGGAGGAGCCATGGAAGTCGGGCCAGCTTGTAACTCTTGTGGCGGCTGTTGAATCTGTAGGAGACGATTGAGAGCTGCGCTCGCATCTTCTAGACTGCCACGATCCGGAATACCATGATTAAGATCTCCTCGACGCTGTGCTGGCCCAGCCGATTCCGCTCCTGGGTCGTCTTCTGTAAACATTTCATCGTTGCTAATGCCTCCCGCTGAGAGATACTGGTTGCTAGAGAGTCTCTTTGCGTCCCTCTTCTTCTCTTCCAATACCCACTTCCGAAGAGGTACTAGGAATGGAGCTACCATATAGAATTTACTGGCACTCTGGCTAGGCTCATGCTGTTCTTGGCCTTTCTTTCGGAACGCAGGAAGATCAGAGAGGAGCCACCAATCGATTTTGCTAATTTCCTTGCGCGTTCGTGGCGCAAAATGTGTATCCATAGGCACGTTTCGAAAAACAAACAAGTGAACCTGTTGATCACGCATGTTGACCTCAATCTTTTTTACTCTCCGGTCTTGGGGGACAAGGCCGGCATCGCCAAGATGGTATCCAGTCTCTTCGTAGACTTCACGGACCGCACAATCTAAGTCGTCTTCGTCCTTGTTGATTTTACCTCTTGGGAAACTCCAGTTGGCACCCTTCTTCCAGCCTTTGACCAGAACCGCCGCATCCATGGCCTCATTCAGCATTATGGCACCGCGAACAGGAACTCGTTTCTTGTACATCATGAACTGCTCAAAAGCAGCCATATGCTTTCCTTTAGAGAAGTCCGAGAGTATGGGGCAATGTGCAAATATGAGTTCAGAGAAATTTCGAAGGTTCATGGAAGGCAGGGCAGGGTCGAGGGGCCGGATAAAGTCCTCGTAGAACCATTGTGCTTCTTCGACTTGAAAGCATATTCGCTCGATCGACCCGAGATCAGCTAATGGAAGATTCAAAATGAACCGGGCGCAGAGATCGTCCAGCCCTGGGGAAGTATTGTTAGTTCTAACATCTCAGACTGGACAAGGCTGGAATTGTAGAGCTGTATAGAAGATAAAAACAAGAGGCCGAGTTTGGTTTGACGACCTTGATAGCTGTTTGATAAAAGGAACTTACAATCGTCCAGTTGCATTCTTCTTTCGTTCATGGTGTTTTGATCTTCTCAGCATATCCACGACTCGGGTAGTTGTTCTGGCGCGGGCAGGTAGACGCGCAGTCAGGCCAGTGAGGCGGCAAAGGAAGCTGAAGCTGAAACTCGAGGACTTTCCGAGGCCCAGAACAGATGTGGCAAATCCGTGGGGCGCAAGACAGAGATGAATTAAGAAGAGTGCCAAAAGACGGTGAGAACAGTCGTACTGTAGCTGATCGGAAACCAAGGGATGGTCTGAAGTGGTTGGGGTTGGGTAAGAGAATGAAAGAGGTTGGGTTGAGCCGAGTCAGTCAGTGGTATCCTAACCAGCAGGTGAAGTGAAGGTCAAAGTGCCGGTACGATTACGATGCTTCGGCAGCACCAGCACCAGCCACAGCCCAGCACAGCCACTCACCCCATGCCGAGCTAAAGCGGCTGGCTCGACTCCGCTGGCTCTGATTCTCATGCCAAGTTGCTGCACCAGGGAGCAAAATGACGTGTTGTGGCAGGGCCTCATAGACAATGCCGCAAAAACTTGAATGTGAAATGCACCACTGACTATCAGTGGCTTTGATCTACCGTAGCTCAAGCAAGCTTTGAATCAAATCGTGGTAACTAGTCAAAATTCCCAAGCTGGAAAATTCCCATAAAGAACGGGGGCCCCTCTTGACCAGATTATCGACCTTCATTGTCCTCCGCGCTTATTAGTCCTTTCCCCGAAATAGTACGCGCGACAACGTTTCAACAGTCAACACACTGAGCAACGCATACCAGTCACGCTGAATTCCCAGACGGCGATCCAACCAAGCAAGCAAAAGCCTAAGACTGCCCCTGTTTGACCTGTTTGGAATTGCTCTGTCGTGAGATCATCTATAAAGGACGACTTTCGCACTTCCCAACCCGTTCAATAACAACAACACCCACCACACAATCCGCAACCATGGCAAGTTTCATCGCAAAGATCATCAGCAAGAAGATTTTGGGGGAGACTCTAGAAAATAACTTCGGTAAAGATGTAAGTATTAACTCCTTAGTCAACGCTGCACCACACGTCAACCTCTTGAAGCCTTTCCGCTCCACGACGATACTTTCGTATGACGGACCCTAGCTAACAATTCGTTTAGGATCCATATTTTGAGACAGTGCCAGCAACAAGGCTCGATGGGAGACCATCTTCGAAGACCAAGAAGAGACGCAAGGCTCTTCCTCCTGGGATCTCTGCCCACGATGCAAAGGTTCTCACGAAGGTTAAGCGTCGGGCCTATCGCTTGGATATGAGTCTTTTCAATTGCATGGGTATCAGATTCGGTTGGAGTTCTGTTATTGGCATAATACCTGGGTAAGTTACGATTCGCGTGAGCATTGTAGCACAGCTAATTAAGTAAACCTCCAGAGTTGGAGACGTCATCGATGCTTTCATGGCCATGATGGTCTATCGTTCATGCACAAAGGTTGAAGGGGGTCTTCCAGCAGATGTCAAGTCGAAGATGATGTTCAATATCGTCATCGACTTCGCGGTTGGACTTGTCCCGTTCTTAGGCGACATTGCAGATGCTCTGTTCCGCGCCAATACCAAGAACGCCGTCGTTCTCGAGAATCACTTGCGAGAGAAGGGACAGAAAGCACTGAAGGCTGCTGGTCACAACTCACCTGTAATCGACCCTACGGATCCCGATGTTTTCGACTCGGAAATAAACAACGAAGACCCTCCTCCACATTATGCTACTCAGCCACCTACTCGACAAGGCACACAAAGAAATGGTGAACACCATGCACAGACCAGCAGAGTGCCAGAGGAGCAAAGCCGCGGCGGATGGTTCGGCAACAAAAAACAGAGAGTTGCTGATCCAGAACGTGGACAGGACTTGAGGAGGAATGAGTACGATGAACCTCGCAAAAACCAATCGACCTTGCAGAAGAATAGACCATGAGTGTTTTGGTTGAGATGTTCATGCAGCAATGCTACGCGTTTGTACTTTCAGCATCGTTTTTGTAGCGACTTTCTGGTATTTCGTTTGATAATACCTGGCAGATATAATGAAATCATATTTACGGAATAAATGTTCCCAGTCTTGCAGAATTTTTAACCTTAATGGTGATCGCGTTCCGAAAGGAAGTAAAGATGTTGAAAAATGGGTACTGCCACCAAAACGCGTCAGTTATTATACATGAGACTGGGGTCATCCAAGCTGTGGAGAACCGCCCGAAGCACCAGGTCCGTGTAGCAGCGTTTGCGTCGAATGAACAGCCCATTGAAAGTGTCATGCTCTAGGCAGACGGCACTCAATTTCGAGATCAAACGATTTTTGAGCTACGAGATTCGATCTTGTCTTATTCCATTTCGTCGTCCACCCATAGTAGACCAAACCTGATTAGCATGGCTACAGCTATCCACCAAAACAAAACCATTCCTCATTCTTCTCAAGCTCAGCAGATTCCTGCCTCAAATTAACCAGGATTAAGATCTGATAAAGCAGGCAAAGGCCGAGCAAGATTAGATGCCGGGGTATGAGTGGCCAATGTCTCCCAGCCATGCCATTTTCTCGTGAGTACAAGGATTCGCGTCAGTTTCTATTTTCGTCACGTGGTCGCCTGTCGCGTCGGTTCAAAAACTACTAAAGGGCTTTCGCTCCATCCTCCTTGCTCTCATCTTGCTAAACACCAACAGCCTCTCTACTTCGACTACTTCTTCCAATTACCTTCATACCGACTACTCAATACCTTCTAATATCTACGCAACAACATGACTTCCCAAGTCACTCCTTCAAAGACTGTATGCCTGCCCGCCCTTGCCACTCCCACCCTCCTCGTCGCGTCAACCCAATTGCTAACTCAAGTTTACTATAGGCTGCCTCTGGCATCGAATCCCTCAAGATGGGTGACTCGCCTGCGAAGAAGCTCAACTTCGGAGCTGCCAACAAGGAGAACGAGCCCCTCAACACCGACGCGCCCGTCTTCGAAGATGTGGAGGTCAAGAAGCCTGTCGTCGAGGATGTCAAGAAGGCAGAGATCCAAGCGATGGTTGCGAAAGGCTTCAAGCCAGAGGAAGCTGATGAGCCACTCCTCCGCGAGAACGCACAACGATTCGTGCTCTTCCCCATTAAATACCACGAGGTTAGTCGCGTCGACGCGTCAACTCACGCGTTAGGTGGTTTGAGCATAGCTAATGATCTTTCACAATAGATCTGGCAGATGTACAAGAAGGCAGAGGCTTCATTCTGGACCGCTGAAGAGATCGATCTGTCCAAGGATCTTCACGACTGGAATAACAGACTCAATGACGACGAGCGATACTTTGTGTCCCATGTCCTTGCATTTTTCGCTGCATCGGACGGAATTGTCAACGAGAACCTCCTCGAGCGCTTTAGTGGTGAAGTCCAAGTTCCAGAGGCCCGGTGCTTCTATGGCTTCCAAATCATGATGGAGAACATCCACTCTGAGACATACTCGCTTTTGATCGACACATATATCAAGGAGCAGGCCCAACGCACACATCTCTTCAATGCCATTGAGACGAGTAAGTTACAACGCGTCATCATTCTACATCCACAATCTAACACGCTTTAGTTCCCTGCATCAAGAAGAAGGCCGATTGGGCTGTTCGATGGATTCAAGACAAGGACTCTACTTTTGCTCAACGTCTTGTCGCATTCGCCGCTGTTGAGGGTATTTTCTTCTCTGGTTCATTCGCATCGATCTTCTGGTTGAAGAAGCGTGGTCTTATGGCTGGTCTGACTTTCTCCAATGAGCTCATCTCCCGTGACGAGGGTCTCCATACCGACTTTGCCTGTCTGCTCTTCTCCCACTTGAATCACCGCCCAAGCAAGCAAGCGGTTCAAGACGTCATTACCGAGGCTGTTGAGATCGAGCAAGAGTTCCTTACTGAGGCTCTTCCTTGCGCTCTTCTCGGCATGAACTCTGCCTTGATGAAGCAATACATCGAGTTCGTCGCTGATCGTCTCCTTGTTGCTCTCGGTAACGAGAAGTACTACAAGTCGGCCAACCCCTTCGACTTCATGGAGAATATCTCTCTCGCCGGAAAGACCAACTTCTTCGAGAAGCGTGTCGGTGACTATCAAAAGGCTGGTGTTATGGCCGGCACACAAAAGAAGCACGAGGACACTGAGGCACAGACCGAAGCCAAGGCAGAAAACGGTGGTGACTTCAACTTCGATGAGGACTTCTAGATGTCTACATGCATCTGTAATATTGGGTTCTATCGGCGTTTTCCATTTTCTGTACATGGGGTGCATTGCATACTCTTCTCTTCTCACGGGTTTTTTGCATAGATGGCGCGGTCGCCGGGTGCAGACGTGTTGCTCTTGGTTGCGGATATACACACTTTTATTGATGGCGTTAGTGGAGTTTGGATAAGGATCATGGATGAGATGAGGGATGATGGGGAAGGATGGGCAGGATAAGGAAGGATAGGATACCAGGACGACGAGTAGGAATGAAAAGTCTAAACACTACACAATCTCCAAGCTTTGAACTGTGACGCGGCAATTCTCATTGTGATCTTGTTTCTGTTCATTCTCTCAAAGATGCTATGCTATGCCGGCCAGTACCAGAACGCCATGTTATGCACATCTCGAGGTGCCATCGAGACTCTCCAGCAATGTCCCATCTCATATTCTCTGGATTGGTAGCACTTTCCATTCAGTTACCACCTCCGAATTCCTGCATCTCCAATTGCAAGGTAACGACCTATCTCAGCCAGCTCTAGATCACCGTCACCTCATTTCTTCCCCTTCTTCTTGCCCTTGCCCTTCCCACTCTGCTGCTGTTGCTGCTGCTGTCCCTGACCAGTCTGTACACCACCCTTCCCATTCCCGTTCCCATTCGCACCACCTCCGCCCACAGCAACCGGCACACCCTCATCTTTCTCCTCCTTCACTTCCTCCTCTTCCTTCTCCTCCAGTCCCGCCATACCCCTCGCCAGCCGCCCCAGAATCTGAATCAATCTACTGACTTCCGCGCCCTTATTCGTGCTGTATTTGAGCGTGGTGCCGCTTTGAGGATCGTACGTTTTGAGGGTTAGGGTTGCGCGGGCGGCGGGCTGGTCGGGCGTGGGTTTGGATGCTGAGGCTGTGGTGGGTATTTGTGTTGAGGATGTGGAGGAGGGGAGTGAGATGGTGTACTTGCTTGTTATGCGTGTCTGGAGTGTATTAGCTCTTAGTTCTTGAGAGGGCGGGGAGGTAGGGCGGGGAGGTAGGGAGATATACAGTCGCAGGTCGTGCTTTTAGCAGGAGAGATGATTGTGTGAGCCATTGCTGGGCTGTGTCGAGGTATGGCATTGTGGCGGTTGGATTGCCGGAATCTGGCTGGAGTGTGGAGGAGCGGAGGTCGTTGCGAAGTTGTGTGGAGAGCTTCGTGATGTGAAGGCTGCACCTGGGATTTAGAGTTGTTTGGTGGGGGAGCTGCGAGGCTAAAGCTTGGCGTTGGCGTTGGTCAAGCGAGGCGTGAGTTTACGTTCAGTATGATTTCAGACGAGACTTTACATTATCTGCTAAAGTACAAGACCTTCCAAGTAGATGATAGACAACCTAAACAAATAGGGTCTTGCATAAGTAGGATTAAACTGTATTCCATTCTCTAATCATCAAGTTAATCCGCTATTTGAATTACAATACTGGGGGGTTATCTTGGCATTTCTTCTTGATCACATTGACTACCGTGGAAATTCATAGGACTGTTTGCTCAGGGCCATTATAGTACCCACCAATGCACATTTATTCAGCGGTAATGGTAAGTTCAAAGAGTTCTGGTTCCTGAATCCGCATATGACTGATTATGTAAGCCGCTACAGGGTAGACTTTGGCGGGGTTTGACGGCGTGAGCGATGCAAGACTGACTCAATAGAATCGAAAAGACCCAACACAGGCGACCTTCAAGAAAGTTAACTCACCTCCCCTTTTATGGATCAATAGCATAGAAAGAAGCGTTTCTCAGTAACGCTTCTTCCATACCATACATCCACAATGGCCTCCACAGATACCTCAATACAAGATGGTAGCTCTGATGCGCAGTCCCACGAGGCTGATACCCCTCAGACTAGTGAATTGGACGAGAAGATGGCAGACCTCGATATTGAGGTCACAGATGGTACGAAAGAATTGGCATTTGATATGCAGAGAAGATGTCAAACGCTGCTCGAAGAATTAAAGCAGTTTCAAACACATCTCCGAGAATTGAAGAAGGAAACAAAAGTTGAGATCAAAATCTTCAAGAACAACATACACGCAGAGTTGAGGTGCTTGAACAAGGTATGAAGAGAGAGATATCTGAATGGACAACAAGCATCGGGTTAACAAGCGCATAGCTTGCAGAAGCAGATCCCGACGTACCGAAAACCAAACACGGCCTGCGATCCTCGAACCTGTTATTCTACTCATCCGTCTGGTCCACAGCCAAAACATGTACAAGCGTGATAGCACTGGGCAAAAAGTTTTATTGGCCCGCCAGCAAAGACGATAAGCCACGTACTGTGGCAGAGACTTCCACACGGAAAAAGAAACATGCTCTTGTTGATGTCGTTTGCCAAGATGGTCTCCAATGGATCAAAGTATCTTCAGTCACTGAGAAACGAATCATATGGGACTTGGCCAAAGCCGGCTGGGTCGACTCCGACGAGGAGAGCGATGATGGCCTCGATCCTATAGATGACGATGATGAGCCGGAAGGTCTGCTGAAACAGGTGGAAGCTCTCATCAAAGCCTCGAAAGCAAATGTCGTCAGAAATCGACATCCAAAAATTGTGCTGATCTTGCCTCGAATCAAAGCAGCTCCGGATGCGAAAGAAGTGGGCCAAATCCTGAGTAAAATCAGAGATCTGGGCGTCGTCGTTCAGACATCAGAGATGATTACTGAGCCACCTCCACTTTCTGAGGCTATCCGAAATATGGCCGCCGAGAGATTCGGAAGTTTCTCCGACGTCCTGAATGTGGATTGTACCATTCTGCTCGCCTTTGCAAGCGATTTATCTCACGGGAGAGTTGAGTCAGAAGACTGGCACAATAAAGCTATCTCACGCCAGATCGAAATGGAAGCGGAAGACCAGCTCTTACCGAGCAGTCTATGGCCAGCTTGTGGCTCTAAAGCGATGGTCTGCACACGTCACGCTGCGGTCAGAATGCAGGAGATTGTTGAGACGATCGGTACAGAGAATGAGAAGAAACGGGCAGATCTCCTACTGAATCTCGACTCGCCTCGCAGCAGAGAAGAACTTCTCGCGGAGTTTCAGGCCCTGACAGACTATACAGTCCCTCAGGAATGGGCACTGCCAATCCAAGTCGTGGACGTAGACATTCCTGAAATCATGACAAATCTGCCTCCTGTGGCTGAGAAAGTCGCCAAGATTCTTACTCCGATCAACGCATCTGTCTTCTTGTATGCCTGGGCGAATGATTTGACTACACTAAGTAGTAACGCAAGTGTGGCTAAAGGAATGGAGTTCGTGATCGAAGCGAACCGTACAGATGACAAGACACTAGGCCCTGATGTGTGGCTCTCGCCTTCGTCGAGGTCATTGGTGGGGAAAGAGAAACAGCGGAGAGGGTATTCGGAGAAAGAGGGCAGCGAGTTTATGTCTAGTAATGGAGATGCTATCTGAGATCATATACTTTGGACTTATGGCTCCACAAGGCTCGTTCTAGCTTACTTAGAGATGCCTTCCTTGCCTTCACCGAAGTTCGGAACACTCAGTAGATGCTTTAAGAAAGCCGAGCTCCTGATCTATTAATTAAACCAACCACATAGACAATCATTAAAGCAAATAAAGCCATTTCTAAGCCACCCGGTGCATCAGAATGGTGGCCATTGATACTATTAAGTGTCATGATACATGAGTGTCTCTTGCGCCGACCTCAAGTCAAATTGCCAAATTGCTCAGAGTGAGGAATTAGGTGACGAAGAGACTTTGCATTTGTAATCTCTGTTTCCCCTCTTTATCTGGCCCGAATAGCTCGCCACAATCCATCTCGAATGGATCTAGTACAAAGAGCCTGGCAATACTGCATTTCTCAAGCCCAAGGAGCTTCATACGCTGGCACTGGTTACAAGCAGCCTGCTCTACCGCCAACGCCAGGAACGCCACGTTCGTCCATGCCTCAAACCACTTTTAGGGTATCCAGCCATGAAGTAAAAAGCCATCAGCTTGCAAAGGCAGAATCCTCCAACTCTTCCATGATCCTCTCTCGTGCCAAATCATATCCATCATCCACCCATCTACGCCAAAGTCTGGTCCGGAACCCAGAACACAACCTCCTTGTCCGCCGTAGCAAAGAAGTTATAGCGCGGATTAAATGCAATGACCGCCGAGTCACCCGTATACTCCAACTCATGAACAGGCGCAAGGAATCTCTCCGACGCCCCAGAAAGTGTATCCCAAACGAGGACATTCTGTCCTTTCGAGCCGCTAATCACATACCGGCCATCAGGAGTGAAACAGGCATCTCCAGAAGACGGGTACAGATACTCGCTAGAAGATGAGCTGATCCCCTCGGTATTATGATCGCCGCCGCAAAGACGCTTAACGCCTCCACGCTCTCGACGCAGAGATGCTTTCAGATGGCCGTCGAAGGCGTCAAGTAGGAAATGACCCTGGCCTGTCGTGCCAAGGAGGATGTGCTTGCCGTCGTTGGAGAACTCGAGTTTATTCCAGCCTTTGCTGGTTAATTTTGGCATTTCCTGAGAATGAGGAAGCATGTCGAAAGTGGAGAATGGTGCTTTGTCGTAGTTCCTGAAGTCGTAGAGGAGGACAGAAGATGCTGTTGGAGAGGCGACGGCGAAGACGTTGCCGGAGGGGTCCCAGGCGGAGAGATACGCGCCGTTGAGATTTAGCTTACCGCAGGCGTTCTTGGTGGAGGAGTCCCAGATGCGGAGGGTGTTGTCTTCGCTGCAGGAGAGGAAGTTGTCCTGTCCTGGATGGAGGGAGAGGCACGTGACGGTGTCTTCATGGCCTTCGAAGTACCGCATGTACGAATTGTCGTGGGTTGAGAGGTAACGAATGGTATCTTTCTTTGGTATGAGTAATGGTTAAACAAATTGTGATTGAAGCAGCTTACTGTTGATCTTGGTACTTGCGTGAATAATGCATCCCTGTGCGTGACTGAACATCGCATGGCTGACTCCGTACTTGTGACTGAGAAGAGGCTTGTGGTGCTTGCCTTCTTTCACACTATACATCTGCATAGTGTGATCACATTCAGAGGTGAGGAGATAAGCCCCTTCATCGTCGAAGTCGAGCGCGACGATGGAGGTTGGCTGTGATGGGCTTTTCTCGCGTCGAAAGTGCTATCAGTGTCAGCATATTCTTAAGACTGATATATTAGGGCATTACTTTGGTTGGCCGATACAAAGAGATCACTTCAGAGAGCACGGCAGTTGGTTGAACGCCATTGAGCTTGCCAGTGAGGCCGTTGCCCATAGGGGAATCGAGCGCCATTGGAGTCGTCGACATGTTGAAAGATTCCTGAGATCGCAGTTTCGATATGTGGTTAGATTGTGGCGTAATTGAGGATAAAGAACTTTAAGGTTTGGGGTACAACATGTCTATAAGACTTATGATCAGCTTCCAACTCAATAACGTCGTCCTCCTATTAACATTGCGTATTTGTGAGTTAGTATTGTCTCTTGAATCAGGTCAAGCCAGAAGTAAAGGCTAAGCGAGAACATCGAGCCTTGCAACTTTGCAAGTGGTCTATCCGCCAAGACATCTATCATGCTCCTTCCGATTGGCTGGATATTAAGCCGAACCCTGAGGGCGCTTCAGCGTTCCGACCTCGCAAACAAGCCCAGTCAACCTGCAGCATAACCACCAAAAAAAGTCCTGAGAGTTTGTCAACTTTATACCCGATCCGAGCCACTGTCAAGCAATTGTTGCGCCGGCGACACAGTCAAATTTCCAGGAATACACGTAGCGCATCTTCTGGGTACACATAAGCCGGCAACTTGCTTCCTTTTCTTCTTCATACTTAACCTGGAAGTTCATGGTAGTAGCTCAATTAACTTTGTCAAGAACCCTTCTGAGGGCAGAAGGAAGGAGCCAGACATGGCTACAACTTTAGGGTACGGTCTCGAGCTGTAGGTGAATGCGTACATGCTAATGTATACAGGGCCTTCGTTGCTGGTGGCATAGCAGCTTGCGGAGCAGTCACAGCGACTCATCCCTTTGAAACGGTGAAGATCCGGTAAGCCCTCCCACCTTCAGGCCTCAAGAACTATGCTGACTATAGGCGCAAAGCATGCAACTGCAAGGAGAACTACAAGAGAAGGCTTTGCAACCGCGCTTGTACAAAGGGCCTTTCCATGGCGTCACAGTCATCGTCCGGAATGAGGGGCTTCGGGGCATATACCGGGGAATTGGAGCTGCGTACATCTACCAGATGATCCTCAACGGTTGTCGGTTGGGGTTTTACGAACCGATACGAAATACAATAACGACTGCCATCTACACGGATCCGAAGACACAAAGTCTAGGGGTCAACATCTTCTCTGGCGCGTCATCTGGAATCTTGGGCGCGGCGGCGGGGAGCCCATTCTTCTTGGTCAAGACGAGATTGCAGAGTTTCTCGCCTTTTGCGCCAGTGGGCACACAACACAGCTACAAAAATGCCGTGGATGGTATGAGGCAGATTTATAAAGGCGAAGGGATCACTGGGCTGTACCGAGGGGTTGGAGCTGCTATGGTGAGGACCGGCTTCGGAAGCTCGGTCCAGTTGCCAACATACTTTTTTGCGAAGAGGCGGCTGGTCAAACATTTGGGGATGGAGGAAGGCCCTGCACTGCATTTGGCAAGCAGTACTGCGAGTGGATTTGTGGTTTGCTGCGTGATGCATCCACCTGGTATGTGGACTCACAACTTAGAGTGATGATTTTGCTGACATCAGGAAAGACACCATCATGTCTCGCATGTACAACCAGAACGGCAATCTATACCAAGGTGTATTTGATTGTCTAGCGAAGACGGTGAAGACCGAGGGCATACTCGCCATCTATAAAGGGTTTCTGCCCCATCTGGCAAGAATATTACCCCATACTATCCTGACCCTCAGTCTGGCGGAGCAAACCAACAAGCTGATGCGGAAATTCGAGAACAAGATCCTCCCTGCAATCGAGGAAACGAACCAAGTTTGAATAGTACATCCAGAAAAAGCAGTTGGAAGCTCTTTAAACTTGCCATCCTGTATATATTGTATCTGCATGCATCTCCGGGAGTTCGGGTCCTTGCAAGTGGCCAAGGTCTTTTGAATAGACCTGTTTGGATGGTTTCTAGAAAGCGTCGCGCGTTCAGCCATTGATAGATCTAGAACAACCGTAGCATAGAATACCATGATCACTTTCCAGCTTGATCGGCCGTGAATCTGAGTTCTGATCACCACCCCAGCCATAGATCCCATCAGTGCCTTCCGAGACAGGCAGTCTACAAAGACCGCAGGCCGTCGTAGCATCGCCGCTCATTGGCTTGAGCTTGCTAGATGTCCGTACCACATTGGCTACAATGCTGGGATAATTCTCTTCCACCGACTCGAAATACTGGACCATTAGATCGTCAATGGTGGTCAACTTTGAAGAAGCAGATATGTGAGAAGACGCATTCTGACAAATGATCAGATCCGCAAGTGGGGGAGTTGTGAGTGAAGAGAAATTCACGAGCTCTTTCTTGAGAAGATCTCGTAAGGGATAGTTGAATCCAACGCCATAAGAAGACATGCCATCAGACACTTGCCACGGTAGTGAGAAGCCACGGCCCTTTGCGGTCTCGGTAAGCGTCTTCTCGGCGAGTCTTGTAGTAGAATCTCCAAACAAAATGCATTCGCAACCATTTCTCTTTGCAACATCCACTAGGAGTCGAGTAAGTAAAGTCGTAGCAATATCCTTCCGTGAGGTCGCTGAAGGCATGGAGCCAACAAGCGCTTGCAATCTCTCTGTTCCAGGCCTTTGAGATTCCTGTTCGGTGGGGATAGGAAGTCCTAACGCTTTCCAATCTATGTTGTCCAGTAGAAGCGCGTCCTCCAGACCAGACGAAGAGTACGCGTGTCTTGGGAAACGAGCCTTGTACTTCTCCAGCAGTTTGGCTGAGTCTTCTCGATCCGCAGCCTCTAAGTATAGATCGATATGAACCACATGTAGTTCGTACGCAGCTCGATTCATCCGGTCGAATTGACCCTGAAGATGTTGGTCCAAAATTTGTAACAGTGCCGCAGAGGACGGACCGAAGGAGAGAGGAAACAGAAGCTTTCTGGGTGTGATCGTAGAGCCTCTCATCCGGTATGTTTCCATACGCTTGATCGCCTTCGTTGCGACGTACTGCGTAAAACATTTGCTGGATCCAGGTCAAAATGAGTCTTAAACATGCTAGTGGGAAACCTACCCGCACACTCTCTCCGATCGAATTTGCTGGGTTGCAGGTTCCTCGTTGCATCTTTTGCAGATGGTACTTGCGCCATTCGTGGCAATTTTGCTGCTTGGGTCCTCCATATTTTGGCTTTATTCTGGTTTTTGGGAGAGTTGGTTGTATGGAGAAAAAGCACAAGGCTCCAAGCCTCGTTGGTGGGCCGGGCTAGCTTCCCTGCCGTTGGACTTACGTTTCCTCAGACATGACAGCTGCAACATTCGCAAACTTGCCTCTGCACCTATTCACCGAGCCTCTCTCGCTATACCGGACGCCGCGGAGCACTTCTGGATGGATGTAAGATCTGCGACTTAGATACCATCATAATTCGACTATCCAGCTGCTGAAACCCCCCAAACACCGAAGTATCAGCCTCGAGGCCTCAATTTAATGATGAGGAGCTGGCTCCATGGCCTCTGCCTGCTGGGGATGTCTGCAGTGGCAGCCAGTGCAATGGAAATGAGGATGGATCAGAAGGAAGAGAACAGACAGCTGTGCGCTGGAATGTACAGTCGGGATGCTTGGGGAGGTGCTGTGGAACCACATATACTTGTCAAGTTCATAAAGGACACGACGGAAGGGGATTCGGATCCAATTACGTCTCTGGTTATATTTGAATGGAAGGACTACGATCTGATTGGAGTCTTTCCAACAGTAGACTCAATTACGGTATAAGATGACCTTCTACTTGGAGACGCGAGTACTAACTATCCACCAGAAGGAGTACATCTGCGATACGGAATCGATTCAGAATAATTTTTGTAATGTCAACCAGACTGGAGAGTTCATCATGGCTGAGAACGCGACGGAAATCTCGAAAAATTTGCTATTTACGAAAGCGATACACCTGAAGGACCCAGGTCTTCCTATAAACTACGCAATCAAGAAGACCGGATATTACTGTGTTGGGACCACGGCTTTCTCTCCAGCAGATGTTCAATACACCGCAACAGTGGAGTTTCGAAATGCCTATGGAGAGCTTCCAGCTGCTCAGATTGCCAAACTACCTTTCTACGGCGGAATTACGATTGTGTATGCAGTCATTGGGGCGTATGTTTGAACCTCGTTCTCATATCTCACCGTTTACTGATATGTCGCAGCTTTTGGGCGTTCTTATATGCTCAGCACAGGCATGATATACGTAAGTCTCTTCTTCCAACCCACTGCTAACATACTTACAATACTCACAGTGCCTGTGCAAAACTATATCACTGCAATCATCATGTTTCTAATCGTTGAAATGTTGATGACATGGCTGTTCTATGGTAAGTCGTTGCGTCGAACATGCCAGAGCCAACTGACGATCCTAGATTACATGAACCGCAATGGGTCTAGCATAGGCTCCAAAGTGCTCATGATTGTAGTTGCGATCTTGAATGCAGGACGAAACTCGTTTTCATTCTTCCTTCTACTGATTGTGTGTATGGGATACGGTGTTGTCAAACACAGCTTAGGCAAAACCATGATCTATGTTCGGTATCTCGCAGGTGGCCACTTTGTATTTGGTTTGATCTACTCGATCGCCAGTTTGACGGTCACTCCCGAAACTGCCGGTAAGTCTGCTTTGATATCATGAATGCCTTCTGAAATGTCGAGTTCTGACCCAAAGCAGGACCCCTTGTACTTTTCGTCATTTTGCCATTGGCGGGTACTCTTACAGCTTTCTATGTTTGGACACTCAACTCTCTCAACATGACCATGAGGGATCTCATGGAGCGCAAACAAACGCAAAAATTCTCAATGTACCGCAAACTGTGGTGGGCAATCCTTGGCTCGATCATGGTCATATTTGGATTCTTCTTCTTCAACTCCTTCACTTTTGCCTCGGCATCCGACCCGGACTTCGTTCCATTTCACTGGAAGACCCGTTGGTTTATTCTGGATGGATGGCTCAACCTTGTCTATCTCGGTGACGTTGTTTTTATCGCTTACCTATGGCGACCTACGGCAAACAACAGGAGGTTTGCTATGAGTGACGAATTGGCTCAAGACGATGAGGGCTTTGAGATCGCAGACTTTGGAGCTGAGGAGGATGATGATGAGGATCCAGAAAATGCTGCTGCGCATAGGGGTGACAGAACACAGCCAGGGCAGGAAGGCCCCAGATACGATCCCGCGCCAGCGGCTAATGCGCCAAAGCCGATCACTAGAGAAAGCCTTGACGGAGAAACAATATTTGCAGTTGGAGAAGACGGCGATAGGTGGTCAGACGATGGGAGTGACGCTGAGGAGAGGGGCAAGTTAGTCACAAAAGATCCGAAGGATACCTGATTTTGATTTCTGCTTGAGCTGTATGTAACATTAGATGGATGGATAAACGGAACTTTTTGTTTTGATTATACTTGCTCTAGATCCCTGTATTCATACAATTATCACTTTTAAATCTCTACAGCTCACCACGAGCCTGAATCACTAGTATCGTCGCTCACGGCCAGCTCCTTGTGTGCTTGGAGCGAGAACTCCCAATACTCTGGCCATTTTTGGTTCGACTCAAGATCACTAATGGTCCAGCTGTTCTCCTAGTGTTTATGTTGAAATATACATCGTCGAGCTGCACGTCGCTTAGCACTCCGAGTCACGTCTCTTCAGCGGCTGTATGCAACCTTGTATACTCCAGTTGCCATCACTTCCCAGACGTTTTATCATGCAGCCGGATGAAGGTGTCTCATGACCTATCACTTTCAGCTCTTGGCGGGATAGATATCCAGAGTCGAATTTTCCCCACCTGCGAATGAAGATCATCCATCATGGTGTCCTTCGGGTATTCTTCAATCGATGTGAACCTCGATTCCGCCTTAGCCTTCGTCTCGATCTACTGTCTGTTTCCACCCGTCATCCACCAGCGTCCTTCCCTCTTCTTCCATCTCTGCATCCTCCCGATCCATCATCACTCTCAAGGCGCCGATCCTCTTCCCATTCTCATCAACAGCCATTCCCAGACCCGCTCCCGCAGCTTCATGTCCCGGGAAAGCATGTTCTCTTATAAAGGACGCGAGGTTGGTACCTTGCTTGATCCCTACTGTCTCGCCGACGTATTCTAGTATTGTCCCTGCGTAGGCACGCATTTCCGGGGTGGCTACCCGAGTTGTACCTGCGATGTACAGAGGCCACAGGAGGAACCAGCTTCCCAGTGACGGATACGAGGGGTCCCTTTCCAAAGGCTCTGTTACATGGGAAGTTGTACCATCTCCTTGGAACGGTCGACGGGAGATGTGACCTAAGTGCTGTGGGACACTGCGGAGGATGGCGTCGCTCATTTCGATGCATATCTGAGTTGACTGTTCCCACCGGCTCTCATATCCAGTAGTTGACTCGCTGAGCCGCGTGAGTTGGAAGCAGATGGTCTCGTTTAGCATTATTCGAGCAGTGCGCATGCCATTCCATGTTTGCGCTATACAATGGTCATGGTAAATATCATACCGGTTCTGGAAAACAATATCCTGCTCGACTTCGCAGACAACCGTTTCGTAGATCCACCCAGGTGATACGTCTGTGAATATCTGATGCAATTTCCTGTCTATTATCAGGGCAGCCCTGATGATTTCCTCGGGATTCGCGAGAGTGCCATTCCGTACAGCACCACGGAAAATAGTAAACTCATCGGCTACTTTCAGATATTGCCATACCGGTTCTTCATTGACGCACTGGAATGCTTCTTGCCGAAGCTCGAGGAGCTCCGGTGGCATGGCGATCTCACGATGAAGACAGCCTACCATTACGTGAGTGCTAGCATGCATGAAGAGCTTGAATCCGATCGGTGTCCACAGCTGAGGACGGCCTCGAAGTTTGAGTAGTGCTGCTGTTCCATTCATGTGATGCCTCCATTCTTTCAAGGATACTATATAGTGATGGTTAGTCCCGTGGCTGTTGAGAGCATGACGATAAAACATACACTTTTTTGATCCAGCGGTCGTTTCAAATACCGCGAGAACGAGAACTGCAAGCAAAGTACTGTCTTTTAAGGCATCTTCAGGCGACCCGAGCGCTTTGTTGATTAGCTGAAGAGCAACGGTATATTGCCTTCGTGCATGCCGCATCACCTCGTCGGACTTCGTGGTATTGGCGAAGCAAGCGAGACCTGTCGCGGTAATACCAGCCACGAGGGGGTCATCCAAACTTCCTGTGAACTGTTTAATCTCATAGAGACTAGTCTGAAGAACAAAAGTATTAGTGACATCCCCTTCAATTGGTCTTCGAAGCCATCAACCATCTCAAGATATTATAGGAAAGTAGAATCACCGCTTAATAACTTACAAAAGAGCCATGAGTGGGTCCGCCAGGAGGTGTCACGAAGTTCGCAGCGAAAAACGCCACTCCGCGATCCTCGATGGTTGGAAACATTGAGAAGGTAGACATGGGTCTAGTAGGTGAGGTGGAGCCATTTTTCCACATAATTTCTGAGAAGTCGTCATGTCTGAAACTGAAAGTATCCCATTCAAATACTTTGGGAGGCGATGGAGGTTGATCATATGCACTCTCGTTCGACTTTGGGTTGTCTTTGGGGTACCATGCAGTGGACTGTGGTTTTTGTCGTTCAACAGTCTTTCGTTCATTTCTTGCATTTACCTTTTCAATTACACTGCTATATTCGTGTCTGAAAGAGAGGTCTAGCATGTCCCGATAGCCGGGACATTCTTTCTTGATCTTTGTACACTGTCCGCATGACGGCAAAGCTTGGTCGCACTGGTATCCACATTAGTCGATGCTATCAAAGCTATCTATCATCAACATATTTTGATACGACAGAAGAACGAGAGGATGACAAATGAAGAATTGCACCGCATGGGACCAATAAATAGCTTGACATACTCGCATTCCGTGTACGCATGCAGACATATATATGAGGGGACTCCCACTTACTCGAATTCTTCTCTTTCTGCAGTTCGCACACCCCTTCGACGGTTTCCCGCAGTACACCATAATGGACAGATCCAAAGCTAACGATAGCGGGGGTGCTCAGAATGATATTCGAGAATGGATTTTTTCCACACTCAACTACTACGGCCTCTTAAGATCAAAATGACAGGACTCGAGAGCTGTTCACTACAAAAAAAACTTCCAGGCAGCCGTCTTTCTGTTCCTTTACACTCTTGTGGGGTGAAAAGAGGACATGCGTGTCTTGTAGCTGTGCCACTTTCTTGCCCACGAGCGAGCCACTGGAATTGCTTGCTCTCCTTCTACCTTCTCGTGCAGTATGTGCGAGGAGATGTCCGGGGAAGATTGCAGCTTGGAAACAACGGGTCTTGCGAAATGTATACCCTTTTGGGAGTAGCTCGCTTGTTTCGTCAGGGGGCAAAATGGCAGGCATGATTCTGGGCAGCTGAGCTGAGTCAGCACTACAGTATCTCTTGATCATTCCGACCAGGGAAAAGTTCCGAACTTCATCAGGATCATAGATTGAACGTCTCGTCCTTAAGAATGCGCAGAAAGCTTCCCTTTACCAAGGTCTCAAGTACCTCTCGCTAGCAATTTGCGATGGATTTCCCTCTGCCATGGGAGCTCCCAGCGCCATCCATCCGCGTCACGGAAATTCCATCTGCATCACCTTTCGGTCCTGCCGAAGTATTGTTGACATACAGGCAACAAAACCAGCTAACAAACGTACGCCTCACTATTTTGATTCAACCCGAAGTAGTGAGCTCAAAGTTGTCAAATTCTTGTAGCACTTGCATCATCCCTCTCAGGACTACATGCAGCTAACATAAAAGAGCTCGCACGTGGATTAACACTGTGCAGGAGGCGGAGCCCCTGCCAAGCCATTATTCAAGCTTCAATCTTCCCGCGTTGGGTGGCTTAAGCTTTTACCAGCGTCATCTTCTATTGGCTGTGTAACGACGACTTCCGCTGTCAGTCCGCCAGTCAGCAGCATAAACATCGAGGCTGAGCGAAGCGAACATCAAGCCCACTTTATTGGGCCTAGCGTGCGAAGAGGTCTCCTAAATACAACACCTTGAGGGTGTGCGCTGGTGACCTAATGGAGGACGAGTGCGTGGAAGAGTAGATTCAAGTATCCTGTTTCTCATATATAAACCATCATTTCCTCCCCGCTGAAGTATTGTTCATTCATACAACTCCATTCTTCTCCACAAAGACAGACTTCGCGCAATAACCCCATCTCACAAGTTCTGCGATCTCTTTCATCAGCATGGTTCTCACTTATCGCAACGGTGTCTCCATAGGACAAATCATAATATACACCTATTGTCTTGCAGTTGCCATTTTCCTTGCGTTGAGGCATGGTTTCCGCCGAAATGCTGGCTGGATGTATCTCATCATCTTCTGTCTCGCACGAATTATTGGACCAGCAATGGAGCTGGCAACCATCAACGATCCTACAAACACAGATCTCTATACCGGGTACGCCATCTTAAACAACGTCGCCCTTTCACCTCTCATGCTTGCTGCCCTGGGACTTCTGGGACGACTCCTCGAAAATATCCGCGAGACACACAACACCAGACTTCATCCCGCGATTCTTAGGATCGTTCAACTGATCATCGTGGTTGGGTTGATTCTCGGTATCGTCGGAGGTCTTGATGCGAGCGATGCCTACGTCAAAGCTTTGCACGCTGGCAGCACAGCAGCCTACCGTCCAGAAACTCTGAACAAAGTCGGCACTGCTCTATTCATCCTCGCCTACGTCGCACTTACTAGCTTTACGATTGCCATCTCATTCTCAACGCCACATGCTCAGGCCGGCGAAAAGCGGCTCCTCTACGCTGTTGCTTTCGCACTTCCATTCCTCCTTGTCCGACTCGTCTACTCCTGCTTCAGCACTTTCACCCAAAACCCGAAATTCAACCTCCTCGCTGGTAATGAGACGGTGTTGCTTTGCATGGCATACTTGATGGAACTTCCTGTCGTCATTACATTCGAAATCATAGGCTTGACTTTGAAGAAGGTAACATACGTTGAGCGTCAGACGGCTTCGCACCAGACGAGCAGCTCTAACAGCTCTCAGCCACTGCAAAAGAAGGGGAAAGGTGATATGGCACTGAACCTTGCCAAGAAGACTATTATTGGGAGGATTGTGATGGCTTTTGTTCCCAGTGAGAAGCATGATGTGGAGATGCAGAGCAAAGATTACCCTATGGCGAAGTGAGGACTTGAGCAAGAATGTGGAGGGTAGAGGTAATGGAAAAGGTTCTTGGAGGCATATTATGGTATTAGCACTGGCGTTGATGGGGTAGAGAACATTTGCATTGTTTGAATTTTCGCAACATAGACTGTACAATATTAAGACTCGAACTTTTCGCCCTCTTCCAATTGCGATTGACCTCTTTTTTTACGTGAGTATGAGTCTTCCCTTTAGAGCCTTGTCTTCGGAGCTCCAACAAGCTCTTTGCCGCTCCTGAAAATACGTGTGTCAAAGAATTTCACCTGACTCAAAACACATTTTAGGCAATTGAGACAATGCGATTAATTAGAACTCTCCGAAAATCATGGGTTCAGAGAGACCAAAAAACAATCTGTGAAGGAGGTAAGCGAGCTTTGGCAACATCCTGTCTTTGCCTCAACTTCCCCAAGACCGCAGAGCCGTGCTCAGAGCAGACTGGTAGGATTATAATGTTTGGCCCATAAAAAGGATCTCAATCTGTAAAGCTCGAGCTTATTGACCAGTTTGCATCACTAAACACTCAGGGATGTTTCTGATACTTACAGCGCTTACGACCAACTACATTCTATGAACCGAAACTCTAGAAGGTCTTGGATTTTCTACGCTATGACTAGAGACTGATGATCAGGATTCCGGATGAGAAGACAACATTATAGTGTCCTGGCTGTCTTCGTCACTGTTTGGCCCTGACTCGACCACCAAATTTACACCTGGTTCTTCCAAAGCTGGATCGATCATTTCCTTGATTTCATTGAGACGCTTCGTCGCATCTCCATCATCAAGCCTGTCGTCTACAATTTTCTTAGCCTTCTCCAATACCCTCTGGGCTTTCTGTAAGTGACCAAGCCGAATGTGCTTTTTGCTTGCCTGAACCGACACGAAAAATTCCGAGCAGCAGCGAAAGCTTGCTTCTGGACGAAGTCAACTCTGTCGCAATATCAGGAATACAGCAGTGTCCTTCTGTCTCCTCGCAAGCCTCTGGAATTCCGGTGTCCAGTTTTTGGATCACAAAGGAAAGTAAATCGAGGAGTTGCTTGCCACTAAACAGCATCCAAGGACTATCAATACCAGACTTTCTCATCTTTGAGAAATGGGCGAAGCTCAATGCACGTTTGCCATTCCTCCTTACTTCACGGAATTCTTGTGGTATATCATCGTCCGGTGTTCTCTCTCCTTGTTCTTTGAAAAGAGCTCCAGTGGTGCAAACTTCGCACCAGTACATGAATAATAACGGGAGATCGGGGGAGTCCCTGTTCTGGATATCGAGATTCTTTCCGATTATCGGTTCTTCTCCATCGTCTGAGCGTGCAGTAATACCACGGTCCTGGATGAGACGAGCAAGTGCTATAAACAGTGTTACTGTGTAGGTTGACAGCCTATCATATAAGTCAACACTGTTCACGTACCTAGCCGAAATTCTACAATATCAGCCGGTTGAGCGCTCACCAGACTTCTTATGGTGTACGATTGTTCCAATGATGCAACGAACTAGATGAACAACTCAGCCCGCTTTCACTGCTCATACTAGATTCGGCATGATCATCAGTATTTTACATGTCTAGTGCATGTCCAGGAAAGTCTGCACACATCGATGGGGTAGATTCAAAAAGGTCTTCGGCAATTTGATGATAGACTGAGCTTGAACTTGGTTTGAAGTCTGAGAGAAAGGAATAATTCGAGGTGGATTTACAGGTAGACGCAACGTGCGTTAGAAAATGAGGTGTGAATGTTATGTGTTCGATGGGGCGGTAAAGCCCACACATAAGTGAGTCATGTGAATGAGAAGCAGACTCTGAATCATATCTGCCATGAAGAGAAACGAGACAAAAGTCTCTCTACGCCACAATATTTATCATATTCACGAATTTGATTAAGGGTGCATACGTGTCAGAATACCATCGGCTCCAACAGAACCCCAAGCAAGTAAAGCGAAACATGACTTATGGAAGCTTTAAAGAGCTTGACATGATCTTCGTCCAGCAATTACTAGACACCGAAGAGGTCTCCTCTAGCAAATGGCTAATTCGCACCAATAGAGAACTCAAAAGACCACGAGATACAAGATGAAGGCAGTTCATTATTCTAGAATAACGCCGACCATCGTGGCACTGATCCTAGAGTGGCGCTGATCCATGGACTTGGCCCCATAAACACCCTTATTTTGCATGATTCAGAAATAGTTTTTTTTTTCCAATGCGCGCAACACCAGTTTTCTTGTGTTCCATGTTCACAAGAGGACATTTGCAACTAATTTTACAAATAGTAACACAGCAGGACAAGAAATGTCAGAGGGTGATTGATAACTTATCTGCCGCCCACTGCCAAATGAGGAGATGGTGGACAACAAAGACCATGGTCAAGGACTCACCCATATCATTCACTGCTTGGCCTTGGCGTTCTTTTCTAACTGCTTTCTTTCCCGCTCGGCCATCTTCAACTGGCGCTTTGATGGGGCGTCTCGCTCAGCCATAGCTTCAGCAACAGCATCCTGCTTCCACTTGGCCTCCTCTTCTGCACTGCCGAAGAACTGTGTAAAGTTACCGGCCATCATATTTTCCAATGTCGAGCTATTGATGCGGTTTCCATTCATTGGCGAAGAGAAGTCGTAGGTTGGCGCTTTCAAATTGATGGCGGCTGGAGTAACGGCCTGACCATCAGATTGAATGGGCTTCCTGGCTCGAGACTTGCGAGGCGTGGGTCTCTTCTTCTTGGATGTGGGAGCCTTCTTGTCTTGGGTCTGAACAGGCGTTCGTGTCTTGGCCGTTTTGTTGACTGCGAGATGTGCCGCCAAGTAAGGTGATGAGGGGTTCAGGGTACCTGTATATGGCTGATTGATATTCGGTAGAGGTCCTGTATCGGCAGTAGCTACGATGCGTTGGTATGCAGGGAGTTTCGGTGACAACTCTACACAACAATCATCTTCAGACTCGGAGTCACTGTCGGGCAATGCAGATGGCATGAGTCCAGCCTTCTTCTTAGCTCTAACTACCAACCATGGGGGTAGGTTGGTTGGCGTTTGGATACCATTCATGAGGTTCTCCTCATAAGACTGATAATCTTGACGGAAAGCTGGAAGGATTTTGTTAATATCGGTCCGAGGTCTGGCTTGAGTTGTCGTCTTAGTTGTGGTGTTTGAAGCAGTTGACGGGCGAGTAAAGCTGAAACCGTCCTCCTGTGTCTCGTCGATGCTGTACTGTACGGAAGGTCCAAGTTCAAACAACCCCGAGCCCGGATTTATATCCAGCGGCTGTCCAGGAGCCAAAAATTTAGACATACCGACAAACGAATCAGTATTAATTTGCGGAACCAGAGACTTATCGCATGCTCTTGTATAACCATTGTAATCTGCCGAAAAGCCCAAAGGAGCGAGATTGAGAGAGCTCCTTCCCAGCCCCTCCCCAATCTGTCGACCATTTTCCATATTTGAGTTTCTGCCACACAGGTTCTGAAGAACTGAAGCATTCTGCGTATAATCTGGATAAACGTTTTCTTGTGTTGGTTGGTGCGGTCTACACATTTTTGGTGTAGAATTTGTGACAGTGAGAGACCGTACGCGTCCTTGACCCAAGATAGTAGATGTATTGGCTCTGCGCTGTTTCATAATCTCTAGCTTTGCCCTTTGTAAGTCTCGTATAGCTTCTGTGCGCCGACGAGCCTTTTCTTCGATGCCATTATATAGTGGTCGCATGCTAAGACTTGTACTTTGCTGTGGGAGGCTGATTGGTTGATCTGGTTGAGCACAACGTGCAGGTTGGTCATCTAGAGGCAAACTTTTGGCAGCAGACTGGGGGATGCCATTGGGAGCTGAAGTTTTGTGAGTGACTTGCTGTTGATTGCTACCTGTAGCAGAGTTGGCGGCCCTGTACGGAGAAACACAAACTTGAGATTGAACGCCTTCTCCATTGCGCATCTGGTAAGCCTTGATGTTGTTCTTCTCGGCCAAGAATTGATAGTATTTTCTATAGTCCTGTGGCTCATCTGGACTAGCAAGATTAGATGTGCTATTGGTATAGTTCGGAGATCGCGCGACAGTGCTTGTCGTGGGTCGTCTGGGCCTTTGTGTCGCAATTGCATGTCTCAAAGGACCAGCATTCTCGATTTGATCTTGACCTATCTCTTGACGTAAGATCCCATTGTTTGGTCTACGAAGACCTGCACGGCGCTTTGGAGATGGTGTATGATCGAGCTCTGAAGTGACCAAGGTGTTGGAGCCGATGTATGGTGAGCTGAACACTCGCTTTGTTGGCGGTATGTGGTTCGGAGGACCAAAGCTACTGCCGTGACTGAAAATCGAATCTTCGGCCATGTTAAGGTATGATGAGGGATAGACGGCGACGGTATTGGCGACAGCTGGTGAGTATGGAGGGCAATTTGTCTGGTCTGAATTGTGGCTAGGAGCATCTGTACCAATAGTAAGACTGTGAGTCGTATCACCAATTACCGGAACGCTAATAAATGGATCGTTCAGGTCTCTGAGTTTGTCGTAGGCAATGTTTGGGATGTCTTGTTGCTGGAAGTCGGAGAGCATTGAAGACATTGTAGAATGATCTTTGGGGGATGATGGTTCTGTGGCGAGAACTCGGAGAAGAGAACCAGCTTCGTGTAGACCATTTACATCATCGCTAAATTGGCAGTTGAACAGAAGTCGAAAAGCGTTTTTACAGCACTTTATATTCACTCCTTCGTGGGTTGTAAGGTGAGCATCAGGGCCAAGCGGCAGAGGGAAAACACTCAAAGCGAGAACTTCGAATTTTGAACAAGTTAGATGTGTACAAAGAGCCACATAATTAGTCATACCAGTGGGATCGCATTTGAAGCTTTTCTTGATTTTCTGGATTTGGAGACGATTATTCTAATTGTTTTGGCCTTTTGCATCATCTGCAGGGCTCGATTGAATCTCCCAGCTGTCCGAGTATTCGTCATCAGACGGGTCGGAGATCGATATGGAGACATGCGAAGATGTCATCGAGAAAATCAATAGCTAAATTCTCAAGGGATCACAGCGACTTAGTGGAGGATTTGAGTAACCCGCCGTATGAACGCGCCACGTTGATGTTGATGTTTATGTTTACTTTCTCCTCCAGGCTAGACCGCCCCGCTCAGTATATGTCATTTTCAATGGGGTCACGTTCATTATTTATAAGAAAAATAGTTATGAACAGAGGGACCAATCTCAGGAAAAGTGCATGAGTGCAACACCAACCAAATGCCGACCTTAAAATAATCTCAGACATGTCAGCCATCTAGAGACAGTTTGACGGATTATGAGTAGCGTTATGCCACCACTGAGGCACCATGTTTTCATTGAAGTATCCGGTCCGCAGAGAAAAAGAGTGACAGTAAGTTTTGACTGCCTACATCGTAGCCCATCAATCAGTCGTGTATGATTATTCTCACTTCAACTTCAGATGGCGTTAATAGATGTCTGTCGCATCTTATGCTAGATAAATATATTCTGCTGGTGCTTTTAATAAATCAATTGTTACTTCATATCTTGTATGACAGCGTTGCCTTAAACAGAAGGACGGCACTTTGAGGGAAGTTGGGGACACTTCTTAAATCAATAACAAACTACAATCACCACCACCACTGTTACATAAGTGTCCGTGAATAGCTAAATACTTAAAGTACACCTCGAGGGATTGCCAGCAACCAGCCTTGCGTTCAAGGTAGAGTCCGAGGGCTTCAGATTTCTGGGAGTATGAATATGCTTATTTACAGCCTCGAAGAGAATGATGACTATGAATGCCCTGAACACCAGATCTAGTCATGGTTTTGGTCTTTATAATTCCAGCACAGGTAGCCTAGTGGTTGGGAGATGCGGTACATACAACCGACTCACATTGGATGGCTCTGCAAGTTGTGAAAATAAAAAGTCAATATGCGTGAGAAGTCTCTTCTGGGACCAAGAATAGCAAACGAATGGCCTCAAGAGACATTGGTTTCAGTAGTTTACCAGTGTATTGGTGAAAAAGTAAACGTGTTGAAAATATAAACACACTTGTGTGTTTGATGATGATGCTGCTGATGAGCAGAGGTTGTTGTTGTTGAATGGATCCCTAGCCGATATTGATAAGATTAGATCAACGCTTGGCAAAGTTGCAGCTTTTGATCAGCACTGAAATGGCAGGTGTCGTCTGCGCCTGAACGATCTGAACAACCACCATTTCTACAGACAAGTAAGATGGGAAAAGGTCAGTAACAATCTGCTCAAGTGTCCTAAAAGAGTACGTGCTAATCATTGGCTTTGGTAATAGGCACAGATAAACTCTACGTACGTATTCGAGCTGTTCCAACCCATGCGCCTCTGCACATCGTCGCGAGTCCCCGACAGCCTGTGCTGACCCTTCAACAGATTACCCATTCTGAATGGTCGTCCTCCGATGCATACTCAGCCAGCGCTGGCTCTAATGTGAATCTCAAAGCACCGAATGGAGCAAACTTCAAGCGCCTCCCATTCAACTTTTGCGCGGCGAGTCTACAACCCTTTAAACACCCTGTCTGTACGGCAGAGGGAACAATATTCGATGTTGAGGTTATCAGCCAGTGGCTCGAGAAACATGGAACAAATCCAGTCACGGGTAAGCCCATGAAGGACAAGGACTTGATCAAATTGAATTTCGCGCGGAATGGTGATACAGATGCCCATGATGGCGGCATGGGTTCTGGAGACGGGAAAGGGGAGATGGTGGATCCGGTCACATTCAAGGTCTTCACAGACAATACACATATCGTGGCGATAAGGCACGGTAGCGAGGCGAATGTTTTTGCCTGGGAGACAGTCGAGAGGCTGAATATCAAGGCCAAGATGTGGAATGACTTGGTGGATGATCGCGAATTTGGCAGGTCAGACATCATCACGCTCCAGGATCCACAGAACTTGGAAAGCAGAGATTTGAGCAAGTTCAACTTTGTGAAAGAGGGCGAGACGGTCTTGACCAAGGAACAAGAGGAAGATAGAAAGAAGGGGAGTGTGAACATTGATGCGCTGGGAAGGGTTGGAGAGAAAGTCTTAAGGGCGAAGGAAGCTGTAGAGAAGGCAAGAAGGGAACGCGAAGCAGGCGGTGATATCAATCGTTCGAAGGCTCTGACCAAAACCGGGACACAGAATGCTGCGCCCAGACCGTCGATGGTGCAAGAGAAGAAGATGGCTTACAATGCTGCGCAATATACTACGGGAAAAGCTGCTGCAAGTTTCACATCGACTGGGCTGACGCCCGAGACAAGTGGAGAGCGAGCACTTCTCACAGACGAGGAGTATATGCTTCGACCAAAAAGAGTAAAGATCAAGGGATATGCTCGAATCGAAACTTCCAAGGGCTCGCTCAACATCGAATTACAAACGGAAACTGCACCGCGAGCGGTCTGGAACTTTGTTCAGCTGGCGAAGAAAGGCTACTACAATGGTGTGAAATTCCATCGAAACATTCGAAATTTCATGATCCAAGGTGGCGACCCCACAGGTACAGGCAAAGGAGGCACAAGTATCTGGGGCAAGAATTTCCAGGATGAATTTGACGGGCCTTTAACACATGATGCACGGGGTGTCATGAGCATGGCGAACAAGGGAAAGAACACGAATTCCAGCCAATTCTTCATCACTTACAAGGCTGCAAAGCATCTAGACCGGAAGCATACCATCTTTGGTCGGGTGGTTGGAGGCATGGATGTGTTACAAAAGCTCGAGAATGTCCCGTGTGACGATGGAAACAGGCCTTTGGAGGACATCGTCATGGACAATGTTGTGGTCTTTGTTGACCCATTCGAAGAATTCCAAAAACAGAAACGCGAGAAAGATGACTTGGAGAAGGAAAAGGAAGAAATCAAGAAGCAAGGGGGCACTGAGGACGACAAAACTACTTGGACAGGCAAGCGCATCAGGAACGATGGGACCGTTGTCCAGAGCGAGCAAGCTGGTGGTGTGGGTAAATATCTGCATGCTGCCAAGGATATTGGCAACAGCAAATTCGCCGCCGAGGAGGAACAGGCTGAGGCTGAACCCGTCAAGAAGAAAATGAGGATGGGAGGATTCGGAAATTTCGACAGTTGGTGAGCCCCCAGCTCATTACACAACAGAGCCGGCAACAGAGTGCGTAAGAAAGCCCACATCTTGTCAACAATTAAAAAGCAAGACGGGTGCGAGAGCCTGCCCGATAGTCCAGCAATTGGTTTGAGAACCATCCTTCATTACTGGACTTTGCTTTCCTCGACTGACACCTGACCATGACCACCTCCCTTCAAGGGCTAAGGCCGCCGCCGTTGAATTTGGAGGAGGCCAAGGTAAGAGGTTCCGTCCGGCGGAAGCTGGAGATGAATAGAAACATGACCCTATCTAAGTCTAGGGTATTTTGGTTGATGTTATTGATGTGGTTTGTTTCTGATGGGCATCTAGCTAGCATAGCCTTCAGAGCATTCAATCTCACATGAAGTCTTGCATTTTCATCTGATCCGAGTCCTGTTCCTCGTGATCACAACTAATAATATGACGCTAAAGAGAGTACGAAGACGGGCATTATCCTGTAGATGTCTCCAGCATCAAACCCCGAAGAGGTCTGCCATCACTCTAAACGGAGGATTCTGAGCATATACACAAGTTACAGGAGAGGAACGTGGAGGAGCGTCTGTGTCCTGACCTAAGCCTAAGCAATTGAAGTATATTCTGTTCTTCGCTGTACTTCATCTAGATAGCTAATATATTTGGTCTTGAGAGGATGCATTACCACATCACTTCTCTTAATCTCTGCTTGTCCTCCTCAGTCCCGAATACCGTGTCAATTGCGCTTCTTGCGAGCTCGCATATTTCGGTACGGTCGAGATTGAAGTGCTCGGCGACTAGTCTGTACTCGTTTGACAGGCTGCTGCCAAAGACACCGACGTCATCTGTCTGTTTAATTTATCAGTTTCATCCCTTAGAGACTCGCTAAATTGATCCTCAACCTCTCAAACAAGTGGGAGAAGAAAATGAAAGCGGTATGGAAAGTCATACACTCAATGCAATCGGACACCCCTTCTCCCTCCACCACCCAAAATGATGGTCACCATACGTCCCGGTAATCATCTTCGCATGCACATTACAACTCAAACAAAGCTCCAGTCCCAACTTTCTCTTCACAATCTCCTCTTTCACATCATCTGGCACATTGATCACATGACCGATCCGCTGCGGCATGTATTCCAACAAACACCAGAGCTCCTCAGGCGTAGACGAAGCAGGAGATTCCGCGAAGTGGATGGTGATAGGTAGGTTTGCATCTCGAGCCATTTTGAACGCCGGTGCGAAGATCGAGACATCGCCGACTGCTGGGTCACCACAGAGATCAATGGCAACGACGCCTTGGGAGCGGTACTTCAGCGCTAGGGCGACGACTTCGAGGGCTGTGGCGAGGGTGTTGCGGCGGTCGATGGAGAGGATGAGGTTTATTTTCATACTCTTGTCTGAAGAGTTGGATGAGGCGATGCAGGAGAGGATCGTTTGGATGTAGTCATCCTTGGTGATTTTTGCGGATGGAATTGCTCGGGGAGTTGTGCGGAGCTCGAGGTAGGCGACGCCGTCGGAGGAGAAGGATGAGAGGACGGAGTTGGTGGTTTGGATCAGGGAGGGGAGGTCGTTGCAGAGCTCGTAGATGTATTTGGAGAAGAGAGGGAAGAAGCTGGTGGGGTGTGAGATTTTGAGATATGGAGATAGCAGTAATTTCAAAACATGGAAGCATTTTTTAGTATAACGAGTTGTGGTACAATCTTGATATATCAAATAGTCATTATGTTGATTCCTTTCCCGAGACAACGCCTCGAAGAAAGCAGTTACTTGAGTGAACAGAAACCACAAAACACCAGAACACACAGAAATGCCACTCACGTCTCCAAATCGTAATCGAACTTACCAGCTGGCATCTCAACTAAGGGGTCCTCCAAGGTAGTTTCTCCTTGAGCCTTCTTTTGGAGCCATATATCATGAAGACATTCCCGGCTGATACTGCCGCTGAGATGGGCATGCAACTATGAAGAGTGAAATCTCAGCCACGAAACGAAACATTTCCAAAGCATAAAGAGATGAGATGAATATCTAAATGTTCCCTAATCCGTCCTTTGACGGCGGCCCCATCTTCGATGTAACGCTCGCTGCTCGCAAACGGGAACCACATGTCTTAAATGACACCAACTGACTTACCTCTACTTTCGGCAACGCAACGAAATCCATGCCGAGACTTGAAGATTGGGGTCCCTCAGACATAGCAATTATGGCGCTGAGACCAACTGTTAGGCGGTCCTTTGGTGAGCTTATGGCGGCAAAGTGGATTCAAGTTTCCTCTGGGGTAGAAGAGAGTTTATCTTCCGACGAGAGAAGTGTGGAAGTCGCGGGAACGGAGAGCCAGAGTCAAAGCCAATACTTGATTGCAAAGCTTGTTGGGCCCGTAGGTTTGACGAAAATGACTGAGAACTGTCAAAATAAGGAATTCGTATAAACGAAAAATATTGTGCATGATATGATTGACGTCGAAGATGGGGGAGAGTGGAAAAAACAGAATTTAATGTCCGGCTTTGGGTCACGGCGACAGTAGCAGTGGGGAGGGGTTCATCTGATTGGCTTATCTGGAACAAAATGTTCGAAAAGGGCATAGATTCCAAGATATGTGGCTAGTGGTTGATCCGCAGCTGCCAGTTCTGTACCTTAATATGTGGGTGGAACAGGAGAAGGAGGGGTCTGAGATGGCGACAGCAAACCTTCAAACCTTCAGAGATACAGTATATGAAGCTAGAGTACACAAGTCGACTGGAAAGGTCTCAATGCCGCGATGCTGCCCTACCTTTATATGTACTCCAAGACGTTGCATCACAGGAGAGAAAAGTCCTGCGATATTTGGCTGGACAGTGATATTAGAAGTGTGTGTTTCATGGGGGAGCCGAGCAACGATCCCCTGGAGATCGTATGCAATGCAGTTGGCTGGCCTAGCTTACCTGCAGTGTTGCTGCACAAGCAGGCAAAGAGCAATTAGAGGACCCATCTGGTTGCATTCTTCGGACAGCTGTGTGCTGGGAGTTTGGGACCAGGAAATATCTGTAGAAATGCCTTGCAACAATCATTGCAAGCTGTTTGCGCATGGAGAGCTGGGAGAAAAGCGTACTGCAAAAGTAAAACAGATGTGCAGAGCCAAACAAGCCGCCAAGCCAGTAGTCCAGCACCCGAACAACATACAGTTGAGTCTGTGCTTTGACAATCTTGTGAGCCTCGCAATTTACATGTAATTAATATTGGGCGGTAGGAACGAAGAGACTCCCACGGAAGTCGTCGGATCGTGATAGTGATGGCGATCGAGATGCTGTACAGCGGATGGCTTGCAGTGACGCAGCCTGACAACTGATTTTTGGTATTTCCCATGAAGAACCGAATATGTTCGACACAGTAAATGGCTCAGAACCCGTAGTAGAGAGAAAGAGGACAGAAGAAAACCTGTGCACGCTGTACTCTTCTCTACACTACCACAGTACCACAGGATACGTTTCCCTGTAGTATCATGCTCCATTCCATTTCCAAGGCAATGACTGCTCTGGATAGTGCACCAGCTGTGCAGTCTTTGTTTGCGTGAATATTAATATCATTGACTTCTCTCTGCTGCATGTACAGTCCTGCTGGTATTCACCAGTCCATTCCATCCCTAGGTGCTGCCAGACCCATCACATCACATCACATCACGACCAAGTATATTATATTATATTATATTGTATTGTATCTCATCTCCTCTGCCTCATCTAGGTGCCCCTTTTGAGGGGCCCCACCGTGGAAATCACCAATTGCAGCCGAGCTGGGTCTTGGGTGTTGGGTGTTGGGTCTTGGGTCTTGGGTCTTGGGTCTTGGGTCTTGCTAAGCAGAAAATGGCGGCTTCGGCTATTAGCCTCCCCCCTGCGCTCCCTGCTCCTGCTCCCTTGCCTAACCCGCTCGAAAAGCAAGCAGGCCCGGCACCAGGAGACCAGTTCAGTTCAGTTCAGTTCAGTCCAGTAGTCAGTCCAGTAGTCAGTCCAGTAGTCAGTCCAGTCAGTCCATTCAATCCAGCCAGTTCTCCACTCCACGCCTGCTCTTTCCACTCACTCACTCACTCACCTTAACCTACCTCCTACCTCCCTCCTCCCTCCTCCCTCCCTCCTCCCTCCCTACCAGCCTACGAGTGCCTAACGGAACTGGCCGACCCCGACCTACCTTTCCCAGCCCAGCCCAGCCCAGCCCAGCCCCAACTGCCCAACCCCAACTGCAACCTCACTCACACCTCACTCTCACTTCACCCCCGATCCCTCTTTGCTCGACACCCATCGCGTCGGTTCTCCTGCCTCCAATTGACCATCTATCGCACAGCTGCGCCGACCCAGATCGTCCATCAAGCATCTCGTCCTGCTCCTCCGCACGTCACCAAGCTGACAGCGACACCGACAGCCAATAGCCCCGGGGAGCTATCCTCCGTTTTTGGCTCAACCCCGAACCCCCCCTACCTCGCCTCATCTCGATCTCCGACGTCCCAGGTTCATCTTCGACGAACTTCAACATCACAACAACCACGACCTCCTCCTGCTCTACATTACGATCGCCATCATGTCGAACGAAGTGTCGCCCGATCAGATGCAGGCGCGCATCCAGCAGGCCCGTCGCGAGGCAGAGAACCTGAAGGACAGAATAAAGCGCAAGAAGGATGAGCTGGCCGATGGCACGCGTAAGTCAATGAGGCCATTGAACTCAACAGTTCCATGTCCACAACCATCCAATTGGCGACGTCCTTGGTTTGTGGCTATTATGAGCGTGTGCTGACGATTATCATGCAGTCTCTGGCATTGCCCGGAGTCAACAGGAAGCTTTACCGAAGAATACAATGATGAAGACCCGAAAGACCTTGAAGGGACATCTTGCGAAGATCTACGCTATGCATTGGTCCACCGACAGGAGACATTTGGTCTCGGCATCACAAGACGGAAAGCTCATCATTTGGGATGCGTATACAACAAACAAAGTTCACGCTATTCCTCTGCGCTCGTCTTGGGTCATGACTTGCGCTTACGCCCCCAGCGGAAACTACGTTGCTTGCGGTGGTCTCGATAATATCTGTTCAATTTATAACCTCAACTCAAATCGGGACGGTCCAACCCGTGTTGCACGGGAACTTTCTGGTCACTCTGGATATCTTTCCTGCTGTCGGTTCATCAACGACCGAAGTATCCTCACCTCCTCCGGCGACATGACATGTATGAAGTGGGATGTAGAAACGGGATCGAAGGTTACAGAGTTCGCGGACCATCTTGGAGATGTTATGAGCATCAGCATCAATCCAACGAACCAGAACACCTTCGTTTCCGGCGCCTGCGACGCATTTGCGAAACTATGGGATATTCGTGCTGGCAAGGCTGTCCAAACTTTCGCTGGACATGAGTCGGATATCAATGCCATTCAATTCTTCCCAGATGGACACTCATTTGTCACTGGTTCCGATGATGCAACCTGTAGATTGTTCGACATTCGGGCTGACAGAGAACTCAACCAATATGGAGTATGTGTCTCGCAAATTCGGATGAGATATCTGCTAACTTTTTCCAGAGCGAAGCAATTCTCTGCGGTATCACCTCGGTTGCTACGTCAGTATCTGGAAGACTTCTATTTGCTGGTTATGATGATTTCGAGTGCAAGGTGAGATACAAACCTACGGCGCTCTGCCATTGCTTCAATTGCGTGAAATGCTAAACTCTTGTCTAGGTCTGGGATATCACTCGCGGAGAGAAGGTTGGATCGCTGGTCGGCCACGACAACCGGGTCAGTTGTTTGGGTGTTAGCAACGATGGCATGAGCTTGTGCACTGGATCTTGGGACTCACTGGTATGCGAAAAACCAATTGTTCTTGCGAGGCAGAGCTAACTTCTTCTAGCTCAAAATCTGGGCTATGTGAGAGATCTAAATTCGATGACTGCGGACGGTATTCCACAATCGAGTTGTGCAGAGAAGCTCGAGGCTCATCAACCCCCGAAATCCGACCACCCCAATACCTCTAATCACTCGCAACCGATACACGATACCCCGCCTCGTTAATCTCTGCAACTTGGCGTATAAATGGACGAAGTTACGATATCAAATCCATGCCTTGGCAAGTAGGAGTTGTTGCTGAACTGTCGATCTGCTCTTGCGAAGACTCATCCAACAGTTGGCCGCGATCTCCGAGACTGTGCCAAATAATTCTCTTTCCCACTATTCTCTTTTCGTATGGGCGGTCTTGCGTGCATTACTCTTGCTCTTTTTCTGGTGCGTCATTTAGCCCAAGGCTGTTTGCTGCGATGATATCCTGCCGAGACATCTGGTACCAGGCCATCATATCGCCTACTTCCCTGTTTCCTTCCTTCTCTACATGTCGTTTTTCCTTGTGCTCAATTTCTCAAAACTAAAAAGCTCTCGAGGGGTTGTCTCGGCGGGAGAGAGTCTGCTGTAGTGAATTTTGGGGCGGGTGATGGAGAAGGCTTTCTCTGTCTGTCTATGTCTGTCGGTCTTGAAAATCACGCAAGAAGGCCGACTTTCATTGAACAACTGTCCCCTTGGTCTTTGGGTATGTGTGTAGATATATTATGTGGTTGTGAGAATGAAGCAGCGACGGGGAATGGGAATATGATGGAAGGAGGAATGGGGGATGGATGGACTCTTATCAAGCTATTGTTGCTGTTGCTGCTACTGGTTCGTCGCTAGCACACCCATCTGCCTTGGCGTCGTCGGTTCCATCAATCAATCAATGCTTGTACATTAGTCCGAATAATTGCATACAAAACAACGGTCCTTGTCAACATATTCGCGTGGCCGATGTACGCGTTCGCGGCGGTGGGCCTCAATTCAACCTAGCTTCCTTGACAATCCTGCCAGAAGATCTTAATGAAGGAAACTAGAACAAAAACAAGCATCTAACTACGGAGGAAATAATATTTGGATACGAAAGGAGAAAATACAGAAAATGGACTCTGTCTGTCTGGGCTTCTGCTTTCGGTCGTGAGAGTCATCTTGGACACTCGGTGTTCCAAATACATTACAGAGAAGTATGATATGGTCCAAAATACGCAACCACACCACTGTTTGGACCACTGAGAGTTTACCCCTTTCCTCCCTGGTGGACTGACTACTTGATGGGTGAGGCAGGAGTCCATTCGGTTAGTCCTTGACGAGGCTCGACAAGCTTCTCAAGCCAGTCAGTCCATTTTTCTTGCAATCCCTGTCAACATGTCTTTTGTATTTTCATGTTACTCGCTGATGAAATGGGTTTCAAGAAAAGCTTTTGTTGCATTTCCAACTTTCCCCTAAAGCTGGCTTTATTGAACCTTGGATTACTACTCTGCTATTCCAAAAAAGAAGGCAAACGGCTGCTAGCTGAGCCGTAGGCTTCTGGTGTAGTAACATCGCCTAAAGATGATCTCCATACCAGCTAGCCAATGCGAACTTGGGGCATGACTGCTGGTGGCTTCGCACTCCGCATTGGGCTGCCATGTCTGCATATGAAACGCCTGCGCTAAAACAGCTCCTCTTGGAGCCCGCATAGGCTGTAATGCCAGGAACTACTCTCTGACTTGTCTTCTTGGCCAGCCTTGGTGATGCTTCATGCCATATGTGTTGGAATCCTTCAGCAAATAGTTGTCTGTTCGCTATTGCATTTGGTTCAGCTATTCGACAAGAAGATTTTCTTTTGCTTTGGACTACAGAAGTACGACAAGTAGAGTGGTAGTGAAGTGATGCAGGGTGGGTTTAATCGAGACGCTCGTGAAGCTTCCGGCAGTCTGAAGATGGGCATTGGGGGAGGAACATGCTTGTATATTATTCGCAAGATAACTTTATGGGAAAAAAGGAAACATAAATCAGCAGAGTTTCAGTGTTTTTCAGTTGACAGCACGCTTGTTTCTGCAAGTATTCGGTCCATAGTCCATAGTGATACTGACATTCTTTAGTAAGGCTAAACTTCTAGATTAACAAACCCGACTGATGCTTTCTACTCAATTTCTCTACATTTACTGGTGAGATACATCTCAGCCGAGAAGCCCATTTCTATTATAGAGAACAGCCAGCTTTTACCCATCACCGTGATAATGCCAGCACCAATGAAGCCAATGAAGCACCAGAGTAGCATGTATATCCCTGTCTATCAAACCCTCGAAAGGGGTTCCGCAGGTGCAGCGCTCAAAATAGCCCGAAAGCTGAAAAAATGACGTTGGTCGATCACCCTCACTCGAGGGACAACCCCGGCACGGCAGCTAATTATATTGAAGCTCACGCAAAGCCATGGCAGGCCATAAAACCTCACGACAGCAACTCTGAAACAGCTCCAACATCACGCAACTCCTTTTTCCCAGGGCTCCGCACGCTCATATCCGACCACTCACCAGCCGTCCCCCGTCCCTGGAACGACGGGGCTGGTTTGAGTCACACGTTGTGACATCCACTTTGCGAGCCTTTCCGCATTTCACCAATGATCAGCCGGCCACACCTTCTACCGTGTCTTCCAGAAGAATTTCAGACAGTACCCTGCACTGCACTTACAGTACAGCCACTACCCCCGAGCCCCTCCCCCTTCCTCCTTCTCGTCGATTTCTCCTTTAGTTCAGCCCTCTTTGATCTGCCGGACCACGTTCTTCCCTGACGTCTTCCCTCCCGGTCTCCTTCCCTCGAAACCTCACCCTCGACCATAAATAAGACCTCCGGTGCACCCTGCACTCTTTTTCGAAATGGCATCCAAAACAGCTGCACAAGAGGAATTTGATACCATCATAGCTAAAGCATCTTCCTCCGGCAAAGCAACACACCACCGCGACGACGGCGAAGACTACAAGAACGACAAGGCACACGAGAGCGGAGAGGATCAAGACGAAGAGCAAGCCTACCTACAGAAGCAGATCGACAACAATATGCGCATGCCATCTCTCGACCCCCGCGGCGGACCCATGTTCCTGCCGCACCGAGACTTTGACAATGGCCGGACCACAGGCGTCAAGGGCGTCATTGCTGATGCGCGGAGTTTCGAGGAGGCAAGACGGAGTATGACGAAGGATGGGTGGAGGACTAAGATTACGAGAGCGAGCAGCGGGTCGAGGATAGGCAGTGGGAATGATGAGAATAAGCGGTTGAGCACGTTCTTGATAGATGAGGGAGAGGGGAGTGCGAGTGAGGATGAGGAGTTCGTGGAGCGCTGGAGAGAGCAGAGACGTGAGGAGCTCAAGAGAGAGGGCAATGACATTCGAAATCGGAGGACAAGCCCTAGTGTTCGCCGGTATGGACGCTTTGATGAGGTTGATGCGTTGGGTTACTTGGATGCCATTGAGAAGGTTACGAGGGAAACGGTAGTGGTGGTCTTTGTCTATGATCCTGAGGTATGCTCTTCTAACCCTCTCAACCTTACCATGTACTAACACTTCCCCAGTGTGCAGTCTCACAAGTCATCTCTGACGCTCTCTCCCCTCTTGTCCCCCAAAATCCCTCCATCCATTTCGTCCGCGTACACTACGAGGACATCGAGTTCGACAATGCAGGCGTACCCGCTATTCTGGCATACAAGAACCAGGGAGACCTCTTCGCAAACCTCACGTACATCATCGATCAGATACCAGATGATACGTTGTTCGATACCAGGGCGCTAGAGACTATCCTCAGGAAGCACAAAGTGCTGTGAGGGGTCACGATGTTCATTCTCGCTTCGCTTCACCACATAGGTAGCTCCTGTTTATTGGAGACTTCGCTTCGCTGTGCGCTCCGTTGGATGCTCCCTCGATAACTGGTATCTCGGTCGCACTTCCCAGGCTCAGTGCTTGCTTGCTACAATAGAGTTATCTCTTTTCCTGGCGCTGGCGTTCACATCATACTGCTCTGCTTTTTAGCAGACATTGCTCTACATCTCCTCATATAACGCGCACCTCCAGGATACCCAACAACCTCCGATACTCTGTGCACTACCGTCGCCTTCTCTTTTCCCCAGAAGGCCTTATAAGCCAACATTGCGGCGTTACTGTCAGGATAAAAGACTTGTACAATAGGGATTAGAATCGGGCGGGGGACCGAACGAGCACGATTTTTTTTCTCATTCTGCTTTAATTTTTCTTTTTGGGGGGTAGGGGGGCTGAGGGGGAGTCTAGGGCTAGTTACATAGGGGTTACTTGGTATGGCGTGGATTACCATGCACAACGATACGATAGATACATTGCGAAATAATACCCATGGAGATTCTTATTCAAAAAAGAAATCATAAATCTGGCCATCTCTTGCGCATGAAGTTTCAGGATTGAGGAATTAGAAATATGCCGAATTGTTTTTGTTTTCTTTCTTGCGTATTTCAAGAAGACTTTGAAGATCTGCTGATGTGACGCGAGATCGAAGAACTTGTACAGACGAGGAGCAAGGTAGGTTTCACCCCCCAGATCTCCCAAACCTTCGAGATACCCTTCATTCTGTAAGATACCTTGTCGAATCTCTAGTATGTATTGGATATACATTTTGGGTTTTCGTGCGGGTATGAAAGTAAGGAAAATGCGACACTTTTTGAAAGCTACGGGCAATAAATCCTTGCTCTGTTGCAATCTTGCTACTAAATCCAGCTACGAAGTTCTTAACACTCTGACACCCCGAAAGTTCCATCACAAAGCCATACATGTACTGTTTACCTACCGCGTCCAATGCTCGCCGAACTCCCCGAAAACCGTCCGCAATCTCGGTCAAAACCCCTCGCCAACAAAGTTTGGGCCATCCAACGCCATGAAATCCAGTAAATCCATACCACCAACATTAACACCCTCAGCCGTTTGCGTTACGCCCTGGTCACCTAGATGCTGATAGAACGCCGTGCCAGGAGGCAGATACCAGAAATCCGAGCCATTGTTGGTATTCCAGTCGCTAAATGGATCTTGCAAATCGTTGCCATAGCTTGAGCCAGGTTCTTGGTTGTAGGGTGTCCCCGGAGCAGGGACGAAAGATCCTTGGTTGAGGTCAAACGGTGTGGCTGATACGTTGAGATCTGTTAAGAGGTGAGTATGGTTCCATGAGAGAAAGGTACTTAAGTATTTGTGTCACTTACCTGCGCCGTTGCCCATGCCATAATTTGGAGTTGCGGCACTCCATTCTCGGATTTGGTCGCGCTGGTCCATCTTTTGTCGCTTGTTGTCGGGCTCGTGATGCATGGCTGGACTGCGGGCTCTGCTTATAGGGTCGCCGTGAGGATGAGGGCCCGGAGCACTTATGAATCGGCCCCGAAGTCGAGACGTCAAGGTTTCTAGGAGATCAGCGAAGCGAATACCTAGGTGGACATCATCAACAACGCAATTTCGTAAGGCATCGACGGCTCTGTCCATAAGACCGATACTCTGCTCCACATCGCTTTTCGATGCACCCAGGGCAAATGTTTTCAGTAGAAACATGGCGCCGCTGATAATCCTGAAATAGGTCCGTACTGGGGCGTGCTTCAGGTAGCCTCCAGGTAGCAGACCATCTACGACTATTTTCAAGAGCTGTCGACTTCCATCCACAACCTCCTTCACGTAGTCTTGATCAGCAGCTGTGTAGCTACCAAAGGTTGCGAGAGGTAGCTTTCCGAAATATGTCTGTTGGTTCTCAGTTGACATGGCACCAGGCACTATTCCGTTGGCAGGATGGCCAGACGCATTGAATCGATTTCCAGCCTCTGTACTGCATCTTTCCACAACGGCTTGTAGGGAGAGAGAATTGACATAGATTCGAACATACTGGTATTCGATCGAAAGTATGTGGCTAATGTACTGTGGGAGTTTGAACCTCTCGAACTCCGTTTTCCATGCTTTTAGCATAGGTTGGAAGTCTTTGAGAAGCTCCACATAAGTTGAATCGTTGATGATCTTCGTCGTGTACTGCCTTGACCGGAAAAGTTTCTCATTGCCAATCCTCATAGCATTACTGATCCCGGCCCAGCAGTGGATAATCTGATCATCCAGTTCCAAGTCTGGAATATAGTTGAAACTATTGGTGACAGTAGTGTTGGTCTCGGGGGTCTTTCCGTCGACTGATGGTCTTCGTTTCCGTGGGGCGAAAGCAGGATCGCTGACCCTTAAGTTCTCAGGAACCATATTTGTCCATCCAAGGCGGCCAGCCAATTGCGTGACGTATATCAGCAAGAGCCTCTTTATGCGTGCTGCACGTAGACGATATGCCTCGTCTTCATATTCTGGCCGAGTCATTTCTCCCCCAGCGGCTAACAACTCTTCGATCTCGTCGAAAACACCAAGTTCATAGGACAAGCCCATTGCAGTACTCAGCAGCATCCAGCACATTCGATCGCTTCTCCAAGCTGGTTCCAACCAACTTTCGATTCTCTTGCCGCCAACACCTCGTGGGAGTCGACCGACGCCCTCTTCGTCTGTACTGTACGTATCCGAAGCATCATAAGATGGAAGCATTAGCTCATCCGTGGCTTCGGCTGGGGGAAAGTGGAGCGCTCGAGGATGCCACTCCGTCAATATCATCAAACTCTCAATGGTGCCCAGTGTTCTCAAACTGCCCTTTCGTAATCCACGCCATGGTGCCGTGCTAGACGTCTGTGCTTCAGATTCAGCTCCCGATCCGCAGAATCCACCGCCGAACGCTTCTTGTCCCCACAGACATCTTTCAATCATTCCCCGTAAGTAAGTCCAGAGTTGTTCATGGATTGCATGTGATCTACAGTGACCTCCAGGGCCAGGTATTCGTCGATACCTGGTAGCGATCGTAAGAAGCGTAACGGTCAAGATAGGTTCCTCGATGAGGAGTGTAGGATGGGTTCCTGGGTCTCTGAATGTCGGAGGAGAAATTGGCGTCAGTGGAGATAAGTATTCATAGTAGCTACAATCAGTCAGTAAAGCCAATCCTACAGGATGTGAAGATACGTGCTAGTCAATGTAATCAATCGCTTCGCTTGGAGTAAACCACCCAGCTCGGACAAATCGAAATCGAGACCAAGCCTTTACTGCGTCCTTGTAGCCCTGATCTTGCGTTCTCTCTGGTCTATCCATAGCCTCTGAGGATAATGCAGGATCAATTGCGGTGTCTCTTCGCACCTCGGGAGGTCTCATATCAGTCTGGAAGGGTCGATTGATCGTTTGTAGAGGGGAGGCCATTGGTTGATGTCCGGATGTGCTGTTGTTGACCATGGATGAGACCTGGCTATTACTTCTCTTGTGGCCTGGGCTAAAAAAAAATGAGCTTCTATGGCATCTCTTGTTCATCGGATCACATACCTATCTGTAGCGGCCTTATACAGTAAATCCAATGCATCATGGGGCCCTGGACGCGCATTAGCCTTGCTAATCAAGCTTCACCGAAAACTACACCTACCATAAACCTCCCTTCGCATAACTTCCTGCGCCTCAAGATTTTCCAATTGTGTATTCGATTCATCTGAGTGTCGATCATCTCGGTGGGAGCTATCTCTTGTGTTCTCGGTGGGCCGGCGCAAAGGTTGTGTTCTACCAATTGATCCTCCAGGAGTTAAGGGTGGTCCGGTAAGGACAGGCGCACCATCTCCGTAGGGCACTGCTGATCTAGCAGACGTCGGAGCGCCCATTGACGATTGTCGTATCGAGGCTGGGGGCGAGCCTTGTACCATTTTCCGGCCATTGCGAACGATGTACTCGTCCTGGTACTCGTAGCCGTCGAGACTGTCGGGTCTGCCATCCTCATGCTTCCTCTTTCTTCTCGTCGCAGAGAAGAAACACTCCTTGCTCTCTCTTCTGCATCGCACACCTTCACGGCGGAGTTAGTGCTTGTCTTGCGATTGTTTTGGATTGAGGTTGCGACTTACAAGGCGGATCGCCGGGGTTGTCCACACTTCCCAGGTCGCATTTCACCTTCCTCCTGCGACACGGGATGCACGCCTGGTAAACGCGCTTATGCTGAGGAGGAGGAGGCTGCTGCTGCGATTGCTGAGGAGAGCCACTGCCATTCGAGCTCTCAGCCTGTGGATATGAAGTCGAAGCCATTCTGTGCCCTGATGATGTGTCGGTTTGAGTCGGCTTTTGGCGTCTTTAAAATTCGCGGGGTCAATCTGGGGGAGGATGGAGGGATGCAGGTGGTCAGGATGCGACCAAAGGTGTGGTGGCCCAGTCGAGCTAGACTACTCTCATCCCTTTCGAGAGATTCGACCTGATGAGTGTGATGTTGTACACAACTCGAAATCCGAAGGCGCCTTCTTATCAAGACATGCCTACCAGCCTGCCCTGACCTGCCTGCCCGTTTTGGTGAGGCTGCATTTACCGTTGGTGTCACATGCTGACCAACCAATCACCGATCTGAAAGTACGTACCATCGACCATTCCCAACTCAAATACTGGGCTGAAGTTCTGAGAATAATTGTGGCTTCGGAAGAGAGCAGGTTTGCTCTCTAACGTCTTGGAGGTATGGATGAAATATTTCTTGGGGTATGTGAATGGAGTTTTGATTGATCTAAGGATTGCTGAGAAGTTCAGTACCCTCATTTAGGTTGTACAGTATGTGCCTTGGAATGGGGGATGAACACACAGCCCAAAATAGAATCCATACCCATAGCTAGTTGAAAGTCACGGGGAATATAATTTAATAAAGAGTCATGAATTCTCCTTGTCAGGGATACTGAGGTAAGTCACGTCTAGGGAAGAAGTATTTACTGAAAGCTGGAGAGAATACAGGAAGCGTTCTCGGGTATAAACTCATGCTGAGCAGGTCTTCTGACATTCACGGCATATAAGTATGTCTTCCGTAGCGTTTCCTGGATCACTGTATCTGCAGCTTTATTCCTCTTCAACAAAGGAAGCATACCAGTTGTAGCGGCTCGTTGTAATAAGGACTGTGACTCTGTCCAGCACAATTCATCTTGCCATGAGACAGTAATGGCCTCATTTTGCGGCTGCACATCTGCAAATCGTGGCATCAAGCAGTAAGTCAGTCCAATTTTGACAAGCACGAGTAGAAATACGGTATTAAAATTCACAATTTTGCCATATTCGCTTTGGAAGTACTGATTTAGTAATCGCGACTGTCTCGCAGTCAGATGCCCATGTCATGGGCCCCATGGCTTGCTTCCAACAATCTTTAAACAACACATGCCAGTGACTGAAAATTCTCAATCTTCTATCTTCTGCATGTGACTTTCGTGCTGCTGTCTGAGGTTTGGTCAAAGCCGTTGAATCCACCTTTATTCTTGGTCAAAGCAACTCTATTTTTGAAGCGAGCGCTCCTTTGTTGACTTTCTGCGGCGCTAGGCTAGCTCCCACCCCTTCGTGCCTTCCTTCCTTCCTGGCCACAATAACAGATCTTAAATTGATCTTGAACAGCAAATATCAGCAGATCGGCAACTGAAATTCGTCACCATGCCTCCCAACCAATACCTCTCGAAGCTCAACCCCAAGCATCCTGCACACTTCCAAGGTCAAGAAAAACCCTCTTCCAGTCATCTGCCCATCGAGAAAGTTTCTTCTGAGCCACAAGCCCAACAAAATGTCAACAGCCAGTCCCCGACAGACTCGGAGCAGAAATTGTACAAGCAGGCCCTTCGAGAAACCATACCTGGTACGGCCATTCTGGTCATAATCGGAGCGTTCGCCCTATCCCGCTTGCACAACCAACTCCAAGAAGACAAAGCAAACAACAAACTCTGCGATCTACACAGGAGTGAGCTGCGGAAACTCTTCATGGGATTGTTGATAACGGAGGGATTGATGATCTTGTGTTTTGGTCTTGGAACGGGATTCAGAGTCCGGAAGGCTTTCTGGAAGGTGAAGGGTAGGGATCGGACGGTGAATGAAAAAGCAGCCGAGGTGCTTGCCGTCCTTCTTCCATTCTATCTTGGAGCTGTCGTGGGTATTGTCACTCTGGTGGCTATAGTGCTGGGGAGAATCATGGCTAAGGGCTGGAATTGTACTTGCTAGGTAGTCAGTCCCCTTTCCTCAGGTATAAACTCAAAACGCTTTTGACTTATGGATTTAGTCTTTTGTGTCGTGCAATAGGGCAGCTAACTCTTGAGCAATTGTTACAAAAGCAAATTTGCTTTGTGGGTAATCTATACCATGGGGTTAGATCTGGAATGACGAATAAATCCAAGGATTTGATGGCTGGATTCCAGGTCCGGCATGTAAATAAAGATATTCATGGCGCATCAGAGAATATTCACGGGCTGGGTTAATGCCAACAGATGTGCATATGTTGGAGTGACTCGACCGTGTGACTGAACAATTAGGGAGCTTAAGTATAGATCTTTTACACTGAGTCGTAGGCCCCCCAATCAACTGTATTTCTCCTAGATCCCTGATAGCATCACATTGGTAAAGGTGACATTTTTAAAGGCTGAGTAGGTGGGTATCTAATCCACAAATTTCAAACCACACGGCTATTTAAGCATCATCTATTAGTTAGAAACTTGTGAGCATCTGCCTCGCCTCGTACCTCTTCGTTGGGTTCCTTCCAAGTTGAGAGCGAGGGTGCTCGGCAAAGTCACTTCCAATTCACGACACATTCCTCGCATCTCGTCCCGCATCACGAATAGCAAGTCCCATTCAAGCACCTCTGTTGTCAGGATCCAATCATCTACCAAACAGCACAGAAGCACCAGTCCACTCATAAAGTTATGGCCGTTCAGGAGAAACACTTCGAGGTCAACGAGGACGTTATAGCTAAGGCCGTCGCCCGCGACCACTTCCATTGTCTCAAGGCGTCCCAAGCTAATGTTTATACCTCGCAACAGTGTCATAATGACATCTAGGAAATCCATAAATCCCAAATACAAACACTCTTAGCATATATATACTTTGCATGCGCACTGTTTGGATGGCCTGCGTGGGGAATACACTTTTTCTATAAACTCTTCACCTTGCACTACGAACGCAAAGCCTAGTCACCTCTTATGACTCTTGAGAGTGGTAAATTCGTGGTCGCAATCCTATCTGTTACTCTCGCTACTATCGAAGCCCTGTTATCACTACTTCTCAAAATCCAAAGAATTAGGAGACTTGTTGAAGGGGAAATTGGCGGCACACCAGTGTTGAAGATCAGAAATTGAGAGATGTCACCGAGTCACTTCCCAGCCTGTTCAGCTGTGTTTCACTAATGTGAGGTTTAGTGATTGGGTACTTGATGGGAAGGTTCATGGGATCTTCTTAGGTAAGGACGCCACATCGATGTTGAGCACATGTAATCATTCAATAGAGCGTATATCCTTACTCCACACATCGTAGTCAGCAGATCTTTTCTCCAAGACACGAACGTATCTATAATTTACCCGCTTCCAAGGTCTGCGATTCTGAGGCCGTTGAGTGTGGAGTTTGAATGTGATGGAACCCGGGCATAGTCTGAGAGGGGATTGGTCTGCAGCTATGCTATTGTCATGATTTGAGGAACCCGAAATTCTCGAGGTGAAGTATAATTTTCGCAGGAATGGAATGAGAACTACACAGAGCGAGAGAGAGCTTCGCATGTGCGGTAGTGCTTAAGAAGCTTTTCACTCTACTCCTCTCGAATTCCTCTCAATTGAGCACCGATCTTAGGTGTTTCTCTGTCTGAGACTATTTGAGATTACTTCCATATACTAGCTTGGCACTTATAATGTGGCGATTTCATGGCCTTGGGTGGCCTGGCGAACGCCCTCTCGTGACTGTAGGAACATTTCAACCTCACGCGCCTCGCTAAACCATAACGAAGCCCCACAAAAACACATCTCGCCAAAAATCAACATGGCAGAAAGCAAAAGAAAAAATCCGTTCAACACAGCAAAAGTTTGAAGCCTTTATTTCGAAGTGATCTATGAGAATAACGTCCGTCCATAGGTTATACGTCTGGTTCACACCCGCCTCCCGCTCTGTTTCACGCTGCTAAAGTCCCCAGAACACCCACTGGCTCGCAGAGCAGATGGATGTTCCAGCAGTTGTGTCTCATTCCTTCTTTGGTATCTTGTATATCTAGCAGACAGTGATGCATTGGCATGTTAGGTAATGTTAGTTCTTGCAGGAGGTGGATGGGGTTAGACCAGATACCTCCGCCGTACAACTCTGCCCAGCTAGAAAAGATGCTGGAATCTGCTTATTGGGTTATATCTTGTTGAAAGAAATTAAGCCAGATCTGGCTGGGTGATAAGATTGCCCGGGCTCCGGCACGATTGAGTAAGACGAGACCTCCATGCTTGGGCTTTAGTATTGCACTTGTTTAAGAGTCGTACCGGATTTTGTGGCATTGCATCATGGCCACGGCAGAGTTTTGGATACTTTGGATGGCCTGCTCCTGCATCGATCGATTGTCCATTCCAGCTTGTGTTTTCAGATTCATACAGGAAACTGCTCATCGAAGCCGAACATATCCCACAAATCTCGGACTTGCCCAGATCCATCCATTGGGCCGTAAGAGACAGGTAACGTGGCATCTAACCAATCATTCGGTGGCTCCGTGCCAAAGAGATTTATAGGAGGTATATCTGACACAGCTTTCTGTTGAGGACGTCGGCCGTTTTCAGTCAGCCTAGCTATGATACCTTCACAATTGTTCAGGCAGTCTTCCGCTAGGTCCCAGTCGTTCACTTCTCTAGCATGTCGCAGCCATGATGTGAACATTTTCACGCTGGAGACGCAGATTTCAGCAACTAAGTCTTCGGTTGTCTCCACGGCAAAGCGCAGCAACAAGGTAATTGTCGATGTGAGGTAGTAAGTGGTGTCTATTGTAGAGGTTATCAGTAACACATCGGCTTTTTATATAGCCCGTGCACTTACAAGGAAGCCAGAATTCGGCGAGGTGGAAAGTCTTCAGTGAGGTAATGAAGTCAACTATTGCTTGTGCTGCATTTCTGGACTCAACTTGCCGAAATCGATATGCTTCAATTGCTTCGGTTGATCCCTGCTGGGAAATGGCCTACATAACAGCATGTCAGAAAGCTTCAAGGGGGCTTTTAGCTACGAACTTACATGCAGTGAGATTCGGCAGATCAACATCTTGAGAGATAAATAACAGATGTGGAGACTGCTTGACCCTGAGACACCTGCTCGACTCGAAATGCTCGACAAATAGTCTGGCAGAGAGTCCTCCCATTTGTCTAAATCCACTTCTATCCGTCGTATGACTTTCGATGTATCTTTTGGGGAATTCCCCTCGAGGTCGTATACGAGAGGTAGTGCTTGCCCCAAAATCTCGGTCAATTTACACAAGGCAATGAAACTCTCAGAAGACCTCCGATGATCCATTGAAACAGAGCTTTCGGGTAGCAACATTTCCAAGGTTGGAATTGGCACATCATAATGCCTGGAGCTTATATTCGATGGGGTCCCATGAGCAAAACTACCCCTAAAATAAACTTGGTAAGCACTTTGCATTTACAGAAGTCAGAAAGCATTACCATCGATCGTGAATCAAGACACCCCACCAAAGTCTAATACGCAGCCCTTTTTCCTGCTGGGGAATGTTCCACTGACTCGGATTTCTGTTTACTCCTAAGCTGTACGACAAAGCTACCGCTCGCCCGTTACCAACTGTGTTTCCGATGATTGAGTATACGGGTCGGCCATTTAGCTCCACAACTTGAGCTTGAAGTGTTGATAGGTCAGGGCCCAGGAAGTCGTCCGCCAAGGCTTGGACTGCAAGGTTCCAAGCATAACGCTGGTCTGGCCGAGATCTGCCTGATGAAATTGGTGATTGGTTCCAATATACAAGTGAGCTGGCGTAGACATCGCACAGCAACGCTGCAGCTCCTTTGCTCTGGCTTGTTGAAGGCTCGGTGAGCAACTTCTCATCGAGAATGGGAAAGGCGGGGTGGATCTTGGCGAGGTATCTGGTTATATCAGTACTGTATGTATACTAGAGGGGAAAAAACTTACAGCTGGCGAATCTGAGCTCCGTTTGGGTAGAATATCTGCTCAAATATTTCTCTTTGCTTTACACCGGCATTATCATTTATTGATAAGCCGACTCTCCCTCTTGGCACCTTCTTGTAAAGAATCGGCTTTGAGGGATCTGAGAAGTAGACGCTATATGGGTTGTCGCTCGTTCTCCCTTCCGGCGAGCCAGGGGACATGTATTGCTCCAAGACATGAGCATCCGATGAGACTGCGGGTCCGACAATGTGCAACGATTGCCTTCCATTGTTCGATCTGTTCGAGGCACCGTTCGCATCCTCATCAGTACGTGAATGAGACCTCTCCCAGTTCTGGGCTCGGAGATCTGGACCTGGGATGGGTTCCGAATCATCGATTAATGCGTGTCTTCGCTTCAATACAGGGGTGTTGTTGTGTTCGAGCTCGCTTGTAAATCTCTCTGCCAGCGGCAGTCCTCTCCGACGAGTTGGCCTTTCCTCCACGGAATATTGACACCGCTTTCCTTGCTCACGACATAACTGGCAATCTTCTCCTATGGATGAGACGTCGCATCGCACTTTCCTTTTTCGACAAGCATCACAAGCTCTGATTTTGTGGGAGCGGTAGGGGCGTGACACGGGCAACTGCGGGGAGGTATGGGTAACGTCAGCCATGGTGTACACCAAACACAAAGGATGACAGGTGCGGGAAGGAAATCACTCCTTGGGCCAGCATAGCGGAAAGCATCGAAATATGTGATCGGGATGAAGGTGGTCAAGTCAGACGGACGTCGAAGGCAAGTTGATGACCGGCCCCACTTTCGGAAAAGACTAACCCAGGAAATGTTTTCTATTTTGACCAACAACACTTCACTCTCATCTCCCGATGGGTCCATAGGAAATTCTCCGGATACTCGTATCGATTACTTCTATCTATAGATCTTGACTACCACTTCTTGGCCATGCAACCTCTCAAGCATTGTGGCGGCGAAGCTGCATGTGAGTTTCCCACTCAGTTTCCCGTCTGCGCAGTTTCCCGAGAAGTTTCCCGCACCGACAGCTTCCCCCATGGAATCTTGCTCCAAGACAGGACCGTAATTCCCTTATCACAGAAAGTAAAAATCGCAGTAGTTTCTGCTCTAGATGTATCCTTTCGGAGACCATTTTTTGCGGCGGCATCGTAGTGCGGAGCGAAGTGCTCGTTCCCCAATCGTCCATATCATAAATAAGTGTCGTGCGCGAGCTATGTCACCATGGTGCACGCTCCTGTTCATCATCCACTTGGTTTGATACTACTCTTACCACATTTGAAGACTCTCAGGCTTGACATTGTGGACCGCTGTGGCTTTTCGCCAAAGATGCCTTCTCAAATCGAAAATGCCCCAACAGAGAGGGCAAACTCGAAATGCGGATGCTTGTACACCAATATCGATAACGACGCGATGATGAAGACTGCAGTTTCAACGCTTGCTCGGTACGGCGGTAACTTCGAGCCAAACCTGATTACTAGAGCAAAAGGTGTTTACATTTTCACGGCAGATGGCCGAAAAATCCTGGACTTTACATCTGGACAAATGTCTTGCCTCATTGGACATGGACATCCTGAAATCGTTCAAACAATCACTCAACATGCTACTCATCTCGATCATCTATTCAGTGGCATGCTAAGCCCACCAGTTGTACAGTTGGCTGAGAAGCTTACAAGCCTCCTTCCACCTGGACTTGACAAGGCAATGTTTCTGAGTACGGGGGCTGAATCGAACGAAGCTGCGATAAAGATGGCAAAACTGTATACAGGAAAGTTCGAGATTGTTGCTCTTGGTAATTCATGGCATGGCATGACAGGAGCTGCCAGCGCATCAACGTATCATTCCGGGCGTAGGGGGTATGGTCCATTTGTAAGCCTCATCTCCAGAGAGTGTGTGGATACCCACTGACTTCTCAAGGTCCCGGGAAGTCTTGTCCTTCCCTCACCAAACGCATACCGATCTATGTTCAGACACCCCGACGGATCTTATGACTGGGAGAGTGAACTCAACTATGGATGGAATCTCGTCGACACTCAATCCGTCGGATCCCTCGCAGCAGTCATTCTCGAGCCAATCCTTAGTTCTGGCGGTATGCATGTTCTGCCGGCCGGCTATCTCAAGGCAATGAAAGCACACTGCGAGAAACGTGGCATGCTACTCATTGTTGACGAAGCCCAAACTGGTATTGGAAGATGTGGATCTATGTTCGCAATTGAGCATGAAGGTGTCACCCCAGACATCCTGACTCTTAGCAAGACCCTTGGAAATGGTCTCCCGCTGTCTGCGGTAATCACTTCGAATCTTATCGAGCAGACTTGCTTCGATCGCGGATATTTATTCCTCACGACTCATGTGAACGACCCTCTACCTGCTGCCGTGGGTCTCAAAGTCCTCGAGGTAGTCATCCGTGACGGCCTTGTAGAACGATCGCGAGTAGCTGGATTAAAGTTGCACGCCGGACTGCTGGAGCTTCAACAGAGATATGGATGCATTGGAGATGTGAGAGGTCGTGGTCTCATGGCAGGTGTCGAGATCATAAAGGATGTTGAAACTAAAGAACAGGGATTAGATCTGGCTGCTGCTTTGGGAGACCGTATGATGGAACTTGGACTTTCTGCCAATATTTTGGGCTCGAAGATGTTTGGAGGGGTGTTCCGCATTGCGCCGCCCATCACTATTACCGATGAAGAGCTGGAAGCCGCATTGGAGATCTTCGAGGAAGTTCTCAGAAGTACATCAGGGACTTTACATAGATGACTTGGCTGAATTTAGGGCTCGTTTTGCTTTTGATCGCGAAATGCTTAGTCAAATGGAGCTGGCAAATGGCAATGGAGGCGGACTAAGGCGGACTAAGACATGGAATCTTACTCGTTATGAATATTGACTGTTGAGTCTTCCTCCACGAAGTTTGTTTTTGATATAATAGTGGCTTTTCAAACCCTTCAAAGCTTGGACACGATTGGAGGCAAGTTGAAATGAAGGCATTCAAGTCTTTGACGCAGCAGTGGTCGATCAAGGCCATGGAAGTCTCTTGGGAAGGCTTTAAGAAGTCCCAATGCAGCACCGCAGCCCCTTTGAGCTGAAAACAGGCAGGACGTATTATTTTGACTCAGGAGTGCTCTTCATACTCGGTCAGTCGCTATTGTGGTCACAGAAGAATGAAGTTTGTTGATTCAGGGGATATCTCGCTAAACTTTCGCTTCCCAACACTTCATAATTACTCAAGTATTACCTTACGATGGCTCACATGAATGCCTGATTAGGTTAAAACAGGTTCAACTCAAGGATTTTAGCTTGTTTGACGCTCTGCTTTGCGCGCCGCGCTAGCTCGAGCCTTATGTCGCTTCTGTAAATGTGAAGTGATTCAGGCCACAGGCCCACTTTCGAGCATTTTTCAGCCACAGATGTCTTTTACACCACTGCTCTTAACCTACAATAATGCTCTACCATACAAGTTTCTGCCAGTACCGAGTTTCACAAAGCGCATTGCAGTCTATCATACAGCTTCAGCTGCCAGAATTTGTCACAGAAACCAGTTATCAGGAAACACAACAAAACAACAAACAATTCTCTTTGTCTATTAACCACAATCTCACAATGCGTCCTTCCTTCAAGACCATCAAAACCACCAGAGCCATCAAGAATGCCAAGAAGGTCAAAATTGACCCAATTCTCGTGGCCATATCGCCAATCAGCGAGCAGAACAGAGCTACCCTTGAAGATGTAAGCTAATCTTCTCCTCCTTTCTCCCCCCACCCCTTTCCCCTTCTCTCGTTACACATCCCAAAATTAACTCAATTTCAGGCCAAGGTCGTCCTCGAGTCTCCAAACTGTCCCAATGAAGACCGAGCCCTCGTTCTCAGCTATCTCAAGGAAATCTACAACGCCGCCGAAGACCACCGAACCCTCTACCATTTCCTCTGCGCCTGCTACCTCCTTTCTGTTTACTCCACCGAGAATCTGGCTACACGCAAGATGTACGCCACGAAGGTTGAAACCGAGAGCAAGAAACAGATCAAGAAACTCACGCTCCACATGGACAAGGCCGATAACGAGTTCCGCGTCTCCATCCAGATCTACGAGGGTCTGAAGAACATGGCAATTAAGTCGTCTGATAGGATTGGGCAGGAGGTTCGGAAGGCTCTTGCTGAGGGTAAGAGTATTGGAGAGGTAAAGAAGGATGGTAGTGGTGAGGAGGAGGAGACCAGACATGTCAAGAAGAAGAAACGGGTGTTGTGGGGTAGGGTGGAGAAGTATTCGGATGATGAAGAGGAGAGAGATGGTGGCCGGGGAGATGGACAGGATGATCACGAGGAGAATACTGCCGTTGAGGAAGTCAGGGCGGATGCGGATGAGTACCAGGAAGAGCAGAGCGAAGGAGAAGAGGAGAGTGAGGACGAAGATGAGGAAGAGGAGTGAGGAAGATCCGATCTGAGGGCTGCTCCACCAGTACGTTTGAGCAAGGCCCTATATTTCTAATTGACTTCGCAGTTCTATTTCTTCACAATTAGTCGTGATAGCTGGTGAGAATGGATATTAAAGTTTCTTCTACACAAACCAATTCAAACGTGAAAAAGCACAGGTGGAACCAATTGGCTTGTAACTGTACGTGTGAAAATAGTAAATGGAGAATAATGGGCCATAAAATTCATTCATATGCCTGCTTTACCGTGCAAGCAGGCCCAGAATGAGGCAGACTGCTGTGTCAAGCAGCAGAGATGCCGAAACGCCGATTCCCCGAACAAAGAAACCGCCAGATACGTGGGCGTGTGTATTCACTTGCCGGCCTTAGGATTCCATTCATTGGCTACATTCCAAGGATACCCGACGGCGGGGAGGGAGTTTCTTGGGCTAGGCATTTTAGGTCTGAGGTTTCCGGGCACTATATGACCCGAGACTAGGAATTGATCCTTTGATTTTGCGAATCATTTGACGTCTTCATAATGTGATCATGCGTGTGTACTGATATAAGTAAGCTATAAAGTAGGTGGAAAACTGATGTGCAATTTGAGAGAAGTTGAGATTGCGGGTGGGTTCGGCTTTGTCGCAGTGTTGTGAATTGAATATCAACAATTAAGCGAGACCGAATGTGAAGCAGGCATGCATGGCATTGCAGGGAAATCTAAAACTTGCAAGGCATCGAGATCGAAAAGCAATTCTGGTGATGTAAGCCAGACAGATATTAATCTGATATTTTAGGGTAAGAGCATTTTACGAAATCATGTTCAGACTAACATACAAAAGTTGGATAATCTTGGCAGTACTCTAAGTACCTAGGCAGTTCACAAGTGTCAAAGAAAGATACCCAGGGATGAAACTACACATTCACACAAAAGAACTGCAATCCAATGAAGCCATAGAAAGTACTCACTTCTATCATCAAGTCTACGGCTCTGAAACTTTGTAGGAGCCGGGTAATGTGCACATTTTGTGTAACTATGTCCAAGTTATCTACTGATCCACCCATCTCACCCCTACATATATACCATACCATAACCAAGCCAGGTATCCCATTCTCCGCCCTCATATCTCACCCCATAAAATCTCACCTCAAAGCCCCTCTCCCCGTCCTCCTCGTACTCCTAGGCTGGTCCGCAAAATCCGCCAACGTAACAACCCTCTCCTTTAACCCCTTCCTATCAATCTTCTCCCCCCTCATCTTCGCCATCAACACTTCCCTCGCCTCCTTACTCTCCGTGTCCTCATACTGCAATTGTGTAGCAGGCGGCTGGCTATCGACATCCTCAGTGGATTTATCGCCATTGAGAAGCATTTGGATGCGATCATTTGGCGTGGAGTCGTTGTAAGGGGGATACTCGACGGGATGGCCATGCGTGGCTGTTGAGTCGACGGACGTGTCTCGTGAGCGATTTGAGCCTGTAGACATGTTGCTAGGGACGCGCCCGATGATACGACCGCGTTTGCGAGGTTCGGGGGCGGCGTGGAGCGGTGCAGTTTTGGCCTTGGCGAGGAGGGCGGAGATGGCGCTGGTGAGGCCTTCGTCATGTCTGGGGGCGGGATGATCGGTCGGTGCTGGGGCAGTGGATACGGTTCTAGTTGGAGAGTTGCCATCGATTTCAGTAAGGGGTTTGGTTTTGTAGGCGAGGTCTTGGGACACCTCTTCGGAGTCGGCGGTGGATATGTCAGGCACCGAGGGGAAACCTTGGGTATGATATTCTTCCTTGAGGGCTGTATCACTTGGCGCAGTTTCCCCTTCTGGATAATTTGCTATGGGAACCTTTACAAGTTCTTCTTCGGAAAATGCAGTCTTGTCCAATTTTGATCTACGCGATGGCTTCACAGGCAGGTCCGCAGGCTCCTCGGATGGATGTCCTCTCGAGAAAGCCGTGTTGTCAAGTCCTACACTAGGTGGTGGCTTCATTGATGCCTTCGAAGGACGATCTTCAGTTGAAAATGCAGTATTGTCAAATCCTGCATTAGGCGGCGGCGGTTTCATAGACGATTTCGAGGAATGACCGCTTGCCTTTGGTTCAGTTATCGACATTTCGCTGCCGGTTCTGTTGTGCCGCGAAGCAGATTTTGAAACACCTGTGTTTGGTAAGGAGTCTGACCTCTTTTGAGACCTGCACCGATATTTAGAAGGTGGGAGTTTTGTCCCTGCTGATATCGATTCCCATATCCAGTCCGCTCCTATTATGGGGGTCTTCCACTCCTGTGCGTGATCGTATTTATCCTTCCTCAAACCGGCTAAGGTTTTGACTACAAGCACAGAAGACTTTGGCGTAAAATCCTCGCTATAGGTTGCACCGAGTAATTCAACGGCTCTTTGGAAGTGAAGCAGATCTATCCCCGCGAAGGCAGATGATGAGACCGTCATGCCAGAAAATCCTTCGATAGGGAAGACAGGAAATGGCCGACCAACGACGTGATCATTCGGATCTAAGAACTTTTTGTGGTGAAGACATCGTTCCAGCCACCAAAAAGTGACTGTCTCAATTGGCAGTTGAGATTCTGGTAGCGTGGGAAAATCGGAAACCGGTAGATCGTGAGGCAACATCCTGAAAAGTCGATTCGGTTGGTATTTTCCAGACTCTTTTACGAGGTCTTCGATCGTTTGTACCACTTCGCCACCATTTGAAAAGAGGTGCCCATGAAGAATCTGTGTCCTTTCTGGAGAAAATCCATATGTGTAGAATCGACAGCCGCTAAATATCCCTTGTGCTGGCTGCGGTTTTTCGATTGTGGGCTGCATGGGCTGATTTGATTTCTGTACTTCCACACTCGTCGACTGAGCTTTAGGCTTGGTAATCTCTTCCTCATTCGTTCCCCATTGCCCACTTCTGTTCACCTGAGTTACGCTACCCCTTGCTCCTCCTCCAACTATATCCCCCCATATTTGCTCGTTCTGGGTGCTCAACTTCGTGCTTGCTGTCCTCCTCAGCTTCCGCTTCCCTCCATCTAAGCTGGTGGTGCTCTCGTCTCGCGATCGTTTGCCCAGGGAAGTCCTTTTGGGTGCAGTTTTATCCCAAGCATCTTTCCCTCGTTCATCTGGCGGCAGTGCTGGATCATACAGTCTCTCATCAAGAATCATCCCTCTCTCCAAACTATCCCGAACCCACTCAATGGACACAATCTTCAATTTCCAGCTCCTAGCAGCTTTGTATTTGGCACCCTCGGTTCGGAAGGATATCAGATGAGTGATCGATTTTGTTAAGTCACCTTCATAGGTTGCTCCGTTTGCCTTGACTAGCGCAGCTATTTCTAATCTTTCCGTTGCTTCAGAAGCACGTTAGCCATGTGGTGGGCACATTGACAAAATCACTTACGATCATCACAACCAGTCATGCTGAATCGTAAGGAGTGAAATGTTGGCAGCCTATATTGCTGCTCGAGCAGAGGCAAATCGATTTCCTGATCATTGATCCACAGTTCCCGGACAGCTTCGATCCATGATATCATCATCGGCAGCACATCCAGCCTCCTTTTTGCAACATATTGAAACTTCGGGGTATCGTATTCTCCAACGATGAGGTGAGTGACATCTAGAGTCAAGTCATAGGTGTGGACGGCGCCCATCTGTTTGGCGTATTCCGCCAATTGAGTCTGCACGTATCATACTTCGTTAGCAATGTATTAGAAAGATACCTGGGGAAATGTCAAGGTTCAGATTAAACTTACGCGCTTCTCATCTGGCACTGAAGTACAGCATATCACACAGCCGTACAATGGTGCAGGGACATCGGCAGTGCCATTCAACGGAATTGTCTGGCGAGAGACATTCTCATCGTCATCCGCCATTTTCGTCGAGGTGTCCTGAACTGTTTGCAAGTGCTCAGTCCTTGGATTTCCCGTTCTCACTCAACGCGTCGTCGCGCACGATCCCGCGACGAATGTTGTTCCTTATCGTATGGCACATGAGCGATAAGACTCTGGATTTCTCTTGGCGGTGGGCAGTGCCGATTGTCCTGACCTCACCTGGACGATCATTTCAGCCAAACTTGCTTTTCTCACTTGCCAACGAATCCAAGCCTTGGAGCAATCAATTCATGAATCACCATTCGTTTCTTGGGCAACGACGTGGAACTCAGCCTTGAGTGAAAGTCCCTGATACAAGTGCATTTTCGGTCATCAGGTGGTTTTCTGCCGTACCTATCGTACCTAGGTAAGTACCTTAGGGCTCTGTACAATAAGGTATTAGTCCCACTGCCTCAGTGTTCCGCCCTGGTGATGACAAATCCGGGACACCAGAAGCTTTCCCCCACAGCAGAATGATCAGCGCTACTGTAGGTGTGCAAGCCCGCCAAGATCTCTCCCAGATCCAGATCTCACTCGACCCCTCAATTCTGGAAGCTGGTCGCATGTTGTTGTTGACTCGGATTCAAAGTCTCTACGGATTTTCTTCTCAGTTGTTTGATGGAGTGCGGTGGCAACATCTCATCAGTTTCTCACATTCCATTGTCAGCTGCAGCTTGACGAGCACAGTCAGTTAATGATTGATGACAGTAGTACAAGCCTGCAATTATTACGTGTCGAGCATGGCTTAGCGGCGTGGGCATCATTCAGTTATGAAAATTCGTGGCTCTGGTTGTCGCGTGTATCATCAAGGTGCAGAGAGAGTCTTGAACAAGCAGCGGTGAATCGCCATTTGATAGGCTTACAGTACAAAGTCTAGAATAATAATGGTGCTGTTTGAGAGTCACTCATTCAGTGGGGTGAGATGATGCTAGTGGCTGACTTAAGGTCCAGAGAACCGAAACATCCTGTGGGCTTTCCGGCCTTCCGGTGCAACAGAGGCGTTGAACCCAATGGTCGGTATCGCTTCTGATGGCACGCTCTTGTGTAGCTTTGATGATGGAATGGGGATTTGAACTTGGCCCTGACTCTTTTACCCTTCCCAAAATGGAGGGCTTGGACGTCCAAACCATCTCTTCTGGAAAACCTGGCACATATGTTTCAAAAGCTTCCATGATTTGAGAAAAGGGGGCGTACATAAGGTTTGCCACATCGTCGTTGTCGGGGAGGTTGACTCCACTAAACAAGGCTATCCTGGTGGATCTGTCGGAAGACTCGTACCTCTTGATCTACGGTAGAGTACTGCTGCCCTGGTTGCGGTGTCCGAAGTGCAGCAATGACCGGTGGTTTAAGCTGCCTTGGGCTTGGTTTGATTTAGTCAGACGAACGATTGATTGTCTTTCTCGCTTTCCTAAAGCTGTTGAAGGATTGCTGCTTCATCATGGAGCAGAGTAAATTATATGTCGTCATAAAAGTATATTTTCTTGTATCGCGGGCGGAAAACAGCCATAATCCACGATCATTGCCTGGAGGTAAGAATCTTAACTGGACATGGGGTAAAAATTCGACAAAAGGGAGAGAAGAGATCCGAGAAAGAGAAGGCTTCTGCCGACTCTGGACTTGCTTCCCCTGTATGAGCCAAGGCGCTGCACGGCAACTAGGAATCGGCACATCACAGTCATCTTGAAACTTCATGCGTCTTCGTCTGCTCAAGGAAAGTCCCTTGTAAGATGGGATGCGCGAAACATCGTGCAAGATGCAAATATGTAGAGGCTTGAACCGGGCAGGACGGGATAAAGAGATTGTTCAGTCTCGTCCAAGGCTTCCTAGTTGGGTAGGATTGGGCTGGAGCAGCTGCGACTGGTTTGGCATGGTCTGGTATCTGATATTGGCGTCTTGACCGTGTTGTTTGTTCCATGATCCCATTTCTTGGTCGCACTGCCAAATTGGAGGGCGGAATCGCTCGAGACGAATAAGTGTTGTTACGGGCCGCACGTCTGATGGAGAGACTCGCTCGCAATGACTGACTAGGTATTTACTAGTATTCATCCACCCCACCTGTGATCGAGCGGCAAGAGACAAGCGGAAGACTGCGCTGAGAAACTGAAAATTTGCTGATGACTTAAGATATTTTGGTCTCTTTGAAGCTGCAGTTGATGCGGCTGTGGGTACTTGTACGAAGGTACTCTCGTACTGTACCCGTACCATTCATTGTACGGGCTCCTGCAGCATTGTCGTCATTGGACGTGCCACGGTGCCATGGCAGCACCAGCAACCAGCCCACGTCCACGTCCACGTCCAGGCCGCTAGTGGCTTGATATTGACTGCGGTGCGGAACCAAGGCGAGGGAATAATACTGTAATGGAGGGGAGCAGAACTCGGGAGCACCGTACCGTAGATAGGTAGTAACTTCGTAAGTAGTAGTAGTATTAGGGCAGCTAGTACTGTAGGTAAGGAAGCCCAGACTTCAGTCAAACTCAAAACCTTCTTCCTCCTCCTCCTCCTCCTCTTCCTCCTCTTCTTACGTTACCTAGGTAAATTTACAGGCTGTAAGACCAGACGCCAAACGCTAGAGAGTCTCCTTTCGTCTCCTCACCCCGCCCGCCTTACCGGACGTCCCTCACTCTTCTCCCTCCTTTGCTCGCTCACATGCACAACAACATCTCTCTCCCCTCTTCAGAGCTCATGCAAACCGCTTCGATCCCTACTCGCACCAAACCAGCTCGACCCAGCCCCCACAGGATATACCTTCACCTCTGTTTGCGCTTCAACTCTTCCTCCAGACTCTAAGCTGGTCGGTGTACCTTTGCCCTCTTATCTTGCTCGCCTGGCCCAGCAGTCTCTCGACCGCGACTCAGGGCCTGCTCGCTCGCTAGTCGTCATCTGCCAGGATCCCACCGGACTCCTTCTCGTCAACACCGTACTTCCCTGTCCATAATCTTCACAATCCGGCTTTGGGATCTTTGGGCACGACTCCCCCCGTCCGCCTTTTGTTTGTTCTCATGTGCTGGCACCGAGCGACCCTTCTTCCCTGCACACCGTGTCGACAACAAACCTCATCCTAAACTAGCACTGTGAGTATCACCTTTACTATCCAGTCAGTCGCACCTAAATGCATAGCAACATGCTTTTATATCCCCACGCTGTACCGGTAATCACCCTGTCTCCAATCTATTGCATGATATTACTGGATGTCAATTGTCGATTGCCATATTTCTCCGCGATCTCTGGTAACAGCGCGAGATGTGCATCCAGGAAGATCAAAACAGAGCCTCTTTCCTTTTTATGACCTCCTTCTAATCACCCGCTCTTTCCAACTCTTTGAAAAGCAAAGGGAAGACATTGCTCGAGACACATAATAATAACACCCATCATGTCAGAGCCGGTAACATTATCATATTATTCCCACCGAGGGACCATTTATTATACCCCCGCCAACCTCTTCGCCCACAAGCTTTCCCCAGCAACACTTCCGGCGCCTCCGTGTCGACCCCGACAACGACGACCACACTCGATACATATCACTCGTCTGCCAGCAGGATTCGTACCATTCGACCTACGGCCGGCACCACCACCAAAACCTCCAAAACAGCCCTCCAGGTTCCGCCTAGAATTAAGAAAGCTGGCTTCCAGGGAGAATGCAAAGCGTGTGCTAGGATCGGTCTTCTCTCCATTCTCCTCGAATTCCTCAACCGCTACGTCCTCAGCGGCCAGTTCTACAAGATCTGAGAGTCCAGGACTCGGGGGTCCATCACCCAGGGCATCACTGTCCTTAGGGCCATCGGATCCGAACACAATATTTGCGCGGAGGGCAGCAGCGGCAGGTAATTTACCTGCAAATCCGCCCGTCACAATGCCCCGCCCATCTTTGTCGGACACAACAAATGGCTCGACTCCAAGAGACAGCTTGGGAGGAGGAAATACGCCACGGGCTAGTTTCAGTGCTGGTGGAGCACCGAGGTCAAGAAGTGGCAGCGCAGCACCATCTTACAAAGCCGCAAGTTCCGTCGAGACAGAGAAGCCAGTGTGCTCAGGAAATGGAGTGGCGTGCTACATCAATCTTGCAGAGCCTGTGATTTTTCTCACAGGTCTTGACCATGATGGTACGACTCGCGATTCGGGATCCAACACGACCTCTATTTTGCGTGGAAAGCTCATTTTGAACGTCACCAAGAATGTCAAAATAAAGGCCGTGACAATGAAATTCACGGGACGTGCTAGGACGGAGTGGCCAGAAGGTAAGAACGGCGGGCGATGTGTCATGTACAGTCATTGACATTTACTTAGGTATCCCGCCCGAGAAGACTACTTTGTATGAAGAAGATTCGCTCAGGACACAGGTACTCCCGTTCTTCAACGCTTTGTATGAGGGTTCGGAATCTGGATTCGGTGCCATGTGTAATTACGCGTTGCGAGGCGATAAATCAGCAAATTCTTCTGTAACCAACTTAGCCTTGGAAAATACAGAGACTGCCAGCGGATTTTCTCTTCCGGGTATCACCAACCGCTCTAGCAGATCTAGCACTCTGCTTTCAGCCAAGGAGCAGAAGAGGCTTTCTCTGCAGAGTAACCAGTCTCGAAGTTTCACCAAATCAGAATCACCCTTTGGACCATCTCCACAACAGAAAGGTTTCAAGACGTTCTATCCTGGAATTTACGAGTACAATTTCGAGTTGCCCATTGACAACAACAGTCCTGAGAGTTTGAAATTGGTATTGGCTTCGGTTAAGTGGCAGCTGGAAGTTTTGGTTGAGCGAGCTGGAACTTTCAAGCAGAATCTTCAAGGATTCAAGGAAATTCCGGTTATTCGATCGCCTTCGGAAGACTCATTGGAGCTGGTGGAACCCATCTCCATCAGTCGGCGCTGGGAGGACCAGCTCTACTATGAAATTATGATTTCCGGAAAATCCTTTCCTTTGGGCTCGAGGATCCCGATCGCGTTCAAATTGATGCCCTTGGCGAAAGTTCAAGTACATAAGATCAAGGTTTACATCAGCGAGAATATCGACTACTATGCAAAGAACCGAAAGGTTACAAGAAGAGAAACTCAACGGAAAATTCTTCTTTTCGAGAAATCTGCTGGGAAACCGCTTGCTAAAGAATATCAACCGTCAGAGGTCAGAATCACACGAGGTGGCGAGCAAGCTCCAGAAGAGCGATCGCACAACCGAGAGTATGAGCAGAACCGAAGACGGATTGAAGCTCAACGCAATAATGTCGAACCTGAACCTCTTCCTGAGCCAACTGATAACTTACTTGGCGACATCGACCTTGGATTGCCTAGTCTTTTGGGTGCCACCGAGTTGGAAATTGATGTTCAGCTGCCCACTTGTGAAATGATGGCGAAGGACAGAACGAAGAAATTGACCCACGATTGCACATGGAAAAACGTTGATGTGCACCACTGGATTAAGGTAATGGTTCATCCCATTCTATTTTGTATAACCAGACTGACCAGCGCTAGATCGTCCTGCGAATCTCGAGACTAGATGCCGATGATCCAACAGGGAAGAAACGACGCCATTTTGAGATCTCCATCGATTCTCCTATTTCACTTCTCAATTGTCGGGCAACGCAAGCCAATCTTGCCCTGCCATCATATTCTGATGGGAATAGCAGTCTTCTCAGTCAGCAACACGTTTGTGGATGCCCGAACTCAGAGTTGGCAACGCCTCCAGCGATGTCCGGATTGGAAAGTCAAAATCCAATCAACGGCAGTGGAACTTTCCCGGGCAATGAGAACGCTTTGCCAGATCTCGCCAGACCGCCTCAGGCGCACCTGGCGACAAATGCTGCAGCGGGCGTTCAACGGCCCATCCATTTGATTCGGGCACCGAGTTTCAACCCTCCGCCATTTGATGCCGAAGAGGCTCCGCCGCCAATGGTCACTCCACCGCCACTATATGATCACGTTGTGGGCACTCCCAGTCACGATGGACTGGCAGATTATTTCGATCGGTAAGTGACAGCCTCATAGCTGTGTGAATATTTCATGCTGATCTTCTTGATAGTCTTAGTTACTTTGAGAATGCAGATTCAGACGACGATGAGGGGTTGAATAGAGCTACCAGTCGTGGCCGTGTCAATATCGTAAATCCTCGCACACCTGGCGGGAGATTGGCTAGAAGCATGGAGATCGACCGTAATTTCATGAATGCTGCCCTCGCCAATAACGCCATCGACGGTGCCAGGACTCCAACGGAAGCATCAGGTCCCCACCTCACCCTTCCCAGCCACTAATAAAAGTACTTTGAAACAACAATATTCTTACTCAAACCCGAAAATAGCATTTGCTCTGTACATAGCAACAAAGGCGGGCGTCGACGATGATAGTCAGGAGATATACCACGGGATTGGAACGAATTGGTGGCCGTCTTCACGGCCACGGAGCTACTCTTTGTTTGATAGGAGCATGGACAAACGGGTGTTTGGATTCTGATGAGGTTGGATTGGTTTACATGCACTGGTGACGGACAAATCCTTAGGTTTAATGCATAAATGGGAAGGCAGTGGCGTTATTTTTATATACCGGTATTCAGCATGGGATTTCTGGCGTTGGGGCAATGAATGATTCATGCTATGCATGTTTGGGAGTATGAGTATATGAATTCCAGCGTACAAAAGTGGCGAGAATGGAAATCCGATGACTATTGATTGTACTGTTCAAATTTCCAACCAGTGTTGCCTTTAGTGAGCTGAGCTGATCCTAATATCAGTGGCAAAAGAGAGGTCACGTCGTGTGCTGAGTCCAGTCATACTCCGTGACAGCCATCACCCATTCCCCATGGACTTTCATCCCTACTACCGATATCCATCGCGAGCTACAGCAGCTCCACTGCTCGGCCGCATTCCGAGTCATAAGAAAATCCCAAGTCCAAAATGTCAACCATAGACGACACACGCGACCACACCGCCTCCGCCCTGCCACCTTCGATTGGGCATCACGATTCGAAAATTTCCCGACTCAAAAGAAGGGGACTGCGTACCTCACACTAGTGAGTAGCTTAGACTTAGACAGACCGCCTTGCTTATTTCAGAGTACTGAGTCAAGGTGCTTGCTTCGTAGGGCTGGGAGAAATGGATTTTAATGTATGGGATGTTGAAGAGATGGGTAAGCACGTGAAATGGGAAGCGTTGTCAGGGACCATGTCTTATGGCGGTTGGTCAAAATTTGAATTCGAAATTGAAATCGCTGTACCCTAGAGATAGTTCTATGAGCTCGTATTGAGAGCCCCACAGGAACTTGGTTCTGGAACTGCAGCGTTTGCAGGTCGTCCTGTTTGTTTACTTACTTGCCTGCCAGGCCTGAGGTTGAACAGCCATGACCTATGGTCCAAGGACTGAAATTAGCCTCTTTGCGTCCTGGGTACATATCCCTGGTTCTTGAGACTTGATGTATTTTCAGGGACTCTGACGTGTAATCAGGGAAATCAAAGAAACTGCCAACTCCAGAGTCGTTCATCCATTTTGCCTGAATCCAGCTTGTTACTTCGCCGCCCTTGGGATACCCCCCTACTGGAGCACTTCCCTGTTTTATATATCAAAAATTGACTTCGAGTTTATCGAACTGGACTGAAGAGATGGGAGGCATAGAAAGTCTTGGTCTCGTATTGGATCAAGCAGATTCTGATAAACCAAGGGAAATCAAGGTATTGTGGATACTTCGACCACCGAGTGGTTATATAGGATTTGTTATGTGTTCCAAATACATACCATCCAAGGATTGACCACCGATCCTCGTCGGTTGTTACCTTGAGTCTGAAGCAGGTCTTAGTTAAAGATCAAGAAGAAATTATGACTCGAACTTCTCAAGCCAACTACTTCGCCATAGCTCTGACGAAATGATTTTCTACAGATTCACATTTAATCGCTCAATTCCCCTTCAAACTCCCTATCCGGCTTCACACTCCACTCCCAACTCAGCAAATCTCTGGTTTCTCCACCCTTCTTATTCTCTGGCCATTTCTCCGTCCCTTTCTTTGGCTCGACAACACCTTTACCCCCAGTTTCTTCCGCCAACCTCGCGATGATCTTCTGACTGGCGATGTTCCCTCCTTCAGCACGGCCAATAACTTTCCGTACACCGAACTCATTCGCAGCATACCGGAGCAGTGCTCGAGTTGCGGCTTGCATGATGCGTTTGCCATGGTGCTGTGCAGAGTTAATCAGCTTGGTTAGCTACAAATGAGGTGTTTGAAGGTAAGAAGCCTGCATTCCTTCCCGATAAAACTCCCAGAGCTTAGAAACACATAGGAAATGTCTGAAGCGAGATACCACTTACATCAGGATGTAGCCAATACCCCACCTCACCAACCTGGGGATTGCAAGAATGAGGCGAGATAGAGCAACACCCAATCAATTTCTCTCTATGCCGTATAACCTGTAAAGGTACCTGCCGTATCGGCATATCACTCTTCTCATCGAAGAACATCTCATTGCGCTCTTTGACCGTGGGAAGAGGAAGGAGAGCGCGAGTTGCGGTGAGTTGATTGTCGAGCCAGAATTTGGCATCATCGCGCGTGTAGCTGTGTAAATATTAGTTCCGCTCAGTCACTGAAAATAAGGCGAAGATCTTGGTGCCATGTGGCTTTGTTTTTGTTCTCAAGCCATGGAAATAAGGGGCATGCGAGAAGAGCAATATAGGATAGACATGTGACAATGGTGACTTACGGTTTCGGCACATTGATCAATTCGTCTATCAGGGATTCAATCTGGAAAGCTTCGAACAGGACATCTAGATCGTCTTCACGATAGGTTGTGAGGAAGTATTCTCCGACTAGAACGTCCAGTCTGATTGATTGGTCTAACGACGTGTCTGCATTGCACTTGGTCAAATTTGACACTCAAATGCAAGATTCTCAAAGTGGGGTTTAAAAAGGGTTGCGTGTAAACTCACTCAATGTTGTGGGTGGCATGGTGAAAGGCTCTATGGACTCCACTCGAACTTGTCAATCGACTTGTAACAGGAGGTTTTGAATATGGAATTAATGGCAATGGGAGGTGGGCAGATTTGGTAACTTTTATGCGTGGAGATGCGATGACTCGAGCGTTCTAACAGTCCACTACCGCGATGGAAATGAGTCAAATGCTGGAGAACGGCGAAAGAGAAAACAAGCGAAAATTGCTCATGCTATGCCACGCCGTAAGCATATGCTCTTTCAATAAGATCATCGATGAGAAAATGCGTGGAAACCAAGATGACTATGAACCCAATGCCTGCTGCACCTTTCTGAAGTGCGCTTGGCATGGAAGTCGGCTCGGTGACGCGATACGCTGATTTGTCACATAAATATCTCAACGACACTCTTGGGAAAAGAAGTGAGACGACTATGCTGGTGCTTCTGCATTCAATTCTACCTTAAATACCCCAAACAATCAAATGCCTGATTCATAAAACGCCATGGTACATCCCCTCCCTTTGCAGGCCATCCTTTTACTCCAACACAAAACCAAGTAATGTAATCGCAAAGGAACCAGACCATGCTGGCCCTTTTCCAAAGTAACGTAATCGAACAGAAAAAGAAAGAGATCGGTTTCAACATCAAATACAAGAAGGGAACCGACTTTTGTGTTGAAAAGTCAAAGGTAAAACTGGCTCGTCGCTGAATATCCAGGCCGTCATGTCGTCGAAAGCATTCGTCGTGAGCTTCATGACATCTATTGCAAGAACGAGCAGCAGCGATAATATCACTGCCAAGATTTGTAGACTACAATGAGTCAATCGTGAACTGCCAAGGGTCCAGAATTTATCTAGAAGGCGTCTTCGTCCGTCCAATTTGCGTCACTTCCAGATACGATACGAGCTTCCGTGACACCAGCTCGACTCTCATAAGGAGGATATCCCTTCTGCTTCTTGGGCTGTCCTCCCTGCCCATAATCTTCGGGAGAGAAGCGCTTTCCATGGGCAGCTCGGAGCTTTGCGTAGTATGCATCTGATGCGTCTTGTTCAGGTTCCGAGTCGTCCTCAATTGTTTGCCAATTCTCTGAACCAGAAACGGTTGTGTTGTTCGATGTGTTGGAGATTTGTCGGCTTGGGGGTGCCTGTGGATATGGGTGTGTGTCTCTCTCGTTCTGGCGCATGGAGGATTTTAATTCATGATACGATGGGGGTCGAGTATTCCGCTGAGATTTGGAGTACCCGTCATCGTAGAAAGCATCCTCAGGTGTTACGTGACGAACGCTACCGATACTCGAGGTTACGCTCTCGGAACGATACAGTGAATTCGGTGTTGGAGTTGGTGCTGGTGGTACAAAAAGATCCCGCATCTTCGGTGGAGGAGCTCTACTTGGTGGTGGTCCCATCTTTCCTCGAAGAGTACTCGTCTCTTGGGCACGGCGCTCGGGGGAATTGCCACCATGGTTGAGATTGGAAAGTGGTGCTCTTGCGGGAATTTTCGACGGGGATTTGGCGCCAGTGCCTGCCATCGGGTTGCGTCTAAGAGTTCCACCAGCGGTTGGAGTCTTCGCACCAGTTCTTGGTGGAGGAGCTTTCATGACACTGTTTGCGCGACTTGGAGGTGCCGACTTTTGCGCCTTTGGAGCAGCTGGCGGCGGTCCCGCGGGTGTTTTCGATCGTGGGCCAGGCAGAGGTTTTGGTTCAGAAGCTTCGAGTGTTTCCAAATATCTTTCCCCACAAACCAAGAAGGGTCGACCGTATTCATCCTCCCATTTCTCCAAGACCTGGTTAAATTAGCTGCATGCACATGCAAGTCATTTCATCTGAGCGTAGATATTCAATGCAGCCTTGTGGGTCTGAAACTCCATTTGGTCATAAAAGGGGCTCGCTTACCTTTCTCAAATCAACAGCAATCTTCGGTAAGTCCTTCGCGATTCTCTTTCTCATCTTCTCTTCCCTCAGTAGACGTGTTGGGTCTCTCTTCTCACCCTTTTGACCGCGGCCCAGTAATCGAGATGCATCTTGACTCGAAGCTTGCAGGTCATCACGATCCTTAACAAGAGATCTGTGCTTATCGATGAGTGCCAGTGTTGGAGCACGTTGTTCCTTCAAAGCTTCCAGTCTTCCGATCTCCTGTTCATGCGCCTCGAGTAAGGCATCGCTATACACATCTGAAAATGCCGGCGTAAATTCCAACATCTCTTCTTCTGAAAAATACAGTCCATCCCAAAGCTCTTGGAGCTTGTACCGAGCGTCTTCCACAAATAGGTGAAGATTTTGTCTCTTGAGCTCATTCAGCCTGGACAATTCGTCTTCAAACTCGTTGATCTGTCGAACACCACATCCTCGATTGCTGTTGCAGAACTTCTTTCTCTCGTGCTCCTCGACACCTAATCGCTCCCAAAGACCTCCCACAGTCGCTTTCAGATCCTTTAGGCGCTTTTCACGTGATTTCTTCTCGTCTGCGAGCTTATCTCTTTTCGACCGCAGTCTAGCAATGTCATCCTCGTGAAGACCCAATTGCTCAGGAGAATCCCGGTAGTATTTAACAATCGTGCCATCTGTCTGTGCCTGGGGTGTGCCAAGCTCGGCCCAAAGTTGGATGATGTGCTCAGATAATGCCTTCACTGTTGCAACTCGACGCGTATATTCCTCATAGACTCGGGTGAATTCATCATCGAGGGCGGTTACGTAAATCGAGGAAAGGTCGAAGGTTGGTGGGATTGTAGAGTTTGGAGAGGTGGGAGGAAGCGTAATTTTAATGAAGGATGGTTCGAGGTGTGACGAGTAGGATTCGAGGGCTTGGACAAGTTCTAAGGATCTTTAGCATATGATATTCTTGTGGGTGAGATTAGTTGTCCTACTCTTCACTTGTTCGAATCTCTCTCTGTGTAACTTGGAAATCGTGAGGTGCTTCTCCTTCAATCCTTGTACACATCGCAATAATGGATAGGTGATCTTGAGATTCGCGTCTTCAGCCTCGTACTCGTGCCGTGATTTATTATCGTCAAGGGAAGCTTCCATCTGCTTGATTGTGGTTATGATACGTTGGGCTTCTTCTGTCAAGTCATTCTTCTCGGCAGCGACCAGCCGTACTTGGTTGTGCAGAGTCTCGGAGAGTGCAGAAAACAACTGTCTGAAGTCAGCTCCTATTTGTTCTAAGATCGTGTTCTGTCTGTGCAACTTACCTCCGACTCTCGACTTTCGCGTTCATGGTTGGGAACTCCTATCTCATCAAAGAGACCGTGGAGCTGGCCAATGATTGTCGAGACCTGCGAAGAGAGGTAACTGGTATCCATCATGCGAGTTCGTTTTCTCTGACTGACGGGTCTTTCGTCGGATTGATAGTTGGTTGAAGATGACCGAGAGCGTTGTGTTCAGTCGTCGTTGTTGCGCAAGGGATAAAGCGCGTCGAGCTCAGGTCTCGTTCTTTTCCCAAATCTATTGTAGTAATACAAAGAAAGAGGTGTCTGTCGGGATTGACGTAGTGGCGGATATCGAAGATTGGCCGCGAGATTTGGACCGCGAGGTGGGAGAGACAGGTGTAGGTGTAGTAAGGAATCGAAAATCAATGTCAACAATGCTCAAGACGTGATCGCGACAGCGAGACCTCCGAAAATGATGCCGTACAGCTCATCAATAGCGAACAAACGTGCAATCTTGTTCTTCTGTAGGTAGAGATTATCGTTCAGGAGCCCACGGGTTCGGCGTGGAGTATGGGTATATTCTAATCGTGAGGGGGCTAACGGAAAGTAAACTGTGCAATCACCATAGCAACCGACCCCAGAAGCACCGCTTGAAGCTACAACATGAAACCTACCCCCCTGTCGCACCCACTGGAGCTGCAGCCCCGCCCGAGACCGACAAGGCTGCAGCTTAACCTCGCGATCAAGCTCGAGCTTCCATTCCACTTCGTTTGGTGACCTTAGCTCAACCACCTATCCCCTCAACCAAACCAACAACACCAATACTGCCTGATCTACGTCATGGATACTGCGCGCAAAACATGGGAGCTCGATAACAACGTCGAACTTGTCGATCCCCATCGAGATAACCTCTATACCTATGATTCCGCCGAGCAGAAAGCCCTAGGTGATGCCAAACCATGGAAGACCGACCCCCACCACTTCAAGAATGTCCGAATCTCAGCTGTGGCTCTCCTGAAGATGGTGATGCATGCACGGTCTGGGGGTAGTATCGAAGTCATGGGCTTGATGCAAGGAAAGATTGCAGGAGATACGATCATCGTCACAGATGCTTTCAGATTACCGGTTGAAGGCACCGAAACAAGAGTTAACGCCCAGGACGAAGCAAACGAATATATGGTCGGATATCTTCAAGCTTGCCGGGATCAAGGCAAGCTGGAGAACGCTGTGGGATGGTATCATAGTCACCCTGGTTATGGCTGCTGGCTGTCGGGTATTGATGTTAGCACACAAGCCACTCAGCAGACCTTTTCTGACCCTTTCCTTGCCGTGGTCATTGATCCCGATCGAACTATCTCCGCTGGGAAGGTCGAAATCGGTGCTTTCAGAACATACCCAGAGAACTACAAGCCGATCGGCTCGGGGGCAGATGACGGATACCAGACCATCCCGCTGGCAAAGGCTGAAGACTTCGGTGCTCATGCAAGCAGATATTATTCGTTGGAGGTTTCGCATTTCAAGAGTTCGCTGGATACCCATCTATTGGAGCTTCTATGGAACAAGTACTGGGTACAGACGCTAAGCCAGAGCCCGCTCTTCACCAACCGCGAGTATAGCAGTAAGCAGATGCTTGACCTGAGTTCCAAGATCAGACAGGCAGGCGCCGCCATTTCGAGAACTGGCCGACAAATGACGTCGATGCCGAACAGGGCTACGGACCAGCAGCTGGAGAAGGTGGTTAGGGATAGCAACAAGATTGCTGGGGAGGAAGTCACGGGTCTGATGGCGGGAGAGGTCAAGGCGAAACTTTTCAACGGGCTAGGTCATGTTGCGAAAGTTGAGCCTGCTCCAGAAACCAAGGTTGCAGCGGCTGAGTCGTAGAGGGCAGTTAATGATTTTTTGCAGATCTCAGATGTGGCGGCTGGAGATGACTTAGATTCTGATGAGCATTTCTGGGCGTATGAACTGACTGAAAATGGCGTTGAAGCGGGTATGATGAATCATGATTGTGGCTTCTAGCTTAGACCAAAGATCTGACGTGGGAATGAAGCATGGCTGCAGCGAATATGTGGAACTTTTTTGAAAACATCGAGTACGTGATAGTCACCACACGAGATGTATCCAGTAGGAGCAAGAAATGCTTGTCTCTAATCTAGTATACATCAAATGAAGTGCTCCTGCCTTGAGCTTATACCTACATTTTCTAGTCACATATTTGTACAACACATCCTCACACCCAATTCGCTGTTTCCTCCTGTCCCTCCTCCCCAGCCTTCTCCTTCGTAAACTGCCTCATCATCAGCCCCTCCGCAAGCTGCAACCTGCTGACCGTCTCTCTCCTCCCCAGAATACTCATCATCTCCGCCCCATCGGGCCCAGGTTTCCCAGCAGCAACAGCCCATCTTAAATAACCATGCACCAGCTTCGTCCAAGCCTTACTCATGACCTTATCCAGCTCCTCCGTCATCCCTATCGCTTCACTACCACGCTCCTCGTTCAAAGCCGCAAGACTGAATTCCGCACCCTGCTTGATAATCCACGATATTCTGTCACGAATGACCTCGCTTCTCCAATCATCGTCTGTGATCTCCACTATACCTTGGAATAGCATCATCGTTTCTGGTTCAGGAACATACGGGATTCCGGCTGGGACTTTGTGAAGCTTGAAACTGGGGATCGAGACGCTAATTTCGGAAAGGGTGGGTGCGATGAAGAAATGTGTGTTGCGTTCGATGTAATCACTCGGATTGGTGTAGTTCTGGGCGTCGATGTGGAGGATGGATGAGATGAAGTCTTCACGAGCTTCGCCTGCAGGATAGGTGCTGTATACCGGGAGATCTTGCTTGGTGAGACGCTCGTCCAGCAGTTTGACGATTGGTTTCACAGCCAGGTGCCTTAGGGAATGAAGAAAATTATCTGATTCCTCGGGCATGGAAGCATAGCGAGCAGCGTGGCGTTTCTGGAGGAAGTCGAGTTTTTCGAACCCGACGATTGAGTCGCCCCGAGTGTATTTCATGCTGGCGTTCCTGATGAGATCCTTCATACTCATGATATCTCGACCTACGTTATGAGACCAGCCGAGGAGAGCTACAAAGTTGGTGAGCGTTTCTGGAAAGATGCCGAGCTCACGATAGGAGGAGATATCTATGGAGCCAGTTCTTTTACTGAGCTTCTGTTTGTTCTTGTCGAGGAGTAGGCCGACGTGTGCGAATGCTGGAGGTTCCCATCCGAATGCTTGGTACATTGCTAGATGTTTTGGGGTAGATGACATCCATTCCTGTAAGTAATGTCAGTATCAGTTATGTCCCGGCGGAGAATGTATCTTACAGAGCCTCTGATAACATGGGTGATCTCCATGAGATGATCATCCACAACATTGGCAAGGTGATATGTAGGGAAACCATCCGATTTCAGTAGGATGGGATCGTCATATGACCCGAAAGCTCCAAGACCCTTGCCCTGAGATCGAGGAATGGATGTGAAGTCGCCTCTCTGGCGGACAAGACCGTAAACTAAGTCATTATATACTGGATACTTGTCCGGAACTTTCAGCCTGATAACATGGGATTCTCCTTTAGATGCTCGGTCATCTGATTCTTCTCTGGGAACGTGTGTACATGCTCTATCATAATCTGGTGGGAGACCCAGCTTAGCCCGATGCTGTGCCAAGGCAAACAATCGCTCTGGTGTGCAGAAACATCGATACGCATTGCCAGATTCCAGTAACTTCTCCGCATGTTCGCGGTACAATGCTGTTCTTTGAGACTGGACTGGAGTTAGCTTAAGAGCATTCTTTGGAATGTGCGAATAAACTTGCTTGGTTATAAGGCCCAAATGGGCCCCCTATTTTGGGACCTGTGCTGGATCAGTAACATAGACTTCGCAGAAATGGATCAGATTCTAACCTTCATCCCATTCGATGCCCGCCCATTCAAGATCTTCAAAAAGCCTTGCTTCAGCATCAGGTATTGTCCTTTTCTTCTTCAGTCAGTACATGTTTGTTCTTTGTAGCTCAAATGGGATCACCTGATCAGTATCCTCGATCCGCAAGAGAAATTGTCCTCCTGTAGCTTTTGCCACCAGATAGTTGAAGAGAGCAGTCCTTAATGACCCTAAATGCAGATATCCGGTTGGTGAAGGGGCGAATCTGGTCCTGGCCGGACCTTCATTGCGGAGTGCATGCGAGGCTGATGATAGAGAAGTGTACTCTCTAGGTTTTGCCTCCTTGGTAAAGCCACGGCAAGAATGACAAATCCATCGAAATGTCGGTATCCTCCTTGTACTTGACAATAACGGCTGCATTACTTCGATCAGTTTCAACACAGTTCGAGAAGAATCGAGTCATTCTTTGTACTTTGATTCAGTCCAATCCCGACGCTTGCCATACAGAACATTTTGCCAGCCGGGTTGGCCCGTGCCCGCTTGTCCAGGACATTTTTTAGCGGTAATCAATCGTTGAGTTCGAAACTTTCCCATTTGACAAGGCCTGCGCATATTTTTGCGCCTCTTCTTTGTGAATACAACAACTACGAGGGCGTATATTTAGGCCATATTTTGCAAAGAAATCTGTGCCTGAAGTCTCCCGAAAAACCGCTCCGAATCCTCCTTCAAATCTATCAATCCCGCAAACCCCTCCATCATGGCGTCCAACGGCACAGCCGAAAGCGAGGAGATCGATCTCTATGGTAAGTCAAATTATTTGACTGTGCTCATGAACCCTACTGACCCTCGTAGAACTCCTTGGGATCTCCAAGACTGCCACGAAAACTGAAGTCAAAAAGGCGTATCACAAGGTGCGTATTGTCTGCAGCCTCGCAGTGACGACGCTGACAAGTTCTAGGCTGCCTTACAGCATCACCCCGACAAAGTCGCAGAGGAATTGAGAGAAGAGTCTGAATTGAAGTTCAAGGCAGTTAGCCAAGCATACGAAATCTTATATGATGAGGAGAAGAGACATCTCTACGACACCCATGGCATGGCCGCCTTCGATCCCAGCCGAGGAGGTCCTGGAGGTCCTGGCGGGGTAGATCTGGATGATATACTGGCCCAAATGTTCGGTATGGGAGGTGGTATGGGCGGTGGTATGCCTCCAGGATTTGGTGGTGAGGGTGGCCCAAAACGACAAAGACGAGGACGGGACGAGGAACAGAAGTACCGGGTTACTTTGGAGGAACTCTACAAAGGAAAGACTGTCAAGTTTGCCAGTACAAAGAACATCATTTGCAGTCACTGTAAAGGCACCGGCGGAAAGGAGAAATCTAAGCCAGCAACCTGCGAGAGATGTAAGGGTAATGGTGTCACAGTTGGGCTTCGATCTGTCGGTCCAGGACTGGTTACCCAGGAGAGAATGGTCTGCGATACTTGCTCGGGTACAGGAAAAATATTCAAGGAGAAGGATAGATGCAAGAAGTGTAAGGGAAAGCGGACAACCTCGGAAAAAAAGGTACTGGAGATTTACATCCCGAGAGGAGCGCGTGAGGGCGAACGGATAGTTCTGGAAGGCGAGGCAGATCAAGTACCGGATCAGATCCCTGGGGATATCGTTTTCACACTTGTTGAGGAGGATCATGAGATCTTCCAGAGAGCTGGTGATGATCTCTCAGCGGAATTGAATGTTACCCTTGCGGAAGCTCTCACTGGATTCTCAAGAGTAGTCTTGAAGCACTTGGACGGCCGTGGTATCCACCTCAATCATCCTCAAGGAAAGGTTCTCAGACCCGGTCAAATATTAAAGGTTGCAGGAGAGGGAATGCCACTGAAGAAGAGTGATGCCAAGGGAGATCTCTACTTGGTCGTTAAAGTCGAGTTCCCTGAGGATGGATGGACCGAGGATGCTTCAGCTTTTGCCGAGCTGAACAAAGTTCTACCCAAACCTGCGCCAGCTATTGAAGCTACTGAAATTGATGAAGTGGAGTATGACTCTGATGCTGAGATTGACGATGTATGTTTTCCCAGGTCGAATTTCTTGGATTCTTGCTGACATGTACAGTTTGGTGCCAATTCTGGAGATCCACGCGCTGGTGGTGGTTGGGAAGATGATGATGAGGAGGAGGGCCAAGCACAATGTGCACCTCAGTGATTGTCTTTCATGATAACGATTGTCTTTGCATCTCGGCGGCTTTTTTCATGACGGTGTATCACAGGGTTTTTATGATGATAGATGAGAATCAGGGTTGGTCTTCCGCGGTTCTTATGGATAATTACCGTACATAGACCAGGCGTAAAATTTGAATTAATGGCATGTCTCCCATCACGTCAAAACATATCCTTTCCCTATCGTGGACATCATCTAGTATTAGAACATAGACCAGATGCATTGGAAAGCCCGTGCCAAAAAATGCGGGCAGACATCCCGATCTTTTTGAAGTGGCTAATATGAGACGAGTTGAATGTTCGAGTTACCTTTGTGACATTGAGAGGAACCATTTGGAGAGCGAGAGCAATGCCTGTAAAAGTCCTCAGGCTGGGTCATCCAAAGAAACATTGATCCGGATACAGGAGCCCCATACCCAGGATTCGACTGAGTATGTCTCCCATACCCACCTAATATGTTGTAAATAAATCTTTTGACATTGGATTTTGTTCTCTCGTCATCCAGGATATTATAACCAGAAGAAATTGGGACAATCCATTTCATGAGGTTAAGAAAGAAAGATAATTCGGCTTAGTCATCCCAGCCAAAGCCTTGTGGGCCCAGCACGTGATTGGCTCGCTTCGAAAACGGAAGGCACACAGCGAGCCCCCAATTGCGAAAACTTGGAGATCGCGAACTTTTCAACCTCCATCGACAACCACCCACCGAAACCGACGACAAGGTACGTCCACGACTCTGCGAAACCTCGCAAACACTCGCGGACCTCAATCAGATCGCTGACATTTAATCCAGATGGTTTCCGCCGCCAAGCACGTTCCTATCGTGAAGAAGCGTATGTTCACCTTCAAACCGAAATTTGCGCCTCGACGAGCTTGGAGATGAAGGATATGGGCTGACGATTAGATATACAGGCACAAAAAGATTTCATAGGCACCAGTCAGACACTTACAAATGCCTCGACGCCAGCTGGAGAAAGCCTAAGGGTATTGACAATCGTGTCCGAAGACGCTTCAAGGGACAAATGGTTATGCCATCGGTACGTGAAAGGGATAGTTGAGGTTCATGGCGGACAGGCTCGTCCTGGGGATGGCGAGATTCTGGACGGCCATGAACCTCTGGCTCAGCACAAGAAGGACAAGGGCTGATGAAATTATTAGATTGGTTTTGGATCCAACAAGAAGACCCGCCACATGATGCCATCCGGACACAAGGCATTCCTCGTCAACAACGTCCGTGATGTCGACCTTCTCCTCATGCACAACAAGACCTTCGCTGCCGAGTACGTTTTCCGGATGAAGCCCCAAGGCCCGCAGGACTAATGAGACACAGGATTTCGCACGCCGTTTCGTCGAGAAAGAGAATTGAGATCGTTGCACGCGCGAAGGAACTCGGTGTTAAGGTTACCAACCCCAAGGCCAGAGTCACAGTCGAGGTTTAAGTTGGTGATTTTTCGTTTGGGCACTTTGCATGGGGCACGGGATTACGGGTTATCATGAGCGCGAGCATTACAAAAATGTAGCACATGCTCCTCCGTCAACGAATTTTCAGCAACTACTTTGTACCAAGGTCGATCGGTATTCTAGTGACAGTGACGTTCATTCGGATTGTACGGCCTTCATCCATGATGGTGGTACACCTTCTCGTCCGGATTATCAACCTCAGACCAAGTCGCAAAACCAACATGCCACTTAGAAAGCGTCGATAAATCACACTTTCAATCTCTCAGCCAACCACGATTCTAGATGCCAATATATAAATTTCTTTCAGGCCTCTGAACATAGTTGATATCTGGAACCTTTCTAACCAAATGGTAGGAAATGTCGAAGGCCAAATAAGGTTATTTCCCCCCTTAATTCCATCATTTGGTGCTGTTAAGCAGTTTGTCACCACAACGTGTCACCCCATTGTCTCACTCTTTTCTGCGACTTTGCGCGATCTCTTTGGTTCTAGCAGGTTTGTTTGTAGTTTTCTTACATTTTCTTTCTGGGTACCGGGAGTATAGGTGCATTTGCTTCCTTCCCCTTGTATCCTATGTTTTAGCTCTCTTCATCGTGCCTTCCTAAGACATGTTTCTTCGTCTAATCCGAGTGAGGAGTACCTGTGCTATATATGTGTCTTCATCTTGCACCCCAGTTTCTCGTTCGGCACTGGCGCTCTCAGGCACTTTCATGAGCAATTCGCTTCTGTCACAGATGACAGGCGTGGTGTTCTTTTTTCGCCTAAGATAGTCATGAGCTTGATGTTTGAGATCCGTTCGCTGAGACGCAAATGCTCCGGCCTAATTACACTGATGTAGTTATGCAATTACCTCCTCCCTCAAGAAAGAGATCACTTTCCTTCTAGTGCTTTCGGATCTTCTACAGTAAAAGTATGCTACACTTATCGCTGAAGTCACGGGTGTAGTAGGCTTCTTTTACTTCCAGGTGTCACATGATAGGCCATATTTCGGTCATTATGACTATCAAAATTCTCTAGAATAGCTTCATAATAGCTTACCACATCCGTCTCCGTCCTAAAACATCATCTAGTCCTGAAGCTAGAGCATCAACGCAAGAAATCTAGCGCTTCCGCACAATTATTACTTTTTCCATCATCGTTCGCGCTTGAATAGCCTCACGATAGCGTACCAAGTTCTCATCAGTCGAAATGGCAATCTCTCTGTATAAGTTCTTGCTCCATGCCCTTCTCATTGTCATTCTCTCCCAACACACCTTTATCTTCCCACGACCTCTCTCTGGCTTCAAGCTCTTGAAATCTGTCAATATCTCTTCAATATCCCAGCCGCCACTCATCACTCCTGTACCTAAACCAACATCAACAAGCGGTTGCTCAAAATGGCGCCCAATCTCTTCCTCCTCGCAAAAAAGGCGGTCAGCCCCTGGAAATGGTGCTCATCTGAATCGAATTCGAGTCCGGACAGGCCCCATCTGTATTTTGGTAGAGAGCCAATTACCGGAATCTACGCAGTCTCTTCAAAAGGAAATCGATACCTAGTCGCCATCAGACCGAAGCGGAAACCAGATGTGGATGGCATATTTCAGACGACGAGAAATAACTCAGTGGGCGGCAAGCGCGACCTCGCTAAGTCACATGTTGCTTCCAACACAATGGTAAGTGCGAGCCTGTCATGAATCTAATCAACGTCGCCGTCAACCCTAAACCCTCAACTCGGTACCAGAAGATGAGAGTGACTCACAACGCTGTAGACTACCGAATATATCCAATCAACAGAGCTATACAACGAAAGAGCCAAAACTATCGTTCAGGTTACAGTTACGGAACTGCCAAGAGCTGTCAGTCCTTCTAGCACTACCTCAACAAGAAGCCGCACTAGCACGCACAAGTCGGAAATCCAGTACAGCACATACACCGAGTCGAGCTATTCAACCTGTAGTAAAAATCCAATAGTTTCATGCGACAAGTCCGTCAACAGCAAAGACTTCGTCATGAACAATACTGGCGTGTTACCTCACCAGAAATCACCATTCGGGAAAGACTGCCATCGCTACAAGCGACAATCACAGTCACCAATCCGATCAGCAAGGACCAAAATCGGTCAAATAGACCTTAATGGTTATCGCTTTCTCGCCAGACCACTCCTGGTGGAACATAACAACATCCTTGGTCGCTGGATGTTCAGTTCCGAAGTAAAGGCCAGGACCATGAGTGCTCCGATGTGTAAATCAGTTACATGTATGGAGACGGATATGAGACATTGCGGAAAGACTGTACAGAGAGAGTTGTTTGTATTAGATGACGGGGTCTCTTGGGTTATCGGAAATGGGAAGCGTAAGACTCCGTATAGGGGTGGAGAGTTTCTGTTTAAGTTAGATATGATCGATGATGAGCTGGGACTTCCGAGACGTCAGACAGTGCAGGAGGTTGAGGAGAGTGGGCATATGTTGGCCGAGAGGCACGGAAATTTCATAGTGGGTGACGATGACGTCGATTATGCGGCGCTGTTGAGATACTTGGATATGCCTACTATGGACATTTGATTTTGAAAAGATTGATGGTTCCTTTGAACGGGTCTCGGCAGATGGAAAAGTGCGAGGTTTCGATGATTGAGAATGCTTTGCTGCGCCATTGAGAATAGAGGATAAGACAAGGCTTTTGGGATATTGGACCTATTTACAGACTGTTAGATGATTTAGTATGGTTCTTGTTCTGACATGTTTCGATGTCACGCAATTTCCTTGGCACATTCAATAACAACATCAAGCATGAGCAATACCTAGTTTCATTATTGACCCAAACCACACTTCCATCAATATACTTCAACATCTCGTTGATAAATCCTGTCATAACCAAGATACACACATGCCTGGAGTGACTCGTGATCAAGTGCACAGCGATTGGTGATTTTTATGGGACGAATGCTCACAGCACTTAGTCAACCCGTGTATTGAACAGACCAACAGCTATGTACATAGTACTCTTTAGACAGCGTACTTGAGAAATCTAAGTTGGAGATAGATTCCAGTAGCACAAAACTTATGTACATTTCGAAAAGGCTTAAAGTTAAAACCATTTTATCCGTGTGTGTTTGGAGGAGTGCCAACAATGCCCATATTGAACTTCGGGTTATCCTTCCCACCATCAGCGCCTAGTACTGCTGCATGAGTACCATAGGTGTCCCCTGAGATAATAATTAGCATTTAGTGGACAACGTCGCTTCGTGTTTTTGCGGTGATGCAACTAACAGAGACTCGCTTACAGTTGTTCGTAGATTTTATGCCAAGGTCAGCCCACATGAATAAACCATCCGAAAGTTTACTTCCCAGCATGATGTACTCCGCGAATGGATCATAAGCGGAGGTCGCTGCATAGCCAGTGTAGCCATCTGCGTCGTTGGAGGTTCTTGTAATTCGATTCTTATTGTACGGGTCTGTAGCTTCCACTGCATCGATGAGGGCTGGGTCGAAGAAGAGTTGTGACAGATGAGAGACATGACCTCCGCTGAACGTCTTGTTTGGCAATATCGTTGCGCCGGAGTGAGTAAGAATGTGCTCATGGCTTGCGCGTCCGCTATAGTGACCGGGGAAGATCGTGTCGAAGGACACAACACCATCTGCATCGGTCTCCTGAACTCCACGTAGGAATGTCGTCTTCAAACCACCTTGACCAGCTCCACTAACTCCACTGTAGATTCCAGACGCATTACAAGACCAGATGTCAACAACAAGTGGCACCGCAGGCTTGCAATTAGATACCTCGGTGAATTGCATCTCAAGGTGGAGCGGGATGCCTGGTTGGCTTTCTCTAACATCTGTACGGATATGCTCGCCAAGTACGTAGTATGGACCGTTGGCATTATCTGGAGTCAAGATACAGCTAGTGTTGGACCCAAAGAGAACGGAAGTTGGGGTTGACATGTTGTACTTGTGCGTTGCAGTCCTGTCGTGGCCCTTTGACTGCCAATTTTTGAACTGAGCAAGAGTACGTCGGTGCAAGATTGGCTCTATACTAATATTTAGGGTAGTCTACCAGACAATTGCTTACGAAAACTCACCATCTTCAAGACCTCGCTCCTTCCGCAATCGCTGAACTGTGACAGCACGACGAGCATACGCACGTTCTTTCCTCGCCTGTGCTTCTTCACTGTTCTCGCAAGCGGACTGAAGTTCTCTCTGCTGGTTCTCAAACTCAATACTCCTCGCCTTGATCTCTCTAATAATTTCGAGGTTATCATGGTGCTCGCCTGGATGCGCCGCAGCCATGGAAATGAGAGAAGATAGGCACAGGGCCGTAACAGCGAGAAATTTCGAAATGACAGCCATCTTGCAAAGCTGAGTGATGCGAATAATAAAGAAAGGGACACCTGGGGGCAAAGAAAGCTGGGGAGTGATAAACCGTCAAATATCATATAGTAAGAAACAACCTGCCAGCTGCCCCATTGCCGGCATGCTCAATCATTGCGAATCGCCAAGACAGATACACAACATATCCCATGAGCACTTCAAGAGCCGAACAGGCTATTTCTTCTGTTAGCCCAGAGATCGCCTGCTGCGGGGGATTTCCCCAGAAAAGTAGTGAAGAGTAACACAACAGCCATCACAAGTTCGGCATTAGAAAGAGGCTAGGGGGATATCCGGGGGCTAATTAAGAAAAGCCATGAGACATTCTGGATGCATAAAGAAAAGAGGGGTGATAAGGAAGAAATGACTTTATCCTGCCAAGCAGGAAAGTTGCATTTCAAAAGCACCAGCCGAATGCAATATGGGTGTTGTTATGTTAATAAGGACGGTAAGCTGACTAAGCCACCACGCTGACATCTCCTTGTTTCCTTCTTGGCCTCCTACCTAGAAAATTCTTGTTTGGGTCGTCCCAACCTTATCTTAACCTGTTGTATCTTATATCTACCCCAATGGCCGTGTACGAATGGCCGTGTACGTTTGCAACGTGTTGCCATTGGAGACAAACTGGGTAATGTCCTGCGAGATATTTATGTTTCATTGCCAAGTTTAACTCATCTCTGCACCAGCTCTTTCCAGATCTCATTTGCAAGGCTGAAGATCCTTTGGCATCTGTAGTAGATTGAGGTACCAAGTAAATTTCTAGATTTACGCAAGGCGAAATTTTCCGTGATGGAGTGATCATAAGCGAACTTTTGTTTTCCTTGTCTAGATTTCAACTGCCGCGATGGGATTCCGGAAGGGTATTAGTCTCCTTCCTTCTGGATGATCAATATGCATGGCATGGATTGGCAATCAGATCCTGATGTGAAAACACATGGCACGAGGTGCCGGATAATCTCAATATAAATTGCAAAATGATAAGCATTTCCTCGTTGACAAGGTCTTTCCCCACATCAAAAGAGGAGATTCCCGGATCTGTTTATCCCAGTCCACTCAAGTGTTTGTTTTTTTCTGGTTCTTCCAATATTATTTTTGACCAAATTTGCAGCAACTTTATGTCGAGTCCCAAATTGAGAACATGGACAGGAATGCGTACTCGGAGATCATTCATGTTTACGGCTCTGTTCCGTATCATCTGAATCGCCTGACCCCGAGTCACATTGTCAACGACGGTCCAGCTTCCTTCCATTAGAAAGTTGTGTGACGGCTGATCCGTTTATACGTGCCCTTTATCCATGGGGTAATATCCGCCAAGCTTCGTAGGGCTCATCAAATTTTGATGGGTTTGCTATAAGATCTCGGGGAGAGTGGTTGTAAATTCTTGGTATGCTCAGAGGTACTTGACCAGTCTCTCATTCTCAAAAGGGTATTGACTTCGGAGGCTCCTGCCTAGCAATATGGTGACAAGTCTTGGACTTCTTTGCAGGCTACTGTGCTATCTTGGCCCACTGGTCTTGCTTCTTTCTACTTCGGTCTCTGGTGATGTTGTTGGGGACTTGCAGACGAAAGGCAGAACTCAGATAAACGCTCAGCTAGCAAAGTCAACAACATGTAGCGCATCGAAGTTGATGGTCCGTAAAGAGTGGTAAGTATTCTATTATCAGATTAAAACAGCCGCTACTGCTAACCGGATGTTCTTAGGGGTGATGTCTCAGTTGCAGACCGAAAAGCATATATCAAAGCTGTCTTATGCTTGATGAGTAGTCCATCAAAACTTCCAGCTGGAAAATTTCCTGGGGCCACCAACCGCTATGAGGACTTCGTCGTTGTTCATATGCAGCAAACTCTGAACATTCACGGCACCGTCTGTTGGTCCCCAGCTCACAATCAATCTGCTTGCTGATTACTTCAGGGGAACTTCCTATCGTGGCACAGGTATTACACATGGGCTTACGAGCAAACTCTACGAAATGAGTGTGGCTACAATGGAACTCAGCCATACTGGGATTGGGGCAGATGGTCTAATGACCCAGAAGCCTCTCCAATCTTCGACGGCTCAGATACCAGCATGAGCGGAAACGGACAGAAGATTAGTCACAAAGCAACGAGTGTTGGCCCGGCTCAAAACGGAGGAGGTTGCGTTCAAAAAGGTCCCTTCGCTAAGTGTGTAGCTCAAAGTCCTTCAAGTATGCAAGATGCTGACTTCATATAGTATGACCGTTCACTTGGGGTAAGCTCTGTCTCATCAGACTCAGTATTCAGTGAAATGGAGCAGAAAGCTAACACCCACAGTCCTGTGTCCCCAATGGCTGACCCAGCACCACCGCGCAATCCCCGAACGGACGGATATGGGTCAAATCCACGATGCCTTCGGCGAGATATTGGTCCCTACCTTTGCAAGAACCAAGCCACACCAGCCCTCATCGCACAACTAATCAACAATGCCAAATCCATCGGGCCATTCCAAGACACGATGCAAGCCTCACCTGGCGTACACACGGCCGGGCACTTTACAATCGGTGCCGACCCCGGCGGTGACTTCTACACGTCGCCTAACGATCCTGCGTTCTGGTTGCATCATGGCATGATCGATCGGACCTGGACGATCTGGCAGAGTCAAGATCTGCCGAATCGGATGCAGGTTATCGCTGGAGGGACGTCGATGTTTGGAGGTGGGGCGATGCAGAAGTTGACCGATACGGTGGATTTGACGCCGTTGGTTTCGAAGATTTACCAATTGAAGGATCTGATGAGCATTGTTGATGGGCCGTTCTGTTATGTTTATGAGTGAGAGGTGGCGGTCGTTATGTGATGGAAGATGACGAGGGGTTGAGATATCATTGTTATGTTTTTCTGCATAGCTATCCTCACTGGTTCGTACAGCAAAATAATAAGTGCTGTTCTGCCTGAGCTTATGAGGTGATGCCGAAGAGCTCGCTTAAATTATCTCTTGACAAACAACACTTCAACCGACTTCCATCAAAATGCATACTGGTACCAATACTCAACATCACATCCAGGTGCTCAAGAATAACACTTATCCTCACATCTATCGCAACGATCCATAAATTATTACAGCTTAGACTTTTATTATTTCGCCATGTTGATCATTATCGTATTACATTTCATGTGACACATCTCGACCCCTCCTATTTCTTCGGGTACTGCTCAACCCACTTGACTATCTGCGCAACCTCATTATCGATGACCTTCTGTACCCCAGCATTAAATATTCCATTCCTGAGTCTCAGATCAGAGCAGTGGAATCCTCCTGGAATAATCTGCAGAGGAGCAGTTGCAGTACCTGGGAATGGCCCACCAGGTCTGAACTCAGAACTCATGCCCGATGTCTTCCATGGATCGTATTGGCCATTCGTCCAGATGAGGCGAGTAGTTTTCTCAAGCCTCCAGCCCTCGGTGTGTTTGTTCACTTGGTGGACATTGTTATCGGGAGAGATGTTGGAGCCGTATGTGAAGCCATTAACCGTGGGGAAAAAGAGGTCGCATTGACGTTGCCAATATGCACCATTGATGAGACGGGAAACGATAGTAACCTCGTGACGAGGAGCGCCATCTTGCCAGTAGCCGAATGGCTCATTGCAAAGCATCCATTGCCATTGCAGGTCAATGTCGTTGTCGACTGCTCGGTTGGTGAAGATAATGTTGGTTGGGTCATAGGTGTCCATACACTTGGTCTCACGCTCATCCTCATAGCCGTAACCTTGACAGAATCCAGGGATAAATGTCTCGTTTACCCATTTGGCATAAGCTGGGAGGGCTTTCGCAAGTCCTACACCGTTTGCATCTGGAGTGACTGCTGCCCCAGCCTTGACGTTCTAGATAGAATTAGTATGTTGAGACTTCGACAATGGCAGCAAAAATTACCTCAATAGCATCGCAGAACCGGAAGAAGCCAGAGTAGTTGGTGTAGAAGCTGTTGGATTGCCACAACCATGGGCCATACTCAAGAACGCCCATCACATCGTCGTAGTGATCAAGTGACTCAAGACCGAACTGTGCTTTGAGTGCCAGCTTCTCAGACTCTTTGCCATGCATGAAGACATCATCCATATACTCGACTACTGCTGTGATATCTTTGCTGCAATTCTTCGGCATACCCTCTTGAACCGGGGTAAAGTACTGCCAGTAATCATAGATTGCCTCAACAGGCGCAGAGGATGCATGGTACGCCCAGAAAGTGCCTGGGGCTAGCTTCTCGGTCCAAGCTGCCAAAGCGCCGGAGTAAGACCCACCAGAGAATACCCATGGTGCTTTATCAGCGTTGGAGCTATGGTCGGTGTCGAATGGGAGAGCAACTGTCTTGGCGAAATAGGTGAAATCGAGAATGGCTTGGTGCAAAGTCAGTAGTTGCAAGGTCTCAGCATTGAGAGTGTCGTATGGAGAAGATTCGCCCCAGTAACGGTCTAGAATGTTATCAGCACAGTTGGATAGAGGTCGCTCGGGGCATTCTCACGTTCGACCATGACCACAGCACCTTTGATCTCCTGAGCATAGAGACCAGTGATGGTGACATTGGTGAGGTATGCACCATACCCACCAGCAGCAATTTCACCTGGAGTGAAAAAGACAACCTGAGATAAATGATTTAGCTCTACTTTTATTCATTGGTTTCATTGGAACTGATTAGGTACTTACAGGTGAACCTGGCCCCGCCCAAAATTCGGAATTCCACCAGTACTTCTGCTGGAAGGTACCCTTGCTGGGATTGTCATGATCAAGCAATTGGGTAAAGAACCCGGAGCCTGTAGTATTGACTGGGGCGGCAGCAATATCCGCAGCGAGGACATCGGCGTCCTCGAGAGGAGGAAGCAGTCTCCCCAAGTTCTTGAACTGGTTTCCCGAAACAAGGCAAGCCAATGCCGAGAGGGCAGTGACCAGAGAAGACCTCATGGTGAAAAGATTTGATCTCAACTGTAGACAGCGATTGCTACAGCTCTTTCTAAATCAAGCAACCAGATGCGTGTTCTTCTTCCAAACAAATGAATGAGCAGACAGAGAGAGGTTGGAGAGGACGAGACAGACACAAGTGGCGGGGTGAGCTTCTCTTATCAAGCTGCTCTGCCCCATATGCATGTTATGCCTGCAAAATAGAGCAGTAAATTACCTGGGTTGAGGAGCAAGTAGCACCTACCGTAGTTGGCACAGCTCATGCAGGGAGCCTTCACCCGGGGTATGCAGATCTGCCGCAAGGAGGCAAGTCGATAAGAGGAGAGTGGGAGCCGTCCAGGTACCTCCAGTGATAGTTCGCAGGCCCGTCTGCTTGACAGGGAAGTTAAGGAATTGATAAATCATTGGAGGGGCATATGGACATTGTCTCTTGGATAAGGGCGTGGAAACAGAATTCTACTGGTCGTTTGTTGGTTTTTTACCTGGACACTGGATCTCGACATGCTATGCTGCTCGGAGCAAGAAAGTCTTGCACGGCCACTTGCATGGGATGGGGTTTAGCGTCCCGTCGCTCTACTGTATATTTAATATGCTCAAAGCAACTTGAGAGCTCAATACTGGGTTTCCTGTAAGCTTAAGCATATAACGCAAATTGAGAGACCAGGTTTCTTGTAAGCTTTGCTTTCCCGCACAGTAGGTTAGTGAATGTCGGCGTCGCCTCGCGCATGAGGAAGGTGGAAATAGGAATTGTGGGGTTGAGATGGCGTCCGCCGAGATAGCGTGTGGTTGGGCGAAAGGGAGTGGCGCCGCAGGGGTGTCGTCGTTGCATGGCAGGAGTTTAAACTGACCAGCTGCCGTATCCAGGTAGTTCCGGTGATATTTGCCTCCGATAACAACAGACGATCCTCTTGCTAAGGAAGGATAAGGCGGGAGGAGGCGGAGCAAAGCACCTGAATACCTGAACCGTTCATTGCCGAAGATGGGAGGAGTTATTTGATATGTTGATAACTCGATACGGGACAAAGCAACAGACTAGCAGCCTGATGCACGTCTGTAAGGTTGGATTTGTGATCTAGGACTGACACATGTTTTCCTATCGAACGTTAGGCACGAAGTAGATCTTACTCGTATATCTGCTTAATTGTTCAAGAGTTGCGGTTAGTGTATTGTGACTTATCGGCAGATCTGGACTTCGGATGAATGCAAAGTGTTGAAACCCACTTTTACATGTAACCGGAATCGCCTTGCACGACACCACTACCTGTCTCGCCTGTACGACTTTGGGACCTGCCATTTGTTGACTGACGCGCGAGAGCTCGACACCAAAGGTTTTTGCTCGGTAGTGTTGTTCTCTGTCGTCAGGATGCCTGTTTGGCAATCCAAGCCAACGAATCCTGCCGTTGTCTTCCAACGAGTGGCTTCCAGCAAATGCTTGATTGGAAACGTCCCAGATGGTCCACTTGGTTGCAGGATTCGAAGCAAGGCATTCTCCCATCTTTGGGCGAGTGGATACAGCATATGCGGCTGTCTGCATATCTGCTCAGTGAGAGCACAGATCCCACAGCACAGCATCAAGAGTCACATGGATGCAACAGAAAGGCACCTGGGCAATCTTCTATTATTTTTGACGCAGGGATTAGAAATTAAAATTATTGACGTACCTGACATCTACTTTACACATTGCAATTCCGAGAAGCCTATCGTCCACCGCATGCTGCCCATAATGATAATCATGAAACACAACGCCACTATGACGCTCGCTGCGCCATATTGATAGGAATGTCTCCTGCGCAAAGAACTCAACTCGCCAACCCACGTGCTGACAGTTGTCAAGCACCCACAGAATCCGTCTTCGACACCTTGTAAGACCTGACAGCCAATAACGCCTCCAAGAGGTACGTGTTGGACATCATAACTCAGCCCTAAGATTACCGTGCCCAAAATATTCACGACGAACGTTCCAACTGGAAACGAAGCAATCTTGCCATTGAGGTAAAGTGAGGCGTAAAAACGTCCTAGGCAACCAAGAGGAGCGAAGACCAGTGCAAAGACTGCTCGGCCACGCCATATTTCTGGAGGAGCCGAGTTCCTGTCAGGTGGGAAGATAGCGAGAATAATGGCTCCTAGCCAACATCCCCAAGCTAGTAAAACTGCTATCGGATCCAGTACTTTGCGACAGAATTTGTATGGTAGACTAGGCGTGAACGGTTCCAAAGCAATGGCGATATGAGCTCCAATTGTCAGGGCTGATATGCAAAGTGCAATTGTAATGATGATGACTGCCAATAATGCAATAACGGAATATCCCCCATTCCTGGGAACTGTTGACTCCACGGTCGTTGCGGTAGGCCCATAGTCAGTAGGATGATTGAGAGGAGTAGGCAAATTATTTGACAAGGCCAGGAACACATCTCGAATGAAGGATGAGAATGAAGTGAAGCAGCCACAGAATCCAGTGGCCAGCCCGACATACAGAGGAATTGTTTTCTTCGTTGCCGCATGTGCTCTCTTGGCTGCTTGTAAATCAACACATTGGTCTGAACCTAAGCCACTCTCTTCGTCCTGCTTTTTCTTTTTCGCCTTTTGTATCTGTTGATGGTATGTGGCCTTACCCCATTCCTCCTTGAACAGCATCCGATCTTCACTCAAGAAACCCATGAAAAGACTTCCTCCAAAGTTGGCCCACAGCTCGCTGAATACCACAGGAGCCCCGGGATAGAAAGTAATGGCTTGTAGGCCAAGTCGTGCCAACGTACCGAGAAGGGAGAACAGTATTAGGTATGAAATAACGTAGAGCTGGGTAGCAAGTTTAGAGACTCTGTGTAGCTCCTTTTCTTCCGTTTTCTTGACCTCTGCGGGGCGTTCTGTCGATGACCTTTCTTTGATCTCCTCGCTCTTCTGATATGTATGTGCCCTACTACGTGCATCTTCCAAAGACATGTGCCGATATACTGGTCCCTCGTCCGGATTTTGAACTGGCGACGGAACGACCAATTCATCAAGATTGACATAATCGTCCGGCACATCATAATCATCCCGCACTCTGGAGCGAGTAGCATCGTGTGCTTTTCGTGGAGGATTGCGCAATGCATGGGATGCTGATGGATCAAAACTCCGCCAACCTGCTTCATCCGGAGATTTCCTGTCGCCCTTGCTTTCTATACCCTTTCGACTTGTAGAGCTGGCCTTCGGATTTGAAAGGTGTGTTGATCTCTCATGGTGTTCGTAACCATTTGAGCTATGGTCTGCAGCGTCGTGCGACCCTTGTGTTGCAATTTTTTCACTGTCCTTCGATTCCATCGAGCTGGCAATGCTGTGCTTCACTGCGATACCACCTTCGAACTGACCCGATGTCGAGATCTCCATCATAGGACGAGGACTGCATAGGATATGCGCCTGGCAGTCTGTGCACACTTCTCAGTGCCAGTGTTGACAATGTCTCGAAACCCCATAACGCCTCCTGGAATTCCCATTACTTCAAACGGCTGACTGTGGAAAATGATCTCCACCTTTTGCACGAGGACCGACGTCAACAATCCAATGCTATCGAAAAAGTCAAGCCAATCAGAGACCGCTTGTCGATAAGCGGTTATCGCCCGCTTCCGACCCCGGATGTTTGGATTCAGGGGAGCTTGAATCCACTTCGTTAGCTACTTGTAGCTCACAACATCCCACCAGTCGCTTCAGGAACCACTGCCCTTACTGGAATCTTCTTGACGTTTATCTCACAAGAATTTAAAGAAATAACTTTAGAGACACAGCCTAGATATTTGTTTACATTTTGGATATTCAACCAACATGTCTTTCGACCTACCCCCAACTGTCCATATCTCCACGCATCCATGTCTTCAAGCCAAGCTCTCACAACTTCGTCAGAGCACAACGAACGCTAGGGAGACAAAGGCGCTGGTTCATGAGATTGCTTTGATTGTTGCTTGCGAAGCTACAGCTGCTGGTCTTACTACTAAAAAAGGAGAGGCTGTAAGTCAATAGACAAGCTTACCCCGCCACCGCAATCCAGTATTGACAGCTCACCGTCTAGGCAAAAACTCACCTGGGATACGAATATACCACGACCACTGTATCTCCAGGAAGCATCTCCGTAGTACCTATCCTACGATCTGGTCTTGGAATGTTAGATGGTAAGGCAGTTCTCCATCTGCTCTTGTCACTTCCGGATGCCTTGTCCAGTCTTTGAAAGAACGCGAAGCTAAAACACTTAGCAATCCAAACCCTCCTCCCGAACCCAGCCCCAGTCCACCACCTAGGACTATTCCGCGAGCCCACAACCCTCGAACCAGTGGAATATTACAACAACCTCCCCTACCACCGTCCTGCAGCCAACACTCCGTCCGACTCCCCCAACTCTGGCGCCTCCGAGCTAGCCATTCTGCTCGATCCTGTCATCGCAACGGGAGGCACATGTGCAGCTGCTATTCAAACGCTCAAGGAATGGGGTGTTAAGAGAGTGATCGTAATTGCCATTCTCGGTGCTTTACCGGGTCTGCAAAGGGCGGCGAATGAGTGGCCGGAAGGAGTTGAGATCTGGGCTGCTGGTGTGGATAGTGAGATAACCGACCGTGGAATGATTAAACCTGGCTTGGGCGATGTGGGAGATAGATTGTTCCTGACCATTGGGAAGTAAAGTTAGTAGCTGAGAGTTGAAGGTGCGATAATTTCTTGATGGTGTTTTGGTGCATTTTCTGGGCGCAAGTTAGATCGTTGAGACGTAGATGATTTTCAATAGCGAGACCACCCTTGATACCGTAGCATTGAATGTGCTGTTTTTTGGTTCTCTCCAAATCATGCACTATCATTCGTTGAAGCTGGTGCTGTATTATATACAAGAACCGGGTATCACGTCTGTCCATCAGTTCATTCCCTTCCCAAAGCTTATTCCTCCAATGCCAATCCTATCCAGGTACCTATCCATACAAGGGCAATAACTCCAAAACTAATGCATAATACTCGTACAGAATAGAACATTATAACGAAACAAACTAGCCCAAACCAAGGTCCTCATCCCAGGGCACGAATCGAAAAAGAAAGTATATAAGCTGCCAAACAGCGCGGTAGTACCGTACGACAAGTAGTACGAATCCCAGGTAAGATATCGCCGAAGCTACCAAGTACGGAGTCGGTTCTATCAGGAAATCGTGCCAGAGCTCGTTGATCCAGGGCTCGAATTCGGGAACTTCCAAAGTGATGCTGGGTCGTTCGTCGAAGGTTGGTGATATCTCATTCTGCCGAAATCGTGACGGTCGGTAATCTGCTGTATCGTGGCTCGTATCTACCCTATCGATATCTCCTTTTCCTCGTCCACGTTTCCATACTCCTCCAGAAGTGCGCATTCTAACATATTTCCTCACAGCACACTTAACAATCTTCTGCAGATGGCCACACCGCCTGCTCGTAAGAGTATCGGTCTCAAAGCGCCGCACCCTTTCATCTCCCCGGCGCAAGCAATCCTCGAACCCTCTCGATCCTCGCAACCGCTCCCTCCAGCCTCTCCAACCGCTTCCTCTTCTCCCCATCCCTACTCTCCAAGACCGCAACTCGTTCTTCCAGTTTCGCGCGTGCCTTTCGCTCCGTCGCAACCATCTCATTAGCCTGCATGAAAAGCTGTGCGCTCAGTTCCTCCAGCTCTCCGCTCGCCTCATCGAGTTTTTTGTCTGCGGCCTGTCTTAATGCCTGCTCCCTCGTCAAAGCAGCGGCCAGATCCGTAGCTGAAGGCGTACTCGGCGGCGCGGGGCTCTTTAGATTCGGCGTCGATTTGCGTGCTAAGAAGGAGGAGAGACGGTTCTGAACTGGTAGGTATGAGGAACGGTTTGGACTGCTTGCTTCTGCGCGGGCTGCTTCCTCGGAATGTCGAGCGTTCTGTGCCTTCAGTTCTTGGATCTCGTCTTCGTAGTCTGCCCACCTGTCGACTGTCCACTTTTTAGTCTCAGAATTTACATCTGAGAGGGTGATGGATTGGAGAACAAACCTGCATTTGTGGCCTTCTGTGTTAGCAGTCGGACTTGGGCTTGGAGATCCTCGATTTGCTTCTGTGCGTCTAATGCTATGGCCGAGTGATCAGGAAGACCGATACCGCAGTTCGGACACGCAGATGCCGCTGCACCTTGCGCCTGCGACATCGTCAATGTCATTGTCGTTGACATGGTATCGTGTGTTGTGGTCATGAGACAGGGAATATGTGGTCAGTGGTCCGTCGTGAAGTCGTCCCCTGACTGTATTCGCAGGTAGTCTTCCGCCGGTCACTTCGTAGGCTTTTTTACTCTCAAGTAGAATAGCATACCCGTAAAGCGATCGAAGTACAGGAGTGAGGGGCGACGAAGATGTTTTGTTCAAATCTCTTGGTCTGCGCTGCGCTGCGCCGTGCTGTGCTGCTCCTCGGAATTGTCCTCACATTGGGTTAGCTTGGCCTCCTTGCGCCACAAAGATCTCCTTTGCCGGCGCCAGTCAGTGCCAAATGATCCCTGAAGATCGCTAAATCCATCCACTGGAATTTATGCGTGACCGCTAAAACCGTCATCTCGTGGGTCTTCGTCAATGCATTGGCTCTAATCAGCGTGCAGCATGAACATAAGTGCGTCGATGAAGCAGCGTGGGCTGATAGATCTACTATTTCATTCTTGCATTATCAAGCATCTGAAGCATCACAACTCGTGTTGACTGACGACTTGCACCGAAACTCAGCCTTGAGAAATGGGAGTATCTCCGTGCTCAGGCATTGAGTCTGTTTCCTTTCGTCGTTTCCAATCGGCTCATTGTACTTGACTGACTGGCATTATTCTCGCTTTCTATTTTCACTGCTTTTTGTTAATGTGTTACTTGGGAGTCTTTCTTGAAATATAGAAATAGATAGTGGCCTATGTTCAACCCTTGATACGCAATTTGTGAAGAGTCGGCCTGAAGTCTCTGACTTCTCTCCCAGAATTAATTACCCTGGTGACTTCGTGTCACAAGTGATACTGAAGCAGATACCCAAGACACATTTCTTTACTTCCTATGGTATCTATTCGTTCAATCCACCCTTCGCTACACCACCCCCACTCGTTTTCGACTTCCCTACATTACTTTCCTTCTTAACAGCATCACCAGCAGAAACACCACTACCAGAGGCAGCAGCAGCGGCAGCGCTCTTCTTCACATCCTCCTTCTTCCCCTGCCCTACCTCCTTTGGCTTTGGCCTCTCCACAACCTTCCCCTTCTTATCCTTCTCCCCACACCACAGCTTCAAGCTATACACCCACTTCTCTTCCCAGAGATTCTCTTTCATCTTTGGCACAAAATAAAAGTCCTGCCCGTGCGCCGCATACGTAAAGCCTCTCAACCCAACATTTGCTCTCGCCTTATGGCCACTGATGCATTCGAACTTCCAGGGTTGCCACACGGGTATGTCGTCCCATTCTGGCTCTTCCATTTTTGGAGTCTTGGGTAGTTGGCCGTTACGAGGAGGAGGGATGGCATGTAGGTCAACGTGTTGCTCATCTATTCGGGATTGCGAAGAGGGTGACCCTGGAAGGGACTTGTAATGTTGCTCACTGGATCTCGCAGCTGTTTCGTATGCCGGCAGATCAGTGAGCGAGATCTTGCGACCGTTGGAGCGTTTCTTGAGCTTTGATTTTGATTTTGACCTCTGGGATTGCTGGTGCGAGTAAAGCTCTTCCTGCATGGTGCTGTGTTCTTTGAGGGTGGTGCTTATCCAGCAGGTTGTTACGCCGTTGTCGATAATGCTGGCTTCAAATGGGGAGGTGTGCGAGAAGGGAAGGATGCCATTGAACTCCATGCAAGCGTGAGTAAGGGACGCTGCTATCAGAGCCAACAATAGTGGTTGAAGCTTCATGATTGATAATTACGAATTTTAACGTTTTTGTGAGGTGGTAAGAAAATATAATAGGCATTGGTACGTTAGGAGATTCCACTGTGAGAAAGGCACATAGAGACGATGACGCGAGAGGGAGGGAAGGCGACAGATAGGGAAACGTAAATCCATTCCATGATTGAGACATAGTTCCTTGGCCGAAAATAAGGGAAGATCTGTGGTTTTGGTGTTGTCTTGTCATGAGCATCAGGATGTATGGATCGAAGTAAGGGATAAATGGCGGGGTGTGGCGTGTCTCGCCTAATGACTCAGGGGTAAACAATGAGAGTTTCTGATAGACTTTTTGGATCTGTCACTCTGACACCTTGCAATGTGATTTTTCAGAATATCATAATCCACAATGTTGATAGTAAGGCTTGAATGCCAAGTCATTGGAGCCATATTAACCACTGAGGAACGACATGCACAAACTATTGCAGTAGGCATGCAACTAAATCCGGGAGCCTAAACTCAGGTTGATGTCTGCATCGCCATGGATGATGCAGAGGGTAGTGATTCATGCTTGATCAAATTCACCAGGGACAAGCTCCAGGATGTTTGAAAAGTTCCTTCCAAATCCCCTGACAGTTGCTGCCGACCTGCACAGTCTTCGGTTCCTATCCGGGGAAGCTGGCAAAGTTATCTCTCATAAAGCCACTATACTAGGTCGAAATCATAATGGTGTTCCGATGCCGCATTGGAATGGCCTCAGTTCACTTCTGTGGTGAAAGCTTTTGAAGGTCAAGGCCGTGAGTATACAATTAGGCGTTTTGTTCGGGTACTGATTTTTGACAAGGAAAAAAGTGGTCAACTTTCGAAGGAGTAGCAGAGAGACACCAATATTGGTCCATTTTCCTCGGAACTTGGCGAAATTCAAAATATCATAGTCGAAGATCTCGGATGCCCAACAATGACTGGATAGTATACAGCCATAAAACTCACCTGAAGCGTTTTCTTCCGATACATGAAAGCCGAAATAAATTGAAAGTGATTACGGTGTGGCGATGTCTCACCAGTGGCCGGAGTAGCCTTGTATATTCATGGTAGGAACTGAAGCTCGCACATCATAGTATCAGTGACCAGAGTTTTCAAACTCCTAGAAGCCATCCTTCTCCCTCAACGCTACCTTAGGCTCACTCGTAGCTTTCAAGAGACCGTCAGGTTTACCTAATGCAGCTCTGGAATGATTTTTCAGCTCCTCGTCCACACTTAAGAATAGCCAAGCCAAGGCACTCCCTTTCCACGGCATCATACCGACACTTCTCGTCTTCAGAATAATGACAACCAAGAACACCACAGAAAAGGTGTTAATGTACTGGGTCGTCAAGACCTGTTGAGTGAAAGCGTCGAATGCTAGCTCTAAGGCTGTAATAACAGCTCCGAGAGACAGCATATCCCTACGAAGAACATATCTCAGCATTAAGGGTCATGTTAAGATCCTGAAAATAAACCTACTTTCCCCTCAAGGTCCACAATAACTCCAAATTGCCCAACGATCCCCGAGACGCATTATCCAAAACCTCCAGAACCTCGAGTCGTCGTCCACGCTCGGGTGTTCTCTTGACCGAAAACCACAACCATTTCCCTCGGCTCAAGCCGGAAGCCACAGGTATCATCAAGCACGTTCTACAAACCGTGGCAAGAACAGCGACGACTCCATTCAGAGTGATAACATGTCCTAATCTTCGGGCGACCGTCCCGTTGTGATGATACAAGAGGCCAACAAGAGCGGCGATGGAGAGTGTTGAAACGATTGCAGCGAGAATCTCGTACTTCCACCAATTTTGATGGGGTTTGAAGCGGCTGTATAGCTGTTGTGTTTTCGTAGAAGATTTTCCACTCGCCACATTGAGTATGGGAGGTACCAAGGGAGTCTTTTGGTCCAGTTGCTAGCTGTGGGAACAAGGACTCGGGCTGGGACGTTATTGGTTGCGACTTTTCATATGACAGGAGTCGTCTTGAAGAATCATAGCTGGGTAAAGACGGACCTGGTTTTCGTGGAATGAAGGTGCTCGTCGGAACGACAGATCGCCTATGCCGATTTAATAATGACTCGGTGTCCATACTCAACTTCGATGATCGATGTTTGAAGCACAATTAGAGGAAGAAAATTGACGCCGCTCATTATAAAAAAGTCTGAAAGGGAGAGGAGGCTGAGATATATACTTTTCGGCGGCTCGAGAAATGGAGGGTGCAAGCCTGCATTTGCATTACGACTACCACGCCTCAATCGTGAACCTAATGACCGACCAAGAAGCTTGATTCGAGTATGACATCCGCGATCTGCACGAATGAAACCTATCTCCGATCCACCTTCAAAAAAGCGTAGGAGTGGGTGCAGAGTGTGGCTTTGTGAGCAGGATGTCGGGGGCCGTTTTGTGGAAATTGATTGGCTGACTCCGCGATTGGCCCGATTTGGCTCATGCCTGTGAATGGAGCCACCACAGCCTTGCACTCAAGAACAGTACTGCAGATCTGGGGTTGACAAAGCACATAGATCTGAAAGAATAGTGAAGTTTGATTCTGGAGTCTGTATCGCTGCCACACAGTATATTCCCTGTGCAAAACCCCAATTTGTCGCGTCGAGACTCTCACACTCAACCACCCAATTGCAGCGTTCCGGAAATTTGTTGCTTTTGATATCTCTGGATATGTTGACTTGTTGTGTGAAAGGGCTAAGAGGTATAAGTTGGAGGTGCAAGTGTTCTCTGGAAATAGCCATAATCGTTCCATGCTGCCTTTCGTCCATTGTTTACAGTTCTAGAAGCGAGGGCTGGCTGGTCGACCTCGCTTAAATAAGGGTCGGTGAATCAAATAACTTGGTGTTGACTCGCACCCGCCTTGTCGCATTCTGGGATCATATTATACCGGCAGCTCACGTAGTATGTCCAAGCCACGGAAGAAGCAGTTAACTTGCGCCCTTTAAAAACCTCACTCCTCCCGACCTCCTCCGAAATAGTAACGAACTGTAGAAATACCCAGAACACCAAATCCTCTATTTAGAAGTTCAACGGAGCAATACTCCAACAAATAGACGATACACAATCGCTCCCCATCATCTCGACTCTTCAACAAACGCTCTTATGACAATAAAGTCGACCCTCACTTAATTCCGAAATGTGCACATTGGCCACTACCACATATACATCCTGCAGCTGTCGTGTGCCATCCCTCGAAATGTGTCCGCGCAATCCTTCAGTCGGCTACACCCGTTGTATCGATTACAGACACATCACAACTACAACCAGAGGGCCTTGCGTGGGTATAGGGGCATGTCCGTTCATGGCTATGACAGAGAAGAAGGTTTTCAGCCGCAATAGTAGTTATAGTGACAAAAAAGAGGATAGAGGTGGTGACTGGGACAGCAAATACCCTAGATGGAGATGGGCTTTGGAAACTTGTGATTTCGGTTGGGGGCTTTTCTGGATGTGAATACCATTGAATGAAGTGGGCAACTGGTGAAGAGGTATCTGAGCAGGCTACTGGCACATCTCTCTTGGCCAAACAAAACAATGATATACTTGTTCCTGAATTTTATGTGTGGCATTGAGCAACTTTGTGCCCAGCGACGCAAACCTAGCTTACTCCCGTGCTGCGCTGTGAGGCCGCACAATGCCATGAGAGCAAGCCAGTAATAGGTCTTCGAGTGTAAAGCGGTCAACCGCTGCGGATTCGGATGAAGAATACTGTGGCTATGCTCTATTGTATTCACATAAGATGCGATACATAGGACCAAGTATGGCCAGTTGAATGGGGTTATTTTCCTAGGATCTACCTAATCAGCTCAGCAAAATTCCCGATCTCAAACTGCGGAGCGCAATCCAAATATTACCGCAGAGCATTCAGAATGCCAATCCTAATGTTCTCCAAGCATCGGCAATGTTGGCAGGACTTCTCTTCCTCGGACTCGTTGTTATGCCAATCGTAGCGTGGATGTCGAGATCGCCATTCAAACCAATAAAGGTGGATGAGTGATCCAAGCAGCTGGTGGGGTTTCACCGACTACCCAGTCGTCTCCCAGTTTGAGATCCCTGATGATGTTACTGCACTACTTCCCCCGAAAAGAGCATGCGATAAGGAAGCATGGAGAGCAGCACTACGGAGAAGAAGAAGTAAAGGAAGGGAAGACAGGCGGTGAGCTTTTAACACAAGCAACATTTCGCAGAAGCGAATTTTCCTTGTCCAATCAACATAATACTTGGAAGAGATTGAGAAAGAGGTTCATGAGATTGTCCGCTCGAAAGCAGCGGTTCAATATGAGTATCTGGTGAATGGTGACACGCCCAGTAAAAGAAGTCTAAGCTTCAGCCAGATATCCTATACTTTCTACATGAAATGTGAATACACAATTGCTCCGTTTAAGACAGGGCCCCGAGAAGAAGTTGTAAAAAGTTTATGAAGTCAAATGAAGTCGGAAGTTGAGAGACGAGACGGTCGGCTCGGCAAAACAAGGCTCCGAGGTGCCTCATTCAGTCCACCTCCCAGCCCTGCAGCAAGCCTCTCTGACAATACGCCGAACCTCGAGCCTTGCTCCTCGTTCTTGATTTCGTGCTACTACAGTCTCTACCTCATTGATTTGCATCTCTTCCCAGCGTTCAGGCTCTAAAAACGTCGATTATGGCGTCCAACCAGTCATCCAGCTCTCCAAACAATAATCGTAATTCTGTCAATTCGGTTCGTTCCCTATTCTGGAAGCCCTGGACTTTGGACTGAGCTGATAGACAATATTTAGCTAGGTGGAGATGCCACTGCTCCTGCGGAACTCTCTGCGGTTGTTGACGAGCTTCTGAACTCCTTGTCGAACAAGTTTGCGGGTGTTTCGAGTGAGATCTTTGCAAAGAGTAGGTGCTCAGTGCATGTGAGATTCGAAGAAGACAGGAAGACTAACAGACTCCTCAAGTGGACGAGATGTCGAGACGATTGGATAACCTCGAAGCTACTCTGCAAAGCAATAATGAAGGGCGTGATGGAAAGTCCAGTCCAACAAAGTGATATTTGGGCGGGCTTCGACTGCAAATGTTAGATGGGAAGCATAAACTTGGGGCGTTCTTGGGAAGGTGGGAGGAGTTTGGGGAGTTTGGGGAGTTTCCAGGTTATTTTGGTGGGCTATACACGGTCATAATACTGCTGGACTAATTTTCAGGGCATTAAAGGTTCTTAATACCATCTGTTCGGAGCATAGAAGAATAAAAGGTTCTGAATTGCTATCAAACGCCAGTTCCCAAGTCATTTTTCCCCAAGTCATTTTTCCTGATGATGTTACATACCATCCCGCCCGTATCAAACCGAGTATCTACAACTCAGACTTGCCAGAAACCTTCTCAATGAACTTTCGGAGGATGTTGGTCTTGCTAGTGAACTCATCGAGCTTCGCCGGCGCGAGACCTCCCTTCTTGAGAATACCGTCCAATCGAGCCAACTCCTTTGAAGCATAGTTATCATTCTTGGAGAGCTTGTCAAAGACCTTAACATAGTACTCTGCGTACTTGTATTGGGCCTGTGACTTCAAGTCAGCAGCAGCCTTGGTAGCTTCACTAGCGACTTCAGCAATGCTTGAACCGCTAGTGAACTTAGCTACAAGGGCATCCAGAGCTTCGATGGTACCAGCGATAGCATCAAGTCCGCCTCCTGGAGCTCGGTGTGTTCCTGCCTTGCTGTTCATGAAGGCGACAAGATCTGCCTCTGTGCGTCCACCACTGTATGCCTCTGGAGTCGTAGAGCCCTTGGGGAAGAACTTGATGGTTGGGTAGGAGGAAACGCCTTGATCTTTGGCAGTTGCCTTTGCGTTGTCGGCTTCGGCATCGACCTTCGCAATGAGAACACCCTCCTCACTGGCAAAGTCCTGTGCAACCTTCTCCCAAATTGGTGCAAGAGTCTTGCAGTCTGTTTGAGTTAGTATTGCCTATTGTTAAAGGTAACCGAGGAGAGTACTTACGTCCACACCATGGAGCGGTGAAAGCAACAATGGCGTCCTGATCGGCTCCAATCTTGTCCTTGAATGTCTTGTCGTTCAACATTTCAACAGCGCTTGGAGCGACTCTTGCCTTCTTCGCCTTAGCACCAGTCTTCTTGTTGATGAATTCTGTCAGACTCTCCAGATCTCTACCACCATTGTAGTCTTCTGGAGTCTCATCTTTTCCGTTAAAATATTTGATAGTTGGAAAGCCCTGGATACCAAAACGCTTGCCCAATGATTTCTCAGCATCGGCGTCGACCTTTGCAATGCTAATCTTGTCTTTGGCCCCAGAGAAATCCTGGGCTAATTGCTCGTAGACTGGAGCAAGGTTCTTGCAATGTCCGCACCATGGCGCAAAGAACTCGACAAGAGCAGGCTTTCCGCTGAGCACAATCGAATCGAAATTGCTGGGAATAAGGTCGAGAACGGCAGAGTTATCGAAGGTTGGTGGGGGGGCGCCAGGTCCTTTGGCAAAAGATAAAGTCGCCAGTCCTGCGAGGACAAGGCTCTTAATGAGAACCATGCTGAATGCGTATTATTTGAAAGGTGTGTATTTTTTGGTATGTCTGCGGAGGAAAGTAAAGTAATCTGCTGGTGTCTCGAGGTTTTATTCAGACTGACTGGATTTCAAATCCTCGGATATGGACACTTGTTAGCTGGAGCTCCCTAGACGGTGGCGAAGCTTAGCCATGGCGGCAAAGGAGCTAGGTTCCTGAAACGACCCTGTTGACATCACGTGATATGCTTCCGCACAGAAACGAGGACAGGCCGGTTCACGATTCATGTCCGATGTGCACATCAAGAAGGAATTCTTCTATCGGTCTCAATCTATACTAATAGAACTAACACCCCATTCCAACCCAAATCCGACATGCGTAGAATCTTTGCCTCTCGCGATAATGGGAAGCCAAATAAGAGCAGGGAGGAGGGAGGCACAGCAATTGGGGGCGACGATCCACCCTCGATATGAAGCTGACAGGTTTCACGTAACAAATCAAAACAAATTCAGAACTTCATAAGCCTTTAGGACATACGTTTGAAGACAAAAGTAGCCTTTACTCTTGAAATTCCCCACAGCTCCTGTTCACGTTACTCCAAGAAGATGATGAGTCTCGTCAAAATCGGCGTCAGTCTCACAGTCTGTGAGCCATGTAAGAAACGCAAGAAGAGTTGCAATAAAGCGTTACCAAGCTGCTCGAGATGTAGCAGGTGAATTTTCCTTTTACTGATCCCCTTGAATGCGCTGAGTAACATTCAGGTTATTTGCAAAATGCTCCTATTCTGGACAAGGTGCCGTGGCTGCAGGTCGTCCGTCTGTACTTCCGCCTTTGCACATACTCAGTAACTCAATTCCGGGACTGGTGGTATCAGCAAGTCTCCCGGGATCGTGGGACTATCCACATGGCAACGCTGGCCATGCTCTCACGACCGATAAGCAAGTGTCGTTGCAAGCTCATAAGCTTCTCAACGCCATCTCTCGAAAGAGCGGAGATATCAACAAGTTCTGCAACATTTACTTTGGAAAGTTTCATCATGCCTTACCAATTCTCAACAAGGAAGTATTCTACTGGCAACTCCAGAATTTGCCATCGGATTCTCACTTCTCTGCCCTGGTCTTGGCCATGTATCTCATATCTCAAATGGTCTCTCAATCGAACTCGGATGAACACCGATTTGATCTATATCCTACCCTGAAAAGCATCCACTCTCTTTTACAGTCCACGGGCAATGTTTCACATGAGCTCATTCAAGCTGGGATTCTGATAAGTTCATTTGAGTATTGCCAAGCGCTCTTTCAAGAAGCCTGGATCACGATAGGGACTTGTGTTCGAATGGCGCAGATCTTGGGTTTGCAAGAGTCGATTCGTAAGCCACTATCGAAAGATCCAGACTCGCCTACTATGCTAGAGACTGACCGCTGTATATGGTGGGCCATTGTCATCGTTGAAAGGTACAAGCTTAGATAATACCAGTCGAGCTCTCGCTGGTGGACGGGTAATTCTTACTGATATCTGTCTGACACTCACATAGGAATATTAACAGTGCCTGGAAGAAAAGCGAGCTTCCATGCGCAGCTGCCCCCCCACAACTTGAGGACTTCCTACCCCTGACTCCCACAGGTGAAGACCGGCTCCGTGAGGACCTCATTCTACCACAAGATTTAGAAGTGGCATGGTCGACAAGTGGTCCTCTCAATCGAAATTTTACCAAATTTGGATCATTTGCTGCCACTGTTCAGTCTACGTATCTTGCTGGACTTGTCGTTCGCCATGTTCAAGATGACAGTCGAGATGCCCCCACGAGGAAGAATGATGCGGCCCGACTTGAGGGTGCACTTCAGTCGTATTTATGTGCATTAATCCCGCCTGCGTAAGTACTGTGTGAGCTCAGCGATACATGTCTGCTTGGTATACAATAAGTAGCATGACTGGAGCTGATTTGTGAATAATAGTGGAGAAGCAAAAGGCAGTTACTGCGGTGCTTTCGGAATCCGCACATGGCAAGTTGATCTTCACAACTGCTTAATTTGAATATGCTAACACGACGTCAGTATGGCATACTACTTTCACGACCACGAATTCGAGTTTGCCTCTAAAACAGGGGACACGATCGGTGCCTCGCGTGCAAGATTAGCAATCCAATCCATGGTCCGCACATCCATCAGCATGACACGAGTGGGCTACACTGGATCTCCTATCGACTTCCATGGATTGGCCTACTGGTCACATCGGCTCGTACCAGATACTGCGATGATGCATATCAAATATGGAGAACGAGACGATGACTGGCAATCAGGACTCGACCTTATGAAGTTCTACCTTTGTGGCCTCGAGCCCAGGTTCAAATTATACGGCAAGTGATATGTCTGATTATTCATCACCCTCATAGCGGCTAACGATATCCGACAGCCAACTACCTGCGAGACATTGAAGGGGCAGAAGAAGCGGCAAGAATGGGCTAATCTTGCAAAAACACAGCGCTCAGGGCGATTATCGAAGCCAAAGTATTACACAGCAACTCCACTCAGGCCGGCACCTTCTCCGCAGGCCGGATCAGAAACTCCTTGAGCTCTGCAAAACCCTTGATAACCTCGTCCTTCTTCTCAGCCCACTCCTTCACGCTATCTTGACCCAGCTTCCCTTGGCTAGCTTGCACCATATCCCATGCCATGCCACCAGTAATAGGCTCATTTTTCGCAAACGCCAGCATTGGTCGTGTCTCAACAACATGGACATACATCGATTCCAGGGTAATCTTCAAGCTATCGCTAGCCTTGTCACCTCCCATTATTCCATAGCTTATGATCAGGAACGGTTTCCCTTTGATCTCGTTGTAGAGATAGTCGATTGCATTCTTGACAGCTCCTGGTGCGCCGGCATTCTGGAAGGAACAGAGATCAGCACATGTGCAACGGGAGTATCAATAGCTAGAACTTCCAATCAAGAAAACGAAGGGAAATTAGATTTTGCCCTACATAGCACGCTGTTACAAGTACATATCCATCATACTTGGCAATCCCAGCGCTCCAAGCTTTGCTATGCTCATGAGCGAACTGCGCCATAAACGGAACAGTGGCTGGGATGACCTCTTCGTCAAACACCGGGAGCTTGAAGGAAGCGATGTCGACTTCGGAAAGCGTGAACTTGACCGCTCCAGGAGATTGTAGGATAAATCACACATAAAGAATTTAAATAAATGTTATTTAAAAAGGCGTTTACTTAGTCCTTTTTGCTACGAAAGCTCTCCTTCGAGGGTATTCCGGACGAACTTGGTGACTTGTGGTCCAATGCGGACGGCGCGAGTGCTGCCTGTTAGCATGGCGATTTTCTTTCTGGTGGAGTCTGCCATGGTGGGTTGAGTGGTGACTTTGCTCAGTTCAATGAGGATTTATGTTTTGGTCAAAGTAGTTGATTCTGGCAGTGGAATATACAGTGTGCGGTTTTCTCCCCTTTTATAGTGGACCGCAGCAACAAGTCTGACCAATTTATTTCGCAGTGGATATGTTTTCATCAGTCAGAGTCCAGTAATTAGGTCTCATTATACCATATCCATCGAGAATACTATTCGTGAAGATGCTGACTTGGTACGCTGTGGAAAGAGAGCAAAGCTTACCAAGACCGAACCCGAGACCTTTTACAGCTAAGCGAGCTTCATGGGGCGGATGCGAGGGCGGCAGCTTGGGGTGAGGCTTATGGTGAAGCATCAACACTAGGTTGGATCTCGTAATGTGCCGTGATCCTTGCTTTACTGGCACTGGAACAGTTATTCCGTCTGCTCATAAGTACATCAACCTTTTTCTAGCTGTTATCTCTCCTGCTTCACTTTTTATTTTCTATACTTCTTGAAGCACTTGAGATCCTCATCTACTAAAATTGAGTTGTTTGTAACGAAGATTTCCCAATCGCCTATCGTCAATCCTCAAACTCGCTAAAGTACAGCGCCACGATCCAAAATAAACAATGCCGTCCCACAGCACACCTTCCCAACAGCTCCCAGCCGGCATGCACAACCCATCCCGCAGAAAACTCACCAACCACCTCATTAAAGACGAAGCGCACATCGAAAAGTACTCCGCCGAAACCAACGGCGCCTACACCCAAGTCCGCGTAACCGTTGCCCCAGGCGGAGGAACACCCCTCCACTACCACGGCTCCTACGATGAGCACTTGACCTGCACAAACGGACTCCTCAGCTGCGTGATCGGCAACAAAACACTCACGTTCACGCCCGGCGAAATGGCCGTGATACCCATCGGTACGAAACACCGGTTCTTCAATGCATCTGAGTCGGATGACGTGGAGTTCGTGGGAAAGGTGGTTCCCGCGCATGAGGGGTTTGAGAAGAGCTTGTATATTTGTTATGGGCTCGCGGGGGATGGAGAGTGTGATGAGAAGGGGCTGCCGAGAAGCTTTGTACATTTGTGTTTGATAGCTGATTTGGGAGATATGAGATGGCCGGGCTTCATGCTTGTTGCGGGTTTTGGGAATATGCTTGTTAAGGTTGTGGCCGCGTATGCCAGGTGGAGTGGTGAGGAGGACAGGCTATTGAAGAATTATTGGTATTGACAATTGAGATTAGACGCTGACGACATTGCTCTACAAATTATATTTCAACAGCTTTTCTGGTGTATGTTCTTGCCCATCCTCGTTAGGGAAATTCAAGACAGTGACATGCCGCAAAGTATGGACATAAATAAATAAATCCTAGAGATCTTCTTCAGCTGCTCTTGTATACTTACTTGCAAGACGAAACCAACAAACTAATACATTTGAAATTATTATGCGAAGATTTTAATCATTTTATTTGCAAATGTTCCTTCAAGGGGGGAGAAGTTGTGTTCTACCCTGCCATGTATAGGTAACAAGTTCAAGGCAAGTCCAGGGCAAGTTCGCTTAGCTAAAGGCTTGCAATTGATGATTCTCTGGATCTCCATGCTAGATGAGCGCAGCCCTCCAAAGCGAGCACTTTTAAAGCAAGACATCAATGCATTTTCATTAATCATGTCACGAACCGGTCAAGACAGAGAGTTGGAATCAAATAACACTTGTTCGCTTGTGTGCGCATCCTCCACGTCCCAAAAACCCAGAATCCAAACCGCAGAAGCTGTCGGAAATATCTGTCTGATGTTGAATATAGACAGACCGCAGAAGAAAACAGTTAAGTTGTCCCCTGCTCGACACAGCCCTGTTGCCTACGATAGGACCCTGCACCAAATTTTGCAAATAAAGGATGGCTGATTCGCATCCGCTGCGCCCACTTGTGAAAAGAGTGGTTCCCGCTCGTTGTATCGATGAATGAGTGTTGTAGTGCACCCCTTGCTACACAGCGGTATCTCAGAAATGCAAAAATGAAGAAGAGGCAGGAAAATCGCATTAGCATCTCAAGCACGTTCCGTGCTCAGTATCAAGACCTCCTAGATGTAGAACATTGAGTCTTTAAGCGCATCACCAATGGCAATTGGATCGTCTTTGCCCTTTGTTCCAGTCGAACCACTTGCAACACTGGGTGTGGCTGAAGTTTCCTGGGGATCGAACTGGTCAGACAAATAACATCTGAGGCGGGTGCACAGCAGATCAGCATAGTAAGCCGGGGGGCACAAGCTGACTGCCTTAGTTGCGCGGCCAAAGAGATGAGACATGTTATGCGTCAGGTCCTCCAAGGCATCCGCGGCACTCTTGTGCTGACCAACTGGCTTGATGCCTCTGAAAATCTCATCTAGAATCACATAATAGTGAGCTGAGCGAGCTGTGCCTTGCAGACAACAGTGAGCCTGAAGAAAAAAGTCCCAAGCGCCGACTTCAGTAACACCACGGTCAACGATTGTACCCGGTTCACAGTTGGATGACCGATCAGCATCCTTTTCAGCGGTAGGATAGAATCGAGTATGATGTCGCTTTCCGCAGACAATGATTGAAATCTTTGGGAAGTCTTTTTTCGTTGCTTCAGCTGGGTAGATCTGGCGACAAGCATTGCGGATGAGAGGAAGCTCCTCGTCTAGTACCAACTGATACTGTCCTTCGGAAACACCATCCCGATAGATGATGATATTAACGGGAAGGGCATCGTTATTCCGCTTCTTCCAGAGCTTGAGGCGGGAAATCATCATCGACTCTAATGCCTCCACCATCTCCTTCCTTCCGGTCTGAACGTTGAAATCGGCTGGCCATTGACCGAGCCACCTGTCAACACTTGCCACGATGCCTGCAACACTGGGAGCACCTTCCTTGGACCCAGGGGAAGGATGAGTTACGTCTAAGCCGACCACCATTGTCTTTCCTTCGCTGATGATGCCAAGTTTTCCAGCATCGAGAGTGTGGTTGATGCCGCCAGCCTTCAAGTTGAACTTCAGCGATACATTGCCAAAGTACTGCTCTTGTCTGTTCTGCTTCATAAATTTGGAACCGACAACGCAGACAGTGTGGATGCCAGCTTTAGTGTCACCAACAGTCTTGATGCTGTTGTAAAGAGCCACGTCGTTGTATGGGAGCACGCAGAAAACAAAGCGCGGTTTGACCTCGGGCGATGCCGTGTGGAACCTGCGGAATATGTCACGGATGATGCTGTCGTTGCGAGCATTTTCACCGTCGTACAGGTTAACAGTAGGTGGAGGCGGGACCTGAATGTATCCGTTCGCATTAATACCAGAATCATTCAAGAATGCTCTGAACTTGGCGACATTTGCCTGCAGGTCTGTTTCACTGAAGTTGTCTCCGCGTCTGTTGGATCGGAAATAGATGTAGGTCCACCTGCCCAGGTTGCTGCCGGTATGGAACTGGACATTGGCCATGTTCCACGAACCAAATCTTGGCACCATGACAGTCTCCTGTTTCGTACGTGCGTTCTTGTACTTGATCTGTGGAGGTGCTAAGACACGGGCGGCCACAGTGACTAGAGATGATCCGACTTGAATACCGAAAGCGCCAGCAATCGAGTTGGCCGTAGGGTTGAGTCCAAGTACAGCTCTGCCATCTCCAACGATGGAATTGGCATTCTCCCAGGGCTTACGACAAGCAAAAGTGATCATTTCTTGGGTCTGGGCAGGACTGAGACGACGGCCAATTGGCTGACCAGGTAAGACAACGCAGACTTCAGCAGGCAGGTACATAGGATGCTCCTTGTTGCCAACGTTGACCACAGGATTACGATCACTGATCTGAATAAGCGGGTACTCTGTTCATAGTATCAGTATAGCAGGAGATTAGGAAACAGACAGAGACACATACTCTTTTGGAAGTAGTTGTAGACGGTAATGTACTGGTTCGTGGGAAGGCTGCCTGGTTGAGATCCGCCAGACTTCTTACCTTTTCCAGAGGTACTTGGTGCAGCAGCGGCTGTCCCGGGAGGAGTATCAGACAACCAGAAACTGACTTGCGTCGGGCCACCATGGTTAGCAGTGATCTTAGGTGGATGCTCCTCCGAGCGGCCATCGGTCATCAGTGCCAGCCCACATATGGTCTTGATACGGGGAACGTCCTGGTTCTTCTTGTTCTTCTTGCCCGGTAAATGGGTAACACGAACACGAAGCTTGTTCAACTTCTTCGCCAGAGTGGTCTTGTTCCCAGTACCTAACTTGGGGAACAATGTATCTAGCCGGTCGGGTTCGAAGAAAACACCATGCGTGATGTTGATGTTAAGTAGCAATCCTCCAGTGGCTGGTCGAACACTCAAGAAATAGCCGCGGAGGGATTCTAATCCACCGCCGAGAACATGGACGTTATGCGCATTAGCCTGGCTGCGATCCAGAGAGAAGTGACGATTTTGTCCAATGGAGCTAATACCAGGGTGAGCCTGAGGATAGCAGCCGAACACAGCGTTCATCATTTGAATCACCTCAGCTTTTTGAGGGTATGGCGGCTGTGGATTTTGAGATGCCAGGAAATTGATGAGATCGGACACCAAGTATGTAAGTGGCGTGATCACTCTCACATTGTACGTGATGGCACGAGTAAGGGGCTCGTCCTCGCCCTCTTTTCTGTATGGGATCTGGATGGTGTAACCGGGCGGGAGGTTGAGGTTTCTGGTAGAAATGATCATCGATTTCCACTCGGTTGCAACTCCAGAAAATGCGGGCAGCTCAAGAAGTAGCTCAAAAATCCTACCCAACTTCTTGCCTGTGGCAGGAGGGGAGACCTCGACGTTGTAACGTGTGAGGCTGAGGTTGGGTGGTGCAATCATTTTGAAATAATTGGCGTAAACAATGATTTTCTTCCCCATAGTTCCATGACCTGGGCGTGGGGGAAATCGGGAGGTAGTAGAGAGGTTAGCTAGAGCATTGATGCCCTTGCTGTTCTTCATATAATTGTCCTCGGTAGTAATGACCTGGGTGTCCGGGGCGATAGGATCATTGCCAGGATTTCTGTACAGTTTGTGAGTGAAGCAGTTATGGCACTGTTTTAGGGGACTTACTTGAAGACTTTGACTTCAGGAGGTCCGGACGAGAAACCTCCTCTTCCTCCGCCTCCTCCACCTCGGTCACCTCCACCGCGACCGCCCCCTCCTCGATCCCCACGATAGCCTCCTCCGCCACCTCTACCACCTCCGTAGTCCCCTCGACCTCCTCCACCACCGCCTCTACCACCGCCAAAATCTCCTCGACCGCCGCCTCCGCCTCGCCCACCACGATATCCTTGTCCAGACATCTGATTAACAAGTACTTGGCAAGGTGACTTCCAAAGTACTAGTACGGCACAGTGAAAGATTCCAAAGGTGGTTCTCGTGGAGGTGAAGTCAAATTCTGACACTTTCAGAAGTCGAGAGTATGCCAGGTGTTTATGTATGTGTATGCGTGTTGTAGCCTCGCCTGCGGCAAGAGGACTACAAAGGAATGCCGGAAGAGGCAACCTGCTGTACGACGAAGCGTGGATAAGTGTGAGAGGATATTATAGGATGGGATACTGTGGAGAAGAATGGTGTTAGTCGTTGGCTCTTCAACTAGTTTTAGTATGAGACGAAGGTAACGCAAGGTGAGTTGTGAGGGAAGTGGGCTGGAACAGGGCCATTGAATGCAAATGTGGTAAAGGAATGGATAGGTGAAGGTGGGAGACGAAGCACCTTGTCCTTCTTGAGGAAGAGTTGTAGTACCTTGTTGTTAGGTCGTAGAAATGGAGAAAAGGGAAGAAGTAGATGCTTTAAGTAGTACTTGTGCAGGAATGAAGGCAGGTGCGAAGGAGTGAACGAGGGCAGGAGCTGCGAATGGATTGATTGTAGAGCAGAATCAATGGAGATTGAATTGGAGGAGGGGCGTTTGCTGGAGATTGACTTACTCTGAATGGTTGATGGTTGATGGTTCTTGGTTGTTGATACCAGTTGATGTCGAATACGAAGGGTAGTTCGGAGAGCAAGGCAAGCTTGGCTGGAATGGAATGGAATGGAATGTGAATTCGGAGTACCAGCAAAAGCACGAGTTGGACTAGAAGTGAGGAGCCATCAGACTGATATGCAATTCTCCCGGTCAGCTCTTTGGCAAGTCCAGGTTGTTGGCAGAAAGACGAAGGAAGCGGTCAAGCAGAGACAAACAAACTTATGTGGTTGCCCTGCCCTGCCCTGCCTGCAGCATGGCGCACAAGGGTCGGAACGCGATCCGGCATGGCTTTTGTTTGGCGACGGACACGATGACACGGGAAACTCACCTGTTCAGCTGACTGCCAAGAGAACAATGAAAGCCGGTATGAAACGGTTGATGTGACAGAAAGGGGGAGAGGAGGAGAAAGGTTCTGTTTGCTTTTCGGAAGTGAAGAAGGTTGAGGTGGTCAAAGCCCAGCAAAAGTCACCGTGGAGTCAGGGTCAGGATCAGGGTCAGGGTCAGGGTCAGGGTCAAGGTTGACGGCCCAAAAAAAAGGCGGTGGACCATGGCCATGGCTGTCCCCGCAGTAGTAGTACGAGTATCCTGGCAGCGTCCTGCAGAAACGCCAACCAGGCTTCGCGTTCTCACGTGTCCGGTAAGGGCACGGAACTGCACTGCACTGCACTGCAGGGCGAGGCAGGCGAGGCAGGCAGACAGGCAGGCAGGCACACTGGAAGCTGCTACCAGGTGGCTGGGAATAATAATGCCCAAGATCCTTGGAACAGAAGCCCACGCCCACGCCCACGCCCAAGCCCAAACTCAGCCGAGGATCTGCCAGATAACCTGAAAGTAAGCACACGAGGCACAACAGCATCGCATCTGAAGCAGCCCACCAGTGAGTGGCCTGGCCTGTGTTACGTCAAATTATTGACGATCTGATATGTATGCTGACGCAGTGACGAGAGGAGAGGAGCCACGGTGAGCTGAGTTGAGTCGGACCCTGTTTGCTTTTCCCCTCTCTGTGTCTGCAGACCATTTTGATCAGAAACCAACATGTCTTCTGACTGGGCTGCGACATGAAAATGAAAGCAAGAGAAAACGAAAGAGGCGTTTGCTGCGAGCGTTGTTTGCTTCCAACCCATGCAATACGGCTGTCGACCTCCTAGGCGGTCAGGCTGAGGTTGACCAGTAGAGTAGAGAGACTCCTCTCCTCCATGGCTATGGCTGACTTGATACTCTCACCGAGCGAGTATTGAGAGCTCTGTGCCAAATGTTGGAGCTCCTGCTGAATGGACTGAAAGTGAGCCTTGTACTCAGCAAAGAGAGCCTTGTTGAATCCTGACGTGGCCTGGATACGGGTCTTCCTTTCAGCTGCTTGCGCTGCACTGCAAGTGCCTGCACTTCCTTCCTTCACACCACATCTATCTACCTTTACCTTTACCTTACTCGTATCTCTCCAAGGTTGGCAGACATAGGGATCAGCTTCAGAAATCCCATCTATCCAAGACTTCTTCCTAAAGCAAGTGCTGCTTCAATCGCCAACATTTCGGTTGACATGTGGTGCGGATTTCTATTCTCTCACCTTACTTATTATACCTTACTGTACCTTGGTGTCTGGAGGTCTCCTTCCAATGATCTCATCCCATGCCATCCTGACCATCCTGGCGTGGGAATTCCCCGGACGTCGCGCACCGCAGCATCCCTTGGTCATATTATAACCTTATCCCCGGACTGAGCTCTCAGTTACCTTTATGTCCCCACTACTCGTACTCCAACGGTCCAAACCCCTCAAACCCCTCAAAACCCGCAGACACCGCAAACCCCCAATTGTTAATCCAGATACGAGTGCCTACATTAAGTAGATTTACGTATGGGAATTATTAATGCGTCAAATATAGCCCAGAAAATCTCCATCCCAACCCCATGCCCTGTAAGAATCGGACATCGGGAGCACATCGCAGTCCGTCCGCCTGCCATTCGCAGCACTAGATTGCCTGCTGCACCAATGAAGCGATGGCCCGACACAGCTATTCCTTGCATGATCTTGAAAGGGTACCAATAGCAACAAGGCGGCCGAACCATTGTCGAAGAAAGTCCAGACCTGGGGAAAGTAAGAATATAAGCCTCGAGCACTCTCCACAGTCCAAAGCTTAAGTCACAACTGCTCGGATTTCATTCGCATTTGTGGAAAGCCCAGACCTTGCGCGTCGTCGTCGTCCTCATTACCAGCGTCTTCCACATTGAAGGCAACCGCATTCCTTGGTGCGCGCTGTAGTGTACTGGCATATCTAGGTACACAGCACGAAGTCCTGCCCTCGTCTCGTCTTCTACCCTGTCCGTACAAACGAGCACCCAAACAAAGCAAAGTGCTCAGAAATATAATGGCGCATTCCCAGGTAGAGCAGCAGCCGCAATTGAGCGAGTCAAGGTCAACAACAGTGACCGAGACCACAATGGAAGACACCAAGAGAGAAGCTGCAGATGCCACTGGGGCCACCAAGCCCCCAAACACCTCTCAAGATATATCTGGCGCGCCAACAGAAACAGATAAGAAGGAAGAAGTGGTAATGACGGAGAAGGAAGCACAAGCCAAGAAAGATGCAGAGGAAGATCTGCAATATCCACATGGGTTGAAGCTCTGGATTATCCTGGGCGCGTTGTGTCTGGCAGTGTTCCTAGTGGCGCTGGACCAGACTATCATCTCGACAGCCATCCCAAAGATTACGGATAGATTTAAGAGTATTCAGGATATTGGATGGTAAGCGACACTGAAGCGAAGACTGGCACTTGGCTCTTTCGAATATCCTACTGACGTACCAAGGTATGGATCATCATATCTCCTCACGGCAACCGCACTACAGCCAACTTTTGGACGGATATACACAATTTTTGATGTAAGAGCAGACAGATGCAACGTCTACTTTAGAACACCAGCAGGTCTGACAAGCTCTACAGATCAAGTACACTTTCATGAGCGCTATAATAATCTTTGAAATTGGGTTAGCGAGGTCCTTCGGGTGTTTGAACATCTACTTACCACACACAGCTCTCTCGTCTGCGCAACAGCACCATCAAGCAATGCCTTAATTGTGGGAAGAGCCGTAGCTGGTATGGGTGTTGGTGGACTGTTCTCAGGAGCAGTCGTAATTCTAGCTTACTGCTGTATGTTGTGATTTCGTTTACTAAGTTTATGGTATCACGAGTTCGCCAACTCTATCTTTCTCGCTTAGAACGTCTTGTAGCACGCAATACTGACACTCTCAGTACCGCTCAGAAAGAGACCGGCGGCATTTGGCCTAATTGGAGGTATGTGGGGAATTGCATCTGTAGCTGGTCCGCTTCTAGGGGGTGTTTTCACGTATGCTCCACCACATTCTGCGCTTCCACCGAAAAATATTGACAACATACAGCGATAAGATCTCATGGCGATGGTGTTTCTATATCAAGTAAGCCTCTTCATTCCCATCGTCACAACAGAACTAGCCCTGAACTCCGAAATCCAAAATCTCGGATTCAGACACTTACTAACACACCACCCAAGCCTTCCAATCGGCGCCGTCTCCTTAGTTGTAATCTACTTCTTCCTGCGTATCACCCGAGACAACAACCCCGAGAACCTCAGCATCAAACAACGAGTCCTCAAACTCGATCTAATTGGCGCATCCATTCTCGTCCCCGCCGTGATCTGTCTCCTCCTTGCCCTCCAATGGGGCGGTTCCACCTACCCTTGGAACAACTCTCGCATTATCGGACTGTTCGTTGGGTTTGGGCTGTTGACCATCATTTTCGTGTATACACAGATCCGACTTGGTGATCGGGGAACCTTACCTCCGCGGCTGTTCAAGAACAGGAATGTGGCGTTTGCATTGGCTTTTGCTCTATTCTGTAAGTTGAGACGAGGATTCAAGGATTCGATTCTATGCACTGGGAGAGTCAAACACTAATGTGTCAATGTTAAAGTTGGTGCCGGATTCTTCGCCATCATCTTCTACCTCGCCATCTACTTCCAATCAGTAAAAGGCTCCAGCGCAACCAAGGCCGGCATTCAGTAAGTAGACTTCTCCCAACTTTACCTCCGAATAATCTCCTTTTTTCACTCGTGATCTCATACTCGAAACTAACATCTCGTCCTCTCTTCAGACTCCTCCCCCTCCTAATCAGCACCGTCGTCTCCTCCATTGTAACAGGCGGTCTCATCACGGCCATCGGGTATTACGTCCCCGTAATGCTCTTCTGCATGGTCCTATATGCCATCGGCGCCGGTCTAATCACAACATTCGACACACACACCCCCTTCGCAAAATGGTTCGGTTACCAGGTCCGTCCCCGCTCTCCTTCCCTCACACATTCCCCCTCCTTTCCAAAGGACCACAAGACTAACCCTTCTTCCTCCTCCAGATCATCACCGGCGCCGGCATAGGAGTCGGCTTTCAAGGCGGCATAGTCGTAGTGCAAACCGTCCTCCCCCTCGCCGACGTCCCCGTCGCCACCGCCTGCGTCTCCTTCTTCCAAACCCTTGGCGGCGCACTCTTCATCGCCGTCGCTCAAACCCTCTTCCAAAACGGCCTGCTGACCGGCATCGAGAAATACGCGCCTACCCTCCCCGCACAGCTCTTCCTGAAGAGCGGCGCGACACAGATTCGCGAGCTTTTGAGAGAGCTGGGCCAGGAGAACGAGCTGGAGAATGTGTTGAGGGCGTATGTGGATGGGCTGAAGGGCACGTTCTGGATCACCGCGGCGTGTGCGATTGTGGCGTTCTTCTGTTGTGTGGGGTTGGAGTGGAGGAGTGTGAAGGATGGGCATGGGCAGGAGAAGGAGGCTGAGGGCGAGGATGTGGAGAAGAAAGGGGAGGAGGGGAAGATTGAAGATACCAAAGATGAGGAAGTAGTGAGGGAGAAGGATGAGACGAAAGTCTAGGATTTCAGAAATTCTAGAACTGAGGGTTTTCGAAGGAACGGAAACGCAAAGAAGAAAAAAAAGAGAAGGAATGGATAGATATCTGGGTGTTTTGGCTATTGCACTGTACCATAAGGATCTACTCTCTGCTCAGTCCAGAGTACTTTACACAATTATTACTGCATTCACATGTATCTTAGCATAAGCCTTGTAATAAGAATTTTACGAATTCAAGATATTGATACCCATCCATCAATTTTTAAAATGCACTATATCGCCCTCGTCACCTATAGGTGCGTTTGTTTACTTCTGGTCGGAATCTCGGCTACTCAAGCGACAACAGGAGTCATCGAAAAAGAATGGAGACATGGAGACATGGAGAAACACACGCCTCATCAAAGCAATGCAAAGGGGAGATGGCCACATCAGGATGAATTTTCAGATGGGGATTTCACTAGATGTACGTTGAACGGGACACATGACTCAATTCAAAAGAGTGGCAGTGGTGGTATATGTGCTATGCTATGTATGCCATACAATGCAGTAGTCAGCCAGCTTTAATATCTCAAATCTTCATTTGGCGTTGATTCCCTCGAATTCTTTCAACAGCCCAGAAACGACTGAGTGTATTATTGAGACGTGTTGCCGTCACATCCCTATCTTCTCTCCCTCCAACGCAACGCAAAGCAATACAATGCAATGCAATGCAATGCGGCATGCTTGTAGCAGACTCGGAAGCCCAAATGCGCAGCCAAATTTAAGTGGATAGGCATTCGCCTATTATTGCAATAAAGAGTCCTATCCCCATACGCCGAAGACAATCAAAATCCCGCTAATGAGCAAAAAAACCCATTCCATCAACCCAGACATTATCGAAAGTCAACGCCGCGTCACCATCGCCCTGGTGATCAAGTGTGCTAGTTGCAACTGCTACTTCCAAGTCAAGAGAGGCACACCTTTCCAAGCATGCTTATCTTTCTGCCAGATGGAAGTTCTCGCGGACCGAATTATCTTCGCTTCCCCATTCCCTTGCTCGCGGAAGAGACGTGGCAATCATTGCCATTTTTTATTTTTATGAATATTTATATCGAAGTGAAATTTTTTGTGTGCCGTGTGTTGGATGACGAGAGGAGAAATTGCCGAGGAGTCAAGTACTCATCTTATAATCCTGGTCGACCCTAGGGACTTGCATGAAGCTGTCCCCAAAGTGACGAGGTGATGATATATTGCTTCCTGTTTGGCAGTGGAGACCAAACAGAATGCTCCAAACCTGGAGAACACCGTAGCTCTGTATGAGCCAGTCCAAGAGTATGGTCACTGAATATGTATGAGAGGAGAATATGGGTGCGTCAGTGAAAGATCAATCAATCTTCGCAGAAGCCAAGCTTTTGACAGCAGGATTGGAAAGATTGTTTGCAAGTCGGATGGCTGGACGTTTGTACTTCGTGTGCTTCCGAAGACGTTTTCGTGCAACCATCACGGGAACAGAGGATTTCGTGACGAGATAGTTAGAGAAAGAGCCAAGAATGACGCTGTGTTTCTGTCAGCTGAGACCTTTCACCGACACTTCCAAGATTTTGGCATAGCAGGGAACTGAAATGACATACCCTTTAAGTTGACTCTGCCCTCTGCTTCCTAGGATAACCATTGTAGGAGAAATGAAGTCTATCACTTCTGTTATGAGATGCTTCGGGCTCTTGCAATGGATAACTTCGATCACGACCTTGACCTGGAGTTTCGTCTTTCGGAGAAGTCTCGATACTCGATCCGTTATATCCTGAACAGCTCTGTAGCGTTCATACTCGGCCTTTCCTTTCTCCCTACCCATTGGGCTCGCACTGGCGCTGTGAGGATCTAGTCTGAAGCCTGGTCCTAAAGGGCTCGGGAAGTTGGTGGTAGGGCTCATGAGCGGAGTCGATCCCGAACGATTCGCAGATGCCTGAATGGCGGCAAGCTGTTCCTTCATTCTAGTATCATCTTCGCTATCGTTGTTGGCGATTCCTACATCCTCGTCCACGCAGTAGATGGCAAGAAGAGTATCCCCATCTCGAAGAACCGTCCCAACAGTCCATTCCAATGCATGAGCGGCTTCGTCACTGAGATCGGTAGCAACAAGGTACTTCCGAACCCGGCGCTGGTGATCCTTGGCTTCCTGCTGCATCTTGAGGAAGTCTCCACGGTAAATTGTCCGCACAGAACGACTGGTTGCCGGGGTTGATTGTATAGGCGTCATGTTAACCGAGAGCTTCTGGGCATGCTTGATATCGGTGACGTCTTGTTCTGTATCTGAGTCGACTGGAGTATTCAGCCCAGACGTTCCTTCGTCGAAGCTTGTATTCGGATGTACGACAGCCTTTCCATGTCTCAAATATCGATCTCCACCAGGTTCGGTGACTGTGATCTCTGGGTCCAGCAGTGAGCGTATCTTGTATTTGTCGTGTTCGGCGGCAGCTATTTGATCACCTGCAGATTTGTTAATAAGAACAAATAAGGAGCATTGTGAAATACGCACGCTCTTCCTCGGCAGCAGCCATCAAGCTCTGAGCTTGCCTGGCCACTTTTGGTCTGCTTCCTCCCACGGCAGAATCAGAGTTTGCTCGATCTGGCCGGTTCTCATGCTTCCTGCCTCGCAGCTGATCATCGTCCGAAATACTGTCGTCATCATCACTGCTATCAATGATCACATCCTCGCTGTCAACATAGTCCTTCTCCAACCTGGCTCCATTCTCGAATGGCACACCATCGCTATTCGTCCGACTCCGCTGCTTCTTCCCACCCAACGATGACAGCCCTCCTCCAGACCGAGCTAGATTTGCATCTGACAACCTGCGGTACGCGCTGTTCATATCTACCACCCTCCCATCGTTCAGGACAAGCTTCGAACTTTCCGCCTTGACACTTGGAGAATTCGAACGTAGAATTGATCGAGGGACTGGAGATCTCGATTTCGTGGAGATACCTGTGGTGGCATTCGAGGTATTCCTTCCTCGGTCTCGGTCTTTGTCTCCAAATAAACTTATGGTTCCTCCTCGTACCACTTCTGCCATGGCGGAAGTTTTCCTGCCACCCAGGGTAGTCCGCTTCGGGGCTACGGGTCCACCAGGGGTACTTGGCGCATACCCGCCAAATTGGTAGGCTGATTCGGGATTCCCACCGGTAGATGCCGCTCTGGGTCCAAAGGATGCTGGCTTCCTTGCTGCATCCGACAGGCTTCTGTGGGGAAGGCTATTCGCCAGCTGTGTTTTCTGAGTAGTCCTCTCATCACTGGGCGAGGATGCTGCACTCTGCGTCGAGGCAGAGGAAGATGTCCTTCTCTTGCTCGCAGTACCTTCCCCTATCTCCAGCATACTTTGAAGTGGTGCTGCAGAAGTTTGTGGTGATGGGGACATATCCAACATACTTCGAGTCGTCTGCGACGAGCTCTTGCGCGGAGGTATTGCGAGGCCAGTTCCGTTGGTCCCAGTCAATGAAGTCTTCCTAGGTGACTCTGAGCCTTCATCAACATCCAGCATGCTTCTTATGGGAGACTGTGCCTGTGTGGTCAAGGGTGAAGTCCTTGCAGATCCCATGGATCCTGTGGAACCTCGATGGCGGGTTTTGGGAGGGCTTTCGAGTAAGGCAAGGACATCCTTCCTCTCTTCATCCAATATCTGTTCTAAGGACATCTCCTGCGTAGCCATCCTCACCAAACCTCAGGTTGTTCTTGCCAGATTATTCCGAAAGTGTTTGTTGCTTGCCCAGGCAAAGGTTGCTCTCCAGCAGAAAACTCGGAGAGACCGTGAATTGGGCGACAAAGCAGGAACACCACAAGGTGGCGCTGTGAAGGGTAAACGTTATCGATTAATGAACTTTCGTGGTTGTCGATAGACAAATTCGAGATACTGCATTGTGGTAAAAGGCTCCAGTCTTTTCAGGGTTGCGCTCAGGTCATTGCTACAGCCGTGCTGCCTGTGTCGAGAGAGAGTTCCGGTGTAACTTGGGCCGCAGGGAAGGCTTGAACGCAAGCGCTTCGAACGGCCAGAGATAGAGGGCTCAAAAAGGAAGAAGCAAGTATATCTGCTGGTAAAGGAGAGGAGTTGTGTGCGCCACGTGGCGAGCAGAATCCCGAGGTGGTAGAAGGAGGCACAGAGGTGGTTAGATGGTTCGTTTTGCCCCCGCGGTGCTTCGTAAAATGGAGGTTCTAGATTGTTGCTAATGGCGGCTGAGACGGGACGTGCTGTGACAGCTGAAGGGACTTGCTTCTTATGATAGGGAAAGGTATCGTGAAGGTTGAAAGGGGAGGGAGAAGCGGCGCTTGCGCAGAAAATGAAGCACGGGGGCAAGTCGAGTGAGGAGGAGTGAGGAGTTGACTGATTTAAACAAGTGATGATCGTCTCCTTATGGCAATGGGATGGCTTTTAGCGCTGTCCCTTGGAGGCGGGGGAGAGGCGGCCCAAGCCGAGTGGGCTGCGGTGCTCGGGATAGGGATAGGGATTGTTCTGGGGGGCTGCAAGATGGCAATGAATCGCAACAACAGGAGAGGTCTGAATAATCAGGATGCAGGGTCAGAGCAAGATCCTGAATAATAAAGACTACCTTTAAGAGAATGTCGGCCTGCGCAGTTCAATAAGGAAGCAAACAGGCAAATAATGGCTATCCGCCAGTCTCTCCCTTGGAAGCAAGTGAAGCAAGCCTGCAAGTGTACAGTAATACCCTGGAAAACTGCATTTTACGGTTGGTAATTTACTTATGCACCAGACTATCCGGCACTGCAATCGCCAGATCGATAGAAGTTATGTCTCTGAGCTGGTAGTGGCAGCTCCAACGAGCACTGAAAGACATCTTTTCAGCACAATTATCGCATTCATGATACTGTCCCTACCTTAGGTAGCCCCTAATGCAACCTGGATGGAAGCTACCTATTCTGTACCTATGTACGAGTACCACATGCGCCAAGAGATGCCCCTCCCCGACCCCACAAAGTTGCGGCGTTCCGTCTTGTCTTTGAGCTGCCACAGCCGACAGACATGGTACCGAGAAAGGTACTTATACTCGTAGTGATGAATGAGTTCTTCACCGTAGAAGCAGTGCAACACAGAATCTTCCGAAGAGGTGCTCATTTTCAAGAATCACAGTTAGACTTTCCATACTGTACTATTCCGAAGGCCGAAACATACAATAATACGGCAAGCTATGTACCTCGTATGTTCTGCCCGCATTCCCAATCCACCTGTCGAAACTTTCTTCATAAACCTATGCCCACATCTCCCTTGGCATCACATCAAAAGCAAGCGATAACTGCAAGTCAAGACGGGCGCAGCACCACCGCCAAGTTCCTTCCTTATCTCCCCCTCGGAATTGCCAACCAAATATCCAATATCACTTCTCACCCGGCCCCATCTCGCGGCACATCGGCCTCACACAGAAGCTTACCCTCTCTTCCAAGCCAGCATGCAGAGAGATCCTGCTTGGCCCAGACCTAGACCAGCTGAAATACAGTATGACTGGGCCAAACGACCCTCTTCCTTTCCGCGATAGATTCCAATTCGTGGGATAGTACTCACCCAAGCATCACGAAGTGGGTATTACATGTGAGGGGGAATGGTGGGGTGAGGAGCCGTTTGCATCTGCAACTCCATCCCTTACCAGGCTCTCCCAAGATATCCGGAAGCTGAATGGAGCCACTTTGAATGTGGATACAGTCTCCAAGCCCAGCTAGGATAATGCGGAAGGAAGACAACGCGACTAAGTCCCGTACCTAACAACGTGGAAACAGCAGACATCTAGGCCATCTCCCTAGTATGTTCCTCTATCGTCGTCTCCCTCGCTCTTGGCATCCGGGTACCGGATCTGGATCATGTCAACAACAACACCAGAGACGGCAGCAGAGACAAGAACTTCAAACAGAGATTGAACAGAGAGTTTGATATATGATAGAAGCACCGTGGCGAGCTGCAGCACTTGCTTTACCGCTAGCGTCTGCATCAATGCAGTTGGTGAATCTCCAATACACACTACACGTGCCGCTGTACCATTGCACATCGACAGGCTTCTGTGCAGAGCAGCGGTGCGTAGTCTCTTTTTGACCAATGTTAGATCGTCGGCAATAATTCCGGAAGATTGCTGTTCCTGGGACGGAAAGAGACGTCAAGGTGCCGTCCTCACCGCCAATCTTCACAAGACCACCAGCCACAGATAATGTGTTATTGGCACAAGCATTTTTTCCTTTGCCTCTCTATGCCATCCATTCCTTTTCGCCAGAATACACTATGATACATCCCAAGCATAGACATGTTGCCTTAAACACCCCTCCGCTACATCCTCTTCCTGTAAGTCTTTTTCATCAGATTTGCTCTTGCCGACGTCCCCGTCCTGTGAACCATCAACCGCTTCTCCCAAACAGAACTCTTCCCTTCCACCACGCTGATAATCTCATCTGCAAACCGCTGAGCGAATTGTCCTCTTCCGCTACTTCTCGATTTCTTTTTGTTGGCTGCGTCTAGTATCCATTGAACAGCTTGCCGTCTCCGTTGTCTCAGACCAAGGGGTTTGGGGATCTGCAAGGCGGCTCCTCCACCAGCAGCACCCCTTATGGACTTGATTCGAAGGAGAGGCGCGACAGAGTCAATTGCAGCGGTGAGATAGCCGACGGGATTCAACGGGAGGTGGTTAGGAGGAGCTGTACCTGGCAGGAGAGGGTGAGCTGAGCTGGTAGTCGGGGGAGGGGCGGTTCGGAGATGGTTTAAGATGAGGGACATGTTCTATATTACAGAGCAGACATTAGCAAGATGCATTTCAAAGGAAAGTCCTGGGAAAATCTGCGCAGCAAATGACCGCAGAATGAAAGTAGAGAACTGACGGCCCTACCCTCTGGGCAGCGCTCAATTTGCCATGCTGCATGAGAAGCGTCGTGACCTGCGATACAACGGGATCGTATCTGTACTTAAGATTCCCATTTGATGGCAGTGGTAAGTCTGGCAGGCCGAATTTGTGTCCTAGGTTTACTGGGTCGGATGCATGTCCTCCTGTCGCTACGTTTTGCAATTGACCCAGTGCCAGTAAATTGGCGAAAGATGTTGTGTCTGCGGCATCGGCTTGGGTTTTACTCTTCTCAATCTCCTCTTTGACAATCTCAGGCGCTTTCTCTTTACTCTCTTGGTCACGCTCAATGATCTGTGCAGCAATTGTCAGTAAAAATCGTTCAAAGGGGTGATGTCATCGTAGCCAATGCTGCCAAAATAGCAGTTGTAAGCCGTACCTCCTGCACAGGTGTTCCTTGTCCCAAATCTGGTCCAGTCTCTCCGGTAATTTTGCTCATATCTGCAGCTTCCTCGCTGACATGTCCAAGGGTTTCTTCATTCGGGCCAGTGGGAGGGGTTTTCTCGTCAGCGAATGCTCTCCTTGAGATGACCGGAGAAACTCGTGATTGATATGAAGCAATTGATGGTCGTGAACGGACAGCAAGTGATCGGCTTGCGCCGTACAGATTCAATCGTGGAGGCATGGCGATGGTGTTGTATTGCCTTTATCCTCATCTGATCCAAGTGATGACCGAGCTCGAAAATGCATCGGTTATTTAAGCCATAATATTAAGGCATAGTGAATGTAAGTTAAGGCAGCCAGTCCGAGAAGAACCGCGCAGCCGCGTTCCTCCAGGGGACATCCTGTCGTTGCTCAATTCATATCAACCGGGATGCTGGGATCTTGTATGACCGTGGACACCTTCAACGTTCAACTTTCTTCTTCCATCAACATCGTCCCTTACCTCGCTCGATAACGTGGTTCGCTACCAAAACCAACACTACACGAAACTCAATTCGGCCCTTGACAGAAGAAGTAAAAAAGAAGCAAGTTTGATTCTTGAAACAATATCTACTGGGAATTTAAGTGGGTTTAAAACAAAGATAGAAGTCCAATCCAAGTCTAACATTTCCATCCACATGCCCGAAAAGAGGGAAAGATAACGAATCTCATAGCCAGTAAACTCTGTCAACTCCACTGCCCGAAAACGCTCGCCCGTCCTGTTGACCGTAACGATATCCGACGCCAGAAGCCCTTGTGTTGCGCCGGCCCATGCTGTTCCCACATTGAAGACTGTTTATTACCATCCTATCATACAGGCCAATTCGAGCGAGTGTGCTGAGGTGTTCGTTGCTTTGATGGAATTTCACCATCCAGAGCGACTCTGGGTAGGGGAGCCTGGGTTCGAGGTACTGATGTGCTTCAAAGCTACCTCTGCAGCGTCCTCCTTCGCATTGTTGACATGATCTCCATCGTACCAGAACCTCGCGGGGATGCTCTGGCCCTGCACAGTGACTGTGCTGGACCAAGCGGTTCGACCACCTTTGTGAACAAGTCAATTGTGTGCTTCTGAGCTTTGCGGGAGCTTTGGGAGCTTACCACGTCTGTCAGACATGATTTGGAATACCGGAGGGTGGTAGTTGGCCTCACGGCACTTCTCTACATGCGGTCAGCGGGGTCAATTGATTTGAGAATGCAACCAGATACCTTCGAGTCTCTCTTGCCAAGTTGCAGCTCCAGAATTATAGCTCGAATAAGACATTGGTGAAGGAAGGATGACCTTCTTGAAAGTTGACGTAGGTGATGTGCAAATGTATGTGTGTATAGCTGGGGATGTGGAGCCGAAACAGTGGAGTGCGGATAAGGCGTTATGCTTTGCAGAAATGGTGGTTTTATGGAGTTCTTTATAGGTGCTTAAGATTCCCAAAATTGTATCCCATGGGAAGGAGTTGGGTGTGTAGCAGGTGAGGTGGCAGCGAAGATGAGGAAAAGCTGCGTTTGCACTTCCGTGCTGCAACTGCGACACGGCAACTAGGTTCAAGTATGTTTCGGCATAATGCATCTGAGCAGATAAAGAAACTATTCAAAAGAAGTAACGTCGATCACCCAAAAGAACATAGGGCCGTGTGTGCTGTCTCCATCGGTGGGATAACACACTCATGTACGACCATGCCGAATGACCAACGGTAAAGCTGCAAAAGCAATTCTAGCTTAACACAAAAACATCTTAGTGGAAATGCAGGGCCAGCGCTACACTCTCATCCAGCTTGCTGCAGCTCCGTGGGTACCATCATGGGGCAATAAGAAAAAGAGGGCAGATTTGGGTAGAGATATTTGAGCAGAAGTAGACAAGGAGTGGAGAGAAGTGGATTGGAGGGGCATTGGAGGGACGAGCCGACTTGGGGGAAGCGACAGTCTGATCTCATAGCGAGAGCCCAATTAAGATTTAAGAACAGCATGTCAGCTGCACGTAGACGCCAATGGAGTTGCACAAGCCAGAGTACCAATACTTCCGGTCCTCGACCGGGTCCTTTGCCTTGGATGCAGCTCAAATTATAGGGCGAAAACCTAGACATCTTGCCTCACTTTTTCGCAAGGATTCCAGATGTCGAAAAATTGCTTTTTACGTGAAGAACAAGGAAAGCAAAATGCGGACACTTGAAGAGCCTCTCAAACTTCTCCTGTGAAGAGAGGAAGGCAATCGTACGTGATCAATTCATTATCAGCTTGGACTCGGTCGCCCAATCTGCTTGATTGAACAAGACTAGAGAGGTGTCATCCGGTCCTTCGATAGAAGACCTGGAACGCAGCTGTGTACCTATCCTCAATCTAGTATTCCCCGACTACTGTAGAGCCCGAAGGTAGAATTCGATCGAGCAGCACTGCAGGAACGGGTGGCTACATGAGCTTGATACGATGAACTTTGCGTAACGTCCCTGGAAGCTCCTTGATTCGAGGGTACAATGCGGAGAGACCCATGGTCTGGCGAACGGTGAGGGTAGTTACCGGAAATTTCAAGTATCAGCCCTGCCAGTTGCATCTCATCGTTGCGATAACTCCTGATCAGCGTCGCATCTCTAGATGATGACCTGCCTTAGGTAGATCGCATCTATCGTGAACAAGGACTTGAGCTTCACCGCTTGTCAATCTAGATCGAACCAGATAACCCGACAGACTGGTACGCTGAGAGCATGGGGTGGTTGAAGAAGAAATGTGAGAGCGGGCCCGGAGGGAGCTCAGAAATGCCCGGCCATTCTTGCAGACGTGGGTGCGTCGTTGCATTGCCGTTCCCGTCAGAGCTCCGTGAGATAAATGGAATGAGTGGATGGGAGTATGATTTGACATTGCTGGCGCCTGCAGGCTACTTCATTGGCAATTGTATTGCATCGAACAGTGAAGAATGTTCCGGCTGCTGATGTTGCTGAGTCCGCTGTCTTCTGGTGGGGAGTGTGAAGAGTGGAAGCAGAGACAGTAAAGTCATGGCCAAGCCACTCAAGTTGGACAGAGTGCCAGATGCTGTGTCGAAGCCACAGACGGAGGCCGGGGCGTGGGCGGGTGAGGGCTGGCAATGGCAATGGCAATGGCAAAGGTACACAGCTTCTAGAGAAGGCTCCAGAGTATCGTATGCTTCCAGTGGGAGCAGGGAGGTTGAAGGCTATTTAGGAGAATTGTTGCGTGGCGACTCCAGAGCGGGCCAAGTATATTATTTATACAGCCTTGCTCAGCGCTGTTCTCTCGGCCGTGCTGCACTACAGCCTTGCCTGCTTGACCAACGCATCGCAGCTCAGCATTGCTGCCCAGCCCAGAAGCCCAAGAGGAAGGTTAGGTGATACGATATACCTGTTTACAGTACCTATCCTCTCTGTTGCGTCGAGCTGGCCGGAGTTGAGCCTGTAGTGGGACTGCATATGCAACATATCGAGGGGTAGTCGTCAGACTTCAGGGGCTGTACTCAGTTGGGGGTTCACTGTGGTACGTGATTTTGTGGTCGTGATTGTGTGTGTGCGTGTGTGTTCGTGGTCACCGGTGTTGCGTTGTGTCTTGGGAATGGAGTCAATGCTCCAGTTCGAGTATCAATTGGTTGATTGTCAAGTGAGGCAAGACTGCACGAGCTACACTAGCCTAATGGTCAAATGTGCCCGAGTCTTCTCCACTCTGACAGCCTCAAAAATTTACCCAGCTCTTTGCCTCAGAAAGCTACCTCTCTCAACTCGTTCTCGTTGTTCTTTGCCGATTTCATCGTCTTTGGCTTGTCCCATCATCCAAGGCTAGGATATGAACGCTAGATAAGAAGGAATTTGGACAGAAGAGAGGAATGGCCACTTCATCATAAATGATGAGTAAAGATTTCCGTCTCTTCGACTCGAGTCTTCTCCGAGGATCAACTCCTCTTGAAATCAAATCACACTTTCCACACATCCCAAGGGCATCATCAATGCCATCGCTGACCAGATCCATACTTCGGCCTGTGAAACCCCCATATAGATTACTAATCCAACGTCTCATAGGTCCATCCGAGCCTGTTTTCGGCAGAGTGTGCCTCGGCCTCGGTTGCCCCCATAACGTGGGGAGAGCTAAATTGTCCGTCAGCTGCCAAAATCAACAACTTCCATTTCTCCAGTCTTAGAAGATCACCAGAAGGATAGAATAGACCTCTTTTCAATCTTTGTCTTAGCACCACCAGCACTTCTTTCTGCGACATTAGAAGAATAAGAATAAGAATAAGAACAAGGACAAGGACAAGAACGAGCCAAAATGCCTTTCAATACCAAACTCACTCGGGCTCTAGGGATCAAGAGTAAGTCCAACTGAGCTTGGTCTCGAGTTGCTTTCCACCAGGGCAGAGTGAGTTGCTAACACATTGTCCACAGTCCCCGTAGTGCAAGGTGGTATGCAATGGGTGGGCTACGCTGAACTAGCATCCGCCGTCTCCAACGCAGGTGGCCTCGGAATTCTCACAGCCCTCACACAACCAACCCCCGAAGACCTACGCAAAGAGATCCGAAAATGCAAGACCATGACCGACAAGCCCTTCGGCGTGAACATCACACTCCTCCCTTCGATGAATACCCCTGACTACGGCGCATACGCACAGGTCGCTATCGACGAGGGCATCAAGGTTGTGGAAACAGCGGGGAACTCGCCTGGACCTGTCATCAAGCAGTTAAAAGCGGTCGGAGTAATCATTCTACACAAATGTACAACTATCAGACACGCGCAGAGTGCAATCAAGCTCGGTGTTGATTTCTTGAGCATCGATGGCTTTGAGTGTGCCGGACACGTGGGCGAAACAGATATCACGAACTTTATTTTGCTGAGTAGGGCGAGACAGTCACTTGAAGTACCATTCATTGCTTCTGGTGGTTTCGCAGACGGACAAGGCCTTGCCGCTGCGTTGAGTTTGGGCGCTGAGGGTATTAATATGGGAACTAGATTTATGTGCACGGTCGAGGCGCCCATCCATTTGAAGATCAAAGAGGAGATTGTTAAAGCGCAAGAGACGGATACAGAGCTTGTGCTAAGAAGGTGGAAGAACACTAGTCGGCTGTACAAGAATAAAGTCTCACAAGCAGCGACGAAGATTGAGCGAGAGAGTACTACTGGCAAGTTTGAGGAGGTTGCTCCTTATGTCAGTGGCAAGCGAGGAAGAGAAGTCTTCATCAATGGAGACCCAGATTACGGCGTAAGTGTCCTCATACCCTCCTTGTTACATCAATACTCACGCCTCCTAGGTCTGGACTGCTGGTCAAGTCATTGGACTTATCCACGACATCCCAACATGTGACGAGTTAGTCAAGAGAATCGAGCGTGAGGCGGAGGATACGTTGAATAAGGCGTCAGCGCTGATCGTGCCATCCAGTAAACTATGATTGTACTTTAGGAAATTGACGACCTCAACTACCTATTCACCATCTCAACAATGACTTGTACAAGGTCCCATGCTAGTATGTTTGATGCTACTGGCTAGTTTCTCAATGAATACCTCAGCATACTCATCTCCCCTCAGACCTCGAAATCAATCCATTCCGTGTTCCCAAACTTCCCTTCCCTCGTCTGAAAGACTTTCTTGGGACTGCTATACACGCTCCACTGCTTATCCGTCAACTGGACATCAAACTTTGCGATCTCCCGCCCAGTAACATTATATCCCGGCCCGTAATTCTTATACTCAGCCTGCAGCGTCCAGTTACTGTATCGTGCCGGATTCCAGTCTATGTAGCCCGTGCTGAGGATGCTGTTATCAAGGTAGGTGCGTGCGAAGATGGATCGGTGTTGGGCGTTCTGTTCGGTAATTGTCAGTCCATCTTCGCTTATTACTAACAAGCGAAGAAAAGTAAACATACCCAAGGTCTTCCTAGCGGACATTTGCCCACAATACTCAAACTGGAATTAGCTGCATGGACGTTGGAATCTACGACATAGACGCCGTATTTATTGACGAATGTCGTATTGGTTCCTTTCCACTATTGGACCAAAGTCAGCAGCAAATACGGCGAAACGTTGGGGCAAATCGTGGTCACCTACAGCCGTGATTCCTCCACCGCAAGATCGCAACGACAAGCTCGAATGGGTTATCCAGCATGTCCCAAAGCCATAAATAAAGTCAGTTTGGCCGCCAATTTCACTCTTGGCGATGTATGCGTTGCCTAGTTTGCCTACGTAGACCTGAAGACGAAGTTAATGAGATGAGTCGATAAAGGCTTTTGAAAGAATTGGTACGTACAGTGTCTTGGTAGCTGTAGAAGCCGGTATAGTAGAATCCTCCATTAGCGTAGCTGATACTCAATGCAAGAGCTGGGTTCGCGGCTGTCAAGTGGTTTTGGTCAGTCACGATCCTCTCAGATTCCGTCGAACATTTGGTGCCAGCATCCCAACAAGTCAAGTAGACAAACAGACAGAAAACAAAATTCCCAGTTTCTTCAATGAATTGAGAGACACAAAAACACATCGCACTTACAATAAGGTGCAAAATCGTTGATGACATCCAAATTATACGTTCTGAAATCCGTACATCCAAACGGCGTATCAGCAGGCACAGCAAAACCAGTAGGACCGCTTCCAGTCAGCGAAGCGTTAAGATTCGGTGCAATGGTCAGGGTGCTGGTGAAAGCATTATCGAGACCCGTGACAGCGCGCGCGCTCCAGATCAATCGTACTGTGTTGAGGGACTGCTTTGTTGGGTTGGAGGTCTGTCCGAGGAGGTAGGTTGGACCGGATCGAGTGACATTGACCTATGAATGTTGGCATATTGACTTGAAGGCAGAGAAGGCAAAATTATCATAAGGCCTAAACTTGTGGTAGTAAGAAAATGTAAACTCCTACCTGTTCTGTGTAATTCCCAGAGGCAATGAGAATGATATAAGTATCTATCGTCTGTCAACCTCAAATTTCTTCCATACTTTGAATCTTCCAAAGTTGGAGCTCACCAGTACTATTCGGAAGTGCCATCATAGCTAATGCAACCATTTGTTAGTCCTCTGTTATCAAAGGCCACAAAGGTAGAAAAATACACACCAGACTGCACAGTCTTGTACTTGGAGCTGCTGCTCACAGGATCCACGTACAATGTCCTCCTGGTATCACAGCCATCAAGTGGATTCCTCGTCTTTGCCTGACACGCATGACGATCTTTCGAGCTCCCAATATCCCAGCCTGCAGAAACCAGGGTGAGAAATGCAGATACGAGTACCAGGAAACTTGAGATTTGGATTCGGTACATCTTGGATGTGATCTGCAGTAAACCCCTTTGCAGGCCAAATTGAGGCCAAACACTCTAGACACTTTCTAATACTCGCGAGAGACTCAAGGTAGCATAAGACAAAGTGTGGAAAGGGAAGCCAGAGAAACCATAGACCATATAAATGAAAAAGTAAAATGATGACTTGATATGCATAATCCTACCATGGCATATTCCATCCTATTACCCACAAAATCGGAAAAACTCTCCCACCCCTCCCATGCCAGTATTCAGGAACGGTCCCTTACCCCTCTCAGGCTTATCATAATTATTCATGTCTTCAAGCCTGTTGCCACCCAATGAGAAGTCAACCACGCGTCAAGCTTTCGGAGGAGATATAAGTGGAAAGCTTGCTTCGAGCCTTCAACCCGAGGATATTAGATGAAGTGGTGGGGGTTTGCTGAGCTCGTGTGGGGATACCTGGAGAAATTTCGTGCGGGGAAGAAGGGGGACGGTGCCAAGATCTCCCGCCAATGAGAGAGTTTGAATGATTTGAGGGACGTGATTATGTTGTTCCTGGTTACTATCAATGAGAACTTCAGAGAAGCGCAGAGCGGTTAAAGCAGCATTTGAAGTGCTAGGGTTGATTTGGAACTTTGAAAGCGCATGCAGAATTGAATTGCATAATGTCCTGAAGGATACGAGAACTGTTTTGCGGCCCACAAAAATGTTTGCACTCACAGGTCCAACAGGGAAGCATAAAAACAGGCATCACGAAGCACACAAGAAATAATTTAGTTTGCAATGTTTTTGTGTTGATTCCACGTCTAAAATACGCCGTACTCAGCAAAGACCAGACCGCCTAGACAGACCAAGGAGCAGAAGAGCACCAAGCCAAATCAAATCCATCCCATCTTCGCCGAGAAGCAACTTAATGACACCTTGGGGAATATTGTGTGACCATCCCAGCCCACATAGCATGCATGTGAGTGAACTTTGCGGCGGAAAGCTGATGAAGCCATGCGCAGAAATGATCTATGAGTACATGATTGAGGAGTTCATCCCGCCATGATGAGCAACCTCAATGATTAAAGGAAATGTAAGAGAAGCCAGCCGCACCAATAGTGACACAGAAGCCGTAATTCGAGATTGTGGCGCCAGAGACAGAGAGCGCAAAACTTTTCCGGCAGCCCGATGCCGCTGCACATTGACAACGCAGGAAATGAATATGGTATGGAGAAGGAGAATCGTTAATGCAGAATGCGGGAGTCGCAGAGAGTGGGCAATTAAGCCTTCTCTTCGGTCTTCTCCTCCTTGGCGTCTCCAGACTCAGCAGCATTCTCTTCGCCCTTATTGTTCTTGACATATTCATCGTATACGGTAAGAGCCTCATCAACCTTTGCTCGGAGAGCAGCATCATCCTCAATACTGCGGCTCAATTAGTAGATGAACTTGAGAAGTTGGAAACATTGAACTTACAGATTGACCAACTCCTGGTTTTCCATCTCCAAAAGCATACCGGTGATCTTACCAGCCAGCTCAGGTTGAAGAGTTTGGATCTTGGGGAAGAGAGCCTCTCCGAGGAGTTGCTTCTGTTGGACGGGTGGGACGGCGGACAGTTGTTGAGCTAGAGCACCACCGACCAACTCATTGCCAGTCAAGGGCATACCTGGAATCTGGGGAGGCATACCACGGCCAGCTTGGGGAGGGAAACCACCTGGGTATTGACCTGGACGAGCACCTTGAGCTCCACGACCGGCTGGGCCACCTTGTCTAGCTCCTTGAGGGAAACCACCGAGCATTTGTGGCTGACCTGGCATACCAGCCATGTTGGGAGGCATGCCTGGGATACCCTGAACTGGGCCACGACCTGGTCCACCACGGCCACCAGCGAGAGCAGCAGCTTGTTGGGCCTGTTGCATGGCAGCAATGAACTGTGGATTACCCTGTTGAGCACCGTATGGAGCACCCTGAGGGAACTGGCCTGGAAGACCGTACATGTTGGGTGGCATTTGCTGAGGACCGGGTCCACCACGTCCACCTTGTTGAGGGGGGAAGCCACCTGGGAATTGTCCTGGACGACCACCTTGGGCAGGGATGGGCATACCAGCTTGGGGAGGATAAGCCATACCACGTCCGGCTTGTGGGATGAAACCAGGTTGCTGCCCAGGTGGGTAGAACATTGGGGCTTGCATATATTGCTGGGGCATACCGGCAGCAGCAGCAGCTTGTTGCATGCGGATCTGGTTGCGGGCTTGGATGCTCGCCTCGAGCTGGCTCTTGCGGACATCCTTGCGTTGAGCGAGGGCAACGTACAAGGGCTTGTTGTTGACCATGCGTTGGTTCATATCAGTGACAGCCTTGGTAGCCTCCTCGGGGTTGTTAAAGCAAACGAATCCAAATCCCTTGCTCTTGCCAAGAGTACGCTTCTCAGACTTCGCAGCTGGCTTCTCCTCGGAAGTCTCAGTCTTCTCAGTCTTCTCAGCCTCAGCCTCGCCCTCTTTGACATTCTCCTTGTTCTTCTCACTCTCCTTCTTCTCCTTCTCCTCAGCCTCAGCGGTCTCAGCCGGGGTATCGCGCATGACCTTGGCGGAAGTGATGGATCCGAAAGGAGCAAAAAGTTCACGAAGCTTCTCGTCATCAACCTCGTCGTCGAGATTCTTAACGTAAAGGTTGACACCTTGATATTTGGATGCCTTCTCGATGCGTGCAGCCTCGTATGACTTGCGGAGCTCCTCCTCACGCTCATGCTTCTTCTGGGCACGGCCAACATAGAGGTCCTGGCCCTTAAAGTCCTTTCCGTTCAACTCGTCGACAGCCTTGGCAGCATGTTCATGGTTGATGAAGTTAACAAAACCAAATCCACGGCTCTTGTTGGTCTCCTGGTCACGGGCAAGCGAAGCAGAAGTGACGTCTCCGAACTTCTCGAAAAGGTCACGGAACTCGTCGTCGGTGACTTCAATAGGAATGTTCTTGACATAAATGTTGGTGAAATTTGCCTTCATCTCCTCGAACTTGGACTGGCGGTCCTTCTTGGGAATGTGGTGGCCAACGAAGACCTTCTTCTCGTTCAAAAGCATACCGTTGACGTGCTTAATAGCTTGGCTGGCAGCCTCATCGGTCTCGTAGTGAACGAAACCGTAACCCTTCGAGGCTCCAGTCTCATCTTGAGCGACCTTGCAGCTGAGAATGTTGCCAAAGGCAGCAAATGTGTCGTGGAGAGCCTTGTTGTCGATGGCAGTGTCCAAGTTCTTGATGAAGACATTGCCCTGGCCGGTCTTGCGAAGAGCAGGGTCACGCTGGGACCACATAATACGACATGGGCGGCCCTTGATGAGAGTGTAGTTCAATTCCTCCAAAGCCTTCTCACCATCGATCGTAGTGTTGTAGTTGACATAGGCATATCCGAGGGACCGGCGGGTGACAGCGTCACGGCAAACACGGATGGAGGCAACAGATCCGATCTGAGAGAACAGCTCAAAGAGCATAGCCTCGGTGACCGAAGACTCGAGCTCACCAACATAGAGGGAAGCAGATGCTTGTGGGTGAGGAGCCGCAGAGCTTGGGGTAGGTCCAGCAGTGTCGGGATCCTCAGAACCAGTGTTGGTGACATCGGTATTAATGGCAGGAGCGCCGTTTGCATCGCCGCCGTTCAAGGAAGCATTATTGAGGTCGGAAGCGAGCTGGTCGACAGCAGCGTTAGCGGTAGCAGCAGACATCTTGGGTAAATACGAGACTGGAAACACGTCAGTTACTTTTGTGTGAGTGGATAGCGCCCAGAGGCAATGGAGGGCAAAGGAGAGGCGTGCAAGCTGCGCGATGCCTCGACAAAGGGAAAGCCGCTTACCTACTACGTCGAGATGTCTTTGAAGTGAAGGTAAAGGTCCTTTGATGGAGCCGTACAGAAACTAATTCTGGTGTGATGTGCAAAGATCAAAGCCGAGTCGTGGAATGCAGGTAGAGGTTGCGGGTACGAGGGAAGGTGAAGCCGGGGGCGGTCCACAGAGTCGGTCGCGCAAGGACTGGAGATGGAGGATTGGGGATCTTTTTTTGGGGGGTTTTCAAGTTTTTTTGTGTCTCTTTAGAGGTTTTCTGGAGGAAGGAGGCGAGAAACGAAAAAAGCACGAAAGATCGTACTTGGTCCGCGATCGAGATGTTGTGATGTGTAGTTTGGGTTGGAGAAGGAAAGATTTCAGGATCGCGACCAGAAAAGGACATACATAATTTTGAGCCTGTGGGCCGCTCCTTCCCTGACTGGGGCTAGCGCAGCGGCTTTCTTATCACGTGCACGCGCCGTGGAGTGGTCTTGGCGCAGGTGGATGCGAGTCCAAGCAGAAGGCGGAAAGCGGAAAGCGGAAGGAGCACGATATTATTGATATTGCTTTGAAGCCTGGTTAGGGAGGCAAGAAAGGTATCGGTTTTATGCAGTGTCATTGAGAATTTATCTCAATACTACTCTGCCAGTGAATATCCCCTGAGCAGTATAGGTACCTATACATATGACACTCATACCAAGATGTACTCCTCACGCGTGAAGCTAGCTGTGACCGGCTACTGCTGTGAATCACAAGGCAGGCGAGGCTTAGGCGGCATGTCCCTAGGCTTCGGAAGGCTGTGGCCAAGTCCGAGCTCTGCTGTCGCTCTGGAACATTCAGTGGCAGCAGTCATTGTAATCACCAATCCAACTCAACCCAGACCAGGCTGCGCAACCACAGAATCACATCGAAGATAGAACACACTGCTGCCAGTCCCCAAAAACTGTGGCTTGACTTTTGGGACATTTTATCCAAACACCAATCTAGCCCGATTTGCAGAAGTCGTCTTGACGTTGTCCGCGGCATGCCTCTTCGAACATAACCAACGCTCATGACAGCGGCGAACAGCTCACCGACTCCTCCGATATGTTCCAGACATTCAGTGGCAACTCTCGTCGTCCTCGACAAGTGAACCTCTCTGGCCAAAATACAAATCCATTTGCTCAGAACTCCAGAACTCCTACCGCCTCAGGTGCCCAGAAAACAGTTGCACAAGCTCAACAAGAGAGGCTACAGCGGCAACAAGAACGCGAGCGTCTGAATGCTTCGAAGAGGATACAAAGAACATGGAGGGGGCATAAAACTAGGAAAGACCTAGCAGACTCACGGCGGCGGATTTGGGACGAACTAGCTGCGAGCGAAGAAGTTTCCACCAGATGGTTGAGGTTAATTCAACAAGTGCAGCTCTTGGTGGCATTCTTCAACCCACGACAACAAGACGATCTAGCTAGGTTGTCAAGTCTGAATTCTGGCATAAACATTTTGCATTACGATGCATTTCTGCCATGCCCTGAGATCCAACCCCATTTAGCGCGTCTTGCCAAAGTCACTTTGGAAGGCTTGAAATTGTATGTAAAGTTCTTGATACACCTCGCTGTTTTCCCTACAGAATTACAGCAGACTAATTGTACTAGATCCCAAGGAGAAATCACAGGCGGCTTGTTCAACTTGCTTGTATCAATACTGAACATTCGACCAGATGTGATTCCCAAAATATCTCGAGCATACTACGCCCTCCTCTCCGATTATGTCTCAAAGGGCCAGTCTTCGAAGATTCACAGAGAACTTTTTTTGTCTGCAATAGATATACCTTTAAGGCGGCATGTGGGTGTGGAAAACAGTGGTTAGATCTAACGATTGATTGCCTTGGCTACAATTGCTGACTATTTGCTAGACGAGATACTCATGAGTTCCCATATTGCTTTTGCTTTTGACTTTCTCACGACTCCGGACTTGGCAAAATTACTCAGTGGCTTTGAAGATCTGGCTACTGGTATCAGCGTTGAATTTCTATCATCTGCACTGGTTCGGGAGCTTATCTCGTCCTCTATGGATTCGATGCAGGATGAACAGAGGTTGTGGCTGCTTGCCCACTTCATATCTATCAATCGACTTCAACGAAGAAGCTCTCAGGATCCCGAATTTCTAAGAGCTTTGTCGCTGCAATTATCTCACTCCTCTGGGGACATCATTGGTCGTATGGATGCTCGAGACCCAGACATTACGGAAGAACCTCTCGATGGTGCTGAGACCGACGGTACAATTACCCAGCCTTTACCTGCCTTTGTCAAGGATGAGCTACTATCTTTGGTTAACGAGCAAAGTATCACTGGCTTGCTCGCAAAATTCAACGTTGATTACGTCTCGACCTCTGTCGCCGGTGGGGAAGATGCCAGTTTGCTTGCCAGTTATGCACTTACACTTCTCAGAATCTTCCCGCATAGGGGAGACGATATTCGACTATGGCTGTATCTGGGCTCTATGAAGATGTGGGATGGACGTGAAGTTCCTGCACTGAAGTTTTTCTGGCAAGCCATGAGCCAGACCAAAACTTTTTCTATCATCAGGGCGGACTCGAAGGGAGCACTGACATTGCTGCGGATACAGATACAGCGCCAACAAGCCTCTTCAAGTGATGCTGGAAGAGATCGGGAATGGCGAACCATACTTCTCTTCCTAGAACTCTACACCTTTGTGCTAAGGTTCACAGACGACGAGGAATTTCTGAGCGGCGATGTTCCAGCATTTGGGCGGACGAGTGAACCATTTTCTCGCATCCGCCAAAGTGCACTTCCTATCGAAGATGTCAAGCGACTTACGATTTTCTTGAAGAATCTCGCTTTCACAATGTATTACAATGCTGGTGAACTAGCTGATGATGGTCACTCCGTTACCGAAGGAAGTATAGGAAACTATTTCGGTGCAAGTGCCTCAAGCTCCAGATTCCAACTCCCAGAACCCGAGTTAGTTACCAAGAGCATTGCGAGACGACCCTTTGCTGGAGTTGCAGGCATGACGTTTGACTACGTGAGAACTATTGTGGCAAGTGTTATGCGTATGCTCTATGAACGAGATTCTAGGCGACGTTTCTTGTCCAAGGATCACTGGCTTATGACCTCTCGGTTCGAGATGGAAGGTTTAATCCCAGCTGTAGTCATGGAAGAAGAAAGACAGCATCAAGTCCGGGAGGAAGGAGAAGACGACGATGCAGATGACGAAGATTCCCAATTTTCTCGTAGTAGAGAATACACCGGGCTTGTTGGTATGTCCCGGCCTCGACGTGCTCAACAAATTGAGAACTTGCGGAGACAGCAACAGAGAACTGCCCGACAAAAGGTTCTCGCAGCAGTGGGGCCAAGACTAGAGGTTCTACAAAACATGCCTTTCGTTATTCCGTTTGAGACTCGGGTCCAGATTTTCCGGCAGTTCGTTCTCCTCGATCAGACCCGTAGAAGAGGCGGCAACGTGGATCCTGATATTTGGCGTATGTCTGTCATCCAGCAAGCACAGATGTCCCCGCACCACTCTCGCACAGCAGGACATGAGCTACTTGGTCGACACCATGCAAAGATTAGGAGAGACCAGATATTTGAAGATGCATATGATCAATTCTATGATCTCGGAGAGGGTCTAAAGGAGCCGATTCAAATAACCTTCGTCGATCAATTTGACACAATCGAGGCAGGTATTGATGGAGGCGGTGTGACAAAGGAATTCCTCACAAGCATTACGCATGGGGCCTTCCTGTCAGACGAAACCAGCCCCCGTTATTTCATCGCAAACGATCAGAATTTGTTGTATCCGAATCCCAGCACGTTTGATGAACGACGAGAACTGCTCAAAGCTGCTGGGTTGAGAGAGACTTCTATTGAATGGAAGGAAACCATGGCAGATTTGGCGAAGCGTTATGAGTTCCTCGGTAGAGTTGTGGGGAAATGCTTATATGAAGGCATTCTCGTTGATATTGGATTTGCTGGATTCTTTCTCCTCAAGTGGGCCACTTCTGGGACAGAATCTGGCTATCGCGCAAATATTAACGATCTTCGCGATCTGGACGAAGGACTATACCAAGGTCTCCTGAAGCTCAAAAATTATCCAGGAAATGTTGAAGACTTCTCGCTTGACTTCACTATCACAGATAAGATATCTTCCAATGGCGAAAACGAAAACACGATCACCAGAGAGCTCGTGCCGAACGGCGCCAACATTAGTGTCACAAATGAAAATAGGCCACTATACGTATCTTACGTCGCTCGCCATCGTCTACAAGTCCAGCCATTCCGCCAAACACAAGCCTTCCTCAAAGGTCTAAGCGAGATCATTAACCCAACCTGGCTATCCATGTTCAACCAATCTGAACTGCAGACCCTGATCGGCGGCGACTCATCTGAGGTCGACGTCGAGGATCTACGACGCAACACTCAGTATGGTGGAATTTACCAAATCGGCGACGATGGCCAGGAGCACGATACTGTAAAGCTATTCTGGAAAGTTTTGAAAGAGCTCGACGATGCAGATCGCAGAAAGGTTCTGAAATACGTTACGTCGACACCCAGAGCGCCTCTTCTGGGCTTCTCGCAGCTGAATCCACGCTTCAGTATTCGGGACGCTGGGAGTGATGAGGAGAGACTACCTAGTACGAGTACATGCGTGAACTTGTTGAAGCTGCCTAGATATTCTACAGAGGCCACGTTGCGGCAGAAACTGCTCTACGCGGTCAATTCGGGTGCCGGATTTGACCTCAGTTAGTTGGAATGACGAAACGAATGATATGCAACGATATGAGGATTCTAACATTATGCGCTACTTGGAGAGAACTTCGCTTGATAAATGGAAGGGAGTGGGTCTGACTAGATAAGGCTCAATATAAACATAGATAAAATGCAGAGGATGGCTCAGAGCCCTTCTTTGAAATGCAGGTTCAGCAATCCCAATTTGAACTTGAGCATCCACTCAAGACCTCTTCAAGTAAGCAAGCGTCCGTATCAGGAGCCAATCCTCTCACCCAGGTCCAGGAGCAGCTACGTACATCAAAACAAACATTGCTTGACATTCTGTAACCCTCGCAGTTTCATGTGACAGTTACCTGTATTGTAGAGGTGGCTTTCTTGGTATTTGTTGTTTTCGCTATTACTTTCAGCGTAAATGCAATATGCGCTGAAGCGCCCTCAACACCTAATAAGGTAGGGAGGCACCTTAGTTGAGGAAGCTTTAGCTGACTAAGGAAAATTGGAAATCTTTATCAGGAGACCAAACCAGAAAAGCACTTCCAGCTGAGGCACCAGAGCCTTGCTGTTACTCGTCTCGAGTTCCACACAGAACCTCGAATCTAGTATACGGTGTCTCATTTTCCACTTTGACGTTCCGACTTTTCACTTCGTCGAATGACATTAAGGCCCCTATTGAATATCGGTTGCCAGATCAGTCCTCTCCACAGCCAGCGAATGATCTTCCTTGAATGATCCGGCCCATCTGTTCATAACCTCATTACCCTCTGTTTACAAATTCTTCCTTCTTCCTAATTACAGTCATGATCATGTCACGCTACCTAAAGTACTTCATGTCAGCACCCATAGCCAACACCGGCTCAGTAGCACGCGATCATCTCGCAAACGAAAGAACGTTTCTCTCCTGGACGCGAACTGGTCTCGGATTCGTCGCCCTTGGTGTCGCACTGGCGAAGCTCGACGCTCTAGAAGCCCTCTCTCCATCTCTAAAGCCTGATCACGGCGACTTGAAGATTCCGTCTGCGGCTCTGGTCGGATCAGGGACAGGGTGTCTGTCGTACGGAACGATCAGGTACTACCGGTCGCTGAAGTTGTTGCAGAAGGGGCTCTTCAGGCCAAATATCGCCGGGATTGGTCTGGTTGCACTGACTAGTGGTGCAGTCGCCGGAGGAGGCATCTACTTGGTGATTCAGCAGGAGACGAAGAGGAGGTGATGGAGGCATTTGTTGTCTATAGGGCTGTGCTGAAGGTTTTCTTCATGTCAAAATTTGATCCACCACTCGCATCACGGTTCCGTTGATTGCATGTCCTGGGACAGCGTTCTGCCAACCTGGTGTTAGGTTCGTGTCTCTATCAATCAGCTCGGCAGGCTGACCCATGTAAGAACAAAGGAGGGCATCTCCGGGACATAGGCCGAGTCATGTAATCGAGATCCCGGGAGAATTTCCCCAGGTATGTACTGTACTGTACTATCAAACAAACTAAGACACAACGGTTGAAACTGTGTACACGAAACCTCGGGTCCCGTCCGATCTTTTTAACTTACTCTTGTTTAGAAATTAAGGATTGTTACAGGTTGACGGGGGTTCACAATTGGCCTGTCGTGCCCGATGCGGTATCCCTGCGCCTGCAGTAGCAGGTGCACAGCTGGCTGGGACGGGATTCTCTTGCCGCACCGTTTGATGCGGAGTATCTCTCGATTCAGTGCTCTGTTGCCAGACTCCCGGACCGCTGAAAGTTTTGGATAAGAACTGCTTCCGTTGAATCTGCTGTGTTGCGGGAAGTTTCTATTGGTGCCACGGGCCACACTGGACTTTTCGGGACTTAGTCAACATAAGGATTACAACATCTTGACCGCAATTTCGCACTTTACAGACCAGGTGGATCAGGTAGCCAGCGATCTCAGCTGAGTCGTTAGCTGAGTCTTTAGCTGAGTCTTTATCCAGTTGTTCTTCAATCAAAAGAATAGCCCACGAATATTATTTTCTTCCATCAAGCCGAACAACAATGGCACCAGTCCCGATTCTCAAGTTGAGCAATGGGGTTGAGATTCCAGCTCTTGGCTTTGGAACATATGCCAAGGAGGAGATCGCAGGGGAGACGCATGCAGCTGTCCTTGCTGCGCTGAATGCTGGCTACAGACATCTAGACTGCGCCTGGTAGTAAGTGTGGAATCAAACACAAGAATTGATTCATCTCACATGAGGATAGCTACTTGAACGAAGACGAAGTTGGAAGTGCTCTACAGGAATGGCTAGCACAGAATCCCACAGTCCAGCGCAAAGACATCTTTATCACGACCAAAGTCTGGCCTCATCTCGTTGAGCCCGAAGACGTCGAGTGGAGCTTGAACAATTCTCTGAAGATGCTTGGGACGGATTACGTGGACTCCTTCTTGATTCATTGGCCGTTTGCCGTTGAAAAGACCGAGGAAAACAAGGTTAAACTCGGTGCTGATGGAAAGGTAATGTCATCTTCGGGCCCTGGTTTCTAGAAAGTGTAACGGAAGCTTACTTGCATTAAAAGTATATCCTTAAAAAGGAGCTTACTGAAAATCCGAAGCCTATCTGGAGAGCTATGGAGAAAGCATATAGAGCCGGGAAAGCCAGAGCCATTGGTGTTTCCAATTGGAAGATATCCGGCTTGGAAGAGATGTTGAGATATGCCGAGATCAAACCGCACATCAACCAAGTGGAGATTCATCCCTTTCTGCCAAACAGCAGCCTGATCCAATACTGCATCTCCCAAGATATTCTCCCGGTGGCTTACTCGCCTTTGGGATCACAACATCAGGTCCCGTCAACAGGCGAAAAGGTAACGACCAACGCAGAACTCAATGCTCTGGCTAAAGCCAATGGCGTCACACTGGCTCAGATCTTAATTGCGTGGGGCTTAAAGAGAGGATATGCCGTGTTGCCCAAGAGCTCCGATGCTGCACGCATCAAGAGCAACTTTCAGCTAGTCGAGTTGAGTGACAAGGATTATGCCGTCGTCAACAAAGTTGCCGAGGGGAGACATACTCGATTCGTCAACCCAAAGGGTATGTTTGGATATGATGTGTGGCCGGAGGAGAGTAATCAGGTGTAGCTATTGAAATTCTGCTTATGGACAACGAGTGTCTGCATGTGCGGGGTTGCTTTCCCTTGACCGTACCTGGGAAAGCACAAAGGAGTTAGCTAGGGGACCTGTCAAGCAGTGCGATTGCGGCGTGGTACATTAAAGCTGGGTTAGTCAGAGCTTTGCTGCTTGCGCGTTTCTTGAGAAATTCTGACAGAATTCCGCAATTAACGACAATGGCGCTCCGAAGCTGCAAGTTTGAGGCACGACCGTATAAGTTTTTGACCTGTCATTCCTTCATCGACCGATCGCAACAATTGCCAATCATCCCGTGTGAGAGACCGTCCAATTATACCTGCCTAAACGTCTCAACTCTTTTGGCCAGCGCGCCATGTGATAAGTTGCAGCACGTTCTCATATTCAGCTCCGACGTGTATCGCTGCAATTGTGTGGACATAGACTCAGCAAGCCATACTGAATAGGTGCGCAAGTGCAGACTACAGGCCAACTCGTAATACTTTTTTTGCGGCTGAGTCTCATTTTGATGACGTAGATGTGCTGTAGATAAGACCAATAGATATTGTTGTTGATTTTCATCGTGGAGGTGAGAACCAATCGTTTACGAGGCTTCGCTTGTTCTTGCATGGCCTCACACGACATGCCTTGCCAGGCTTCCGGAGAAAGCTCTGTATCCCAAACTCGCCTTACTGTTCTTTTGGGATCGAGTACATCCGATCTCGCCTTGGACCTTTGTGAAAACTTGAGCGGGGCTCGTTCTGGTGTGCTGTGTGACAAATCATCTCATTGTTTGAATAGTCGAAGACCAATGTATCGCACATAGACCGATTGAAGATTCGGAGCATCGCAGGTTTTTATCATAACTTTATACACTTGGTACATGAGGTAAATACAGGTAAAAAACCGCTAAGGCGCTCGAAATGCTAAGAGAACGCCAAGTAAAATGTAAATGTGTGCTGTACCATGTCAAAATCAACCGCGAATCTTCGTGCTGTCTGCAACCGAGATGGGCACTTCTGTCATAGCTGCAAGGCGGAACAGATGCCTAGCTTGAACAGTCGTATCGTAGTCAACAGTACCAGTGTCTTGAATTAATCAAAGTCAGTAACGACTACCAGAGTCATTGTATTGCAGACTTACGAAGTGTTGTCCGATTGTCAAACATGACAACCGAGTGCTTTTCCCAGTGGACTCGTGCTTGGAAATCGTGACCGTTTCTCACAAAATCCATCAAAAATTTCATAACCGCCTCTGCTTCTTGATCCTTCAAGCCGATGACTTCGTCTGGAAATTCCATGTTGTAAAATATAGCTTTTTCGCCAGTAACTGGATGAACGCGGACGACTGGATGAATGGAGTCAACAGGGTTGCAGCGGACAAGTTGCTTGCTCGCTTTGGTGTGTGCAATCAAATGTCGAGAGGTATGGACAGCTTTCAACTGGTCGATCATACCCTGGAACAGTGGTGAGAGACGTTTGTATGCCATAGTCATGTCCGCAATGACCGTGTCGCCTCCGATATCAGGACAAGCAAGAATACCGAGCATGACATATCCGGGTGGCTGCCTCTCATAACTGACATCGTGGTGCCAAATTGTAGTAGACATTTTGTGCTTGAAAAATCGGGCGATATCCTCCTCGTTTCCATCTCGATGAATGATGTGGAACTCGGGGTGGCCTTTGATAGCTCCCGTTACTGGTTGTCGGCTGAGCTTTCCAAAGTACGACATGAAGTCTTTCTGAAATTGTGGACCGGAATGAAGGAAATCGAGTTGCTCTCTAAGAACTACAAACTTCCTCTCACAAATGAGAAGAGCCAGTTCGTCTTTAGCGGCTTGGGAGAGTGTTTCCATCTTGACGCCAGTCAAGATCGTTCCCATCCGGGGAGTAACCGGTTGAGCCGACACACCAGCGGAAAAGAGATTGGGCTTCCTTGGGTCTGCTCGAAGTGCCGGGTCTTCATGGTCGAATATGGGGAAGTCGTCAAACCATTGGCCTTGCTCCCAGTGAGGCAGATAACTGGGAAACTCGGTTCTTTCCTGAATCCGGCGTTGGTATTCATCAGACGACGTCTTGTAGGGGACATTGATATCATAGACGACTTTTGGTTCGGGGACATCGTAATCGTCTTGAGGATCCATGCGACTAGGAGCCATGATGAGTGAGTATTGATGTAGAGCTAGAGATGCAGAAAGCCTGGAAAGCCGATTGAAAGACTGGAGTAAACAATGTATTTGCTTTTAATGGTTGCTTTTGATGGTTGCTTTTGATGAATGCTTTTGATGAATGCTTTTGAAGAAAGCTTTTGATGAATGCTTTTGATGAATGCTTTTGATGGTTGCTTTTGATGGTGCTTGGAAATGCCTTGAGGGACGAGATATAAGTACGTACAAGCCAATGCTCTAATCCTGTGACTAGGTTTCTCGCAGGATTTGGCTTGACCAGCTTCTATTTCAGTGGACAACCCCACTATGGCGGTGAAGGGGTATATTACATGATTCTCAAAGATATGACACCGACAACAGGGGGCAGCTTGAAATAGCGGCTCGTTTTCGAGGGGACCCCTGCAAGAAGGCCTTCCAGAAAACAGAACGTGGCATGAGATGGAACGAACGGTTATGCATCCACCGCCCCTCCTTGAGAGGTTAGTGACTAGTGACTTCCGTTTGTCGGTGAAGCGACTCTGGATGAGAGTAGTGGCTGTCTCAATTCTGGAGCCGACGTCGTCGGGTTTGCGACGTTGTCGGGGGTCAATCAGATAGGGTAAAGCACTCTGTTGCGCCATGAGTCGGCGGACTGTAGAGAGCCAGGAAGGACGCTGCGCTGATCATGGTCGAGGTGGGTCGCCACTGGTTGATTGATTGATTGAACGGGGTGAGCGAGGTGGGTTGACTGGCCGGCTCGGGCCTCCATGTTTGAAGTTGATCCCGTGCGTGTGTCTATCAGGACTCGAAGTGCGCATATGACACGGTTCGCTGCATACCGAGAACCGAAAACTTCGACAAGAGTCAATTCTGACAGCCCCAATCCCTGCCAACATGATTCCGCTAATGTGCGCATGCATCAGGTCGACGCTGCTCTCCCATAATAGTCTTGACACCTTCGGATTCGTCCTTCAGAGGAGTATCCTTGAATGTGCCCCAACAACGTCGACCTCTACACCAAATTAGAATTCCTGCACCTGAACCTTTGGAAACAATCGCGATGAGGCGTATCCTGAAGACACTTGACACTGCCTGATTCCAGAGCAGGCTGAGAGGAGCTGCGGTTCCTAGATGCGCATCTTGCGAGTCAATGAAATTGCAAGAGCTTCTCTCGTTTTGAGGCCCATGATCGCCATCCGTATACATGTTTCATTTCCATTTTGCGACTCGTTCCAAGCGAGTGATGGCCTGAATCGTTCATGTTTGTTGCGAATGGACTTTGAAGCGCCGAACGCGCTTAGCGGAAATCGTTGTGTAATTGTGGTAGGGCGATGGGCTTTGAACGACGAAGAAGGATTGTATTCTGCATGGGTGTCTCTGACTGTTTGGTCGGAAGTCCGTCTACATACAGCCATGGGCGATGGCTTTTTTTCAGATTGGCCAATGAGGGACTCGCTGAGTCGGTCGTCCGAACAGTCTGCGTGCCTTCGTTCGACAGAAAGTCGTTCTAAGCGCCGAGATTTTGGACCCAATCTACCAAGGACTTTGATAAAACTAATGCTTCTGAACTTTGTAAAGAACTGGGGCTTGCATGACCCAGCTCCGAACAATGACAGGTGGCCGATTGCGCTTCTAAGAATCGACCCGCGTCGAGGCAATTGATCTTAATCTGGGTCGCAGTCCATTGGGTACCGAAAATTAGGGAAAAGGTAGTCGGTAATATACGCTTGCAAAAAGTAAAAGAAAGATGGGGGAAACAGATAAAAAAATTTGCAATAGATGCGCAATCCATCTCAAATTGTGCCGGCATGGTTTCAAGGGCAGTTGGCTGCCCCATCGTTCGCACGTCGTGTTGTATGATATGGGAGGTTCGAGAGGCTCCTCAAGCACGACACAATACCCTGCAGTGCAAAAATAAAAATAAAATAGGTCCTGGGGTTCAAGGGCACACTCAACCTATGAACGCTATAGATGGTACAGGTGCGTATCTTTCCCAGACACCAGATGGAATTTCAAGATACAAAGTAAACAATGAAAGTAAACAGATCGCATGGCATGCTTTGAACAGGAGTCAACCTCATCATCTCACTTGAGATATGTAGTTGCATTACAACTCGAAATAAGAAACGGCTAGTACTAGAGAAATCTGCCTATAATCCATATTCCCAGACCTGGCTGTGCAGCGCGTCAGCATGTTCATTGGCTTTGCAAGTTGTGGTTTCCAGCAACATAGCAACTCTCAAAGTGAGCATGACCGCATCTTGAAGTCAGGTGTACAGAGGTCATGGGAAGACCATATATGGTTTAAGCAGATTGTCTTTGAGACAAATATCTGATAACGCGCGGCTGCTCGTCCTGCCCAATCAGCCAGTTGACAACTAGTCATTTGGGGATAGCGTCTCAGCCCTTCCAAAAGCGATGGGATTAATTACCATCAGTACCAAGTCTTGTGATATCCTTGGAATACTCCCAGGATACGGGCTACTGCCGCTTGATCACATCTTTGAAATCGACGCATTTCTCTGAACCGAGCGCAAAAGAACACCCAAGGTAGTACCGACAAAAATACTGTAAGAACAATGTAAGCGACCTCCAAAAGTATTCGCTGATCCTCCGGGGCGATGTCCGAAATGCAAAGATAGATCGACTGAGCCACAGGGTGCGTTGTGGATGGCCATGTCTCTTTCAGAGTAACAAAATGCTACCAATCCGTTCCATTTCCATGCAGCGCATCCAACCAACGTTCACAAGGGTTGAAGCATAGTAGCTAGAGCGGGGTACAGTAATATCGTCGACTGTTACCGGTGAATTGGGAAGCGGTCGTCGATTTCAAGAGAAAACGTATCTTCTGTCAATAGTGTACCTGTCAAGAAAGTAGAAATTTGGGCGAATAACATCCAACAATGGCTGCAATTTGTTGATCGTACTGACTTCCAGAAGCAGAAAAACACGCATAGAATTGTGATTTTCCCATCAAGTTTGTCGAGGGCTGCGTCGGAAGGAACCAAGACCTGAAACCGGCATCCACTCCTGTCATCCGACACAGGAACCTAGACTGGAGAGCAGCATCGTAGCATCGCAAGCAGTCTATCCATTTGGTTCCCCAACTATGAAGTCCACAGGTAGCACAAGGTCGTTGAATGGCTAAGAACAGATCAAATATGAGCCTCAGAACACACCCGAAGATCTGTTTCTCGGAGACAAGAGCAGGAGCCACATACTGCCATGTTGATGTGGATTAGCTATGTGTCTGTCAGGCTCTAGAGTACTCTCCTTGTGATCCCATAATCGGAGAGAGTAATCGAGCTCAAACATAGCTTGAAGCCAAGAAGGCGCAGCGTGGTACTTCGTTGCTCAGGTGTTTAGGACGTAGAAAATTTCGATTTGGACTTGGTCCAATTGTTACGATATCGTTGCATCACTTGTCCTTGTAGAGAGAGAGACGCAGAAGTCGTCTTGTAATTTGTCCCTGGCTTAGCCGTAAACTTGGAGGCCATGGTGCTCTTCTGATGGATATTTGGTCGCTCTATTCGAGCTCGAAGGAAAAAGCGAGTAATTATTCAAGCGGACCCCGGGCCTCTGGTGATGAGAAATGAAAGGAGAAAAGAAAATTAAAGGTCTATGATCGAACTCAAGGATGCCGTGCACTACTTATGATGGACTTGGACCCGTTTGTTGTGACCCCACGCCTAAGGGGGGAAGTAAGGAGCAGGGTTCCGTTGATGAAAATAAATTGCATCCATTGGCCAATTATTTGCTTGCGGTTCTGGCGGTTAACGCGCACTGGGAACTAGCTTAAAAATTGAGGTTGAGGTAACACCACTTTCAAGAGACGCTATTCCTTGCGAATATCACGATAGCAGAACTGGCATATCAGCTGAATTTTGATATGACACGCAATGTAGATAAACAAATCTTGCGGCAAACATAGCTGGCCCTACCAGGTTCGGACTTATTCCGCTCTCGTCTCCCTTCATTTAGCAGGGTCTGGCCCAAGCATAGGGATTTGGGAGCTGGAATAGCCAGAGATCTTGCACAATAAGTCCAGTTTTTTGTGCATTAAGATTCCGCAAGAGAAGAAGAATCAGCAGCAGAGCTTGCCAAGGATAGCAAATCAATGGGCAGTAAAATGACAATTATTCAAGCACGCCTGGCCGTGTTTGTGGATCTGAAAAGAATCATCGGTGCTGCACTGGCAGTTTCAGAGTCTGGATACACTGATCTGCTTGTCCACAACGTAGCAACTGGAGACGACGGAAGCTTCTTGTCAAGCCCAAACGATGTAAATCACAAGGGTACTCTTGCGCATGCCTCAAAAGTCACTTCAATGTTGACTTCTTGTGGCATCAATTTTCCTGACTGCCAAGATGAGGTGGCACCATTTGAGTGGTACAAACATCGGTATCATAACTTCGGTGTCCGCATGTGTATAAATGCCGCAATAGATAGTAAACGCTGAAATCAAAACCGCACTTGAAGGGATCCGTAAAGTCTGGGCTACAGAACTGGGACGAAAATATGATATCACGATCAATTGTGCAGTCCTAGTCCTGTGACAACAGACATGGGGAAGGAGTGCGAGCCAGAGGCTATTATGGACTCCCAGCCCACGGTTGGTGAACACCAGCGGCTCTAAGACTACGACACAGTGGCAGTAGTCCCGATCGTGGCGTAAGGATCTTGATACTCTGCGGATGTGACGGATCTGCGATTTCAGACTTTTATGCTCCGAAGAAATCGACAAGTGTAAGCACGTGCTAGTGAAGGAATGAGCCTCATGTGACCTGTAATCGGGGCCAGATGTTCAACTTACTCTGCTGCTATGTCCAATGTTCTCTCTTTGCCGTCTCGAGTAGCATTAGCCTTAATTCAGTCATGTTTACTGGAGATGTTGCTCCCTTGTGTTGAGAACCTCCAACGTGATTGTGAGCGAAGATTTAACTTACCTAATCTCTGCGTGATTGGTCAGACCTACGATCACATGGAGATAGGAGATAGGGGATAAGGTGGGGTTAAATGGGAAGCTTCTACCGCAACTCCAATGACGAATTCAAAGGAGACTCTTCACCACCACATTCTCCGTTACAATCAAATGAGCCTGTCAAGATTCTCGAGATCTATAATCCCTCGTCCTTTAAGTTCACTAACTGCTGGTGTATGTTTCCCCTTTTCCGTTGCTTATATAGCCATCATTGACGTTCCATCAGTTTGTTTTGATCCGCGCAATGCATATCCAGTCGATTCCGATGTGTGAGCTACCCCTCAAGGCGGCAAGGGCCACATGTAAGAAGAGTTACTAATATCAAATCAAGGGACTGGTAGTAATGACAACTACGCCTACCTAGTAATTGACGACAAGAGCAAAGATGCTGTCATTATTGACCCCGCCAATCCAGACGAGTTAGTCCGAAGCAGACCAAATACGCAAGGACGGGAACTGATTCGCATATATAGGGTGGCACCAGTCTTGAAAGAGCAAATCAGTTCTGGGAAGATCAACTTGACGGCAATTGTCAACACACATCAGTATGTTCACCTTTGGAGAGTGAAAAAAGGAGGTCTGACAAAGTTAGTCATTGGGACCATGCTGGTGGGAACAAGAAACTGGTAAACAGCCCTCAAGCTTTCATCTGATGTGCTAATAACACTTCGTTCAAGATGGCCCATTCTGAGTTCAAGGGCAAGCCTGTTATCGGCGGCAAGGATTGTGAGGGTGTAACACAGACTCCAAAGAATGGCGAAGGTTTCAAGATTGGGGACATCGCAGTCAAGGCTCTCTACACCCCATGTCATACACAAGATAGCATCTGCTGGTTTATGGAGGATAGCACCGGAAAGGTTGTTTTCACTGGAGATACCCTTTTCCATGGTGGTGAGTCAATGTCACTCAATGCTTTGCAATGCAGAGCTGACTCGATAAACTTTACTAGGCTGTGGCAGATTTTTTGAAGGTACTCCGGAGGAAATGAACACCGCATTGAACAAGACCCTTGCGGCAGTTCCAGACGATACGAAAGTCTATGTAAGCTTTCTGTCTCGCTGGCGAGCAATTGGCTAACGGAGAAACAGCCTGGCCATGAGTATACCAAAGCCAATGTGAAATTCGCAATGTCGGTTCTGCAGAGTGAGCCAGTGAAGAAGTTGCATGCGTTTGCAGAAAACAACAAGGAGACACAAGGCAAATTTACGATAGGTGATGAGAAGGTAGGTGATTTGAGGTTGATACTTTGAAATCAGTTGCTGATTGTGACTGGTAGAAACACAATGTCTTCATGAGAATGGATGTACGTTTACGTGACTCCTGACAAAGGAGGGCAACCTAACAATTTCAGGATCCCGAGATACAAAAGGCTACGGGAAAGAAAGATCCCGTGGAGGTTATGGCCAAACTTCGAGAGATGAAGAATAACTTCAAGTGAGTAAGTATTGAAGTCGTTCCATCTCCTGTGCAGCAAATAATTTACTGACCTTGAAAAGGCCACCGATTGAGTCAAAAATATGAGAAATGCCAATATGTCCAACGTGTGGTGACAAATCACAATCACGAACTGATGAATATTATGACGTCAGCTGTCATTGTGCCCTCACTCTCCTCAATCGTGCTCAAACATCAACTCATTACAATACTGTTCTTCGAGTGAGACAAACAGCTTCAATTATGACATCGCTAACCACCCACGGCGCCTCGGGACCGCCAGTAACTACCAAAGATACTGTTCTTGAGACAGGAGCTTCTGTTACACAGTCCTTCGAACCAGTCAAAGCTATCTGCGCCCACCTAAATGCATTCCATGTCTATGCTTCAGATCCGTCTCGCTCAGTGGAAGCTAACCATTACTGCACACACTTGAGCGCTGATGTATATTTATCGCTCACATGTCGGTCCTTTTCTAAACCAATCATGCTAATTACCTGCGTCCAGGTCAGGCAGTGCTTAATCTACGATGCTCCAAAGAATCCAGCTCGGCTTATCGGGGTAGAGTATATGATCACGCCAAGATTCTATGAGACGCTCGATTCTGAAGAGCGGAAGTTGTGGCATTCGCATGACTACGAGGGAAGTCCGACCCGAGTAACCCTACTGCGACAAAACGAGAGTCACAAGTGTTGCAATTGAAGCAACCAGCTAACAATAAATAGGTCCGTAGCGGTATTCTAATAATGCCAAATCCCAACGTGCCCGATGCGATTTGGGAAGTGGCCGAAACTGAGGAGATGAAGGAAATTATCGGCCTGTATGGCAAGACCTATCATTTTTGGCAAGTGGATAGGGGTCATACGCTACCACTCGGGAAGCCTGAGCTGATGATGAGCTTTACAAAAGATGAACAGGTATGCCGCATCCACCCCAGCAATAGTCCTCCGGCGTCCATATTTGTGGGCCAGGCTCTACCTGACACTGACAAGGCTTCGAAATACAGGTGCCGTGGGAGACGGTCAAGGACAGAGACGAGAGATACGGCATTGAAACGAGTAGAAAGAAGGGAGTTAGGGACGACATTGAAGGTGTGGAGGTTCATGGGGATGCGGATCAATGTTGGAAAACATAGTAAACCCAGAACGCATTGCGAATCTGCGATCACGGGCACAGAGTATGAAAACAAGCACACCAAAGCGGTGTATGAAACTCTCTGCACTGTTCTAGATTGAAGAATATGAGTGGTTTAAATGTAAATGGGATGCTATGTATGTCTCCAAACAGTACCAAGCACCAGACCCACGAAGTGGCCCAGTAGATTGTGTACCCTGAGGAAGGTCTCGAAGAATCAAAATCTCGATCGGATATTCCTCTTGCTTCATTGTCCACACTCGCTCGTTCTTGGAATGGATACGGCGGGCTCTAGCATTTAATTTTGAAGCTGGTGTGTTTTCCTCCTCTTTCTCCATGTCAAGTCCCCTCCTTAGTCGGCTTGGTCATGCTCACCAAGTCACTGGCTGCTGCAACTTGTTCCATCGATTCAAGGCTTGACAGGAAATGTACTAGCCCATTGAATTGAGAATCCTTGGTCAAAAATACTTCCTTCTCGAGTGCAGCAGCGGTGTGGTGTTATTTGCAGCCATTGGCCGAGGATGGAGATAATGATGGTCGATGAAGATGAACAGAAATTTTACTGAGCAGAATTCTTTTTGAAGGCCCGATACACTAGTGCTGCGCTAGTGTCTTGGCTGCCGACTCTCTTCAGCCTTGCATCGCAAGGCTATCACTCTCGTCGCGAATGCAAAAACAGCTGTTAAAATCCGATGACCCTGAAAGTTTTTTTTTGGGAGAATAGTGTTTTCATTCTTCCAGACTATCTAAACATGTGTCGATGAGTTTGCTGAGCCGTTGTCGAGACTTTCGGTGGAAAACCCTCTTTGCCCACAAAACCGCACCACGAACATCACTATCATTCACCCCAACGATCAGCATCGCGCCAGGAAATCCTTCACGTACAAGCTGCCAGGCAATTAAAAAGGCTTTGTACGCGTAAAGAATCAGCCATGGAGGTTCGAACTCGAAAGTTGGTGTAGTCTCGAGGTATCTGAGGAACCAGTCAACATGGGGATGAGCTGCGGTTTTTGTGACTGTCTCGTGCAAGAGCTGGCATGAGGACGCAAGATAGGTAGACTGGGTCAAAAAAGTATCTACACTTCCTCCTACGACTCCAGATGTGTGCAGGGGGGACCAGAGGAGTAGTTCAAGCATAGCCATCTCCCATGTAGCCTCACATGATATTGCATGTGTTGACTGTACTGTTTCTGTCGGTGGGCGTATCAAACGTTCGAGTGCAAAAAGCGATGTCTGTAGAGGCTCAAATCTCTCCATGCTAAGCCTCCCTGTCATTGTAGACCATCCTGATACCTCGCGAGCGCTAGAAAGTAGGAATTGCGCAATATTGATAGCTCCGTATAGATCAAACTTTGGGAGAGACTCGATGTCGGGAGTTGGAGATAAGAACAATTTGATAGCATCCGAGTATGGTACGAGTGGAGTTGACTGTCTAGCGGCCAGTTGTCTGTGTGCCCATAGAGCTGAGGAGAACGCTGTCCAGCAGTCTTCTGGACATGGCAAATCGTGCTTGATTTCGAGATGCGAAAGCGATCGTGGGATGGAAAAGAGCTGATACCACAGAGCGTCAATTTGATGGACAGCAAGAACCGTTCGCTTGTGCGATTCGGTTTTGATAAATTCCCGCCATAGATCGTCCAGGTCTTCAGTTGTTGTAGACTCCCCTGGCATTGGTTGCGTCAGACCTCCAAATCGAGTGAGTGATATCATTCGAGAGTGCATCTTGTGGCCGTAAGCTGAGTCTGAACCACAAAGATACATCATTACATAAACTTGGAGCAGCCAGTATGCCTGAACCAAGACGATTGTTTGAGTTAGGCCGACCACTCTCTCTTCCTCTTCCGCAGCAACGACACGAGCTCGGTGGAAGCAGCGTTGAGACAGTCTTTCGCCAGAACCGGCTTCTTCGCCACAATCTGGATCTTCACCGTACTGATAGGCCAAACAAAGCATACTGAGACCAAGGTGGCGGGGTGTCTCCGTGGCGTCGAAGGTTGGGCGGTGAAGGAAGGGTACAAACTGCGAAACATTACTGAAGTATAGCTGATATCCACGGGCAGACTGTGATGGCGATGGGAACCAATCATCCATAAGGTATCCTACATCTTTTGGCGACAATCCATCTGGGATGTAGGATGCCGGAGGTGAATTTGTATGGGATTGTGAGTCGAAGAGATATGCGGAGTTGATGCTGGATGGCTCAAACGATAGATTTTGCTCGAAGCCATTTTGATCGACGTCTTTTGGGTTGCTTCTTGACAGTGTTTGAGCTAAACCATGGACAGGTTCGTGGCTTTGCGCTTGTGTGCTTGTCGAAGCATTAATGTCGTGGGAGAGACCGAGATAATCTTGGTTATAGTGGACAAGCGACGGTTGCGCATGTGGAAGGAGTACTGGCTCAACCCAATCACCCATCGCGGAATCCACATTCACGAAGGAATGTTGAGACTGCCCCTGCAGCCCAAAAGGTATATCTTGGGGTAACGCAGACGAGGGGCCGCTCTCTTGGAGCCGCGAGTTATCTCTGAATGAATCCTCATCGCGACAGTTGCCAGCTCGTCGTTCTAGCTGCTCCGGATGTTTCTTCTTGATATGTCGAGAACGCAGATCTCGGCGTGAGAAGGTGGTCTGGCAATATCCGCAGGGGAGAGATGCTTCACTTCCAGAGCGAGAATGCACCGTAGCATGTCGCTTCAGATTCTCGTAACGAGTGAAGCGACTCCCACAGGTCTGGCACTGATAGGGCTGTAGCCGCGTGGACGGTGCCGCCGCCTCTGCGCTTGTGACAGAGACAGACATATTGCAATTACCTAGGTAGAGGTGCTCAGGACGAGAGTGGGTGGACTATCGCAACAGGCTCCTAGGTAGCTTGGTACGTTGGTCGTAGAACAGCGAGATGGTTGATCGTTAGGTAGTGAAAGTGGGCGGGGCATCGGCTATCTAGAATATGGGGTAAGCCGGGATGTCTTATCTCGAAGCCAGCCAACCAGAGAGCTCGCTTACACGTTGCGGCATGTAAACAGTCATCTGGGACCAGGGTCACTTGAAACCTGCCCTTCGAGAATTTTCGACGTTTGCTACATGTAACGGTTGCAAAACTTTGCATTTTAACTCTAAAACTCTCTAAGGTGGGGGTTAGGCACAGGTGACCTCCCACGTAAATTTCTGTTACTGGCGCAGCCACAAGCTGCAGCCGAGACTTGCAATCAGGTTTTTCCGACACTAAGGGAACAGATGGAGTGTGTTGGCATGCTTCTCAATCGAAATGAATAACTACAAAGTCCTGGAATATATACATAGACTTGTAAAGCCCAAGATCTACCAATTTTAACGCCTTTTCAAATTCAAAATAAAAATCCTTGCCTCGCTGTGTGAAATGCTACATCCTTCCACCACCAACGCGACCTTAGTAGCGATACTAAACAGGCAGAACAACCTTGAGGCCCATATACTCTCGCTGATGCATGAGCTTACCATTGATCAGAACTTGATCAGCACCGATACGATTGCGAACAGTGTCCGTCGGGTCTGTAGCTGTAGCGATCTGCATCTCTCGCCATTGTCGATTAGTGGGCACAGGTTGTCCGGCACTCATCCGCTTCGCATATTCCTTGTACACGCCTTGCTCCTCGATACACCCTTCCCGCTGGATCAGAGGTGATGATGCCGCAGGTGCCATGCTCAAATCACCAACGGAGCTGTTGAAGAGCACAAGTGAGAGACGCTCCTCCTGGAGCTGATCAACGGGAGGCTTGAAGACCCGATGGCGTGTGGCTTTGAAGTGACCACCAGAAACAATCTCAAGAGTGTCGCCGATGTTGATGACGAGCGCGCCAGGCTTATAGGGCACATAGTACCACTGCTCATCACGCCCCCAGATCTGCAAGCACGAGATAGGGACCGAGAATAACAAGGTGGTAAGGCCAAAGTCGGTGTGCCCATGCATACGGAGACCCTTCGAGGCTTCTTCGGTGGTCTTCTCAACAGGACGGAAGAGCGCGTGACGAAAATACCCCTCACCAGTTGGCCCGCCATGCGACTGGACATTGTCCCAAAGGTAGTCGTCTGGGAGTTCGAGCACTCTCGAGAAGAGGGTGAGTAATCGGCGATTAACTGAACCAGTCAGGTAGTTGCAGAAGGCTTCGATCTCATCGATGAAAGGACGCAGGCAGTTTGGAGTGCGATTGATATCTTCCCAATCATCCTTGTACCAGTTGAATTGTTCAATACCGTCTGGAATAGCTCGCGTTTTCTGAAAAAAGCAAATATCAGTCTCCGTTCAATGCACCCGGTGATAAAGACATGTTCGACTTACCTTGAACCCATATGGATGCTTGTAACCGGACCATCTTCCAGTCTCAGGGTCAAATAGGAGACGCGATTTTTCCTCTTCGCTGAGGTTGTGGTAAAGATACTGAGCAATGGCAAATTGCCGGTGCAGCTAAACTTGAAGTTAGCACTCTCTATGTGCCCAGCGTCTAAAGCGATCTCTACACACCTGCTCAAGTGAAATGCCGTAGTTCTCCAAGAATAGGAAACCGTCATCTCGTATGGCAGTCTTGACCTGATCCACTAGATTCTGTACCACAGCAGGGTCTTCCGAGTCCATTAACGACAGGTCAATAGACTTCAGAGTCGCAAAATTGTGTGTCTGTTTTGTAACTGGTGGTGGGATCCATTCTGGCACGAATGGTTTGCCAGGTAGATCTGCTGAAGGAGGGTTGAATGGAGTGGCTTTCGGCATTTTGTGTTAATGTGTCTAGGCGGGATGGAGAAGATGCTAGTTTTGGGGAAAATAAGGTGACAGAATCGATGATTCCGGTTTGATGTGTCTGTTCTTGTAAGCAAGTAATGATAAGGGATAGAAGAGACAATGTCTCTTCTTATACACTGAGATGCCTACCTAAACTTTGCAACCACGGTGTTGCGGAATGATGCGACTTTCTCCCATCAGACCATGCGTGAATGAATCTGGTAAGATCTCTCCTCCATCTTCCAGGTTCCTACTTTGGCTAGCCGTGCTCATCAACTCCTCCCCCTCCCTCCTCCCTCCTTGCTCTCCCACTCCTTGGTACTGCAATTCTGGAGAAAGAGCGGGATCCTGGAGAGGCGGGATCCTTGGCAGGAGCTCCTCCCGGCCCCGCTGTTATGCACAGCGCTTGTCCCTGTACCTGAGATAAGGGTCCAGGCGGGGGAGGCGGGCTAAACAAGTCCTGTCAAGGATCAACGGGCACTCGCAGATTGGCTGCTGGGTGCAGCTCAGGAGAACCTGGAATGTACAGTAGAAGAGCTCCTCCGACTCCATCTGAGCGGGGCAAAGTTTTCAAGAAGAATGGCGGGCAAGGTAGGCTATCCTGCTGATAGCGATTGGAAGTGGGAGTTTAGCATGGTACTCAGTGTTACTAGCTTCTTGAGTTGTTCATAAGTTTTCTACACCACGTCTTTGCTTCTCGACTCTTGCTTCCTCACAACTTATTTCTACATTTCACGCAACTCATTCAACTCCATCTCTTGCTTACCCAAAAGGCCCAACCCTTACTTCAATCAACTTCTATCATATCGCTATCAAATCAAAACGCAAAATGTCTCGTCAACTCATTTCTAGCGAGAAGTTCCCAACCAAGCCACACAACTGTACGTTTTCCCTCCAAAACACATAAGACCAAAGCGAGCTTGAAACTAACAGATCTCTGCTTTCAGGCCCAGCAGTCAAAGTCCCCGGACTCGTCTTCTGCGCAGGACAGACCGCTACCGGCGAGATCAAAGCCGCAACTGTTAGTTGCCCCTCCTCATCCTGCGAACAATGACCCCTCTCCCGGCACAACTTTGCTAACGACTGTATAACAGAGAACCGTGCTACAAAACCTGAAGGAAGTTCTCGAATTGGCAGGGTCGTCGCTCGAGCAGGTCGTCAAATACAATGTATATCTGGCGGACATGAAGGATTTCGCGGCCATGAATGAAGTGTACATTGATTTTCTCCCTCAGCCAATGCCTGCACGGTCGTGCTTACAGGCTGTGGCACCTGGGAATGGGACGGTTATTGAGATTGAATGCATTGCGCAGGCATGATCTGGGATGGGTATAAACAAAATTTGGATTTATGTTGTACATAATTGAGACAAGAAATTTCTCTTTCAGCACTTGCCTTGTCAATCGGATTCTCAATAGTGATATGTGATTATTTCCAATTTGAAGTGCACTCATTAAATCGTTGTCTGAGGTCATAATGAAAACAAGTTGCTGCCAACGCCGTTGGGTTCTTCAGAGGTATCTTGCATGTATTCTCGAAGAATCCAGCACAGGAATTCTGCAACTTCCTAATCCGAGAATGAGATAGGATTTAATATCCACAGTACATACTTCGGCATTCAATAGAGTCGTACTACCACGTCTAGCTCAGCATGTTCGCCATGTTCCAAAAGCGTCGATTACGGCGCAAGCCATTCAAGAGATTGTATGCAAGGGGAAGTTAAATAATATTTGTGTAAATCTATTTAGTCTAATTTTTGAAGCAAGTACTCGAGATTCTAGAAACTTCATGAATTGGCAACCTCAATCTCAGAAATATACCAGTTCTGAATTGCCTTTGTATCACCAGTCATGGCCACAGTGTCGTACTTCTTCTTTCCCTCCTTTGCTGTAACGCCATTATTTACCATCCGCGCTGCCCACTTTCCATGCTTCCTCGCCGCCGCAACGATCTTCTCTATCGCCTCCACAAACTCAGGCTCATCACCTCGCGCTGGAGTGTAACCCAAAAGTGCTTGTGCCAAGTCATTTGGACCGATAAACACCATGTCCACCCCAGGAACCGCTGCAATCGCATCGACGTTCTCCACACCCGCTCTCGTCTCAATCTGGATCATTGTGATGATCGTCTCGTTTGCGCTTTTCATATACTCTGGGGTTGTCAATCCGTGGCCGATGGCTGGAAAAGCAGAACCCTGGCCTCGTATACCCTGGGGAGGGAATTTGCTCGATGCAACGATTGCGGCTGCCTCCTCGGCAGTGTTGACTTGTGGGACCATGACGCCGTGAGCTCCCGTATCCAGTGCACGCTTGAGAATGTCGTGTGCTGGTCCACGAATGCGGATGATGGGAGAAACGCCGAGCGCCGAGATTGCTGCTACAGAGTTGTGCATGGAATCGTCAGAGATATGCCCGTGTTCGCAGTCGATAATGATACCGTCAAGGCCTGTCAAAGCAACAATTTGCGCTTGGCGGACAGAGGGAATGGCCATGAAGGTCATCAGAGGGTACTCTCCATCACGGAGTTTGTTGAGCAGCCGCAGACGGGGATTTTGGACTTTGGTTGTGAGTGGAGTAGCGTAGGTAGTGGAAGTACCATTGACGGCTGTCATTTTGGCGGTTCTTGTGTGTGAAATGTGTGAAGACGGGATGAGAACGTCTAAAGAGAAGATGCTTATTTGAGCAATAATTTCAACAACCGCTTAGTGGAATATTGAGAACTGGCTGACAGATGTTTGAGACAAAGGCGAAGGAGTTAAATTGAGAAAATGTGTACACGAGACGAAAATGATAGAGTTGGAATGGGAAAACTTAAAAGGAATTGGGGAATCAGCTTCCTTAGTATGCAGCTTTGCCAGCAGGGATGCTCATCTTGTCCATCACAGGTCAATAATGGGTTACCAACCCCTCCACGACTTGAGGAGGAGCAGGAGGAGTGACACTTGGAGCCCCGACATTAATTAAATGTGGACAGTGGGCACTCTTTTCATATTCTAGAAAGGGTAGTTGCTGAATACAAGGAGTCAAAAGTGGAAGAATGGGGGAGTAGTGGGACCAAGAAGATCAGCTGCTCAGCGCGCCGCCCGGCTGGGAATGTCAACAGCCGTCAAAAGCCGGGCGGCAACACACCAAGCGAGCGCGGGGCTCCTCCCACTCTAACCACACGGGGCTACCCCTTTCTCCTCCAGTCCATGTCCCTGCGGTCGCGAGGCAACAAGGACTCACCCGAGTCACCCCAACTTTCACCCTCCTCCCTTATCTCTCCGCTGAACCCTAGTGAACCCTAGTGAAGTTTAAATCCACAGCATGATTCAAAATGCCAAACGAAAATAGGGGGCTCCTCCTACCTCTTGATTGCTTTCGTATCAGCTATCAGTATGAGTTCGTGGCTTGGGAGAAGACTGGCCAATCATAGCTCAGGCATATATCTTCTTGCTGTAAGTGGCATGCGTACCCTATACAGCAGAGTCGAGGAACAGACACTCCAACAGCGACCTAGGTATATAACTACATTCCCGGTGGCATGAGGTGTATCATGACCAGACATTGAAGTCCATCGCCTCACTCCTCAAATTCCACCTCCTTGTCGAGACAGTAAGCAACCTCTCGAGCGGACAGGAACTTTTCCTCCTCCATCTCACAGAAGACAAACATGGAGTCCTCTCGCCCCGACTCTGCTTCGGCTACTAGCCATGAACAGCAGAAAGATATCAAGTCAACTGATCTCGGGGTCATCAACTCAGTCGTTCCTGGGGAGATGAACGATGTCAACCGCATGCCTGCGTCACTTCGCGAGCTAAGTTCCGAGGAACTGGCCCGCCTCAACAAGAAACTCGTCCGCAAGATGGATTTGGTCATCTTGCCTATCATCGGCATTCTGTATATCCTCAACTATATTGATCGTCAGAATTTGTCGGCCGCCAAGTTGCAAGGCATCACCGACGACCTTCACATGAGCACCCAGCAATTCGCGACTTCCATTTCTATCCTCTTCGTTGGTTATTTGCCATTTCAGATCCCGTCCAATCTTCTCATCACCAGGATCCCTCGACCTGGAATGTATATCTGTACTGCGACAGTCATTTGGGGAGGTATTTCGGGTGCAACGGCAGCTGTTCAGACTTACGCTCAACTACTCGCGGTTCGCGTCATCCTTGGAATCGTGGAAGCAGTCTTCTTTCCTGGTGCTGTATACTTCTTGTCAACTGTGAGTGTTTTCCTTCGTCCTATCCAGGTCTTTTCATTAAGATTAGACCCTTACCCTTCCCTTGGGATTACTATATCATCTGCGTATCAAGATCTCTTCGTACGAAAGAAATGCTAATACCGACTTTTTCTAGTGGTACACTAAAGGAGAACTTGGCAAGCGTCTCGCCGGCCTCTACATTGCGCAGCAAGTCGGTAATGCCTTCGGTGGCCTCTTTGCAGCTGCAATCTTCCAGCTCGACGGTACACATGGTATTGCTGGCTGGCGATGGCTTTTCATCGTTGAAGGTTGTGCCACAGTTGGAATCGGATCGATCTGCATCTTCTTCATGCCTGAATACCCACACAACGCTCGCATGCTGAACCAATTTGAGCGAGATCTTGCTGTGTGGCGAATCGAATCTGAGGCAGGCGCAGCTGAGGGGACGGAGAGCGAGGTCAGCGTGTTGAAATCCTTCACGCAGGCTCTTGCGGATCCTAAGCTGCTCATGCTTATCTTCTGTAACATGATGTCCCAGGCTCAGGGTTCAATCGCCAACTACTTCCCCACCCTCGTCAAATCTCTTGGATACAGCGGAACTGTCTCGCTATTATTGACAGCGCCACCATATATCCTCGCTGGCTTTGTGTACTATGGTCTCACCTTTTACTCAGATCGTAAGAACACCGTGTACCCAATTATCATGTGCTGTATCGGGATCGCGAGTACCATGTACATTATTCCGATGGCTACGACAAACATCGGCGCTCGGTACTTCTCTATGATGGTCCTACCCTTCTCCTCAGTCGGACCTCAAATCCTCCTTTACAAGACTATCAACTTGCACTTGGCACGTCCGACAGCCAAGAGAGCGGCTGCGACTGCTCTGGTCAACTGTATCGGTGGGACAGCCAATATCTGGGCCTCTTATCTGTATTATGCCCCCCCTCAGTTTTTCGCAGCAATGGGTACGCTCATGGGTTGTGCTTTCCTGTTCGCTTGTATGATTACCTTTTACCGCTGGTTCGTCCTGCGTGAGAACCGGCGCTTGGATTCTAAGGACCCTACTCAGATCGCAAAGGTCATGAAGGGAGGTGTGACCCAGGAGATGGTAGATCTGGGCTGGCGTTATGAAATGTATTGATGAGTTGTTTGGTTGTGGTGTCAGGGTTTCCGAGGGTTTCATGGAACCGTGATATGCCGCATTCGAAGAGGAAAAGTCATAGCTATATACTGTTTAATGATAGAGATAGCACGTGTAAAGAATAAATACAGGCATTAAGAAGCACTTCTGAGTTTTCCTAATAGTAATTTGATGCTTTCCTCAGAGAGTAGGCAACGAATTGAAAGTGTTTCGAAAATTGTGCAATTACGTCGGAACCGGCCCTGAGTGAGGGCAGCTTTAGGATTTCGCAACCATCTTTTGTATTCCTCTTCCTTGCGGAGTCTCCCAGCCTTGCACTCAGTCCAATAGTTGTAGGATATGTCGACGGTGACAGACCAATAACATCATGATTCATTACAAATACGGTACAACGTAGTACAGTTACTCCAAACACCATCGCTACCCCCAAAACAAAGTCCTGTCCGATCCGCCCCTATCCCGTACTATACCAAACCAGTACACGGATACTCAATTCACCCTCTCCCCCAGTGGAGAGACAAAACGACTCTTGTCATCACCAATCTTACGTTTGAACATGCCCAGGTCATTTAGAAGCTCCTTCATGAAAGCCTGAACCTCATTGGCTCGTTCCTCGTGGGCCGTGACGTCGATTCCCTCATCCTCATCACCATACTCTTCTTCTGGAACCTCTGTCATGTCATCATTCTCTTTGTTTTCATCGCCTCTCTCACTAGCCTCAAACATGCTGCCTTTCCTACTAGGTCCATGGATACTGCTTCTGGCGCTTCGAACATCGATTGGGTTTTTCAAGCTGTCGAGCGCGAGCTTAAGATGTAGTCTGAGGGCATCGTTCTCCGTCTGAAGGCTTCGGATCTTGCCATCGGCAACCATACTTTTCTCCTCCATCATACGCTGCATGGCAACGACTCGGTTCTGATACTCCTCCAGTTTCTCCTCCTGTGCCTTGTCTTCCTTCTCGCGGCGTCGGTTATCAGATACGCTCATTTGAAGGATACGGATCTCTTCCGCCATAGCAGCAATCTGCGCATCGCGCTCAGCAGCTGATACGTGATCTTGGTTGACAACTGCTCTAGTACGGATTCTCTTGGCCTGGTCTGCGTATCTGAGAGTGGAGAGTGTCTCATCGTAGTCAGACGGTGCTATACATGCAATCATAGCGGTTTTGCTGTTTCCTCCAAGCGAATCTTTCAATAGCCACGTGAGAATTGAGTCTCTGTACGGGACTACATCCTTGCTTCTCTTGCCTGGTCGTTGTTGTTTAGGGTCTGCTAAGGCAGCGATTACGCGACCGAGAGTAGTCAGAGATTTGTTGATATTGCTTCCTTCTCTCAGACGTGCGCCTGTTGCTTCTGTTGCCTTCGCTCGCTCACTACCTGCCAGATCCACCAACCGGATTCGAGCAGTGCGCTCCGTGGTTTCATCCGTGTCCATGTCGTGGTGGATTTGCTTTAGCATTATTGTAAAGACAGAATGACTCCTACTACTGGTATCGTTCATCTTTGTGCTTGCCGTTGTTCGACTTGCGTCTCCCATCTTCATAAACTTCATGATTTCTGATATATTTCGTACAGGAGCATCAGTGAGATCCTTGATATACGGTCCTTCCGTGGGCGACTCTCGGATCTTGAGATAATATGGAGGTTGATTGGGATGTACTGGTACAAGCAAGTCGCGGACATGCTCGTTGTAAACTTCGAAATAGGAAACTCTGACGTTGTATGATATATTGGGGGTTTCATTATGGGCTGCCTCGATTCGCTGGAAGAGGTCCTCGCAGGTCCGCGGGATGAGACCAGGCTGATCAGGAGTTCCCATCATGGTATAACTCTTCCCAGAACCCGTCTGGCCATATGCAAATATGCAGGTATGGTATCCTTCGAAGTTGTGGTCCAAGAACTCCTCGCCCAGGCTGTTGTAGACATCCTCCTGATGAGCATAATGCTCATCCTTCGTGTCGTGACTCCAGAAAGAATTGTCAAATGTAAAAGACTTCTCCTCGATTACTTTCCTCGTCTTGGATCGTGTATTTGCAGGATCTGTATCGTTGGGTACGAGAAGGCTTGTTGCTTGGGTATTTGGATTCATCTCAATCAGGCATTCTGCCCCTCTTTCTATTTCTGATAAGATCTTTAGTAGGGCTTCAAAACATACGGAAATAAATTATACCTCTAGGAAGAAATGCTCTAACCCTGACCACAACCCGAACATTTCCACCTGGCGCATCTCTCCCCATTGTCATATCGCTTCCCCGCGATCGTAATGATGGAGTCGAAGCAGAGGATCTCACAGTGCGCATTTCCGCAGCCACTCCCGGCATTAATCGTGGATCCAGAGCCATGCCAATCAATGTTTCGTTGATATCCTGAATCGTTGTGCTGAATCGTTGTTGAAGGTATTGATACATCAAAGCTTCGGTGTGTTTATGTTCCGCGACACGTTGGCGGGGTGACGTGCAGGTCATGCAAGGATCGACGGATCTACAGTGCTGTGAAACGCGTCAATTGTGTGCCTGTTAACCTCGCGTCATTTGAAGAGTGCTTCGTCGGGCAAATTCAATGAGTCCAGCAGGATGCAACATGTAGGTTGATTCTGTCGCGCCGTTTACCCATCAACAGCACGTGGTCCGTTTTCCACCAACGCGGGAAGCCGGACGCTTCCTTGGGCTCGTCGCGTTTGGTGATGCACATGATCCAAGCATTGATCAACCAAGCTCACTGCTTTCACTGGAGAAAATTACATAATAACACTATCGATGAGTCGATAGTGTTGTCTAGACTCATATCCTCTGCTCACCAAGTCTAGTACACATTGCAGACCTTGCACACTGACCGGAAGTAGAAATTCACGTTCTCTGCCATGAGGATAAGTCCTACAAGCGAAGGCCTTTTTGGCTTTTTGAGAATTGTAATTTGCCATGAATATACTGTTAGAATTCGGCTCGTCCCTTCAAGTAAGCTTCGCTTTTACCCTTGGCAGATGAAAACAGCTGATAGCACTTGAAGGGGCAGAAAAGAGTACCGTGAGTCCCTCGAGCACACGTGATACCCGTCACATTACATACTTCTTATGCCTTCCATGTCAGACTGACATATGAAACAGACTTTCGTTCCATAAGCGTCATGTTTTCTGTTCTTATACACCCTCTAGAGGTTGTCCGGGAGAGCACGTTGGGATTTGAGTCTCCACATTCTTTCTGGTTTTGAAGGCCTCTCATCCCGAGAAGCCGGCAAGAAGACATAGGTGGAGGTATTTCATTGTCTAATTGGCCTGGTAATTACTTTCGTTCTCTCAAAGCGACTTCATGGCTTCGCTTTATTTCACTCAAGCAGAAGACGATCTGGCTGTTGGCCAGCTGCTGTTGAAAGTCAAAGCAGCATGTCTTGTTCTTGTAAAGTCACGAATTATGCGCTGGACGGGGCTTATATTCGACCCGGAGTCCCCCTTCAAAGGTTCTGATGCTCCTCAAACTAGAGACAATGGGTCTCTGGGGATGATTTTATGCCACTTCCAACCTGATTGTAACTTCTCTTACATTTAGCCTTGCTTGAGCCAAGGATCGGAGGATCTTAGCGATCGCTGTCGTGTTCTTGCTTCTGAACGGCAATTTTCGCAACCACAAGGCTCCCAAGATGCGTAGCGAAACAAATGGAAATACTGCACCTAGATCAGCAGTCGCATTTGCTAGCTGAGCCTTTGTTCATGACTTTTTATTGCTACAAACCGTGTAAACAATGGCTGAATGGACCCCCAAGCATCTTTTATCCATCAATCCACGTGGCTCGAGACTAAAGCCGAAACGAGACAGTGATATCCGGCACCGGATGAAAACAATCATCTGAATGCTAGATCCTGCAATCACATATCTGTTTATAGCTGCATTGTTGGTGATGTGATTTAGTGTCGATTGTCCTACAGGTTTATGCGAGCCTGTCCTAGATAACTAAGACTACCAACGCATACTCCCCTCCTTGCCGCTCCATTTCTTTGTGACTATTTACTTAACTTATCCACTGAATTTGAATGAGCTGCTTAACTTCTCAGAAGTTCTCTGTTACATAGCATGTAAGTTCTCCAACCTGTCTCGAGAAGTACTGCCCACCAATTCGAGTCCAAAGACCTCAGGTTCTCAGAGCATTTTGCGGTTAATTGCTCAATGCTTTCGCAAAGACAGTATAAAGTATGCGAAGCTCTTAGGATAGTACATGTTGGTACTTTAGTCTGAAAAAGAGAGAGGAAGTCAAAGAAGCCAGAATTGTGATCGGATTTCTCTTTGAGGGATACCTGCTGACGAGCTTGCAGCCCAGTTATACCTCACTTCAGGTGTTTTCTGTACTATCAAGCAACGACAGCAGCCCTCAAGCGTAGCTACTATATACTAATTTGGCAATGGAAAAGAACAGAAAGTGTCTGTAGCCGTGAGTTTATGTCTCTTTCGAAAGTCCCATAAGCTACCAGCCTACAGTATCCTCTTCGAAGTTTCTCTCCTCGTGCTCGTCTCGCAGCATTGCAGCGTCGGAAGACAATAATCCTCGCTATGTCCATCTTTAATAACTGTAAAGGCAAGAGAAGGTAGCGTGAAGAATCTACCAGGAGTGTTATGTTCACTTCGAAGTTTCTAACGAGCCACTAACGTTGATAAGTCCATGAACTCTTCACTTCCGTCGTCCGTCACTCCCGCATTTCCCCTTTCGTGGAGCAACAACAGCAAAAAACCCACCTCCTGATAATCATAATATCAGCACAACACATGTAATGATTACAGCACTACTGAATTCCTAGTCTTCATACAACCTCTGTTCGTTCTCCCCTGAGGATGCCTTCCGCAAACACAGCGCACAAGTGGCCCCAAGCATTGCCGAGATTAGAGGGAGACCTATCGCAACCACAATACCAGCTCAACAGCACGGCTCAGAAGAATGAATGCCAGTTTAACCTTTTGCTACCATGGTCGCAAGATGGTATAACTTGTTAGACTGCGTTGGCAGACGCGTCAGTTGACCATAGTAAGTGAGTCCTCTCCTAGGGGCTAAGTAGCTACTGATAATACTACCAGCAGACGGAACTGCCGTGACAGAACCCTGGGACCCCAAGACAATTGATGAGCTAATCCATACAGATACTATTGAAATAGAATGACAAGATCGAGTTACTCATCAGGGGTCGACGCGTCTTAATCAATTCGAGTATTGGGAGATGATGTAGACCGAGAAATTTTGAGGTCGCACCGAACTTTCGTTTACTCAAGAGATGCTCTGCTATATACATTGGATAATGTAGAGAAGGAGTGTGAGAAGCGTGAACGGAAGTGAGGAAGACTGAGGAAGATTGAGTGTGGTAAATCAGCCGTGGACAGAGACATGCAGTTTGTTGACAGTGGATACAGGAAACGAACCTTTCGGCTGGTTGATGAATCCTCCTTTGACTGCTACCATGGCCGTTGTCTGATCTTCTCTCAGTATTATCAATGAATGAGCGACACAAAGCTTCTGCTGTGGTTTGATCTTTGGTCGCCTTCAATAAAATATCACTCCGTAGAACTGACTGTGTTGGAGAATAGGGCGGCAAGTGCACTGCACTCTGTGTTCTCACCGCCAATTATGCAGGTAAGTGAAAAGTATTGGAAAGTTGTGTTGTTATTTATTAACGACATGGAGCAATTTGGCTGTCAGCTATGAGCCTTGTACCTAGAAGCACAAAAGATGGTACATGAAGACGCCTGAGCAAGTAGCAAGATTTGAAGATAGAGATTTCACCGAGGAGGCCTACAGACGAGCAGTCATCCGCAGCAAAGGACGGAACCCGAACTCCCCACGTTACGACCGTAGCTCATCCCGTTGAGCAATTGTTTGATGAGAAAGAGAAAGGAAGACACAGAATATAGGGCATCTCGTCGTCGAAGCAAAGTTGTCGATTTCCTGGCTAGGGACGGTTGGTCAATTGAGAGCAAGAACACAGGGAAGAGAAGACTACTTACTGAAATGTCCAACATATTTATCGTCTGAGGTGATCCAAATGGCTGATCCAAGGGGGAAAGCCAATGTGGAACGAGCGAGAAGCAACGCGAAGCCAAAGCTGGTTATACCTGTTGGATACGAGGTTGACTCGTAGCCAAAGGAAACCCTGGCAATGGGAGATACTCAACGATGACTGCAACTTCCAAGGGAAAGTTAGGAACCCGGTTGAGGCAACAATTGAGTTGGTAGTTGATCTCATCGATACGGCCTTGCTCAAAGGGGCTGCAGATGTAGGTGTCGAAGCAGTCACGAGCGGCTTGACATTGAACTTCATCTCCGGCAGGGGTATTGCACATTGGCATGAAGGCATTGCGGCTACCCCAGATCTCTCTGAACCACAAGGTATAAAGACCACGCTGAGCACGACCAGGATCGGAGAAGGTTGCGGTGAGGTGCAAGACCTTGACGTTGGGAAGGAATACGAGGTTGGTTGCGCACCAGATGTAGAGCATGACAAGGTCGTTCAAGCTCACGTGAATGGTCTGGATATAGGAGACGTCAAACTTGTTGATCAAGACATCCGCAAGCTCGAGAATTGGGGGACTGGTGGTGGTCATTGATCCAAGTTGAACTACATCACGCCCAACTCCCAAGTATGGCTTGCGCTTGTTGTCGATAGTGGCAAGTGGAACGTATCTCTTGCGAGCAAGGGCGTCGAGAAGAGCAGGCTTACTAGCAGCGAAGATTGCTGGGCGAGAAGCTCCGATGCTCTGCATGTAGTGGACACCATTGGCCTCCATCTCGATGAAGGTGATCTGTCTTGGCGGGAGCGAGCAAAGATCGAAAATCTCACTCTTGATCTCATTGGGAAGATTTGGGAAAAGAACAAACTTGCCACAGAAGCCCTTGAGCTTGAGGATTGTCTTGTTGAAGGTCATGGTCTGGCCTTGAGGAACCAGGATTGTATTGGTGGGCAGAGAAAGATCGAGGCGGCCAACTGCGAGAGGAAGGTTGTTGGACTTGAGCTCGGGGCCGATGGTGACATTCGATTCAAGGCCAGAAGCCAAGTCAAGGTACTTGAGCTTCTCGGTGATGAATATCTCAGCCTCAAGTGGGGAGCCGAAGTACAGCATTTTGGTGCACCAGGTGAAGGTATTATAGGGAGCTACAAAATTCGTTAGTCTGTGAACATGACCGCAGAATGGGTGGGATTTCTGCTCGGCAGAGAGAGATATTTACCTTCGGAGAATTGAAGGAAAGAAAAGCCTTGGCTGATTGCACTTGGTGAAATTACGACTCGAAATATAGTCAGCTCAGGCATCTTACAAGTGATTTACTGGAGCACTAGTGGGCTAGAGTTTATGTGGACGACTGGGAGAGGAAGGTGGTGAAGAACAAATGGAGGCTGGTGCTAAAACAATGACAATTGGAGATCGAGGAGCTGGAAGAGATGCTAAAGCAGTGGTGTACCGTAGGAAAAGGGTAGGGTTTGCTTTGAGAGAGAATTTGGTGTGCTATTGTGAAGATTGGAGTGATGGGTACTGGGAGGAGAAGCAATGCTGCGAGGTGAAGGTGTGGGGGATTTGCGACCGAGGAACCAAGATAAGAGGATACGTACGTGTGTCGACTGAGAGCTGGCAAGCTTGCTTTGCTACTGAAAACCAGTGAAGTCAGTAAGGCAGTACATTTGGTAGTAACTCTGGTCTGGAGTGGTCTTGCTGGGGCTTGTTGAGTCTTGGGACTTTTACAGTGATGATGAAGGGAAGAGAAATTTGTGTGAAGGGCATCGTCTTCTCACAAACAGCTGCGAGGTATCGATGGGAGAGTACTCACTGCAGAAGCTAGATTGATTTGGTGATGTGGTTGCGATGCTATTGTGGGAAGAGGTCAGCTATTGTTGACCAGAGACAATAGGAAGCGGAGGACGCCTTCAAAGCACGGGACAGCGACGGAGACAGCTCTGGGGAGGTATGGACTCACTCTTGACGACTGAATGAACTGTTTAAGGAGCGTTGGTAGGTGAACTGAAGGAGCGTGAGTATTTGGAAAAAGTTTGTGGGTGAACCTTTGGAGTTGGCGAAGCCTTGGGGTGTTTTTATACAAAGGGAGTGACAGGGGTATGAGCTACCAGCCACGGAAACTCTTCGCCTTCTCCGCCACATAGTCATGTAGAGCAATTTGAACTATGCAAACACCATAAATAAGAGCTAGTTTTCATTATTGCTCAATTTGGAGCATCTAACCAGCTGCAATTTGTCCCTCGTAAAGTCTCAGAGCTACTCTAATCTCCTTGTCAATACCGAAGCCTTCTTCATCAACAACAGTCTAGCTTGGGAACTGTCTTTTTTCTATGCCTGCCCAAAATATCTCTAAATTTTTGGATAGAAAGGATAGCAGCACAGTCGATTGGAGTAAGATCAAAAGGCTCAGACGAGCAGGTACCTCCGATCATTCTCCAAGTCCCTCCCTAGGTCACTGGACGGTCATCTACTAGGAAAGGACTGAAAGGCCTTCTGCTCAGAATAATCACGCCACTGGATGGCCTGACATACACCCTAACTCCAATATAGATGTCTAGCTCGTCAGTCTTGCCAAATTTCCTGCAGCAGTGAGGGATTGTCGTCCAGCTCGTCCCTTTCAAGGTTTGATGCCAAGAGATTTCTGCAGATATCTCGCTGCGACCCTACTCAACGAGTCATCCTTGAACTAGAATAATGCTACGTGTTCAATTGAGAGAACTATAACTTCAGTATGCACTTGAACCAAGTCTTCACCTCTCGTCGATGATTATCGTTCTTCCTGGAGAGGTTGGATGTTGCCAGTGTAAACAACAATCAGCCAATAGCAACGAAGCGAATTGCTCATTACGCGACAAAAATTTTGTACCTGTCTCTCGTCGGAAGAAGTCTTTGAGTGAATTCATCAGGGTCATAGGTATTGTCTTCAGCTTCACGTGAAATGCGTGACTTGCAGTTGCCATTGGGAGGCTAGAAAAGGCTAGAAGACCTAATACAGGATACAGACGCAGAACGCAGGACATCTGCTCAATAGTGCCAGCTCAATGTCACAATTTAGAGTGATCAAGATCGACCATTCGTCATTGTGTCCTCTTGAATGGAAGTACCTGGGCTCTTGCAACCTGATCGTAGAACGCAAGTTGAGCTTTCAATTGTTAATGGGATTGCTGCCACTCGTTGCTCGAGTCACGACCTGAGAGATCCTTGATATACGGGATTTATTTAATCTGATTGCACAACTTGTTTATGACTCAGAGAGGCTTTCAAATTTGACAAAATGCCAAATGTTGGAAATTGCTCTCATCCGATCTCGGTCGGCATCAGCCACATCGGCCCAGATGAGACCAGCCAGCGAAACCATAATCGCACCTAACAGATCATCATTCAATCGATAAGGCTCACTCTGAGAATACCAGCAGAGCACACGATTTCCAGTCTTCGCATTCCATAGGCATCTATCACCCAGCGCCACAGACTTTCTTCTGGAAGTAACAGATTTGACCGTCTTATATGATTGATTTCAGCTATAATAGCAGTTAATAAGCTCCTCTTACCCACTTTACTCGAGCCTATCTCTGCCTTGGAGTCTTGAGAATGGGGCTAGCAAACCTGTCATTTTGAAGCTCCACAGCACCACACTGAAGAGATACCAAATGGCGAGCGATGGACTCAACACAGCCGTGATTATGTACCAGAAGTGATTAAATTTCTTTGGTTTCTTGTGCCCCTTCAGCCTCATGCTAGTGAATCGACTCTTAGACTTCCGTTGGCCAGCAAATTTGAAATACCTTCAAAAATGGCACATTGCCCGTCATATCTGCATTAATTGCCAACTACCCACAAATAACTTCGACCAATGCTCTTACGTACCCGAATACAAATCCCCATCACTGGCTGGCCATTCCTTCAAATAATTCTAAATTTTGAACTTTGGTACGTGCAAACACCCCCTATTTAAGCGAGGATTTGTAAGCGAAGAAAACAAATTCCAGTCAGCGCCCCCGTCATGAAATAGAGCATTGTTTCACCAACGAGGATACAGAAACATCGACTGCAACGCATTTATCACTTCTAATCTATGGTAAGAAGTCTAAGCAAAGCCCTTTCCAAGCAACACGCTGCCAATATCCTTTATGAGGGACTCATTCGGAAACAGCTTCTGCTTCCCGAGTACAGTACCTTGCGCATCCATGCTCTTTAGTAAATCTTCCAGCTCACCATTCTTCGGGGCGCAGTAAACAAGATATCCAAATGCAAGCAGAAAGCCTTTCATGGCTTCTGGAGAGTCCTCTTCTGCACTGATGGCCTCTAATAGTGATGCGCCAAGCTCCACCTGATCTCCTTCAGGGAGTGATTCTAGGTGTTCTTCGCTGCGGAGTTTGCTGTTCGCTGTCGCGATATTAAAGGCGAGACTTGCAGCTGCGACTCGGACATTGTGGTGTTTGTCGTCTAGCAGACTCGTGGTGATGAGTTGTACAATTGGGCCAGTCATCGTAGGACAGTTGAGAATATGTGTTGGGTAGAGTGGACTCGTGAAAAGATTGCAGGACATTTGCAACGCAACGAGGCGGAGAGAGTAAGGGCAATCTTTCAGGGAGTTGACATATGATATGAGAGGGGCGATAGTCATATGGTCTTTCTCTTCTGCGTAGTAGCCGCTGAATCGAGGGTCGACGAGGGCAGTTCGCACAAGATCGACAATGGTAAACATAATTTCTGGAGGCAGTGTTGAGGAAGCCGAGCGTAAGGAGTGACTGAATGCATCAAGATCTGGAAGAGTGGTTTCTGCTGCTCCATCCTCTGCGCGCGCAGCCACGAAGCGTAGCACTCCAGCAATGCCCGGGTCTTGCGCTGACGGTCCCATTTTCGCTTTCAGCTTCTCCAATGGAGGCAACTTGCTGAATAGAACCGATTTTGTGCTAGCACCACGCAATGCTGGTAGAGATAGAGATTCGTGTGGATGCGAAGGCCAAGCCATCTGCATGAGCATGTTGACGTTGCCTTTTAATTCGGAAGGATTAGAGCCTGACCACCTATACTCTTCCTTACCGCGAAGGAACGTCATGAACGTCGGCGTAGATCTGATGTTGTATTTTGTACCCACATCAAATGCCTTCGATACGTCCACCTTGATAAGAACAGCCTTGTGAGCTGCTTCCTCTGCCATCTCATCATAGACTGGGTATAATTTCTTGCAGGGTGCGCAAGATGAAGACGTAAAGAAGACCACAGCGCAAGAGTTCTCGGCTTCTTTGAGAATTTTATCTAGCGCGACGATTGAGGGAGCTTCGCGCACAGTCGATGCTCGTTGCTGCTGGGTTTGAGGAACGTTTGCTTGGTCTTGTATGCCGAGAAGTCCACCATTGGTATTCTTATTCTGTCTACGCCGTACCATCTCGTTGATTTGTGGTTGTATCACCCGACCAAGCGGTGTGTTAAGAACAGTCTGGGGAAGATTGGCAATGTGCTCAGGAATCCCATGGCCGATTAAGAAGGTCGAGAAGTCGTTGGAGAAATTGTTGCAATTGTGAGACCATAGGTCATAAGCCTGCATCTAGGTCAGTGTTCAGGTCCAGGCCGAAAAAGACTATTCAAGTACCCCCTCAGTGTAAATCTCCCGTAACGACTCTAGATACTCCATTATCACATCCATCGGAAGGTTAGTCGTTCCGAGTTCTAATATTTGCATTGGACCTCCCAGATGGGTTCGACCTGGATCTGCGGTCCTGATACCTCCATCATAGACATATTCTATGCCTTCCATAACAATCGAGGTGTGGTATATGGCATCGATCTGGATGCCGATGAATGCGGCAGACAGTTGGCGCGCCAGTCCATTGGAAAGGTCGTAGACGTACAACTGTACTTTCATGCTGTGGCAATCTCAAGGGTGCCTGTTGATTTCGTTTGTGCAATTTGGAGAGAAGAAAGAAGTGGAGTGTAGACAGTAGAGGTCACAAAAGTAACGAGATCATCCTGGGAGGTAGCGAAAGGTATAAGGCAGCGTTGAGGCAATTCTATTCTATTCTATTGACAATGGAAGGGAACGAGGGTGTCGCATGCACCGGGCAGGCAGGATGAGTGACGCGATTCTTATCCGCAGCTTTGGCTTTGGCTCTTTCTTATCGCCGAACCGACACACAGATCCCTCCTTTTCTACACCACGCAGGACAGTACTCTAGTCTCTAACCAGGGACTTCTACCACCAGCCACAGCACCCCATGCAGCCTGGGCTCGCCTCCTGTCCTTTTTTAAACTGCCCTGCCCTGCCGCCACATCTTAAACTTTACTCCATCAGGGGTCGTTGGCGTTGATCTACCAAAATTCCAGCTACCATCTTCTCACTCCTTTCTCCAGATCCCACCCCTTTATACTTCTCCTCTCCCAACCCTCATTTCGTCCGCATACTGTTTCTCTCCGGTTAAGCGATTGTGCGCTGAACCAGCGTTGGTCTTCCAGTCATTCCCTTATGAGACGAACATCGGTCTCGCTGCCGACGAGAAACGTAGCACACGATCCCCACGAGAAGGCCGCTCGATACAGTACTAGAGGCGCAAGTAACAGCGCCGCCGCCAAGCTGGAGAATATCAAAACCGCCTGGATGACGCAAAGTCAGCGGTCCAGATACCTGAAGACAGGGGGTCTTCTCCTCTTCATCGTCTTTCTGTTCTACTACCTCTCCTCGGGAGTAGATGGCGGAGGTGCGTGCCGTGCCGTTCCAGTTCAGAAATTTACCATGAGCTAACACTGTCGCAGTATCATCTATAAGTGTTGGTGGACAAACGGTATCCGATCCGAAAGCTGCGACGACAAAGTGCTTGAAGTCCAGCGATAAATCGAAGCCCCTGGTCCAATATGCCCTCATGATTGATGCTGGCAGCACTGGCTCGCGAATTCACGTGTACAAGTTCAACAACTGTGGCTCTACACCCGAGCTTGAGGATGAGGTATTCAAGATGACAGAGAAGAAGACCGGAGGTTCAGGATTGAGTTCGTTCAAGACTGATGCTGAAGGCGCTGCTCAGAGTTTGGATGTCCTTATGGACACGGCAATGGCATCTGTACCGGACAGCTACAAGAGCTGCACACCCGTTGCAGTAAAAGCGACTGCTGGACTTCGTCTGCTTGGCCCAGAAATGAGCCAGAAGATTTTGGACGCCGTGCGCAATCGATTGGAGACGAAATACCCGTTCCCCGTTGTTTCTAAGGAGAATAATGGCGTTGTTATCATGGATGGCAAGGACGAGGGTGTTTACGCTTGGATTACAACCAACTATCTCCTTGGAAAGATTGGAGGCCCCGATCCTACCGGGACTGCCGCTGTTTTCGATCTTGGTGGTGGATCTACTCAAATCGTTTTTGAGCCTACTTTCAAGGGCGCTGTGCCTGAGAAAATGGCCGAAGGCGATCACAAGTACAAGCTTACCTTCGGTGGAAGGAACTTTGAGCTGTACCAGCACTCTCATCTTGGATATGGCCTAATGTCGGCCCGCGAAGCTATCCACAGAACCCTTATTGAGGACATCCAATCAACAAACCCCATTGATCCTGCTTGGACCTCAAAGCCGATCATCAACCCTTGCATTGCTCCGGGCATGGTTCGTCCAGTTGATGTCAAGCTCCCAGATGGTCACCCTCTTGGAGGTTCGGTTAGCGTGAACATGACCGGCCCATCATCCCCAGCTCCAGCGCAGTGTCGCAAGCTTGCCGAGAAGATTCTCTACAAGGAGAAGGAGTGCAGTCTTGCACCTTGCTCTTTTAATGGTATCCATCAGCCATCCCTCGAGAAGACATTCTCCCAAGAAGATGTCTACGCTTTCTCCTACTTTTACGATCGTACCGATCCTCTCGGCATGCCAGAGTCTTTCACTCTCAAGGAACTTCACCGCCTCACCGAGCAAGTATGTGGTGGAGAGCCTCACTGGGATGTGTTCCAGAGCGTGCCAGATGCGATCAAAGAGCTTCAGGATCGCCCTGAGCACTGCCTTGATCTTAACTTCATGTTGGCACTTCTCCATACCGGATACGAAATGCCCATCGACAGAGAGATCAAGATTGCGAAGAAGATCAAGGGTAACGAGCTTGGATGGTGTCTTGGTGCAAGGTTAGTCTTCCACACAATTAATATCACCAAACGCCATTACTAATTCTTTCTCACAGTCTTCCTCTTTTGAGCGCCGGTTCAGGATGGACCTGCCGCATCAAAGAAGTTTCATAGGCAGATTTCAGGACTAGGAGCATTGCAGGCGTCACGAGTAGGGACTTGTTTTAATAGGGTATAGACCACCAACGACTTTCCATTCTAAAAACAAGTATATAGTCTTCTCTGAACGTACCTAGTCACCTTTCCTGGGACCCTCCAAAAAAGGTGTCAACAATATTCTTCTCGATTGGAAGCCTAACAATTACCGTCTCGCGTATTGGTATCCCTGCAAATATCTCATTCAAGGCCACAGTCAAGGCATTCACTCTTTCATTCACTTCCTCCTCCTCGCCTTCGGAGACATAACTCTCCGGCTCAGCACAATACTTACTGCGATGAAAAACATGCTTCTGCTTTCCCGAAAGTCCATCAGTGACCCGCTTTTTACCTTCTTATCGCAAACACCTATGACATGGCGCTGGAAATAGTGGATGTCGCGATCAATTTCGCTGGTGAAGTATCTCGAGTTGAGTTCGGATTGCGTAAAGGGTTTTTGCTGTGAAATGTGAGTTGGGGTGGGATAAAAGGGCACTGGAGACATTTGAGGGGAGGTCCAGGAATGGGTGCGAATTTGCGGGTGCAAGTACTGTAAGGCGGCCAGCTGGTATTGCCCTATTTTGCTAGGGCGTGTGACTATCATAATCTTTGGATGAGGTCCTGGTTCACTTGGTATTTTGGAGCCTTCAGCTTACTACTCCGGAAGGTCTCTTGAAAGGACTTATGAAGGAGTGCGTATTCCCGTGTAGTACCAATACATAGCTCAACTTGACAGTGAGAGTATCACGGATAAAGAGATTAAGGGTGACCGTATTTTTGACTATTTAGTATTCGTTGCTCACTGTTGTTATTCATTGTTCTATTGGGTATTATCTGTGGAGTAGCATGACGGTCTGCTTCTCTGCCTAGGAGATGCTGCGAGGACTACTAGCCCCTCGCGTGGTTTCGCCTTTCCAAATTCCCTCATGTTGTCCCCCTTGCGGAGATGAGCATGAGGGTGTATCCAAGCCTTGGGGTTCGAGCGGAATACTCTGGTGTACTGTTCGAAAGCCTGAATCAGGTATCGTAGCTCTATAAAGGGGCTTCCGCCCCCGAAGTCCCAAGGACCTCTTCGATGACATCTTCTGGTCCAATGCCTTCCAATAAAGCCGAAATGGCGTCTAGGTCGCTACCCCATTGCATACTTCGTTCTTTCTCAGGTTGAACAATGTGGATGCGATGAAGATAGATCTTTCTGGCCGCGAGACCAATGAGTGATGGTGTAGCATAAGCTAGGCCATGTAGTGGAGCCAGGCATCTTGTTACATAAGAATGTGGCTAGGCGTTGGGAGGTTTGGGGAACGTACTTTGCAAGCTTGTCGAGATGTTTGGATGAAGCGGCAGATATACCACCTGCTACAGCTCTATGTACCCGTAAAAAGGATATAATATCCTGTTGGTAGCGCTTAACTTCAATACTGACCGCCGCATCGTTGGCGAGGCGTATTAAGTGCTCGACATCCTGTAGAATGGTTAATAAGCTGCAATATATGTAAAACTCAAGACACGAACAATCGCTGATATTATTGGCCACAACGACCCCTCAATATCCGGGATCGGATTCTTCTTCACCACAGACGATACGGAGTTCCCATCATCGTACATTTCTTCCAAGTTCGGGAACCCATCTTCTGGATCATGGAAATGCGAAATGAACATGTAGTCATTCAAATGCTTCGTCAACCTGGGTCCCTCTCCACCACCCAGCAAGGCAATGAACAAGAAACGTTTGGGCGCATTCTGCACTGAGGTTCTTGTGTATATCCTCCTTGTTCTCATAAGTTCCAGTGCCTGTATCTGTACCTGCTTCGGAGCCTCATCCAGGTTCTTTGCGATAATTACGTTGGCGATGGTCTTGTTGTCGCTGAAAGTCTCGGCGGCTGGTGATCTATTGGCAGATCCGAATGCTGGCAGATGGAGGAAGTATGAATCTTGTCGAGTTGCCACAGGCGAGTTCGAGCGAGTTGGACTATGCTCCACGGATAATATGGCATGCGCGAAGTCGTCAAGACTGGTATGCTCGTGGCAATCAAGTACAGCATTAGAGAGACCAAAGACCTTTGAGGCGACCTGAAACCGGTTAGAAAATATTAAGGCATTCGCGGGAGTGCTTTACCAATTGTAGTTCTTGCGCCAGATCATCTATCGCATGCGGCTCCGTATCAATGATACAATGCTCCTGCGTAACGAGGCATATCAGGGCAGCGAGTTCCAAGTCGCTGAGCTCATGGACTTTCTCGAGAAGCGTTTCGTCTGCCATTAGGCCACAAGTATAAATCGCTTCCCCATATCCAGTTCCAGAGGAATATCCTCAAAGGAGAAAGTCTTTCGCTCAGAAACAGTGGTTGGGTTGCGGCTGCTTGACAGTGAGGTGGAGGTCCTTGAGACTGACTCGCCAAGGAAGTTCTAGCCTGAAGCTTAAGCCACACCTTATTTTCGGCTGCATCATCTCCAGCAACTCAAGCTCCTCGACCAGGCATTTACAACTCTCTTGCAGGAATTGCTCTGGAGCGGAATGACGTGACAACTCTTTGACGAAATATGGCGAATCCAACGGCGGAATGGGAGCGAGTGGGAGGCAAATTCTACCGCAAGATTCAACTCTACACAGCCGTATTCGACCAGGACCTGGAGCTTGAGAACTATATTGTGACAGGATGCTCTTATGGAGGCGCCATAGGTATGTCAAGCAACGTAATGGCTATCCAGCCAAATCCTTGTTTACTCTCTTTGAACTGGGGCTACTTTGGACATGCTACGAGCCACTCCCCATGAGACGACTTTGATTTAGTCCAGAGGGCCAAAGTATCAGTTCTATTTGGGAAGCAAGCACACCTCGACTTGGTTTCACAATCCCACCTGGAGAGTTTGGGCCATCTCCGAGCATTATTGCTTTTGCAGATTTATTCCACAAATAACCAAACAACAGAAGCTCTTTCGATCTACATATCAGTCACGTGACCATCAGTCAACGACTTTCTCGATACATGCTGACTCTGAATCCAAAATAGCTCTACATCGAGATGAGACTAAGCTCCACTCTTTCCGAGGATCACAAGCTTCAAAATCTAGCATAGACCTCTACAGCTGTGCTGGGAAATTGATCCGTCGAATCAACTGGGACAAGGGGTCTATTAAAGGTTTAGGCTGGTCAGAAGAAGAGAAGCTCATAGTAGTGACAGCAGATGGCACTGTGCGTTGTTATGATCTGCAAGGAGACTTTTCCCAGTTCTCTCTTGGGCATGGGTCTGAGGAATATGGCGTCGCGGCTTGCAGGTTTGCATTTCATCATCGCATTTGCTTTGCACAATTCTTGACATTCATATAGGTTCTACGGCACTGGCTTCGTAGCACTCCTATCAAACAACCATCTGATAGCGGTCTCGCGGTTGGATGAGCCCCGGCCAAAGGAACTCGCTGTGCCTCCAGAGGGCGATGTACATTCCTGGACGCTCATTGCTCCAGCATATACTCTTTCCCGATCAGTAGAAGTCCTCTTGAGTATTGGTCAAACAATCTATGTTGTCGATGCAACCGAGTCAGAAGATCGTATGCTAGATATAGGTCCTTTCACGCACATTAGTGTCTCCCCCAATGGCCGATTTGTTGCCCTCTACACCGAAACCGGAAAGGCATATGTCATTACGAGTGATTTCCAAAATAGACTTAGCGAGCACGATTCAAAGTCTAAGATCCCTCCGAAGGATGTTCAGTGGTGCGGTAACGATGCTGTCGTAATAGCTTGGGAGGACGAGGTACATATAATTGGACCAAATAATGCAGCAGCAAAGTATTTTTATGACGGACGAGTCCACTTAATCGCAGGTATGAATGTCTGCTGCTGAACATTGCCCTTAGCTTACGTTATACAGACCATGATGGAGTCCGTCTCATCACGAATGAGGTCTGCGACTTCTTACAGAAAGTACCAGAGGTTACTGATGAAGTTTTTCGTTTTGGCACGGAATCGTCAGCATCAATATTACTTGATGCAGTTGAGCAGCTAGAAAATCAGTCACCAAAAGCAGACGATAATATCCAGCTGATCAGGCCAAATCTAGTAGAAGCGGTAGATACATGTGTATGTCTCTTCCTCTTGAATAACACAAATAGCAGCTAACATATACCAGGTAAAAGCAGCCGGTCAAGAATTCAGCATACACTGGCAGAAACAGCTATTGAAAGCGGCATCCTTCGGAAAGTCAGTCCTCGATATCTACAACAGTGATGAGTTCGTCGACATGTGTGAAACACTACGAGTTCTCAATGCAGTCCGGTATTATGAAATCGGTCTGCCACTTTCGTACGAGCAGTTCCTCCGCCTCACACCCGAGAAGCTGGTTCAGCGTCTCATCAACCGCGGAGAATATCTCCTCGCTCTCCGTATCTCCTCCTACCTGCGCCTACCCACTGATAGAATCTACGTGCACTGGGCGTCTCAAAAGGTCCGCATAGGTTCCGAAGACGAAGACACGATATGTAGTCTCATTGTTGAGAAGCTCGCTGGCAAGCGTGGCATCTCCTTTGAAGAAATTGCACGAGCGGCCTACGATGAGGGACGGGGGCGCCTCGCAACCGAGCTCCTCAACCACGAGCCACGAGCAGGCAAGCAAGTACCGCTCCTTCTCAATATGGAAGAAGATGAAATTGCTCTCGACAAAGCCATCGAAAGTGGCGATTCCGACCTCGTCTTCTTCGTCCTTTTACATCTAAAGAAAAAACTGCCTCTCGCATCGTTCTTCCGTGTAATCAACACTCGCCCTGTAGCAACCTCTCTCATCGAAGCCTCCGCGCAAGACGACGACGCCGAGCTCCTGAAAGACCTCTACTATCAAGATGACCGCCGCATAGACGGGGCCAACGTCTTCGTGCGAGAAGCTTTGAAACAACCTGACTCCCGCACCGCGATCGACAAGCTCGCACTAGCCGGCAAACTGCTCTCCGATTCCAAGGATAATTCGCTGGAGTTGAAGGCGCTGCAAGAGGCGAGCACTTTGCTGAAGATGCAGGAAGCATTTGATCGGGACTTGACGGAGTCGTTCACGGGTTTGAGTGTTAATGAGACGATTTTCAAGCTGATTCGCTTGGGATATGCAAGTAGAGCGAAGAAAGTCCAGAGCGAGTTCAAGGTACCGGAGAAAACGGCTACATGGCTCAGGTATGCTTCATCCTCCACCCCCTTCTCCTTCTATCGCTGCCATGATAGTATGAGGGGTATCTGAGTGTTCTGTATACTGCTAATGAGTTGCAGACTTCGAGCTCTCGTGGCAAAACGAGGCTGGAATGAACTTGAGGAATGGTCGAAAGCAAGACGATCGCCTATCGGTTGGGAGGTAAGTCCCCTCGGCTATTCCCAGCCAAAAACGAGCACCTCAACTAACCCTTCCCTTCACCAGCCCTTCTTTACGCTCATCCTATCAGCCGGCAACCCCAAACTAGCTAGTATATTCATCCCGAAAGCAGCGCCTTCTCTGCAAAGTGGTGAGACGATACCCATGTACGAGAAATGCGGGATGCGGGTGAAAGCCGCAGAGGAGGCTGTTAAGATCAAGGATGTCGAGGCGGTGGATCGTTTGAGGAACGCGGCTGGTATGGGGACTGTAGAGGGGAGGGAGATTGAGAGGTTAGGGGCTGGACTGAAGAGGTGAGGTGGTGTAAAGGTGGTTATCCTCGCGTGACAGTTTGTTGATTCGGAATCCATTTGCATCTAATATTTTCCTCCTTCATTTGCAGATTTCTTGATGATTCTTCTCGTCCCATATATGAATATAGAAAAACTGTAGAATATCGTGGAACGATTGCTCAAGCAGGAACGTTGAAGCAGATGGCTGATTAATGCTACGCAAATGCAAATACATCAAGATCTCGTTCGTCTGTCCATGGCTCGACCTCTCCTCCCCTTCCCACATCAGTTGTCTCTCGTTCTCTGAAGGAGAGTAAAGCCGCAAACATAAACTCCAGACAGGTGCAAAGAGCAACATTTGATCTACGCCACAACCATCCCAAACCAAAGGCCAATCCGATCCGATCCTTAATTCCCTGGGTAATTCAACCGAACGCCTGTCATGATTCATCGCGTAGAAGCCAACTCTCCCATATTCATTTCGATTCCCCAACACACCAATCAGCCTGCACATCCCCAAACGTTCTGTTCCTACGTATCATTTTGTTCGCTTGATTTACTCATCCACGAAGTCACAGAAGTGTGCTATTCACCAGTCCGCTCTTATATTATGGTATTTGTACAAGATATGTTGAGGAATGCAAACAGTAGGAAAGTAGGATGATATAGACTTTGTAAAGAACACCGATGCTAGTCCAGTATGCCGTGCCGTAAGACTCGCTAAATGGATGTATTAATGCCAGAGGCGCCGTCTCGATCAAGCAGGGTTGGATGTCGGGGGAGGAGGTGGCGGATTGGTAGGTGTAGACGTGACAGCGGCAGCATTGAGGTTCTGTGTTGCCAGTTCTGCTGCGCGGCCTGCGCTCCCATCGAACACAAAAGGTCCAATGTCGTTCCTGGGCGTCATTGGACCCTCGACACCGGCGGGAGACGTACCCAGGCCGTTGGGGCTTGGTGTCCGTGTTAAGTGCCTTTCTGGATGGGAGATTGGCTGTTCCAGACGTGATCCGGCGCTGCCAACAGCCTTTCGAACAATGTTGACCGGTGCTGAGGTTGCGTTGGAGACAGGCTGAGCTTGCGAGTCTTCTTCTTGGTGCGGGTCTTCTTCTTGGGGATTTGAATCCGACACTGACTCGGAAGGAGAGGGAGACTGATTCTGATTTATAGTCAAGTATCCCAAAGATGAAGCTGCTGCTTGGACACTCTGGTCAGGACCTGAGTCATCACTGGCCTCCGCAATCTCAACATCACTGTGGCTGTTGTTATGATTATTGCGGTTTGGTTCCGAATGATCTTCTGCTTCAACCAGAACTCCGGTATCCTCAGATAAAATAGTGTTTCGATTTGGTAAATGCAGCGTTTCAACTGCAGGTTCGGTCGCGGTTGCGGTTGCAAGTTCGGTTTCGGCTTGTCGTGGAACTTCTCCTGGGGAATCGGAATCTGCAGCTTCTATTTCCTCCCATTCACCATTCGCATATGGGTCGTCTAGTTCAGCCTCTAGGTCTGCTACACTTCTGCAGTTCGGGCATATGAAATGAGGCCAATGCGGTCCGTTTATTATAACTCGAATGCATTTGTAATGCCATGTATGCGAACATGGAGCCACGAATAAAGACTGGCAGGGCTGAAAAGTAGACATATGAGCAAAAGTCAACACAATGGGATATATAAGTGCTTACAGCAATAGGTCCCAGACAAATGGAGCAGTCCTGTGACGAGCCAGCTGCGGGTGGCTTCCCTTGACTGTTCAGTTCTCGTAAACGTTTATGTGATTGAACGCTAGGTACTGGGTTAGTATTGTGTAAATGTGACGAAGAAAGTGACTGACTTAAAGCTGCTTGGCCCGTTTTGCCAGCCCTTATTCAACTCAACCCTGATTTTCACACATCTGAATATCATTTCCTCCCCTCCCTTAAAATCTATTCCAAGTTGCACTATATCACCATCATTGACGGGAAATGGTCTTGACTCAGTACCTGGTGAACTGAGTCGGATGTGATTCAGAAAAGTGCCGGAAGAGCTTTTTACATCCTTGATAAACCAGCGTCCTCCAGAGCACCAGAATTCGCAGTGCCGTCTGCTGACTACTTTCGACTTGAAACCAACTGGTGCAGATGAAGGCACGTTTGCAGCTTGAGTAGGATTATTGTCTCTTTCCGAGTATCGCCCCACCTTGATTGTCTCCTTTCCAGTAGGCAGAATGCGAGACATCGGAGGGAAAACCAGTGACGGTCGTTGTGCTCTGGGATCCTGATGGGCAGAAAATCGTATTGAAGGTAGTTGATGTGCCATGCCTTGGTTTCCCCCATTTCCATTAACCATCGTGGGATCAGTTCGAGACTGTGTATCCCCACCCTGAGCGGGCAGGATATCTGGAGCGGTGCCCGTCGTGGCAGATCTTGTGCGAGCCATAGAAGCAGTGAGATCGGAGGTCACGTCAGATGGGCTGTTTCCTGACAAAACAGCAGAAGATGACCCGGTATTGACTGACTGCGGTTCGGAAGCAATGCGCGACACAGCACTCTGCCCACCAACGGTCGGGAGCCAGCCACTTGTACCTCCCAAACTGTCCGGATTGCTCGATCTTGCGAAGGGAATGTCGGAAGGGGCTCGCTGGGCAGTCGGGGATTGCAGTGTAGAAGCCTGTTGAGGAACGATGCTTGGTAGTGCAGGCGAGCTGGGTGCAGATGGTCCTGCAGATCCCCTTGACGTCGGTGATGGGTAGCTTGTAGCGCGGGCCAGGGTTGACGGACGCTGAGTAGGAGTAGAAGTTGAGCTGTTGTTGTGACTGTGGCTGTCGCGCGACAGGATATGAGTTTGTGTATAACTTCGCAGATAACTTAAACCCCTCAATCGGCCAGTGCGAGATGGAGAGGTTGGCGAGGTAGGGGGTGACGCTGTCCGAGTTCTGTCGAGGGCTGGCACTGGGCCTGGATTCCACTGCTGTGGTGGTGGGCTGGGCACCGAGTACATCTTGCTGTGAGTGGCTGCTGGAAGGAGGAAACAGCAAAAGAAGATTTGGCCAAAGTTTGGATTTGGAGATCCAAGAGGAATTGGCTATTGTACTCGAAGACAGGCGGGTGGGCGGGCAGGCTGCTCGCTACCAGAGGAGAGGAGTGGAGAGGAGAGGAGAGGCGTCTCAGATCTGGGTGTTTTGCATCTCATTCAAACAAAAGGTATGGAGGAACGAGTCAGTGTTGCACAGGGTAACAGTCTGCGCTGGTCAAGAAGGTCAGGTCAGGTCAACCCGTCGAAAAATATAGTGCATGTAGCAGAGCCGCTTGAAACAAATATGAGCGAGTACAAGAGCGGATATCTTGATTAAAGGGAAGAGAAGAGAAGAGAAAGTCAACAGACGGTGATGGCAATGGCGTAGGGGAGACGAGAGGAGACGACGAGGCTTAAGTCATTTACGGGCGTGGAGGTGGAGGTGGAGGCAAGGCAAGAGGCAAGGTGGGCTTGACATGTAACCGGGCTGGACTCCTGCTCCTCTCTCGAGTATTCGAGGTCGTCCAATTCTCAGTCGATCCTCGAAGTGGCGGGCTTGCCGTGCAGGTGCGGTGCAGGTGCAGGTGGTGCAGGTGCAGGTGGTGCAGATGGATGCAGGTGTGCATTTACTTATATTGTACCTAGATGGAGGAGGTGGAGGGAAGTGGAGGAGAGGAAGTGAAGGTTAGATGTGTTTATTTGTTGGCGTTGGGGTTCTTGAATTAATCGGTCTCTGATCCTTTCCTTTCCTTTCCTTTCCTTTCCTTTCCTTTCCTTTCCTTTCCCTTTCCTTCCCTTCCTACCTGAGATAGTTAGGTATCTGCTCTTCAAATCAAGAACCACTGCCCACCCAAGACGCCCAGAACACCGGCGGGCTCAGTCAGTTGATGCAGCTGTCGGTCCAGGTCCAGGTCCAGCGCCAGAGCCATGAAAGACACGGCTCGCCGGCAAACTCCCACGGACTTGACGTTATGTTATCGGCGTCGGAGGCCTGCAGCCTGCCTAAGTAGCACTTGCAGAACAGAGAAGCAGAGCGAGGCGTTTGAAAAAAAAAAAAAAAAGGCTCAATGCGGTCAAATCAATCTTGTATACTGTACTGTACTGTACTATACTGTACTGTATTTACCAATTTCTCGATTCGGATTATGATCTTGCTTATGGACATGGACATGGTTGAGTGAGGCTCCTCTGCGGGTGGTTAACAAGGTAAAGTAAATTGGGGAAATGGGTCTGGGTCTGGGTCTGGGTCTGGGTTTCTGCAGGCGAATCGCACTTTTAGGTAAATTATCTAAGGTAAGGTAGATGGCCGGGACCACCCTACTGTACCCACTAGTATACTACCCACCCAGGCAGAGCAGAGCACCTCACCTGCAGGGCAGACTGCAGGGAAGGCTGAGGTGAAGCCTGACAGCCAGCCCGGCAAGAACCGAGCGGGTCCTCGAGGCGAGGCGAGGCGACGCGAGGCGACGTGAGGCGACGTGAGGCGACATTTTTGACTGAACAATTTGTCAAGCAGATCTAGAGCAAGAGACGGAGAAGAGGAAGAAGGAGACTTCACTTGCGTCGGCTTCCACCAACACAACACAACACAACACAACACAACACAGCCCATCCTGTTCCACCACTGCTGTCCATCATGTTGCAATGCTCCTCTTCAAGAGCGCTGAGGCGCGCATTTCCAAAGGGGCCAATATTCCCTAGCATTATCTCTCCTTCTTTTCGGTCCAGAGGCCTAGCAACGGTCGTGGAACCTATTCAGAAGGTATGTTCTCCAATAGACCTCAGAATTTCGCGCAGTGCTCATTGAAGATAGGATCCAGCAGAGCTTGACCAGATAACCACTCTATCAAATGGCATCCGAGTTGCGACAGAAGCCCTGCCCGGGCACTTCTCCGGGGTCGGCGTATTTATTGATGCAGGATCTCGATATGAAAACGAATACCTCAGAGGCGTAAGCCATATTATGGACCGGCTTGCATTCAAATCTACGAAGAATCGAACAAGTGATGAGATGCTGGAGTCGCTGGAGACCTTGGGTGGAAATATACACTGCGCATCCTCGAGGGAATCCCTCATGTACCAATCCGCAACCTTCAACTCCGCCGTACCAACCACACTTGCTCTTTTGGCGGAGACCATTCGAGATCCTTTGATTACAGAGGAAGAAGTCTCGCAACAACTAGAAACTGCTGCATACGAAATTGGAGAAATCTGGTCGAAGCCAGAGTTGATCTTGCCGGAATTGGTCCACATAGCCGCATTTAAGGACAACACATTGGGCAACCCATTATTATGTCCCCAGGATAGACTATCTCTGATCAACAAAAGCGTCGTGGAGGCATACAGATCGACATTCTTCAAACCGGAGCGAATGGTAGTAGCATTTGCAGGAGTTCAACATGATGAAGCCCTGAGACTGACGGAGCAATACTTTGGAGATATGCCAGCGTCAGAAATACCCGTCACATCGCCAACCGGATCCGAGACCTCCTTCGAATCCGCCGCGAGCGACAGTGACGGCTCTTCATTGTCTGGATCCTCGTCACCCCCCTCTCCAACACAGCATCCATCGAAACTCCTATCACGAATTCCTTTCTTTAAAAACCTTTCCACCACAGCAACAAATAATGCATCTGTGCAATCAATATCAGATCTGGCGCCGACGCCCAGCGATATCATACAACCATCTAAATATACAGGAGGCTTCTTGTCCCTACCATCTCTCCCCCCACCAATCAATGCTTCCCTGCCGCCCCTCACACATATCCACCTCGCATTTGAGGCACTCCCAATATCATCCGACGACATTTATGCTCTCGCCACGCTTCAAACACTCCTTGGTGGAGGAGGATCATTCTCAGCAGGAGGTCCAGGTAAAGGCATGTACTCGCGACTCTACACCAATGTTCTGAACCAGCACGGCTGGGTCGAATCATGTGTCGCCTTCAACCACTCCTACACAGATTCCGGACTCTTCGGCATCTCCTCAAGCTGTTCTCCCGGAAACGTTGTCAACATGCTCGATGTCATGTGCCGTGAACTCCAAGCTCTGACTCTCGACAAGGGCTACGCATCTTTACAAACCGCTGAAGTAAACAGAGCGAAGAACCAATTACGATCAAGCCTTCTCATGAATCTGGAAAGCAGGATGGTAGAGCTTGAGGACCTGGGCCGACAGGTGCAAGTTCACGGGCGTAAGGTTGGCGTGAGGGAGATGTGTAAGAAAATCGATGAGTTGACAGTCAATGATTTGAGGCGAGTGGCGAGGATAGTAGTCCGTGGATTGGTCCAGAATCCAGGGCAGGGAAGCGGTGCACCGACCGTGGTTTTACAGGAAGGTGAAGAGGAGGGTATTACTCGCAAGCCTTTCCAGTGGGCTGAGATCCAGGACAGAATCCATCGATGGCAGCTGGGCAGGAGATAATGAGGCGCTTGGATGCTTCTGGGATAGACGTAAGGTTGTGTCATGTATGGATAATCTTGTATGATAATGTACAGCCCCATTTCAAAGGGAAACCCGTGTACAACAGAAGAAAAGTATTTGAGAGGGGTTGTAGATATTGAAAGCACTACAGTTCTCAGCACATTTCAAGATCCAGCAAGCCCCATCAATCAACGTTACGGAACTCTCACCAGGACGAGGCTCGAACCGCAGTGGAAACAAGCCAGGTAACCCCTGATATCAATAAGGAATTCGTTCCTCACCCCCAACGCCCAGATCATTTCCTGATGATGGCCACTCCATACATTACTACCAGCCCGCTCATATTACCACCTCTTAGACTGTCAAATCCTCCAAACCCTCCACCAAACACCTCTGTTTCTCCTTGGCCTTGCCGTCTCCCGTTCCCTTGTCCCTCTACAACTCATCCCCTGCCCTCGACCACACCCACCCGTCAATCGATGCATAACTTCTCTCTCTCCCTCGCTACCTCTCCCACCATCTCTCTCAGCATATCCATACACTTCATCATTATCATCATCGAACCCAAACTCAAACCCATACCCATCTTCACCCTCATCGTCCTCAAATGATCCCAGCCTCCCAAGACATACTTTCTCGTCTCCTATCTCTGGCACCATGACCATCACCGTCGCCTCTCCCAATCCTACCCCTTCCCTCCCAACCCTCAGCTCTCTCCCTTCTCTCAACCCTCCTCCTCCTCTTCCTCGTCCACGGCGGCAAGATAACACCATGAACAAACCACCTTCTCCCGCTTCTGGCGGGCCTCGGAGTCGGACTTGGAGATAGACTCGGATTTCGATCTCTATAATCTCCTCTTTTCCTTGACACTTGCTCATCTCGCTCGAATCTTACTCTCGATCTCCCATCATTTCTCTGACTGCGAGGAAATCTCTCCCATTGCTCACGCTCACGCTCACGCTCTCGCTCAGGTTTCCGGAATCTCGAGCTCGATCTTAGAGGCACTAGAAGTGGAGCTGGTGCTCGTGACTTTTTGACGGTGGCGGCTCTCGAAAAGGGCGAGGTATTGTGATTCTGGTCGCGGGTCAGGGGACCAGAATCGTCATTGATATTGTTCCTGTTTCGGTTGGTGTCTCTGTTCCTGGAGTGATCTTGTTGTTGCTGGTCTGGAATCTGGCTGTGATTGTTGTAGTGACATTGTGAAGGGCGCCTGGGTAAAGTCGGTTGCTGTATGAATCGTGGACGGTTTGGTTGTGGTGGCAGTTGCAATTGTAGAGGGGGTAGGAAGAGCAGAATTGGCAGGAAGTGGAGAAGTGTGAGGAGTGCTGGCATGGTTGGCAGTGGCAGTTTTGGATTCGTGGATTCATGAAGTGAGAGGTATTTTTTGTGATCTTGATAGTGTTTTGATGAATCCAGAGCCTGTTCGAAGAAGGAGGACTGGTGGTTGCGCCAGAATGGGAGATGCTGTGGTGTAGATATAGGGATGAGAATCGCACAAAGATCAGTGTACATAAAGGGCATGCTCTTAGCCGCAAAGATTGATCGAAAAATTACCATATAGGTACAGCAATGCCTCTTAACGAACTTCAAAGATGAACTAAATAAGCTTTACTTTAAAGTAATTGGACAATCACGAACGACTGTCGTCTATGACTTCCTATCCGCAACCACGACACAAGATCGAAGACAGATGCCCTGTAAGTATTAATTCTAAGTAGCTTCTCATCCGGTTCTATTATTGTAATAAACTTCACCCACCCTCTCTGCACATCCCTCCCGGTTTCTTCGCATAGTCAACTGCCAGTTGTTCAGACTCTCAATAGCATCATCGGAACTGTGACTGGTCCTGGAGAGGGGACTCGGTGTTCCACAAACCAAACATTGTTAAATCACTAGCCAGACTTTCAAGGACAATTTGGCTGAAGATCAAGCCAGTTCTGACCTAAAACCTTTTCTCTCTGCTACTACGTGCAGAGAGGATGTATAGAATCAGTGGGGAATTGCTTACAGCCAACTGAGCCATTTATTTCTTTTTTTTTTTGATCCAAAACCTCGTCTCAAAGACACTGTTTTGTGGTTATATTTTCCAGCAATTCAAAGTCTCGAATGATATCTTTGTTGGACCTTGCAACCATCACTATTCTCCTAGCCTTAATTCCAAGCTGTCGTGTCATATATTTTGATCGCTCTCTTTGTTGACTCTTTAGCGAGAATCTGTACCCACCAATGGCAAACACAAATAAAGTTCAATTCCTCCCCTTTCTTACAACAGCGGCGAAAAATTCCAGAAACAAACCAAAGTAAGGTCTGTAATCCTGTAGATCAAAGATGCTTGCTTGATAGGCTATGTTTGCCCACCCGGTTCGATTACCCACGATACATTGGTACTCGTACGGCTCAGCAAGAATTACAAGGTTTTATTAGTAAATCAAGGCAGAAGACCTTGATTTAACCACCAGATCTTTCAACTGGACGCATGAGCTCGAAAAACTCGAAGAGCACTGTCCTCAGAAGACGCTAGAGAATCGACTCAGGTAATGTGGCCATTGTGTGCTTTGAAGCGCCCAGAGCACTGGCAGTGCTGAGACCGCTAAGGATGAGTGCGACTTGCCTTGCGAGAAAGATTGTTCGGAAACATTAAAGTAGACATTTCGCACAAGTGATTCATTTGGCTTCCCGTACTTGCGATAAGTCATTCCCAGAGAGCACACGAGCACACTACCTAGAGGAGCGAGACGACAGAGATTGTATCTTACCTTTAACGAAACTGATCGGATGGATCGCATTGATAAATGTATGCATGACGGCTGGCAAAACATGGAGCTTAATTTTCAAGTCCTTGTGATATTCAATAACGCTTTTCTGTAGAACCTGTAAGTTGAAGAGCCCAATTTTAGATCAGAAGTAAACAAAACCCTGATTAAACGCAGCTCGGATGATCTTGAAAGTGCTGGTAAATTATGGATACTACAATCTTTTTAGATTGGAGAGCGCCAAGACAAGGCTGACGAAAGATGTAAGCCACCACAATTTTATTTCTTATGTAGAAAGACTTCCCGATCTTCCACTGAATAGCTCTGCTACGTTCAAATCTCCTTGAATTGCTCCGCCAAAGCTGAAGTAGTCTTGCGTATATATCAGATCCTCACGAATAGTCCAATCTTGAGATATTTATCGCAAATATGTCCACAGCCGCGCCGACTGTATCAGGGGAAGCACCAGAGCTCGAGAAGAAGCTTGAAGACGTCAAGCTCGAGGCCGATAAGACAGAAACCCCTCCACCTACTTACGCCACTCCCGAACCCTCGAAAGAATCCTCCATTGCAGCAACATTACGTGAAAAGCAAGAAGGCGTCCTCAAAACTCCAATTGTTGATCCTGTCGAGTCTGCCATCCCAACAACTCCCACAGCGCTTACTCCAGAGCAAGAAGAGAAATACGAAGCTCTCTTGGAGATTGTGAAGTCATGGAAGGATATCCCATCTACAAAAGGCAAAGAGGGGCCAATTACAGAGGATGAGATAATGTGGTTGACGAGAGAGTGTCTTCTGAGATATCTGCGAGCGACAAAATGGGTCACCGCTGAAGCCGCAAAGAGGCTGCTTGGCACGCTGACATGGAGACGGGAGTATGGTGTTGGGGACCTTACCGGGGATCACATTTCACCGGAGAACGAGACTGGCAAACAAATTATATTTGGATTTGATATTGAAGCACGACCATGTCTGTATCTCAACCCAGGTCGGCAGAATACCGAGCCAAGTCCAAGACAGGTTCAGCATTTGGTGTTCATGGTTGAACGGGTGGTCAATCTTATGGTTCCTGGTCAGGAAACATTGGCTCTCTTGATCAATTTCAAATCTAGCAAGACCAGGTCGAATACGGCTCCAGGCCTTGGTCAAGGCAAGGAAGTCTTGAATATCCTTCAAACCCACTACCCCGAGAGACTTGGCAGGGCCTTGATCATCAACAGTAAGTTCCACCATCCCTATCCTGAGCAGTTTCTAACATACACAAAGTCCCATGGGTTGTCACCGCTTTCTTCAAACTTATCACTCCATTTATCGATCCTCTTACTCGCCAGAAGCTCAAGTTCAACGATGATATGAGACAGCATGTTCCACCTCAGCAGCTGTGGAACGAGTTCCATGGTGACTTGGAGTTTGAGTATGATCACGAAGTTTACTGGCCAAATCTCCTGAAGCTTTGTGAAGAAAAGCATAAGGAGCAGCTTGAGCGTTGGGTAAAGGGAGGCAAGCACTATGGGGAAAGTGAGAATTACATCAAAGGTGGTAATGCTGCAAGTATCGGCACGAAGCTCGCGGAGGCTGCTAAAGAAAAGGATGTTCCAGCTCCAGCTCCAGCTCCAGCTCCAGCTCCAGCTCCAGCTCCAGCTCCAGAACCTGTGGTAGAGACTGCTGAACCTTAGACAAAGCCCAAGGAGGAAGCATAAACTGTGATATGGAACAATAACCCAATGTATCGAAGAGGCAGGTAACTTTTCTACCTGATCTGAATTATTTGGAACCGCAGTCTTTTAGAATTGTAGAGATAAATGAGCGTATTCTGGGAAAATTTGAGTTTAAATAAGTAGAGTTAATATAGACTGCATGATTTCTGAAGACTAATAAAAACGACCGTAAACAAACATTTTCAACTCTCCAACATTAGACCCTAGGACCTTGAACCTCGCTTCAGACAAGCTCTCTCAATCTCCAAGCTCACCCCCCAACACCTCCTACGAATCCTCATCACTACATGCCTCAACAGACATAGTCACTGTTTGGACCGATGTCACATATGACAATTTCGCCAAACCAAGCAGAATGGCATCCTCCCAACCAGTGAAGCCACCGCTTGCAAGCCAGAACTCACAAGCACGAGGCGCACCCCCAGGCCTCCGCTACCCTTCCAATGGAAAGACCATCTATCACCGTCCGCTGAACCGCAGTCGGACGCAAGAGCTCAGCCAGGCGAGCTTTGCGTATCTGTTTGGGGAGATGGTGAGCTATGCGCAGAAGCGTGTCACTGGGATTCAGGATCTGGAGAAGAGGTTTGTCATGCCCTTCCAGTTGCGCCGCTGGTGTTCGCGCAGAGCAGCAGTCTACACCTTACTGCACATTGGAGAACTAGGGCTAATTGAGAATGATTGATTCAGGTTAAATGTTCAAGGACATCCCATAGGCCTCAAACTCCTTGACATGCTCCTTTACCGCGAACCACCACGAACGCAAACCCGCCCCCTCAATATCATCGCCCTCCTCCAATTTATCACCACCGTCCTCTGGCGGCACCTATTCTCCCGACCTGCAGACGCGCTCGAGAAGTCCTCTAATCCAGAAACGCCTGAAGAATATATGATCTCTGACAACGAGCCGGTCGTCAACCAGTATATCAGCGTACCCAAGGAGATGAACCAGCTGAACTGCGCAGCTTTTGTGGCGGGTATTGTGGAAGGTGTGTGTGATGGAGCTGGCTTCCCGGCGAGAGTCACGGCGCATAGCGTGGGTAAAGGGGAGGAGGGGGAGTTGTGGCCTGGGAAGACTGTGTTCTTGGTGAAATTCCAGCCAGAGGTTGTAGAGAGGGAGGCATATCTTGCAAAGAACTAGAGTAATAAATGCAGAAGAACTGTCTGGGCGGGAGTATAGGTCATTTGGGCGGCGTATTGGGCATTAGTGGAGTATGGGAGACCTGGGATGGGCACATGTATTTAGAGGTCTTGAAGCTTTGATATCTGGCAGAATTGATGCATTTGTGCTGTCAGTGTTTTTGCTCCAATCTCGTAGAATCCAACACCAAAATCCCAAGCAATCCAGTACCAATACGCATACGCCGTGCTTATTCTCACTCAAACAGGGTATCAATCAACATGCAGTCCCAAAGCCCTACCAGTACAACCGTATTCTTAACACCATAACCCAACATGACGTGAATCCCACTCTCCTCACCTCGGCAAACTCTTGCTTCCCGGCTTGAACACGCCTGTGTCTCTCGTTGCACTGTCCCCAGCAGTGCTCCCACTCCCACCCTTCGCGCCAGGTCCTTTCCTCATCAATTCCGCAAGTCCCAGATCCTTCCAAGCCGCCTCCTTTGTCTTCTGCGTTGCACGCTGGATGCCAAACGCCGCGTGCTGATCGGGCACTACATCGTCTTCATCCTCTGGATTGATGGGTTGGTTGTGAGGGGGCACGTAGATCTCGTCGTCTGGGAGCTTGTCTTTGCAGAAGTCCTCAAAGAGGTCAGCGTCTCGAGGACGGTTAAAGTGCACGTAGGTATAGCTTGAGTCTTTAGACTGGAGGTTGTCAGCTTGTGCCAAGCTAAATGATTCAAATCGATGAACTGAGAGGATTGCAGTACCATTGTCGTTTGTTCTGGTGGAGTTGCATTCACTCGTCTTGGTCGGAGGGGTTGTTGATTCGAGGGCTGGCAAACAGCTGTGGATTCAGCATGGGTTGACGCGAGCCGAGCTCTGGCGCGATCATTCCTTTTCTCAGCTTCGGCCAACCTTCTCTTATTCAAATTTTTCTCTTCCACTTCGAACTTACTCTATTGCTTTCCACTTCCACGACAGCGATTTTATTTTGCACTAGAGGATTACATTGACGATTAGACTCATATCATAGAGCTCCAGAGCAAGATGTGTCAATAGATATTCATGGAGTGTCTCATATGACAGCTCGAGGCTTAGCACGGCCGCTTCAATTATTTGAAGATATATTAGGACCGGGTATTTGCGTGGATGCGACTTTCTTGCAAGGACTTGGTGCAATTGAATGATTCTCTACTTCGTAAGAATCCTATCTCTTAACATATCTTCCTTCTCCTGATGAGTAACATGACGTTATACCCAGCTCACTCAGACGCACAAGTTGCGAGTGCTGAGAACGCGTATCTATATTCTGAACAGAAATATAAATATAAACTGTCTATCTGATCGGATCCTGTTTCATCTGCTAATATATTGGCCCACAGTCTTCCTGATTTCCTGCAATTCAAAGCTTCTCTTCATACGCCTTCTTGTTCAGGCTTGACATCACCCATTTTTCGTGGAGCTACTTTAGCCTGGAACAACGAGTCAATCGCTGCAAATGTCTTACCCTTTAGTTCAGGAACATAGAAGTAGCTTCCAATCGTGGCAATCCGACCAAGTCCCTCAAATACAAATCCAACTTTTCCTTTCAAGTTTCCGGAATCTGGGTTGACCATATATGGGATGGCGAAGTTCATCGCGATACCAAAGACGGATTGTGTTACTGCTGCGAGACCCATTGTCTTCGCTCGGAGACTAGGGGCTGAGACTTCTCCCAAGAGCACGAAAGCCATGGCCCCAATGGTCATAAAGTGAACGAAAGCGTAGATGACTGTGAGTGCAGCCTGCGCCCACTTTGCTCCACCTGTGGGAATGACGTCCATGATTCTCATGAGCATTAAAATTGTCGTCAAGACAGCCATTCCTTGAACGAAAACCTTCCTGCGACCGTAGTTGACGGCGAACCAAGAGAGGAAGTTTCCAAGTACTCCGCAAGCCGTGACTCCGACACCCATATCGAAAGATTTCGAGACAGAGGGACCGGCAAGTTGGAAGAAGTAACCGGTGAATCCCAATACGAAGATGATACCAACGAGATGCTGACAAGCAAAGACACCAGTAGAGATGCCAGTGCGGAGCAAGTCTGTGCCACGGAAGCAATCCATCCAGGTTCCCTTGTCTTCTTGTATCTCGATGTCCACGAGCTGCTTGATGGATGCAACTTTAGCTTCAATATCGGCCTCGTGAGGATAGAGTCTGGCACAGCTCTTTGCTGCTGCTTCTAGCTTGCCCTGTCGGACCAAGTACCAGGGTGATTCCGGAGCGAAGGGAAGTCCACCCAAAAGGAAAACTTTAGAACGCATCAGAAACACTCAATATGAAGTCGAGGTGGCCCACCTAGCGACGAACAAGAGTTGTAAGGCAAACGGAGCGCGACATGCCCACCTGTCTGAACGCTCTCCAAATCCTTTGACCGCTGCATTTGAGAGTAATTGCCCGACAACTATACCCAAGTTGATTCCTGCAGTCGTGATACCACGAAGTGAAACGGGGCTTACTTCTGAGCAGTAGAGAGGGCCAACAGTCAGGTATGCTCCCAAGCCAACACCAAGAATCAATTTGCTGATCAGGAAAGCTGGTCTCGTAGCTGCGAATAGCTGTCCAATGATGCCACCACTGCAAATCAAGACACCAGTTGCCAAAGAACCTCGGCGACCCAGCCTATCAGACAGCCATCCAAAAACGAACCCTCCAACGAATTGCCCGACAGCCGAGATGATGTTAAAGGCACTCTGCCAGTCCGCAGGTATGACATACTGGCCTTCGAAGAGGTATCTAGACACACGTCAGTTGACGCTCTGGTCACAACGGAACCTCGCAATCGAACTATACCCAAAATCTCTACGGAATGCTGGGACAGATATCATGGCTCCGTTTACTTGGGCGTCAAATCCCCTGGACAGTCAAGTCAGCAAGTATTCTTGTATTCGATATGTATTACATACCAGCCAATTACACTCATGGCAAAAAAGAAAGCCCACCAGAGCACAGCGCCGTTGCCTTGAATTGTCTCTCGAATTGAGATGGTGGCCGGCTCTACAGGTGACGTCGTCTTAGCATACCCATGGTGAACAGAAGCATTATCTTGCTTCTTCTCGTTGATGGAGGACATGACGAAAATGTGTATTGAGTCAACGGTGCTGACTTCTCGATCTTGATGTTGTAGCTGGATGAGTAGTGCCGGTTAAGCAGTGTCTGGATGCTCTTGAGGACCTGGGTAAGAATTTCATCTTCGTGGACAGTCCATCTCTATATATACTTTACCACGTCGTGAAATCAATATTCATTTTTGCTTTGGTATGAGCCGATGCTTCTCTGAAGACGCCACAATACCCGGGGTTATGGTTCGAACAAGAACTGGTTGACAGGTCCCAGCTGCAGGATAGATCTGGGGAAAAGTCTACTCCCCAGTCACTTGGGAAAATGGGGGACCCAAACACCCCAAACCCCATACCCCAACGAAGCCTAGAAGTTCGGTTCCTGGCCACTCAGTGCAGAATGTGGCTCAGCGGACATATGTACGAGCGATATTCCGCGAGGTGTGGGGTGTCCTCAAAAGTTGTACCATTAGCCAGGGTCTCTTTGGAGAGCTGCCCAGACCTGGCTAGTTACTATACGATCACGACCTCCTGACCCGACTTCAAGTCAGGAATTGTTCGTGCAGCTTAAAGAACGAGACTCCGCGCCAATTCATGTCCGTTCTCGTCTCCCCGATAGCCACTCTCCAACACGCGAGCCCAGCCTCAAGGACGACACTCCGCGTACACCATTTGATTCAATAATTGCTCATATAATCCGGGCTTCTTATCACTTATGTCGGCATCGCCGTCTGATGGAATTCGCAAACGTCCCGCTCCTCGCGGAACTGCTGCATACCCTCGGAAACGTGCGAACAAAGCTTGTCAAGTGTGTCGTGCCCGAAGAACGAAATGTGACAACAAGCGGCCGCAATGTGGATTTTGTGAGAAGGCTGGAACGACATGTACCTGGTCTCCTTAGGATCTATCATCGTAGGTTTTCATTCTCTGTGTATTTTGGTTCAGTAGTATGTGCCCGAGTTCGGGGTTCGAGCATTCGTCTCAGTCATGTTATTTAGTCTATCGAGTACATTACAACATTAATTACTTGCATTCACTCATGTATCAGGGGATTCTGAGTCTCAGGCGCGCTCCTGCCATTGTATGGCTAATCTATTTGCAGATTCGATCCTGCGAGTCTTGCTATACTAGAACGCTTCGACCGGTTGGAGGCGTTGCTCTTTTCAAAAGACAGGACATCTCCATCCGATCAGCAAACTTCGCCTGAGACAGTAACGGTACCATCCCCAACACAACGAGAGATTGAGAGTCGGTTAGGTTGCGTCCAAAGCTCTCTCATCGACGTCCGACTTGAAGCCGTCTTGCAATGAGAACCCATTCAGCAACTAGTCAACTCAGTCGTCCATCCAAGATGGTCTGCACTCCAGTTACCTCCCAACAGCAACCTGGAAGCTTATCTGATGAATTCAGTATGAGTATTTGCAACGCTTTATTAGAAAATTTCTGGAGAGGGGTCCATTCCAAAAATCCTATTTTGAACAAGGAGGACATTAGAAGGCTCATGCAGCAAGTGTGTCTAGATGGCATTAGCTGGGATGCCCAGTCATGCCTTGTGGTCAGTATTTATTACAGCTCATGTACTGCGAAATGTTTTTGACAAGCCTCGAAGCTTTTAATTCTTGCTCTGGGTACATTGGCCACAGACTTTGGACCAACTTCACCCGGCCAAGTAGAGGAGCGCGATCTCAAGGCAAGCGATCAGCGTAGGGTTGCACAAGCGCAGCCGTATTTTGCTGCATCCCAGAAGCGTCTTGGAGTATGTCTTGGGAAGAGAGGTATATTGGAGGCGCAATGCTTCTTCTATTGTGGCGTTTACTTTTCTACAATGATGCAGCCAGAGGCAGCCTGGTCTATGTTTTTGCAGGCGCTGTCATTTTGTCAAAGGTTCCGCTGTCTCGCCGAAGCGGGCATGGACGTGAGATCGTCCTCTCCTCCCGAATATGAGTTGGACGGTGTGACCGTGGCAGAGGAAAGTACTTACTGGACGTGCTTGAAGTCCGAAATGTAGGCACATCCACTCAGATGCATCTAACAACGGCTAACTTTCGTGAAGTGAGAGTCACTGAGATGTTAGCCCTCCAGGATTTCGTACCATTGACTTGTGGAATCCTCGAAAGTTTCCCAGACCCTCCACGCAATTCTATCCCAGACACGGATCGATCATGGTTCTTCTACCTTGCTGAAATTGCTCTTCGGAGGCTTGCCAATCGAATCATGGCATTCATCTCCAAAAGCTTAGACTTGAGTACCCCTCGAGGAATACAAATCGCGTATGATAGTGCTGCTGAATTCGAGCAAGAAGCACAAGACTGGTAAGCCTCGAATTTTGGTTGCCACCAGAGAAGCCGAGTGCTGATCCTCGTAATTTCAGGATCCAGTCGTTGCCTTCTCCCAACGAGTTAGAAAGATATCAAGATGACGTCTTGAACTTCATCCTCAAAGGACATCTTCTGAATTGTTACGAGCTAATGTACTGGCCTTTCGTGAAGCATGCAATAAATGGAGGTCAACGGGACTTGGCAAGTGATGACTACGTTAAGAAGGGACTCCAAATCGCTGCCGATCGTAATGAGATTAATCAGCCAGGCTTTAAGCATAGACATCATGGGACATATGGTATGATTAGGAGCGTTACGAGGAGCACTTTTGTCCTCCTTGCTGCTCGTCAGAGTTCCCGATTGCAGGATTTTATGCCAGTGGATTGGTTCGACTTACTGCCTAGTGTTGATCATTTGCTGGAGTTCTGGGAGGACGAAATACCCGCCGCCTTTACTTGGAGGGGTATGAGGAAGTTACTAGTTGAGCAAGCACGGAATTGACAATTGAAGTTCTGAGATTTACAGCCAGCTACCTGAATGCTGAAAGCTGGAACGTCTAGGCTCTCAGGAGAAGAACGGTCTGAGATGAAGCACTGTTCGCGCCACTTCCGTTTATTCCACTCTCTGTTTCCATAGAGCACATGGCACTAGACAAAAATCCAACTGGTATCTTCCTTCCGTTTAAATTTGAATATCCTGTATGCTCGCAAGAAGATGCACCATGGAACATGAGATATGACACATGCCTGAGGAATGTTGAGGAAAACCGTGTTGAGCCTAACTTAAAACCTCTCGTCACCCTAGATTCAATGGCCAAGAGGAAATCCTCAGCAGTTCGTAACCCTCGTAAGTCGAGTACACGAGATGGGATGGTTTTATACATGTCCATACTTGTACAAAATATATTATACAATTCCTCCTATTTCTACCACAACTTATTGTCTCCACCAACTGCTGCCTTTCCGGCCTTCTTGGCCTTCCTCTTTGTTCCGGTACCCGGTGTCTTGAAGAATAAACTGGGGCCATGTCCCTCTTCCACCAGATGGCTCAGATAACCTCTTTTGTTCGAATCTCTGTAGTATTCCAAGTCTTTTCGACTCGTTGGATCAGGGAGACGATACGAGAATGGAGCTGAGGACCGAACCGCAGAGAGAATTGGAGATTCTTCCTCAGTGGGAGGAGGTGTCATGGCAAGAGGAGTGAAGCTCGATTCCGACTCGCCCCTTAAAATCCTTTTGATGGAGGGTTTGGTGTAATATCTCGTGGTGACCTTGCCTCCGGCTGCCTCGACAGCTTCAATAGCCGCAGCTGAAGCTCGTGATACCAAAATGTTGATTGGCGTCTTCAGGTCCTCCTTGCCTCTCGCTAGGAGCTTCACTCCATCCTTAATACCGTGTAAACAACGCGTTTCAACCAGTTCCTTCAAGGTAATGGGCTGGGTCGGGTCCAGGCGGCCTTGGTCTATCCATTCTTGTATCTTATTGAGATTGATCGGGGACATCTCAACAGAGAATCTAGATTCATTGACTTAGCATTCCTTGCGTTTCCATTTTCAAATTCAATACGAACCTGTTCTCGAAGCCCCTGATTCCTTGGACAATCTCCTGAGGCGTCTGACCACCCTGAAATCGTGCTGGCACCTTTCCATGCGCCTTCTGACCCTTATGACCTCTTCCTGAGGTTTTTCCCTTCCCTGACGATGGACCACGACCACGGCGGATACGCTTGTTGTATGCTCCTTGGTTGTCTGACAGGCTGCCTAGAATAGAAGCATTTCGTGCCTGCATGAACGGCAGCAGAAACGCCGACAAGGGCTGCGCAGAGGTGGGCGCTGCCCGACAGTACGCCGAGAGCGCAGGTAATCGTGGAGGCATTGTATTTGTCGATGTTGATCTCGATCTCGGGGATTTTTATCATCTCAAGTTGAGGTCCAGAAAGCATGCCGCTAACAGCTAAGCAAGAGCGATCTGATTGGTGAATGCATTTGGACCCTGGTCGCTTCCTTGGCGAGGCTGCGAGGCTGCGACCTTCGTTACACCTTTGTTGACTTTCCAGCAAGCAAAACTTTGAGCAAGGATATTTCTCCCAAAATCCCTGGATTGGTACTGAGAGACTCCAAGTTTCTGAACCTCTATCCAAAAAGGTGACCCAACGACCATTTGCCAAGTTTTATGCTGGACATGCCATCCACTACAGGACAGCCTTTGGAAGCCAACCAGCAGTGGTAAATTCCTGTGCGCAGTTCGGTATGGACAAACGGAATCTCCTTCTACTTTCGACGTTTGTCGGAGTTGCATTTCTCATTACAAACTTTCTTCTCATCTCTGGGTCGGACCTGCGAACCACAATCCAGAGCATAGCTCTACGTCCTATCACTCCAAGCAGATGGCCAGGGCAAAGCAGTGCTCATGGGTATGAGGTAAAATCGCAGATCAGCACAGTTTAGATACACTGCTCGTGCTAATGAGGCTATCTAGACTGTTGAGTGGCACCAGGATAAAGAATATTTCGAGCACCACGCAGGAGTCCAGGACAATCACCCAATATCCACTCTTATGAGAGATGCCAATGAAGCTTGGAGACTATACGACAGTAGACGATCGAAAACTTTCAGAGAGACCGTAAAAAGCTATCGGAAAAGCTATAAAAGGAATCCTCCTCCTGGATTCAAGGAATGGTACAAGTTCGCCCGCGAACGAGGAGTCCATAACATCGACGACTTCGGGCAGATAATGGATGATTTGAGACCGTTCTGGGGAGTCGAACCGGCAATGCTACGAAAAGCCGCTGGAATAATGCACGAAGATCCAAGGAACGGAATATCAGGACTGCACATACGAGAACACAAGATCTGGAAATTGACAAACGCAAACTGGCGAGTAGAGACGTTTGCAAAAATTGTGAAGCAATTCGTGGAATTCCTGCCAGATATGGATATTTCAATAAATCGACTCGACCAGCCACGGGTGGTAGTTCCATGGGACAACATGCAAGAACTGTTATCACTTGAAGCTGCGAGTAGGCAAATTTTCCCAGAAGCTACATCTCAATGGTCCAAGAATATGACAGGATTTCTCAAGGAAAACGAAACTTCCAATATGCAAGTGGATCCGAAATTCTTTGATGCTGCTGGGAAGAGTTTCATACCAGTCATTAGAGAAGCCTGCCCACCGGATTCTCGAGCGAGGAACCAGACTGTGAGTCTCGGAGAAGCAGGGTACCGGGACAACTATGGCTTCGTGACTAACTTCAATCGTTCTTCTGATCTTTGTGTTGTTGGTCCCGATATTCAACACAAACATGGACTTTTGTTTGCTCCGAGTTCAATGATGGTCAGCAAGCAACTTCTTCCTATTTTCGGAGAGTGCAAAGTCAATATCAACAGCGACATCTTGTTCCCCGCAAATATGTATTACATGGACGATGAAAGATACCTGTATGACCCTAAGTTCGACTATGATTGGGATGACAAGAAAGACACCCTGATGTGGAGAGGAGTAACTTCTGGTGGTACGAACACTGCCGAAAATTGGCAGAGTATGCATCGCCAGCGTCTTGTTCTCTTCACCAACGGCACCTATATGGCCAATAAGGAAGCACGGGTTCTTAGCGAAGATCCTGATCTCAAAGGCGCTTACCATATGTTCAACCACTTCAATATAAGCGACTTTTCCGCAAGACATACGGATGTTGGATTTACAGGTGCTATCGCATGTATACCAGATTGCACATTTTACGACACTCTAATTTCCTTCAAAAACGTCACGACATTAGCGGAACAATTCTTGTCAAAGTTTCTCATTGATGTCGATGGGCACTCCTTTTCCGGTAGATGGCATGCCTTCCTGAAAAGCAAAAGTCTGGGAATCAAGAGTACAATTTTCAGGGAATGGCACGACTCGAGACTTTTCGCTTGGAGACACTTTGTCCCTCTTGATAATGGATACGAGGAGTTATACAGCATCTTAGCTTATTTCATTGGCATTGGATCTGTATCTGAAGCTCTCCAAGACGGGCACCTATACGTTCCTAGGCATGACTTTGAGGCTCGTAAGCTTGGGCGTCAAGGACGACAATGGGCAGAAAAGGTTTTGAGACGAGAGGATATTGAGGTTAGTTCTCCCATCACAGCACTACAATTCAGAGTTCTGATACCACCTCCAAGATCTATACTTTTCGTCTACTAATCGAGTACGCCCGAGTCATCGATGACAATAGACATGCGCTAGGGTACTCGGGTGATGGCAGTGAATTGGATAAATTTGACACGAAGCACCCCTTTACTTGAATATTGCTCAGGAATCCTTACTCGCAGATTGAGGCACGGGTGTGGGGAATACTTCAGTCAATATATGTGGTATTGGGGGCGACCAAAAATGGTTCTTTGTCTATCAAGGAATACACACAATGCCTGTACTTGTCTTAAACTTGCATAACATACTGCGCCAAAAACAATTTCTGGAGATTGGGGTCATTCAGGCTCTCCCTTGCCGGTACTACCCCTAGAGTCTTTGATTGTCAGAAAAACATAGCATAATTTGCTACATGGTCATTCCAATGTCAGAATACATCCTCTCACTAGTGGACTATTCTCTCTTCTGTTTAAGACCGCAGGAAATTCTCGAACCACTGGGCTGAGGCTGGCAACATCTACTTATGGCGATCAATAATGAATGAGACGTGATGGCGAGCTTCCACTCTAACGCTCAAGTCCAGGGTTGACCTGAAATTGAACACCACTGACTGTTTTTGAACTGTACATTCACGCTTACGCTGGCTGTTCAGTCCGGACTGTATGGCATCGCTTTCCGAGTCGCTCGGCCCAATCTTATTCTGCGATTCGCTTAGTGTCAGATGTCAACAGTCAACACAAAACTCGAGGAATGTCGAACTCTAGAGGGAGCAAAGGTAAAAATTAGTAGAATTGCATCCCATACTCATTTCCAAAGACAATGAAGCACAAGGCTCGATCAACATTGATGGGTATGTATCGTCCCTAGCGTCTCGCTTGGACCTAGAGCGGCGAAAGTCTGCCTGAGACGCCATTGTGACAGCTTGGCCTGGCTTAACTGGCAGAACGCTAACTGGTAATTCTCCTTGTCAATAATTTGGATCTATTTCTCACTGGTTAATGCCTTTTTTCGGTTGATGAAACCCTGTAGATGGAAGCATAAAATGATATAACGAACCCCAAGAATATGAAACTTGGCATTTGTCGTGAAAATCATTGTCACGGGAAAATGTTTGTCGGTACATCTGCTCATAGACAATTGAAGGTGTCGAATAACTGTTGTGACCTTTTCCAGAAACTAGGAATGGCTGTATTCTAGTAGCATTGTAGTACGATTCCGTTTGCCCAGTTATATGTTTGTTGTGTACCCCTTTTATTAAGCGAGAGTGTCTGTTTGGCAGCAAGGTGAGGACAAAATTCCAACGTCACAACATGGCTCCTAGAAATGCAAGTGTGCACTACCAGGCGATTAAGAGTAGTTTTAAGACACGAGTAATACCCTTACCATGAGCCAAGAGGCGCGAATGTGCAAATGGACAGTGTGTTTGTATTCAACATAATGGGGAATCGTAATAGTAAAAGTAGGCAGACTTGAAGGCTAGCAAAAGTTGTACGGAGAAGTCATTTAGAAGCAGGTCAAGTCATGTATAGGCATGAAGAAGACTTCAATTGAGGATATCCAGAATCGTACATTGCTCTGTTACCAGTACTTTTATTGACGTGCCGTACGCCACCCACTCCAAAGTGGTCTAAGGAGATGGTTGGTATACTTTCAAGTTACTAGACTTTGCTACTTCTAGTCGATCAGAATTTGTGTATACTGAGGGCAACATATGCTGAATAGAGCCGCCTGTCGAGGCATCTTGTGAAGTCTGGAGGGGTTGTCTGATATACCTCTAACACCCGAATGCCGCTCCGGACTTTATATAAGGAACATCTGCTGCAACGGTCTTGAAACACATTACAAAAATAAGATCTTCTAACGAAGAGCTCGCGGTAGGGAAGAAGCCAGAGGAACGATTTTGCAAGTACGGAGAATATCAGTTTCGACGCCCAGGCACCGTAGAGAAATGCAATTTGGTGAGCGCTTGCAGATGATTCCTCTTTCTCTCTTACGTCTATCTCGTGTTAGTAGTACATGCGGCTGTGTACGAGCAAGGACACAGCCTCATTTACAGACCAGTTCCATATGCAACTACTCGAGTAATCCAAGCATACGACAGAAGCCTCTTCCACGATAGAATTTTCAAGGGACCCAAACTCGTGACGAGTAAACAACCAATAGAAGCTCACAATACACACGCGGAGATACTTTCCGGTCTCTCAGATAGACTTTGGGCTGTTCAAGAATGTAAGATGCCACACAGCTTTAGCTCAGACTATAATCTACCAACTACCAATTATTCTCAGGCTTGTACACATGCTCGCAGTCTCGCAACGAGGAAGAAACATTTTTTTTTGATCGATCCACTAAGGGTTAGATCCCGAGGTTGGACTTTCAAACCATCCTTCGGCCGATCCAACGGCTGGAATTCAAGATCAAAGCACTGAAACGATGGATGGATACAAACCACCCGGTACCCACCGATGGGATCCGACTTCAGCCCAGGAACGCAATAGTAGAAGCGGGAGAGTAAGTGGAAGATGGGGGAGTTGGGGGAGATGGGGAAGCCGGGGAAGAGTTTTCATACTGCGTCTCAACAAAGAGGGAGGCGAAAAAGTGACATTCGAAGACGAAAGAGGAAAGAAGGAAGGCAAAAATAAAAGGTAAGTAGACAAATTCTCGTGCCATGCCATAAGCAGGAGGTTTGCCGCTGGAACTTACAGCGTTCGTCATCCTCCAGTTGGTGGATACGTCGATACGGCTCTGGAGAATGCGCCATTTCGTAAAGCTGCATGTTCCGTCGCCGCCGATCCCCCACCACCAGCGTGTTTTGGTCCCCTAGATTTTCCCTCGCCAAATAAAATGGCTTGCGAATGACCCAGCCTGATCTGTTAGATCGTGAGCTTGCCGTCATCGCTCAGCTGTTTGGCTGTCTTGCGAATGTTCGGTTGCTTGGCTTGGAGTGCGACAAGAGCTTGCTTGCCTGGCTATGTTGTTTGCAGCTTGGGTTTCGAGATTTGAGTTTAGCTAGACGCTGATGTGCGTGGCGGGCGACGCAACGGGCAGGCGAGTATGCGTTTTACTTTGTAGGAGTCTGGGATGGGGATTTCTTTTTAGCTAGAGAAAAAATCTAGAGATAATCAATAAAAGGATCGAGACGATTGCGGGAGGAAAGTTGGGTATGGCGGGGTGTAAACATTTCTGCTTGATGAATACAGAACAAAAATAATGGATGATGACGACGACGAAGATTGGCACAGAGAGAAGTTGACCGGAAATAAATTGAAATCCATCCCGATCACCACGTTTGTGGCTTGCAGTTTGGCTATGATGAGTATTTTCTTCATAAGCAGGATGGGAATGGATGAACCTGGTTCTCTCGCCTGCACTCCTGGGAGCATCGGATGTTATTTGGACTCGTTCGGGCTCGGTAAAACGAGTTGCGAGGGTAAAGGGGGGCAGATCCAGAGGCGATCGGCACGGTACTGTAGCGAAGAGAAACGGAACGGCTTGCTCGCTTTTTCGTCAATTGAAGCATGATGCTTTAGCTGCCGACTTAAGTGTCGAATTAGGATTTTCCTGTGCATGTGCTGCAATCCTGCCGAGCCTGCGTCTCTAAATCCAAGTGGTAAGTAGTCTCTGGTCCGGACTGCGTAGCCTGTGTACTATCGCAGGTCATCCGTATTACATGTCAAGGATTTGGGCATGGATCGTAGATGAAAGGAATGGGTCGATGGTACAGTATGATAATAGAAAGCATGTTTCATGGATGGAGTGTGATCCTTCCAGAAACCACGGTCAAACACTTACCCGAAACTCCTTAAAGTCGACCTTCCACCCTCGTGTTAAGACTCCAGAGCTTGATCAACGTTGTTCCCTACCGTCTTTCCATGGCCCATTTGTGCCAGATGCTGGATTCTTGCGATGGGATGAAGCACAGAAGTGCAAATCGGCAGGGTCGGGATCCAGGAAAAGTTGTTATATGGTACTGGTACCGGTACCTCCCAAGTACTAAGCCGTACCATAAGCAAGAGGGTTCGATCCTTCCGCCGCTTGAGAGTAATTGGAACTGATGGTCCTTCTTGTACATGACGAGCGTCCTCTGCGAACGAGTGGATATGTGAAAAAGGGGGCGTCAAGGAGAGCTGGTCTGCGAGGGAATCTGAGATGGATTTGGAAAACTATTGGTTTACGATTGGACTATTCTGAGTATGGTTTGCATCCGCCGGCCGTACCCTTTCTCCACAATCGAAGTCAGGAGGACTCGTTAGCTCCACACTGCTTCTGATAAGTCTGGGGTAAGAGGCTAATTAAATTGGCTGATATCCGGCATCCGGTTGCTTTAACCTGCTTCGATATAATGTCCGCAGACTGGCTTGGGCTTCACGCAGATCCGGGCTTTATGAAGAAAGCATGGGCGACCGTAAACTTTATTGCCTTTACCACAGCAGTGTTTGACATGTTGAGCCAGCTCAGAGCTGAAATATTTTGGACGATATGAAATTGGAAGCTTTCAACAAACAGCAGGAGCGGCATCTTGACTAATTTTGATCCTTCGTCCAGTGCAAGTGGATGCCAAGCATTGATAATAATTTGGTAACCAAGTTCGGCATGTTTTGGCAGCTTGATTCAACATCGCCAGATTGTCTTTAAATTACCTAAGTCAACAGGCAACAACGAGCGTGTGAGAAATTCACTGCTTCACTTGACAAGTCTATCTCATGGCCATGGATTCTTTGGTGGTTCTAGAGCAGGGCCACGTTCCGTAGGCTCAAGTCCAGGCCAAATGATATTCGTGTCTTTAGATGTGATGGATCTATCGAGAGATCTCGATCCATGAACCTTCAGCCGAAACGAAGAGGAGAAATCGCTTCGGCTCCTGGTCCTGTCAATCGATGCAGGTGGACGTTGATGGACGGTTGATGGACGTCGCTACGGACAGAAAACCACGTCATTTTAGATACTGTGGACGAGATGGGACGGCAGTCTAGGTATGTGGTCTGGCTCTAGCTCTAGCATCTGGGCCCTGGCGGAAAAGTGAGGGTGAGGGTGAGGGTGAGGGTGAGGGTGAGGGCGAAGGCGAAGGCGATGTCTATACGCCGTCATCGAGAACATCGAGGATGTCGAGAAGCAGCAGTACAGTACAGTACAAACGCAGTCTGATCGGCTTCTCACCATGCTAATGTTAATAAGAATGTGGTGCAGCACGGCATGCCAGGTGGAAAAGATCCGCGCCTCAAGGACAGACCACGGAGCACGGTGGCTTGCCAAAGTCTGGGGAAATGACAGGGTTGGAGCTCAGAAGATGCACGCAGGGGCCAGGGGCCAGGGCTCAGACGCCCGGGATCTGGCTCTCTGACCACGAGCCTGATTGGGCATGCCGACAACGGGCGATTATTATTGGGACAGGGCCGCAGGCTTGCGCGTGCAGGGGAAAGCGTGCAGCTCTAAACGTTTTCTGCATCGGCGATGGACAGGGTCAAAATGGGCTGGCACCGCACTTGCAGCCAGCTACTACAGTACTACTTCGTACCTTTCGTACCTACTACTGGTACAGTACAGCTATTTCCGAGTTGTCGAGGCGGCCTTGGCCACGCTAGGCGCTAGGCCGGGCGCCGAAAGGCAGTTTGACTTGAGCTTGAGCCATGAATGAGCATGAGGCTTTTCCGCAGAACAATAATGATGCAGTTCGTGTGGATACAAGTATGAGGCCTATTTGCATTTGCTAGGTGTACGGTACAGTACTGTCTTCTCTAGACCTACTCGAGTCGAGTATGCCAGCCTTGCCAGCCTCCCTAAGCTTAGCGAATCTACGCCCCAGCTAAATTGTCCTACTCCTATCTCCTACCTTACCTTGCCCTTACCTACCTAGCCCTTACCTACCTAGCCCTACTCGCTCGATGGCTTCACACTTCAAGGTAAGGTCGGGAGGAAATCGCAACTTATAGTAGGTACGTTCAGGTACCCCCACTGCAGAACAATTTCTGCTCACCTTCGCAGTCCTCTCACCATCTCGTCGCCTCATCGCTGTTGCAGTGTTTCCTCGTCCTCTGCCCAGAAAAATTGACGAGGTGACATGGGTGTGCTCGATGCCTCCGTCAGTTCAGTCAGTCTCTTGGCTGGTCCTGACTTTGTTTGGTGGCGCCAACGATCCCTGCCGAGCCCTTGCAATGCACATCACCTGAACAGCAGAACTCTTCACGAACGGATCCGACGGAGTCTGGCAAGCATCGCGCGCCGAATCAAGCGCTGCACTGCGTGCCCTGTCCTGTCCTGCTGCACAGATTCCACTCCACTCCCAGCTGCATGGCCATTCTGGAAAAACTGCTTCACAGCGAATTGGAAGGCATGGCTGAGAAATGCCTCTTATCATTGTCGTCATAAAGTAAGGTACCGCTGTGCCTCGACTCTCGAGCTTGCCAAGTGTGTAAGACCCTGGCGGGAGCTGCAGCTGCTCTGGCCGAGGTTTCTCTTATCGCTCCCCCCTGGTCCCTCCCCGATGGCTATCGAGATTGAAAGAGAAGCGTGGGCCACGACCACGACCTGGCTGTGTGCTCTCTGATAGTGATACTGTAGCACGCGGGGGATAACGATCATACACAATCAGTGCGGAGATAGAGTTCCAGGAGAAGGGCAACCAAAGGAGATTACCTCCGTTGACTGTGACTGCAATAATACAATATATAAAGGAGACCTGCTACTGGCGCGTGGATCGGATCGCCTAGACAGTGCAGATGTCAAACGGATAGGCAAACCTTGATACTCGTACTAGGTGGATACTTCTCCAGCTGATATCTACGGGTCTTTTCTGTGATGTGACTCTTCTTGACGATGCGAGTTTTGTCAGGTGTCCAGACCGAGATCGATACTTCGGCTCTGCGGAACCCTTCCACATACATGGTATGGTGCAGGAAGAGGTGGATACAAGAGTTGCACTGCCAGAAGCCAGCGTTTGAGAGAACTCTAGATGCACCGTGTCGGCTGAGCTGTAGCCAATTGACGAGGTCGTTTGAGAGAGATGCCGGACTTGGCTATCCACCTCTGCAGCATTCACATACAGCACTCGGAGCATACTCGTAGGAAATGCATCGCAAGGGAATCTACCCTGGCTACCTGGGTCTGCACAATCTGATTTACTCCCCGAGAGTGACATCCAAATATGCCGCGATACCTGCCAGACCAGGAACCAGGAAGGAAGGCTCTTAAAAGCAGGAGAAAAAAGGATGGAAACAACCGTTGGTAGCGTTGTGTGACCGGAACAACGGAGATGGCGAGTGAGCGACGAGCGTGACCGATGGATTATTCTTTCCTATGAACCATAACTTACAGTACAATGCGGCAACCATTGCCAATTGCAATCCGCTCTGCAGGATGCATGCAGAGTCGATGGGGCTTGACCCTCCAGCCTTCATCTCGGTATAACTGCGCTGCATCGTACATACAGTCCGGGTGGTTCGTACAAGACAGTAATCTACAGCGTTCCCGATAGTGCGTGGGACAGGCCGACGCGTACGGTAGATAGATATTAATAAAAATGCTCGAGCCGGGGCCCGATTTAGCAGCGGCAGTCTCTCTTGGACTCTTAAATAGAGTGCCCACCATACACGGAGGCTTCCCTGAATTGCCTCTTCACTCGGGATGTCGTCTCATCTGGGAAGGTTTGGCTGGGCTGCACTGCGCTGCAGCGATGGGTTTGATTTTGGTTTGACCCTCACTCCTGCTGCAGAGCTTGATTGCAGGTCAGGCCAGCGACGCTCGTCGTCCTACAGTGTGCCCTGCAATTGCAAATAACCAGCCTCCTCGATTTGAGTTGTCGAGGTTGCGTTGTGCAGATATGCTGTATTTCGTTGTAGCCAGCTGATATGCTGAGAACATTCCGGATACATAGGCTGGATATAAATTACATTACTTGTCCGTGTAGCTGTTCTAGCTTCCACAAGCCCTGATTATTGCAGCTAAAGCCTAGCAGCTTCCTTGAAGAAGCCTAACTCCATAGGTTTGGGTTGTAAGAAGTTTCTTGCGTCAATCACTCGAACATATGAGGGAATTAGTACCTGTTCCATACCAGGCTCTCGAATCCTGCTTGCCTGCAGTATTGCGTCTGCTCTGCCTGTGGCTAGACGGGAGCATTCATTGACTAGCTAGCTACCCGCCTGCACGAGATACGCAAAGCAGAGAAGTGCACATGTTCTAGGTAGTCAACATATTATTCCCAGCCGTAGCTTGACTCTATCCCATTCTCATCCACCGTCGCGAGATCGATCCACAACTGCTGGTTTTGCTAATCCGTATCAGACAAGGTGCGCGGCGTGCCCCTGTTCAAGAGCGTCTCAGGATTGGTGAGCCCTCTTTCTGTGCCAATCAGAGGCGAACGGTGGAGGGATGTGCATAGCTGCCGTCTGTATCTTGGTCAGAAAAGCGTCTCCGGCCTGAGCCTGGGCTGCGCGCCTTTCTCGTCCTGGGATGGCCTGCACGCTTCCCCATAAATTCAAACGCCCCTAGCTACTGTAGCGGCTCGACAGGGACAGGGACAAGGTCAGGGACAGGGTCAGGCCAGCACTGAAAGCGAGCAGCCCTCACTCGCCTCGCCAGTCCGGCCTCTCACCTGTCACCTCTCACCTCTCATCTCTCTTCCCCAACCATGCCATCCATGCCCGCTCCATCCCACCACCGCCAGGTCCTGTCCTCCGACCTCTCTCGCGCTCACAGCTGTCCGTCTCTCTCTCTCTCTCCAGTTTCGGCCACAACTAGCTGCCACTGCATTTCGACGGCGTTAACAAGTTAACGTTCTCGTCGACCTGAGTGACTTGACTGGACTCCACAGCCACACCTGTTTGCTTGGTCTTTCTTCTGCCCTTTCTCTTGCCGTGCCTTCTTGTGCAACCTCTCGTCGTCCTGGACAAAGGTCAACATCAACAACAATACCAGACCTGCCAATTTCTCTCGAGCCTCTGTGACGGCTTCAGGTTGTAGCAGCTCCAAGTCGAACCACGCCCTAAACGAAATCACTCTCCAGATCAGCCCTTGCCGGCCTCACTCGATCGAGCGGAATTCCCACCTTTCTAAGAGCATCGGAGTTGATTCGGCTAAAGCTGGCAAAGGCGATTGACTGAATTGTGTGGTTGCATCAGACCTTGTGGATTCCCTCCTGCACCTCGTCGCTGCAAGCCCGGCCTGCAAGTTCCCAGTAACGGATCCATCTGTCGTTGGCCATTGGAAAGCCGTAAGTGTGAACCGACCATTCTCACCCTACTATTGCCACGATCGCTCTGCTTCCACGCCAGGAACACCAGAAGAAGTTGTTGAGAGACCTTCACATAGTATGCCAACTCGGAACGTGTGGACCTCGCTCGCACACTCCTCTCTCTCCTCCGCGACTTCCTCACTCGACGATGCTGAATGAAGCAACAATTCAAGAACAACAGCCTCTTGTCATGCCCGCCGCAACGTCATCCGCCAGTGCAGGAGCCAATAGTGGGCTGAATAATGGAGAAAATGGTATGTGATCAAGGACGCACACTTCGACCTCACAGTTTACTTTTCAGAATCGAGACGAGGGCATTACCATTTTACTGTCCTACGCACCCAGTGTTAGTACTAATTCGCTCCACAGGTAGTAATGGAACCTCCAAAACTGCCAACAACTTTCCCCCACCAAAGACCGATAAACCCAGACCGCACGTATGCGGTACCTGTTCACGATCCTTCGCTCGATTAGAGCATCTCAAACGCCATGAACGTTCCCACACAAAAGAAAAACCATTCGAATGCCCTGAATGTGCAAGATGTTTTGCCCGGCGAGATCTGTTACTACGACACCAGCAGAAACTACATATGACAACGACTCCTTCCTCAAGACCGAGAAATCGAAGAGAAAGTGCTGCGAGCAGCACCGCAGGTCCGGGAAGAGTACGAAAAGGATCTGTCGCCAACAGCGGGCATGGGCCGACCACTATGAGACCAAGAGCGAATACCATCAGCCACGTTGACGGAGCTCATATGCAATTAATGGCCGCTGCAAATGTCAATGTCGCCCGTGGTGGAATTGCGCCGTCTCATAGCCGCCACCCCAGTCTCGCTGGCCTGCCAATGCAGAATGACTATCACTTCGGTGGAATGTCTACGGCTCTTGGTCAACGAGGCATCAATCATGGATTACCCAAACTGGAAACGCACAGCTTCAACAATATTGATTTCGGAGGTGGTCTGAGAACGGCACCGGCTGTTGGTGGATTTAACCCCGAGTTTGATTTTGAAGGGCTGTTGTTTGGACCAGGTTCAACAATTAATCCAAACGCACTCCACTACAGTGATTCTCCACAGTCAATGGCGATTGATGGTGCATCGCCATATCATCAAGCCTTTCCAGACATGTCAGCTAGCCAAACATTGGAGGAGAACTTTGACTGGATGAATGGTTTCCAACACCAAATGTCATTTCACGAGGGAAACGAGAATGCGATTGATGGATCATCACCATCTGCCATTAGCACGGCTAGTCAAAGCGGCATCAGCGAAGTCATGTTGGACGGATCTAACAATCCTGCAACATCCTCAGCGGCGATGTGGCAACAGTCAATGATGGCACCTCCTTTGATGACTCCCAACCCATTTGCCATGGATCTTGGTAACCAAGGTTTCCATGACTTACTGAATGGTGGCCCCATGTCCCCTCACAACCTCTCCCAAAAGCCAAATGATGCCTACTTCTCGACCCCACCACCCTCAATGAGCTCACTTAGCCCTTCTGTCATGCCAGGTATCACAGCCCAGGGCTTCCATCCACCAATGAACCTTGGACCAGAAACACCCATCTCCATGAGTGGTAGTATGCATTCAATACTTCCTCTTGCTTCGATCACGGATTCTACTCGTCAAGCTCTCCTGGCCGCACTTGCTCAGTGCGCACCTTTTGGCGGCCGGAAGTACATCTTCTCCGCAACTACCAGTTCACCATTGTCTCCTCATTTCCCTGGCCGATCAAACAGCATTAGTGATACCAGCCGGAATCTGCCTAGTAAGTTCAAATCTCCACCTTGTTTCTTCTTATGAAGACCAAAATTTGGTCTTCTCCCTCCAATTCCTCCACTTAGTTCTCAGTTTGTGCTGGCGCCTGCTGACTTTTCAAGGCACTCACGATCTCCAACGTTACATCGGGTCCTATATTCGTTATTTCCACCCCCATCTCCCGTTTCTCCATATCCCTACTCTTTCATTTGATGTCCCGGCTTATTCGAACGATGGTCGTGGAAATCCTGGATTGGTAGGAGGTCGCGGATGTCTCATCTTGTCAATGGCAGCAATTGGAGCTCTCTACGAGATGGAGCAGGTGCAATCGAAAGATCTCTTCGACTCAGCCAAGAAAATGATTCAACTGTACCTCGAGGAAAGACGGAAAGCCGATGTGAGGAAGGCCGATCATCGGAAAGCTGGTGTTGATCACGGCCCAAGACTTGCTGAGAACTCTGTCCACACACCAGTCTGGCTCGTCCAAGCTATGCTACTGAATGTCGTCTATGGCCATAATTGTGGAGACAAGACGGCCGGGGATATTGCAAGCACCCACTGTGCCGCTCTGGTCAGTCTCGCGCGAGCTGCTGAATTGCTCAAGCCCCATCCCGCACAGAGCCAAAATCAACAAGACGTCCACATGAGCGATGAGGGCATGTCAGATGAGTGGAACAATACTGGTATCAAGAGTGAAATGCCTGACGAGCAACAAGATTGGTACAACTGGAAGAACATGGAAGAGCGCAAGCGAACTCTCTATGCAGTCTTCATACTTTCAAGTCTGTTGGTCTCTGCTTACAATCACACGCCAGCTCTGACAAACTCGGAAATCATGTTGGATCTTCCATGTGACGAGGAATTTTGGACTGCTGAAACTGCCCAAAGTTTCTATGCCAAGGGTGGTGCCCGGATGGCTGATCACAATCAAGTCAGATTTCACGAAGCCTTAGGTGAACTTCTTCGTTCCAGCGAAAAGCAACAACAACAAATGGCTAATGGACAAGGATATGTTGAAGTCACCAGCGAGCTTCGGCCTAGTACCTTTGGTTGTCTTGTACTCATCAACGCTCTTCATAATTATATTTGGGAGACTCGCCAAAGACATCACAACAAGATCTGGACAAATGAGGAGACTGAGAAGATGCACCGGCACATCGAACCAGCGCTCAAAGCGTGGCAAGCTGCTTGGGCCAGTAATCCTCACCACAGCCTGGAGCGGCCTAATCCTTATGGATTTGGCCCTCTTTCTGCCGATAGCATCCCTCTTCTGGATCTTGCGTATGTCCGACTGTTTGTAAATCTGTCCCGGTCGAAGGAGAAGTTCTGGCAGCGTGATTGGGATGGAATGGCAGAGGAATTATCACGTGGAAGCGAAATCATTCAACATGCACAGCACTCTCCTGCGTCTAACTCGGAGTCAACAGAACCATCAGATAACTCCGCCACTAGTTCCATTTTCGTCGACTCTCCTCCCACCTCGACCTCCTCGCCAGAGTTCAAAGCTACCGGACTTCCTACCAATGGCAATCATGGAACCTCGCAGCCTGTCTCATCGTCGAAGCGAGAACGCCATCTCAGAAAAGCTGCTTTTTATGCCGCTGATTCACTCTCAATGTCTGACAAACTTGGTGTGACCTTTGCCGATTTTACATCCAGGGAGCTCCCATTGCAATCAGCCATGTGTGCATTTGACTGTGCCCAGGTCCTCGCCGAGTGGGTAGCGACGGTTCAGGAGCGTGTTGGGCGCTATCTAGGCATTTTAGGAAAGGACGACATTGACTTTGGCCAAGTCCCTGGCATTATGTTGCTGGAGGAAGAGGATTGCAAGCTACTTACCAAAGTTCAAGAAGTTCTCAACAGTGCTGAGATCAAGATGAACTACGAGCTTGCAAGTGTTGGAGCGGTCCCGCAAAGACTTCCAGGTGCTGACAACTGTGGCTACGGAGGCAAGATCTTGAAGGTGACGTCCTACATGCTAGACAGGGCCGCCATCTGGCCTGGTAAGTTGAAGGATTTTTGGGCACTGCAGGACGTCGCTAATTTGTAATACAGTTACACATCTCATGGCACGCAGTCTGGAGACCCAAGCCAATCACATGAGAGTGCGAGCAGAGGAATCGGTATCTCAACGTGAGTAGGGGCTTCAAACCTTCATCTCTCCTATGGAGCGACGACACAACAAAAACGAAGACGGGACTGGAAAAGTATACCCAAAAAGTATCTTTCTGTAAAAAGTACGACATTCGGAAGGAGGAGGCACATAAGCTCTCTCTATAACATTTCTTCTCACAGTACATATGGGCGGAAAGCTGTTCATTGAACTGGCATGGTTTTTTTGTAGCGGCTCTTGCCCTACTTCGAGGTTCTTACGGTCTACGATTCGCTCATGATACTTACGAAACCTCGATACGACACCACCGCTTTTCTTTTTGCACGACCAGAAGCACGCATAAATTCGACCCTAATCGCATTGACAACCATTTCTTTTCAGTGGCCACAGAGCCATAGTTTACCCATAAAATATACCATGTCATACATCCGGTCGTTTATCTTAAAAGACTTCTTCACTTCTCAACGACGAAGCCAATCATTGGTCTAGGGACATTGCCTTCTTCCCACTGGATTTTTGCGGGGGTTTTACTGGAGCTCTGCTACTTGCAAATGATTGAGTTGGTTTTAGTTTTGAATGTTACTGCTTTGGGTTGGGTGGATGGATCTTAGGGCACGACACGGCGTGTAGGGGGCTGTCTGATGCTTCTGCCTACGTCATGATGATCACGAAACAAGATGGGGTTGGCGAAAAATGGGGTGGTGTGCTGAGCGTCTTTAATCCGTGGGGGGAAAAAAGCAGAGGATGGAAGAGTTACGGGAAATGAATCATAAGCAAGCAAGCAAGCGACGTGCTGAAGGCTCAAGGACTTCAACACCTGCCTGCCTGACTTGCTGTTTGAATGGACGCGAATTGGGATGAATGGCCAGCGGGCCACATGGCGGGTTACGTCGGAAGAACCCAGGTACTTTGCCATGGTCTACTTTATCTACTTAGCTTGCCCAAGCAGTACAGTAAATAAATGAAAACGCAACCAGGCGCGATTTGCCATCCCAGCATCATCTGATCTGATCTGATATTCGTGCCTGTTGTAGCATACAACCTGCATGTCCATGCGTTTAATGTTAAAATTCAAAGGACACCAAAACAGCCATCAGTCATGTGCCGTTCCCAGTCTATTCTTCCATGCGAGCCGTCACTTTTCCCCAGCTTCGATTGCAGGATACAGCCGAGCAGCGAATGTCACTCTGTGGCTTGCACCTTGCTTGCTTGCCTTTATTCCACGCCTACCTACCTTCTTCCCTGGAAATGAAATGCGGCATACATACCTTGAGCCACATCACACACCTTTCGGTGCATCGGAATACCTGCGCCGCGCACCTGCATCACAGAGAGCAAGCAGAATGCTGCAGTAGCACCCGTCGTGCTTGCGAAAGACTCGAGAAGCAACAACTTGATCGTCTGGGAAGTTCCGAGACATTGGGGATGGGCTGCTATATTTTTTTTGGAGATCTCATTCGGCAGTGGGTTATTAGAGTGCTTTAGATGCCCTCGAAAAGGTTGGCTGCATGTGTAGAGTACATGTCTAGTCTACCTTCATACATATGCATAGGTACCCATGAGCATGAGCGGCATTGCATCCATTCCTTGCTGCAAGAGGCTGCTTGGAGAAGACGGCTTGAGCCTAATATATGTCTAGCATTCAGCTGAAGTACCGTTCTGTAATTCTACATCGTCACTACCTAAGGTATTTGAGGTATTTGGCATGTTTTGTGAGAGCACCTTTGTCGTGTATATGCATGTACTAGATAAAATGAAGCGTTTCAATAGGATCTAAGGAACGAGAGTTTGCCTTGATATTCTTGAGGCTTGCTGAAAATGTGGTGAGGTGGTGAACTGTCAGCAAGGCTGAAGAGGCTGCTGCATTCCCGCCTTGTGGCTGGCTGGGCTATTAGCGAGTAATGAGGGGTCATTTTAAGGCTCCTTTTCTCTTCTTTCCATTTCGGCATTGAGATCATTGGAAGATATTCCAGTACAAGCACTATTTAATTCGTTCACAGCTTCACGGAAAGCTTACTTGATATGCACTAAAGCTCGGCCGTGCCTTATTGTAGGGCTAGGACTTTGAAGCTTGTTTTTGCTTTTCTTGCTATTCATTTGCGTGTGTTGTTGGATGGCTCAAAAAGGAGGGGCAGCTGAGTGCGCAAAGGGTTTTGGAGTGGATGTTGGAGGGGCATGGCTTGCGTAAGGTGTCGGCTTTGGCGAATGTCATGCTGTACTGTGTTACACTACCTACCTTGATGCAAAATCACTCGTCAGCCTTCCATGTTCGCTGGGCGTAAGCTCAGCTGAAAGTGATGGACGGCGAGGTAAGACGAAAACAAGGCTTGTTTCACAGGAGACGGGCTTACTATTGGTTTCCTCAAGGCGAGGATGGTTGGGTGGGTGGTGTGGTGATCTATATAGAGAGTGGCTTGCCCTTTGGAGCCAAAAGTCGAATTGCTATTTCTTCTGTTATCTCGAGGTTCGAGTGGATTAGGAAAGAAGCGCGAAATCTACGTTGTGTATCTCGGACAAAGATATAAGATCAGACCGACAAGAGCTCCTTCCTCGAAAGTCAAACTTCGACAGCTTCACCTACTTTATTTGATATTCGTTCGATTGGATTTGGTCAAGAGCCGAGATCGGTTGATGACTTAAGAGAGAGGGTCAGCAGCTTGCTTCCACTTTATTCATTCTTTACCTACCTATTTATCTAATCAGGTTTTTCAAATGCTCACTCGAGTTTCTACCATCAGTCTACGACTCATCCACCCCAATTGCATTTCGGAGTACCAAGTGTCCACCACCATCAATCGAAGCGCTGGTCCGGTAGTACGTCGATTCTTCGGTATGAGTTCTACCAAGTCATCAAAGAGGCCGGTGGGCAGGAAATTTGTGATTGCTTGTGATGGTTAGTTACCCACGGTTCACATCATGATGACTTTGAGACTAACAATGGTCAGGAACGTGGCAGGTAAGCAACTCATTTGTGGAATACGTTGAACATGAGCTTATGGAACGAACAGAACAGTGACATGGGAGTTGATACCTCACCATTCTCACCACCCAAGACTCAAATCCCCACAAACGTAACCCGTATCGTCAGAGCACTCAACCACCACGACGAGAAAGGAATTACGCAAATCGCCTTCTATCAACGAGGAGTCGGTACCGACAACCTCGAAGATAAACTCGTTGGTGGTCTCACGGGGAACGACATTGGCGAACATATCCGAGAAGCCTATGCGTTCCTCGCCAACAACTTCAACCCAGAAACGCAAAAGGATCTCGATGATGAGACCAAGCCTCGAGACGAAATCGTGGTCTTGGGTTTCTCACGTGGAGCCTATACAGCTAGAGCCATCGCTTCGTTGATCAGTGATGTAGGGCTTCTTACGAAGATGGGGATGGAGAGCTTTTGGGCGATCTTTGGGGATTGGATGAAGCAGGATGTGGAGGGCGAGCAGAGCAAATGGTTTTTGGCGACATATCCAGAGGTTGCAAAGAAGTTTCAAGCTGCAAACGGGAAGAAAATAGGGTTTACCGACAAGGAGTACAGGGAGACCTTGATCAATGTAAGTTTCGTGACATGGCTTGATTGAAGCAGAAGTTGACATTATTAGGCTGGCTTGACGAGATGGGGAATGCCCGTCAGAGCTGTGGGTGTGTGGGATACTGTTGGTATGGTAGTAAAGCATTTACTCAGAGAACAAAGATGCTGATCATCAACCAGGTGCACTCGGTATCCCTCTACCCTGGAACAGCAAGAATGTCAAGCCTTTTTCATTCGTCAACACCAAGGTTGCACGAGCTGTCCAGCATGCATTTCACGCTCTAGCTATTGATGAGCACCGTAACCTCTTTACTCCAACCCTCTGGGAGCAGCCAAACGAGGGGTCAGGCCAGACAGTCAATCTCAAGGTCCTAAAGCAATGCTGGTTTCCCGGTCCTCACAGCAACGTCGGGGGCTCGTACCCAGACGCTGGTATTGCTAACATTACCCTTGCCTGGATGATTTCCCAGCTCGAAGACACCGACGGAGGCATCCTCTCCTTCAATCCCGATTACCTCGACTTCATCCAAGACCTCAACAGCAAATTCTACGAGAAAGAAAAAGAGGCCATTCGCCCTTGGGGCTTTGGCAAACTCTACGACTCATCCATGGTCACCGACGCTATCACGATGGCACAAGCCATGAAACCCATCATCAGAACCCCAGGCCGGTACCACCGTGTCAGCACCGAAGACGGAAAGCAGACCAGCATTCCATTGAAAGGAACGGGCGAGTGTATCCACCGCTGCGTTCGCGTGCGTATCGATGGAGGTGGGAAAGGACCAGAAGAAAATACTGACGATACAGTCTTGGAGAAGGCGTTCACGCTGATTAAGAAGGCGGCTGGCTTCCATCCTGACAATACTGAGGAGGCGAAATTCTACAACAGTCCTGGGTTGAAGAACTTTACTTTGGTAGAACCATCTGTTGTTAAATCTGCTAAGGATCCTGCTGGATCAGCGGCGGGTGTGTATTGGAAGGGGAAGGACGGGCTGGGGGATTTACCTGAAGATGGACTTGGGAAGACGGAGATTAGGTTGTTGAAGAGGAGTGTGGGTGTGAAGTAAACAAATTGTTAGGTGCGGTCAGGAGAGAAAGGGGAGATTTGCTCCAATCTTGATTCGCTTGTCCGGAACTTGTGTTGTTTGCTCAAGAATGGGGTAATGGAAATAAGCGAGGAGAAAGTGGGCGATTACACGATTTTCTTGCTTCTCGGACGTGGGAGGGTCGGAAGGCAATGTAACCCAGAAATTGAATGGAAACTCATGGCCTCTGTTCCCAATCCGTACTATACAACGTTTAGTCAATGATCTCTGTTCCTATAATTATTTTGTAATTCTAGGTACCCTACCTCCAATCTCTTGAGCAACCAGAGACCGAAAAATTGGTAGGTTGAGCCCTGTACCACACACCACGCCCTGAAGTTAGTGAACAACTTCTAATGAACAAGTCTCGCGGAGTGTGAGCTGAGTCCATACAGCAGGCACCTCTTTGGTCAAGCCATATCCATGCTTCCATAACTACCTTGGTTCGATGTACTGTACTTGCCGGAACATTACCACTGTGAGTTCGACATGAAACTATCCGTTTCGGCCATGGATATTAGGAAGCTTAGAGGAGCACGAGCAAAGATATTTCAAACATCGATAGCTGGGCGTGAGTGATGATGAGGTGTCATTAGGAAATCTATATTGTGATAGCTGGGAAAAAGTGGTACTAATCATTTTACGAAGGCACGACAACAGACAAGTGTGGCTACAGAAGGACTCGGTTCGAATGCCTTGTAGTTAAACTTGGTCTTTGAGTACTATATCGAACCATATGTACATAGCAGATTTAGAGTTAATCGTTCCTAAAGTTGTAGGGCCAAGTGTTTGAGAGGCATGCTTGTTGACACTATCTCTCGATTTTCTTCGTAGCATACATGACGAAAGCGTGGATAACGCATTGAAAAATAGGGGAAGGAATAAAGATATTGATAGGATTAGCTCTAATATGCAATGCAATCTATGTCTGTTACCAAGCTCTGCGCAGCAACTCTCCCACAAGGGAATAGCATCAAGGAAAGCCATTCATTCTACCCAAAACCCATGACCGCGCCATCATCTAACAAGATGGACCGCGAAGAACCTCCGAATAACACTTTGACCCATGCAATCATCCCAGTACACCCCGCCAAGTAACTCCAGTCGATTCTAGTACAATGTTTGCTCCTGTCAGTCTATGACACCGTCTCAACCTCAACATCCGCAGCTCCCTCACCCGCCTTCTTCTCTTCACCAGCCTTCGACTCCTGCGTATCAGCAGTCTTCCGTTTCTGTTCCTCTTCCTCGGCTACCATCTTCTCCAGAGCCCTCACATAGTCCGCTGCCAGCCTCTCATAGCTTGCTTGTAGCCCCCCTTTGATAAATCCCATCAGTGCCCTATTACTCCAAACCTTCCCAGTTTTCTCCAGCACGCAGCCCTCCCCTTCCGCAGCAGGATCTCGCACCACCCACGTAGTCACACTCTGGACGCCCATCGGCGCGTGCGTGATACTTATCATGCCATCCGCGGTGTGCTGTACGCTTGTCTGGTAGGTAAGCTCGTTGGGCACGAACCGCTTGATCCAGCTGCCTTTCCAGTGTCCGCCTTGTACCTCGTTTTCGTCGCTCGAAGATGTGCCTTGGTGCTCGGTGACGTGGAAAACGGGGAGGGTGGAGATGTCTCCAGGGATGGTGGGGGGCTTGTGGGCTGCTGGGACGGAGGAGTAGAACTGCGTCGAGGTTGAAGCTGGGAGGAGCGTGTATGTTATCTTGGAGGGGTTGAGGTCGAGCATGCCAGTGTCATTGTGGAGGAGGGAGAGTGCCTGTGCTTTCGTTATGTGTGGAGCGAGGGTTGTTTTGGTATTGACTTCGGTGGTTGCTGTGAGGACTTGCTTCTTATCAGTAACCTGCGGATGGAGTCGGAAATGTATAGCTTACAAGACATTGCTGAGGAGGGAGAGGAGAGGAGTTGATCAAGGAAGCTCCTGTAGCAGGACAGATATTCACGAGGAATAGGAAACGGACGAGTGAGTGATATTGAAATGAAGGAATCGTCGATAACCGAGCCTCAAAGGAATAGCAGGGTGCGAACCTCGAAATGATGTTTGATTTTATCGAATCGTATTCGAGTCCGCGAGGAAGGTCTGGGAAAAGAGAGGTATTTGGGAGGAATGCAGTGAAGTGAGAGCACAGAGTGTAGCTCGCGACACAGCTGAAACGACAGCGATTGGCAAATCGAGCGAGGCGCAGCCTGCAGTCTAAGAAAGTAAGAGAGTAAGATCGATAAAGTAAGATCGATAGGACCTGCCTGCCTATCTGTCTCTCTGTCCGTACCTACCGTAAGTACAACCAACATCTCTGCACTCGCAGATGCGGTTGCCGTTGCGGTTGCTGTTGCGAAACGAAAGACGGTCGAGATGGAAACAAACGGGGCAGGAGTGGAATGGGAATGGGAATGGTTGGATACTTATACTGTACTTATAATGCTGTTGCGGAGATTTCAGATGGCTGAAGCTTTCGCCAAGGTCGGAAATGTCTCCGGATTGGAAGCCGCAGAATGACGACAGAAGGCATAGGGCATTCAAGAGGGCATCTGAGAATCACCATCAAACGAGCAACAAGCAACAAGCAACAATATCAATAAAGATATTATATAAAATTGATGGGTGCCATGTCGAGCATGTCAAAAAGTCAGCGCCAGCTTGCGGGAGATGGACTTTGACGACCCCACGTCCACGCGAGAGCTCGAGCTCCACGTGAGGAGATGCACCATGCATGGCATCCAGAGATACCTAGGTATAAGTAGCTCGCTACGTTATGGCACTCGTATGGCGTAATGACGGTGACTCGTTCTCTCTTCCCCGGTAGGTAGGGAATTGCTTCAGGGACGACGAGGACGGGAATCCAAAGTTGGCAACGTTACATCTTTCCCTGTTGAGATTCGGACCGTTTTCTGGCACAGGTTCATGCACGATGTTGATCGCTTTTCTAGCTTCGATTGCCATCGCCAGACTCGCTTCTGGGATTTGGACACTGATACTGTACGGATGAAAACAAAGACCGCAAGCACGCTTGTTGACTTCTTTGCCTCGCATCGCATCGCTCTATAATACTCCCTCCCATGCTTCCCAGAGACTATCAGAGTACAGACGTAGCAGAATAATAACAGTCGCAACTCTTATTCATTATTCTGCTCTGTCTTGAATCACAAGCATGTATGTGTATGTGTGTGTGTGTGTGTGTGTGTGTGTGTGTGTGTGTGGATGGAAGGTAAGATCAAGATCTTACGTAGAAACCTTCAAATCAAAACAACCGATCCCTCCCCATTCCCAGCGAAGCGAGTTCCAACTTCCAACCATTTCCATTCGGTCCAGTTCTCCCCGAGCCTTACGTCCACCCCTCACCACACCAACGTTGAAAACCTAGACCGTGTTTGGATTGAGATGGCATGGGCATGGCGTCACAAAGAACATGGTTCTCTCGTGTTTTGGGAAATCAAGCCTTGACGCAAGAAATCTTGTGGAGGTCTTCTTTTCGATGGGATCCATGTCCAGGGGCGGTCGCGCGCGCATGGGTGTGGCGTGAACATCCTAACGCCGCCAGCGTCACCTCGGAGCTTTATTGCAGCATCTGCCATGGGAAATGGAATATTACACGGCTGCTATGCACGTCTGGGATTCAATTTGCATATCAATATGACGTTTGGCGTTCTGAGTGCGGAAGAGAGTCCTGGGTCCAGTAACGAGGTCTGGAAGCTTACCAGAATTACTCTATCCAAAGTCTTTGAGACTCCAGCCCTTCACTCAACAACGACTCTCGCAGTAGACCAGTCACTTTACTGACACGAAATTATGGGTCTGGCAGGACTTTACTATAGCATAGCCTTTTCCTCAAGTGGCTCACATCAAGGATTCGATTACATATCCACAGGAGGAACGTTTGACTAATACCAACGCAACTTCTTCCAATGACATGTCACGAGGAACTTCAACAAGATTGGACAACGATAGCCACCTTTATCATCCCTGTGTACAACACTAACTCCTGGCTGTTACCAACGGTCCACAATGAAGCTCCGGCTCACCTCAAAGATCGACATTTCTAGTTCATTGGTGCCGATATTTGAACCAACGACATCCCAATGCAGCCGAAGTCCCTGCTACCTGGAACTTCACCAGGGCGAATCATGCTGAAACTCGTACATCCATAGGGATAGATCTGCAAAATGCCGCTGCAGAGATCCGAATAACCGTTGCGGGGTGGATTAGAGCGTAGCTTCTTGTGAGTGGTGACTGACCGAGCTCTGGAGAAATCCTTGTTAAGTGCAGATTGTTGTCGGCCTTTCTGATACTCGATGGGAGACGTGGGGAAATATAAAACTCTCCAAGATCCCCAGACGATAAAATTCTTTTCTTTACGTTTCGACACTTACGGATGGACGGCCATCACCAATAAAAGCTAGAGAGATCAATGTCATCTGTTGAAATACACGCTTAAGATGTATCAAGTTGGGAACGTTTACGTTATTGCTGCTGTGGCAGTGGTAGGGGGCGCTTTATTTGGATTCGATATCAGTTCCATGTCAGCTATCATCTCTACGAAAGCCTATCTCTGTTATTTCAACCAAGGCCCGTATTATTGGGATACTGATGGAAAGTGTTCTGGTCCAGATCCTGATGTTCAAGGTATGCTAAATGTTCCTGTGAAACAAACACACACTGGTACTGATGATCATGTAGGAGGCATAACAGCTGCGATGCCTGGAGGATCGTGGCTTGGTGCTTTGATCTCAGGCTACCTATCAGATATACTGGGAAGGAAAAGAGCGATTCAGATCGGCTCCATTGTTTGGTAAGTCGTAGAAAAGAGTCGCTACTTCCTAAACCTCTCGCTGAGTTCATTACAGGTGCATTGGTTCTATCCTCGTTTGTGCTTCACAAAATATTCCAATGCTCGTCGTCGGACGGATTATTAATGGCCTGTCCGTCGGTATCTGTTCAGCCCAAGTCCCCGTTTACATCACGGAGGTAGCTCCGCCAAGTAAGCGTGGAAGACTTGTTGCTTGTCAACAGTGTAAGCACATACTAGTGGACCGCCATCTTCATCGCACGCTAACAAATACATCCAGGGGCAATTACTTGGGGAATTCTGATCATGTTCTACATATCATACGGTTGTTCGTTTGTGGATGGCCCATCTGCTTTCCGAATTCCATGGGGTCTGCAGATGCTCCCTGCGGTATTCCTTTTCTGCGCCATGATGTTCTTGCCTGAATCTCCCAGATGGCTCGCTAAGAAGGATCGCTGGGACGAGTCTGTACAAGTCCTTGCTCTAGTCCATGCGAAAGGCGACCAGACCTCTCCATTCGTGGCTAAGGAGATGTCTGAGATTCGCGAGGTTGTGGAGTTTGAACGTGCCAATGCAGATGTCTCTTATCTCGAGTTGTTGAAGCCGCATATGATCAATCGAACGCATATCGGTGTCTTCACTCAAATCTGGTCGCAGCTCACCGGCATGAACGTAATGATGTGTAAGTATTCATAGAAGCAGGTACTTTGTTGTTTTGACTGACCAGATATAGACTACATTACTTACATATTTACGATGGCTGGCCTCGGAAGCAATGTTCTGCTGCCGTCTTCCATCCAGTTTATCATCAACGTCATTATGACAGTCCCCGCCATCCTGTTCATCGACCGCTGGGGCCGTCGACCAACCATGCTCGTTGGAGCTTTTTTCATGGCTCTCTGGCTGTTCATTAATGCTGGTCTTCTCGCAACATATGGCACCAAGCCAACTCCAGAGCAAGGTTTCACTTCAAAAGCCGAGTCAATCTCCATCGTTGGAGCACCGGCCAAGGCTGTAATTGCTTGCACATACCTGTTTGTGGCTTCGTTCGCTCCCACGTGGGGACCTGCCTCATGGATCTATCCATCCGAGCTCTATCCTCTCCGCGTGCGAGGGAAAGCAGTGGCGCTCTGTACATCGGCAAACTGGGCATTCAGTAAGTCAAAAGTCTTCCGCGGAAATTTTTCTTCACATATGCTAACCAGTTCCACCTCAGACTTTGCACTCGCTTACTTTGTCCCCCCTGCTTTCGAGAACATCCGCTGGAAAGTCTACATCGTCTTTGGTGTCTTCTGCGTATCGATGTTCATCCACGTCTTCTTCCTATTCCCCGAGACAGCCCAGAAGCCTCTCGAGGAAGTGGAAGAGATCTTCGCCGACAATACGCCTGGTAGTATCAAGTATCTGGGCACCCCGGCGTGGAAGACTCATGTCGATACTCATACGAGAAGGCTTGAGAGAGGTGAGATGGATGCGGAGGAGAAGTTTGGGAGACAGATCAGCCAGGAAGAGGATGCTGTGAGAGCAAGTGATGCTACGAAGGTTAATTGAGAGTCGGGCTTGAGTTGGTGGCAATCCGTGAAATAAGAGAGGAGTTAAGAGGAAAATGATGGTTGACCAACTGAGCTGAGCCCAACCTTTGGGTTCAGATTTTTTCCTTCGAAACTTATGTTTCGCCACAGGAAAGTGTTTAATCGTCATAGGATTGATGTGACATATCTTCTTGCTTGTACTCAAATACGATTTCTATCCCACAGCTAGTTGGCGACCCAAATCTGCAATCATCATCATGTAATCTACCCTACTTAAAATCAACATCAATGCAGAATGAAGCAGTGTGATGCAACTTCGTGGAGAGCGCTGACCATTCAACCATTCCTCGCCTAAAACGCTCGCATTCACATAAAAACAATACCCGGCTTGGTATCATAAGAGTCACCTGGGTAGCAGCAAAAGTCTCCCAGAGTGCTCAATCTTCTCTCGAATTTCACAGATGAGGATTGGAGACTATCAAGATGCATGATATTCGTATTTGGGCAGAAGTTCCATGAAGTTGATCTCAGAAGCGAGAATTCAATCTAATAGTAGGTTACGATGCCAAGTCGATCCGTGCTTTCCAATATGGTCAGTCTGAGACCAACACAAGGAATATCAAGCACTTAGGTAGTATATCAGTATCTATTTCCTTCTGATTCTCCAAAAATTAGACATCGTCATGGCGTTAGAGTCAATTATGTGAATATGATATTATCGAAAAAACATCTCGTCCGGAAGGTATTGGCCCCAATCGTGTTTCCCTTTGAACTTTCCCTGATCAGGAACAATCACCTTGTCTCAAGGGTCGTAGACCTCTCTGTCACTTGAAAGAACCCGCCTCATCCAAAAAATATACCTTGCTCGGAGTCAGATTCCTTCACGAAATACAAGGAGCAGAAGAGTGAAGACCCAAGGACGGTTGAAACTTATATCAGAGGAAGTCGGGCAATCACGAGACAGCTGGGGAATCCGGAAGAAACCGCAAGGGATTTGAGATTTAGTATCGACGCGCTTTGAACTTAACTTAAACAGTGCCCTGTAGGGTCAGTTTTGAGTAGTCTAGTTTACATGGGAAGAAGATCTACTCAGTGGGAAATAGTAATCGGTAAAAAAAATTAGCTTATGGAAGAGGTCACAGGAAAGTGCGCCAACTGAAACAGGAAGTTATATTCTTTTTAATTGCCTTTAAAAATTCAGCAAATGACAGGATTTCAATTTCTTTTTTCTGAAGACATGAATCGCGCTTGGAAATTTCTCCCAAGGTCTAGTTAAATGGCAAAACAATCCAGGGAAGCAATCGAAAGGTTTATTTTCAATTTCAGCAAGAGTATAGAAACAGAAGGACAAGAGGAACGCAATCGGTGTCTTGAAATCAAATTGAGTTCTTGTAAACAATCGCTCCTGATTGACCAAATCAAGGGTTCGTTGCAGGGTGATCATCTTGTATTCCATGCCACATCAGCTCGACAAAGACCGGGTTCATAGATGCACTGTTCCATACAATACAGAAGGAGTAATAAGTTATGATTCGAAAACTAACGAAAAATCAGGTGAAATATAATTGGAAATCTTGGATTCCAATCCAGTTCGTGGAAACAACAAGTGATTAAGCTTAATCTAGGCCTCTCAGCGACCGGATTGTATTCTACGCCTCACGGCAAGGGAAAAGACAGAGTTCAAAGTCTCGATATCTCGTTCTTTGGGTAGCTGCAAGGACAGCAGCTGCTTTCTGTCATAGCTGAGATGACTTTATTTGGATCCAATTATATCAATCCTTCGCCCGGGAAGTTCCTGTTTCCATGTTATGCAAGTTCACTTTTCAAACGAAGCAGGAGCAGATGAGCAAGACACCAAGACAGCGACAAAGTCAAAGTCTGGAAGGCGCAACTATATCGGTGCTCTCTGCCACTCTACCTATCTAACCCCTTTTATGATTGAAACTCATCCCGTATAATTGTTGCGAATCTCATCTCCAACATGTGAGATCACCAAAAGCCACATACAAAATAACCATAACAAGAAGAAGCTGTTCAGCCTACTGAAAGCAAAGCCTTCTTACTTACCTACTTTCACTAATTCCACTTAGCGTTCCAGAACCCCATCTGACAGGAAACGAAACGCCTCACAACAGCCAGTCAAAGCCCCCCAACGCACTGTCCCGGGAATCACCTCTCCATCCACCTCAAAAAAGCAACTACTTGGCTGAAAGCGAGAATCAAAAAGAACGACATATTTTTGTTGCATTTCGCAGATTCAGCATGTGAAGAGAGATGTAGCTGAGAGAGCTGCGAGCCTCGAAAAGGAGTGATCTTGACCGACACCATCGCTGATGTGGAAAGGGGTGACAGGTGTGCGAATCGCACACGGCTTATGGGAAGGCTTGGCGGACTATCCCTCGCTTCCGTCGTCCCCAGAGTCCGAGAGAAGAAGGTATATGAAAGTGTGGAAAACTCTAATTTACAGCTTTTATGTCAGTTGGTCGCCATAGTCGAAAAGAAAATAAGAATCTGAAATATCCATGTCTGAGAGTGCTTTACAATTTAATGTTTGAGCGAGTTGGAGCAGAACAAAGGTGAAAATTATTTGGCGAGATGTGCGACCTGTCACTTGTGCAACTTCAGCCACTCTGCCTGAGGAAATGTGCGAGGCGTAGAATCCTTTCTGTCTCCTTCATGCTTCGAGCTTGAACACTCTCATCATTTTCACATGCATCTGATGCGAGATGCAACAAAATAACCATTCGTGGACGATCCTCTCATGGAACTTGAAACGATGATGCAGTGTATTGCCCGATGGAGATGGAATCCTAGTTCAATATGGCATGAAACTAAGGCTACCATTGATTCTTGTGGGGTAAAAATGTAATGTAAGAGCTATGTTGCGCACGGATGTCTCGAAATTGCTCATATTCATCTGTTAGAATTTGCATTTCAAAGAAGATTGGATAGAATGACGGATGAGGAGTACTTGGAAAGTCCAAACTGGAAAGTCGACTTCTTGACATGATCCATCAGCTTTTGCAATTTTGCTCGTCAGACGTTACTTGAATCTATTATCTCCTCAGAGCGAAATGAATAGAGTCAAGTGCTCAGCGGATCCGACATGCGACTTGGTGTTAGACTACGCCCACGAGCTGTCTAAGGAAAACACTTGAAGAAGATCAAAGTCCAGAATCTCTTTGTAAAAGACATGAGTCTGATATGCTACTGTCGTTGGCGAAGATGGCATAACAAGCTTGAAGACTCATGTGTCGTGTTCATCCAGAACTTCTGTTTTCTAGGTCCTCTATCGTCATTGCGCATCTCAGACTACCCCAATAGGCTTCGGGACCCAAGTGCCCTCCCACACAGCCCATCCTTTACTCTCAGGAGTACTGTCTTTCCAATTGCTATCCGCAGTCACCACATCATCCTGGTCGTCGAGAGCACTTTCCATGTCCTCCATTTCGGCCCTGACATCCTCAATACTACCAACCAGCTCTACATTCCTGGTGCTATCCCTTGAGTCAGCACTTCCTCTTCTCAATATCTTCCTCAGAACCCCAGCGACCCACGCAGTGGTTTCTCTGTTCAGACCCGCTTCATCAACTTTCCACAGAGCCTCTACCAAATTATGTTCATCCCACCTCCGAGCATCCTCTTCCAGCTCGTCATATCCTGCAGTCCCTCTACTCTCAAATAACTTTCTCGCAAAAACATCACACTCTTCCTGCTTGGTAGGCGGAGCAGGTGGTAGTTTGACCCAATAGTAGTCCCAGATCCAATGCAGCGCTTTCTGCGTCGCAGTGCGAAGTTTGGAGAGTGATGGAAGTTCTTCGTGTGTTGCTTGGTGACGCAGTTCGACGTATGTTGCCGGGAGTCCGATGGTCTTTGCTATAGAGTACATGCTGAGTTTTCGGTTTTTGGTTTGGTGGCTGTCGAGGAGCCCAGTCACGAATCTGGGGTCCAGGTTAGTTGCTGCTGTTAAGTACAGCAAAGAAGTTTTGAGAGATCATGTAAACGTGAACCCATCCGATAATGTCCCAGTGAAGTTCTCATGCGCTTCAAGGGTCTGGGTATTCGAACAATTTCAACAAGGACGAGAAGAAATGCTGGCGAAGTCACGTGTGGCAGTTTATTTTCCATTGCATCCATTTCACCCATCCATTACCGTGAAATACGGAGTGGAAAGGAACTAGACATTCGTGTCGTAACTCACCTACAAAACGCTGCCGCATACGCAGCTCTCACACAATAAGCCGCATTTCCCCTAACATCATTCAATACCGCCGCTGTCAAGATCGCCGTACTCTCCACCAAGTGCGGACAATTACCCCTCTGCATCCACACCGACACCCTTGCCACAGCATGTTTTCGCTCGGCGTCTCCGACTTTCCTGTTTGGATTCGTGAGGTCGGGGTAGAGATTTTCGCGGACGGAAAGAAGCTCGCGCGCGTTGCGCCAGGGCGTTATGACGTATTGTACCATTATTATTTGGTTTCAGATACGATATAATTGGAAACGAAAGGCAGGTTGTTATAGGTGATGATGACGCTTTTCAGGAGCAGGTGATCGAGATGCTCGTTTGAGGTTGCGGTTAATGCCAAGCTTATTGGGGCTCTGCGGACACTAAATTAAGCGAGAAACTCTAAATGAGGTTGGCAAGTCAAGAGTTCCTCGGTCTCGTGCAGGTGATCATGGTCTCATTTGAAGCAAGGGGGTGCAGATCGCTCTGATCAAGGGATTCTCGAAATCATCTTCTGGTAGAATGTCTTTGATTCTAATGGTGTACACATATTTGTACACTAGTCGCTTCTAATGCGAGGGCCTTTTCTACGCACGCCGGCGAAACCCGTTTCCCAGTCCTTGGGTACTCCATGTCTTCCCATACTCCGCGCTAAATCAAGTAAATCAAAGTGTGTCTAAGTCATCCAAATTCACAGCCACCCTGGGCCACCGTATCCTTGAGCTGCAAAGTTCATTTGGGTCTGGACGACTTGTTGCTGAGGTACTGAGGTAGTAACAGGCTGCGACTTCGCAGGAGGCTCATCGTCGTCTTCTGCTTCTCCATCTTCTTCATCATCATCTTCATCTTCGTCATCGCTAGGCGGTGGGTTCCATGTCTCCTCGAGCTTCAAGCCCTTTCCAGTAGACTCGACCTTGCCATAACCAGTTCCAAGAAAGCCGGTCATCATCAATGCCCGGTAGTTGTCTAGCTCGGGATGAGAAGAGGGTGTCTTGGTGACTTCTGGGGCATCGTACAGACCCATACCAATAAGCTCCTCTCCATCAGATTCAGGCTCTGATAGTGGGTGATATGGAATAGCGTCCTCGGCTGGAAAGTTAGGCTCAGGGTGTTGAATAGGTAGGAAGTTCTCTGGCGTTGGTGGTGCTGTTGATGAATTCTCAAATCCATTGGTTGCAAAGTTGTTCCAGTCGAAGTGAGAGTACATGGTTGGATCGGTGTTTGACGATGTTTGTTGCACGAAGTTATGCGACGATTGCTCCTGGAATTGATGATGCTGCTGTTGCCCGGCGTATTCGGAAGTCGAATGACTTGATGGCGTCTGGCCTTGGTAGAGATATTGTGGTTGCTCGTAGCCATTGAATGGCATCGATAATGGAGAGAATGTCGAGCTGGGCGATGCATATCCCGAGTATGCAGTTTGGTTGGTTGGAACGTCGAACATCTGGAACTGGTTGGCATCGTGTTGAGTAGCTGAATACATTGGTTGGTATTGTTGTTGAGCAGTGAGATGAGAAGCTGGATGCCAGCTGACTGGCCGAGTCGATCTTGAGGGTATTTGTAGGCCGTCGTTGGATACGAATCCTCCGTTGGCCATTGCATTCTGTTGTTCGAGCATGGCAAGCCTCCGTCGGTAAGGCCCATCACTCATCACAGTCCTTCGTCTTCCTAGGCCTACTGATCCTCTTGGGCTATTGCTTGCGCTGCTGGGCTTTGCTATACGCATCGATCCGCCGGCTTTTTGTCCGTTTGTTCCTCGAGAGTATCGAGTAAGATTTGATGTTGCAATCTGCTTTGAGACGTCGTCTAGCAACATCTCGACGGTTGTATATCCCGAGGGATGCCCTTCCCATGTTCCTGTGTTCATCATATTGGAGTTAGATGTTGAAGCGAGGTTGCAAACTGTGAAGTGTGGTGCGGAGGGAAGAAATAAGAAGAGGGAAATTACTGTCCACTGGACATCAATCAAAATAAGTAAATCATAGTCTAAGGGAAGGGGCTGAAGTGGTGCGTGTTCAACTGGGACATAGAAAGGGCCTTCTCCATATCAAAGAAAGCTAGACAGCGGGAAGCACAAATATGGACGCCACCCCTTGCAAGTGACTTAAAGTTCCGGTATGTCGTCTGTGTCATCTGGCTGATGATGGATCATGGATCCCACGAACCAGCAGGGGTTGCTCTGGAGAATCCGCCGTCGGGTCTGAGCTTTGTTCTGGGGGGGGGGATGGATCATGGATGGGGAGGCATGGCGTGGCTTTAGGTCTTTGTTGGCGGTCAAGGTAACAGCAGTAAGTAGTGGCCGTGGCCGAGCCCCTGGCTGCACAAGGAAAGGAAGGGAAAGGGCCACCGGCTGCTTGCAACAGCATGCAAGTTCTCAGGCCAAGCGCCATATCCCGCGGCTGGATGCGTTGAGAACTTGAGAGGGAGCGACGATAGGGTTTTGGAGGGTGGAAGGGGTAAGGCCAGGCAGGGTAAGGTGGACAGGGTAAGGGTCGATGGCACTGGAGGGTAAGCAATTTGGGTATGGTTGGCTCGTCGCTCCGTTGTAGGGGGGAAGGGGAAGGGGAAGGATGCGCGAAGGCGGGCGCGACGTATGAGAAAACCCTGGGTGTGCAACGATCAGCTGGAAAGTGTCAGTAGTAGAGCCTGAAGTGGAACACGATAGCGCAAGTCCTCTGTTCGGTGCTCGGAGCTTGTTTCGCAAATAATTTGGATAGGATTGGACAGCTCGAGCGGAATGGACTGGCCAGCTGTAACATTGCTGACTTCGAGGGGCGGTCAGGCCTAGCGCCAGACACCAGCAGACTGGCGTATAACGTGGCCGTATCACACGTGTGCTCTAGGATTCTCAGCCCACACCCACTGTACCTTCACCTTCACCTTCACTATCACCCTCCCACGCACTAGCCCTTCTCTGTTCCAAAGCTCAAGGCTGGAGCTGTGCTCGAATAATGCTAATAGAATAGAGCGAAAAGCGACTGGTCCGGACAGGACAATGGTCAATTCCCACTTGCATATGAGCTTTGTCTTGGCCAGGGCGAGCCGATTGCGCTTCTAGGTACCACCAGTACCGTTTGCATGGCAACTCCTCCTACGCTTCCTTTGTCCGGTACAGTAAGAGCGCTTGGAGGGCCAGGGGCTTCGTACAAGTGGTAAACAAGCAGAGCTGAACAAAACAAGGTGAAATGCATGCATAACCCAGAGTTAACCCAGCGTACAGGGACTAATTTACTGAGAATCCGGCCACATTTTGCCCATCCCGATTCCCAACGGCGCCAAATATCCACATCCAGGATTTGAGGGAGCAAATCACGTCCCGGTTTGGCAAGTCCATGGATCGTGAAGGAAGAATTTCAGGGCTCGCTTGCGGGATGGGAATGTTGCTAGGGGCGATGCCTAGCTACATGCCGGTCAACCTCCACCAAGACCAAGCACGACGAGCACGACTCGGGTCGCATATCTCACATATCCCACTCCGTCGAGATTGGACGCCTCCGGTCCAGCTCTCAAGTGGGATGAGATGTCGGCTCGTCAAGGCTTGGCTCCTGACAGCGGTGGGTTAGCAGGGCTAACAGTAGAACTGGGCCCGACACTACCTGTGATTTTTGGTGCAATTTGCTTCTGCCTAGGCCCAGCCCGGTTTAGTAACTGAACATCAAGACAGTTGACGAGAAGGCACTACTCGAACTAAAATCAAAGAGTGTCTCTCTTTCGAGTAAGAGCAAGCAAGTAAGGGCACTTCTTCAACTCCCGTGAAGAGACCAGCTGGAATCTGCCTGTGAGGACGTTGAGCCTTGTCAGACGAGACAAGCTTGCAATCCATCGATAAACTCCACCCCGTACTGTACGAGCGTGCGCGGTTTGACGAACACTTGGAGATCTTGTCTCCAGGAATAGTAACACAAATCTTGTTTCTGATATCGCTCCTTTGTATTAAGTGATCACCCTAGCCATTGAAGCCGCCTGGCACTGTCCAGTTAATGCCGGCAAAATGTGAGGTGAGTTTGGGGGTGCATCTCTGCGTCCAAACGCAATCAGCGGCAACCCCGTTACGGTTTATAATACACCAGCATGAACGCGTGAGGCACAAAAAGGCTGCAATAATCAAGGCCGGGCCACGGCAAGCAAAGGAGATCGCATCACGGTCTCGTTTGTGCTCCACCCACTCCAACCGCCGAGGCCCCTGTAGGGTAAGCGTGACCCAAGCCTATGAAATGGCGGAAAGGCTGCGGATCTGGGTGGAGTGTGGGTGGCAGATGCAAACGTTTTAAACCCCTGCACAGAACGACCCTGAGGCTTTGTTTGGCCTTGAAGCCGAAAGACGTGGGCGGGCCACGGGGTTGCAGATGATCCATTGCCCATGATACTGCAAAGGAGCAGGTGTACAGGGATCCCTGCTACTCCCCCCCCCCCCGGCTTGAATGTTAAATATGTAGAAAACTGGACCTCGTGTAGGTAGCTACTAGGGAGTGTCTATCCAATAATTCAGTAGAGAATCAGCCTTAAATAGGGCTCAGGTGTCTCTCGAACCTTCTAAAGGCACCCTTGCTATTATAACAGGCCTAATTCTGGCTCGTGCTTCTGGCTGTATTCAGGGCCTCTGACCACTCAGCACTTGAAATCTAGGCCTCCGACCCGCAAAAGTTCACATTTAACGTTCAAGCCGGGGGGGAGAGTATGCATAGTGCATCGTATCGAATCTTGTCAATTCTATACTGTAGCCAGGATGCCACGAGTACTTTACCACAAACCGTCGAGTCATACGTTGCAGAGATCTTGATAAAGGCAAAAGGCACAATGCAAGTATTCTTTTTGATAGTTTCCCGAGGAAACACCTGTATCGTATCGGAGACTGGTCTTACTTTTCCACCATATTATTGCTGATCTTTGTAGCGCTGTGCCTAGCTGCTTCTAGGCTCTCCGTCACCAAGATATTGCTGCTACAAAGGCAAGGATTTGATATCAAGAGATTGACGACCAGCGTGTTTCCAAGCATGCATACGACCAGAGCACTCCATCTGATGATTTGAAGTTTTCTCGTCGGGTTCACAGTACAAGGTCATGTTAGGGCTGGTCCAAACCTTTAACCCCACATCTCCTCCCTGGAAACATCTGAGCTTGGGTCTGCATGGGGCCTTGGTACGACAGGGAACTCGCCAAAATTTGGGTCACATATTACTGCCTATCCGGGTCTAGATCTGTGAGTTTAGAATTTGATGCGGGCGGAAGCAGTCATCTCGGGATGTGATGACGCGCCATCTTCAGGACATCACTTGTGGTTCGTTGCCGCAGATCCATGGCTGCAGAGACGAATGAAGTTGCTCGGTCACTAAGGACTATTTGTCGCCTTTGCCTCGTCACCTAGTAGTGACCCAGATTACCGGTGCAACGAATCTCTTTTGTCCTACTCGATAATTGGTTGTGGAATAATGTCTTAGAGAGCCGAAGGCCAGAAGCGTTTAAGGTTTAGTGACTGGTCGATGGCCATCAGGATCAGCTAACAACTGAGAAGCCTATGGATATGAAAATAAAGTTGGGCAAAAGTTGTGCCACCACTCTTTGGGACCTTCAACAAGGGGAAATTTGCTGGTCTTTGGTGACGGTCACAGCGCAGCCTGTGTTCTGCCCAAAAGCGGTGACACAGTCTATCCCCAGCACCTCCATACGTGACGATCTCAGGGATCGATAGATTCGATTCTCGCTCCGCAGCTTCCATGCCTGGCGGCGGCATGAGTGGCATGGGAGCGACCGAATCCTTGCATGGCGACTCTGTGACGAGGAAGATTATGAAAGCCAGCCACGGAACCGAGTTGAGATCTCTGGGCCGTGCCTGCTCGCAACACGAAATCGGGAATCGTAGACTTTTTGCGTGGGCCGATTGTTTCAAGCCAATGAGCTGGTCGACTGTTCCAGAATAATGTCCGAATACTCTGGGTCCCTAGACGGTCAATACCACAAAAGACAAAGCAAAGCGCAAGGGAGCAGCCATTTGTTGTGCATCGCAGAGTTGCACTCTGTCAGGGAGGCCTGTAAATACTGCCCTTTCGGGTAGCAAGGCTCCGTAACGAAACGAAAACAATCTGATTGTCACCAAAAAGGGCCCGAGGACGACGCCTCGTGGTTTCTTCGGCGTCGAAGGAGTCTCGAAGTCTATCCGCCGGCGTATCCCTGCGCAAGGCTGGGAGAGAGAAGGAGAAAAGACGGCTGGCCCACGTTGCCGATGTGGAGAGAAAAGAAGACAGCGTAGGGCGCTAAGCAGGCTCGGTACCTTATAGCTGCTTCATCAAGAAAAATAAATTATCATGTTTATCCCTGTCTCTGTGACTTGCTTGACCTTTCTACCCCAGCCAACGGGTCAATGCCAAGACGTCTGAGGCGGAAGCACGGACTCGACCCTTTTTCTGGAAACCCGCGGTTGGAACTTGGATACCTACAGTAATACAGTATGTTGCTGACCCTCAGCCTGATCTGGGCAAGCCCGGGATCCAAAGAGAAGATTGTCAGCCTGCCTCTTCTGTACATGAGTAATAATGTGGTTGGTTGCAGGTGACGCGGAGTTCTGCGGGAAGACGAGACGGCAAATCCATCTCACACACGGAATCGGACCTGACAGCGCAAGCCTACTTCCAGCCTGCCTTTCGCGACCACACCAGCCAGTAGTGTGTCATATCACGAAGTTGATGGTGGTGGAAACAGCAGCCTGGAGACCAGGACAGCTCTGCTCTGGCGGTCAGTGCTAGCATGGTTCCAAATAAGTAAATATGGGCTGGGGTGCCTTCTCAATATTGGAGCGGAAATGATGTGCATCAGGGCGGCACGCAAGGTCCAACCTTGACCTCTTGCTTGTTCCTGCTGAGCAAGTTGGACCTGGTGGCGCACCTTCAAAGCACACCAACTTGTCGTGTGTGTTGAAACCTTCATAAAGGAATCGTTGCAGCTGGTTATCAGCCACGTCCGACGCCGTTGCTGCTTTGCAGGGTCAGACAGACATGGTGTTAGGATCCAAATTGCGGGCCATTCCTTTCTGCAGGACGTGATGCAATGACAGCCAACCCAACTTAAGCCCGGAAGTAACTTGAATTACTGGTTATCACCGCCGATCTAACATCAGTACAAAGACTGTAACCGCTGCTCTCTACTCAAACTTCCTGGCTGAAATCGCGACTGGCCTGTTGAATAGAACCGTGCGGGCGGATATGTAGTATGCTTTAGGTAGTGCCTGTGGAACAACTGGTTCAATGCTTGAACTGCCTTTAGGCTTCGCATCAACCGTGCCGGCACGATGGGAAAGCCCTACATGAAGTTATCAACAAGTTATCAACTAGTTCTCATCCCCTGGGCCCGAGAATCGTCAGTAGTGCATATCGAGTACATCCAATAGCCACCAACATAAGTGAGACGACCTGATTAATCCTTTCAAACTTGGAGTTGAGGTTGAGTTACGGGACAGCGGAATGCGGACCTGCTCCAGAGGTAGCATCTTGTTGCCTATGCTCTGTGTTTAAAAGGCAACATGACAGGTCGATGGTTGATCTCGGTAACAAGACCATGATCCAGCAGGGCTTGAATCATACGCCGTGTATCGTAAGGTACTCCGTAATAGAAGCCATCGCATCCAAACTCGACTATGCTGCGTGGGTCCTCGGACTTGGAGGGGTTTATGCCATACCATGCAGGACCATCCGACAAAAGTGAAGAAAATTCCCGCGGTCACGAGAAGAATCCTGCGTCAAGTCTTCGGCAGCCCGCATGTGAGTAGTGCCTTCATTGAGCAGCAGTAACCTGGGGGTGGCAAAATTTTAGAGAGACTTGAGTGATCCCTCGTACAGCGACACAAATTTGATACCCGGCAGATCCCACCTTTTGTTTAATTTGTAAGATCCTAGAGTCTCCCACAGATAGGCCGGGCGGGCCTTGGAACTGAAATTTTGGCTCGGCCAGACCCCGCTGATCAGATGTAGTAAACGAGGGAAAGCAGATGGAAGTTTCTTTGGCTTCTCAGCTAGTGTTGTGGATCTAAAGCTAAATCCACAGTCGAATATGGCACTTCACCTGTAACGCGAATCCCTTGTAGAAATGCATTTTTGTACCTGGATTATGATGCAATCATCCGCCAGACTACCTCGGCCGAGCAGTTGGGTTATTTCGAGTCGAAACTGCTTCAGTACGACGTTTCGATTGCCTCAAATTTGAAGCCGAGCAACGTCCACATACTCATGCTGTAGCATCGAATAGTGCACCATTGGTCCAGTCGACTTGATGTCTGCGGCACAGGAGGTTGTCACATCCAAGTGAGGCTTTCACTACCTTACCTACTCATGGTCAAGGGCGACAAATGTGATGGTCCAAAAGTAAAATCTACCGCGGTGGATCTTCACGATCCTGCATTATTCGGAGAAATCGGCGAGGACTTGCAAGATGGGCCGGGATTTTTGGAGCCACTTTACTTGCTTGACGTACGACAAACTCAAGAAATATCGTTGCGGACGTAGTCCGTTTTCTCCCCTTGCAGCTGATATTGGCCAAAGTTTCCACACTCCCTTCTGTTCTGGAACTCAGCCACTGGAATGCGCAACCTCTAGGCTCACTACTTACCTAGGTAGTTGGTTGGAGTCGTATTCACGAGGGGCGAGTCAGCCGAGTTAGCAGAGAAACCATCGAATAATGGCTCGCCAAAAGCAAAACTTAATATCATTTGCCGAGAAGCCAAGGTTGCCGTTTCCTTTCCTTGTAGAGTAGGGGGATCTACTCTACTGTAGGAGCTGTGACTTCATTTGCAAGCTATGAGCCCGCCAGAACGCTGGCGGCTTCATGGGGCCAAGATCAGATGGACGATGCCGCTGTAATTGCTGCATTATTGTGGTGGACGGACCGCGCACCTGTCTGACACCTGCGAGATATGGATGGATAAGTGGAACGGAAGGCAGAAGTGGCCAGAAGCCAGGGAGGTGAGGTGATCACAATAGCATCCATGTTGGGGAGGACCATGCGGGTGAATGGGACAATGGCTCCTCCATCCATCCATCTATTAACTTAAGTCCAAGATGTCCGACGGTGCATCTGATACGATACAGTAGTAGTGTGAAGGCACCGGTTTGGGCGCTGGGGGTCAGTCGGTCAGCGCTCAAGGCGGTCTGGAACAGCACTGCACTGCACTGCACTGCCGAGGAGCACACAACCTTCGTACAGTAGCCCAATCCATTCGTGGTGTCGGTCGGGTTGAGGTTGGCTTTCCGGAGACGCAGCCAGGCGACGCTCTGCTGCACGCATTAATTATACGAAGTAGTGAACAGGACAAGGCGGCTCGACAGGGCCTCCTTATGACGAGTTCGTTCTGCGCCTCTCCCTGCTGCTGCGCTGCGACTGGGAGACAGCTCTGGCGTGGTGCCATTACGTAGAGAGAGACACAGAGAGAGAGTTCTTTTACCGAGCAAGCCCCAGCAAAAATGTCCGCCGAGCAGAGCAGAGCAGAGGAGGCAACGCAAGGCAAGGCAAGGCAAGGCAAAAAGAGACGAGACAAGACAAGACTGCAAAACTGTAAAGTCGAGGTCGTTCAGGGCCTCTCATCCCTCTTCCATCCGCTCATCCACCCTGCCAGCAATCCACCTCTACCTAGTATCCATGCTTCCCCTGGCTGGACGGACCCGCTTCCTTCGGAGCACTACAGTATGGCTGAGTGAAATGCCAATGTTTTGTCTTGCCATGTCAAGTCATGCCTACCTTACCTATGTAAATTTACATCTCACATGGCGAGCTGAGATTTAGTTGGGACTGGAACGGGAACGAGTCGAGATCCATCTCCATCCGTCCCTCCGAAAGTTTCGAGCTTGTTCTCCCTTGTCGTCCCCTCCTATACTTCCTGCCTGTCTTCCACTCGCTCGTTCCCTTTCCATTATTATTCCCCTTCCCCTTCCCCTTCCCCTGCCCAAGATCTCACATGCCTGCCTGTTCCCCTGACTGCTATTCGAATCCGGAAAGTGGGATGCGAAAATAGGGGCAGGGCCAGGGGCAGGGCATGGACAGTGGAGTGGCAGTGGCAGTGGCAGCATCCGTTATCGATAAGCCGCGGGGTGGGTGTTGAAGTGCGGCTTCGTGCCTCGAAAGAAACCGGTATGAGGGTCAATGAAATGTGCTCGAACTCTGAAAATTCTGCGGGATGATTCAGCTACTTGCAGTAACAAATACCGAATTCATCTCATTGTAAAGAAGCGATACGATTGCTTCTTGGCTTCGACAATTGGCCCCAGACCAGATGTTTCTGTGGGCTATGATGACAGTGCAGATGTGATGTGATGTTCCTCCCGAGTGATGGATGGTGCGGCCGCAGACGTCAGGACAGCCGACGACCGTTGACCATTGTTGCGAGAGGACAGCAACGGCCTTGAGGAGCTTTGAGCTTGACAGCATTTCTCAGTAGACCAACGAAAGTGACACCAACGCATCAATGAAGCCGTCTTCCTCCCCTCCCCATATCAATCTACCAGAGCGCCAACACTACGATGGCCCAGGCCCCTTCAGTCCGCCTGAGGATGTTGTGTCGAGCGCCGTAAGTTTCCTTGAAACTTTAGAACACACACCTCAACCACGAAAATAGCTGGACAATGACTGACTGACCTCAAAACGGACAGAGTGATACCGAATACCAACATGCTTTGGAAGTATGTTTTGTCCTAAACTTCCTGCTTGCTTATAAGCCTGCGATTGCTAACCTCAATCCAAAGGTAATATTCGACCCTCAGAATTCGCACCGGCGCAAGAGCTCAATTGTTACGACGGAGAACCCCGCAAGCATAATTCTGAGGCGGCAGAATACAGAATGCTTTGTGCACACGCTGCTCGAGAGCCAGAGGAAGCATGGTGGCTACAGTGGAGCTCTGGATGGAATCGCGGAGACACTGGAGACTAAACGGATAGATAGTGGTTCTGGCACTGCTGACGACAATAGTCTTGTCGACCCAAAGCACGGACACAATTTCGAGGATGAAAGTGATATTGGGCAAGAGGACGAAAAGGCCTGGAAGAAAAGAATTGAAGCAAGACAAATACATGGCGATAACATGGTTGTATCAACGGACGATGACTCGAACGCGCTGCATAGCCGACTCCTCACAAAGAAGCAGCTATCTGACATGGCATGGGGAGTGAGAGAACTAAGCAAGCGCCTAGGAAGCATCAGACTGAAGCTCAAAGTCCGCACCGTTTTCCTCCTCACAAAGGTTCACGACGAAACTCTTATTGTAAACACAAGAGAAGTGGTCAAGTGGTTGCTAAGTCCCGAGCGAGAAGTCCGATACACCGTATGGGTAGAGGAAAATCTGCGAGGCAACAACAAATTCAACTCCAGAGGTCTCATGAAGGAGATGGAAGAACAATATGCCGCCAAGAATGAGGATAACGCAATATTAGAGCGAAGGCTAAGGTATTGGACGGATGAGATATGTAGGACCAGGCCACATACTTTCGACTTCGTGGTAACTCTTGGAGGCGATGGTACAGTCCTTTACGCCAGTTGGCTATTCCAACGGATTGTGCCTCCAGTCCTAAGTTTTGCCTTGGGCAGTTTAGGATTTCTGACAAAATTCGATTACGAGGAGTTTCCTGAGCATTTGACGAAAGCATTCAGAGACGGAGTGACGATCAGTCTACGATTGAGATTCGAAGGAACTGTTATGAGAAGCCAGAAGCGAAAAAGGCCTAGAATCGAGAATGGTGAGGTGGCCCAGGAAGGATCATCCTCATCTAGCACCACTGAGGAAGAAGAGGACGAGGAATCAAATCAAACACGGGATTTGGTAGAAGAATTGGTAGGCGAGGAGAAGGGAGACGAACGGACCCACCGACCTGATAGCACCTACGAGATCTTGAATGACATTGTTGTTGATCGAGGGCCAAATCCGAGTGAGAAGCTTCTTATCAAGACCTAGTCGATATGATACTAATTTTCTTGTGCAGCAATGTCCTCGACTGAGATCTTCGGTGACGACGAGCATTTCACATCCGTACAAGCAGACGGAGTGTGTGTAGCCACACCCACCGGATCCACGGCATACAATCTCGCTGCGGGAGGATCCCTTTGTCATCCAGAAAATCCAGTAATTCTCGTTACCGCAATTTGTGCTCATACGCTCTCCTTCCGGCCCATCATCCTCCCCGATACCATCGTTCTGCGTGTAGGCGTTCCGTACGATGCAAGGACCAGTAGCTGGGCTAGTTTTGATGGTAGAGAAAGAGTTGAATTAAGACCAGGCGATTATGTCACTATCAGTGCTAGTCGGTATCCGTTTGCAAATGTTATGCCTCAGGGAAGGAGATCTGAAGATTGGGTAAATAGCATCAGTGGAAAGCTTGGATGGAATACAAGACAGAGGCAGAAGAGTTATAAGGAGTGGTCGAAGTAAGTCTTCTGGTAGACTTAGAGATTTACATAATTAGAGCGCAAGTTGACTCTTGTTTCTCCATGTGAAACATCATTTTTATCCATAGACAAATGTGGTAGCGCCACTCACTTACCCACGTCGGTTTCCTTCCCTCATTACCTTCATCAAGTTTCCCAAACTTCTCCCACTTTAGTATCAGGTCCAATGCGAAGCGATATTGTCCGACTAATACTGTTCCCAATACTTACAGCTCTACAGACCAGATCAAGTAATGCTCCGCTCCATCAAGCATCGGGATCGGGAGAGATACTATCATTTGTGACATCCTCAGCATTAACTTCTTTGCAACTGCGCTTGTGCCTGTTCAGACTATTCTCTGGCATTCCATTCCGTAGCAGAATATACTTCGACATTCGCACACTTTCTGAGCTTCGATTGCTTGAAAAATGTCTCATGCGATGAATTGGAGCACTACTGTTATGGTAATGATCAGAAATTGTTGAAGCAAGTTCAAGTACTATGTGAAATCTTGTTCCTTGAAGGCAAAAAGTTGAAAGCTTTGAGAACGGACCTGGAAATGCGAGCAGCTCATACTATTTGGCGCAAGTTTTTTTTCTCTCCATGATCTTGCGCTCGTCAGATCTCCCTTCATCTCCGACAAGCAACTCAAATTGTCCTTCGCAAAAGCCCCATGGAACTTGGAATCGTGGCTACCAAGCCAAGTCAGTCAATACATACCTTATCGAACAAATCAAAGAAATTCTCGAACCATCCAGGTCTGATCGCATTCGCCACCTTCAACATGATCTTGGTATCATCCAGTCGACTCATATCCAGGTACGAACATGAGTAATTGGCTCACACGAAGTGGGAAACTTCATACGTAAAGTTTAACTGTATCTGCTTTTGGCATCGGCAACGTTATCGCTTCTTTTAAGGGCTTCATGTTGAGGCTGGTCTTGTTAGCCGAGTTTTAGACAAACTCATCATCAAAACTATAGCCCAGCGCGGGGGGATACAACAAGGCGAATTAGATGCTCTTTGCCATATTCTTCTTATGAACTCAGATCTGACACCGAGAACAACAACAAAGCCACGATTGCTGACTTGTGTTGTGAAGTTCTATACCTAGCTGCTTTGTTTACACTCGAAGCGAAGATCTGGGTCACTTGAACATGCCATGAACCGGAACCAATGTGCCAGCTTAAAAGCATACTATCTCTCTTTGTGCTGCACATATTAAACATCCAGTATTAATCATTTCTTATGCTTTTGGGTGGTCACTCCCAATACCTTGCGCTGATATGACAGTCATTCTCCTTCTTGTATCATGCTAACTTCGACGCTGTTTTCGCTCCACTCCCTTTCCACACATGCCATAATCCAATTCTGTACTGAATTTACCCTAAAGTATTGTGAAAAATATGGCAAGTGCTTTGCCATCGAGCAAAGAGCTTCTCGTCTCTATAATAACCAATTTTCCGTACGTCAGCCAGGTGGATTCATTGTCCAAGCTTCACCTGGGTTTCTCAACTTTCAACAGCAGCAGGAGCTCTGAATCACAAAGTCTTTACCGCCATTGTTACAGCCAGCCTTGTAAGTTCTCTTATTCACCGCCGCCAGGCCAGTATATTTGGCTCCCTTCTTTAAATTTTCCTTTTTACAAGTCCTATTGATCACACCCTTACACCACCTCACCATACTCGTAACGAACAAAAGACTGGGTTAAGGAGACTACCGTTTCGATTCTACACTCGCAGCCAACTACGATCATCTCTTTCATATCATAACACACTCCTCCTTCTCGACCACAGCACCAGAAATACAGACTACAAAAGGCTATTTTCCAATAATTAGTCAGTCTTCTAGAGCTTTGACTCTTTCCAAATTAAACCTTCGCGTGCACAAAATTGAATACAGCAGTGCATCACACACTCTACTACTGCTTTTGACTCAAGCACTCTCAATATCAATTTCCATCTACAACCACAGTGTAACATTTAAATAGGAGCTGAGATTTCGAACGACAGTCTCGTCGGCTCCTGACTCTCGACATACGACGATCCTTACAACTTGAAGGAGCCAACGATGGTTACCCGCTCACGCATCTCTGCATTTCGTCGTTCGCCACGATCCATCGAGCACCTGTGCCGAGGAGAATGCCTTCACGATCTTACCAAAGCCCAGAGTGCCCTTGTGATTTCGCTCGCCCATCTGAGCGGCTGGTCTGCAGAAAGAATCGCGGTGACCATCAAGAACAGAATTTCTCAGGAAGTTTCGGCAGAAGATATCTGGCATTACTGTTGGCGATGGATTCTTCTGGGGCGTAGCAACGACCAGGACTTCGTTTCTGAGGATGATCGCGAGCTCATGAAAGCTGCCATCAAGGAAGCTATGATTGATATGGAGGTTGGGAAAGGGCCAGCAAGACCTTTGCACAAGACCGTTGAGCCAGTAAGCTCTTCACACCTTGGTCTTCTTCTTATAAAATTTGGTCTGACACAACATAGGTCACTGTACCTTTTGCCGAGAGATGGTCCCCCTTTGTACACTCCCATAATCAATATATTGTGATATGATGTGAGCTAATAGTTTATGAAGGAATTGCCACCCATCGAACTCTGCGAAGGCTATACACCTGCCGCTCGTGAAAAAAGCAAAGGCTATCTCATACTAGGGTCTTGGAAAGCCTACGGAGCACTGACTCCCACAGAAGAGCCAATAATCGCTAGATTCGGCAGCACGGTCGAATGTATCGTCAAGAAAACCTTGAGACACTGGTCTCGTGAGATGAAGACACTTCTCGACGATGGTACTTCTCTCCAGGACATCAACAAACGTGACCATGTCAATTTGGTCATGAAGCACCTCGATATCTTCCACGAGTCTTGGGAGAAGGAATTCGGCATGATGGAGATTCCAGAAGCCCACAATGGCTTACAAGCTTCAAAGAGTTCGGAGATCTTTATCACCACTACTGGCTATGGTTGCAAAGTCCTACTTGGGCTTATGATGGCCGACCGCATCCATATGGTTGACCGGAAGAGAAAGCAGCAACGCCTTCAAACTTGCTTTCTGAGAGTGGATGTTGAGACTCTGGATGATGACTTGAAGGAGTGTTTTGTCTGCAAAAATCAGATGGGCGTCGAGGATGAGGATGGAGTGAAGGAGCAAGCGATTCGCTTGACCATCTGCTGCGACAAAGTCATCGGCGAGGACTGCATAAAGAAGTGGTGCGAGGCAAAGGGAAAGAAAGAACATGACTGCCCCTTTTGCCGCGGCAGATTCACTGATCGTTTCTGGATGAAGTTGTTTGAGCAGCTCGAAGACCCAATTAGCTACGATCGACCTGATGGAGTCTCAATAAGACCCGAAGAGATGGGTCTCATGTTGAGTCGTGGCGAAAGCCCCCAAATATTGCGAGGACATTCCGAGCCAGGCTCTCCTCCTACCCACCATGCCCAGAGTCCATCGTCCATTGTATCCTCCAATCCAATAGTCTCCTCACCTGATACCAGCCAACGTAGTCGGAGCGGCAGCCTTCTTGTAAGATGGGGCGATGTTGCGAGATCCAGGCGTCTCAATATTATTCGTGCTCCAGGATCTCGAGACGACTTTGACTGCGAGGGGTAGAAGCTCCATACGTAAGGAAAACATGCGGTTTGTGCGGAAAGACTATTGTACATTACTCGTAGCAAAGGCGATGATTAGTGGGCTACAAGATAGGAAAGTATGCCAAGCAAGGTATGGAATGAGAGGAAGGGTTACATTGTCGAGCTACTGTTCTACTTCGGCATACTACTCTGCGTGTATTCAACATTGTACTTGTATAGTACACAGCGACGATTCTTTGCAAATGTAAAACTATTGACTTCGGACTGGGTCTAGAGGAATGAGAATCGATGATCGATGAAAGTATTGACCAAAAGGAGCGAGATGTGGTACTGCACGATGACTGAGAAATAAAGGACCAGTTGCATGCTCCTATGTGGCAGGAATGTGGGTATGTAGATGTCATAGAGTAGTAAGGAACGAGAATAGTAATATGCTTGGTCCTTGTGGTTCCTTGCTGAGGTTCGTTCAAGCTGAACCCTGCGGAATCCACTAATATATCATTGTTGAATCTGCCGTGACAAGACAAAGCCAGGACGAGATGGACGTAGGAAGCGCTTGCTGGCCCTCGCTTGATATGTTGAAGAATGCTGCTTTGGCTCTATTACGTATTGTTCTTGAGTCTGTAGACGCCTCCGCCCACATCAACATGGCGTTGAAAAGAAATTGAGAGGTGGTAATCGCTACTGCTCTAAGTGCCTTGCATCTCAAGAGACAGAACCCTGCAAGTGGAAAGGTGCGATAAACAATAAGAAAAGATGATCGTAATGGTCCTGGCCTCCTGTTGGTATCCGTGAAACTCGCCCAAATGTGCTGCCCCAGCTGCCAGTTTCTCGTATGATATTGTTTCCGTTCCTCGTCACCATGATTCACGCCATTCTCTTTTGCTGGTCTTTTGGACAGTGCTGTATTGAGGCAATGCTGAAATGGCCCAGGAATCATCTCCAGAGCAATAGCAAGATAAACCCAGATCAATTCTAGAAAGAGACTTTTGCGTCGAAGAACAATCCATCGTCCGGCAATCCATCGAATAATTGTTCGAGTCTTTCCATCCTTCCGAAATGCCCTCCAAGCTCAAATCTGATCGACCGTCCCAAACTCCATGCCATGAGTAAAGCCCCAATCCGGTTCCACTGCCCTTACGCACAAATCGATCGCAGGGTTTCTTGCCAACGTGGTACTTTAACGGTGCTGCCGGGTGAGTTAGAAGGTCGCTCTGGTCAGATCCCTCATCGAAGCTCCATTTCAAATCACGCACCTTGACGAATCCAATGTCAGCTGCCTTCTCACGGAAGCATTGACGGCAGATGTTCAGGCCATATTTTCTGATAAGACCGGCCTTGTGGGTGCAGACACGGCTGCCACATCGTTAGCTCTCTTCTGCACGCATTATTGCCCTTCCCTAATTCCTCCATTCCCACTCCCCTCCTTCCAAAACTATACTCCAAGGAACCAGATTGTAGACGTACCAAGCGCGGGCTCCCTTGCCGTAGGTTCGGGGACGTGAGTTCCAAACGGATTCGTGGGACATTTTGGCGACTTTTAGAAGATCTGGAGTGGCAGTGTGGTTAGGAAGAGATCCAAAGTAAATGCGCGCTTCTGGAAAATTCGCAGACGAAGGACGGGAGATACATACTACGCGGAATGCGAAGTGTCTTGACTGGGGCGTTTGAAGTTGTTAATGACCGTCGTTGGGAAATTTCGAGATACGATCAGGAGTGTGCGGCGATCAGTTGAGGAAGAGCGAAAAGCACCAGTTGATTGGCTGAATTAACGAATGCTCTCGGTGAAACGTTATTACAGGCCGACGCTAAGGAGTTTGGTCTTGTCCGACGCCCACAGGCCCTCATGTCTCCTCATCCCTCGAGCGCCATTCACAAAATATTATATCCAGGTTCGAATTTTGAAGGTTCTGAGTTTAAGAGTAAATTAGCTCGTTTCTACGACTCTGGTATGATTATAGCGATACAGTTATTCTCTCGTTCCACCAGAATTAGGTGCCTAGGTATCACTGCGTCCTAAACGTGACCTGTCGACTCTTCAGCGTTGAAGAACCATTCGGTCAAGAATCGTTGCATCCGTCGGCCATGAGGCACAGCATGAATAGTATTGCCAACAATGTTTTTTTCCAGGCCGCAAAGCACTCCATGATATCCTCAATTACGCGAACAAGATTCGCGAAGCGTTGGCAGATAGAGGATGGTAAGAGAGGCAAGCTGCATTTCGATTTGCTTCGGGTCACATACAGCAACATTTCATCCGAGCGATCAATGCTCTAGGTACACCAGTCAACCACTCATAAATGAAATTCGTAGTGAAATCTTGCCGTGGTCTGACTGGATACATTATCGATGATATTGGAAAGGATATGATATCTAACTTAATTAACTATCTTTTGTTAGGTCTAGGTCCATATGAAATGGTGATATTTATGAATGAGCCTTGTAGTAATATCAACATGGGAAGAAGTTGGCGGGGATCAAATTATCCAGAAAGGATCTAGAAAAGATGCTGAATAGTGAATTCTAAAAGCGCCCCAACTCAGACAGGCTTACGCATACGTATCTGTCGACGAGTTCCAGCAACAGACGCGAGCTTCCCCAGTATCAAGGAAGTGCTGATTGGCTAATCCAGGTGTCGGAGTTTCAGCCTCGAGAAGCTTGGGCAGACACCAACCCCTGTTGCGCTAAAGATGGAGCTTGGCCTCGCAAGCTCCATCATCTACCTCGTTCGTTTGTTGATGGGCATGATAACATCTATATAATTGTCGCACTGCTTGTATTTTATCTGCACATTATTGGACAGCTAGCTGTCGAGTCTGCGACCGCATTACAATGTCTTTATTCGGATCGTCTCCTGACCAACCAAGTCCAGCGCAAGCTTCCAAGTCCCGGAACTCCCTCTTCGATGACGAGCCTAGTCCAGCTCCTGGATCGAAATCTTCCTTATTCGCAGACGATGACAGTGCTCCAGGATGGGGTATGCCAACTCCAAAAAAGGCTGGCCGGGGGGAGGTAGTGAAGAATCTGCTGCCAGCCGGCGCAGTGCCTGACAGTTACATCGATATATTTGACAGCCTAATTAATGGTGGAGATGGCAATGGAGGAAAGCTCACTTCCTCAGGAATAACAAAAGTCTTGAGCGCTAGTAGAGTCGGTGCTGATGAGCAAAGCCGTATCGTGAGCATCATCACATCTGGATCGCAGCTGTCGGATATCTCCAGGAATGAGTTCAATGTTTTACTTGCTTTGATTGGGTTGGCACAAGAACATGAGGACATTACGCTAGATGGTGTTGACGAAAGACGAAGGAGTTCGTGATTTTCTTGTCTGGGACTTATTGGCGTTTGCTTATCTTCCTGCAGATCTTCCAGAACCCAATCTACCTAGCTTCTCCACCGCAATCCCTGGAGTCGAAGACCTCGCTGCAAAGCCTCCCCAGCGACCTGCAACGCCTCCTCCAGCTCCGGTATCCGTCTCCCCTCAGAAGCCTCGTACAATGAGGAAAGATTCGATTGACTTCCCAGAGGCGGACCCATGGGGCAGTCCAGCAATGCACCGAGGTCATAACCACGAAGAAACACCACAAACTAACGGAGCATCGGGGGCAGGAAGTAATGGAAGTCGTCCTCCGGTCAGGACGACAAGTACCTTCACAACTACATCAACTGCAGGAACCAACGGGACTTCAGATCAGCCTGTGGAGGACAACGCTTCAGCTCCCGTGACTGGTATATGGGGGTCTTATGATGGAAGTCCAGGCGAATCTTATCGCGTGTCCAACGACTCTACACTGGGTGGTGACGGATTCGGGCCTTCTGGAGGCGGTGGTGACCGCCCTGGTGCAAGTGCTCCCAACCGATCTTTTGGTGGCGGGCGAGTATCAGGTGCAGGCGTTGAAGAGAACATTGTTATTACCCTTTTACCAGAGAAGGAGGGGATTTTCATGTTTCAGCATCACAACTACCAGGTAGTGAGTGCTCGGCGGGGAAGCAAGGTCGTTAGAAGGTACAGCGACTTTGTATGGCTCTTGGACTGTTTGCAAAAGCGATTTTCCTTCCGGCAATTACCTTTGCTTCCTCCGAAGAGAGTTGGAGGTACGTAAAAGACACTGTCAATATTCAATATGGCATGCGCCAGTCTGGGTCAAGATGAGGATTCTTCCATAAGATGCGCGTGCCAGCCATGTACATCTATGATTTGCGTCCGACCATCTTTATTTTCTTACGCGCATTTGGCGCGAGTCATTGAATACTTGCTAATAAGTAGCAGTCAACGGAAACCACCTTGCCGCCGACAACACATTCATTGAAAAGAGACGCAGGGGATTGGTCCGCTTTTCGAACGCTCTTGTCAGACATCCAGTTTTAAGCCAAGAACAATTAGTGATCATGTTTTTGACAGTTCCAACTGTAAGCCCTGAATACTCAGGTTAGGTGTTATCTGGCTAAGTTTAAGCTAATTAGCACCAGGAGCTTGCCGTATGGCGCAAGCAAGCTACTATATCAGTTCAGGAGGAGTTCACTGGTAGACCACTGCCCCCAGGACTGGAAGACTCCCTTCCACCGACTTTGAATGAGCTCTTCGACCGGACAAGAACCGGCGTACGTCGATCAGCCGAGGTGTACATTAACCTGTGTAATCTCATGGATCGCCTCTCGAAACGGAATGAGGGACTTGCCGCAGACCAATTAAGGCTGTCACTATCTTTGCAGTCGTTGATCGACTCGTCAGCAGACACATACGCAACAGACACCAACGACGTGCCCCTTCTGAACGAAGGACTTAACGCTACAGCGAAGCATCTCTCAAATAGTCAGACACTTTTAGAGGACGAGGCAAGAGCTTGGGATCAAGGTGTACTAGAAGACTTGAAGAGGCAGCGTGATGCTTTGGTCAGCGTGAGAGACATGTTCGACCGACGCGATCGATATGACAAAGACAATATTCCATACCTCGAACGTCGGATCCAGAACAATGAGACCAAGCTCGTCACCATTCGTGCAAAGCCAGAAGGTCTGGTAAAGCCGGGAGAGATTGAAAAGGTGACTGAGGCTATCATCAAAGTAAGTCTACGGCCCAGATCTTGGGAACATTGCTAAAAATTTTGCTAGGACAAGGAATCAATTGTAGCTCAACATGCCCGAGGTGTATTTATCAAGGAGTGTATCCGCGATGAGCTCATCTTCTTCCAGCAGTCGCAATATCATGTCAGCCGTTGGAACCAGGACTGGGCGCAAGAGCGCGTCAAATACTCTGAGCTGCAAGCAGATAACTGGAAGCAACTGCACGAGGAACTGGAAAGTATGCCGTTGGGCGATTAGGTATTTTTATTGCTTGGAAGATTGTGCAATGGGAGGATTAGTGCATATAGTTGTTGCTGCGCATGCATGATTGACAGCGGCATGGACTTTGGCCTTTGGTAGATTGATCAGCGCTTGTATAGGTAGTTAAGGTTCATATCAACATGGGGGAGACTGGAGAATACTAATATCTTCTCCCAGAATAATTTGAAGCCGTTCTAATTATTCTGTCACGGACCCAGATAGATATTCCAGTATACAGTCGTTGAGGCGCTACCTAAATGTATTTGCTTGGCTGACCTCGAGTCGGTGGAGGCGGTAATTATTGAAAAGCTGAACTCGGGTCGTCACGAATTACCCCGCCTCCTATTCACCATTTCTTAGTAGGCAGCCTCACGGATAATACTCGGCGAATTGATAAGACGGCTATCGACAACCCACCCTTCCTCAAACGCGTCCGCCATGTCATTAAGTTCTCTTTCCTCTACAACTTCGACCTACACGCCTGCGTGGCAGCAGGAAATCAACAACATGACGTCCAAAACAACCCAAAAGTCTCTGATTGCCCAGTTCATTCAGTTTACTGGCGCAAATGAGAAGGTAGCTTCGAGGGTAAGTTTGTTGGTGGGCGAACCAGTGGAGAACGATGAAGCTGACTAGCAATTTTTATAGGCCCTCAAGGCCACCAACTGGAAACTTGACCAGGCTTGTGATAGGTAAGCCAGTATCTCATATGTATTTCGAAGGCGAGAAGTATGTTGCAGAAAGGGGCATTGGAATGGAAGGCACCGCACATTTTTGGAACGCCTCAACGCAGTCTGCCCGTCAATACATTGTTCCGCGACCCGATTTCCTACTTCCACGCCCCGATCCATTCATCCTTCGAAATACTAGGCGACTCTGAAGACAATTCAGCGAATTTATTCTGCACATAGTCTCACGGAAGCGGATGGACAGTGGTTCGGCTAGACATGGATGGTGACCCCGCGATCCTACTTAAGCTTCTCCTGGAATGTATGGAGGTCGCATGTCATACCGTTTGGGAAATAGGATTGTCTTCTGTTCACTTCCATGGGAGATTGGGCTGGACTGGGTCCAAAGTTCGCACGCCCCTCACTAGACAGCCAGATCTATGCTATCGATGCACACTGTGACAGCATAACATTTCTCGAAGACGTAACCTAACAATTCGAATGGTTGCAACTCTATGGGGCAGTCTTCCGCGAAGTTGATAGCATGAGAATACAAGCTGAAGGAAGAGTACCCGAAAAAATAGCCGGGTGATGAGATAATTCTCTCCAGGTTCCACATTATCTGGATACAAAATCCAATGACTTCTGCTATTTGGCTCCTGTCAAACAACCACGGATGAGCCTACGTCAACTCATGCGTTAGAGTCCACTCGTGGGGCTCCTCCGCGTCTTCTTTTTAGATTTCTCATTACAACTGTTGCGATTTATTTCACACCGACACTCCAAGTAGACAAGGAGAGCCTTTGCTTCCACAGCGAATCTACATTACCAATTCTTGGGGGAGCGTTAAATTCTCAGTTGAATCCTGTTACTAACTGCAACCGACATAGTTACTTTACTTCAATCGGCTCAGCACCTCTTAAGACTGAAGATAGTCTTGGAAAGTTGTTCGAGAAGTTTCGGGGTAAGGAGACAGCTAAAGTTATGAGACATTGAGCCAGCTAACACTTCACTATAGAGCCATCGGACGAAGAGGGTGTCGCTACGGTCAATGGCACGATGAGATATCTAAACGAATTGGGCGTCAATTTGGAAAATGCAGAGATCTTGGTCGCACTCGAAATCATACAAGCCCCAGCTTTGGGAGAGATGTCAAAGGAGGCTTTTGTGGAAGGATGGAAGAAGATTGGGTGCGACCTTCCTCAGACTCATGCATCGTTTTTAAGCTGATTTTCTAGAAATGCCGACACAATCACGAAACAAAAGTCACATGTTGCCGGCCAAATCCAGCTATTCTCAACCGATATGACGGTATTCAAACGAGTCTACAAGCATGTCTTCGTTTGTGCAAAAGAGAAAGGCCAAAAGGCACTCCCACTCGAAAATGCAATCGTCTACTGGGAAATGCTTTTTACTCCACCTGGCATGACCTGGGCCACACCCTCCACTAACTGGATCCAATTGTGGGTTGAGTTCCTAAACACGTCGTGGACGAAGAGTGTCAACAAGGACATGTGGAATCAAACAGCACACTTCTTCGAGAAGACGCTGCAAGATGAAACCATGAGTTTTTGGAGCGAGGATGGAGCGTGGCCTGGGGTTATTGACTCGTTCGTAGAATACGTCAAGAAGAAGCGAGGAGACGTCCCCGACACCATGGAAACTGATTAGAGATATTTAGATGTCGTCAAGGTCTCGGATGGCCTTTCCTTTTGTTTGCTCAGCGGGCTGCACGATGGCGTCTTTGCGGGAACACTGGGGTTAGATTCCACATAAGCATTATGATTGATGGCATTTATGAACCCTTCCTGTATCCGTTGATGGCTTGTGATATCCATTCCAGATGCACATTTAATCATACACTGCGCCCCTATTTCGCCATGCAATGCTCTGTTGTACATCCAGTTCCGCTCAGAACTCCTCTCTCGTGTCCCAGGGAATCGAGCCTCCAATCCTACTCGATTTTTCCAATGTTCCATCACCAAGCTTTACCGTACTGAATTTGATCATTCGCGGATCCAAACCCAGCGTCTTCCTCACATCGTCTTGTATCTTGCTTGAAGCGTCGTATCTCATAATAAAGTAGTGACCATCACTGTACTGCGCTTGATGCTTTCGCGTGCGCTTGGGCAAACTCCAGACTCCCCAGTTCTTAATGCCTCGTATCGTGCCTCCGTTCTTCAGGATGAGGGAGCCGGTTGTGCGTGCAATTCTGATGTTCTGTTAGTCGTCGAGTTGAAGTGAGATTGTGAGGGCGCACTCTTTGACCTCCATAAGATTATGGGGCCGGACCTGCAGCTGTTAGACTCTGACTCTAGGAAGTAAGTTATATATATTTGTGTTACTTACAATTGCTATGAGCTCATACAACATCTTGACGGCGACATTCGTGATGGTGCTACGACGATTCTCCTGAAGTTGATATCGGCTGGCCCAAATTTAAGCCCACGGGGAACAGTTTATCCGATCCCGAAAAAAAGTTGGGTGGAGCGCACGATTACGATTCTCGATAAGAAATTTATCCAACGTTTCCCTCACACCACTTCAACAACAAGTCGTGAAGGCTACTACGAGTGAACATGTCCAAACGCCCGGCGGAAGAGTTCGAGACTGGAGGGGTGTCACTCAAGGGTGGTGAACGTCCCGAAAAGTCAACGTTGGATGACGAGGTGGGAGAGTTTGAAGATGAGTTCGAGGATGAATATGAGAGTGAGGACGAGATTCTAGAGGCAGGAGTTGATGGCAGACCTGATGAGGAGAGGGAAGCCGAAGAAAAAGCTGGTATGTAGATTCCGGAAAATATTGTGCCTTGGGCGCACAGTAGAAGCATATACTTATACAATCCTAGAAGCCATGGACGTTGACCAGCAGACATTTATTGTTGGCAGAAATAAGCTGGAACCAGGCCAGACTTTGTCCCCCGATCTATCGACATACGAAATGCTGCACGCGTTAAGTACACCATGGCCATGTCTATCCTTTGATATTGTCAAAGATAGCTTAGGAGACAACCGGAAAACATACCCCGCCACGATGTACGCAGTTGCTGGAACACAGGCAGAAGGCAGGCGAGCAAAGGAAAATCAATTGATGGTTCTGAAGTTTAGTGGTCTCAGTAGAATGGAGCGAAATCAGGATGATGAGGATTCTTCAGATGACGAGGACGAGGATGCGGACCCAATTCTGGAATCTGCGTCGATTCCGTTTACATCCGCCACGAATCGCATCCGCGCTCACCAAATACCTGCATCAAACTCCTCCAAACCCCCAACCACTTTGACTGCATCTATGACTGAAGCTGGTCAAGTTCTAATCCATGATGTTACCCCTCACCTCGCATCTTTCGATACCCCTGGAACCGTCATTACCCCGCAGCAAAATAAACCACTATCAACACTCAAGATGCACAAGTCGGAAGGATACGGTATCGATTGGTCCCCTCTTGTGTCGACCGGGAAGCTCGTTACCGGCGACAACGACGGCAAAATTTACATTACAACGAGAACAGATGGAGAGCGCTGGGAAACCGATTCGCGTCCGTTTACCGGCCACACTGGAAGTGTCGAGGAGCTGCAATGGAGTCCGTCCGAGAGAAATGTATTTGCTTCCGCATCAAGTGACGGTACCATCAAGGTTTGGGACGTGCGAAGTAAGAGTAAGACTGCGGCGTTGAGTGTTCAAGTCAGTGACACGGACGTCAATGTCATGTCATGGTCTCATCAGACGTCACATTTACTCGCCTCCGGAGCAGATGATGGAGTTTGGGCAGTCTGGGATCTCCGTCAATGGAAGCCCAGCACCTCCTCTGCCTCTCCGAGACCCACGCCAGTAGCAAGTTTCAACTTCCACAAGGAGCAAATTACAAGTGTGGAGTGGCATCCAACGGACGACAGTATCGTAGCAGTCGCTGCTGGCGATGACACGTTGACCCTGTGGGATCTAGCAGTAGAGCTCGACGACGAGGAAAGCAAGGATACTGGTGGTGTGACAGAAGTCCCTCCCCAGTTACTTTTCGTCCACTATATGGAGAAGGTCAAGGAGTTGCACTTTCATCCACAAATACCCGGCTGCTTAGTAGGTACCGGCGAGGCTTTCAACGTTTTCAAAACCATTAGCGTATAGACATGGGTACAAGAATGGCCTAAAAATTGTAATGCCAAGCTCTGGTAATCTTGTCTTTTTTTCTGCCCTTTTCGTCTCGTCTGTTTCTTACGAAGCCCTGAAAGCAGATGCTCTGTTGACCTCCTACTACATTGGGTAGGTCACATCGACTAGTCAGCTTTCGATAAAGAGTGGTTGACGTGTGTTGAATCAGTCGATTGCTCAGCGCAATAGGCTATGGGGATCACATCATTCTCAATTGGAAGGTCGCAACGCGAACGCCCCCTCATGTACAAAGTGAAGTGTAACGGAAGCCGCCGGAAATCTTTAAACGCCTTCAAAAACCAACCCAACCGCTGGGAAGAGGCACGCCAAAATGCCTCATGACAAGAGAAAATTATCAGCGGTGAAACTTGTAGGCAAAAGAAAGTGCAAGTCAGGAGACTTCCACACGGTATTGCACAATTTTTTTGAGGCTGGAGATCATCTCCGCTACAAGATGAAGGCTGCAAAATACGGTGGTGGCAAAGTCACAGAACAGAAAAACAAACCGGCAAGCAAATCCGGAACCAGTCCCCTCATAAGGATCGACGACTTTCCCCGGTTTTTGAAGTAATAAACGCACATGAATGGCGCGGATCAGCTCTGGACCCTAGGGGTTTTCCCCTGAAGCACTCTCGGGAGTCGGTAGAAAGCCGATCTTTGCTCTCTTTGGTGGCTGAACCCAGTTCCTTTTTGCATTTTTGCAGGCAGGGGCGGCGCATGTCAGCCTCAAGTAAACGTAGAAAGTTTCCTCGCAAAAGCAATATGGTGCAGAATGCCTGGAAATGGTCTGGACTTTGTTCGTGGATGTGACACCAGTCACCAATGCAGCACTGATGCACCAATAGAGCGCCTTGCAACACGCTGCGTGGTTGGCGCTCGTGACGGAAATCATCTTCACGATGTAGGGGAAGGATTGGCTACAGGCAGTCTGCAGGCCCCCCTGCGGAAAAAGCTGTTTCCCCGCAAATTTCCATGGCTGTGGAACTCAGAAAATGCGGGATACCAGATGGATGGCTGGGGAGATGGAGCATGAGCCCAAGGAGCCCAATCCTATTCTGTCTCGTTGTTCCACCTCCACATCACTATTCCATAAGCACTCCCTCCTTGTCAGCTCTCCTGTCGTTCTTCTCCTCGCTCTCCTCTCTTCTGGTCATACAGAAGGTCAGCATCAACTACCGCCAGCGCTGCAGCTACCCTTCAAAGGCCTCACCAAATGAGCGAGTGCAACCAAGTATTAGTCTTTGTGGAGGAGATGAAATCGCCTATCTAACAGGGAGAACTGGAATACTACCCCGACTGCAATCCTCGACCACACGTGAGCGTGAGCATGGTACACATCTTCCTGGACAAAGAGTCTTCTAGAGAAACCTTTGCCTTCAAATTCTCCACGAGTCCATCACTCAAGTTCTCCTTCGACCAGCCAATATCAGTCCCGATCCCATCAAACCGACCCTTCAAACGTCGTCGAGCTCTCTCTGATGTCGATGGAGAGGGAAATGAAGGGCGGAAGAAGAGACGTTTGAGGTTGCATCTCATCACCTCCCGTCTAAGCCGTCCGTTCTCACAGCCGGCATCCAATATTGTCAACCGTGGTCTCAACAAGATACCAGTTTGGGGAGCCAAGAGCAGAGCGCTGAGCAAGAACCTTTTGAGGAAGGCCGCAATCATGAATCGAGTACGAAAACGAATGGATGCTGCGAGAGACTTTATCCGTATGGAGCAGGAGAAGACTAGAGAGAGAATATCGTTGCGAGAGATCGTTTTCCAGAAGCCTCGATGTCTTGAAGCACCACTTCCACCATCTCCGTTAGGCTTGTCCAACTACGATGCGTTGGACTTAGAGGACGAAGAGTCGGGGGACTGGCAAACGGACGGTCTCGATAGCCTCGACAAGATGATATATAGCGACTTCAATATCATGAATCCCATATCGGACAGAGACGATGATGCTCTCGATGATTATCTAGACGCTTTGGACGGTATCTCGCCGCAAGATTTGCCGGACACTCCACCGGCGCCACCGGAGGAAGAGTGTATCGTTGAGATGTTGAGAGAGGATTGCCAAGGCGAAGGGTTCTTCGTCCAAATCAGAGACTGAGGCATCAAAAGAATGACCTAGGACAGCAAGGGCGGTTTTGCAGCTGTTGTCCCTTCAAGGATAACATGAATATCGGAAAAGGTTCTCGGGGTTTGCATTGGGGGCAGCTTTAAACGGTCTGGCGTCCACAAAAATCGACCATAGCCAAGGAAGAAGAGTGGTTGCATGTAAGGATGGACTTTGGTTGAGGAATTCAATGGGATACTTTAGCTTGGACAAAGTCCTAGCCTATGACTCAATGTCCGGCATTCGAAATATGTCCGATTTCTAGGCCCGACTTTGATGGTGATACTCGAAGATGTAGAGGCTTCTCCCAAGCAGGAGTCAACGAAAAGCTCGTAACACATCCGTAATACGTGATATTGAGGGCCTGCAGAATTATTCAGTAGAAGCTACCTTATATGAAATAGAGCAGTGCAGTATCCCACAAGGACTGGGTTGCGTCAACAACTAGCCAGATGGTCCGATGTTCCTACTTCGAGGCACAGCATGAGCAAAGCAAGAATGCAAAAGCGCGAGTTCAAACATATTCATCAAATAATAAACCTTTCCTTCTTGTACAAACATAAAGCATTCTCAGAAAGTGGGTTTGGTAAGTGAGACTTTGAAGGGTTTGTACCTCAAACCAGAAAGCAGGTTTGCTTCCATCGTGCACTTCCCTGGAATTAACTTCGCAGTGGTCAAAATATTCTAATCACTATCAACTGGCCGTTCGCTGAATGGCTATTGGTTGATCAGTACTTGAAATGCATCTCTCGCGCTTCCCAGCAACCAGCCTTCGCCTTCAAGGGAGCTCGAATCCTCGCATCGGGCCAATGACCGCGCTAAGTCCGAATGTAGATTAGCTTCATATATTTTGAAGAACTGCACCGCCAGAAGACAGCATCGTCAAGTTGATGCTGCGCCAAGGTCCAGAACTCGATATTCGACGTGATTCAAGATGTTGTGCTCAAGTATGTTATTTCGCGCAGTATGTCAATTACTGTTGAACGCGACTGACCATGTTTAGTATCTGGAGAAGCTCCTCAGCATCCCGTAGCATCGAAATCAGGTATGCCAGCAGTCGACCATTGAGTCAATAACGCGACTGATCACTATTAGGCAATGTTTTCGAAAAGCGCTTGATTGAGGCATATATCTCGGAAAACCACAAAGATCCTGTTACTGGCGACGATTTGGAGGTAGAGGACCTCATCGACCTCAAGTCCGCCAAAATCGTCACTCCTCGACCTCCTACTCTCACCTCGATTCCTTCCCTTCTCTCAACATTCCAAAATGAATGGGATGCGTTGGCACTCGAAACATTCACCTTACGGCTATCGCTTCAGCAAACGCGACAAGAACTGACTACTGCGCTTTACCAACATGATGCTGCAGTTCGTGTGATCGCCCGCCTCACTAGAGAACGCGACGAGGCCCGAGATGCATTATCGAAGGTCACAATTGGCACAGGAAGTGCTAGTAATGGAGATGCGATGCAGATTGATAGTCAAGGTCTTCCAGAGGAGTTGGCAGCTAAGGTTGATGCCGCACAAGAAAGGTATGCTACAGTTGTGATGTGCTGGCTTAACCATGCTAAGAATTCTGCAGACTTTCCAAGAGCCGTCGGAAGCGACCTGTGCCAGACAATTGGGTTGATGCGGATACTGTTGAGAAGTTTGGTGTTGCCAGTGCATCGAGTGCCCTTTACTCTGGTGCTACATCTCTCGCCTTGGACGAAGCTGGAAAGCTGGTAATTATTGGTGGAACCGAAGGTGTTGTAGGGATTTACTCGATCCCGGAGGAGAAGGTGCAACAATCGTTCAAGGCTGGAAGTGCGGTCACAGATGCTGTTTGGTATGGAAACCAGCCTGTTGTCTCCACGACGTCTGGTGCCGTGAAAGTGTTTGGGGAGAACGAGATGACTTTCACATCCCACGCTGGAAGTGCAAATGGCCTGGCATTGCACCCAAGTGGTGATATTCTGGCATCCGTGGGTGTTGATAAGAGCTTCGTGTTTTACGATCTACCTGCTGCAAAAGCTGTCACGCAGGTCTATACTGATTCAGGTACAGATTGCTCCCTCTCTCCTCTCTTCGTGAGCTAACTTCAGAGTAGGACTCACTGTTGCTGCCTTCCACCCAGATGGTCATTTGTTCGCTGCTGGTGGTACTGATGGCCAAATCAAACTATTCCACGTCAAGACCGGTGAAAGCGCCGCCAACTTCGAACTGGGAGGCCCAGTGCAAGATTTGGTCTTCTCCGAGAACGGTATTTGGTTTGCTGCTGTTGTAGAGGGATCCAATAGTGTTGTCATATTCGATCTACGGAAAGAGGGTGAAGCAGCTAAAGCAAAGGTGCTGGAAATTGGGGGACAGGTCGACACTATCAGATGGGACTACACTGGCCAATTTCTGGCTGCTGCCGGACCTGGAGGACTCACTATTTCGCAATATACGAAATCGTCGAAGTCATGGTCGGACGTCATCAGTACCGCTGTTCCAGCAACCGCTCTCGAGTGGGGACCGGAGGCGAGGACATTGGCTACCGTGAATGGTGATGGAGTTGTAACAGTGCTTGGATGAGAGTTTGGGTAACGGAGTTCGGGCTTTGACTTATAGCTTGCGGCAAAAGCAATCTCTGGACAGTCTTTCTTGCATGTAATTCTAGAGAGCCTACATACCGGGTACGGAAGCACGATGGCAAAACAATGGAATGATACCTAACTGTTGACGCGTTGGATACAACTGCCTGGACTGTCGAAGTTGAAACGTGAGTCACAACTCAGGAAGTTCTCTCTGTCTCTAGTAGCACAAGTAGTTACAGGCTGAGGCATCCTTTAATGCTTTTCTTCGCTCGCAGTCGTCCACCTGTACCTTCAGGGTTGGAAAGGATGCCAAGCTGTACAACTTGAGTGGCAATAAGAAATACCTCTTAGATCGTTTCTTTCAAACATCTGGTCACACATTCTTACTAATGGCAGATCGACTACCACAGTACTGGATAATATCGTTGTTTTGGTCGGCGCCTCGTCATTATCAATACCTCGCCATGCTTCATGGCAGGTCAGGGGCCAAGAGGCTCAAGCACGGTACAAATAGGCGATTCAGACACTGGACTTATGCAGCACATGGGCTGCCTTGAAACGGAAAGTCGAAGAAGCAAAAACATTGTAACAACGGAGACAGCTTACAGTTTTATCCTGACAACTGAAAATCAAAGAACAAGATGTCAATCATCTCCCTTCATAATTGTCTCGTTCGTATCTTAGGAAGGGCCGCCTCGCTGATGAAAGTCTCATAAACAACCATAGGTACTGAAGAACTCTTTACCTTGGTTGGGCTTGATATTTTGCGATTCTTCAAAACCAGCCAGACTGAAAAGTGAACAAAATGAGAGAATATGCTTTACCTTGGAGGGGACTGACAATCACGTTCTACAGTATCCACCACCTACCAGGTACCTTAGACACCTGGGTAGCAACGCATGCTGTGAGTGATTGGGCCTAGCCAGGCAAAGACGGACCCTTAACGCCGAAGAGCCCGCTAGCAACTCCATGCCGCTGTGAGATCACAGATCATACAACAACAAATCGACCGACTCGCCCCTCGACATTCGTCCCTCAAAATCCTGTCTAGGTCTTCACGAGCTGAACCACCAGCAAGTCTTTCGATACTCTATACATCTACTACTTAACAAAGGTCGAGACACTCATTGTGATGGACGGATGGCAGCCAGAACCTCAGCGCCACAAGGTGAAGACCCACCACCAGTTCACCTTAAATCCACCAGGCCTCTCGAGCAATGCTAACGTGATGACACAACCGCAGAGATCCTTCACTGAAATGTCTCATTCAGCAACACTCTCACCTTCACCCATCGGATTCATGGGACCTGCGAGCTTCTTTTCGGCTCCTCGATTCCCTCCCTCATCCGCCAACGAGAATCTGGAGCGTAGACGCACCTCACACCCACACAACTCGTACCTCCAACCTCGAGCCTCCGAAGAAATGTCGGACAGACTTCAATCTCAACAACAACAACAACGGCCTCGGCTCGAGCACAGGGCGTCACAAACAATCATCGATCTCACTGACGAACCCGAGGATTCGCCCGCTCCTCCTCGCAATGCACAAGCCCGAAATCGATACTCACGACCTCCTCAACTTGGACGAAGTGATGCTGTAAATTTGGGGGATCTGATCGATCTCACGGACGATAGTGTGGAGCAAGAGGTCATTTTCACTGGTGAGAGACAGCTACCAGCCCAAGCGGCTCGCCCCCGTTCTCGTGTGGTTGCCAGGCCCGCCGCTGCTGCTGCTCGTGCAGATTCGCCGTCCCTCTTCTTACCAGCACGAAACCCACCAGCAGTAAATCAGGGGAGATTCAATGGCCTTATACCTCAAGGTATGGCGTTTGGGGACCTGCTTGGGGGTTTTGATGACCATAGAGCCGCTTTGGGTGCGGGGATGGGATTTGGCCGTTTTCCGCGAGACTTTATGGATCAACTTGATATGGCACAAATGGCTCGGAACGGTCAAGTACAGGCAATGCCACATGCTCTAGACTATCAACACGCCGCATTTGCAGAACAAAAACCAGAACACATTCCCCCTCCAGCAGCCAGGCCGGGCTTCACACGATCCACAAAAGAAGACCATATTCTGGTGTGCCCCAGCTGCGAGGAGGAACTTGTTCAGAACAACGAAGTTGAGGAGCCTGTCTTCAAGAAGTCTGGTAAAGCCCCCACGAAGAAGGAACGGGAGGAGCATCCATTCTGGGTTGTCAAGGATTGCGGTCACGTAAGTTGACGTTTCAGTTAATAATTCTCAGTCACTGACAAAATTGTAGGTCTACTGTAACGCTTGCTTCCAAGTTCGTGCCTCAAGTGGAAAGACTGGCTTTAAAGAATCCACAAAAGTCGGCAAAAAGGCCAAGACTTTTACTTGTGCAGTGGAAGATTGCGACTCGGATATCAAAACTAAAGAGAAGTGGGTGGGAGTGTTCCTTTGATGGTGGTAGTTCTCTTCGTTCACGACCTCACGCCATCAATTTCGTAGTTTCTAATAGGGCATAGCGGGTTGAGGTCTTTCCTATGTCTTTGCATCGCATTTGCACGGTGGGAGCATGGAGTTCTGGGAGGCAATTAGGGGATGGATCATGAGGGTACATTTCCATTCGGCGCTCGGGACAATTTCTTGCTCATTCTCAGGTGTTCAAGGAGGTACCCCGGGAAACGATACCAGTGCGGGTTTTTTACGGTCTTTGTGAGTATGCGACTCTACGTATTATACGCAACGAAGCTTTATGTCTGGGTTCCTGTATCCTATTGATGGTGCTTGTGATCTTGCTGTTGGCAGATCTCCGTTGCCTGCTAATGAAGTCGAAGATGATTCTTGAAATGACTGCGGGATATTTGGATCTAGATTCCAATTCCGATACGCAGTTCACACCACAAGATCATTGGGGACTGTGCTTCCTGAAATTTGTTACTCGGTCTGGCGTCACAGATCATGGTAAGTCTGTAGGTAGCTCGTCTTGTGTCTATTCTCTTTCCTGTTGCGTAGAAGATTCGTTCCTGCCAGATTCGGTCTTGTTGAAGGTCTGGTGCCTTCTTTCCTTCCTTCCTTCTTTCTTTCTTTCCTTCCTTCTGTCTCTTGGACCTTCAAACTCCTCTCTCCTGCTTCACATTCTACAAACCACCTTCAGATGGACTAGGGCTTCAACTTTCTACTTTTGATCAAAGCGAGAATCCGTCAACATATTGGCCTACTTTTTTTAGCTATTCTAGGAACCGTATCATCCCGGGCTACTGAGGGGCGTCTCGAAGCTGTATTTATCCGTCCTAGAACCCACCAGATGTTTAACTGCTGACCTGTGGAGCATTGTACAGAAAATATCGACAAATAGATCAAGATGTCTCTCCAAGAGCTGATGGAGCAATGGCAGGTCATGTCGGACCGGCGAGCGGAAGAGGACCGAGCAAGAGATCGAGCTCGGATCGCAGAAGACGAGAAGTTCGAGGCCACAAAGCAATCAAAGCTTAGTGCTCTCGTGGCTGAGCTTACTACACGAATCCCGAGCTACGAGTCTCGTTCTGCTGGAGCATTGAGGATGCTGAAGAGAGAGCAAGCAAATGAATTTACCCAATTGCAGATCAAGCACACAGCTCAACTGAAGGCTCTCCAGAAGAAGCAAGAAGACGAGATCGCAGCATTCCCGGAAAAGTACATACGAAAAGCAGAGGACATCGAGAACAATCTGAGGGCAGATATACAGTGGGAATTGGACTTGATGCTGGAAGTTGAACAAGCTGTGTTGGAGAACACGCTGTCAGTCGAGAGAAAGCATCTTCTGGAAGCCAGGGACAGAGAAGACCGACTCCGAGAGCAGGCAAGAGCCTTGATTGACCGAGATTTGAATAGCCAAGTCCTTACAACATTCCGGCATGAAGCTTCACGCCAGAATCAGCATCGTCAAGTGACTGTCGCCCAATTAAATTCTGCTGAACGACCCTTAAAAAGCATTTTAAAGAAGCCTCGGGGTATATCGGTCAATAGTGACGGCACAACAACACTTCTTTACTTCGAGGATGGGACCCGGGAGGACCGCCAGAGTAAAAGAGTCAAGATGGAGGGGTCCTCAAGGAGAACCAGAGCCGTGGATATTCTGGATGAGAACGCTACCTTGTTCCCATATCGTGAAAACAAGAGTCCCGCGAACACCACGAACGCCACAGTGACCTCGGTCGAGTTTTTGGCAAAGCTACATAAATCTCAATCATTATCAGCGAGCTAAATCATTCTACGACTTTAGACCCCGCGAGATATTTTGGGCTGTCACCCAGTGATGGAAGATATTATTGTGTTGCAGTGGTATTGACGCTGTCCCTTGCCGATGTGCAAGTCACTTTTGGGCCTCGGGGTTCACTTCATTGTATTCTAATGACTGAAGTATATAGCAAAGTTCCTGGAACTGTTACGAGTGGTATAAAGCTTTTGAGATCGACTCGCAGCAGTCTTCATGCTTTGCTCATCACTGCCAGATATTCATTTTTGGTCGATATGGAATAGCAGTACTTCATGTTTTGACAGTAGATTGGCATCTGAAATTTGTATTATTGCTCTTCGGCAGAGCCTTTGTCTCTTGATGCAATGTTCTCCGTCTTTAATAAGTGCATGTTGAAAGCTTGCTCCTCTATTGAAGCCTCGATCGAATCTTACCTTTGCTGTATCTTCACGTTCTGGCAGGAAATATTTGTAGACTCATCAGTTGAGCCATTGTTTTCCTTGCGGTAGTCTGTAGTTGCATCTTCAATGTTGTTCTCTCTACTGGCATTATGAAGTTACAAGCGGATCATGTTATGTCTTTGCAATGCCGGCAATGGGTCACGCCTTCCCAATCGGGATATTTGTTGATGCCTCGTCTATTTATTTTTCTGCCGTAATCGCGACATCCAGGACCACGCGCCGCAAAGTCTCGAAATTCGTGAAGAGCTGTTTCAACCTTCGCAAGCTGAGACCCATCCGTCCAAAGAACCTCCAATGTGCCGCTCGAGGTAAGTTCACTGACAAATCTGGTCTAATCAAATCAACCTTCCAGCTAACATCCATACAGCTACTAGGACAGAAACCATGTTTCCACCCACGTCATATCAAGCTCTGGAGCAACGAATGAGGCAGCTACAAAAGGAAAAGATCGATAGTCATGAGCGCTTGGAAGAGAAGTTCGAGGCTAAACGCAACGCACTACAAGCCCAGAAGACCAACAAGTTCTCCACGGCCGCGATTGAGGTTGCAGCCCAAGAGAAAGAGCTCGCAGAAGAACAGAAGATCAAAACCGAAAGTCTCAGAGCTAGACAGGCTGATGAGGTCCAAGAATTGCGCCTGCGTCACGCCAGTGAGTTACAAGGAAGAGAAAGGGAAGAAGAACTGGTAAAGAAGGCGCTAGTTGAGAAGATTGCTGCGGAGAAGAAGAAGCTTGAGAAAGCTTTTCAAGATGAGGCATCTGCGAGTGATACACAGATGAAACAAGAAACCCTGGAGCTAGAAGCTGCCTATCAAGCTAAGATCGAAGTGGTTAAGAATGACATGTTTGAGTTTCTATGCAGAAGGGTTCAGGCAACAGAGCCAGAGAAGGCAGGCCACATGGCAAGATCTCCTCACACATCTCACCTACAGCATCCGCAACCTGTTCACAAGAACGAAATTCCAGCCGTAAAATGCCCCAAGGACACTGTCGCGACAACAGCACTGAGCATTCGAGGCATGGCGGAGAAGAGAAAGCGTGGAAATAATGGCATCCCGACAGGCCTCAACAATGCCCACATCCTGCCGCCTCGGAACAGTCTAGCTGAAGGCACAACGATCAAGCGTGTGAAACTTTCCTCTTCAGCAACTAATCCAGATCAAAAGAAATTCTTTCAAGTAGTTTGCTTCCGTCACTACAAGCATGGCGAGCATAAATCTTGTAGGTATTGCAGATTCTCAGCAGTACTCTTACTAACCATCATCTAGCAGGACCACGCGACCTGTGGGAGTCTCTTGAGAAGAAGCTCTACCTACATATGGGAGTAGAGTTTCTCAGGCCAGTCGTAATTCAAGATGGTAATAGTGATACAGTCAGGGCTGCCTCTTGGTACCTCGAAATGTTCGACGTCAACCAAGTCCAATATTATGGTCCGCACTGCTTAACACGCTTTCAAATGAAATCTTTCTCTGTATGGATCCGATTCAAAAACAGGGATATATTGAACGAGTTTTTAGAAGCTCTTCAACAGTGGGGAGCCAGGGTATCTGTCCATGCCACTCCTTTCTCTGCGTAAGTGCTTACCTGAAGAGAGGCACCGAATACAAAGCTAACGTGGAAATCAGTCAATACCATGGATTCCCAACTGCCTTGTTGGAAGATCGTTTGTAATTCAAGATATTTAAATGTCCATTGGATCATAGACCTCGGAAGACAATTGGTCCACTGTATTTATATATTGACGGAGAACATTTGGAGAAGTTCGGTCAAGGGCATATCAATGTATGTGCAGCTCTCAGAGAGCTGTGGTGTTCTACAAGCAAGCGTTAGTGAGAACATTTTACTAGACCATGGTCTATAAGGTGTTGACTTTTGGTGGATCATTCTCTACCAATTTGGAGTCTCTATTGCTTTTCAGTCAGTGCAATGCAATTCGCGGTGCGCTCGGTAAGTGTGTTCACTGAGGATATACCAATATTAAAGCATATGGACGCTTGTGAAAAGTTGATAGAATTATGTGAGAACAGTCGGCAATCTGAAGTTCTTCCTACTGTGAATGAGAAACCTTTCGTAAATCGATGGTAATGCGATCTGCTATCTTTGCTGCTTCTGGAACATTTTCAATGCTGCTCAGCAAACGCACCTCCATTAAAACGCCCTGGCCATATCTGGCTTGAAATAGTTAATATCAATCATCTAGTAGAGAACATAGAAGTAGTGCCTTTATAAGAGTCAGTCACATGCTTCAGGCATCTCATATCGATAGAGTTGCAGACAGTTCTGCATATCCAGGAACTCCGTAACCCAGGTCGCTTTCCATTTATAACAATATAACAAGTAGAAAATCTGTTAGCTACCTCATAGTCGTATTCTTGTGAAATGTTTTGTGTCAACCGAAGGTGCTAGCCTCTTTGAATCGTGGGGCGGAGTGTTTATTTACTTCGCTTCCACTTCAGGAGGCACTGTTCTGAACAAACAAAAACAACGCGCTCCTCAATGTGTCGCGTTTACATATCTGTGATCCTACCCCTACTCAAGCTTAATAGTTCACTGATAACACGGTCAGTTGAGGAGTGAACTCCAAGCCCGAAACCTCAACTTAAGCAAACACTTTCTTCAATTTTGCGGCTGCAAGATATACCCACACCAACAGCTTTCGACGGCCATTGGGCGGGTAATCTACAGAAATAGAACGAATTCCAAGGCTCAAAGCCATCACGAGGCTTTCAAACCTCTTCAGAAGACACTCGCGAAACGACTTTGCTATAGCAAGTCTCGACCAAACTAAGCAAAGGTCTGTGAGACGAAAAGAATAGCAGCCATGGCCGACTCATCACCATACCAACATATAGAGAAGACATGGAGAGAAATCGAAAGGAAGAGGAGTCACGAGGACGCCGAATTCGACAAGTACGTACGAGATGTGCTGTCGAGCATCGATAATGAAAAGGAAATCAAGCTAGCTCAACACGAAGCTGACACCAAAACCAAAGAAACGGAATTGGCGGCGGAAGAGCAGGAGAAATCTAAGGAGTTGGAAGCAGCACATCTAAGAGAACGAGAAGCGCTTGATGCCCGACACAAGGCGCAGACTACAGATAGGGAGAGAGACCAGCAGGCGGTGATGAGCAGGCTGAGAGACGAGCGATCAACAGCTTGGGAACAGCTCAGAATTTTCTTTTCTAACAAGAAAGATAACGTTCAAAGTGGACTCGACTCCTGCAAGGCTACATTGAAAGCTGATAGGCTTTTCGAAGATGATGAGATCCAAAAGAATCTATTCAAGGCCATGGTTGAACAGAGCAACCAGACAATTGAGGTCGCATCATCTGGTGCAGCCTCCTCATGCGCAGAATTACCGCCCCAACGTATTCTCAACTTCAAGACAAGAATACCTGCAACATCTACCGAAGAGAAGCCCACAAGAGCAGTTGAGAAAGGGAGCGTTTCCACTGCTGATTTGCACACTTCCCGGAGCCGTGGAGCCAGCAGTCAGGTCACTCCCACAAAGCGCTCAATGGCCGAATCTCCGTATGAGAATATACAACCGCCCAGCTTGCGTCGTGCTGTCTCAGAGAACATCAGGCCAGCAACAGCTGAGAATGTACTCAATCTGTCCAGCCCACCAGCTCCTTCTAAGCTATTTGGTTCATCGAAGACTTCATTGCCAGTAACTCCATGCCGTCGACCCGCCAGTCCATCTTATCTAGTCCCTCCATCCTCCAGTTTCTCACAAGCGGCAATTCGAGCAACTTCCCAAGCTGCAGCACCTTCAACTCCGCTACGGATTAGCCGTCAAACCATCAGTGCTAATAGTCGACTCAACGGAAGTTCTCTGCCGCCTCCTGCGGATACGAGCCTGTTGATGACCCCTACGCCACCAAGAGCTATGCTCCGAAGTCCGTTCAAGTCAAGTAGCCAACATCGTGAAATCTCGCCCGGCGTACCGAGACAATCAGCCGAATTTTCCTCCCAGCAAGACTCTTTACCAGGACCTACCAATCAAAACCGACCACTTTGTCTCAATTTTGAGATCATAGCAGTTCGCTACAAGACCTCTGATGGTACGTCACAGACTATCAAGTTTCTTTCATATACTTCAGGCATACTGCATCAGACTGTGATAACTAACTTAATACGTCTAGGCGAAAACTTTGTTTGGACTCGAGAGGCTGAGGAAGGACCTAAATATTATCGACTGAGTGACAACACCTACCGCCCCGTTCTGAAGCAGGGTAGAAGTTGTGGCACCCCAGAGTGGATTATCGATCCCAGCAGAGTATGGTTTTTGAAGTATAACCTGGAAGCCGCACTGCTTTACATCAATCGAAAGAAGGGTGATGCAAAGACTGGGAATGCTGGTAAGGAGATGTGGGTCAAATTCAAGGATGAAATACATTTGGAGGGATTCCTGAAGAGTTATAAGGAGAATTGGGAGCATATTAAGATAGATAAGCTGGACCTGTCAGTATTTTTTGCTTTGTTTGTCCCTTATCTGAGGTGTGCATCTTGGTTGAAGGTTGCTGCTGACTTGACTTTGCAGGGACGATGATGAGGTCCCCTTGTCGATGGCTAAGAGCTGTCGCTAAATTCCTCCTTTCTGTCATCCGCCGATCTATCCTGCTGAGTGAGTGGATATTAGATCGGAAGTACTGTATGATTCTGTTGAGTTCGGATTTATGTGAGATTGGAGAAAGGCCACGGAGTTGTCTCAAGATGGCTTAATGTAGCCTAGTTTGTGATCAAGGATATGCATGGTGGAGATGATAACGGTTTACAGTTGTATGATGCCCGAAGAATTATACCTGTATTGCAAGCCAGCATAAATTGTAGAGAGTAAAATATACTCCAATTGCAAAACGTGGTTTGTTTACATGATCTGTAAGGTAGAACCAGTCTTGCCATCCGCTATGTGTATCTGTCACATCTCCTTGCTTTCTAGATCTTCTCACCTTTCGGATATCTTTTAGTTCACTCTTCAATCGTGGTTGCCTGATTCAATTCCCTCGTGGCTCTAATTAAGGTTGCCTTTCTGCCTCATTTCTTTCTACCTACACACCTCGCTTAACGTAAACAATAACCAGCTCGAGTGTCTCCGACCTCAATCTTACTCAACTCCATCACCAAGTCTTGCACAGGAGAACTCTGTCAAGCCGGTAAAGTCTTGAACTCCACCAATTTCTTTAATTTTTTTTTGCATCACCATTGCTGAACCATCTCCTACTTTGCATGATCTTCTCGCTGTACGATCAGTTGTTGCCCACATCCCGCTGAATTTCAACACCACTTCCGTCGTTTATTTCACCTTCTTGGTGACCAATATGGAGTCTCTAGGAGACTCCCTGGGTGGTGGAGCCTTACAAGAGCTTTATAACGTAGCAAAGACCCTGCAGCAATTGCAGACATCACGCCTGCAACAAGATTTGAAATATTCGACGCAGATTGCTGCTGAACGCCAGATGATTCTCGATCAGTATCGCACTCAATGTTCGGAAATGAGAGTCGATCATGCGATCAGACGTGGTGAGAAGACTGTCCAGCTGTGGCAAAAATGTTCCCCTCCGTCCTTGCGCACGAAAAGCGAAGCTCGGGAGAAAAGAGAGAAAGCTCTAGCTGAATTGAAAGAAGTTGAAGACAAGGAGAAGGTCGATCTTGATGTTGAGCATGTACGTCTTACCAGAGCAGCGGAATATCGAATGCACGAACATATCAGCGCTCTTGAGAAGAGAAGAGAGACTGAAGACAAGAAGACGGCCGACCTCATTTTCAAATTGAGTGGCGGTGTTCATTATCCGAAGAATTTGCTAGGCCAGGTTCTTGTTGTTGACAAGTTAATCACTTCTCAAAATAGCCTCGCCAAGGCTAGTTCATCCATGTACCCCGATTTGGCTTTAACGGAGGATGACTTTAGACACGGCATTGGTTTCGACGCACCCACTCTGGACTTGTACGGTATCGATCCAGGCGAGGGCGTCACAAAATTTGGTCTGGTAACCCCGGAGAACAGTCCACCCTCACCACATCGGCCTAGATTCCGTGCTCTTGGACCGCCAGAGACACCAACTAACCCTCCTCGCAAAAGAATCCAATCTGTAGCTTTCGGCTCTCATGTAGCTTTGCCAGCTACCACCGGTTTAGGACCAATCTTGACTCCCAATGATTCCGCTGAGAAATTGCCTCCCACGTTTGAGTTCCGCACAGGTGGAGTTCCTCATACCCCGACAAAAAAGGCGCAGGAGAATGTTTTCATAGACCTCACATTGGACAGCGATAATGAGTTCCCAGCTCACGAGAGTCACAAAGTCAACAGAGTTCTGACCAACGCTGACAGCAATCAAGATTGTCTTACCGCCATCGATGTCGCTGTCAAGACACCAAAATCCAAGCGAAAGCTCAAGGCGAAGAAGCCAATTGTTGGCGCAGCTGTTCGCGGTCCCAACGTTCCCACAATTGCCAAAGATGAAATCCGAATCTCACCCAAATCATTGGCTGCCGTGGTCGGGGAGGTCAGAAAGAAATCCTGCGAGATCGCAAAACCTGCATCGGTCAGAGAATGCACGCCAGGATTATTTGACTCAGATTCCGATTACTCTGAGACTGAGTCCCGCAAGAGACGTCGTGCTACCTCCGTCACAGCCCCCCAAAGTTCACATCGCAATCGCGCGGGAGCTTTGACAATGAGCGAGTTGATCGAGCACCCCTCTTCAGAGCTACCCTTCGCAAAGGGAACCACTTTCAAAGTTTGGGCTCGTCGTCTATATCTACCCCGCAAGTTGATGAAGTTCAGCGTTAACTTCATTCGAGCGATCAAGGATAACGGTGAAATTTTGAAGTTTAATGATGAGACCAGCCCTGTTGGCTTTTACTTCCTGAGAAAGGCTCATACATTTGTGCCGGTCATTGGTCATAATCACAAGGAGGATGTCTTTCCAGAGTGGGTTTTGGAGGAAGATGAAATCTCACACGCACAGTACAACCATGAGCATGCTCTTGTGTGCTTTACCAAGACTGTTGGCCTGAACCGAGATATCTTGGTGAAATTCTCTACACGAGAAGATATGTGGAACTTCTTGGCAGTTGCTTCTATGGAGATGGAGGTGATCATCTATCAGAAGTAAGTGGCGCACCCCTTTGTTTTGAATAGTTCGCTAGAAGGGTGGGTTATGTTGAGAAATGGTATACTGACAAATTCTACAGCATCAATCTCAAGCTTCCCAGAACATGGATTGCTTAGAAAATCGATCCGATTTCTCTTTCTTCGATAATGGCTCCTCCCAACTTGTATGATGTTCAGCTTCAGACCCTTTTCCCGCATGACCTTTGAACTTGTAAGTATCACCCACTCAGCGCTTCATTTCCCACTCATTAAGTCGTACTAGTGCGAGAGTCCGCAGATGTCTTTCCAGCTCTCGAAACCCGTTCGATACATGCTGGTCATGTTTAGATCGGGTGGGCACCACTGACCCACTCCAAATGCTTTGATAGCCTGGTAAGTTCCCGTCTAATCTCATCCTCCTTTCTCTCTGCATCTTATGGGCTCAACTAGTCCTATTGAGCCCATTCTCCTCTGAGAGAGTCGTAACTGACATCTTCTACAGGCACACGAATCTCCACTCTGTGTTGCACGACGCAATGGACTGGTTGTACCCATGACGATACGATGATACGATTTTACGACTTATGACTGATGACTGGCGAATTTCTGATGATAGATGATAACGACAGTTAAGGCGAGTTTGTGTTTGTTTGGAATTCGCTTGGTTCGGTTCGCATGGAGGTACAATCTGATTTGATTACTTTTATGTTTCTGTCTCTTGCTTTGCTGCTACTGTTTTCTTCCTTTCCTATTTGATGTTGCATAATGTCTCACTGCCTGGCTACATCTCATCTCTTGATTGAGATGCGGTGGAATGACTTCTGAGAAGGATGAACAATTACACCGAGAAGTAATGGCGGACAGGGTCGGCCGATGAAAACTCATGCTATTGAGCTTTCACCTCTTTTGCTTGTTTTCTTGTCTATCATCCCTGCAAACTCCACTCTGGTCTCTGAGCTGAACACGCTCCAACTCGTCAAAGGAGCTTGGAGAAATATCCTGAGCATTGGTACGGTGAGATATCATACCCAAGGCTATTTGGAGAGAGATTCGTCCATAATGCAGGGCGGAAATATGTACTTCAGAACAATGAAAGTTGGCACTTGCCACAAACCTGCTACTTTCAAATGAGTGACACACAATACTCCACTCTTCTCCAGAATATCAGACAGCCTCTCAATTGTTCATAAATTGGTATCATATCACTATAACTTCGCAAACACCGTCCCCACAATCCCACTCCCCTCCACCAACGTACTCTTCTCCCTAACCCAAGCCTCCAGCCCCCTCCTCCCATTCTCCACACCCACACCACTCAGCTTCCAGCCTCCCACGCTCATCTCCGCAGGACTCTCACCCCACGTATTGATCCACGTGATGCCCGCTTCGACCTTACTGATAACCTCATGACACTGATTCAGATCCTTACCAAATACACCGGCCGCGAGGCCCATCTTCGTGTTGTTGGCGCGAGCGATGAGTTCGGGGATAGTGTCGTAGGGGAGGATGCAGAGGACTGGCCCGAAGATCTCTTCGCGAACGATCTTCATGCTGTCTGTGCAGTCAGTGAAAACGGTAGGTTGGACCCAGAAACCGTTTTCGTAGCCTTTGGGGATGTTGTTTGGTTTTGCGGAGCCACCGCAGAGGAGTTTCGCTTTGTCGGCGTCAATACCGTGTTGGATATAACTTAGGACTTTCTTGTAGTGGATTTCGGATACCAGGGGTCCGAAATTACTATTGGGGTCCATGGGCTCTAAAGAGCGTATATGTTGTATTCTTTCGAGGAGTCTCCTCTCGAAAGCGGATTTGAGAGCGCGGGGGACGAAGACTCGGGTGCCGTTTGTGCAGACTTGGCCCGTGGAGTAGAAGTTTGCCATCATGGCTCCGTCGACGGCACTATCGATGTCGGCATCTGGGAGGATGATGCAGGGACTCTTGCCGCCGAGTTCCATTGTCACGTATTTCATGCCGCCTGCTGCGGAGGCGGCGACTTTCTGACCCGTCGATACTTGTCCTGTGAAGCTGACTTTGGAGATCCCAGGATGCGATGTCAGGTATCCGCCAACTGCTCCATCGCCATGTACGATATTGAAAACTCCTGGTGGGACGCCGGCTTCAGAGTATATCTGGGCCAGTATCTGGCCATGGAGAGGCGTAACTTCTGAAGGCTTGTAGACCATGCAGTTTCCTGCTGCTAGACATGGCGCTGATTTCCACAGTGCTATTTGAATGGGATAATTCCAAGCGCCTATGCCAGCACAGACTCCTAAAGCTTCTTTCTTGGTATATATCCACGCATCTGGCCGTAGCTGTGTCGTCTCGCCATTGAGTCCCCCGCTTGCCACCAGATTTGCAAAGTATTCAAGTACATCTGCACCGGTGACTACATCCACTGTGCTGGTTTCTGAGAATGCTTTGCCTGTGTCGTGTGTTTCGACTTTTGCTATCTCGTCGTTCCGTGAGCGCAGGAGGGAGACGGCTTTGAGAAGCATCCGTGAGCGGACGATTGGAGGTGTCTGGGACCACGAAGGGAAGGCTGCCTGTGCGGACGCTATGGCCGAGTCAATATCTGCTGGGGAAGCTGTTTGGACGTCTGCCAGCGGTTTTGCGGTAGAGGGGTCGATTGTCTTGAAAGATTTTCCTGACTTGGCACTTCGAGGTTTGCCATCGTAGTAGATCTGTTGGAGGGGGTAGGAAGCCATGATGAGATAGGCTGATTTGGATGAGTATATGGTCGTATTTTCGCTGGCGACAACACAGTATGCAGGGCTGAATCTTTGAAGCAATTCGCAGATACCTTATGCTTGCTACCTTACTGTACTAGGTACCTACTACTGTATGCCTAGGTACAGTGGAGCATGTACGGCAACTGAGTGGAGCTGATCCGAGAAGGGGAAACTACGGTAAGGTTAAGGTAAAAGAAAGGGACGCGGAGCTCTGAAAGCTGGGCAGCGTCACCAGTGGATCCGATCGGGGTCGGGTTTGACGGATTGTGGAGCCCAACAAGTAAGAAATATCAAAAAAGTGCTTCAAACATCACGCAACATTTATTTACGAGTTCTGTATCGAATCTTGGGGGAAATAGAGTTTGTTTGTTGTCTGCAGATATGGCATGGCATGGTTCATTGGCATCATTTGCATCATTTGCATCATTTGCATTGCATTGCATTGCATTGCATTGCATTGCATTGCATTGCATGGCCGGTATGGATTGTTCGGACACACCGTGACTCGCCATTGTCTAGGTAGGTACCTAGGCAATCAAGAAATCGACGAACTGGTCGCTGGACATTGGTCCCGCCAGGTATTTTTTTGGCTGTCTTCGGCATTACTGTACTGTACTGTACTGTAATTCACGCCAATAATCTAATCTATTCCATTCTTCTGGAAAACTTCTCCCAAAAGAAACTTTTAGACCGAATAGAGGCCGTGGCCGTGGCCGTGGCCGTGGCCGTGATGGATATCGGCGGGGCCGTGTAAGGCTGGAGCAATGCCCGCTACGTCGGGTCCGCGAGTCCGCGAGTCCGCCTAGCTAAGCAGAATCATGACGGAATACTCGTAATGATTGGGCAATTCGTCGAGTCATGAGTGCCACGATAGAGGGGCAACGCAGCCCTAGTGCGTCCGAGTCCCAGCGCATCCTCTCGACCCCGCCTGCACGCAGAATAATTACCTTATTTTATGCAGGAATGTGCCGCTAGACGAATTATTATTGGGGCCAAGAGTGAGACACGTTTTTACAGGCCACTACTCAATTCCACTACTGTACTGTACTGTACACGCCTTTCGAGTTTGGGATCCAGCATCCTGCCATCATCGAGCCGACAGCTTCCGTCTGCATTCAGCACCGCAGCGAACCAACGGTATATCTCGCGCCTGTCTCTAGTGCGTTCCCCAGCCAAGAGAGAGGACCGTCTAGCGGGCATTCATTGGTCCAGGATCTGACAGGAAAGGGACCTAAGGCAAAAAAGTCTGGTAACTTATGATTCGACTGTCTGTCTAGCCAGGACAAGCTTCCATGTCCATTTAGTTCCTATCTTTTTTCTTCCTCTTCATCATTTTCTCTTTTATCTCGCAACTCTCTCTGAGTCTGTATCTCTACCTCTATCTCATCATCTCAAGCACACGACACTTTTCCGAACACCTCTACCCTGGATCCTACAGCCACCTCCAATAGAGAACGGCTTCACATCTGCATATTCTTATCAGCCGATAAGCTACAAACCAGAGCAGAGCAGAAGATTTGTTAGATTCAAGCAAGAGCTTGTCTGCTGCTGAAAAGTATATTCTTTCTGTGAAGGAATTAGACACTTCTTCTTCTTCTTCAACTCGTTGGATACCTGTTCGCCTTGTCTTGCCTGTCTTCAGTCCAAAAGCGACCTCCAAAGCAACAACATGACTACCGACTTCATCTCTGCGTCTCAAGCTAAGGACTTTGACTATGTCATTGTCGGTGGTGGCACAGCAGGCTGTGTAATTGCGAGCAGATTGTCCGAATACCTCCCTAGCAAGAAAATCCTCCTTATCGAGGCTGGCCCAAGCGACTTTAACAACGAGAAGGTGCTACAGCTGAAGGAATGGCTTACACTTCTAGGAGGTGACCTCGATTACGACTACGGGACTGTAGAGCAACCCAATGGTGAGTTTTCGAGCTCCAATTCTGGTTGCCCTTTGCTAATTGAGCTCCAGGGAACTCGCATATCCGACACTCCAGAGCTAAAGTACTCGGTGGCTGCTCCTCGCACAACACTCTGATCTCATTCAGACCATTCGAATACGATTTGAAAATATGGGAGAGCTTGGGATGTAAGGGCTGGGACTTCAAGACCATGATGCGTCTTTTGGACAACCTCCGAAACCAGATCCAACCCGTTCACCCCCGCCACCGCAACCAGGTTTGCAAGGACTGGATTGAGTCCTGCTCTACTGCCCTCGATATCCCTGTCATAAGGGATTTCAACAAGGAGATCCGCGAGACTGGAAGTTTGCAACAAGGTGTTGGATTTTTCTCTATTGCGTACAATCCAGATGATGGACGCAGAAGCTCTGCTTCAGTCGCATACATCCATCCTATCCTCCGAGGCGAGGAGAAAAGACCAAACCTAACGGTCCTCACCAATGCCTGGGTCAGCAAAGTCAATGTCTCTGGCAAGACTGTCACTGGTGTAAATATCGCGCTTAAGTCAGGCACCCAGTACACCATCATTCCTCGCACGGAAACCATCATCTGTGCAGGAGCAGTCGACACCTGCCGGCTTCTCCTGCTCTCAGGAATTGGCCCCTCCAAGCAATTGGAAGACCTGTCCATCCCCGTCATTCACGAACTCCCAGGTGTAGGCGAGAACTTGATCGACCACCCCGAATCAATCATCATGTGGGAGCTGAACGCCCCCATACCACCACAAACCACAATGGACTCCGACGCAGGTATCTTCCTCCGCCGCGAGATCAAAGACGCTGCAACAAACAACACAGACCCAGCGCTGAACCCCAAGCGTATCCCAGATGGCACAATTGCAGATATCATGATGCACTGCTACCAAATCCCCTTCTGCCTGAACACCGCCCGTCTAGGCTACGAAGCACCTCTCAACGCCTTCTGCATGACACCCAATATTCCCCGCCCTCGCTCCCGCGGACGCATCTATCTTACATCCTCGGACCCAACTGTCAAGCCCGCCCTCGATTTCCAGTACTTCACCGACCCCGAAGGCTACGACGCTGCCACCATTGTCGCCGGCCTGAAAGCCGCTCGCGAAGTTGCCAAACAAGAGCCTTTCTCCAAATGGCTCACCAAAGAAGTCGCACCCGGTCCTAAAATCCAGACCGACGAGGAGCTTTCCGAGTACGGCCGAAGAGTCGCGCATACAGTGTACCACCCTGCTGGCACGACAAAGATGGGAGCCGAGAGTGACAAGATGGCTGTCGTGACACCGGAATTGAGAATTAGAGGCTTAAAGGGCGTGAGGATTGCGGATGCAGGTGTATTCCCTACGATGCCCAGTATCAATCCTATGTTGACAGTGTTGGCTATTGGGGAGAGGGCTGCAGAGATGATTGCGCATGAGGCGGGATGGAGAGGCGATGGAAAGGCGAGATTGTAGAGTTTGTTCTCTCTTTCTTGTTCTTCATTTCCAGGTTTGTTTGAGCCGCGGGTAAGAGTGGTGTCCTCTAAGGCCTATCTTGGCTCGCCCAAACCTCGAAGCATTGGAGGGCATCAGCAGTTGGATATCCAAGCCGTTTGTAGATATTCCCCTTGGCGTACAATTCTTGTTTGCTTCGTTTTTGCTGTTTCCTTGGATCAGCACACGTTGGTGGTTAGATTGTGGAGGAGTTGGAGAAGGGCAGGAAGGCTGTTTGCTGTCGTTGTCGTCGTATACCAATCAACACTGAAGTGTTTTGTCCATCCAATATCACTGTTTATCAACCCACCTGTTTTCTCGCTTGAGTTCCGTTGCTCCTTCGACCCGGCCAACCCAAAACATCAACAAAGTTCGATTGGAGAAAGCTAAGTTTGCGCTTGAGGACAGAATCGTTCGTATTGTTCTGGGCAGGACAAGAGAGACTCAAATCTGAACCGGTATGGAATATTGAGATGTCGAAAATGAATAGAAATTAAGGGTCTCGTTTTTCAGCGACCTATCTACATACATGCCAGCTCGTAGCGGCAATGCAAACGCCGGATTCCGAAAAACCAATCGTCAATCCATCCATCAGTCCCTATCCATGGAATGAATGCCAGAACCCCCCTGTTCCCTATATACATTACGATTCAGAAGTGAGTAACAGGCCATCCAATAGTACGCCAAACGAAGTCAATAGCCGAGCCCAACGCTATGCAAAAGATTGATTTCCCATTTCCTTGTTCCCATACAAGCTCTTTCTAGCCCGAATATCCTGCTATTCAGATATTCCTAGTATGCGAATCCACCGTAGTTCGAGTTTCGCGCCTGGGTTGGGTGGTTGTAGGTGCTGGAGTAGTCGTCCTGGTAGATTGTTGCTCTTCGATCTTCTTCCGGGAGGAGTTCCTTGACTTCCCAATTATTTTGCTTTGTGCCAACAGAAAATTCGAGATCCTCGCGGGTAATGGAATCCCAGTACTGCAAGTTATGTTAGAGGATATACCGCATGTGAATTCTGAACAACAAACCTTGTACACCATCATGACAGCCAACAAATTGCAAATAGTAGCAAAGAAAAGTCCGTCGAGGTAATGCTGGACAGCATTACAGATCTGCGTGCTGAACACATAGAGGATGACTTGGCCGATGATCAGGAAGAACGCAGCGAAAATAAGATCTCCCAGGGGCCAACGATCCTGTAGCGTGTTGACGACCAAAATAACCTGCATGACAGCATAAACCAGTAACGAGATCCCCGATACCAAGTATAGCACGACGAATAATCCAATCGTTCTCGTGGGACCCAAGCCCGCCCAGGATTTGAAGGTTGCCAGTGAGACTAAGCCGGTGATTATGAAGAATGCAAAGCTGACGGATCGGAGGAGCCAGACTGATAACGTGGTTCCGTCTTCATACAGTTGAAATCCTACGAATCCGTTGATGAGTAGACAGACACAGAGCGCTGATGTGAGGCCGTTCTGTACTGCGGCAAAATATGGATATGTATTGTTTCCGGGTGGCACGACGCCTGAATCAAGAATCAGGGATGCGAAGGTAAGCATCATGTAGATATAGAAGAAGAAGGTGATTTCTTTGCGGCCTGTCCAAATTCGATCAGCACCATTCCTCAAATGATCATCTCCATTCCTTCGCGTGACGTACCAACGGCAGTAAATTTACTGCGGACATGCAAGATCATGATAACCGTCATGATCAGCGCTACAATGTGCATGAAAGATGCGGCGCCCTGGAATATAATTGTGTTGGCCAGCTCGATGTTGCGCGCATAGCAGTCGGCCTCAATCCCATATGACCCGGAGATGTGAGTGATCTTGCCCACTACAGCACACAGCGGGATGGGCGCCTGTTCGCATAACGTCTGGAAGTCTCCGAACCCCATCTTGTGCTCTCCAAATTTTGTAGAGAGATCTGTAACGATGTTCTGAGGAGGAAAGCAGGTTGCGGCGGAGAGTTCTTGTGCGGCGGCGGACGAATGAATGTTGGTTGCGACTGTAAGAAGGCGAATGCTGTACGTTAGCGAATGATGTACCTAGGTAATGGAGAAAGCAGCGATTGAAATGCTCTTGCTCTCGAGACCGTAGGTGAAGGATTCCAGGGAGTGTGGAAGGAGCGAGCGCTCTGAAGTGGAGAGGGTGAGTGAGGTGAGGTTGATGTGAAAAGGGATGCCTCTAAACAAACGGGTCTCGTACTGTGCCTTGGCGGATCGTCGTTACCCCCGAAACCAAGGTTAGCGTCGAAAATAGTAAGGTAGGTAAACTATTTTTGACCACAGACCTAGTATGTCACGTGTCGATAGTATCTGCAGTCACGTGCATACAAGGGCAAATTTCAACGTCAGCTTCTCCGTCTTCATGTCTAGGGTGTGAGATATTGAAATTTTATGATGATCCGCCTTTTACAGATATGCTAGCTTATCATTTCGAGTAGGGTACTCGTAATTTGGTTGTGGCTGGCGGTCGAGGGCTTCATTATTGGCATATGTGTATATACTCTCTTTTGCTCACCGAAAGTGCAGACAAAGTCGACTCTCCAGAGCAAATAGTGAAAAGTAGCCATCTGGACAGCTTACAATCCTCCCGGCGCCTTGCATTCGATCTTGCTCGAGCATATGGCCGAGTTTATTATTAAATTAGAAAGATTCGCAGCAGGGAAGTTGATGCTCAAGTCAAATGCGAGAGTCAGACATCCCCGAAAAAATCGAGTATCAAGAACCGTCTAGCACTCACCGCCTATTGGAGCACAATACTCGGCCTGCCTGTTGCAATCCCTGGGAGCAGGAGAAATCGAGGAATGGCAATAAGTATAAACTTACTGTCGAAGGTGTCAGGCAAAAGTTTCCTGCTCCACTTCTTGAGCACTGGACTGGACATCTCATGGAAAAGGCCAGCCTGACACAACTTGTGGATTTTGCCATCAACTGTAAGTAAGAGTTAGTAGGAACAAGACAACTGAAAGTGAATGGAGGAAGGAAAAGAAAATGCGGTGAGCCTTGTGGAGCAACCCAACCACCAGTATCTGACTTGGAATCCAATGAAACCGGTGACCAAAGGTAACATTCTTTTGTAAAGTAATCAAATCTATTGTACAATAGTCAAAAGCGAGACAAGATGGGCTGAAGATGCTCGATCGCCCCTGATGGAAACGTATATCGAGAATTGTCCCATTAGATGCGCCGGAAAGTCTTCCTATCACTTAAAAGCGAAGAACCCCCTTAGTCGCACTTGACATGGTCGCATCTCAAAGCTCATCGAATATGAATCTGCTGCAGCATGTGCCAGATGCATTGATCAGATGCAATGCGGACAAGGGACCGGGTATTGCTGGGGCCCGTAGAAGCAAAAGTTGATGAACGGCCAACAGAAATCAGTCTTAGAGGTCAGAAAATAATCAGCGCTACCTGCACATGACTTGTAGCCCTGCTTGGTAGATTCAGAGAAAGAGTTTATGTGATGGCAGCTCGGTGGAAAGCGGAAACAAGAGATTTAAATTGATTGGGGTCGTGTTACGCGACGGAGGTCGGAAACTCGATGGAACAAAAAGTACGAACCCCCAAGTCTCCAGGGCAGTTCAACGAATAAAAAGGGGCAGTTGATATCTGACTTGACGAAGGGGAATGCCTTGGATAGAGGCACTAGGAAAGTGCGAGCTGCATGCGACGTTGAGTAAACATGGTTGACACTGCTGCAAGTCAGTCGAGCGTCCTTGAATTCAGAACTTTGCGACTGTTGTCTAAGTACCACCAACTGTATGGAGCGCTCGCATGACAATGGTGTGGACACCACTTATCGTCAGCTCCAGAGGATGATTTCCGGTGATATCTTCATGTAGTGTTGGCTTAACATGGAGATTGAGTTTTGCCGGATAGCCTCAAGGAGCAGATGATGTCCGAGGTCGTCAGCTTTCTTCTTTCTAGATATGATAGAGGTTGCAATTCAAGGATTCTGTTAGGTGCAGCACGCATTGTTTTGATTTCGAAGGTTCCAGGGTTTGGGACTGGTTTTCTAGTGGTCGCCAGGAAAGCACATCGTCAACGACCCAGGACGACGAGGACAGGGGGTTTTAGCGAGATGGCCGGACAACCTCCCGATGGGAAAAAGAAGGATTGCAAATTACAGTCCAGTCAAAACGCCCCCTTTAGGTCCCTAGTAGTGATCTCCAGAGCGCATGGCTTTCTACTGACACTCGTCGCTTCGTTTGCCCCAAATCTTGCAGGTCTTCAAATGACTAGAACAGATTGACAAGGAGGCATGGGTTTCATTGCATCCGCGGCACACGTTCCTTGGAGCATTGCCCGCATCCTGTTTTTGTGGCTCTTTGAACCACCATCTGTTTCCACCATCAAAGAAAAATCCAAGCTTACGAGTACCTAGGTAGCTAGCTGTACCCCAAGCAGAAGTCCCACACGCGAACGGCATTTGTGGCTCGGCGAGGTTATCGGGCAATATTGAGAAACGCTGTTTGCTTTGTCATGGCTTCACATCGTGTCTAGACTTCGACAGCGAAAAATTGGCAGCATAGCAGATCCAGATCTCGAACCGACCTGCTCGGATACAGGAGATACCCAAGTACGGAGAATGGCCTCGTATTTGGAAGGAAGGATTCCGACCCTTTACAATTCTGTCCTTTCGCTATTTCTGTCCAGGCTTAACATTTCATTAAGCGTTTGACCCAAACCCCTTGATAGTTTATTCGAGGATGATTTGGAGATCATGTCGGTATCATATCAGAATGCAAGCGAAGTTGAAACCATAAGACCCAGGTCACCGAGCCATTATTATGATCCTTGGATGACTTGGCATGGGGCATTTGAGATATTGGCTCCAAGGTTGATGATGGTTACCGTAGCCTCTCCACTACTGAAACCTTCGGAGAAGGAAAGGAATGAAGCGATACCTGGGTGCACGCGTCCTGGTGTGGCTCTCTGCCGATGAGCCTCCTGGCCATCCCTGTCCTACTTAGGGGGTAAGTCTGAAGGTGAAAGTGAAGTCAGGGTCAGAACAGCCACAAGCAACCAGCTGAAGCTCTTCCAGCGGTGGGAGGAAACTTAGGAAAGAAAGGGAGTGGTGGTATCACTCGGCAAAGCTCAGTAGCAATTTCTCGTTACTTTCTTGGTGCTGCTCTAACTCTTCTCTTCCTGCTTCGTACAACCGTGACGCCCGTCGTCTGACTCAGAAATGTTCCAATCATTTGACTTCGTCATATTGGTTTACTCCTGCTGGTTTGGCAGACCCTCTGCAGATGCTGTGACGGCGAGAGACGGAGGCATTGCCTGGCTGGGCATCTGTTGCTTGCGACATCCGTGCCGCCTCATCTAGAGAGCATCGTGTCGTGAGTCGTGATTGACTGTGTGGGTGCAGTGCATCCGGTCCGCGACGCTGATATTACGCTGTGCAGTACAGTACAATCGAAGGTGGAAGCCCAACTCCGACCGTGCCGTTGGTCAGCACACGTCTCTCAATTGATCATCAACCGCGGTCCAGCTGTGCACCATTCTCAGACAACTCACATGCGACTGTACAAGCCTCACATTTCATTGTCTGAGCTGAAGTATCTTTCGCCCGCCTCACCGCCCGCCCGCCCAGCCAGCTCCATGCTCCATGCTCCATTTGGCATTTCTGCCTGGTCATATCAGATCAATTCAAACAGCCACCAGCTAGGACAGCCTGCAGTTAATGACTCGATCCCCATTTCAACTAAATTTACTTGGTCGGAAACACTCTATATCCTGATATGCTCCGCACGAAGCTGAGCTTATTCTCAAGAACCAGCGCTGCCATGCAAAAAGCCCAGTGCCTCCCGTTCCGTTCTCCAGGACGATCAGGAGGGCAGCGCCGGTTTGTTGAAGGGCGTAAAAAGGCTCATCACTCTTGTGTCTCTCTGAGAAGGTGTCGGCGATCTCCACACAGCTGGACAGCCCACTCCTTACCTACCGAGCCTACATATCCTAAGAAAATTTATCTCACTTCAAGAGTACCAATAGCCGGCTTCTGAGTCCAGCCATCCCGCTTCCTTTGCCAGACCCACGCAACGAAGCCAGGAAAATGGTACAAGACATTCCTAAAACTTATGACAGTCGGGTTTATGCGTCTTGCCTGCCTCTCCTAGCCAAGTTCCGACCAACATCCCGTGGCGTCTGGATCGTCAGTCTGTTTAATGCATCATCCTCCTCACCTTATCAATTACGGTACAACATTATTGGACAAACCGGCCCAAGATACAAGTAACGCACCACATAAACAGGCCTGTGCTACTGTACTGAACAGCTTCTGGAAGTTGACAGCCTGGTCGTTCCTGACGTCCGAAAACGAGAGGATTCGGTAAGTCACACTTTCATTTGTGTATGCATTCTTTTACCTTGCATTCATTTCGACTGTCAGCCTGGCAGCACCTGTCGCACTTACACAAGGCGGAGAACTGGGCGAAAGGTGGTTTGATACTCAGAAGAACGCACAAGAAAAATTGAAGAAGGAAACCCCGGCAATTCAGAGAGGTTACTTTCTTCGGGAGTCAAGCGGTGATGAGGGGCAATTGAGAACCCGCTCTTAGTTCACTACACCCCACCAGATGGTTCCGGGGCTTCTAGACTTCACGAGACCAAGAGAGGGATAGCTTTCCTACTCAACCCTCCTCCATCCAGCCCATCCTTCCTCATGCAAAACCTGCAAATACAACATGGGTGTGGCTAGGATAGGATTTGATTCCCGTCACCCGCTTATCCAGCTTGCGATTACGACTTTATGGACGAGACAGCGGGGAGGTCCTCAGATCAGGTCGAAACATCAAGCGATTCGTCCCCTTGGATATGATTGGCCGCAACGCTCAACCCACCTCCGTGAATGCCCTCAAGTCCGATGATCGAGGAGCAATTCTCGCTTGGACCATGATTTGTTGCTTGCACTTTCGCCAACTGTCCGACGGCTAAGTTCGAGAAACCGACAGCTGGACGCCGAACAAAAGCAGCAGAAGCGTATCCACTACATCAGAAACACCCAAGTGCAACGATGCAACCACTCCCAGTAGTGTCTATCTATTCCTCGGACGTTAAAGTCTCGCGATCTCTGAGGTATCGCCAATCCTCATTCCGTTACGTTGACCAGGTCAGGTTAGGTTGTCACCAGCTGCACTGCACTTTGACGCATCCTTGGAACTGCCTAGACTGACTTTCCCTCCTCGGCTGGCCGCTTATTGTTCTTTATTACGGGTTGCATAATTGTATCCGATCCCATTCCAATAATAATTTTATCCCTGGCTCTGTCTTTGGCGCGATGGAAGAAAAGGCGTCAAAAGGATCGTCGTCGATTTGAAATTCTCTTCCTTGTAAATTTAGCATGGTTCCGTGCCCGTAATTGGCGGAGGGCAAGTTCCCTAAGTCAGACAGAAAGCGGTTGCCTTTGTTCATGAGGCAACTACAGTTTCTCTCAGGCCTTTCTCTGTCGTTAGATGTCAGCGACTCTCCCACTTCTTACCTATGGGCCCAGAACAGGCTGTTGGAGTATGATTCAATTCGTCGTAAGGAAGAAGCTTACCTTTGCTTTGCCATACCTTGCCGAAGCGAGACAGAGTGCTTTGCCTCATCCCCAGCCAGATGCTGGGTAAGTTTCTGGTTGCGGGTCTTGGCTTGGTGCTATCCAAAAGCCTCCGTTGTGTTGTTTGGTGGTGAGCAAGAGGCGAATATCCGCTGCAGCCTGACTAACTGGCCCGTAAACTGCTGAGGGCCATCGAAGTAAGCCGGGATTAAAGGGAGCAGCACAACCCGAGCCCGAGCCTACGTACGAGGGACTTTCACGATGTGCATCAGTCCATCCACCCACATCCTCCACTACTAACTCCCATTCCGTCCAGCTGCCGAAAGAGGTCTTGTTTCTATGGCCTGTTTCTCCGTAATTGTATTGTTTCTGATTATTGCGAGACGGTGTGGACCCGGTCAACTTGACGATGCTCCGGATCCAGACACAAACACAAACCTAGTAAGCAGCAGAACGGAAGTCAAACGAACAGACAGCCACCATGTTGACTTGACTACGAGGGTGAAATATCGCGACGTTCGTATCAATAATACCACCTCGCCATGCTGATCCCAGTGGTTTTTCAATCACTTACTGCACGCAGCCAGTAAGAACGCTGGCTTGGTGGTGCAAACCGGAACTGCTTCGGCGCCCATTAAGCTGCTGGACACAGACAAGACACTGCCTGAACATGAGCCTGGAGTGGACATTGAGCCTTGTCTCTCCAAACCGGCTTGTCACGCCAACACTCCTGAAGTCAAGGGCAAGGCCAGCGGAAGACAGGAAGACAGAGGGGAGCTGGCACCGTTGCGATTCGCTGGAATGTCGTAGGAGGCCTGCGAGTCCATGTCCCAGCACCTGCATTCTGGCTCCATGAAAGACTTCACTCCACCACGCCCAATCCCAGCGCACCCCCTGATCTGTTAGGAATCCAGCTCGCCCAGCCACCTCACCTCACGGTACAGACCAAGTTGCAGCGCCTCGAGCCAGTAGTCACCGTCAGAACGGTAATTAGTGGTGACCGTACTCCCAGCGGCAGCCACTGATCCAGTGAGTGGTCCAAGAACAGGCAAGGAAGGCTCGGATTCCCAGGCCAAATTCTACTGTACGCTGGGAGGCGGAACGCGCATCCATTTCTCAGTAGCCGATTTCATCCCATCCCCTCCCTTCCCTTCTACAGTACAGCTCCAAGCTCCAAGCTCCACCTTGATTGCACTAGCTCGCCCTCCACGACTGGAACGCCAACGAAGGCCCCGTCGTGTCCAGATTTCCTCACCCAGCTCACCTCACCTCACCTCACATCACTCACTCACTTCAACGCGCTCATGCTCCTCATCCCGCATACCTCCTCGTCCTTGTCACGGAGCCAAACCAAAACAAAGCATGCCTGCGAGGTGCTTCTATTCTGTAGTCATGCCCTGTTTGCCTGCCACCCACCAACCATGCTTGCCAGCTCAAGTCTGCGGGTTGCGCTTGCAACTTGCAGTGCTGACTTCTTAGCATCACGTCGATATGAGTTTTGCACGGCACAAGGCTTCGGATTGCCCTCGGCATGAGGCTGGGTCTGATTGGCTATGCAGACCAGAATCGAGACGCTGTTGTGTGAGGCCTGCTCGCCTGGCATGGATACTCAGGAGCGGAGCAGGGCAACTTGGGCAAGCCATCGAATATTCCGTCCTGTCTAGAAACAACTTAAAAGCGATGTCCAGACTACTGGCAGTGGAGGGGAGGGCACAGGGGCGCCCCTAGAAACACTACTGGTGCTTCGGTATCAAGGGTGTACCAAATATGCTATCCTTCGCCGGGCCGTCTAGTGTGAAATGCTGCTTTGGGCATCCTGGCCGCGTGCGGATAAAGAAAACTGATGGTTCTTTGCTACCTCACACACACACCAGCCGCAACAGGCAATATTTGGTGTGTCTCGCCTCGGCTCGCCTCTCCTCCTGCCTGGCGATCACCGACTATTGTTGCTCTGAACTGAAGGAGGAGGACAAAGAGACAGGAAAGACGAAAATAGAGATACCGTTTCTAATCGTTCCTTTCTTTGGTTATTCCAGGCTCACTTGTCCAGTTCTCTGTACAGTAGGTACTGTGTCATGCCGGCTGGCACCGACTCCTCCGGCGCATGCCATACAGTACGTATCCTAGCAATACGTAAAGTCGTAAAGTCCTCCCCCGCCTGGCCCCCACAATTTGAGTGATCCTTCTGATTCGCAGCCGTGGACTCCATCGAATCAAATAATCAAATCGGGCTTGTCGCTCACACGCGCGGTGTCTCTGTCGCGGCGCACGCTCTGGCTCTGCCCGGGTTGCTGCTGGCTTCCTTCCTGGCTTACTCGCTCCACTCCACTCCACTCCACCCACATCTGCCTGCACCGTGTTTCCAGCTCCGCTCCACTACTACCAGGTAGCTCACTCCACCAGAGCAGAAGGCAGACAGACAGATAGGCCAGGCCGAAAACACAGGTCCAAGCTGGCAAGGGTCAGCAACTGGAACTGCCACTGCACTGGACCGCGCTTCATCAAGACCAGCCAGCACCTTGCCATGCCATGCCATGCCATGCCATGCTATGCCATACCAGCAGCCAGACTGTCCAGACCCCCCTGCCAGCCAGCAAGCCTTTCGTCGACTGGCCATTGCGGCCTGTGACATCAACCGGGACCTGGACACTGACTGACTTTTACTACTACTGACTGCGGACTACTGACTACTGACTACTGACTCCACGACACTACAGTACAAAAATACACTAGCTGAGTTCTTCGAGATCAGCCTCCACTCTGCTTTGCAGCAAGCATTATTATTACTTTTCATTTGATCAACCTCTCCTCCTTTGTCTTTGTCCAGGAGACTACTCCCACTGGACCCTACCCTACCCAGCCCAACCGAATTCAGGCCAGTTCAGTCCACACCGGACCAGCTCAATCCAAACTAAATTGCCCCTCGTACTTCTACAGGCGTCATTCCTCCCCCCCCTGTGTTATTTCCACACGCTGCATCTGCCCAACCACTTTAGCGTTGTTTGCGTTACCGCCTCTGCTTTAGGACTAGTCCACCTTTCGAGATTCCCTCATTCTGAGGTTCCGTACCTCTAGCAACTCAACCTCCAATTCAGTTGGCCCTAAATTCAGCTTCATTAACTGGACATTTCCTGACTGCCCAAAGTCTACCATTCACCCATTCCCAACATATGTCCACTGGAGTTTTTAATCTTTGGGATCATTGTCCAGCTCTTTCTCGGTTCCACCTCCCCATCTCGAACTGATACACTCACGAGTATCGGTCCATTCCTCTATGGCTTTCCGGTGACAATAGCTGGTCTCAGGCGACGAATCTCGCAAAAACAACAAGGCACGGCAGCTTGGAGTTCTGGCAGCTCTGCAAAGGCAATTGTCCTAGACTAAGTCTGCCTTCACCAAGCCATTTGCCTTATTCACCTTGCTCCATCAACGCCGATTGTCACCACGCCCTTGACCTCCCCAATAGCAATCCTCATGTATCGAACAGCAGAAAGACCGGCTCCTCTCGATTTCCTTCTACCGTCACCACACCCAAGCTACAACATCGACAGGAGGAAAGATATAGCCCAATTTCATTCCCTCCCTCACCTACCTCCAGTCTACCTCGAGGCACCGATCAGAGAGGGACTTCGAACACCTCCGACCGACGAAATGGCAACTGCATACCAAAATTCCAATTTCACCCACGGCTACCCTGCCAGCGGCAGGAGTTCTGAATACCTGTCGGTGGAGAGCACTCCAAGCAGCTATGGTGGAACATATAATCACAATCCCCCACAGCAACAAACAAGACAATACATGTCAATGATACAACCGCCTCCTGCTTCAGCTTCGACATTGCGGAAGGAGGTCCAGGCTCCTTTAGCAGTCATCTCTCAACCCCCAAGCCCCGAACCCGCCCAGAGAACGAGTTACTTATCTCACGATGAGCCATCTCGCAGAAAAAGTACGACCGATACGATTCGACCGAATATGCAGATACCAAAATCTATCAGTCCAACTGGTGGTAGTTTGGCCGAGTTCGCAGCTCAGGTACATTACAGAATTTTCGATCTTGGTTGCTATTTGCTAATGACCCCAGATTACATGCTTATTTTGGTTCGAATCGACCGACACTCTGCAAAAAGCGGAGAGAGAATTACCACCCACTGCCACTGTGAAGAAACTGGAGAAAGAGGCTCTTCCGTCTAGTGGGTTTCGTAAATGGGTTGTTACAATTCTGTCGACGACCCAGGTCACCGAAAATGTCATCATACTCGCACTTCTATTCATATACCGACTGAAGACCAGCAATCCAGCAGTCAAGGGCCGAAGCGGTAGCGAGTATAGGCTCTTGACAGTAGCCTTGATGTTGGGGAACAAATGTATGATTTCCATCGCATAATATTTTTACCCCTACTAACTTACTTCTAGTCCTTGATGATAATACCTACACGAATAAGACTTGGGCAGAGGTTTCGGGTATCGCGGTTGGCGAAATCCATGTCATGGAAGTCGAGTTCTTAAGCAACATGCGATACAGTCTCTTGGCGTCGAAAGAGCAGTGGGCAGACTGGCACGAGAAGCTGAGGAATATTCGGAACTACTGCAACAGAGCAGCGGAGGCTCCTACCCAAGTTTCTCCACAGACCTACATGACTCTGCACCCCAATCTACCCTCTCCACCTTCAACACAAACATCCCCTCCTACGCACCCACACCTACCACCGTCTTCGTCCTTCATGAATGGTCATCAATGGCCTGTCAACAATTCTCTTCCTCCTATTTCTTCGCCACTCACAAATCTGCCGGAATCGGAGTACAGAGGATACACTCGGAAGCGAAGCTACGATGGAGAAGCTGACGAGCCTGTGGCAAAACGGGTCACGAGACCTCAAACAGGACCGCTTCAGCATGGCTCAACCATTCCTTCATTGAGGCAAGATGCTCGTCGGCTACCAGTTCCTGACTTGACAATCTCAACCAGCCAGCCTATGAGCAATGGATACAGTGCTTCAACGACCATGTCGCAGAACGCTCCTGTCCTGCCTCCTCTAAGTGGACGGGCCATGTCAACAGTCTATGCTCCGTCTACACCGTCGTCTTGGACACCGATTCCTATACTCACTCCAAGCGGTCACACTACCAGTGGATACTCAACTCCCTCTCGTCACCACAGCCCACATTCCGTACAAGAGCTTCTATCGTATGGATCCTCCCCAATTTCTGCGAATTTCCCCAGTCACATTCCTGGACACTCTTCCCCTTCGATCTTCCTTCAACAACGTTCATCACCATACAAACCTATCCGACATGTCAACACTCTTCTCTACCCCCCTCCATCTGCATCGATGCACGATTACTCTATCAACACAGATCAGATGCATTATCAACCTTTAGGAAAGAGAAACGACTATCGAGCAGGCATTGTTCCCGACTATTCCCACCCAAACCATCAATGGCCGGCCCTGCGTCAACCAAACTTCCACGCTTAATCGGCTGGCCATGAATTTTCTTAAGTCTTTTTGGAGCAGTGGCACCGTTTGTCTGGCGTCATCAAAAGAAAAGGCATAGAACATCTGTTTCAAGCATTAAAGAAAGTCGGGCCCCAGACAGAGGCTCGCGTGTACTGCATGCATAACTTGGCGTTCTTCATCATTTGTTTTTTCACAGCGTTCTCAAGACATGAGCAGCGCTGATATACCATTGCATGGCCGGTGTTTGGGAGGCATTACTTCGATGCTAGGAACGCTCGACTGCCCTTTGTATTTCTGCATTTTACTTCTATCCATCAACGAGTGGGCGGGACATACGAGTTCGCATGGCATTTTAACTTGCAACGTGCGATTGCGATGGGTTGAGCAAAGGCTGGAGCGGAGGATTGATGAGTCTAGGTGGAGCAGAGAACTGGTCTTGCATAGATAGACAGTCAGACAAATGAAATCTCCATCTCCTCAACAATGATTCTCTGTGGAATGTGACTGTTGAGGACTTCGATTCGCGCTTGCAAAGCCCAAATCAACACCCCTAATTGAGGTACCTTGAAGGAAAAGGCAGGTTCCGACCCACCGTGAGAGGGGCACTTTCCTAGAATAATAATCATATCACTGTTATAAAATTCTAGTAACTGTCAATTGACAGTCAATTGATAGTGATAAGAAATTCTTGGCAGTCGAGAGGTCGTTATTTCAGGAAAGTGCACCTCCCACAGTGGGTCGGAACCTGCTTTCTCCTGTAAGGTAGGTATTTTGTGTAGCATGCGTCACGTGATCTTGGCTGGCTTTCTAGCCTCGACTGAGACGATGCCAATATAAATGAGGACCTAGCTTGTCGTACTAAACCTCGAGCTCACCCAAACACAACAATCACAACATTCATTGTAAGGCAACCAGTCTCTTCGCAAATGCACAGAAATCATTCAATATCCTGAATCCTATACCCTAGCTCGTTCAATTCTTCAAAATAGGTCTCACCTGAATCTTAGCCTAGCGGTCTTGATGTACAGTCAACAGACATGCCAAAGCCCAAAGAGGATCTTGGACGGCTGCCATTCACGGAGCTCATGAACCTTGTTCCCTTACCACATTTTCGACCAAATGGAAAGGAAGAGAGAGGACAGGAAAGGTTCATGTCTACTCGGCCGGCTTTTAATCCCGGACAAGGTTCTGCTTATGGAGGACATGTCTTCGCGCAGAGTGTGTGGGCGGCGAGTTTTACTGTTGGTGAGGAGATGGTTGTACATGTATGTCTTTCAAATGTGTTGTTGTTTTGAAAGGCATTTATCAGATATGTGGATGGATCTGGCTTGTTCTGCAGTTCAACGTTGCTTTCGCTGTGTTTGAGCTGGCCGTGAATTCATATCAAGGCAAGGGAAGTCAACATTTGCGATATTATCAGATATCTGATCTCCAGCCTTTTCCTATTGGACTTTTACCCCTTTTCAACGGTAAAAGAGGAGCTTACTGTTGACACCACCCCTAGAACGTCCATGGCTTCTTCCCCCTACCTGGACAAGTCGACAGGCCATACATCTACACCATCTCACATCTCTCCGAAGGCCGTTCATACTGCACAAGACAAGTAAGTGTACGACAACCGGTCTCGCCCTCTTTCAAATCACCTCCTCTCCCGTATTTTGCCACCTCATCTCCAGATCAGATCCCGAGGTTTGAGATCGAAGATTCGGAGGCGGAATTGGGGAAGGTGTGTTTCTCGGCAATGATCAGTTTTAAGCGAGATGAAGAATACGGTAAAGGTCACCAGATGGAAGTGGGCATTAGGGAGAGGTACAGGAGGGTCATTGGGGTTAGGAGACCGGACAGTTGGGCGTTCGTGCCGAGGGTTGATTCGTCCTGGTGAGTTTCCCGTATTTCTCTCTTTTAATTTGTGTCTCTGAAGCAAAGGTGCATGCCTCCGTGGTCATGTAAAACTCTCTTAGATATCTCAGTTACTGGCAAATGATATGTCAAGATTCAGTTCTGCGACATTTCTGTTCGCTCCTTCCTTCCATAACAGGCGGTGTCCGCCAGAACGGGGATCTATTTTGGTTGTTTCTACCAGCGTTGATCATGTCAATACATGAACTTTCAATACGGCTGTTTGATTTTCTGAGGGCTGCCTCCCATAACTGGGCTCCTATATCATCACCTTGCACATATACTAAACTACCGACCTAGGGTTAAACGAGCAACAAGCCGCTACCCATTGGCGAATACCTTCCCAGGACTGACCATGCACCGCGTCGATATGTCCTCCTTCAATTCTTCCCTTTCCCCAATGTCCTATCGCCAACTAACTTACTACACACCTCTGGGACGAATCCCTTCCTCTTCACCCAATCTCCATGCCTGCGCACACCTCTACGCTAGCGATCGCAACTCCCTCTACCTCATCACCAACGCGTTAAAGACCGGTGAAATTGTCCGCCAAATGGGCAGTTTATCACATTCAGTGGTGTTCCACGTCCCAATCCAAGATCTGCTTGTCAAAGAGGGAGAGTGGTGTGTTCAAGAAGCATGGACGCCGAGAAGCGGGAGTGGGAGAGGTGTGCATGAGAGTTGGATATGGAAGTTGGAGGATGGTGAGGAGGGAAATAGGAGGGATGTGCATATTGCCAGTTCGTGGCAAGAAGGGCTGGTGAGGTATTCGGAGGAGAGGAGTGAGCAGAAACAGAGGTTGCTTTGGTTCGAGGGAATGAGGAGCATGGGGCTGCTGGGTGATGATATCTATGACGAGGAAGGACTTCCGAGAAGGGAGAGGGAGAAGTTGTAGATTTGTGACAAACCAGTTGGATACATATTGGATCAACTAGATTAGAATAGATCGAAAGAAGATGACTTTGATATTACCCAAAGGTGTTTATTTCCAGATATCTCTCTTCAAACGTTGAACGCGCCACCTTCACTACGAGAGTAGTATTCTGGCAAAGCGTGCGGCGATTAAGTTGCCTCCAGGGCGAGAGATGGAAAGGAATTACATAGGTACTGACAGACTTTTCCAGGGAAATGATATATTTTATTAGCTTCACAATACCAAATCATCACCCAAATCCCCTAGATCCGTCACAACATTCCGGAATCAAGTACACATGATCCACCATCACACCCCCAACCATGCTGATTCCACCTAAATTCCACATTCCCCACTATCGTCCTTTACACAACATCTTTACCAACTCAAAATCTTCAGAATCATGTCAAGAAGTACTTTTGTCATCTAGTCTACGTATCAAGACCTTTGCAATGAATCATGCTCTGATTCTTCCCGTGTAAAGGGTATCTTGCCAAACGCCAAGAGAGAAATCCAATGCAGAAACAGAACACTGCTTTTCGTGCCCATCAATCGAGAATTATGCCCAGAAGCCAGATGCTAAGAGAACACGCCCAGAGAATCGTCCCTCGTCATGGAATGCAGATTTATGGTAGAAAACGATAGTGGAAAGGAGTGAGGCCGGATCGGTCTCCAATTACGCCAAATGTTCAAAAGGAAGGCCAAAAATATTATTTCCACGCTTCTTTCCACGCTGTTTCCACGGGTTTCGTAGAAAAAAAATGCCCTCCAAGAAATCGTACCAGATTTGATATCGTTCCTTTTTCCATAGACTGGAAAATACAGAAATATGAAGAAGGATCGAAAGTCCAACCTTCGGCTACACCATATGGTACTCGTCGGAAAGAGTAATCGCCATAATTGAGTTTCCATCACTGCACAAAACCAATATGTATGCAGATTACAGAGGCTCAGTCTTAAAAGCTCCGTCAGTCTGCGTGGAATACTCGGACTCATGGTCGTGGATTCCCTTGTCTGTCAAGTCCGCCCTTGCTAAATCCAGCTCTTGTCAAACCCAGCTCTATCGAATCCCGCCACATCGTATCCATCAAGATCGTATCCCTCATTATCACGACCACCTAGAAGTATTGAAATTAGCTTGTGCCTCCAACTTGCTGGGAAAATATTGCCGTTTTGTTAAGGAGAGACTTACTACGCCAAAATTTCTGGAAATTATTAAAGTTAGCTTGTCGTCGTACATGGAGAATTGCGTCAATTGTGAGCCATACCCTATGCCCCTTCCTATCGTACTTTAATTTCTTCCATGAGCCACTGTTGAATGTATCAGCAGCAGCCTTGGTAGTAACATCAGTGACTAGGAAACCACAGACTTCCACAGCTTTGTCACCAGGATCTTCCTTTGAGCTGGTATAAGTATGGTGGTGATTATCGAAATGCTGCCATGCGCTCACGGCAGTTTGGAAGCCCTTCACACGATTACACTTGGGGCATTGGAAGACATAGTATTTCCCACTTTTCTTTGGCCATTCTGAGATGATTTGGTGTCGGGACAAGTCAGCGAGTAGAATGGTGCGGGATGTCGGTACGTTCGATGGCGAATGATCATCATCACTCGACTCGTACGCATCCAATTCTGCTTGAGCCTGTTCTTCAGTGGTAAGGATTCGGGCCAGTGTGGGGTATGTTGATGCTGGTGGGTTGTAAAATGTAGCGGACTGAGTTTGAGGTGAAGGAAGGCCATCAAAGCCAGTTTTTTCGGTGTTGGAAAACATGTTTGCGAAACGGTCGCTTGCCTGCTTGATGTACATGATAGGACGTGAGAAAGGCGAATTTTGAAAGTTTTCTGGTGGCTGTTGGGCAGTATCATGGCTCCAGTTGCTGACCGAGTCAACATTCGGGTCGTAACTGCCTGTTGAATAGCAGTCCGTGTTGTACCGTTGTGAGACACCACGAGACACTTCATGAGTCTGTTGGATCTCAGGGTATGGAGACACGTAGGCCTTAGGCTGTTGAGCACTGACAAAACTCATTGGATAGTCCTCAGATTGGATTCCCTTACAGGAAGGCGCGCTGACGCTATTGGTACGGCCAACATCACGGTGACCACCATAGGAGTTGAGACGACCGCGATATGATCGAGGAACCAGACACTGAAGTGATATACGGCCACTATCGACTGCGCAAAGGCTCGAACTAAGTTGGTAGTTATCGTTCAAATTGCCTCCTGAAAACATACGTGGCTGCAGGTTGTAAGGCTCAGGGTTCGGAAAATTATCATGGAGAACAGTCGAACCAAAGTCAGAGATAAGGTTGGTTCCACCGTGGCTCATGGTTTTTCCGCCATTGCCAATGGTGCCGGCAGTTGTGTCTCCTGATCGGCCATAGCCAGCAGCGCCAGCGTTGTGTTGATTTCCCATTATAGTCATGTTCGAAGCTTCATATCCCACGCCTTCAGGTACTCCACCATATCTTTCTTGACCTTCTATATCTCTGCTATTGGCGAAAGTCTGTTGGTATCCTCGAGTGTAGGGAGTCGACGTGCTAGGACATGAGACTGATCTCATGCTGGACTCGTGGTAAGACGGCAATGTACCGTGGGCGTGTGGTTGGCCTCGTTGAGCCCTATTTAACTGAGGACTCATCAGACTTCTACCTGAGTCGTATTTGATGTCTGAAGGCTGATGTGTGGGGAATGTAACGAGCGGCTGACCAGGAATTGGAGTTTGCTGGACCGATTTGAAGTCTTGGTTTGAGGTGAGAGAGGTGTCGGAGAAGAAACCGTTCGAGGCTGCGCGAAGATCGCTTCTACCATTAGCCATATCACTGAGGTAGCCGCAGTTGCCGTTGTGGAAAGCCATCCTCGAAATGGTACTGGTATGTTGATTCTCAAAGAAGTGTCAGAAAATAGTCGAAGCTGGAGTTGCGCTTATTGACTTTGCGAGGCCGAGTCAGGCAGAGAAACTAGCGTCAGCCACTAGTTTACTACTGTTCTCTCGAATTAGATGAAGGCGATTTAGTTCTTTGCCCTTGAAGTGAGCGTATTCTGTCCTGAAGGTGTATTGCTCGTTGAGTGTTGTTGATATTTGTTTTGATTCGGTTCATTAACCAATGTTGTTGGCGCATTTTTCGCTTCGAAGATTAGCCGTCACACGACTGTCAACAACCACGTCAAACCTCAAGGACATTCAGATGCCTCCTCTTCACACGTACTCGGGGGCATATAAGTATTTTTTCTATGTTTAAGACTGTGGCGATTAGGCAGTTCCCATAATGCTGTTTCTAGAAGCTGTTGTGCTGCAATTGAAAGCGGACTGTACGGACCATTTGAGAACCATTGATATGCCTTTTCTCTTCCTGTTTGTTGTCCTTTATAGCCAGCAAGACTTTGGCTGATTAAAGTAGGAAGAGGTAATTGAGAGACACTTTGAAGCAATTTGAAGCCAATTCAGAAGCTAGTTGCAGCTGCCCTTCGGAACGCTACCGCCCCAGACAATATAGCAACAAAATCTTTCTGCTCTCCGTGTTTCTGGAGATAACGTAAAACTCTGCCAATATGACAGACTCTTGTAATTAAGTTAGATTTAATTGAAGCTGCGTTCTTTGCTCTTGAGACTCCTTCAAACCAGACCCATGGATGTGCAGCGAGACCACTCTCATTGAGTCAAAGGTGCGTTGGTCCCGAGAAAATTCAGGGTTAGCAGGTACTATCAACTATTATACTGTTTAAGCCTCTGGAAAATCAAATCTGAATTATCAGTTCCAAAGACCGTGGAACCCAGGAACTGTAGCGGGAAGAAGATCCGCCGGAGAACACAGGTTCGCTGCCCAATTTGCTTGAATTGCAGCTCTATAGTTACGAGATGTCTGATTAGCTCTGGGAAGGTTATATTGTCAAAGTCGTGTGTAAATGAGGAATGATTTCGGATTTTCTTAAAAGCCACAATCCATACCCTGCTGCTCGCTAAGCTTATGAAAGTTCTCATTTCTTACAATGTGCCCGAAGAATGTGCCCAAAGCACATGTTGTTGCCGGATGCTGGTGGGGTCCGAAAATACTTCAAGGATTTGGATTTGGTGAATGCAGAACAAAGTAATGGAGGCCAAGTGGAAGATCCCTTAGTCATTTCAGTCAATTATCTTTTGCTTCATTATGATCAGATCAGATCAGATCAACTGGGACCCGACGCCATCATGAGGAGCACACCATGTCATGCCACGAATATCTCAAAGAATTCAAGTTTAGAGGAAAGAAAAATTGCCACTGAATTAACATTTACCACCAATACAAAAGAAAACTCGTTTCCGGGCTGCTAGCCCCACCTCGTCATTTGTGAAATCGTTAATCTCATCCATTGACTTTTCATCCACCATAGCCACTCCAACAAGCGCAACACCGATATACTGAACAGACACCAGTGAGACACATATATCAAATAAATACATAGTATCATGTTCAACGCTTGTTTGCCAGTCTATATACACCAAGCCAGGACTCCAAAGCCCACTCTAGTTTCCCTTTCGCTAAGCGAAACCTTTTTCTTCAAAGTTAACAAAATCAATACTAACGACATTCGTTACCAACAACCCATCAATGGACAATTAAAAATTAAAACGAATTCACCGAGTTAATCACCTGATGGAAAGCGCTAGATGGGCAGGCGATTGCGACCACACATCGCTTGATAGACTGTACACAAGATTTCTCGAGGATATAAACTCGTTCGAATGACTCAGGACGTCCTCCTTTCTTCCACCAAGATCTTCTTCGAGTAATTTCGACTTCTTCGAGAGCTTCTTTATTTAAACTTCCCTTAGATGAAAGAACGTCACCACACAACAACAAACCCTTCTCGATATACTCCCTCCTCATTTAGCATGTCCTACCAGTCTCCTTACACACCAGTCTCCGGCCAGGATAACGGCCAGCAAGTACCAGCTGCCCCAGCTTCTCCAGCACCTACCACACCCTCCTGTGAATCTTCAACCTTTGATTGCCCCTCTTTCACCTCTGCTTATGACTCTTCCCAACTAGCCGAGGCTCGTCTTCCGCCAGGCACGGTACGCCTCACCAACGATGTCCACAGAGGCCCAGCTCGATACGCAAACGAGCAGGTATTCTCCCCCGAGGATGTTACCGCTCGCGACGAAGAACTTAGACACGGTACCCACAAGTCTAGCGCATACCCTGAACCATCAATCGGAGGCTACCAACTCCCAGCAATACACGCCTTCACCGACCACGCCCGAACTGCGCCGGTTGATCGACCTCCTCCTCGCCCAGTCCCGCTCCACCTGAAGAATGTCCAACCGAGCGCTTGCCTGGTCGAGTATCCACTCGGCAGTAAGAAGTACTATACTCTGGAGTGCTTGAAGTGTTTTGCAGCTTTTGATGGAGTCGGTAGAGCGGTCATGCATTTCACGCACATGGCGGCTCATGCCGAGCTGAAAGGGCTCGTTACAGCTGAGAACGTGGTGGAGATATGTGGTTGTCGTGTGGTAGACGCGACGGATGAGGATTATGCGAGAATGAATTGTGCTGCTCGGGTAGGTTCACCTTCGTATTCCGGTGTGCTGGGTTCTAGCTAATGAGTGGTAGCAAGCTGCTGCTCTTGCTGCTGGTCCTCGTCCTTCTTGATAGCGGAATTCACTGGCTGTAGTGTTTTGAGAGGTATTTGCCGGCCACAGATCTCCTCTCTAGGATGGACAATCCTTTGGATGTTCTTCGATATGTTTCTTCCTTCTCTAATGACTTCGGCTCAAGTTATCCCATACTTCTACAGATTCGATCCTGGACTAGCTGATCATTCTTGGATGGTTGGCGTTCTTTTCTTTGGATCTTGCTTGGGATTAGACAAGGTTCATGGTAGATGGTGTGTGAATACGGAAGCATGGCGTTGTTTTTGGTGGGGCTCTTCTGGGTAGATCTGCTTCTGATTATATGCCCAACCAATATGGGTTTCTTCGATATGAAACATAAATAACCACTGACGTGAAAATACTGACCTGTTTCGATTGCCCAATCTACACTTCGGTAAGGAAACGCACCAAATAAAACAGAAGCTTGAAAAAGAAATAGTGGCTTTTAAGTGAGGAATGGCGTCTTGACTCTGACAGAACTCACACCGCTCGATATCTCCTTGAAATCTCAAAGGAAAATATTGATACATTGTTCGTGCGGACGGAATCGATTCAACATGAAGACGCAAGAACGCACACATACTGTTTGATTTTCAAGCCATACCCTCTCTCCTACTAACATGAAATTCCCACTCGCCATGCGCTCTTCTAAAACCTTCATCAACGATTTTTTCCGCCTTTCTAAGCCCCGGTAGCTCCAACTCAAACACCTGCAAACCCGTAACCTGAATCAGCTCATCCAACCATCTTCTTTCTGTCACCACGCCTGCATCTTCCTTATGCCATTCGATCCTGGCTCGCAAAGTCTTCAGACCTTTCATACTACCAATGACCCTCCAAGTACGTTCCCATCGTGCCCAGTCACTGGAAGGCGAACCCTCTTTGAAGTGGTGAGAAGTGGCGAAGCGGAAATCGAAAGAGAGATGTTGGATGCTGTCGAAGCGGTGGGGAAGGGTAGAAGTGGAGAGCGTGATGAGACTTTCCAAGCTATCAAAATCGAAGATGGTAGTTTCGTAGAGTATACGAGTTGCGGCGACGTAGCTGCTCATGAGTTAGATGTTGATTTTCTAATTGTTGAGATGAGGGTCCGTCTCACAGTTTCCGACAAGTCTGCAGCAGAGCAACGAAGTTTTCTCCAGGCTGACTTGACTTTGTATATCGCCCAGTAGCCAGCTTGACACCACGACATTGCTGTTCCTTGCATGCTGTGGGGCTGCTTTCATTCCCCAGCTTGCAGACCTCATGGCCAAGGCCGTCATTCGGCCTTCTCATGATATGGACGAGTCGATTTCCAATAGCATGCTCGCATATCAGATCCAATACCTCTTTTGGGAGACTGAGTAACGGCGACTGATCTTGGTCATGGAAAAGTAGATCTTTCTTGTTGTGAGGAGACGGACTGATAGCGCGCTCTCGTTTTGGTAGAGATGGGGTTATGGGTGGTGGCTGGTAGTTGCTTTTCGATCTGTGATTGGCCGGCAAGCCTAAAGACTCCCATCTTCGACGACTGGATGGTTTTGGACTGTCTGGTAGAGGCCGACTACGACCAGTCAGAAAGTTGAGAGTTCCAAAAACAGTACGGCCTGTTATGCCTGTGGGGTGCGGTTCTTTCTGTATGATCCGAACGGACATGGTTGAGGTGGACGCTTGTTTTAAGGTTTGTATGGCGCAAGGGGTTGTAAAGACTGGATGATTTAATGCATCTATGTTTAGAGCATGGATGAAGATGAAGACATTCAAGGTCCAGATGAGAGAGACGGGTTGAGGATGTGACTGAGTGAATGAAAGAAAGCAATATCTGTTCAAAGGAAACGAAGTGCAGTGAAGTGAAGTGAATGAAGCATTGAAGACTCAGAATGAGTCGAATGACTAAGGGATGACATTGAGCCGAACGACTACATGACTGGTCAGGTCGTACAGTACTTTCGTACAAGCTGCCACAGGGACGGAGCGTTACAAGAAGAGAAGCTTGGGGGAGAAGTTGCGCTGGATGGATGCCCAGAAGGGGAGGGTGCGCCGCCTGACAGCATGCGCTAGACTCTAGAGCCACCGAAAGTGGAGTGTGAGAGTGCCCTGCTCCCCTGGAGGCCAATAAAATCCTGGCCCGACCCACCTCAGCCTCAGCCTGACCCCACATCCCCTGGCCTGCACTTGGCTCCCGTCCCATTGAGGACAGCTCCATACTGTACGACATCATCAACCATGATATTTCCACGATGAAGAAGACTCTTTTGCTGTGCTTTATTCATGGCTTCAAGGTAATTCCTTCTGATTATGATGTGTAACGCATAGTCTCCCAAGTACAACATTGACTCGGAACACAGGGTGGCGATGATACCTTCGGAGGATTCCCAGAGCATCTTCGAGCTCTGGTCAGCCATGCGCTCCCGAAAGTCGATGTCCGCGCCATCGTATACCCGAAGTTCGAGACCAGGGGTGATCTGGCAGAATGTGTGAGCAGATTTAGAGACTGGTAGGTGATGCGGCTTTACTTATCTGAAGAAGAGATATGGGCTACATGGTTGAAAACCGTGACTTGAAACCGAACTGAGGAATTTGACTTGGGTGTCACTGTTGGCCGCGAGACGTTGAAAATAGAGGACAATGGAGATACATGCCATATTTTGATGGATTTTTGAGTTATCTGCTTTCTTTACATCTCTGCAAATGGTGCTAACAGCACGTCCCAGGCTTCTCGAGAAAGTAATAGACATCGAAGTCTCCTCCTCAACACCTTCCCCTACCATCGACCCCTCTGTCCACACGATCCTCATAGGGCATTCTATGGGCGGCATCGTCGCAGCAGACACCCTGCTCGCCATAACATCCGATCTTACAATCGCGTCCCGACCATCCTCCTCCTCCCAAAACCCCACAACCCCAAACCCAAACCCACCGATCAACTCTCTTATGTTCCCCTACATCTCTGGAGTCCTCGCCTTCGACACACCTTACCTAGGCATATCTCCAGGAGTAGTAGCCCATGGCGCAGAAGGCCATTACAACACCGCCTCCTCAGCGATAACGCAGCTCTCCGGGCTGACAGGAGCAATATGGGGAGGTAAAGCCGCAAGCGAAGTCGACAAAGACGGGAAAGTCAAGAAAGACCCCGTAGCTGCTCTCCCCGCGCCCGAATCTTCTTCTACAGCATCTGTCCCGGCCTGGCAGAAATGGGGTAAACTCGCTGCCCTCGCCGGCGCAGGCGCAGCAGTTGCGGGTGGTGCAGCAGCAGCATACATGAAGCGCGAGCAGATCACAGCAGGCTGGTCTTGGGTAGGCTCACATCTTGAGTTTGTGGGATGTCTGATGAAAGGCGAGGAGTTGCGGAAGCGGGTTTCGGGACTGGTGACGTTGAATCGAGAACTCGGCGTGGGATGGGCGAATCTTTATACGAGGTTGGGGAAGAAGGCGTTGAGTAAGAGTGATGGGGTGAAGTTTGTGGGGAGTGTGGTAGGGAATCAGAGAACGTTTTGTAACTTGCCGAGTGGGAAGGACAAGAGTACTGGTGGGAGGGAGTATTGGTCTGAGGCGATCAATGATGCTGCGGGTGATGAGACAGGGGCGCACATGAGTGAGTTTTCCTTCTCGTTAAAACTCCATCTTTACAAAGCCTGTATATTGCCCTTCGCTCTAATGTCTGCGAAATCGCTATCCTTACACCCCACAGGCATGTTCTTCCCCAAAGACAACCCAGGCTACTATGCACTCTCCGAAGACGCCAAGAAGCTCATAATAGACTGGTCGACGAACGACTGGTACGAATCCAGCACTGGAGATGCTGATATGTCCGGGATCGAGCCACAGCATCAAGAGTTATAGACTAGATAGGGAGGTTTGGGTTGACGGCGTTTGGGTCATGATTTGTGAATACCCAGCACATACACTGCAATACACAATGGATTTTATCTAGCCTGCAGCACTATATCACACCATCTATGGTTTAATATTACGATTACGCTGGCGCGTGTCATCATCATGGAATTATATTACATTAGAAACAATATTCCTCCACATGGAGATGTATCCCCTGCGCTCCAGTGCCTTTATGTACAGCTCTCTCGTCGGACAACTTGGCGACAGAATTTCTCACAGAAGCTACAAGCGACTTCCCACCACAAACAGCAACTGAGGTCTCTCCTCCAGTTATTTCCACAGGTCCTCGGATGAAATCCGCAATGCTTGGCCGGGCGTATGAGTAGACGATCTGTTTGATGGGTGGTGCACTTGGTCCAGCGCAGCAGCATGGTCCAGCGTCGTCACTGCAACCGCAACAGATTTTCTCAGCTTCTCCAGCCTGTGATGATGACGGTTTTGACAAACTCGACGCCGATGTGGAGTCGCTCTTGACTAAAATGTACGGCTCATCCTTTTTTTCGTTGACCGCTTCAATGTCCTCGCTCGTTGTCTGTCGCTGCTCGTTCACTTGAGTCTCGTCAGCGGGTTCAAGCTTGTCACTCTTGCTTTCAGCCAGAGATGAAGCTCTACCTGTGATGGCGATTTCGACATCTAAGTGGATTCCTCGGGCTTCTGCCTGAGCTAGTGCTTTGGACAGACGATTCTCATAATACTGGCAATGAGTTCGCTCCCTGACGACCAGCAGGAAGAATATTCGTTGCGTGCAAATGGTAGATGGAGAGGCGAGAAGGCTTTCGAGAATCGGTAGCGTGAAGGAAGCTCCTGTTGATGCGGAGATCAAGATCAAAGTCTCAAAAGCTTCCCATCTGGGCGGTGCTCCGTATGGACCAGCAATGAATCCTGTCAAGGAACTGTTCGAGGCTCCTTGGGTCTTCTTCGCATAACTATGTATTCGTTTGGAGAATCCGGAGTGTGCTCGGATCGCAAGTTGAACGTCATTGCAATGACATTCTGCCTTCGTCGTGTACGGACTGGCAATTGTGAATGGGTGGGATTCAAGTGGTCCAAGGTACGGTAACCAGAGATATAGATGCTGACCTGGCATCCAGGTCATGTGGACGTCCTTAATGGTGACGACGGTCAGGTCGTTAGAGATCGCTTCAACCTCAATCTCATGTCCAATACGTCGAGTTCTGTCACTCGCCTTTCTAAATTGATATCGGAGGTTCTTCCAGATCATCAAGATTCCTCGCAATATCCAATCGGAAGATATGGCGGCAACGGCGAGCCATACATTGTATTGAGCGTATGCTGGAACGTGGACATGAAGAAGCCAGAGGAATACTCCTGCTGCAGCGATATGTTGCAGTACGAAGAATTCATACGCCAATCGACGTAACGGAGAGAGCGAGGACAGGAACGTCCAAACAAGGACAAACCAGGCCCCAATCCCGTATTTCACCATAGGCATCAGCTCCAACTCCAAAGCCAAGAAATCGGCTCTAACATATTGACGCACAAAGAAGCCGCCATGAATCGTGACGGTGAGTAGAAGAGTCCTCGAAACCCATCGGTGGAGCCAGTTCAAGCGTTCATGTGAGCTGCCAATGATGTGACCGATGACGCTCGATTTTGTTGCTAGGAGGTAGACTAAAGGAACCTGCGTCACGGCAATCCACCCATTCCTGAACCCTATCCTTTCGTAGTAGTTCGCGTCGTTGAATATCGCTTTGTAGGTCATCATGTACGCCACGACGGCCCAGTAGAAACATAAGACAAGCACCCGTCCAAGAGGAGGTGGGCTCAGCCATGAAAACCACTTGTTGCTGATGTGTAGTTGGGGATAGCTCGACTCGCGTAAAATGGCTGTTGCTGTTGCGTAAGCTTGCATTGGAAGGTTGTTGACCTTCGTTGGGTATTTTGTCGATTTCCTCGTTCGACATATTCTTAATCTGTGCGAATGTTTTGATTAGATCTGGCTCGACAGCACCGTTCCCTTCTCACTTTGCGCTCTGATGTAGAGATAACGAGTTGACTGACCTGCTCCAAGTCTGGTAGTAATCCACCGCTCTCAACAATAGGATGAAGCCCAGGATACCGGCAATGATATACCAATATGTGCGGGCAAGTTTTGAATCAAAGGTTCTGAACATGGGACTTGAGGACATGCTCATATGGTCCATCCTCCTCTGAAGATAATTCATGGCGGCGGGAGTACCTTCAGCCATTTTGGAAAGTTACAGAAAGTTGAGTTGACCAGCAACCTCCACAGCGCATGTTCTCCAAAATCACGTCTGCTCAAATTCGAAGTACAAGAGAATCGAGTTTTGCAAGTGAGAGCAACGGGAGCATATTCATGAGAAAAGCGGAAGATGTCAGAAAGAGAGAAGAGCGGCTGTAGGCGCTCTTTGGGATCCGGGCTGCCGCGTGCTGCTGGGTTAGACTAGCCCTGCTGGTTTTAGGTATGGCTTTGAAGTTGGATCAGGACGCAGATGGAGAAGGAGAAAGAGACATCGAGACAACGAGATCATCCATCCGCAAGAAAAAGCGTGGATCATGGATGCCCGGGCTAAACGATACTTAGTGAGGGAGAAAGCGCAAGATATCAATCCAATGAAACTAACTCACCTCATGCTGTCCGTCCAACATGGCGGCGCCAACAGAGAAGGGCAAGGGCAAGGGCAAGGGCAAGGGCAAGGACTGGATGGACAGATCCGTACCTAGGTAACTTAACTTAACTTAACTGGGGTGAGAGACACAAAGGAAACATGTATTTACATGTACTGTACGGAGGTATGGTCAGGTCCTCCTCCCCTTACCAAACTGACAGACAGACAGACAGACAGATAGAACGCGGGCAATGGCAATGGCAGTGGTAATGGCAATCACAATCACAATCGATGGACAAGCGGTGGGGTGGACCCTGACCCTGACCCTGACCCTGACCCCGACCCCAAGACCCCTCCCTGGCCCCTCACATCCTCCTCCCTTACCCCCTAGCCCGGCAGCCACAATGTGCTCAAAACTGCTCAGCCAATCAGCAGTCTCGCGTTCGACTAAGCGAGACCTCGAACTCTCTCACTTCGACTCGAACCGACTTCATGGACGGCGATGCTTTTCACCGCCCTCATCTCCTCACCCGCATCGCAGCATTGAAAGCTTGTTCTGGGAGGTCTTCGCGCCATGTCCATGTCTATGTTAAAAGGTACAGTAGGATAGCACTGCACCGCTAGCTTGGGTTAGGACGGACCTGAGAAGTATCACTTCTGGAGGGGTACCTTGTTAGCTCGGGAAAGTGAAAGTGCGATTGTTTATTTAGCTACCAGCTACTTCTTTCTCGTTTTATTTCTCACGTTTAACCTAACACCCAAGTCCTCTTTCCCCAGCATCGAATAGTTGCATCCACCTACCTCGCTCTTGATTTGAATCAACGCCTCACTTTCTCATTTAGAACCACTCGGACTCTCACAATCCTCCGCAGCAATGCCTTCCTTCTCCATTCTCAGCGCTGGCCTTGTAGCCGCTCTCCTCGTGAGCCAGACCTCTGCGCATTTCCTCCTCAACTACCCAGAAACCATTGGATTCGACGATGACTGTAAGTGTTTACTTTCTTTACCCAATAATTGCATAGACAGTGCGGTCTTCCATATTCCGGATTTCCCATGTGGCTACATACCTTTTTCACCAGGCAACAAAGAAACAAGGGCAAGCCAAATATAAACATGAGATTCATCAGGAAAAGAACAAATCTCAAACAAAGCTAACAAATTGAATCCAGCGGAATCGACAGCCCCTTGCGGCAGCTTCACAGTCGACTTCTCCACAGACAACATCACCGAGTTCCACGTCGCCGGCGACACTATTGCTCTCCGCAGCACCCACCCCGACACGAAATGGCTATTCCGCGCCACAGTCGGAACAGCAGACTCTGGAAACTGGACTGCGCTCTCACCAGTGATTCAGCAGAGCAGTCTCGGCAGCTTCTGTAGAAAGGATATTACAGTTCCCGAATCGTTTGTTGGCCAGAATGGAACGATTGGCGTTGCGGCGAATGGCCCAGATGGTGTCTTATACCAGGTATGCTAGTGTCCATGCAGATATCCCTTCCGTGGCCAGTCTATTGTGTCACCTGTCTGAGTCTAGTTGCTGACATCTGTATCCCTACAGTGTGCAGCAGTCTCCTTTGTAGCAGGCGCAGCTACTGGGGTTCCATCCACGTGCAGCAACTCGTCAGGCGTGACCGGTTCTTATACCAGCGATCCTGTCCTTGCAGCCCTATTGACTACAAGTACAACAACCGATAACACCACGTCTACAGAGCCTTCCTCAACTTCTGGAACATCTGCTGCGACTTCCAGCTCGGCTGCGAATGCGAATGCGCTGTTGGGTTCCTCATACTCGGGCCTTGGATCGCTCATTTGGGTAGGAGTAATTGGATCGGCTACTTTCTTAGCGTGTCTTTTGTAGAGGGATGACCTGTTTATCGGATCTTTGTAATTAGTACATAAAATTTGAATGCTAGAGGACCAAAATTGTCAATAGGGTTTCGTGGGATGTAAGATGTAGGAGTTCTGAGATTCATATATCTTCCGCATTGCTACAATCAGCGAATTGGCTCTACAAATGATTCATAATACACGACTAGATTAATGTAAACAACTCTAGCATGTGAAGTGAATATGTACTGCAAATATTACATGTACCGTCAGTCGATTGACAAATCGAGCCAGGAACTCACACATCCTTTCCAAGTCCGAGTATTTACCCTCTACCCTTTGACCGAGAACGCCCCGTTTGCTGTATATCAGCTTCTTCCTCACATTATTAACAAACACCACCCAAGCGATCTCGATCCAATCTACTCCCTCTTCCCCTTCCCACCCTCAGTCCCACTCGCATTGCTTTCCAGAGTACTCTCACTCCCACCCAGCGTAAACGAAAAGTCCGTCTCCCCCACCAAATCCTTAACATCCTCCACCAACCTCCTCAAATCATCCGTCACCAGACTACTACATACCTGCAATACCGCATACGCCGAGTAACCAGGCTCCTCCACATGTCTCACATCCAGGATTCCCCTATCCAACTTCTCTAGCCTTCTGCTCAGATTGTACGGTTCGGGGAGCGGAATGTACGGCGGCAGGGCGGAACCTTGAGACACAGAGGCGGAGAGCAGGGACAGAATGGAGGTGATGGAGTGTGAGGTGGGTCCGATGCTGTCAACGAGGACGGTGAGGTCAGAGAGCCATTGGCGGCGAGTCTCGGCCCGGGTATTGGGGTAGAGGGTGCCGTCGGAGGCGGTCCAGGATTGCGTGGCGTAGGACATGAGGGAGAGGTAGTTCATGATGTTTGTGCAGCGGAGGGTGATGTTGTCGTATGTTTTCTATGAGGCGAGAGATTGTCAGCTTGCTACGAGCCAGAACTGAATTGACGTGATAACAAGTGAAGTGCGGAAAGTGGCTTTGAAGAAGATCGACTGAAGCGAGGCATACGCGTGGAAATTTTCCTCCGATTGAAAGTTCCCATTTCTGCCAATCGGCATGTTGTTTCAACGACGGAATCAACATCATCAGCTTCCCGAAAATCTTATGCCGTGCTTTCTCAAGTCTCTTCCCAGGCGAGGACTTCAAAGACATGTCGCCCTCGGTATTATGCATTCGTGCCCCAATGGTTGAGTGTACCACGCTATAGTAGTTTGCGAGAAGATAGAGGGTTGAGCCTAGGTCTTTGCGGAGCCAGCTGCGGTCGGAGAGTGGGTAGGGGAAGATGGTCCAGATGAAGGCTACGAGTGAGCCGCCTGCAACGCAGGCTAGACGGTAAGGGGCGAGCTCGTAGATGCTATATCTGTTAGTAATCTGGCAGAGATAAGGCAAGTAGAACTCACGGGTAGTATGGTTGTCCAGATGCAGAAGCTGTTCAATAGTCAGCCTACTTCACTACCCCTTGCAAATTATAGCTAACGGGAAACATACCAGCGGCAATCCCTATCTTCCTAACTTGCAGTTCATATCCAACAATCAAGACCTGAGTAACAATACAAACCAAGAAAACGGATATGAAGCGAGGAAACTTGATGAAGAAGTACATCTCGAGGAAGATGAATAGCCAGAGGAAGACTATGATTCCGGGAGTCTTCTCATCGACAATGTACCACATGATCAGGGAGAATATCATGGCGAGAAGAGTGCCACCAACGCGAGCTAGGAAACCGAATATGGATTGTCCGCTTGTCATGGTCATTCCAATGGCCTGTAACCTGTAAGTGAGGAATAAATTTAAACATCTTCGGGAGAATCTACTTACAATGATGATCATGGCCCATACAAGTCGTTGCTCAATGAAGAATCTCTGTGTCTCTTTCAAGAATGCAATAATGCCTCTGGAACCAAATTAGTATTTGCCAATGTGAAGGATGCTGGGAAAATGGAGACTAACACGGTCAATGTCGCACAACTTAAGGTAGCAAAGTCAGTAAAGCTTTCTGGAATATAGGACTTCAGCGAACACTCACGCAACTCTGAATCCAAATGAGGATTCTGTGGAGCCCAGAAAATGGGAGATGGTGCGTATTCCATTCCCAAACTTCTGCCAAGCATTCTGGGGAGGGAGATGCTCGGGTCTTTCTTCGGATTGAATCCCGAGCCCATGTATATCATGTTGTTGCCAGCCTCTAGAGAGTCCGGAGTATGGGTATCGAGCGACACATCTTCCTTCCCAATCCCCATAATCCACTTCTTCAGTCTCTTTTGGCCAGGACTAATCAGCCGCTTCTTCGCCATAGTGCCATCCGCAACCTTCCGGTCTGCGAACTTGATCAGATCCGAGATTGCCAAACCAGTTGAATAGAGTAGATGCTCAAGGTAGAGAATGAGATAGAGTTGTTGCTGGTCCCGTCTATGCTTGGACTCGTCCTCGGTCCATGTCTCATTTGCGCTGGGTGAGCTGACAGAGTCGAATTGAGCTTCATTGAGACCTTTCTGTCTAGCCCAGGCCTTCAGAGTCGCGCCTCGGCCGCTGTAGAAGTCTAGCATCTTCTTATCTAGATACTCTCCGAATTTAGGATCTCCAGGGATGGGATCGCCCCCTTTCGCTTCGACATCTGCACCTTTCTTGGCTTTGGGTTTCGAGACGAGTTCGAGCGACAGAGCAGCATGCTGGAGGCCTTCGTCCATAGCTGCTGTGACCTATAGCCAGTAAGTAAGATTTCGACAAATGTTGAATGAGCTCCCAGCCCTAAATAGCATCAAATCAATACTTACCACAGCAAAAGGCTCATGTAGAGTCTTCATAATCTCATTCCAAGTCTTCTTCTCTTCCTCCTTATCCCTCTCGTGGCATTTCTCCCACGCTTCAATATCATTGAACTTCGAACCAGGAACATCCACCCATCCCCGTCGTTCAGCAATTCTCTCGAAAATATCAGTAATCGTGCTCATGCCAATCATTGGAATGAGTATGCCACGAAATAAAATAAAAATCTTGTCAACATCCTTCCCATCGAGCTTCCCCCAAGCGAACTCTCGCTTAGCAAACGGCATATCACCGTAAAGCTTGCCATGAAGCCCAGTCAATGCTGCCAGGCTGGCCTTTAGTGCTTTGGCTTGGGTATTCTGTGCTGGGTGCGACTTCTCTTTTGTTTTCTTCTTCTTGCTACCATTTTGATTTTCATTTTCTTCCGTGGCTGCTTGTGGTGTTGAGAACATGTCGCTAGTTTCCAGGCTTTGCAAGTAGGCTGTTTGTGCTTTCAGAATACCTCTGACGAGTTGTATGTACCCGCTTTGCTCCTCTGTTCTCAATTAGTCTCCGATAAAGTGTCGTGGGATTGTTTAAGTACTGACTGAACACAACCGTTCTCGAGCTCACAGGAATAATGAAGAGATTGACCCCGAGTGCAATTGCAAAGGCCGTAAGAAAGCCTTCCAAAAGCTCGACAATTAGGGCTTCTCCAGCATCGATGGTGGGGAATAGAGCCCCGAAAGTGAATGCAACATTGGTAAAGATACTGTACATGATGACTGGGAACTGAAGGACTGGCATCTTGGCTCGCAAGACGTTGACAAAGCAGATATTAGAGAATAGCCAGATCGCACAAACTCTGCGACAAGTAAGTCCAAAAGACCTCAGATGCAAGGTTTGGGGAATACTGACGCAGATTGGGAAGAGCTGTAAGACGCGGTCGAACCAGCAGACGTGGTATGCTCTCTTGCTTTTACACCAGACCAAATACCCAATAGAGCAACTGCTGAGCCGATACAGATTGCAAAAGTGTCCAAAACCATCGTCTGAATGAACTTGGCTCTCGGCATGATAGCTACAGAAAGTACCGTAATGATAGGAACAAGATAACCAAGTGTTGAGAATATCCTGGCCACAGAATCAGCTTGGTAGAAAGCAATGCCTGTAGCAGCGAACATTGATCAGTAAATCAACCAAATTACGAGCAGAAGTCACCTTTGTAGGCTCACCAATCGTCGGCGGAATTGACCCTCTATGAATGTCAGTATATTCTTTGTATCATATCGAGAATCCAGCTCCCAACACTCACTTAAACATCATCATTACAGTTCCCATATCCAATCCCAATTTCCCCCATAGTTCCTTGACTTTCGACGGCTGCTTCTTCTTCTCCTCAACAATTTTATCTCCAGATGAGACTTTCTCTGTTTTTGAGCCCGCTGGGCTTCGGACCTCTGGAGCTTTCGCATCTTGAGCATTCAGTAAGCCGTTCATATTTCCATCCATGCTCTGCTTATCTTGACCACCATGTGATTCTACCTGTGGAATCCGGGTTTCAGCCGCATTGGGAGAGATATCACGTTCAGCCATGTTGACGCCGAGGCTCGGATACAACGGCGATTAGAGCCAAAATAAGATTGTCAGACTTCACACCCCGTGTAGGAATCTAGCGACAGACATCCCCGTCACAGCAGCGTAAGATATCAGAAATGTTGGCAACGTTTGCGAGATAATGAAGGGGGTGAGGGCGTCAATAGAGTTTCACGTAACGTCAGTGCCGCTGAGCTGCCGCTTGCTCTGGGATTTTAGGTCGAGGGCTAGATGTGCCACACAATGCACGCTGATTACGCTGGGGATTACGGTAGCGCCAGCGAGTGAGCTAGCGCATCGATCCAAAAAGAAGAACTTAACTTTGTGCAACATTATATTTATCAAGCGTGGATCGATGGCGGAGTTGTAGGACACAAATGAGTTGGCGAGAAGAAGATATCGAGTTTTGATCTTATTACCAGCTGGGATTGAGAAAGTTCTTTTACCAGCGAGGATGTTCTTTGCAAGGCGTCAGGCAGGCTTGATAGGGATTATACGACATGGATAAAGAATGCCACTAGAAGATCCACGAAGGAAATTTTCTGCTGAGCACAGTTCATAATAATATAGGATATCTAACAATATAAACTCTTCTCAATTCAGAAACCCCTGCCGACTGTCCAGTCGATATCCAACTCCAGTGAAAGGCACAGACCATGACCCGGTCTCCAGGAAAGTGAACTCCCACATAAGTACCCAAGTAATCTATCTAAGCCAAAGCATTGGGCTGGCGAAGAAGTAGAAAAATCCTCCAAGTCTATACCCAAGTTGCGCCCCTACCAAAACCCCTATCTTACAGACCTTGTTCATAGTGTTGGAGCTCGTTTGAGACCTTTGCAAAACTTTAGGAAGAGACGATCTCTGAAATGAACATGCTTGATGCCCTTAGGTCGCCGGCGAGCAAATTCGTCGATGGCCACTTGGACGTCGTAGCCAAGTCTTTCAACAAGGTAGCACACGATAAAATAACCGGTGCGGTTGAAACCGTAATGACAGTGTACTCCGATATACCAGTCCTCTGTCCAGCTCTCTTTCTCTGCTCTGATCTTTTGTTCCTCAACCAGACGGTCGATCACAGCAATAAATTCTGAAACCTCCTCGTCACTTGGCGGAATTTTGGAGACAGTAGGGAATTTGTGATAGTGGATACCGCCCAGTTCAAGACCCCGAGGATCGTAGACGGGACTTTCGTGGGATATATCAACAATATCCTTGATTTGCGAGCCCCAGTCTTTTACAAATACTTCGGGGCAATGAGTCTCGTCAACTTCTCGTAGAGTCTTCATTGCGCGGAAAACACCAGCGATGGGTTCCGAAACAGGGGCCACCTTTTGCCACTTCTCTAAATTCTTCACGTCCCATTTTCCAGAAGTGGAGAGGAATTGTAGTTGCCAGCCTAGAGAGAGACGCGGTGAAACTTGCGAGCAGAGAAAATCTGATATGAGACCTGCCAAGATCCTGACTGTCGCTGGCTGGTAGAGCAGGGCGTGAGATGCAGGTGCGGGGAGAATAGTAGTCTTGAGCACCTTTTTTGGTCTGGTGGATTGAGGAGGAACTATTGAAAGTCCTTCCGTTGGCGTAGATGGGTCTTCGTGAGCATCTTCGAGTGGTTCTGTATTGACTGTCACAAAATCATCATCTTGGAGAGTGTCGATACGCCTTGGTGGTACTTCATTCAGCCCAATCGATGTATCGATAGGAGCTGCCGAATCAGCAACAGGCTTGCTCTCTCTATCAACCTCGATCTGCACAGGATGGGATTTTCCCATGAACGAGGCAATCTTTTCAATTTCACCGGGTTTCGTAACATTATCCGCTTCGCCAGCCACAAGGAAGACTGGCACTTCTAGTCCAGCCCAGGCAGTTTGTCCAGGTAGACCTCCCTTGGCATCTCCACGTTCGTATGAGGGCAAAGAGCCACTCGCCATCCGTCTCCAGACGGCTGTTTTACTTTGTTCATTGAATCGGTATTGTAGTTTCTTCGTTTCTTCGTCCGCATCTGCACCCACAAATCTATGAACACTTGCACTTTCAGTTCCGCCTCGTCGGTCCCATTGCCTCCACAGATTCAAGATTGGACCAGGAACCCAGAGGAGTTTTCTGACGAGCGTGACTTGGTCCGCCGAGGGCGGTTCTGCTTTCGGGCAGATTGCTACCAAGCCTACGACATGATCCGAGAGTCTTGTGGCATGATTCGAGGCTCTGGTTGCTATCAGTGCGGCCAGGGAGCAACCCATGCTATGTCCAATTAAGACAACTCCTTGAGTATTATTCTTCTCTCGATGATCCTCGATTATGATCTCGAGCAATTCGGCCAAAGTCTCAGTTGTGTATGCATCCCAGGATTTGGGTTGAAATCCAGAAATGCCGCACCCAGGGAGGTCTATAGCAAGGCATGATGCTAGGTTGACCAAACTTGTGAGCAAGGGATGAAATTGAGCGACCGATCCACCCAGCCCATGTATAAACACGAGAAGAGGAAGAGGCGACGGGTCTGTTGGAAGCTTATCGGCTTGAGGATGACGGCGGAAGAAGATTCGTAGCTTGGGATAGGTATAGCGATTTGTCGTGTATGATTTAAATTCCGAATGCTTCTTCAAAAGCCCTGGATCGGTAGAGCTAGCATCTGTTATAGTCAATAACGTCTCCATGGTCGGTCAGTATATGAAAACTTGCCATTGTCATCTAAAATCGGGCCTGTCGTATCTTCGTTCTGCGAGGATAGAGCAGAGCTCGACGATGCAGATGTGCTTTCCTTCCGGATCCTTCGAGCCCACCAAACTCCAGGTAATACAGAGCACAATGTGAGGATCTGAGCCATTTCCCACAAGCTGAATGCCCCCTGAGATATCTTCGGATACAGCTTCTGGAAGCTGGAGACTATTGTCTGCAGTCGCAGCCCACTTGCGATCGACTCCAAGGGCTGCACTGTCACCTCAACGAAGTACAAAAGACATGTTGACAGCTGGGCCAGCGAAGGCATATCTAAGCCAGACCAAGAAGCAACAAGCCCAGGCGCGTTTTTGCTTTTGGTCAACAACAGGATCTTGCGACGGTGCGCTCCACGGAGGGCTCCTACGCTCCCGTTAATTTCTTAACCTCGTTGGACCTTGACTTTCTGTGTAGCATTGAAACAAACGTGGCCTTGCCGGAGAATATGCCTGGCCGTCTATATCAAGCTTCGTGGGAAAGGATGGTTCGTGGTGACCGGCTCTTGAACAACCTGGGAAGCAGCGTGCGTCATTCTGGCTGCGCTATTGGCGATTCAGGTACTGGTACTGGTCCTCGGGCAGCAACATGGACAGGCTGATTTCCAAGGGAGAAAGGTAGAGGGCTCAACGATCTTGAAATGCCAGGCCGGTACCTCCTCGTACTTGCTCGCAATGAAATGAGCTGCCATTGCAACCACCTAAAGAAAAGTCAGCCTCACTTGCCATTTCCCGTCCAAACCTCGGCGCAAGTTGGCGGGATGCTTGACAGTCGGATGCAACCGTGCTGGCGTAGGTATTTTGGGGCAAAAGCGCACAGTCGATAACAGTGCTGCTATCTTTGATAATCCCACCCCGCTAACATCCGCATCCAAACAGATTAGAGCTGCAAGCGAAAGTCAACAAGAGTATCGGATTCTCGGCGTGTCCTTAAAAGAGTACGTTTGTGACCAGAGACAGTAGTACTCCGCTCCGCTTCGCTCTTGAAAAGCACCTTCAAGTAACTTACCGACAGAAAGAGGAGGCTTTGGACTGGAGCGGTGGGCCTTGTAATCAGCCAATAGAGCCACTCCTATTTGTGATAACGATGGGAGAGATTCACAAGTTCTGGATGGCTTTGGGTGCCTCAAGTGGCATAAGGAGCTGTTTGCAAAGTGCAGCAAAAAGATTCAAAGGCTCTGGATCAATCGAACGAATCTCATCAATTCCCCCGAAAGGACCGAGGTTGAGTTACCTCGAGATCCCTGTTCCTGCAGATATCCTTTTCGATTCTCTATCTGTGTTTCCTTGCATGAAGATATCGCTGCCCCGGATGCACATGACATTCCATTGGCATAGTTTTCCTATGTTTTGATATCGCCGATGGCGGAGCCATTATCATGATTTTCGACTGCCCCATTGGCAACTGATGAGAACTTGACGAGGCACTGCTGGCGCTGGTTCCCCGAGACCCCTCAATTATCGGGAACGATCCTTTAGTGGGGCATTCCACCACTTCGAAGCTTTGGATTTGGTACCGCTCAAGCATGTCACCGCAAGTTTCAGTTGTCCGTTCTACTTAAACTTTCAATATTCTCTTCTCCTATAAATCTTCAATCTATCCTCTTGACAATAAAAAACTCTTCTTTTTGTTGAAGGGTCGTTCGAATTCTGAGTTCCTCCCCTCACCCCCTCCCCATACCCCGGATTTGTTCCCTAACTACCACAAAAGAACGCTTCATCATGGCCGAAAACAATGTACATGTACCTGAGAAGCCACGATACATCAATTTCCCGTCTTTGGAACCTGGTACAATCATCGATGGAAAGCAGGCTCTGAATCGGTGGTCATATGAAATAACCAGAGGTGGAAGCTTCTTCCCAGCTTTTCATTTTTGTACTGAGCTTTCTAGAACATGATTTCCCTGGAGCTCAAGCGATGCTTTATGCAGCCGGTGTTCCAAATCGAGACATGATGAAGACAGCACCTCAAGTTGGGTGAGTTTGGAAACATCAAAGATGATAGATGGTTGGTTGTTAATCGGCCAAGCATCGCGACTGTCTGGTGGGAAGGAAATCCTTGCAAGTAAGTAAAGAGTAGATAAGAGTGTAGTGTAGTTCTAATCTGTACTACAGTACTCATCTACACGACCTCGGGAAGATTGTCAAGGACGCTGTCCAGAAGCAGGGCATGCTCGGCTGGCAGTTCAACACGATTGGAGTCAGTGATGCGATTACCATGGGATCGGATGGTAGGATAATCGGTCAAACAAAACCTTTGATGTGATATTGACAAATTGGCAAGGCATGAGATTCTCCCTTCAGAGCCGAGAGATCATCGCCGACAGCATAGAAACAGTCACGTGTGCCCAGCACCATGATGCTGTAAGTATACTATCTATAAGAGGTTGTTGACCAGTTAAGTCAAACGTGGGAGTATTCTTCCATATATTTCATGTCCTTTCTTGTGCTCACGCTAGCTTCGCAAGGAAAAATACTGACTATCCGCTTATGATAGAATATTTCCATTCCAGGCTGCGATAAGAACAGTGAGTACCAATTTTCTTGAACCTTTTCATTTCCCTACTTAAATCCAACACTTCTTTTGCACATCGTCGCAATGGAAGAGTTACGGTGAACTTTAGACTAAGGGATCCCAGTGCCCGGTGTTATCATGGCCGCTGCAAGATTCAACAGGTATGTAAATAGTGACCGTTACTCACCAGGAAAACGACGTCAAGACAACCTGACCCTCCCCTAACTTTAATTTAGACCTTTCATAATGATATACGGTGGAACTATCAAGAAGGGATTTTCAAAGCTCCTTAACAAGGACGTCAACATCAGCACTTGTTACGAAGCTTCGGGTGCATTTGCGTATGGGAGACTCCAGGCCGCAGAGGGTGCTGGAGAGCCTGGGCGAACTCCTAGCGATGTGATGCAAGATCTCGAGGAGCACAGTTGTCCAGGTTCTGGTGCTTGTGGTGGAATGTATACTGCCAACACCATGTCTACAGCAATCGAGGCTATGGGTCTCTGCCTCCCAGGATCTTCTTCTAATCCTGCCGAGTCCCCAGCGAAGATGCGAGAATGCGTAAAAGCGGCTGAGACTATCAAGATCTGTATGGAAAAGAACATCCGAGCCAGAGACTTGATGACCAAAGAGTCTTTTGAGAATGCTCTTGTGATAACAATGGCACTTGGGTGAGTGAAAATCTACTATGGATGGTAGTGGCTAAACTTTGGTCAGAGGTTCGACAAATGGCGTTTTGCATTTTCTAGCTATGGCTGGGACTGCTGAAGTTCCGCTCTCCCTTGATGATGTTCAGCGAGTGAGCGATCGAATTCCATTTATCGCAGATCTTGCCCCAAGTGGCAAATATTTCATGGAGGATCTATACAATATTGGAGGCACCCCGGCAGTTTTGAAGCTGCTTGTAGCAGCTGGGCTCATGAATGGTGATATCCCTACCGTTACCGGAAAGACTTTGCGAGAGAACATTGAACCTTTCCCCTCATTGCCACAAGATCAAGTCATAATTCGTCCATTGTCCAACCCCATCAAAGCCACAGGGCATTTGCAGATTCTTCGAGGAAATCTTGCTCCAGGAGGAGCGGTCGCTAAGATTACCGGAAAGGAAGGACTATCGTTTACTGGCAAGGCCAAGGTGTGTCGGAACTGGTCTTTGAGTTTTTATGGTTACTAAAGTTTTCTTAGGTCTTTAACAAGGAGCACGAGCTCAACACTGCGCTCAACAAAGGACAGATTCCACATGGTGAGAATCTAGTACTCATTGTCCGTTATGAAGGCCCGAAAGGTGGTCCTGGAATGCCGGAGCAGCTCAAGGCATCTGCGGCGATCATGGGTGCTGGACTCGACAACATTGCGCTGGTGACTGATGGCAGATACTCCGGGTGAGTGCTTCCACACGCATCTCTGCCTCTTTCAGGCTGCTTCACAAAGCTCGTGGCCATGGTTCCTCTTCAGATAACATCCCTCCTCACAATCCATCTCAGAACCACCAATTGTTTGTCACGTAAACAGACGAAGCTAAACTTTCATAGGGCAAGTCACGGCTTTATCGTTGGCCATGTCGTACCTGAAGCTGCTGGTAAGTTTCTTAAAGGCTCATACAGTTTTCTGAACTAATCTTCACTAGTCGGCGGTCCAATCGCTCTGGTTCAAGACGGAGATGTCGTGACTATCTCTGCCGAAACAAACACTTTGAGTATGGACGTGAGTGATGAAGAAATCGCGATTCGTTTGAAGGCTTGGAAACCCCCTAGAACCCCTGTGAACCGTGGAGCTCTGGCAAAGTATGCAAAGCTTGTTGGTTCTGCTTCTTACGGAGCGATGACAGACCAATTCTAGAAACAGAGAGCGGACGCAAGTCTGAAGTAGCTAGATTCGTAGCCGAACAATGGAGCTTTTGACACTCATCCGACAAATAATTAATTGGTAAAAGGGCGCTGTGTTTCGTGAAGTCAACTTCTAAGGTACCTACAATTGTTGTTTGGGGCCTAGAAGATAAGCGAAGATTACGACTTCTCTCAAGCATCTGGAGATGAAACGAACAGAACAGGACGTAAAGACTCCATGTACTGAAAGAAACTTACAATGTAATGGAGGTACTTCCCTAGCTGGATTATTTACTCTTCAATTGTATGCTGCTGCAAGACGTAGGATAAAAAGAACCTTGAGAGGATTTGTTGGCTCCTTGATTACCTAATGAAGTTTAGCTTATTTCGAGCTTCGAGCTCCGAGCTCCAAGCTTCAATCGTTTCTCAAACAACAGCAACAATCAACCTTCTCCTGTCCGTCATTGCCTAACACGCCAAACGTTGGTTTTCTGGTCATATCATAATGTCTAAACTCCGCGCCTCCAGTCGACCAACGATCCGCGAATTGTCAGCATTCCTCCTCTCACCACCGGCTCGACAGCAATCTACACACTGCATCTCGCACCTTGCCCGTTCCTCGAAAGCACTTCGCAAGAATGCTCTTTCACTTCCAAGCCGCCAAATATACCGCTCCATATCTCTCTCGTCCTCTAATCTCGCCTCTCCCAAATCCAAAAGCCGCGATCGTGGTCCCGCATCCACCGAAGATACGCAGACGGACTTCGCAGCTCTGAACGTACTGGGCAACACGCCTGCTCCGAGCACGAGTATAGACGCTTGTTTGTGGGATGGTTTCCACTTGGACAGTGGGGTAAAAATTGGTGGTGGGACAGGTGTGCTACTCGTGGCGGGTGAGGCATTTGCGTGGAGGCCATGGGAGTCGCCTGTTCCCAGTGGGAAGACTTTGAGTCTGGTGAACGAGAAAGGGCAATGGGAGGTCGGTGATGAGGCTTGGGGGCTGTTGGGACTGGTTTGGCCAAAGCCTGGTGCGTTCAATCTGTTTACTATACAAAATCAGCATTACTAGGGGCATATTATTAACTTGTGGTGCAGATTTATTAATTCTCGGGTTGGGCAAAGACATGAGGCCAATATCTCCACGGACGAGGCAGTTCATTAATAGCTTGGGGATCCGTGTCGATATATCGGATACGAGAAATGCGGCTGCACAGTTCAATTTACTAGCCACAGAGCGAGGTATTTCAACGATTGCGGCAGCACTTATACCAATGGGATTCCGGGAAGGCGTGGGTATTATTAGTGGAGATAATTGAGTATACCGAGAAGCTTCCAATTATCAGTAATCGCAAAGCAACTCTGACGGACAACACTATTCTATGAATTAGAGTTATGCTGCAAATCTTGGCATGCAATAAGTGCTACTTAGATGCCTCTTTGTGGGGGAATGTGTTGCAGCACAGGATTGTATAACGAGGCATTTAAGCAGATACCAGCGATTTATATACTCCATTGGGTCAATCGTAAAGTCAAGTGGCCTATTAATATCAGCAATGTTAGTGTTCAGTCGACCCAGTCAATACAGTCAGCTCGTTTTCTCTACCAGTGTAGAGACAATGGACCCCGGTGTGGTAAATCTCGCTCCCATCTCTAATTGAGTTCTGATTGGTCAATGGTCCAATTTACTCATTGAAGTTTTTATTCCACACCAAAGACTCGGAAAGGGCTGTGTGAGTGTTGCAAGGAGAATGGATGTAGGCATGGTATGGATCAATTATTACTTGAGAACCACAGTAGACCTACCATTTGGAGGCTAGAAGGCAAGGTAAGAATTCGCATCCATTGACTAGGCAGCGACCAGTGCTGACAGTGAGAAGTGGATATGGAAGAGAGCACTGTAATGAAGCTCTCCATGATTATACCACGACGAAGACAATTCGTATATCAAGTGGACTTGGGACAGTCCCTTCTTGGAGGGCTGTGACGGACGTGCTCACAGAATCGAAAATAGTTGAGAACTTTGAATTATCGCTGTAAACAAGAGAACGGCAACACCTAAGACAATTTCAAGCGACCATTTTATGTTCGTTTTGAATTTTAACGCGTCTTTTCACCTCTCTAGGTTACTCTTTGCAGACAAAATCTGCCCTAATTCGGTAGGTGGTGGAGGTATGTAAGTCCAAACCGACCCAAATATGTTGTTGACTACCAGAAGATTAATTCAAAGACCTGGGCTTCCAATATACCGAACCTTTAAAACTAAAAGCAGGAGCTAGATCTTCTACTGTATTGCTCTATTGTTTTCAAGTCCTTCGTTGAGTTAGCTCCTTGAACCCCAAGTATTGTCCTCTATGATACGTGGGGCGCAGAGTTCTCACTGTTCATATACTTCCTGTGACTTTGCGTCGACAAGTATCACTTGTGCAACGGAGCAATATATAAGAACCTTGCTCGGAGATTTTATGCACCTCTCTACATGTACATCATGAATTTTACTCTTTCCCCTTGACATTAGGAGAGAGGGACTATCAAGTCATACGTCATCGCCAATTCCATTTCAGTCAATCCGAAATCCTTTAACCGTGTCCTTTTCCCCTCTCCCTTTCCCTTTCCAGCTGGCTTGATCCTTGCCCAAATGAACAATGAAAACATCGAAAGCAATTAACTCCTCGCAGAGAGAACCCCATAGTCCCACAAACATAATCGAGATCCGCACCAACAATCACTCAGGAGGCCAATCCGCTAGTACGGTCTTGCTCCGCACTGTTGCATATCACTATATCCGTGAACCCTGCAATACGTTGAAGTAAATAGAAGAAAGCGCAACCCCTAGAAAATATAGTCTAACAATCCATCCATCAATTCTCGTCTATTTCAGCCAAGCCAGATGTGAGAAACTGGGACCGGGTCTCCAAATTCTCAGCATTGGTCATTCAAAAGAGACAGCTGAAGTAATCCATGGCAAGCCCAGCTATAGACTCATCGAGGGTAGAGTTCTAAAACTTAGAGTAGCGAGCCTTTTTGCCGAGACTCGGGGACACTTCTCCTTGTGCTCGTCGTTTTCTCTCTCGTTCTTTCTTTAGTAACTTAGCCTGACGAGATGCTTCTGCTCCAAAGGGACTGCTATTGTGTGATGTGCTGCCAGAGGAATATCGATCTTGATTGGGGGTCTTAGCGTTAATCGACTCAGTCTTTCTTTGACTGCTGCTTGGCGGTTGGTAATCAGAAATGTCAGAGTCCGAGTCCTGGCTACGACTACCCACGAGTAGAGCATTAGCTGGCTGATAAGAGAAGCTGTGTATACGACGTTTTTGTGTCAAAGTCGATGTTTTAGTGACCGTAGAGGATCCGGTGGATGGAGGAGTTAATTGTTGTTGTTTGGACTTCGCTTGTTTCTCGGGCGTGTTTGGATTTCCTCGAATAACAACCGCAAATGTGCTTTTAGTCTTTTCAACGGTCTTTTGTCTCTCTAAAACCTCCACCTCCTCCTCTCCATCCTCCTCGAACTCTGCATCTTCCATATCAGGTTCGGATCTGTCGTCGTCATTGACTTGGGCATAGCGAGAGAATGTGACCCATCCATGCTTGCTTCGTTCCAGTTGAAGCTCGCCGAGTGTCGGGATAACACGAATGTGGAAGATGATTCTAGTATAGTCCTCAATGAGTTTCTTGATCTCTAAGCACTTCTTACATGGGGCTCGGGTGAGGAATATCTCGGCCTCAATCTTCTCATCATAATCCCGAAGTCGAAAGAGTTCACCAAGAAGAACTCGAACAGGCTTATCGATTCCACGTAAAACGCATAGTCTGTCACACGCATACCATAGCATCAATCTAGGTTCAACGTGTGACGCACATGCGTGGCCCTTGTCCTTCCCGTGATATTCGTCGAATGGGTGATTTGGAAAGTGGTGATTATGGAAACTACCCCAACGTTGAACCTCCTTGGTCCAAAAGTCTGAATCGAGAACATTTGGATGATTGTCTACACATTGTGTCCATCCTGGCAAAGCATACTTGAGAGGGAAGTTAGAGCCTTTATGCTGAATGAATCCAGTAACCTTGCGCCGAGTGAGGTTAGTGTTTCCTTGCAAGACTTCAACTGGGCGAAGGACGTAAAGTCGTCTACCAGGTCCCAGATGAGCGAAGTATTGGTTATAGAATTGGATAGTATCGGGTAGCTCCCTACTATATGCGAGGGTAGAAGTCGAGCTTGATGGAGAGAGCAAAGCTGAAATTGTTGCACAATGATCTTGAAGTTGAATCGAACTATTATCGTTGCGCGATGCTACATGTTGAAGGATGCCCTTCACGTCTGCTTGGGCACCAAGCGAAGTGAGTATTTTGGCAGCTTTCTCGAGTCCTCTGAGAACCTCTTTCTCTCTACTAGCATTAGGCGGTTGCTTCTGGCGATGCTTTGGGACAAGTTGCTGGGCATTTCCAAGCTCATCCTCGGAGTCCTCTGGGGTTTCTACTATTGCTGTCTTTGCAGTTTTAGACTGCTTCACCTGCTTAGACTTCTTTGTCTTCGACTTTTGCTTTCTTGGCTTGTTGTAGTTTGGTGGAGCTTGAGATTGTTGAAGAGGTGGAGCAGGCTCATCATCGGAATCAGAGATATCGATCATGACTCTAAGGCTCTCGCGGGGTCCCAAGAATTGACTATGCTCAAGACGGCTGTTCTTCTTAGCTGAGCGTCGAGTCATTTTCACAGCTGTTACTTCGTCTATTAGCTAAGTGATATGGTTACAATAAGGGAGGAAAAGTGAGAGCAAGAGAGGTGACGACGCGTAGAAAAAGGTAAAATGACATAAAGCTTGGGAGTATAGATAGATGTGTTCGAAGAAGAACTAGATACCTTACCTTGGAAACGTGCGCCACAAATGAAGCCGCCCGTTGCTTACTTGAAGGTGTGAAAGTAGCTTCGAACTGGTGCCACAGCAAGATGGACGGAAAAGTGAAAAGAAACGAGGTGAGAAAAGGAGTTCAGTTCTATACCACTAGAGTTCGTAGTTGTGACTTATTCGGTTAACGTTGAAGCTTGGAGTGAGTTATTGAGGTGGAGTTGAATCCCAAGTGAGAACGGAAGAGAGGTATTCTTGGCAATTGTATTAGTGCAAGTTGAAAGTGAACTCTTGGCCGGTAAAACTCACCTCATATGAGTCTTGCTGTCAAGTTTCAAGCTTCAGTGACCTATTAAGCGTAGGACAGGTCACTTCTCGCTCCTGCGCATGTGCCTTGCCGACCCGCGTCCTCTCGTCTGCTCGGATTCCCAAATTTCCTGAGAAGGTGAGAGGCCTTCTGTGAGCGCGGAAGAACAATGAGGTGAGCTGATTGTGGAGAAGTTGAAAGTAGAAAAGTATGCGTCGGGGTGTGAGTTGAAGGAAGGTTGGTGGTGACCGGCGAGGCGGGAGTTGACGAAATATACTCGTTTAAATACCTCGTGGCAATACTTCCGCTGCGATAGGCAGCAGCCTCAATTAGCAAAGTAGCGTTCGTCTAGGAAAGAGATCTTGCTGAGAATTAGGTGTTTTATTCCCATTTCTGTCAACTTGTAGTGGTAAGCCACGTGTGATAGATATGTATGTGATTGTTTGCTCAGCAACACTTCAAGGGGAAAAGAGGGGCAAAAGTGATGCGTCTTCTCGATGTTGAAGGAAGGAGAAGCAAAAGCGAAACACTTGCACTACGAATAGGTTAAGGTTGGTCTTGAGGTTGACGAGTGAATATAAAAAAGGAGACTCGATTCGGCACTGCCGAATTTTGTCTACAGTGAAACTAGAGAAAAGGTATCAAAGTCACAGCGGTGTAGCGAAGAATTTCGTGATATTGGGTCAGATATGTGAAGTCGAATGTGCACTGTGGCTTTAGGATTTTTTTTATTCCTTGAAAGTACACCGTGCTAGCACCATGCCGCGCCCATCCCAAACGACCGAAATGCAAATGATTTACTCATCCTCATCCTCGCTCTCCTCAGCCTGTGTATGTTAATCTCAATTCAATATAGCGTTGAATGTGCTTCTTACCTCGACGGTGGTCTGTGCAATACGGTCCAAATCACGCTGTCCGCTCTGTGTGATACGACGACCTCCCTTGTCCTCATCCTGCTCCAAGACACCAATCTTCTCAAGAGCTTGCATAACCTTACGGTCTACGCTTCCGCTGGCATCGACGTGGTGAGATGGGCGGGATCCACGGTTGCGGGTGGAGCCGTGAACTTTGCGGAGACGTCCAACACCGACGGTTTTTCTGAGGTAGACGTGACGAGCGATCGAGGCAGCACGAACGTAGAACCAATCGATAGATTGGGGAGGGAGCTCCTTTGCTGGGCCGGTCTTGACGGTATCAACCCAACCTAAGGAGAGAGAAAATTAGCAAAAGAGAGTCTGTGAGAGAAAGATGGCGCATCCTTACCTGGAATTGGAAGCTTTCCCTGTCTCTTCAAGAAAGCAGAGTATGCCTCAATGAACTTTTGCGCCTGAAAACACCCATCGAATCAGCATTATTCCGTCAGCAGAGGTCTTTGCGACCCCCTCGCTCCTGCTCAATTGTCTTTCAGATTCGAGAGTATCGAGGTAGATGCGCATTTTGTTGTTGATTTGCGATTTGACCTTTTCCCTCCTTCAGCCTGCAGATTCAAATATACTTACATCAACATCGCGAACTGAAATACCTCCGGCCATGGTTGCGGTTGGTGTGATGTTCGAGGATTTGTCGTTGTGGTCGTCGGAGAAAAAGTTGGAGGTCAGATTTCGCGATATTCTTTCGTGTGTGGAAGCGAGCACTAAGATGCGGCCGCGTGCTCTCTGGGCCCACTATGTTTATTCTCACGTGACGAATACCTCGTTTCTCTCGATTGGATCTTCAATGTTTCTCCTTGGCCTTGAGTAGGCTGTGGTCAGGGAAATGTATGAAACATTTGATGCTGACTCTGTAAGTTTAAGTTTCTATCGAAGTCTGGGAAAGTTGGCTGTTGAGCAGCAGCTTAGCTAGCGATTATCATTTCAACCTGACGAGGACCTCTGGGCTTCAGTCATCAACCATAAGGTAAGTCCGTTTCCCCATGGACCTTGATTCCATGAAGCTACTGTGCCTTTTTCTAAGTGTGTAAGACCATTTAGCTCCAAAAAATCCATAATGTTTCGATGTTTGACAGTGCTTGCTTCCTCCTTTCGTACTGAAGTGCGGAAATCGCTCCGGTGACAACCTTTGTTAGGACCAGTTGGTCTTGATACATTTGCTACTTTCCTTTTCAATTTGGACATGGTCTATTCCACGATCCGATCCAGATCGACGGAAATGGTTTGCATTCCTTCAAGTGATATCCATGAACCTTAGCATCCATTCGCTACTTCAATCCAACACGTCTTACCTGTGCTGGCCATCGGCATCTGAGATGTAGAAATGCCGTAGATGCAATGAGACTTTTATCATTGGTGCTGCTTTGCGCTACTTACAAACATTGCTCCATAATTCCGCAATGTTCACGGCTGCCTGAAAATTACGATACAAGCTGCTTGCAAATAGCAGCATGCCTTCCACATGATGGGTTGGTTAGCATGGATGTAGCCAAATACCTATCTCCGATTGTGCCTGTTGCCGGCATAATAATGACCCCGTTCAACCAGCTATAAAGGTATCTTCTGAAATTTAGCAGACATGTCTCTCTAATGCATATCTCCTAGACAAGTTCAAAAGATCTCACCATGTCCGTCCCACCATGCTGTCTCCAAGGCTTTGATTGGGATGGAACACCTACTGGACGCATTGGAAAGCTTGCCAATAACGATACATACATAGCAGGCAATAACCACGATGTAGCAGTCCTACTCATCCACGATCTCCTCGGCTGGAACTTCCCCAATCTCCGTCTACTAGCTGATCACTACGCTCGTGAGACCAACGCAACTGTGTACCTCCCTGACTTCTTCGGTGGCGAATCTTTGGCCTCTGGTCCAATCCTAAGCAACAACTTCCACGAGCTCGATATTCCAAGCTTCGTGGCGAAGAACTCTCGAGAGATCCGCGAGCCGGAGATCTTTGACTGTGCTAGAGCTTTGCGGGAGAAGTACAAGAAGGTCGGTGCTGTCGGGTTCTGTTTTGGAGGTTGGGCGGTGTTTCGATTAGGTGCGAAGGAACATCAGCCTCCTCTTGTCGACTGTATTTCAGCTGGTCATCCCTCATGGCTGACGAAGAGGGATATTGATGAGCTGGCAGTACCGGTGCAGATTCTGGCGCCTGAGATTGATACGCAGTTCACCGCGAAGCTGAAGTTGCATAGCTTTGAGACTATTTTGGTTTCAGGGATTCCGTTTAATTATCAGCACTTTCCAGGTGTTGAGCATGCTTGTTTTACTCGTGGTGATGAGAAGCATCTTGGGGAGCGCGAGGCGATGGTTCGAGGGAAGAATGCTGCTGTGTGGTGGTTCAAGCAGTTCTTGTTCGATACTTGATTGCATGAAAGATGAAGGGCAGATCCCATTCGATGCGTAGCACCAATTTGGATAGGTGAGTGTGAATGGGGATATAATGTTCGGAGTTGCTGGCTATTTTCTACATTGCTCTTGGAGAACAACTTTAGTTCTTCTGGTACTTCAACTATTCTGGACATCCATTCATAGAAGAAACATGTTGGCACATTATTTTGCAAACTTTTATTCCCAACTCCGTTTTCGTGTTGTGAGCACTGCAGATCAGTATCAGTTATGATAAAAATGCTAATGGAAATCTTGAAATCTTGAGCAGGAGACTGGAAACACCACCTACTATATCTGGAACCAAAACATGCTTGTTACCAAACAGAATCCTCTGTCTGATGTGGAAGAGTGATTGCAACTGGACTGAGTGTTACGAGCCATAAAGCAGCTTTTACACCAAATATGCGAAAGCTAGCTCCATGTACACTCGCAGAGAATCCAGCCCTGTTATAGAATGATGGTAATGCACTCATATGATGCCGACGTATTGGCACACACACGGAATCAAAAAGATATCTTGTAAGAGAGGGTTCCGTGAAGAAGTAGAATAGACAGCTGAAGGAGCTGAAGTCTGGTCGTTGTTTCAGGGAGGAGTCATGACACCTCAGGCCACTCAATGGGATCTTTCCAGACGGATCCAGACATTTTGACGTGAGTCAGAAATGGGTCTCTCAGGCCACGGACATCTGGCCCTGCTATTGCTTGGTCAAATCTCATGCTTGCTCGATCGTCTGGTAACCATTTCTTGAAGGCAGAATATTTCGCCTGTCAAACCTTCCGACGTTATCTTGACTTTCGTGACATGACCTGCATACTTAGATAAGAAAAATTATGACACGACACCCCTTAAGAGCATGAACTCGATTGAGCTGGAGAAGTACAAGCAGAGATTGAGGACCCTGAAAACAGGCAGAGTTAATTTTGTAGGCGATCTCCAATTTTGAATCTGCAGTTTTACCAGAAACACTGACAGAAGAAAGATAGGCATGACCTGATAATTCACTCCACGGAAGCTCAGCAATGACACTTGTGTCCAAAGTAAATATCAGAAGCGCTGTAATTTCGGCATCATCAGATACTCAGATGTCGGAGGAAAGAAGAGCAGTTGAAGACGAAGCAAACGGCAGAAATGGTTTAACGTGAGAAATCACATTCACAGAAACCGCGACACAACTTCAGCTCACGAGCACCAGACTCATAGAGTGCGTTTGGTACCTTGCCACTCATGTTGGCAGATTTGACTTCCTTCCATGTGAGCAGCGGTCAAACCAGAATGAATGCAGCAAATGAAAGCTGCAATGGAAAGCCAAGTAAAGCAGAGTGATGAATTCAGACATTCATTTTGGGCAGAATAAAGACATCGTAACGGAATTGGAACGGAATGGAAATTTGATAAAGAAATCATGGTCGAAGAGTCATGTGACCAGCTCGCCCATGGCTTGCTCTCTGCCGTTCCAAATGGAAGGTTGACATCCCTGTGACTTGTTCAGGCACCTACAAGGAAGGTTCTTTGCCACTTCAGCACCAGGCTGCAAGCAGATCAGCTCGCCTTTGATTATGGACATTCGGGACATTGCAGAGATAGAGACTGCTCGGTGCCAGATCCATCCAGCTCCTGTGGAGCTAGAAAGCTGTTGTTAACTTCACTGTTCCACACAAAAATATCAGATCCCAAAGGAGCGGCACGATCTGCATTTGGGAGAAGAAAATGTGATTTTGCTTGGCTCGAATGACGTTTTAGGAGGGGGGGCGATGGGAGTGGAGGGGAGAGGGGCTGAGGGGTTCGTTTTCATTCTTTCGGTGTCTGCAAATAGCGGGGCAGGTCGGCAGGGCGACACTCACCTCAGCAGTGGGCGGTGAGGCGGTTGAGTGCGACAGCTGTTAGGTATGGGTATAGGTATGGCTAGAACTCATGATATTGTATGTTTGGTTGGGAAAGAAAAAAGTACCTGAAAAAAATAGACAACCAGGAATATCATTAGGTACTTTTCTGTTGATCGAAAACATTTAAGGCGTACTTACTGGTGCTTTCTAGTGATTGCCAGGAGTGTGCAGGTGCAGTGGTTTCCTGGTGAATGGAGAAGGTGCTGGAGCGTTCTCTCTGGATGGAAGCTTCTGGTAAACCTTAGCGAGTTCCGCCCGCAGCCAAACATAAAAACTGCCTGGGCTTCCACTCAACGAATCTTTTCCTCTTCATACCACAACAAAAACCTCCACGAACCTCTCAAGTCTTCAACATCTCCTGAAGCGTTTCTCCATATTTCAATTACTCACACACACTTCAATCAATTCCACTTAATCCGCAATCATGGGTCCAGCTATCGGTAAGTATTCTCCACGCCGCCACGACGACGAGGCTGTAGCTAACATTGGCCCTTCAATAGGAATCGATCTGGGTACCACCTACTCTTGTGTCGGTATCTTCAGAGATGACCGTATCGAAATTATTGCCAACGACCAAGGAAACCGAACCACACCTTCCTTCGTCGCCTTCACAGATACTGAGCGTTTGATCGGAGATGCCGCAAAGAACCAAGTTGCCATGAACCCAGTCAACACTGTCTTCGATGCGAAGCGTCTTATCGGCCGCAAGTTCGCAGATCCAGAGGTACAGGCTGATATGAAGCACTTCCCTTTCACCGTTCTCGACCGTGCTGGAAAGCCAGTCGTTGAGGTCGAGTTCAAGGGAGAGAAGAAGCAATTCACACCTGAGGAGATCTCTTCCATGATCTTGGTTAAGATGAGAGAGACTGCCGAGGCATACCTCGGAGGAACCGTCAACAACGCCGTCGTTACTGTTCCAGCATACTTCACAGACTCCCAGCGTCAAGCCACCAAGGATGCCGGTTTAATTGCTGGTCTCAACGTTCTCCGAATCATCAACGAGCCCACTGCCGCTGCTATTGCCTACGGTCTTGACAAGAAGGTCGAGGGCGAGCGTAACGTTCTCATCTTCGATCTTGGTGGAGGAACTTTCGATGTTTCTCTCCTGACTATTGAGGAGGGTATCTTCGAGGTTAAGTCCACTGCCGGAGACACTCACTTGGGTGGTGAGGACTTCGACAACCGTCTTGTTAACCACTTTGTCCAAGAATTCAAGAGAAAGCACAAGGTATTTACTGCTCCCTTTCCTACAGCTCTACAGGACATTGCTAACTTCTTCGCAGAAGGGTTCGTACTCCCCAATTTCCTGGATTTTCCCCCTACAAAACCACCCTGTCCCCTTCCCATTCCAGAAACATTGTGGAACATGCACATCCATGCCATCTTCAGGATGCTTGGAACCAGACTGCCCCACTTCCCAAAGTCCTCTCAATATTTTGGAACATGTAACTAACTTTTAATGTAGATCTCAGCACAAACGCCCGTGCCCTTCGTCGTCTTCGCACTGCTTGCGAGCGTGCTAAGCGCACCCTCTCTTCCTCCGCACAAACCTCTATTGAGATCGACTCTCTCTTCGAGGGTATTGATTTCTACACATCCATTACTCGTGCCAGATTTGAGGAGCTCTGCCAGGATCTCTTCCGCTCTACCACCACCCCAGTCGACCGTGTCCTCGCTGATGCCAAGATTGACAAGTCCAAGGTCCACGAGATCGTGTTGGTCGGAGGATCTACCCGTATCCCTCGCATCCAGAAGTTGATCACCGACTACTTCAACGGCAAGGAGCCCAACAAGTCCATCAACCCCGATGAGGCTGTTGCCTACGGAGCTGCTGTCCAGGCTGCTATTCTTTCCGGTGATACCTCGTCCAAGAGCACCAACGAGATTCTGCTCCTCGATGTTGCGCCACTTTCCCTTGGTATTGAGACTGCCGGTGGACAGATGACCAAGCTTATCCCAAGAAACACCACCATCCCAACCAAGAAGTCCGAGGTTTTCTCCACATTCTCTGACAACCAACCTGGTGTCCTTATTCAAGTCTTTGAAGGCGAGCGTCAACGCACTAAAGACAACAACCTTTTGGGCAAGTTCGAGCTCACTGGTATCCCACCTGCGCCTCGTGGTGTCCCACAAATCGAGGTTACCTTCGATCTTGATGCCAACGGAATCATGAACGTCTCTGCCCTCGAGAAGGGAACCGGAAAGACCAACAAGATCGTCATCACCAACGACAAGGGCCGTCTGTCCAAGGAGGATATCGAGCGCATGTTGTCCGAGGCCGAGAAGTACAAGGCTGAGGACGAGGCCGAGGCTGGACGGATTAGCGCCAAGAATGGTCTTGAGTCCTACGCATACTCTCTGCGCAACACCCTCTCAGATGCTAAGGTTGATGAGAAGCTCGATGCTTCCGAGAAGGAGCAGCTCAAGGCTGAGATTGACAAGACCGTCGCTTGGTTGGATGAGTCTCAACAAGCCACCAAGGAGGAGTATGAGGAGCACCAGAAGGAGCTTGAGGCTGTCGCCAACCCAATCATGATGAAGTTCTACCAAGGTGCTGATGGCGGAGCTGGAGGTATGCCAGGTGGTATGCCAGGTGGACCAGGTGGATTCCCAGGTGCTGGTGGACCAGGTGGTGCTTCGCACGATGATGGACCAACTGTCGAGGAGGTTGACTAGATTGTTTCTCACGAATCTCTTTAGTTGTTTTGCATTTCGGCATCATGTCATGGCATAATTGCACATGGCCAGGTGTCTAGCGGGCCTCTTTTTTACTTATGGGTAGACTTTGTTGCGGGTTTGCGTTTCCTTTGGCGACAAATTCACTGGGAAAACCGGTGGACGCTGCATTGTAATGCAGAAAAGCACCTCATTTAGGTAGCACAAAATGAAAGTCGTAAAATTCTAATAACTCTCTCTTGGTATGGCATGTGAAACTGTCATTTTATTTTCTTCTTTTCAAATATATATGATTATGACATGCAGGGTGAAATCTATTTCCAAAATACACAGTGACATGAAAGTCTCCTTCAGAAAGTGATCCGTGATCCGCCCTTGATCTAGGATCCTATTCAGGGTCTGGGGAGGTCAATGAGCTGAGATACCCTTGCAACATTCAGGTACGTCAAGGAGGGGTCGAGCCTCGCCCAGCATGTCACCCGCTGTGTAATGTGAGGAGGTGACGGATCTGATACAGGCTTCATTTAAAATCGACGATGCATCACAGACGCTGCACCTTCTAGTGCTTTTCTTTCCCCTGAAATCTAAATTGCGTGTCAAAACTCTGTTGGTGGCTGGCATTACTAGGGACCTGACTACTGGTCCCGCCCAGACCGTATGATCTCCGTCACTCTCGCCTGCTTTTAAGTAAAACCCCTGCCCACTTTGTTGAAAAATATCCAGACCAGACAGACTCGACAGATCCAAGAACGAGAGGAAGCAGCTCTCACTCACAACTTCTCACCATGGCTCCTGTGACTACCCACCCGATCACCAAAGCCTCTTATTCGGAAAGAGCTGAATCAGCTATTCACCCGCTCTCTTCGTACCTCCTCCGACTCATGACTCTCAAGCAGTCAAACCTCTGTCTCAGCGCCGACGTATCAACTACGAACCAGCTCCTCAACCTGGCGGACGCCATAGGGCCTCACATTGTTGTCCTGAAGACTCACTACGATCTCATCAGCAACTGGGACTACAACCCCACCACAGGCACAGGAGCTCGACTTGCGCGCATAGCGCGCCGCCGTGGATTCCTCATCTTCGAAGACCGCAAGTTCGGGGACATAGGCAACACAGTGCAGTTGCAGTACACCGAAGGCACAGCGAAGATAATCGAGTGGTCGCACATCACCAATGTGAACATGATACCCGGCAAAGCAGCGGTGGACGCTCTGGCAGACGCAGCTGTGCGCTGGAGGGAACGCAAGCGCTACGAGGTCAAGACAGACATTACTGTGGGCACCCCACGGCCAGAGAGCTTGGATTCGGACGACGAGGACACAACTATGACGCCTGTCCCGGAAGACAGGAGTCTTTCAGCAGCCAATGCGGGGCGGAAGGCTAGCATTGTCTCGATAACGACTGTTTCACAGCATTTCGAGCCTGCCAACTCCCCACGATCGTACGAGGGCTTTGGGGAGGAGTACGAGAACTTTCCGGGCATTGATGAGGCGCCTATGGAGAGGGGTCTTCTGATCTTGGCACAGATGTCTTCTAAGGGAAATTTCATGACCAAGGAATATACGGATGCTTGTGTGGAGAGTGCGAGGGAGCATAAGGACTTCGTGATGGGTTTCATCTCCCAGGAGTCTTTGAATACACAAGCGGAAGACCAGTTCCTCAGTATGACACCGGGTTGCCAATTACCACCCGAGGGCGAGGACGAGGATGCGGAGGTCAATGGGGACGGAAAGGGGCAGCAGTACAACACACCACAGAAAATCATTGGGCTGATGGGCAACGATATTGTCATTGTCGGGAGAGGGATCATCAAGGCTGGTGATCCGGTGAAGGAGGCTATTCGCTATAGGAAAAGGGCTTGGGAGGCGTATCAAGAGAGGATTGGTGCTTGAATTTGCTTTGGGAATGGGAGCTTTGGAGTTGTTGGGCGTGGAAGGGAGCATAGTTGGGCGAGGCGTCGATACCCTGGAAGGGCTAAAATGGGTGCCCTTCACTGCGAGCGCTACGGGGCTTAAGTTTTCAAATGAGTGTCGTTTTCACCAGGGATTAGATAAAACATTAAGTTTCTGCGAACACGTTCCCTCAATTTTCCAGTTGATCTCATCTTTTACAGAGTATAATGATAATATCATGGCACAATCACAGCTGTCTTCCTCGTCCCAGAGTATTCCTTCGCAGCTTTGAAAGCCTCCTCCCAATCATCCAAGCCGAAAACAGTAACAGCCTCCTGCCCACCCTTCTCTCCCAATTTCAACAAGCCAGCCTCCACCAACTTGATCATACCGCCCACATCCTCTCTGTCATACATCGCCTTCCCCCTGATCTTCAAATCCCTATGCATAACAACGCCATGCGGACTAGTAAGATCACCTTGAATCCCTCCCATTAGGCTAATGCTCCCCGAATGTCTTAGAGCCAAAATACCGCTCTTGATATGCGTGGAATTCGAGGCTTCAGGAGGAGAGCTGTCCAGCATGGCGTCTATGGTACCAAACTGCTGCAGGGCTTGGGTGTCAGTTTCCACGTTGTTAGTGATTTGCACGATTTCAACTCGATCGTTGGAAGACTGGAGTCTTTTGAGTCTGTCAATGTTTCGCCCCATGGCAATTTTTTGGCTCCCATTGCGAGTGCTACTTTTACAGCTGCTGAACCAAAGGGACCGGTCGCTGGAGAGATGATGATTGTGTCGCCGGGCTTGAGGTCGATGTCTCGGAGTCCACCATAGGGGATTAACAGCCTGGAATCAGCAAGTACTCATTATACTATCTTCAAGTAAATATATGATGTCTAAACCAACCTATTCATCTCCTGTAACTCCACCATCCTATACCCCAATTTCCCAAGCAACAACTTCTCGTTCAAAACATGACAATTCTCCAATGGCAGCTTCGCGTATTCCGCAAAAGTAGAGTCCCTCCACTCACCTCTCATCAGAGTCCTACTCCCCTCACTGAAACCCTCATGAATACCCATTAAGCACGCCGCCGTTGGGTCATCCCTCCCTTTCAAATATGTATCGAAGAGAACCAACTGTCCAAGCTTGAGTTTCGTGGCATCTGGGCCTGGAGCGACCACTCTTGCTATGGCGCTGAAGCCGGTAACCAAAGGTGTGGGAAAGGGATACTTGCGGGTGCCGTTGTAGACTTCGATGGCGTAGCTGATGACAATTGACGACTTCGATGTGGACTACCACGCTGCCAGGGCATGGTTGTGGTGTGGGAATTATCTTGACTTCTGGAGGGGAGCTAGTTGAGCTCAAGACGAGAGCACGGTGTATTTCAGGGAGTATTTGGGTAGATGACATATTGATTTTGGGGAGTAGAAATATGAGACGAGAACTTTGGATAGGGAGGGTTGGGAAGCGAAAGAAAACAAAGACGTGGCTTGACTAATATATCCATGTGGCTCTGTGGTATCCTTCTCATAAAGAGTTCCCATCTTCTATAGATAGGGAAGATTGAAAATGGAGATATCTCTTGTCTCCGTAGTATATTATGACACGAGATTCTAAGTCCGACAGCTGCGTACACTCGTTTTTCCTTATTTCGTTCATGAAGAGCCCAATCCGGGAACAAGATTCCATAGGCTAACATGACAGTTAAGTTTTGACTCGGTGCAACTAGGTACCGAGTTGACATCTGGCTAGCCATGCCCATCCATCTAGTAACGATGAAGTAGGATTTGCACTCGCTAGTGAGACTCATAAAGGACTCGATGCACAACCTCATTGTCAGTCCATTTTCAAGAGACACTAGCTGGAAAGACATGAGCTCATTCCCGAATACAGTAATTGAAGAAGCAAAATTGAATTAGTCATGGAAACGTATAGATATAGACGCAAGAAGCTGAAAGCATGCAACCAGGGCCGTAAGACAGAGTTTTGAGGATCGTAAGAGAACAGTTGCTGACGATGACGCTGGGATTCGGAAAATATTGGTTGACCGAGTTAGTGCAGATCGTCGTTGATGCTGAATGTTATCGCCAATGCGCATATTTGAGAACCGCCAAATTAAACTGAGCTTCACAAAGTATCCACACCAAATCCATTGTAAGGACCAAAAACTTCCATCGACATCGCAAGATTTCGGGTCCGAGATTGAATACCTGACACCCTTCGGCTTCGCGCCGGTTTCATTCGCTCCCAAAGTTCAGATGAACCACATCATGACACCAGGGATACGACTTCATGCGGTACAGTACTTTTGATACTCGAGATATAATGCCGAGATACACCCCTTTATTTCTTGCTCTATCACATCTTGGGATGAGCATTTCCGGCAGATTTACAAATGAATGTGTCTGAAACCCAGGACTTGTCACTCATTTACGTGTTCGTCACAAGTGACATTTAAAATGATATTCTGAACGCCACATTACGGGACAGTGGTGCAAGACGTAGAGCTGCGAGCTTGTCCGTTGCAGACTTGGGGGCTGCCGCTGCCGCTGCCATGTAAAAGGCATGCCGGGAAATCGAGGAGGGACGGGAAAAAGGATGACTACTTGAGTAGGGTGAGAAATCCATCTTGAAACATTCCTCTTCTTCTCGTTTGAAGTTGTTATTTGTTGTAGGTAGACCTAATTTATCCACAAGGCACTCTCTCAAGTAACCAGCCGTACCACTCATCGCAAGCGAGACCTACCGAGGAGGTCTCATTCTCCGCAGCAATGTCTCGATCTCAGCTTGCCATTTTTCGAACGCAGATGTGCTGAAGGTGGTGTTCAAGGAAATATCTACTCTGAGATACGAGTCTATTTCTGCCAAACCCCTCTTCTTTATTTCCCTCGGCTCATCCAAAATTTATACGACTGTACGTGCACGTCGTCGAAGAGTCCTGTGTCGCTGATGAACTCCCTGAGATTGAGTATTTGAGTTCGCCACTAACGGAATATCTAAACAACGCATCAGAGAGAGATATGGAGGTGTAGAATGAGCCCGCTCACCCAGAGGAACAAAATGACTTGGTCGTAGTTGCCGTGATAGAGATCGATGACCATTGGACTTGACCGAAGTCCCAGGTTGCTACAACACTATGCATCAGCAAGGTACGTCCAAGCGAAGAGCGAGGTCACAGGTTTTAAAGAGCTAATGTTGCAACTCTCAGAGGGAATGGCTCACCTCCACTTTGTAACTCAATGGCAAGAAGTCCCTGTGTCTTTTAGAATCGTTCACATGTACATGTCAAGGCTTCAGCATAACTTACTTTGTTGATCAGGCCTTTGCTTGCTTAAAACGTAATCAAAATTAGCATTTATACAACGCACGTATCGCTTTTAAGTAAGGAGACGTACCGAATGACTCGGACGACGAGCCTGCTTGTGCTTTCTGGCCAGCTGCTTGACCTGCAGAACCAGGAGTCAAAGACCAGCTATCCGTCCACTTCAACCGTGTTAGCGTTGCAAGAGTCTGAAGCTCGAGAATTTGGGTTTCTGAGACGTGATCGAGGTCATTTCTTCAGTCTAAAATTCAAGAGCTTGGGAGGCATGGGCCACACAAGTACATACAACACTATTGGCACCCATGGTGAAAGTACTGGTGATGGAATCCCCAGGCCAAACTGCAATGGTCAGCATAATTCCCAAAACTGCTGAGGTTCTGTTTACTGTACCTCTAATTGCCGTAGCTTGATAATCTGGACTTCCACTGACGTCAGGGTAGATTCATATGCGAGGGGTGATTGCCTTACTTGCAACAATACTCTACAAAGAACTGCCCTATGGTAAAGGAAAGACAGATCAGCTATGGACCCATAGATATTCCTGGAAGGGCTAAGACCTGTCCAAGAAAAGGCAAGAAGACTCCAAATCTACTCACAGGTACCAGGGACTTTCGAATCGCTTTGCAATATTAGTACCAGTGCTGAGACTCATTGCCCTGAGCACGGTTCCAATGCAACACTTCACGAGAGGCGCAGTGTACTGACCTGATCACGCTTTGAAAGACGAATCCCGAGTTGTCGTTTTGGATTCCTGGCCACACTCCATGGGCTCCAGACCCTTTCGAAAGGGCTGGAACAACCATTGTAGCTTGAAACTGGATTGAAAGGTAAGCATTCTCACTGTATGTGTATATATTACCACAATGTAGAGCTAATATCGTCGAAATAGAGTGACAGTGACCTACCCTCGTAACTGCAACATTTGGTTGAAACCAGAAAGCGACATCTGCGTATGCAAATTGGCCACAGAAGCAGATTCCTGCCGTGAAACGAAAAAGAAAAGAGAAGAATCCCATTCTAAAGCGCACTACAGTTGCCAATCTGATATCGACGCCATGCACGCAACATGCGGTATATGAAGTATATAGGCCTAGTGCGAAGACCTAGGCAGAACTCGAAATAGAAACATAATCAGCTAGAAAGGTACCGAAGTACGAAAACTCTGCACAAGTTTGGCACCATGATAGCGTTTGGCCTTCTGCTGCGACGCTAGACGGCTTTCCCTGCAGTGGAGCTGTTCATGTGCGCCTTCTGGCCAAGACTAAAATCCGAATGTAGCTTGTACTCACGTATTCCCCCTGTCACTATCGAAGGGATTAATGTCCCGGATGATCTCAGGCCGTTTCCTCCGTGCTGGTACGGGAAGTACCAAGACCATGGCTGACGGAAGGGTTTGTACCGCTCTAGAAACATAAACTAGCCTCGCGGACTACGTCTTAGATTCGGCGTCGAGGTAGATTCTTGCCGAAATAAGACCTTCATTCCTGTTAAGATCTTTTCCAGAAGCTTCTTTTCTGTTCATTCGATCTTCTGTTTTGATTGCCGTATGCGAGATGCAAAACGTGGGAGAAGAGCCGATTGGAAGGTTGTGTTTTAAAGTTATGCAATTTATTAGCCGAGAGTGGATGAAATGTAAATATCCCAATTCGATGTTCGGATGATACTTTGTGACGTGGGAGAAGCGAGTTTTGAAGGGCAAGTCCGCTCTAAAAATAGTCGGCATTCCTAGGCTTTCTTTCTTTTCAGATAGTACTTTTCTCATATGCCAAACACTAAATGGCAATGTACTTACAGCTACTCACGACTTCCGGAGCATGATGGCGCGCCAAGAAAACATCACCGTCTGGGAAGGGTTAAACCTCCCTATACCATCGGGGAAATGAACGTCAGAGGTGCTTGCATACGCCACAAAGGGATTTGCATCGGCCTATCACAGATCGAGCGATCGGAAATGGACTCTGATGTCCTTTGAGGGGTTTTGATTTTTGCTGATGCTTTAGTACATTGAGTGGGGTATACATTTCAATACTCGTCCAGAAGTAGCTTCTTCATTGTTGCCATCTCCTTTTCCCATGCTTCAACTTTCTGCTGACTAGCTGCCAGCTTCATCAACAAGAATTGGACTCTCGGTGCCAACTCGCTAGGCTGCTTTGGTAGTGTCCCAAGCATCGTTAACTCTGTCTCGTATCTGGAAACGGTCAGTAGAGCGCTAAATAGGAGTGCCAAAGCATCAACGATGTTCGAATGTTGCGAGCGCGATTGAGGACGTAAGATCTTACTTGTCTATGCTTTTGGTCTCAATCTTCGTAAGCTCGGTGAGAATGGCAAGATCAAGTCGGCTCTTCAACACTTTATCTTCTGCAGTCATGAATTAGTATATAATCTTGTCAATATATGCGCCGCTTAATTCGAGAGCAACCCCAGGGTATAATGTGGATTCGATTGTGAAACTGACCAGCTAAAACCTTGAATGCCGCCTCGTAAATTGGTTTCCCGGCTTTCACAGTTTGTGGCCGTCCTTTGTAGCTTGTTATAGTGATGCTAGATGACAGCAGAGTTAGCTATTTGCATATCAAGGATTTCTCCAGAGGGAGATAAGATATAGCTCCTGAAGATCTTGGACACCTGGACGCCAGTACTCATGGACTCAGGACCTACAGTTCAGCAGCAGTGAGAGCCTCTAAAGCACTCTCTCCGCTGGACGCCGAAGCCGTGAGAGAAGATGCGAAAGTGTTGGTGAGAAGGATCTCGTTGTATCGAAGACTCCCGTTCTCAGAAAGACTCTTGATGAGGTACCAAGCTTGTTCGGGAGACCATTTTCGTTCGCCTAAATAGTCAGACTTGTTCTTGCTGGAAAGGGTAATCATCCACTGACCCTTATCAACAGTCAAGAGGTACATCTTCATAATCTCATTGGCACTTTGCTCGATCATCTCGGCTATTGCTCGTCTTGGTGTCTGCCCGGTTTTCAATCGTCGTGCGAGGAATTCCAAATCCGTGAGACGGCCGCCGACAGCTATCAGGGACACAAAGTCAGTACTATCGTTTCATATTTGCGAAATCGTGGAAGGACGTGATGACTTTGAATGTGTAGGGCATCAATGACTAAAAATGGGTTTGAACGATCCATGAATGAATTCTGGATGGACTTACCAACGATGGCATCGTCCAACTCTTCTAGATCGTTTTGTTTTTGGGATGGAGTTAAAGTGTCTGTTTCTACGGGATCGCCCTTCTCAACATCGAGGTGTGAAATAACAAATTTCTTAGCGACTTCCGGTTTGATGTCTCCAAGGCTGATCTGTCTGAAGACCCTGTCGGGCAAAGCTTTGGACAATGATTTCGAATAACTACAACTTGTCAGTAAGTAGGCCTCAAATTCTGGTTTTGGTAGCGGCCAGGGGGCTTACGAGATATCATTAGTGAGAAATACAACATGAGCAATGTTGGCGGTGGTAAGACCAGCGGCCCATTCCGAGAGCTTGTCATAGACTATGCTACTTTCTTCGTTCTTATGCAAGAAGTTGTCTAAAAGAACGACTGGGCGATGCTCTTTGGAAGGGCCAAATTAGCCAGTGCCTTGTCAAGGATACGCTGGAAAGAGGATAAGGAATGTCCTCAAACAACCTGTAGACATTCGAAAAGGAGATTATGTGAACCCTACACTTACCTGGATGTGCTTCAAGCCAATCGTCATCGGACAAAGCGGCATCTTTGTCCTCCTTGTTTCTAGGCCTATTTGCGAGTGCAGCGGACTTCAGGGCGGAAGCAGTATTGCCCCATACTTTGCCCAGCTGCGCATCAAGAGTTTCACTAAAGCCAGACTTGACGCCAATTGTACCTTGAGCAGCTAGATCCACAAGACTACTCAAGCTGTTTGCCCAAGAAAAAACAGGCCTGTAGCCTACTGCTGCTGCTGCTGCGCAAATAGTAGCCGAGTCCCCGCGGGCATCTACAAGGGTATCAGCAGCCTTCTACTTGACCTTGAAAATTCCTGTGCCGCGCTACATTTGAAACTCCAAACAACAACAAAGAATATACTGACCTTGAATTGGCTTGCAGTCAATTAATAAAGTATTGCGACGACCCTTGAGCGCCTCGGTGAGGAGATCTTTCTTGCCACTACCCCTAGGTCCTTCTGGATAGCTCAGTTAGCACACCTTTGGGGAGAAGGAAACTGGCGCGAGCTTACGGACGACAATGAACGTAGAGCTGGTTTCCATTAGAGCAGTCTGGATGGAATCAATCTACAGAAATGGAGGTTAGTTCTACATGTGGAGGTTATTCCAGATGGGTTCGGAGCCTATGCAAGCAAAAAAGTGATGGTATCTTAACTTACAATTTGTTTTCTGTCCTCCCAGATGAGACTAGCTTCTTCGGATCTTTTACGACGAAATGTAAAGATATCTGTTGCCTGGCTCTTGAACCATTGGTAAATCTTGTTGTCCTTCAGATGGAATGAGTGCTCAATGTGGGCCTTAATGAAGAATGTTCGGATAGGGTCGAAGACTGCAACAGTGGCGGTTGCTATCAGTGCTGCAAGGGCGGGAATCACAACTCTAGGGTGGCTTGTAAGCCAGTCCCAAATCCAATGGGCTTTCTCTTTTTGCTGGAATGATAATCGAAGTAGTGTGCCAGCAGTCCCACCACCTTCTGCTTCACTGACTTTTAAGCCATGCATACAGTTTCTCTGAAAACAGTCAGTAACTGCGAATTGTGGAAAGTGAAAAATAGGTAGATAAACATGTCGCAGGAAAGTTTGGTGGCTTCTATCAACGAGAACAGAAGATCCCTATAGTACTTACTGCCATAATTGCATGACTCAATCTGGCAAAGTCTAAGTGGGCGTACTTGGGCAGAATTTTCGAGTCGGACGGCTGAGGACTGATCTCGGCAATCTTCCCATATTTTCGAAACAGGCTATACAGTGTTTCCTGACTTAACTCGGCTGATTCCTTGCCAGGGCTCGTTGGCGCAAATTCGACCTTTATCCTCGAGCTTGGAAATCGGTACAGATCCTCCAACCAAGGCTTCCCTACTACCAGATTCGTCCTAATTCTTCGAAATGGGTTGAACCATGGCTTGATGGGGTTCTCTCGTAGGTACTGCCTAAGAAGGCCTTCGACTTCTTTTGCCGTGATACCATTAGGATGAGAGAATTTGACAAACGCACCTCCATCCTTTAGTCTTGGGAGAATCTCAGTCACGGTCATGGGAACGGAGTTTGGTATGGCTCGCTTGACTAGAGCAACTGGCTCGAATGCTCCCAGGTTTGAATTGTTGAAGCGAGCGAGAAGCTCTGGCAGGTCTTTTTCTGTATGCCATGGTACGCGTAGCATCCAGTTGAGCTTCAGAGGAAAGAGGTCTATCAAAAGAATGTTAGCCAAACAGAGCTCATGAGATCAATATGAGACAGAATTATATACTGTCGAACCATAAAATTCCCTCGTTCGACCTAGCCGTAATATGACCAGTCTGATCTTCTCCGGTTTCTGTGCTCTCTCTCCGGATCCCTTGCCAAGCTCCAACATCTTTTCTCAAGCACAAACGAGGCGAATATCCGGCATTGTAGAAGTCGCGTTTAATCGCTCGACGCGGCCTCAGACCAGGGCGACTGGTTGGGCTGAAGAATATGCGCCGAGAAGACTGCATTGTCAACAGATCGGGTTCTCAAGATGTCAATATGCACAGCATTTTGAGCCAGCACTATTGACCGAGGGATGAGCGAAGCAGAAAATACCTGGAAATGGATGATTCAAGAATCACGCGTCGTTGCCCTGGCCAGCCATAGGACAAATGAGGTCATACAGTAAGGCTGAGAACTAGCCCGCTTTTACCGGAATTAAGCCGTTCAACTCCACTTTTATTCCATTTACTGTACAACCTCGAGGTCGTCGCGAGCATCCAGGTTGAAGACTCAGCCTCATCCATTGGATCTCACTTGCTCTCACAACAGTCTTCAAGATGGGCTGGTTATGGTCATCTTCGGCTCCTGCCACATCTTCTCCTCAGCAGAATGACTCTCCAATTACATCTGAGTCTTCGACACAATCACCGCCATCAACCTCAAATGCTCCACCCTCTGAAAAGCTAGCCTCTCGCGATGATCTCGCAGAGCAAGAACTCGCCAAATTTCTTCAAGAACTAGACGCCGATATCCGCCCCAGCAGCACAAAGTACAATCGAGTACCCCGAAACGCACCTTCCTCCACCCATCAATCGCAAACCCAATCCTCCTCCTCCCAGAATACAGATGCAGCCAACAAGCCACTGGCAGAGCAATTGCTGCCTACAACAATGAGCTGCCGTACAGCATTCGACGAAGCCTTTTACTGCAATTCTTTTGGAGGCAGATGGAATGATCTATACCGATATGGAACACTAAAGTCATGTTCGGACCAATGGAACAATTTTTGGTTCTGTATGCGGACGAGGACGTATGGAGATAAGCAGAAGGAGGCTGCGGTCAGGGAACATTATAGGCAGAGGGAGAGCTCTAAATACTCCAAGGAGCTTGGGAAGGAGAGTAGTGAGGATGTTTGGAAGAGTCGGGATAAGAAAGTTGAATGGGGCGAGGCGTTCATTGCGCCGTTCCCTGGTTTTTCTGGAACTGATGAGGAGTGGAGGCAGAGAGAGTTAGACAGGAGAAGGGGCAAAGTTGATGGAAGCATGGGCTGATATACTGCATTGTATTTGTATTTGATTAGGCGTTATATTTGTGGCAAGGTAGCATAGGAGTATAGGACTGGGGGCTGAGAAAATCTCTAATTGACGAGGCTCTATGTACTCTGTACTGTTCATGGGCTTCTCTTATACATCCACCACCGAGGGCGGTCTGATTCATACTATCTTACACATTCTCTTGTGAATGCTCCATATTATTCCACACGTGCCTTGCCTCGATATTGTCCGTCGAAACGCCACTTTCATGCAAAGTCATCAACGCTAAAGGGATATCCCATGTCCTGTCCCGATCATAAATCCGAATCCAACCGTCCACCAGAAAATGTACCATCCATATGTCCAAAAAAACGCCAGCCTTTTTCTTGTCCCCAATTTACATTCCCATGCCACCCTGCATTGCATTCATGTTCTGTTGCATGCCTTGAGCTTGGGCTTGTGCCATCATCTGCTGCTGTTGCTGAGCTCTTTGAGCTTGCATACGACGCTGTACCGATTGCTGAGCATTGGATTGACACTGAGCTCGTAATTGTCGTTCGATCTCGTCGGGAAGGATACCATTAGCATAGCTTGCGGCAACTTTCGGTCGTTGTTGACCATACAATTGTTGCGCCAAAATCATCACCTGTTGCTGGAACATCTGTTGTTGTGCCACAGCCTGAGGATTTTGCTGAGCTTGTGCGTGAGCTTGGGCTTGAGCCTGTTGACGCATCTGCTGCATCTGCATTTGCTGTTGCATTTGCTGCATTGTCATCTGCTGCATACCAACCATGCCGGGATTGTTGTTCATCATGTTTTGGTTCATATTTGGCGGCAAGCCACCTGAACGCTGTGCCATGGCAGCCATCTGTGCAGCATATGTCTGAGCCAGTTGGTTTGGCATTCCTTGCTGTTGTCCTGCTTGATGCTGATTTCGCATCATGTGCTGAGCCTGCATGAATTGCTGCTGTTGCTGTGGAGTCATTTGTTGCGGAACCATTCCTGCCATCGCAGCTTGCTGTTGTTGCTGTTGCTGGGCATTGTTGTTTCTCATCATTTGCTGCATTCGCTGCTGCTGCTGCTGCAACGCCTGCGCCTGTTGACTGTTCATTACTGGCATCTGCTGACCATTCATCATTGGAACTCCCTGCATTGCGGCCATCGATGCTTGCATTGGGCTTCCTTGGCTCATTCGTGGGGTCTGGCTTATTTGACGATTAAGGGGTGTAGATTGGATATTCGGCGTTGAATTTGGCATGCGAGGAGTACCGGCATGACTTTGCTGACTTCGCTGCGCACTCATAGGATGCCCAGTGGGAGCACCCATTTGAACATGGTTTTGGTGAACCACAGATCCTGGTCGCGCAGGACTGCCACCCATGCTGGAAGTAGTTTGTTGCATAGGAACATTTGCCATCGGATTAACAATGGGTGAGGAATGGCTCTGAGGGGTTCCGTTTCGAACAATGGGAGACGAAGCTTGGGCCTGCGACACCTGTTGTTGATGAAAGCGCTGTGGCTGAGCTGCCATGACATTTGGTGGGAGCCCATTTGCTTGAGGATGAGCATGTGGTGGCTGGATCTGGTTGCCCTGCTGCATATGAGGAGGCCCTTGTAACCCAGCCTGAGCCTGTGCTGCCTGCTGGGCCATTTGGCGCCGTTGGCTCTCTTGTTGCAGCTGTTGTCGATTGGCCATCTGCTGCTGTTGTGCTGCAAGTCGAGCCTTTTCTTGTTCTCGCTTTTCGGCATCGTCTCGAAGCTTGTTGCGCTCTTGTTCTTGTCGGCTCTTCCGTTCTGCCTCTTCTCGTCTGAGCTTGTCCGCTCTCTTGGTTTCTTCATGTTGAGCCTTCAGATTCTCGATGGTCTTGAATCTCTCAAATCTAGGCTCAAAAGAAACGCCGCCAGCTTGACCAGCTCCATCTACTGGATTGCCGCCTCCTTGAGCTCTGGCGATGTTCTGTCCCAGTCGCTCGTCGAATATAAGCATATGGCGTTCTTGATCTGCTGCCTGAGCTTCATCTGCAGCCATTTCTGCAACAGTTCTCTTGCGAGTTTTAGGTGCCGGAGGAGCTTCGGAATGCATTGGATGTGCTAGAGACTCTAACAAAGCGGCTGCTTGCCCAACACTGCTCACAGGCTCAAGTATAAGCGGAGCAGTAGTTGCGAATGTAATTTGTGACTCGGCCACGTAGATGTTATTGCTAGTAAGTTCCGCGTTTGTCTTCTTCACTCTTTTGGCAGGCGGAGCCATACTGGTCATTGGAGTAGAAGGGACAGCTGTAGTTGGCGTCGGTGGAACAGTAGCAGACAGTGGCACACCATTTACATCCTGCCGGGAGTCTCTTCGACCATCAGCCATTGGCTGTTGGACCTCCGCAGCCTTCAAGGCAAGATCAGCATAGCTGCTCAGGGCAGTCGGGCGTAGAACTATCGTGGAGACCTTTGGTTGCTTCGGCGATGCCGGAGCTTTATTCCGAGCATCGTTCGGTAGGTCCGGTGCTGGCATATTCTCCTTATCTTTCTGCGTAGAAGGCTTCTTGTCCTCGTCGCCTGCGCTGTTTCCCTTCCCAGGTATTGCAAATTCCGTCGGGTATGGGACGTATGGCGATGGCGTAAGGTAGGCATTGTAGTTGTGCACAGAGAATGGAATGGTTTTGCCAGTGCCAGACTTAGGTCTATCTGTGTTCTGAGATGGAGCGATAGACTTATGGTCATATATCTGTACAATCATGCAGCCCTCGTAGTAAGGAACATCATTGAAGAACTCAACTAGGTCATGGGGAATTGTACGTTTGCGGAGGTGTTCGATGACAATTTTCATGGGTGACTTGTATGTGAAACTGCCTTCTTGCTGGTCGAATCGGAAATGTGTAGGATGGAGGTGGATAATGAGAGAAGGTGGATGTCCGCGATACTTCTTCAAGATATATGCGTCGGATTTGACTGGTACCTATATTAGCAAGTGTTACACCCCAAGGCCAACTGATAGCATACCGTATGGTTGAGGCTCCACGACATGAGCAATGGATGAATCTCCGACTAGACTGGCAGACCGCAATCCAACACTGCTATTTCTTTGTCCTCGACCGAGAAGCTGGGGGGGCGCATCGCGTCTAGTCCGGCTCGCAGATCTTGCCCCGGAAGCATTACTTCCAGCTCCATTACTTGTCGCAGAGTTCGGAGGGTACTTGGCGGTAGATGGGAGTCTGCTGTTGGACATTGAAGGTGAGGGGGATGAGGTAGATGAATTGATGCCATTCGTTTGGATGCCTGGGGGTACTGGCCGCTTGACCTTGGAGGGTTGCGACTGGGTCGCAGTCGTAGAGGGCGCCATCTTTCTTCCTACTCGAGCTCCTTGAAGCGCGGTAACTGCTCTCCTCGATTATCGGAACCCTAGATGGGTGTTGTCCATCTGCGGTGGTTTTAGCTTGATCGCGCGGCTGAGCATGAAATCTTGGTGACGTACGTATTCTCGAATGCAGCCCTTGGATCCGAGAAAGAGAATGGCCACCCAGGAGCCACAGCAAAGGCGAGAACAAGTATCAAAATGATATTGTACGCGCTTCAGTGATCTACACTTGATGCTAGGTGAACGAGGGGGATGATGTGGAGTGAGGCGGTTGAGGCGGTTGAGGCTGCAGGGGTTTATTGCCAAGGCTGGAGATCGAGTGTCAAAGAAGTGGGCGCCAGTACAGTAGCTCGAAGCGAGGCTTGACAGAACAGATTACTGGCAGCAGGTAATGGAATATTCCATCTTGACGTTAACTGCTTTCGACCGACATCAATACAATTAGCTTTATGGAGTACAAGCCCACTGCTTTGGTATTTTGGACATCAGTCGCATTTTCTATTTGTATTTCTGTCTGGAACATGGCACGCTCTTCATCTTCCTAGCCTGCCATCCTCCACAGGATTTCTGTAATCCCTTTGCCGGACGGCAGACAGAGGTCCTGGACATCAACCATGTTGATAGTCTGAACTCTGGATGGTCCCTGCAAAAATCTTCTTTCCAGCCTTGGTTTGTCTGCCCACTGCATGTTTGTGAGGTTAGATATTATACAACCCATTACCATTGTAGCTTTCGTCAAAATACGCTCAAATGGGTTGCCGCACATCTCTGAGACGGAGATTATCAAGTTCTATACTCCCGACCATTTGAAGTTGAATTTGAGCTATCCAGGCCAGTCGTTGGAGAGTAGGATAAGTGGCAGCTTTGGCTCACTCTCCACAAGTTCTGCTACAGGTCATGTCATTGAAAGGTTGCGCATCATCAAACTGTGGGGATACGCTGTGTCAGTCTCGAGGCCCCCAGTAGCTACTATCAGTGTCGCGAAGTCGTCCAGCAACATTGGAATGCTTCCACTTGTCAACAGTGGGGAAAGGTTTCGATGAGACAAGCGCTGACCAGTCACTTCACAAGCAGACATAATGGGGATGGTTTGCAAAACTTCATTTTGGTTTATGCGCAATAACTTTTTATGAGCAAGATGAGTTCTCGACTATCGCATGATCAGCCATGTATGAGCCACTCAATATTGCAGTCCATCCTCTTGAGTGAGCTGGTAAGAAAAGTCCAGCGGCAGCCTAGTGAACAGCAAGCCAGCCCATCTCGAGTAGTGAATCCAGGAAACCGAGAGACACCCAGTAAGCCACCACTCAAAGCCAACTCTACTTCCATCCATATGCTCTGTCATGCAATAACCAGCTCGAGCCTCGAAGGAAGATCATGCAAGACCACCACTGAGGAAACCTGACGAGCCCCAGTCAACAACAAGTCATGGTATTGCCGGAGTGCCGAATGTGGATGAGCTGAGGAAGTGGGCCTCTGAGAGAGTAGATAAAAGCAAAGCAACTCCGAAAAAAAAAAAAAAAAAAAAAAAAAAAACTGAAACGCAAATAGAGATGCATCATCTGGTAATCCGCTGTCTTTGGCCACACAGGCATTATTTGAGTAGGGAGATGTCAAGTGGGTGCTACGCTCCGGCGATCCTCCAAATGAGTTTATTGAGGTGAAGACGATAATAGCAAATCAGTTGATATCAGTCCAAGTGAGCTGCATGGATGATTAGCCTCTCAGTGATATCCGCATGCGAAATGAATCTTGGTCGAGAATGTACGTCAAGAACGCATAGAACATGATCCTGACTTGGCGGGGAAGTGGTACGGTAAGAAGGACGATGGGGAAATGCATGGGTGCGATGGCCATCGAACCATGGAGATAAATACGAAACCGTCGAAGATAGTGAGGAGTAGGCTAACCCATCGTGAGGACCGTAGCATAGTGCAGATTTTTTGCCTTGATCGTAGTACCACGATCATCACGCATGGTTATAACAGGTGTAATAACGAGCTTGAGACGAGTGTGGCCGATCTGTAAGCTCATGGGATTCTTGTCCATCTTGTCCTTGGCAATCATAGTGGAGGCAGTGAACTTGCTAGCAGTCTCAGGGAAGTAGACCTGGAAGGTGACTTGAGCTGTGTTCATTTCTTGAGACAGGGTCCATGCCTTGAAAGCTATAGCACCAAGATCACCGCCTGCCTTGGAGCGATTGGCACCATCATTAAGCATTGGACCGAGGATATCTCGCAGCTGCTGACTGTGGCGGTTAAGCTGGTCGTTGCGGTATTCCTCCCACTTGGGGTGGTCAACTGCGAATTGAACAGCTTTAGCACGTCGATTAATGAGAGCTTGACGAGCATCATTAGAAAGACCTACGACAATAGAGTGTCAGACGTGATTGGATGGTAAAGCGAGCACGCAATATAAAAGATACTTACCTCGCTGTTGAAGTTGCGCCTTGACAGCTGACAGTTCGGTACTAACTTGTGTACTGAAGTTCTTGTACGACTCAATCGACAACATTTCGTCGACAATGTATCCAACTCCCATTCTCATAACAAACCATGGACGTGAGCCAGGATCGTTGAGCAAGGTCATTACATGGGAGTGAGAATCCTGTCGTTGTCCTGGGTATGTGCAATTCATCATGAAAGACCAAAGAGTTTGGTTGCTTCTAGCGATTGCTTGATCATTGGCAAGATGAGGGATGTTGCTGTAGGCCATTGCCCAGCCCTCTACTAACTTGTATAGATCGGCGAACTGCTCCTGAAAAAAGAGCGATGGATCCTCGGGATTGGTGCTAGACAAGATAAGAGCAGTGGATTTCGAAGCAGCAATTGGTGTGTCGCCGGGTTCGGTATTGAACGCTCGGGAAGACTCGGTCTCCCATGGTGAGTTTGGGACGTCGGTTCTACCTCTAGTAGGTTTTTGTGTTGGCAGAGTCAGATTTGGTCGACGGCGGATGCTTCGGGACAAGTCGTCGCCAGATGAATTCGTTGAAGTATTGTTTGGCTGAAACTGACCGAACGACGGCGACGTACCAAATCCGCTTCCAAAATGACCAGGAGTAGCAGTAGGAGATCCATAACTACCCGGACCAGAGACGGGGTATGTGGAAGAAGAGGAAACTGAGGGAGATGTGAATGGATCGGGAATTGCTCTGCTGCTTTTGCGGCTGCGAACCGTCGATGTAGGATGAGCGGCCATCCACTGTACTTGCGCCGCGTCAACGAATTTCGCATCTTTCTCCTGGTAGCTTTCAATCTCCAACTGTGCTCTATCCAGCTGTGTACGAACTCGCTCAATCTCTGCCTCCCTCTCTCTGAGCTGCTTCAACAAAGCCTCATTCAGCTCTTTCCAGTTCTTCTGGATTTCATTCAGATTTTCGGAACTTTTCTTTTCTTTGGCCTTGAGTAGGACCCTATTCTTCTGCTCAAGAGAATCTCTCTCAACTCCGAGACGGTCACGCTCTCCGTATGCTTGACGGAGGTTCTCAGTTGTATTGGAAAGATATGCTCGTGTGCTGTGTAGTTCATACCAATTCTTACTGGCCTCTTGCTTTAAGATCTCAACATCTTCATCATATTTTCGACCAATGTTGTTGATATCTTGGATCCATTCTTGTTGCGTAGTCGAGCTCAGGTACCCGTTTCCTCTGATCTTCGCGGTGAGCTCCTGCACCATTTTGTTCTTCTCTTCAGACTTCGCCGCCATTTCCATGACCGGCTACAGATGAGTTAGTGGATGTGATAAAGTGGAGAAATACAACAGGACTCGTACCTGTGGCACCTGGGGACCGATGATAACTGGCTGGATTGGCTGGATTGGCTGCAGAAGTTGCATGGGCTGTACTTGTTGGGGTGGCTGGACGCTCTGGTAGCTCGATTGGAATTCAGGAACATTTGGGTTCATCCGCGAGGAAGAAATTTGACGTTGATGGCCTGGGCCCTTGCGCTGTTCTTGTGAGTGAATAGTATTCTCTGCTTGATGAGAAGTCTGGTCGGGTGACTGGTAAGGTCGCTCGGATTGATTGTGCTCTTGCGATTGATCTCCTAAAGTCACGGCGATATGCTGTGTAGGCATTGCAGATATCTGGAATTGTCGTAAAATCTGCGTTTGACCAAAGCTATGACCTTGAGATTGACCTTGATGTGGACCAGCATTATTGCCTTGAGGTGAAGTCTGCCTTTGACCAGAGAATGGACCTTGCGTAGGGTTTATTTGAGCCTGACCAGTATATTTATTTGGGCTGACTGACATGCGAGGAGAGTTTTGAGGTTGTCCATGACTTTGGTACGGGCCAGAGCCTTGTGTGTTCATAGACTTGTGAGATTGGGGTTGAGAACGAACGGAAACACCTGATCGAGCAGAGCGAGCACTATGAGCAGGGCTGACCTGTTGACTTTTATGGTCACTGCTTGCTCCTGTACTGCCATTGAAGCTGCGACTGTTCATTTTGATGGGCAGTAACTGGATCTGTCTCTGTGGCGATGGGGATACTACCTCTAGAGGAGGTGGAGGAGTAGCTGAGCTGCCTCTCGTGCGACCGGTTTCAATGACGGCCCTGATCAAACCACCTGGATGTGGATCTGATTGTGTTAGAACTGGAGGATTAGATATAGGACGACGAGACATGATGCACCGACTTCGTAGTTGACGAGTGGTAGATCGCACTGAAGCGCTGGAAGTAATAATTCCCCAGCGCTACAGAATGTGCGCACAGAGTTCGACAGCTGGTATTTGCTGTGTAGAAGATATTGATGGCAGTAAGATTGCCTGAAAGAGCTAGTACGGTTGTGCAGGTAAGGGATTTGAGATATGGTTGGAGGAGAAAGAGTTGGCGTTAACGAGAGAATCCATCTGTACTCGCGAATGTGAAAGAGAAAGTCCACCTGACGCTTAGTGTTGTGTACACCTCCTTGTTTAAGTGGCACTAATTTTGTTAGTGGTATCTGCCACAGAAAATTGACAGAATAGGAATGTGTTATAGTGACCCGCAGGGTGGGTGTTGGGACCTAGAAGGATGTGATGTCGATGATGGAAGATTTTGAGGAAATCGCGAGTGTGGAGATCACAGGCCACCTTTTTGATATTGACTTTTTATCCTCTGTGATAGTCTGTCACAGATCGGGACCAAATGGTGTATCGAAGGGGAGTCGAGGCCGTATAGCCGATGGAGGAGGAGAATCGCATACAGTCAGTAGGGAAATGGAAGCTGCAACGTGGCGTTAGCAAACGAGAGCAAGAAAAAAACTGCCAATCAGAGCAAACAAAGTCTTTCAATGCGAGCTCTGACTTTGAAGCATACCTCGTTTCCAGTAAACAGTACAAAACAGCACTGTCAGGTCGGTGGAAGTCCAGCCTACCGCTGCTGACATTCCTTTCAACTAATTCTGATACAGATCAGAAACTGTCGCAGTTGTTTTGATACAAATCGTTGTTGAAGTGGATGGTGATGCTGGGTTGGCTAAATGCTTCTGGTGCGGTGGAAGAAGGGCCAGCACATGTAAGGCAATGACTTGTATGTCCGGCAACGTGGTATGAGTGTTGGAAAAGTATCTGCCACGGGTGTTGGTGCTATTGAGAAAGATGCTGTAGATTATCTTGTGTTCAGGACGAGATATTGGTTCTTTGCTCCAGTGGGGCTTCGAATTGGACTGTGTTTTGTTTTGTCGAGTCCATTCACAGAGTGATGACTCTACCCCTCAATACAAACTGTTCCAACTCTAGGCGACTCAAGTAATGACTTGCTGCAATCCACTTTGGGATCGGAAGCCGCTATGGATATATATTCAAGAAAGGTCTCCAATAGATATTTAATTCGAAGCTTGAGGAATACAAAGCACCCTAGTTAATTCGCGCCTAAAACGTCCGTGTGCCTAGGAAATGATGTTTTTGAGGGAATCTCACTTAAGAAGAGTCATGTTTTTGGATTATATCTCTAACTTGACACCTGTGAGGATCGAAATCACAAGACCTCAAGCCTAGGACTTAGATGCATCAGTAAAACTCGTTGCAGCTGCATCTTTCTCGTAGTCTCTTTCAACCCTTCCAGCTCCGTTTAGTCCGATGTACCGTACTATTGGTTGCATGGAAAGCTCAAGGGTCGATCTTAGAGTAATGGATTATTATTGATACAAAGATGATTACAGCACATGTAAGCCAGTGTCAAGTGGTGAATGCCAACCGAGGCCACCTCAATGTTGGGAAGCGACATTTTGTGCATGCATCAGTGACAACTTAAACTTCAAAAAGACAAAGGTCTAAAATGACAACACTTGTGATATTATTATCACTGTCTTCTGAAAGTGATGTTATTGCTATTGCCGTCTTAATAAGCTGGTTTTATCTCAAGGCTCGTACTAGTACTTCAGCCTACAAGAGCAGATGAAATTAAGCGAGAATCAACAGTAATATATACTCATTACACCTCATAAAAGCGAAGTAAAATATCAAGGTCTATACTACCAAGAACGTTCTTATAGTATTGAAAAAAGGTAATTAGTCAGAATTAGGATACGGCACTACCGTGAACCATTTTGAGCTATACAGATTCTGCACGAGCATGACGACTAGTCTGTGAGGCCACCGCCAGAACAAAGCCACTAAAGGACATACAAGCAATACAATAAAGATTACATCAGTGACAATACACTGGATTAGGCACGTGCTACGTGCGTCGTAGGGCTTCTTGTGGATTGCATGTGGTACAACATCCGCACGCATTTCTAGACCGAAACCCAGAGCCTTGTAAACATGCAGAATAAGGAACCCTCCTTTTGAGGCTTATGAAACATTGATCTCCACAAAATAATCAAGGGTCGAAAGGCCTCTCTCATTTCTTGAGAGGTCAATCTTGGTTATTTCAAAGCGGCGTGTGATGAGCGTGGGCCCTCGCTACACAGGGTCTAAGGCCGAGGCATTGCAGTTAGCAGACACCCTTTATCCAATGAGTATTTTGAATAAGAGACTTGAATGCAGACGTATCTTGTATGTGAACAAACATACCCAGATGTCAGATTTACTGTTTAATAATGCATTCGCCATTCTTAAGCTTCTAGTGTCGGAACAGGAGTTGTACAGGATTTTGAGTAGGACTAAATAATCCGACCGTGGATCTGTGGACTGAACGCTGTGTCTATCATTGATCTGTTTCTGCCTTCATACAAGAAAGCCTCTGGATATCATACTACTAAAGCCTAACAACACAATTGGGAACACAAGCACCATGGATGTGATACATAATGCCTGCTGGTCAGGACAGAGTAGTGAATACTCCAGGGAGACCTAGTACCTAGCCCACAGTGCCAGCGTTTCATCATAATGTTAGAAAGACTTGTAGAGGTAGCTTTTATTTGCTATAGAAGGGACAACGCAGAACGCCAAAAGTGCGCCGTTGTGGAGTAAATTGTATACATGAGAAATGCCTATGTGCAATCAGCTGAAGTCAATCATCTTGCTCCCTATTTCCCTAGGAGTAGGACAAAAAGGTCATTTGACAAAGGCTCCTAGGTCAAAATAATCAGCGAGGTTCTCGTATATCGGCATGCCGCATCGTCAGTTGCTTGGTGGGATGCAAAATACGAATCGAATCCGAAGTGTTGAAAAGAGGCGTCGAGCATGAATTCGAAAGGTCTTGGAAAGTGCCAAAAGGGCAATGAAGATCGGAAACCGGAGATGACGAGTTCTGTGGCAGAGTTCAGAAGATGCCATATAAGAGGAAGGGAATCACAGACCTGATACTGTACGACCCTAGAGTCCATTGATTAGGTCGAGATTAGCATCTTAAATGGCCCTTGAGCGTGAGAACAAACTGCTGTAGACTGCATCCACAACAGGTGTAGCACTGATCATACGACCACCAAAGTATCGGCCATTAAGACCCTTGATAGCGTTCTCTCCTCCCTGAACCCGATCGAATTTTAGGTAGATGTCGCCCTGCGAGTTTGGATCTAGAGCAATGTGAACAACGTGGCCATATTTCTCTTCTGCCTCTGCGCGAACGTCATCCTCTAGCTCCTTCTCCCAGGAATCACCTTCTTCTCTATAGGCAACGAGTTAGAACTGTGCATTGATGGAGGGGAATCAACATACTCTGCAGGGTCAAACATATTCTTAAGAACAACACATCGGCTTGCCATGTTGACATTTACTGGCAACTGCTTGGTTTCGACCTTTGGTTTGGCGATCTCGCGCTTCTCGTCGCGGCCCTTGGTGGCAGGAGCAGGCTCATCTGTTCTGGCAAGTTTCCTCATCAATGCATCTCGACTGTAATTGTTGAAATTTACTCCGCCGACATCGGTATCGTCCAAGGCACTAGCACCTCCCGAGCCTTTGTCGTTGTCACGGCCGCCGGCACGATCAAAATTACCTCCACTGGTTGCTTGTGGACCACGGCCACCAGCGCCGGAGAAGGCAGAACCCTGGAATTGTTGTTGGTGGCTCTGTCCTTGGAATCTCTGCAGAAGACTGGCGGTAGACTCAGGAGTAAACTTATCGTTTCCAAGACCAACACGAATTGGTCGACCAGCGAGATCAAAACCATTCATCTTTTCTAAAGCCTCACGAGCCTGATTAGGATCTCGAAACCTACCGGATGTTAGCATGATAGAATTTCAAATCAAAGTGGATACCTACTGCACAAATCCATAACCGCGGCTACGACCTTGTTCTTCCTTTTGTAGCTGGACGAATTCAAGCTCACCAAAAGGCTCGAATACATTCTGCAAATCGCTTTCAGTGATGCTGAAATGGATATTACCCACATAGAGTCGGTGGAAGGGAATCTGGTTTGGGTTACTGCCTGTAGCTTCTGGGTTGCGGACTTGACGATTCTTTTCGGCTTCGGTGAGTTGGGCGATTATGGGGATTCCTAGGAGCTTCTGACCAGTGAGTTGTATAGCAGCAGGGACCGATTCTTCATTCTTGAACTCAACGTAGCCAACACTAATACAGTGGTTAGCATTTGATTTCTGCAAAATGATGTGGTACGACGTACCCTTTGGATCTACCACTAACGCGGTCCTTCACAATCTGTGCCTCCTTGACCGGCCCAACTTTCTCAAAAAATGCTATCAGTTCTTTAGTCCTCAGACGAGCAGCAAGTTGCTGAACAAAGACTGTGCGTCGATCACGCTCGTCTTCAGTCAATGGGGGTGTGCTCTCTCTCTTCGGGCTTCTACTTGCACGTCGCCCTTCATTTCTGCTTCGCCGGTCATCTCTTGATTTACCACCGTCTAGTTCATCTCGATCTCGACGATCTCCACGAGGACGGTAGTACCGGTTCGGGCTTCTGGATCGGGAGCGAGTACGGCCATTTCCTCTATAGAAATCACCGTCTCTGCGACCTCCTTCGTCGGGACTATCTCTATGGCGGCGTGAGTGTCGGCGCTCATCTTCGCGGCTTCTGCTTCTGCGCCTACTCTTGACACTTCCCTGAGCGCTGCCATGATCGCTTGTAGGTGTTCCAATCAACTCTTTATCTCCATTCGTGTCTCTTCTGGTTCTGCTGCGGTCTCTACGCTTTCGGTCTCGATCACGGTCTCTGCTACCATCACGGGTTCGTTCTCTATCGCGTCGGTCATTACGCTCATTTTTATGACGGTCATCGTTGTCCTTAGACTTCGCAGACCCGTTTTGGTCGACAGGCGTGGCATTTGCCGTTGAATCGAGGAGAGCCTCGACATCAAGCGCTGACATGGTGAGGGATGCCGAAGGGCTTGATTATTCCTGTGAGACGTATTAATCGTTGGGAATATGGGACTAAGATAACGTGGAAGCGTTGGTCTTATTGCTTTCTTGGAAGTGAGTTGAAGTCAAATCGGGTGCGACAGATGGGGAAAGCCTGGAGGCGGCGGGCTGCAGAAGATTTGCTGGTGTCGTATGCATTAGTCACATGATATGACCATTCTCGAAGCGGTCTAGTTACCTAACCAGAAACACTCTTGGATGTGAACAAACTTTGGAGCGTAGATCGTGAATTGAATATCATTATTTATTATAGGTATTTACTTTACTGCTCAATGGCGAATTGAGTGGCCTAGTTCCCATTCCTCAAGACCAAAGCCAGCCAACGCCCCAAATGCCCTTATAGACTTTGTTCCCTTTATGACATCGTCGCCGAAAGAATTCTCCTGCGTAAAAGTAGACACTTCTTACAATGTTTTCATTGGCGGTGGAGCCAGCTGAGTTCCAAAGATTACATCCCAGAAACGACTGGTGACTCCAAACCCATTTTCATAGTCCATAAAGTGGTGCTGAAGATGATACTTCTTCAATTCTCTCCAGTATGAGGGGAGTGTCCGGTGGTGAAGGAAGTAATGCGTCAGGTCATAGCAGATGTAGCCAAATATACCACCACAGAAGACAGCAGTGGCCACGCACCAGTCCCAATAGAAGACAGCATGTGCAAGCTTCCAGAATGGAGTTGCTAGAGCGAGGAAAAGAGTCGGCGGCATGACCAGTCTGAGCTTGTCCATGGGTAGGTAGTGATGAATGCCATGGAGTAAAAAGTGGGCAGTGAGGGCAACTCGATTGTCAGGGAGCCATCTAATGCAGGTTAGATCTGGGAACTAGCCTAGAAGGTACGTGTGCACTTACTTATCCAGATGAAACAGGAATCTGTGCAGTACATATTCCACCAGAGTCCACAAAAACAGTCCCAAAAACCAGTACGCAGCTTCCCCGCCAATGCTTGAAAAGCCTTTTGATGCAACATACGTTCCATAGACAACAGGTGGAAGCCAAACCATGGGGACAACCCACCAAGCTGTTTTGGATAGTGGTTCAAGAAAGTTACCGAACAAGGGTGCAGACTCCCCTCCTTTGTAATGGCGAGGTCGGTGGATCTGCTCGAGGTAAAAATCTTTGCTGAAGCCACCATACCATACTTGCATCAACAGAGGTCTATTGAGATCGAGAAACTTGTGCGTCTTGTAATCATCGGTGAGATCCGTTTCCTTTTCAAGATCTGCGGCAGAAGACATCCCGGTAGCTTTGAAGACCGGAACTTTGTTGGGAGTGTTATCCTCTTCCACCTCCACCATGCCATCTGTCGTGGGTGGGAGAGGCACGATCTGGTCTGGGTGATAGCTTTTGATTGCAGCATTCATCACTTTCTCAGTAGCGACGAACCCAACCAATGAGTCTTCGAGAACCTCGTAGGCAGCATCAGAATGGGCGTGCGAGTCCTCATCCTTGATAATATCGGTGATATCTCTTCCACCGTATTCGACAATAAGTTCGCCCCCGCCGGGATGGCTGTCCAGGAAGTCTGTGATGTCGAAGACACGGGTACCCATGGTAACATAGCAGCTTTTCTCGGTATTGTGAGCCGCAACCTCAACCTGCAGAAAGGTTGGGAGCGTGCGTGAAGGAGACATGATGGCGTTTTTCGATTGCAATTTGATAAGGAGCGTCGGGGAAGTCGAATAGAGAGAATGAGATACTCGAATCCAGGTGCGCAACGGAGGCTGATCCGGGAGGGTCAGCGGGTGTCTACGACTACGTGAGGTTGCCAGTAGAACGAAGCCGGAGCAGCAAGAACGGACACCGCTGGATAAATCCAAGAGAAGGAGAGGAGAGGAAGCGGAATTGATGTTATGTTATGAAGAATCAGGAGATGAACGGCGCACCCGCAATCAGGAGAGATCAATCAAAAGTCGGAACGGCGGAGCAAATATTCCATTAGAAGTCCTTTGGCCTGTGGGGACTGGGTCCTGGACTGGACTGAGGTGGGTAACGCCACATAAAATCGACAAGGATATCGAATGCCGCCCGGGCGCAGTCACTGCAGTCACGCAGTGGCAGCAGTGCACGCCCAAGAGGATCCTGCAAGGGAAGAACCTGCGTCCTGCCTCAGGTGCCAAGGCCCCTTTTCAGGCTCGCATCTTCACGTGTTGATTTGATTGTGGCTGACTACCTAGGTACCTACCTCATTTCAGCCAGTCGATTGTGGCTTGGGTGACCGGTCTATGGCACTGCTTATCCCACGAAACCGAATACTTTGTTGTGTTCAAAAGGAACTTCCTCTCCTCTCTACAACAACCCTCTATACTATCGATACACCTAAAGGCATTCGAGTTCTGGTTGTGGGCGTCCAGCTTCCAGCTTCGCATGCATCTTTTGGCCCTCCAGAACCCCACCACAACTACCCCACCAGCTTAACAGAGCGAGCGTCATCCGACCTTTCATTCTGACCACATAGCAACCAACAAACTATCGTATCGCAAGATGGCAGTCGGCTCTTTGAGTTTCGGATCGCTGGTGTTCGTATCATGTTTGGTGCTATTATTACTGCCTGCCCCAGCTGCGGCTTTTGGGGCCGGCAATATCCCCAGTATCGCCCAGATAGAGGGCAACAATTTTCGTCATGGAGGTATACTTTTGCATATGCTTAGCTTATTATGTAGCTTTGAGACTGACAATCTGTCCAGATATTGAGGATATGCTCAAGACTATTGCTTTCATCAAAGGGCACAAATGGACGTCAATGATGGTCAAGCGTGTTTACTTTGGCAATTGGCTACGTGACTATTCACAGGCCGTTGACGTAGGCAGCTTGAAAGGTGTCTCAGCCCCTACTATCAGAATTCTTGTAAGCGCATAACGTGAATGACACTTTGTCAGGCCATACTAACACATCTAGGTCTGGGTTCTAAGCTTCTTGTCTTTCGGCTATGCGACTGAGGAATTTGAAGTAACGGAAGAGCGACTTGGCGTCTATCGACCTGAAGAGCACATCGATAATCCAAAGGACTACGCCGACAACAAGGACGCGAGAGAATATGACCAGCGTCTCCGAGGTCCAGTTCAACCCAGGGAGCTTGAAGTTGACCCAAGCACAGGAATGAAAAAGTATGTGCCACGGACGAGCTTCTTTGCCTCAATGTCATGAAAGCATTTCGGACCATCTCACCTAGAAGTTCTACACAATTCACATTATACTTTCTTAGAAAGACTTCAGGTTCTCGAACATAATTCGCGGTATTCCATTTATTAAGATGTTATCGCTGACTCTGTCTTCCATCCAGTTACATCGCCAATGAAAGTGGCGGCTGGGCCACTTCTAGTGGTTATGTTCGCTTCAGTCTCCAAAGAAGTATTCACTTTGGACGACTCTATACAAATGGCTCTGGAAACTCCAAGGGCAAGGAAGAGGATTTGTGTGAAGCTCTTCGGTATGTGCTCATCAGAATCTCGCATGTTTGGCTACTGAACATCTTGCAGCTGTCTTGGGCAAGCCCTTCATTGTCTCGAGTAAGAAGGTCGATTCCAATTCTTATGTATATGCTAATAGATCAGGGACTTTGGTGCTCATACGAACTATTGTGAGCTTACCCTCCGTGAGTTAGGCTATCGCGATGTCTTCCCCCACTGTGGCGTTGCAACGGAAATCAATATTCGAGGACACCATGTATACCCTCTCGTAACTGGTACTTTCGGTGCTGTGGATTTCCTGCACTCGGTTCTTGGAGAGGCAACAGATCATTTCACCCAGACTGAGGTCGAGGAAATGGACATAGCTCTTAAGAGTGCCGAGCAAGCTCAAGCCGGTGGTGGAACTGGACAACGCGGACTGTTTGGCTCCGGAGGTGGAACTGACTTCACCAGTCTCTTGTCTCAAGTCCCAGGCATGGGAAGTGGACTTGCTTCAACGGCACGAGGTCTACAAGAGCAGTCTGCTGAGCAGGAGTATCAGAATACTTTGAAGCGAAGCAGCGTCGAGACTTCATTCGCGGGTCCCCCAGGGTCACATTTGGGACATTCTGGCAATCAGGTTCCTGGAATGAGTGAAAGCTTTGATCCACTCAAGACTGCAAAGCAGATCTACCCAATCTTGGAGTTCAGAGATAGAGTCGTGAAAGCAATCAGTGCTACCATTGCCAAAATCCCTGGGTTGGAGTCTCTGGTTGAGAAGATTAGCGAGACACTGACGGTGTTCATTCTATCACTGCTTTCGCCATTTATAAGACCTATCATCGATGCTGTTTCAAAGTCTCTGAAAGAAGGTTCCTCAACTGTGGTTGAAGCGAGGCAAGTCTCAGGTCTCTTTTCCAACTCTTCCTATCTCTAATTTGCAACAGTGCCAACTCTCAATTTGAACCCTGGAATGATGCCCACAGCACCAATCCCACACACTCCATGCTCTCCAAAGACCATTTCTCCAACAAGTTGAACGGAGTCGCTGGTCGTGTAGCAACGACAATCCTGCAATACGTTACTCCGTAAGTTCGCCTTTTATTCTCCAAGATCGCCGTCACTCAGCAACTAATATCAAAGCAGCCGCGTTCTGTACGCCTGGGAGAACCCTGGAATTTCCGTCGACGAAGTTATGAACGACATTCTCCGGACATTCCACCACCCAGCCATTCGGGATGAACACTGCGAACTCCACCGCAACATGTTCAATACGGTCCGAAAGTGGGTTGACGAGCAACCTGACCGCGGACAGCTCAACCACGTCCTCAGCTCCGCTTCTGTCAAGGCTGGCCGTAACCACAAAGAATCTGGTGGAGCAACAGGTTCAAGAGACTTACACGACCATGGTGCCCTTGGCGGCCACGGCAAGACATCTGGGTCGATATGGACCGAGATTCGCAGCCGTGACCTAGGAGCTATGGAAGGCCAAGATGTGAACGCAGCGTTTTCTTACATGGGTGGCCCATCGCCTCAATCAAGCACACCCGGCATGCCTCACCAATCCCCAAACTTTGGATACCAGAACCTACCTCGACCTGGAAGTTCAGGTTACAATCGTCCGACTTCCTCTCAAGGTGGGTATCTGGCTCCTAATCCTCCGCAAGGAACTTATCAGGGAGGCCCGCCGCCTGGAAATTACCAGCAGGATTACAATAATCCTCCTTACCAGCAAGGCCCACCAAGTGGGTATGGACAGAACGCTCCCTACCCCGCTAACCCACCTTTCCCATCAGGAGGCGGAGGAGGTCCCCCATACCCGCCTTCGAACGCACCATATCCGCCTGATCACCAACAGCCTTCATATGGCGGCCCTAGCGGGTATGATCAGGGTCCACCTCAAGGCCCTCCAGGTGGAGGATATTGGCCGCAAGGTGGTCCACCGCAACATCCACCATACGGCAATCAATACCCACCTCAACAGCCCCCGTATGGTAACCAATACCCGCCTCAGCCACCTCAGCAGCCTCCATACGGCGGAGGTGGAGGATACCCTGGATCAGGATACAGTGGTGGATATTAGATCTTGGCCGAGCCACAGCCTATTGCTTTTCCGATAGTCTTTCTGCTTGTTAAGTTATTTTTGACAATGGTAATTGGAGAACAGATTTCTGCCACGCAGGCTTCTATAAGGTTCCGGGAAGAACAAGGGATGGGATAATACGATACGTGCTCGTACTTGAATAAAACGTTGAGTTTGAGAAAAATGCTTCGTCACCTCCCTGATTTGTGTTGTGATCCTCGTAAATCTATCTACCAGTGCTCGCTACCATGCTTCACCGGCGAAAGGACTCCTCTGTGGACACTCCGTCGTGTTTCACATATCCACCTGTCCCTTTATTTTGTACAATAGGTACTGGGATTAAGATAATTTACTAGTCCTATCATGATGCTCGAGACAGACCCATCTACCGCGACACGCTCGTCATAAAAGAACCACCAAGCCTCACACTGCTCGTCTCCGGCTCTGTAACCCAATTCCACTTCTCAGCCGTAAAGAGGCCTCTCGGCGTCTTCTCTACAGCAGTATTCGCATTACTGGACCACGTCATCTTTGGCATTACTTGTCCAAAATCAAATTGCTTCAGCTTGCCGGCCGCAATATTGACATCATCCCCTCCATTCCCGACCCAGACTGCCTTCTTCGTGTTCGAACGGTTAGTGGATTCCGCAGGCATCCAGGACTCAAAGACTGGTCCACCGGTTTTGGAACGTGATAATCGAATTCCCAGACCGGTGTCAATACACGTACGGATGAAGTCCAGCGCCGGTAGCAGCTTCGTCCGGAGCCCGCAATGGCCATGATTACTGTCGATCTGGTATGTTGGACATTGTCGGAGGATACCAATTAGAAGTTCAATATCGCCCTGGTAGGCTTCCGGCCAAGTGTAGTCCGGGTCGTAGGGTGATGCAGCTTGGAAAGATACCAGTGACAATAGGCCTTTCTTCGTCAAGAATTTTATCATCTCTCCTAGCCTGCACATGAGAGTTAGTCAATATCCGAGCAGATTTAATATGAATTGAAACAAGAGATGTTGATTGCAGCCACAAGGCATATATCTTCCTTGATCACTCACTGGAAAGAATCACAGCTCGAGCTTGTGTCGTATCCCAGCTTGCATTGTCTGTCTTTGGATGAGTAGATTTGCAGAAACTGATCCTGGATGGAAGCAATTGTTCGGAGTACACAAGCACGGCGAAATGCCAGCTCGGCTATAATATGTCAACATGATTTCCCGAAAGTTTGTAAGAGATGCCTACCTTCAAGTCCATATGGCAAATCCCACCAGATGGTTTGATACTCAGCTCCATTTTCGGCTGTATCGCTCCAGCGAAGAGAGCCACGAATGATCAAGTCTTTTGTAGCATTGGTGAACCTCATGCCCTGATCGGTATGGAACTGAATGAGAATCTTCTGCCTCAAAGCTTCTTCGCCACTTCTGTCAAGTGTCACTGGGTATTTGTGTACGTTCAAAGTCTTCTGCATATGGCGGGAAACTGGGCTCATGAAACCGTATCGGTCTGCCAGCACGATGAGCGTAGTGATGCATTGGGTATTGAATGGGGACGTCACAGGATCCTGGGAGTAAAGTCAGGGGAACTTCTCAGACATCTTGTAGGCAGAGTACTTACACTGCCATGTACAATATTGAGCATATCTTTGAAGATCGACTCCCGCCCAAACGTTTTTGTAGCACCATCCTCGTCGACAATCTTCACCCGTGGCAACTTGTCCGCTTCGATTTTGGTTGCGTCTTGGTTCGAAGCCTGGAGTGCTGCGAGAGCCTTTGTAACCTCTATGCCCTCTGCGAATTGCGGCTTGAGCAAGATTTGGAAATGTTTTAATCTAGCTATGTGTATACATCTTGAGGTCAGATCTCCAGATCTCCTGATTGTGGCTAAGGTGCAGTTCCATCAATAAAATAGCTAAGTCCATAGCAAAATGCTCCAGCAAACCGCCAATAAGATATTCCTCCAGTTATACCTTCATCCCAAATTTTCAGACTTCCTCCATATACTTTGCAAGTTCTACCATCATCATAAACATCTTTGTAGCATCAACCTCCGCCCTGTGCGCATTGCGTCCCAATTCCACTTCATCTGGAAACAGAGTCGGAAAAGCAAGATCCAGTGCCCAAGTAAACATTCCTGGTACAAGCGCCTTCCAGAGAGGTAGAACTTCCAGCCATTGTGACTTTTGAGGTAGTATAGTCGAACCTGGCATATTCTTCGTTAGGACATGGAACTCTGTCATAGCTGTAGACCAGCCAAGTATGATAGAATTTTCGGTTATTCCTATCAGCGTCATCTGCTCCTCAACCTCGGCTAACGTCATGCCCGCAAATTTTTCGGGTAGATCTTGGAAGCTTCTCGCCTTTGTCCACTTCTTCAACATGGCATGTCTACGCCCGGGGTTTTTACCTGTACGGTCGACATTTTCCCAGGCTTCCTTTGGAGATATTCCAGGGTCGACAAGCGTGCTGAAGACTGCCTCGCCGTTATACCTCAGGATGGAAATCTCAAACAAGACGGGAGGGAGACCCGCAAGGTTGTAAAATTCCGTATCCACATACCAAACATCGTGATGTACATCGTCGTGTTTGATAGAGTCGAGTACCTTATTCCAGTGGACGTTTGGCACCGTCTTCTTCGATCCTTTTTCCACAAGACGGTTAAGAAAGTCCTTGAGTTCGGATGGTGTGTTTATCGCGCTCTTCTGGTTGTTATACCGAATGAGGTTCTTTTCCTTTTTTTTGTTTGCCTGGGATTGAGCATCGCCTGCTAATCTTACTCCTGCTTCGTGGTCAGTTATACCACACTACGGAGAATGTCTCAAATACATACTCATATGTGCGTCGCATAGTGAGGATAAATCAGCCGCGAATTCTCTGCAAGCTCTAGTGTTGCTGCACAGGAGCCGCCCATCCTTATACCGCTCCCGAGCCTCCCAGTCGCGAATCTGATCCTTCAAGGTATTACATTGATCGCACCACCCAGTCCAGTTGCCTTTGCGTTACTCTATGAACGCATAGTTGCTTATTCCAAGCTCGACCTTTTCCTGACATTTGACATATCCATGTGTCCATTCAATTCCAGGGCAGGGTCCAGTTGGTGGTAGTCGTGTATTCGGATCCTTGAGCACAGCCTTATTCCGAAGCAAGACGGACTTGTACTTCTGGCCTTTGAACGAGAAATGTCGGCAACCTCCTTCTGCATCTTCATCTTCGCTTCCATCGCGGCTATCAGTATCCTCTGACTCCTGGTAGTCATCGCTCTCGAGATCATCTTGAAAGTTTCCTGCTCCATCATCATCCAAAGCCTCGGTAGAAGCCTGCTCAGGCCCGTCTGTCTGGACGCGCCTTTTGCGGTAGAAGTATGGCTGTTCCGCTGGAATATCGAAGTCTGGCTGTTGTCAGTATAACTCAATATTGGAATGATTGTACGTACACTCGGCGCCCAGCGTTTGTACTCTCCAATTTTGATAAGATATGCCCAGTGTGAGGGGACTTTTCATTTCTCCAAGGAAAGGATATGCCAGTTCTGACGCGTCACGCCCGTCCTGTAAGAGCTTCTTGAAGCTCTTTCGTTTCTCAGGCTTGCCACATCTCCGTTCATGCTTGACTGTCTGGAAACTCCTCTTGAATGAGACTCCGCAGCCCAGTCTGCAGATATACCTGCCGTTCAAATCCCTCTTGTGTTGTCCTTTAATCGGCATATTGTCAGCCTCAACCTCTTTCTTCCTCTCCAGAAACGTGGCAGTCTTCGCTGGTCGTGGTTTTCCAGTCACAATGGAGCATGTCTTCGTTTCATGACGGTAAATGACCTTCACTTCGTTCGACGCGTAGCCACACCCCCTTCGGCATAACAGTTCTCCTCGCGCATCGAGAGTATATGGGCCCCATTGTGGCTGTGGTGTATCTTTCATGTCGCACTTGGCTTCATGGTCGGTCAGATAATTCTTAGCTACCTTGCCCGCAACGATCATCTTTCCACAACCGTGAGCGCATTCGTAATGATTGTTCGCATCATACATTCGATTCGGAATCGGCGTGACTGTAGGGGTTTTCTTGAGGGTATAAGGAGCCTTTGGTTTCCGGTGGCGTTGTGGGTCCCCCATGGTATAATCAGACAGAAAGGAAACCTCCGGCGGACTCTGGTGCTGTTGTGCCGTGGTATAATCAGACAGAAAGGAAATCTTTGGGCGGACTTAGGTGCTGTTATTCCTCATCTGATGATACTTTGCCGTTCAGTGATCTTGAAATGAAGGTAGAGGACTGAGATGTTAATGGTTGAAGGTTGATGGTCGGAGAATGAAGGTAAGAATGAAAGTGACGGAGTGGAGAAGAGGGTGGTTGAATACATGAGCAGAAATGGAAGTCACCACTCCTGCTCGGGGGTGGGTAGCTAGGTAAGTGAGTAAATACACGAGCAGAAAGGGAAGTCACGACTCCTGCTCGGAGGGTGGTGGCTAAGCGAGATATTCTTCTATACAAATATACCACCTTCTACCCCAAACTCTTCTTCCAACAACAACATCAACAATTGAAGCTCACAGGTAAGCACAACGCTTTTCACTCAGACTGATTACAAGCTGATTGCGAAAAGCTTTCCATCAAATCCATCATCTCCCCAAAAAGCATAACCATCCATCACTCCAATCATCAAAGGTGAGCTCTCCTACTTATTCCATTCATCTTGATAGGCGTCGGGGACTTGCTAATAGATATTCCCAGTCTCAATATGGGTGTCATCAAAGGCCTTACAGACTACCGCAACGAAACGCGCTATCGCGCTATCCAAGTGTCCGATGCTCGTCGATCCGAACTGCTCAAGGAGTTGAAGAAGTCTGTCTACAAGGGCTTCGCAAAGTATGTTGGCGAGATGGCGTTGTACCATGAGGCCCCTAAAACATATACCAACCGTTGTTTCGCCGCTGGTGAGCCCCAGCTTCCAGCTGGTGCAGGTGGTCGGCCAAAGATGAAGGTTGGGGCTGAGACGGAGAACGTCCTTGATGATGATGGGTATATCGTTGATCAAGAGGAGGTTGCCAATCCTGATGAGGTACTTCAACATTGTCAATTACAGTGAACTCATAACTGATATACCAGCAGGCTCGAAAAGTTGCGAAAAACATCCAAACCAAGTACCGCAAGTACGCCGAGAACGCATTCAGATATGCCAGCGCCCAACTGGAGCTCAACAAGGTCGCTCTCAAGCACACTGATATTCGACGAGTCAATACCTATATTGTGAAGGCTATGAGAGATGCGCAGGAGTCGGAGCATGGAGAGACTTGGGGTTTGGATGACATTCCTTTCCAAAAGTTCCACGCCAGACAATAAGTCGATGAGATATGCCATGTAGGCGGTTTGGGGGTGGGGGATTAGGTGATTTTTTTTTTACAGTCATTAATGAAGGAGTTTCTGGGTTTTTACATTATCGCTGCATATCATTGAGGGAAATCTGGAAGGCATGGCATACTATGAAATTTGAGCAGAGCGGTGCTCCTGTTCCTCGCTGGCTGTCCTTCTTCGTCTTTCTGGTCCAAAACTCTGCTTGAAGGAGAATAGCAAAGACACGAGATAATATGTCCATGAACATGAATTGACTTGGACAACATTATGGATAGGCGACAATTTCAACAGTGAAGTCCTGGTGAGAGTTTTAGTATCGATGAATTCACAAAAGGTGTTGTGACCTAGCAGTCTGTTCCCTTCCTGTTGGCGCTTTCGCTTACAAGTGCCCGGAGACTTACAGAGTACGGAATCGACTATTACACTACAACACAAATATTCTTGTGTAACAGTGCCAAGTTCCAGCTAATCCGCCCATGCGTACCTTACTTGTTGGGGCCGAGAATCCACAGTTACTGAGTTGATAAAATTTGAAAATAATTCCAGTTACGTACAGTGCTTGGTGTACTTGACAAAAGGGCTTAAGCGCTTCAGAATACGAGCTGGTTGGGGATGGTGCAGAAGACAAGGAAGTGGATGACCCTTGTCTTTGTTGCAAAGTAAGATCGAGTCACAGACTTCAACGCTTCAAGATTTTGAGAATGTAATGGGGAAGTGTTAAGACACTAAAGTGATCAAACATATTTTCACATTGGCATATCGAAGTCCCCACCCATAAAACGCCATAATGCATGCCCTTTGAATACAAGTTGGGGATCGGGTGTCCCGTTCTGAATGCTGCGTAGCCGTGCAACCAAAACCGTCTAGCACATTCGCCGAACTGGGTGCTGGCCGGCAAGGCAAGCCAGGACGCTCTTTCCACTCTCACCGTCTATGTTCTTCCATTCGCAATATAATCAAGGACTGGCCCATCCGCCGGCGACGTCCACCCACTCGGCTAAGCAGGAGCCTTGCTTGCCCTCAACATCCACAATATCCGTGTCGCATCTGCATCTGCATCCAACGCCGTTCTCCTTGACGGCGTCCCAGGAGTCCCAGTACTCGTCTTCCTCCCTTCTCTTCTTCTCATCTGTGGTAGTGGTTTCCAGGAACGGAATACGAGGCAACTGGCGTGCAGGAGCATTTGCAGGACAATGCTGGATGGTAGTATGTCTGTAGCCAAAGTCTCTGAAGTAATGAATATCACGAGTTGCAAGCAGTGCTCCAGCAGCAAGTGAATGAATTGGAGCATCTCCCCACTGTGCAGTCATTAGCACGATAATGTCCTACTGTTATCAATTCGGACTTACCCGTTCCATCCAGAATCCTCCACTGCGGTCCATCATTTGGAAGAAGTCCTCATATTCTTTACTCCTGAACCAACTGAGTTTCGCAATCTCAAAATTCGACCAGAAATGACACATGTTGTATTTTTCTCCCTCCATGGTTTCCGGGTCAATATCTGGCAGCGAGGCACGGGATGGGTCACCACGGAGAATTTCCTCTGGGAGAGCATGCTTGGGATCTTCAGGTTCCTTCTTCTCTTCAGGTTGCGGCTCGACGAACATCTCCCACAGACCTTGTGAGGTCAGGTTATTGATTCGCTTGTATGCAGATGCGTATCGGAAGATATTTGGCACGGTCTCCTTCAATTCCTTCACCGCAATAGTAAATCCATAGGTCTTGTTCGTTTCGATCATCTTCAAGAACGGATCACTATGTCCTGTCAGAGAAGTTGGAGAATTATGCAGCGCGGGAGTGACCTACTAGGTAATGTCGCAGAAATACTTGATCTCTGGCTCAAGACGCCAGTACCACTCGTACTTTTGTAAAAGCTCATGCTTATAGAAAAATCTGCCCCGTTTGTCAGCACGTACTCCGCCCAACTTGACCAGCGGTACCTACCCAGAATAGAATCTGCACATGGCGTGGTAACTCTCCATTCCACCATACATGATAGCGGCGTCTCCCTGCTTGGCAATACCCTCCTTTGCAACCTTAGGGTCGATCCAGTCTGGGAATCCCCACATCTTGGGGTCGATGGATCCAAATTCCACGGTGCCACTTGTGTAGTTCTGAATCGTTTCCTTGAATGTTGAGTTGAACTCCGCATCGTTAAGAAAGACGTATGGATAATGATACCATCGGTTGAAATGTCGCTCGATAGACTTAACAGACTGTATGACACCATCCAGCTCCTTATTTCTTGCCAACACTACGAACGCCGCATTCGCTCTCGGTTTCGAGGTGTCCGGCTCTAAGCATCCTGTCACAAAGACCTTATCGTGCTCTTCGCTAATTTTTCTACGAGAAGCAATATTGTTAGTCTCTCAAGGCCGCAAGTGGAAGCATGTTCGCATACCTGATAGCTGGTGGTGCTCCAGCGGGCATTAAGATCCCAACTCCAGATTTGGGATGTCGTACAAAAAGAACCAATATCAATACTACAACAATGCATGGGAACAGCAGAACAACGCCCAGCGGTATCGAAATGCTCGAGTTGCCCTTCAATCGCAACGGCCGACGGAAGAATGCCAGTCTAGAGCTGGTCTTTGGCCTCGTCTTAACCTCGTCAAGAGGACCAGGCTGCGAAGTAGTTGGAATTCTCTTCAGAACCCTCTGTACGAAATCCATTGGTGCGGATGTGTTCGCGAATCGTTGAGGGAAATGTTCCTTATAGGGGGTGCTTGCCCCAGATCGTCAATGGACTCCGCAGAGAGCCGTTGTATTAAACTAAGTACTGGAAAGCGCAAGACTGAATCGAAGGAGGTACAGAGGGCGTTGAATGGCCCTATCGGTTGGTTTCTGACCAAGCTTGTAACGAGTGGATGGAGGAGAAGCCCTCGAGAAAGTAGTACTTTTATCTGCGATGACGCGTCGGGTCGTGGAGCCCGCCTTCAGCGCACAGCTGGAGGAGACAGAGGAGAATAATAGGGCATTCGATGGGGAGATGGCACGGTCTGGTCGTTGGGCGATGCCTGGGCAGCGAGGTCTGGTGGTAGTTTGGGACAGGTCGTTTCTGCTTCCTCTGCGATAGGAGTTGTTCTCGCTCCCCTACAAAATCGGCTAAATGTGCTTGGCAGCGCCGCCCCTGGAGCAAAATAGAATGAGTCTTGGACGCGGATACAGCACAAATTGCTTGATAGCGGCTTGTTATGTGAGTGCCAAACAAAACCAAAGGTTGACAAAACGCTAGTCAAGTAACTGTTTATTATAGGAATATAGATCTAGAAAAGATGTTCTCAAGCACCGAACATTCAATTGTTCTGATGGTTAAATCGTAATCCTGATGCTAATTTTGTACCGCTAAGCTGGAATTGGACAAGATTGGAAATTGCCCGTAGCTTCTTGATATCAGACGAGGCTGAATTTTGCTTCTTCAAATCTTCAAGGCTCATATCTTGGGCTTCGTATCCCAAGATAGAATTGGCCACCGCCGCTCACTCACGCTGTAGCATTGCTCGCCTTCTCCATGATTTAACATCCTCGATCCCACGTCGCCATTTTCATCATCCAGCTAGCAGCTGCCACAGACCAATTAAGCTAGAATAGCGCTGGCCTTGAGTTCCTGGAGCAAGGATGCCATAACAGAAGTATCGCTCATAAGAGAATCCCAGCCAACTACAGTCAAGAAGAAGCCATCCCAAAGGACCTCGAGCCGAATCATTACTCTCCACATCATGTCCAAAATAACGTCCAAGAATCTGCATTACGATGACAGTCTACCGCCTTTCCTCGCACGTCTGAGAGCAAACAATAATGCCGGTGATGGCAGGCACGAGTACAGTGTTGCGAGACCCAAGAAAGCGCGGACTGCCGAGGACGAAGCGGAGGATGAGCCGGTTTACTTTGATGAAGTCAGTGGAGAGACATTAAGCAAAAGCGAATGGGAGGAAAGAGAGGCTGGGCTAGAGAAGGACGAGGAGGCCAAAGACGGCGAAAGGGCTGAAGGTGCGGAAGAGAGTGCGGCGAAGGGAGATGCTGGAAAGGAGAGCAAGGAGAAAGTCGCTGCTATCGGTGCAAGCAAGAAAAGAAAGGCAGGCAAAGTTGTGGGCGGAGAGGACGAAGATGAAATACCGATTACCAAAACACTGGCAGACAAGAAAGCACCAAGCCAACCGGAGAAGAAAGTAGAGAAGGGCAAGTCTGCGAAAAAAGGAAAGAAGATCAAGCTGAGCTTCGGAGATGACGAATGACAATCCTCTGTTTTCAGGCGTTTGGAAGGTATCACAATGGATCGGATGTCAAGGCGCAAAGGAGTAGCACAGGCACAGTTGGTAGAATTTTGCTTTTAGATACCCCCTTCCGAAATATGACACGAGCTACGGCATGTTCGCTGTCAATACCTAAATGCCAGTGCTATTTGGTGTGCCCATGCTCCCAACCAGATCCTTTACTCATGTGTTATGAAGTTTGTCGAATCCTCGCCACCATAGATACAGTCCATGATTGTTGCGCACCGCCTTTGTACGCCAGCCAGAAAGCTTGTGAATGATTAGAAGATTGTAGTAATCATGCCAGGCCCAACCCATATCGCAAAGAACGCCATTTCCTAACCTAAAGAAAGCAGAGGAAAGCCCCATGAACCCTGCCTGCTATGCATGCGAACTCAAATGAGAATTGCCATGTAGAAGATCCGACGAAACTCGATTGACGATACTGTTGTGCTCTAGGTTCGACCTGCTGCAGACACGAAGTCCCAAAGCATCTTGACCAAAGTCTCTGGTAACGTGTAGAGATCTACGTGAAACTCCCCCTCTGTATGTATGTCAGTTTCCATCCCCAAAACAGGGCAGGTAGACCTACGCTCAATATCATTCTTTGTGTATGTATCGTCCGACTTGTTGTCATGGATCATTTGGACTACATTAAGTAGATCATCCTCATTCAGCTTCACAAGAGCCTCGGCCAACTTCTCCATATCGACAGCACCGGACTTCTTCGACGATGGCTTCTTCTCCTTCTTACGCCCATTCTCATCTCCAGGGACAGGACCGGTCTCCTTTAAGGCATTGACCAAGGTCGTGTTTGGGTTCTTGAAGACGATGGTATGCTTGGCCTCATAACGGGGTTTGGCGAAGTTCAGGTCGTGTGCGACAGTGTTCTTCCCGCCCTTCTCGGTGGTGTAGAGGTCAATGGTCATATCAAACTCTCCCCATCCCTCGTTTTCGCATCGGAATGGAGCTTCGTGGAAGGCTGCCAACGCAGGTAATTAGCATATGCAGACCGGCAGTAGGATATGGGCTTACTTTGGACTGGGTTTGCGAAAGAAGGGTGGAGGTTGTAAACCACTTTGGTGAAGCAGTTTGCAGGCTTCTCATTTCCAGCTTCGTCAAGAAGGTAGACTTCAATGTTCCAGCTCTTCATTGGGAAACCTTCCACATCAGAAGGCTTGTCACTGAATCCGGCAATTAGCAATAGATCTTTCTGCCAACCCGCGGCGGTGGGTAGACTCCACATACATGTTGCGCTGCTCCGTGATGAGCTTCACGGTCCGCTTGATCTGTGAACAGTTAGCTAATATTCTCATGATTGCCTCGGATTCGGGGGAGCTTTCAAGAGCCATTGGAAGAGAATACTGACATCTGCGACCATCTTGAGAACAATTTTGGGGTTCGCGAGAGTGAGGTTGTGGAAAGATAGAAAGGATGTGGTCGAGAAGAAGCGGGTGGAGTTGCGACGCGCCTGGTACGTCTTTGCGCGGAGTTAGTGGGGTCCAGAGTGGAAGTAGCTGGTAGGTAGTTCAGATCGGATTGCAAGTGGTGGTGGACCGGAGAGCTTTATTAAATGCAAACAGCAACGCTAGTGACGTTTGAGCTGTTGCAAGACAGTGCAAGTAGAGAATAGAGTTAATTACTGAATTTACGGTGAATCGAAAGATAATAATCTCTCACAAGCTGCATCGTTTCTTTGCTGCTGCATTAGACGATTCTCAATCGTTCACGATCAAATAGCCAAGAACTTTTGTATGTCTTGAGCCTGGGAATTGTCCAGTAAAGCAACAGTAGGCAAAAGGAAAGTAATCACGACCTAACCCATTATGAAACATTCTCGGTTGAGGATACTTAGAATCGGGGGGACAAAGAGGGAATGCTATTTAGTCTAACTACAATATCATGCCGCAGCCTTTGACATGAGGCTGAAGGCAATTCTCCGAATTTCAGTTCCTCCACCATCCTCAATCCTTGAACCATGCTGCCCGGATGTGACCAAGACCGCCATAAATGTGCAGATCGACCCTCGGTGATACCAAAGATTGCTCGAAAAAGCGTCGCGCCTATGGAAGTCTCGATCGCGGGAAATGAAGCTGTAAAGGGGGTGTTCTCGTAACTGTCGTGAATTTTGGGGGGTCTATGCTGTGCTGTGCTGTGCTGTGCTGTGTTTTTTGTGCAATCAAATCCAGAGGTGCTCAGATGTTCCAATGACACGGACAACGATTAAGATGCCTTGTTAAACAGAGCCTCGTTCTCCTGTTGAGCCTTGATGAATGCTTCCTTGAAAAGATTGGCGTCTGCACGATACGTTAGAAATAAGCTAGAAACGGGAGTGCAGAGTCCTTACTCTCAGAATTGGCGAATCGAATAGCAAGTGTTTGCGCCTCTGGCTCACCCTCACTGACATCAGCAGCAGCGTTCCACACCCAACTGCGATCACTTCCAACGTTGGGAGAGAGCTTCATCTCCGGGACGACTATTTTATACCGTCAGCACACATCAACCAAGCCCCATCAGAGTCCATAACATACCGTAGTGGTTGGCGCAGACCTTCAAAGTCTTGTCTCTTCGCATAACCAATCTTGTCTTGCCGTTCTCCTTGTGCTTCAACAATCTAACATCCCCAGTTCCACGCTCCTTCCACTCATTGGAATCACGGACAAACTTGAACAGCTTGGCGCGCATCTTGAAGGTCTGCTCCTCAAGCTCCTCGTTGGTCTTGACGTCGACTTTCTCGGTGAGACGAATAACGGGTTCGAAGTGAACGTCCTCAGACTCCGGGGCTTCCTCCTACGCGCCAGATATTAGCCCTTGTGTTTATTTATTTGTTTACCATTTCGATTCGGAATCCAAATACCTCTGGGTTCTCCTCAGCAGCGGCAGCCTTCTGCGCCTTTGCAGAACCAGAGTTATCTCCACGGTCCTCGTCCTCAACCTTCTCCTTCTTCGCTCCTCCTCCGAACATAGAGAAGACATTATCAGTGACATTTGAGGCAGCGGTCGTGGCGGTGGTGGCAGCAGCAGAAACCGCGCTGGTGGCCTGCTCCGTCAAGGTCTATCATAGTCAGCTCGAAGCTCTATCAGAAGCGAAGATGCATTCAAGAAAAGATGGCGCATACAGGTGGAGTCTCCTTGGGAGCCTCATCCTTTGCCTCAACTTGGAGGGGCTTCTCAGTCTCCGCTGGAGCAACCTTGGGTTCAGTGGTGGCGTCGGCCATGTTGATTATGGTAGTAGCGAAATGGAATATGTGCTGTTTTGTAGGTTTGGAAGGAGTGCGAACTTGACGGAAGGATGTTGTAGTTGTATGGTGAGATGGTGTTCAAGAATATGAGTTGTCGAGAGCCCCTCCATGCTCGTGTGGATGTTGCTCCTAACCGAATTTTCTTAGCGCTTTTCTGGAGCTTATCGGCATCTGCAGAGGGGTGCGCACCCCTGAATCTCAAGTCAATATTGACAAATCTTACAAAAGGATATCTGACAATATGAGGCTGCTTCACTCGTGCCTCAGCAAGCTCCCGATATTTTTCTATTTTCTGTCCGCATTCTCATGCAAAGCTAGAGGGGAAGTCACATTCAGAGCCTGAAGACTAGCCTACTAGAGTCCCAAATTGGTCGGCGATTCCCCTAAGACTTCGGCGCGGTCCGCTGAATTTAGCGATGTTTTCCCTGCGCTGTCAACAAAGGTAAATAACATGAAGACAATAATTCACAGACTGATAAATGTGTCGAAGTTTCTATTTACCCTCTACTCTATTTACCCTCTACTCTGATCACTCTAACCGTTAATATCCGACATAAAGTCCACTCTAGACCTCGATGCTTTTAGTTAGGCAGCGCGACAATTCTTACGCTACCTAATGACAAGGAGATTCGTCTCGTGAGATATCTCCGACGAATCGGACAGGTCGTAGAACAATCTGGAATGCCAAAACCTTGACATAGAGATTGACCTTCAGTCTCGTCACTCGGCAAGGAGTGGCTACCCCTCCGATAAAGTTTACAAGCCGTAAGCGAACAATAACAACTGCCTGTTCAGTATTGACACCAGCACTCTACTCGCAGATAATAAACATATAGCATGAAGTTCATTGACGCGAGCTTACAGCTTATAATAAGCTAAATACACTTCTAGGATAGAGACCTCTCCTTCTCCAAGCCGTCTGTCCAACAATACATAGATCCAATATCTCACAACTTCCTCCGCCAAGCATAACTTCTTCTTGAGCCACCAGTTAGCACACAGCCTTTTCATACTCAACGCTGGCAAAGATAAAAGGACCAAGGCCCTTCAAATCATTTGTTGACAGCGCAACAGAAACATAATACTGCAACAGCAATCAGTAAGTACCTTCCATGGAACAGCTGCAAAAGAGAAATGGAACTCAGAACTCACGTCATAATCTCCCTTCCCACTCAGACTACCCACACTGACCGTACCAGCCCAGTCCAACCCACCATCATCATTAGACGTAACAAATCTTTCAACCAATTTCTCATATCCCACCGTGGCTGTCTCCAAGTATGTCGCACTATCTAAATAACCCATCCGGATCCCCTTAAAAATAGCATAGATGAACATTGCACTGCCACTACTCTCGATATAATTCTTCTCGCGATTTGGCCACCCCATAACCAACCACCACATCTTGGAGTCGACGTCAACAGTTTTCTTGATAGCGGCAACGTTCTCCTCGAGAATGGCCTTCAGGGTTACAAAGCCCGGATGCGATGCTGGGAGGTAGTCGAGAACGTCAACAATGGCCATGACATACCAGCCTAAAGCTCTGTTCCAAACTTCTGGACTGGCACCTGTGGCTTTGTCGGCCCATACTGCGGTGCGGCTAGAGTCGTAGCCGTGTTTCAAAAGACCTGTTTGGTTAGGATTAGAATTGACGCAGTTCGTGTGCGAGAGAGTAAACTGTTTGACGATATCATCAAAGGCTGTGATGTTATCTGGCGCGTAGTATGCGGTATGATGAGTGTAGAATGGAGACACCATGTACAGCCCATCCAGCCACATCTGATTAGGGTATGTAGAGCGATGCCAGAAGCCACCTTCTGGGTTGCGAGGGTTGGTTTGGAGCTGGCTTCTCAGGAGATCGGCAGCACCTTTGAACCTTTTTTCTCCAGTCTCTTTGTGCCTTTCTCTGTAAGTGGTGTCTCCATTTTGTAGATGTAGAGTAGACTCACAAGAAAATCAGACTCTCTCCAATCCTGACATCATCCAGAGTGTAGTATTTCAAATCGTAATCGTTCAGACCGCCTTCCTCAGTAACAACATGATTGGCTCCAGTCTTGATATGATCAAGGTACTTCGCCTGACCAGTGCTATTGTAGAGGAGTTCCAAGGCTCTCCATCCAACCCCATGTTCATAGTTGACATATGGTGCACCATTTCTCAACCCCGAAGCATAGTTTCTCAACAGAATGGTATCCGCTCCTTGAACAGATAGTCTTGGAGTTGAACAAAGTTCTGCAGCACTGACGGTAGCTGCCAGGCCGAGAGTAAATGTGAATCGCTTCATAATGTGTCAAGTCGGACTTACGACAGCAAAGAAGCCAATAGCGCTGCAGAACAAAAAAACTACAGTTCAAAATATGTTGCGAAGAAGAAGAAGAACTCACAAAACCCGGAAAAGCGACGGATAACACCACCTTATACAGAGCCCACAACTTCTTGTGCTACCTGCCCAGGACCGGAAAAACCACACTGCAGCAATGTGTTTACATCTCTCTGGACCATCTTGGCGAGTCCCCACGCCAGCCTGGAGCCGGTCTCGGATACATGGTTCGAATGAGGAAAATGTAGAAATCTCATGCTCACCATGGGCATTACGATTGTTCGGACGAAGCTGATTACGGATAGACCATCTCTTCCTCGCAATTATGTTGGTGGGTTTCGAAATTTCCGTTTACGCTTGGCAGTGTTGGGGCACCTGCTTGATTCCAACAAGTGCCGGTGATCATCCGTTAGCTTAGGGCTCCATAACTGTTCATGTGTATGTGGGTAGCACCAATATGTACAGCTTGTACAGGGGTCATTTTATTGCTACAATGTGAGATAGAAGGACTTGTGCAGCCCATGACGTTGTTTGACCCTGACTGGAGCAGCCGAAATACATCTCGTGAGTAAGTGCATCGTGTAAGCTCTCACACTAAGGTGAACTTTTTTCCCCCAGACACTTGGCCAGGGTCAAAAGACGTGATTAGATTACATGGCGCAGTGAGAGTGAATACGTTGATGTTGTAAATAGTAACAAGGTAGGCTGGGATTTACACATAGGGTCTGCCCCCGATCTTGGGTGTTCTTCCTCGCCGCAATCCAGTGGTCCAGTATGTCGTTCGGCAATCTTCAATGTATATAGAAAGGTCCAAGGCTGTTTGGAAAGATTTTCCCACTTTGCATCACCAGCTACTTACAAGATCAAGTTCAGAAATTGATATTTTCATTTACATGCATATGGTGTTTCTAAAGCCACCACAGCGCTGGAAACGCAACCATGTGAAGCCCATCGGTAGTCTTCCCATTAGCTCATACCTCAAGTACGTCTATTTAGAATGGTAAAGTTGAATGGATATCTGGATTTCGTTCAAGGAAATAGACATTTGTTGACAAAAAAGAAAGAAAGTTCGAGTAACCGAACCGATACGAATGCGAAGAGACCGATGACAAAGCCGACGCGACCGGTTTTCTCCTTGTAAATCAGGAGGTATTTTCCAATATACGTATTATCCAGGGGCTTCAAGATCATTCAATACGTCATCACATCCTCTTAACAATATGATCTTCCCCAGATAGGGATCAATATTGACATGGCTTACTGAGCTCAGTAAAGCCCAGAAACATTTTCTTAGCGAGATCGCAGCCGTATCAATGAGCGGCTACTTGTGCTACTTGTATCTAATTTTATTTGAATTTTATAGTTTTTCATCGTACATTGCCTTTGATAACTTCATTCCATAGCTCTCCAAATTTGTTTCCCCCTCACCCCATCTAAACACCCTCCCCACGTCCCTCAAATTCCAACCCAGGCCAAAGCCTCCAAGCCTTTTTATACCACCTCACAACTTCCATCCCATCTACACCCGCATCTTCTAATCCCTCCGCAACAGCCAATGCTTTCCTACCCATCTTCTCTCTATCCTCACCCCATCCCTTTCTCACACACCACTCCTCAAAGCTTTCTACTCCCGAGCCGTTCGTGGGTGATAGGAAGGAAGAGAGCGGGATGGGATCGACGCGGTCGAACATGATGTCGGTGCGAAGGAGGTACTTCACTGGCTGGGAGGAATGAGGATAGCCTGAAGGCCACATGAGGACCTCTCCATCATGCCAAATATCGTCACGGAAAAGGACGGCTGTGCCAAGAGTGGGTTTGACTTGTGCTACTACCTCTTTGTTGCTCGAGAAGAAGCGAGTTGCGCCGCCACAGCCGTCAGCGACAGTGTTTAGGTACACGTTTATTGTGTAGAATGCTTGCGAGTTGATCGAGGCGAGTCGGCGACCGTCTGTATGTGGAGAGAATTTGCCACCTGCATGATAAATCTTTAGCCAATTTCTATCTTTCCCGGGAAGAAAACGTGACTTGAAGCTGAATTAATATGGGAATAGTATGTGAAATGAGTGGATATGGAGTCAGGATTATGAGATATAAATGCTACCTATTCCATATCTCGCGAGTCTCCAATGCTCATTAAGTCCCGAGACCTTCCAGACATCACGGTCTTTATCTTCAACATTTCCTTCAATGCCCTCAACATTACTCCTTTTTCGTCCCTTATCTTCAATCCTTCTCTTTTCTTCTTCCTCAGAAGCCAAGAAGAAAGGTTGTATCCTCCTCCAGACCCTCTTGGCAAGCTCCTCATCTTGGAAAACCTGTCTATCTCTGATTGTCTCGGGGGTAACGTTTGCAGGAATAAGATTGGTGTGCGATTTAATAATGTCTTTACATTCTTTTGCTGAAAGGAGATTCTGAAGGATGTATATCGCCCGTGGTCCTCGTCCTGCTTCAACGGGCAAAGGTACGCTTGAGAGTGAGACAGCGCTGGGCGAGGATAGCTCGTCGGACGGCGACATTTTAATTTCTCTGTTCTCTTTCAAAGCTTTCCGCGGCCAAGAGTATGCAGTGATTATCTAGTATTGAAGAACTTCCAGTGACTCAATATTTTGGCTTGAATGTAAATGTGCCAGGGCAGGATTCTGGTGAAGGTTGCTCTTTTAAGGTACTGAGAAAACGCAAAAGACAATGGTAGGAAGGGGGAGGTAGCATATATACTCCCTATGCGCTCAGGATGGAATGACGATCTGAGTAAGTGGATATTAAGGTAGTCGTCCTGGGATGTTTTGATGTACTCATTAGCCGATTGGCTGAGCGCCAGAGGCTCGGGCTCCCTGCTTGCCTAATTCCTTCGGCCTGACTCACTACCACATTGCTATCGTGCGACTAAAGCACAGCGAAGGACTTTCCGGACGAGATATTAAGGAGAGGAGAGGAGAGGAAAAGCCACAGTGATAAACAGACGTCGGAAATTTGTTTAGAAAATACGAAGTGCAAAAGTGAGAAGAAAAGGTGGCGTAGTCCAGAACAATTAGCCGGATCTTAGGTAAGCATGACCATGGACTCCTGAATGAAGCTCCATTTTCCTATGGAATATCAAAAGAGCCACTAGTTGGATTTCTTTAAAGATATAATAACATTTACCAGAATCTCATGTAGAAATGATCGAACTCTAATAGAATTAGAAGTGCCATTTTGTGCTTAATTCACTTTTCTAGGAAATGGACTTGTACTTTTCTGAAGGATCTCGCTTGCGTCAGCTACAGTAAATAAGCTGGGCTCCCAGCCGTCATTCTCCAAGTAGGACTTCTTTAATTATGAATTATCCCACAACCAAGGTAGAATCAGACCCCTAGCATCAGGTTACATACATTGCAACAAGATGAACTTCTGTTGTGTGTCCACTACATTTCAAGCTATTTAATACCAGAGCCAATGCCACCAATTCTGACATTGCAGCCCCAATTTGGTTATGGCCATCAAGGACAACATCTCCCAGATTTTATGATCAAAGACTCGCTAATCATCAGTCCCGGCGTCCAGGGGGATCCCAGACAACCAGGGAGAAGGAACAAATGCTGCCAAGTCTGAATATCCATACACGATACTCGACAGCTTGGAATTAAGATTACTACTATTCCACACTCTGCCCCTGTCGTCGATACTCAGACATGTGCTGAAAGTGTGTTCCGTTTAGAATCTACATGGTCGATCGAAAGGATGTTGGAGCTTTTATAATGACCTTTCGAACCTGGTGTGCTTCTGAAGGCGTCTAAGATCGCAAATATTATTCTATACACTCGTCCTTCTCGCTGCGGTTGATATAGAAAAAGAGGCACATTCGATTTCAGTTCATGAGCAAGATTTTTTTCATCGTTAGAGAGAGCTGGTATGGATTGTGTTCCCTTGGAAGAATATTATGGAAGAGAGAAGTTGCAGGAACGGGCAATATATAAACGCGCTAAAAATCGGATTGAAATACGGGATGTGCGTATGGAAGAGGTGGAGGAGAGAGCGAAAAAATGGCTACCAGCAAATGAAGGGGATCATGAAGCCCAACTAGCTGCGGAGAACCCCATGGATAATCTTTTGATGAGACGACGGCTAGAAACGCTGGCACGCTACTGGAAGACGAAGTCTGGTTCGTGAAGGTTGGTCAAGGCCGAGGCTCCTTGACTAAGACTTAATATCGTGGAACAGAAAGTTCCATTCTTTCAGGTTTGAGAGCCCAAAGTAAGACCTGGTAGAACCAGCACTACTGCATTTGTACATAGAGAACATTGGGTTCGCGTCTTCCAATGCATGCCATCCTTGCGCAGAAATTCTTTGACCAAACCTTGTCAAATTGGCTACAAATAGCGCGAGAAAATAATATTGCTTGATGGAGTATCAAACAAATCCGCTATCGCTTTCATGCTTCGAGTTCAAATCACTAATGAGCGGAAGCTTCTCTTCCAAAGTCTTGGTGCCTCTCATTCGCTAACGATGTAAACAACTGGTGCCGCAGAATTGAATCAATTCATGCTCGGTACAATAAGCAATGCTCCAAAGAAATCAAATAAAGGCTCGAAAATATGAAATATGAATGCGGTCTGGGGTGGTAGGACTTGAACCGAGCCTGGCAAGAAACGCCATGCCTCCCGCTGCAGAACTTTAGCACCTGCATCGTCCTAGAAATAGCCATATTCCACGCCCTGTCTTCCTATTGTATACCTCCTTAATAGGGAGCTTGTTTTGTTTGTTGTTTAGTCACTGTGACGAGCTAGTAAATGATGGGTACGCAATATGTCGTTTGGTTTTATGCAGAGCTTTTGTAATTTCGTTCCAGTATTTAGGCTTTCCACCGGGATGGAGGTTGAAGACACAGCGTTGCTTAGGATGTCGCTTGAGTGTCTTGATCCATGTTCACTATTGATCACGTACTAATCACATCTGACTGGCAATGTCATCTGTCCCAAGGGTATGTTGCAGTAAGTAAAGAAAACTATATAAGACCAGTACACTAGTGCGATCCATACTCATTGCCCTGGCTCAAATTTGGAAGCCAGGCCAAACTCGGAATGTGTATCAATTCCCGAGATTCCATACCCGTCCAATTCCCTCAAAGCCATGCGCTGGAGTTCTCCATATCCTTATCCCATACCTCGCTGAATCATGGCAACTCCTTCGTCAGAAATACGACATGCTCCCACCTTACCAGTCAAAAGAGGAAAGATGCTTGCCAATACGCCTCAAAAACCCGAAGACAAAAACTCAAATGCTCGTGACTCATGTGCGAGCCTTCTTCGCTGCTTTCCGAGCAGCCTTCTTAGCAGCTTTGTGTGCCATCCGGTCAGATTTTTTCTTCTCTCCAACGGCGGCCTTTTGAGCCTTTCGAGACTTCTCTGACCTGCCACGCGTCATCTCTGAAGCCCGTCGTTGATATTCTTGATATTCAGCGTCCTTGCCCTGGAGCTTCAACCACAGAAGCTTGGATTGGATCTGTGCCTTGATTAAGCCCTCGTCCAACGGCTCTCGGATGTTCTGAGCGGATCCGAACTTCTTGGACACCTTCTCTCTTATCCCACTAAGCTGGATGCCGACCTCCTTGGTCAAGATGGCTGCATGCTTAGCTGCTTCGAAGGACAATGTCTTTGCTATTTCAGTGAGACCCTCGCCGGCTGTGGCTGCTTGGTCCTTTGCGGCCTTTCTGGCTGCATCGAGTTGATGAACAGCTGAGTTGAATTGATGGAGAGTATCTTCAGCTATATGCTCGGCGGGTTCAAAAAGACGTGAGAATAACTGAGAATCAAGACTGGTATCTTGAGGCAAGAATGTCGAGAGCTTGCTCAAGAACGATTGCCAGGATGCCGTGGACCCAAAATCAACTTGGAAAGTCTCATTGACTCTCGGTTTCCTCGTAGTAATAATCGAGATGTTGAGCACGCCATAGGCATCCTTCTTTGGTAGAAGTAGTACAATACCTTCGTCAGAGCTGTAAGCTCTTTCCGTATCGACGGTGACATTGTTTCTTGTGATATTGACAGACATGGCTTCCTTAGCGAGCCAGCTGAGTTTGGTAGCTGAAGGGATACGGATCAAGATCTCTCTATCTCCCAGCAATTCGGCAGTGCAGACGTAAGACTTGTTGGTAGACTTCATAGAAGGAGCAGGTGTGGGAACTTTTCCAATATCCATCGAAGGCACCACGGCGAGGCTATTTGGTCCAGGTGCCAAGGCAATCGATTGTGTGACAGTGACAGTCTTGACCGATGTCTTGGCCGCCAGACTAGGTGCGACGAATGTAATGCTTGGTGGAGGGGAGGATGAAGTCATTGAGGCAGTAGGTGATATGGAAACAGCGGGGATGATCTTGCTGTTAATCGATATGGCTGGTGGTGAAGCAACTCGAGCGAAGCGATAGCTTGGAATTCCAGTGAGGACGGCGATGAAGACGCTCAAAATCAAGACCCCGACCGGCATGATCGCTCTCCATAATGCAGCTCCGTTTCGATTTCGGATGAAGTTAAAGCTGTCAGCAAGGCTGTAGGAAGTCTTCTCCACGTCTTGCGGGTTTGCGAGACTAGAATCTGCCTTCTTGATCACATTCTGAACAGTGGTGTTTTCAAGAGGCTCGTGAAGGCCAGTGAGATATGCAAGATTTCTGTTCATCTGGCGTGCGTCGATGTTCAAGAACGATGCCAAATCAATAGGGAGTCTCTGGTGGATGATATTGCCTCTGCCATTGGGATCTCTGGACTCGAGGCACATGTGGATAGAGTGCTGATCCAGTGACATGCATTGCCCTCGCTCGAATAGTTGCTTATGCGAGATGACGATCGAAGGGATAGCATGACGACTCATGAACTTTCTGGCAATGGTTCTTGTCCTGCGTGACTCAATATTATCTCCATCGGAGCAGTAAAAGATGGCTACATGTGGTAACTCCCAGTGAGGCTCGACAATGAAACCTTGTCCATCTGGGACGGAATGGTATGCAAAATTGTCATCAAGAGTCAGTTTGATCACGTCCGGCTTCTCTGGGACATCTTCGAACTTCAAGTTCTGGGCGAAAGTGCAGTCTTCGACCTTGATCTGATATCCAGAAGAGTGCATGAGCTCGATCTCGGGGGTTCGCTCGGAGCCAAACGCAGAGACCGGAACAACATTATAGAGCTGAGAGGTAGACTGACGAAGGCGTTGTGAGCGCTTCCCGCCTTCCACGGAAGCAGTGACAGAGCTAGCAATCTTATGAATGATATCTTGCTTGGCCGAGTGACTACCAACATATAAGATTCGAAGGGGATCTCGAGTCGAGAGACCTTGCTTGGTCATTGTTTGCCGGATGGTGACAACGACTCGTTTGGGCTGGTCTTGAAGCGACATGCCCTTAAGAGCATTTGCCGTCTGCTCCTCGCTGAGGTCTGTAACTGTGTGTTTGACCGAGACTGTCTCCGCACCGAGGCTATATGGTTCTTCAAACTCGATAGACTGGGTAAGAGGCTTGTCAAGATCGTCGAGCAGCATAGCAGAGCTGCGGCCTATTGTGGGAGTATTGAAGGCTTGTTCGACAGTGTGATCATGGCCTTGGAGAGCTGGGGTCGACGACGCGCCATGGTTGTCCTCATCTCCGCTCTCCTCTCCTTCAGTGTCTGCGAGACTCGCAACATCGTCTGGACGTCCATAGTCAGTTGAAGCGACTGACTCTGTGGCATTATCGTCACGGCTCTCTTCGTCAGTGTCGACGAACTCGTAGGCAGATTCACCGAGGATGCCTTCATCGGAAGGAATGTCACTGCGGGCGGACATGTTGGCTGTGGCTATGCGTTCAACCCAGTATGTAATTCTCTCGTCTGCAACTGGTGCAGGAAACCGCAACTGAGCTGAAGAAGATCCGGTCGGTGTAGGTAGTTCTTGAGAAGAGGTGAACTCGCTCTGAAAGGATGGCATGTCGTTAGCCTTGCCGGGTCATGTCATGCCTCGACGACGATGTGGTCGATGAGGCTGGTGAAGGCAGCGAAGACGAAGTGAAAGAAGACGATGAGGAAAGGAATGGGCCTACGTGGTTATGGTCACAATACTTCCTAGGTTGCCGATGGCGTGTGGAGTTGGTTCTGGTAAGGCAACTTAACAGGTAATTAGTGTACCAGGTCTTGCCTGAAGCGCTGGCTGCCTACTCGTCAAGAGAGTCAAGTCCGGGCGTCCTTGTTACAGGCGGGGATATCTTCAATCCGGCAGGCTTGACGTGACCCCACGAATATCTGGAGCTCGAACAGACAGAGGATGGCATAAACAAAGAACCAGAACTATTGTAGATGTGTTGTGCAAGAGGAGGTTCGGAAGTTAAGATCACGACGAGGGGCTGTTTCTTGATCCGATGAGGAATAGCGTCAGAGCTGGCGCCCGATAAGAGGATAAGAAGCAGCCCTGTTGCACGTACTCTTAGTGGGTCAGAGATGGATTCCATTCATTACCTTAAGATATCTATCTACCTATGAAGCTCCAAGTCAGATGAGATGTTTAGTACAGATAGTGAATCGGTAACGACGTGATACAATGATTAGGTATTGAACTGTTCGCACTGTTCGCTCTCGATATCAGAAGCAAGTCATTGTCTGAAAGCGTCGTTGGCTTTTACGGCTCCCGCTTCCCGTCATGTCTTGTAGATTGCAATCCCCGGCGCCCAGCCTTTTACCCCTCTAATCGATAAGAGAAAGACCCTGGTACAGATCCACCCCCAGATGCACTTCCTGTGAAAGCCGTGGATGAAAATGGGAACAAGTACATGCAAATAGACTGGGCGTAAACAGGATACTAGTATCTCGAATCGGTGAAAATACAAGGCGGAATGTTTCAAGCTCACTTTCGCTGTGCACGTAGCTCGAGAACACGACTTCACATCCTCGGTTTTACTAATCAGGCTTAGACATGAGCTGGAGAGACTTTTCGAGACGCGGAGTGCAACTCCACTACAAACGGTTCTGACTTCAGCGAATCCATTCTGCTATCCAAGGTATTCTACTGATCTATCATAATCATACAATCATTGCTGAATTCTCCTATTCCGCAACCCAAACAGCCGCCATTCCCATGCCGGTGCCGACACACATGCTCGTGACGCCAACCTTTTGGCCCGTCCTCCTCAACTCATAAAGTAGCGTACTGACCTGTCTGGCGCCAGTGCATCCAAGTGGATGTCCAAAGGCAATAGCTCCACCCTTCGGGTTGATCTTGTTCTCATCAATACCCAACTCGTTTGCGCACCAAACACATTGAGAAGCAAAAGCCTCGTTGATCTCGAAAATATCAACATCATCCTTGTTGATGCCAGTCTTCTCAAAGACCTTAGGAATAGCAGCCCATGGGCCGATACCCATTAGCAGAGGAGCAACACCAGCTACTGAAGCAGCGACGTATTTACCGATGATAGTCTGTCCAAGACGCTCAGCAGTGGAACGCTTCATGAGTAGGACAGCAGCAGCGCCATCAGAGATCTGACTGGCATTTCCGGCATGGATGGAGCCATCTTTAGCGAAAGCAGGCTTGATCTTGCCCAAGCTCTCGGCTGTGATACCAGGGCGAACACCATCGTCTTTAGCGACAGTGATCTCCTTGGTCTCGCCAGTCTTTGGATCTTCCCATTTGACTTTCAGAGGTGCAATTTCCTCGTCAAAGAGGCCAGCTTCTTGTGCCTTGAGAGCCTTCTGGTATGAGTTGGCAGCAAATGCATCTTGGACCTTCCGGCTCACGCCACGGTCCTTGGCCATCTGCTCGGAGAGGACACCCATAGGGACTTTACAGTTCGCAGATTCGGGGTGTGATTCGAGAAGTTCGGAGAATTCAGTAACGGCACCGGGCCTGCGAAGTGACTAGTTAGTGCGAGTAAGCATATGAATGCCTTGAGAAAAATACCCATATTGCAAGCTCATGCTCTCAACGCCAGCTCCAACGCCGACCTCAATCATGCCGGAGCTGATCGAATTCGCAATATCTACGCAAGCTTGTAGACCAGACGAGCACTGTCTGTTCAAACTCCTAACTGCAGCAGAGACTGGGAATCCCGCTGCTAGAGCAGCAGCTCTGAATTCCGTCGCACCACCACCTGGTGGCAGAACAGAGCCGACAGCGATATCTTCCACCAGCGCAGGGTCAATCTTCGAGCGCTCGATGAGAGATTTGAATGCGCCGACTAGCATATCTGCCGCAGCTGTGTCCTTGAAACCGCCCTTGCCGCCCTTGGTAAACGCTGTTCGGAGGCATGCTGTAACAACAATCTGGCAGCTTGTCAGTATTTGTTAGGCTTTCCAAAGTTCCCAAACTTACATCATCCGGGTTCTTTTGCAGAAGTTGGGCTCGACCTCCGTTTCCTCCACTAGGTGAGATCTTGCTTTGCGAGCCAGCAAGGTGGCCAGAGACCTGAGTAAGGCGTTGACTTGCTACGATTCATTGTCAGCCTCGCCTATGTCTGTCAATCTCTTCTCTGAAGCCGTTTACCTGCAGACATGGTGATTAATTTGTAGAAGCGAATATAGAGGTATGAGAGATGGTATCAAGAGTGATCTGGAAGGAAGAAAGAAGTTTGTGAGAAACAGAGGGAAGTCATGGCCGGTGAGTGGATTCTTCCCCAGCCCGTCTCGAAGCTGCCGAGGCATGATGACAAACGATTTGATTGGCTGAGCAACCTAGCTTGGAAACCCCATTGTCACATGGAAATCCACGGTCAACGATTCCGGGGAAGCTTGAAAAACAGTTGTCACGCGCGTGAAGAAATTCTAAGCAGAGCAGAGCAGGTGAGACGTGTAGGATTTGCATGTGTCAATAAGTACGGGATGCGAAAGTGACGATCAGAGGTTACCGCTTCACGAGACACGCTTGACCGCGAATGGCAGCTTCCTGATGAATTACTGCAGATGCGCATGTAGTGATTAACTTGAAAGGCTTCAAAAAGGGTATTGTACAATTAATCTAGAAACATTAACCTCTATCCTGATATACGCCTCCAAATCATTGACCGCATTAATTACCCCCGCTATTCTTCTTCTGTCGTGTTGTCCAAGACCCAACCTTTACTCATTTCCACAGCTTGTTCCCATTTCTTGAACATGGCATCACTTTTAGTCTTTTCCACCTTTGATGTGAAGATTGTTCTGTCCTCCTTATTAATCTCCTTCAGCTCGTCAAACTCTTGCCAGATATCCACTACATGGAAGTCAGCTCTAATCCTTCGGTAAATTGGTGGAGAATCCGGCGAGGGAAATAGTGGAGGATTTTTACTTACCAGCAAAGCCAGCTGCTATAGCAGCTCCAAGAGCGGTTGTCTCGCGCATAACCGGACGATCCACTGGTATGCCAATAATGTCTGCTTGCGTCTGCATGCAAAGATTTGAGTTTGACATTCCTCCATCAACTGCAAGCTTCTCAAGCTTGTGACCCGAGTCTTTCTCCATGGCATTCAGAATGGCTTTGGTCTGGTAGCAGGTCGCTTCTAAAGTTGCTCGGGCAATATGACCTCGTTGAGTGTGTGCAGTGATACCAACTAAGCGTTATTAGTAGTGCTCTACTGGAAGATCCCGATATGACTTACAAAGAGTTCCTTTTGCATCATCAATCCAGTAAGGCGCAAAGAGACCACTGAACGCGGTAACAAAAACAACCCCGCCATTGTCCTCCACGGTCTCCGCCAATTCGGTAATCTTATGTGAATGCTTGATGAATCCCAAGTTGTTCATCAAAAATTTGACACCGGATCCGGCAACTGCAATACTACCCTCGAGAGCGTATATTGGCTTTCGTCCACCACCGAAGTCATATGCAACCGTCGCCAGAAGACCATATTTTGAGATGACAGGTTTGTCGCCAACGTTGTAAAGAAGAAAGCAGCCGGTTCCATATGTATTTTTGGCTTCTCCTGGAGAAAATCCACATTGGCCAACTAATGCTGCCGACTGATCTCCGAGACATCCTGTAATCTTGATCCCCTTCAACGCAGTGGATGCTAAAGCACCAAATGCATCTTTGTCTGAAGATGGTACGATCTTCGGAAGCGTAATATTTTTCCGGTCGAGTTGGAAAAATTCCAGAAGCTTGTCATCGTATTCGAGTGTGTGCAGGTTCATGAACATTGTTCGGGAAGCATTGGTGGAATCTGTGACATGGATACCCCCCTCTTTGCCTCCATTGAGTTTGTAAATAAGCCAGGTGTCAACAGTACCAAAGGAAAGTCGTCCTTCCTCGTAGGCTTTTTTGACGGCCTCAACATTCCGGTATAGCCAAAGAAGCTTAACACTGGAAGGATATGTTGAGATGGGCAGTCCGCAGATTTCTTGAAGCTTGTCTGCGCCTTCTCGCTTCCTGAGCTCTCGCACAATTGAGGTCGTGCGAGTGTCGGGCCAAACGATGGCATTATAGAGTGGTTCCCCAGTATTTGTGTCCCAGCAGATAGTCGTTTCCCTCTGGTTCGTAATTCCAATAGCCTTGATCTGGCTCTTCTCATAACCTTCTTCCACAAACTTCTCGGTTGCCTTTTCTATACATTCTTCAACAGAGTCAACTAGCTCTTGTGGATCGTGTTCATGCCATCTGCAGGACATTAGCTTGCGAACAATTCTTAGGGCCACAAGTCCCTTACCCAGAATCCGGGTAAATGTTCTCAAATTCGATTTGGTGACTAGCGATTGGGTTTCCATCGCCATTGAAGATCAAAAACCTGGAACTTGTTGTCCCACAGTCTATACTTCCAATGAACCAATGTTTCTGCTTTTCCGCGGCCGTTTCTGAGACTCCCTTTGGAAGACGTGGCCTCGCAGCGTCCTTGGTCTCTGCCACATTCTCAACATGCTGAGCATCCGTGCTGGGCTCCACGACCTTCATATAGTCATGCTCGTGTACGGAAAGGGTTCGGATTGGCATGGAATCCATGATGGGCGTTTGTTGTTGCAGCAAGTTGGAAGGGGTCGAGGGTCTTATGTCGTGGAATAGCCTTGCGGGACTCGTGCTACCTGTGGACGTCGCAGTTGCCTTGGAGTAGGGAGGAAGTTGCGGTCTTGATATGGAGAAACAAGAGAGTGTCCGCGCGGGGATGATCGAGATCGAGGAGGGGGAGAAGGCAAGAGCGACAGCGTGGCGCGGCCTGAAGAGGGAAGGAAGCCGATGACATAGTGCTAACATCAGAGGGGATGGATCGCCAGGTCCTATTTAAACCTCTCGATGTCCCATCCCATCCCACGCTTCGCTTTCTCGCGGTCAGCCTGTCACTGGCGCGTTGGAATGAACCCCGCTGGTTGTTTCTGCAGCTGTCTGGGCTGGGCAGGTGTGCCGAGTCGGGACTCGGGCTGCGGGTTAGTGATGAGACGAAGCCGCTGGGACACTGATCTGCTGCTGCATGTGATGCGCTGAAAACCGGAGGCAAGGGCAGAGTGGGCGTGAGTGGACACTGGACACTGGACACTGGCCGACAGGGCCTGGGCAGCAGTGGGGGCCGCGCTGCTGCAGCAGCTCCTTTCCAGTGCGGGACCCAGGGCGCCAGAAAAGCTGCCCTGGCATCCAGAAACTCTTCCATTGGTGGAACCTTAGATATTCCATGGCGAGGCTCTCACAGTCTTATAAGTACTGAGCCAAGAAGTGTCAAGGTGGGGTAGAAACCAAGTCTGGCCCTCAATCTCAACTTCAACCCCTCGAGGAAACACTTCAACACCATGACCAGGACCATAATATCAATCGGATGCAGCCCCAGCCAAGCCCCGACGACCATAGCACAGAATGCTCGCAAATCCCCAGATGCTGCCTGCTTTTCCGAGAACTCCCGCAAACAAATCCTGAACATGCAGAAGCCGAATACATGCAACACATCGCCTATCCCATGCCTAGGTCGCTCGGCTATTACAATTTCAATTGTCATAGTTCATATAAAGGCTTGCTCAGTCCTTACCTGAGTACTCCCACGTATTCCCTTTTCACTTTTGGTGCTGTGTATGGTTGAGAGTTCTGACGACTCTGGCGGGATGTTGGAGTTTCAACGCCTCTTCGCCTTGAATTCCTCCCACTCACAATCACTATCGCCGTCCTCATAGTCCTTCATGGGGCCTCTCTCATCTGCGTCCTTCTCACACCATGCGTTCCAGCGCTGCTCATCCTTCGCATCCCACATACTCTCGAAGTCATCCATCTTCTGGCGCAGTCTCTTGTATCCAGTGACACGGCATTGGATGAATCTGTGACCTTGCGTAAATGTTTGAGAGATAGACGTGGTAGGGTGGATAGTTGAAACGAGGTTGTTCACAAACTTGGTCTCAAGAACCTCAGACTTGATGAGCGCTGGGATTTTTTGGACGTTGGCACTAATGGGCTTGACCTCTTCAGTTGCCTCGGACTTGATCAGAACTGAGGTTGGTTTGATGATGGGCCTGATGGACATAAGTGCCTCGACTCGATCGTAGACACAGTTCTCGAGATATCGCCGCTTGTAAGAGACCTCAAATGCATCGTACGCATCGAAGGACGCCTTCCGTTTCCGCCCAAAGATGGCGTACTTCAAAGTTCCGTCGACCTTGACCCAAGCCCGGTCTCTCTTGACTCGGACTGGAAGAGGAGCAATGAATCGCAACTTAACGGCGTCAGTGATGTGCTCCAAATTCAGGTGGATCGAATTACTCACAGGGAAGTGTGGATGGAGCCTTGGTGGTCTCTGCTGAGAAGACATTTGCAGAAGACATCTTGAGATCTGTGATGGTCAGAGAACGGAATTCAAGTGAGTTTCGTAGTACATATAGCTAGTTGGTGTATTGTGGTATTGAGGTGGGATAGCTGTGAAGAGGTAAGGTTCGAAATCGTTGTAGACGGAGGAGTTCTTGGATACTTGAGAAGAAGTATGCGCAAAGAGATTCTTGAGTTGCTTGCTTTTTGGTTCAACGATGTGGAGAGAACTTGATTGTAGTGTCTGGAAGAAGAAGAAGCGCAAGAATTTCTATGTCGCTGTGGCTGTCCTCACATAGCTTCTACAATAGGAAGATTTTCTGCTCGCGATCCTATTGTTAAAGGGGTGCGCGGACGAGGTCGAGATTCACCTTAACGAATGCAGCCCCAGCAACCGTGAATGGACGATGATATGTGCAGGTGGAGTCCGCTCTGCTGGAACCGTATCGTGCGATGAAGAATCAAAAAGACTATTCACGCAACTTACAACATAACCGCTTTAACTTTTCTGGTCCGCTTCTGACGATAGCATGACTGTGAGCATCGCGAAATCGCCTCGCCGCTGCATACCTAGGATTTTCCATTACGCGCAACCATAGCCACGAGGTCACGATCAAGGGATTTAAGAACAACGACAGCCGCGTATAATGCTTGTGTAACATTGGGCGGCGTCAGCAATCTGTTGTTGCACATCGCAGCTTCATGGTATTGTTCGCTTCCCAAACCGCATTCTGGACTTCCCCATACCTGATTGCCATGTCAATCTCCACCAAATTAATAATGATGTCTTTATTTACCTGATGGAACTTCTTGCTTGTTCGATGCGAGGGCTTGCTTTTCCCCATATTTGGCCCCTATAGGCTGGGCGGGTTTCTTGTGTGGGTCGTCGCGACGAGTTCAAGTTTGGTGGAGGTGGCGGGAGGAAAGAATCTAGGTTGCTTTTCCATAAGATGGCTTTACCCTTGTGAGTGAGGGAAAGGGGGAACTTCAGAGCCAGTGTTTATCAGGGCCATCTGGGAATGGTTGATTGGTTCTAGGTAATAGTTGGTAATTGCCAGAATTGGTCTTTGACGCCTGATGCTGGTCTATTCCTATGGTTTCGGATGTTACTCCCTGCCTCGCTCAATAAAGGCAGGCATGTTCCTCGGATTGGACAAAGCATCTTGAGAGAACGTGAGCATCTTCTAATTACTATATCTTCAAGCAGGGAGAACTTTCGGTCACAGACTTGGTTAATGATCGCCAGGTTGTTTGCAATAGTGCTAGTAAAGGTTACCAACTCAAGGACAGTGTTTAGAGACGATGTCTTCATAAGTCTTTGTGACTGGAACGAGCCAATTACACTTTTATGGTGGTAGTCAGTTTGCTTATTCGCTCTCTTACACGGTTCAAGCCAAGTGCGCTCTGCCTCGACCCTTCCAGACGAGGAGGTCGATCTCGGTTGTGTTGCTGTTGACAACTGACGACATGAGCGCTTGTCATGACTTCTGTAGCTCCATATTCACTTAGAATTGCAGATGGAGTTTTCCCAGCCCATGAAACGAAATCGTTCCTGGAACAAGATCCATCTTCCAAGCCCTCCAACCGTTTTGAGACTCTATAAAAAGCCCAACCCAAACCATAGACACATCACCACCTAACGGTAGGGAATCTCTCACCGCTTCAGCTCCTCTCCACCACTAATCCACCTATCTAACCCATCCGATTATTCAAGCAATCCACTTCTACTTTCCTTTTAGCCCCTTTCCTTCCCTCTGTCCCTCCGAATAAACAAGCCCCACGGCTGTCCCTAAGCGAAACTCAAATACCCCTTGTCCTGTCCCACGTCCAATGCAGCCCAACCCAGCAAACGCATGCGGCCACAATGCAACAACAAACTCTAACCGCGCTCAGATCACTATCCTCCACTCACCGTCCAACTGTTCTTGTCCAGCCAATAAACGCGTCTGAAATTAGACATTTTCGAAGGTTTTGTTGCTCGTCGCATCCATTACCGGACAATTGGGTTTCCGGCAGTCGGTGAGGAGAGGGTTGTTTTGTGCAGAGGAGTGGGTGGGTAATTTCCGATGGGTCGGTTGCTGGGTTTCGCATCTCGGAATCAAAACTGGTATTGTGAGAATACTTAGACCTGGAAAATAAGGGGCAAATGAGAGATTTCTTTTGACGATGTGATTCAAATTTCGTGTGAGAAAGCTCGGCTCGGCTGTGCTGTGTTTCTTTGTTTTTGCTGAGGTTCGTAATGGCAGTGGCATCTCGGGTTGTGGGGGAGAACAAAAGCACGCGCTGGAGCGGGAAAGTGAAAGCTATTTTAGGTCCTCGACATGACGATTTAGAGACTCAACTTGAGTCCATTTAATTCTATACCGTGATGAGAAAACTCCCATTTTCGCGATGAGTATCGACACAAAAATGGTGCTAGTCAGGCATCTCGGCGATAAATCTCCTCCCGGCCAATAAATCCACCATAACAGTCCCATGACTGTCGATACGAAAAACTATTTCGCACCTCTGATACCGCCACATTTATGATGACATGTAAGAGGGATATATTACAGAACATGTCAGTCCCTTCTTACATCCGTCAACGAAATGCCTGGAGAGTTCAACCCAACAATGGCGCCATTTACGCGCCATCTCCTTTGCCCAACAACACTAGATTGGCAACGTTCATCACCGTAATTATTCCCCAAATGATGACTGCAAGCGTAGCAGTGATCCAATTGTTCCGCATCTTCGTTCCAGGTGATGGTGATGTCGGTCTGGTGCTCGGAATATCCACTTCCTCGTCATCAAAGTGCTCCGAAGTGCTATTGGTCCGTACAGTCATATACTTATTCCTGCAAGTAAAGTAGATCAACGGAGCGGACACAAAGGGAAGAACGACACTCAGTGCTACCTGAGAGCCGTTCAGAGCCGCAGAAAGACCCTCTCTCCCCACAGCCCCAGCAATGATGATGCTTGGTGTGATAGAGATACTTCTGGTAATGAGACGCCGCATCCAGGGCGCAATCGTCCATTTCAGAGCTCCCTCAGATACCATCTGTCCGGCAATTGTACAGACAATTCCAGCGCTGATACCGGACAAAAGTAGGGCTAGAGCGAAGACTGTTCCAGCTGCAGGGGCAATACTGTCGGAAAGTAAATGGTAAATACCGAAGAGATCAGCATCCTCGGCCTTGGAACCGTAAAGTGAGGCTCCTGCGGTGATCAAGATGGCACTGTTGACAAACAGAGCGAACGTGAACAGAGAGACAGCCAATTCGATAACGGAGTACTTGAGACAGAAGTTGATGGCAGGAAGTGAAGGGTAATATTGCACTTTCTCAACACTGTCTGAGCGAATAGATACTGGAACAATGCCGTTGTCGATATCGTACTCCTGTAGACGTGCCTGTACAATACCACTGCCAAGATACAGACTATGAGGCATTACGGTTGCGCCTAGAATACCGCAGGCTTGGTAGAGACTACAAAATGTTAATTATCAGACTTGGTAACTTGAGAACGTACTCACCCCTTGGACTCAATTATCGCAGAATTTGGAAGATATCCACGGAAAACGTCGCCTACAGGGGTATCTTTAATGAGGCTAAGTTGAATGCAGAAACAAATCACAACACCTAGAACTAGGGCTACAACAAACATCTCAAATGCTCGAAGCCCCTTCATGGATCCATTTGGCTTGTAGAAAAGCAGAATGAGAAGTACATCGACAATCGAGAGCGCACATCCAGCGACCAGAGGAATTTGGGGAACCAGAAGGTTGATTGCAATAGCTGTACCAATAACTTCGGCAATATCTGTAGCAATAATCTGTCAATTGTCAGTAATGAGTTCCTGTACTTCTTGGGCCGACTTACTGCTCCTTCGGCCATGACATAGAGGTAATAATTCATCCATCGAGGAAGAAATGCTCTGCAAGCCTCAGCCAAATTTAGTCCACTGACACTTCCAAGCTTGATGCACAAGCTTTGGAGAAAGATGGCAAAGATGTTTGACATCAGAACGATGAAGAGCAACCTGAACCGGTAGGTAGCACCAGCAGCCACATCCGTAGAGTAATTTCCAGGATCGATGTAAGCCACTGAAATCTATGAATTCCACGTCAGTGTGTGTAGTTTAAAGCTGTGAAAAAATGAGACGTACCATGAAACCAGGACCAACGAACTTTCCATAAGTCGTGACCCCTTTTCGGATTTTCATGAAAATTTTGATTGGGAGAGAAGCATCGGCCCCAGTCCCATTCACATCCCCTCTCCCAGCACCAGCAGGATCTCCATCAGCAACACTAGGAGCGACCATTCCAGGACCGTTTCCCATGGGGTTGCTCTGCTGGCCCACCCCCTTCGTGGCCACCGTCTCCCGTCCCTTGCCCCGGATCCCATCATCGTCCGGAAGATGATCAACGCCACTCATGAATTCGTTACTCGCTATCCTCCTCAGCTCTCGAGCATTTGCGATTCCATTGAGATCCTCCCTAGTTGTCAAATCCGCCGATAAAGAGCTTGGGTTCTGGTTGAAGCCATCTCCCTCTGGCTCCTCTGTTCGGGACGGGCAATTCATTGTGGCGACTCGAAGTCGAAGTCAAAGTCGAAGTGCTAAATTTTCGGAAATTTCAACCTCAGACCCAAATTATTGTTAGGAGGGGAAGCGGGGGAGGGAAGCTTTTAAGTGTTCCAAGCTATTTTGCTCTTCTGCTAAAACCCAAATCCGGGGAAGGGGCTAGGGTCGGGATTGGCGGTCTAGAAGACTCTCGGGTGCGGTTTTGCCCGGTGGGAAGGGGCCGCGACAAATCAGGTGTCAGAGGCTTCCCGGTTGATGATCAAAGACTGCCGAGCCATGCCATGCAGCCATGCTCCATGACATCGTCGTCCACGCTTTGATGCTCATATTCTTATATTCATTTTGGACCTCCCTTAACTCGATTACAATTGTTACTCAGAGACAGCTGGCTGACTGTGAATACGAGATGGAGTCATGTCATGTCATGTCATCACAGGTGCTGTCTGTCAGCTTGTTTTCGATTTTGGGGGATCATCTCGATTACTTCTCTCGGATTCGAGGTCCTGTTCAGACTGAATGCGATGATTGCCCTTCATACTACTCGCTAGGTATGTTCAACAAGCTTCCCATCTTAGCAGCTGGCGGGCGTGACAGGAAGCCGCTTATCCGTTTATCGTCTAGAAGTAAAAAGTTCTCCTGAGAAACTAGTCACACTGTAACTTTCCTCCCATGTCTTGTACCTCCATCCCTTTGGTAACCAAGCGAGGCTCGGAACTCATTGCAGACACGAGTATAGCCACTCTGTAAAGGAGACAGCGGCATCTTCACGAAGCAATTACAGATACCCTGCGAGTAATAATGAATCACACTGAGAAAGGGAAGTCGAGAATTTTATAGTCTTGCAAGAAGTAAAAGACGTCTATTGGCTCTGAAGGAGCTTGATGGGACAAGTGTCAAAAGCCTCGGCCATCCGTATTCCAGAAGCTGCAGCCATTCAACAATGGCCCCATCTAAAGCTGCAGGAACAATGACTATACCACATCGCTGCCGACTGGACTGCATATTGTCGGTGAGCCACAGGCACCCCAAGACCTCGCGGAGAAAACCCAGGTGTACATAAGGACTTGGCACATGTTCGGCCAGCCAATGACCCATTAGCTCTAATGTATGCAAAAGGATTTTGTGGTTTCCATTCATTTAACCTATTGACATGCAGTCGCATAATATCAGGCCACCAAAGTATGAATGAAGTCTTCCCCTTTGAAGACAGACGCCTGCCCATGCAACGCCTCGCAAATACGACTATCAATGTACACAGGATTTATCCCCTTGATATGCCTGAAATCTCAAATAGCCCCCGACCACAACTATTCTATTTGGGGTCTGATTGGTCCAAATTCATGTAAAGCTTTTGAAGGGCCTTCTTCTCACGGCCGTCGGACTCGAGGACAGTAATCCAATCACGGATCTGGATACCCACACCTCGTTCTTTATCCTCTCTCCATTGTCCCAGTCGTCTTGCACCTTCGACCGTCAACTTTTCAGGAGGGGCATTAATTGGACCACTACCAGGCGTTCCAGGGAGACCTTGAGTGTTGATACGTCCGGGAGTGCTTGCCCCACTACCACCACCTCCTGGTGCGCCGCCCGTCATCCAGCTGTACTTCTTCTTCTTGCCGAACAAACCTCCTCCACCACCTAAGAACTGCGCCGTTGTAGTGTTCGCAGCCGCATGGTTGGCAGCTTCGTTGACCTTTGCCGCGGCATTCTTCTTTTGCTCTTTCTTCGTAGGGGCCTTTTCCACTGAGTCAGGGGCAACAGAGCCTGGTGTGCCTGGGATGATCGAGCCTTGTCTAGATGCACCATCCCCAGCTGCGCGAGCTAACCGTTTACGCAACCGTGCTTCTTCCTGGTCGCGTTCTTTTACTGCTGAGGCACGTAAAGCGCTGACAACTTCGTTTGTGATCTTCACAGGAGCAGCAGGGGTCTTGGAAGTTTCTGAAACCGGGGTTGGGAGCTTAGCAGCAGAGCCTGGAGAGTGTTAGCATATAATTCAAGCAAAATTACGCCTTGGTCATACGGTTAAGTGGGTTGGAGTGCGGGCTGACTGCACTCTCCCATCCGCTTCGAGGACCACCATCAGCAACAGTGGTATCAGCATTGCTGGGAGCCGCGGCGTCAACCCAATCCTCGGGAATTATGCCGTGGGAACCCGTCTGGCGACCTTTTGCAAGTTTGACAGCATCCTCCACCAAGCCTCGCAGGCGATGCTTCGTCGCAATTGACATAAGTGCGACTTGATCGACGAGCATGGTGTCAATAGGGAGGAAAGTACCGTTGGTAGCGAGGAATGTATTTTCTGGGCCAACTTGAGTCTGCACTTGAACACCACGCTGACTAAAATGCTCTGGTAGCTTCATCGTCCCCATCATTCCACCCTTGTCCACGTTCAGTGAAAGTCCATTCTCTCTAGCAACCTTTCCCATCTTGGCTTGAATGACCTGGACTATGAGAAATGGATTGCGAAGCTCACGTTGCCGCGATGCCGCAAGATTCGCAGCGGCATCGTTCCACACGCGATCAGCCAACTTCTTGTTATATTCATCTTGCGATTTTGCATGAACTTTATCGGCAGCAGCGTTCGCAGGTCCAGCGCCATAGAATGAAGCTTCGTCTCCCGGTGGAAACTGAGTAAAGCTATGCCCAGAGGAGATGTTGCCAGACTGGGAACCTGATAACTGAGAGTTGAAAGAGTTGTCGTACAGCTGGAATGTATATTGTAGCCCCTCTTCTTCTCGTAGATCGATACCCGTGCCTCCTAGAACATCCATCACGTCGACTCCATCCTCCTTTGGCCTCTCTGCAGGTTTCGATGGGGGGCCCATTGTGCCTTGACCTTGGTTCGGATGCGATATTTGGCCTTGGTGAGGTTGCGCTGCAGATGGTGGAGCCTGGCCATAGTTGCCAAAATCTGGTCTTGGACTTGTATGGGGAGGATTAGAGAAGTTAACAGAGCTCTGAAAGTGAGGTTGATGATTGGTTTGATGATTGGACTGGTGATTAGATTGGTGGTTTGGTTGTGATTGTGGAAGGGTAAGAGAAGGGGTAGTGTGTCCATTCGAGTATGGTGTATTGTAGACCCCTTGTGGAATCCCTACAGTCGCAAAATGAGGCGAAGCTCCTGCTGATGACGGCGCGGAAGCTCCCGGACTCATAGTGTACGGTGACTGAACGTATGGAGAGCCTGGTTGTGATGATGGGTTTGGAGACAATCGTTGCCTTTTGTTCGGCGGCATGCCAAACTGCTGTTGGGCGCCAGGGGAAGCCGCATTCTGTGGGGGGGAGTATGGCCTCGGAGGCATTGGAAACTGCTGCTGAGGTTGCGCCATGGTGCCAGAGTAGTTCGCAGCTGGGATACGGTCTCTTCAAATCTCCTTCACAAGGCAGGCGCAAAGCCCGCTATCCTCCTGAAGGCTCGTTCCATGCGCGAGCGAAGGTTCTCCGGTATCGAATATGCAGTCTCTGCTTGATCCACCACGAAATCAGGTCCTGTTCTGTCTGGCTCGTTGTCGTGAGCTGGCTCGAGTTGTTGTGATAAAGGTGAGGATGGAGGAGAGAACGCTGTTCGTTCCCTCGAATTCGCGTCGTTAGTCACGTGAAAAGTCGCGCTAAGCTAATTAAGCCGGCCGCAAAAGGGCACAGCTCGTCGATTCACCTCCAGGGTTTCTCGACGATGACAGCAGATTCCTCATGGCCCTCGAAGTTCAGCATACCCCGCAAATATAGCTATGTATATCAGTTGATCGCAATCAACTGCGATAAGGCGAATAATTGGATAAGGCTGTCTTCTGACCCAGGAAGGAAGGGATAAGGACAAGCTTTCAATATGGCTTCCAAGCGCAAAGCAGCAGCAATGGCGCCTCCAGCTGTCGAGGAGCCTGTAGACCCAGCTGATGAGCTTATGTTTCTTTGCTTGGGTGGTGGTAATGAAGTCGGCAGATCCTGTCACATCATCCAGTACAAGGGGAAGACTGTAATGGTAGGCTCAGAATCCATGCCTCGAAAGATATTTTTGCTAAGAAGACCATAGCTGGATGCTGGCCAACACGCAGGCTACGAAGGTCTTGCCTCTCTTCCATTCTATGATGACTTCGACTTGAGCACCGTGGACGTTCTTCTGATCAGCCAGTAAGCGCATACTTTCCTATATTCTATTCGCGGTGGAGGTACTTTGTTGTCTAGACATAGACATAGAACAATCGTTCTGCCATTGTCTGCGCGGGCTTATCGGCCACAACTTTTCCTATTTTGCAAGTCAACATGTATACGAGAACCAATACAAAACATTTATCACACTGCAAATGCATGGTCTTGATTCTGTGAAGATGACCCACATTTGAACCATATGTTTGTACATAGTTCACCCCCATTTTGATCAACTCGTCTGACTTGTGCCTGTTTCCTGAAGAAGTGCACTGGCTGACATTTCCTAGTTTCCATGTGGACCATGCAGCTTCTTTACCCTATGTACTGGCAAAGACCAATTTCAAAGGACGAGTCTTCATGACACATCCTACAAAAGCTATCTACAAGTGGCTCATCCAAGATAGTATTCGAGTTGGCGGTGCATCGTCAGACACCAAAGGCCAACCTGTCTACACGGAAGCTGACCATCTTTCCACGTTTCCAATGATTGAAGCCATTGACTACCATACGACCCACACCATCTCATCAATCAGAATTACACCATACCCTGCCGGCCATGTTCTTGGAGCTGCGATGTTCCTAATCGAAATCGCAGGACTAAAGATATTCTTCACCGGAGACTACTCTCGGGAGGATGATCGCCATTTAGTATCCGCTGAGGTTCCGAAAGGTGTCAAAATCGATGTTCTCATTACTGAATCAACCTATGGCATCGCATCGCATGTTCCGCGTGTAGAGCGGGAACAGCAGCTTATGGGCTCTATTACTGGCATCTTGAATCGAGGCGGACGAGTTCTGATGCCCGTTTTCGCACTTGGAAGAGCCCAAGAACTTCTCTTGATTCTAGACGAGTACTGGACTCTCCACCCAGAATTCCAGAAGATACCAATCTACTATGCTAGTAACTTGGCCAGAAAATGTATGCTGGTCTATCAAACATATGTCGGAGCAATGAACGACAATATCAAGCGACTTTTCCGAGAAAGAATGGCTGAAGCCGAGGCTAACTCAGATACTGCGTCGAAAGGTGGACCCTGGGATTTCAAGTACATTCGATCGCTGAAGAATCTGGATCGGTTCGATGATGTTGGCGGTTGTGTCATGCTTGCCAGTCCTGGCATGCTGCAAAATGGTGTGAGTAGAGAACTTCTAGAGAGATGGGCTCCGAGCGATAAGAATGGTGTCGTTATTACTGGTTACAGTGTTGAGGGAACTATGGCAAAGGAGATTATGAAGGAACCAGAGCAGATTCAGGCTATTATGTCTCGCAATACCGGCGGAGCCAGACGAGGTCCCGGGCTGCCAGACGCCGAGAAAGTCATGATACCTCGACGATGCAGCGTTCAGGAATACTCTTTCGCCGCACATGTCGATGGGGTTGAGAATCGGGAATTCATTGAAGAAGTCGCCGCACCTGTTGTTGTAAGTTGATCGCTTCAGTATGGAACTTCTATACTAATATAAAGCAGATTCTTGTTCATGGTGAGGTACATAACATGATGCGACTGAAGTCCAAACTACTTTCGCTCAACGCCGATAAGACAGACAAGGTCAAGGTATTCAGTCCTCGAAACTGTGAGGAGCTTCGGATCCCGTTCAAAGCAGACAAGACCGCGAAGGTGGTTGGAAAACTAGCAGCCAATCCTCCTCCTACAGCTGACGGAAATCAATCACAGCTCATGACTGGCGTCCTAGTGCAGAACGACTTCAAGATGTCACTTATGGCTGCTGAAGATTTGAGAGAATATGCAGGCTTGACGACCACAATCATTACATGCAAGCAACGTATGACTCTTAGCGCTGCAGGTATTGAGCTGATCAAATGGGCGTTGGAGGGTACTTTCGGCAGCATCGATGTCTTGCCAGAGAGCAGATCTAAAGACAAGACGAATGGTGACACGCACATGAACGGATCCTCGGAGGATGCTGATGAAGAAATCTCGAGCCAAACCACTGCATACCTAGTTATGGGATGTGTTACTGTTCGACATCGAAATAATGGCGAGGTGGAATTGGAGTGGGAGGGTAATATGCTGAATGATGGTATAGCTGATGCAGTCATGGCCGTGCTATTTTCAGTGGAAAGCAGTCCAGCTGCAGTAAAACGTAAGTACACTTCCCCAGCTTTTTTACCAACTTAGCTAATCTTTAACAGAATCGTCAAGCAAGCATTCTCATTCTCATGAGCTCCCAACTCGGAATTTACACGCAGATCTCTCTCCTACCGAAAGACTGGAACGTTTGTTTATGTTCTTGGAAGCACAATTTGGCGCAGAAAATGTCACGCCAATCGCAGTCCCAAAGATGATTCTCAAGGGAGCTATTGATTCTCCATCTGCCATCAAGGCTGACGAGGATGGAGCATCCGAGGGATCTGAGGAAGAGGACAGAGAGCTCGAGGCCCTTCAGAGAAAGGAAATCGAAAGATTGCACAAGATTGGTATTCCAGTCCCCGGAGTAGAGATCAAGGTCAACAATACAGTAGCCAAGGTGTGGCTGGAGGATCTAGAGGTGGAAGGTGCAAGTCGGGTATTAGTCGAGAGAGTAAGGACCGTCGTCGAGAGAGCAGTCGAGGTCACGGCACCTCTATGGGCGTAAAGATAGTTTCGAAGGCATTTCTAATTATCTGGCATTGGGAGGATTATTTAGGAGTCAAAGCAGGGGCTCTTTATCGTCATATTCTACAAGCCAGTGTTAGGGCAATAAAAAGGAGCATAGCTGGGCAAGGAGTAACTTGGTACTACCAGCAGGCTTGGAACGGCCTGCACTGTAACACCAGGAAAAACACAAAAACGAATATCTCGACTGAGGCTTGACTCGTCGCATTTATGTTGATCGTGCCGCTTGTCGATACCCTGAATCATTGAACTGCATCTCCTTGGACATATCAATGAATCGCATCTTTGCATACCTATCATCCACCCACCGCCTCAGCCGGAACGTCATTATGCATTCCATCCCTTAATTCGGGCTTCTTCACAAATATTGATCTGCCGCTCTCATCCCAAATCAAGCTTGAATAGCTTCAAATCCGCCTCACTCCGGGGATCACCCAGTTTTAGACTTTCCACACCGACAAGCATCAGGCCCCTGAAGCTTGCTAGCGCCTCGGCCCGGGCGGTGGTTGTGCTGTGTGGCTGGCCAGCGCAGCATGCATGGCGGGGAGGTGGAGGTTGTGTTGTGTTGTGTTGTGTTGTGTTGTGTTGTGTTGTGTTGTGTTGTCTCGTGAGCCGTGAGCCTCGAGCCTCGACCCTTGCCCGCCTGACGGCCCCCAGGTCTCAAACCATAAAACCAAGCTTCTCTCCACATCCAAGCAGTAAACAAACTCTCCCGCAATACCATCCGTCGAATCGACATCCAGCACTCGACAGTCAATTTCCGATTCTCGATATAGAATCGTAGACAACAAACAGCAATAACACGAACCCAACATTAAGATGCCATTCTCCGCCAACTGGCAAGAGAAGCGCGTGCACCTCTGCGTCCTCGCTGCCCTGTCCGTCACGATCATGCTGTTCACAGGCGTACATCTACGACATATGATACCTGCGAGGCAGAACTGGAAACACCACACGCTGGACTGCAACTCTTTCTTTGCATCGGACGTGGTTGAGTGTTCGCAGATTCCCACAGTGGAAAATAATAATGCGGGGAAGGAGGACTGGCTTTGAGACCTTCAGACGGATACGACGATATTCGGTCAGAACAACCTAGGCGGTAGACCCTCTGAGTTGGTACTTTGAGATTGAGCAGCTGGAACGAACGCCATTGGAGACTTACCAAAACCCAAACGCTGCTTTGCCGGAATTCCGATGAGGAATCAACATGCATATCCAGATATTAGGTTGGAACAGCACATGACTGCACCTCGAATATGCAACTAGGAGAAGGACAACATACAGATATCAAGAAGTATGCTGGAAGAAGAATAGCATCCCCCAGACCCTCCATCGCACACGTTCGCCTTCTACCTACCAGCGGTTGGTCGAGACTGTTGACGTGTAGCTGCTAGCTTCCAGCGTCTCCAAAAGCAAGTGAGAACTCTTAGGAGAAGGAAAGGAAAGGAAGCCTTTTCGGACTTGACGCGTATCACACATGTCTGGAAAACTGCAATAGGTGTTTCGATGGCTCCTTGTAATTGACTTGTGGTTGCCAACCTGGAACGAGGAATACGGCAGCGACATATTGTGCGGAGGACGTGGCCCGACTTTAATTACTGTAGCGAGTGATGGGAATGCAGGTGATGGCAGTTTGGCAGTGTGTATTAAGGATGTCAAACTAGTGAGCCGTTAATAAAGAGCCGTTGTGCCGTCGTGCAATACTCCTCAGATCTGAGTTTGAGTTATCAATTTAAACAAGTCTATGTTCCGACAAGTACTACCAAGTGGTGAGAGATCGTCATGCTTCTATCTTCAGAATTTTCTTGAGATTATGCTGCGTGTCTATGTCGGAGGGAGGCGATCTCTTGAATGAATGGCTTCATTTTGATCAACGTGGACTGATCACAATTCTCATCAGATGTTTCGTATCATTAGAAGTAGTCCAAACGATAGAGACTTTTGCGAGTCGGTCCAAATTAATTAGTTAGCCATACTCCTCAGAGCAGAATTATACAGACTTGGTGAACGAATCCAAATAATACAGCCTAACAATACTCCGTCAATTCGAGTTAGCAAGCTGTGACAAAGGTCAAGATGACTTCATGATGTCTTTGCCTGAAGACTCTGGCACTCCCAAATCAGGGATGGCCCTGTCCATATCTTGATCCCACGTTATTTCCCTCGCATCATGCTGGTTATTCTCCTCTCTTTGGTCTACCCAATTCTTTCTACCTGCACCTTGGTATAAACATGAACCGAAATTGCACAAAGTACAACCAGGTCACGGCTTGCTCGGCTCCCCGGAGCAGTGATATTTTTCATGCGTGCGACACAATAGATGAGCTTTGGGAAGAGAACCGTTCTTCGATTCAAAATATTCCTTACGGCTATTGTCGTATCGTAATGCTAGAAGATCGCCTTGGGGCCCCAGATGGAGCTTGGGAAATATCATACTTATCAGCGCATCCCCAAAAGCAGGGCATGAATTATGATCCTTCAATAAAGACGCCAGTGCCAAAACACCTGCAAACCACTGGTCAAAATGGTTGTCCCATAGCGGGAAGAACATGATAGATCTTGCACCTGGACAAGCACTCAATAGCTCATTTGCCCACTTTTTGAGTCGCTCAGGATTGACGGTAACGGACAAGTCATTACCAATAGGGTCAGAGTTTTGTATAAATTCGCCATCCCTTTCAAATCCAAAAACCGTTCCCTCGCGAAACGTTCGGAGCAGTGAACGAAGAGTTGAACGTCGTAATGGTATTTGACCGGTTGCGAAAGGCAATTCTTGTTTAAGTGCGGATCCCTGGATCGAATGTCCGAAGACTTCTGTTGTTAATGCGCGACCAGAGTTCGAAGTCTTTGAGGATGATGGTTGGACTGAAGGCCGATTTGCTTGAGAGGAGTCATGAATGGCAGTCCATTCATTGTCTTCGTGTGCTGCTGTGCTGGGTATGGATAGAGTATTCGAGCGCCCTGTGGAAACCCCGGATTCCAGGTCAATGTCTTGGAAGCAAGCATCAATCAACATTACTCCATCAAGCTCTAGCCCTTCGCGAATGCGATAACAAGCCCGAGAGAACAATTTCTGCATCTCTTCCGAAGCCAGAGGCTCCAAGAAAGCTCCTTCTCGTCGCATCGTAAGACCCCTTTCGCGAAAATTGCCAATCGGAGAGAATGTATTGGTTGAAACTCTGGACCTCTGGCTGGGTGAATTTCCTAAACCACTACTAATTGCTGTTGTTGCTTCTAGATCAGGATGTATATCTGAGTGCCTGTAGCTCATATTCGCCTTTGGAGGAGATCCAAGCATTGGTGTCTGATGTGCAGTCACAGTTGTCGGAAATGATACGCCATGATCGCTGGCATCATTGTCCGAGTATGTAGAAATAGTATGAGCCATTCCAGGTTGCAATGAAGACAATCGTGACAGATCGATCGAATCATATCCATGAGGAGATGTCCAATCTTCTGGAATTGACCTCTTCTCGACGAACATACCAAGTCCATGCAGCATTTTGTCCGCTCGGTGAAAGTGATTTTGCATTTGAACCAGTTCCAGGTGCTTCATGATGGCGGAAGATATTTCTGTCATGGATTGCAATCCCTTGCTATCGAGCCCATCACGGGGTTTATTATCCACGACGCAGAATGTACCAATAACATACCCTGTCGGGCTGGTGATTGGAACCTCGGCGTAGAACTTCATGAAAGGCCACTCAGAGACGTAGGGTCGATTTCTGAAGCTGTCCATTTGAGATAGATCATTCATGACATAACTGGCTGGGTCAGCTTTGATTTGTGGCGTGTTGATATTGAGACTTCCGTCTTTGGCGGTGAAGACTTCAATAGCTGTGCAGGATTTAGCAAATTTCGTCGGAGTGTTTGTTGAGAGAAGGATGGTTATCTGTTAGGGGTTTAATGTGGTCAGGGAATACTGACTGCTTGGACAGACCCCCCACATAAGGTCAAGCATCCTTGGGCCGAGATATACTTCATCTCCAGGATCAGTTTGCTCCAGGTTGTGCAACGAGACACTCCTTGTCGCCTCCGCAAGTATGTATTGATTATCATGATCCATGAGGGATATAAAGCTTCTCTCACATTCCAGTCGAAAAGCACCGAGCTGAGCGAATGCTGTCAGGGTGGAGTCGTGTGTGAGACGTTTGGAATCATCTGGAGCCTCTGAGCCTTTGACAGCTGGCATACTGGGACCTGTTTCATCGCAGTTTTCTTTGCTGCTCACATCTGGAGCCCAATGGGTAGAGATAGAGGATCTTTGCGAGTTAAGCTGGGGCGTGTAATATCTGTTGAATGGACCGTGATTAGAATATATTCTCAGTAAAAGCGATTTGTTCCGGAGTAAGGACTACAAACTTCATGAGATCCCGAACACGGGCTCGTTCGAGATCTAAGGGTGTCTGCTGCTGTGGAAGCATCGCAGCTTACTCGTAGGAGAGATTTCGCGGAGAGAGGTATTAGTAGAAGGGAATGAAGAGGAACTGCGTGGTGGAGTGGTGATGATAGGAAGCTGTTTTTTTCTGGAGGCGGGATACCACTGCTCGACACCCTGAAAGATGTACTACTACGGTGGTGAAGCTGTTGATCATCACGATGGACAATAGTGGGATGAGGAGAGGTGGGGTTGGAAGGAGACAGACAAGAAGGACGTCAAAATGAGGTGCGTGGTCTGGACCAGCGCCAAGCCTTCTCTATTTACATATGCGAAGCACGGGGACGCCAACTGGAGTGGAAGGAACGAGGTCTGGCAGCTAACATATGGCGAACGTGTAGAAACAAAGCTCACGATCCACGGCGACCAAGCTTTCGAATATTAATATCAGAATGGCCAAAATCTACAAAGGGATAGCGTCAGCAATCGCGACTCATTTGGTAGCTTGAGTGGACAAGATGACCTCCGCCGGCTAACCGAGTTGCATCGACTGCCTAACAATCCGAGGAAGCAAGAACATCAGAAAAACACTATCAAAGGAGATCACTACACCAAATCTTAAGAAGCTTTTGAAACGCAAATGCATCCTGTTCGCAATGGAGCCCAGAAAGGATTGGCGATCCATGATCTTTCCGTGCATTTTGAACCTCACTAGGGACGACACCAAACCGTCGCAATTCTCCAGGACTATGTCCCAATACGAAAATTACATAAATGGTGCGATCTTGTGTTGAAAATCACTCTTTAATCCAGAGCATTTGGAACATTTTAACTTCTCTGCCTAGCAGTCTCCATGGATGCAGGACTTAAAAGCACGGCACAACAAGCAAGCAGAAGCACACCTGCTCATCGCTCAATGCGTACATAAATGCACAAAGTAGACTGAGCCAAACACAGTTCTAGCTAATATGTATAAATGTATATCAGTATACATATATATATTCTGCACACGCTGCCACACACTTGTGCAGCAGGTGTTTGAGTTCTCGCTTACTGCGGCCACATGAACCACGACACTGAAGACCAACAGACCAAAGACAAGGACAATCGAACCCATTGAGACGCTGTTCAAACGGAAGAAACGCGATCTAAGATACGAATCCTGGGTTGTTAGAGTCTTGATAGGTTTTTGGCAGTAACGTTACCTGACTTTGGGAACTTGTGTGGATATTCCAAGAATTTCCATAAATATCGAGGAAATTCCAAAGAGCAAGTGGCGATTCTTTAGGACTGTGGTAGCAATCTCAAGCTGATATATATGAACCAGAGTCTCCAAATCTATATCGTGTCAGCGTTTTACAGATCAGAGTTTTTAAGCTTGGACATTGAGTTGAAAATTCGTTACTTCCTGCTGTCCACCAATCTCCACCATTCTCGATTACAACCGAGCCCCCCGATAAATCGCAATGAAGTCACCTATTATGTATATGCCATGCAAGTTTTCTATAGGTCAATCGAGTATTACAATACAGCTGCTCAATCTTCCTCTCCATCCTCCAACGGATAGACGTCGATTCCATACGTCTCATTCAGCCCCACCCTCTGCACCACCTTCCCACTCTCCATCCTCACCCAAGTCTCCACATCCATCTCTCCTGTCTCTCCTTTCCCACCCCCATATCCACTAACCCCCTCAAATCCCAACTTGACCACCCTCACACCCCTCTTCCAATTCCCATACCCTCCATACCCAGAATGTTTACAAAAACACAAATGCGGGCCCCTACCCTTTCCCTTTCCACTCCCACTCTCTCTTTCAACCTTCCCATTGTCCTCCCCACCCGGCCAATTCGCACACCACCCCTCCCCATGATCATGCCCCGAAAACACACTATGCACCCCCCTCACCTCCCTCAACGCCTTCATAAACCCCTCATCCTGCCACCCATCCCCCTGTCTCGCAAGTGGCACATCATCATTCAATCCGGGAAAATGCACCGACTCATCACCCACATTCGGCAGCAGCGTTTCCTGCACAGTGAGGAATGCCGAGGGCGGGATATGCACGAATACTATACTCGGGATGACTTTCTTGTACTTTTTAGTCACGGAGTTAGATTCAGCCGTGAACCACTCGACGATTGAGGGGTCGACCCAGTCTGGGATCTGCTCCGAACCAGGGGGATTCTGGAACGGTGCACCGCCTTGACTGTCGAGAAACCACAGTATAGCGAGCGGTGCGCAAGATGTAGATGCAGTTCCATGGCAATTTTCTTCTCGTGGATAAACAGGTAAGTAGTAATTCGTCACACCGGCCACACCCTTAGGTGACGACCGCGTGTATGAAAGATCATACTTGTTTTCTTGGGCGAAGAGAGCAGTTCGTGAGAGGTTGAATTGCGAGTCGTGGTTGCCGTAGGTGCTTGCCCAGGTAATTTTCCGTTGGACAAGAGGCTCGACGATGATGTCAAGGTAGGAGGTGGAGTTTGTGAGGAAGGTGTTTTCGCCGGTTATGAGGTCACCGTCTGGAGATGATTAGAATGTGTTGAACTGGAGCATATTTTGGGTTCGATGTTCGAATGAAAGAACGATGAGTGAAATCAGAAGTGAAATGTTAATGTTCGACTACATACTCAGCACTACAAAATCCGATTCCTCATAATTCAGAACTGCATTCATCACCTTGGTAGAAGACACATCCTGATCAATCCCCCATCCACTCTCTTCCTCGCCATAATGCAGATCCGAGAAAATCGTAATTTGAAACTCATTCTTTTCATTAACACGCAGTAGAGGCTGGTGAGAATGTTTTGAGGAGGATGATATGACAGATGTAGCTGCGAGCCAACGGGAGAAGATATTAGGGAGGAACATTGTGTGGAGGACCGCGATGATCGCGAACATCAGGATTGAGAGTGGAAGCGCCATATTTATGTATTACTCTCATGGTTGGGAGTATTGGGCTAGTAAATGAAAGTGGGGTGGAAGATGAAGACGTTGCTTGATGAAGAAGGTCGATGAGATGAGGTTGAGATGCGTGCCGAGAACACTGAAGATGATTGGCTGGTGCTTGGCAAGAGATGTAACGTGATTTCGGTGTGACTTTCCAAGATGGGTAAGGGTCTGGAGTTATTAAATGTTAAATATAGTAAAACAAAGTGATACCTAGGCAGATGTGAAGATCTTGAGAAAATCTATATTCTATGTTCCTTGTTATTCTCTATCCTGGGTATCATCCCGCCATTTCAATATCATACAATCTACCCCTCCAAGATACCCCACCATCTATTCTATTTTTTGGCCAACTCCTCCCAATTATTCTATAAATTCTAGAAACCCAACCTCCATCCCATATTTTACACGTCTCCTCTTCTATAAACACCCGTCTTACAAACTTGCAACCGCGACCGCAACAACAGCAGCAAGGGCAACCGAGCTCAATCCATACTCTCTCAACGAGTTCGCAGCGGAAGTCGAAATTGGCGTCGTGCTAGGCGAAACTGGTCTCCCAGTCGCTGATGGAGAAGTTGAGTTTGACGCAGTAGTTCCGTTTGATATGTTCGTCCCAGTGGGTGATGTTATGAACGTCGTGCTTGTGCTTGTGCTCGCAGTTGTGTTTGAGTTTGAAGGATACCCCGAGATTGTGGATGTAGGCACTGGAGCGTAGATTGTGAGAGAAGGTGTGTATGAGGCTGTAGTAGTGATATTGCCATTATTGGGACATACTGGAGATGCGATGACGAGGTTTGAGACGCTGGATAGGAGGAGGGTTGTGAGGAAGAGTGTGGTTGTGCGGGTTGAGGAGAGCATGTTGAAAAATTGCTTGCTGTGATGACTGACAAAGGAAATCTAAGTAGTTCTTGGAGCGACTGTGGTTTGACGAGGGTAAGAAACAGTATTGGAATAAGGTAATTCAAATCCAAATGCTGGTGGAAAGGAAGAAGGTATATATGAAGACTTCTCAACTTCGCCTCAGATTCCCGTCCATTCCGCCATCTGCTTACGCATCGCACCTAAACTCACCGGTGCCTTGCGCAGCGCAGTCAGCCTCATGACGACGTCTCTGTGCTATACAGTCCGGAATCGCTTGTAGAAGATTCTTTTCCTTCAGCTTAGATGAAATTCAAACTAATCATCTTGAAATGCCGATATCCAATCGGTGCTGGTTGTTGTTGCGAAAAGAAAAGTTCCGAATGTGGCTGAGTAGTGCTGACGACAAAATTTGCTTTGCGCCACCGATGTCAACCTCGGTGACACCGTGGTGGCAGGCAGCGGAGGGTCGGTACTTGTTGAGATAAGCTTTGTAGATATTAATATATGGCGAATGCGAGTAATTTGGATCTTGAAGAGCCTCTTTCATGCGAGCAATCGTGTCGATCTTGAGGTTGAGATGGATTCGTGGTTGTTATGCGGTTTGTGAAGTGGTGATATTCAGTGGCGACTTTCTATTTTTAGTAAGCGAGAAGCTTCAAATATCAACAACCGAGAGATCAACTCTGGCGATATTATGGAAGGGAGTGAGTGGAGACGCTGGTGTGGTATTAGTTGATATTAGATTAAATTATAATTGTATACAAGCCGTTCGATTCTACATCCAGAAGGGAGCCCAGGTCAAATTTTCTAGATATCCCGATCTTCCTTGTCAGAGACTTGAGAGGTAATCCCCAGCTCCCGATATATCACATCGCACCTCCCAAAACTCTCCAACACTTCAATCACCTCTCTATGCTCAAATGCCTTTGCAACCTCCATCGCACTTCCATACCTCGAGGTCCTCACTCCTGCATCAGCACCATGAGAAAGCAATACCCTGACAAGCCTTGCATGTCCTTCCGCACACGCAACATACAAAGCAGGTCCAAGTACATTTCCAGGAAGTACAACTGCATTGACGAAAGCACCTGCGCATATGAGCTTTTCAGCAATGTCGATGTTGCCCTCTTTGGCAGCACAATATAATGGAGTGCCGCAGTGGTCTGACGCTCGGTTGATCGTGTCGACCAGTGACTTCCTCTGAAGGATGAAGTCCACCCCAGTGTCAAACTGCTGATGAATAGCGATGTGAATCGGACGCTCTCCCACACAGTCTTCGGCATCGATATCAACGCCTTGAGATTCCAGTTCTTCTAGAGTGGCTAAATCACCATTTGCCATAGCCTGATGAGCAGCGTTACCGCCCCTGTTAGTAGCAGGGCGATCGGTGTCTGCCTTCTCAATAGTCTTGGTCATTCGTCCTTGATTCCACATAGATTGGAAAAAATTGGCGTATCCCAAGTTCCCCATCAATTCATACTGGCTGGCTCTCTCCACCATTGAGCCTTCCGGACTTTCTCCCCGTGACGCACGTAGGTATCGAAGTCGATCTAACTTGTCTTCATTTTGCACTGCAACGAGAAGTGCGTTCAGATATTTAGCATCCTTGGTTGATAGTGCGGGACCTTTCGCCATGTAGTATGCCGCTAGGTCTAGATCACGTCTCTTGATGGCTTGCAAGAGACCTTTGTCAGTTTCTTGGAGTGCTTCTGCTGGATTTGATGTGTCTGTGACTTTCCCTGGACCACAATATTCTTGCCATGATGGATTATCAAGCCGGTTTGGTGTAGCTTTGACCTTTAGTGCCTTCAGGATTGCCTGAACGCCAGGCTCATATGTGGCTTGCCTCAGGGATCTGTCAAATATAGCGACCCACGTTTCGCCATCATCTTCTGTGTGATCAAGTTCGAAATTGGCAGCTAACTTTCGCAGGGCGGGTAGGTCGCCAATCAACAATGCTCCGTAGTCTAGCAGAATTTGACAGACCTCTGGAAGTCGATACCAGATGGCAACATATAACGGGGAACAACAGCTGTGATGCTTAGATCTCCGCCCAATCATTCTGCTATCGGCATAGCGACTCGTTAGATTCACATCAGCCTTGGCGTCAAGTAAACATGTGATGATTTTGAGTGTCCGCGAATCCACAGGGTGCTTGAATGTGGGGTATAAATGAGCGTTCTCGTTGTAGCAGAGAGAGTCATTCGAAGTGGGGTCCACCACAAGATGAAGAGGACTTGGATATCGAGCAAACTGGAGATCCGGATTTGCACCTTCAAAAAGAAGTCTTGAGACAGTTCTGAAGAGTCGAAGCTCACAAGCGACGTGAAGGGGTGACGTTCTGTGACTGGCATTTCCAAACCGTTCACTTATTGTCCAGCCTTTACTATCGGCATGGTTTATCCCCCCAAGACGGAAGTGAGCCACATATTGTATCCAAAAATATAGAGATTGGGGAGCAGAGTCGTTGAAGAGACGTTGAAAATGTGGTCGTTCAGTCTGGGGATCGTATGAAGCGGCATGCTCGATAACGCGAGTTGCTGCATGATGGTAGAATGGAAACCTCTTGCTGAAAGCTTCTCTGGCTGCAACGTCAAAAAGGTCAAATGGCGTTTGTGTCACCGATCGCAGTGCAAGATACGAGAAACATGCCAGTGCTGGCCCAAATCTTTCAGTCTCTGGCATCAAGTACTTTTGGACGGCCGGACAGGTCTGAGAACTTACGAGAAATTCTCTGATGCTGACGTGTGCGAGTTCAAAACTACCCCTGGTCATACGAACAAGACATCCAAGCCATTTTAAAATGGAGTCTGGGTTTGGAACGTCTTCTGGATATAGATCTTGAATATCATCGTGCATGCATACCATATGCACAAATTCATCCATCTGTATGCCTGGTGGTCCCCAGACCAGCCAATTCAGGGCTCTCTGTACAAAGTATTGGGTTTGGACGGAATACTCGGCGTTGATTTTTTCAAATAATCGACAATATGTTGCTGGCAAGCCACCAGGTAATGATTTGAGCTCGTTTTCAATGCTGCTGATGCTGCCAGTGCTGGGTAGGTTCTGTAGCAGCTGGATCTGGCAAATGGTCCAAAAGAATCTACCCTGAATCAGTCTCCGTTTGACATTGAGATTGCTCGAAAGACATTTCGAGCTCATACCGACTTACATTCCATCTGAATGATCAACTACTGCTTCCAAGACCTCCGTCTTCAATCCGTCGTCATTGAGGTGAAGCTTATGAATGTTGGCGGCGACATAAAGCCGAAGATCAGATGGCCTCGCTTCAACAAAAGTTTGGTTGAAATTAGATAGATGGTATGCTATATCCGTCTTGTCACGGCTGAAGACGATAGTTCTGATGTTGCTTGTGCCTTGGTGCAACGTGGATATTACATGCATCAACTCTGACCGGTCTGGTAATGCCCCCACTTCATCCAGACCATCGACCACAACTGATACAACATCAAAATGAAGCGACAGTCGTTGCACCAGTATTCCAAGTTGTATTACGGTAGGTTTCTTCAGCACTTCGCCCGGTGTATTGTAGGATTTGTAAAACTCAATTGCATCCCGAAAAGCGTGGGCGTTCTGTTGACAGAGCTGTGTCACAAGAGATCCCAGAATATATACTGGATTCTGGCTGTCGGGGTCATTATATAGATTGTAGAAGTAGGCAAGCCCCGACGGCTTGGACAATGAAAGAGTTTCGATCACAAGAGACCTAGGAAGAGTCAACGACAGCTCTGAAGAAAGTCGGATGACCTACGCAAGAATCGTCTTTCCCGCCCCCGCAACTCCATGGATCCACAGTGCGGAATTCCTTGCATTCGTCCATCTCAGGTACTCTGGCGTTTCGAATATCCAGTACCCAGTTCCGTCTTGGTGGGCCTCACGGAATCCCTTGTGCTTCAATGCCGGGTCCACTGGTCCAAACCAGCGAAGGATCTCCTTGGGCTCTTTGCTCTTATCGACATCAAACAACTTTTTGGGCGACGACTTCAAATTGATCACAAGAGAATTCGATCGTTTGGTAAGATCACGCACTTTTTTCGGTGACGAGACCCTCTCTGCGGAAACCGACATGATAGAAATCGGAGGTTTGCACACGACATTAGCTATCAGCTCTGGTAATAAAGTTTTCCAGATGAGCCAAAAAGGCTCAGTTGCCTGCCACGGATGGGAAGTGGATTTTAGGAAGGACACTGTGTGCCATCGCTACCTGGCGAACGTGAAACTCTCTCCTTCAGTGCAAACAAGATCAACCCGAATTCCTTCAAAGGCGACTGGCAGAATGTAATATAGATTGGGACACCCTCTGACTCGGGGCCAACCTAAGGGAACTCCCGTGTGGCGTTAAAGCTCTAGAGATTAAGACTTCTTGTTGGTCGCGGGTTAGACACAATTATGCCAATACCTGGATCATCTTTGACTGCAACAGAAGTAAATGACGATGCAGAAGTATTGAAAATTTTGTTTTTGTTTGATCTTTAGATTGAGGTTACGGCATGAGGAATGCTCATTGGAATGCAAAGACTACTTATATAGTCTGCCTCGCTCACCAACAGGTAAATCTCTCAAGCTCAATCAAGTCACTTCACAGAATATTCCACCGTGTAAAACCTTGGGACTCTTCAATTACCTTACAACATGTAGAGTATCACATTGAACAACCTCGACATCGCCAACCGTCCGCTACCAAATTTCGATGCTCGAATAATATAAGAGAACAAGGGGCACCAAAGAATGTTAGCAGGAATGGTGTTGAGGAATGTGAGTATATTAGGAATCTACGCGAGACTGTATTTCCACCCTGTCTCGAACGCCACCGAAAGCCTGGGTACAGAATCGCTCAATTTCAAAGTATCTTATGAAATGATGCCCCAAGCGTATCTGTCAAATGATCATGCAGCGTTTATTTCATGGTCTTCAGAAATGGGCCCGCAGTGTTGGCGCACTGCAGCGCTGGAAGGAGGACTAAAGATGCTTACAAAAACTTTTCGAATTACGCATAGCACCTGATAATCGTGACACATGAACCTGAAATATTTTGGGCCACTGTTTACAATTCCAAAACTATAAAGCATTCACGTTGTTCGAGATCCTTACTGTATTTCGGACTGTAAACACAACAGGCGAGGCTCTAATTATCCGCAAGCGAATACGCTGAAGCCGAGCCTGAACCCCACCAAATCCCCAGCCCCGCGATGGCTGTACTTCCCGTCTCTCTTCAAACCTCAACCTAAAATGCCTCCTCTACCTCCTCCTCCAACACCACGAATAATCATATACTACCAGACACAGCATAATCCAGATGGTACGCCCTGCTCGATTCTCCCCATAATCACACAGCCGAACATATCGGTGACACACGTCAACCTTGCCGCCATACACCTCAATGATCCTCCTGGAAACATACATCTGGTACATCCTCCTCCCAACTCCAAGAAACCTTGAATTAACCTATCCGCAGAACGATCACGTACCTGGAGACCTTCGATACGTGACACTATGGGCTGAGCTGCGGATACTCCAAGCTTCGGGCATCAAAGTGCTGGGCATGCTTGGAGGCGCAGCGAAAGGTTCCTTCACACGACTTGACCTCGACGATGTCACCTTCGAAGCGTACTATATACCTCTACGGGACCTGATACGAGAGCGGAATCTGGATGGGCTGGATCTCGACGTTGAGGAAAGCATGACATTGGCGGGCGTAATACGATTGATCGATCGATTGAAGAGCGATTTTGGAAACGACTTCATCATCACACTCGCGCCCGTCGCAGCAGCTTTAATGTCCGAAAGACCAGAACACAACCTCAGTGGATTCAGTTACGAAGCTTTGGAAGTCATGCGCGGAAAGCAGATAGGGTGGTACAACACACAGTTCTACTGTGGATGGGGAGATCTGAGCAACACCAATGGGTACGACTTCATAGTTAGAAGAGGCTTTCCTGCAGACAAGATCGTGATTGGAATGGTCACTAATCCTGGAAATGGAAGTGGCTGGGTGCCATTTGAACTGCTGCAGGAAGTGCTGATTACACTGAAGATGAGATATCCTGGATTTGGAGGGGTGATGGGATGGGAGTACTTCAACTCCTTACCAGGAGATAGGGCAAGGCCATGGGAATGGGCAGCCTTTATGACGAAGACTGTAAGGAACGGACTTCCTGCGGCTGCTTCGTCTACTCCAACACCAGTTGTTGCACCGGTTGCGGCAAAGCAGAACCCGTTCATGATAGTTGATGATGACCTAAAAGTCAAGGACGATGCACCTGTGCCGAAAGGGTTCGAGTATTATTCAGATGGCAGTACAGCTGAATAAGCATCAGTTCAGGTTGCCCGAGCACTCAAAACGCCATGATATTCCCGAACTTGGTATATTCTGTCAGGTAAGCTACTCTGCAGCTAGTCTTACCACAACCTTCTTCGTGGCACTCTTCTTGGAATTGAACGCCTCCAGTGCTTTCAAGACTTCCTCCACTCCAGTATCTCCCACCACTTCATAATCCATCGGCTTCAATGAACCATCGGCCAGATACTTCTCCAATACGGGGATGAAGTCCTCAATATCCTGGTTCACCTGCCGAGTGCTTTCATCTCCATTCTTCCCGATCTTCCCCAAGGACACCATATTGACTGTAATGCCTTTCTTTGGTTCAATCGGCACCCTGGAATACGTCAGTCGGTTACTTCAAGCAAGTTGCTACCTTACCAGTCGTTAGTAGTAACGAAATATTTCGTGCTGGCTTTGGAATCGCCGTGTTGAGCAAGTGCTTCCATTCCTGTCTCTGTTGCCATTGCACTTGCATCGAATACTCGGCTGAACTTTCCACCTGTGATGCTCGCTATTTCTTTCAGTTGCTCTTCCAGTGAAATCTTGTAGTTGAATGTCGCATCCGCTCCGACAGTTTTCAGGAACTTTTGCATATCAGTATCCTGGCTTCCTCCTATTTTCTTGATCACGTACCTTGTCATTGGCCGGTGAGCAAGATCCAAGGACTTTGAATCCACAGAGTTTTGCAATCTTGTGACTGTTAGCCAATCTATCGTCCAATAATTTGGAGATTTCCAAACCTGGACGGCATATTGTCCTACGCTTCCAGCCGCACCCAGAACCAGAATCCACTCATCGCCCACCTTCCCTCCAGCTGACTTAAGTTCGATGTCTGCACCACTGATCAATCCTAAGGATGAAGTCTATGAACATTAGTACCCACATCAAGCCCACTGTCGCTCACACGTACCAACAACCCAACCCCAAGTGTGGCAGCTTGTTCTCGATTGATATTGTCCGGCTTCTTGAACGTGATATTCTCATCCATCAGGAACTATTTCCCAAAATGCAATCATCAGCACAAGACTTAAATCCAATCCATCGACGGCAGGGACATACATATTCCTGGAACGTCCCATACCCCGGCGCACCCAACCTCGTACATCCAAACACCGAATCCCCAACCTTGAACTTCGTCACTTCGTTTCCGACCTCTGTGATAACACCGGATGCATCACAGCCAAGGACTATTGGCCAGGAGAGGACCAGAAAACCGGCGCGCATGAACTCTTCGCTGGGGTTTGTCAGTTTCATTGATATGTGAATGTGCGCTCATCTCATATGACTTGATTTATGGACGAGATAAGTTGAAACGAGAAGGTTGAAGTAGGTGGGTAGGTACGAACACTGGATTGATGCCCGTCACAAGAGACTTGACGAGAACCTGTTTGTGTGAAGGCTTTGGAACGTCAAGATTGTCGACTGGGGCATATTGCCCGCCCGCTTCAGCAAGAAGGATGGCTTTCATCGTGACAACTTTTCCTCGGATATTCTCCTCTTGTTGAAATTTGAGTCCAAGTAATTTTGTAGCAGAGCAAACTCCTTCCGAAATCAAGACCAAATGTATGTTCAAATACTCAGAGAATATTTATCGCAAGCCCAAACTCAGGAACACAAAATACACGCAGCAGCACGAGTTCTACCTAGCTAGATCCCTCTCACCAAAACCCAGCACTAAGCTCCAGACCCCTCCTCTATATACTTCAGTCAAACCTCTCCGTCTTCAAGCCACGTTTTCCCTCAAACAACGGCCTATCAGCCACATCCCAATCTTCAACACGCCAATAGCTTCCTCCCACGCCCAAACCACCATCCATCAAATAATCAGACACGCCTCTCCTCTCCCAAGCAAGCCAAACGCAGGGTCTGAATGGAAGGAGTTTAACGTCGTCATGCATGTCCTGTCTGCCGCCCGCTTAGATTTATTGGAAACGCATGATTTCTCGAGATCTTGAATGGGCAAGCAGGTACGCCACGAACGCTAATCGGTGGTGCTGTTGTGCTTTTATTGGTGTAGTGGTGGGCGACCCCGCGTAGTGGGAGCTTGTGCCAAGGTGGGGCTGAGGAGGAGGGGTTTGTGTGACATTATTGACAGCTTGGGCGGGCGAGTCATGACGGATGAAAATGATCGTTGAACGTGGTGTGGAAGGGTTCTAGATCTATTCTGGTAGTGGTGTGTAGAATGGATGCTGAAAGGGGTTTAGGCTCGCTGAAGCCGTGGAGGTGGTGCATCGTAAGACGGGGTGATGTTGAGGCTCTAGCTATTTTTACCGAAGAAAACAAATCATAGGGCTGCGACCTGATTCCTTGTTTTGCATCAAGTGAAGTAGTCTAAGGATAGCGTGCTGAAGATAAGAGGATGGACTTTGATTGGGATATGCAGATGTTGGTTAATGTCCATGGTGCATCGATAGTCTGCGAATGGGAAAAGGTAAATCCGAATAAGCTTCAATGGTATTGATCGTTTCTTGAGTTGGAGGGAGTAAGCGGAGAGTTTGCTTGTCCGCCTGGATTGGTCTGGATGCGACAAAGGAAACTGCTGTGGAAATTCTTTTACCATATACGGGAATTACCATATACGAGGTTACTTTCAAGCTTACTTTCAAGCCAGACGGCGCATCTATCTCGAAGCAGAATACTGCACTTGCTAATTTGCTGGTCGTCAAGTTTCGTATCACGCCAGTATGTAATGCTCACTCTGTATATTTCAATTCAGTTTGCTTTGATCAAATCATCATGGCGGCGGATAGATGAAAGCAAGCAATGGATAGCAGATTCTCGGAAACACCGTCATTGATGCAGATTCCTCCAAGTGGACTTGAGACCCCCAAATGAGTATCATGCATCTTCCACATTATCCACAAAAGTCAGTGATGGTATTTTCCCTTTCCAACCAGCAGGCCACTGGTCCTCAACCTTCAGCAGCTCCTCCGCCCACTGCCCCTCCGTTCTATTCCTCCACTCAACAGGCAACATCTTCTCTTTCTTGCGCACCACAAGAACGACTTCCCTCAAATCCGGCATCTTGATCAAATGCTTCGCAGGCACCCACCATCCAGTGGCACCCCAGTTTTTCCAATATTGAAAGCGTGCCGAGGCCCAGAACTTGTACGGAGGCATGGTAATGTGAAGACTGAAGATGACTCTTTGGATATTAGGGACCTGCTGAGCTACTATGGCAGCGAACCTTCTCAAGACCATAACACCACTAAAGCTTGCTACGTTGACACGCACGTGAAGTGTATCTGCCAAGGGGTTCATGATGAGGCCTGTAACGGGAGGCCTTGACGGCGGGTATTCTTTGACACGAAATGGAAGGACTACTTCGTATCCCCAGGCATTGTATTCATTCTCAAGGCATCGTCGATACTGCTTCGATAGGACCGCGTAACTCTCTTGACACGCTAAGAGGACTCCCGGCATCGGCAGCAGGCTGTGAGATTTTGGCGGGTAGGTTTTACAGCCGCAAGGATGAGACGACGTACAGGCTGTAATCTCCATGTGTTGTGGCCTGAGAGCTTCATTTGCGTACATTGGTAAGGCGGGGAGTAGATCGACTGGCGTTGGAATGAAGCGTGGGAGGTTTGCATTGGCAGGCGCGTCTGTATCCGAGTCCTGGTTTGAGTTTGGCTCGGGAGCATAGCCTTCCCATCTGTTTTCATCATTTATCCAATGGGGAGTGTATTCGTGAAGATGGACTCGAAGAATTCTGGATGGCGCTGCGTAGCTCCATATTTTTAGCCGCAGCTCTACGGGGAGCTTGGAGAATTGAGGGAATGATGAAGGACTGTTGTGTAGTGCATGGGTGTCATGACGAGTGCTGGATGAGGAGAATAGGCGAGAGAGGGCTGTACTGGCAGATTGAATGAGCTGCATCGTCTTGAGAGTATAAGTCGCAGAATTATTGTGACAGTTTGCCTCTATTTTACGCTCTTCTGGCCGCGAAGACTTCGTTTGGTAACGAGTGGTTCCAGGCAGCAATGAATTATCAAGAACACCTCAAATTGGGGTAAATGAGCTGGAGCAAAGGAGTGCTTGACAATACAACAGATCTCCTTGAGCCGAGGTAATATTAACGAGAGGGATAACAGGGGCTCAGTTCAAAGAATTTGTTAAGTTGAGAGTGTCCTGAGCTGCGTTTGTCAGGGTTGGCGTCAAGGTCACTCTCAGCTTATCGTCCATCCTAATTACAAGCGAGCCAATGACAATCCGGGTAGCACCCCAGCAAGTCTAGCAAATTTTGTTGAGAATATGTAATTGAATAACAGCTTTTCCTCTCATCCAGCCAGTTACACGACTGAGGTAAATCGAAAGCAATTTGGCGCAGAGGAAGCGCGCGGGGCTCATAACCCTGAGGTCCCAAGATCGAAACTTGGAATTGCTATCACACTTTCATTTTTGTCCTTTTGGAAATGTCCATGGTTTCCTTTTGCCGCAGAATGATTCTCTCCCATTTTTGGATTTCTTTTTGTCCCGAAGTCGTTCCAGGCGGCGACGAAATTTAGCCGACATGATCTCAAATGAAGGTAAACATTTCGGACTACCTCCCTACTGTAGTGAGCCGGCGTCTACCAATTCGCCGTCGCATTTCTCTCTGCGCTTGATACAGATGTTCGCATATCACTGAAAATGCTCTGAGATTCTGTCCGTTGTTGAATGTCCATTCCTCAGATGTTCATTCCTCAGAGGTCAATTTTGGGTCATCCCAACTAATATTAATTCTATGCTCCTTCAGTGCCTCCTTCGAAACCCCTCTCCTTTCCCACCCATCCGAAATCTCAGGTCTCTACCATTTCTGTACAGTCTCTGAATCCTTGCCATGCTTGGTCCTCCAGCCGCTGACTGTAAAAAATATATGGTAACAAAATAATCCTGAACACCACTCAAGTCGGCATCTGATCCATTTTGCAATTCTCTTTCCAGGCTTTCCGCGTACTCTTCAGCTTTGATGTACCATTCTTGATCGGGGTACTTCCAAGGGCTGGGAAACCCTCCAATGGAATTTAAACTTTGGTTCCGCATTCTATAGTGATCTTCGTGTCGTTGTATCAGTCGCTCTTCGGAGATACCTGGTTCCTCGTCATAAACCTCAATGGACACGAAGACATCTTTCCAATTCTCTATGAGGACTAGGCAATACCGAGGTTCCTATGAAAGAACTGATGAGATGGGCAAGTCGAATTGCAGCCCAACCGTGCCACGGCCTGCTAACCCATCCACAGTCTCTACGCCGAGGAAAGAGTGGAACATCCAATATTGCAACGCCTGAGCTGGCGGCCAGCGGAATGGGTTTAAGATAGAATGACTTGAAGACTCGATAGAAGGACGAGCATGACAGTCCAATACATATAACAGACACATCGTACGATCTAGCATCGTGCATGACGCGGAAGAGGTGAACCAGTGTATCGTGAGGGATATTGCCCAAGGTCATGAATTCGATTCGTTGAACAGTGTTTACACGATTGCCATATGCTAAGATGTAAATGTCAACTCATTCGCCTTGACACGCTCCAATTGAGGAAAAAATACCAGTTATCTCATCACCAGCTTGAGTGAACAACCCAGTCAGAGTCTCTGCGATGTTCGTGGACGTGCTGATGATGAAGTAGCACACAGACAGAAGACCTCTGAGGATGCTTTTGATCATCAAGGTGCGCAAGGTTGGCCACTTCGGAGGGGCAAGTCTCTTGTCTGCGAGCTCACAGTCAGATTCATCTGCAGGACAACAGCTTGGCTTCGACTTACTTTGACTCGGTGAATTATGGGAGGCTGTTTCAATTGTGGGAACCGAGATGGGCTCCATCGCATTAGCTGTCATGTTAAGATGACTGCCGGTGGGAGTAAGGTTGAAGGTTAGGGGTTGTCTCGATGTTCGAAATCGATGAGAGATTGTTAGTCAAGACAAGCAGAAAGAGTGCTGGAGTCAGGCGTTGTCTCGCGCTTGATGTCGAAGCGATTTGGTAGTGAAGAGGAGCAGAAATGCCAGAGCTGTAAATATCCATATAAGCATGACTTTGCATTAAAGTCGACCAAACTTGTCTAAGTGATTAGCAGAAGACTTCATGCCTGAGCGTCTCGCAAATAGCGAATACGTAATAGGAACAGCTGCATAGAGCAGCCAAGATAATTGTCGCTTTTGAAAGAAAAGATGTCAATCAAGCAGTTTCGTGGAAAGGTGAGTCGGTTCTGTCAGTTCGAGATGACTCAGTCGTACGTTCCTGTTTATTCTTGAACGGTTTATTATGATTCACTTTGCGGAAAGAAAGTGACGAGGAACCGAGGAGCCAGCCACGGGTTTATCTGTACATTAAATATCTAAATTCAGCGATGGACAAGCCGGTCTAAACATGAGATCACTTATTTACAGTCATCTGGGCTTATCGCCTGATTGAAAACTAGCAGAGGGAAAGAATGTGGCGTTGATTGTGATAAGAAGTAGCAAACTAGCAAACTAAAGATGGAGCTATCAGGATGTTGAATACTGAACCAGTGATTTCAAGGAGCGACACTGCGGGTACATGAAAAGCATAGCAAAACGAGGACTGAGAATTTGGACCCCACTGGGGCAAGCTTCTAGTAGTCATCACCACGACTGATCACTTCCTTCCCCCCACTGTGTAGCAAGATTGTCTAGAACGAATCATCAGTATCAGAGCGTAGCTCAGCAGACAAATCCTGCAAAGGAGGAGTTCTCACATGTTCAAATTGAGCGGTGTACGAGCCCTCCACATCTGCAAGCTGTCCATACTTCTCGATGATTCCTTCGTCAATCAAGTGTTTCATCTGCAAAATAACAATTATTCATTGCACTGTGCCCTACTAGACCTAAATACATACCCCAAGATGGTAGCTTGTGACGCCAAGGCGTTCGAGATAACGACGGCTGAACACAATGGTACCGAAATGGGAGTCGATGGTCTTGAGTAGAGACTTTGCGGATGCAAGACGTAAATTGGCGCCAGACACGTATTCATTCCGTCCATAACCGTATACGGTAGGCTATTGGTATCAGCATGTCGAGCCCATTCGGATTTGTAGCTCTTTAACTTACTCCATCATCATAAGTATACCCTTTTCCAGTACTCCCAAAAGTTTCAATAGCGAAGATATCTCCCTCTTCCATCTTCTGCTTGCTGTTGTTCTTGACGAATGGGACTTGCTTGTTGCCATGGATATGGTAGCGGAGGATGTCGTGACCAGTAAGACTTCTGATTGCTTTGACTGGATACAACTTTCCGTCGAGCTCGACTTCATAACTCTCCATAACTTCTTGGATAGCGGCTCCAATCTCTTTCATTCTAGCATCAACTCCTGCAAGCTGGCTCAAGAGTTAGTGCGGGGTTGGATGGCAGTTCAAGTGCGTAAGAGACGTACCTGAATGCCAGTGTTTGTAGCGGCTTTCACAGCAGCAAGAAGATTGTCATATTTGTGGTCAAATGCAACCGTGAATGCTGAATCGACAATACGGCCATTGATTTGCACACCGAAATCAACTTTCAAGACATCGTCTTTCTCCAGCAGAACTTCCTTGTCGCCAGGATTTGGAGTGTAATGGGCAGTCTGATGGTTGCGACAAAGTCCCGTTGGAAATCCCATGCTTGCTTTCAGTCCATCTCCTGGTACAAGACCTTGATGGCCAGAGAGTGCACGAACACTATCCTCGATACCCTCTGCAATGGAGAGAAGGCTTGCTCCCGGCTTGATCAACTCTTTCTGCGCATAGTAGCGGACTTGACGATGGATTTCAGCAGCTTGGCGATAATCGGACAGGAAGTCTGGATCCCAGAGGCGTGAGTTGTAGCGAGTTTCTTCGTCGGTTTTACGAGCCGGATTCTCATACGGGATGAGCTCTCCCGTGGGATACCCAACTGGGAAGAGAGTCGACAGAAGGACACGAGGGGGACTGGTCTGTTTCAGCTCGGCAGCTGGCAAAGCACCGTTCTTGGCCTTCTTCTTCCTCCATCCCTTGCGATTCCTTTTCTTTTCTAGAGAGTATGTCAGCGGGCTGAGTGTTCATCTGTCCGAGAAGGCGAATGTACCAGCGGTGGAAGCGGTATTCATTTTAGCTTCCCCTTTCGCATGGTCGTCGTCGTCATCATCATCACTGACAACTCCTTGGTCCAAGTCCGCTGATCCGGAGCCATTCTTGGAGGCTTTGGAGTCAAGACTGGCGGGCTTGAGGTCGCTGGAGTTCGAAGCTTGGAGGTGGGTCCGTACAGGGGTTTTTTGACAGACACTGACTGCACTTCCTATAGATACTGTCTGTAAAGGACCCTTTTGGACGTACTTTCTGTCTGTATTTTGGTTAATTGTCTGCATTTTTCTCGGCTAGATTCTCTGATTCTGATTAATATTTCAAGATTTAGAGTGGAAATGCAAACATTAATCGTAGGATCAGAGACCACCACCCTCCGGTAAAGCTGCGCCTCCAGGAAGGGCGTACTAAAAAGCAAACGCGTCCTAAAAAGTAAGCGTTTACTTTTTAGTGCGCCCTACCCAGAGGCACAGCTTTATCAGTGGGTAGGCAGGGTCTCTAGTCTTACGATTACAGACATTACCTGTAATTTACTGGAAATACTACTACTTTCTGTATTTCTTAAAGTTTTTTGACTAGTAAAGTTTTTTTTTTTTTCTTTCTTATTTCCTTCCCTTTTCCCATTCCCTCCTCTCCCTCCCTCCAAGGTCTCTCTCCAGGTCTCCTTTCAAGGTAAGGCCTCCCTCTAAGGTAGGTCCCCCTCCTCTGTTTTCCTCAGACACTCAAGCCTCCCTCTCTTTCTCTCCTTTCTAAGTAGTCTGAGGGTGAAGTTAAAAAGGTCTGTGGACGTGTTTCACTCAAAGATTGAAATAAAGCCTAAGCTATCTACCCTTGCTACGCTGATCTGTCTGCATCTTTATGACCTATTTGTAGCAGGCATTATCTGAATTTTGTCTCTATTTTACTACTGCTAAGAATATCTATATTTTACTACTACTAGGAATACAGACAAAATACAGACATATTATAGTTGTTGTCTGCATGAAAACCCCCGTAGGGGGTCAGCTGATGTACACAGGTACTGAGGCAGGATATCTACCATTGGGAGTCTGCTGGTGGTTTTCAGGAGTTTTTGATCCCATGTTGAATTCATAAAGTGGAGTGATTAGAATAAATAGACTTTTGAAAGCTTCTTGCTGTTTTCGGGACGAACAGGGCTCAGTACAAGATATCGATTTAGTGACTTGGCGCGGCCGCACGCCCACGCCTTTTCAATGACATTGAGCTGCAGGGATTACTCGCTAAGCCAACGTTATGTCAACAACTCCAAGCATTGTCAACGATAACCTATCAGAAAAAAGTATCACTGGGAACAGTTGATGGTGTGTGCGGCCCAGGAGGTGGAAGACTTTGTTTTAGCCAGATGGCGGTATCATTATAGACGGGTGCTTCCTCCATTTACTCCCGTGACCTTGCTTTCACGAGCCCTCGGTGACGCCAGAATAACGATATCAGCCGGTGCTGAGGCAATGTTTCGCCTGTAAGAATTTTTGTTCTGGGTAAATGTATGTGGAGTATACGACCAATATCTACTGCCCAAGGCTTCTATCTGCTGGACTAGCTTAGAGCAAGCAAAGATTCGTTTCTAGTCCAGGAAACCATTCTGGTTGCAGCCAAACTCTTTGCAAACCTCGTTCGTGCTCTGAATGAGCTATTCTCCACTGAATGGTTCAAGTCCATTGTAACAGTACATCCATCCCAGCATCTACCGGAATATGATAAGCAGAGCGGAGCACAAGAAGGGGGACCAAGGCCGTCAAGATCTCCTGGCCTATACCAAGTCACCATGGTGAGATATGTTTTTTCAAGCTGTGAGTGGACAATGTCTCTCATATTAGCTAGGTAACCTAGTACCAGCACGAAATTCAAGCCTAAAACTTCCCTTTGAATCCAGTATTGGAGAACAACTGACCACAACCAGGCCTTCTGCGAAGATCCTCAAATTCGCTCTGTGTAATTGATGAACCTCAATCTTTAAGGCCGCGCTGCCCAACCATGTATAATGTAACGCGTAACACCATGGCTGTATTCGTTAAAATCACTCCCGCTAAAACCTCATTCCAGCCTTGTGTGCTCCGTGTTGGCCCCCACCATGTTCCTGTAGCCTATCAGACGAAAGTCCACGAGACACCACGCTTATTGACAATGAGTTCTACGAAGCTTCCCAGCCGAATTCCACCTTGATCAGCAATTGTCTTGACCTTTATTGCCTCTGGGTACCACTCGCTACCCATACCGTACGGGTTTGGCAGCACAAGTCTTCGCAGGGCATAGTGCGTCAAGCCCTTGACGGTTTCCTTGCTCACGATCTCAACCGTATCAGTATAGGCGTGATATCGTCGATCCAGTTCGATCTCGAGTTGACCAATGACATCACCATAGACACTGCGAGCGAGGAACTTTCTAGTGTAGTTTCCAACTCGATATTCGAGACCCATAAAGTTGACAATAGCGGAACTCAAGGAAAAGATGGTCTCACTGCCAGGTAAACCTCGAATAATCTCGTAGTTGTCTTTGAGGCCAATTGGTGATGGGACGTAAGACTTCAGGATTGGGTAAAAGGTGGGGTGAGAAAGTCCGAAGCACGTTGCGGAGGTCTTGCAATACGAGTGTTTGACGAGCAGATCGAAGATCATGAGGAGGACATCATTTGGCAGATCTATGATCTTGAGTGATCTCCGGTTGAAGTTCGCCTTGCCAGTAACCGTGACAGCAGTGATTGGAACATCGAGTGGGATTGTAGCTGGAGCTTCGAGTGAGATTGGGATTAGAGCTTCAAGTGAGAGAGTAGCCGGAGTTTCAACTGAGAATGTGGCTGGAGCTTCGAGTGAGGCTGCGATCTTGACTGGATCTGCAGACTGTTAGTTGTCTTGCGCAGAAAGCTTCGAAGAGTCTAGTGACAGCTTCGAAGAGCCTAGTGATGGCCTACCTAGAGCAACGATCTCAATCTCATGTTTGAATTTGTGCTTGGCCTTGATCACAACATTAGGCTGGACTTCAACTTCGAGTTCAGTCTTGCTTTGGAGGATAGAGAGACGTCGCGATTGTATTGACAGCGATGTGGAGCTCTTGCGCGTCAGGCGATGGTAAGCCACCTTGAGGCTGCTACGAATTGCCGACAGCGTCGTGACTGCCATGTTGTTACCCTTTGAGCTTCGAAGTTGCTGTTGCAGAGCTTCTCAGACTTTAAAATTTGAGCTTCGAGTCAGAAGGCTCAACCTCGTAGCTCTCGACGCACGCTAGATACCCCGGGTTTCTTGGGAAGCTAGCGCTAAATCTCATAACAATTAATTTTCTAAGCTACAGTTCTCACAAGTCAAAAGAGATTAGATTACGTCTATCGGAGGTAGAATTTTGGTTTGTTAGGCATTAGTTTGGTCAAAGAGGCGAAATTAACCCATGACTTGTCCTGCTAACAAATGACAACATTGAGAGCGCCAGTAATTCTTCTGCGGTTATATACATACTTTAAGGCTGCATCTCCTGCTCAGAACACATTACTAAGCAAATATGTTTGATAGACTGTGAAGTAGAGATTCAAATATGATTCACTCATTTTGTTCTTAGAAAACGGTTCCTATTGTCAATTGCCTAGTATACTTGGCGACTGCTATCTTTCAATCTCAATGCAACTAACACCTTGTCTACTTGCACAAAAAATCGAAATGCATTTTGAATTCTTCAATATGAAACACGAAATAGGCTCCTAATAGAAGACCTCAATATAACGCCAAGCAATACGTCAAACAACAAAGGCCTAAACAACAAAGGCCCATTACAGACTCAGCGCCAGGGTACCGAGCCTATGGGACCTTCCAGCCTCTCAACAGCACTGGTTCTTTATCAGCAACCAGTCCACACTGAGGGTATGTCATTTCCTTCCAGCCGGCCGTGGCCACCAATCAAACAGCTGTTCTGGATTCTGCTGTGACTGATACTTGACAGAGACAAGTCAAACTCGGAGAGCTATTCCTTACCGACCTGCGACTGGACATCTTTCTACTGATATTCTCTATCTTCTTCGACAATACCGATGAAAGACACTGCAGCACGATTTGTCTTGGCTTGAAATGTCCGGATCTATACACTATTTTGAAATCAGTACATCCCAAGCCAATCCCTCTGCATAATATGCACCCGATGGTCCAGCAATCACTCAACGGATTCAAAACGCCGCCTTGCTATATGGGACGAGTAGCCAGCTTCTTTCGACATCGATATTAAATTTTTCTGACCACACACAAGTTCCTAGACCGTGATATATTTGGGGAGAAGCCAGGTGTCAATGAAAGAGAGTTGAATCAGAGACACGCAGACTACAAAAGCATGGCTATGTTCAACATGCCAATGGAGATTACGGGCCATCAATTTGTTTCACCTCTTCCAACACCATTTGGCAGATGTCCTCTTTGAAATGGCGAAGTTGTTGCTCATATTCAGAAGTTGGCTGGAGTAGCGGGTGATATCGGCGGAATCGAGGATCAATGTAGGAAATCTTCAGGTCGCCTCCCGGAGAACATACTTTCAACGCACTTCGCTTCTCGATGGCATTATACATATCTCCCGCAAGCTGTGCGGGAGTAACTAATCTGGGCCGAGGTGGGACGAATGGTCTAAATGGGCTGCTGGCGGTCGAGGACGTCGTGTTCACGTCTCGTATCTTCTCCCGTATGGTGGTGGGTGGAGCTTGAAGCAGTCATAATCTTGATACATATTATTGTTGGGCGAGAGTTGGGCCTTTGCCTGACAAGATAGAATGTAGGTTTATTCTTTGAGATAATCAGTTTCAGACTCACAGTTGATGCCAACATAGCTCTTTCATTGTCAGATGATGGGACCCTTTGTTCTCCGCCGCCCTCTCCAGGACGAAGACAGAATTTCTAAGCCCAAAAGCTTCATTCCTCATCACCTAGGGATCTCTAGAGAGCCCTGACTGAGTTCGAAGGATTGGCCGACGGGGCTTGCTACTTTGGGACTATGTTCAATTAAGCTTGTGATCACGTTGGCAGGTCGAACGTGCCTTTTTTTCTCAGTATATTGACTCTCCTGCACGAGAAATTTTTGAGTGTACTGTATATCACTTTCACCTTTTCCTCAGCTCAACTCCATAATTAGCTCTTTAGCTTTACCAATACATGGCGACATTTTGGTTAAATGTCGCGGATGTTGGATCAAGAACTCCACACGCCTCAGAACATTGAACACGATATTTCTGGTGGAAACAATGCCTTTTGTACACTCTTTATGAAAGAGCATGGTGAGCTATATGTAAGAAGAACAGATTAGTAGGTACTTCATCAAAATTTGTAGACAACTAAAGGAGCTGATTTCTTTGAGGAAGAAGCTCAAACAAGCAATCAATACCACTTCTTACCCTCCCTTGCCAGATATAAACCATAAACACCATCCAGACTAGGCAGAGCCTTGAAATCAATCTCAAACTTCAACACACAGTTCGCCTCAGCAACATTCTGTCTCAATCTATTTTAAGAGTAGCACTTGAGACCAGATCTAATCTCGGCGCCAATCCCGACAACAAACCAACTCGCTCCCAATATCCTCATATCTTGTATTACGACAGAGATTCGCGTTAGGAATACTATTTGATTTTTAGAAACCTGTCTGTCCAAAGCGTATTCAAGATCTCAGCCGCAGGAAATGAGACTCTCAGCCAACTGGAGGATCAAGTCATACCTACGGCAGCCCCTACATCGCCCAAGTGCACTTCAACGGCCTTGATCTTGTACTAGGGACCCCAAATCAATGTATTCTTAAGTAGGGAATTGATGTCCTATTCTTTCCAGCAAAGACTAATTGATTCTCAGAGCCGTTGACATATCAAAGTCATGGTTTTATGGCGCTTCCGTTCGAGATTATCCTCCTCATCTTCGAGGCAATGATCGAAACCGGCTGCTGTGTTACAGGTCTTGGCTTGACATGCTCTAAGTCCTGGAACATCGTCAAAAATTACTATTCACATCAATTTTCTCGCCTCCCCAGCTGTTTTGATGTTCCGGGCCTACCCCTGGAGTCCACATTTACCCACTCCCGCCACAACATCACTGATATCGCTGGAAATTTCCTGAGCGACCGATATCGAATGATCACAGTTACCACCGCTAGGTACTTTAAATTTGGAGATTTCAAGGACCTCTAATGTAGTCAATAGTTTACGGCCGTTCAAACGACGTTGTTTTAAGGCTTTTAAACTAACTGACGTTTTATTACCTTAGAACTAACTATAGTTAGTTCTTGTAAAGCTAAAACAAACGGAACGAGGTTGTTTTTAAGAACTAAGAGATAAACTAACTTATAATTCTAGCTTTATAGTGTCTTTAGTTGCTTTTATAACACTTAGCCTTGTTAAAACCTGATTTTATATAACCTCTATATCTTTAACTTTTATCTTTTACTCTATAAGACTAGTCTATGACTTTAAACACTTTAAATATTTAAGTATTTATATACTTATCTTGTTCTAGCGATTTAAAAGGGTTATTTTTACTGTGAAAAACACTTGTTTTAGATTAAAAGATATCGTTGAAATAGATAAAATATTAAAAGCTATTTTTGAAAGATTTAAGTAGGCTTTTTGTTACGCAAGTTTAAGCTACTAATTAAGAACGCTATAGTAGCTGTAAACATAGTCTGTTTGATAGTATTGCTTATATTTGTTTTAAACTATCGTTAGTGTATTAACTTATTATAATTAAAGCTTGAATTTGTTTGTAAAAAGAGTGGCAGACGTTAAAGTAGTCGAAATAGTTAATTTTAGCTTATATTTGTCCTTTTAAAGCTTCTTGACTGTCTTTTTTGCCTTTTTTTACTATAAGAGTCTTTAAAACCTCTTAATATACGACTACTTTTACGTAAAGTTAAGAATAAAAGCTGTAGTATAGGCTAGAGATTTGTTACTTTTACTGTAGTATTTATCTATCTTTTGCTAGCTTGAATTAACTATAGTAAAGAACTTAATGTTATCTTTATAAGTTATTTTTGCTTTTTTAAAGTAAGCAAGTATAAAATCTATTAAAGGTAAGACGCTGTTAAGGAAAGTATTAAAGCCTTTAAGTGACTTAGTAGATAACTTAAAAGTCTTTAAAAACCTTTTAATCTTACTTAAAATACGTTAATCTTTAGTATTTAACAAGTCTTTTATAATTTCTAAATCTTTATATATTATAAAGTATTTTTTAATCGCATCTTATAATAGTAAGGCGACTTTTAGTATAGTATATTATGAATTCTAGTATATATCGTTATCTTAATAAAGGTGACGATTAGCTGATAAAGTAAGGAATCGTTAGAAGCGTAAGGTATTACATTAAATAAAAACGACAAAATTATAAAGCTTTTTAAGTAGTCTCTTTTTATATTATTCTTTTATCTCCTTTAGTGTTTATTAAAGCCACTAGTTTGTTATTTGTTTATAGTTGGCAGATTTAAGAGTCTTGTCGTTAGTAATAAAAAGGAAAGCTTTTATAGAAATGTTAAGAATATAGCTAGCGTAGTATAGTTGATAAGTAATCAGGTTATATTGAATACTAAAAGACTAGTAGAGATCTCTACTAATTTATTAATAAAGAGCTATAAGGAAAGTATATACTTTACTTAAAGATAAAACTCTTATTATAACGTCGTTATTTATAGTATTATCTATTATAAAATAGCCTAAATTGTGTTAAATCTCCCAGTCTTTAATAACCTTTATTATAATTAAAGCTAGATTCTCACTTATCTTACTATTGTTAACTTGTTTTATTCTTATAACAGTTCTTTTTATTTTACTGTTAGTGTTAACGTAATAAAAGATAACTACAAGTATATAAAGACTATTTATAAAGGTTTACAAGTTATAAGAGACGTGTATCTTTAACTGCGCGGTTTTAATATTGTTTTTAACCTTTATCTTATATACTTTAAATTGTCGTTTTACTTATTTTACAACTATAGTATAAGACTAAGGTAGTTAATATAAGATATTAAAGTTGAGATATTTAAGGAGTTTACGGAATTTTACTTTTAAAATAAGTTGTAAAAGTTAAGAGTAAATAAAGATAAATCTGTAAAAAGTTAACATTTAAAACAGGTAAGAATAACTATTAAACCTTATGTAGAGTAGCTTTAGCTAGTTAAGGTTAATACTTTGTTTATTTATAGTCTTTATATTCTTTTACTTAAATTAAAGTTTTTCTCTTATTTTTAGCTGTCGTTTAAAGTTAGAGCTAAGAGGTATTTAACGTGTAGAGTCGTTAAAAGTAACAGTTATGTTTTAAAGATTACCTTTCTTTAAGCTGTAAGTAGTTAAATAAAGCTTTACAGACTTAGTTTTACTGTTTGTTAAGTAAGATTAACTATAGTAAGTATAACGTTATTACTTTTTACTTGTAATCTCTTTATAATACTTCTCTTTGATATCTTCACTTAGTATATACTAAAATATTCACGCTTATTGTTTTTTAAGCTTTAAAAGTGGTTTTAAAGCTATAAAAGCTTTTAATATAATACGACACGTTATAAAGTCTAAATTAACAGGAACTAAATGTATAGTATTGTTTTTAGCTAGTAGATAGTTAAATAGTAGCTAAACTTAACAGTTACGTTGTCTTTATAGTATTAAAGTGTTATTTAACGTATTAAAGGTGTTAAAGGTGTTGTTTATATGATAACAAGCTGTTAAGGGAGTTATTTTTAATAAGGTAAAATTAAGATATTATTACAAAATACTAGTAAAAATCAAGACAACTTTAAGTAAGAATTATAATATAACTACGCGGCTAAAAATTACAAATAAGACAGTAAATAAAAACCCTCTACTATAGCTTTTAATTAAACTTAATTTAATATGATTATAGTAAGAATTACTTAAGTTATATGTTTTAAAGTCTTTACTTAAACTTGATTTCTTTTAAGTTTTAAGTACCTACGCTAGCTGCAGCCTGTAATAAAGGACTTAGCTAAAACAAGTAAAACGTACCTGTTTAGTGAAAAATCTAACTAACTAACAGCCGTTTTTAGTCGCTAGAACGAACGCTAGTCTGTTTAAGGTAGGCGGCAACGAACGGCAGTTAGTTCCCGTTTTGCCAAGAACGGCAAAACTATTGACTATATTAAGGACCTCTTCCTGAATCGAGCTGTCCATAGCGAGGCAGGAAGTTTGATGGACCAGGAAGTGAAAATAAGATACAGAGACTATTGTTTGCTGGAATTGGGGATTAATGATGTTCCATCGCCATACAATGGAGGATTTGGATGGGAGGATGAAGTCATAGCTATGCTCGAACGGCTGCAAGCCGCTGGGCCTCAACCATACCGGCCCGTGTTCTGGTCCAGATGGAGAACTCCAAGACAAAGATATGAGCGGTTTTGGACTTAGATGATACCAGAGACTCGAGTCTATCAAAAACTGCTACAACAGCGCTTATGGAGGGATTGGCGGGAGAGTCAAAATGAGGCACAACGCGGCGTGGAACTCGTGTATGTGGAGTACCTGCCATTGGCGTACCAGAACATTTTAACTAATCACATGACATTGGAGGAGATCTGAAGAATGAATTACTTTTGCAACTTCCAAGTTTCTTACAAATTTTACCATTGCAACTTCTTTATCAGCTATCATTTCTATTTCATTTCCAGTAGGATGTAGGACGTCCTCCCGCGGTTGTCTGGAGGTCGTTCTCTGTCCCAGATATCAGAGAGACCTCCACAGACACAGCCAGGTCCAGCACAACATAACCCCTCATTTCATTCTCATCAAGGTGTTCTCACAAGGCATTGCGCGGCCCTGGCTTCCAGCATCTCCACTTCTAGCCTCCAAGACACAAGAGCCAAGTTCCTCAAAGCCGTGGCTGAGATAGAATTCCTTCGCATCTGGAATAGCCAGCAGGTGACAATGAAGACCGTTTTTTTTCCGCATAATCACATCCCCAATTCAGCAACGCTTTCTCACAACCCTGTCTCCGATATTCTTTGTCTACGATCAATGGTGCCAGAACTGTTCGAAACGAGTTATTAGTAACCTTGAACTTTTGTGAGTAATAGCTTGAAACAGATTTGAAGTGGCCGTACAAAGATACTTATCCTCCTTAACATGCTTCGCCATCAGTACATTAGAAAGCCCCGCCAGTTCATCTTGAAGTTTCTCTGCCGTGATCTGATCCTCACACTCTCCGTCTGAGTGAGGCACCGGTTCCCTAATAGCAAGATCCTCCTGGCCGTCAATCCACCACCTCGCGTAAGCAGCGATCATGTTGTTTGGGGTGACCATTTTCATCCATATCTGAGACTCCTCCATCTTCATGTATTGCTTTTACAGTATTCCTCGAGCGTTTTATCGAATAGTTCTCTGATCAGGCCCTCTGGCTAGAGCCGTCTTTCGAAGGGGTCGACTTCTGAGAAGACGGAGAAGTGGAGGCTTATGATATGTTTCAGATCCCAGATAGTGGCTTTTTGGAGGCGGAAGGCTGCCATTTTGGATGGACGAGGGGGTCGAGATAATGTGGCAAGGAGGCAGAGACGGGACTTAAGTATCCTGGAATGAGATCTCGAAAGACTGAAAAGATACAAAAGAGAAACAGCTTGGTGCAGTTCGTGAATGAGCTGGGCCCCTTACCAGTTCACTGGAGCTGACAGGAATATTCTAGTAGCTGTCGTCTCGCAGTGCGAAACTTTACAAAGCAGAGTTTGAAGACTGTCGGGACTTAGAAATTCTTTCGAACCTAACAGAATTACTGAAATTGATCAAGAAAAAAGGCAAAAAAAAGAGGAATGAGAAACAACCAGAAAGGTAACTTGAATAAATCCATGCCTTTGAACTACAGATCTCTGTGGCGTGCCACGCCATTCTACAGCATCCAGGCCAGACACTTATCTAGCGTTGTGATAGAAACAGGTCTGAAAGTAAAAAAAAAAAAAAAAAAAAACGCGGTATTGATTGTAGGCTCGAAGTCTTGCTCTATGCGAGAGCCATTTTGCTTCGTGGAATCAACACCGGATAAGATGCGTCACATACTTCTGCGTGGCAATGCATTCGAACATGGAGTTGATAGCTGCGATAAGCTCGACACTGCCGAATTCTCTGATACATGAATCGAAAAAAACTAGTACTTGGCAACATCAGTAAACTTGAAAGCAATGAAATATGAGGAATGTACGCAGTATCTCCATCCAAGATTCTGTGCCTGCACGAAATATCTTTCGACTTTAGACGTGCCGTAATGGATGGTAGGATAAATTTAGCTCGGCTGTATTTAACCATCCACTGTGTTAGCTTCGTACACTGCCAACCTTCAAATCCAAGGACGCCTTTGATTATACCACTTGAGGCGAAAGTGAAACTTTGATTTCTGTGATTTACAATCGAGGGTTGAGCCGATACAAAAATACCAACCCCGCTACGCCTTTCAGTAACCCCCACCTTCTACATGAAGCTAGGCGTCTTGGCACATCATTACGAAGCCAGACCAGGCTGAACACCCGTCTTTCTAAATACAACCCCGCTATTGTGACAAACAACATGGAACCACACATCGACGACAACTATAAAGACTGGAAATTCCGTGACCTCACCTGAGAATTGGAATTGGTCGGCAGACATAAACACGTACCAAACAGGCCTCAATCGCGAGAATATATCAAATCGATTGCCCATCGAACAAGGTCAACATGGCGAAAGAGAACCTCCTGATCCTAGGCGGAACTGGCTACATTGGCTCGTACATCCTTGATCAAATCGTCAAAGCAAAAGACTCCTTTGGAAACATCGCTATCTTCACATCGCCACGGACTGCAGAGGCTAAGTCGGGACTACTGGATAGCTTGCGTGCCAAAGGGGTGGGAGTTATTGTTGGAGATGTCAACAAACCAGAAGACTTATTGAAGGCGTTTCAAGGTAAGTCTGCTACCCAATTAAATTCAAGATCTATTGCTGATCAGCTTCTCCGCAGGCGTCGATACTGTGATCAGCGCAGTCGGTCGAGTTGCAATTGGCGATCAAGTCGGATGGATCAAACTCATGGAGAAAGCACCTACAGTCAAGCGATTCTTTCCCTCCGAATATGGAACTGATATCGAATTCGGACCCGAGTCTGCGAATGAGCCACCACATCAGTTCAAGCTTAAGGTTCGTGCAGCGTTGAAGGAGACATCTGGATTGGACTACACATATGTCGTTACTGGGCCTTATGCAGATGTCGGAGGATACCTTGGTGCAGCGACGAATCATCCTGAGATTGGATCATACAATGTCAAGGAGAAGAAAGCTGTTCTCATTGGAGATGGGAAAGGGCCGATCAGTCTGACGACACCAAACGAGTAAGTATCGCCTTCAAATAGTGTCTGAGTTTGGTGCTAACACTCCACAGCGTGGGAAAGTTCGTCGTCAAAGCTCTTCTCCACCCAGAAGCATCCCGGAACCGTGCTCTAAAAGTCAACTCTTTCACCACCACACCAGCCGACATTGTCGCCGAGTTCGAGAGACAAACCGGAGATAACTGGAGCGTGTCATATACGAGCCATGAAAAGCTCAGAGAACTCGAGAAGGAAGCTCATGCCAGCAAGAATCCGTCGGCTACGGTATATACGCTGAAGAGAATCTGGGCTGAGGGTGGGACGTTGTATGAGAAGAGGGATAATGCTTTGATTGATGCGGATGATACGGAGACGTTTGAGGAAGCTATAAAAGCTACTATTGCGTCTCAGCTGGCTTCGTAGGCAAGGATGGAGCGCCAGTCAACAATCTTACAGCTTCAAGGTCGTATTTTCTTTTGGTGATTCGCTTTCCATTTGGGGTCTTTGACATCTACGTCACTATGAAATACGACATATCAAAGAGCCAAGTCCATCATAGTTACACAATTCTTTCCAAAGCCTTCATTCGGGACATGGGCAAAGCTAGGGGCAGATTTAAGGAGTGCTCGATACTGTGAAGATCACGTGCGTTTCGGCTGAAGAACGGTTAGGTACCTGATCTATCCGAGCCGAAGATCTGACTCCCGATCGCATCGTCCCCAACTCACAATCGACTCACATCAATTGTCCCAACAAAGAGTTGAGGCGCCTCTGTTTTCCGCGCAAGGAAGAGCCTACACCGCCTGAATGTGCTATTACCATTGATTTCATCAATTATTCACTCACAAAACCTCCTGAAAATCCGCACCTCTCCGAAAATGCCGCCGCCTCCACAACCCCGCAGAGGGGTCAAACATCACACTCCATCAAACATCCAAGGGTCACCAAGTCTCCAAGCACAAAAATCCCGTTATTAATCCGCTGAGTATCAATCCGATGCCTTTGATTGGGTGTCTATGACCATTCTCTTTCCTCTTTGTTACTAGTGGGGTTTACACCCGGCTTTCATCGGCATACAACCAAATCTCACTTGGCACCTTCCCGAAATCTCGTAAGTCAATGCTTACAGGTCATGCAGGTATAAAGATTTCTGTCCGACGTGAGAAGTTGTTAATTTTTTCTGTTATTTTTCTCTATTTCGCGTGAAATTCTTATTCTACGTGTTTTGTGGTTGTTGAGTCTACCTGACGATACCGAGACAAACGATCACGATGTTGTTATTGACTAACGAAAGCGGTCTTTTCGGACTTCTCGCGAAGCTGTCGATATGGACTGTACTTTCATTATCTGCATATGTAAGTGACAAATCCTTCATCTTGAGCTCAATACTGATACAGAGCAGCTCATTCTCCTCACAATTTACCGCCTAACTTTACATCCACTGGCAAGATATCCAGGACCGTTCCTCGCCAAGATTACAGACTGGTACTCCGTCTACCACGCGTGGAAGGGCGATAGACACCTGGAATTTTGGAGATGTCACGAGACGTATGGACCAGTCGTGAGATTCGGACCGAACAGTTTGTCGATTAACACCAACTCCGCTTTGAAGACCATCTACGGCCACAAATCAAACGTCAAGAAGTCCCAATTCTATTCCGTCTTCCCGCCCACGAAAGACACATTCAACACCCACAGCTCCATCGACAAGGCCAGCCATGCTCGCAAGCGTAGAGTCTTGTCCCATGCATTCTCGGACAGTGCGATCAAGAACATGGAGAAGTACATCCTAGCAAACGTTCGAACATTCTGCTCTAAGCTCGGTGCCAAGCCCGCATTGGTCGAGAAGAATGGAGTCAAGGGCCAGTGGAGCGTTGCACAGAATATGGCAGACTGGGCTAATTATTTGACCTTTGATGTCATGGGAGACTTGTGTTTCGGGAAGGCGTTTGAGATGTTGGAGCACGAGGAGAATCGCCACGTGATCGACCTGATTGGAAATGCGGCGCACATGCATTTGATCGTACGTGCCATTCCCAGTATCTGAGGATATATGGCTAACAATTTTAGCTTGGAACAAACCCTAGCATCAAAACCCTCGGCCTGAACAAAGTCCTCTTCAGCAAGATTTACAACATGAGAATGCAATATATGGCGTACAGCAAGGCACAAGCCGGAGAACGCACCAAGGTCGGACTCGACACTGATCGCAAGGATTTCTTCTACTACCTCCTCAATGCTCGCGATCCCGAAACTGGAAAGGGATTCACTGGTCCTGAGCTCTGGGGCGAGAGCAATCTCCTGATCATTGCTGGCTCCGACACGACATCAACTGCACTTGCTTCAGCATTCTTCTACCTGGTCCACAATCCATCCACGCTCGAGAAGCTCTGCGAGGAAGTCCGTTCGACATTCTCAGATCTTGAGGAGATTCATTCGGGCCCTACCTTAAATTCATGCGCATACCTCCGTGCCGTGATCGATGAAGCAATGCGCCTTTCTCCACCTGTGGGAGGCATTCTTCCCCGCGAGGTTATGCCCGGCGGACTCGATATCGACGGCATGCACATCCCAGCTGGCGTTGTTGTTGGAACCCCACATTACGCATTGCACCACAACCCAGATTACTACCCAGCACCTTTTACATTTAACCCGTCTCGTTGGATCGCAGAATCGTCTCTGGAGGTCACCAAGGACACTGTTGCAGTGGCACAATCGGCGTTCTGCCCTTTCAGTGTGGGACCGAGAGGTTGTATTGGAAAGGGGCTTGCGTATGCGGAGCTCATGACGAGCTTAGCGAGAACGGTGTTTATGTATGATATGAAATTGGCTGATGGCACAAGCGTTGGTGAGGGAAGGCCAGAATTGGAGTGGGGGAGACAGAGGAAGGAAGAATACCAGTTGAAGGATTCATTTACGAGTCTGAAGGATGGCCCGTATGTACAGTTTCGGGAGAGGCAGTAGTGAAATGGTGGGAGGCCAGATTGCGTAAATGGTGTTTCATGGCTGGCGTTCGGATATGGAACAAATTGTCAATAAAATCATGAACATAAATAAAAAATTACAAATACATACAAAGGCAAAAACAGCCGCCATCTATCCCACAACCTCCTTAAGCCTCACCGGCAACCCATGCCCCGGCCTCAACGTCACCCATCCAATCATATCCGTCTCCAACCCCTCCCTCTCCAACTCACACTCAAAACTCCCAAACCACGCCGCAGCCAAACACAACAACTCCGACCTCGCGAAATCCCTCCCAATACAACTCCTCGGGCCATGCAAAAACGTCAAAATCGCAAAATTGTTCTTCACGCCACCACTCTTCGCATTCCCCTCTCCCATCCACCTCTCAGGATTGAATTCCAGCGCGTCGTCCCCCCAGTACTCTTTACTAGCATTGATCGCCCATGCTGCGATGATGATATGCGTTCCTTTTGGGATATGTTGTCCTAGAATCGTGGTATCCCGCTTAGGGACGCGGATGGCAAGAGGGACGGATGGCATGATGCGGAGGACTTCATTGCATATTGCGTTCAGGTAAGGGAGGTGATCGATTTCCAGAGCATCGACTTCACTCTTCAACTTCCCCGTAATGGGATCAACCAGCTTGCCTCTTACCTCCTCCCTCAACCGCCTCTGTACCTCAGGATGCGTACAAAGCAAGTACATCGTCCACGTCAACGCACTCGCCGTCGTCTCATGCCCAGCCGCCAAGAAAGTCATAACCTGATTCGCCAGCTCGTCATCATTCAACCCGCCCGACTCCATGGCAACAGATAGGATATCGACGCCTAGCTTCTCGCCTCTTTCTGCAGCTTGGCGTTTCTGAGAGATTAGGTCGTAGGTGACGGCGCGGATGGTTTGCACGCTGTGTTTGAGGGTGGGGAAGATGCGTTTGATGAGTGGGAAGATGGGGCGGAAGGGGATGGAGATGCCGATGTTGATCCAGCGGAAGAGGGGCGGTTCTTGTGTGAAGAGGGAGTGGTAGGATTTGTAGATTGGGCCCGAGGGGTTGGTGAGGGAGGAGAAGGGGAAGCCTATTCCTGCTAGGCCGATTACTGGGAGGTGGAGGTTAGCGTTGTGAAGTACAGAGATTTGAGATCATGATACGGATTCTGAGACACTGGATGAATGTGATCTTCTAAAATTAAGATCCGAGATCTTGGTTGAATATGAAAAAAAAGTGAGGGAAAGTACATACTTTCAAGGGTAGTGCGACTAGCCCAGTCGTAGGTACTTTGAACATTGGAGGGCCTTCGACCTGGAAGTGATGGAGACTGAATAGCTGTCGAGATAGCCTGTACAGATTTCAAAGCTTGTGTCCAGAAAACAGGATACAAATCTTTGATATGGCGGAACGCAAAAGCGGGCATCAAAATCTTCCTCTGACGCTACATTTCTCAGATTCAGCATACTCCCAAACAATTTTCTGACAACGTCCATTATTCCACAGAAACATACCTTATGACTCTCCCCCTCAGCAACCAACACCCCATCCCCCAGAATCTTCCGAAACGTAAAACTCGCCTGCTCAGGCTTGACGAAATCATAACTATTCGTCACGAGAACTTCTCTTAGTGCGTCTGTAGACGTCAAGAAAATTCGTTCTTGGTTGAATAGTGTACGGAAGCGGATTATACCGTTGTTGGGGACGGAGGATATCCAGCGTCGGTAGGGCTCGCCGTTGTGGTTGGTGCGGATTTGGGAGGCGTGTGCCCAGAGGAAGCTTGTGCCCTGGAATATGGTGAGTGAGTTTAAGGGTTTAATGGAGAGGGAGGGGGGAGGGCAACGGGGACAAGGATAGTACTTTTGGTTCTGGGAGGTGGCGGAGAGGACTGATGTAGAAGGGATATATGTAAATTTTGAAGAGAGCGAAAAGGAACAGGAAGGATAGGTAGAAGGTTCCTACTGCTAGAGCAAGTGAAGATTTTGAGGGTGAAGATTCTGTGAGAGAAGTTCCAGCGGTGCGAATGAGAAGGTAAATAATGGCCAGTGGCAGCCCAAAGACCAAGATTATAGTTTTTGTCGCCATCTTAATTGCTTTCAAATCCAGCCAAAGCTATCCACCTTTATCTGGCACTTCATAAATCGTCTGAGAAACGCACAACATATCAAGAGGTTCAAAGGGATGTCTTTCTACTAAAATAGTCTATGAGCTAACAGCCATCTAGCAAAGACACCACGGGGCGTCGCACCGACTCCCACCGATGCCGCGGTCAAATTTTCAAGCGAATCAGCTTGAGGCAGCAATCTTATCTCTCATTTGTCGTTGTTTCAAACCTGATGTTTTGATTCTATCGCGAAACGGTCCAAGTGGTGCGCTTTAGCGTACTGCGGCGTCACTAAAAGTGTTGTGGAGAGGCGGGTCATAGCGGACAAGCGGATTTGCGGGGAGACTGTCGTCCCGTTTGGGCTTGCGCTGCGTGGTGTTTACTGGATTAAGTCTAGCCTGCGACTTGCTTTCAGATGTCAAAGGATAGGAGACAAGCTTGAGGGTATGGAAAGTTCTTGGCATGAAAGGGCCATATTTCATAGAAGTGTTGCTTGTGAGCAGCATGGAAATCTCGCTAAAACTAATTGTTGACTCTTGCAAACTGGACCCCGCTTTAGGTAGAGATCTCACTGCAACCGTTTCCCTTTATGGGGTATATCAAGTAAAGTACAAACCTTCAGAAAGTCAGATCAATGTCTATGATCGCTAAAGTCTAAGCCAAGATATTGTAATCTAATCTTCAAATGAATATGATTGAAAAGCTCAGCCTCACGTGTACACCAGAGAAAAAGGCTTGAATGGAGTAGTTCATTCGCTCCTTCAACATAGTTTATTTTCCCCTCTCCTACTAAGCCATAGGTAAAGAAAGCAGCGAGCAATTATAATGGGAATGCAGCACTTATCATCTCGAACTTTTACCACTTGCTTTCAAATCTCCGGTTTGCGATTTATGACCACGCCATATGCCCAATGCAGATTTTATGTCTCAGGTGTCTGACATTTTGGATAAACGGCGTTGGTATAATCCGGAAATGGTGGTTCTGAATGGAGATTCTGGCTGATATAGACATCTTGCGTAGAAATAGATAAAGACTCGACGATGGGTTACAAAATGAGTTCGATGCTGATTAGGGAAATGCTGGAGGCAGGGGACTACATTTTCGCTTAATATGTTGAGATTTGAACACGTTAGGGGAGAACGAGAGACGCAGAATTATCGTGCTAGATAGTCGAAGGTCAGGTCCGATAGACCAATGAAATACATTAACCCATTATCAATGTTCACCTGTATAAAATTCTTAAAAATTCTGGCGATAAGTACAGGCTCTTACTTTGCCATCAAATTGGGCAACTCGAGGTTCCTTATTTATGCGCCAAACGCTTTTCGGATCGCGGTTAAAACCCCTGCGAGCCAACATCTCCAAACGGAGCATCAACAATGATCATCTACGCGTTTGCTCGGAACCGAATATTCCTCAAGACCGACTTAGTCTTTGACATAGATATGAAGTCGGCATACAACATTGAAAAACAATTTTGAGATATGGCAACTACTTTCAAAATCGGCCAACGTATTGAAGGAAAGATTGGTACCTACATCGTCTCGCAACAACTCCACAAAGATATCTGGACTGCTACGTATCCAGCCTCGTCCACATACACTACACATCGGTTCTGACAATCTTCAGGAATCCAAATCTGGGCAGGGTAATCTTAAAGAGTGCACCTAAGTATCGCTTGGACAACGAACGCGATGTCCTCAGGCATTTTCATGCCCGGCGAGGAATTCGCCAGCTCTTGGACGAGACACAAGACCCGCCATCTCTTGTGCTAAAACACCTTGATGAAAATCTCTTGAGTGCATCAAATTTCCAAAGTCTTAAGAAAACCGAAATTAAGTTTATCGCAAAAAGGGTCCTCGAAGCGCTACAAGCATCCCATGAAGATGGCTAGGTTCATACCGGTATTGCTTCGCATCTCTCTTTTTGCTTCGCTATGTCCAGTTTTGGACATGTATGGTTCTAACCAAACTATAGATATCAAACCAGATAACATTCTGGTTAATTACAGCGGCAGCAAGCTACGTCGATTTGAGGAGGCTGAGCTAGGCGATTGTGGCGACGTATATCGTGTAGACCCGAAGGATCACGTGAAGGTCGGAGAAGACGGGCACATGATTGGAGCTCATATGTTCAGGAGTCCAGAAGCTATGCTAAATCTGAGATGGGGCACTGCAACTGATATCTGGTCCTTTGGTACAACTGTAAATGACCTTGATCCTCGCCACTACAATTTTCAGTCATGGGTCCTCCCACTAACCTGGTTATAGCTGATAAGGCTGATATGGGGACTAGGCTGGCATATCTTCAAGCCCGATCCCAAGGATGCTGGGCCAGACGATGAGTCTTACCCGAACCACGTCTTGGTGAAGCAGATTGCATATTTCGGACCAATTCCATTGAGCTACTTTGAATTTATTCCAGACGGAGACGAGAGATGGGAGTTTATTGGTGATGCTACGCAGTATATCATAAACCATCAGAAATGGAAGCCTTCTGCCATGGCGGAAGATAAGGAGCTCGATGAGGAGGATAGGACGTTCATTTGTAAGATTGTGAAGCTGGGTCCGAGGGGATAGACCGACGGCAAAGGAGCTCTTGCAGGATCCATGGCTTAGAGATGTATAATATATCAAGGGCTGTTAGATGGGAAAACATGTACAGTGAGAATAGCTGCTGGATACTCAAGTCCACCCCTGCGAAAGATTCGATGTCTGTAGACCAACTATCACCAACATGACTCTTCTGCCGTTACATAAGCGAACTAAACACTTCTCCGGCCGCCCCAGGCGACTCAGGAACTGCGAAACCTTTGAAAACGAATGAGGTGCCACGAGATTCTACCAATTTATCTATCAAGCCACAAGACATCTCGATATAAGAAGTTTTCGGAGACTCCGTGGCTCGGTGAGTCCAAGATTCTGCTACATCGGTTAGTTTCTGCAGTTGTCAGCACGCTGCATGTAGGTGAGCTGAAGCCAGATTTCAGGAACGGAAGTCGCGAATATTCAACATCATGCGCAGTACTTGGATAACATTTGCCCATCACAGAAGCCCAAAACATTCATACATAAACCTATAGTCTGTCCAATTATCCCCACCCGAAATTCCTCGTCATCCCCGAGATCCAGATCTTTAATCCTCACAGCATATCCCATTCCTCGCTTATCCTGAAAGAGCAGCCCCCATAATCCTCTCATTCTCTTTAACCATGGATATCAACACCATGGACCAAGGCCTCCTAATCCGCAACCCGTCTCTGACACGCGAGGAATTCTCACACCACTGGTATCACAAGCACGCACCTCTCGTGATCCCGATGTTTTTGCATTTAGGAGTTCAGCATTATCAACAAGTAACCTTCCCCTCGTCTTGGGTCTCTCCTTATTTCTCTTCCGCCCTCCTTCCATCTCCTCCTAATCAATCCTCACACCTCAGCATCCCCATCCACATACCCCAACCCTCACTTGCTCACTTACACCCACTTCCCCACACCTACTCACCCATCAAACAGATCCACCCCCCATTCACCCTCGCCGTCTCTCCCTCCTCAACCAGCAACACCCTTATCCCCCTCTCATTCGACGGCGTCGCCGGCCTCCCCCCACAATCAACACTCGATGCACCATCAAACCTACCGAAATGGGTGCAAGCCTACTACGACGAAGTGATCAAAACAGACGAGCGAAGATTTCTAGTCAGTGAGGCGTTGGAGCATATTATTAGGGGTGAGTCTTTTTCATTTCGCCGGATCGATCGTTTGTTCGTGTTATTTTGCTTTTTACGCTTCCGGCCGTCTGATGAAACTTTAAGGATTTCTTTAGTGATATAGGACGTGAGAGGTTGGATCTGACATCTGTATTATCTTTCTTTTTTCTTCGTCTATGTTCTGGTTCGGGTTTCTCATATTAAATAACAAGCTGGAAATCAAATAAATCCTCAATGCTTCTTCTGGGCTGTATTGAATTTGGAAGTGTTTGTTTGACGTGCTTGAAGCGTAAGTGTGGACGACTGGTTCTGATGTTTATGGATAGTGCCGCCTAAGACTGTAGAGGGAGAGGTGAGAGTAGTGATTAAAGAGGGGAAGGCTTTGATTGACGTCCCGGAGGAGGTGTGGAGGGTGTGGAGGGAGTATGAGGAGAGGGGGAGAAACGAGGGGGAGCGGAAAGAAGAAAAGAGAGAGGATGGAGATCTGAAGTAGTTGAACAACATGAGCCTTGTTGCTTTCACTCAACTGGAGGTGGAGAAAAGTGTATGGTGGTAAATTGGGTGCGTTGAAACAGACAAACACAGTAACGATGTAGTACACATCCTGTAGGAAGAATTATTCGATTTTGGTACGCCGAATCTCAAGATTGAGATTACCAAGTGATAATCAGACGCTCCACCAAACTCCAACCCAATGCCGCCAAGACCAGGCCATAGTTGAAAGCAACTATGACCGCCGCTAAGGAAACCCAACTGCCAATTCACGTAGCGCAATTTGTGCAGCAGCAAACTCAAGAGTTCCATTTCTTAGCCTCCATTCCTTCAGGTGGCGACGTTTCAAAGGTCTTGCTACCAACATCACTCCAATCCGTTGATAATGACGTCCCATTGCTCTCCTGGTAGCTCTTCATCATCGCACGCCTTGTGTCTGGGTCGGCATCTTTGTACAGCTTCTTGAAGAAATCATCAACCTCCTCGCCCTCCTCCTCTTTCTCGTCCTGGAGAACAGCATCCCAGTTCTTTGGGCCATTCTTGGAGGAAGTGGGGTAGGAGGGGGCTTTGTCGGCTTTGAGGACTGCTTCGGGGATCTTGGCGGCTGGCTCTTCAGTGTTGGTGGATGTGATGGGCTCGGTGCCTTCGAGGGATGACCATTTCAGGCCTGGGAGGGATTTGTGGAGAATGATCTCGATCTTATGAGGTGTAATTCGGAAGCTGCTCTTTGTCGCATCGATCTTGGCAAAGAGGGGAGAGAGTGTATAATCGTAGGTACTGCCAGAATCGGCAATTGGGAAGCTAACCTCAAGCTGAGGCTTGTTAGCATGTCCTCGTAGAAATGAGACTAATATACGTACATTGCCTTCTTCGATCTTGACTTGCGTATTGTCCTTTGGTACGCCCTTCGCAAACACCTCGATTGTGACCGTACTCGTAGATTGGTACCACTCCGTTCTGATCTTCTCCTTTGGTGTTGGTGTTGGCGCAGCTGGCGTAATGGGAACAGCTGGAGCCTTCGTCGCTACTGGTGCCTTCTTCTCTTCCTTTGGCGCAGGTTCACTCGTAATCTCCTCTGGCTTGTCTGGAACCTCCTTGACTGTAGTCTTATTGCACTCCGCGTCATCACCACCAGCCTTCTCATAGTCCGTCTTCACCTTCGCCATCCAGATCGTCAAGCCTTTCTCTTTGTCATTGCGCTTGTGGCACCACGTAAGACAGAGTCTAGAGTCGCCAAATCTACCCAAGCCATGGAGGGCGACTGCCCGGCGGAAGTGTGAGGTTGCGATCAGGTCTCGCTTTCCACGACCAATGCTGGCAAGAAGGGCGTTGTCAGCGTCGATGAGGGAGAGATCGTGCTGGCCGGTTCGTTGGTAGCAGGTAGAGCGCTGGATCAGCCACAGGGGAGATTGTGAGGTTTTCAGAGCTGCTGTGAGGTGCTTGATTGCTGTTTGGTAGTCTGAGACCTTCATGGCCTCTTGGCCTTTGCCCGCTTCGGTGGACATGATGCGGGGTTGTTCTCTTATTGGTTTGTTAGTTTGTTCTGCGAAAGGTTGTTTGGGTCAAGGGAGGTGGTAGCAGAAAGTACGTAAGTACGATGTTTTCGAGTTTACGAATTCGAGGGTGCGAAAGAGTGCGGCTTTATTTATGGAGGGAAACTTCGAGAAGACAACGGGTTTAATGTATTTCAGGCAGGGTCAAGTTCAGCCTCGCCCTAGTGAAAGAGCTTGGACCAAGCGGGTCTGCCCGCCACATAACCAGCATGGCTGCATGGCTATATAAGGTACACAGCTTTGAAAGGCTTCAGATTCTTTCACGGCTTTAGTTCTTGATGTCATTCCTCAGATAAAGTGATAATTTAGACTGATATGTAGCAATTTATATACTTTGCGCACTAAAATAATAATAGATCAGTGGCAATTCAAAGTTTGGAATCCATGTCTTGTTAGCCGATGTGTCTGTTGACATTAATGAAGCGAAGCCCTTTTTTGCAAGCGTGCTCTCCGTTACCAAGAAGTCATAGGGTTGTGCTGCACTATAGAGACTCGTTCAAAAATAATCATAGAAATATTACATTAGATTAATTATTATCGTAAGAGCCAATAATCTCTCCAAGTCCAGAATTCGCATTCCCTTCTACGGCAACGCCGTATCACCATATCTCTTTGCAAACATGCCCAACGCCTTGATCGGGAAGATAAACTTATAGTTCGGGTACGAGATCATACAGCTCTTGTTGAAGACACCCTCAATTGCTTCCTGCAACCATTCACCGTTAGTTTGCTGTCTGCTCATGATGAGCTTGAGTCCCTTCTCGATGGGTGCTCGGTGGGGGTATTTGGCTTCAAGCAGGCCAATGATGGCCCATGCTGTCATGACGACTTGGGAGCCGGTTGGATGCTCGACGTAGGTGGCTAATTCGCAGGACTGGGGATGTCAGTTCAATTTTTTGGGAAGTGAGACAAGTTGAGAAGGTTTTGATATGAAGGCATTAACTCACCCTATAGCTTTCAGACCAGCCGCCATCTTCTCTCTGCTTTGACAAGAGGAAATCACACCCAGCTTTTGAGAAAGTACTATTCTCATAGTATTCTCCAATACTTGCCAAACTTTCCAGGGCAAACATGCCAGCGTACGTAAAGCAGATTCCCCAACTGCCATACCAGCTGCCATCCGGGTACTGTGCGTTCTTGATATATTGAACTGCCCTTGCTTTGAATGCTCTGATATCCTCGGTTCGATAATCAGGGTAGTGTTTTGTGAAGAGAGAGAGGGCTGTCACGACAGCAGTTGTACATTCGGGATAATCATACTCGATCATGATTCGGCCGAACACTTCAGCTGCATTGAGCATCTCCAAATGTTCAGAGCCTCGAGTCGGCTCATATGATGCACACCCTCCAGATGCATTTTGGTAGGTGAGAAGTGTGTCAATTGCATCGTAGATGCGTTGATCATCGACCAGTGTCGGGTATCCAGGGGTGCGCTGTAGCAGAAGAACCGCTTTGAGTGCCTCCGAAATACAGTCACTAACAGCATATCCCTGATCCTTGTTGCTGAAAGCCCAACCACCTTTTCGCTGTTGCCTATAACACATAGCCTGGTCATCAACATTCTCTCGAATTTGTTGATCATCCAGGAACTCCAGAGCACGCGTGAGCATAGGTTTCCATTTCGGGTCTTCCGCCAGACCAGCATCCATTACCGCTTGAATTGAGAATGAAGTATCCCAACACTGAACTCCGTTGGTGCCATTGGCTAACATTCCCTCTGCATTGACCCAAAGATTATCGGCCATCCGGTCACGATGTCGCTTGACAGAATATGAATTTGGTCCTTCCTTTATGAAGCAGACAAGAAGGTTCATCGCTGCACTGACTGGTGCAAGAGCAGCATAATCAGTGTTTTTGTCTTCCATCTGAATGAGTTTCCAAACCCAGTCTTCTGCCTTTTTGGCCAGGTTGGTCGTCCTCGTGTACGGAACATGTACTTTTTGGATGAGCCAAAAGGCAGTCTTCAAAAGCCAAGACTTTGGATGATAATTATCTTTTTCGTAAATAGTGTTTCGATGTTCTGACCAATTAATAGATTCGTATGGTTCCACGAACAGTTCCTGTCGAAGTGATCGGATGAGTTCTGTCTCTGGGTAGGTCCAACGACTAGACCAAACGAAAGACATGGCAAGGAAGACCATCCGCATATGAATCCACCATCGCCATGGGGCAAAAGGAACCCAGTCAGGTAGAAGCCAGAACTCAGGCGGGACAGGATTGACAATCTCCCATTTGCAAACTCCAAGAACACTAAGCCAGAACTTCGCCCAGTGAGGACCCGCCTTGGCACCGCCCATTTTGTGCAACGTACCCCTGGCTTTGATCATAACTGGATGCTCCTCGCTGACACCCAAGATACGTAACGATGTATAGTTCATGGCAGTCCCGAAGACTGTGCTCTCTCCTTCGATGTGTAGTCCCCAACCTCCGTCTTCGGGATTTGCTCTTGCAAAGAGGTAGTTCTTCATTTCGGTGGCGACGTGATCTGGAATCTCTGTTTCGGTAACATGCCATGCGATGACAATCCCTGGCAGAAGGAACATAGGTCCGCCATACTCACAACCCCAGTTTCCAGGTTCAAGCTGCAGATGTTTGTAGTATTCAAGGCCATTCTTGACAGAATCGAGAGGAGTCTTTGCCGTAGGTAAGTCTGGCAGGTTCTGGTATTGTTAGCATATATCGAGGTGGTCGTAGAAAGGCGAATATACCAATGGCAGACCTAGGTACCACTTGTCGGCGTCTGATTGAGGCCACTCCTTTGCTTCATCATCGTTCAAATAGTGCCATGTCTGTCTTCCGCCCTCGTCCAACATTCGCCATTTTGTATAATCTGTCCTCTCTGAAAGTTTTGGCCTCTTTGCTGGTATGACCTCATCATCTGTGGAGTCAATCGATCTCTTCTCCCGGGTTGTTACAACAACTGCTGGCTTTGCATGGCCGTTGGCGACACCATTGACAGCAGTTACTGCCCCTTTTGCAGAAGGCATGTTATGTTCGCCCAATGGTTGGAAAGCCTGTTTGGTTCAAACTACACGGAAGTGCCAATTCATGGAGAAGAAGCTGAAAACTTATAGGCTGAAATGACAGACAGGCCAGACTTGAAGGCGGCGAGGTCAACCATTGGCATTGGCCCTGGATGTTGCGATGGGGGAGGATGGAAAATGGTATTTTGGAGGGGTCGGAGCTTGCGGCCGCCGATGATCAACAGGATCCAGGAACCAATTGCCGTGATTGGCCATCTGTGATCGGCCTTGGCAGGAACCACAATGTTCCCCAGCTCCAAGTCGGGCTAATCCTCATCCGATTTACTTCTCCATCATTTCCATGATTTCGCGACCTCACTATTAGAAAGGACTGAGGGCATTGAGTTTCACATACATATATTATTTAACGATCATATTGACCATGGATGTTGACTTCCTATCGGAATGCCTTCAAAACGGCCTCCCATCGCAGGGGAAAGAAACTTTGCTCTCAAACTTACCTCACAGTGCACTTACCCAAGCAGATGACTACGACCAGAATATTTCCAACAACGAGGTCCTTGTGACGAGAACTGTTAATCCAAACTCCGCTGGCGCAGTTATCTCCAAAATTGAGGATATCTTCGAAGCAATCGCGGATTGCATCTTAGCAGAAGGAAAGGAGCTTGTGATCGAGCTCAAGAGCAGGTCCAAGTCCAAGACTCAAGTTGAAGCAGATGCAATGGAAGGTCCTAAGGGTAGAATGAGGAGAATAACTTTCCCCAGCAGGAATCAGAAGGAAGCATGGAAGTTCAGTGAGTATTACTGTATTCTTGAAAGCATCTACTAATATGATCAGCTGCATTACTTCGCATCCTGGAACTATCACACGAGGCGCTGGTCACTGGAGTCATTACCACTAAAAGGTTGATGTCCATCCATGACCCACAGTCTCGCGACAATCTCTCTTTTATACAATCGTGAAAGAAAAAAATTTGGTCTATGACGCTCGCTAACATGCTGCCAGAGACATTTATTACCGAGACCCAGAACTGTTCATGAAACAAGCAGTTGTAGATCGTTATGTCGATGATATTGCCTACGCTTTTGGTGTCGGGAGAGACGCATTGAACATCGTAGGGTCAACGAACGAATCCAACCCTGCCGGTATTAATCATATAGTAGGTAGCTGCCGCGAAGGGCTTGGTCGCTGGATCGTTTCGCCTGACCAGAAAAGACAAGTCTGTCATCGACTTCGCTCTCGAACCAGAGGTAAGTGGTAATCTAACGAATGCAATCCTGTACTAACAACTCGAAAGGGTATCCTAGTTCCAAATCCAAATGACATCGAGACCATCCAATTTCTTGATGTCAGATGGATACTTGTTATTGAGAAAGAAGTATACTGTCTGTGGCAATTTTCCAAACTCCTCTGACATCACAGGCAACGTTCCGCACGCTAGCAACAAATCAATACTGGGCTGATTCCCAAGCTGGCAAAGGGATTCTCATCACCGTAAGTCCGACTTTTGAAACGTCGCATAAACTCTATCCTTACGAAATCCCCAGGCAAAGGGGTACCCAGACATCCAAACCCGGCAGTTCCTGCACCTCATCTCAATTCATCATCCTAATATCCTGGTCAACGCACTGGTAGACTTCGATCCCGACGGTCTAGGTATCATGTCAACATACAAGCATGGTTCCCAGTCCCTTTCACATGAACTGAACCTCGCTGTACCATCCATCCGATGGCTTGGTGTGCGGAGTTGTGACTTTCTGGGTTGCGTTGGCAGAGGTGCTGCGAGAGGCTTGTTGACGCTTTCAGCTAGGGACAGAAGGATTGCATCGAAGATGTTGGAGAGAGATGAGAATATGAATGAAGAGTGGAAGAGAGAATTGCAAGTTATGTTGATGTTGAATGTTAAAGCAGAGATACAGATCCTAGGAAACGGTGAGAAGTTAGGAGAGTGGCTTGACAGGAACTTAATGGTTGGACGACGGCCGGTACTTTGAGAGACGGAGTCTCCTTTTCCTCGAATATTTGAAGCTGGGATACACTCATAATATTTGCGGGACTGAAGAATATTGCAAAAGCTGGGCAAATGGCTACCAAGAAGTGTTATAGAAGCTGATCAGAATAACTCATTGAATTGGTGGTCAATGATCAAGCTACCAAACTCCAAGACCTCCTTCTGCCACATCTCCCCAATTTCGTGCAATCCAAACATTCAAACAATCGTTGTCTCAATTTCTCAGCAAAAGTAAACAGAAGCATCTATTATGAACCGAGAAATACTTGAAGATATTAGAGCTCCCAAACAAAAGCAACTCCAGCCGAGGTCCACCCTTCATCCCTGCTCGTCGCGAACTGCTTTCCCAAATCGCGTCACTCTGAAAGCATCATTCTCTTCATACAACTGCCTTCTCTCACCACTCTTCTCTCACCACTCTTCTCTCACCACTCTTCTCTCACCACTCTTCTCTCACCACTCTTCTCTCACCAGACTTTCTCCTCCCAGGATCACTTCAGCCATGGGCAGGTAATACTCAAGTAATCGATCATCTGGTTCAATCCGACCAAACATCGACATCCTCACCAATATGTCTCTCCGCCTCTTCTCCCCCCACCGACCCCTCCACCTCCCCAGCACGCAGCCCTCCCACACCCATTCCCACTCCCACCTCTTCAACCTCCGCCTGCGCTCACCCCTCCAACCCATCCGCCACTCCTCCTCGTCCTCCTCCTCCACCACCAGCAACACCACCACCCACCCACGCCTCACCCGCATCCTCACCCGCCTCCCCCGCTTCCTCCACCCCTACACCACCGCGCTCCGCACCGCCCCCATCTCACACCTAACATCCTTCCTCATCCTCCACGAAATAACCGCCATCGTACCTCTCCTCGGTCTAGCTACATCGTTCCACTATACCAACTGGCTGCCCGAGCGGTGGGTACAGGGGAAATGGGTCAATGAGGGAGTGGAGAGGTTTGGGCGGTATTTTGGACGGAAGGGCTGGTTTGGGTTTACGAGTGCTACTGCTGCTTCTGCTTCTTCTACTCCAGGGCCTGAATCTGGAAACTCATTGTCGACCGTCGGTGGGAATCCAGGGACAGGGGTTGGTATGGATTCTACAGTTGCAACTGCGAGTTCGGCTGCGGAGACGGAAGTACAAGTCGAGGAATATGTGCAGGGGAAGTGGCATGCTGGGCAGGCCGGGACGAGGATCCTTGTTGAAGTCGCGACGGCGTATGCGGTTACGAAGGTTTTGCTGCCGGTTAGGATATTGGGAAGTGTCTGGGCGGCGCCGTGGTTTGCGAGGGTTGTGTTGGGGAGGTTTGGGAGGTTGGTTGGGAGGGTGAGGGGGAGGGGAGGGAGTGGGAATGGGGTTGGGGGAGTGAGTAGGAGAGTTGGACCCAATGGCGGAGGGAACGGGATGAGTGGTGCTGCTGGGACGGGGGCGACGGGTGGTGGTGTTGGAGTTGGTGCTGGGAAGGGAACTGGATCTTGAAAGCACGACGGTTACCTATGTATTTGGGAAATCTTATATTTGCCATCCCGCATAAAACTGCGAAGAGGGAAGTCCGGCATGGAAGAGAGTCTGTCAAAAGCGGGCAAGAAGAGTAAGGCCATGGCATTTCCTCGACAAGTTGGAATCCTTGAAAATGCAGGATCCCGGTATCAAGCTACTCATTCCTTCTCGTTTATGGCACGGGAGAAGATATCTAGCTGGTTGGCATGGCAGCTGTCAGGAGCTGTGCCTGGGAAGAAACCCTGTAGACAAGAAAAGCATCGTGTTGTAAGGGACTAAGAAAACTTAGAGAAGTAAATAAAGGTCGAGAAATAGCAGTCCCAAGTAAACCTTTGGACATACTAGATGAGAGACCAATGAGTCTATTTCATTGAAAACCGAAAAATGGAAGGCATCAAATGGCGCCTGCTACAAGGAAAGCACATTCACATTAAAATTCCATGTTTCGGTAATCATTTCATTTCATTCAGCAACAACTTTTGGTTTCTATGTATTCGACCTAGCTTCCATCATCTCAAATACCTAGCATGAACTAGATCTTAGATTGGTAGAACAAAATCTACTTCTCGTAGACCCAGTCGTGTTGAGCGGACTTCCATGACTGAACCTCACCCTCCTTGAACCAGAGAGCGATCTCCTTCTTGGCGTTCTCGACGCTGTCGGAGCCGTGGCAGACGTTGCGTCCAACGTCGATGGCGTAGTCGCCGCGGATGGTGCCTGGGGCGGAGGCGAGAGGGTTGGTGGCTCCGAGGAGGACTGTGTGGGTAGGGTGGTGGGTTAGTGTTGTGTTTGTTGATTGGGAGAGAAGATGATGGAGGGGTGGGTGGATAGGGAATGGAGGGGTAAAGAAGGAGACGAAACATACCACGGCCGGTCTTGACGGCATCACGACCTTCCCAAACCATGGCGCAGATTGGTCCGCTGCCCATGTCTGGATGATGTTAGATTATATGTATTCGAATTGGAGATGTGGGTGTGGATGTGTAACGTACACTTGATGAGTCCTGGGAAGAATGGCTTGGAGGAGAGATCCTCGTCTAGTCGGGATTAGCAATTGTATCACTTCTATAAATTGGTGGAACCGTACAGTGCTTCTCGAGGTGCTCTTGGCTGGCAGTCATCAACTTGATAGCGGCAAGCTTGTATCTGTGAGGTGTGAGTGTCAATGCAGCCAGACTTTCGAAGAATCAACATACCCACGAGCCTCGAATCGGGAGATGATAGGGCCAATGAGTCCACGCTGTACACAGTCAGTATCATTTCCCCTGTCATCTCGTGATCTGCCAATACATACCTGGACGCCATCAGGCTTGATAGCAATGAAGCTATACACATGTCAGAAAAGTCCAGTTCAATCCCACATCCACCTTTCACCGCCAAACAAGCTTCCCCTCACCACGTCAACAGGGCCAAACTTACGTCTGTTCGGTAGACATGTTGTCGTCGTTGAGTTTGGATTGTTCTTCTCGTTTATTTGCTGATGCTCGTAGATATCCTTGAGTCTTGGGGCTCAAGTGTTTAAAAATGTCAGGGTCTTTGCGGGTGTGATGTTGTTCGTCGCTCATAGTGGTGAGTTGAGTGTAGGTTTTTCGATGGAGGGGTCGTTGTGGGGCGGAGACTTGGCGCTTGGCTAGGTAAAAGAGCCTGGTATTGGAGGCAGAAACAGCTTGAATCCAGGCACTTCCGCTATCTGTTGCCGCCAAGCGCCCCTGCTTTGTTTCGCACTGCTTACAGGGATTGAGGTCATTGGCTCGGGCACAGCTTCTGTTGCTGCTCCCTTGGTACATACCAAAGGCCAGCTTCGGTATCCAGACCAGACCATCTTCGTCCTCCCTCACTTCACAACACAAGTCCAGGGAACTCAACGGCAACAGCTGGATATTTCTGTATGGTGTTCTGGAAACATTGAAACTGCCATTTATTTGATATTCCATCATGCGCAGTTCTACGGGGTTGTCCCAGAACTGGACAGCTTTACTTGTTCTTTCTTCAGCCCTTTCTCTATTTACACCAGCAGGTAAGCACAGCCATTCTCCATTGTACCACTATACTCATCAAAATACCAGTCTCTGTTAAACACGAGAATTTCAAGACCTGCGATCAATCAGGCTTCTGCAAGCGAAATCGACAGTTGGCGGACAATGCAGCGAGGCTGGGCACACAATGGGAAACTCCCTACCAGATACACCCCCAATCTATAGCATGGGATGCAGGTCAATTGCAAGCTACGATCCTGAAAACGATCAATGCAAATGGCGAGACGGTCCGGTTACCACTCACCATCTCCTTCCTCGAGTCTGGATCCGCGCGGGTTACTGTCGACGAGGAGAAGCGCCAGAAAGGCGAGATCACACTACGACACGATAGCAAGGCCCGAAAGGAGAGATATAATGAGGCTGAATCTTGGGCAATTGTGGGAGGGCTGGACTTGAGTACGACTGCAGGGATCTCGATGTTCCGGGACAAGACTGTGATCAAGTACGGTCCTGAAAACCAGTTCGAGGCTGTCATCACATACAAGCCATTTGGAATCGACTTCAAACGAGACGATGCTGTTCAAGTCAAGTTCAACGATCGAGGTCTTTTCAATCTTGAGCATTGGAGACCAAAGGTCGACAACCCGGCACCAGAAGTCAAAGAAGGAGAGGAAGCTCCAGTGGCTCCAGTTGGTGAAGATGAAAGTACTTGGTGGGATGAGTCTTTTGGTGGAAACACTGACTCCAAGCCAAAAGGACCCGAGAGTGTGGCTCTTGACATTACTTTCCCTGGATACGAGCATGTTTATGGTATTCCTGAGCATGCTGGACAACTTTCTCTGAAGGAGACCCGAGGAGGTAGCGGCAACCACGAGGACCCTTACCGTCTGTACAATGCCGATGTTTTCGAGTACATCATGGATAGTCCAATGACTTTGTATGGAGCCATTCCATTCATGCATGCCCATAAGAAAGACTCGACGGTTGGTGTGTTCTGGTTGAATGCTGCTGAGACCTGGGTCGATATCATCAAGGAGAAGGAGGCCCACAACCCATTGAGTCTCGGTATTGGATCAAAAACGGACACTAAAACTCACTGGTTCTCTGAGAGTGGCTTGATTGATGTTTTCGTCTTCCTTGGACCTACTGCTAAGGACGTCACCAAGGCCTATGGGCAACTCACTGGTTTCACCCAGCTCCCACAAGAGTTTTCCATTGCCTATCATCAGTGCCGCTGGAACTATAACAGTGATGAAGATGTCAAGGAGGTGGATCGCAAGATGTCGAAGTATCAAATCCCTTACGACATCATCTGGCTGGATATCGAGTACACTGATGACAAGCAATATTTCACTTGGGATCCTCTTACCTTCACTAATCCTCTTGGCATGCTCAAGCAATTGGATGAATCGAAGAGAAAGCTCGTGGCTATTATTGATCCGCATATCAAGAACAAGGATGGATATCACGTTGTCGAGGAGCTGAAAAAGAAGGACCTGGCTGTTCACAACAAGGATGGTAACATCTACGATGGATGGTGCTGGCCCGGATCTTCCCACTGGATTGATTGTTTCAACCCAGCTGCGATCAAGTGGTGGATCAGTCTCTTCAAATACGATGCTTTCAAGGGTTCCGCATCTAACCTTTTCATCTGGAACGATATGAATGAGCCATCCGTATTCAACGGCCCCGAGACAACTATGCCAAAGGACAACCTTCACCACAATAACTGGGAACATCGTGATGTTCACAACATCAATGGTATGACCTTTCACAACGCCACATACCAAGCATTGCTTGAGCGTAAGAAGGGCGAGATCCGACGACCATTCGTTCTTACCAGATCCTTCTATGCCGGATCCCAACGTCTTGGTGCCATGTGGACTGGTGACAACCAAGCAAGTTGGGAACATCTTGCTGCAGCTTTCCCTATGATCATCAACAACGGCATTGCTGGTTATCCATTCGCCGGTGCTGATGTAGGAGGATTCTTCGGCAACCCAGACAAGGATCTCTTGACTCGTTGGTACCAATCTGGTGCTTTCTACCCATTCTTCCGTGGCCACGCCCACATCGACACTAGACGTCGGGAGCCATATCTCGCAGGTGAGCCATACACTGGTATCATTACCCAAGCTCTTCGTCTACGATACGCACTTCTTCCCGCCTGGTACACAGCCTTCCACGAGGCCAGCGTTGACGGCACTCCCATCCTGCGACCAAATTACTTCGAGTACCCATCTGACGAGTCCGGCTTTGCTATTGATGACCAATTTTTCGTTGGAGAAACAGGTCTTCTCGCCAAGCCGGTTGTCACCAAGGATGCCACCAGCGTTGAGATCTACCTGGCTGACGAGGAGATCTATTACGATTACTTCACCTACGAAACCTATTCCGGCAAAGGCAAGCATTCCATCGCAGCACCACTTGAGAAGATCCCTCTACTCATGCAAGGCGGCCACATCATTCCCCGCAAAGACCGTCCCCGTCGCTCCAGCGGCCTCATGAAATGGGACCCTTACACCCTTGTCATCGTTCTGGACAAAGCCGGACAAGCCAAGGGTAGTCTTTACGTTGATGACGGCGAGACCTTTGATTACCAACAAGGTGCTTACATCCACCGTGAGTTCTCGTTCGCCAATGGTGTCCTTGAGAGTAAGGATATTAGCACCAAGGGCAAGTTGACAGACAAGTATGTCAAGAGCATGAAGGCCGTTGGTGTAGAGAAGGTGGTCGTTGTTGGTGCGCCGGCAGAGTGGGCTGGTAAGCGTAGTGTCAAGGTTGGGAAGACGGAGAGTGTCCTTGAGTACCATGGTGCGGAGGCTGGGAAGGCGGCTTGGGCTGTGGTTAAGGCGCCGAAGGTGGCGATTGGTGAGGATTGGAAGATTGAGTTCTAGAGATATTGAGACTGAGACTCAAGGTGGTGTGCGATTAGATTGAGTAGATCTTGTTGGAATATACATGTTGCGAATTTCCTAAGAGTTATTCTGTTTTGCATCTGCTTTTGCGTGTGACTTCTACGTTCTCGATTTTTAGCGCTATGATAGATGTGAACTGTTATATTCAAGCTCAACCAATTTCCCAGCGCTATCTCTCTGCACGGAGGTTTTGTTGCACATCGCACTTCTGTCTTATTTGGGAAGTTTGACGCGAGGGAACGTGGACCGAATAACTTACTCGCTAATCAAAGATTTGACACGGAGCGATGGGTAAACAGTGCATGCATGAATGGAACAAAGCGCGAGCTCTGTTAAGTGTTGGTCTGCCACGATAGGTAAGGAATATTGCTCGGACGTAGATAATGCTTAGACGTGGATTTATGGGTAAGTTTATGGTGGTAGCGGTGGTTTGTTAGGTAAGTCAAGTGTTACAGAAACAAAAGTTTGCAATGATGAATTCGGTTAGGAGGTAGGTAAACAAATGGGTCAAGCTTAGCGAGTTGGACGGAGTGAGATCGATGTCAACGCAGTCAGACCTGTCTTTTCATGAAAATTCTACTTGTTACTATCTCTTCTATGTAACTTTTGTGTATCTTTTCGTATTCAGTGCTGGGGAGTTGGTTGTTACCAGCGGGCGCAGGAAAGGGGATTTCGTCTTGTGGTTGGAGGTCAGGAGGATTACACTTAGATTACTCTGCTGACAGAAGATAGTCTGAAACAAAGAAGACGTTCTTCGGAGGAATAACGAAGATATTTCTCCCTTTTTATCGGCGAATCGTTCCCAGCGATGAGAAAGGCAATCATGTATCCCAACTCCAAGCAATTTGTACGGCACGTGACATCCATCGCTTCTCGGTGCCTCGGCAAGTGCGAAAGGGGGAAGGTTACCCGACCCTTCGCTTGGCTCCGATCCATGACAAAACAAGAAACATCACTTGACATCTCCAATGTCCATGCATAAGGTATCCAGCAAAAGTCCCTAAATCATCTCTCTATTGCCAATACACAAGAACTGGCAATATGACATCTCTAGAGCTCCAAGATCGAAACCCACCCCCACTTTTCGAACTCGATCAGCAGCATTCACACGGTCGTGAGAATGCCCATGATATCGCCATAGTTGAGCAAAACTTGGCTCCAGCGGATGGAGGAGCTGCGGCATGGAGATTGATAGCCGTTGCGTTTGTCTTTGAGGCTCTTTTATGGGGTCAGTATACGTCCTTCCAACTTACCTTCCCTTGCAAGTTCAAGTTCCCCAAAAATAAAACAAAGCTGAAGCAATGAGTAAATAGGGTTTCCATTGTCTTTTGGCGTGTTCCAGAATTATTACTCTCAGCAACCACAGTTTGCTAATAATCCGTTTATTTCTATTGTTGGGACGGTGGCGTCGGGTATTTCGTATTTGGGGGCGCCGCTCATTATTCCTGTTATCAAGAGGTATTCGAAGTATCAGAGACATATGATCTGGATTGGCTGTACGTGTCCCTTACATAGTTCCCAGATAATGAATCTATACAAGTCAACCTGAATGAAAGCCATAGCTAACCACTGTTCCAGGGCCCCTCTGCATCCTCGGCCTCGTTGCCGGCTCCTTCGCCAAAACCCTACCCACCCTCATCTTCACCCAAGGCGTCATGTACGGCATCGGCTTCCTCATCTTCTACTACCCCATCATCTCCTTCGTCAACGAATTCTGGATCACCCGCCGCGGCATGGCCTACGGCATCCTGTGCGCCTCGTCCGGCGTATCCGGCATCGTCATGCCCTTCGCAGTCGAAGCCCTCCTCGCAAAATACGGATACCAAACTACTCTACGCATCATCGCTGTTGGTCTGGTTGTGATTACTGGGCCGTTGATTCCGCTGCTGAAGGGGAGATTGCCGCCGAGTGCGCATGCGGTGGCGGGGAGGACAAACTGGAAGGCGTTGATGTCGCCGGTGTTTTGGGTTTGTTGCACTAGTAATGTTGTGCAGGGGCTGGGGTATTTCTTCCCTTCGTTGTATTTGCCTTCGTATGCTGCGGCGATTGGACTCAGTGGTACGCAGGGTGCGCTTGTGTTGGCTTTGTTGAGTGTGTCGCAGGTTATTGGGCAGTCGAGTTTTGGATATCTTTCTGATAAGAGGGTGCCTCTCAATCTGCTGATCTTGATTTCGACTCTGGTCTCTGGACTTGCAACGCTTGCTTTGTGGGGGTTAGCGCAGTCACTGGCAGCATTGATTATGTTTGCTTTGGTGTATGGCTTCTTTGGTGCTGGGTATGTTGCGATGTGGGCTAGGATGGGGAGTGCGGTCAGCGAAGAGCCGACTGCGGCGCTGGCGACGTTCAGCTTGTTTTGTTTCGGGAAGGGGGTGGGCAATGTAGCTGCGGGGCCTTTGAGTGCGGCATTGATTAGGAAAGGGGTTGTGGTGGGGAGTTATGGGATTATGAGGTATAAGTCAGTTATTGTATTTACAGGTAGCTGTATGCTTGGAAGTGCAGTCAGTGTTGGGGCATGGTGGGTGAAGGGGAAGTGGCCGAGGAGCTTATGAAATATGAGAAATCTGCTGAGAAGTTTAGACATAGATGAGAAATCTTTAGAGGGTTACAGAACACATACGCGTCAAGAAGCCACTTCGGGATTGACATTGAGTGGGATAGAGGCGGTGGGTCAAGGTGTAACCGCTTATCGGCAGTTGAAAGCCGTATATATCGAAGAGAAAAATAATCAGCGAGCGCTTTACATACTCAGCTACTTTACCTTCACTCTGCAGCCTGTAATTCATCATCTACACTCCAGGCTCGCGGTGACAAGAGCTTATCCTAAGGAATTGACGAAGGATATGTTATATCTGTAGAAGTCGCTCACAAACGAAATATGCGCGACAATACCGATGTCCATTTTCATTCGAATCGATTATATTACCGACAATGTGGCTCTGCCCTGCAGGTCCATAATTCGAACTCCCATTCACCAACCTATTACTCTTTTACCTGTTCAAGTTCCACAACTCCATCACCAGAATACTCCGTAAACCTAATCGCATCCCTCAACTCCGGATACATATCCTGAAACGGCCTATCCATAGAAAAATTATCAATCGTATTACAATGATCCCAAAAGTCCTTCGTGACACTGACACCATCCCGCCCCCAGCATATCGCATCGTTGATGCTTCTAGTCCAGTTGCAGTTGAGGCTTAGGATGAACGAGTACATGAAGTCTTCTGAACAGTACTTCTCCTGATTGGCGATTACTGCTTCTCTTAGTTTGGGGGTCCCAAGAGCGCATATCCAGACGTGGTGCGGGGTGGTGCGTTGTACGAGACAGGGGATTGAGTGAGGTGGGAGTCCGCGGAAGGATTCGTAGTCGGTCATTATTTGCCATTGATACAATGGATACATCCTAGAAGGTAGAGAAGTTAGAGATTGGAATATGGGGTTTTGAAGTAAGTGAGACGACAATTCTGAAGAAGGTACTGTCCTTCTAGAAAGCGAGGTGCTTTGCTGAAAATTGGAGAGACTTACACTAAAAGCGCAGCCAGTTTATCAACAAATGTTCGATAAGTTAAACGCTTGAGTAGGTCGCACAACACTCGCGAGACCGGATGCGAGAGATGCGACAGCTGTGGTGCGACCAAGACATTGACATTCGGATATCTCGGTCCAATGGCTACGGCTCTACTGGCACCCTCAGTTGCCAAAGACTTTTGAGTTTCGATGACTCCACAAAGAAGTTTATCCACTGGAGTGGCAGGATCTTTAACTCGCAGTGGTAGCTCCCAGACATTTACGGTCGGCTGCTTGACGAATGACGTTGGTATGATGAAGGGTTGTTCGGGTGAGAGGTTTCGTGGGATGGATCTCGGAGGCGAGGGATATGAGACGGTTCTTGGACGTTTGGGTGTTCTTCGTTGTACTATTGTATTGATGATCGGAGGGGTGGAAGGAATTGATACATTTCCGGCGTCTTGGGCTGCTGGAATGGGGATGCTGTTGAGTTCAGGTGACGATAAACCATCTGACTTTATAGCATGATGAAAAGGCGGAGAATAGTCTCGGATTTCGGAAACAGAAGGACTTCCCAGCGTACTGGCAGGTAAACTCGAAGACTGTAAATCCGGGTCAATGTTTGACTGCGGTGGTGACGCTGAAGATATCAATGGTATTCCGGATGCTACATCTCGTCAGCTACAGATGCGAGCAAGACTGAACGAAAATTGGGCAAGTTTTGAACACAAAAATCTATTTTGCTTGGGTACATTGATAGATACGTACGAGTTTGTTGTTGAAAATTTGCAATAATTGATCTCAGCCTTCTCAATTCCTCTTCCAACTCCGCAGTTCGTCTCCTCGCCCTTTCAAGTTCTAATTCTTGGTCCTGCAATTCACGTACTCGTGCTTCCAAGCCCTCGATATGTCTTCTCGTCTTTTCCCTAAGTATTTGCTGGGACTTTCGATCCGCTGCTCGCTTTTTGGCAAGTTGTTCTGCGTTCAAGTTGTCGACACTCCGGCTTACTGCGCAAGTCATCCGTGTCAGCATCGCAATCCCTGACAGCTTTGCATATGTCTATAACATTCCAAGGATAAGGCGCATCCCTACCTTTGGTCTTTGCGCCCGCTGCAACCCCATCGTCCGGGGATTGTTGCTGTTGATCCTCCATGTACCCCTCAGTGGGGCTTTAGACTAGGGGATTCCCTCTCGATATTGTGTACAAGAAGATTTGGCTTTTCATGGTCGGCAGTGCTTCTGTAGAGATAGATGAGACATTATTGGCGGCGGGTATGCGGTGAATGGTGTTGAATTTGTGGGAGAATGCAGAATTGACGCATCCGGAAGTCAAATTAAAGGACGGAACGCACGGTGATGATAGAAGTTACAATATAGAGTTCGAGCTACTGAGTTGAAGGCCGTCCGTCGCCTTTATCACCTCGGATCTGTGCTCCGCTGGGCGCTCGCGGGGACGTTTCTCCGACCCACATTCGAGGGCGATCTCCAGTGTGCAATTGGACGACCATAAACAACAAGTCATGCTCTACCCTAGAAGCGATCATAGCATCGGCTAACAATCCCGGAAAATCGGAGAATCCATCTCAAGGGCTCGGTAGATATGTCTTATTAACAGCCCAAGAAGCAGCTCTAAGAAACGAAATCAGGTTGTGTAAAGCTTCTTTGAACCCCACAACCGTAGATGATTTTGGTTTCGTTGTTGAATTGTTTCGGAATCTGAAAGACGTTATACTAGATATTTTCAAGCGCTCGCCAACCTCAAAACTTCATTAGCCTCTGAATGCCCAGGGCTTGGTTCAGTCTGGCGTCTTGATTTCGAGTCATGATCTTTCTGTAGCCCTACCGTATTGTCTGTGCGGTCCAACAAATTTCTAGACGTTGATGGCGCTGATGGCTCGTCTCGAGCCGCTGGCCGTTGTGCTCGGATATGCCCAAGAACAACACGCGGTAAGCCAACATCTCACTTGTTACTTTTTCACTTATCCATAATCACACATTACATGTATAGCTTTACGTACAAATTAAACATTAGGAGATCTCACGTTGATAAAGAGCTGTGTAGTATTGATAAAGAGACCAGTTTTTGCCATCTTAGCGCGCATTATTGTCCTAAATACTTTCACTCGCGCAGATCCAGAAAAGCAACTCAGGAGCCGAGGAGCCGAGTTAAGCTTGAGCTCACATGCATGAGGAGAATTTCTAGCAACTTTAGGGTAAGACGAGACCCTAAATCGTGAAGTGAGAAGAATGATTGGAGCTCGAACGAAGACCATAATCCTAAGCGGAGATACGACATCTGACGTGCTAACTCGTGATCAGCGCAATCGGTAGTCCGAAACTTGGATGCAGCTCGCTTTCTGGTGGGATTCTTTCGATTGTTGGGATTCGACAAGACGATCGTTTCTCTCGTGATACATAGTAGTCTACGGTGTATATTATGGTTATCAAAATACTTGACTGAAGGATATATAAAGGTAGTATAACTACTTCACTCACTCAGTGTTCGCCACATACCTCCTGATAATGTACAAGTTCACCTACTTTACATAGCCAAAAAAGCAACCGAAAGAGCCCCAAGCATGAGACCCATGCTAGCACCCATTCCAGCAACGCTATTGCTCACAGGCGGAGCAGTGCCATTATTGCCAGTTAGAATATCCACACCAGACCCCTTATTCGAGAAATCACTATTGATGCTCCCGTAGTTACACTTCCCTCCATTCCAAGCAATGTCATAGACTTGTTCCCACAGAACTCGAGGATTATCGACCGTCACTGGCGTGTAGTAAATCCTACAATTCACAGGCTCGAACACGAATTGTAGTGGGATCCCGGCATCGTCTCCTGGAGGGATGCTATCCCGCAAGTTGATACCATATTCAGCAAGAGCGCTTTGCGAACCGAAAGGGAGAGGATTCAGGCCGGGGAGGGTATCGTTGGCTAGAGCGAGGAGTTCGTCCGAGATATAAGGGCCGACAATAGAAGTCCCGAGGTATGCTGTCTGCGAGACGAGGTTGTCAAAAGTGTATGCCTGAGCGCCTTTGGTGCCACCGATTGCTTGCATAGGCCCCTCCTTTCCACGGCCGCCGACTACGATGGTCTTGACGTTTGCTTGGCGAGTGAGGAACTCCACGAGGATGGCGCAGGCGGAGGTGCATACGCCGTCTGTAAGATCGACGACGTTCTCAGGGGTGAATACTCCGGGCTCTGTTGCTGGCTCTACGGGTGTGCCATACAGGATGAGGCCGCCGGTAGTTTCTGTGTAGAAAGTGCTGTTGGTGGGGATCCGGCCGGAGATGGTGAAGTTGTCTCCGTTGTTCTCCACGGGTGGGTAGTAAGGATTATCTCCAGCTGACCATCCTGTGAAGTGTTGGAGATCTTCGGTCACCCAGCTTTGGTAGCTCCATGGCGAGGTGAAGATTCTCGATTTGACATTCTGCACGGTATCGTTGTCGCTGGCACTGATTGCAAGTGCTTCGTCTGGAATTGCCTGATAAACTTGGCATATATGTCGGCCGCGGGGTTACCTCGCAGGCGTGCAAGTCCATAGGGCTCGATGTCGGGGAAAATACGTCTGAACTACTTTCGGTTAGTGGCAAAAGCAAAAGAAATTCATCAACTTACGATGTCATTGGGCAGAATGGTGTTTCCGCCACCATTGCCGCTCACATCGATGATCAGCTTCGTCTTGTTGTCTGCTCGTACGGCAGAAAAGAACTCTCTGGTGGTATTGACGAAAGATCCCTCGGTATCGAAATCAGCTTGAGCAGCAGTCTCATTTGCGAACGTGCCAATGCGGAGAATCGCCGTGTCTTCATATCCAGTGGTATTCATATAGTACCCCGCTACTTGATTATGTGGATCTTTCACAACTGGCGGAGAGTTGTAACCGAGGAGTGTAGGCGCTGTTGTGCCGTATGTTGGAGTGGACGTTGAAGATGGCGATGAGGAGGATGAAGTCGGACTGGGATTTGCCGGAGCAATACAGAAGAATTCTGTGAATGTCTTCCCGTCAACAATATCGGTGGACCAGCCTCCGTTCGGAATGATGGCCAGATTGGCGATGGAGAGTGTTGTGTCGTTGGAGAATGTGAGATTCGTGAAGTCACCAGGATATTGATAGGTGTTAGGGATTGAGTACGCTCCGAGAAAGGATCTATGTAGTCGTGAGCCTTCACACGAGAACACGATAGCTGAAGAGTGGCCCAAGGATTACCCTGCAGATGGAGCCCCGCCATAATTCCACATGAGCCTGTTGTAAGTCACATCGGGATCCGAAGGAATTGCTTCCCCAGCAGTAGTAAGGACACTGTCGATATCCTCGCCGTTGATTGACTGAATGCTGGACACAGAGAAGTTGTTCCATACGGCATATACATCGTCTAATCATGGTTAGCGCAAGAGTAGAAGGGATGCTTTGGAAGGACATGCCACGTAGGTAGACTGTAGGAGCCGATGTGCCATCTGGGGTGACAGATACTATCTCGTCCTCTCAAATATGAAAACCGTTCCAAAAGTGCAAGGCTGGCTGAAGGTGTGGCCATCTTTAACAGCGTATATTAAATTGGCAAATGCAAGATCAAAATCAGACTGACTTGCAAAGCCTCCGGCTACAGCTTTGCTAGCGATGTCATCCAAGCCACCGAGGAGGTCCACTGGAGAATAGTAATAATCGGCCGGTGGATCTTAGCAAGAATGTCAGCATTTCTCCAGTGTCAGATCTGAAGGAAGGCTATACTCTTCAGATACACGATCGAAGACTGGAATTGATAGTATTCCTTCAGCTCCTCTGTATAGCTCGCAGCAAGTTTGTTGTCGATAGCGGAGGACTGAAGGCATGCGTATGCAAGTGATGGTTTCAAGGGAAAGTCCTTGCCTTTATCTGGAGAGTATTAGACGACGAGCTGAAAGCTCTTCTAGAGTGTACACACTGTCATCATTGCTGTAATACTCCTTGAGTGATTGCGTAATAATTCCACACGGGGCGTTGGTATCGGTGGTACTGTTGACAGGAGCTGCAAAAGCGCTACCAGCGGTAATGGCCAGGAGGAGACGAAGTTAGATTTGCATTCTGGCTTGAAAAAGAAGAAACGGAAAGAAAATTGTAACAGGACAATAACCAGGCAGCGTGATAAGAAAATAAGTACTTCGAGACTTGAGCTCCAATCTCGACCACGCGGATGATCTCCCTCGAAGGAATGCCTTTTCTGGCAATCCGACCCAAGCCCATCAGACTAGGCTACTGCAAGGGCATACCTAAATAGCGAGAGGCTAGGACTGAGGCTTAGAACCAGATTAGATCTGGTATTACTGCCCGAGAGCATTCCTTTGGTCGTTGAGGTCTGATATTTTGAATAGCCAAATTGTCTGTTACGAGAGAAGCATTCGACATTTCTGTCGTTCTCAACATTAATCAGAGAAAGTTCACACCGAGCCTACTTCTGGTGTCAACAGTTCTGGAGGTTGAAGGATATGGCAGGTAGCTAGCGGGAGGCTTCTTCACTTTGGTGCCGGTTTATGTAGCGGTGCAATTCCATCATTGCGTAATATTCAGTCAGCTTGGACGGTGCAGGAATCGTAGTTGCGCTCATGAATCGCCAGGATATTTCTTCGAAGTACATCGATAGCAATGCCTGATGAATCATTAAAGAGTTGGATCAAGTCTTCCGCTGTTGGCTCGTAACCGCAGCAAAAAAAAGGCTTAACATTTTGTAAAACCCAAGGTTGACTGCTTACATATTGCAATACGATCCACTGATCTCATGTTGCAGTATTTCCAGCAGATTTGCAGTTTGACGTGAAACCCGGTTTTGGAGAAGAAGGCTGAGCAATCTATCCTCTAGCAACGTGGAGAAATACGCCGTCTCGCAAGAGGCTGCCGCAAGAGGTCAAGCTCGAGCTGTGGCATAAGTGAGCCTTGAACGATTGCCCACAATTCACAGATCAATCAAATCGAATCCCCGGCCTTTCAGACTGCTGGCATCGATTTAAGCTTGACAGAAGTCAGAGTTGGGCTTTTGATTTCGGGTTTAATAAGTGGCGTAGCCTTCGGAGGGCAGCGGCAAAGGCTGTGTTACTAGACTTTCTGAGCTGATCGGAAATCTCAAAATTCCATTTGAATTCCCATGACCAAACTCAAGCACCATCAAAATCGAGGGTCAAAATTGAGGGTTGAAGTTGTGTCGACCAGTTGCACACCCAGTCATCTAAACATGGCACTCGCCACAATCGGGTTCTCCAGCAGCTCTCAAAGGATTTAAGCTCTCTTTTTAGTCGGAAGAACCACCGCATGTACTCCAACACAGCATGTACTCAAACACAGGTGGAGATTGACTGACTTCAAACAGGTTTCTCTGAAGTGTGGAGGATGGTCGCAGTACAGAATTGGCATGGCCAAGAGTTACGAATCCTCCATGCTCGACGTAACAACAACCTTTAAATTGTGTAGGTGGATTAATCATAACAAGAGCTTCGATATTTCATGTATACCATCTTGATCGAAAGCTTAACGGGTTCACTTGAAGAGTCTCCTGATGTACTCCCGGAGCTGCTTCGCGCCAGGCGGGTATTAGCATCACTCTCCATGATGGACCAGCACTGAACCGACGAGTCTATGTTATGGCAACCAGTATAATGTACGCACGTATGCTGGGGGCGACAAGCCGAACTTTCATAAGATATTTAAAGTCCGACAAGTGGGAAAGAGAGAAAGTTTGGAGACGAGATTGAGTGAAGGAAAGATAAGATAGCTGGGAGCTGCCGAAGTTGAAGCGAAACCTTTTCTGGACGTCACATCAACTTTTTGCGCCGACAACACCACTTCTCCACAGCAGTGCCTGTAATCTTAGTCCATTTCAGATCGTGTCGTACATGACTTTCTCGTCAGGTCATCGCATTCCGCTCAACCAATTTCCTGTAATACAATCACTATGTTCAGTCGCCTTCAACGCGTCAATTCAACGCGTCCGCTGTGTCTCCAATCCGTTCCAAGGACAACCATAATATACCATGCAATATCCTCTCGAACTACAACACCTTTCTCCACTAGCGCCCCCAGAAGAGAACAAAAACAAGATAATGGCATGGAGAAGAGAGTCAATACCACGACGGACCGCAATGGAGAGGAGAAAAAGAAGAATATATGGTCAGGAATCGGACAATACTCGATACAGGAGATGATTTATGCGGGGATACTCCTTGGTGGGGCGACGATGTTTACTTGGGCTAGAGATTACTGGCGGTGGATTATGGTGATACAGTATGGGCGAGGACTGGAAGAGTTTATGAAGCGGAAAAAGAGATCGAATGTGATTGAGAAGGAAAGGCGTGTACTGGCGATTTCGGAAGTAGAGGTCGGGACGACTAATGGGAATGGGCAGATTAAGACAGATGGTCTATATAGCAATGCTGGTATGGATCTTGTTCAATTTGTACAGCATTGACGGACCAGGTAAGTGAGAGGGGAATTGTTGGTTATTACGGCAGTTGCTATGCAGCTCCAGACATCTGGCTCACGCTGTTAATCTGTACCCACTCCGGCTTATCACTACCCAGCGGTTTGGGCATGATGTCCCATCCTGGCATGAACCCTTCGACAGCAGCAGAATGCTTCAAAGCCCTCAACTCGCCAAAACCACTTTCTCTCGTCTCCAAGTACGCTTCTATCTCCTGGTCACCTTTCGCGGTACAATCGAATCCGGTCTTACCAGGAAACTGCCCAAGAGATCTGAGATAATTCATCGTCCCAGCCAAAGAAACGTTCACCTCATAGCTCCCTCCTTCTTTGGCTCTCTTGTACAACGCAGCAGAAATCCCTGTTGCGAGGAAATACCCCGATGCATGGTCAAGAGCTTGGCAGGGCATTGGGCGACCTAGGCCTGATTCTCCTTCGCCGAAATGCTCAGCTTCCGAAACATTCATACCCGATCCCGTCTGGACAATTGAGTCGAATCCTCTATTTCCGCCCCAGGGTCCCTGGTTGCCATACGCAGACATATTCGCATATATGATGTTGGGATTCAACGTAGCAAGTTCTGAGGGAGAAAGGCCTTTCGCAGAAAGACTTCCGGGTCTGTATCCCTGGATGAAGACATCTGTATCCTTGACGAGCTCAAGCAGTTTGGACTTTCCTTCCTTGGTTGTCAGATCGAGCTGTGCGGTGCGTTTCCCTCTGGCTACGTCCCGATCGATATCTGGTAGATCAGGCAGGTTGGGAGAGGTTATCCAGAGTACATCCGCGCCGTGAGCAGCCAGGGTTCGTCCTGCTACCGGTGCGGCAATCACTCGACTCAATTCCAGGACTCGAGTTCCACGGAGACAGCGATCATTACCGCCAGCTAGCTGCCTTGGAAGTACCGGAGCTCCCGAGCCTATTTTTTCTATCTGTATTGGTATGTTAGGGATATATGAAGCCTGTGGAAGAGCATCCCATTGTTCGTATGATCGGAGAGCCGCTATGACGCAATTCGAGTTCATCGCTGCTGTTTCCAGGTCGATAGAATTCCATTTTAGAAGAGCAGAACGAAGTTCATCTTTTGTGGCTGTACGCGGTAGTCCCAGGATCTTGAGCGCTCCTTCAACATGATGCGGAAAACCATCATGAATCCTCACATAACCGTCCGCAGTCTTTTGAACAGGCCCACCAAGCGATTTCAGCCCTCCTCCGAAATCCGCTTTCTTGCCATCAAGTGTATACCACTTCTCGGAGTGGAATTCAAGACAGGCGTGTACCAATGGCACTGTTACTCTAGGCACCGGAGAGTTGTCCCGGGTTGATTGGAAAAGTGCAGCTGTGAGTGCTGAGAGTGCAATGCTGCTTTGTGCTAGATGGCCGGTTTTGAATGATGATGGAAGACCGCATCGTGAATGGCTATCTGCATCTGGAAGGGAGATTGAAGAGAGAGCCTCAGCTGGGAGTCCTAGATGATTCCAGATGTGCGCGATTGCATCTGCAGTTGAGAAGTGGGATCGGTCTGGTAGCGAGTCGTTGCTCGCCATGGGGAGGTTATTTGGTAGAGATACTGCCACTATAGCAAAGTTTCATGAGAATATCAACTGCCCGCCAAGATTGGGGCTTAATCGTAATATTACTATCGAGAGAAACTGTGTTTTTTTTGTATGTTTGAGGTGAGAATGAGAGCTTCAGAAGTCTGCTGCTTCTTATGCCGGCGATCTCCGGTCTCGGCTCGTCCATTTGCCCGCGATTACCTTTGAAGTGAGTATCAACGAGCACGACAAACGACTGGATGTTACTAGAACCTACAGATGTTGATAAAGGTGGAGGCCTTTGATCATTAATCACGAGAGTGGGATGCTATTGAATAGTGCCCTACCAAGGAGGGCTAAGTTATGACCCCGCATGCATCCAGCAGACACGACAAAGCTTAATTTGATGCACAAACACCACTGGCGCTTCAGTTCAAAACGTTCACTTCCTGGCAGTACTATGTCTAAGCAGTAACTTGCCCGTGATCTGATATCAACATAAACAAATAACTCTCCTATTTCCTATTTCCATCCTATCCTCACAAAAACTTCCTTTTCTTTCACCCCATCTTACTCCACAACTCTATTTGACAGTTTTTTTTGGCGGGGGTATATCTACCTTTTTTTCTCAGTATTCTGCCACATACGACCATAGACTGAAGAGAATCGGGCATCCCGTCCGCTCTGCCATACGCAAGCTTCAGATCGGCAGATTAGTAGTTGGGTGGGTGACCACCAGCGAATACCTGCTGTTGTATGTTTTTTTTGTTTTTTTTACCTTAGGTTTTTGAATTTGGTCAATTCTTTTGTGAGTTGTGGGAGTTGTGAGTTGTGGTGGTGATACAGAACGGAATAGGGACTTGAGGGCCGGAGCGAGAGGGAAATGGCGGATGGGGAAGAGAGTTTGAGAATGGCAATTCAACGAGAGCTAGATTTCAACAATACATAGACACTTGACAACAGCTCCATTCGAACTTGAACAAGCAAACGACAGAAAAATAATCTTTGACAACGCAAATTCTCGCACAAATGACTCCGAACGCCAGAAACATCACAGCTATTTCCCCAAATAACAAAATCTTGCCAACAAATAATAGAGACACAGAGCTCTAGATTGCAATATATCCTTGGAATTGAGACAGCATACTGCAGTACTCATTCAGAAGTATTTTCCGATGCTTTGAGATTCTTCGCTGAGAAATGAGGAGCGATGGTAAGGTATATATATAAATATAGATATGACTATGACCATTGACTTTGAGCATTGACTTTGATTACCATGAGTCGGCTTTGTTGGACAAACAATCCCGCGCAAAAATCTGTGTTAAGAGGTGGTGAATATGCTGCATGGAATGAAGCAGTAATTTAGTATATTCAGCCTTGGGACCGAGGAGATGAAATGCGATATGACAGTGAATTTTTGAGCAATTTTTGACGAAGGGCTAAGCTCATGTATTTATATCACCATGATAGAGCGTGAAGTAGGACCCAAGGACAAAAGGATATCGGGAAAAGAACCTATGGGAAGATGGGTTGCTTTGATAGGCTTTCTGAGCTTAGTAGAGTGTCGATCTGGGGTAAAGGAAGCGAAGTCACTGACCATAAATCACGAGATGTAAACAAACCAGAAAGGAGGATTAAATTCGGGATATTGACAGCAAAAGAACCGATGACAATAGATAGATACAGTAGTTGCGCTGAATTGTGAGAAAACAATGAGATCGTAATGCACGGTAGAAACACCATCGAAGAACAGCGAGGATGTAAATCGTGAGTTACAAAGTCCCAAGGAGGAACACATAATTAGCCTCAGTAGAAATTCACAATCCCGGCTGTCAATGAGCTCATGAGAGGAAGAAGCGGTAGATCGACGATCTAGTAATGTTATATATAGCTCGTCCATGTTGACAGTATGTTGAAAATGAAGTTGGCTTTCAATCTGAATCTGAATACCAAAAAAAAGAAAGGAGGCTGGGTTGGTGAATGTAGTCTCGATGTCATGCAAGGTCAGCTGCAAAACAATGGAATGCTATATCGCGAACCGCGTAATGGGTCTTGAATTCTGCGGCGGCATTCTCGCACCTCCATCATTGACTGAGGCTGATGTCTCTCCCTTCCTCCCTAAAGGTTCTCCTTACATTGATTTACTATCACGTGACTTAGATATCTTCCCTACCTGTCCCAACCTCTTCACCACCACCATCGCCATCATCATCAGCATCATCATCAGTGTCACTCACTAATGTCATTATTCACATCCATGACTCTGCCAATTCAAACAATTTAAACTCATATTCCATCAGCGTCGTCATCAAATCTCCATCCGTAACCCGCGTCCGGAGATTCGGGTGGGCCTGCTTGCCACCTGCCTGTCAGTCGAGGAGATTTGCGAGATCTTCGGCCAAGCTTTGAGGGTTTATATTAAATTAATCAATTAAAATTGATTGAATGATTTACAGTGATCCACAGATTGTTTGCTTGCTTCCCATACAGCGACGAAAGATTCCAACAGCTTCGACTGTGAGAGTTTGGGTTCTGAGCAGCGGTTATGCTTGCGGTACCTAGGAAATCATGGTTGAATTACGGAGGCGAGGGAGGTACAGTACAATTGAAGGTCTGGTAGCGTAGCGAAAAATGGCACAGGCGGATAGGATAGATGTTGGGTTTGAAAGGTTAAGTTGAGTTTGAGTAAGGAAAGGCCTGGATGGTTTTGATTTGGAGATCAGACGGTTGGGGTTTGAAGATGGGGAGCTTGATTGTGTACTCAGCCACTCATGTTACAGAACGCAACTTGGTACAAACAGCCTGAAAGCGAGGACAGGACATATGCATGTAAGTAAGCGAGCGAACAAACGAACGAACGAACTGGGGGAAGAAGCAAAGCAACCTTGTGCGGCGGCAAGTACCTGTTCTGTGGGAGTTTGGTAAGCATAGGTATTAATAGGTGGCAAACAGAGGGTTGTGAAGGATGAAGCCAAGATGGTAATTTCATAGACAAGAAATCTGAATATAGAATGGACAGTAGTATGAAGTCTTGAGTTATACTTCCCAAGCCAGAAATAAGACTAAGACGATACCAATTAAACGTTCATCCCATCTCTTCCTCTCCCAAGACTCCAAGATGCAAGATCCAAGGCCGAAGGAACAAACACAAGAAAGGTAAATTCCCAATCGCCTTATCCGCCCCTACCTCCGTAGAGTACCAGCCAACTCCCGGCATGAAACCCTGAGGCTGTTTACAGTTTTAGGTTATCTCTCCCTCCTTCGGTGTTCATACGAGATAAAAAAGTTGTGCTGTGGTGTGCATTGCCATCCCCTGCCATTCATCACCCCCTTGACCCTCACCCAGACCCTGACCCGGAACCCCTGGCCCCGCAGCTGCAAAAGCACGCCACGCCGTCCGCACCAGTCGGTACCTAAGCAGTAAGTGGGGTTGTCAGTGTCGGCAGGCACAAGTCTTGGTGTGCTGATTCGCTGGCTTGACGTCTTGCCTTGGCGCTGGGCGCGTTTCAGGTTGACGCTTGCGCGTGATGTGCGCTGGATGTATTTACTGTAGGATGACGGACGGGGGTTGGGATGAAGGATGGATGGGTGCAAGGAGGATGGATGAAAGGATGGAAGGGAGAGCAAATGCCATAGCATCGAATGGCGGTTGTGAGGAATGCTGAGTAGGTATGGAGCGAGGATCTGGAGATGAAGAAAGATAGGACGAAAATTAAAATAAAATACTTTGGAGGCAAAAAAGAGAAGCGCTTACTTACAGCTGACAACTGTCCTACCAGCTTCTATTCCGACTGTAAGAAAATGTCTTATCAGATTACTATTTCTGGCAAGAAAAATCATAAATAGGAATTTACCCAGTCAAACAACGCAACATCGCTCTTCTACCGTGATTCAGGAACAATACCTGCATGCACCTGCACCTGCACCAGCACCATATTACCCCTGGATACAGAACGTCCGAACGAACGGACGGCTGCTGTCTCGCAGAAAGGCCATGCATCTCAGTCCCCAGCCCCCAGCCCCCGGGCCCCCCAAGCCGAGGCGCCCCCTATGGATATGAAAAGTGACCATGATCGGCTGTCTCATCCCTCCCATTGGACAGGCATGACCTCGCAGTTCCTATTCCTAGGGACAAAATGATCAGGATTTGGATCAGGATCATGCCATTTAACGCCCCCCTAGATACAGGGCATTCGCAGTATATCTCAGGCCAGCGCAGAACAAGTAGTCATGATTCATGCTGGCAAGCATGACACGGCCCTGGAAGTCCTGCCCTGTGGAGTCAATTCCAGTTGTTCCTGTCTGTCCCTGCCAAGCAAGGTTCCGTGCTGCCCCCCCCCATCTCATGTCTACGGAGGTACAGTACCGGTTGGGCAGATCGTGGCCAGGGCGGAAATCCATTCATTGCCTTTCTAGTCCCTTGATCCTCTCCTCTCCTCTTTCTCTTCTTCTCCTCTTTCCTCCTCTTTCTCTTCTTCTCCTCTTTCCTCCTCTTTCCTACCTACCCTTCTCCTCCACCTCACCGTCGCTCGTCGCTCCCAACTCTCACCCCCAACCCCACACATTCATTGATTTCATTCCTTTGAGTCTTGTCCTGTCTTGTGCTGTCTTGTGACCCAGTGCACACGCACGCACGCACGCATCCACGTTCTTTTCACTCGATACATACATAACCTTTCGCTCTTTTAGACTTTGGACCCGACAGGAAGACAGACAGAAATACCAACGACTCCTTGACTACTGATAACATCTATTCGTTCGTGGCCTGGCACACGATAAAACAAACAGATCTCGTACGTTCTTTAGACTGGGTTGCGACGCATCGACTGCATTTGGAAGGGAAGAGAATCAGATTTTGGACGACGAAGAAACATCTACAGAAAGACTTTGAAGCGACTTAGGAGAGAAGATTGAAGGAAATTTTCAAAGCGTACTGGACTACTGCGACACTGGAAAGTCGGAAATTTGGATTATCGCTGTTGGCAAGGATTGACGGATCAGGGTGAATTTTGACGACATCCATATTGGAAGGAAAGACTGTCGGCAACCTTGTGGATATCGACGACACGACGACGTCATTTAATTCAATCTTGATAAGATTACCGAATCGGTCTTTCATTTGAAAATTCAAAATCAGGCAGCCTCGTCGCCGACCCCGCTAGCGAGCCACAACATACAAACCGATAAAGCGATAAATAATCTCGCGCTGACGACCTCTTTCGAACTTTTTCTCACCACAACAAAAAAAAATCCTCGAAAAGTTTGATTATTCAGTCTTTTCACTCACGCACTCTCTCGATCTCCACGGTAGATCGATCAGTCATCAATCATCAAATCATCTATTCTTCATTCAAGCATACGCTTTTATCCGTTCGATTGCTCGCTTCGGTCAGTCAAAATGCGCGGTTCTAGCAACTCTCCGGTCTTGAAGGCCGCCTTGGTTTCATTCCTTGCTGTTGGTCAGGTCAGTGCTTTCTGGCGCATGCCATGTCGCTCGACGACCGGTGTTGCGAGAATTGATCCTTTGGTTACGAATGGTTCGATTGCTGAGCACGTCCATGCTATTCATGGCTCTGGTGGTAAGTTCCTCCCCATGTCACTCGATACACTCGCGTCGCCCTCCCATACATGCCTGAATATTTCGAGAGTGTTTTAAGGACAATTGGCACATCGAATGCTGTCTAGCTGTCTTGACGCCCTCGAAATTTGGATCTGGAAGCTGACGTTTGTCGATCTAGGCTTTGGTATCTCTGCGGGTTACGATGCGCTCATTGGTGCGGACTGTACTAGTTGTGAGGTCTCTCAGGACAAGTCTGTCTACTGGCATCCAGCTCTCTACTTCCAAGGTGATGATGGAAAGTACACTTTGGTTCCACAGGTTGGCGGTATGCTTGCGTAAGTTTGATCTTCTCCTTTGTTTACTTTATCTTTTGCCTCCGCCTTCGCTTCAACACGCTCTCGCGTTCCTTTGTAACCTCGAATGGCACTCGATGTAACATACACTCTCCCGTCTGCTTGCGACACCTTGAATTTTCGAATTGTGGCTTCGTCTGGCGGCTTTGATGTCACTGTTTACTTCCTCTTACCGATGTCACAACTTCACATCTCATCTTCACATCTCATCTTCACATCTCATCTTCACATCTCATCTTCACATTTCAGATCTGTTTCCCCCCTTCATCAAACAATGTCTAACAATCACAGATACTACCTCCTCTACCCCAACGCAGGAAACACCTCCCTCTCCGCCTTCCCCGCTGGCTTCGAAATGATCGCAGGCGACACCAACCAGCGCAACTTCACCTACCCCGTCCCCGACGTCGAGAAATCCCTCTGGTTCGGCGAATTCGCTGAGCAGCCCTTCCTCCGCCAAGCCGCTCTGGGATTCAACTGTCTCAACTACGGCAAGACCCCCGAAGGTTCCCTCTACCGCCATTTCCTCCCAGACAAGGCTTACCTCGACGCCAACTGCGTAGATGGTGTCCGATTCGAGCTGATGTTCCCAAGTTGCTGGAATGGAAAGGATCGTACCAGCGAGGATAAGAAGAGCCATGTTGCGTACCCGAGTCAGGTCATGACTGGGGAGTGTCCTAAGGGTTTCCCGGAGCGTCTTCCTTCGCTGTTCTATGAGACTATTTGGGCTACCAACTCGTTCAAGGGCAAGAATGGAAAGTTCATCATCTCGAACGGTGACCCAACTGGTAAGTCATCTCACTCTCCACCTCTCCCACGCTCTTCTCTAAATACAATCTCAACTCCCCTTGAACACCTGACCAGACCAAGACTAACATCCTCCAGGCTACGGCTACCACGGCGACTTCATGATGGGCTGGGACCACGACTTCCTCCAATCGGCCGTCAACCAATGCACCAACCTCAGCGGCAAAATCGAAGACTGCCCCCTCTTCCACATCCAATCCGAATCCGAGTTCTCCTCCTGCTCGCTGTCCCTTCCCCCCTCAATAGCCAAGGAAAACGTCGCCTCGGGCCTGCCCAACATCCCCGGAAACCCCATGATCGCCAACGGCCCAGGCTACGCCGTAGGCGCCACAGCCGGCGGCGCAATGCCCACCAACAACGGCGGCACGAGTGGCACCGTCGTCCAACCTACACTGAGCTATGCCCCCGGCGTGAGTCTCGCTTCTAGTGAGACGTACGTCCCTGGTGCGATCTTTGCGCAGAAAGCTACGCCTTCACCTGCTCCTGCACCTGCTGTGGAGGCTAAACTCGATTCCGGTTTCTCAGCTGCGGCCGTTGCGGAGCCTGTTGTCGCTCCAACTCCTTCTCCATCTCCAAGTCCCGTTCAGCCAACTACACTGATCACCACCCCTGCTCCCGCTCCGCTCGTTACGCCTGCTGTCGATCCGTCGTTTACGGCTGATGGCGCGGTGTTTACGACTGAGTATAAGACTAGTAGTGGGCCGAATGGCGTTGTTGTCGAGGAGTTGATTTGGGTGTTGGATGTTGTTACCGTTGGGCCGGAGGCTACTCCTGGTGCTGGTGCAGGTGCGGAGAAGAAGAGACATTTGCATAAGCATCGTCGGGGTGGAAGATTCTTATTCTAAGATTCTATTCTGATTTCCTGCTCTGCTCTGCTTTGTGCTGAACTGGGCTTGGGCCTTGAGTCTAAAGTGGATGAGAGGGAGAGAGAGAGAGAGAGAGAGATGGTGGATGATGATACCCTGGCATTTTTGATTTGAGTTGAATTGTTTTGAGTTGTTGACTTTTTGCATTCTTGCATTTTTGCATTTGAGGGTTCTCGCTGGCTTTGAGACGCGACGATGGAGTGAGTGAGTGAGTGGTTGGCATGCGGCCGGGTATGGGCACCTTTTTTTTTCTGCTTTCTAGTTTTCTGATTGAGAGATGGATGGATGGACGCAGGTGGATATGCATGGATGAGATTGCGCCTGCCGCTTCTGGAAGTGGGTTTGGTTGCCTCGAACCTAGGTACATAAGGGAGGAGGGGTAGGATGGATGGGTGGGTAGGATGGATGGGTGGCAGGTATACAGCATATGCATCGCATCGCATCGTAAGGCGTAGAAAAATGCACGGAATGAAATATTGATATTCTCGAAACTGAAAAAATAGTTTGTGAGGTTATGTTGTGAGTGGGTGGGTGAGTGAGTGGGTGTATGGATTCAGGCCGAGGTGTAGGTAGGTACGAGTACTGCGAATGTGATTTAGTAAGTGCTGTGTGCGTTGATTTCATATCATTACTTTCATCAAGTGCACACACACTACGTACATAAATAAGTTAGCTTGCTGGCTACCTACTGGAAAGAGATAGATAGATATAAATCTACATACATACAGAGGATATATGTAGGCAGAAAAAATATTCTCCAAAAACTGGCGTGAGGAATGCTAGTTGGTAGGTAAGAAGGGAAGTCAAGGTAAGAAAGATCATCAAGTATTTATGTCGGATAGATGATTAATTACCATGGGGGGAATGAGTAATTTATGACTTGAGATATTGAAACGAATGTGCGAATGGTGGTAGGTAGCTTTGGTGAGTATGGAATGGAGATGGAGGTGGAGGTGTTTTCTTTTGCTTTGGAGATTGCTATACATACATGAATGTTGAGCTGAGCTGAGCTCTTCCAAATGCAAATGCAATGTGATACGATGCGATGCGATGATACACATTTCTACAGTTCTCCTCTGTCTTTCTAGCTATAATAACATATGATAGAAGGAGGAAGAATCAAGAAAATGTCTTTATACAAGCGTCTTCTCTCTCCTCCACTAAGGGGCCTAGACCGTGACCAGTCCAAGTCAAGTCAAGAGCGACTTCACTTCTCCTTGGACGCCAGCTTCGCCCTCTTCGCCCTCCTCGCCTTCGTCGCTAGATTCTCCAACCTAATCTCTTCCTTCCTCGCTAGCCTGATCTCCTCCCTCCTCTTCAACTCATACGCCTTCTTATCCTGAATCTGCCTCTTCGCCTGACTCGTCTCGCTATTATCCCTCAACTTCTCCCTCCCCTTCTCAACAACCCCACTAAACGCCCCCGTAATCTCCCCAATAACACCCGCCTTCTTCTCCGCCGCAGCGCCCGCATCCTGAAACCTGGAGTTCAGTTGCGATTGGGACAGGACGGGGTTGAATGGTGCTGCAATTTTGAGATCGCCGCGGAATTTCGGGGCGCCTGGTGCGTTGGGGGTTTTCTTCGCGGGGAGAGGTATCATGTTGAAGTAGTTGCGGAACCAGTCTTTGCGGAAGAGCGTGGCTTGACCCATGGAGAGGAGGCCGGAGACGAAGAAGGAGATTTGCACGGAGGCGGGGAGCCACCAGGTGCAGAGCAATGAGAGGGCGGGGAATCCCCACATCAGGGCTTTGGTCATTTCGGGGGAGAGGTTCATAGAGCCCATTTCGCCTCCTTTCTATGTGTTTGTTAGTATCTGTAGCTTGATATAGTTCGAGATATGGCGATGCATGTCAGGAGACAAGTCGGCAGCGGTGGGAGGAGAGACTTACGCGTAGCAATGTATGCAACACCGCAGCCGTAGCAATCGGCAAGACTAAGAATGGATCTGGAACAGACAGGTTGTAAATCCACAGGAATCCACCTGTCTCCAAGCCTGGCACGGGAATAGCCGACATGGCTTTCAAGAGCCTGAATGTTCCAAATCCAGCGAACACCTGCAACATAGGCACGAAGCCCTTCCACAGCTTGACACCTGCCCGGCTACTAATCATCTGCATCTCAGCTCTCAGCTGCATCACCAAATCGGTATTCCCCGCCCGGTTGGCCTCCTGCATTTTGGTTGTCAGAGGTTGCGTAATTGGCATGATTGTCTGCATCCTGGCCGCGTTGTCTGCGGCACCGATATAGGCTTTGAAAAGGACGGCTCGCATGGCGATAGCTGCGAGGGAGATAGATACCCACCAGGGAGTCCCGGCATAGATGTGGATATGCTCGATGATCCATTGCATTAAAGATGTTGGACCTATCCCGAATTGGAGGCCGAGTTCGTGGAGGTATCCAATGTGTTCGGGGATGTCGTAAAGCGATTCGGATGTGAAATCTGTGGCGCTGTCGAGGGATGAAGTAATGTTTGACGAGACTTCTGATGCAGATGCCGTGGGAATTCCTGTTGCTGCGGAATTTGCACCATCGGTAGTGGTAGTGGAGGAGGCATTTGTTACGAGTGTTGGAGCTGGAAGAGGAGTTGTGGATGCAAACCGTACGCTGGCGGCATTTCGTATTAATTTGTTCGTCTGCGATAATCTAAGATTGCTATATGTTGTCCCTGGGAGGGTTGCGCGGTTCTGGGAAAGGAGTCCATGGGCTCGGTGTTGTGCTGGTGTTGAAGAGAACTGCAGGGCATGGTGAGCGATTGCCTGGCTCCAAAGGACGGAGCACATACTTGTCTGGTTGTTACAGGTTGTATACGTCGTCTGCCAATCCCAATTGCCTGGCTGGACCAGCGGAGGCCTCTGCTGGGAATCATGTTGTGTGGTTGTGTTGATCGGGCGAGGCGCAAAATATTTTAGAGCTGGATCTGGGGATGATGTCGTGCATCCCTGCATTGGGGTGTACTAGCGCGTATTGACATGGGAAGGTTCTGGGTGAGACGGGACACCACCGTGGACAATTAAAGGAAATTTACATAGCACTCTTGTATTTCACATATTTAGGGTCAGCTCATAGGGGTATCAGTTGCGTTATAGCGCTGCATTGTGGTTGACTCGCTTGATGTAGTGGTGTATTTACACTTCTCGACTTTACCAATCTCCCTTCAAACCACCAGCTGAACAAACGGCGCCTGAACAAATATTCGCTGGAACCACTTGTCCACTATAGATCAGATCCGTCTTTGTCCTATTTTGAGTTTATATGCCAATACCATGGAACTCCCCAACGCCTTTCGAATGTACATGCAAATCTGCCCTCGCGCCCCTCACTCCAAGCTTGTCAAATCATCCAAGTTTCCTTCCCTCCGCTTCCTCTCCAAAGGATCCTCCCTAACCTCAATTCCTGGTCCGATCGAGTGCCTTGCTCTCCCACCAGGGAATACCTGCAGGTATTGTCAGTTATGCTGATGCCAAGATGGAATGCCTCCTGAACAATGGCAGTGCAACATCCGCCAGGGTCGCGAAGCAAAGTTCATGGACCCGCGACAGAGTGCAAAAACTCCACAGCAGTACATGCAAATGAGATATTGCATACCTTTGTGCCTCCCCATCCTAACCTAAATGCAGCCTCATGAGCAAAGAGCTCTCCGAATCCCAACATAAGCCCATTGATGAATGGCAGAAGCAAATTGATCGCAGCACCCCGAAATAATCCCCATAATGTAGGAGGGCTGTATAGAATCATTTGCGGAGAGCTCGAGGATGATGGGGGAGACGGCGAGAGGTCATCGTTGCCGGAATACTGTTCGGAATCGGAGGGTATAGTCATTGCTGACTCGGTCAGAGGGTTATTTTCGGAAGACATGGCGGGCTATAGGTTGCCTTGCGAGATGCAGACAAATTTGGAACCGTAAAGAGTAGAATGTGAATGTATGGTTGTTCTTGTTGGGGTCTGGAGATAAATTGAAGTTGAAGGTGAAGCTTGGTGTTGACGGCATGTTCCGGCCCCGGGAAGGCTGGACAAGCTCCCACCTCCATTTCAGGTCCGGCGGGGTGACGAGCCAAAGGCTGCCTCGCCTGGTTTGGCTCGCCTCTCGATTATTTGAACGCGGTTTGTCAACATCAGAGGCAATAAAGAGACTCACTAACTGCACCGGAAATTCTGTTCGTCAAACCGTCATCCTAATCTCGAAATAACTCCCCGTTTAATACTACAAGAATACCACAACCATGGCAGACAACCAGAACCACGACGACCTCATTACTCAGTTCTGTAGCGTCACTGGCGCCTCGCCAGAAGCTGTACGTTCAAGCTCAAATACCTCATATTTACCTTTACAAAGCTAACCAAGCTATATCTAGGCTCAACAATACCTTGCTACGAACGGATGGGACTTGTCTGGAGCTGCCACGGAGTATTTCACTGCAGGAGAAGAGGCGGCTAGAGCTCCAGCAGACGAGAATGAGGCACCAGAACCACCATACACCGGACCTCGAACTCTGGATGGCAGACCCGCACCACAATCAATACCAACCGTCGGTTCAAGCTCGAGGTCGGCGCCACCAAAGAAGAAGGGGGGGATCGCTACATTGGGGTCATTAAATCAGGGTCAAACTGGTTCTCACGCTGGCCATGGTCACAGCCATGACGACGACGATGACGACGAAGATGATGACTACCCAGAGGAGGAGCCGAGAGATCTGTTTGCTGGAGGAGAGAAGTCGGGTTTGGCTGTGCAGGATCCTGCCTCGAATCGCAATGATCCTCGGAAGGTTGTGAATGATATTCTCAAGAAGGCTAGGGCGTATGTATATTCTCTTGTTTTGGATGATGACCTTGCTGACTTTATCAAGAAATGCTGCCAGACCAGGTGGACCAGGACCAGGAGAACCATCATCATCTGCCCCACCAAGTCGATTCCGTGGTAATGGTCAAACCCTTGGTGGCGACGACACTCCATCCCAAGTTATCCCCGATCCCCATGCCAATACCGCTGCGCCAGAAGGTCCAGTCCAAGTCCGGGTTCTACATCTCTGGGAGGATGGTTTCAGTGTTGAGGATGGGCCTCTTCGCCGTTTCGACGATCCCGCAAATGCTACCGACCTCTCAATGATCCGTTCAGGCCGTGCTCCTCTCCATCTCATGGGTGTTAATGTCGACCAGCCAGTTGATGTCCAACTCGTCAAGCATGATGAGAACTACAAGGCCCTTCCAAAAAAATACAAGCCATTCAGTGGCAGCGGTAACAGACTAGGTAGCCCTACACCCGGTGCATCATCCTCGACTGCTGCTCCTGTTGCTTCCTCCCAGCCAAGTGCTGGTGTCGCTGCTATTGAGCCTATCATCGATCCTTCTCAGCCAACTGTTGCTCTCCGTCTCCAACTTGCCGATGGTACCAGACTCCCCGCTCGATTCAATATTACCAGCACCATTGGCGACGTCTACAACTTCGTCAATGACGCCGCGCCAGGTAGTAGCGAGAGACCTTGGGTTCTGGCCACCACCTTCCCCAACAAAGATCACACTGACAAGTCTCTTGTCCTTGGTGAGATGGCCGAATTCAAGCGTGGTGGAACAGCGGTACAGAAGTGGGTTTAGAGCACCTACAAATTGATATCAATATGATGTTTACGGGGATATGAACAATGGATGACAGATGATGACGATACTGCATCCATTCCATTTAACTTACATGGGTGCTACTGAGAGCTGCCATGATGGCGTTTGGGATGACTTTGACAGATAGATGGGCCGATGGCTGGCCCGCCTGGGTATCTTTCATGGATGTGGTGATGGTCTGGTTTACTTTTAGATGGTCCATAGATAGAGAAGCAAAGCTAAACGGAATAAAAGTCAGAATTCTCGATTATACATCCCTTCTCGTCAAATAGCGGGATGTCGTATTACTTTTAGAGCTCTTAGGCTCTTGATCATACTTTGATTTTCCGTGATTCGGCTCAGTGGACTGAATAGTTGCGGCATAGAAAGTAGACATCTCCGTGCCTAACGAAGACCAGCAGCAAAAGTCGACATGAATGAATGGATGGTGCTTACCATACTTATGCCATCTTATGTCGCTCTACCGGACCGTATGTTGTCAGTCTGCATCTCCTCATCGTGTATTGGTCAACGTCGATGGTTCAAAATACCTTCTTCCCATCACTCGAAGGTAAAAAGATAAAGCTTACTTCTTATCCTCCCGAAAACAAAAAGTTTTTGTGAGAGCAGGGCTTGCACATTGACAATAAATATCTCTACAATCACAATAAAGCCATTCTGCAGGTTCCCCCCTCCCTTTTGATCAAGAACTCAATAACTAAGCAAAACTTTTCATTACTCTTGCAGAGTCGTTGATCGGTTCCGAAATAAGATGTGCAGTTTCGGTAATTGAGCTTGACTGATGGTGTGGAAACAGACGTCTGTAATTTCTTCCTGTAGGTAGGCTCCAACGCTTGTCAGCCAATTAGAGACAGATTCCCGAAGGTGCTTATATACTTCTCCCTCCACGATCTAGGCTTCTCAATTCTTACTTTACAATTCCCAGTTCAGCGGGGTTTCCATTCACTAACCTGTTCGCAGCACACTTTCAGCGGTAAGATGATTCCACGATGTGGACTACTTCCAAGCAAGGCATTCACAAGCCAACTCACCTGCCTATTCACTTTTGATCGTTCAGGATCTATCAGCCATCCTGCTCATGCTCTAAACCAAGGTAAACCTCTACTGCAGATATATGAAACCCTCCCTTGTCGTCTTTGCTTGATCTTCATCAACGAAAGAAAAGGTCAATGATTCGGATTCCAAGTTGAGTGGTGAGTTGTAGTTTTAGAGGTGTGTCTCCCCTTTCGGTTTGGGTCAGAGGTCTGTAATTTCTGAAAGGGAAGTGGGAGTTGGTGGAGCGGCGTTGAGATTAGAATTAGGGAAGCTGAGGTATGTTGTATCTCCCCAAGAATGGGCAAGAATTGAGCTGGGAAGATGGATGCATGTTCGAAAACGACGGTGGAGTAGATGAAATGGCAATGAGAAAGATTATGACAGCAAATGCACGAGCCTACACAATTTCTAAAAGCCGGAAAAGCTTCATTGCGTAGATATTCAAGTTACAAGGTTTCAGGTACAACGACTGGGATATTGTAATGCGTATCTGACTTTGAGATATTCATATTTATCTCGGCCATCCATGACACTTTTCTCGAAAGTTCTTCAACAGTGCGATTGGGGAGACAAAGCTACGCGCGCGAGGGGGCTGTACATTATAACCTAGCTGAAAACAGGTGAATTCTGCATAGGCTTTGAGAACATAGTACACGTCAGGCTCCTAATATTCCACACTAGTTCTTCTTTATTATCGTGGTTTTCTTTGGGAAGTTAATGACTAGAGTTCTGACATAGAGTTTCTTCAACCCTAATATAAATACTTCTCTCTCTTTCAAGGTTTTCACGCACACATTTGTCAGTCATTCAAGCAAAAGCTACTGTGTGTGGACCTTGGCATTGTAGCAAATAACTTCGCCATTTAGGATGATGTGGAGGAAAGCCGAAATATCAACGGAGGAAATGTTGCTTATTCTATGGAGCGATAAATGCTTATTAGAGGGTTCGGGCTGTCAGACTACGTCTGTTTATAACTATTGACAGCAAAATTAGGGATGAGAGCAGTGTGAGACATTTGACAACACAATATCTTGGACATTTCGCATACATTCTCCAGCTTGGATATACGCAGTGGGAGAATGCTTCCATCCGTAATTGGCTGACGCTCCCTCCAGTCAAGTTCTATGCAGTTCCATAACCAAAGCGCTGTCAGAGGTCACTACTCTCCTCATTGCGACAAGACCACGTTCGTGTACTTGCTTGCTCAGCGTTCTTGGTACAAGATGCCTTGCACACATATTCACCTACCAGAGGCCCAGGAGAAATTATACAGAATCATTGACCTGTAATCTTACTTGCTTAGTCTCTATAAATAATGATGAATGATGTGAATCTGACAAGGTAGTGGTATATATTGGATGTTTAGGGCATGCTAAACGAGAAGAAAGCACGGGTAGACCAGAAGATCGAGACATGCAGATTTCTTTTGCCTAGAACATAAAGAGTGAATGAAGTGTGTCATCCGGGATGAGACCGCAGATCTTCTTGCGATTCCTTTCCAAGTGAATGAGATTGAAGTAAAAGGAAATTTGGTGCTTGTGAAAACTCCAATTCTTTCTCTGGCAGGATGTGCAGGACCAAGATATATAAGATCTACCCACCTCCTCGTAGTTCTCTCTACTTCGAGACCATTCAAAGTAGTGATCTAGTCCCTGGTCCTTCAGAACATGGCACCTTCAACTCCTGCGCCGATGTATCGAATCCAACAGATCCCCAGCAAAGGAAGAGGCCTTATTGCAAGCCGCAATATCACTCGAGGCGAACGAATCTTCTCCGAGAGCCCCTTCTTCATATTTCCAAACATCGAAGAGACGACACCCACAATACAAGTTTTCGGCCCGAAAGTCCAGGCCCTGGATACCGAACAGCGAGGCTTGTTCGAAGGTCTCTACAACAATTTCAGATACTACGGTGTCCCCGCTTCGATTGGAATCATCAAGACGAATGCTCTTCGAGTGGACCACGAGACTGATGCAGTCTTTCCCACGTTCTCGATAATCAATCACTCCTGTCTACCGAATGCGTCGTACAGCTGGAACGGCAATATCATGAAAGGAACTCTACACGCTATTCGCAAGATCTTGGCAGGTGACGAAATCACTATTGCGTATGGCGACCACGGACGAGGATCTGAGGGTCAATTTTCCTGCCTCTGCCCCCTCTGCACAAAGAGTGACGGAGCTGAACTCGCCATGAGCGATACCCGTCGAAAGGAGATGCTAGAACTGGAGGATGAGATCTGGCAGTGGGGAAGGCCAAGACGAAATCCTGAAGAGTTTCTCAGACTGTGCTATAATCTCGAGTGTCGTTTGCGAGAGGAGTACGATAATGCTCCCACACCGGCAGTGGCCGAGGTGTATGAATTTGCGGCGGGAATTGCAGCTCGGCACAGCGATGCGGGACGGGTCATTGCTTTCATGAAATGGGCGTATGCGGTGAGATGCATTTGTGAGGGCGAGGATAATCCCAATACGCAGAAATGTGCTTTACGGATGGAGGATGCCAGAGCTCATCCTAAATGGGGGAGAACGCAGTGGTGGGGTGCACAGCTGGAGAGACCGCCGACCTATTTGCCGATTGAGGAGTATGTGAACTGGGTCTGGAGATGGGGAAGATGAGGTGCTGTGTGGTGTCACTATGATTATGAGATTGGTCATTTTTGTGTTTATTGGCGTTCCTGGCGATTTCTGGGGTCTCGGGATGGTATCTGGAGGAATGCTGTGATATGTTTACATTACCCCACATTGCCTCGCTTATTTGTACTTTGGAACAGATGCATATTTTGTCTAGATTATCTTTCGGGTTGATCTGTAAAACGCTATACTTCAACTAATGGAAGATCTTTTGGGGAAGAAAACCAGAAGACATTGGGGGAATGAGATGCTGCTTCTATGAGACACGGATAGCCTATCATTGAATCGAATTTCCAACGCCACTTAAGTTTTCCATTTCCCTCTAAGATCCAAGAAAAGACCGTTAGAGACATTTGAAGGCTGCTAAACGTTCAAAATACAATCTCTGAAAACTCTAGAGATTTACTCGTTTCCGAGAATGTTTGCAGCCGTCTGCCCTTCTTTAATCATAGCTGTTTGGCAGACGGACTTTCACATTCGAGAAGTTCGCGACCGACATAGAATCTTCAAGGGCTCCTGACACTCTTCTCGTTACATTCTATCAGAAAGATTAAAACACATTAATATAGCTCGATGGTCACTATCCGCTTCGGGTACCGGACACTTGTGCAAGTCAGATAGCTTGGCTATGGAGGATAGGCATGCGTCGAGCGTTGCGTATCTGAGTTGTGCCAATGTGGGACATGTCTTGAGAAATTGGGGCTGTGAGAAATGGAAACACTGCTAGAAGATGGAGACAGTCGCTCGACTTGGTAGACTGTCGATGTAGTTATTTGGAAACCTCCAAACTTTCAAGTGTTTGGTATTGTTGAGGTATTTGGCAATCTAATTCTGGCAAAATGTCAATCATGTGCCAGATTTATCTACCGTCATTCCGCAATCGGTTTCATCAAAGTGCGAGACTTTTAGAACAGAAGATATAAGTAACCATAATCCAGGCTTGAAGACACTCTTAGAGCTCCTTTTTAATAGCTTCGCCATCTTCCTGATTCTTCTCCCCTCTACATTCCACTGGTAGCCAGCAGTGAGCCATGCCTTCCTGTCTACGCTTTGCAAGCTCAGCTGCTCCCATAGACGTGGCGAATAGAAAGTGCCCCGTCTGATTCGCACTTGGAGTATCGTTGATATTGAAACCCAACGGTAGGTAGGTAATTGCAAGAGCGCTCTTGACAACTTCGATGAAGCGAGGATCAGACGCTGACTCACCAGTCAACATGAGTCTATCGACTCGACTCGATCCAGCGAAGTCACGAATCCGCTTTTCCACCCGATACCGGTACTCCTCGCTTGAGTTTGCGGCCAATGCTTGTGCGTTTCCCAGATCAAGGTCAACGAACGTGTTCCCACAATAGCTTCGTCGGGCGGTGCTCGCTCCTCCGAGCGCAGCAGTCAAAGCAGTATGGCTATAGTCTAGCTGAAGTATCTCCAAATAAGGCCCACGAAAGTCTTCCAAAGTGCATTCGTAGGCATTCGTGTAGATCCTGCACAGCCCATCTCCATATCCAGCTGAGGCAGCTGCCATGGCGGTCAAGCCACTAAACAGAACGTTGTTCTTTTCTGCAACTAGATCCTCCATCCTCAGATAATCAAAAATATCTCCTATCTCTTGCTTCGTTAGACGAACGCGATCTGGCGATGATATCGCAGCGCCTCTTACACGCTGTCGCAAAAAAAGCTTGAGCTTCTCGTCGTAATGCCGCTACCATGCCTGCCAGGATCTTGACTTCTGGAGTCGCGGGTTGCCATAAGAGTTTCTTGAGGAATCTGACGATATGAAATCGAATCCACACATTTCTGGTTGAGATGTCGTCTGCGTCGACGCCTGGTGGTGGCCTGCTACCGTCAAACATTCTTTGGATCGGTGTTGTTGCAAAATGGGCCATCAGGCTGATGTATTCTGATGAACCTGGAACTTGGGCTACAGGAACGATGGTACCATTATTATATTTGACTGATACTGTTCTATGTAGCAAGCGTCAGTGAGCATTGTGATATTCTCGAGGTATGATCCTAAGTACCCGTAGCTGAGCTCAAGGGCGAATCCAACTGCAGGTGCAGCGGCCCTGTATTTCGAAGGACATTTGCATTTAGGAAGAGGACAAGTAACTATTGGTTCATAATATTCCACGATTGCTCCTCTAGCCAGCAAACCAAATGCCAGAAGACAAGAAAGATGTCCTACTCGCATCTTGCTTGAGCCCAACGAATCATCAAAGTGGAACGACTCGGACTAGAACTTTTTATTCAGATCAAATATTGGAGAGGGCTATCATGAGTAGAAACAAGATTCCAGGCACCAACAGTTGTTGGTATTTGGAGAACATGTGACCTTGGCAGCACACACCAACCAAGTTCGCTTCCAACAGCGCCAGCGCAATTGGGTTCGCCATTTTCAAGAAGGGCAGATTTCCACATTCAGATCAAAAAAGCCAACAACATAATGACAATACCAGTGTTCAAAGTCAAATATGAACTATCCATAAGAGATCCATTCATGAGCCAACCTCGTCACCACACGGTCCTGTTCCTCCCGTTCCCGAAACATTCTTCTGGCAGTGGCACCATCCACCATGTTGTCGGTGATTTGGTCTCTGGCATGAGTTATGCAACTCGCTCCGAGGAAGATCCCGAGTCCATCCAGACGTTTTATTCGAAAGAGCTTATCGGCCACGTCAAGCAAGACAACTACCCAGCAATGTTCGAGGACGTCTTGAGCAAGCTGGATCCACCACCGAAGCAAAGAAAGTTCAGAGTCGAAACCATGAGAATCGAGCAGTGCAAGCCAGACGGAAGCTGGTATGAGGAGGGAGAAGAGAAGGATCGTATGTGGAAATGTTCGGAGTGGATTGAAGAAAAAGCTGTGCCTGCGCTGATTGATGCGGGGCTGTTGAAGTGAGAAGGTGGGTGGCCAGGAATTGGACCACTTCGACATCTGAACATTCAACATCACAGCACAGCCATCACTGGTACCCGTATCTGGGGTTTTGTGATTATCTCTCGATGCAAATCAGTGAACAAGGAACTCCTAAACTCAAATCTCCAATTTTTCAACCGCGATCCAATCCACCCATAACCCTTCCTCGGACACCAGCGGCAAGCCCACCACTCCATTGAGTTGCAGGTATGGTTCTCACCATATTGATCTCCTGTTGACTCATCAAGTCACCGACCCACGGTCTCAAATACTTCTCAATATAATCACTTGGTACCCCGCTCTGCAACCCATGCTGGATAGCTTTGTGAACCCAAACAATATAATCCGGTTCAATAGTACCCACTTCAAGTCTCTGAACATCAACGTAAGCCAGTGCTTTCACTGTTTTCTCCTCTTCCTTTCCATTGACGATCCGATGCACATCAAGGTAGTGTTTCTCGTAGAGCCAAGGAACACCCTCGGATGTGTCAAGTGCTTTTTCGTCTTTCCCAGTCAGAAAGTACAGAGATCCGTATACGATGTCGCCTGGAGACGGGATGATGGATGCGTATGAGGTGGAGTTGATGATCCATTTGTAGTCTTTCAGAATCGCGAGACCAACGTAGAGACTTCCAGGACATCTCTGCCGCATCGTCACGGGAGAAAGGTTGGACGAATAGCCAAGATAAAGGGCAGTGAACTCTCGTTCTGGATCTGACATTGTGACGGCCGTATTATTAGAGCTTGAGACTGAGATCAAACCTTGACAATTAAATTGCTGGTGATATATAGAGGAGACGATTCCGTTGTGCCGGTGACCTGTATGAGGAATGCGGGGTATTAGTGACCATCTAGCCTCCTCCGACTCTCGCTAAATAGAAAGCTAATGACCCTAAAACAAGTGGTGGAGGCGAGAAAGTAAATATTGACGGAGATTGGAGAAAGTTCCGAGGACGGTAAGCAGCAAAAAAATTTGTTATACACAATCCTTGCTTAACAACATATCCCCCAATCGCGAGCATCAGGGTAGCCAGGACATGATTGGTTCTGCTGCCGAAGGCTTGCAGCAAGCCGCAGACATCTCGTCCTCCAGTTCTGAACGCAATCATCAAGGATCCTCCAGCAAGAGCACATATTTGATCTTTGTAAAGCACAATTTCGATATGAATTCCCTGCCGACAATGCTTCCACCCCCGTTCTACACGTCTCTCGTAGGACCTGACGACATACGACTCATCTGCCTCCATCCTGGTGACACGGCCAGTCTTGTTTGCGATCTCAGAATCATTTCTCTATCGGACAGCACGAGTTATGAAGCACTATCCTACACATGGGGCCTCGATGACCCAATACTTGACAAGCAGTCCTTCTCTATTACTTTATCTGACAGGAAGTTCTCCGTCGCCGCCAACCTCTACTTTGCACTCAAACGACTACGAGAAGAGAAGCCTCGAATGCTTTGGATTGATGCGATATGTATCAGCCAGGACGATCTTTTAGAGCGAGCTCAACAAGTTCGAATCATGAGCAAGATTTACTCCTCAGCAAGCAGAGTGTTAATCTGGCTCGGAGAAGAAGAACCTACCGACAGGCTTGCATTTGACAATTTGCGAAAATGGAACGAACGTCTCAAGTCTCCTGAGATTGCAGCAGATCTGTCTGCTCATATCTGGAGGAACGAAAGAGCAGAACTTGATTCCCCTGCGTGGCCTGCGGTTGGTTCCGTGCTATCTCGACGTTGGTTCCGACGTATTTGGGTTATCCAAGAAGCGGCGATGGCCAAAGCAGCTGTTGTGATCTGCGGACCTCAGATTGTGCATTGGGAAGTCTTGGAAACTGTTCTTCATCACTTCAACAGGAACAGTATGCAAGGACTCTACTTTTTGAATTCTCGTGGAGAAGCGACAGCTATTGGAGGGACGACAGTCACCAGAATACGCTCTTTCAAAGAGGGCATCAGATCTGGCGAGAGACTATCGCTTCTGCATTTGCTCCTCTATACCACTAACTTAGAATGTACTGACCCTCGAGATATTGTATATGGATTACTGTCCATGGCGCCAGAATCTCTCGCAATACCGGTCGATTACACAATTCCGGTTCAAGACCTTTTCGCGCACATCAACAGAGAAATGGTTGATAGTGATAATGAATTCAGCTTGCTGTCTTTCTTCGATGCACCTTCGTTGGAAAATCCGATATTGGCTACACCTTGGGCACCGAATTGGCAAGCCAGAGACAATGAGCGGGCCGGATTCTCCGAATTTCCCAACAGATTCGCCGCAATGACTCTTGACACGCAGCGGCCCAGCTTTTCAAGGGACGGCTCCAAGCTGAAAACTCTTGGTGTTATTTTCGATGAGGCCCACACCATTGGAACCACATGCTGTGCTTCTTACTTGGACAAGGATGGCACTCAGTTGCATTTCTCACACGAAATGATGGCTTTCGTTGACACCTGTGGGAGAGTTGCCGCAGGATCTACAGCATCATACGATCCTCCTCAAACGCTCGAAGAAGCCATTTGGAGGACGATGATCTGCAATACCACAATAGATAGCGAGACGGTCCCCAGCTCGTATGCACAGAAGTTCAACACCTTCAAGTTCTTCATGCGCGCTGCCCAATATCCTGCTTTGATGGCAATAATTCCTGCTGATCAGCGCGAAGTGAGATATCGCGAGGCAAACGAGTTTCAAATAGTGCTGGATAGATGGATCCATGGTCGAGTGTTTTGTAGAACGAAGAATGGATATCTGGGAATGCTTCCTGTTGGGTCCAGACCCGGGGATGAGATTTGTGGGATTTTACGGGCAAAGACGCCGTATGTGATACGGAAGAAGTCGAACGGTTGCTATCAGCTCATTGGGGAATGCTATATTCACGGAATGATGAATGGGGAGCTGTTTCGTTTGCCCAATCTCAGGGCGAGGGTTCAAGATGTTATTCTGGGCTAGTCAAGCGGTGGGCTCTATATCTTCCTATGTTCTAATACGTTGTTGCGGACCATGTGACCATGTCCTCGTCTCAACATATATTTGCTTCTATGGAAGCTTGTTCACATCCCCAACACCCTCGCTTCGTCCACAAGATACCCACTTGCAGGTATAGCTGTTTGAGACCTGTAATTATGCAACGCCATTTGTCACGTTTTCACCTGTCTTCCTCCTTTCCGAGATAGCTTTCGACCCATACCTGCATGTCCAGGCCCCTCTTGGCGATCAGAAGGACAATCAAACCAGCCATTACGACCAGGCAAGCCACTGTACATGATCAGAACGTAACTCTCTCATATAAAAGAGGCCACTTACATATAGTGAACGCCACACCCACACCAATTGTGGTAATCAAGGGGACAATGCTAGCCGTGCTTGCTGCGCCAAACATGTATTGAATGACGTATTTTCCGCTAATGGCTTCTGACCTCTTGTATGGCAGGACCTCTGAGACATATTAGCGACTTCTTTATCCAATCCGAAATGGTGAGAGTTGTACTTACCGGCGGTATAAGTATTCAACCCGTTGAAACTTCCCATCAACCCCGCACCAGCCACAAAGCTCATGATGACCGGAACAGCCATTCCTCCGACTTCCTTCTGCAACGTCCATCCAAATGTCAATGCAGCTCCAGGGACAACGAGTATCATAGCCAGAAGCCCACTGTTCAGTCTGTCTTGCGGTAGGCGGACTCCTTTGCGTTTGAGCATGTATTTCTGTACAGTGTGGTCGGAGAATTGACCGCCGATGATGCTGCCGAGGAGGAAACCTGCTCCTGGAGCGATGTAGAATAGGCCGCTGATGAGAGGTGTCGTGAGGTCGAATCTTGGATTGATGATCTCGCGAATGGAAGATAGAAGGCCATATTGTAGTGTGGAGAGGAGGCCGCATGCAATGTCCTTTGCCATTCATCAGTCTACTTTCAGTATATTTGCGAGGGGATTTAGTTCGTTACTTACTGCAAGAAGCACGTTAGGGTACACCAATGGCTGGAGGAGCTTCAATGGATTGAATAAAGATCGGATATCTTGGATGGATGATGGATGCGACTTTTCGTTGTCGGTAGCGGAAAGGTGTTTCGATGTTGGACGGATGTCGGGAACAAAGAGCAGTGATGCGATCAGTCCAGCAGCAATCATGCCGACTTGAACCCAGTAGATCGTTCGCCAAGTGGTATATGTCACAATGATGCCGCCGATGATGGGACCTAGGATCTGTAAACGCGGTGTCCCGTCTACCTGGGCTAGGTATACTGAGAGTTGGAGCCTGACTTACCAATTGCTGGCCCACTGACTGTAGCAGCTAGAAAGCAACCAACTGCACGACCTCTAAGGGTCTGTATTTGTTAGTGATGATAAAATGATCGGCAAGTCTTGACGTCGGTGGATCGAGATCTTGAAGAGGGGCTGGAAGAACTAACCGGCTCAAAGATATCAGCCAGGATAGTCTGGCCAACGACCATGAACAGAGTACCTTCAAATGCTGATAGGGTCCTCATGCCCACAAAGACTCCCAAGTTCGGAGCCAAAGCAGTACCAACTGAGCAGCCCAGAAATATCGCGAGCGCCGCATTGTACGCTTTCCTCCTGCCAAGTACTTCAACCAAAGGGCCAGTAATGAAGGATGAGAATCCCATGCAGAGAAGAAACCCCGAATTGGTGATATTGAGAATGGGAACAGTCGTGTGAAACTCGGCACCGATTTCGGGTGTTGCTGGAAGGAGGGAAGTGGTGGAATAGCTGGCAACTAGGGCCATCCAAGATACTGTTGCGAGGACCAGGTATTTTCGCCATGTTGGAAGTGAACAGTGAGGTGCTTGTATAGCTGGTTCAATATTCGTTGTTTGTTCGAGGTCAAATATGGACGTGCCAGGAGTTGATGTTGCCGATACGGTCATCGGAGCCGAAGGGTTAGACTTTTGGGCAAGCATCATGTGAGATGTGATGGTGGGAGTGAGAACGTGAGCGTGTGTGGAATACAAACAAGATATTGTGGCGCGACGGAACATATTTAATGAAGATCTATGAAAACAGAAGAGTCATAAATTTTCGTTGATGGGGTGCTGCATTTTCGATTTCGGCGACGAGGATTTTTGGCCGAGCCCACTCTTGTTGTGACCCACCAGTTGCTGGTACCGCATCCGGGCATCAAAGATCTGCCCCGAAGTGCAGAGAGCAATTAAATCCTGTTCGTACTTTTACTGAGGATTGAGGTTCTATATTATGTCCTGTGCACCCCAAAGAATGCTTTTGGTGGGGTCGAGGTTGTCGCCAAGATCCGAAAGTGTTCCTCGGCAGACTTGGATCTCCCTCCTGCAGCTCGACTTGTTGCTTTCAAGACCGTAATTTTAAATTTCACCTATTCTGTCCATTGGGGCGTGTTCCAAAAGTAGAGGGAGCTGCTTGCATCACCCGACAATTCAGCTGGGTTCAATAGGCCAAGATCAAAATCGGATTGCGCCAGAAAGCTCTGCATCGTGGGCTCCAAGAAAGCCATCTCAGTTGTGAATGCTCCAGGGGCATTCCTCATAGATGCACTCGTTCCACTTGCAAAGTTCGTTGAAATGTCCCCATTTTCGGCAGCTATCGAAAATGTGGAATCCGGGAGGCCAACTCTTGTTTCATCGGTGTTCGTGTCATCTCGTCTCCCTTTGTAAATTTCAAGACTCAACTTGATTTCATCCAAGTTTCTGGAGAACTCTGATGCTGCCAAATTTCCATCTCCGCTCATACATTGAAGTACTTGTGCAGCTGTCTCGAAAGCTTCCATGTCACTCATCGCATTTTCAGTCGAGATCAGACTCGACATAAGCATGACCATCGCTGCCGAGAAGAGATATTGGACGCTGAAATATCCGAAGATGGGTAATGATCCACTCGTCCATTGATGAATGATCAATGAGTGTGAATGCTTTGCGGCGTGTATGCAAGCTTCCGCTAGAGTCAATGCTGCTTGCGAAACACCGTCCCGGCTCCCACTTCTCTCGGTGGCTTGCTTGCTCATTTGAGTCACAACGCGAAGCAGCATAGGTCGAGTAGTAAGGATAATTATCTGCTCTATCAGTAGTTTTTCACAAGGTTTCGCAACGATTGTCAGCTTACTTGGTTGAAAGAAAGGTGCAAAGAAACGATGTACTTCGGGTTGATACGCCCAGAATCTTCGGACTTCAACCTCAGGTGTTCGGGAAGTGTCTCTACCCATGATTTGAGCGACTTGAGCAATTGCTGGACTCGCTGAAGAAAAGTCTCTTTGTAAGTTTTCCGGCTATATATCTTCACTATCGCCTCCCCAGCAATTCTAGCAAGCTTGACACTTGCAGTTGCGTAGTCCGTGTCTGAAAACTGGTCGTCGTGTGATTCCTTGGGGGAGATTGTAGTTGGCATGTCCACATGGATATCCTCGTCCAGAATCGAGTTTGGGATACCCATCTTCGAGCCCCACATACGGTCAAATATGTAGATCGTCCACCAGATCCGTACGCGGTGCTCACGCTCAACTGGATCCAAAACTTGTGATGGCCCGAGATTGTGATTCATTCCAATGACTAGCGCATGTCGCATGGCGTTTCCGATCAATAGGAAGGCATGGTGACGTCTATTCAATGAATAAGAGAACAATGACTGGGATACATATCAGCCCAGTTCATAGATAATTAGGTCAAGAGTCCTACCAGGAGTAGCAGATTCTCGATATGCGTGATAGTAGGCCGCTCTGGAAGAATCTGAATGAGAGCAAGCGACTTGGAGTAATAATTTACTCCCGGAACCTGGCCAGTAGATGAGTTTGATCTTATGGAATACACTTCCCCTAAGGCAAATAATGTGAAAAACTTGCACTTATTTACCGGAGAGTCGAAGTTTTGAGTCTCGTATGTCTCTTTTAGAGTGTCGAAGGTGGACTTTCGACACATCATGTGGTAAACTCTGCCAGCTTGATGGAAGGCAACTTTCAACAGCAACGATGCATGCGTGAAGCTTGGCCATGGCACATCTAAATTACTTAGTGCAGATAGAGTAGCCTCCGACATATACTGCGTACGGGGGATATGGGCAGCTGTGGTATTGCCAGTGAGAAATCGGCGGAGCCGAGTAGCAAATGCGGTACATGCAGCCTCTCCAACATAAATTGGAGGAGCGACAGGATCGTAACTTTGAAACCAAGCTTGGTCGCCGATTATGGGATTTCTTCGAGACTGGTCTGGGTCTGCGTGGTCCTCAACTCTCCTGGGCTCGATATCTGAAGGAGCATCACGTGTCGGCGTTCCAGGCCGATCCCTCAGGCGCTCATTTTCGGCGAGTAGCTGATCGATATAACTGGTACCAGAGCTATTAGTCCATCTATAGAGCATTTCCGCCGGCTCGATTATGCCTGTAGATTACCTTTGACTAACAGTTATTTTACGATCACGTGCTTGATACTGACAATCATTGCCGACGCCGCTTTGAACACATTTTGCGCAAGGCTGTTCTCCAGTACATTTGATCTTCTGGGAATGGCATCTTTGACAGCTAGATTATTTACCATCAGCGTTGATCTCGATATCTACGGCCAGGAGTTACACTTACGCCACCTTCTTCTTCGGCCTCTTCGTCGGCGGCGACAGTGAGAATTCCTCAGGAGGAAAGGGCCTTTTATCGGCCATCGTATTGATGACGGTTAGTAAGGCGCACAAGCCGAAGACACAAACCCCAAAACTGGTCAAAAAGACGCATTGATCGCTAAAAAGAGACGTGTAATGTTCTTCGGTCCTGGAGAGAGGAGGCCGGTGAAAATCTGGTTTCACCGATTCTCGCTTCCACCCGTCTCAAGCGTCTCGGCACATGTCGCCGAGTAAACTTGTAGACTCTTCAGCGTATATAGATCGCTGCTGAAGTTGACATGAGTGCAACAAGGAGAATGGTGGCCCGAGTCGTTACAGAATGCACATCATGTTGCGCTACTTGCCCGAATATTCAAGATGGGCTCAACTTGCTTCGGCTGTCAGATCACGTGACTAGGATCCATCAATCTTTGTTTACATTCCGATATCCAGGTCAACTTGGGCTGGTGCAGCTCTCTTCAGATGTAGATAGTCCATACCTACCTTAAATGGATCTCTTCTGCTCATGTGATATGCCGAGCCCTGTTGGGAGTCCAAATTTCCCGAACGTGCCTTCCATACTAGACCTCACTTCCTCCGATCGATATGTCGCTGTGCTGTCTCTCATGCACGTTCCTCGCTGTGATATGCACCCAACAACGTCACTTGAACCTACCTGCCTATATTTTAGTCCGAAACGTTTCAGCAATTCTTGATTTGGCCACCATTCCTTTCGACATCATCCAGCTTGTCCCCTAACATGCCAAGCTATGTTGCAGTCACTTGCACAGTGCCTCAACGCAAGATATGGATACAAGCAACCCTGATGGCCATCGGATTCCATATCTATACTGTCTTTGGGCCCTCATGGGCGAATCTCTACATCTCCATCTTCGTTGGATTTCTAATCAGCTTGATCGGCCTGAATGGCATCGTAAGTTGCAGCCAGGACCAATACAGCCAATGGCTCATCCAACACTTCAAACGACTCCGAGAACATCAGTATTGGGCAGCTGGGCAGGATGAAGATAATCATTACAATATCGGTCAAGCAATAGAAGTGTGCAAGGAGATGGAACTCCAGAGCCTGTTGTCTTACCCTCACGAACATTCTAAGCGATGTGCGAGAGGCTGCTTGTTGAGGCACAGTGATGTCTTTATCATATTCGGAGATCATCGCGCTGAACCTCTTGCCCCGAGATATGCTAGGAATGTACTCGAAGGAAAGGACATAGAGTTCGCCGGTGGACTGGACGAGAAAGCGGAGGACACCGATACCGATCTTTATACAGGCATAAATACCCCCAGGACAGACGTTGAGGGGAAGAGAGATGGCGACGAGGATGGCGGATTGTTGAAAGACCAAAAAGGCGATGATTCTCTGGATAAGTCGAATGAAGCTCGTGAAGCAGCAGGAGGTGGAACAGCTAGTGAACCAGAAGCCCAAGAGACCTCGGACTCAAGTTTGCCGAAAGTCAAAGGTCCACATCCACAGAAGAAGAATGTGAAGAGGAAGTGGTGAGGTAGAATGATTACTTCTGTTGCTGTTTCTACTTGGTGGCACTGTGACAGTCCAGTCCGGACAAAGCATTTCAAATGGTGTGGAAGGAACTGGCAAGGAGCATTCTCTTGCGCATGAGTAGCAATCAGTTCTCTTGTGGATCATACACCAGATACAATTGAATGCAATTATCGTCTTTACTCTTCCATTCAACATTTCGCACAATCGAATTTACAACTGAAATTCAGGTGAAGCTCGAGGATTCCAGAGAGAGGTAGAGGAAATATCTTCTTGCATTCTATTAGTTGTGCTGGACAGCTCATGTATAAAGGCTTGAGTGTGGGAGGGTAGGGATCGGAATAGGTGCGGTAGTTGTATGTTTCACGAATAGCAGGCCCCACTGCGAGGGAGTCGGTGGCGGATGGTGAGTCGCTTAGATGTGGGGGGTCATGCACGTGATGTTTACATCGGCTGTGGATCTGCTTGAACCCGCAGTGGGACCTTCCCCCTCTCCCACACCAGCGATGCCTAGGTATCAGACCTTAAGCGAGCGGGTTCATTTCATAAGCAATACCTCTATGGTAATTTGATTGTTCCAGACGAGTGTTGCTCTTCCGTGTAATCAAATCATATCTGTTCAAGACCACATTCTGGCGGACATGCGATATGCACAAACGGTGAAGAGGATTACATGGGGGTAGAACGAAGATGAAATGAACACGCCCATATCACATCGTAAAATACCCCGTGATCTTCAAAGGAAATGATTCGGAAGCCCTGCAAAAACGGATCTACGCAGTTGCCGCTTCCACAAGGCTCCGCTGCCTGACCACATCGGTGGCTGGCTGTGTCTTTAGATAATCAAAGGAACGCCCGTCAATTGCGCAATTTTATGGGTATTTGAGAGACCTCACATTGCCTGGTGAATGGAGAAACCCCGGTTTGAAGAGACGTATATTATATGAAGTTGAGATACGGACATCCTCCACAATAAACTCTTGCGCAACAAAATTAACAAAAACAACCATATGAGCATCTCTGGGCCCATCATCAAATCATCCTTCTGAAGTAAGCATGTTTATCTAAAACTATGTAAATAGTTGGAGAGAGGGCTGTACCAACAAGGCTTCCTGTGTTCTGCTGTTCACATCGCGAGGAAAGCTGCGACGGCAAACAAAGGGACAATTGATGGCTGACGGTTCAGTGTCGTAGCGCCGCTGGTAAACTTGGCCCATTTGGTACACTCCAAGCCCTTCTGTCCTATCGGGGAGTGGTAGATAGCGAAGCTCTTGATTGGCTTACTACAAGGAGGAAGTCAATGTTAGATAATGATCAAATCTGTATCTTAAGGAATGGGTGTCTTGCCCAATTAAAGTCCTACCAATCTGTGCGAAATAATCACTGGAGTAGGAAAATATACTTACGGAGCCACACTACATATACCAGCATCTGTCGTTCGACAGCTTGCCCGAAAGGGCACGTTATCTTTGGGTTGATCTGTGGCGCCCTGGGTACTGTTGGCAGAAGTGCAGTTGGGAAAATTGTAGGTCATCAATGTCCATTCACTCCATCCACCAGCATCCTTTGGGACACCTTTTGGGACTTGGTTTGGGCCGCCTAGGTGATACCAGATGCGGTTGTAATTTGTGTTCGGGCTGTAGAAGGGAACATTGCCTACGGTGTAGTTGATGGATTGTGAAGGAGGGAATGACCAGGTGTCTTGATAAGTGTAGTTTGAGCGCTGAATGAACAGCTCTTGGAGGTTGAAGCATGTGTGGTATGCAGGTATGTTCCCCGTAGTGAAGGCGATGGCATTGGCAATGTTGTGTTCTTGGCAAGTGCTCTCTTCGGACTCGGGGAAAAAGGCAACGGTGATGTTGTACCCGTACTTGTCAGGCCTTTTGAGTGCGATATTTAGTTAGCTTGACTTCGAGGTAGACTGCATGAGTCCAGCAATTGACAGTAATAAAGGTAAAGGGACACTTACAGTACTTGGGCATAGGCACAGAGGAGAAAGAAAAAGCCTGGCAACAAGAAACGTTCAATCAGCATGGTGCGTTGAAGAAAATAAGGACGTTAGGACTTAGGTCTGGGAGGGAGCGTATTGGGAATCAGATGAAAGTGATTGCAGTGATGATGATGATGATGATGATGAGAGGAGTGATTGCAGTGAGCGATGTTAGAGAAGGGCAGGAAGCGTTTCGGCGATGAAATGGGAATTCGAAGAAGGCCATCATTTTGCCATGGCGGGTAATGTTTCGTAGATCACATTACCTTCGAGCTGAACAACAGCTGCCGATGACCGCATTGCGCATGAATAACCACCGTGTAATATAACTTTATAAAGGCAAGTGCGACTTGCCAAGATCATTCCGTAGCCTCTGAACCTTTAATGCTGCAATGATGGTTCAATTGGAAATAGAGTGCGTGATTTAAACGTATTAGGTGGCTTTCCTATCCCGTCTCAATAAACTTAGCCTAAACCACTGACCAACAAAAGTTGCGTTACATCCGAGCACTGGCAACGGATACTTTTGGGCTTGGGACTGGGGCAGAGCCAACTTTGTTGATATTGCAGCATGTGAGTGGTCGGCTGTTGAAGGCCGCGAAGCCAACAATTGGATAAGTTACATGTTAGCGTACCACAATGGCGGGATTAACAGGGAGCAAGCCAAAGCCATTTCCTGGGTAAATGCCTATTCGTGCCTCAGCCGCAGCCGCAGCCGTAGCCGCAGCCACGCAGTCTGCCATGCAACCGAGAGACCTCAACCGTAGTTACCAGGCCCCATTCTCAGCGATGTGCAGTTACAGAATAGGCAGAAGTTGCAGCGTCTACCTTGAGATCAGCCGAACTTTTCAGAACTTTTGGAGTGCATGAGAGCAGAAGTCGGAGAGTCCATGTGTGAGGCGGAACAAGTGCAAGGCCTCTCTATCATGTTTCTTGAAGCGCATACATGCACGGTGTCCAAAAGCTACTATCCAGAGACAAGGGGAAAATAACTTTTTGTTGAGTAGTGCGTTATAGCAATCACTGTGGGGCTTGGTGCCTTGTTGGGATTAACTCTGAGTGAACGCTCACTCTCCTCTCCTGGTAAAAATATAAATACGAAGGGTGAACCCCGCGACAAGTTACCACTGTGATCTCCTATTAATCCATCGACACTTCTCCCAATATTCATTATTTCCCACTCCTCACATCACAACCATTCATACCACTCCTGAGCAATATGAAGTTCACATCTTTCGGAGCAATGGCTTTTATGACTACTGTGACAGTCATGGCAGGGATCCTTCCTTCTCGACAAAATGGGGCGGTCCACTGTATCGATGGTGTCCAAGGTCCAGACCCCGCTATTCAGTATGAAAATGGTAAATAGACTTTTGTTCTTTTCTGGATCCTCTCCGGTCTTTTTAGAGGATTTCTTTCCAAACTATTAGCTGATACGAATCTCTTATGAATAGCTGAGTGTGCTGGGGATTGTGTGTTTAGAGAGAATTCTCCAGATGCCAGCTCCCTTGGTAACCTATGTGCCGGGTCTTGCGAATTCTATGCTCCCCCTGCTACAGGACCAGGCAATGTTCCTACCTCGTACTACAGATGTACCAGTTAGTATTTGATCTCATTGGGGGGGCAAGGTATTGTGTGAGGGGCTAACAAGGCTTGCTAGACACTTGGAACTGACGAAAAGAGGGTCGTTATAGTCAAGCAATGTTTTCACTCATTGGATATTGAATTCTATGGTATGAACAGATACAATTTTTTCGAACATCTAATTGGTGTCTTCTTCGGTGATGTTGACCTGACGTGAGACCTCTGTGAAGTATTGTACGTAAATACTCTCCTAAGATGCGTGTCCAGAATTCCCTGCCATCCACGTAATGTTTTACGGCTATGACAAGAATCTTTGTGAGACTGCTGGTGTACATTCTGAAAATCTTACATTGGCGCGTCGCCTCATATTTGCTCTCAAGCTGTTCTGATCTTTGTCCCATCCCCACAGTGACAAGTTTCCGCCCATATCTATCTGCCTTCAATTGCTTTTGGACAACTCACCGGGGGAGTTCCCCGATATCCTAATTCAGGAATTCGATTTATTTCATTGCACATGTACTTTGATCTTAACAATTGAAGCGCATCATTTGCCACTTGAGGATTTCTACGTGAGGCAATGTTGTACGCACCTCGTGAATTCTGGCTATACCGTTGTTGGTACTTTGTGGGAATCTTGCAGGTCGTTACGCTACACTTAGTATGCATGTACACCCGAGTTACGACCATGTGAAAACCGCGTTCCGCCCAACGGAAAAGATTGTATTTTACCCCTAAATTGCACTCGAGGAAAATGACATCAAAGCCAAGAGATGATCTCCCTCACACATGGCTGTTATGGATATTTAAGTGTTGGTTCTGGTCTAAGAGTGCAGTTTGATGTCCCTCACAAGAACCTGTTGGATCTAGAAACGCTGTCTATTTAAATTGTCCTGCGCCAAGCAGTGAATTTGGCCTTGGGCATACCGCCACTTTACCTTCGTTGCGTCCACAGCAAGGCATTGGCCACTTGAAAGTCTCTCAATTTGCACTGTTGCAGTGCGCGACAGCCAAGGAGGCGTAGGAAAACGTATCGCCGTTCGGTGAGCTGCTCGCTTCGTGCTCGTCTTCTTCTCGTCTAAGTTTGGCCAGTCATAGTTTCGGATTATCTCCCTGATCAACCGCAGGACACCGCAGGTGCTGACCTGAGATTCACATCCACATCACGCTTCTATTTGCCAAGAGCTCGTTTGTATAGGACCCCGCTCGTTGGTTTGTTTACGGTCACAAATCTGTCGGTGGGTGATGAGGATTTTGTTAAAATGCTATGTTAAACCTCAATGAAACCTCTGCGAGTCGTCGAATCGTACTCGTAAGATCAACTGAGACCAAATGCCGAGCCTCGACCTGTGGTAGATCTGCATCGGCGCGTCACCTCTCCTGGTGAATCAACCGAGAAGTGATTCGACCTGTGGAGGAAAGAGTTGATGCCTAGCCTGTTCCACTCAAGATGTGGTCAAACCTGCGGCAGACTGGCGTATTTCTGCTTATTCTGCCATAAATTATCAAGCAAGCCAAGATGTTGGGACTGAAAAGAATTGCTTAACCGCCTGAGGGAAAACACGTCATGGCCGCATTGGGTACTTGGCACACCAGGTAGTAACCTAATCGCTTGCAGTTGAAGTCATATGGATGTTATTCCTTCCATAGAATTCAAGAATAACTTCGTAATTGACTTTAAAAAGGCATAAGAGTATTCGCCTCCCCTGGGTCTCCCGCCTGGATCACATATCGCCACCATTTGCAACAGCAGTATATTGCTTTAGCATAATCTTCTTTCACGTTATCACTCTGCAAGAGGTCTACCATCAGTCTTTGATCATGACTGATGTTGTTTCCGCCATCGGGTTACTGGGCACTGCACTTGGTATTGTCTCCTTCTTTCAATCCAACATCGCAGGTGGTGCGGCACCGCAAGGCCCTGTGATCAGAGTTAAAGCTGGAGGGCCACGAAACGACGATGATGTCAGCCTGGTGAGAGTATTTCCCTAATTCTGGACAAAGTATGTGCCTAATATGAGAAGGGGGGCAAAATTGCAGCTACGTATGGCTGGAGTAGCCAGAACGATTATCTCGGTGAGTTTCGCATATATTTGCTCCTGTTATAAGTAAGTCTAACGAAGAACGTATAGGCCAATCGGACAGCGGCTCTATGGGGAACGCGGGCTTTTCGGATTTCATAGTCGACTCTTACGAACCAGGAACTGTTGCTGCGTATGTTGGTGTTGCTTCGGACGACGATGGCGTGTGTATCGCTTGGATTACAGATAAACAGCTTGACGATACAGCTGGTGGTGCATGGACCGGCGACATTGGAAAACAGTGTGGGCAAGTGGTTTACTACCAAGCAGAGCATGCGGGACGTCTACCTGATGGCGGAGACTACTGTAAGTTTTGTCATTTCACACCGTCACATTTGTATTTCTGTTTGCCCAGAAGTTTTACCTATACACCAGTCGTATTTATTTAGGCACATGCGTTGCTAATTTCATTTCTCGCCATAGACCCCTGGTGTACTTGGATAGATAAAGATCACTCCGAAGACGTAACCACTGCAGCGTTGAAGTTCAATGTCTTTGCCTATGGTGAACATGTAACCGACACCCTTACTAATGATAAGGCATGCGCGTCCACTCTGTGGGGTCCGGATAGTGGCCCGATACCTGGTAAGCCACTTAGTCAGATCGGAGAGATTGGATGAACAATGCTAATTGGAGTTGTATTTGATTATAGGACAGCCTGCTAAAAGATCTTACAACAAGCCGCGTAAGGCATGGATGGAGAACCAGCTTATTGTCTCCACCATTGACTCACACCAGGCTATGGAGCTCTGCAATACTGAAAACTCCTGGGGTCCAGGTATGAATACACTGTTTGTCCATTTCTTGAGGAATAAAGAGTCATATACAGAAAACAAAGCATCTAGAAGGACTATGTATACTAATTATTGCACAGACTTCGTCGGATCAGATGGCTACTTCTGCGACATGGGCACTCACACAGCTCTCCCGCTATGTTCGACCAAAGATATTGATGGCTGCGTTAATGTCGAAGATGAAAACAAAGCCGTTGTCAAGCGGTCCATCGGGCCGAAGCGTGCGGTCAATGAAGCTTTCAAGCAGTATACCAAGATCACGAACTGGTCCGCTTGAATATGGGAGACGAGATTACCAAGGTGACTCGGCGATGCGAGCACTTTATTCTCCCAGCAAACGTCCGGTTTCTTTGATAGTGTTCTTTTCTAGGATATGGGAAATTTGATCTTCATCTATTGTTGAATGATGTGGCAACATCAATTCACATACGTTCATTTGCTGGGTTACAACAGCGTCACGGGATATACACCAGCATACGAAGGCACATATAAAAACTCATTCATACATGAACGGCAGCATTTTGGACTCATGAGTGATCTAAGAACACTTTCATAAGCTTGAGAAGAAGCGATTTTTGTTCTTGTGAGATACCTTTCTTCCCACACCTAGCCAAAGATCCGTATTCACGTTGCCCGGGAGAATTCATTTCACGTGTCAATCCATCCCTTGATCGACTACCAAGTGATATGGTATCATGACCGCACTCTTTACGTGTTTCTGGTGCTTGCGGGGCGGGCGCCTGGGTGACAGGGATCGGATCCTTTGTTTACTTTCCGACAGATAAGCGAAACGCGGGGTAGTGGGAGGAAATTCAATTCTAGTTGCAAGCAACCGTTAAACGAGCCAACTTTGAAGATTACAATATAGGTATCGCGCCACCTAGATCATCTCCCGTCTCAATGTCATCTTCTTCATCTAGGCATTCTCATAGCTCGCTAACAGCCTGAACCTCAACCAGAAACTGTTTATTGACACCCAATTGACACCCGATATTACCGTGGTTGCTAGTTTGCGCCACAGTCATTATATCTCCGATTAACAGAGGTTCGATTGTGGAAATCAAAACTTCTCATGGATCATCCAGTAACTCCTTCCCCACTCACTTTGGCAGACAGACATTCCACATCTGCTATGCTGGTCGTGAACGTATTCGAAGCTTCACTTGCCGCAATGGGTAAAAGCATCAACCATGGACCAGTAGTTGCCACAGGAGTGGCTTGGAATACGTATAGACACAGAGTCGGATTGTTGCAATCACCCAAGCTTCAATCTGAGTACAAGATGGAAACTAACCTCAGCTTCGAACTTTGAGCTTGCTTCGATTTGGAGGAGTCGACATAAGGAGAGACGATGAGGGAGATATCTTGCCACGCAAAATACAGCCCAAATAGACTTGTCGAGGGTGAATTCTATCCACAGCTTGCCAGAAGAAAACAATCAACATGTCCAGAATATAGTCCATAAACAAGTAGATGCCAATGATATTTGTTTTTTAGTGAATCTTCCCGTCAGCCAAGGTCGCGGTGACACGTAGGGAGTTGAAAAAGATCGAAAGAATGCTGTTGATAGCGCACCTGATCCATGTTCCATAGAAGCCTAGAAAGCCCAAAGTATAGAGAATCAATCTCATCGAAGATGAATCTGTTGCCATGGCTGACGTGGCATGTAACTGGGGATATTTCTGGCTGTGAGTAGCTGTTCGATCCAGCGAAGCAAGTAAACTTAAAGAATTCGAGTCTCAACTAAAGCTTTCTCTAGTTCATATATCTTCGGACCCGTACACAAACGGACAACGGCCTGAGCTGAACCGTGAGAGCCTGGCCAGACATCAACCTCCCCAACTTTGTTGGACAATAGCTGAATCTGAAACGTGTAAAGCTGCATGATAAAGCTGATAATCGGAACGGCCACAGTTGGGGAGTGGAGACTATTTACGAGCAACGTCAATTTCGTGGAGAACCTGCCTGGCACTAGGCGAATCTAAAGTAACGACTTGTGGAGATAGTTTTCTTTCGAAGTCCAATTGGATGTTGAAATCGCAGCCTAACTTCCAAATCTCATCCGTTTCCGACATGTCATCTGTGACGATCAAGTCCATTTAATCAATTGGCTGTTCCAGAACTTAGCACATTTGGCGCTGTTGATTGGAGCTGGAGGGGTTAGTGAGCTGCTTATTTCGTGACTCGCTTCGCTCCCCCTGCAATTACTCTCTTCAGTCTACTAAATGACGGTTGGGCTGTACCACAGAATTGAATATGGACTCCTTCAAGATAGATCAATGGGATGCGACCTAGAAATACCATGAATTGATTACAGAAACAGATGTAACTGAATTATCGAAGAATTTGAACCACATCAATACAGCGAGAAAACATGAACAACCCCATCCCACTTCTCCGCCGGCTGCAACGTCGCCCACACCGAGAAGTGCTCAAGTGAGCTGATACACACTGAGGCGGTTTCCAGCTCCGCAGTATTCGTAAATGTTACCTGGGCAAGTGAATGAGCACTCAGTGTTGTTAGCGGCCACGGATCCAGCCGAGAAGTAGTTCGCGCAGTAGCCTAGAGAATCTGTCAGTTCCAGCTTCGAAAGCACATTGAAAGAACTAACATTCACGTCCATATTCGACACCGAAGAGTGCAAAGCTTCCAGCTGCACAGAAATTCTCACACATCTCTAGTGTCATGCTATCGCTTGCGGTAGCTGCTCCAGCTAATGCTCGCGCAGTTGTTCCTTCTGTTTGGCAGCCGTAATACGTATACGGTCCAATGGTGGGTTTGATTGCTGGTCCTGTACCGGTAGCAGCTGGTGCAGATGCTGTGATGGTTGCGATGGCGTTGTTGAAGTTATAAATATTGAGACGATTGCCACCCTAATTGGGATGGAATTTAGCAATCTGCGGAGAACATTGGACTCCAAAAGGAAAACTTCGTCTAGGTCAAAGTTTGAGGGGGGGCGGGGGAGGGGGGGGATGAAAGTACTCACACCACAATATTCTGAGAGATTTCCAGCACAAAGCATATTACAGCCAGAGAGCCCATCTGGGGTCGTGGGTGCAACCATGCCGCCATTTGCGAAGGAGTTACCACACCCTACACATGATCAGCGAAGTTACTTTGTCTCATGATAATGTTTCAGTCGAATATACTCACAGCATTGTTGAGAATATTCCACGCCAGCAAGCAAATAGTTTCCATTTTGACAAGCTGCCGTACAAAGATCAACTGTCAAGGCACCTGGACCACCAGCTGTAGGAACACCATTTGGCAGAACACGACCAGTGACACCTTCAGTGTAGCAGCCTACGATCTTCCAGTTTCCAGCACCAGGGTTGGTCTGAGGTCCACTGACACCACTCCAGAATATACTGAGTCTATTCACGCCCCCGCAAGGCTGGGTCTGGTTTCCGGTGCAGGGCATGTTGCAATCTGATGGTGTGTTGGAAACGGTGGCACCGGGTGCGATGCTACTTGCGCAAACTGTGGTGGTCAGCATGTTTACTTCACAATATGATGTGGATTTTGGAGGTAGTGCTAACAGCATTGAGAACTGTACTGAGTTCCAGCATAAATGAAGCCTCTGTCGCTACAGTATTTGATGCACGATTCATCTGTCATGGCAGTGGTATTCGTGTAGCTCGCTCCATTGAGGGTTCTTCCTACCTCGCTGTAAAATCCAATCAACTGTTAGCTCGGGCCACCACAGGAATTGTTCTACAGGTTTGAGGGGGATTTTTTTTTCACGTGTAGCATCCTCGATATGTCCAAGATCCGGGAAGTGTTGGAATCTCGAGCGCAAGAATGGGGATGAACTATTTTTTGTTAGACAGTCCGCACTTCAAAGGTATTCACATGGGGCGATTACAGGAGACAGCAAGGTGAGTGCGGCAAAGAAAGGTTGGAAGCGCTTCACAACCATGTTGAAGCTTTCTTTTTGATGTCGATTCTCAAATGACTCTTCGCTTGTAAGCAGGCGGTGGTGATGGCGGGTGATCAATGGTGCGTTCGATCAACTCGTTATATGTTCAGACTCATCAGTGAATTTCCGAAAGTTTTGAGGAAGTTTTTCGTGTGGCTGCTCTTGGGGAGCTATTGAGGAGACCTCCGAACAACAGTTTAAAGTATTGGTACTACTGCCAAGAGCGCCGCGGGGTACGACATGATGGAGGCAAAAGCAGAATGTGGTTAAATTTACCCGGCGGGGATAAATAGCTTAAGTTTCCTACTCATAAATTGGTTTTTTCTCTTCTAGATGTTCTTTTCGTTCGCTCAAAGAAATCCCAAAGATTCCTGTTTGATCTAAGACATGATAAGTATCATTTCGGACTCTTTGAACACATGGACATTCTTCAAACTTCAATATCTTGTTTCCTGAAGATACCCCGCAACGTTTTGTCTGCGTTACCCGCACTCGTATTTAAGCTGCACTACTGCCGTGCGACTTCCATATGCAGGTGCTCACAGACACCAACCCGCCAGAAACCTTGGCAGGGGTACCGATCTTGACACCAAGTCGTATAGTACGAAAAACATTCTTATTGGGCATGAAGAAGAATCTAGGTGTTACAGAAGCGATTTCATCAACACTGTCATGCAAAGGTACTGCCCGTACTAGGCGCTGGGTAACTCTGGGTGATGTTACTTCCGTCGATAATGTGTACACCTTTCTCTCTTTTTCAGCTGGAACTGTGGTGATACACGATTCGACTTACATGGCAGCGGTTCTTCCGGTTAAAATAATTGTCTGCAGTGAGAGAAGTTGTTCATTTACCACCAAATGGCCTATTGGGCCCGTTGAATGTAGGGTAATATGACAACGGAGCCGGCTTTGAGGGTACCGAGTTTCAACACTTGCAATAGTTCCGCGCATTGTTCCGATACCTCTAAGAATTGGGAGAGGAATTTACGCTCAACATCCATCTAATCGAGAATCCTGCCTGAAAGTTGCCGTTGTGGAGTGTATGACAAGATCCCGATGCAAAGCAACTGATCGGGAAGGATTTTTGGACCATCAGAGAGTGACACCAAAGTCATCGAAAACCAGCAATGACAAAGCTGGAGTGGCGAGAGGATTTGAAGGCAAGATCGAATGTGACTTGTCCGCTTGGCAGTCATTGCCCGATAACATCGAGGTTTGACAAGACATGAGAGTACCGCAAGCCGAGGTTTAATGTAATCCAGAGGGCGTCACGTCGTGCTTCGTTGGCTGATGTTGCTTGGCATCTCCGAGATACCCCAACAACACTCTGTTCATTGTCTTCAGTTGAGTAGGTAGCTCGTAACTACAGGAGGGGCTTCGACGATATACAAGCCTGGGATGACGAACTTGACTCCTCCAATCAGTTCGAGCGCCTGTTAAGCCACGTAGTTGTGCTTCCGTGCATTGAATTGCGTTGGCCCCAGCCGATGATGTTGCTTCGGGAGAGGGGTTAGCGCTCGACGTCATCACGTAGTCAGATTGTTCAAGAAGGAAGTCTCAGGTGAGCAATTTTGAATGGGAGAGGCTTGCGTGTCAACTGCTGTGTGTTTGGGAGTGTCAGTCTCAGTGAGAATTCGCGACTCCACAATTTTGGTTCCCGCTTAAAAATAACAAAACTACACACCACCCTGCCGATCTAAGAATTTCAAACAAAACCAACAACCAGTACCCTCCAGCGCTCCCCATAAACCAACTTCGTCGGATCCGGCTCCAATTGCATTGCCTTGGTGTCTGTGACAAAAAGTGAAAGCACCGGTAACTTGTACTTCAGAAGTACCATTCACCATTTAAAACCTCTGTTCTGCGCACCTAATATTCGTAGATGATGGAAATGGTGAGTACTGTGGTGAAATGGCTATTCCAGTCCGGTAAAGAATAGCGCTAGGTGAATCTAGTAGGGGGAAGATACTGCGTTACAGGGATGAGTGTTGAGTATAAAAGACTCCTCCACTTCCTCCTCTACTCACTCCGTAAACAACACAGGTTGATATCGGAGCAACAACGCATGTGGAGAGTCAACGGGCGGGCGCGTCTTCATTGAATGTGTCTTGAACAGTGGAAGGGCAAACACACATACATACATCTGCTAGCTTGTAAGATACGGACGGGAATGATTATTGTGCAAGTAACTGGCTTTGAGGAGCCCAAAATTTGAACCCTCGGAAGATCAGTCACGTTTGGTTTCGTTGCTGTCATTTACCCGTCCCATTGTCGTTTCTCTACAAGTTCGCTAAAATCATCTCAACTTCTTCGTCCGCAGCCTGGAGGATATGCTCAGGTCGATACTTGGGTTGCCACCCAATCTGAGCACCATGTTCAGGCGTGAAGGTACACCTAGAACCTCACATCAGCCCCGACTCAGAATCGCAAGAAAAGTTAAAATTGCAAACTCACAATCCTCCCAATTGCACAACAACATGCTCTTTCTTACACCCGATCCCCAAACCCATTTTCTCAAGATCCGCATCCGTCGCTTTCTCAACCGCTGAACTTTGAATCACGCCACGCTTGGCCAGAGCGCAAGCCATTGCAGAATAGAGATCGTCCCATGCGATACTACCTGGTGAAGCGAGGTAATATCCGGATTTGCCGGAGCCGATGGAGGTGTCGAGAAAGATTTGTTGCAGGATGTGGATGAGGAGGGTGGAGTTATCGCTGATGTGGCAGACGGGCCAGGTCTGGGAAGAGGAGGGCAGAAGAGTTAGTCAGTCGTTGTGGGAGTGGATGCAGGGGATACTGGAGGGAAGGGAAAGGAAAGGGAAAGGAAAGGGAAGGGAAGGGAAAGGATAGGGAAAGGGAAAGGGAAAGGGAAGGGAAAGGAAAGGGAAGGAGAACTGAGAGATACGTACATATCGTTCTTTGTTGGGTGGGTAGACTGCTCCGGCTGCTTTGGCGGCTTTTACAATTGCGACAGTCTGGATGGAAATCGGGTTTCCGAAGCCTTCGCTTTTGCCATTTGGGTTTCGGCTCACATCAGCTGAATGGCGCGTTACTTGCAGTTTATGGAATACTGACAGACGATACAGGGTGCGAAGATATATGATTTGATCCCTTTTGCTTCACAGAGTTCGATGATAGTGTTATTTGTTTCTGTAGCCTGTCATCCAAAATATAAACCAGTACCCTTATGCTTGTCAGTTAAGGGGAGTGATATGAATTACCTGTTGCATAAACCCAAATGGAGCTTTCTGGTTCTTCTGGATATCATAGAGATCTGGATTTGTATCTAGTAATGCCACATCTGTAGGTGCACCCGCATGACTTGAGAAGATCTTGGCGCCAGATACCTGTCAAAGGTCCTGTCAGCACCATACAATACCATTTCGTTCTCCATTCTCCCATCCCAAAACAGCAAAGTGGTAAGCAAGTATGCCCACCACACACTAACTCACATGTAAAAAATGAACCTCCCTCCCCGTCCTCCTCCTCACCTCCCCCAGCGCATCAATAAAAGCCACCTGGCCCTCACACCTCAACGCATCAATCAAATAAAACACAACTGTGATTTCATTTTTCATGATAGCGTCATGCACTTCAGCTTTGTTATTGACTGCGAATGTGAGAGGTTCTGCACCGTATTTACGCACGGCTGTGGCCTGTGATTCGCTTCGGACGAGGGCGAAGAGTTTAGCTGAGGGTGGGAGGAGGTTGGATGAGGGGAGGGTGAGGCGCGCGAGGAGGTCGCCGCCGAGGTAGCCTGAGCTGCCGGTTAGGAGGATGTGGTGGGGTGGGAATGGGGAAAAGGACATGGTGTGGAGTTTCGGTAACTAAGGTAGAGTAGGAGAAGATGTTGGGATGAGTTGTTAATATTTGTTAGGAAATAAATTCAGAGCATTTGTATTTAGGCAGTGTGCAAATGTTGATGGTGTTGACGTAAGTGAAGACAGGGTTGTAATGTAAAGCGGGAACGGGTTGTCCGCTCCGTTGCGATGAAGCGAATTGACTAATTCGGTAGAAATTTTATAGACCAAAGCAGCCGACATCGTTGCCGAACACTTGGAATTGGATTCAATAACAGAGGCTCTCTACGTACAATAATGAGACCTGGTGATTAATTGGAACCGCCTAACAGTGATGGTATAAGTTTCATTGGCATCTCATCTATGTTGGTCCTTACCAATATTGCCGAGGCTGAATAATTAAGAATACGCTGGCTATCATCTTGCCCGTTGACTAGATGCTGGTGGCAGTCGAAGGCAGCGAAGTATACTTGTTTGCTAAGTAAGTTTTGTTATGATGAGTACTGGCTTATTCCTTCTCATGCAAGTGCACATTGCAAGATTATCAAGTGTCGAAACTTTTTTTTCCATGTAACTCTGACAACTCGAATAAGATCTCATTCGTTTATACACGGAGTTCCACAGGAAACGATGAGATTGCATGATATATGATTTTGCTCAGTATTGTTGTGTGACGACCAGGGAGTAAAAAGATGTGTGTTATATTTCTTTAAGCATACGAATGTTATGTATGTGGAACCTGTGAACCCTGCAACATCACGTAGAACGGCGGAATCATATGCCTGAATCTATAATATAACACGATCGAGCAAAAGCAAAATAAAGCAAGGAAACTCGTCAGCAACGTGAAAGAGCGCCATTGGAATGGAGCAGCTCAAGCGCCATCACTTAGCCCATCTGCACACCCGAGTGCTTCTCCACGTCTAGCACCGTCTTCAAATGCTCGTACTTCAGCTTCACCCCCTGATGACAAGCCAACAGCTGCCCTGTCTTCAGCACGTTCTTGATCTGCCGCCCATTAATCTCCACCTGCGCAAGACTCTCCACCTCCCCATCAACAATCTCATGCTCCACTCCCCTCGCAAGGAAGTTCTCCCACACCTGCATCCGACTGGTTTTATCCAGCCCAGGATACTCCATACTGATATGGATGCGCGACTGGAACGCTGGATCCATGTTCTTGACTCTGTTGGTGGTGAGGAAGAGGATGCCTTCGTAGTATTCTAGTGTGCGGAGGAAGATGGAGACTATTTTGTTGCGTTCCAAATCGTGCGCTGAGCGCGCTTCAAGGAAGACGTCGCATTCGTCGAGGAGGAGGACGGCGTTCCATTTGGCGACCATTTCGAGGATGGTAGTCAGGCTGGCTTCGACTTCTGAACTCTTGATGCCGAGATCGCCGGCCGACATCATGTATAAGGGGACTTTCATATTCTCTGCGACGGACTCGGCGGTGAGTGTCTTGCCTATGCCGGGGCCGCCGGAGAGGAGCATGATGATACCGCGGCCTTTGCCGGAGATTACGTCGTCGAATTTTTTGGAGTGGAGGACTTGGGAGGACGCGAAGGCGAGGATGAGTTCTTTTTGGGAGGGGGGAAGGACGAGGGAGGAGAAGGCTTGGTCGTTGAATTGGATGGGGAGAATGGAGTCGACGAAGAAGGAGAGCCAGCGTTTGGTTTTGAGGGTGTAGCCTTTGAGCAGGGAAGAGCAGTGCATTAGCTGCTCGTCGGTGAGAGGTGTGCGTTTGACATCGATAGGGTTGGTGTTGGCGATCGCGGTTGGTGTGGATTCGTCATCGTCCGAGCCGGAGTACTCATACTCTGACTCCTCATCTTCCTCGGCATCAGAATCGTTCTCGACGATTGCCTTGCTTTTGATCTTGAGAGGCGAGAGATGCTTGAGGCTATTGGGATTGAATTTGCCGTAGGCGAATGTATCACTGCCTGTGTTAGCTTGGTTCCTCAAGAGTGGTGAGGGCAGACTTACATGATGACTCGACTGTCGACGGTCACTTTGATATCATTACCACACATATCTTTGCCAAGTGCAAAGGCCTTATAGGCCTTGTAGTGGTAACCATGATAGTGTTCAAACAACTTTCCACGCTTGAGGAGCTGTGCTTTTATCTTTTTCTCATCTGGGTGGAAGCTCAAAGGGAAAGCGTCGAGGGAGGCAATTGGTCGGGTGCCGGCAAATGCCAAGATTATGTGTTGATTGGAAGCGTATCCAAATTTATCACCGTCCCAATCAACCTTTTGTGCGTTGACTCCATAGCAAGGTCCATATTTTGGGTGTTCATAGTAACTACCATTCGAGAATTTACTCCCGCAATGACGACCCCATTCTTCAGAGTAGAGGGTGGTGCCGGGTTGGAAGATAGTCCACAGGTGCTCGAACGTGATGACCTTATTCTTAATATAGTCTGCCTTTGCAGCAATGGTGTCCTTCAGCTCGGCTTCAAGGACAGTGTGTAGGAGTTGGACATGCTCCTTTGTTTCGCCTTCTTCTTGTTCCTCGAGTGCGGTGGAGAGTTGAGTCCAGCGATGGACGAAGGGATTGAATGGTGCTTGGAAGATGAGGCGGTTGAGGGTCGGTGTGACGCCTGTTACATTAGTAATATGCATTTATATTTTTGTACTGAAGAATACATACCAGGGTAATCCTTCAGAACCTTTGTGAGTATTTGCTTCAGAAGAGGGGATTGAATGACAATACTATCAATCTCCAGCTTCTTGCGAGAATCGAAACTCTTCTTGTTGCGGACAAGGATTGCATAGCGAGCTGTAACTTCATTCTCCGCTGCCTCATCCAAGTCTTCCGGATACTTGTCGGTCCATGATGTTCGACCTCGCTCGTCTTCCTTTTGGTAAAGATTCTTGAGGTCACACTTCATTCCGAGCTTAGGAACTGTCTCCTCTACTGAATCTGTCTCTCCATTGACACCGTTGGAAACGGCTTTCACTGCGACTGTCTGGGAGATATCTCCCTCGATATTGCTTTGCTCAAGTGTTGGTGCCATTGTGGTCGCTTGATCAGGTTTGAGAATGAGTGAGAAGGATTTGGGACGATAAGTTGGGAGAAAGTAAAAGTCTTAAGTAAAAGATGATGGGCATTTCGGATCAAAGCTCTAAATTCATCTGGGGATTAGGCAGTCAACAAGGCTAGCCATGGCCGCCGATTGACTCACCGAATTGATATAGGCAAATCAGCGAGCTCTGATATTCTGTGCCTCACGTTCACTTGAATCATGAAGGCTGCCATTCTTTTCACGCGAATCAAGAGGCTCGACACATGTGGAGATCTGCTATGAGGAATAAGTATCATGTCGAGATGTGCCAGGCTGCCGAATCCTTCGATGTCGGTACTTCCAAATACCGATTTCTGCCTCGGGGATCTCCACAATTAAAAGGCATAGACGGAGAGGCCCCTTACTAGGTACTGCTTTAGGTGGCGCAACCACTGCGTAAGGTTACTTGAGTTGTGACTAGATCAAATGAAGTGAGGTCACGGTTCGACGCTGCCAACATTAGGTACCATAACATGATGAAGCGAGGAGGATGAAGTGACTGTGTCGGCAAAGACCCCCTTGTGAAGTCTATCACGTGCTCATGTGATGGTGCTAACCGGGCTAGCCGGGGCATTTAGCCGGCTTTCCCTATTTTCGCGTTCCAGCGCGACTTGCCACTTCTGCCCCTCTATATTTGCTTTTTCCTTGTCGCGAACTCACCTGTCCGCCTCTGCCCCAGTCCACATGTGGTCGCAACAGCGACGATGTTAATATGCCACACAAAAGCATCCAGGCAGCGGAAAAAGCAGCCATCGAAGGCGAGACAGAGCAGTGGGATACCCAGCAGTGCAGGGCTCTGAACGTTGAACTGGAGGCGCTGTTAGTGAGTGATATGCAGGCGCCCATCGACCAGGTCCAGGATCCTGCAGGCTAACCTCTTTCTAGACCAGCAGCCCGACCCGCTCCTCAGGGAATCAAGTCGCGTCTGCCATCGCCAGAGTCGCGATCCCATCATCCCCCCAGCAGCCAGTCGAGAACCACGAGCAGGAAGACTCACAGGTTGTTGTTGCACTAGATGCTTACGAGGAGCCCAATGCGGTTGCGGATTCACCTGCGAATGGAGATGGCAACCCAGATGAACTCCGCCAACTGGACCAACCTGCCACTGCTAATGATGATTTGAAACCTCGACCTGACGAGATTCAAGGACCGCTGCAAATCAGACGTGATAGCCTGGGAAGATTGAGGGCATATACCGCAGCAGGAGAAGAAGTTTCGCCTGCACAGTTCATCAAGAAATACCAAATGGCTCAAGCACAAGCAGCCATGGACGATTTCACCCAAAGATCTTCGATGTCTGCAACCCAAGAAAATCCTCAATACCTCTACGAACAGTTCCAGATGCAACGAATGAACCGCGAAGACTGCCCTTCTACTTCAATACCCAATGACGACAGTGAAAGCGAAGATCAAGGACCAGAACCACCGGTCCACGATCCTAGACATGCATCCGCTTCTACCGCATACACCTATCAGGAGAACGACACTGGCCATATTCATCTGGGCTTCGATACCGAACCCATAGAAGAGGAGCCCCTTGAAGAATCACAAGATGGATCGTATACTATGCCAATGCCAGTAGTACATCCAAATTATAGCTCATTTGAGCCAAAGACTCCAGCACCTCCGGTCAATCCATTCCGGCAGAAAGGGAGTGTCATGGAAGGCTTCGAATTATTCGGTGCTACACAACCATCTTCGATCGGTCGTCATATGGCAGCGACTCCTACGTCTTCTAGGCCGTCACCCGATGTCTATAATGATTTCAGCTCACCTCCTAAGCATCCAGCGCCAGAACTGTCGTCTCCATTACGTAGAGGGCTGCCTGAGCCTGATTCGGACATGAACGATGCTACACCGTTACAGTCATCGGTACGTAACATGCTCGGGCGATCCCAATTATCAAGAACGGCACAATCTTTCGATGCTGGACCGAAGAATGCTTGGGCCAATCCCGAACCACGCCCGTACGTTTCAATGCAGCAAAGCCAAGAGAAGAGGAGACGAACAGTTGAGCCTGACTTCGACTCGTCAGATGATGAGTCAGATATGGAAACACCACGGAACCATAATCGAAAGACGGAGCGAGAACTACAAATCCAAAAAGAGCTCGCTAAAGTTGAGTTACGCAAGAGGACGCCATCAACGAATCCACGGTCCTCGGCACCTCCATCGAGCACTGTTGCTGTAGAAGTACCTTCGACTGGTCGACGCCGGAGTGTTCAGGAAGACTACATAGCTCAGTGTTCTGGTCATGATGCTCGAGATACACAGCAAGACGATGTTATTGTTGACTCTCAGGCTGCGGAAACTGAGATTGAAGAGCCCGAACAACTTGACTCTTCGAAGCGACCAGTGGAAACTACAGAATCGTCGGTGGATCATCCAAGGCAAGGTGGAGAAGAGGTGGAACAAGAGCTGGACGGAGAAGCCACTCAGAATACCAATTCATCAAATCCAGAGCCAGCTCTGGATCTGGAACCAAGTCTTCCTTTACAAGAGATGTCCTCAAATCTAGGAGTGCGCACTCCAGGGAGTAAAATCCAATCAGATGCCGTTGATACTGTTCCTGAAACATCTCCACCAGAAGCACGCCTGCGCCCAATGGGAGAAATTGCTTCCCTCTCGTTTGGAGCGAGTGAAGATTTGCCAGACAACTTTCCAGGCTTCACACAAGACCTAGAGTTTGAAAATGCAATGCAAATAAGATCTTCACCCAGACCCCCAACGAGAAAACGGAGTCTAGGGAGAGCACCTAAATCATCCATGACTTCTGGTACTGGTAGCTCTATGGTCAACCCAGTATCAAGCGCAACTTCGTCTGCCCTTTCCAGTCCACCGAATTCTGCCGTCTTAGAAGAAACCGCTGCTGAAGTCAACCTCCATGACGAACCATCAGAAGATCCAAAAGATAAGGGGATAGTCAGACAGGACGAAGTGCCTATTCATGACAGTGACTTACAAGCAGACCCACAAACTGGTAGCAGCGTCAATACCGGATCTGACCCTTACGCGGCCCTGAACGCCACCCCCACCACACCAGCCACTCCGACGCCTGCTGATATAACACAAGATCAGCTCCAGCAGAATGAAGTTACGGCCCACTCGATTTCGTCGCTTCCAAACGAGCCGACCAAGCAAACTCCGAAGCGTATATTGAGAACATACAGTAAGCTCAGAGGCCCATCACGCAACTTGAGGCGTTCTCTCGATACATCAGCCACTAGAAGTCCACAGCCATCTTCCCGCGTTGCCAAAATGATGCCAGTACCCAAGACAATTACAAGTCCCCAATCGACCCCGGTTCGCAAGGCCGTCGCAAAGTCGAAACAGCCAACTCCAGTCGTGGCACCTGAGGCGCCCTCAGCCTCAATTCCTACCGGGACTAAGCGTACAAACAAGAGAAAGTCGGGAGTTACAGTTGTGCAGGAAGACAATATACAGCCAACAAGAGCATCAAAGCGGCAGTCACTGGCGAAAGATTCGAGTCCAGATCCCTTAGCTCTCTCTTCTCCATCAACTGCTGCACGAACTCCGAAAATAACGAGTGGTCTTTTCAAAGAAATGACCTTTGCCGTCAGCTACGTTGCTCACGAGCGCGAAAAAGACGAGATCACGAAGGCGATATTTGAGCAAGGTGGCCGGATTCTTCCAGATGGTTTCGATAGCTTGTTCGACTCAGCGAAGGGTGGCGAAAACGAGGAGCTCTTACTTTCGCCTTCAGCCAAGTCTGTGGGCTTTGTGGCTTTGATTGCAGATGAACATTCTCGAAAAGCAAAATACATGCAAGCCCTTGCCTTGGGACTTCCCTGTATCTCAGGGCATTGGATCACTGCCTGCGTTGCCAAAAGCACAATCGTTGATTGGTCACCGTACCTGCTCTGTGCTGGGCAGTCTTCTATTCTCGGTAACGCACACAAAAGTCGAGTCCTTGCGCCATATTCAGCACGAGAAGCTAAGCTCGAGGACACTTTCGCGAATAGAGGGAAGCTGCTTGAAGGAAAGTCTGTGCTGCTTGTTACAGGTAAGGGCAAAGGCTCTGAGAAGCGGAAGGCGTATACGTTCCTAGCACACGCGTTAGGACCGGCACGAATTAGCCAAGTTGCCGATTACCAGGATGCACGAAAGAAACTTAATCTGGACGGGGAATGGGATCTTCTCTATGTCGATGCCCACGAGAAAGCTGCAGAAGAAGCAGTTTTCGGTACTCCGACCGTATCGAGCAGTGCGTCTCGAAAGCGAAAGAGGGGGCCGACGGCTGTGGATGACTCACCTGCACCGAAGAAGATTAGGATCATCTCTGATGAGACGATGATCCAGAGCTTGATTCTGGGGCAACTGCTCGAGGATTAAGCGGTTGCAACATGTACAAGGAGTTGTACATTATGGGACTTAGATACAATGGATGTAAACATAGGGCATGGAATGGTGACGACAAAATGGCGCAAATGTTACTTTTTGGGATGTGCATAGCTATGGATGGAGGCATGGATGGAAGGAGTACGGTATTTGCTAATTTTAATGCCTCACTGACTGGGAATCCGAGATCTGTTGAGTTGTCGGCCAGCGGATGCTAGCAGAGGAGATGGAAATGGTTGTCACAGGCCAGCCGCGCTGGCGGTGGGGAGAGGCTGTATATATGTATGTACAGTATCTAGTACAGAAGTTTTGGCGAAATGTAAAATCTGGCACGATCATTACCATTACTATGATTATGACTGCTCACCAGATCCCTGGAAGATGTCTCGCGCCGGGTAGGTGAATTTCTGTTTGTCGTCTGTGTTATCCCGCCCTAGGTTTCCCTGTGGGTTCGGTTTGAGGTGAAGTGGATAGAGTGAGATTGTTGGCTTGTGGTATTAATTTGCTTCTTTTGTTCCGCTAATTGGTAGGTACAGAGATCTGTCAGAGGCGAATGTTTTGACGATGGTGGCAATGGGAGGGGAATATATAAGCACCTGTCTGTGTAAGTAAGTCTAAAGGAGGCAGTGAGGTTGCAAAAGACACTCAAAGACCCTCGATGGGAAAGGAGAGGATTCTGGTTTGGTCGAGAGAGTAGTGTAAGCGTTGGATGTTTCGTCTGGCTGAGAAAACTGGTGCTGAGCAAAAGACTTACATGTAGTTCTGGGCCGTGGTTTGGTGTTGCTTGGTGGAGGATACCTAAAGTGGGGGAGAATGACAGTACCACTAGAAATGGCAGTGGGTGAAAAAGAGTTGGTAGCGGTGGGTCGTGCCCATTCTGTCTGTTTGGCAAAGTATGGGAGTTGCATTTAATGCTGTGATTTCGGTGCAGGTTACGAGAGGGGGCCTACGCTTTTGATAGTGCAGTTGACATGTCTCAATATATCTGTTGAAAGAGCTACGGTCCATCGGGTGTTCATGTACTCTTCTTTGAGTTCCATCTCTGCTCAGTTGTTGCGGCCACTTCGTCAAGTTGAGAACTTTTATATGATTTCGGGCTTCTTGACAATTATGCAGAGATTTGAGTTTCACAGTCAGTACACGCCGAGTGCTGTGTATATGGAGGTGAATATGTGAATGAAATCTCATATGGATACTTTCCACCAAGACGATTGCAAGATCGACCACGTGCTAGGAGGATGAACTTTGCAGGGACTTAGATGTGTGTATATAAACACCTGTCAGACCTTATCTTTGCATGTTTAGAACTTCGGTGCAAAACGTTGGCGGGTGGCATACTTTGCAAGACTTCCGATGTTCTTGAAATACTCGAGTATTAGACAAGCGTTGGGTGTAGACATGAACGTGATATAGTGACAGCATTCTGCACTGGTGCTCAGCGTTTTTTCATTTACTGATCGAGCCTATGCAGAAGAAGTTTGCTACCGTGTTTGTTTTGGTTGTCATTCCAAGAGGTCTCATATTCTTACATATTTGCGTTTATCCACGCTTTCACTAAATTCACCGAAACATAAGCAGAGTGTGGAATTAAGATAACTTTATTAGATAGCAGAGGTTGCTTCACATAGGCGATTGGGAATGAAAGGGGCATTCTTGAGGAATGAAGGTTGGCTGGGATCACTTGGGTCAGGACTGCGTGTTTGTGCCTTAGATAATGACCCATCTGATAACATTCACCTGATCAACTTTAATGTTCGGTATATAAAGCGAAATTTGTTATTCACCTATGAAGTGTTCAAATTTGTGACTTTCACCTCGGATCTTCTGCAGCAACTCGAGTCGGGCAGTCATACCCCGCATTTAATTGAAAGACGGGGTACTGCGTGGTTGGCGACATCCCTCGGCCGTTTCTATTTGTCATGAAACATAGCAGCTCTGATATGTTCTTGCGGTCATGAACTATATATTGAGTGGTGGCGCATGAGTAAGACGAATTGCAATTTACCTAGGATATGGCATTGAGGACTTGGATGGATTAGCGAGAAAGTGGTAAACAAAATATGAAGCGTGTTTGATTACGCGTACACTTTTCCAATGATTTTATCTTTATTACACCTAGTCCTTGCCCTACGAAAAAGATAGTACTGAAACTACACATCTACGTACACTTCCCAAAAGCCGCGTTACAATTCTTACTCTTAAGACAATGATCATCCGTATTTCCACACCATCCGTACTCACTACAACAACCCCCGAACGAGGAACCCGCACAAGTATAACCGTTGGTACCAGAACATGTCCCATCGGTCGAGATTTTAGCAGAGGTTTGGCTCGTGGCAGTAGTCGTGCATGTCCCGAAAGCAGATTGGCAGCCCGTAGAGCAGTGATCAACGGTGTTACCACAATATCCATATTGACTGCAACAGTTTCCGAATGCGGAGTTTAGACAGTTATACTTTGCAGTGCCACCGCAAGTTCCGTCAGGGGATGTGTTGCTGCCAGAGGGTTTGCATATACCGAAAGCGGTCTGGCAGCCGGCATCGCAGTCTGGTGGAAATTAGTAGTGCTAAGAGCGAATATATGGAGTTATTGAGACTACTTACAAGCGGAGGTGTTTCCACAATATCCTGAAGAACTACAGCATGTGCCGAATGTGCTCCCTGTGCAGGTTGCGCCGACCTTTGATAAGGAGCCGCAGGCTCCGTCGCTGCTGATTGGTGCGGCTGTTGAGGTTGGACGAGAACTTGTGGAAGAAGTCTTTGACGAAGTTGAGGAAGTCTTAGAAGAAGTAGAAGATGTTTTGGAAGACGTGGAAGAAGTCTTTGAGGACGTTGACGAAGGTTTGGATGAGGTAGAAGACGTCTTGGACGAAGTGGAAGAAATAGTTAAAGATGTTGTAGAACTAGCTTTCGACGAAGTTGTAGATGTCTTGGATGAAAGTACTGACGACGAGCTAGTTGAAGAAATTTTCGTCGAACTCGAAATTGCGCGGCTTGTACTGCTGCTGATGCTTGTCGTCGTCTCATTAAATGGAGCAAATACAGCTTGATAGACACTGATGAATCCCGTGCCACCGCAAGTCTGGTTCGCACTTCCAGCACAAGGAATGTTACATTTCTTGTTGATTTCGTCCGTCATGTCATTCCGTACGAAATCGCCGCACAAACACTGGGTGCCACCCGATATACCTGCAAATATGTAGTTGGTGTTCTTCACGCTGTAGCAGGCATCGCCGCACTTGGACACAGAGATGTTGGAAATAGCTGAGGCGCTGTAGTCCAGAGTTGGGAAGTCAGTGGCTCCTACGGGCCAACATCCTATTGGGGTCCATGAGCTGGGACTGGGCTTTACCGTGGGTGTCGGAGCAGTCGAGGTAGATTTTGTGGTGGTTGTTGTGGGCGTTGGGAATTCTGAGGATACCCAAGTGCAATACGATGTGTAGATTTCCCAGCCTTCACACTTTGAGAAAGTCAGCTTTGCTTGAAAAAGACATCCAAGATCTCAAAATGCCAATTGAAGAAAGTCGTTATGGACAAGAATGGATAATTGTACATACATCGAGACTAATGGAAGGGTTCCATCGAGTGAAGTTTGCAGGCGATATACCCAGAACATCTCTGATTTCCGCACAGCCATAATCACCAGAGTTGTCGTACCAACCTGTACAAGTACTGATGGTATTTAGGTGGTACCGATATGATTGTGCGAGAGCATTCGAGGAGAGAAAAACCACCGCCCCGAGCAAAGGCAATCGAAAATACATTTTGAGAAGAGTAAACAGAGAAAATGAAAGACCTGGCGACTGAAAGTGTGGAAGTGACTGAGGGGACCGCTGCAGTATTCGAGTACGATATGAAGCGATGGGAATGAGCGTCTCGCTCGAAAAGTGCGACACTTTCACCACGGCATAGAAGTCTTTCTCCTTCCGAAATTGGATGTCCGAAGTACATGATAAATTTTTCTCCTCGATCCTACTCTAGTATTGATAGCTTTTGATATTGGTTTTCAAAGTAGATCTGGACTTTCTCAGCCCTGTTTGCCAAGCTGTATCCCTGTCTCCGACCCTCCCCAGCATCGCCACACGGTCCCCGGAGATTTTCTGCCAGGGGTGCATCGCCAAGATTCTGACTATCGCTTGTAGTAATGCAGTAACCATTTCAGTATTTACTCCGGAAGCTTCAATTGGTTCTGTCGTGAAACTCTTTTCTCGTCGGGTTTTTATGTCAAGGGGTAGGTTGCTTCTCCAGTGTTATGAGTGTCGTCCATTTAGAGTAATATGGGTTCATCCCTTCTATTCCCGCTCGGAGGTTGCAATCGGCGTTGCCGATATTTTCTTCACGATCTGACGGTATCCGCAATTAAAAATTTCAGGGATTCTCCTTCTACACGGTAGTACAGCAATCTGAAAGAAGATTATGAGTGTAGTACTTGTACCCAAACACCGAGGCAAAGCTATGACTTGCGCGCGAAACCAAGCATTCGCTTATCGCAGCCCCTTTTATTTTGCCGCTCAGATGAAGCGAGGCCCTCTCTCACCTGTCCGCCAAGACATGCAAGCATTATGGCAACCCTCCTGCATACTGAAAATTACCGTAAAGATTGTCCGGAGGCACAGCAAACTCTAAGAAATGTTGTTACGAGAGATTTGCCGAGATCTTTTGAACGATGAAAATACGGTATCAACATCCCTGTGCTTCTACCATGAGATTCCCGTGGTCTCGACCGAACCAGGAACATGGAACTATGGATGGTGCCCATGGCCTATAGCCAGGGCTGGTGAGGTAATTTTTCGTTGTCGCTCTCACAATATCAAGTTGGTACCGTTCGTTGTGGTGGTGTTTCTCGACCTTGTGTCTCTGGTGTATTCCTCCCCAAAGTTTCTCAACATCAACACAAGTTGACGGCGTGCATCACCTCCAAGATTTCGAATCAAGATGCAGCTTCCAATTCTTGCAGTATTCGCCTGCTTGGTAACTTGGGTTGCAGCAGACGGTCTTCGAAACGGCTATGAGCGTGTTTGGCTCTGGTATGCTTACCAGATTGATCTGACGCTCCCTGAAGCAGACCGACAAATTGGCAAGAAATGCATCAAATGGGACTTCACAAACAAGAATTGCCCTCCTACATATCAGCCAACTGGGAAGAAAGGTACATTGATGATTTAGACATCAGTTAATTTCGACAGCTGACACCCAGTCACAGGAAAACCCGTTGGTGGCCCGCAGCCAAATACAGCTCTTTGTAGCGGGACGCGCCCAGGTGGAGCATGCTATTTCTGGGAATTCATGGGCCACATCGATGGAAAGAGATACCAACCAAGAAATATGTGGCTCTTACCGACGACCGACCCTACAGACATTGAGCAGCAGAAGAATCTGAAGCCGGACGTTGCGACTACGGCAAAGTGGTTATCGGAACAACATGGGGACCCTTCAAAACCTCTCGAGTTGTCCAACAATATTCCTAGGGCGACAATATATGCTCCTTGGAGAGGTCAGTAGTCATCCCTCCGAGTAGGCGGACTTGTATCAAGTCCTGACATACCGTCTTTCTGAGTTCACGCGATGCTAACATTTAGAAAAGTGTACCAGGGAGTTGGAGAGATCTACAACGACATGTTGAGAGCTGTGGGGGCACACTCAGCAGACACAATCTCAAAGCTCTCCGCAGATCAAAAAGCCGCACTCAAAGACGAGCTTGATGCGGTAAAGTTGTCTTTGAGAAGCACCATCGTCGAGCGAGAGATCGATCACTCGAAACACATCTTCGATGCAGGTACCGATAAAGGCTTCGCACTTGCCAAGCGCACAGAAGCTGGATATACTGGGGATATCGTGGATTGGGACGAGACTAGGAAGCTTCATTCCGAGGCTGACTTCAACAAGTTCTACAATGACTATTACCACCTTGCGTATAACGCTGGACCACCACCAAACGACGATGCGTACAAGGCTTCCAAGGCAGCCAGAGAACATCTGCAGGTGATGGATGATTTCAGATTTGTAGAAAGTGGGGCGCTTGCTTGTGGCATCTGAGGAATGGAGAGGGGTCTGGGAAATCGAATACGGGTACGGAAACATGTGTAATGGTCTTCATTTGGTATCAATAAATTTCATTGTCAAAGTGATTAAATTTCAAAGCACAACCACAAGACCGATGTATATATTGTCGCTACATCTCCACGCAGCAAGTTCGTCGGTCGCGCAGAACAGGTATTACTACGATTGTGATTTTGGATATTAGTGTGGAGGTGCTTTCAGAATTTGCTATTTACAAATTACAAGTCAAGGTAACGAGTGTTCAAGTCTCAGTCGTTGATCTAGACCCGTCAATCGGCTCGGTGGGATCATTCTCCGGCTCAAAGTAACGTTCCACTGCAGAGCTAACTCTGAATCGCCCACTGAGAATAGTGTTCCTATTCCGAACGAAAACCGAAGTTCGGGCAGAAACCTTCAGCAAAACTCTTCCCTGGAGGTAGCAGTCAACATGGGCTCGCCTAGTGTCAGTCGTCCGTCTCCTGAACATTGCATAGTAAGATTGAGTGAAAATGTGATCTCCTAGTTGTACAAGCTGAGAATGTAAGCAGGACTAGAACCTTTGGATTCGGAAATTGACTTAATAAGGAAGGTCATTGGCGTACGGGCATCCCCGGTATCAACAACTGCTCGCTTAAGTCGCATTATGGGCGGAGGCTTGGCCCGATGCTAGTATATCGGACGGAACGAAACGCTGATCTCCAACGTCAAATATAAGCTTAATTCTTGGCATGCGGCGCGGTTTTCAATTGCAAGGGGGCCATGCCATGCCATGTCAAGAATTGTTCACCGAGGCATAGTGATTACGGTTCGGCCAAATTTGAAGACTGGTGATGGTTCATATCCGATTGAGATTTGGGTCCGGGGCTACAATAGTCTAGGCCCTGATCTTCCTTTTCTTGTTGCTGGAAATCAGCAAATCCACTCGTATTTGTTCTGTTAGACTGAGGCAAAGAATGAGTAAGGGAACCAGGTAGAATAGCGCAAGCATTTTGCACCGCCGCAAACGGCAGTTGGCTTTCATCAAATTAAGCTTCAACCTCGAAAACCGCTTCGGTCCGTGACATGGCCTCGTATATTATCCCAGCTAATCGCGCCTACTGACCGCGGGGTAATTTTAGTTTCCCATCGACGCGCTGCATATAACTTGTCAGATTCGGAGCAGCTTGATCTGGCTAGCGTATTACCATCCCTAGGACCCTGGACGCGAAAGTTTTTCCAACCAACTGACATGGAATAATTTAAGCAGTGGACAAACTGCCACATCCATCTGTTGCACTCCAGCTGTGCCACATTGATACATTAGATCGAAGCAACACTAATTGTTCTAGACACTCGAAGTACCGGTCCCTGCTTAGATTTTACCCCGGCAATGAATCTTACGAGCAGGCATATAGGACTGGATCGATGTTGCCAAGAAAGTCCCCTGAAATGGGTTATGGGAGAAGGGAGCAGGATGCAGAACTTTTGCTACGAAACGGGATAGGTACTCCCCGAGACTGATAGACAAGGGGTTAATCTAGCATGTTACTATGCGATATCACGGATTAAGACGGTAGCTTTGGACTGAATGTAAGTTCAGTACTGCGCTGTTTTTCCTCGACCGTTGTTTTTAGGTGTGCTGCACCGTCCTCCTGGAAGCTTTGCTCCCCATCCTCTCTTTTCTGGTTCAGCCATCATGCATTTCTTTGGCACGCAAAAATCCCTTGCGGGTTGTCTTCTTTTCATCTTTACTCATGTTGCCGCGAATGGCGTTTCCAATGTCAACCACGAATCTCTTCCAGTTCACCGAGATCTGCTGGATTCCAGAGACGAGCCCACCGTGGCCGTAGCTCTGAAGGAATTCGAAGATGCAAACGAGAGGACGCCAGACTATCTTCTCGATGCCTGTCCTTCGATATGCTCAAATTTCTCGTCAACGGCGGAATGGTTCGTCTATTCCGATGCTGCTCGTCTAGGGCTATGCAACAAGACGATGCTGTTTGAGTTCGCCGTGTCACACGATCTCGAGAGCAAGAACGACAAAACTGCAATTAGGGCATGTACTGCCGATTTTGGCGTCACTGCCCCTGCCAAGCAAGACCTCAGCATTGCATCTCGTTGCAAAACTCCGAATCATGTTCAGATAGACCTGCCTGTTAAGGTCTCAGGAAGAGGAGCCACTGGGGGCGCTCCAGATATTCTCGCAGCGACAACACAAATAAACAGCTACATCGCGTCTCAACCTATTTCTTGCGACAACAACACCATTTCTTTTGCCCAGTCTGGCAAAGCTGTGGTTGGTCTTTACTCCGGCAAGGAAGTCCACCAACAAGGTGTTACGGCTCAACTGCTCAACAGCTTCCAGCAGTACATTCAAAAGAATGGTGCATCGGAGTCCCTGGTCGTTCAGCTCTGCAAATCCGGCGGCCGTGGATCTGACTACGCCATTGGGCTTGTGGCGAGTCCGTCCGGAGACATGTCGTTTGTGCAAAGTGCTGTCAAGGCCTGGAATGACGGCGAATGCGTCTCTGGCGTCAATGAAGTGGCGACTTTGGCACAGCTAAAGTTCAATGTCCCAGGGGTCGCGTCTGGATCAGTCAATGGAACACGCAATAGTACCGAAATCACCAAACGTTCAGTGGAACTCAACACCCCCCGCAACCGACTCGCTTACCGCGCCGATTGCAGAACGACTAAAGTGCAATCTGGCGATGGTTGTTTTGCAGTCGCACAGCGATGTGGAATCTCTCAAGCCGATCTCACAAAGTATAACACTCGGACCAACTTCTGCGGCACATTAGCAGTCGACGAAATCGCGTGCTGTTCTTCCGGCACGCTGCCCGATACGACCCCTCCAGCAAACTCGGACGGGACATGCCAAACACGCAAAATCGTGAGCGGTGATACTTGCACGTCTCTGGCATCAAAATGTGGCATTACTCCTGCACAATTTACAATCTTCAACCCCGACTCAACGCTCTGCTCGACTCTAGCACCCGGTGGTATTGTGTGTTGCGGCAAAGGCAAACTGCCAGACATCACCCCAAAACAGAACTCGGACGGCTCATGCTTTGTGTACCAAACCAAAAAAGATGACGATTGCTCGTTGATCGCAGCTTCCAATGGTCTCAAGCCCGCCAAATTAGAAGAGTTCAACAAGAACACCTGGGGCTGGAATGGTTGCGGGATTCTTTTTGTTGGTGTCAATATGTGCTTGAGTGCCGGTACTCCGCCTATGCCAGCGCCAGTCTCGAACGCAGTCTGTGGTCCTACTGTCCCTGGGACGCAGAAGCCACCATCCGGTACTAACTTAACTTCGTTGAATCCGTGCCCGCTCAAGGTCTGCTGTAACATCTGGGGCCAATGTGGAACCACAGCCGATTTCTGTGTCATTTCGCCTTCGGAGAGCGGTGCTCCTGGAACGGCCAAGAATGGCTCCAATGGATGCATTGCCAATTGTGGCATGGATATCATCTCCAGTAGTGCACCAGCTGAGAAGATCAAGGTCGCCTACTTTGAAAGCTGGAACTGGAACAGAGAGTGTCTGCATATGCATGTGGACAGTATCGACACGAAGGTCTACAACCACATCCACTTTGCATTTGCCAACATTACGACAGATTTCCAGATCGATGTCAGCGGCGCTCAGGATGAATTCGACAGGTTCAAAGCGATGAGTGGTGTCAAGAGAATCATATCCTTTGGAGGTTGGGCTTTCAGCACCGAACCTGGAACATTCAGAATCTTGAGAGAAGCGACCAAATCTGGCAACAGAGGCACTTTCATAACGAACATCCAGAACTTTGTTTCCAGCAACGGTCTTGATGGTGTCGATATTGATTGGGAGTACCCTGGCGCACCTGATATCCCTGGTGTTCCTCCCTCTGGCGACCCTAAGGAGGGAATGGATTACTACGATACGCTCGTCGCCCTGAAGTCAAGGCTTGGATCAGGAAAGTCGGTATCCTTTGCAGCTCCAGCATCTTACTGGTATCTGAAAGCCTTTCCAGTCGAGCTCATGGGCAAGGCCCTGGACTACATTGTCTACATGACTTATGATCTCCATGGACAATGGGATTATGGGAACAAATGGACTTCTCCAGGTTGTCCGAATGGCAATTGTTTGCGTTCCCACGTCAATCTCACGGAGACTATCAACTCGCTGGCTATGATCACCAAGGCGGGTGTGCCTTCGAATAAAGTCGTTGTTGGTGTTTCAAGCTATGGCCGTTCGTTCAAGATGGCACAGTGAGTATCCTCCGGCTCCATTCTGTTATTGCAAGGCTCCTCCCCTATGCAACTGCTAAATCTGTTGTTACTTCAGAGCTGGATGCACAGGTCCATCATGTCTCTTTACCGGCAGTCCCCTTGTCTCCAATGCGGCCAAGGGTGAATGTACCGACACTGCTGGTTACATCTCCAACGCAGAAATCGCAGACATCATTGCGGCCGGCGGAGTTCAAGAATACCGAGTCGAAGACTCCGATATTCTTGTCTACGGTGGTGGTACAGAATGGGTTGCATACATGAAAGATGCCACTAAATCTGGAAGAGAAGCACTGTACTCCAGATACAACTTTGCTGGTACCACTGATTGGGCTGTCGATCTTCAGGCGTACACGGCCGATGAGGATAGTTCTGTGGAAGAGGACGATCCGAATTATGGCAAGTACACGGAAATTGTCCGGATCCACGACAAGACTCAGTGCTCGTCGAAGTATACGTCGTTGGACCAAATCGAGAAGGATGCCGATAAGATCCCTGCTGATTGCATGGCTTCTTACTTGGTCGCTGCTGAAGTCGCCATGCTCGATAGCTCTTTGAACTCTTATGACTCTCTTATCAAGGGTGGTTACGACAAGAAATTTGCTGTCTACGAACGGGTGACAAAGGCCCAGATTCCGTTACAGATCTATAAATACAGTAAGTATGAACTTTCCATTCCAAGGAGGGTGCACTCCCTTCCACTTGACGACCCCTTGGAATATTCTCTGTGCAACACGGCGCAATACTAATATATCTGCTTTTTCAGTGGGCGGCGCTCAAAAATCTGGGTTCTTCGAGTGCACTGAGACAAAGAATCAATGCTGCATGAAAGATTGCTCATCAGCATTCGGCTGCGGTTCTTGCGTCAGCGGAGCAAATTGCAAGTCCGGTCAGGTCCAAGTCAAAGTTGATTGCCCAACCACCCTCGACTATGACTACATCCCAACCTTCGACGTCCAACCAGTCATCACGTACAAATGTACCAATCTAGATGGCTTTTACAAGGATATCAATGACAAGTTTGGTATTGACAAGAGTTGGATTACATGGGGTGATCGTACGGTTTCGATCCAGAATGGATGCCAGTTTCAAGGCAAAGATGTCAATGACTGTATCAAGAAGACCAGCCATTTCTGGTAGTAAGTATTCCTGCCTACAGACCCACCTCTCCAACCACATCAAGGCCAAGGCTAACCGCTCATTTCTCAACAGCAACTATCCCCTCCCAGCCAGCAAGATCGAGGTCCCCAACCCCAAAGACGTAATTGGTAAAAAGTACGACGAGCTCCGCAGTCTCAAAACGCGTATGGAGTCCGAGAACAAAAACGCTGATAGCACCGGCGTCGCGCAACTCGACATCGTCGATTCTGGCTCCCTACCAGCCCTCATGCTCCAATACGCCATCACGAATATGAACAAGATCGTCGAGACCGCCAACGACATAATCGAGGCCGAGCGTAAAGAAATGATCCTGTCTTTCGTCACCGCCTTCCTGATGTTCATCCCCATCGCTGGTGAAGTAGCTGGCGCAGCAGGCGGGACCTTACTCCGCACACTTATCAATGTCGCAGGAGAGCTAGGCAATGTCGCTGTAGGGATCTACGAGTTGGTTGATGATCCGAAGAATGCACTTATTACCATCTTTGGGATGCTGCTTGGTGGTGTGAGTTTGAAGCCGTTTAAGGAGATTGCGGCGGCGAAGAGGGGCATGAAGAATGAGGATTGGGAGAAGTTGGGTCCGATTAAGAAGGACATGGATAGAATTGATGTGTTGAAGGGGAAAGGGAAGGGGTCGACGTGTAAGTAGGTGTAATTGACCGAGGTATGGTGAGATTATGTACAGGGAGATGTCATCACGACGAGTCTATATCTCATTTGTAAAAGCACTACGTTTTGAGCTTGTATCAGCTTGAATGTTTGGATAGAATAAGGGATTAAATACGAACCGCGGTTCAAAAAGAAACTCATGGAGTATTACCTCAAGATCCCGTATCCAGCGACTGATCTACATGATCTGCTTGTTGACATTCGGCAAATCATTCACTCGCCAACGTCGGTCACTTCTAGAGATGGAGGCCTTGTAAGCCAGAAAGATTCTCGCATTAAACCGATTAACAGTCTCATCATATTGTAAAGGAATTCAACCCAAAACCGCTCCCAAGGGTTTGCGCACAGCAAGAATCTTCATTTCCCGAAGGAAGAGCTGAATTCACTCAACCTTCTCACTGTCACTCAACCTCTGTGTTTCCGGCTAGGATACCCCTTTAGCGAGCACTACCCTGCATAATAGGGGTGCTAACAGCCTGTAAATTGCTCGCCGCCTGCAATCTCGGGGCGTGCAACGCTAATTTTTCCCATGCTGACGTAACTCCGACCCCTAAATCAATGAAAAGGCTCGCCTCCCTCATGCCTCATGTTGATTCCCGCATCTTTTCACCTCGGTCGCTTGCTACCTGAACAACAAATCACCTCCAAATACCTTTCGAGGATAATCTCTCGAACTTAGAACATCACGATAAAATTTGCTCACCAACGACCACTGTTCGAAACAAACCAGATTCAATAATCGACATTCTCAAACTCTCTTGTCTCCGGGTCTCCTTCCGCTACTGTAGCTCAAAGATACTCTTTCAGAAGCGCACGCACTCAAAATGTCAACAACCTCAACCTCGATCTCAACCTCACCCTCACCCTCACCCTCAACTCCCACTCAGACACCAACCCCCCTCCAAACATTCCACCTCTTCCCCCACCTCCTCCCCGAACTCCGCACCCTCATCTGGACCTTCGCCTCCCGCGCCCCGCGCACAATCCGCATCCACTCCAGCACCACCTCCTCCAATAATAATCCGGATCCCGGCTACTACACACGCACACCCGCACCCGCCATCACACGCGCAAACCGGGAATCCCGCACCCGTAGCTCCTACAAGAGATCCTTCACCCATCCTTCCAGCGAGCGGTACATCTGGACGAACTTCACCACCGACACGATCCACGTGCTGAGCACGGTGTTCTGGAACCTCGAGAGTCTACCTCTTGATGAGATTGTGCATTTGAGGATTGAGCTGTTGGATGAGAGGGGGGAGGAGGTCGTGGAGGATTGGTGGCATCATCACCTTCCCTTGATTCCGAGTTCATTCCCGGCTCTGAAAACAGTGGATTTACTTGTTCCCAGAGAATTAAGGTTCTATTGTCCGGGGTATATCGAAGATGCGTATTTTGGAGAGGGGTGTTCGAAGGAGGAGGGGGGGGATGTGAGGATTGTGAGGCTGGGGACGGGGGAGTGGGTGGATGGGGGGATGGTGGGGGTTTATGCGGATTGGGTGGAGAGTTTTGGGGGGGTGTATGAGGAGGGGATGACGAGGGTGGTGGAGTGGGATGTGGATGAGGGGACGAGGAGGGAGAGGATGGAGGATGTGAGGGCGTTGGAGATGCCGAGGCCGAGGGTGGATTTGGGGTATCCGTAGGGTTTGAAGGGACGGGAGGGTTGGGGATGGGAGGGTCTGGAATTCAAATAGGGATGGAACCAGAAAGGGATAATGAGGAAGATGATGATAAGAGAAATTGAATTTGTGAAATTAGTTGCGCTTGATAGATACCAGAAAACTTATCCTAATTAAATCCCAAGATACGTTCATATCCGCAATTCTAGCAGGACCAGGAGAGTGATAGACGGGTTAGCGATGGCATTGAGAACGTGAAAAGTGTAGGAGAGTGATGACGAAACTGGAGGAAAAGATTCCAGACAAAGGGCTGTGAGTAGATATCTTAAAACTCGTCCTGGCCTCAGACTCAGAAGAGCTATCAATAATGTCTTGTCTCAAACTTCAGGTAGTATGATGAAAATAAGTCTATCTACCAAGCCCACATCGTTCTCATTCTTACTCCGACTTACAAGCAAGTAAGCAAGGAAGTAACTAAATAAATACTCACCCACCCCCAAGGTAATAGTGCCAGACATCCGCCAAGTAGATAGATAGTTAGACGAATACATATGCCTGCCCACAGAACACGACAGAACAAAGTCAGGTAAAGGTAGGTATGTGAACTTTCATTTCTCATCCTCATCCTCATCTTTCATTCTCCATGGTCAATTCTAGATATCTACATGCCAGCAAGCAAGCAAGCAAGCAATGCCGTCTGTGATTCATGCCCAGACAACATTTCACTGCAATATTATACATTTTGACCTCGGTTCTTGCTCCTCTATCAGTTCCCTTCCGTGAGACTTGCGATGGAGGAAAGCAGCGCAAATAACACCCCAGACCAGAAAAGAAATCATTTTGTTTCTCCCTCATCCCAAAAAACGCCCGCCTGCCCAAAACAAAAGGGAATTCCACGAACAGGCAAAGAACGCTATATATCTATGGACTCATCCATCCACCCATCAACTGTACAGTTCAGAAACAAAATCTGTTTACTCAGCACTGGCTCGACATCTACAACTCTTCCAGATGCCCAAGTCAGTCCAAGATAACCCACCGCTTATCAACCTCCTTAGCACCCACTCTCTTCGCAACAGTCTCCAGCGTACCCTTAATAGCAGCCGCCGGTCTACCAGGGAATTTCTTCTTCAGCACCTCGATCAAGCCAACTTTACTCAGATCCGAGCCTTGGATAGCGGCTTTGAAAGCAGGGAGGTCGTCTGCTGAGAGAGATTTCTTCGGTTTAGCGTCTTTGGTTGTAGATTTTGTGGGTTGTTGGAATTGGGCGGCCGAGGAGAGGGTTGAAGGGGTGAGCATGGATGAGGATTTGACGAAATCGGTGGTTGGGGATGATTTTGGCGCGAAGAGGCTGTTGATATTGGCGGATGTGGATTTCATGGTGTTGAGAGGGATGCGAGGTGGTTCCATGGTGGATTTGACTGGTTCTGGAGGGTCCCAGTATGCTGTTGAGAAGGGATCGATGGATTTGATAGTTGGATCTGGACAGTTAGCCAAGTTTGCAAAAGACATAAAATTTGACATACCTAGAATGACTTCCATCCGATAGGCAATCATCTTCACATTCGAATTTCGTCTCTTCCTATCCTCCCAACAAAGTCCTGTCGAAATCGGCTCCAGATCACCCTGTATTACCATTCTCCTTGAATTGGCAGTTTCATCATTCTCGTCATCCAAGAAGTCATCCATGTCCTCATCATCACCAAGCTCCTCTTCCTCATCACCTTCACTCTTCAAGTCCTCCGCATCCTCATCATCCTGAACCCATTCCGCCTCACTGTCATAATCATAATCTGTATTTGGAAGGTCTCTCCTCAATGGATTTCGGGCCAATTTGGGCATGCCTCTGACAGGTCGACTGGTATAAGTACCGCGATAAGGTGGTCGAACGTCCTCCTGGAAGTGCAAAATCTTCATAGGAATTCCCTTCAACAAATCGCCAGTTCGCTTGATTTGTGAGTTTTGCGAGTCGGTGGTCAGGTCGATTGGCTTGGAAGAGTTGCCAGAAAAGAAATCAGACATAATATCTCGTACAGGTACCGTGTTCTTGCCACGGGGTCTATCGTACAGTGTTGAAGTATGGAAAAGATCAGGAGCATTAAATGTTCGTTGACGACCAGGACTCCTGTTTCCTTGTAAGTAGCTATCGAGAATGGACTCAATAGCTTCAACAGCCTCCTCATCTCGCTCGAACCGATTGATGGGTGCTACCGTAACACCTTGTTGGATGTAGAAATCGGGGAATAGCTTCTCGTAGGCAGTCTTCTCTGGCTTGCTTGGTGTCTTCATCGGACTCGCAACCGCAGCACTAATGATCGAAGATTGTGGCGCCGGACTCATAGACGTCCTACCCCTAGAGTCGACACTCGAAGCTCTCGGACGAGCCACGGTAGGGATATTGAAGAAATTACCCAGCTTCATCTGGCCCTTCTCCTTTTTCTTCTTTTCCTCCTCAGCCTTCAACTTCTCCTCTTCCTTCTTTCTCCGCTTCTCCTCTCTAGCAGCCTTGTCAGCTTCTTGTGCGAGACGCTTCTCCTCTTTCTCAGCCTCTTTCTTCTTCCGCTCAGCTTCCTTCTCGGCATCCTTCTTCGCTTTCTCATCAGCATGAGCCTGCTTCTCGGCGTCCTTGCGGGCCTTCTCCGCGTCCTTCTTTGCTTTCTCCTCCGCCTTCTCCTTATCTTTAATCTCCTTATTGATGCGCTTCATTTCCTTCTCCTGAAAGGTGAGCTTCGCCTTCTTTGGTGGTGGAGCAGCAGAACCGGTCAGGGCAGCGAACGCAGAAGCGGGAGCTGCGTTGGAGGGAGGTAGCAATGGGTGCGTGGTTGTATCTACACTGGGGGACTGGTCTCTCGAAGGTGTGTTCGTGCCAGCGTCGGTCAAGGAGCCTGTGGTGCTTCGAGTTGGACTGCCTGCTCTTTTGGTGCCTACGCTGATACGAGGGGTGGGGAGTGATTCTGAAGTTTTGGCTTCTTCAGCAGCGAGCTTTTCGAGAAAGTCTGCTGGGACAGTGAATGGGGCTTCGAGTTCTTGTGTTTCGGGTTCTTCGAAGCTGGCGTGGTCTCTCTTGAGAGAGCGTGGGGAGCCTTGTTCAGACATCGTGAACGCGTTGTCGTTGACGACTAGGCTGCGTGTGGTTCAAGTGAATTGGCTCGGTAGCTTTGACATGAATTGATTGAAAGACTCAAATCTCATAAGTAATTGTCATTCGCAGTGCTGTCGTTGAGGCTCTCGAGGGTAGTGTGGAGTTGATTTGAAGTGGGTGTGGTCGGGTTGGTCTGAGGAAGGACGCGACAAATCGCGTCTTCTTGGAAAGTGGTTTCGCGTTCCACCCGGCAAGCGCCACCACCCACCCCTGTTGGATTGTTCAAGCGTATTTGGATCTTGGATACTTCCAATAATAAACGTTACAAAAAGCTCACTCGTGTAAACATAACACTTGCTGAAAAATAACAGATATATCAAAAAGTAACTAACTGCAGGTAGAATTGTTCTTCGTAAACCGCCCCCCTGGCAGGCTAATCCCTCACCAATAGGACAATTTCTACAACAATAATGTCCTTGTATGTAATTCTTTCTTTCAAGGTTGTGTACAGTATCCCTCACGTGTAAACGAGAGAAGAGGCCATCTACCCTTATATTGATGAAGAGAGGCCACAAATTTATTAATTGTTACTTCGCAATGCCGACAAAATACTAAAAAGGGCGTGAACTAAAAGGGATATACTTCTTAGATAATCACTCACTGACCCAGGCGTGGATTCCGCTCTAGGTCTTTACTGAACAAGGCATGGAATAAAACGACACTGGAAAAAAGCCATTGCTTTTCTCTATTACTTTGTTTCTGTTCTCCTCTCGTATTTCTTCCCGTCTTCCGCTATCGCATCCAAAGGAATATAGGTAATGTGCTTCTCTTCCCTCCACCTCCATTCCTCAATCCAAGCCCACCAGCCAATCTCCAAAGCCCATCATCCATCCATGTATACAAAAAGACGCAATGCCGCTATAACGAGCGATTGATTATAAACCAACCCAATCCGCCGCCCTGGACCCCATCCCGGAGAATTGATAGACAAGAGTACACTGAAACCCAACCTAGCCCGATCACCCGTATGTTTGAAATCCAGAAACTCCCACATCCAAATTCATAAATTCGATCAACCCAATCGCCCAAACGCCACAAATGCATGTCAAAGAGCCGTAGCTCAGTCCAGCCCTAGCCAGAAAGAGGGAAGAGCAGTTAGAGTGACAACGTTGTCTCTCATCTCAACCTCTGCTCCGCCCATAAGACAAGGGCAAAAGAAACGTGGTATATCCTCCTCTGCCGCACCTCTTAATCGCTGTCCGCGTCCGGGTTCGCAATATACAGCCGCCCAGCACTCAACGTCATGGTCCGATCATCCACACTTCCTCTCCTCCTCAACTCATCCGGATTCTTGACGCTCTTCTCGCGGGTGACGGTAGATTTCAGCAGGCTGTTACTGGCGAGTCTGGCAGCGTCCACAGTGTTCAATTCGCCCACTGCATCTGCTCGCTCCCCACTACTTCCACTCCCAGCACTGCGCGTACCATCTCCGTTTCCATCAGCAGAGAAGTAATCTTTAGCACGCTGATGCGTGCCAGGTACTGGCGTCTCGCCCGCTTCCTGCACATCGTCCATTGAATTTTGTCGTTCATTCGGCGGTGTATTTCCCGAACTCCATCTCCCGCCCGTTGAGCTCGCGCCAGATTGTCTCGAGTATGTGAGGCCACGTCTACCGCTCCCGACACTGCTTCTCCCGCTGCCAGTTCGTCGATGGTATGTTCCTCCGCCGTATGCCATGTTCCCACTGTCGGCGTCGTCGTCGCTATCTCCTCCTTCGACCTCACTGGCACTCAATCTCATGGGCACACCTCCCACGCCTCCCACTAGATCTCCAGGGCTGTATCCTACCAGCCCGGCCTTGCCGTGATGTCGTATCTTCGCTGTGACTCTGTTGCTGCCTGCGAGGCTGTTTGACCCACTTGTTGATACCCGACCTGCTGCTGGCCCGCCGATGACTTCCATCGTGGCTCGCATTTTGGCGGCTTTCTGCGCGGCGAGGAGTCGTGGGTCTTCATGCTGAGCCCTGTCGCACCAGACTGTCGCCTTTTGTTTCCTCATCAATGCAACATAGCTGGACGGCTGCAGACCACCGGACCGCGAGGATGTTGAGCGGCGGAGATCTTGAGAGGTGGCACGAAATGGCACAGGGCCATTCCCACTGCTGGCTGTCGTCGAGAAGGTCGCATTCGACGGCGTTCTCCGCGATGAGTAGTTATGTACTTGCATGTTGTTTGGGTATAGTTGTTGTGGCTGGGGCGGATACTGGGCTGTCGGGAAGATATTCGAGGAGGTCGTTCGACTGCGGCTGTGGGAGTAGAGCTCGGGGGATTGAGGACCTTGATATCCTGCCGGCATGGGTTTCCTGTGGACTTGGGATGCCATTGTGACTGCGGGTGATTGAGATGAGGTGAATGTGAGTCGAGGCAAGAGTGGAGTATGAATGTGCTTGTTGCAGCAGCGTGAGGCAATTATTGGCCAAGAAGCAAGCGTAGGCGTGAATTGTGACTTGCAGCCGTAGGAGCAATTGCGCTAGAAGTCGTTTTCTGCACACTTGGATCTGGGAAGGTGGATGCTACGAGAGACGGATTGAAGCTAGATACAGTAGCTTCGCGATAACTGGGAATGAACTAGCAGTCGGCGACGTGAGCGATTTGTTGATTTGGCCGGTGAAGGTGGGGAAGGGCAGGACGACGGCGCAGAACTGGGCAGTCAATTGACGTCGTTCAGGTCAAGAGCGCCGGCGGAGAGGAAGACGGAAGAGGAAGGTATTGATGTTTGGTCGATTGGAGCCCTGGTGTGGGCTGGAGGAGAGGTGAAGGGAGAGTGAGGTTGTAAAGGACAGAGGAGAGTAGGGAGCGGGTGGGCGTCAATAAAGAGGAGGAGAGGGAGGAGGGAGGATGTGATGGGTGAGGTTCGTGCAGCGCTGAGGTGCAGGTGCAGGTGCAGGTGCAGGGCTCTGGTCTTGGTTCCGGCCAGGCAAGGCAAGGTTCGTCGAATTCAGGTGCAGGCAGGGCAGGGCAGGGCAGGTTCAGGCCGACTGGGGTCCTTCGTTCGGCTAGGGGGCGTGGCTGCAGCGTCGGAATCAGCACAGGCGAATGGCGAGAGAGAGGGCCACAGCGAGATGACAGCGATAAGGTAGAGAACAAAGGTCCGTCCCACCAGAAACGTGAAGGACAAAGCCGGCAGTAGTGTAAGCAATTGGTCCTAGAGGCTAGATGGACCGTGGGGCAACGTGTATGATCCTTGGACGAATGTTCGCTGGGAATGGGTCTGTGGTGGACGAGAGCAGAGGAGAGTTTCGGAAAGTATATATTTCCCAAGCACTCAAGCAACAGCTGATGGGCCGGAACTCTGATGCTCTGATGTTAGCTTTGACAAAGAAGCTGAGTGAAGATTGAAAAGCATGCTGCGCAACAACAATGACAAAGCAGAAATCATAAATCAAATGTTCCGGCATTCCAGCGCCATCCATCAATCAATATATCAGGCCCTCGCTAGGTACGTACAAGATAAGTAATCAAATCAGACTGTCAAAAAGCAACGTGCACGATAAGTTAACGAATAAATCAACACGGAGGCTTCGGATAGACGATAATGACATTACCAGAAAGGACATACACACAGCACGGTCTCACTTACGGCAAATCAACACCCAAACTTCACTCCAAACTCAATACTTCATCAGCTGTTGGTGGAGTTCGATGGCGCTCGCCTTATGCATGCATGCATCTACCCTACGAGGGTATCCAGATCAACCCCACTTGCCTGGTTCGTACGTTCGTTCGTTTCTTCGTTCGCTCGTTCGTCCTCTCGGCCTCGGCAACCCTGTGAAGTGACTGCAGATAAGATGCAGATGCGGATGCAGATGCTACTGTAGGCGTCGAAACAGCGGCGGTCAAGTCAGCTCGGTGTGGTCCCCTCAGCTGAGCAGTCAAATCGCGTATCTCGTTGGCGCACCGAGATGGTGTGCTGGATCAAGCCGCAAGCCTCCAATTCAGGCGCCGCCGTAGGATTGCAATACTAGCGACAAGGCTTGACAATGTCTCATAAAGGTGAACTGCCAACAAATAACCTTTGTTCGAAGACCGATGGGTTGCAGAATGAGCGCTGTCAGGAGTGAACTCCGTGGATATATTGACTATCTACAGCGCTGTACTGGAACAGATTACGATCACGATCATGATCGGTTGCTGGCCATCCTCAGCTCAGTTCGATTGACGTAAGGCTGCCAATAATCTCGTTTCAGTCCATCCCTCAAGTCAGGTTTTACGAATAGCATCATCCAGTTCCTCCGGTGCTATTCCTCGCTTATTTCCAGGGCATCGGCTCATCACGTCACAAACAAACAGCGAATGTAACCCTGAGAATCAGCCGTAGATCTACCGATCATTCATCCTCAACTACAAGCCAGCATTTCAATCCTCATCAACCAGCAAAACCGGCCACGTATAGATCTTTATAGACAAGGCCATCTCATATACATCCGGTTCAGGGAAACTTCCAAGATTCGGCCCCTTCCCATTCAAGCTTCCAAGCTTTCCAAGCTTTCGTTTCTCGCCTAGCTACCTCCGTACCATCCCACGTTTTCCTCCCAAATCCAGATTTTCGCTAGAACCAACTTCCCTTCCCTACACTCACCACTCACATCCACATCCACATTCTTCATGATCACCAGGAGGGAGTTCAGAATATCAGGGTCATGTCATTGATTCAGGGTCCAATCCGTCTCCTCCTTCGCGCGTCTCATGCTCCTTTCAATGGACACACTGACGTAGCGATCCCCATCCTATCACTCTCCCTCACCACCCACGTTCCAAAAAGCTCGGCGCAGTCGCCCTATCCGGCGGCCACATTCTCGCTCAAGCCCCTCGCGCCACCACCCGCATTCGGCGAGGCCGAGAAGTAAATGATATGATCAGTGCAGAAGAGTTGAGACTCCAGCTCCACAGCCCGAACGATAAATAATAAGCTTAACGGAAGAGTAAGGTAAAATAGCTGGATAAGCAGCCTGCGTGCGTGCGTGCGTGCGTGCGAGCGTTTATATTAACCACTCATACCTCTCTCTACTTTTCGCATAGGAAACCTACCTTAGTTGGTGGGAAAGGTCAGGACATGTCAATGATAGCTAGACGCATCCAGCGCACTCGAGCCGAGAAAGGGAAATGCAGACATCCTCAACACCAGCAACCCCGCACCCGCGCCCGCCTACAACCACGCCACTGCGGCGCAAAAGCAAGAGCCAAAAAAAAAAGTTATATCTGCAAAAACCTTCCCAAAGCCGCAGCTTTTTAGTCTGGATAAACTCAAGTCAAGACTCGCGGGAAAGTCAATTCCACCTGTCCTGTTACCCCTCTCCGCCACAAGTCTAGTCGATTCTAGTCCAGTACTCGTACAGCACGGATTCAAACTACTGTACTCTATCTATCAAGGTTAAACTCTTAAGCGCCATCTTCCCCTCCCCCTCAGCCTTTCCAGCCTTCCCCTCCTCTCCCATCATGTTCCTTGTCATTCAAATCCCACTGTCCAATTCTCTTTCCACAACATCTCTCCCATCTCCGCCTTTACTTCCAAACGACGCACGCAGGGCAATGTAGCGAGGTGGGCTGAGGTGAGGTGAGAGCTCCAATAGCCTTGAAAATTCACCGGTTCGTTCTTTACCAGACTTTGAAAGGTGATCGATCAGTGTCAGCACTTCATGCAAATAAGCTAAGAAGCCATTTCCAAGTTTCTCTATCCTCGCCTCATGCAGTACTGTACTGTTCTGTGCAGAGGTTGTAATCCTCCTCACCTCGCTACCAAACTTATACCTTTGTAAGTACTAGGTAGTACAGTACACTAAGTAAGTGAGTAAGTCTAGGGCTCGAAGGTCGGAGGGGGTGAGAGAAAGAGAAAGAGAAAGAGAAAGAAAGTGATGCGATTTGCCAAAATCGCATTCCCCCACCCCACCCATGCTTCACATCATTCTCGTCCATCGTTCCTTTTCATGTGCAAGGGTTTGCCGCCTCAACAAAAAAGCCCCTATTCCAATGCAATCCAATCCGAATCTCAAAATTCAGTAGCAATATCAACAATCAAAATATACCACACAATCTAATCCCCTCCCTACAAACGACAGATAAATATCATGAAAACGAAAAAAAAAAAAAAAAAGGACGTCATAACCTCCCCTTCCCAATCCCAATCCCAATCCCATTCCCAGTCCCAGTCCTATACTCCAAACGGGGCGATCATAATATTTACAACGGATACCCGTGCCCCGTGCTCTCCATCGCCCCCCTCCCCCTCTGAACTGGATTTAAGGCATAAGGTTAAAAATTTTGGAGTTTGAACAATACACTAATGGAAGGTTTTGCACTACATTGCACTGAGGCGGGGCGGGCGGAGAACAGCGGAGAAGTTTGAAGTTGAAAAGAGAGATGGTAGTGAGCCGCTGCGAGCGAGTTGTCTGTCGCTAGCTGGGCACGTTCTCTGGACTGTAAGATAGGTAGGGAAGGTAGGGAAACGGCCCGAAAGAGAGGAGAGAGGAGAGAGGAGAGAGGAGTGAGCCGATGCCGATGCCGAGTAAGGAAGGAAGTGGTAGTCCCAAAGAAAGGCGACAAGTACAGTACTTCTCATTATTTCCTGCTTGCGTCTACTCCAAGGACCGTCAGGCTAGGTTCACATCGTGGGGATTGGTTGGGTTGGGTTAGGTCTGCATCGTGCTTTCCTCATAGGGTACGGCGTCTGTCGCTGTACTGTATTGTATTCAGGTCAGGTTGTGAGTCCCGATCTTTGAAGAACACGGCATGGGCACTCTCCCATGCTTGGCTAGGTAAGGTAGGTAGATTCTCATCTGACAATGTTCTACACAAATCACGGGGCATTCTTATCTTATCTTATCTCTTGACATGCAGATGTACGGTACACTTTGGCTTGGATAACTTAGCAACTTCGATAGGTTACTCCGGCATCCCCCAAAAATTTCTCCTCTAGAGGCTCATCAAGCAACAGTTCTTTTTTTTTTTTTTTTTTTCTTTCGGGGAATTTCTCATCATTCCAAACTCATCTGATTAAGTAAGTGCACCTCGCCAGGGCTTCTAATGCTTAGAATGCCATCAGGAATGTACTGTACCTCCGCCGTGAAGCGCGAGTGCGGGATGAGTAAGTACAGTGTACAATGTACAGTGTACAGTGCTTGAATACATAATCAAGCCTCCTCCTCCATCTGGCCCGCGATCCGACCAGAAAAACCATCTCATATCCCTCCCTTCCTTGGAAAAATGTATGGATTTCCGTAAAGGGATCATGTAACTCACCAATAGGAAAGCTGCTGCACCTGGAAAAAAAAAATGGCCTGATCGTCAGTATCAAATCCATCAATGTCGATCTGGATTCATCATCTCCCCGCATAACATAATGCCTCTGGAACATACCGTTAATACTGTTCTTGTTCACTTTCCTTTCAGCATGCGTTTTGTCCATCTACCTATCCTTCTATCTATCTATCTATACATACCATGGGATGTACATGCACATGCAGACATACTCACTTATGCATACATGCAGCTTAAGTCACGGCATCACATTTCGTCGCATCCTTCGCACACAAGCGCATGACAACAATGCTCACCAACTCTTCGACCCACGCAAATCGCAACAGAAGGCGAATGCGATTTCGCATCACAAAAATAAGAAAAGAAAATACAATCTCGATCGAAGAATCGGGATAGCCTGGGAATAGATCGCAAGCATGGGTGAACAGCAGGGTAGGTAAACAAGTATCTGACTGAGATTTGGTATCCAATAATGTTGATTCTGAATTAACCTTACAGTAGGTACCGAGAAACACAAGGCGTGACTTGTGTGGGGAAGTCCGGCTCCTCTCATCAAGCCTCCCCTCCATTCAAAAACACAAAAACACAAACCGGACCAACCCCTAGCCAAAACAATAACAATAACAACAACAATTTCAGATGTACAGTACACACACTCCCAACCCAGTTACCGGGAAGAAGTGAGCCATACCGAACCCCATCGCAAAGCACTTGTCTGGTCTGTGGCGTGGAAACGTGGACTCCTCATACCCACACCCACACCCAAAGTTGTTGACGGGTAGAAATTCAAATGACCGGCTCGAGTACTGCGTAGCTCCCGTTGATAGTAAGACATGTCTGACAGCCTGGCCTGGCATGGCATCTTAACTCTTCCCCTCAATCAATCACCAACCACTTCTTCAGCCCACCCTGCTGGCCTGACTTGACCGGCCATGACACAACCCAAATTGCTGAGCGTTCCCGGTGGTAAAAAGAAATGACTTTGTTGTGATGATATCTGTCTCACTTACTTACTTACTCACTGTATCCCATCTCTTCTCATGTACGAGTAGGTAATATACAGCAGAAGTTGCGGGGTAACTTAGAGAAAGCAACCATGCCGCATCGGCGAGGTGTGATCTGTCGTCCCATGAGTCTGGTTTGGTCTGGTGGACCTGGTGTCGATAAGCGAGAGTCCCTAGTCAACAGCACCGGTCCCAAAGTTTTCGGGATGCGGATGTTCTAGAAGAAGGGGAAAAAACCAAGAATGAGAATCTGGAAGGAAAAGGATGTGCTAATTTACTTGGAGAATCGTTTAGCTTACTGTTTCTGGTAGAGGCTTGATTGGAAGTGGGGTGAAGAATGGACTGGCTCACTTGGTTCTGTTGTTGGTGTTGTGAAATCCTTCGTGGTAGTATGACAAACAGAATCGTTGGCTTTGATGTTGAATACAAGTCCTGTAGTCCATCCACTAAGCACTCGTAGAAGCGAAGTGTAGCGATGTGAAGCAAATTCAACAATTTCTTGATTTGTAGAATGTAATGTATTTACAAAGAGCTGAATGTGAATCATAATTTATCATCCGATCCCCCTTAATATCCCCTCCATAGCCTGTTCAAGCTTGTGCATCTGCTCGAAAGGGAACGGCATGGCATCTACTAAGAGGAAAGAATACTTCAAGGGGCAAACCAAAACCGGGCGTGACATGGAAAAGTCAAAGAATTACCAAATCACATAACAACAAACAATCCAACAGCAACCACAGCACCCCAAACAAATAACTCAACTCCTAACTTTCTAGCTCCGTTTGGCACCTCAATAGGCGACGGTGTCGTTGTAGGCGTTGGCACAGACGAAACACTAACCACAACAATCGAACTCCCCGGCGCCAGCGTCGTCTCAACCTGTCCAGCTGGTCCACTCGTCAGAGTCGGAGCCGGAGCTGGAGCCTGACCACCCTTGGAAGTAGCAGTAACGTCCCCTACAAGCTCACTCTTCGGTGGTAGAATTGTTGGCGCCGACACTGTCTGGTCCTTTGGAGTCTCGGAAGCTGTCTCGGGTAATTCAGGCTTTAGAGTAAACAGCGGCAACGACGACGAGGATGACGAACCAAGCGAGAGATGCACCGTTTCTGTCGAAGTTGAGAGAGTAGTGATTGTGGTCGTGGTTGTGATTCCGGAATCTGTACTGAGAGACGCACCTGGAACTGGGATCGGGACAGGGTAAGTGGAGATGAGCAGCGAGGAGGACGTTACTACGGTCGTGTAGCCGACGGTAGATTGAGTGACGGTTGGGGCGCAGGATGTTATGGGATAGGTGTGTGTTTCTTGGATGAGGAGTGTTGTTGTGAGGTTGCTGGTTATGGTGGTTGTGCTGGTTTTGGTTGTTGTTTGGGGGGTTGTGCTTATGGTTGGAAGAGTTGGGGCTGCAGGAGTGGGAGGGATAGGACATTTTGTTGTGATATGGGAAACGGTAGTTGTTGTGGAGCCGTAGGGACAGGATTTTACGGATGAGGGGCAGGATGAGATGGTGTATGTCTTGGTCGTTGTCATTGTCGATGTTGTGTACTGAGTCGAATCTGATGGGTTTGGGTGGTTAGGCTTCGAATAACTTGTCCCTGGAAGAAACGGCGATGTTGTTACCAGTCGTGGGATTTCAGAAGTTGAAGGGATGGCGATCGGCAGAGATAGAGTTGGTAGAGGAGGCGAGAGAGGCCCAGATTCTGTGGGTGTACCGATGGATAGAGAGACAATCGGTTCTGTGACTGAGCTTGCAGGTGAGGAGGTCGAAGGAGGACCCGGAGATAGCGAAAGTGATGGTGTGGTTTCTGGTGATGGTGAAATAATGGCTGAAGGCGGACCTAGTGAGAGTGATAAGGACGGAGTGTCGATCGGTGATGAAAGAGAGGGCGTTGGTGAACTTGGAGGTGAGGTTGGATAACCAGGTAGTGTTGGGACGGGAGGTGTTGGTACTGGTGGACCAAGAGTGAAACTAAGTGATGGCACGGTGCTCGATGGTACAGCTGATGTTGGAGGTGGTTCAAAAATAAGCGCTGCCGATTGTCAGTTTTTTTACTCTGTACCTACTCAACATATCACAGCTGGACCCCATAAGGTGTCTCCCTGCGGGGAAGCAAGATTTGGGCCGAAGGCAATCGCTCGAAAGCCAACAGCAGCAGAAATTTGCGAAGCCTCATGCTTTGGTTCACGGAGCAAAAGGTGGTTCAAAGGGATCGGACGAGGCCAAAGATATGTAGTGTACATATTGTGGGAGATGATTTTTGATAAACAAAACGGCGACGAATTTCTCCGAACCGAACGAAGTTGGAATCAACGCAGGCCGGCACTTACTTGAAGAGGAAGAGCTCAAGATGGAGTCTTCGACGGCACAGGTATCCACGTAAATGCTCTGCGATAAGTGGCCTCCACATAGTTCAGACCGGTCTCCAAAGCATGGCTCATTGCAGTATCCGTCGTGAGATAGAGGAGTGTCGAAATCATCCCCACAGTAACATCCCCATCCATCCTCCATGCCAGCGTAAGCGAAGTCATTTTCAGAGCAGACTGCTTGACAGTTCTCAATAGTAGTATCTACGGTGGTTGAAGGTGCGAACCTCGTCGTGAGTGGTCGGCCACTGCTCTGATATAAGACGCAGCCAACATAAGTCCAGCCGCAATCGGACGACAGGAGTCGTGGTGATGCGGAAACGAGTGAAAAAAGAATACTTGAAATAATGAAAGTAGTGAGCTTCAATGACGAGCGAGTCATGATGGCTTAGAGATCGGATGATCAAACATAAACGAATGTATGTGATGAACTGGTCAACATTATGAAAGCATAACACGGGGGATAGTGCTGACTATATCCACTCAAGGGAAGCCACACGATAGGCAAAATTTGAATATACCCTGACGAGATTATCAACTGGCGTATTAAAATACAACAACAGCTTGCTGCAACATCATAAAAGGTGACATCCATGCCATAAAAAAGAGAATGCAAGATCTGAGCTATGACCCTGAAGAGAACAGAGATGGGATTCGACGAGATGGTGACTATTGGAGCCATGACAGCAAAATAGAGTATTCCACGGCATATATTAGAGTTTAGATCAAGCCACCACGCGACATGAAATAACTCCAGGATCACTGCAGCTCTACTACACTATGATCATCGTTGTCTAAGCGTACCATACTTTAGCCGTCGCGGGAGATATTCATCCATAGTGGGCCAATCTAGCACAGGCTGTCCTATGAGAATCAATGAGTTCCTGCATGCAGGAACAAAGGCTCTCGGCCCCTGAACTCATCATCGCATGGTAGCGAAAACAAGGTATGCTCGCAAGCAATTGAGGTGGGATAACTCGGACATTTACCCCGCTTCATCCGATATTGAGCTTTGACGTATCCCTTGGACCTGCATATCAGACTCGGCATGCATAAACTTCCAGCTTTACGACTCGAGTAGCTCGGTGGGTGCCCTCCTTTCCCAGAGGCTGGATCCAGATCATGGTGGTAAGAGCTCACACCGATGCGCTGTCCGTTGGCGTGTAGGTTAGGCCTCAAGGCATAAGCAGCTATTGTCACTACTAGAATGACCATCTTGGACCATCCTTCAAGGTGAAGAGGATCCTCAACCCAGGCTGGTTCATTCAATATTTGATTTTCGTTGTGAATTCAACTCGCAGCCGCCTTTCTGGCTCTGACCACGAACAAAGGATCTTCTGTAGATCCCCATTTTCCAGCCTTGCCTTCCTTCAAAATGACTTCTTCGACGTCTTGCCAGCCACTACTTGCCCAGAAATATCCTCCCACCCATTGTCTGCGACCTTCGTCATCCATCCTCATCCACTTCCCTATGACTTTCGTAGCGAAGCACCTGTTGCTGAATGCCATGTGTGCAGTTCCCCCAACCTTCAATACCCTATACATTTCCTTGAATATAGATACCGGCTGTGTCAGGTAGTCCACAGAGACGTTGCATATAACAGTGTCGACACTCTCGCTGGGGACTTCTTCCAGACTTGGGTTCTTGTTTAGGTCTTTAACGAAGTATTTCGTAAGGTGTGAATTCCGTTCCAATTCCACTTTATTCATCCCGTATCCAATCATGCTCTGCGGTTTGAGGTCTCTCGAAAGATGCGATGTCCAGCTGGAGCAAAGGTCCAATATGCTATGGCTCGGCTTTATGATCGTGTCGTAATACGACTTCAGGGACACAATCGCCCCGTCGTCGATATGCTGCACAAAGCGAGGCTGTTGGTACCATTCAACATCTGACCCTTCATCTTGTCTGCGAAGATCTTGAGGTGTGTATGTGATAGTGGCTGGGTAGAGGGATCGTAGGAGGGGTTTGATTTGGTTGGGTATGGGGTCAGATGCCATGGCGGAGGAAAAGGACGCGACTTGGGTCGATATCTGGTGAGCAGTTGATTGTAGGCCACGATTTACTCGAGATCGTAGTATGGACATGCCGCAGCTTTCTTGCTCGAAGAAGTGACAACAACATGTTGCGGGTTGGGGATGTTAATATCAGAAGTATCAGCGCGTCATGGACCCTTCTCCACTTTGGACACTAATCTTCGGCAAAGTTAACCTTATCTACACGGCGTCAACACGGAAATCTGGGCAACAGGACTCTCCCCACGGCGGTTTCATGCAAACAGAAACTGTAAATTGTCTACATTTTGTCTATATTTGTAGTAGTAGTAGAATGCAGACAAAATTCAGACAATATCTACTACAAATAGGTTATCAAAATGTAGACAAATTAGCGTGTGTTAGGGGTAAGTAGAAGAGTTTAGGTAACTTAGACCTTCTATGTTTTGACACAAAGTTAAACATAGACCTATTACTCACTTTCGGAACACTCGGAGGAGGAAAGAGGGAGACTTACCTGGAGGAAGAAGGAGGGAAAAGAAGGGAGACTTACCTTGGAGGGAGACCTTGGAGGGAGACTTACCTAGAGGGAGAAGGAGGGAGACTTACCTGGGAAAGAGACCTGGGAGGGAGACTTTGGAGGGAGACTTTACCTTGGAGGGAAACCTTGGAGGGAGAAAGTAGGAAAAGGGATGGGAAGGGAAGGAAATAGGGAGAAAAATTAACTTTATTAGTCAGAAAACTCTGAAAAAATACAGACAGTAAGTGTACCTATCTCCCTCAGATTATAGGTCATATCTGTATTTTTAACCTAAATCTTTAAAAATCAATCAGAATCAGAGAATGCAACGGAGAAAAATGCAGACAATTAACTAAAATACAGATAGAAAATACGTCTAAAAGGCCTGTTTACAGACAGTGTCTGTAAGAAGTGCAGTTAGTGTCTAAAAAAAAAAACCCCGTGTAGGGTCTCGCCGCATTGCTTAAGAACAAATGCGGAATAATCACAATGGATAAACAGCCAAATATCTGAATGCTTTAGGTGATTCGTGTCAAAGTGTGCAGATGGCGCAACAGCATTCAGACAAACTTGGGAATCCCTTGTTCAACCTCATACATCAAAAACAGAAGAATGTTTCGTCGCCAACACACACAACCTATCGATATCTCTTTGCTTATGAATAATTCAAAGATAACAGTGCCAGTTTCTTGTCTTGTTCTCAGGTATTTCGCTTTCACAGTTCTTTCGGTGATATCGCGCTACATTCAGAAGTATCGGATGCGCTCGAAATGCCGAAAGACCGAGATTTCTAAGCGAGCCCCTTCCACCACAGAGCGGTACCTGCCTGCCTGCGTCACAAATCCTTGCGGAATTACGATATATTTTGTCGGATTTAAATTTTATGTGACGAAGTAAATACCGAAAATAATTCTTAACTGATTGTATACGACATGCTGGTAAATAGTTCCATTGCTTCCAGGACTGTAAATCTACCGGAATGCTGTGACAAGGCTGAGGTAAGATTCAAGTGGGGTGAAGACATTATCTCCATCTAATGTGGGTCAGAGACATACATATAAGTAAGGTACGTAAACACCACGGCTATTCTACAAAGACAAAGAGCACCAGACTTTATTTCAATCATAATCTTCTTATCGTTTGCATATTTCTTAGTCATTCCTACATCCATCTTTACCACAATCAGCTCAATTCAAAAATAACAAGTATGGAAGACCCCAAGTTTGCCAACTTCAATGTCACCACAACCCACTACAAAATCGTCAACAATCAAGAAATTCCTCTCTATGTCCTCATCCCCAAGGGCATCCACACCGGCAAGCGTCCAATTCTTGTTCACTTCCATGGCGGCTTCCTCGTTACCGGACATGCGATATACCCAGACTGGGCATCCCAATGGTCATTGGACTATGGGACTCTCAATTCCGCAATACGAATCTCAGCTAATTATCGTCTCCTACCCGAGAGCGACGGTCTCGAAATCCTGTCTGACGTCCGCGATCTCTTCACCTGGATTGAGAATGATCTACCTGCATATCTGAAGCGTATCGGTAGCGACATCACGCCAGACTACGATAGGATCGCAGTGTATGGCGAGAGCGCTGGCGGGCTCTTGGCCATCCATTCCGGACTGATGAGAACAGATCTTGTCAAGGCTGTGATTGCTGCATATCCAATGACTTACCTCGATCGTCCGTGGTATTCCGTTGCGTCTACTGACAAATCTCCCTTTGGCGCGCCTCAGCTTCCCAAGGCTCTTCTCGATCAACATGTTGCCACGATAGAACCCGGCAAAATTGTTACAGGAGCTTTCCCACCAGACAGAGTACAACTTGCGATTCCCATGTTGCAGAATGGATTGTTTCCACAGATCATGGGTACAGATGAGTCATTGTATCCTGCGAAGGTTGTGGAAAAGAGAAAGAAGGGTGAGAAGGCTCCTTTTCTTTTTGTGATGCATGGAAAGGAAGATACAGCTGTGCCCTGTGAGCACTCGGTAGATTTTGTGAAACTATGGGAGGAGAAGTTTGGTCACGGGAGTGTGGTTGGCAAGTTTGAGAGTGGTGATCATGGTTTTGATGGGACTGCTACGCTTGACACTCCGTGGATGAAGGATGGATTGGCTGATGTTAGTAAAGCTTGGATTAGTTAAATGAAAATAGAGGTCGATAATTTATATGAATTTTGTCTTAGTCAGATATAGTGAATTAACTTTTTCATGCGATTAATTAGAATACTTAAGACCATTGGGATTTTCTGTTTGGAATTTGGATTCACAATCTGCATTTGTAAGAATGGGGACAAAAGTTAATAATATATGCTCTATAACCAATGCCTTAATAAAGATCGCACCCGCAATCACTTGTAACTTCATCACAAAAGTCGCCTAAAGAGGAGTCATCGTCTGAATCGTCCGCGTCGAGCCGGTGGTGATCGTCATTGTCCTCCACCTCATTGGCGACGATAGGATCGCCGAATTGATCGAGCTCAATACCACTCCTGGAAGAGTGACTTACATAGTAGTGGTCAATGAGGTTCCCCCATACCTTATGGCCGAAAGTTCGAATGCGACCATTTTCATCTTCAAGCTCCTCATCCAACTTGTCATCTTCCTCAATTCGTTGCGCCAATCTCACTCTTAGCTCCTCCAGCCATTCCTGTTGGGTAACATTTCTGTCATGCTCCTCTTGCCAATCACGCTCAGCCTCACTAGCTAGCACCATCCACTCCCATTCTTTTAGAGGCTGATCAGGCTCGGCAGGCCTAAGGTCCAATTGATATTGATCCATGATACGACTAGCGCCACACACGACCGGGTCAATGAAATTTATCTGGGCTTCCGTAAGTTGCGATTCTGTTGCAACGGCGGCTCTCAGGACCCGTCTGTGCGGCCTACACATGTCAAGGACTTCAACTCGTACCACTTCTGAACATTCTCTCTCAGCTTTGGCTATCACAGACTCGAGGATTATTCTAATCGTCCGTGGATCACGTTCATCGGCTCCATTGATAGTGTCCCAGTTTCGTGGTAACCCGTATAGTTCTCTCCTGTCGGCCTCGGCATGTGCCTCTCGATGTGCCATAGATGCTGTCCAAGTCTGAGAGTACGCCAAGGTCTTGATCTCTTCATACCTGCTGAAAGAGATAGGTCCGCACAGGCTAGGCTGTTCAGTTGACAGGTTTGCTACCCTGTCTTGTAACTCTTGTGTTGGAGGTGCGAGCTGGTAAGGTCTGCCTCTGATATTGGTGTAGAGTTCATGGAATTGATTCATTTTTGCTTGGGTCCCATTCTCAGAGAGGTATGACTTGTATCCCAAGATATCTCTTTCCAGCTTTTCATCGATGTTGTCGTCGTCTATGCTGCAGTCGCTTGGGCCTTCTCGGCCAGTATGGTAATTAGCCACAGTCCACGCATGGAATGAGAGGATCTTGGGCGCGGTGTCCTGGGTCTGAGAAGACATGACTAGACTTCTATAGATTGTGTTATTTTGGATGTTTCTAATTGCAGTTTCAAGCCTCTTAGTGTGTCAAGGTCGTATTTAAATATCCTGGACAATCGCCCTGTTTTGATCAAAGACCTTTTGAAGAAGTGGAACCTTTTCATTCACACATAAAGAATCAATTGCATTACCATATAGAACAGAGTTCTTACAACAAGGTACTTTGTTATGATAATAAGATAAGATTGCTTTGTTTACTTTCGGCTGCTTTGTTAAGCGAACAATGAGTTTTGCTCCACAAGACTGCGCCGCAGAAGAGATTAGAAAGCATCAAGCAGTATACTGCAGGGGATTCCTTTCTGCGAAACTCTTTGATCTTAATCCTTTGGTCACTGATATACTACTTTCATCCCATCATACGGTGAGTGCCGCGTCAGGGTTCAGGGCTTGGCAAAAACTTGCAATTGGACTAGTCCTCACGAGTCTAGACACTCAATCGAACGAGCCTGAAACGACCATATTATACACAATTTTAACATCTGATACCTCATTTGATCTAACTACAGATCATACAACTTGCGAATCGAATGCATGCACAATCTAGAAATAGCCATCGAAGTGATTGAACATTGAATTCTTTTTGGCTGGAGGCGGCCAACGCCAGTATCCAAATAGTACATATGTTTGTCTTCAGCAGGACTTCTGTACGTGAAGATCGGGTATAATTAGAAGCAACCCACATAAGCAGCACTATAGTAAGTATCAGCCTGACGACTGAAGCACCGTGGAATATGAATGTTCTCGTCCTCATCTTCGGACATCTCATCTTCAGCCTCAACGCCTGCCGCTTCCTCTTTCAGTTCAACAAGAAACTCCCCCAAAGTCATATTCTCGTAGTAATTATCTTGTGCCTGCATCACCAGCTGTCGCCATTCATACAAGTCCAGCGGCCGATCGCGCTCTTCTAATTCCACTGCTGGCTGCGACTCCTCCCCGCGCTCGCAGGATGGAGCTGGTCTTGATGATCTGGAAGTCTGTTCTCTCGCCTGCAAGATCCAATTCTCAGCATATAGTAGGTCGTTAGTAATTGATTCCTCTTCCTCTCTGGGAATTTCCATATCGGTGGCGATCAGTATTGTCAATTGGATTATGCGAGGCACACAACATGCCTCGACGTGACTTAGAACTTCTGGATTGAGTATTGAGGCTGCGTCCTCCCATGCTTCTCTAAATTCTCTCCTTAACATGTGTATTTCAATTGATCTGCAACTTTCTTCGTTCCTTTTCAGCCCATAGAGCCATCTTCGGTCACCTTCTGCGACTACTTCCCGACTCACAGCGTAAGCCTTCAAAGTCTCTGGACTAACCAGTCCCGTGATGAACTTGCTATAAGTATTGCAGATCTGTGGGTATACATAATCTGGACCAATACCTGTATACTGAGAATTAAAGTCGGAGAAAGACGGTGGTGGTGTGTTTCCTTGGAATTTGGATTGCGGTACGAAGTCGTAGTTCGTTGTTTGGATGTGGCCACGAAGTTCAAGAAAGATGCTGAGCTCGTCGAAAGCTCTGCGGTCATTGAGATACCGCTCGTAGTTGCGGATGTCTCTTATGAGCATGGTATCTACCGTTTCAATAATAGGACAATTCTGATCTTGCTTGTAGTAAGCCCTCGTAAACTCCAGAAAGCTGAGCGGAGTAGACTCCTCGTCCCAGGATTGAGAAGCCATCGTAACGAATGACCCAATTTGTTCAGTCATATAGATTTGAGTTCCTGGTCACATGTCAGGGTCGAATTTTGTTTGAGTTGTTTTTCAGGATAGTGATAATGGGAGGGTGTGTCTTCAGAGGCTGGCTGAAGCCAGTGCGTGGAAATACTGGGAACAATAGCATTGTTCAATGGCTCTTCAGTACCTGAACAAAGGTTATGGAGATTGAAAGAAGAATGACAATGGTGAAGAGAGTCTTTGTTACAGGTTTTCATCTGTCGCAGTTAATTCATTTTCAACCAATGATTATACTATACATAACAACTTTTTGATGAAAGGAGACAAAACTTTCTTCAATTTCTTTACATATTGCGACCAGTTTGGGAAGCATCAACCCACCACGGTGCAAAGAACAATATGTTGCTGGCAAGTCCTTTTTGTGACTCAGGATTGACAATTTGAGCCATGGACTCGCCCCAACTTGAGCTACTCTGAAAATTTTATCTATATCGAGATCACACAGTCAGGATGGATAACACAGAAAATGAACTTAGTTTGCATCACATTTTAACATTTTTAAAATGATTTATGACCAGTCAAACCCCTTGCTCTCGATGATGGCTAATACCATATCAGCGCAGCCTTCGACAGGTCTTACACAAATGTTGCAATGGGGTCCAATAATCAAGGATGTGCTGAACACTCGTTAGCGCATTGAAGCAATGAGGGGAGTGAGACTGTGAGAGTATGAAGCAGCACTCAACTTCCATCTGAAATCAATCATTGGTTCGTCCCAATCTCATCTTCCCTCAGGACACATTGAGCACGAACCATCATCCTAACTCCACCACCAATACACGTCATCCATACAGACATATCGAAGTCTGGGCGGCATATCCTTCTTGATAGGGAGCAAGTCTTTCACAACGCCCCAATATACTTTAGTGGAAAAAAGCCGAGCCCTTTCTCGCTGCTGTTTCGCCGAATGGTATATCATCGAACTATGGACATCAAGGCCCATTTGTTGCACTGATCGCGTTTCACGAAAAACGACACATAGTTCTCCACGCGAACCCATAGTCTGAGCAATATGTTCCAAGTCTTCCAACTGAATGTTGCAGAAAACAGTCTCTCGAAAAGCTAGACCCTGTATCTTCGAGAGATCAGGGGCTTGAAGTGTTCGAAGGAAGAACCCGCTCTCGATGTCCTCGGTGTCATCGTGATCGTGATTTGGAACATCGGGAATGTAGACTATGTCAGTGTCGAAGTTGATATACGTTTTGAAAGTGATCTCACCTCCGAGAGTAGCTATGAATTGGGCACGAGAGTGGTGGCAGACGTGGAGAAGAGGCGGAATAGGTTAGTTCGACTTGAGACCCGGATGTTCCAAATTGAAGTAATGAACTCGGGAGTAGTCGTATTCGAACGCCGCGAAGGTCCAAACGAGAAGCTTGAGCTCCAGCATCTTCAAGGAGTGCAAGAGAATGAATCTCCTCGAGCTTGGCCTTCTCTAGAATTTTTGCTTTTTGTGATTCTTCGAGAAGATCACGGTACTCTTCTTTCCGCTCCAACGACCACGTCACGAGTTGAGAAAGCGGAGCGTGGTGTTCGTCCGTCTCGATCTGCGGGTGTTGGAGATATTCCATCAGAGACGTCTCGCGTTCAGCCTTGGCGGGGTCGGGGTCGTGATTTGCATTGACGATCTTCATTTTGACCAGAGAAAACGAGGTACTTGTTGTTATATCGGCGTTCATTTAAGACCGGAGCAGCTCGGATTAGTTGGGTAGGCTGCCAGGAGGACTCCACGGAGGAGGTTTGTGTAATCAAACGGGGTTAGTGTTCTCGGTCCGGAACGTGAAGGATTGCTGGTTAAGCGTGATCGTAAGTTCTAGGACAATGTCGAGATCTGTTAAGTGTAACGTTTCTAACTCGGTCGGTGTCGTGAGTACAGACTCGTCGGTTGGTATCAGCTATGAAGTAAGGTAACAAGACGCTCGATTCTCAATAGGAATTGAGACGTTACAAGCAGTGGTAAACTAGGTGTAAACTTGCTATTTGATTTGAGCACGAAGCTCTACTATCTAGGAAACTACCTACTCGTTATATAGAACTTCCGACTTCCTGTGCAAGCCGTGCAAGACGTCTTGCAGGGCGCGCAAGCCCGCAAGCCCGTCTAGCAAGCTAGCACATCACGTGACCCATGTCCACCGTGATCAACATAACTATTATTATGACAACGAGCGTGGAGTATGGTACTACTCGCTAATTCGTACCATTCTCTTGTTGGTGCCATTCTCTCAATGGTACCATCAACCCTTTGGTACCAAACACCGACTGGTGCCATCCACTTGGTAGTACCATCAGTATTATGGTGCCAACCCGTGACTTGTACCAAGACTGAGCCTGGTTCGTGACACTATCCCCCTTCCAGCCTAGCGTGTCCTCACGCTTAAGTATGCCTAAGGAAATATCGACGACTGCCCACGGCCGTCTTCTTCTTTCATCATGCCACCCGAACGCTCAACCAAAAGAGTCGATCATATTGCGCTTGGGCGACAGATTGAATTGAGTGGAAAAATCATGGCACCCTGTACCAGATGTGAAAATGCGAATTGCAAAGACTGTGTGTCGCCCCGCGATCCCAAACTGACTCGGTGTGGTCGATGTGCCCGTCTAAACAAGACATGCGATGTGCGTACCGTGAACCGCATGCCGACAGCGTTGGATTGGGAGTCCCTTGACTCCCAGATCGAGAAGTTGGATGCCGAGGAAGAGGAGGCGATGGCGAAAATCCTTCGTTTGAAGAAACAGAAACGTTTCCTCTACGAAAGGCGGCAGAAGATGATTGCTGCCGGGCTGAACTCAATGGAAGAGCTCGACGCTCTCGAAGCGTTGGAAAAGGAAGCTGAGGAGAAGCGGAAGGCGGAGGAGGCACAGAAAAGTGCTGAGTTGGCAGGCGCGGAACGTCCTAGTTCCGGCGACGTCGACCCCCCCTACGACCCGACGGTCGGCCTTCCCTTCGACCCTGAGGACCCGCTCTGGGCAGACCTGGGTTTCGTTGATGGAAACTGGCAAGCAGCTTCGGGCAGCGAAGGTTTGACCTAGGTTCCCAAGTGTTCTCGGATTGTGGGTAATCCTTCCATTTCACTAGGTATTTGATGATACCGTACTTGTACTGACAATCCAGCAGTTCCTCTACTTCGTATTCTTCAAGCGGATTGATGGGTTCTGCGATTGTTTTTGGGGCTGGTGGTGCGCCCGGTGGTGCTTTTTCCAATAAGGATATATGGAATACTGGGAATACCTTCTTCATCGTGTTCGGCAGTTGGAGTTCGTAATTCAAAGGTCCTTTGACTTGCTTGATCTTGAACGGTCCTAATTTCTTGTGGTCCAATTTGTCGCTTGGCCGCTGCGTGTTGATGTTTTTCCGTAAAAGATAAACCCTATCCCCCTCCTGTAGCGTTGGCTCCTGGCTACGCGTTTTGTTGTAGTAGTGTGCGTTTCTTTCTGCTACGAACTGGAGTTCCTGGGATAATTCCTTGTGTAGGTCCTGAATCTTCTGGACCTGGATGCGAGCCGCATCATTATCCTCAACCGTCAGGTTGGGTTCTCTGTATGCGACAGGTTCGTAACCGTAGTTGGCGAAGAATGGTGTTACGTTGGTTGTTTCCGTGGTCGAGCTGTTGTAGGCGAACTCTGCAAGTGGCAGCAGTCCTACCCAGTTATCTTGTTGGTAGTTGATGTAGCATCGCAAGTATGCTTCAACGACTTGGTTCATCCGTTCATTTCCTCCATTTGTCTGAGGGTGAAATGCTGTTGAGAGTTTTCGTTTGGTTCCGAGGAAACTCGTCAATGCCTTCCAGAATTTGGACGTAAACAGCTTGTCCCGGTCGGACACTATTTCTTCCGGTACTCCACGCTTGGAGACCACTTCTTTAAGGTATACCTGCGCTAGGTCCTCGGCCGTGAGCGTTGATTTGACTGGTACTAGGTTCATGTATTTGGTAAGTCTCTCCATGATGACCAGTATCATATCATAGCTAACTCCTGTGGCCGGGTCTTTGGACATGGGTAATGGTCCAATAAAATCCCATGATATCGATTTCCAAGGTTGTGGTGGTATGGGTACTGTGATCATCTGCCCATAAGGTGCGTGCCTGGTTGGCTTGTTCCTGATGCAGGCATCACAATTTCCAACTACCTCCTTGACTACTGCGCGAAGTCCCTCGCCCCAGTAGCATCGCGAAATCCTTAGGTACGTTCTTCGTACCCCTTGATGTCCGTGTGCGGGTAGTCCATGTTGTTCCTGAACATATTCCTTGGTCAGGCTGGGCGGGAGCCACAGCTTCCCATTTACTCGCACGTATCCTTTCTCAACCGTGGTGTGGTTGTTGGTCTTCAGGAGAGACCTTTCGAGCTCCTGAGCTTTCTTCAGTGTTTCTGCCCAGGGTCCCTTGAGTTCTAAGGCCGCTGCTTCTCGGATGTGGGGGACTAAGTCCCCATTGTCCAATTCCTTGAGCAAGGCGGTTTCATTGTAGATCTTGTCTCCTTCGTACCCTGGCAGCCTGCTCAGGGCGTCGGCTCTGGCGTTGTCTTTTCCTTGCACGTACTTGATTACAAGATCAAAAGAGGCAAGTTCCTCGGCCCACCTGGCCAACCGTCGATTGTCTAAGACCTTAGTGGTTGTGAAGGTTCGAAGATTCATATGGTCGGTGTGGACGATGATTGGATACTTGGCTCCTTGCAGATAGATCTTCCAATGTTTGCATGCTTTGACGATAGCCATGAGCTCCTTCTCGTATATGTTGTAATTTTGTTCGGCTGGGGACATTTTTTCGGAATAGTAGGCGACTGGGTGTAGTCGGCCTTCCTCGTCTCGCTGTAGGTGGGCTGCACCAGTACAGGTATCCGAAGCGTCGGTTTCGATTATGCTTTCCCTTTCCTCGTCGAAACTGTAAAGGATTGGTTCCTTGGTGAATTCCTTCTTGATTCGTTGGAAGGCTTCCTCGCACTGGCTAGTCCAGGTGAAAGAGACACCCTTCCTGGTCAGGTTGGTGAGCGGTTCGGCGATTTTGGAGTAGTTTCGGATGAACTGTCGACAAAAATTGGCAAATCCCAGTTGGGATTGCACATCCTTGACGTTCTTGGGTGACTCCCACTCTTTCACCGCTCTGACCTTTTCTGGGTCAATGCTCATCCGTCCTGGGTTTATGACATATCCCAGGAAGGTGACCTGCTTGACCGAGAATTCACACTTTGATAGTTTCAGTCTAGAATCTACCTTGTGTAGGGCTTCCATGACTTGTAGGACGTGTCCTTGGTGTTCCTCGATGGTTCTCGAGTAGACCAGGATATCGTCCAGGTAGCATATTGCGAATTTTCCGATGAAGTCCTTCAGAATCTCGTTATTCTGCCTTTGGCATGTGGCCGGTGCATTCGTAAGTCCGAATGGCATCACCGTGTGTTCCCACAAGCCTGAGGGTAGGATGAAAGCCGTCTTCCATTCGTGCCCTCTTTTGATTCGGATCAAATTAAACGCGTTACGTTGGTCCAATTTGGTGTATACCGTTGCTCTGGCCAGCCTGTCCCGCAGGTACTGAGCATTGGGCAAAGGATACACGTCCCTTATCGTCCCATTGTTGATCATGCGATAGTCGCCACAAGGTCTTCCCTTAGGATCCCCTGCTTTCTTGGCGACTAACATGTTGACCGCGCATGGTGATTTGGACTTCCGAATCCATCCTTTCTTCACTCCTTGTTCCCGCCATTCCTCAAGCGTCCTCGTGGTGGCGTAATTATGGTAGCGAAGCTTCTCTGCAATGGGTATGAACCCTTCTTTGAAGTTGATCTCGTGGTCCCAGGGTTGATGTTCAGGCAATGCCCTCATGTCCTGTGGATCCTCGAACATCTTTGCGTACTTCCTATAGGGTACGGGCAGCTGTTCCCGTACGTCATCCTTCTGTCTGGGATGACCTTCAGATTCCTTCTGGCTGGGAATCGGACTCTCTCGTGTAGAGTCAATCGGCGTCATCCTTAAGGAGGCGGCGCTAGCCTCCCTTTCGCCGGATAGTCAACTGCGGCGACAGTTGCATCTATCAAAAGTAAGCGTTCTTGCTTTCCAGTCGATGCTGGGGTTGTGGCTGTTCATCCACATGGTTCCGAGGACGATATCGTGTCGTCCAACTGGGACAACGTCGAACGATAAGTACTCCGTGTGACCATCAGGCATCTTCATTTCGATGCTCGCCGTTTTGTCTCGCACCCACCCGTCAACCCCTGCGTTTTTCCCATCCAATAGGGTGAGTCTGTAAGGGCGTGGGTTGCGTATAATGGGTATGTTCAGTTGTTCCACCAGTCGTGGGTGAATGAACCTTCCCATGGCTCCTGAGTCGATCAGGGCCTTAGCTGTATTCCCATTCAGCTCTACTTGGACCACTAGTTGGTCCATCTCTCCGGTGGCGGCGAGTTCGGGGTAATCGAGGTGATCGGGGTACTCCTGCGGTTTTACGGGTAAATCCCTTTGTTCCTCGACGATTTCTCCCGTTGTCTCGTCCATCCACTTCCTTAAGCCTTGGTTGTAACTGATGAGGGTGTACGGGACATCCTCCTCAAGGTTGACCTGGCTCTGTATGGGTTCCTCTCTCGTCCTCTGGAATCGGAGGGGTTCCCATACTTGCTGTCTTCGCTTCCAATACCGTTTTCCGCTAGTCGTTGCGGTCACGACCCACGTATCTTTGACTTCCAGATAGTCGTCTAGCTGGCCATATTCCCGAGGCTCGGGTTCTTCCACAAGGCTAGCCGTGTATCTTTTAGATCGTTGGTCTGTATACTCGGTGTTCTCTTGGAATACGATGATCTCGGCGTCTCGGTAGACAACGACGCAACTAAGGCCTCGCTCTGGGGCATCGTGAGTCCTTCGCTTTTCCGCTAGGTCTGGCTTATCTCCCACGTGCATCCAGACTCGTCGTTCTCCGTTGTGAGAGCGGAGGGCCCAATTTTCGTTGATGATGGGCAGCCGGTCTGCCCAGTGATCATTAGTCACCTGGCTTTCTTGTTGGGTGTCCAGGGATTCTATATCACTGATTCGCTGGTTTTCGAGGGATTCGGTCAGGACTTCCTCCCAACCGTCGTCCTCGCTGACTCGTTCGAGCACTGCCGCTTCGCGGCGCTCGGTCTTTCGTTCGGCCAAAGCGAATTGTCGTTTGTCTTTAGGAGGGGCTTTCCCTCCGTTCTTGTTCTGAGAGCAGTCCCTGGCGAGGTGGCCGGCCTTGCCACAGGTGTAGCACAAGCCCTTCTCTCGTCGTTTCTGCTTCTCAGCCTGGCCCTTGCCTCCTCTCTCGGCCCCATCCATTTCCATCGGGTCATGATGACTCCGTTTATTGTTGGGGTGGGGTTGGAAGTTTCCTCCTCTCTTCCCATGTCGTTCCGGGAACTGAGGCTTCCTGTATTGAGTAGGGGCAAAATACCCTCTTTTTTCCTTCTGTCGTTCCTGGATCCGTTCGTCGATGGTTGTAGCCGTTTTGATCATTTCCTCCAGGCTGTCGGGTTTGTCGGCCCTGGAGAGTTCGTCTTTGATATGGTCCTTTAGGCCCTTGTAGTACTGGGCTTTCAAACCACTATCCGTCCAGTCCAGTCGCATGGAGTGACGGTGGAACTCGGCAGTGTATTCGTGAACGGATCCTCGTTGGCGGATGCCAAGCAGGTGTTTCTCGGACTGTTCTTTCTCGTTGGGGTCTCCGAAGACTCCCTTGATAGCCGTGGTAAATCCTGCGACGGTGCGGAAGATGACGCGACTCTTCTCGGTCATGGTGGTGGAGCAAGCTCCGGTCACATGTCGGTTGAGAAGGTAGTCGCTGAGGGCTGGTTCGATCCAGTGTGCTGCAGTGTCGCGGAGGAACGAGGCGATCCACAAGACCTTGAGGGATTCGGCCTCGAACTTGTCTCCGTTGAAGGCTAGGTACATCTGGTACTGGAGTACGAACTGTCCTAGCTTGGATCGTTGACCATGGAAGGTATCCGGTAGGTTGACTCGGGGTGGAGTAACCTTGTCTTCCTTCTTACTGGTCTGGGAGCTTTCTCCCACGACGGATCCTTCCTTAGGGGCC